CCTTGCTCTCCTCCGGGCTTGCTCGGCCCTATTCTTCTCATTCCACCTCTTTCCCCTCCTCCTGCCCCTTCCTACCCCCCCCTGCTCTGCTCTTCCCTGGGCTTCCCTCCCTGGCTCCTCTCTCCTCTCTCGTGCTCGAGACTCCTCGCTCTCTCGTCGCTCTCTCTCTGGCCCTCTCTCCTCTCGTCTCCCTCGCTCGCCCTCCCTCCTCAGGAATGTGTGTCTGTGTTTGTGTGTTCCGCTTCTCGGAAGCGAGTTAATTAAGATGAAGGAAAGGGGGCCGTGCGGCTGTTGTGGTGGTGTCCGGGATGAACCTTATCAGCATTGCCGCCGATGGGTTCCCAGACCCGATGGGAGCTGGAGAATCGTCTATCAGCTTTTCTCAAGGCGACTGACCGCGCTTCAGACCCGTCCCATCGATGTGGCTTCGTGGGATCCCGGATATCGTTGGGAGTTCAGTCAGCGAGCCTGAGGTGGGCCAAAACAAACAAACAAGACAAAATGACCGCTTAGTGGTAGCGCGAAAAATTAAGGGTCAACCTTCTCTATCGCAGATATTGATTTAGATTCGACCCAGCTAGGCTGTTTGCTCGCCACAGGGGGTGGTATCGGCTGGCGGCAAATGTGTGCTTCACTTGGCTCGATGGGATAGATGATGATGTCGATGGGCACATTGTTGAGGAGAGTAGAGTGAGTAGGTAGTAGGGTAGTAGGTGTAGTATTGAGAGGAGATGCGAGGAGGAGGGTGACTAAGGCGCCAGGGGGCCAGGGCAACGGTTGAGCGGCGTTGGTGGGCCTCACCATGCACAAGTTGACCAATAGGTGAATAAGAAGGTTACCGTGCTGCAGGACCGCGGCCGCGCGACACAGGAGTGTTGAAACACGCCGACCGATCCCAAAGAGGGGAAGGGGAAAGTCTATCGGTTCGATTAGGGCCATTAGGATTTATCATTAGGAATCTGGCTGTTGTACATAATAGCTCACCACTACATTCATGCTCAGCAACATCGTCGAGTACGAACGATGCGCGCTGGGACTAAAAGACTTTGCACAAATCGCCCGGGACGAACTGCCGCGCCGCCCCCACCCCTATCGGGCTTTTCCTCCTTTTATCTTTTTTTTTTTTTTTTTTCTTTTTTTTTTCTTTCTCTTTTTTTTTTTTCTTCTTCTCTCTTTTTTTTCCTCTGTCCCTCTTTTCGCTTCTTTTCTTTTTTTTTTTTTTTTTTTTTTCCTCCTTTCTCTTTTTTTTTTTTTTTTGTCTTTTTCTCTTTTTTTTTTTTTTCTTTTTTTTTATTTTCTTTTTTTTTGTTTCCCTTTTCTTTTTCTTTTTTTTCTTTTTTCTTTTTCTTCTTTTTTCTTCTTCTATTTCTTCTTCTTACTCTTCCCTTTTATCTTCTTTGCTTTCTTCTATCATTGGCCTTCTTTCGGTACCTTTCTTTTATCTTTGTCCTTTTTTGCCTTCTTTTTCTTTCCTCTACTTCTCTCTTTTCTCTTTTCTCTGTCTCTTTTCCTGCTTGTTTTCTTCTCTCTTCTTCTTCTCTCTTTTCTTTTCCTTCTTCTTTTCTCCTTTTTCTTCTATTTTCTTTCTCTTCTTTCTTCCTTTTTCCCCTTCTTTTTTTCCTTTCTCTTTCCCGTTCGTCTTTTTTACTTTTTCCTTTTACTTTACTTTTTTTCTTCTTTTCTTTTTCCTTTCTTTTTCCCTCTCTTTCTTTTCTTCTTTTTTTCTTTTTTTTCCTTTTTTTTCATTTTTTTTTTTTTTTTTTTTTGTTTCTTTCTTTTTTTTTTTTTTTTTCTTTTTTCTTTCCTCCCTTTTTTTTTTTCTCTTCCTTTTTTTTTCCTCTTCTTTTTCTTTTCTTTCTCTCTTTTTTTTCCTCTTTTTTTCTTCTTCTTTTTTTCTCCCTTTCTGTTTCTTCTTTTTTTCTCCCTTTCTTTTTTTCTTATTTTTCTCCTAACACATCTTTGATATACACCAGCCCCACGTAGGCAGCACGTTGTTCCCGGACTGGCCGCGAAGCCCATCAATTATCGGAATCGACATCTTGTTTGCCCGCCGATCGCATCATGGAGGCCACGCAAGCGCTCACCAGCACGGCTATACCTACGCATACGAGCCTCGGATCGACCGGATGGTGTTTCCGAATTCAACAAGCACAAGCTGGATTCAGGGGGCCAGTGGCAGGTAAGGAGACAGAGGAACGGGACCCGCTAGGGAGGGCGGATTTATATTGTATTTATTATTATCTCAACAACAACAAGACGGGTGGGCGGCTTGGGCGAAAATAATAAAAATAGAAAATAAACAAAAATCGAAAATATCGAAAAATTAATAAAAAAATCAAAGAATCAACCCGGCTTTTAGAAGAGACCGCGCTGAGGAGGGATGTCCGTTGAGGGATGTGAGTATGGGCGAGCTAGCTTGAAGTGATGATTGAATAACGAGGGGTCTTGCAGGACGGAGCATGAGAGCAAGGGGCGTTATTATTCTTATGAGAGAAAAAATAAAACAAATGTCAGACTTTATATCCTCAAGGGTGGCTGTGTTGCTCTCAGAGGAGATCCAGGCCGGTGGAGGAGGGGGAAGCGGATCTTGAACAGGGTCAAATATGGGAGCTGGTCGATGACGTGAGGTTCCGTTACGTCGCCCTAGTACTCGTAGTACAGGCGAGGCAAGTCAGATCATGATCGCTTTTTATCGCTTATATGAGTCGAATTATACACCACGTTCTTCCTTCTCTCAAAAGTTTCGGATTCTAATATCCTACTGACAGTCTAAACTTTATCTATTATTAACTGTGTGTTTTTATAGCATTTTTCAAAATTTATACGCCAACCAACTCGCGTCCTAATGGGAGACCTGCTCCCTGGGCGCCAATTACTAAAGTACCGCCCCGTCCCTATGTTATCTAATAATATGCTCTCTCCGGCCCCCACCAAGCTACCGCTTGTGATCTCCGCCTCAGAAGTATAGTATAGTCCGGTTTCTTCTTCCTCTCTCCTTTCTCTGTCTCAAGAACGGCGCCAAGAATCCCAAATACCCTTCCAGGCTCCGCTCTCGATGGACCGCTTTACTCAGCCTCCAACCCCCAAATCTATCCGCGATCGGTCTCCGCTATATCCTTCACCTTGATCCCTTTTCCGCAACCCGCATGATACACCGTTCCCGCTTTCTCCTTTCGCCATGGCCTCTCAAGTACATACAAGCCTCGCCGCATCCTTTACATGGACAACAGCTGACCAGGTTTCCCCTGTTCTCCTTTCGGGGGTTATACCGAGACCCCCTTGTCCTTCGCCGCTTCCACAAGCCGCCGCGACAAATTATGGTATCGCCCTCCCCGTGGACCTGGAGGAGGGAGCCGGGATGACATGGCCTCCTTCTCTCTTCTCCTCTTTCTTCTAAAACACCCTGAACCACCCTCGGCCTGACTCGGCGAGCTGCATGACCGCTAGCCTATTCGCTGGTCCGACGGTGGATGATCAAGACGCGGGGCTCGTCTTCGGTGAGTGTGGACACGGCGTGAATGTAAAACGATGGAATGGGTGGGGCTTGTTGTGCCCTTCAGACGGCCCCATGGTTTGATGGAATGCGAGGTAATAGGTTATGTTTGTTCTGCCACCTGGGAGTCCACTGATGGTGTTCCGGTAAGCCGTTCGGCAAGGATTGGCCGTCTGACCGTTGCCGAGGGTTTTCTGGAACAAAGGTATGGCATATATTCGGGTCGTTCACGAGGGCGTTAGGGATAGGTACAGCGCCCGTTTTATTGGGAGAGGGATCTTGTCGGACGCGGATGAGGATTTTTATTATTTGGAATTTTTTTTTAGTGCGGGCGACGGGCCACGGTGACTTTGTGTCTCGGCCCAGCGAGGAGTCACAGCGAGGGAGGGGGTGGTTGTGATGTGTGAGCCGAGCCGAACCGTGGGCGGAAGTGAGAAGGACGGATGTGCGATCTCGTATGCATAATCAGGGTTGGTTTCACGAGTCTTTTCTCGGTCTTCGTCTTTTGTTTCCGGTTGGTGCCGAATGTAATGTAAGCTCTAGAGATTGTGATCTGTATGAGTCCGACGAGTATGATGGACAAGAGTACCACTCTGGTTCAGGTCTAACGTGATGGTAGGTATTGCTTCGATAAATTCTCATTCTCCCCCCCCTCCCTTTCTCCTCCCCCCTCCCCTCCCCTGGGCCCCCCTTTTCCCCCCCTCTCCCCCCCCTTTTCCCTCGCTTCCCCTTCTTTTTCTCCTTTTTTTCTCTTGCGCTCCCCTTTTTCCTTTTCTTTCCTTCACTCCTCTTCCCCCCTTCCGCGGGCCGGGGTGGGGGGGGCGGGGTTGGGGGGGGGTGTGTAGGGAGGGCGCGGGGTTGGTGGGGGGGGTTGGGCGCGGGGGGGGGAAGCCAGGGGGGCGGGGGGGGGGGGGGTGCGGTGCGGCGGTGGGAGGCGGGGACTGGGATTTGCGGGACGGGGGGGGCGGGGGGGTTCCGTGTGCGGGGGGCGTGTGGGGCTGGAGTTTGGGGGGGGGGGTTCTGGCCGGGGGGGCATGGGGCGGGGGGGCTGGCGGAGGGGGGGGGGCTGGATGGGCTGTAATCGTTGCGACTTACTGTCAGCTCTAGCGCTTGTGATCTGTATGAGTCCTGACTGAGTACTGACAGTACACTCTTTCAGGTCTACGATGAGGTGCTTTCGATAATTAGATGCGCAAACATAACGTGAGAGACCCACGACCCTCTGCCCGTGCCTTGGGCGATCCGGCGCGATATCTCTCTTCTTCGCTCCTTTGAGTTGAGATGGCTGCAGTAACCCCTTCCTTTCTGAATGGGAGGGGCGAGACCCGGAAGGTCTGAGCTCAGCGCATGTCAAACGGAGAGTTACGGCCCGTCTGTCAAGGATGAAGGCTTGGTGTGAGGCTTTCAGACCTGGCCGCACTCGGCCCTCTTTGGCGGCCGTGATTCATGGTCAGTAGTCAAGGGGAAGAATTAGCACAAGAATCAGAATTAACACATCTAGAACTGCCTACAAACTGTACTGAAAGTCCGGATCTTCCCTATCTGTCAGATCTCCCTTTATCCTCCTCCCATCTACCCCTTCCGCCATCATCTTTCCAACCTCCTTCCCCTTGATCCTCCTCCTCAACACCTGTCGGAGCACCAACGCCACCCCCACCCAAACCACATACAAACCCAGATGTATCCTCAAACTCCCCAAATACCTCGGCGCCCACTCTTCCCTGAACAACAGCGGTGCCACCCCGCACCCGACCGCCCAGCCCGTATAGACGATCGCGAAGCTCACCGACTTCTTGGTCGAGCCGGCGGTGTTCCGCGCAATGAGGGCAGTGAGGGATGGACCCGTGGCGGAGAAGGCTTGCATAAAGTATATGGCGAGCATAAGGAGGGGGCGGGTGTGTGGGGAGGGCGGGACGTTTAGGAGAAGGATGGTGCCGAGGATATTGGGGATGGTTAGGGAGATGAGACATAGGAGGGTCTGGCCTGTTTTGTTGATGAGCCATCTAAAGCATCAGTGGGCTCCTCACAAGGACGAGTCTGATAACTACTCACGCCACGAGGAAGTACAGGCAGATGATCTCAAAAGCCAAAGGCATCCCCAAGAGCTGACTGGTATTCACGCTAAATCCCAATCCGCGATTTATGATCAGCCCGCTGAAGGTCGTGAACCCGCTCCAGATCAGACATTGGACCACCATGAGCGTGAAGAGAAGCCAGGTGATCGGATCGGTGAGTGACTCGACGCACTGCGCGCGGTTGAAATGCGCGCGGGCAGGCATGTGGTCGACTCCTGTTCGGCGGGCGAGGGCGGATTTGTCGGAGGGAGAAGCCCAGGTGGCCGTGTTTGGCGAGACTGGGAGGAGGGCAAAGACGATGACTGATGGAATCAGCTCTCCCCTTGGCCGCTCGTGAGTCACTCAAGCAGTGACTGACACGAAGAGACGAAGGATATGAGCGCAATGGCCGCTGTCATCCATTGCCATCCTGCCATACCGTACGGTCTTGACTGAACATGGTAGAATATCCATGCCAGCGCATAGGATAGAACTCCTGCTAGACCAAACATCGACTGGTAGATCGTGATGACCGAGGTCTGCTCGGCGGACGTGTACCATTGTGTTGTGACTGCTAGTCAGCACCTGCTCTCCTCGCTTCTGACGAAGACTGTCTATGTAGACGTACTCGTAAGTAGACATGGCCCAAAGCTACTCTCAAATACCCCCAAGAGAGCACGAATGAACATGACCCGCTTGATGTCCAACGTGAACGCCAGGAGAAGGACGAGGCCAGACCAGATGAACATGCTTCCTCCCAGAACCCGGCTCGCCGAATATCTACGTATGAACTGGTTTGCCTAGGCTGTCAGCGCTTGATGACCGATGTCCAGCTTGGCTCCCGGCCCCCACCAGTGTCAGCGGAATGCGAAGCCAGAAGGGCCGAAGGACGCCTAGTAGAACATACGATAGGTTCCCCAATCACCACTCCCGCCCAGAAAGCCGTACTCGTCGCCGCATAACTATCGCTATCCGCCCCCACATCCTCCATCCATCCCATGATGACCGCGGTACCCAGCGTGCCCTTGTCCAGCGCTTGCACGCTAGCTCGTCAGCTACAGCTTTCGCTCCTTTGTGTTTGCTTATCAGTGAGAAAACATCAATTACAGATAGGACAGTGCCATGATTGGCAGTACACTGCCATTAGCAACGAGTCTCCCATGGCCGATTCCTAGTCAAGCAGAACGGGAACGTACTATCGGTTGACCATTCCCCGAAGGCGTTCATGCTCTTCTGGAGAGAAAGCATCGATATGACGTCTTGATGGACTGGGAGCGAGATCGGTGGTACAGATAGAAGGCTCAGACACGATGTCGTCTCCCTTCAGGCCCCCTCCAGCGAGAAGAGCCGCCCGCTCGTCCGCGCCGCTGCCATCCCCAGGACGTCCGTCTCGCGGCGACATTCTCGATTTTGCGGTCCACAAATGAGTGGACGAGAGAGATGGGCGAACGCTCCAGCGATCTCGTGATGACCGTCCATTGTCATATCGTTTGAAGAGGGTCTGTTTTGCCCTTATCACGATCGCAACAGCACGCGCGTGGGCCACCTCGGATTTCGGATATACTGAAACCGGCGCCGGTCGGGCCGGTCCTGGCCTCATCAGCGATCAGCCGCCACCGAGCTGGTCCAGCTTCATCGGGGTTGTGTACTGCTACCGAAGGCCGCTGTTGACGCTGGATCTAGTTCAACGTTCAGAGTCCATTGATATGCATTGTCCATGAGTGTCTCCGCCAGGGAGACACCCAGTACTATAAGTCCCCTTCTCTCCTCCCCTCCATGTCAGCGCTTAGATGGCCTGCCCCTGCTGCCCATCCTCCTCCGTCACATTGCACACCCTCAGCTGGCTTCCTCTGCGCTCACCCCCGCTACTCCCAGTCCGGATCATAGGGCTGCCCATCTGGTTGATGTACGGGATAGACCCGCGCCTCGTTCCGGGCTCGTACCGAGTGGCCGGGGAGGCCGAGGCCGAGGCGGGCGTAGGGCTAGCAGGCGATGACGGGGCGGTATAAAAGGTAGGAGCCGATCCGCGCCTGTCAAAGTTCCCAGCGAGCTGCCTGGCACCGTGACCGATAGGCGAGGATACGGACCGAGGGGACTGTTGCGCCTGCATCTGCAGCTCCCGGGGAGGGGTCACGGGGACTTCGTACGAGGTGCGACGGCCAGTCTTGGGATTGATGGATGTGATGCTGCTCGGCGAGCTGGGTCGGGCGCCTCCGCCTCCAGTTCCAGCAGAGGTAGGAGACTGCTGGGTCTGGAAGTCGAGGTACGGGAGGGCCGGAGCGGGAGAGACGGGCGAGCTGGACCGCCTGCCTTGGGGCTCAAAGTGGACTTGGGCATGACGGTCCGCAAAGGGGTTTCCACCTGCCACGAATTGGGTATTGATTCGCGGTGGGGTAGATGGGGCTTGGTGTGAGGTCTGATGGGACCGGAGGGGGGAGGTAGGGGAGATGGAGCGGAATGCGGGCCGGTTGTCCAGGTCTTGTTGGAGCATGTTCCAGTCGAGGCCTTCATCGACCGGAGGGGCCGCCGAGGGGGAGACGGGGCGATGAGGGGGCGTAGAGGGGTTCATGATTGGGTAGACGGGCTCAGGCATGCTGTCACCCTGAACGGCGGGCGTAGGGGGTACGGTAGGTGGCAGGACGACGAGCGAGGGGATAAGCGGCTGTTGTCCGTCCCATTGAGGCGTACCGAACCGGGGTGACTCCGCATCCGCCGAGGTGATGGTAACGAGCAGAGGGGCCGGCATGTCCGCTGTGGTGATATTGTAGGTTTGACCGTTGTATGCGATACCCGACGCCATGGGGAGGGGCACAGGCATAGGTACCGAGTCGACATACCGCGCCTCGGGAGGGGATCCGGTAGCGGAGAATGAGGACCGGCGGGACGAGGGCTGGAATCCGGTCTGAGGGGTAGATCCACGCCGAGAATCAACCTCGCCCAGTCCGAAATCAATTTCCTCCCACTTCATCGACTTTTCATTGTACTTGCCCTTCTTGCCCTTCCCAGCGGTGATATGGCGCATCTCATCATGGGACGAGCGACGCCGGAAGCGGCCGACCAGACCGACCATGTTGGACTTGAAGTCGGACAAGAGGGAGGCGTCCTCCTTCTCGTCCAGAGCCGAGTCGGGACCGAAGGGGTAGTGCTGGGTCCGGCTCTGGCTCCTCCCGCTGCCGTTGAGAGGCGAGTGGAAGTCCCCGCCGTCCTCTTGGGACGAGAAGGAAAAGTGGCGCGCCATCCGCCGTTTCTTGGCGATCCGCATCTTGCGCCGGATAAAGAAGACGAGGATGGGGATGCCGATGACCGAGAGGATGACGACGGGGGCGACGATTGATGCGAGGCGCGAGGAAGAGGTGCCCATGCTAGCGTTGACGGGCACGGAGCCGCCGCCGGTCGATGTCGACTCGGTGGAGGGGGTGACGTACGCCTGGAGCATGTCGTTTTTCCACGCGCTCTTCCATGACCAGGCAGAAGCGGAGGGGTCCCGCATGTCCAGGAAGAACATGTCGGAGCGGGGCGAGCCGGTCCCGGACATTCCAAAGGCGGAGATCATGACGCCGGTAGGGGTCATGATGGCCGAGTGGTACGAGACGGAGGATGACTGCGGGGGCTGGAGAGTGGAGGGGATGGTCCACTGCCACGAGGTGGTGTTGAGGAGAGCGAGGAGGGAGGTCGAGAGGTCCGAGCCTCGGTCGTCTCGCGCTCCGCCGTGGAGGACGAGCAGGTCCAAGTTGGGGTGGGCGACGAGACTCGCACCGACCCGACCGACGGGGATGTTTCCGCCGAGCTTCTGAGACGCCCAGCCCGCCCCGTTGGTCCATACGCCGGCGGTATCAAGGGCGACGAGAGCGCCAGTACTGGTCTGGCCGCTAAGGAGGTACATCTTCTTTCCGTCCGAGGAGGTCGTCATAGCAAAGTCGGACACGGCGAGGGACGAGCCCGTGAGGTTGCCAGGGAGATCATGGGTGGAATCGACGGAGGAGGTCGAGAGGGGGAGGTTTAGAGTGTCGACAGCGGGGAAGGCAGTGGTGTACGAGGCTGTTCGTCAGCTAGATACCCAGCAGGAGGGGTCGGTACTCACCACACGAGTACTGATCCGCTACACCGCCGACCAACATCAACTTCCCCGAATCCTTCATCACCCCCATGCCCGCCCCTCTACGCCGAACCAAGCCTTCCGGACTCGCATGCACCCAGCTCCCATTCCCCTTCAGATCGAGCGTGTGCGTCAAGGCGTCGGTGCCGCAGTCCGATGTCATTCCGCCAACAACGACCAGGTCCTTGCCGTCTGGAGTGAGCGCTACCGAGGCGAAAGCATGCGGAGGGAGGTTGACGCTAGGTCCGACCGTCCAAGAGGGGTTGGTACCGTTCAACTAAGCCGTCAGCACCGCTTTATTTGACGTCAAGCGGACATACCGGATAGATCAAAACATCATTCGTCACCTGCACTCCAGGCGAGAGGACCTGTCCACCGACCACATACATGGCGTCCTGGCTGGGGACGTAGACAGCATCGTGGCCCCACCGCGCAGCGGGCGACCAGGCAGAGATGAGAGGGAGAAGAGGGAGGAGGGCGAAGAGAGCGGCGAGTTGCCCAGACATCGTGCGACTAGCGCTTCGAGCGAGCTAGAGGAGAAGATTGGTCGGAGCCTCGTCGAGAGGTGTGTGCTGGCCTGCAGCGGTAAGGAGTGAGAAGGAGTGAGAAGTGGTCAGAACAGAGCGAGATGCGATGGAAAGATTCAGTCAATCTCCTTGCCTTCGACGACCTCCGACGACGAAGTGGACAATTCTGCCTGTTCTGGCAGTTCACTGATGTTGACCCATCAGTTGAGCGATGGCTTGAGCGGCCATCAGCCTCTGCACCCGATGTACCAACTGGTGAGGTAGGTCATCAAGGCAGGACAATCTTATCTCTTTCGTAACCGAGACCTTCCCTTTCGGGAAGTTTCAGCCACGTGAAGGCATTTCCCGACACCATTTGTCGATTTTATCCGGCCAGCTTTGAGCGGCGGGTCCCGCCCATTCCTGCTGCTTGGTGTCACCGCTGAATTGAAATTTCAAGGCACCTATAATCCACAGTGAGCTGCCTCTACTTTACCTTACCAGCCACCTTACCCACCTAACATGTCCGACCCAACACCCGAAAACACCGCCGCCGCTGGCACTGCCGCACCTCAGGACGTCGAGATGAGCGAGTCTACCGCCCCTTCCGCCGAGGCTGAGGCGTCTACCTCTACCGAGACCAAGCCGGAGATCAAGCAGGAGAAGGATGTCATCGTATTCGACGAGCCCCTGCCTACTGTCGAGGGCAAGTCGGCGGAGGAAGTGCAGATCCTCTTGAACGGTGCTTCCAAGCAGAGTGAGTTGCAGTCGTTTTTGTGAGATCAGGTCGGGAGGCGGTGGGTGGTAGAGTGAGATCCGAATTCAACACAAAAGATCAAGTCGGAAAGGGGTATGAGAGCAGGTGTGAGGACCGAGAGTGTACGATGGATGGAGATGGTGCAGATGGTGGAGATGGGTGCTTTGGGGCCGCATTCCAAGGCGTTTAAGGTTCGCACGTATGGGGATTGGGGGTATGATCTGATCCAGAGTCGACCATCTCCTGTAGTGGGCGTGGCTAACTTTCAGTCAACTTCTACTTCTCCGACGCCAACCTTCCCATCGACCGATACCTCTTCTCCCTCACATGCTGCAACGACCCCATGTACGGCTGGGTCCCCATCAAAACCCTCATCTCCTTTGCGCGCATGCGGGATCCGTACCAGGGCCTCGGCGTACCCTTCGTCGCGTACGCTCTCAGGCAGACGATCTCGAAGGAGGGGCCAAACCCACTTTTGAGCGTCAGCGAGGATGGAGAGAACGTGAGGCGGATCAAGCCGATGGAGAAGGATACCGCTGGAGCTTGGGCGCGGAGCGTGTATGTGGTGAGTTTACATCTCCTTTTTTGCTCATATCCACCTCGGCGTCATGACGGGGATGTGACGATCCGACTTGAAGGCGTTGGCCAGTCTTTTTGGCTCTCCCTGATCGAACCTCTGCAGCTTTGTAGTCATGAGGTGTTCATCAAGGCCAGGGGAGAAAGCTGATCTGGCAGAAAGGATTCGGGGAGGAGGTCAAGGAAGGTCAGGAGACCCAGACGAAGATCCTGCAGTACTTTGAGCAATTTGGCGAAATCAACGCGGTCCGGATGAGGCGGGAGGACAAGGAGGGGTCGGGCGCGGGGGGCAAGGGCAAGGGAGCGTTCAAGGTAAGCTAGTCTTTGCTGTCGGAAGGAGTTAATAGCTGACGCGTAGGGGTCGGTCTTTGTCGAGTTTGCCACGCAGCAAAAGGCGGAGGCGTTCCTCGCGAAGGAGTCTATCGAGAAGTACCTCCCCGATGGACCCGAGATGATCAAGATGTCGAAGTAAGCTCAGCGTACGATACTCCAAGTGTCAGCTGACTCGCAGGCAACAATACGTCGACATGAAGACCGAGGAGCGCAAGGCGAAGGGCTTGCCTATCGACAACTTTTCCAACCCAGCTGGAAAGCCCGTCGACGCTGCCAACAGCAAGGCTGTGGACGGTGGCGACGGCGTGAAGCCCCGCAACAACGCCGGGAGGAACAACAGGGGAGGACAGGAGAAGTTCAACGCGTTCCGTGAGCTCGACAAGCTGCGCAAGGGTCAGACCGCCAACCTCGCCCCCATCCCCGATGAGGTGGCTATTGTCGGCAAGGCGATTCCCGTTTCTGTTGAGAGCCTCAAGCGGAGGAGGGATGATGGGGATGGGGATGACCGTCAGGCTAAGAGGCAACAGACGACTGAGGTGAGCCATACTTCCTTCACGCAGAGAAAACCAAGCTAATGGACTAGCCGTTCGAGCTCGAGTACCTGGGCGCTATGCTCAAGTGCGACCGCGCGACCGGCAAGGTCCTCGATCCCTCCAGGATCCCATTTCAGCCCAAGTCGGCTTTGAAGTTCACGGGTGCGGGCGAGAAGGCAGATTGGAAGGATCTCAAGGTCAGCTATGAATGGCGGAGCTTTGAACCGGGCATTAGCTGACTTCCCAGGCCCAGATCATGGGTCCCGGAGGTATCACCGAGCCCTTCCTCGCTGCGCCGCCCAAGGAGCAGGGGGGCCGTCTTGCCAAGAAGGACAACGGGTCTTTTACCGACGTGGAGTTGGAGAAGCTGAGGGATGCGAAGCTCACCTATGGTGGTGTACAGGTTACTTGGGACCACATGACCAGTACGTTTCGTCGATCCGAAATGGGGTAGGGACAGAGCTGATTATCAGCCGAGGAGCTCCAGGACTTCTGGGCCACCCGCGCCAGCTTCCAAGGTGGCGTCATCGCCAAGAAGCTCAAGGAGAAGGAGGACGAGGCGAACGAGGCGTTCAAGGCCCAGTCGGCCAAGAACAACGAGCGGGACGTCAACAAGCACCACGGTGGTGGTGGGCGCGGTCGAGGCGGGCGGGGTGGCGGTGGTCGCGGTGGCGGAAGGGGTGGCGGTGGACGGGGAGGTCGAGGAGGAAGGGGCGGACGGGGCGGTAACAGGGATAGGGAGAGGAACGAGGGTGGTGGTGGTGGGGTGCCACCTACGCTTGCGTCGGGATGAGCGAGGAGTGATCCGGGAGGCGGATACCGCTGGATGGGGACTCGACGGGTACCGGAAGACCGGGAGGTCTGGGCTGCTGCTTCTTGTTTTCACGTATCGGTAACGAATGAAGATGCATGCTGGTTCTCTGTACTGACGGGTCTTTGGTCTTTGAGCTTTATGTCAAGGGGCGATCGGAAGGGAAGCGATCCCTCTCAAACCAGCCATGGTTAGCTCTTTGACTGAGTGTGCCCTTTGTTCACCGTTCTATCCTTTGCGATACGTTCCTTCTCCCCGCACTCACATATATCTCGATCGCTTGGTCGCTCAGTGGCGTCATAGTGGCTGAGGACAGAGGAGGACGGAGGCCCTCCTTTCTTTCCTTGCAATATAGCCTGACCACCAAAGGAGAAATACCCCTCGGGCTAAGCTGATACATCTACGGGCTTATCGTGACGGTGCTCACACTCGTGCAGACCGGTCGAGCGTGGCACCTTGACCTACCTTGACCCTTGTGCTACAGCTGCCATTCTCGGGGATCTTACTCGGGCGCTTGTCATCTCCGGGCGTGACGTAACTCGGCCATCAGTCGGACGCCGGCTCCGAGCTCAGCTGAATCATCTCCGAGCTGCTACATCCGAGAGCCAGAGCTATATAAAGGCCCAGCACCACGCTGGCCATCCTCTCTATCCGCAGCACATATGAGCCGCAATCTAGCCAGTGCCATTCCCAGACCTCATCACACCTCTCAAGCCTCAGCGTACGCTCATCGCCCCAGACAAGTCTTGTGAGTCAGCCCCGCTTCGCCTGACATCTGCCCGAGTCTCCGTCGCACCATGCACCTGCAGACCCACATCTTACTAGTAGCACCATGAACAAACAACCCAGCACTCTCACCACCATCTGCCTCACCACGGCAGTGGCTGCTGCCTCGCCATCAACTTCATTGGCGCCCGCTTTCTCCTCGCCCCCAACGTCGCCGCGGAGGGGTTCGGCGTAGCCGTTGACGACGCTCGAGCCTTCACAGCCATCAAGGGTATCCGGGACATCACGTCCGGTATCGTGCCCCTTGTGGTGTGGCGCGTGGCGGGCCAGTCGGCATCCGGATGGGCGATGACGGCGGCGGCGGTGACGCCTATCGGCGATGCACTGGTGGTGATCAGTCGAGGTGGAAGCTGGGGGACGGCATTGGGTATACATGGGGCGACGGCAGCTGTGTTGATTGCGACTGGGCAGTACTTGGCCAAGTAGTACGGTCGGGCTAGTCAGGTCAGGTCTGGCGAACAGCTGGACTTGAGATTGTACCTATGTAGCGCGGTCGAGAGCGACGATCCACTCTCACGGTCTCATTTAGGTCCGAGGAGCAGGACGTCACAGGAGGTACATACGCGAGTATAGGCAGCCCCATCATCAGTCGATTGATCAGCTAGGCAGCCTCCGCCTCTACAGATGCACTCCGCCAAAGCTTGACCATGATCCAATTTCAGAGTTGAAACGCCGCAAATGTCCGAATCAAATCGACGTCGTCTCGCATTAGCCCGTTTGTAACACAAATATTTGTCCTCTTCGGGTAATCCTTAATAGAATCATCTCGTGATCAGCTCGCTCTGTCTGCTCTGCTTCGCTCAGCCTACTCTGGTAATTTACCTCGCGTCGCCTCTATATATGCCAGTGCCATCTAGAGCGAACAGAGACGAGGGCTTCCCGCCGAGCGGAAGACGAAGCAAGATAGCCATCCCCAGTCTCATGCTCACGAAGTCTTCTTTTTGTCCCCGAAACCTCATTCCTCGCTCACACACGCGCTGTCCTCACCTCGCTCCATCCGCACAAAAGCTCTTCTTTGTCCTCGCTGAATACATCTGCCCATATCTCCTCTCGCCTGGCCTTACTGATTCCTCTGTAGACTATTGACCATACTTATCGCTGTTACCCTCCAATATGGCACCGCAAGTCAAAGGGATGAAAGTCCGCTTCGAGCAGGACCCGAATAACCCCCATGCGCCGCCCAGGCGGATCATCGAGAAGGCTGGATTCTGGGAACGCCTTGTCGGAGTGAAGAATGAACAGGTGAGCCCCTATCGAGCCTGCACCTCTAGAGTCCTTGATTCTGACTCCATAGCCGCCGTACCTCCCCCTGCCTCCGGTCGGCTACCTCCCTCCCGCCCCTTCCGGCCACTCCACAGCGCCTCGTCCTCTGTCCAGTACGATCTCCCCCGCTCAGGCCGCCATCACAGCCACCAATCACCCGAGCCTGACCGCCGCGCTCCGTCCCACCCCTTTCCCGCTCGATTTCAAGTATCTCCCTCGGTCGGAACGGCACGCGTGGGAGAAGCAGCGGAAGGAAGAGATCAAGTATCTGCATGGGCTGGATAAAGAGCAGAGGGCGGCGATGAAGGCTGAGGAGGCAAGGAAGGGGCGGGAGGAGAAGGAAGCGAGGGATCGGGCGAAGCAGGAGTTGAAGTGAGTGAGTCTGTACGCGATGGGGAAGAGTACGCTGACGAGTCAGAGCGCGGAACTCGGCAATGAAGCTGGAGAAGAAGTTGGGATATCGACCGATGCCGCAGTATATCCCTGCCCCGACTGATCGACCTCTTCCACCGCTCTCGGCAGGTATGGAGAGTACCGCGCCGAACAATGCGCTTGGCCAGCCAACATCCTGGATGCTCCTTCCTACGCTGGAGCAATTTGGACTCAGGCGGCCATTCGATGCACCGGGTCAGCCGGGGAAGGTGGATATTGGGGGGACAGAGTGGCCGATGATGAGCCGGACAATGACGCATGTATGTACAGCTATAAGGAGACAACGTCTGTAGCTGATCAGGGCAGGCATTGCAGGTGATGGGCCGGGAAGAACGTGTCCGACTAGACCAGGTACGCTGCTCCATCACCACAGCACATCTTCCTTGTATCGGTGTGCTGATACTACAGGCCGGTCATACATGGTCCCCAGCCTGGTACCGAGATTGACCAACGTTCCATACGAATCAAGATCTTCCGCCTCATTCCGTCATCCGCTTCAACACCTCCCCAATCTCATCCTCGATAACCCCAATCAACCGCCCATACCCCTTATGTTTCTCTTTATCAAACATGCTCATGTGCGCCTCGACCTGGTCCGCCGCTGAATCGTGGACGAATGGTTTCCAGCTTTCTTTGGTGGGGTGGTGGATCGTAGGGAGGGAGACGAAGGTGCGATCTTTAGGATGGAGGGGTGGGGATGCTTTGACGATACTGTATATGCTGTACCCTCAGCTCTGCTCTTGTACGGTACACATGCATACCATCTCGCAGGGTGACAAATCAGAGACTCACTTGACAAAGTATATTCCGTCCCTTTGGAACCCATCAATCCCCTTCATACGCTTCGCGATGTCCCCGACACTCCAACAGCTAGACATGAACTCCATGTGCGCCTTGGCCCACCTCCAATTCTTCTTTTGCTGCTCCTTCTTTTGGGCGTTGGTGATGGTGCCGCCGGGCTCGGAGGACGAGGCATCCATGGTGGGTATCGGGGAGGTGGGGCGTTCGTCTTCTGAGGGGGCGTCGCGATGGGAGGGATCAGGGGAGGGGGAGTGGGATGCTGTTGGGGTTGTATCAGATGGGGGACTGACACCTTTCGTCTTTGGATCGGAGGTGAACGATGGTAGATCAGAGGGAGTAGCGCCGTCACCTGACACGACGAGATTCGGTTGTGGTTGATCTGGATGCGCATCTCCGCCGTTGCCAACATCCGCTGGGTCGAATATAGATTGGACCGATCCTGTGAAGGCCCGGTCCGCTTCCTGCTTGGACGGGTTGGCCGGATGAGAAGATGCTGCTCGCGAAGGGTCGGGCCGCTGCGTTGACCGACGAGGAGGCAGCGGGGGCGGTATAGAGGTAGACGGAGCAGTCTCGAGGACCTCCGGAGGGGACTCAGCCTGTGTGTCGTGATCTGGCGACCCCACCTGAATGGTCTTCTCGCCATCCTCCCCTGTACTATCCGTCTTTTCTCCCTTCGCTCCCTTGTCGTCTTTGGTTCCCTCGCTCTTCCCTTCTTCCTCCTTCCCATCCTCCGCCTCGTCGACAGCCGCTTGGTTATCCGTCTTCTCCCCCTTCTCCCCCTTCTCCCCCTGATCGCTGTCCGCATCCCCGTCCTTCTCTTCGTTCTCCTCCCCATCCGCCGCCTTCTTCTCCTCATTCTTCGCCTTCTTCTCCGCAGCCTTCCGTTCCTTCTCTTTCCGCTTCTCCTCCTGCTTCTCCCGCTTCTCCTGTTCCTTGATCTCCTTCTTGACCCGCTTCTCCTCTTCCTTCTTTTCCTTCGCCTCCCGCTTCTCCCGCTCCTTCCGCTCCTTCTCCAACCGTTTCTTCTCAACCTTCTCCGCCTTCTCCTGCAACGTCAACTCATCCCCCTCCCCCTCCTCGTCCTTCTGCCCACTAATAGCCCTCCTCAACCCCTTCAGCCCTCCGCCTCTCGCTGCGCTTGTCCAGTCCCAGTCGGAACTGCTGACCTGGCCAGGTAAGGCGAGGACGGTCGAAAAGCTCCTGCCGAGCCGACCTTCGGGATCGAGAAAGCCGGTGCCAGAACCTGGCGAACCGGGTATGGGTGGTGATTTAAGCGCTTGGGGGTTGATGCCGATCTTGTTGAGGCCGGTACGCAGGAATTTGGGGGAGTTTTCGAAAAAGGCGCCGGTGTCGAGAAGGGCTTTGTCGATATACGCGTCGAGCTGCTCGATACCATATGACTATACATCAGTTGCCAGTGTCACTTAATGAACGGTTGGGACTGACTACTAAAGCCTGCTTGGTTAGCTTGGGTAGACGCTCAGAGTTTGCGTTCGAGGAAGCTTACGGGATGGATACCGATAAACTTGTCTCGGTCAGCTTTCGCTCTATATCCAGAACCGCTAGCTCACCGGAGTATCTATTGCTATGTATGTCAGCTACAAGCCGGATTCCAGGACTTCAAAAACCATCTAGCTTGACATACCGATCACTCCCCTCACGTCCGCTAGATTCTTGCCAGGCTTCGCCTTGATCTCGTCCCGGACCGCTTTGGCCGCATCAGCTACAAGCATACCGCCCATGCTACATTATCAGCTTGGCATACTTCCCCAGTATTAGACAATGTAGCTCACGAGTGTCCAAATAGGATCACACTGGTATGTACCGCATGACCTGTGCTGTCCACCTTCTGCTGCTCCAGGTCGTTAACGTATTTGTACAGCCATTGTACAAAGGCAGCGGTGGCCACTTCCTACGCGCTATCAGCTACAAGCGCTACTTGCATAATCACTAAGAGGGAACCCGGTAGCTTACAATCTCTCCGACTGTGCGGTACTTTGGGTATATGATACTTATGACATCATATGTCGTGAACCGCTTCTTTGCCGCCTCGCCAACGTCTACAAGCATCAGCGATCAAGACCGAGCCAAACAGCGCGAAAATCCTCGCCAGCTGACCATGTGGAAAGTCTTGGAAAGTGGCTTGGTTGCCCTTGAACCTGCTTTAATCAGCCTTGCTGTCTCGGAAGGCGAGTGGGAGGAACGAGGACTGACCCGTGCACCCATACGAGCAGCAGAAGCTGCTCCACCGCTGCTGGGCTATGAACAGATCCTGACGGCGACATGTCGTCTTCTATAGCGCCCTCGTTGGTGCGCTGTGTGATGAAGCGCTGATGTTATAGGAGGTACAATGTGAATGCACCGCTTCACCTCCGGTCTCGCTCAACCTTGCCTTGCGCTGAGGAATGTGTGGCGGAGGCGTTTCGGCCTTGTCCGATGCCGTAATCACACGTTCCTGACCTTAATTTTTGCTTCCGCCCCAAACTCATCGTCATCGACGTCATAAGCAGGCCACGTTGCATCAACAAACTCTACAACACACAGATACAGAGATCTCCCAGGCACTCAAGCGATTACACCTCAACACCTCAAAGCTCCAGCTACTATGCCCATGGCTCTTGGCCCATATCGATACTTCCAGGTGGCTCAGTACCTCGTCAAGAGCTGGGCGGAGCAAGTGCCCCGGACAGCCGCGGCCTGGAAGGGCAAGGGGAGAGCTGAGCCGCTCATCCGGGCTCCTCTGGTGAGGACGAGGAGGGAGGATGGGCTACTCCGGGCGGCCGTGCAGGATGGTACGCCTGCAAAGGTGACGGAGGGAGGAAACGCTGTCGCCGGCCCGTCGAAACATAAGGGAAGCTACGAAGAGCCCGAATCATCCCCATCCCCAAAACCGGAGCCCGGACCGCCTTCCCCTCGACAACCGCTCAAGCCGGATGCGGACCTGCCCAAGCAGCCGTCCCAGATATACGCGTTGATGAATGATGGGCGGCTCTTGCAACCAAAGACGTTGAAGCCGCCGAGGGAGGTTGTGGTACTTTGCCATGGTGAGCTAGCCTGAGTGGAACGCAATGACGTAGCTCACAGTCAGGACTGTATGGATTCTCAACGGCAACGCCAATACCGCTCTTCCCTTCGCTGAAGCTACACTACTGGGCGTCTGTACTGGAAGTCCTGCGGGATCAGATGGGAGTGAAGGTGCTCGTCGTCGGTGTCAAGGGGTAAGCTCAAGCTCTAAAGCAATGGCTGAGCTGACCCGCAGGACCGGCTCCGTCAAGGAACGCGCGGAACAAATGGACAAGTTCCTGAAAGACCAGCTTCCCCGGGGGACAGGCGTAAACTTTGTCGCGCACTCGATGGGCGGACTCGACTGTCGGTATCTCATCTCCAATATCAAACCCACAGCCTACACCCCCGTTTCCCTCACTACCATCGGCACCCCACACCACGGCTCGCCATTCATGGACTGGTGCGCTGCCAACATCGGTGTTGGTTCCCCCTCCGCCACCGAAGTAGCCATGAAGGGCGCCGAGGCCGTCGCCAAGGCTCTCCCATACTCGCTCAAAGCTCCCCTCCTCGGCCGCGCCCCCGGATCGTCGAAAAAAGACACCTCTAAAGGCTTCACCACCTCCCTCACTTCCTACCTCCTCAACATCTTTGACTCGCCCGCCTACGCGAACCTCACTACCTCGTTCGCGAGGGACCACTTCAACCCTGCCAACCCCGACTCACCGGACGTCAAGTACATGTCGGTCGCTGGGCGGGTATCGAAACTGTCGGTTCTTCACCCGCTGTGGTTCCCCAAGCTCGTGCTCGATGCGGCGGCGGAGAATGGGTACGGCGAGGACTCGCCCGGCGGGATCAAGGGGTATTTGGGGAATGATGGGCTGGTCTCGGTTCATTCGGCGCAGTGGGGAGAGTTCCTGGGTGTGGTGGATGAGACGCACCACTGGGAGTTGAGAGGGGAGGGGGGATTGTTCCCGAATACCTCTTCCCTGAAGGATGCGGATAACGAAGAGGAGAGCTCGGCGAACAAGGAGGATAGGGAAGGGTGGCTGGGATGGGACTGGCAAGGGGATTTCGGGAATGGCGTATCGGAGCACCTCGATTCAGCCAAGAATATCGCCAAGTCGACGGTATCGACCGCGGCCACTGCAGTCGCCAAAGTCACGCCTGATGCTGTGACCAAGGCGACGTCGTCGGCGACGTCCTGGGATCTGGCGCAGGTCGGCCAGGTGCTGGATTGGGTGACGGACCTGGTTCCGGGCGGAGATAATGTCGAGACCAAGAAGAAACAGCTGGCGGATGCAAAGAGGGAAAAGGAGAGGGATGATGAGCGGAGAGAAGTGGCCAAGGGGGAAGGGATCAGTGTGGCCCAGCAGAAGGAGAAGGAACGAGCGAAGAAGAAGAGGGAGAAGTTTGAGTTGAAGAGGTTTTATGGAGGGTTGATGTTGAAGTTGAGGGATGAGGGGTTTTGAGCGAAGGGACCGGGAGGGGGAGGAGAGGACAATCTTATACACGGTATCTTTAGGATGTAGATTGTTGGGCTATCAAAGGCCAAAGCAGGGAGCGGCACAGACATCAGTGGATCCGGTGGATCACCTCCACCTCCACCGGGTCCGAGCGGACTCGTCAACCATGCACCGAAGCTTCGAATATCGCCTGCTTTCCTACTTCATCCTTCTTCTGGACAGGCATCATGAATCCCAACGGCCCCCAACTACCAGGCACTGCCTCTGCCTCTCATTTCTCGCCATCTTACTCGCCCCTCTACCCTCCCGCCGTAGCGCACAACACCCGAGTGCTTGGATCCCTATCTACCGTTCGTCCCCTTTCTTCCCTACCGCTTCTCCACTTCCTCCACCTTTTAAGCTATCAGCTGTCGCATCTACTTGATCTGCAAACATTCAGAGCTGACCCTCCAGCTCTCAGCCTGCTTCACCGGCCTCGTGATCGGCATACTCGGCATAACAAACTGGCGCGGATTCGCCTTCTACGCCCTAACCTCCCTGGGGTCCGCATACCTCGTCAGCGCCCTGAAATGCGGTTTCAATGTATCGAAGTATATAGACCAGGGACCAAAGGCCGCTGCGGAGGCTGAGGCTCAAGCAGGCGGTAAAGGAGCAGTAGCAGGGGTGGGGTGGAAAGGATGGTTGGGGCTCATGGGGGTCGGACAGGAGAATGTGCTGGGGTTCCTGTTGTTTTGGATTGGAGGGTATGCGCTGATACACGGTGAGTACCTCCCTTGGGATGCCGTTTGTGGGGAGTGGGCAGGAGTGCGTGGGTAGGGACGAGGAGCTGATGTCTTCAGTGTACGATTGAGCTGGATGCATCATAGGCAGTCCTGCTCAGACGCTTCCTGCAAATGTCAAAGCACCCCTGACCGCTTTGACTCATCAAGATCGCCCTAGTCATCGACCGTAGGATGCTTTACAGCCGCCACTGACACATGGTATTTCCCTGACATCCTCGTCGGCCGATACTCGACCCGACTTAGGAAAGGCAGGTCACGCCTTGCGACGCCGAAACGCAGCAGAACAAAGGATGTCGAAAGATAGTCGGCCGGTGATCCTCGTCCAGGCCAGCGGAGTACGAACCAGCCCACATCAAGACGACAGGAAGGAGGGCTCAACCGTCTTCCACATCTCATCTTACCTGCATTGGCGACTGATCACAGGTCTTCCTCTGCATCAACTCGCCATGCCTATCCCATTCTTCCGTCCATCGTTCGCCCCGCCCGCAGTCTTCAAGGACGAGCCTCTCCCTTGGATCAAGGCGAACCCGCTATCGAAGCTCTTCTTCCACTGGATCACGCCGATACTGAAGGTGGGGTATTCGAGGCCTTTGGAACCTGATGGTAAGCTGTATCATGTCCGTACGATGTACACCGAGCCAAGCTGACACTACCAGATCTCTGGGACCTGACTGATGATCTGAAAGCTCAGACCGTGAGCTGCCATCGTTCATCCGACGGGCTAGACAAAGCTGACAGGGCAGGTCGCGGACGAGCTGGAGAAGCAATTCGAAGCCCGCCTACCACCTTCACGCCGTCAAGGCGCCTCCTCCCCATCGACAGCCCTCACCAATCCCTCCAGCGCAAGGCCACGCACTACCTTCGTCCCATCCGCCGACCCCCCTCGTCCTCGGACAGTCCTTGGCCGCCGCTCTCATACCGGCCGAAAGACCATACCCAAGTCAGTATGGGGTGCGGATCTCCTCGCGCAGGCTGGAGAAGTAGGACAGATGCTCAGTTGGGTCGCTTCCGATAGCTACCCCGCGATGCCCATTCGGCCGATCAAGCAGGATATGAGGCGGACGATATTTGCCGTCCCTGAGAAAATCGAACCGGCCGAGAGCAAAAAGGGAACGCACGGGGACGGCGACGGCGGTGGTGAGGACGACGGTCTCGATGCGAAGTTTGGGAAGAAGAAAGCGAAGAAGATCCGACTTGATCAGGCCGCCGAGGATGATGGGGTGTGGTATGATATGAGCCTGTGGAAGGCTATGTATCGCGCTACGAAGCGGCGGTTTTGGGTTGCGACGATCATCGAGGGTGTTGGCTGTAAGTTGGCTCCTCCACGACTTTTGCGGTGTCTAAAGCTTACCTCGCAGACGGTCTCCAGATCACAGCTCCCCTCGTCACCCGCTTGATTATACAGCAGCTCAATACCGCCCATACATTCGCAGCCGTCCGAGCTAGTGGGACAAGCACGGAAGGACTCTCGGAACCGCCCTCTCAGGCGTATGGGATCGGGTTGGCTTTGGGGCTGTTTGCGATGTTGTGGATCGCGGGTTTGTGTTTGGCGCAGGCGGAGCAGAGGCTGTTCACGATTGGGTATATGCTGAGGTCCGCGGTAAGTCATCGCAGGCTTCTCAGCCGGAGATGGCAAGTGAGCTGACTCGATAGTGTGTTGATCTGATCTCGAGAAAGTCGCTGTAAGCTAGCCACAAGAGCTCCATTTGGTATGCTCCGAGCTGATCAAGTAGGCGATTATCTGGTCGAACTCGCCTGGAAATGACGAATGGACACCTGACGAATCTCGTATCGTCAGATGCTTCTTACCTGGTATGCTACTCCGCTGTCCAAGGTCTAGGTGCGGGGACCCAGCTTATCGAGTAGGAATGGGCAGTCCCTAGATGTGCAGACTCTCTCACCATGACCCCCCAGATCGTCATTGGGATCGGACTACTCATTTACACGCTTGGCTACTCGGCGCTCGTCGGATTGGCAGTAAGTCTCTCTGCGCACACCCCTCTTCATAGCTAATAGAGAGGTCCTGGCTCTGGCTGCTCCCATCCAGTGTCAGTTGCTGTAGACGGTCCCCATTCGTGATGTCAAGCTGACCCTCTAGCCTTCTTCTTCGCCCGTATGCTCCGCTACCGCCAGTCCCAACAAACAATCGTCGACGCCCGCATCCGGCTCCTGTCAGAAGTTATAGCCCATATCCGCTCCGTAAAGCTGTACGCTTACGGCGCGCACTTCGAGGAGGAAGTCAACGAGCTGCGAAAGGCGGAATTGGGAAAGTTGAGGGATAATGGGCTGAATCGGGCGACGATGACTGGGGTGTCGTACCTCCTTCCCATGCTCGCAGCTATCCGTGAGCTACTTGGCCCCTGTTGTACGATCGGACAAGGAGCAGAAGCTGACCTTACAGTGTCGTTCGTCACGTATAGCTTGATAGGCCATACCCTCGACGCGGCCATCATCTTCTCCGCCCTGCAGTACTTCAATATTCTCGAAATGCCGATTTCGTTCCTGCCCATGATCTTGACTGCACTGAGTGACGCCATGTCTGCCGTCCGTCAGTTACCGCTGTTGTGACTGTGTGTCTGTGGGATCAGAAGCTGACATCACAGGGCGGATCAACGACCTGCTGAAAGCGGAGGAGATGGCTCAGTCGCTCAATATCGATAAGCAAGCTCGGTATGCGGTCGACTGTCGCGGAGACTTCGAGTACGATGTCGGTCCTCCGCCGGAAGAGGTGGATGTCGAGGAGAGTACAGAAAAAGCAGCGCCGGCAAGTCTGCCTTTCAGGCTCACCGATCTGGATATCAGGATCCCTAAAGGTGAGTTAGCAGAGTAGTCTGATCAGCCACAATCAAGCTCACTAGCTAGGAGCGCTAGTCTGCATTGTTGGACGAGTGGGGACTGGAAAGAGCGCGCTCTTATCTGGACTTCTTGGGGATATGCGGCAGAGCAAGGGGTATACTCGATTCAGCGGCACTGTAAGCTATGGTGAGCTTTGAAGTACCTTTGATCGAGAACGGGTAGTCTAGCTGATGGCTGGCAGTTCCACAACAAGCTTGGGTCATGTCCGGCTCAGTACGGGACAACATCACTTTCGGCATTCCTCTAGCCGACATCGACCACAACCGACTAGAATGGGTCATTGATGCCTGTGGGCTCAAGCAGGATATCGCAGGAATGAAACAAGGACTCGAGTAAGTACATTGCTCTCCAGCTTGATTGACCGCACCGGTGTGAGGGCACAAAAGCTGAAACAACAGAACGAAAGTGGGCGAGCGCGGAACCACCCTCTCTGGGGGACAACGGCAACGCCTCTGCCTTGCACGCGCGGCATACGCCCGATCTGGCATCGTACTCCTCGATGACCCGCTCTCGGCCGTAGATGCCCAAGTGGGCCATCATCTCTTGCACCATTGTATACTCCGAGGACCACTCGCGGGGAGGACGAGGGTGCTTGTGACGCATCAGCTGGATGTGTTGCCGAGGGCGGATTGGGTTATTGTTTTGGATTCGGAGGGTGAAATTGGGAGAGTGATTCAGCAGGGGACGTATAGGGTGAGCTGAATCGTCCGGTTCATGGCCGGCGGCGGAGCTGACGGAACAGGATCTCGTTAATCGGAACGGCGCACTCAGGGGCATGATCCGCGAATCGATGGCGCAGAATCGGCCCTTATCGTCCGCTCGACCTCTTTCTGTTCTTCCCGACATCCAGAACCTGCGATCGTCCAGCCATGTCATCGACACGGTAGGACCAGCAACAGTGGACGAGCAAAAAGAAGCGGATTTGTACGACGCGGAAGAACGCGAAACCGGCTCCGTATCGTGGTCAGCCTACACCGCCTACTTTCGAGCCATGGGCAACCCCCTCTGGGCCGTCCTCATATTCGCCTCGCTGGGTCTTGGGCAGCTCGCGAGTGTTGCAAACTCGCTCATGCTGGGGTTCTGGTCAGGACAGACTATAGCGGGATGGGGACAGGGAGAGTATATGGGCGTTTATGCGGGGCTCGGGATGATGATGACGCTGTGTATTGTGAGTCTCCTCCTTGTTCGGACTCATCCAGCTGTCAATTCCACGTATGGGATGTAGCTGATCCGTTAGTTCGTCTCCATGTACAGTATGATTCTGGGCGGTCTCCGAGCGTCTTATACCCTGTTTCATGAAGCTTGGCATGGCGTTCTGAGGAGCCCGATCAGCTGGCACGACCAGAATCCGGTCAGCTTCATCACACTCAACACCGTCGTGTAGATGTAGTATAGCTGACTTTTGCAGAGCGGAAGGGTCTTGTCTCGTCTCTCCAAAGGTGAGCTTTTGCCTCCGCTGCTCTCCTCAAGGTAGGAGGACATTGCTGATAGTCCAGATGTGCAGATGTTGGATGATCGCCTGGCGCCCGTATGGAACAACTTCCTCACGTGAGCTACCAGACTGATGCGCGTGTCATCTGTACAGCTGACACTGCAGCCTAGCGCTGTCTATCGTGGGCACCTTCGTACTTATCGTATATACATACCCATGGCTGGGGATCGCATTCGTCCCGCTAGGGATATACCTCGTGAGTGCTCTGACCAGACGCATCAGCTCAATTTGGCCCGAATCGGAGTGCCAAGCAGCTGATCAGAGTAGTACTTTGCCGCTGGCTTTTACCGGCAGACGTCGAGGGAGGTCAAGCGGATCGACTCGGTCCTTCGGAGCGATGTGTATAGCAGGTTCGGAGAGCAAGTGAGTTGAGAAGAACCAGCGCTTCCTCGGCGGGATGGTCAACTGACTCGTGCAGTTGTGTGGAACTCTGGTCATTCGGGCGTTTGGGAAGCAAGCGCAAAGTCTTCGAGGGGTCCAGTCTGCTTTGGATAGTCAGGGTGTGAGTTTCATCAGACAATTCGAGAGACGGGATGAAGAACTGACATGATGCAGAGAGCTCTAATACTGAGCGTGAGTTGTAAGCCGCATGTCGTCCGCACGGAATCAGCTGACCATTGATGCAGATTACACTACAGCAGTGAGCTCGCTCGTTTTCACCACTGTGGCTGGTAAGACACACAGCTGATTCTGCAGATGGCTTATAGTCAGGCTGGATTTCATGTCCCAGCTCCTCGTTCTCGTCAGTTCACCGGTTCCTGCTCTGGTCGAGTCACGACCAGCTGACCTTGTAGCTGATAGCTATCTTTGGCGTCATGTTCCGGAATTCGGTCGATCCAGCCAAATTTGGAGTCGTACTCACATACGCTCTCGCCACGACTACTAGTAAGTTCGATCCGTCAGCTGTGAGTCCAGGATCGCTCGGACGTCAAGCTGATTTATGAGCTCTGACCAAGCTTGTCCCCCTCTTCGCATACTGCGAACAAGAAATGGTACGTCCACCTGCCCGTTTCTTTTCCTCTTTCCCCCTTCCCTCGTTCCCCCTTTCGTTCGCACCCTGCACATCACCTTCCTCCCCCTGTGGAATGATATCCGCTGATACCTCCAGAACAACGTCGAGCGCATCCAGCACTACCTCCACCTCACCCCCGAACCCCCCTCCACCCTCCCCACAGACCCGCCTCCCCCCTGGCCCCACTCCGGCTCAATCAACTTCCAGAACGTTTCTCTCCGATATCGACCCGACCTCCCTTTCGTACTCCAGAACCTCTCCTTCTCTGTGCGGGCCGGAGAGAAGGTCGGTATCATAGGAAGGACAGGAGCGGGCAAGAGCTCCATCACGCAGGTGTTGTTTAGGATGGTGGATTGTGAGTCTGGGGGAGGAGTTTGGGTAGATGGCGTGGATACAAAGACGATCGGGGTGGATACAGTGAGTTCAGTCGAGGTGCTTTCTTCACTGGGGAAGGGAGAACGCTGATGGATGTTCAGCTACGACAAGGACTATCCATCATCCCGCAAGAGGCTTTCCTATTTACCGGCACCGTCCGTCAGAACCTCGACCCCACCGCTTGCAGAACAGACTGCGACCTTAATACCGCCCTTGATGCTATCCGCTGCATCCCCGAATTCGCCCAGAGTCTGCGGGGCAAGTTCCACCTCGAATCCGAAGTGACTGAAGGGGGAGCCAACTACAGTGCGGGTGAACGACAACTACGTGAGTTTTCCCCGTTCTCTGGTGCGAAGAGGAAAACACAAGCTCATCCGACTAGTCGCACTGACGCGCGCGCTCGTCCGTCGCCCGAACATCCTCGTATTGGACGAAGCGACCTCTTCTGTCGATTCCACAACGGATGCGTTGATACAAAAGGTCATTCAGCGGGAGTTTAGGGGGACGACGATATTGAGCATTGCGCATCGGCTGGAGACGGTGGTGTATTTTGATCGGGTCATGGTTTTGGAGCAAGGGAGGATTGTGGAGGTGAGCTTCTGAGTGCCGTCTCAGTGAGTCAAGAGCTGATAGCTGACGAGTATAGTTTGATACGCCGTCGAAGTTGTATGAAAAGGGAGGTCTGTTCAGGCTCTTATGTGAGAAGCAGGTGAGTGTCAGCTATGGCTCTCAGAAGGTGGTGTCTGAAAGATGAGCTGACGAGTGCAGCATTTGTCACGTCAAGATATCGAGCGGATCAGGCGGGAAGCGATGGCGGTCGAGGCAAGCGCGGGATCATGGAAGTAGTCATCTATAATAGCCTATATTGTGCTGGTATCAGATTATATACAGTACTGTCCATCAAGTGATACATGTCTATAAGCTCTTTCAGATCGTGTACGCGGCCCAACATATCAATACCCTAGCTTTCCCCTCGTCATCGTCGCCCAGACCCCCACATCACAGTGCTACACCGTACACTTCAAGTCCTTGAGTCCCATCGGTCTCTCTCCTTCTCTCATTTTCGCCCTACATAATCACACACCCATCCTTCCCATCCTTGCCCGCCTTCAAATTCTCATCCTTCATCGCCTCCACCTCCAACCGTCTATCCAGCGCCGCACTCCTCGATCCGGTCTGTATCCGCTTCGTGGCGCGTTTATCCCCGGCATCCGCTGCCTTCTTGTACCATTCCATGGCTGTTTTGAGATCTGCGTCGGCTCCTATTCCAGTCTATTCTGTCAGCTATATCCCGCCGGACGACCCTGTGAGCTGCATGGCTTACCTCGGTAAAGTATCCAACGGCATACTGCGCCTTTGCCAACCCCGCCTCGGCAGCCTTCTTGGCCCATAGGTACGCCTCGGTATCCGACTGCGGAAGCACGCCCGGCGAGCCGACGAGATACCACGCCGTCAGAGCAAAGCACGCGTCGGGGTGGTTTTGCGTCGCGGCGATATTCTACCCGTCAGCTTATCCTCTCCGTGCTGCTACGATAGCTGGCCAGCTCACATAGTAATGTATACTCAACGCCGGATCCACCGGACAATCCATCTTCCCATACTCGTAGCACTCCCCCAGCTTGAACGCGCTCGGCGCGTATCCCAGCTCGCTCGCCTGCGCGAGGAGCTCGGCCGCATACTCGTAATCCACAAAAACGACATTATCTATGCCCTTTTCATGCAGCAGCGCGAGCTCGTGCAGGGCATGCGGAAACTCTTCGGTCGCGTGTTCGGCGGACCGCTTGAGCCATTTGTACCCTTCCTTGGCGGATCGGGTGAGGCCGAGCTGACCGTTTAGCTCGGCGGTGCCGAGTCGGTACATGGCGCCTGGGTGGAGTGCGACTGCCGCTTTTCTGCAATGTCAGCAATAGACCCGAAAAGGGAGCGCTTTGACCCACTTGAAGAATTGTATAGCCTTGGCATTCTCCCGTCTACATCCCCACCCATTCTCACAGCACGTTCCCGCCCTATAACACGCATCCGGGTGCCCATGCTTCGCCGCCAACACAAACAATGGGAACGCCCGATCAAAATCTTGACGGCTCCGTACCGTCCCGATCCCATTCGCATAGCAGTCTGCTAGGAAATACTGGGCGTCCGGGTACCCCTTATCCGCCAGCTTCTTGAGAAGGCCCGTAGCTTCCCGGTACAGCTCGTCCCGCTTCTCCAGGAGGACGTTGGGATTGACGCGAGGCGCGACGGGCGCGCCGGGGACGGTAGGTGAGGGAGGGGCGGTCTCGGCGCCGTCCGGCACCATAGACTTGGCGGCGTCAATCATGAAGACTGAAAACTCAAACATGAGTTCCGGATCGTTGGTCTTTTTGGCGTTCTCGCGGTAGAGCTCGAGTGTCCGGTCGTGCGTGAGCAGAGAGGCGGATTTTCCTGGTCGAAGGTGGGCTGCATGTCAGCTCTGATCCAGCGAAAGTAGATCGTTCAGCTTACATTGGTCGAGCAATGGTCCTTGGGCCGCACTGACTCTCCGCGCCTTCTCCTCCTCCCTCGGATCAATAGCGCTCGCCGGGAGCGTCATCTGACTCTTCCGGGAGCTGATGCTCGGGTAGGTACTATCCCTCGAAGCGCCGTTGGCGTAGTACGGGTCCTGGTAGTTTGGCTGGACGGGAGCAGTGTTGTAGTGCTGCTGCTGGTGCTGCGAAGGTTGGCCGTTGGCGTAGCTTGTATCGATGGTGGGTCGAGGCGGACCCGGGCGTGATGACGATGCCACAGAGGGAGGACGGAAGTTGGCCGGGGCCTGCTGATACTGCTGCTGGTTTTGCTGGGGATTGGAGGGGTAGTAGTTGGGATCCGGACCGGGATCACGGGAGGGTGAACCCGACATCATCTGCCCGTTGGATGCGCCGCGGAGATTGGGGACGCTGGGCGGTCGTCGAGGACTGGCCGACATGATGGTTTAGCTGAGATATTGTTTGAGCGGGGGATGAGGTGTTTCAGGGTTGGATCCGGCGAGATGACCCGTTTTTAAAGTAGGGCGGTCGTTCCTTTTCGTGTTTTCACCTATACTACACAGGTCTGGGCTGTATGTTGAGCGGCTATAGTGCTGATATGGAGGTATGTAGTCAAGATATGGGTAGCATAGGATGGTATGCTGTTTTGCCTGCGGTGACTGCGGGAAGGAGGAGCAGAAAGGGGCCGAGGCTTTGGAGCTTGGAGACCCCGGAACGGCGATCGCCGCCACCACAGCTGGAAATTCCATCTCGACCGGACCTCTTTGCTTGCGACTACTGTATACTCGCTCTCTATTTCACTTAGCTCACACAGCCTGACTGTCGGGACCCACCAGAGCTCCAGGTTACTCATCTCATAATCGCATCCAGCGCGAATCTCCCTGGAAAATAACGAGTTGGAAACACCATGAAGGGCCTCTTCCGATCCCTTCGCCCTCTCGGCTCCTTCAGGTCACTCGCGACCGCATCGGAAGCGTCCTCATCCACCTTGGTCCAGCCAGTCGTGGACAATCTTCCCGAGTCGTCTACCTCCTCGGTGATCCCAGGCAAATGGACACCGTATACCCAGCGTACAGGCGCAATAGCACGCAAGAGAGGGATGACTGCTCTTTGGGATAACGATGGGCGCAGATGGCCAGTTACTGTACTTCAGGTAAGCTAACACGTCCTGTCCTAGTGGTACTAGCTGACCCACAGCTTGACGCATGTCAAGTCGTCCAACATACCCCTCCACCACCATCCACCACCCCTACCCCATCATCCACCGCCCACCTCCACACGCTCCAGCTCGGCGCTTCAGATCGGCCCGAGAAGACCACCTCGGCCCAGCTGCTCGGACATTTCAGAAAGGCGGGTGTACCACCGAAGTATGAGGTACAGGAGTTTAGGGTGACCCAGGATGCGGTCTTACCGGTAGGAACGGAGATATCGGCGGGGCACTTTGTCCCGGGGCAGTTGGTGGACGTGTCGGCGACATCGTCAGTTATCGCGATGATCACACTGAGAGGCAGAGCTGACTGAATAGTATCGGCAAGGGCTTCCAGGGGCCTATGAAGCGGCACGGAATGAGGGGTCTCAAGGCGACACACGGTGTGTCCTTGACCCACCGATCTGGGGGTTCTACTGGACAACATCAGGTACGTCTCCCTTCATCCAGGTGGCTCTTTTGCTGACTTTTAGGACCCCGGCCGAGTCCTCCCCGGTAAAAAGATGGCAGGCCACATGGGCGCCGTCAAACGCACCACCTCCAACCTCCTCGTCCACCGCATCGATACCGCCCTCAACCTCATTTTCGTCCGGGGTGCCGTTCCTGGCTCAGACGAAGCATTCGTTTCCGTCAGGGATGCCAAGAAGGGCGTGGTCTACAAGGCGCAGGCGGGGTTCAGGAAGGGGAAAGAGCAGGACAAGTGGTTAGGCCAGGGAGTGACGGGTTTGCCTACGCCCGGTATGAGCAGGGAGGGGGCGAAGAAGGCGGGGTGGGAGGGGGTGGTTGAGTGGGCTGGGAAGGGCCAGAAGTAGGTGTGGAGGATGTATGGACGTGTGCAAGATGGCGCTTATACGGTACTAATGGCGAATCTGACTGTTCCACGAACAATTCGACGCGGCCCTCGCGAGTCTCCCAATTGATACCCGCTGACAAGCCGAAATGGTCTGCTCGGTCGTGATGAAGTCATACATGCCAGACATGACCTACATACACCTTGGTCACACCGCACCGCATCAATAATCTCGCCTCCCACGTACACCTTGCCTTGGTCTTCACTCCCTTGCCCATCAAAATCAATGGCTCTCCAGCGCCGACTCGTCCTGAGGAGTCCCGTCTAGATTGGGTTTCCTGCCAAGCAACACCATAAGCTCAGTCCACCCCTCAGGCCAGGCGGACCCCCCTCCGATCAAGCCAGCGGACAATGCACCCGCAACACTGCTGTCCACAGTACCCCCGGAAAAGATCCCGGACAGGTAGCTCAAGAGCAGGCTGTCTTCAGGTGGAGAGAAGGCGAGTCTCTGAGCCACCCTGTATTTGATCGGAATAAGATGGTGTAACCTGCCATGATTCGTCCCGAGCCAGATGAAGGACTTGTCCTCGGTGTATGGGAAAACGTGCTCGACTGCGGTGCTTCCGTGATCAGGATCGCGCTTGACGACCAGTTGGACGTGCCGGATCGTGTCGGCGGTCTGGCCTCTCCCCAGGATGCAATTAACGACGGAATCAAGACCGGTCGCAGCTCCGGTCTCGTCGCCGGCAAGGGCCCAGACTTCGGAGTGGGTCCTGGCAGTGGCACACCCGTCGTCTGCGCTGGGATCGTACACCTCGGGACCGAGCAAGAGGTTCGTCAACTCGTCCTCGAGGGCTGTCATCTCCGCCTCTGCTTTGTCAGCGCACAGCTCCGACTTGTTCTTCGCCGTGATATGGTCAGCCAGCTCATCGCTGATCCTCCCCTCGCTGAAGATGACGTAGTCTCGGTCGATGAGGGTGTAGATGTCGACCGCGCAGCCTGACGGCTCAGAAGGGGAGGGCGCCGCCGAGGAGTCGTCATCAGAGTATGCCCCGTCACCGGAGTACATGGCGTGAATGTGCGTTGAGAAGGATGAGTAGCCTTATGAGAGAGCAAGCAGTGCGGAGGCAGCTGTGCCGTCTACAGATGAAGAGGTAGAGCTGAGAAGGATTGAAGCGGATGGTCGGATGAGTGGGAATGTGAGGGCAGGAGGGAAAGTGGCCGGCGGCTCTAGCTTATAGCATATAGAGCCAGCAGGGCGCGAAACGCCTCGACATAGGTCTTCCTTTCTCTCTACACCCCTTTCCTATGGTGAGCTTTCAGCGGATGAAAGGAGGAGCTCAATCTGCTTGAGAACTGTATGGTGCTCTAGAGAGTTCCACGTCCCTTCCCAAAGCACCATTAGCTGATCATGCTAATATCTCTTGACGTGGACTCATACAACAGTCCACACTGAGCCAATTGTCAAGCCTTCGAAACCCACACGAGTGTCAACATGCTTCAGGTCCAGTGTACTTCTCGGCTACCCAAGAGAAGACGAGAAACCGTGCACCCGGGCTTCAGAATGAGTAATAAGCTTCACAGCGAGTCTCATACGATACGTCAGGCCAGCAGCTCTCTCATATACACACCTCTACCTCAGACTCCGTCACACTTCCACTCTCTGCCGCAGCGCTCGGTGGCAACGCTCGCTCCTCATTCCGAGTCAGAATCGGTGCGAGACTTGGGGTATTCCCAGAACCGGTCATGGGTGAAGAGGGCGGGTCGGCCATCTTTGGAGGGCTCCGGAGGAGCGAACAGGCAGATTCGAGTGATTCTCTCATCGACCTTGTCTGTCTTGCCACAGACATACGCCGCAGTTGACTGTCCGATGTCCTCTGGCAGGCCGGCCTTGATCATCGAGCGCTTCACATCCAAGTCCTTGTTTGCTTCCTCCGCCTCCGCGATCGCCAAACGGGACAGGGTCTCGGGGAAGCGCCCGTATAGGCGCCCGGAGGAAATGTCTTTGACAGCGAGAGCAGAGGCCAACTCGGTGTCGATGGGGACATAAGTTCCAGACCGCTGAGAGTCATCGCGCGGGTCGCCCGACCCGACGAAAATGAAGGCTTCTTTGCCGACGTAGGGTTCTGCGCAGATGGGTTTTTTATGGCCGAAACCGGTCTGCGAGTCGGGGATGACACGAACCTGGATCCAAGTGATCTCAGGATGGAGACGCGTGTCGACTGAGTCTCCCAGAAGCGCGGACACGGTCCACTCCTTGGTATCATCGGTACCATCCCAAGCCAAACGAAAATCAACCAGTTCCTTGAATGTGGATTCAAGAGCCGTCTCTTGATCCGGACCTGAAGCTTGTCTGCCCATCGGGTCTGCAAGAAGGTGGCGAACCAGGTCATGCGAGCAACCGGTCCGCTCCTCAGACATTTGCGAGTCCCGATACCACGGGTTGCGGTAGTACGTGGTGATGCGGACCTTGGGGTATTCGTCAGGCATCGCGATATAGAATGCTCTTGAGGTTGACGTGGATAATATGGCTAGGGCGGAATAGTGATGAGCTGAAGGTCGAGGCAAGACCAAGAGAGCAAGCTGACGAAGTCTGGGTGCTGAATCCTGATTAGTGAACAGCAATATGTGAAAGTGGAAGCCGTTAGGTGCGTGAGGATTTAGGAAAGACAATGAGTAGCGGGGAAAGGGCCCAGCTTATATCTCGCCAGCCCAGTCAGCTCCGGAAAGTAGAAACGCTACGAGCAAGGAGCTTGCTTTGTTCTAGGTCCCCCTTATAGGGCACAGCTTTTCATTGTGAAGGGATCGGTGCAATCTAGCTGAATGATTTGTAGCACGCTCTCTGACGTACTCTTTGTTTCGTGACGCCCACCAGAAGGCGCCAGAACGTTCTGTCAGACCTTGACGAGTGAGGAGTGCTCGGTAGACGACGATGATTACCGGGAGCGAATGTGAAACACGGGTAGTGCCGTAAGCGAAGGAATGCGGAGCAAACTTCAGCCCCTTAAAGCTGCTCGAAGCTTCGCCGCTTGAGCTTAGGCGCGGTCCAAGCCTCTCGATCGACTCGTTGAAGTCGGCCCCCCTCGTGAGATGAAGTGAGGGGCTTGGACCGAGCCTAGCTTGAGCTGGCTTCGAACGCCTTGTATTCGCCGTACATTCACCTCAATGCCGTGCATCCCAAAGTTCAGCGGCCAAGACCGACCCCTGGCGGCAGAAAGCGACGGCCATCAGCATCTGCTCTGACTCAATCTGCATAGTAATCTGCATAATGAAAAGCTGTGTCTGAGATGTGAGATACCGCTCCGCCAACTAGCACGTGAAGGACCCGCCACTCAGCCTTCGCTGCTTTTCCGCCTCACCCTCTCGCGTCTCCATGTAGTCGCTTTTCCGCTGATCAGCCTGGCGCCCGGCCGGGAAACACAGCAACGAAGTCGATTGTTGACTCAGTAGGTTGACTGATCAGCTGGAACAGGCTAGCGCTCTACTGCACACAGGGAGAGGCGTCGTCTGATCTTAAGCCGTCACCCTACGAAAGCCAAAGGTTGACGAAGGAGGCCGCCAAGATGATGCAGAGACGATCATGGTCTCTCATGGATGCTACAACCTGACACCTCCGCTCGTTCCCAGCCTATCGACATCTATCCAATATTGCTGATCACCTCCCAAACGCCTGAACCGCCTCTTGAGCTTTCGCCAGGCGATCGATGCGCGTCTGCAGGTCCCTCCTGTCCGCCACGATACGAGGGTCTTCCACGATGAAAGCCTTGCAGCGGTCCAAAGCATCCGCGCCGAACAGTGGGAGGTCATCGGTCAGCGCGTCGCGCATGGTGCTTTCGAGCCGCTTGAAGATCTCGGCGTCTAGGATGCGAGGTACATTATCCAGGATGCGCTGGCGAGTCAGCCGTCGTATGACATGCGAATAGTGAGACTGGTCTCACGTCGTTCGCAATCTCCCAGTAAGCCTTAGCTTGGGCCATGAGGTCCAGCTCTTGGTCATACCCTTCGGTCCGCATAGGACTTGATGCGTTGAGCCCATCGATGGCGCCGTCGCGCGAGATAGTCGAGGGAGCGTTGATGGGCTTGAGTTGAGCCGCCACGTCGTGCTGCTCGACACTCTTACGCTTGCTTCGCAGCACCGAGAGGTACTTGTTCCGACCGATTTCGAGAGACTCGGTATTGAGGGTGTATGGCTGTTTTTCGAGGGCGACGTTCTTCTCGATCTGGAGCTGTGCGTCGGTACATAGGGCATCGAGCTGCTTGTCGACGATGGCACTGACTAGTCAGCGACACTGTTCGGACTCGCTTCTGTTCGAGGACCACTCACTTTGCGCGAACAACAAGTCCGCCGTATCTCCACCGTCCGAATGTACTGGCTACGATTCGTCCCAAAAGGGCACGTACCACTGGCTTGACCTTCCCGTGGAGATCAAGCGCGAGCTGCGCCCAGGTCGAGGTCGAACGATCCACCAGTATGTCAAAGGCGGATGGTGGGAGCTGAGGGGGCAGTTGACGAGCGCGGCAGCTACATCGTCAGCTACGGTCTGCAGCTCGGAGGAGAAAGCGAGACGTACTTGGCGATGAGAGATCTTACATCGTCCACATACAACCTCTCCGAGGACCGTTCGATGACGGCGTCGAGGACGTTCGGACCAGCGAAATTTTCGATCCTCGGGATGGGTGGACGAGGAGGCGCGCTCCCGGGCGTCGAAATTGGGACAGGTCTTCTTGATCGCTGTTTTGTAGTCCGCGGCTGCCGCATTTAACGCCTGCAGGAAAGCCTCGTGCTTTGCCTCGCCCTTGACGTCTTTCGCGATTTCCGCTGCGAACGAGGTAACCAAAGAGTCGATCGTTGTAAGTGGATTGTTCGATGGTTCACTGCCAAGCGACTTGAGCTCTGTCTGGAGCTGTCGACGGCGATGCGCAATTTTATCCTCGACATCAGGAAGTCTTTGGGGTGAGCCCTTATAGCAAGCATGCGGACTTATCACGTACCGTCTGCTGATCAACTTGGACAGCTGGTCACTGAGAAACTCGGCAAGGTTCTTCGTGCCTAGTCGCTTCTGATACTGGATGTCGAGGGAACTCCAGGGCGATTGAGTAGCGAAGAAGGCCTCTTCATCTGCTCGAGCCTTGGCAAATGAGATTCCCTCTGCGAGGGCATCCGCGTCGGGCTGGCGAGTGACCTGACCGTTATCAGCTCAACTCGTGGACAAAAAGACGATGGCACACACGTAATAGCCGTAGTGCAAATGTTCACGCTGGCCCTTCACCACTTTGAGCCACTGATCACGCTCGCTCTTGTCACGCAGAGAGTCTGCCTTGCTGAGCACTCCCGCCGTGCGCCTGCCCTCTGGGTCCGCTTCCCTTGCGAGGAGGACGGCCTTTTGATTGTGGATATCGTCTACTTCGTCAGCCGTGCCAAGTGCTCTACTTGACCTTTCATAGTAATGACGAGGAGAATGAGGCAGTCTTTTGATATGTAAGACTTCACCATGTCTTCGACCAGCTGGATATTATTCTTGTCTTCTCCCTCACCGACGTTTTGGATGAGACCCGGTAGATCCACCAGAGTCAGGTCGGTGACCTGGGGACCGGTGATTTCCAGCACTATCACGTCATTGCTGAAAGCAAGCTTACGGGTCGATCCAAGAGGGTTCGTCTCCGGCTCGGCCGGAATGTCATATTCGAGGAACCGGTAGAGAAGGATACTGGGATTGAGAATGGCGAGCTGGGCACGACGTACTGCGATCTGGACGAGATTAGGGTCGTGGATCCTTGCCGAAACGGACCTCGGCCTCGGACCCAGGGAATTGTGAAATGAGCTGTCGCCTCCCACTCTGACAGGAAGGAATGATAGTCTAACGTACTCGATCTGTAGCAGCACCCTCATGGCGGATCTTCACAACAGCATTCCAGGGAACATCGACGTCTTGCCTTGATCGGACTTCGGTTGGAGTGCGAGTGGTAGTCCCCACAGCCCTTGGAAGATTGACCTGACGATATCAGCGTTGACCGATCTTACCGGTGGCTCCATCGTAGCCGCTCTGATCGGTCACCCGGTCACTTACACCTGATATCGCTTCCAAGATTGAAGTCTTGCCCGAGCTTTGTGAGCCGACGACGACGATAGTAGGTAGGCTGATCTGTGTTAGCTGTGCACTGGAGGAAGGGCCATAATAGGAAAGGCTCACTCGATGTCTACTGCTGCTCCGGTCGAGCGAACGTTGTTGATGGCGGCCATGAGTGCCCTCTTGTCTCGAGCGTATGCGGTGTCAAAGATGTTGCCCCTGGGAGCGAGCTCTTCAGTCTTTGAGGATGATATGGTATCAGGTGTAGTGTCAAGGTAGTGAGGTGATGGCTAGAGGGAAGAAGTCAATTTTGGTAACCAAGAGGTCATAGGGAGAAGAAAGGTGATGGGGAGGGGGAATAGCCTCCTAAATATTCCTTGTAAAGCGCCCAATCGACCAGGTCAGTGCTTCAGGTAAAAGAAGCTGTTTGCGCGGTGAGAAGTCAAAGCGGAATCGTGAGAAGTGAAGGAGGAAAGAAGCCGCACAGAGTATGCACGGTGGACACCTGCTTCGCACTGACCTCACCTTCGGCTGGCTCCCTTGCTCCTGGTATCGTATATGACCCTCCAGCTTACTAAGCTGTACAGCGGGGAGAGAAGGTGTATGCTATGCGAGGCGAAGGTATCAGACGCGATAGTCAGTGAGCGAGATTGGCACGTCCATCAGGAGACCAATTAGTCGTCATCAGCATCTCCATGTTATCAGCTGACCCCTCAAGCCGCTATGACCGTACGATCCACCACTAAGCCGCCGCAACAATCACAACAGATGATACGGATACACTACCTCTTCTCCTCCTGTCCGGGATCTACAACTTAGCTTTTCCACCACCCTCCTCCTTCTCCGCATCCTTCTTTGACTCCCAAGCCATCTTCCCAAAGAAGTCGAAAACAACCCGACTGTCCGCCTTGGCGTCCGCTGAGCTAGCCTGGCCCAATGATGCCCGAGCTGCAATACCTTGCGTGATGATAGCCAGCCTGAAGAGGATCCACGATCTTACCCAGCTACCATGTCAGCATAGATACTGTAAGACAAGTGAGAAGAACATACCCCATGCCCTGGATGGGTAGCTTCCAGTCATCCGCATTCCCGCCCTGCTTCTCCCCCTTGGCGCGATGCCACTTTGCCCCATCATTCATACCCTGGACCCACCACCCTTCTATCTCTTCCCTCTGCGACAGACCGCTCTCTCCCGTGGGTACTCCCTTAAGACCGACGAGTAGTCCGAGATCCGCTCGATCCGAGAGGGGGTTGGGACCGCCATCGCTTGTGTCCGATAGAGGAGCGATAGAGAATGGTAAGAGAAGGTTACCGAGGTCTGCGAGCGGGGAGCCGAGGGTACATAGCTCCCAGTCGAGGATACCGATAACTCGTGGTTCGGTAGGGTGGAAGATCTGCTCGTCAGCCCAGTCATAAGGCGCAACGCAGGGTGCTCACCAGGTTATCAATCTTATAGTCTCCATGTACCACACCCCCTACTGCCCTCTTCCCCTCACTCTCCGCGATCCCCTTCGCACCCTGATCGAACCATCCTCTGAGCTCTTTCGTACCCCAGATCTCCCCCACTTCCTTCCCTGACTCTAATGATCGAGCAGCCGACTGCGCCGCCGATACCTTGAGCAACGAGTTGACTTGGCGCGGAAAGTACGGCTTGGTCTGAGGTGGAGGAGCAAAGTTGTCGGGCAGGTGTTTGAGGGGTAAAGGGAGGGAAGAGAGGTTGGTCAGGGTCTTGATGGCGGATTTCCAGCTATGGATTTAGCTTGATTCCCACCAACGAGAAGAGCCTAGCTTACCACTCCCTCCTCTCGTCTTTCTGGATCTGCTGCATCCGGACATCCTGGAAGATACGTCCCTTCAAGAACTCCATCACGTAGAATGCACTTCCGGCGATTTCCGGCTCCATACACAGGCAATACACCTTGGGTACAGGTACGCCGTGAGCCGCGCGGTCGCTCGCTGACAGAGTATCATTGTACAGGTTGATAGCGTGCAGTATGGCGTACTCTCGGTCGACGCGGTGAGCGGTCGGACTGAGGAGGGCGCCAGAGGGAGCGCGACGGAGGACATAAGATTGCGAAGGGGTTTTGAGGAGATATGTGGGGTTAGACTGGAGGTCAGCTGGAGCTGTGAGGGCCGTGGGATGGGAGACTTGCCTGTCCGTACTGACTTGTTAGCTCATACTCAGTCCAGCCAAGAAAGTACTCACTTTAAATTGCTGGATCTCAAGCGGACCCTTATAGTCCCTCACGTTCTTTTCGAGGAAAGGCACGAGCTTGTCGAGCGGTAGGGGTGCTCGAATGGCCCCAAACTCCTGCCCTATCTTTTTCTCCCCTGACGAGCTCTGGTCTGACATCGCGTACTAGCTGATGATATAGGTAGGGATGCAAGCAAAAGTCAAGTCCAATAAGCAGAAGAAGTGGGGAAGATGGTCTCGCCGGCTATGCAAAGTGGCCGGCGGTCGGACCATGCCGTAAGGGCACCTCGTGCTGCTTTTGGCCGAGAGCTGCGGGCCTGCGAGCTAGTGTGGGGTACTGGACCGGGATAGGATGTGTGCATGACTGCGGTAGCTCTCTATCTACTGACTCGTAGACGGAGGGAATGCTCTCTCCAAAACCTCCAGATAGGCCGGCAATATCCCCATCACCCGCCAAGCATCATCAATCGGGCTGATCTCCCCTGCCCTCTCTGCCCCCGCCTTCTCAAATCTCCTGACCTCCTCGACGAGACCTGCTCCGTCCGCCACACTCGAGGCATCCGCTGAGCCTGAGGAACGGTCGCCTCCGCTTTGCCGCAGTCGTTCGAGTAGATGAGACGCGTGTTGGGCATCATTAAGCGGATCGCGAAACAGATTCGGCTTTTCCTGCGCGAACAGGTCGGCCGAGGTGAAGGCACGATGATCCGTCTTTGCAGGCTGCAGGATGGCTAGGTCCTCATCTGATGTGTCAGATTGTCTCTTCCCGGTCCGAGAGGTGCTTGTAGATGACATACCGAGATCAGCCCTATTCACCGCCAACTCCCCCCACCACCGCACCCACGGCGCCCTCACTTCCACCATGTCCAGATACCCGCCTAGCCAAGCCCACCATGCCTCCACGGCACGGGAGTGGGTGATGGCTCGTGAGAAGCCCAGACCGTTGCGGACGAGATCGGCCGCTATGAGCCGGACGTCCTCGTCGTCGTCTTGAAGTAGGCGGAGGAGGGCCTGATGGAGGAGTAGGAGGATGTTGGAGCTGATTTCGGTGGACGGAGTGGAAGGGAAGAGGATGGGTTGGAGGTGAATGAGGGATGTGATGGCTACTTCTCGGCGGGGTTGAGACTGGGAGATCAGGATAAGTACCGCCGCACGTGAATGACAAACGCACCTGTGTTTCCTGCGAAGCGTTCAGAATCACCCTAGCTAGCCTCTCCAGCCCATTGTCTGCATCGCCTCCACCACTCTGCTCCCTACACCACATCACTGCCCACGCTGCAGCTGGCAGTGCAGCCTCTCGCAGAGGAATGCACCTGGCTGAGAGCAGCCCGACGACTGCGTCCCGCAGGTCGAGTCGGCGCGAAGAGGGTATACCCTCCAGGACGGTTGCCGGCCATGACTCTCCTTCCGAATGAGACAGCGCTTCGAGCGCGGCGGGCCGGATAGCATTACTAATCCTCTCCGATATGACGACCTCAGCTACGCGTTCGAAGACTGCGGCTGTGCGCGAGCTGGATGGGGTGGATAGGCGTTCCAGGCCTACGAGACGGCACGATTCAGATGAGCTTGCCAGGATCGCGAGGGTAGCAGCTTCGCTTGGCTGGTGCGATAGCGCCAGGTCGGCCGCGGCTACGAGGAGGGCATCGGCACCGGGGAGAGGCGAGCGCGGTGCTGAGATGATAGATATAGCCGAGGTACCCGGCCAGTCAATGAAATCGGGGGATGGCGTGGTGTTAATAATATACCTGGAGATGCAGTGAAGCAGCTCGGTGAGGATAGGCGGACAAGGCAGCTTGGTATACAAGTCGTACCTGAAGCGGAGGAGCGATTCAACCGCCGATACTTCCTCGGCGGAGGCGGTAGTCCATTCGACGACGCTCGAAATCAGATTCCGGACGTATACGAGCTGACCGTGGATTGCGTTGAAATCACGAGGGTCCAACCAGGGCCACTGGGTGGCCTCGTGAAGCGCTTCGGCCGGTGAGAGGAGAGACGACAGCGCTTGAGCCGCGACTTCCCGTACCTACAGTATGAGCTCTCGGTCCGGGTCTCGAGGGGATCTCATAAACCGTCCAACTTACCTGTCGCTCAGGGCTGCCCAAGTGCGGCCTCACCACCCCCTTTAAACCCTCCTGAACCTCCCCGCCCTTCTCACTCCACCTCAAACTCCGAATAATGATCAACATGGGGAACAACGGCGAGTGTTCCCCTGCGCTCGGCAAGCCTGGCATCTCCCCGCTGAGATATCGTACGATGTACGGGAGCAGCTTGGGGTGCTTGGCGTGCCATGCGGCAAATGTCTGCCGGCCGGCGAGGGTCATACGGGACGCGTGGAAATCGGGGCTGCCGCGCGAGGGGGTGAGGGAGCGGTGGACTAGGGTGGAGAATAGGATGAGGCCGACATTTCGGACGTTCCAGCTGGGTTTGTCAGCTTTGTGCTTCCGAGCCTGACGGGACAGAGCGCCGCGCAGCTTACTTGGCGGAAGAGAACGCAGCTACTGCAGTCATCACTGTCCTCTCAAAGTAATTGTTGAACAACCGAGTCTGCCTCGCGTCCAGAAGAACAATCTTGAGAATGTTGAAACAGTGCACGCGGGTGATGTCGGAAGTGGACGAGTTGTCGAGCCGGGCAAGGTCGATGAGTCGATCGATTGCCTTGTTGAGGAGTATCTCGTCTCCCGCGACAATCGACAAGAGGGAGTAAGGGAGGGCGGCGGATCTGCGGGTAGTAGACAGCGTGTCGTCCGTAATGGCTTCTAGCTCGAGCTGGAGTGTCAGCTATTGCTACTGCGGGATTGGACAAAGAGCTAGCTTACCTCAAGCCATTGATCAGCCAGATCGCGCAGAGACTCCGACGTCTTGACGGCGTCAATAACAGACGCGAACGCCAGAGCGACCTTGGAGAATGTTCCGCGATGCCGGATCTCGTGCATCCACTGGAGATACTGCCGACCGGCCTGGTGGACTTCCTCCTTAGCCCATACCGCTTGAGTGTCGCCACCCTGCGATATAGGCTGAGCGATGATGAGAGATAGTAGATCGCTGTGGCCGTCAGCTCTACCTTTACACGTTCATGAAGAGGGGAGCTCACGATGCTTCCTTGGTAGCTCTCCAACAAGCCGACAGAATCTTCCTCGTATCCACCTCGCCGTCATCCTCCTCGTCCTGCCCATTCGAGAGCATCTGATACGCCTTGGCAATCTCATGTGCTGGTCCAGCATCCGAGTTAGGAGCGCCTTCGCCGGGGGCAGAGGATGACAAGGACATGATCGTCCGCGTGAGCTGCCAGATCCGACTGATCAGACCGGAGAGGCGGTGCATTGATGGTCGCCATGCCTGTTGAGCAGATGGGTCATGCAAATCGACACAGCCAATCAACGCTCTGAAGGATTAGCTGAAGCGAAGGATACGGAAGCTGTAGCTGAGCGTACCTAGCAGCAGCAATCAGCCCATGTAACGCCAAATCATCCATCCCGTGCTTGATCCCCTCTTCCCCTCTCACCAGCTCCGCTTCCAGCTGATCGATCACGCCGCCCACAAAGGCGAGTATCGCCTTCCCATCCGCAGTATCTGATGGTATGAGAACCTTCTCGAAGAGAATACAGAGTCCAGCGACGGCCGCGTCGTTCTGCGTCCGACGGGGGTTGGAGAAGGATGAGTACGCGGAGTGGAGAAGGGCGCGGGCGTTTGGACTGTCGAGGGATGGATAGCCTGGGAGAGGAGAAGGCGCCGACTTGAGTCTGGAAACATCAGCTTGCAGTCGCGCTATGAATAGGAAAGCTTACATTGTTCTTGCCCTTCCGCGAACTTCGGTAAACTCGCTGGCTTGACACCCAATCAAGAGCTTCACCATCCTGTCCGTATACACCACGTCCCTGACTGTCTCATCTTCGCCAAAGACACCCACGTACTGTTCCAGCATCTGAAGCGCGAAGAGAGGACGGTACACCGGGATCCGCCGGGCGCTGACGAGGGCAGGATCGATCAAGTCCTGGATGAACCATAAATGGAACTTCCGCAGGATCTCAAGGGATATCGCTTCAGGACTTGTGGCCGAAGTGTCTGCGTTAGGCTTGCGAAGCTTCCGCCGAGCGAATGTGCCGGCTTGCCTCAGGTTGGTGAAGAAGACAAAGGCGGCGGAGGCAAAGTCTGAACGTGCTCTACGATGGTCAGCTATTTTCATTAGTTGTAGCAAGAGACGTACCCTGATCCTGGCAAGATTGCGTTGACCAGCAGCGCCTCCTTCACCAAAGTAATAACCCCCTCGGTCAGCAGCTTGCAGCTGTCCTTGCACCCGGTGACCACGTCGAACGCCTTCAGTCGCACGGCGGCGTCTTCATGACTCAGCGCGTCGCGCAGGTCCTTTGCGGGGACTTGGTCCAGCTCCAGTAAGCCAAGCGAGACGCCCAGCGAAGCGACAGACACCCAGGACGTGAAGGTCTCGTCGTCATCCGCCGCTGCGAGAGCTGCCAGAAGAGCGGGGAGCGTTCCGGGGAAAGCCTTGAACAGGGACGGGAGGAGATATCGATTCATGTTATTCTTGATGTTTGTCGAGGTGGACGAGCCGAGTAGAGGTAGGACGAGATGGACGATGTCTTGATCAGACAACGGCGTGGGGCCAGATCGCCGCTTTTCGAGTATACCGACGATGATGCCCGCACGTAATGTCCCATTGTCCGGCAATTTCAGACCGTCCAGCATCGCCGGGAGCAGGTCCTCCGGGACTGCCGACTCAGAAACAGCCTCCAGAAGATTGCTGACGATCAGCAAGCTTGGCTTGTTGATCATCCCCGACCGATAGCCAACGAGGAAGAGCGGCTCGAGCGAGATGACCCCGGAACCGCTTTCCGAAAGGGCGGAGGCGAGCCGAGCTACCGCATGGGTACACTCGAGCGCTCGGAACTGGTGCGCCTTCATCGAATGCTCGAAATTGAGCAGAAGGAGATCTGCGATGCTACCGCCAGGGAGAAAGGCGGGACCGAGGGTGTCTTGGATGACATCGAGCAGGGCGCTTCGGTCGGCGCTGGGACCAAGGGGGACAGCTTGCCTGAGCTGCTTGAGCAGAACTAGCAGCAAGGCTAGCTGGTCTGGATGATGTCCCGGTAGCGTCTTCTGCGTGACGAGGCGAATACTGTCCGACAAGGTGTCGCTACTCTGTTAGCAATAGGCGAAGATTTTGAAGGAAGTTCGGCGTACCTCTTCCCTAGCTCGCTAGGTGGGGTCTTTGGAAGCGCCTTCTTTAGGCTCAGTAGCTCTGACGCCAAGCTGGCTTCGCCTGCGGCCATCTTGTCCGATGTATGAAGCTTGATGGCGAACTTGGGTAGGATGGGTAGGTGAAATGTTACCTTACCTTCAAGTCTGCCTCCTGAGCAAAGCAATATTTGGCTCGCTTGCTTCCAACGGAAAGAAGCTTGACATCTGCTTCCGCCGGGATCTTGACCAGCTCGCCACCATGACCTTCGACCTCTTACTCGTACCTGTGGCCTGTCGAACACACCTTACTGCTTTGCTCTCGCTCAGACCGACTTAGGCCCCCACAGGAGATACAGATACCTCCGAAAATGTCTGCGCAAAATCCAGCCGGCGAAAATGGCGGAGGCGAGAATGAGCATGATTTCTCTCATCATGTGGCCATCGAGGTGAGCTATTCAGTCCTTGCCCCGACGAGCAGCGAGCTGATCAGCCAGCTGTCGAGGATGATGAATGCTGTCAATCCTAATGATACGCTTGCCCGCCGTGTCATCGATATTGCCAAGCACAACCGCACCGGAGACGCATTCATCAAAGGTAAGCTCACTGGTGCAGACTCTTTTCAGAGCCAAGTAGCTGACATTCCAGCCGTATCAACCTTCTACAAATTCCCGGAGGATGGGATCCTCTCCCTGCACACTCGGATCCTGGTGCACCAGTCCCAGGTCGCCAAGAATGGGAACCGGAGAGGATCGGATGGTTCTCCGCCCCGGATGCTCGCGCCCCGCGCCGGGAGTAGCAAGGTGAACGAGAATGTGGACGGGATGGACCATGACAAGTCGGACAGGATCGAGTCTGAGCCGTCAAGGAAGGGAGGTCTGACTCGCGCTGGCAAAGATGTACGTTCCGCTGGCTCTCAAAGTAGAGGTATGCTGACCCCTCAGTCTATTGCGTTCAAGCAGCCAACAGCGGCTCGTCCTTCCCTACTCGGTCTGGACAGACTAGCGGCAGAGAAGCATGCTCAGGCTGCCGCGGGATCGATGGGTCCTCCTAGTAAGCGTGCGAGATTGACAGCCGAGGAGGATGAGAATGGGGCATCTTCGTCTGGTGGTGTATTCAAAGGTAAATCCTCCTTATTCAATAGCCTATGAACCAAGCTGACGATTAGTACCGACTCTACCTGTTCGCCGAGATAACGCTCGAGTCAAGCCGGACGAAACACCAAGTCACGGTCCCGGTCTCTCTGACACCGCTCGCCAGCGCCTCGAAGCGCGTCGAAAAGAGCGAAACATGCCCTCGTCATCCGCCATTACCGCTATCCAGCCAGAAAGAGCCGACCGACAACAAGGACTGGGCGACTTCCAGTCCCGCTTGAACCGGGGCTCTGCGGCTGAGCAGCAACGGGGCGATCGACCCAGAGATAACGGCTGGAACAGGAATGGGTCTGGCGGCGGGCAGGGGAATGGGCGGGACGAGCGGGATCGAGGTGGAAAGTCTTGGGAGAATCCGACACCCCGAACAGCCAGATCGGATAGGGATATGGATGGCGGATCGATGCGGGTGCCAAGTAAAGGCTGGGACGAGACGCCGAGGGCGGGCGGGCCGGGAGGATGGGGCAAGACGGCAGATCCGAGGCGCAGGGGATGGGACCAGACGCCTTCGTCGAGAAGCGTCAGGGGCGGTGGGGATGAGGATGATCTTTTGGTGAACGGGAAAGAGTGGGAAGAGGAGCAGGTCAGGCTCGATCGGGATTGGTATATCCAGGATGACGAGGGTGCTGTAGTGAGTTGAACCGCCCCGACATCAGGTGCCCAGCTGACTTGACAGGCCGGTGATGAAGAGCATAATCCTTTCTCCCAGTGGGAAGGTCTGGAACGACAGAAGGAGCAGGAGATGCAGCAAAAGGCGGCAAAGCGGCAGACAGCCAGACAAGCGCAATATGTACGTCACTTTACCCTTACCTTCTTCTGCAGCTGAAATTACAGAACGCAGACAACGATCTCTGGGAGAACAATCGACTCACCACATCCGGTGTCCAGCGGAAAGACGGTGTCGACCTAGACTTTGAGGATGACCAAGACTCCAAAGTCCACGTCTTGGTCCACGACCTCAAACCCCCATTCCTCGACGGAACAGTCGCCTATACTCGGCAACTCGAGCCTATCAATCCGGTTCGAGATCCCACTAGTGATCTCGCGGTATTCAGTAAGAAGGGATCTGCGCTGGTCAGGGAGAGGAGGGAGAGGCAGGAGCGAGAAAAGGCCGCGGCGAAGGCGGCGAGTATTGCGGGGACGACGTTGGGGAATTTGATGGGTGTCAAGGATGAGCCGGAGCTCGGTGAAGGTGAGTTTGAAGGGTCTTGGAGTTTGCCTGGACTAGAGCTGACATGAGCAGAGGGCAAGGACGACGGTAGCAACTACAAGGCAGACTCGCAGTTCTCGTCTCATATGAAGATGAACGAGGCGCAGTCCAACTTTGCCCGAACGCGGACTCTCAAGCAGCAACGAGAGTATTTGCCCGCTTTTGCGGTTCGGGAGCAGCTCATGGCCCAGATCAGGGATCATCAGGGTGAGCTATATCCTTCTTTTTCTCGAGGAGTCAAGAGCTGACGTCTTAGTCTTGATTGTCATTGGGGAAACCGGATCGGGCAAAACCACCCAACTCGGCCAGTTCCTGTACGAAGAGGGATACTGCAATAACGGAATCATCGGATGTACTCAGCCTCGTCGTGTAGCGGCCATGTCGGTCGCCAAGCGAGTCAGCGAGGAGATGGACTGCGAGCTGGGGAGTACGGTCGGGTACGCTATCCGGTTCGAGGACTGCACGTCCAAGGACACCAAAATCAAGTGTAAGCTGCCTTGTTCTCGTACAGAGAGCTCAAAGCTGACGAGGCAGTCATGACTGATGGTGTTCTTCTTCGGGAGTCGTTGAATGAGGGCGATCTTGATCGGTATAGCTGCTTGATTCTGGATGAGGCGCACGAGCGGTCATTGAGTACCGATATCCTGATGGGTCTATTACGGAAGAGTAAGCTGCCTCCTCCTGGAATTTGACACCAGCAAAGCTGACTCAACAGTCCTCACCCGCCGTCGCGACCTCAAACTCATCGTCACCTCCGCCACTATGAACTCTGAAAAGTTTTCCAAGTTCTTTGGAAACGCCGCAACATTCACCATTCCCGGTCGTACCTTCCCTGTCGAGATCTTCCACTCCAAATCGCCCTGCGAGGACTATGTCGATTCGGCCATCAAGCAGGTTCTGTCGATCCATCTGTCTAGTCCGCCGGGGGATGTCCTGGTGTTTATGACGGGCCAGGAGGATATTGAGGCTACCTGTAATGTCATCGAAGGTGAGCTAGCTCGAGTGCAATCAGTTTAGCAGAGCGAAGCTCATATATTAGAACGCCTGGCACTTCTCGATGATCCAGAACCACTCTCGGTCCTACCTATCTACTCGCAGATGCCTGCGGATCTGCAGGCGAAGATCTTCTTGCCTACCGCGGATGGAAGGAGGAAGGTTGTGGTGGCTACCAACATCGCCGAGACCTCTTTGACCCGTAAGCTCGCCGCTTCTCCCTTTGTTCAAGGTGGACGCTCAGCTGACACCTGCAGTCGACGGTATCCTCTACGTCGTGGATTGCGGCTACTCGAAGCTGAAGGTGTACAATCCGAAAGTCGGTATGGACGCTTTGCAGATCACGCCCATCAGTCAAGCCAATTGTGGGCAGCGGGCGGGTCGAGCGGGACGTACAGGGCCAGGGTGAGCTACTTCTGCCGAGCCAGCTCGAGTGAAGCTGACTTTCTCAGCTTCTGCTATCGGCTCTTCACCGAGACTGCATACCTCAACGAGCTGTTTTCCAACAACATACCCGAAATCCAACGGACGAATCTGGCAAATACCGTCCTGCTGTTGAAATCGCTCGGCGTTAAGAACCTGCTCGAGTTTGACTTTATGGATCCTCCTCCTCAGGTAAGCTTGTCAGGGCTGTTGTGATATATGCGTCGAGCTGACACATTAGGAAAACATTCTCAACTCTATGTATCAACTCTGGGTTCTCGGCGCGCTCGACAATATCGGCGACCTCACACCGCCCGGCAAGAAAATGTCCGACTTTCCCATGGAGCCGTCACTTGCGAAGATGCTCATCGTCGCTACCGAGTGCAAGTGCTCTTCCGAGATGCTTACAATCGTCTCGATGCTGTCCGTCCCTTCGGTCTTTTATCGGCCGATGCAGCGCGCGGACGAGAGTGACGCGGCGAGAGAGAAGTTCTTCGTTCCTGAGAGTGATCACTTGACGCTTTTGCATGTCTATACCCAGTGGAAGTCGAATGGGTGGGCTGTCTCCGTCATCTTCGTGTCGGGAGAAAGCTGATACCCCCAGGTTCAGCGATCATTGGTGTATGAAGCACTTCCTCCATCCGAAGATTATGCGCAAGGCGCGCGAGGTCCGAGGTCAGCTCGAAGATATTATGAAGCAGCAGAAGATGGAGGTGCTTTCGGTAGGGACGGACTGGGATATTGTGAGAAAGTGTATCACGGCGGGATACTTCCACCAGGCGGCGAGAGTGAAGGGGATTGGAGAGTACATGAACGTCCGGACTGGGGTGATTACATTCCCCTGGAGGTGCGAGTAGGGGATGTAAGCTGATTAGATAGCTGCCTTGTGTTCTGCACCCGACTAGCGCGTTGTATGGTCTAGGCTGTAGGTCGTCTTGACATCACAAAGGGAGCGGAGCTGATCAGCAGACATGCCCGACTATGTTGTGTACCACGAACGTGAGCTTCCTGAGCCTCAGGCCCCATGAGACCAAGCTGACAATCGCAGTCGTCTTGACCTCCAAGCAGTACATGATGTGTGTAACCTCCGTCGACCCATACTGGCTCGGTACGTGCCCTGTTCCCCTTTACTCCTGAGATGCCGCTGACCAAGATAGCCGAACTCGGAGGCGTCTTCTTCTCCATCAGAGAAAAGAACTTTGATGCCCTCGCGCGCGCAAAGGCGAATCGGGACTTTAGTAAGCGGACAGAGCTGGAAGCGGAGATGGCTCGACAGCGAGAAGAGTGAGTAACTTTTTTTTGGCAAATACTCAGGGGTGAAGGGGGAAATGGTGATGGGGTATAGAGCTGATATGATAGTATTGAACGAGCCAAGACAAAGGCGTTACAGGCGGAGACGGTAAGCCGGACGCCGAGGATTGGGGGTGTGGCGGCTCCGCAGACGCCTAGGTCGGCGGGGATAGGGGCGGGCGTGAGGTCTTCGGCGACGCCTAGACGGAGGGGAGGAGGGATCTAAGGGATGGGTGTTGCTCATCAGTGTATCTCCGTCGTGTATTATGGATGCTCTAGGCTGTACCCAAGGTGAGATGTTGTTGGCCCTACTGACGTCGCTGAGTAAACTCATGTCTACTCATGATGTTGCTGAAGATACTTTGTCACCGGCCATGCTGGTACAGCGCCCGAGCCGGAGGCGTTTGGGTACATACGCTGCATGCTATCTGAGTAGAACTAATCGTACTGATCATCAAGCCCTGCCCGGTCTCCCCGCCTGTCTAGTACCAACATATATTCCTCAAACCGCCTCCGTACCCGCACCCTCGCCCGCAGTCTTCGTTTTTTGAGCCTACGAGATCAGCTTTATTAAAAGTCGGGAGGGGGAGAGGAAGTCTTTATACTCACAACCTGGTTCATAGTCATCAGGAAATCCCCGGCAACAATACGCCAGAACTCTGCGTGGGTATTGTCGAGGGGAGACGCACTCTCCGCCAGGCGTACCGCACGCAACAATGCCCAGAACAAGCGCTGGGCAACCGCTCGTGGTCTTCCAGCGTCCAGTCGCTGCCGCCTGGAAGTAGAGACTTGCCGACCTTGTTGGGAACCTCGCCAGCCGCCGCAAGGGAAAGGACGACGCTAGCCAATTGGACGTCGAGCTGGCAGGCTCGGACGAAAACCTCGAAGCGCATGTCTCCGCGATCGGCCGCGCATAGCTGGTACATGAGATGACGAGTGGCGCCGTGCAGCTTGTAGTCACGAGCGACCTCGATAGCTGCGAGGAGTTTACCGGAGCTACAGTCGCGGCCGGGGATCGGATCGACGTGTGGGTTCATCACCGCGTCGAGTAACAGTAGCGCGGCAGCCCTACTGCAGTGGAGGTGAAGCTCCGCGCACGAGTCGTCTTCGCTGCGAGTGATCATGTCACATAGCGCAGGCCTGGCGATCAGCTATCTGCTCAAATATGTGACTTACCATACCGCCTCCAGCTTGATCCTGTCGACCAAGATTGTTGGCCACCTCACGGCCTGCGAGCCCGGGCATACGATCTTCAGATCCCCGTGCGTATAAGGGTCTCTGAAACCGGCAGGGTTTGCCCGGGGGGCTGGACCTCGAGAACTGACACTTTGTGCACTCATCCTGTGAAAAGGTTGATGGAGAATTTGGAACGAGATATGAGGTGGACGGTGACTGAGATATTGCTCAGGAAAGTTTCGCCATCAGATCAGTCATTATAGACCCCCAAAAAGTGTAAAACCGCCACAACCCCAAATTCATCTCCGCCTCGTGTGTGCCGCCACACAGCTGAAACACGGGGCGGTTGTGTGTCATGTCCTCCGTGGTCCGCCGGGACCGCCCGTGCCTTCAATATTACACACAGACCATAGCGAGCGCCTTGTATGAGCATGATGGCCCTGATAGCTGATGACCTCTGCTGCTGAAGAGCTCACAGCAACACCATCGAATTGTGATTCCCGGCGTTTCCCGGAGACACACCTAGTGCCGAGCTCTGAGTAATTAGGGTTGCTTTAGTTAGCACATTGGTAGTTTCCATGCATCCAGCACCGTCAAGATTCAAAGAAGATTGATCGATAGTCTGGGATCGGACGGGAAGCTCGTCGTCGCGAGTGGCTCGCTGGCTCAGAGAGGAATGAAATGGTGCCTCAGTGATTCCTACCAAACATGGTAGAGAAAGCTGGCAGGGATGGGACCATGTCTACGCCCTAGGCCCGGAAGACCAGCATTCTTACTCTTGACGCCAGTTGATCACCGGATCACCCGTCAGCACCGATGGCCTCGCGCAAGGCCGCCGAGTTCGCCACCCGGTTCTACAGCCTCCCAGGCAGCGTGCGCTTCCGTTCCTAGCCACATGTCTAAGAACGCGCTGACTGGAAGTGTGTGTACTAAAGGACCAAGCTGGAGAACGTGCCGAAGCTGACCAGACATTGATGTCTTACATGCGTGCTTATCCATCGAAGAAGCTTGCATCACGAACGTGCAGACAGTTCGAAACGTCGCCTTCTATAACTAGCGACGACTGCAAAATATTGCTGTGTTGTCTCCGATCAGAAGACTTTGGATGTCATTGAGGTTCTGATCAGAGTTTAAAGACAATGAGATATCGCTATAGTGTCATACCTCGCCTCTTTCCCACTGCCCATCCTGAGGCGAAGGTGAGTTTCACTCAACGATTGCTCCATAGTCCTTGCTGATCTCCTGACTAGGCCTCGGACGGGTCACGTCCTCTTTGCGGGGCCTGGCCCGACTTCCGGAAACTGCTGTATAGTATGTCTGATGCCATGATCACATCCATAAAATATTTCATCTTGAAAGACAGCTTATAGACCAGACATGCAAGCAGACGCTCCGCCTAACGTCGAGGTAAAGCTCCTCCTCATCTCTCGACATTGTCAGGGTGTGTCATCGCTTCGAATCCTCTGCGCCTCTGCGCCTTCATCGCTTTGAAGCTGATCCAGGCAGGCAAGCATAACGCAATGTATGAGGAATACATCTCCGAAGGTCACGGTTTCAGCGCGTCCGAGTACAAGATGGAGGAGCAAAGGGTACGCGCGCCTTCGCTACATTCGCCACCCAATCCTGTGGTCTCAGGCTGACAGCTCAGATCGCCAGACATCAGCCGCTGTTCGACCCATGCCTGTCTCCGAAAGGTCGTGCCCAAGCTACCGAACTGGCCTCGATTATACACCATGAAATGGCGAGAGGCATGCCGCAGCCTATGCACTTTGTCAGTCCTGCTCGGAGGGCGGTGGAGACATGGGCAGCGGTATGGGGTGGAGCAGCGGCAGGCATGGCGGGGGAAAACATTATCGCTCGTTCCACGGCCACGGTCATTGAGGTAAGTTTGTTTGTATCATCACACCTTTCAGATAGGAGTCAGCTTATCGGGTCAGGGATTGCGTGGGAAGATCCATGTCCACCTCTGCAACGCTCGTCGCCCGATCTCAGTGCTTCGCGCCGAATACCCCCAACTGATCATACCGCTAGGAACGGCCGAGAATGATCCTTGGTGGCAGCCAGTTCACGACTGTCACTACGAACTCTCGGATGAAAACACCATCCTCCGAGCTCTTCAAGCGAGAGATGCGAGGGAGGAATACAGAGCAGGAGTTGTACGACAGGGCGGAGGCGGCTCTCGAGCAGATTATGAAGCTCAGCAGAGGCGTACAAAGTAAGTCCGTCAGTCTTGTGATGGAGCTTGCGCGCCGGCTGGACAGCTGATAGCCAGTTATCAGCATCACAGCCCACTCCTACAGCGCTAAAGCCATCTTCGAAGTGCTTGGAATGCACAGTCGAGATCTGAGGACGGGCGAGCTCTTGCCACTCGTGCTCAGGGTCGAGTCAGTAGCATAAGCAGGAGATCATATAGAGGATCGATGGTATTCAATGGGATTGAAGGTTTCTTGACAGTGTCCAGCTCTGCTCATAATGTCCGGGCTTGCTGTGATGGCATCGGGTCCGCCACAGGCAGGACAACAGCTTTGCTGGTGAGGTCTTGGGCCCTTGAGTGCGATTTCCACGCCACTTTCCGGGTGCAGCCTATTGCGTCACTGATTTCCTCCGCGATTGAGGATTCCAGCTGATTGCCCGCACTTCCAGCAGCCTCGAAAAGTGGTCCACTCCAGCTATAGCTGCCATCCAGCCATCGCCACAGCCTGCATACCTCGCCACTAGGCGCCACTTTACCGGAACCGGCTCTCCGCATGCCGTAATCTCAACCAAACCTAAGATCCATCTTTCTCTCCGCGCCGAGGCGAGCTTGATGACCTACATTGTGCGAGCACAGGTCTCACCCCCTTAGGCTGCTGCGAAAACTGCAGCTGATGTACAGTATCTGTGAGGAGCTTACTATAAGCTTACCACAGGTCCATAAGCCAAAAATCGACCGGGAGCCGTCCGAAGGAGGTCCGAAGGCGTTGTTCTCGCTAGAGGCGATTTGTTTACCCCTTCGGTCGACCTCGGGGAACGAGGCTTCAGCTGGCCACTCCATATCCTACCCCATCAACACGTACCTCGAGAGCCTGCCTCATTAGATGGCTCCATACTTTCATCCCACCGGGCGGGTCGCCGAGCTTGAACTCCCATCGTCCTCGAGCAGCAACATCCGGTACGATCTCCGCCAGAGGGCCACTGTGCCCGAGCTCTTGCACTCCTCATCGACCGAGTCCTCCGATCTATTCGGTCCGGGATCGCCGCAGAGTGTGGAGAAGAATGAGCGGTCGCCCATCGTCCTCCGGAAACAACCGCCTGCAAGGTGTCGGAGTGAAGACGGGGGTAGTCGACGAGGCAGCGCCAGTGTACGCGGTGGACATGGCAAAGAGGAGAGTGGAGAAACGGACAAGTCGCTCTACTACCGAGACTACTTTGCGAGCGGGGCGCATCGGAAGGACCTCAAGAGGACGCCATGGATATCAAAGCCGGTGAAAGGGTCGGAGGAGATCTGGATAGAGGCAGAGCAGGAGGCGGTCGAGTGGTTGTCGCTATTCTATGGTGAGTCTGGCGACCCGGCGGGGCATATGGGGATACGCTAACATCGACAGATCTCGTAGTGGTTGCCGTCTTGACCATTTTCTCAACGCAGCACGAGCTCTCGAATCCCGCTGCCATCCCTATCTTCCTCTCCTTCTTCGTCATCATATTTTGGCTCTGGGTCTCTCAGACAGCCTACGACATGCGGTATCAGGGCAACGACGCCTTGAACCGCTTCTTCAAGTTTTTACAGATCGGGCTGTTCATCTATCAAGGCGCGGCAGGTGGGAATTGGAACCCTGGACGGATCGACCGCATTACAGACGATGATCCGTATGGTGCAAGATCATCTCAACACGGTATGTCCGGATCAGCTATGTGCTGGACCGAGCTGATGGGCAGAGGACGCCCTGCAGAGCTTCACGACGGTAGTCGTTGCCTTTACGGTGTCCCGCGCTATAATGGCCCTGCAGTACTTGATCTGTAGGTGACTACCCTTTTTAGTATGCGTTCGAGCTGACGAGATTAGGCTGGTTTCAAGCGCGAAAATCGGGCCGCCTTACCGCTCATATCGGCATGAATGTCGCTGCTCTGGTCGCTTCAGGCATCCTGGCGGTCATCTCTTTCTGCATCCCCGCGACCAGTCAGGCATGGAAAGTGGCCAAAGTGAGCTTATCACCTCTGTGTAGAGTGACCGAAGCTGATCTTAGCTCGTGCTCTTCTACAGCGCTATCGGCGTGGAAGTGGGCAATGTCTTTGTGGCTGTCCTGCTCAAGGTCAACATACCAGTCGAAACGCACAAGGTGGCCGAGAGATATGGTGCCTTCACCTTGATCATACTGTAAGTCAACGTCATCAAGTCCTGTTATCAAGCTGACGGGATAGAGGGGAAGGTATCATCAGCATCACTCGCTCCTTCAGCAGAGCCATCTCTGGCCTCTCAGACGACGATTCCGGCACCTACATCCAGGTCTTCCTGACCATCCTCACCCTATTCCTCTTGTACTCTTTCCTCTTCGGCACGTTCGACAAGAATGACCACACTGGCCATACTCGAGCGACAATTTGGCAGCTCGTCCATTTCCCGCTGTGTTTCGGGATCTTGCTCTTAGTGGCTGCAATGGTCGTAAGTGATATCACAAATACCGGAGTGCGCTTCGCTGACTGGGCAGAATGTCGTAGTGACGCTCTCCGCAACGCATGGCATCACGCTCATCCTTTCTATTTTAGAGCCGTACAGCGAAGCCATCACCGGTGATGCCCCGCCGATACTCGATCCGGGACATCTGAAATACGCCAGCAAGTACATGAACAAGCTCTCGCTTGAGCCTCCGTTCGCGCAGACTATAACGTCGATATTCGTCCAGCTCAACCAATCCGCTCCATCACGTCAGTCCCCTTGCTATTAATTCGACGCGTAGCTGACTCTCCAGTTGACCCGGCGGTGGTCTATGTCCAGTACGCAGCGCAGATCGCCTACTCTGCTTTCCAGCTTTACGGCGCCGAGATCCCGATCGAGGCGACCAACATGTACTATACGCTTTACGCGCTCAATACGACGTGGACCCCGGACGCGGCGGAGCGGCTGCATGCCAGGGATGAGGCGGTGCACATGTTCAATGAGATTGTGCAGGAGATCCTGAATGATTCATTCACAGGTGTGCTGTGGCTGTTGCCTGTTGCGGTGAGTACCGCTTCGTGATAGATGCCAAGCGGAGCTGATGAGCAGGGATGTGTCCTCATTCTCACCGCCTGCCGCTCAATGCTGTGGTATCGCTTCGTCGGACCTGCCCACTGGGTACATCATGGCTCCCAACTCATCGCTGGCGTCATCCTCGGCCTACTCGGATTGCTCGATATCGGACCAAAGCACCTCGACATCGCTCAATTAGGCGAGGACGACGTCGGTACCGAACGCAGCCTGAACCCGCTATATCAGGTGCTGTTCCACGAGATCCCGCTGGTGATCATCGCGATGGTGTATCTGGTTGTGTATGTCGGGAGCGGGGCGGCGATCTGGTTCTTGCAACGGAGGCAGGACAAGCAGGAGCGGAGCAGGGACAAGGGCAAGCGCGCCAGGGGGGAAATGGATGAGAAGGGACCCGACGGGGACGATGGCGAGAGGGGACTGGCGGTGGAGCTGGACTCAGAGGCGTACCCGCTCGAACAGGTACGGTGAGGATATCTCGTGCGCTAGCTTGATGGATTAAATGACGGCCAGACACAGCATGCGGTCGCATGGTGTTTCAGCGTGTTTCAGCGTCTCTCCAGGCACGGCACAGAGGACGTGCTGTGTGTGTTGACACGACTTTAGGTTTTCGCATGATCCCTCTACGCGTCCCATCGATACTCATCACTCATACTATTCTGTCAATCACCTTTGTCGTCCAGCACCGGTGAAGCGGTCCACTCTCCATTACTCAACCCCTCGCTCACCCCTCGCGGCAAAACTCGGGACAAAGCCAAATTGCCCTCCTTTGTCCGATCAAAGGCAGTTCCACTGCGCTCCACCCCATCACGTCCCTTGTCGACCAATTTTCATCGCCTTGTGCTTTACCTCACCCCCTCTCGGAGGTCTCATCTGACTCTGTATACAAATGTCGGCCATTTTCGACGTATACGGCCAGCCAGACATCTCAGACTCGATGCTCGACCCAGAGTACGATCTGAGCGACATCGACGAGATGTTTCCTACGCCGGACTGTGTAGCCATGACGGTCGAGGCGGTGGAGGATGAGGCGGTGGCTGTGGAACCTCAGAATACCGATCGGCTGCCCATCGAGAAGCCTGGGACGGACGTCGATCAGAATGAATGGATGAAGGTGTTTGTCCCTTCACTCCTGCTCGCGGGGTTTCCCAAGCAGATCCCTTCGTCCGAAATGAACACCCCTACATCGGCGTGCCTACGGTCCTCCCACAAGGTCACGCCCGCTGTGCCTACGCCCATCCCAGCCCTCACCCTCAATCCCTCATCCCAGCCACTACAGGTCCGCTTTGACCAATCTTCCTTTTCGGCGCCCAACCACGGCTCCCACTCCATCTCTCCACCGCTCACCCTCTCCACCCTTCAGTACCCCTTCCAAACGCTCGACCTATACGGCCCCTCCTTCTCCCACCCTTCCTTCGAGCAGCCACCTCCCCTCACCTCTTCGTTCCCCGGGATGGAGTATCTCAACTTTCCAGATACGCCCGGACCGCCCAGATCCGCGCGGAGAGAGGCGCCGGAAGTCGATGGGATGACGGAGATTATGGCAATAGCGTCAAGCGGGGGCGGATTCAGCATGGACATGGTCGCTGAGCCTAAAATGGGTCCCGTCCAAGTGGATGCGTGGGATATCTTCCGGACGCCAATGCTAGCAGGCGGCGCGGGCGAGGTGGACCGGTCCGAGCTCCAGGCCGGATTGTTGAAGCGGAAGCGGGGTCGTGAGTCGGTCCGGGTGGTCAGCGAGAGAACCCAGTTGACGTGCAGGCCCCCGCTGCACCTTCACCACAGACCGCCCACTTCCCTCTTCTTCCGCTCCGTCCGAGGGCTCCTTGCCCTCTCCAGCAGCTCAGGTCGCGCGCGAAGCCGAGATCAGGACGCAAGAGGCGCTCGAGGCCGAGTTGAAGTCGGCGGTTGATGAGCTGAATGGGCGAGTGAGGGGAATCTTGGTAGGTTTCTTGCTGAAAGGGCGTGCTGACCGATAGGATCGGACAACGCCAGAGGTCGTGCGCGAGGCGGGCGTATCGGATATTCTGGACGGCCCTACTGGACACTGGGGCGTAGCCAAGGCTATCGTAAGCCTCATTGTCTCTCAACATCGCGTCAGCTAATTCACCAGATTAGTAGAGTCATCGGCCCGTCCCCGCTTCAAGTGGCCACGCCCCTACCGTCCAATCGTATCGAGGTAGACACACCTGTCCCGATCAAGGAAGCCACGCCTGTTCCACCCCGAGCGGAACTGACATCGCCTCCCCCGGTTGCTCTTCTATCTGTATACAAGGGATCGTGGACCCCCCTCGAGATCGCCCGGCTGAAAGATATCGTTGCTAGCTCGTTCGCCATCCTCGAGGGAGTCAACCGGGTCGACTGGGATCTCGTCGTTGACACCTTTGGGCCGACGCGGACGAAGCACCAGATTCTCTGCAAGGCGGTCGATCTCGGCTTGAGGGGTGAGTCATGCTGTCCTCAATGCCGAGTCATACTGATTGGTAGGTACAACCACTGCGGTCAGCCGTCGCAAGAGGCAGAAGCGGAACCAGCAACCAACACCGTCAGCGCTGAGCCGGAGCGTGAGCACGAGCGGAGAGGACGGGGACGCCGAGGACGAGCTGGGGATCTGCACTACTGCTACATCTGTCTCGTCCTTATCATAGACCTAGTATATTGCACGAAGTATCTCTTGCTGTACATCATCTGGGCTTGCCGGAGTGGGGATCGATGGGGGAGAGGGGACAGAGTGCGGCGCCTATAGTCCGCCCTTCTTCAGTGAGGAGGTTGTACGTCGATGCCGCGTTGCGCTGGACATTAGCTTTGCCTGAGATCATCAAGTACGTTTAACTCACAGAGTCCATGACGTCCAGCTGTATCCCCAAGCTGCTCACATAATCCTTGATCCGCTTCGGTACCGGCAACACGCTCTCTCCCGTCCCGAACAGCAAGATCTCCGGCCTCGGCACCACACTCGCAAACACCGCCAGACGCTCCGCCTCCCAGCCCTTCCAGGCATCCACCAATGTCCCTCCTTCCGGTAGGACAGGCGGATCGACATTCCACATCAACGCCCGCCCACCGATGAGGATCACTCCGCCAGGGATGACGAGGTCGTCTGTGAAATGGAAGCCGCGGGTTGTGAGCTTGGCGACGGATAAAGAGGGAAGATCGGAGGTCTCGAAGAGGTTCTGCAGAGACGAGGAGGCGGGAGTCGGATGGAATGAGCGGTATTGGAGATGGGGGGAAGAGGGTCGAGGACACCGGCGGGCGATCGCTGCCAAGCGAGACATTATATCGAAGGGTCAAGTAGCTTGGGTGACTGAGGGTAGATGTAGCAGCGGTGCTCAATAAAGCTACTGTCAAGGACTAGAAGAAGAGATAGTACTGGCCAGGTAGGCAAGACAAGCGATTATCGCATCGCGCAGGATGAGATGGCCTTGCAGCTCTGGAAAATTTGCATTTATCCTACTGTTGGAAATCCGAGCTAATCAACTAAGGTCTATGGAACTATACTATAACTATCTATTCCCAAGTTACAGATCTAGCTCTCGCCCTCACGAACCCCAGTGATAGCCCCCGTAATAACGCCGCCCACTCCCAGTCTTTCACCCCCTCCTCCCATGCATCCATCTGCTTCTTTGTGTCCTTCTCCATGAACCCCCCGCTTGTCATCACGACCGCCGAAAATTTCCCAATCCCGCTCGGAGCATTCTCCCTCGTCTTCGCTGCCACCGCCCTGAGGTATCTGTCCATCTGCGCCGCAATCTGGTCCCAGATCGGTGTTGTAGAGGTGGATGAGACTGGGTGTTGGGGATCTTTGCCGAAGGAGGAGAGGGCGGATTCGCTGAAGATGGAGTAGACTTTGATGTCGTGTTCCGAGGTGGCCAGACCAGAGCCGTCTGAACCCCAGACCCGGAGATCGTTCCTTCTCAGGGACTCTTCCGTTGAAGTAGGCTCGAGTTCTACCTTGACGCCCCGGACGGACGAGAGGGTTTGGCCGATACCGCGGACGACCATGTTGTGACGGGGGTACTTGCCGTCAATGTTGCAGGTCTCCGGATGGCCGAGACCCTGGCCATCTTTGCCGCACCGGTTGCAATGATTGGAGAGGGGGAGGAGGGTCCGATAGTGAAGGGCGACGCTGATTTGTTGATTTGTAAGTTGTAGCGCTTTCGTCCAGGGGATGGCAGACAGCCATAATCTCCCCAAGGGCGACCCGCAGCTCTGGGACTGCGTTACGTCACAAACAGCGTGCTCCTCTCCAGCCGGGCCGAAGCGCTGCTTTGGGCTGTACTACCGCAAGGTCTAAGCTGAGTACTACGAGCCAGAAGCTAGGGACTAAGTGCACAAAAAGCGCGTACCGTCTATATACACAAGAATAAATTACAGTCCTTGCCCCAGCCCAATGTGCTCTCCTTCAAAGACCACCTGCCACAATCCCCTAAATCCTCGCTCGGTCCACACATACTCCCACTCCCGCCTTTCCTACCTTCCCCAACCTTCCCCGACCTCGCCCGACCGCCTGTCATTTCACCTCCCATCACCAGCCCGGCTCGCCTATCCCCTCTGCCTCCTTGGTCATCGTTCCCCTCCCCGATCCCTCATTCATGCTTCCGCCTCCCTCACGCCCCTTGGCCCCAGCTCCTTCCTCCCTACTGAGACTCATCCCTTATTCGCCCGCTTCAACATCCTCAGGTAGGCCTTCACCTCCCACATCGCCTGATTGGTCGGCGCATTGTGCCTTAGAAGCTCCCCAACCTCCTCGGCCTGTTCTTTCGTCATCTCCATCGCACGAAGCAATCCCTCCGCCTCCTCTATCGCCTTCGTTCCAGTTATCCTCGCGTCTATCATTTCACCCACCCGGGACCCGGCTAGTTGGAGATCTGATAGCGCTGAGACGAGACCGGAGAGCTCCAAGGCTCGCCGAGCCCGACGGCCCGCTCGAGGAACGATGATTGATACCGGGCGCCCTTGTCCGTCGAACTCGAGCTCTTTCAGATCATACAGCGATTTCACGCCAAGGTCGGCGTCGAATTTGCGCTGCGACCTTAGCTGTGCGAGGATCCATCCAGCTACTCGGGGAAGATCTAGACACGCGATTTATTTCATGTGGCCTTTTTGCTCAGTCCTCAGTTTGCCACTCGTCTTGCTCACTCACCGATTGAAACCAGCTCTATGCAACCGGCCGCGGTTTGACGGTGCAGCGCTCGAGCCAAGTCTCAGGTATTAGTGCTACTGCCGCATGGAGACTACCTTTGACAAGAAAGGCAAAGGGTGTGATGCTTCGACTCTAGCCACACTGTGGCTATCCTTTGTTTCAGGGCTCGACTTGATGCTTCTCGCCGATCGCACCTGGTGCTTCTCTCAAGGAGCGGGACCCATTTACATTCTACTCATACAGTGGAACATCCCCACTCTCCCTCATTCCACTCTACTGTCACCCAAGACCGACTGATGTCGCACTTCCATCAGCAGTACTCTCACCCACTGCCCTCCTTTACCGACAGAGGAGCCGTCTCGACCGCGAACCACCAAGGAATCGTTGCGATTCCTCGAGAGCCTCGTTCCGGCCTGGCCCCGCCACCGGATCCCTGGCTACTGTCTGACAGCGAAGGCGATCTGCCGTGGATTCGCACCCCCTGGCCAGGCATCTTCACTCCGCCGTACGGAGCTGCCCAGACCTCTAGGTCGGAGGCGGAGAACACCCAGACGGTCAAGAATGCTCCTTTAGGTACTGTACCGAAGACCATCACGTCCCCGGCAGCTGATGTCGATGTCTCTGACTGGCATATGGACTACGAAAGCGAGACCGATCACGCCGACACTGTCAGAGGCTTCAATTCTTCGGGAAGTGAGCTTCTGACGGAGTCCGATGGCGAGGACCCCAATTGGAACGCGGCAGATGACAGCGGAAGAGAAGTCGTCTCTGCCAGGGGTAGGACACGTCGGGAGGACGATTATACCCTTGGTCATGGCGCTGCGGAACCTGGTATCGGTCCCGACATCAAGTCCAAGGATGAAAGCGACACTGACGACTCGCCACTGACGGAACTGTACACGCCGGATGCCAACGTCGAGGAGACTTGCTCTGTGGTGGATGGAGGAAATGGGGGCGCGAGTGACGTTGCCATGAACGGAGCTCCTGAGACGGGCTATTCTTCCCCGCTATCCGACATCGACGATACCGACAGAGAGTTCAAGTACGAAAGCGAGAGCGACATGTCTACCGACAGCGATCATAATCACGTCAACCCGATCATCGAGGACACCGATGACACTCGGCCTGGTCGGTCCGCGACTACTCTTCCTCCTGGGCACGGTGTGGGTATGTCGGGCTCAATGGTCAGACGCACAGCCGCGACAGCAAAGGAGGGCTCTGACTTGAACGCTGCAGGACCCACCGAGGCATGGAAGTACCGCCACGGCCAATCGCTCGCAATGCTGGATGTTCTCATGGATCGTGGAATAAAGCGCACTACAACTGTGAACAGCATTAAGATACCCCTCATCTACCTACGGGAACTGGTGGGTCTCATGGGCACGGATACTGATCCGCAGCGATACCAAGGTTACGCCATACACATGATACGTTCAAGCGACCGGTCTCGACATTACTCTCTGTTACCGGAGGCCAGTATCTCCAAAGACTTCAAGCCGACACGACCGCTACGCCAAAGGGGTCTCAACGAGACATTGGCCAATACTCTTGATGCGAGTCTTTTGCTATCGGGCGCACCTGACCGAAAGCAGAGGTGGTGGAGCGCCAACGGGAAAGCTACATGGTCCAAGCTCCCTGGAGCTTCGTCCGCAAAGAGGGCGCCGACCCTTAGCGCCGCGGAAACCCAGAGACGCCATTATCGAAAGCTTTTCGAGCTGTGCAAAACCTTGGATAGACGTGGGGTACGCTGTACGTCCAGCACCATGTTCAAGGGCACGAAACTGGGCTTCCTGAAAAATGCGATGGTCAAGACAGAACCAAAGGACTCGGAGCTGGAGGCAGGATCTGCCACCGGATTCGTCATCGATGATCCAGCCAAGGCAGGCGCTGCCTCTCAGGCTGTGCTGCTGGACTGGAGGAGGTCCAAATCCCATGGTAGAACATACTCCCTCCTCACCGCCAGATGGATGAGACCGTTTCTGAAAGAAGACGACGGCGGTGCAGATTCAGCGTGAGATCGTTTGGCGTCACCCTCACCGGGACCGGCTGAGGTCGACGTCGACTTGTTCTGTTGCATCGTCTAGCACCTATGAAAGGGGTCTCAATATGAGAAGGTATGTTGTGCATAGGCAAAGAAACTTGGAGGCGTTGACGAGAGAGGCAGAAATCTTGGGAGATGTATTTATTGGAGGGTGTATACAGGGTTCGACGACGCTAGCTGCGGTCGTCTCTGTGGTGTCTCTGAGATCCGTTGCACTCCCGCCGCTCAGGCCGCTAACTACGTACGAGCCTGTTCTTCGCTATGTAGAGACGTCGCAAGTCTCTGAGATATCGTGTGTCGAGCGTGTAGCGTTGCTGCCTATACATACTACAAACTCAGCTATACGTGTGTGACGCTGTCGCCATTCGCCACCCAGGTTTGCCACCTATAGATATGAATAGCATCCACTCGTAATTTCAGCCTGAGATGGTTTACTGTCAGCCTGAACAGGGACCGGCTGGGGGATTGTTTGTTGCATCGTCTAGCGCCTGTGTAATGGGTCCCGATATGGGGAGGAGATGTTGCGCGTAAAAACGTGGTGTCGTTGCCGAGAGATATATATAGAAGAGATCAAGTCCTATGACCTCCCCTTCTTTCCTCGCGACGACTTCTTTCCCCGGTCACGATCTAGGATTCGGCAGCTATACGACCCTAGTTACTCGGCGAAATCATACCTGATGACTGGAGCTGAAAGTACAACGCGCTAATGATACATACCAAGATCAACTACTCTGATGATCGTCTCACCCCTCTGGAATTCTACGCCTTCACCCCCTCACCCTGAGCCTGGATCGCTGGTCCCAACTCCACCTTTTCCATCTTAGCCACCACCTCATCCACCTCCACCTCCTTGTCCCTCACAGCCGGCGTCTTCTCCACCCCATCGCCCACCTTTACTCCCTCCCCCGGCGTCTTCTCCCCTGCAGCCCCAGGCCCAGGCCCATCCGCCACTTTCGGCCCCTTCCGATCACTCATCCATTCTTCCCAGTTGACTTCTCCCGGCTTACCCATCCACGGCCATTTCTTGGAGTTACGAGGGGGCGGGAGACGTCCATTCGCCTCGACGAGGATATCCTTCTCTACCAGTGCTTGAAGTATTCGGGCGACATTGGTTGCATCCTACAGATATCAGCTTCTTTCCCAGTCCCATACCTTGGTGGCCCAGCGAACTCACGTCCAATCCACAATGCTGCCTCCCTTCAAATTCCCCCAACCCCAGCTTCTCAATCATCCCCGAAATAGTCTGATAAAACCCCAAGCCCTTATAACTTTCCTGCATCCCTTTACCGACCAGCTTACCCGTCGTAATTCTCGACAAAGACCGCTCGTTTGGCGGGTCATTCGGGTGGGAAGCGGCATAGGCGGCACGCCGGTATTCTTCGGAAAGGACGGTTTGGAAGGCTTGTTTGAGGTTCAGGTAGGGTTGGCGGAGGTAGAGAGGGGAGGCGGGGTCGCAGGGGGTTATGTGGAGTTGTTTGGGGATCTACGGGGTCAGCTGTGGCCTCGTGCCGGGGAAGGAGAGAGGTCGGGGAGCTTACAAAGTCTCTGTAAGGGGAGATGGTGGTTAGCTATATCACCGCAAGCTATCAGCCAGAAATATCTCACCGAAGATCCCACGGCTATATGATCAGCTCAAGCCCACAGTTAGCTATGCTGCTGACAGCTGTACTCACCCCATCAGTCACCCATACCGCATTCACCAACCCCTCCACAATCTTCCCATCCTCAATCTCTCTGAGCCCATGCGAGTCCATCCACTTCTCCAGCATCTTCAGCACTTCAGGGAAGGTCGGAGACGCATCGACCATTTCCTACATGTGTCAGCTTTGCCTTTGCCATGCCATAATCAGACAATCAAAAGCGGACGAAATGAGTAAGACATACCTGCGTGATACCAGTGAAGGAGGTACAGAACTCTGAAAGCTGGGGGGACCAAGTGGGTCGGACGTAAGTGTGGAATTTGTCGACGATGACCAGTCGGGACTTGTCTGAGGTTGATGCCGAGGCCGAGTGGGATGTTGCGTTCGATGGGCCCGCTTGCTCATGAAGGGCCTCCTCATCGACATCTTCCGCCCATCGAAGAAGAACCACCGGGAATTCCTATAGTTTCAGCTTGCGTCCAGTCCAATCTTCCCGCCGCGGAAGCTGAAGAAACCAAACATACGATGATCTCATTAGGCCAATCAAACTCCTTCCCTCCCCTACATGTAGCTTCGACATCAAAGCACAAGAACGCCCTGATGGGCTGTTTCCCTCGCTTCTTCTCCGAAATGATCGCGGGGGATGGCGGTGCTGCTTCTGCGGGAACTGGAGCTGAAGCTGGAGCTTGGACCGCCGACTCCGCTCGTGCTTCCGCCGGGGTCGCAACAGTAACAGCTTCAGTCTTCTCGTTCGTTCCGGCAGTGGAACCAGAAGACGGGGAAGCTCCTCGGAATCGATTCAAATGATTCATCATACGCCTATACCGTCAGCCCAGCTCAAGCTTGCAAAAAGTATTTCGTAGACGGCTGAGCTGGGGAGCGAGCGCAGATACTCACCTGAACAAAGACTCCCGCTTCCCCTTCGTCTCCAGTCCCTCGGAGCTCAGCATCGTACGTAGCTCGTCGACTGTATGTTTCTTGGAAGGTCGAGGCGGGGTCATGGGTCGATAGTCGATCTTTGAAGATGGGGGGTTGGGGGTTGGCGGTTGGGAGGTTGGGGGTTCGGTACCGTCTTTCGTCTTGCGCTGCCGAAGGTTCCAAGATTCTAGATGATCAAACTATGAAAAGGAGGGAAAGGTTCCAGTGAGACTGTAGGTAAGTTACAAGATAGATAGAGGGGTAAATGAACAACGAGGCGCAAGTGAAATTTCAACTTCAAAGAGTCGAAACGACCAGCTGGGACCGAGCTCCGAGAACCAAGTTTCAGCTTGGACATCCGTGCGTTCCGTCCTCCATAGGCTTCCGCTTCGTCCGCAGCGCCATGCATGGCCCGAGCGGGATGGCTCGATGGGACCGGACAGCCCGAGCGCAAGCTCAGTCGCCATCGCTGCGAGCAGAAGAAGCTATGATAATCGTACATGCCCTTACAAGAAGCCGAACCCAAACTCGAGCGGGAACCCGACCAATGACCGCTCAGACCCCCACTTTCCCCTTCCCCACTCCACTGTCCCTTCCCTTTCCCCCGCTCGTCCCGTCTGAGCTGACAGGCAGCCGGATCAGATCCAAGCGCCTGCCCCGCCCCATCCCTTCCTCCCCGACTAGCCTTCACCCGCATACCCCTCCACCCACTCCATTTTGCCCCCTCCCTGGGACACCGCCTAACAACACCCCTTACCCTTCTGCGCACCCCCATCGTCCGCCGTAGGGGTGACGAGAATAGTCTCGCCCCCGCTGGGCTTGATGACGTCCCCGCTTGATTCGAGCGATTTGGACGAGACGATACGGTAGATGTCTGTAGGTCAGCCATGACGCGTTCGTAAGATCGTAGGATCAAGGTAAAGTCAGAATACTGGATATGGACATACCAGTCAGGATAGTCTGGAAGGCGCCTTCAACGTTGGAAGCGTCCAGAGCCGAGGTCTCGATGAATGACAGGCCGTTCTCAGCTGTGGAGTGTCAGCGTGATGTTCATTTGAACGAGAATCAAGCCTGTCCAAGATCCGGTCGGATCTCCAGCGGGGCCAATGTAACCAGAGCTGGGCGGGGCGGGGGTACCGCTCGCGCATCCACTCTCCTCTCCTACCCCGACCACGCAGAACAAAGACTCCACCGCAGGAGAGGCTTCCCCTACACTCGGTTCTGTGCTCAGGGGGTCCGCCACCCGATACCCCGTACTCTTCCCACAGCTCCTTGACCGACACTGCGCCAGAACGCAAAGAAAAGCCGAAGTCAGTTCTCCAAACCAGCCGGGCGCACCCGCTCTCTCCCATCCAGACGCTCAACACAGCTTAAACCCCCTCTTCTCGCCATGTCCAAGCAAGACCCTCCTCCTGATTGCTTTTGCCGGGACCCACTGCAGCATCCCCGACCTATATCCATCCCAGCCCCTCCCCTCCATAACCCAGCCCCGCTCAACCCCGATCCGTACCAATCCAACCCAACCAAAACGCAAACTCACTAGAGAAAGCCCTCGCCTCCTCCGTCGGAACCGCCCTCAAATGCTTCAAGTCGCTCTTGTTCCCCACGAGCATAATGACAATGTTGGAATCGGCATGGTCCCGAAGTTCCTTGAGCCACCGGACGACGTTATCGTACGTCCCGTGCTTGGCGATATCGTATACGAGCAGCGCGCCGACGGCGCCACGGTAGTATGCCGAGGTGATGGCGCGGTAGCGTTCTTGGCCGGCTGCGGGGTTAGCGAGTGCACAGAACAAGGATCAGAGAGACAGTCGAGAAGTAAGCGGATTCTGATCCGTATGCCTAGATGATAGGTGGTCACGCGAGAGACGCAAACCCACCAGTATCCCAGATCTGCGCCTTGACCGTCTTTCCATCCACGTCAATCGACCTCGTCGCGAACTCTACCCCGATAGTAGACTTGGACTCGAGGTTGAACTCTCCCCTCGTGAACCTGCTCAGCAGGTTTCTGGTCGTCAGCTCTAGTATCTCGTTGATAGGTTTGCCTGGGCTTTGGGGGACATACGATTTCCCTACGCCGGAATCACCGATCAATACCACCTATCCTATCAGCATCCCTCTGCCTGCTCCAAGACTAGAACGTACCTTGAAGAGGTAGTCGTAGTTGCTGCTCTCTGCCATATTGATTGTTTTTTACTTGGACTGGGGTGGATGCAAAAAGATGGGATGAATGGAGATTGGCGAGATGTGTAGCGCGACCTCCTTTGTTGTTTGGCGCTTTAAAAAGATGTGTTCCGGGTTGTCCTCGGATTCGATTGACGCTGATATGAATAGGTAGCTTGGCTATGCTGTGTGTGTGACTGGGCGAGTGTATGTATGGCAAGGTGAGTGCGCTTAGATGTAGGGAGTGAGTGGAACAGTTACCCCTTGCCTTGTTAGAGCGAGGAGGTGTTGGACGCGGACGGACGCGCTGGGTGGCGGAATAGCGGAATCAAAGTTCACCCTTGTGATTGATTAGCGGAATCTAACTATTTTCTAATGGAATAGGCCTTTGGTGCGTGCCTGGATCTGGTAGAAGTGACGTAGGGAACTGCTGCATCCAGCAAGTACACCAAGAGACGACTTTTCAGTCCAAAGCCTCTCTGTCCATCGCCTCATAGCCACATCAAAGCAGAGTAGTAGCCGCTACAGCAGCTCATCCATCCCGGGGCTCGATTTAGCACGGCAGCATTCGGACGCATCGAACAGCTGCGCGACATTCAGCGGATCGCAAGCAGGTCACGAGGACAGAAGCTCATCTTCCCCTGGAACCTGGGTATCCTTTCAACCGGGCGGCCAAACATCTTACCCCTCATCAACCTTCCCTAGCCCAATCATCACCTATCATGTCGGCTAAATCCCGCTCATCCGCCTCGACCCGCCCCTCCACCCCACCCGCTGGTGCTCGCTCACCTACGGAAGTAACCTCTCTCCTCCCGCCTTCCTCGCACACCCCAACGTCCGCCTCCCCGACCGCCTCGGGCTCATTCAACAAGTCGCATGCGCGCAAGGCGTCCGTGGGCGGACGGAGTGTCAGTGGACGGAGCACGGCGGGGAGTGTGAGGGGGTACGGAGCGACGGCGAAGCCTGTTGTTCCTGGGCCGGCCGAGCAGGCGCCGAGGGTCAGTAAGGCCGGACAAAGAGTGAGCTGGGCGGCGCGAACGACCGGCGCAGTAGCTGATAGTTAGCGTATCCTGACAACCTGGCCGCTTCAGATCATCTTTGGTCTTCTCACTGTATTCACCTTTATCTCGCTCGTCCTGACTTTGGTGCTTTTCGCCAACACCGCTTTGGATCTCAGCAGCATATCTCTGCCATACCGGTGGGTTCAGCTACCCATACGCCGATTGTTGCAAAGGTCTCAAACTGATGATATAGCGGAAGTGGCTTTGCAGAATTCTGGGTCTCCGCCGTTGGTTCCTGGATAGGTCTCGGCGGTGTCTTCTTCGTAAGCCCTCTCCATTTAGCCGTGGTACATGTGGCTGATGACCAGTTCTCCCACCCCTCCTACCTCTTCTTCCTCACCACCCTCCTCACCACCCTCATTGCCATCCCCTTTATCCTGGTCACCCTCTTCTCTCCTCCCGTCTACGCCATCCACGACCCCCTCCTGCTCGTTCCCTTCGTCCTCACCGCGTGCTGCCTGGTATTTACGCTGTTGTCCAACTACCTCGTCCGTCGGGCGCGATACAAGGAGAGCCAGCGGATCGTACGGATGCTCACGGACGCGGCGGGGCGGGAGCGGGCCGTCGGCGAGGAAGGCACAGCACGAGCGCTGGTCGGGATCCAAGGCAGCATGTGGGGCCGATTCGTCGGTTTCATGTCTGGCATCGGGGGGTTTATTGCCGGTCTCGCCGGACTGATCATCATGACTGTGAGTTTTCACACTTTCAACGCTGACATCCAGCTCCTCCTCATCGACATGTCCATCACGGCATACGACTACTCTCTCCCCCTTCCCTCTTCCTCATCCAAACTCGTCACTGCCCGCGCGACCGGTTCTGCCTGGCCTATCCAGATCCACCTCGCCTGCGTCCCTTTCCCACACAACTCAAGCCTCCCTACTATCCTATATGAATCTCCATCCGGCATCCCCGGCTCTCTCGCCCTCTTTGACCACCCCGTACTCGAGACCTCGGCCTCGTCGCGCTCCTACCCCGGCTCATGGCTCTTTGAGATGCAACAAAACGGGACGGTCGGGAAAGTCTGTATCTGGGATCGACCAGGCTACGGTTTCTCCCAGATCCTCCCCGGGGCCGAATTGGGTCTAGTCGCCGATACCCTCTATACTTCCCTCAAATCCAGCGGCAATATCGGGAAAGACGAAAAGCTCGTGCTCGTCGGCGAAGGGTATGGCGGTCTCGTCTCGCGGACATTTGCCTCGACGCACCCCAACCATATTGCCGGTCTGGTCCATATCGAGGCTCAGACAGCAAGCACCTATTTCTCTGAATCGCCATACGGGCGAGGCTGGTTCACACTGACCACACACCGTCTCGCGACCCGCCTCCTCCCTTCCCTCCTCACGCCCCTTTCCCTCCGGCGCCTCCCATCCGCGATCTTCCGGCACTCGTCCTCCCTCTCCCGGATCCTCGCGTCCACCCTGGAACGCACCGAGGGCCTGAACGAGAATCTCGAAAAGGCGCGCCTGCAAGAAACATTCTCGGCCCACTCGCACACGTCCGCCTCGTTCCGGACGCTCCTGGAGCGCGGGTACAGGTATCCCCGCAAAGCGCCGGCGGTGGTTGTGAGCAGTCAGGAACATATGGATGGGAATGCGGTGTGGGCGGAGGGGCAACGGGGGTTGGCGGAGGAGGTGACGGCGGAAGAGGGGTTGGTGGGATGGTTGAAGGTCAAGAAGGGGGGGAAGAGGGTGTGTGAGGGGAAGGAAGGGAGGGAGGTTTGTGAAGAGGCGGTCAGGATGGTACTTGGGAAGAGTGGCAAGGGGTCGGGGAAGGGAGGGAAGGGGAAGAAGGTGGTTTGAGGAGAGAAGGATGGGGGGATCGAGGAGGACGCTGGGAGAGGATGGGTGTTTGTAGGAACCGTGTAGGACGGAGTGGGGTCTCGAGTTGAGGGGACCATATACCTAGATGAATATAATCGCGGATCGGAATCATCGACAATCATTTGGGCAAACGATCGATACGAAGAGCTGCCATTTCAAGCGCAACCGGCAGGATATATGCGCTTGACTCTGCTGGACCCGTCACGGCCGCAGCCGTAGAGGAGGACGTTGAAGCCTGCACCCCTCCAGGACCATCCTGCTAGCTAATCACAAATCTCATACATCAAGTCTATAATACAACGTTGAAGCTAATCAAGAACAACACTTTACAAATTATAAACAAAGATATAAACACTGAAGATGCCCAAAACCCAAAAGCTTCCCCGCCAGCTGCGTCCTCCCACCCACCTCCCACCGCCGATTCATCTTAGCCTCTGCAATCCCAGCTGTACCGCACTGCCTTGCTCCTGCCCTTTCGCCCCTGCTCCGAGCTCCGTGGTCCATGCTGCCCTGCCCCGATGCCCCTCTCGCCCCTCTCGCCCAGCCCCATCCCGCTCAACCCGCTTCCTCATCTTCCTTCGCCTGCCTAATCCTGTTAACCTTGAACTTCTTCAGCGTTTCCGGATGCGTCATGAGATGATCGATAATCTCCTCGTGATCCGTCTCGACGAGCGGTTGTCGATCCTCCGCATTCATCTCCTTCCGTCTTTCCAGCGGAGGCAGTTCAGCTCTAAAGGGGGGGAATCAGCACTCTGTCTGCCCTCTTCCCTCGCATAGGCACACTCACATGCACAGCTTGCAGATGGTATGTATCCCATCTCGCGCGCCCACAATCATATTCCGGAGTCGATGCGGCTGCGACACCCACTCCCGAGTGATCGGCGGGCCATGCTGCACCGCCAGGGCCCGCTGTTCGCGGGACTCCTTGGTCGCCGTCGACGCAGTCCCCACGGAGGTCCCAGAATCGGAGAAGGCGGCGGTGCTTCCTCGCTTCAAATGCCGGGAGGGACCGAGTGCGTTCAATGAAGACGCGGAGGCGGATTCGGGTGTAGCGACAATGACTGCAGCATCAGCTCTGTGCACATGCAATAATCGAGCGGTGCGGTCTGAGCAGGCAAGCAACACTCACCAAGCCCTTCAGCAACCATATCGGGCTCTTCGCTTATGATCGTCCTCTTGCGCCGCTTGACCATCTTCTCCCGTCCCCCCAAGCTGCTGGTGGAGGGACTATCCGCACGTCCCTGCTCGGGACTATCGGGGTTGCGCTTTTTCCGCTTGACACTATCTCCATTGCCGCTGATGCCAACTGTTGGAGGAGGTCGCATGGAGGAACCGCCCGGCTGAGGATTGCAAGTATTGCGCTTGATAGAATCCCGCGAGACTAGGAGATCAGCCATTATCACCCCTACCAAGATAGACAGGGGACTCACCTGAAGTGGAGTTTTCTCCCGTAAAGATGACATCGTCGTCCTCGCCTGATGCCGGTTCCACTACAGGAACGGACGGCGCAGGTGGACCCAACGCCGACTTTCTGACCCCATCCACCGCCTTCTTCCGAGGGACATATGCAAGTTGTTTGGGCGTGACGTTGCTGGCTCCTGCCCCGGCTGCCCCGGCTGTCCCGCCTGAGCCATTGGGGCCCTGACTGGAGTTCGGCGCTAACGTCGACGCAGAGCCACCCGCATTAGGGGTATTGGGGGTACTGAGCGATGATCCGGGCTTTTTAAAAGGAGCACCCCTCGCCCGGGCCAGTGCGAGTTCCAAGAAGCTCTCCTTTGGCTGCCCAGCGCCCGCCGCTGGAGCTGCCGGTCTTGGTTTCATCTGCTTTATCGGGCGGCCTCGAGGGGTAGTCCCACGCCCTGCCGATTCCGCCGACTCCGAATGGCTCATCTCCAGCGAAGCAGCGCCCATCCCGCCGCCTGGTCCAGGTCTCCCATACCCGGAGCCGGAGCTTGACCCATTACGGTCCATCCCAGGCCGCGGAGCGTTCACTGCCCCTCCGCTTGCCGACCCGGTCTGACCACCGCCTGGAGGATTCCGAGGTTGGTAGTTGTTGAACACCGGCTTAGACGGAGGACCCGGGCCCGGGGCTGATCCGCCGACTGGTCGATCACGAGGGACGTAAGCGTCCGGACGAGCCTGGACTGGCGACTGCTGAGGAAGGACCGCGGGGCGTATACTGGGCGACTCGTCGGGATCCACCTGGGACGATGCGGAGGTCGTAGGCGTAGCAAAGAGGTCGTCGACCGATTATGACGGCGCGGAGACCCGACGTCCCCAGCCTCCGTCACCGTCACAATGTCCATATCCACGTCGTCCGCTCCGGCTTCAACCTCCTCTACCGCCTCTTCTGGCTCGACGGACCGTCCGCCGATCGTCGAAACCTCCCCCTCCTCCTTCTCGCTCCTGGGGTACAGGCTGATCGAGCGCCCCACCCTCGAGTATTCCGATATCTTCCCGTCCTCCTTGTCGCTCCGTGTCGACCGCCGCCTCGACGCGAGATACTCCTTCGACACGGTTGACACCTCCCCACCATGTGCACTGCTGCCGCTACCGCCCTTGTGCGCGCTCAACCGCGCGACATCATCCTCCAACTTCTTGATCTGTAAGACATGATCGCCCCGCTCCTTGTTGAGCGCCCCAATCGTGTTCTTGCGTCTATCCGCCGCCTTGGTGATATAGTCCAGCTTCCCCTTCAGCTCCTCCACCTCCTTGACGAGCCCCGCTCGTTCCTTCTCCCACCCCTCACGAGAAACAGGTATCGTCGTGGTGTCCACCACATCCGCCTCGTCCCGCTGCTCTTCCAGCTTCTCGATCCGCTCGTCCCTCCTCTTGATCTTTGCTTCGAGCTTCTCCACCTTGCCCTGCGCCTCCTCATTGCTCTTTCGAATACTATCTCGCTCCTTGTTGGACGCAGCGAGAAGCGCCGAGTTGGTGTCGACCTCCTTCTGAAGCTTCTTGACGTCCTTGCGAAGGATCTTGATCGTCGCCTCCTTCCCTTCCACCGCAGTCTGGAGGGCGCCCGTGTCCTCCGTGTCCGAAAGTTCCGAGATCCGATCTTCGAGCTTTTGGATCGCGAGCTCGTTGGTCCGTTTCCGGGTGTCGGCCATCGAGTTGGCATCCGCCAACTTTTGCTCCGCCGCCTCCTTCTGGTCCAGCGCAGTCTCCAGCTGAGTTCTCACAGAACTGACCGCCGATTCCAGTTCCGCCACCTTCTCCTGCTTCTTCAACAGCTCCCTCTCTACCTTCCCCACCCGCTCCGTCTTGCTGTCCAGCTCGCGCTGCATCTCCTCCGACCCCATTCTCCCCTTCTCCCCCTTGAGCTTCTCGAGCATGCCTTTCCCGTCGGCGAGTTGCTTCTGCTCCAGCTTGAGCTTTCCCTCCAGCTCTTTCTTGTCCTTCCGCAACGCATCCCTCTCGGCCGTCACCGTCTCCAACCACTTCTTTGTCCGCCCAAGATCCGCCATGGTCTTTTTCGCCCCGTTCGCCTGTATCTCCTCGTCCTCCTTGTACTTTGCCACCCGCTTCTCCAGCTCGGTCACTTTCCGCAGCCCATCCCCGACGTCCAGCTTCAACTGATCGGTCTCCGCCTGCTTCTGCTCGATCGCAGCGAGCACCTGCTTGAAGAAAACATCGGCCGTGGCGTTCGTATCACTGATGTTGAGGTACCGCCGTACCAGGCTCGCGGACTGCTGGATAATAGCTTGACGCTTTATGAGCCCCTCGCCGGCCACCTTGGCCGCCCGGAGCCGCTCAACCTCGGTCTTTAGATCGGCCAAGGTCTGGCGCTCCGCTTCGAGTTCGTCTGCCGCCTGCTTAGCCGATTGGTTGGCATTGTCCCGTTCCGATGCGACGGCCGCATAGTCGAGATCGTGCGTGACCGCGCTTGCGGTAAGGGCGGCGTGTTTCTCGATATCCTCCGTCCGAAGCTGTTCCGAATGCTTGAGAGCTTCCGACGTTTTCCCCAGTTCCGCTCGTAGCACAGTCAACTTCTGTTCCGCCGTTTCTTTCTCCCTTGTCAATTGCGTGACCGACGTATGGGCCGAGGCGATGGTTTGATCGCCCCGCTCCTTTACCTCTCTCAGCTCCTTCAATACGCTTTTCTGCGCTACATATTCTTTCACCAAGGCTACGGACATCAGCCCCAAACGCTACTCAAACTGGCGGTACAGAAACAAGACTCACCACCGTGTCTTTGTCTACCGCGTTCCATCTGCTCCTCGAGCTGCTTGACCTTGAGCTGCTCCGCCGCGATAGCTGTTGCCTGGTCGTTGCAGAATGCGCCTGCTTGCCGAACCATCCGCTCCGACGAGCGAAACTGCTCATTCCTGATCTTCAGTCATCAGTCGCCGAGGTGGAAAGATTGACTCACCAAGCAACCGTCAGGTTATTCGACAGGACATTGAGGATGGCTGCATTCTCATTGTAGAATTGACTGAATGGGGACGGAACCCCCTGCGCCGGCATCGGACCCGATCCCATTGGCGAGATCGGCGTCATGCTCGCGTGGTCATGGTTCTGCCGTATGCCCGATGCTGATGGTTGCATCTGGTTGGCCAGAGCTGGCGCCTGGGCCTGAGCCTGAGCCTGAGCTAAATTCGGCCCGTTGGCAGGAACCCCATGCGGCGGTGGTTGGCGAATCCGCCCCGGCTGTTGTTGATATTGCGGTCCTGAGAGTGGGAGATGCAGTGCCGGCGGTAGCGCCCGGGGTTGCTGTTGATTGTTCTGAGCAGCGGATGGGCCGGAAGATCGCCGAGGCTGCGCCGCCGCCATTACCGAAGGTGGTTGATGTTGTTGCTGCTGCTGCTGCTGCTGCTGTTGCTGCTGCTGCTGCTGCTGTTGCTGCTGTTGCTGCTGCGCCGCGTAACGAGGATCAAAGGGCACGTCCGGAATGGCAAAAGTGGCGCCGCCTGGACCGTAAAATGTTCCTGCCGGAGGCGGGGGCGGCGGTACCTGTGGTTGTGGCTGCGACTGCTGTTGAGGCATGGCGTACTGCGATGGGCCAGGCTGCGACTGCGGTTGTTGATGCTGCGCCTGCTGAGCCTGGAAGTGTTGCTCATTCTGCCGCTGCCGCTGGATAGCCGCCTGCTGCTGTCGCTGCTGCTGGACCGCTTGCTGCTGCTGGACCTGATTCGCGGCCGCGCCCGCCTGCAGCTGCTGCTCCAAATACAGCTGCAGATCCGCCTGACTGGACATTCCAGCCGAAGCTGCCGCGGCCAGGTTGGCAGGCGGCTGATGCTGCCGGACCGATCCGTTGGCCTGACTCGCGTTCCCAGGATTGAGCTGGCCGCCGCCCTGCATTGCAGCCGCGTACTGTATCCGCTGTTCCAGCGGCAGTGAGTGGAGACGCTGCACGGTCTGCTGATTCAGCTGGAATCGCTGTATCGCGCCTTGCAGCTGTGGCGACGCCGATGGCCCCGCCGCTGCCGCAGTCGATTGCGGTGGCGCTGAAGGGGGAGGTGTAGGATTGGCCGTTCCGCCGGGAACGAAACCGAATTCGACCGTTTCGTTCGGCTGAGCCGACTGTCCCGACGTGTAAGGGTAGTCCCACGTACCGACCGTGTTGTTCTGGGGTACGGGTGGTGTAGCTGATGGTCGAGCTGCCGCTGCCGCCGCCGCCTCAGCCGCCGCCGCAGCTGCAGCCAATGCCCCGGCTGTCTCTGGCTCGGGCGAGGGACTGAGCATACGCCCATAGTACTGCGTCTCGGTCGATCCAGGAGGGTCCATCCCGCCTCCATTCCCGTTAATGCCGCCGCTGCCGCCACCCGAGCCCGAGGCGGTATGCGCCGAGTCCGGTCGGGCGATGCTCGAGATCATCTCTTGGGGCGTGGCCTGCCGGCCCGCCTGGTTGATAGTTCCTAAAGGAAAATTACTTCCTACCGTATTTCCTGGTGCAGCGAAGAGTGCGTCCTCCGCCGAGGCCTCGTCAACTGGTGAGGATTGTCGTTCCGGCATAGGCGTCGGCGCGCAGGCCATAGCCAGCGCTGAGGAAGTTATAATTTGGTCTTCGGGGATGCCATCGATGAATCGCTGCATTCGACCTTGCGTCAGAGAGGGGAAGTTGGGGGCGGGCATGCTTTGAGAATGGGTCGAGTTGGTGGGAGAGGTGAGGGCCGTCCCGAAGTCGGTCTGAGCGGTAGGGGGCGCCATGATGCTTGGCTGAGTTGGCATGGGATTTGGACTTCGACGAGGCGCTACTTGCGCGTTGGAGGTGAGGCCTGCCGAGGCGGAGTTGGGCTGTGGGGATTGGGAAGGTGGGCCGGAGCCTTTGCGGGATGAGGGGGCTCTACTATGAGTCAGCTTGTGGACTCTCAATGACATGAGACTGAGGCGAAGTCAAGTATCTGCTTCATCTATATCTCGACGCCTACCGAGCCTAATGACACTTCCGAGAAGGGAGAATCCTCGTCCTCTTCGCGCCGATACTCGTACTCACGTCTGACCTCCACTGCCTCCCATCATACCTTGTCCCATCTGCGCCTGTCCCTTCCCTTGGCCTTGTCTTGCCTGTGCCTGCGCCTGCGGCTGTCCTCCACTCCTGTTACCCCCATTCAGAGCACCGGAGGTATTTCCACTAGTACCAGTCACACTCGCCCCCGCCGCCTGTCCGCCAACGGCCGCGGGGGTATGCGAGCCCCCCGCTCCCGTTCCCGCGTCCTGTGATGCTGTTACCCATCCAGGCATTTTTTTTACGGATCGGTCGATGCTTTATCGCCATGTATGCGCGATAGTGGATAGCGCGCTCATGCTGCGAGCTGTGCGTATAGATGGAAAGAAGGATGATGGACGGTTGTGAGGGTTGATTTCTGGGTCCGAGAACGCGGTCCACATGTTGGTGCGGGGAAGGTTGATTATGTAATCAGTCCGGGCAAGTTACGGCATCGACCTCGGAGATGTTTCGGCAAAGGCTCACAAGCTTTGACTTTTGGTCTTTGCCTTTATCTTTTCCTTGAGGTGACGACGACGAGGGCAGCGGCGACGAACACAAACACGGTCACGATCTATCCGCTCGATGATGATTTATCGAAATAGCGCGTAAATCTCTGCACTGTCGGAAGCAGCTTTGTCAAGCAGTAGCTCGGACGCGAGAGATCTTTCGGGATGTCGTTCGTCTTCCCGTCGTGGGAGACGGCGTTCTCGCCTGAATTCTATGAGAGTGCAAAGGACACATTAGAGACTGCTCTGAACAAGGTGAGTATCGTAACTGGCTCTTCCCCCCTCGAAAGATGACCCAGCTGACGTCAGGGCAACAAACCCCCCGTCATTCAAGGCCGAATCGAAGTCGTCGAGCTGTCTATGGGTACCCAACCCCCCACTCTCACTCTCCTCGAGATAGGCGATCTCTCGGTAGATCGCTTCCGCGGTATCCTGCGGCTCGGGTACCAAGGCGACGCCTGGCTCGAAGTCCGATGTCGCGTCCAAGCCAACCCTTTATCGCACAATCCCAACCTCGCATCCTCATCCCTCCTCCCCCTCTCCACACCGCTCCTCGCCTCGCAACCCCTCCTCGTACCCATGACACTCCGCTTATCGAAGCTTCACCTCCGCGCTATCCTCATCCTCGTCGTTTCCGCCTCCAAGGGGATCACCCTGGTGTTCAAGAATGACCCCCTTCAGAACGTGGACGTCTCGAGTACGTTTGACTCGGTCGAGGTCATCAGGGGGTATCTGCAGCAGGAGATCGAAGGGCAGTTGAGGGAGATGTTTCGGGAAGATCTGCCGGGGATTATCCATCGGCTGAGTCAGCGGTGGTTGACGGGGACGGGCGTAGGCGGGCGGGTCGAGATGCCTTACCGGGACGGAGTAGTAGGGAGTATGGACCTAGGCGTAGGGACGCCAGGGAAGGATGACGAGCCGACAACGCCTAGCGATCCTTATGCGGAGAAACCAATCTTTCCGCCATATCAGCCCACACCGCCCTTATCGCAGCTTACGCCCAAACGGCGCGCCCTCGCCCAGATGGCGGCGGCTGCGCGGACACGTCGGCCGTCGACGGCCCTATCAGAGTCTCCTTCGGCGTTCACGTCCTTAGCCGGGATAGAGGACTATGATCCCACGTACGGGTTGAGACCAGAGGGAGTGCCGACGCATTCGGGATACGAGGCGTTTGGGCGATTATGGGAGAAGGCGCGAGAAGGGGGAAGTGGACTCGGCAGCCTCATGCGCGTCCCGGTCGGTCAACAGGGATTGCACGAGGGCGACGTCTCGGATGAAGACGGAGACGTGGATGCGTCAGACGAGGATGTCTTTGGCGGGATCGATCATGATCGCGATAGTGTGGAGGATGTGGAGGCGCACGAGGTGCTCGGTGCGTTGCCCTCCAGGGGACAGGGCTTGGCCAGGCGGACAAGTGGGCGAAGCCGCTTATCGAGGAGTACGATCCCAGAGGAGGAGCAGGAGTGGGAGACGTATCCTGCTGTAGGCGGGGGCGTGATTACGCGTCCGAGGGTATATCATGCCCAGAGCCAGATCAGGGCGCCGAGCGAAGTAGGATTTTCGGGCGCTTTGCCTAGTCCGGGAGGAACGGGCGGGACGGGGAGTATTACAGCTAGAGCGAGTAGTGTGGGTACGCCAACTATGGGAGTGAGTTGAGGGTTGCATCTCCATCCTTCAGTAGGAAATATCGCTAATCCCCAGAGTATGCGCCGGCAGCATACAGGACTCCGTACGCCCGGCCTCGGCGGCTCCCTCTTACCCATCTCTCAACCCCGCTTTCAACCCCGCTCGCAATCTCAAGCCCGCCTACCTACCTCCACCTCCGCTTCTGCACTCGCTGGCCCCGGACCCTCCTCATTACGCCGGATGGTCACTTCCCGATCGGACGTCTTCCTCTCTCGTCCGTCCGAAAAGACCCCATTCCCCACATCTCTCCCCGCATCCACATCGGCACCTATCAATCGGAACACTCGCCGATTATCCAACGCCCCCTCTCACCCAAGCAACACCAATACCAACACCAATACTACCTGGAGTTCCGCCGACCCGCACTCCCAAGCCCACTCCACTCTCCCCTCATCCACAAGCATGTCCATGTCTGTTCTCATACCCGACACGTCCTCCCCCTCTCGCTCACATCTCCGCACCCCCTCAGGATCCGGCCCCAGCTCCACCTCGTTCCCGCCACGCGGCTCCATCATCGGCCCTGGCGGGATCACGCTCCCGCTAAACAACTCGGTCAGTCAGCTCGCGGCGCTAAGCCGCGAAGCCCAGACCCTGAGTCCTTACGCGAGAGGGCATGAGCATATTGCCGTCAGGAGCTTCCCGCACCTCGGCCGAAGTGCTTCAGGGGGGCCAGGGGGAGTGGGGAGGGAATTGGGCATGTCGAGGATTAGTTCAGAGGCGAGGGGGACGATGATGTCCATATCCCAAAGAGAAGGGGAGCAGGGACGGGGGAAGGGGAATAGGAAGAGGACGCATCGGCTTGGCGGGGGCGGAGGCGGGCAGAGGGAGCAGGAGATGGCATGGAAGGGGGACGGGGAGCTGGATGAGTATATGCCCCTAGGGGCTATATCGCCCCATCTTGGAAATCATCGGCGATTATCGCCCGAGTCGGGGTCGGGTTCAGGCTCTGGCTCGGGCGGTGGGGCCGGGATGGGGATAGGGATGGGGACGTATGGGCTTCAGGCGCTATCAATGCGCGACCGGGACCGGGATACTAGGACGGGCAAGGGGTCGATGCGGGAGAGTGCGAGTCTGGGGGGTATGGCCAGTGTGTTGATGGCGAATGGGGCGGCGCCCGCTACTGGCGGAGGCGGCGGCGGAGGTGGAGCTGGGCTGAGGCCGAACCTGATGAGGAGTCCGGATAGTCGGAGTTCGTATGGGTTCCCGCAGGTACGGCGGTATGTCTAGCTGAGGGCGGCGCTGTGTGCGGCACGGGAGGGAGGAGGGTTTGAGGTTTCTTGGGGTGTCATCTTGATAATCTGTACTTGTGATCTAGTAGGTACATCTTGGTCGCGAGAGGGGTATGCAGACTGCTCTGGCATGATCTGGGTGTTCTGGATCTGTGCAGCAGGGATGGCCAGCCTGAGCTGACTGGCACGATGCCTTGACCTGTCGATCGAGCGTGAGGAATGGAGATTTTCAGGCACGAGTTCCGAATGGCCTGTAGTTTTGCAGGAATCGGCCCTGCCCTCTGCTCCTGCTCCACCGTACAACACCGCACCTCGAGAACCCCTCCAGCTCCGACTGCTACAAGATGGTGCTCGACGTGACGACGCATGAGATTCGAGAAAAAAAGCACATGCTCGTCAATGGCCATAAGGTGGAGAAGGAGGAAACGACAAAGATAATCGTCCTGGAGCCGATGAGGAAAAAGCTTGGGACGGGCGGTCAGAGCGCAGGTGCAGGTGTTAAGGGCGGAGGAGATGAGCGGAAAGGGAAGGGGGTGAGGGCGGAGGTGGTGTGGCTGGTCTGGGCGGTTTGGGCAGTGGGGGTCTGGTGGTGGTTCAGCTAGAAGAAGAGACGAGCTTCTCCGAGCCGCTCTTGGTGCCTCGCCGGATTTGACAGAGGGACCATCGTGAGTGACATGGGATTTGCGCAAGAAGAATATGCAGCTAATGGTCAGTCTGCGAGCCAGAACAAGCGGAGGCGACAGTTCAATAACATTGCACCACACAAGTGGGCAAGGATGTTGGCGCAGAACGGTACGCTCATTCGCAGCTACAGCTCTCCTCAGCCCGCCCTGTCCAAACCAAGCTGACATCCAGATCTACATCCCAGCTACAACGCACTCTTCGCCTGCATCTCTCTCCCTTCCTCCCACATCGTCCGTCCCGAACACGCACACACCGTCTTTTCATTCCCCCACGCCCCCGCCGATCTCGCTACCACCCCCGCAAAGATTTTGCCCACGCCCGACTTCTCCTCCTTGTCCTTCTCCGCCCCTGTCGCCGTCGCCATCGCTGTCGCCTGCACCACACACCCTCTCCCGACCCACTCCCACAACTCCCCCTCCACCTCCCTAAACATATCCCCATACCCCTCCTTATCCGGCTCAATCTTGCCTAGATTTACAAGTGCCCCGCCTGTCGTGCGGGGCGGATCGACCATATCCCCCGTTCTGGAGATATACACCTCGTACGCCCTGCCCGCGTGCAGACCCACCGCCGAAGAGGGCGGAAGACGGACGGTGAGGTCCATCAGGATCGTCTTGGGTGCGATCTGGACAAACCGACAGATCCCGAATACTTTTTGGGTGAACTCGTCCTCTGTCAACCCGGGCAATTCCCGGCTGTGGATGATCTCGGGCTGGGGGGAGGTGGAGGAGGATGCGAGGGCGGCGAAGGGGGTTCGGATGGATGAAGGGAGGGGGAGCGGGGATTCGAGGATGGAGACGGCGGCTGATTGGGGGAAAGGAGTGGAGGAGGGGATGGCGGATGAGGCACCGCGGACTATGACTTGGCGTTGGGTGCTTTTGAGGGCGGTGAGCAGGCGGGAGGGCGGGGCTGGGGATCAGCAGGCCTAGCTTGAGTGATAAAGGGAAGGAAGGATGGGATGGGATGAGATGTACTTTTACCGGTTATGGTGACTCGTTTCTGAGCGAGATCAATGTCGTAGCGCTCGATACCTTGGATATCTCTCAGGGACTCTTGTACGGCGTTGACGCACTAGGGGTCAGCTGTGACCGCTCGATACGTGGTACTGTCAGCGGACATACGTTCTGACAGGTCATGTCGACCGCAAACTCGGTCTGCACATCGATAGGTGTGTTGTCGGGAAGGATAATCGCCATGACAGTCGAATGGAGTATATGAGTAGGTATTGGTAAGTAGGATGAAGGAGGAAGGGGTCAGCTCGGAGTCGCTCGGTTATATACCTCGGCGAGAGTAGGGGGACGCACCTTGAACGCAACGGTAGCTACGGTCATCGTGGTACCGGTCGGGTCGTTTCGGATGGTTCCAGGGGGGATTGGCACCGCTCCAAACAGTCCGCAGCTGAGTGGCGATCAAAGTGGTAGCTGGGAGTAAGGTATATGTCGCAAGGCGCAGAGGAGTGAGGCCTTTAGGACTCTTAGAGCAGCATGATCAGTAAGCGAGCACGGAGATGGAGATCGTCGTCCGTGATGTTTACGTCATGTCTCGGTTGACGCGACCAAAATCAAACCCGAGATATCAGTCGCGTCCAACGCTACCTCTTCTCCCTCCTCTCCTGTTGCTATACCTAGGCAAGCGGGCAGGACAGTATGGCGGACGACATCACAGCATGGCTAGCTGGGGCTATAGTCAAATTTGACAAAGACCACCAGCAAAATTTTGCCGAGGTAGCGCACGGCAAGTTGGCCCAACTCTCCAAGGTCAGTTCCCTTCCCTCGCTTTTACTGATGGGGTCACGGCTGATGCGCCGCCAGTTCACCACTTATAGAGATGAGGATGATCCGCACAAGCAGATAGTCGGTGTCTTGTCCGACAAGACGCATTGGGTCTGGGTCAAATTTGACGTCGCTGCGACAGACGAGTTTGAGGAGTAAGCTTACCGCGAGCACCACTCCTGAGCGTAATCGATGACTGACCCCTTAGATCCAGACACGGTCTCCCCTCTGAGAGTCTCACTTCCCACCTCCGAGCGGTCTTCCGGATCAAGAAATATCGAATCTCGCTCCAGGCCCGAGAGACCCCAAGCCGGTCTCGATCGCTCTCGCGAGCCGGATCAGAGCTGGACGTGGGGTTGCACACGCCCCAGATCCCGCGGGTATGGTTCGAGATCCTCGAATGGGAGATACCGTTAGGGGACGACAAGGACCCGGAGTATCGGGAGAAGTCGGTTGAGGTGGGGATGGGCAAAGAGGACGGGGAGGTTCAGAAGGTGTTGAGGAAATGGTGGGCGGGCGAGTGAGTCTCTTCTTTGGGTCGTTGGTGTAATAAGTTGACGTCTCAGGGCGGATGATGAGTCCCTGGAGAAGCAGGCAGAGGCGAGGGCGAAAGAAGGGAGTCCGTCCAGGGCAAGAGATGTCAGTACCCTCAGAACGGCAGGTATCAAGCTAGATGTAGAAGCTGATAGTATAGCTGGTCATCCCCCCTCAACCGCCGGTTATCGTTAATGTGCTCAAGACCAATACGACCAAATCCCCTCTGGATGGTCTTTTGGCAGGACACAAACCCATCCCCGACTGGTACTTCGACGTGCCGGATGACCAGCGGGCCATCCTCGATTCTATCGAGATGTTTGGGCGGGATGTCGAGGACGACACGGCGGTTGAGCCGTCTCGCCAGGCGGAGGCAGTCGCTGCTGTGCCAAGCGTATCTCGTCCGCTACCTCGGACGGGCGGGCCGAATGCAGAGGCGGGACCATCCCGCCAAGCTCAAGCCCATGTCGTCGCGCCGCCTGCCACTGCTACGTCTCGCCCGGAAGCGACACTTCAACCGAACACGGAAGCGGGACCATCCCGTCAGCCAGGCCGACCGGCAGCCGAGCCAAGCGTTCCTCCTCAGGCTGCCGCGCTCTCTGTCCCTCCCACACTACACCAACCTCCTACACCGCCAAAAAGCCCGCCGGTTGTGGTGCCTCCCCAAGGCACAGGCCCACAGGCCGGGCGGACAGCACCTCTGCTCAGCAGGCCTTCTGCGATACCGCCTCGGAGGGGTCCTCGGGCGTCGGGACCGGGACCTGTGCCTCCAACACAGCCAGCACGGGAGCCAGAACCGGAACTGGCCGAACCAGAGCCAGAGCATGCACCGTCCCCACCCCGTCGCAGTGGCTCGGTCGCCATGTCCTCGCCTGAGCCAGAAGACCCACCCTACACCGAGGTCCACATCGCCGCTCTTCCCCTATCGCCCGAGGCCAAGCTAGAGCCAGCGCGCTCCCTTCCCCTTGCTGCCGCCCTACCGCCCGCAGCGACCGCGCGGTCCAAACCAAGAACCGTGTCCTCATTGGGACAAACCGGCTCTCAGGCCACTCAAGCTACTCAGCACCCGCGTGACCCCCGCGCTCGGTCGAGTCTTCCCACCCCAGCGACCAGCTCTGATCCCGGTATCCACGTCGAGAAATCGTTCCCCCTCCAGCTCGGCCAGCGCATGCCGGAAGTACGCGCAAGTCTGCCCACGCCCGAAGCGGCGGATCCATCGCCCAACGGAGAAGAGGAAGAGGAAGAGAAGGCGGAAGACAGCTCGAGCCGGGAGGACTCGCCGCCACCGAAGAAGCCAGCGAAGAAGGTGCATAAGATGCGGCGGAGTATACAACCCGCTGAACCCGTACAACGGGTTAAACGGGAAAGCTCGCCTGCCGCACCCGAACCATCGTCGAGCGCGGGCGCGGATCATCGTCCACGCTCCGATGGCGAGGAGACGGACGAGGCGGAGCTGTCGTCCGAGTCGATCAAAAGGCGGCAACGGGTGCGAGAGAAGAAGGCTGCTAAAGCGGTCAAGGCGGCGAAGGAGCCCAAATCATCCCAGCGACTCCCGCCGTCTTCTCCGCCGGATTCGGATCCGGATCCTTCGCCTCCACCCAAGGGTCACGAGCGGAAGAAGGGGTCCACCTCGGCGGTCGACCGAAACCCGGACCCGCCTGCGGCGAGCAGGAAACGGCGGCGACCATTACCGTCTGATGGTGAGGATCAGCCCGACCCGAGCCTTGAGCGAAGGGTCCGCCGGTCCTCTGGTCTTCCCGCTCGCAGCTCCGCCGTGAACGCTCGGGACCATGAGGGCACTTCTTCCCCTATCGACGTCAAACCCACCCCTCCCAAATCCAGTCCGTCCAACGGTGGCGCCGGTCCACCCCGCAGCGCAGAGGCAATCCGGTCCGGCTCGAAATCCCACTCTCAATCACTGAGCCAAAGCCACCGCCGTACCCAAACCCAAACCCAGACTCTCGAAGTGTCCAGCGTCGAAGAGGCTCAACGACCCATCTCTGGCCTGCCGCGCGAATCGTCCACGCTGTGGCCCAACAACAAGTCGCAAGCGGGACGATTACGGACGCCGAGCGAGAGCTTGCCGGAAAGCGTGAAGAGCCAGGGGGTGTATGGGATCGGAGGGGCTGGGGGTGTGGATGATGAGGAAGAAGAAGAAGAGGAGGAGGTAGAGGAGGTAGAAGCTCGTCAAGGCGAAGAAAGGAGGGAAGTTAAGGAGGAAGGAGAAGAAGAGGAAGAGGAGGAGGAGGAAGCGGAGTATCACTCTGAGGAATCGCTACCCCAGCCTGAATCGGAGTCCCAGCCGGAGGTGTTCCATAGGGAACTGAAGAAGAGTGTGGGTGCCAAGCTTGTAGAGGAGAGCGTCGAGAGTGGGGAAAAGGCGCCGGCGTCGAGTGGGCAGAGCTCGAAGAGTGTCAAGAGCGACGGGATACTGGTGGAGGATAGTGAGGAGAGTCAGGAGAAGGCCAAGGAGAAAGCGCGGGTCAAAGGGAAAGGGAAGGAGAAGGTTGTGGAGACGGAAGTGAAAGTGAAGGAGGAAAGAGGGGTCAAGCGGTCTAGGGAAAGAGAGAGGGAGAGGGAGGCATCTGCTTCGAAATCCGTCCAGCCAAGGGAGAGGGCACAAGAACGGTCCGTCCCGCCTACCGTTAAGCGGCTCAAGGTGGAGACAGCTCCAGTCCCTCCCCGTTCGAGCTCTACTCGGCCGGCGGACCCATCGGTTGCTCATCCTCCCCCGCGCGAACCCGCCCGATCTACTTCTTTCTCCACGGTCCGGGCGAGCGGGAACGGACGGTCAGCGACTCCCGCAGGAGCACCACACGCTCAGCCGCAGCCCCTCGCTGGACCATCCCTCATCGCCCCCACCTCCACTCTACCTGCTGGACCGTCCAACAGAGCCCTGGCCCCATCTGCAACCTCGAAGCCGACCTCCAAGGTCCCAGGCAAGCCGCTCGTATCGGATCGCAATCCTCAACATTCCGCGAAGTCCACATCGGCGTCCTCCTCTCGTCTACCCACCAAGGCGCCGCGGCAGAGCGAACCCCCGCGAGATGCGGAACGGCCAGTCAAGCGACCGCGAGTAAGCGATCCGGTGAAGGCGGGCGGGTCGAGCAGGCAGGCGTCGGCGGCGCTATCCAGGAGCGGAGCTGTCGGGATCGACATCGGGGAAAGGGTGCCGACGCCGGGGCAGGGTCAACAGCTGCAGCAGACGGCGTCATCCGCACCCGTTGCTGTGCCGAGATTAGGAGGTTTCAGGCCGGATCTGAGCGTGACCGGTGGGTTGGGACAGGAGTGGCTCTTGAAGGCTCTTGATGAAGTGAAGCAGATCAGGAGACTCAAGGGTCAGGCATGATGGGGGCTGGTGGAATGGAACTGCCAAGGGTCAGTAGTCATTTTCGATCAGCCAGATGTAGGAAGCCCGCTAGGAAGGTGCTGTCCGCTCTATAGTTACTGCATTGTTCCGTAGATGATCACTTCTTCAGCTTGTCCGTGACGTACTTGTCCCACCCCAACTCCTCGAGTACGCCCACCTTGGCCAGCACCTCCTCCTCCATCGTCTTGGCGTACTTTTCTACCGCGTCTGCGTAAGCGGGAATAGACGTCCCGAGTATCCGTACAGCCAGAAGGGCGGCATTGGTCGAGTTGTTGATTCCGACCGTCGCTGTGGGTATACCGCGCTGCCCGTCAGCTACATCCAGCTCAGCGAAAGATCATAGCTCACTGGCATCTGTACGATCGAGTACAGGCTGTCCACCCCGTCCAAGACGCTCGCCTTGACCGGTACCCCGACAACCGGCAGGCTCGTCTCGCTCGCCACCATCCCTGGCAGATGCGCCGCGCCTCCCGCTCCCGCAATGATGACCCTCAACCCCCTACTCCGCGCCGCATGCGCATACTCGACCATCCGCGCCGGTGTCCGATGCGCCGAGGTGATGGTCAGTTCATACGGGACGCCAAACTGATCCAAGATCTTCGTGGCGGGGAGCATGACTGGCAAGTCCGAGTCTGAGCCCATGATGATTCCGACCAGAGGTTGGGGGTGCGATTTCCCGGTGGATATAGGAGGGCAGAGGGAATCGATAAACTCCGACGCCGACAAGTCCGATTGGGCCAAGAGAACGGGGCGCATCTTTTCGCGCAGAGATGCGTCGGATCCGGCAGTGATGGTGATATGCCCCATTTTGCGCGCTTTGCGACTCTCGGCCTTGCCATAGAGGTGGGCTTTGGCGCCGGGGATAGGGAGCGCGGCGTCCGCCATGGCGTAGACGTCGGAGAGGGAGGAAGAGACGCCGAGGATGTTGATCATGGCTGCGGAGGGGACGATGAGGGATGTATCGCCAAGAGGGAGGGAGAGGATTGCGCGGAGGTGGTTTTCGTATTGAGATGTGGAGCAGGCTTCGATCGTGTGGTGCCCGGAGTTGTGAGGCCGGGGCGCAATTTCATTGAGGAGTAAAGAGCCTGAGATCAGCGCGGCCAAGGAAGGGAGGACTTACCATCTTCCATAAGGAACATTTCCACGCCAAAGATCCCTGCGCCTTCCAAACATCCCACAGCCTTCTCCGCCAACTCCCTCGCCCGCTCGTTGACATTCTCCATCCCCTTCCCTGCTGCCCTCAACGGCGCTAACGCCACCCGGAGTATACTCTCCCGATGGATCGTCTCAACCGCATCGTAGCTCCTTACTTCCCCCTTGGTATTCCGCACCACCATCACCGCTACCTCCTTGACAAACGGCGCCCACCCCTCCGCATACAGCGGTCGATCACCCAGAAACTCCAACGACTTTTGGATATCCCCACTTTCCACCGACTGTAATGGCGAGTTCCCCCTCCCGTCATACGCCAACGTCCTGGCTTTGAGCATGAGCGGCAGCCCCAGTCTCGCGGCGACTCCCTTGATCCCCTCTTCCGTCTTCTCCACCTTTTCAAACGGCGCTACCGCCACCCCCTTGGACGCCAGATACTCCTTTTGGAGGTACTTGTCCTGGATGAGCCGAATTGTCCGCGGGCTAGGCTGCACTTCGCACAATCCCTCCTTCTCGATCTCCTCGAGGACATCCGCATTGACATGCTCAATTTCGACAGTGAGGACATCGCATTGAGCGGCGAGTTCCCGGATGTGCGTGGAAGAAGTGAAGGGGCCGTCAATGTGCGTTTGGGGAGGGATGGGAGCGAGGACCTGTTTCGCCGGGGTAGAGAGACCGGCGTCGAGGATGACGAGAGGCACGCCGAGGAGGGCCGCAGGGTGCGCGAGCATACGCCCGAGCTGGCCCCCGCCGAGGATGCCTACTGTTCTGCGGGCGGGCATGCTGTAGATGCTTGAGGGAGTGTGAAGGTGAAGTGAAGGCAAGTTCAAAGCGATTTTTTGATCATGGCGGCCGGAGTATTCTCGGCGAAACTCCAGCTGAAACACCACTCGGGCAGGGGCCGCCAACTTGTATGACTCTACTCTATCTCCATATCGCCCATATCACTGTACACGATGGACTCTCCAGTCTCACAGGAGTCATGGAAAACTCCGGACCTTTATGACGGCCAGCCAGGACAGAATGCGATTGCGTTTTGGGGGGTGGCGGAATTGAGGGAGAGGACGTTGTTTTTCGCCGACCGTTTCACAGTAATGAGGATGATGAGGCTTGATCGAAGGTCGCTCCCTGAGGCGATGCGAAGTCTGCATCGCCAGGCGCTATACGCGCGGCTGAAGTCTTTCCTCGCGTTCAAGACGGTCAGTTGCAGACTTCCCCCAAGTATTGACTATCGCTCACTCTTGTCGCAGCTGTTGGCCAGGACATACCGCTCCATCGTCATCGACATCAACTTCGTCAATGCCACTTTGTCCGCATCGCAGTGGGAGGAGCTCGGCGAGACATCTGCCTTCTACAAAGGATCTGGTTCTCACCATCGTCAGTTTAATTGGCTCCTGACGTATCGGCCGAAGGCCTTTGACATCCTCATACCCCCTCTCGCAAGAACCCTCCCCAATCTGCGCCGGGTCCGGTTCCAGCACGGAAACAGATCTCACTATCCGACCTTTTGGATCGTACACCTACCTGCAGAAGGGGAGGCAGTATCCTCAACGGATCAAGGCACGTCAAGAGGGCATATCGAATACGTCGATTTCGGTCAGTACCCCTCCGACTTTCCTCCCCCTGTCACCATGCACAAGCCGGAATGCCCATAGGCTACACTCTCACCCACCGGATCAACGTTTCCGTCCTCAACTCCGGTGTCGATTACCCTGCGGTGACTGATAAGTGGGTGACCGCAATGCGCGAGGCACCCTACTTCGGGAGCCTCTACACAGAGCTCACCATCGGGGACCTCGGTATCGGCTTCGGGGATTTGACAGTGCTGTACGAGCGACAGCTAAAAGCTGGCTACGTCGACCGTCTTGCGGTCATCTTTGCTCCTCGGCTCGTCCCTCGCCTCGACGACTTTGACCCTTTCGCCCGGGTTGCGTCTTCCTCCCTCACCAAACTCGTCCTCGCAACGGACTTCGTCGTGGGCGGGACACACATGTCATTCGATGATATAACGGTCATCCGTCAGCTGGTCCGGTCCCACCTCCGTCGGTTACAGCATCTGGAGCTCGCTCTAGATGGCATCAGCACGGCTGAGAAGGTCTGCCGAGACCTCCTCTACGCCGACATGCTCAGCGACTTTGGGCCCATCGACCATCTGGTCGTCTTTGTCGGAGATCAGCAAGATCAACTCTTTGGCGTCGTGCGCTATCTCAGCACCATGTGCGGGCCTAATCCGAGCATCGGCATCAAGACGTGCGGGGACGTGAAAGAACACCTGGACGGGCGATGTTTCCAAGCGGTTTTTGCGGGACCTGAGACGGTGGGCTTTTCCCTCTTACCTGGATGTCTTGCGCGATCGGTGCTGATGTCATCCAGGCAGTCTAAGAAGCGTCAATCCCACCTATCCACAGTCGACTTAGCTACGCTGGACGTCATTCTCCCAGAGCAAGTGGCGGATCTGAGTTATCACGAGGACGACCGGCCGAGGCGGTTATGGGAGAGTAGAGCTGCGAAGTGGAGCCAGACGGCCGCGTCGAATGGAGAGTACATCAAGGGGGAACTCACCGCCAGGCTGCATTGGGCTGTGGAGCGCATCGCCACCATGTCCAAAGAGCTTGAGACGGACATTTCCGGAAAGGAGGGGGTGGCCGGCCAGGCGGACAAGGTCAAGGAGACGCTGAGGGCGATAGAAACGGTCAAGCTGATATCGGCGCAAGTGTCGGACATGGCGGATGAGAAGATGAAAGATCAGCTGAAGGGGTATCTGGGGATCTTGGGTTCCGAAGTAGGCAGTTCGGATGAGGTGGACAATACAGCATAGATCATAGTCTTTCTGGGCGGCACTTTGTCGGACCGATAGCATATCCGCCAGACATTGGGCTAGCACCTAGGCTTGGTTTGCTATGATCTCCTAAGCTGGCCTCGACCTCGGAGGGGCAGAAGAAGCCTTCAGTTGCACCAGCTCCGACGGAAGCGAGGCACTCACCAGCCCAGTTCGCACTTGGCGCACTTCTGTCCATCACTTTTCTTTCTCCTACCTTTCAGCTTTCCACTATCCGACACATCCGCATCCGCCGCAGATGAGCATGGAGTCCAGCCTCGTACCTCATGGAGAGATGGTCCAAACCGCGGCGTCAAGGTTCTGGGATATCGCCGAGCTGCGACAAAAGGTCATCAACATGTCCGACAATCAGACGCTGGGAAGGATGATGAGGGTTGAGCGGCGATGCGTGGCAGGCGTCGCGAGAGAGCTGTATCATACAATCAGCTATGCGAATATCAGACCCTACTTGAGCCGCAACACTGTAAGCTGCGTGCTCTCTAGCACAAACGCGTCAGGCTGATCATCAGATCACCTCCAATGTCATTTGCGCGGCGGTCATCCATCTTCGAGCTCACGACATGAAGCTCTCTCCTTCACAATGGCGAGAGCTCGGCGTCTCGCCAACCCTCTTCAAAGGAGCTGGCGCTCATGCCCGCCAAGCGGCCTGGTTGCGGTTCTATCAGCCGGATATGGTCAATGTCCTCCTTCCACCTCTCCGGAAAAAGTGCAAGAACCTCCGCCAGGTCTCCTTCGAGAAGGCGGAGCCGGAACCCTTTGACGATCCGTCATGGATCGTATACCTCGACACATCTCTAGAGGACGATGATGACGGATCGGGCGCGCTCAGCGGCAGCACCGACTATATCCATTCGGAAACATACTCCCACTCTACCTCCCCTCCCTCCGACATTCCTCCTCCTACCGCGCCACCGGGCTTTCAGATCAATAATCGCTTCGATCTGACCCTCACGGCCGGCGACGAGGGGCAGACTCCACTCTACGACCAGTGGCTTCTTGCCCTGCGCGAGGCGCCGTGCTTTGCCAAGCTGCACGCGTCCATTGCGCTCGGAAGTCTGCCGCTCACCTTTGACGATCTTGTCGTTATCTACGAGCGGCAGGCGTCCAGCAGGCGCGGTCAGCGACTCGAGGAGGTGATTGCGCCGGGCATCACCCCGTATCTGGCCGGCTTTCGGTCTTTGGCCCGGGTCGCATCCTCCTGGCTCACCAAGCTTGTCCTCGCTGATAGCTACGACGAGCATCGTACGTCCTTATCGTTCGGCGACATCCACATTTTGGTCACCCTCATCCGCGACGAACTCCCTCATCTCGGACACCTGGCCCTCGCTCTTCACGGCGTCGACCGGGCCGAAGCGATTTGCCAAGATCTGCTGTACGATGGCATGTTGGGGGATATCGGTACCCTGACCCACCTCGAGATCTACGTCGCTCCGACCAAGACACACTTGTTCTCTGTCGTCCGATACCTTGGAACACTGGTGGATATCGAATCTACCATCGGATTCACGGCGCGCCCCGCGCCTGGGCATCCGATGCTTGTGATGTGTTTCTTCGCATGCTGAGAAGGTGTGTTTATATTCCTTCTGCTCCTCCGTAAGAGACGCTGATTGAACAGTCAAGACAAATCGACGCAATCACACCTATCTCTCGCCAATTTCCCTTCCCTCGGTGTCTTCGAGCCTAAGTAAGCAGGGTCCATCGTCTTCGGCAGGGATGGACGCCCAAGGAATATATGGCAGGACAAGGCGGACGCATGGGCGAAGCTTGCGGAGAGTAAGGAGCAGCCTTCCCCTCAACGCCTCGTGGATCTGGGGGAGCGTTTGGCGGCTCTGCCCATCGCAGCTCGTACTTTCGCAGACATTGTGGCGGGGGCAGCTCCAATCTCGGAGAAGGTGGCGCTAGCTCAGAAGATGCTGGATGATCTGGACGCCATCCAGGACACACTGGATTTGATGCAGTGGGCCCAATACGCGTGGTCGAGCCGGGATCTGCTCAGGTTCGTGGAGAGCCAGAAGGGGGACGAGTAGATTGCACACCAGCATATATGATAGGCATACCCTTATCTCTCATTGTGAATCCAGCTTCTGACGGGGTCGCTCAGCGCTCAGATTCGGATCGAACTACTGAAGCACAGCTTGTTTCTGTCCTCCGCTCGATTTTCCCACGGACATGATCGAGCTGCTCGCAACCAAGCTTGATCAATAGAGCCCAGCCCCAACGGCTGTCCAGCGAAATGCTCTTTGCCTCTGGACGTATCGCCCACGTTCACTATCGCCTACATTAGCCAAGCCTACACCATTTCGCCAATATCATGGCGCCCTGCAGCTCCGCTTGTGGCCCAGAGGCCGCTCCCCAAGCCTTGGCGAGGGCGAATGGTCCGTCGGAGCAGACGGCCGCGCAGAGGTTTCTCGAAATCCATCACCTTCGCTCGTCCGTCCTAGCACAGTTGGCCAAGTCAGACTTGGCGGTGTGGATGAGGGTGGGAAAAGAAGTAGCTGAGGATGCTGCGAAAGAACTGTATAGGAATATGGCTTTGAGGCATGTGGTGTACAGCGCGGATGGAAGCCGAGTAAGCCTGCTTTCATCTCGCCGCACCTTTAAGACTTGACCGAGACCCAGCTGACCAAGTCAGGCTCAGCGAGGCCATCTCCACCACGTCAAGACCATTGCGATATGCGGTCTTGATACCCGCCACCGATCATGGGGCCCTCTCGGTCAAAATCTCTTCGCTTGCGGCTACTCCACATGTATTGACGGATACCATCCCCCTACCGTCGGTCGCATCGTGTCGCTCCTGGTCGCTGAATGCAGCAAGCTTCGGAAGATCACCTTCGGCCCGCCATACCTACCTTTTGGGCATGAGTTCTGGGAAGTCCACATCCTTTCCAGGAGCCCCGACTCGCCGGCCAGATTTACCGCTCATATCGACCACTGCCGCAATGCTCGCCTCTATCTCTCCAAACTTCCCCAAAAGGAGATACTCCCCCTCCCTACTCCTTCCGACAACTACACTATCAGCTGCCGTCTCGATCTGGATATGATCGCACCGGAGGGCTATCCATATCGCCGCAACGCTCCCGCGTGGATGACCGCTCTCGCCGACGCCCCTTACTTCGGGGACCTATATCAGGCGGTCGAGCTCGGTAGGCTCCCGGTCACTATCGACGACCTCATACGACTCTACCAGCGCCAGATTCACAAGGGCTACAAAGAGCGTTTAGCCGTCATGATCGCGAATCGCGCGCCCGCCTGGCGCCCAGAAGACCTCCGTCGGCTGGGCGAGGTGTGCGGCGCCACCCTCACCACCCTCAAGCTGGCCAACAAGTACTCGCCCTATCGGTCTGGCTGCGCGTTTCCGGAGCTGCCGGAGCTCGTCTCAATCATCAGGCGATACCTCCCCAACCTCCACACATTCCACTTTTCCCTCCGCGGTATCGAGCAGGCCGAGGCGGCGTGCCGGAGTCTCGAAACCCCTCGCAATATCGGTCAAGCCCAAATCCACGACCTACGAATCTACACGGCGGACTGCGAGACCACCATCTTCCATCTCGCTCGCTCACTCATTGATGTCTGCACCGGCAGAGTACTCTTCCACGTCGGCCCAGACGACCACGATCATCTTCTTTCAGTCTCATGGGGTTCGTACGCGCAGACCAGTCTAGTCCAGTACCTCAGAGGGTGAGTGTACCGCGGTATCTGTAAGGATTTGCGCTGATCGCCAGGCTCACTCCCGCTCAACGCGAAAACCTGGTCGACATTCACTTATCGGATCTTGACGTCAATGAGGTCCCTGACCTCGTTGATCTCGAGTTCAGACCTGACGGCTCGGCAATACCTCGATTGGCGTCCAAGGCGAAAGCATGGGCCGACGATGCCCATTTCACCAAGACAGTCATCACAAACCGACTGCTGCCGGAGGTCTCAGCTCGGTTAGACGACGTGGACGAGGTCAGCGCACGTCTGAGCCATCTGATGTGCACCGAGGCCAGTATATCGGAGCTCGTTGACGAGGCGGAGGCATTGTTGGGAACGGTGCAGGCGGCAAAGGCGGCAGTGGAGGACATACAGTCGTGGCTGTCGGTGGTGCCAGAGCGGGAGGTGGCGAACCTCATCAGGACGCTGAAGGCGAGGATGGGGAAGATCGAAGCGGAGGAAGAAGGAGGAGGACGAGGACGTCCATGAGGGATCCTGTTGGGCGGTTCTAGGCGAGCATCAAAGATGGAGCGGAGGGCCGGGACATCTAGGAAGCCTGCGATGGGTCTGAGCCGGATGGGGCCGAGGCTGTAGTTCATCCACTATAAGCTTATTGGGTGTCAAATGCTTGGACTGAGCTGTATACTCGGGCTTCACCAGTCACTACGGCTTCAGAACGCGATGACAAGATTGTTGAGCATCGTCAAGATGTCCGCGTTCGATCCGATTTCGGAACTGGCCTCACCGAGCTCACTCGAAAGAGTTCGAAAGGATTTCTGCTTCTTCCCTCTACTTTTCTTCTGCCTTTCATACTCCACTGCAGCACCTTTGTAGGCCACAGTTATACAGGCCGAACACTCACTACACGGACGCCGGAGGCTGCGATGACCACAGAAGCCGACAAGCCGGCCCCGTTCGCCTCGGAGGCGTACGCCAACTTGGACGTGCGTAGGGCGATCTTCGGCTTTCTCAGCCGGAAGAGTCTGGCCAAGTGTAAGAGGCTCCACAAGGACGGGGGAGAAGAGGCGATGAAGGAGCTATACCACACGATGGAGTACAATACGGTGGTACTGAGAAGGAATCAGATTGCGAAACAGGCGAGTGATTCCCTCCTTCCTGCCCAGCTTGATCGAATGTTTAAATGAGCCGTTGACGACGCTCATGAGGCTGACACCAGTAGTGCAAGACCCGAAACTACTCATACCACGTCCGCATCATCAACGCTCACACCATCACCCTCCCTTTCGCCATGCTGCGCAAAGTAGGCGTCGACAAAGACGCATTCAAAGGCTACAAGGCACGGGAGAAGCAAGCCTTATGGCTTCGGGAGTACCGGCCCGACGTCTTCAACCTCATCGTCCCACGGCTTCGTCGGCAGTTCCCTCTGCTGAGGGAGATACGGTTCGGCTGCGGTTCTGGAAAGGAAGAGAACAGCGATAGGCATCGCTGGGTCGTCTACCTGCAGGCTTCCTCTGCAGGGGCCGCCTCGCCCTCCTCAGTTGTCGATCAGCCCATCGGACACATCGAGATCAACCAGCGCCTTGTGATACACGCAGATGCCGCGCCTCCCACTCCGCTGTTTCCCGCCTTCCTGCCTCCTCGAGAGTACTCCATCTCGACGCGCTTCGACCTCGCTTTCTTCTGCGGGCGAAATCAACCCGATCTTCATGTTCTTGAGGCCTGGCGGGTCGCTTTCCGGGACTGGCCAGAGTTTTCCCAGCTCTACCAGCGGCTAGACGCTTACGAGTATCCGCTATCGGCCTCGGACGTCGGTGCCCTCTGTCGAAGGCAGATAGAAGCCGGTCACTCCGACCGCCTAGACTACGTCAGATCATACGGTGCGCCTTGGTGCGCGACGGACTTTCGTCTGCTCGACTACTCGGGCGCCTCGATCACCTCCCTGGTGTTGGCGCATGGTTTCGAGGAGGACAAAGTCTACATCGACTTTGCCGACTGCCCGGAGCTGTTCTTGCAGGTCAAGCAGCAGCTCCCCAATCTCGATTACTTCGATCTTGCCATCAAGGGCATCGCCGAAGCCGAAACGGTCTGTTTGGGCCTGCTATCCGATCGCACTCTCACAGAATATGGCTCAATCCGACATCTGCGTATCTACACCCCACCATACCTCGGGAATCTGCTCAACGTCCTTCGCCTCCCACCCACATTTGCGCCCAAAGCTGCTCGATCAATGTCGGTCCGGTGAAGAACGAGGCTTGGCGTCGTGGGTATGGTGACGTTCTTGGATGGGATGGAGATGAACAGCACGACTATGTGGAGTACCTCTGGCAGTGAGTATTCCCGAAACATCTGAACTCGCTCGATTGAAACTGATAGCGAGGCAATCCCCCTCTCGTCGCGCATTTCTCGGCTCGGTGGACTTTGAGACCCTCGGTGTCACTTGCCTGAACGACTTCTACGATCTCGAATACGACGACGACGGACGGCCGCAAGATCGCTGGGACACCCAGACATCACGGTGGGCGGAGCAAGCGATCTCCGGTCTGGAGGTGGCTCGCTCGGAGGTCTTCCCGAAGTTGGAGGCGGGATTAGCAGAGTACGCTGTTGTCGCTGGGCGGCTGAGGGAGATAAGGCAGTCAGGAGGGTCAGATGAGGCTATGCTGGAGGAGTCAGAGAAGGTGCTGGAAGCGGTGAGAAAGGTCAGGCGGGCGATCAAGCAGGCAAAGGCGTTGCTGGCGGATGATCCGGAGGACGATATCGAGGAGTTCATGGAGCTTCTGAGAGACCGTACGGGCGAGCAGGAGTAGACGCGGGGTCAGACCAATTATGCATAGATCGTAGCCTGTCCCGGTCGGTTTCAAAAGTCTCTGCTGCCCCCCAGCTTCAAGCTTCAAGGCGATTGGCTGATGCAGCAACTCCTCATTCCTCCGGCCGCGTCCGGTGCGACGCGCGACGCGTCGCGTCGAAAAAAGTCAGCTGCTTTACTTTGCATCTCCCATCATCCCCACCTATCCCCACCTATCCCCACTCCCACTGGATTACTGTCCTGACGAGCTCCTCATCCCGTCCCAGCTAGTACACAAACGGCCTTTCAGGAACTATGCCCCTTCGCAGAGCTCCACCACGCCGAGCGAGCGCCCGAGCTCGGCGGGGGGACGTGGATCCGCTCGCGCCTCTTACCAGCGCTCGGCGGGTATACGATATACTGGAACTCAGACAGCATGTCTGGCAGTATGTCGAGATGAGGGATCTGGCGAGCTTGATGCGGGTGGAGAAGAAGGGGATGCAGGCGGTGGCTAGGGTGCTGTACCATACCCGGGAGTTTCCCGAGGTGGTCAAGATGAACCGATCAACCGTGAGTATGTCTCGACAGATTTGAGCGTCGCTGACTCGTCCAGGCTCGCTCCCGTCTCTACTGCGACTCCGTATCCGTCATCAACATCCACAGCGATCATCTCGGGCCGGCGGCGCTTCGGAAGATCGGCGTCAGTAGGGCTGCTCTACACCAAGGGAAGAGCAGTCGCAAGGACGTCGTCAAGTACTTGCTCGACGTCCTCTGCAGGAAGTGTAGGGGCACGCGCAAGCTCTTTTACGCCGACCACGACTACGCCCCATCAGCTGGTGTCCGGGTCCACCTGCATTCTGTGCAGGTCTTGCCTGGCCGAGTCAGAGCGGGCGGCATTCAGGCCCGGGGTCACATCGTATCCTCATACCAACAGGTATACAGTTCCGACTGCCATCCACCGGTGCGGCGTGAGGTTCGCGATGAGTCGCCGCCGTCCTCGGACTTCACGATTGAAACACGGATCGACCTCATCCTCGTTCAGACCCCGCCAGAACACGGTGGCGGTCCGGTCATGAACGACGAGTGGGTGACGACCTTACGGACCGGCCCCCACTAGAGCTACCTCTATCGGTCGATCGACCTCGACGGTGTCGAACCTCAGCTCGACGACCTCACCAGACTGTACAAGAAGCAGTCGGCTCTTGGTTATAAACAGCGGCTGGAGGAAATCTGGGCGACCCAAACCTGTCCCTTCGATCTCGGAGACTTTACCACGTTCGCCTTCGTAGCTTCCACCTCCCTCGTATACCTCCAACTCGCTGCCACATATGCCCCTCGGCCCACGACCTCCGGTCTCACATTCGCCGACATCCCTTCCCTCACTATCCTCATCAGACACAGTCTGCTCAACCTACGAGACCTCGCCCTCTCCATGAGCGGGCTCGCTACGGCCGAGGCCGCCTGCGGTCACGCCCTGAGTAGCACCACGCTTCTCGAGCATGGGACGCTCAATAGGCTGCAGATCATCGCTGCGCGAGAGGAGTGGGTGGCGACCCCGCTGTGGAACGTGATCAGATGTCTTTCTGCAGCCTGCAGTCGGGAGGTGGTTGTTATGGTGGATGTGGGGATCAACGGGAAGGACGACTGGTCGACGATAGCGCAGACGATGTATTTGAGACAACTCAAAGCGTGAGTAACCGTCACTAGCTCAATCCTGCGATCCATGAGCTGAAACGGCCAGGCAATCCATGGAACGGCGGGAGCATCTGAGTACGCTAGACTTCGCGACCTTGGGCATCCACACACCCTCACTCGTCGCCCTGCTCGAATACTCTGAGGATGGCCGTCCCATTCGTATCAACACTAGCGGGGCAAAATCTCTCCGGACGGCGGCGTACGACTTCATGCTCTCGGAGATCACCAGGCATCATCTCGAGGACGCCCTCGCGGAGGATCGGCTGTGGTACTGGGTCGAAGGGGCCATGCTACTCCTCAGTGATGAAAGGGACGATGTCAAGCCAGAAGTTATGCTTCGCCACCTGAAGCGTCAAGCTGAGGACTCATCCTGGGCGATGCATACGAGGGATAATGGCGTATTGGTGTGGGCGGTTCAGCAGGTCCCACTCTTCCGTTTAGTTGAGTTCGACCTAGAAAGAAGAATAGAGCAGCTGCAGAGTATTGTAGGTGACCGCGAGGACGCCTCGTAGACTACTTGTTGGGTGGAGCATGCATGGATCGGTACACTGTTTTGGGCGAGACTGCGCAGGCCAGTCTGTCAGCGCGAAATATGCTGGAGCATGCGCCATATGCCGGCTGCATAGCGAGTGACTCAGAGGTCAAGAATGATCCTCCTTGTCTACGTTTGATAGCGTCAAAGGTGGTGTGAGCATGAGCACGCAGCTGATCAGCTCAATAGACTCTAGCACATCCAAGGAGCAAGGCTGCATAGGCTAGCAAGATAATTACCCTTCGTTCTAGGCTGGATGTCGACCGATTTCGGTCGTTTATACGAGTTTTTCGGCTCTCCAGACTGCGACATCAGCTCTTACTCGCGTACAGGGCCCAGGAAGTATACTCACATGATGCGTACATGTTAACTTTGCAAATTCCAGCGCCATTCTCTCGTATATCAATAGGCTCGACCTTGAATCCTGCCAATTGGTATCGCTGGATATACCAAGGACGCTTGGCCGCCGATCGCCAGACCGCATGACCGCCGACGCGGAGCACGCGCCGGATCTCCAAGATCTCATAGTCCAGCTCGGACTGGAGGTGGACAAGCGACTCCTCGGGCGTAGGGGAGAGGGCGTCGAGGGGTGTGGACGTAGGGGAGGGGAGGGGTTGAGAGGCGGGGATGGGGTCGAACCCTGCCAAGTCAGCTTGGAATCGTGCATGATGAGCAGGATGAGCAATGAAGAGCAGGATTGTAGCGGAGATAGGCAGAGGAAAGGTAGTGGAGCGACGGCGGGCAAGAGGGGCAAGGTGGGACGGGGTATTCAGTAAAGTGGGGGAAGGTGGGGGAATCCGGCTGGGTGGAAAGGTGACAAGAACCGGGGCGGTCAACTCACAGTCCATCGAGTCCATGACGATCACCTTGGTCAGACTCTCATCCGGTAGTCCCCTCAATACACTATCATATCAGCTAAGGTCCCCAGATCGACCCCGAGCAAGTCATAACTCACTTGAGGATCGTATCCGTGTGCAACTTGAACGCCCCATTGACCTTCGCATTCTGCAACACCCTAAATCCTTCCGGCTTGAGATACGCCGGACAGCTCGCGCGCGAATACCGGCCATTGAGACAGAGGAAGAAGAAGTAGTTGTCGTCCTTTAGCCGGGCCATACTGGGGAGTGGGTCGAGCGTGGCGGTGATGAAATCCTCGACGGTGCCGTCGTTGAGGAAACAGTTCATTTGGTTCTTGGGCACGCCGAGGGCATGCCAGTTGAAGAAGCTGGTCGTCAGCTCCACCTCTGAGGCAAAGGGAGAAACGTACGAATTGCCAAGGAAACCCTTGACCATAATCTTGTTCAAAAAGATCGGACGGAGCTTCTTCTCCCAGATCCGTTGTTGCTCCGCTACGCTCGACGCCTGGCACATCCGCTTGACGTCGCCTCGGACGCCGGCGACGAAGAAGGCGGCGTGCGCGAGTCGGAGCGCCCAGCCGGAATAGCCGCGATAGTAGAAATTGCGAGAGAATTGGTTGGCGTGGGTTTTCCAGTACGCATAGGCGTGCCTGAATGTCAGCTTGGCGCCCGTAGACATGGAATCGGAAGCTCACGATGAGAGGAACGGAGACAGCTTGGTGGTCAACAACCGCTCAAAATCAGGGTGACGCCCTTCTCCAAACATCATCCAGAAGTCGTTATACTCGAGCGTCTGGATGGCCGCTAATTTGAGCTCAAGAATGTGGCCTTGGCAGGGGTTCATGTCTGTATGTCAGCTGCCGCCCGCCAGTGATGGGACACGTTCAGCTTACCGACAGCGTGGATCCGCTCGCACTGCGCCGCCAGGGCGTAGTGGAGGACGTTGTCTCCGGCAGAAGTGATGGCGAGGACATGGTCATTCTTGTTGATACCGAGCTTTTTGACGTCCACGTCGGGGTCTTCCCATGTCTCAAGAATCAGCTTTCACCCGGACGAATATGGTCATCAAAGCTTACCCAGCCATAAATATGAGTTCTAAACTGCTCATGTATCTTCTCCTCGAGGTACGGCACCCTCCACCCCTATCGGTCAGCTTCTGACCTGCCCCACGAAAGGCGTACAAAGCTCACCTTGCGCAACTGATAATGGAACGGGCTCAACGGCGCCCCCACATCCCTGATACTCTGCGTCCATCCCTTCTCCTCCGCCGCACTGGGCCCCAAACTGAATTCTTCCGGTACAGCCGCCATCCGTGCCCCTGCATCCGCCCACGGACTGGTCGTAAACGGCGAACTGGGCGTCAAGAGCCCTCCTTGCCCCTTGCCCAGCTTGTTGCCAGCGTCCACTTCGAAGGCCTTGGCCGCGGCGCTGGCGTCCCGGTCCCGCGAACAGCCGAGGAAGATGTAGTAAGGGATTTGGACAAAGTAAGAGGAGAGAAAGTTGTTCCGGCCATTGTAGAGCTTGATGGTTCCCATCTTGTACTCGAGGTAGTCTGGACGTCAGCTTGGACCAAATTAAGGCAGACGAAGCTGACCTCGGCGGGACCCGTGCAGGTGGACATTGTCGAGCTCGAACCAGCATTCCCAGAACCACTTGGATAGCCACGAGACCCGCTTGGAGGCTGTACCGATGGCCTGAATGTCAGCTGGAAGCTATGTCAGGGCGGATCAGCTGGACCTACCCGTTCCTTGACGCCGAGGTCGCGCGAGGTGTAGAAGTCCACCACACCCAGCAAGCCCCGCTGAGGGTCGAGTACCTGGTCGCATCGGTCCAGAAGTTGGTAGAATGGTGGGATCTAGAAGTCAGCTGACAGTCCCCGAACGGTAGAGCGGAGTTTCGCGGCAACTCACCATGGAGAGTGAATAGCTCAGAGTTATAGCCGTCAAGCTCCCCCGCGGGTCGAGTTCGCCAGACTCCCACTCGGGCAGGACGAACCGGCTGGCATCTTGGCAGAGAACATGGACGTTCTTCCAGCCTTTAGCGGCGAAGCGGGCCCGAGCGACGTCGAGAAGCGGCTCGCATAGGTCGATGAGGTACACCTTGTCAAAGTAGGATATCGGGAGGTACTCGTCCCTGCTCGTCAGCTGTCTTGTCCGAGCATCGCGCAACGATCAGCTCACATCTTCTCAATATTCCATCCTGTTCCACCTCCAATATCCACCCAGATCTTCGGCCTCGCCATCCCGCCCACCAGACTCGGACCCGGCTGCGCCTTCAGATGCGCCGCGAGCAGCTGCAACATCGTCTCTCGGCCTTTAAGGAGATGCGCGCGAGTCGAGTCGTACACGTCCGCCTGCCCGCTGTAGAAGGTGTCGAGCCGGTCCCGCTGTTCCGAGGGGGTGGAGTGGAAAAAGGGCTTGAAGAAGCAGTTCCAGACGAAGCGAAGGGGCGTGCGGAGGATGCTGGAGGAGAGGAGGAAGAGGGCGAAGAGGGTCAGAGAGAGGGAGAGGAGGAGGGTGGATAGGTGCGAGGGAGACCAGGTGGGGAGGAGGGGATGGAGGATGGTCTTGATGGGTCTGCAGGGTCAGCTTGGGCGACAAGAAAGTGCACGAGGTAGCTTACCCTAGTCCGGCGAGAATGGTCGTAGCAGAAGCGAGCAGAACCAGCTGCACCGGTAGGGAAGCCGAGAGCCACTTGGCCGATTTAGACGACATCTTGCGCTGACACTTGCCTGTAGCGTCTATAGTGAGTAGGAAGGATGAGAAGTGAGAGGATGAGCGAAGTGGAAGCTTAGGTCTTGTATTCGACGCGAGCGTGGAAGCAATCGACGCGCTCGGACTCCACGTCCTCAAGGGAGGACGCCTCGTGCGGTATGAGATCTGCATTAGCTCTGGCTTAGCCTCCGGTCCGCCAGTCTGGACAAAGGAAGAGCGAATAGGAAGGTCGCATGGCGGTAGGGAAGGATGAACGTGTTACACAAGGTGGGGGAGGAACGTGTCTGGCGGAGGCGGATGTCCGGACGCGGTGGCGGCGATGGCCGAAATCAGTCGCGTGGCGAAGGTCGCCGCTGGTTTGGTCCTGCACGCTAGCGGCCGACTGAGGTCGATCATGATGGGCGTCGCGAGGCCAGGGCCGATAGATAGGACTGTGTTCGATCGGGAGGAGACAGACGCGCGCCATTAGCGGAAGCGAAGCAGCAGAGACCAAGATCTGCTCGATGTTCTGCGCGAGTGTACCGGTACATGCGGACCATTCCCCAAGTCCCCCTTCCCGACCCGCACCGACGCCTACGCCTAAGCAAACACCTTCCCCCTCTCCAGCTCATCGACCGGCATCTCCTCTCTCCTCCTTTCCTCCCTCTCCTCCCTCTCCCGCTCTTTACCCATCCGCTCCCCATACTTCTCCCCCTTCTCCCTCTTGATCCCCCTCCGGACCGCCGCGGGGCTCACGAACTCGGGGTTGGCGAATAGCGTGGGACCGCCGAATGCGCCCTCAAATATCCGAATAGGGGTGAGGACGAAACGAGGACCAATCTCGATGAGGGCGGTAGTGGGCGGTCCGTGGGGGACGAGGGGGTCGCGCTCGACGACTTGATAGTTCCGGAACCAGATCTTGTTGTCGAGGAGGGAGAAGAGGATGAGGTGGTCGATGAAGGGTTTGAGGCGGCGTGAGGTCTTCGGCGTAGAGAAGACCTGCAAGTCAGCGGAGTTCATGAGACTGTGAGACTCCAGGTTCATCTGGCTCGTGGTTTCTCGGCTCCTCCTCGCCCAGACTACCCCTTCAATGATGAAGACACTTACATGCGTCAACATCTCCTTCATCAATCCTCCCCACTCCTCCTTATCCCATCCTCCATCGAAGACCACCAGCCCCCTCGACCCCCTCAGGCAATTCCCCGTCATCTTAAGCTCGTCCATTGTGTGCACATTCTGGACGTGGCACTTGACACTGGGTCCGTTCGGACTGCGTGCGAGCCAGAGGTACAGATCCTCATGGCGCCTCGCCTCAAAGTAGAGAGTGTTGTTGCACGAGTGGAGGTCGGCGAGTTCGTTAAGGAGGTGAAGGGAGGATTTGGAGTCGAGCTTAGAGTCTGGGAGTCAGCTCCGCCTTCACCAGCTGGAAGGTGACTCACCCTTCTTGATATGTGGTAGCAACACCTCCAGATCATGCATCAGATGCCGCATCCGCTGCGTCACCCCTCGTGACGAAAGCATCAACACCTTGTCCTTTCTCCGCTTCTCCTTTTCCTTCTCGCCATCTTCCTGCGTGGCGGCGGTAGTCGCCACAGCGAGGGTATCGTCCACCTCGGCCCTCGCCTTTCCCTTGCCCTTCTTGGACTGTGCTTTGAATACGGAAGCCATAGTGAGGGTGGATGTATAGGTAGATAGGTCCCACGGTGGAGGAGGTCAAAGTGGACCTTGAAATCTGAAAGATTTACGCAGGGTGACACGTCATTTTTGATACGGTGTCTTTCCGCCGGAAGCGAGCTCCGCCTCGGCCTCGGCCATCGATTTGCGCCACATTCCTCAGCGCTCCAGCTTCAGCGCGTTCAGCGAGTCCGCCCTTCTGATGATCCCCCAGGCAGCACCCCTCATCCGTAGATCCCTCAGCTACTTCTTTCCTATGAGAGAGGCAGCCACTTATATTATCCGCCAGTATCCCGGTGGTGGTCCCGGTATGACCGCATGACTCAACCCGCTCGCAGGTTCATCCGCGGACCTTCGGGCCTTACTGGCCAGCTGATTGGCAGAGCTCGCCAGCTATTCCGCAACGCAGTACCAGCGCTCCGAGGATCCTGTTGCTCCAGGCAAAGGCAGAGCGGTACAGCTTGGGCCAGCTCCGACTCGCACGGCCCATTGTGTCATTCAGGCACGTCTCGCCCTCACATCCGAAACATTGACACACACCATTCGGCACTCCTCGGCGCGGGGCTCGGCGCTCGCTCCACTCGCTCATCACCCGAGCTATTTCAATCAAATTTCATCTCGGTCTTGCCTACTCCGACGCATCGGCCCCATTAAATCTTATCTGGAACTGGTCTCCAACACTCTACTCACCCTCCTTCACCGGCCGGCCAAGTGGTACTAGTATCCGACACATGACCCCTCGTTTCATCTACTTAGGCGCGTCTGAGATGGATTATCTCGGAGATGGAAACATCATTACTCATACTCACACCGATCCATTCAGCACGTCAACATGGGAATGGAGCCTCTCCTTTCCGGCGGTACAGTACGTCAATCGACGCTTGGGCCAGAGTAGTCACCCTCCTTTCTGGAACAGACTCACCACTAGGTACCGGCAATTGACCAGCATCAAATCGATCTCAGCTTTCGATCCTCCTCTTCTCGCTCGACTGTATAATCAATCCCCTTGTTCACGTTCACCTTCTTCGCCTCCTCCCTCTTTGTATCTCGCTCTCTTCGACCTTCCCTTGTATCTCACCTCAACAACCCCACGATGAGCACGGACGCACAGCAGCTCGAGGCAATGGCAGCGGCCCAGCTGTCTCAGATGAAGGGTATGGCTCTGGGTGCGCCTTTCCTCGCGTGAGTATGGCTGGTCTCCTCCTCTAGTCTACAGCCCTCTCTGCGCCGTCTAGACACTGCTAACGTTGTAGGGTATGCTGCGATTCCCTTCTCATGGGCGTAATCCTCTGCCAGATGACCCACTGGATCCCAATGGCCAAGCATGATGTCCGGCATGTGCGTATACTGGTCGGTATCGCCTCGATCGCGGCCTTGCTGGGGACAGCCTTGTAAGTTTTGCTTTCCGCCACACCCTCCACCTCCATCCTTCCTTCTTCCTTGTTTCTCCCTCCGGTTCCACAGAGATACCCGCTGACATGATAGTACCTGGTCCACCTACCTCCTCGCCTTCGTATACGACTTTGGCTCATACAGCCGCTTTGTCAGCTTTGACTGTGAGCTCTTAAAGATCCTGCTGTTGGCAGCAGAGCTGACTCGTAGTCTTGGGATGGTACGGCACCCTCGACATGCTCATTGTCATTCCTGTTCAGGTATGTACCCTCCTCAGACCTGCGTCCCGTATGCGCTGATAGCCAGCTCTTCTTCCTCGAACGATCATACAGGATCAACAACAAGAGCCTCGTCGTCCTCGCTATCGGCGCAACGATGATGTGAGTCGATTATAGCTTGTCGTTGGCTATATCTTTCCTGGGACCAAGCTGATCTCATAGCACCGCGACGGCATCAATGGGTATTGCGGTCACCATCACCTCGCGAGGCCTGACCACCTTTACCCGTACCTCTGTGAGTTCACCTCCCTTCCTCTGGAAGTCTATGACGCTGATGCCTCAGACTATGCTGAACCTCTGTACCGCCTGGGTACGCCTCCTTCCCCTTCATCTGGAGATTCAGCTGATCCCCAGCCCGCCGTCTGCACCTCGACCCATATCTGGCTGACCAGCTCCATCTTGTACGGTCTCTGGGCATCCCGCTCCATCTCGCAGCGGGCTAACAGGCTCCTGACCCGCCTTATCGTGTACGCCGCCAATGCCCGACCTAGGGATCGAGCTAATGCTACAGGGTGTCGATCGAGTCTCAGCTACCTGCGACGCTGGTCGCAGCTGTCATGATGCTCGTCATTATCGTCGACAACAAGTCGCCTGTCATTCCCTTCATTGCGTAAGCCTCTCGCATGGCGGTGGTGCCTCGTGACTGTGGCTGACGGCTCAGCGTCGTGCACCCCAAGGTGTTCATGGTTGGTCTTTTGGCCATGGTTAACCTCCGCCACACCTGGCGCCTGAAGGGCAAGGTTCCTACGACCTACAACGTGAGTCCGGGCTTTAGACAGTCCCGGTAGAGAATATCGCTAATGGACAGAGCGAACCCTTTTCCACACGCCCGACCAACATCTCCCTGGGCTCGACCACCGAGGTAAGCTACTCCTTCCAGCACCTCTGAGCAGCTGTGGGGTGTAGCTGATGACCAGACCCTGAGCTGCCACACGCCCAAGGCCGACGTCGACGTGATGGGCCTCGGCCGACACCCGTCCGGCCTGTCGACGTTGGAATCGGGACTCGCGCTGGACACGCTCCGGAACAGTGAGATGAGCGAGAAACGGTCTCCTTTCGAGTAGAGTCCGTCCCGTTGCGGGTCCGCCTTATTCGCATCACACATCATGACTTTCGAAATACACATTCATTAAGGTAGGTAGTCTAGGACTCTGGGTAGTTGTTCCATGTTCACTTCATTTTGGTTATTTCTGTATCTAAGTTCATCGTTCCTGTACCTACATGCATCATCGTCCGGATCTACCTCTCTTATCAGGGCGGTAAGCTACACGCCATGACTGCGCCGTAAGATGCGGCATCTAAAGCTCGGGGCACAACTACTCATTCCTCAGCGGGGCTTCTCGGGAACTTGAGCTTGAAGAGGGGGCTTGTGACTCTTGACGCTGCACATCCGACGGAGCCAGCTCTGGCTGTCTGAGGATCTCGGCCCAGGGTGACTACCCGCCAACTCGTGCGGAAGGTTTTCCGGCTCCGGAGTGTTCGCCAGCCGCCTCACCCCGACGCACTGTCTGAAACGCTCGGACCCCACCTCGATTTCGATCATTGCCCTCGCTAAGAGCGCACGGCGCAGGCACCACCTCCGCCGGAGCAGAGATATCTACGCCGAGATCAAGACGCTCTGCTGCTCCGCGGCTTGGCGGGGTAGCTCCATGCCGCAGTCGTTTCACGGCGCGGTAACGGTTTGTGACCCACCCACCCTCCTTTCCTTTCCATTCCTCAACTCAATCTCGTACAACTTGGTGCTCGGTCACGGTTTGCGAGACACGATACGGCCAAGCACAACCCTTGTTGATCTTCACCCCATACTGGCCTCTCGCAGACTCGCGGGGTATTTCGGGCCTGGAACAGCTTGATGGTGCCTGATTTAATTTACTCTCCACACACTCCACACTGACAACATCCCGCCCGTGCCTGTCCTGTTTGTGCCTGTGCCTGTGCCTGCCGAGCGCCGAGCCGATTCCCGCCCGAGAAAGGACATTCCCAAGGTTCGGGACCGAGCACTCGTCTCTGTCTCTGCCCTTCTGTGCCGTGCTCAACATCAATGCTTCATTCGCAGCTCCGCAGGGAGCGGGAAAAAGTGGAAAAATGGGCGTGATGGTCACTGACGGACTGATCTATACAATCTGTACTTATACCTCCACGCCCCAGATCCCCTTCCCCATTCCCCTCTTCCATCCCCTCCTCCATACTCCCACCCGTCCCACTCCTCCCTCACATACCCGCTCTCCTTACACACTCTATAATCAAAACACCTAGCCCCGACCAATATGATGCCCATCGACGTCGACCCACAGCAGCTCGAGATGATGTCCAAGGAGGCCATCGACTCGATGAGGGGCGTGGCCATTGGTGCTCCTTTCCTTGGGTGAGTTTTGTTTCTCCCTCTCCCGAAGTACTCTGCCTCCGCATCATTGTCCGCTACACCTGCCCAACTCGTTTCCGGACATGACGGAGCACCGCTGACCTTCCAGGATGACCTTCGATGCGCTCCTAATGGGCGTCATCATCTGCCAGATGGTCCACTGGATACCGCTGGCCAAGCAAGACGTCGCCCATGTCCGAGTGATCGTGGGTGTCGCAGCTACCGCTGCTCTCGTCGGGACTGCCTTGTGAGTTCAACAATGGACCTTTCCGTTACGGCGATGAGGACCAGCTGACACGTTAGCACATGGGCAGCCTACATGCAGGCCTTTGTCTTCTCTTTCGGCCAGTATGCCCCGTTCACCTCGCTCGAATGTGAGTGCCCCATATTCTTGCAACTTTGATGAAGAGCTTCAGCTGATATGGCAGACCTAGGATGGTACGGCACGCTCGACATCCTCATCGTCCTTCCTGTTCAAGTAAGCTCCAGTACCTCGACAATCCTGTCTGTCGGCCACAGCTAGCTAACAAGGTAGACCTTCTTCGCTGAGCGGTCATGGCGAATCAACGGGCAGAGCACGGTCCTACTCTGCTTTAACGCTATCCTCATGTGAGCATTTACTGACGGATAGTATGTGCTGAGCTGACCAATTAGCGCTGCAACAGGGGCCATGGGCATCGCTACCACCGTCGTCACCCGCGGAGAGGACGTCTTCAACCGGACACAAGTAAGTCGCCTGATGAGATTTGCATCCCGACGCATGCTGATGCCTTCAGACCAGCTGCAACATCGCTACTGCCTGGGTAAGTATCTCCATCATCGTCCTCAGATCCCAGCTTATCTCCAGCCCGGAGTATGCATCTTCACCCACGTCTGGCTCACCGCGACTATCCTCTTTGGCCTTTTCCGCTCCCGGTCCCTCTCGCAGCGCGCCAACAGGCTGCTCACTCGCGTCTTGATGTGAGTTCTGTCCTTCGCAATTGTTCATAGCATGAGCTGACGGTAAGGGTGTCGATCGAGTCTCAACTCCCGAGCACCATCGTAGCGCTCATGATCATGACTGTTCTTCTCGTCGACTACAAGTCCCCCATCATCCCATTCATCGCGTAAGCTATGACCCCCTCTGCGCCTGGCACCGAGTTTGAGGCACACGCTGACTCGAACAGCATCACCCACCCTAAGATCTTCTGCGTCGGCCTGCTCGCCATGGTCAACCTGCGCCATACCTGGAGGATCCAAGGCAAGACTACTGGGAATTACAGCGTAAGCTCTGCGCTACCTCTGCATTCACAAAATCAGCAGCTGACGAGACAGGTCGAGCCTTCAGACCGTACTCGGACCATCCACGTCTCGCTCGGATCCACTGTCGACGTAAGTCATCCTCCTACTGCACTTGTCACCGTCCCCCTCCTCATCCTTCTCTCCCCTCTCCCTCCTGCGACCTTTGTCCTGATCATCCGCGCTGACACGCCAGGAGATCGGCCTCACCACCCCCAAAGCCGACATGAACGAAGACGACTGCCAGCTCAGCCGACAACAGTCCGACTGTTCGGTAGCCGAAGCAGGCATGGGCGTCGCCATGCACGCTCTCAGGTCAGAATACGTCGTCAAGGTCAAGCGGAACGGCCAGTCTTTCCAGTACTAGGCGCGCGAGGTGTCGCTCGGTTTCCTCGAGCTTTCTTCGGGGTATAAGTCTGTCTTTGGGTTTAGGTTTAGGTCTAGGTTAGGTCATGGGTTTAGGGTGGGTATTCGCGCGAAAGGCCTTATGATGAGGATCAATGTGGACAGTGTGCGTAGTTTGTAATATTGGTCCAGTCAGTACGTTGGTAATGATGCATGAAGTCACTCATGGGCCTCCACTTCTAGCTGGAAATCAGCATGGCGTCAGGCTGTCAGCAAGGTTTAGCCGTCTACACTCACAGCAGATCAGTCGTCAGCATCAGTCTCCGGGCTGGAAAGAGAACCAGGCACACGCCGGCCAGAAGACAAGACTGTGATGTCTCGAATTTGGACCAAGGTACTCCGGGAGCAGCCCGATCATCGCGAGCGGGTCCGCCGCGACCCTCCATCCCATGCGCCAGCGGCCGGAATCACGCCAAAGGAGCTAGAGCTAGAACATTGAGGTGTAGATGAGGCCATATGATACATCGATGCAGTTTCTAGCTGATATATCAGCTCCGCCATCTCCAAGCATGAAGTTGAGGGGCCAAACTCACCTCATTCCTTTTGATCTTCCAACTTCCGCTTCAGCGAGTTGATATAATCCTGGATATCCCGCTCCGTCTTGGTATCCACCAGCTTCTGCAACAAACCCCCGACTACCTTGATCACAAGCAAACCTGTCTGCAGGCTCTGCGCCGCAGCAAGCAGTAAGGCCGTGTCCCCATCACCAGCGGCCGCCTCGAACCCATCGGCTGCCTGAACCAATGCGGCCTCTCCACTTGTAAGGATCGGGATGAAGTCCCTCGTCAACCCTTTAGATACCGCCTGGACCGCTGACTTCCACGCCCGCACTTTCCCGGCTGTGCGGCTCAGAGGTCGGCCGTCCTCTGCGTATTGGAGAGCGAGGACCTGGGCGGGGGTGGAGATGTCGAGGGTGGAGAAGTCCATGGTTGCGAGGTGTTGGCGGCGAGCGGGTGATTGACTGGTGTAATTAGCTCCACGATTCAGCATCAAGGCGGAATCACTGACCTGCGGAGATAAGAATGGTAGTCTTTTTGCGCCCACCACAACCAAACGTCTTCCTGCTCGTCGTCATCGCCACAGGGATAATACGTCGTCCCGCGATCGACGTAGATGTTTGCTTTACCGGTGCACATCCCCGAGAGCGCACGTAAAACGTTGTATACCGGGACGCGCTGCCTCGCCGCGAGGATCTCAAGCTTGGTGAGGGTCCCTCCGTCGTCGAGCGAGTGTGCAGAAAGCTGCGCCGCACAGTCCGCCTCGGCCGACTCGATCCCAGCAAGCGCAATGCTGAGATGGAGAAGGTTGGGAAGGGACGACCGGATGATGCGGGTGAGAGCGGGAATGTCACCGAAACCGAGGACCGTCTTGTCCGGCTTGTACGTCCCACGGCCGGGCGTTACGAGCTGAAGTTTGACCAAAGAGGTACAGGCGATAGACGCGAATGTCTGGAGGTCCGCGAGGTCCGCGATGTGACAGTTTTCAGCGTGTATGTAGGCCAGGCGATATTTCGCTGCCGAGGCGATTTGCCGCCGGTACAGGTCGCCGATATCGGTAAGAGTCGCGGACACGCCTCCCAGGTGGACGGACTTGTGCAGATGGGCAAAGCGCGTGTGCTCTTTGAGGGCGGCCAGGTACTCTTCTGGCCGGTCGGCTTCGGAGTGGCCTGCATAGAGGCTGACATCCAGACGACGTGTCATGGTGTAGCCGGCCGGGGGTACTGGAAGTGGCCCGAGGTCCAACTCCAGATCCGTGAGCTTTCTGAAGTTGAAGCCCTCGGCGTAGTCAATGTGCCCGAGATCCGGCGGAGGGGGAGACAGCGAGGACGAGGACGCTCGAGAGGAGGGGGAGGGTGGTTCCGACGTGGTGGGCGGATGGATGTGGACCACCCACGAGTCCTTCTTTTGCGCGTTGGCGAACAGACCGCCGTGAAGTATCTGCCGGACATTGGGAAAACGGCGTAGGAGAGGGCGATCCGCGATCTCAAAGACCTCTGGGTAATAGCGATTGGAATAGTCCCTAATACGCTCTTTCCGGGTGTAGCCGTCACTTTGGATCGCAGGATCCGCCTCGAGCGACTTGATGACCGCCGCGCTGAGAGGCATCTTCCGAGCGTTGATGACCTGTACCAACGAGCAGTACATGCGCTGTCTGCTCTGCAGTCTATCAGCTTCGCCCCGGTCCATGAGCGCGACGAGCACAAGCCAATAGGGACAGGAACACATACCGTGGTATTGTTCATATGCTTCTTCGCCCGCTCATAATCCACCGTGTGATACAGCTCCCTCGCCACGTCCGGCATGCTGCTCTTCTGCACCCGTATGACGACCGGCAGACTCGCCTTCGGGACCCAGCGGAGGATGAGCTGGCGGATCTCTGCCACACCCCAAACCGTGTTTCCAGCTGAGCTGGCGACCGGCCCATCTTCGGCCGCTATAGCAGAGATACGAGCGGATCTGCGCCTCGGCATTGTTCAGGAGACTGCAGGGCAGGTTAGGTGGGGATAACGGAGGTAATGAGTCGAGAAGATAGAGGTCCGTCGCGTCAACGCGTCTGGTAGATCTCGCTCGACCTCGCAGCCAAATCGAGTCCGTGCGCGCAAATGTACCGTAGAGCTTGAGGACCTACTGTAGCTCTGGATAGCTCTGAAACTGGGTCTGGTCGCCGTATATCAGATCCTGCTATCCGCACGATCATGGGGTCTTTGTGATCGGCAGCTTATGCTATATTCCATACAAGATGGATATCTACAAGATTGACTAGCAAGATACCCTCCCCTGATAATAACAACATGCCGCTCCTCTCTCGGCTCGCTTGGTTCGGGAACTCTGAAGAGTTCAGGCTGGGGGTGGCTGCTCGGGACTGATAATGAGCGATACTCATGACAAGCCTTGACGTGACGTACTGGGTCTGAGAGGCGACATTGGAGAATAAACGCGTCCCGTCAACAGTCGACGCAAATGCCCGAAGTTGACTGGTTTGACTGAAGGTCAGCCACCGGACACCGGGTAGACACAGAGGGATACGCACTTGAGAAAGTAGTCTGGTCCAGCAATCGCTCTCAGCGTATCCATATGCTCCCGAATCAGCCCGAGCCTGTTCCCACCACCCAGCAGGTCTCCCACAACCCGCCCAGCCTCTTCCATCAGATGCGCAGCAGCCAGTACCCGCTCGGCTTCCTGCAGACGCTCCGCCGCCCCGACTGTACTCGGCAACGACTCGAGTCTGGCCGACGCCGTGACATATTCGGAGATCCGAGCTGCGATTTGAGGTATGCCAGTCTGGTTCATGTATGACGAAACCGACTGGGCGTCCATGGCCCATGCTTTAGGCGGTTCCTGCAGCGGACTGTGTGGTCGACCGTCCGCGTCGAATGTGAGGGCGGAGACTTCAGCGTAGGTTTTGATGCCCAGCATGGCGAAATCGACTATGGCGAGATGTCGACGAACATTCGCCGGTTGTCTGGTGGTGTCAGCTAGCTTACAGGGAGCCGGTTAAAGCGACTGACAGTTGTAGGTAGTGCAAAAAGTCTGCATGAGCCATTTCCTGCCCCTCCCCTAGCCTCTTTCTCGCCTCCCCAGCCATTGCCGGAGTCCTCCAATGGTACACGTGAGGGAACAGGACTTCAGCTTTGGGCGCACAGATGCGCGCTATGGTCCTCACGGTATTCAAGAGCGGAGGATCATGAAGCGAAGTCACGATCCTACACTTCCTCACCGAGCCGCCTCCCTCGAGCGATCCCTCTGACAGCATCTTTGCGCAGTGACGCTCGGCATCCCCTATACCGCCGATGGCTATACACAGATCGTCGAGGAGTGGTAGGTGTTGGCGAATCACCGTGACCAAGCCACCGAGGTCGGCGAATGTCAAACGCATGTCCGAGTCCGCGACGCCCAAGAACTTGCCGCTATGGAGACGAAGGATGCGTAGGGATGAGGAAGCAGTGATGGCGAAGGTAGTAAAGGTTGGGAGGTCGAAGGGAAGAGTGTGAGTGGCTTCAATCTCCTCGAGACGCTGACTCCCGCCGGATTCGGACTGGCGACGACACAGTCCTGTAAGATCGCCCAGACTGACTGGGATACGACTCAGACGGATAGCCGTCCCGAGCTGGTCGAAGTTAGGCTGCTCCCGGAAAGCAGTCAACCACCGGTCTACCAGCTCAGGCTCGGGTGTGTATCTCCGACCCGCCGTATGAGGGATGTAGAGGCGGAGATTGGTATAATGGCGAATGGTATATCCAGCAGGAGCGGACGATGCCGCCGACCAACGGGAAGGAGGTTCGGAAGGGAATGAGCGATTGAGGGATTCGATGAGATCGATATGGCCGAGTTCACCGCCTGCAGGCACCGCCGGAGGAACGGACGATGACGAGACGCGAGGGGGCTTGAGATGGACGGTCCAACTTGTCTGCGATGAGTTCTGGTATTTGGCTTCGGCCCCGCACACCAGCGTCCGCAGGTTTGGCAGCTTTTTGACGAGGGGAGGGATGATGATCTCCAGGATTTCCGGTCGGTAGACCGAGAGGAAGGATTTGATCAGGTCGGGAGAGCCACCGCCGAAGTAAGGTATCTTCTGGTGCCCGTACGTGATGCTTTTCAACACCTTGGGAGTGAGGAGAAGACCTCGACAGTCCACCGCGGTCACCGCTGAGCAGTAGGTTCTTTGACGGAGCTGGCGATTAGCATATGATCGGTTAGCTGGCTGAGACTTACTGTGGACACGCTCATGTTGTTTTTAGCCTTGCTATACGTGACCGTCGCGTACAGTTCCCTCGCTACATCATATACCGCCTTCTTCTCCACCCGCATCATCACCGCCAGCTCGGGTTTCTCGAGCAACCGCAGGATGCGGCCGCGCACCTCCGCGATATTCCATACCTCCCTGCTGGCAGATCGCTGGGCTATGCCACTGCTCCCGGGGGCGTCCGCCGTGTTAAGTGTTGCGCTCTGGCCAGGCGGCATGCTATGAGCCGTTCGAGATGGTATGAAGATAGGATGAAGAGTGGATGAAGCTAAGTTCGGGAAAGTGATTGTAGTTCGGCGTGGACGCGTTGATGACGTTGATGGACGAGTTCAGTCCGTGCGCATAGAACGGGGGGTACAGCCTGGTCTTGGTGGGTGCAGCTGTGCTGTTGCCTAGGCTGCAGTCCTGAAGAGGACAGCTACAAGCCCTCAAGAAGCTCCGATCCATCAACAGATAGCATAACAGGTCAAGGTAACAACAAGGTCCAGATCTCCAGAGTTTGGCTTGATGGGGCGGGTCAACTATCCTTCGCCGCTGACCTGGCTGATCAGCTGCAATCTTGACTAGCACAGGAAGAGAATAAACGTACCCCGCACCCTCCTTCATCTCCGTCATATCCTCCAGTTTCTTCACATACTCTTCCAGCTCCGCCTCCGTCGCCCTCCCGCCCATCGCAGACTGCAGCAGATCCCCAGCCAGGCGCACATTTCTCATCGCCGACAACAGCTTCTGCCCCTCTCTGAGCAACGCCGCCGGTTCACCTTCGGTCGTGAGAAGCTCCATCTGCTTCGCCGCTTCAATACTCTCCCGCACACCATCCGCCAGCTCGGCCAGCCTGGCCTTTCCGACCAACCACTCTGCGCTTTTTGCCTGCCTTGTCCATCCCACCATCTTGCTCTCATCTCGGCTACGAGGACGTCCATCATCGTGATAGGTGAGCGCCAAGACCTCCGCGTACGATCGGACGTCCAGCGACGAGGCAAAGTCGATGGCGGAGAGGAACTTGCGCCGAGCAGGGGTTTGCCCGGACGATCAGCCGCTGCCGTGTCATTCAGGGGAATCACTTACGATCTCAGATAGCGCAGATACTCTGTCGGCTCCTTCTCCTGCCTAGCCTTGACCGCGGCACAACCGGACGTCCAGATTGACTTTTTAGACGCCCGAGTAGGAGTCTCGTCGATAGCGTGCGGAAGGCGGATTTCGGCCGTAGACGCGCAGATGCCAGAGAGAACGCGGATAGTGGAAAGGAGGGGAGAGGAATGGGGAGCGGTAAGGATGTGGAGTAGTTTGATTGTCCCGCCCGAATCTAGAGATGTGTCCGACAAAGACCGCCTCAGATCGGCCTCCGCAGAATCGACGCCTCGTACTGCAAGCTTGAGCGTGGCCAAGCATGGCAAGCAGGAGCGGATAGTCGAGACCAGATCCGGGATGTCCGTGAAACCGATTCCGACCCGCCTGGAGTCGAAATTGGCGGTCTCGCCCACTAAGTCCAGTGATACCAGCGAGGATGCCACGGACGCAAATGAGCGAAAGGCGTCGACATCCCAGCTGTTCACCCGGCCAGCAGAGATGTTCTCGATCCGGCGGAAATTACCCGAGTCAATCTGCCGTTGACAGAGGGCAGTGATGTCCGCGAGGTCGATAGACAATTGACCGAACCTAGCGTTCCGACCACATGTGGCCCAGCAAGGCTCCTCCCTCAGCGCAAGAAGGAGTTGCTGGACTTGGGGGACAGGGGGCCGGAACCCGTCCGAGATGTAGACTCTGAGGTCATAATACGTATTGATCGTGTATCCGGAAGGAGGGACGGAAGGCGCGGGAGGAGAAGCGCTTGTTGTGTGAAGGCCGAGCCAGTATGTGAAGGGCTGGGTGACGTCGATGTGTCCGATCACCTCCTGACCCGGCGTCAAGGAGGTAGCGAGCGCAGAAAGTGCCTGGATGGCCGGAGCGACGTAGAGCACCCATGACCAAGGCTCACTCTCGCAAAAGACCATGCTCCGCAGATTGGGGCACTTCCGAGCTACCGAGGCCAGCAGGACTGCCGGTATCTCAGGATAGTAGCCGCCGTTATAGTGACGGTCCGTTTTGTTAACGGATGCAGGTAGAGCTTCGCGGCCGGTTTTTAGGTCACGCAAGATGGCGGGGGTGAATGCAAACTTGTCAACCTTGATAACTTTGACGCCTGCGCAATAGGCTCGCTGCCTAGGCTGTCATGTCAGCTGGTGTCTAACACCTCATACAGAGGAGCCGAAAGAGCTGCGGCTACACAATTGCGAGGGCAGGTAGCGAGGAAAAATAGCTTACCGTCGCCGTGCTCATCTTCTTCTTGACCAAATCATACGGCATCGTATGATAGAGCTCCCTCGCCACGTCAAACAGGATCTCCTTCCGGAGCAAGAGACAAGCCAGAAGAGCCGGCTTGTCCAGCTGGCGGAAGACATTCTGCCGTAGCTCCGGAATTAGGAGGACGTCTCGCGCTGCCGAGCGGGGCATTGAGCTCCATTCTGAGCTCGCGGCGGATGCTCGTGGCTGGCTCGAGCGGGGCGGCATGTTGACAGTTGATGCGGAGATGTGGTCGGTGAGGAAGAAGATGAGCTTCAGCATCGCGTCCGACGCGTCTTTCCCCGTTCATTGATTCATTAGCGGAGTTTAGTTTGCCCGCGGAATCCGTTCATCCTTATCTCCGTAGCATGTGAACCCTTCTGCCTTTGTGGTGGCGGATGAGCCGTCAAGCCATCGCTCAAAGTAGAGTAGACCTAGAGCACCGTAGCTTCGCCATGGATATCGTCAAATACATCCCGAGACCGCCATGCGGATGAACAGCCATCTACGTATACGTACTCGTATACCGCCACATCGACCCCCTCCTCCGCCTTTGTCTCGGCCCTTAACACATCCGCCCATCCGCCCCATACCCCTCAATCCACCGCAGGCATTATCGCTTGACATATGGTCGACCGTCATCGTCGTACGCGAGCGACAATACCGAAATGGGGTCATATACACCGATGCTGGGGAATGATACCGTCGAGAGGTGGTGCCGCCGCTCGGGTGTTTGACTGAGCATGTCAGCAGTGCAACGTGCCTGGCTTCTGCACTCGATTAAAAGATACACTCACCTCCGCAGGTACTCCAACATGTTCCGCTGATGATAAGATTGCCACTTTTCGTTGTAGTCCCAGGTACGTATCTCCACATCCGGCAACTCCGCCTCCTCGACGTATTGACGGAGGTACCTTAGCAGGGCAAAAAGCGGACATCCCGCGCTGACCTCGGTATCAATGCGGATGAGATTCAGCTGCCCCCGCCTGCTGAGTATGTCGCTGGTCAAAAGGTCTTCGTACAACGCGTCTGCTTCCTGGATCCCACCAACGGCGAGAACGAGCTGGCGCAAGTTGGGGAGAGAGGCGCGTATCGTCCCGAATACCTCCGGAAGGTTTTTGAAGGTGATCCCAGTGGTCTCTACCGGGGCTGAGACGCAGAAGCGGACCAAGCTGGCAGAGGCAATGGTGGCGAATGTGTTGAAGTCGTGCACGTCGTAGGGGGTGCTAGATGCCGAGACTTGGCTAAGTCTCTCCATGACGGGATATCCGGCCTGGATTTGAGCAGTTACAATTTCCTGTAGGTCGCCCAGGCTGATATGGTAAAGACCGAAATTCAGTATCTGATGAAGGCCGGAGGACTGCGAGGGCGCTTTCATCACCCTCAGATGATCGGCCATGTAGTCCGGGTGGCCGAAGGCCGGTTGTTCGGCGGATATGGGGATAGGAACGCCGCCGACTGTGACGTCAAACCGATGCCGAAGTGTATAATTGGGCGAAGGTGGGATCGGACACGGTATGACAGCGGGTGGACGATCGCACGCTACTACCGCCTTGGTGAGGCAATCGACGAAGCAGATCCCTTCCTTGGGCGCCGCTGCCGGGTACAGATGGACGTTCCACTTATACCAATATTCGGTAGCCGAGTATTGGCCCCCTGAGTTGGGGAGCCCGTATGGTGTAGGGAAGAGCGCTCCGAAATGGACGCGCCTCAGGGAGGGGCAAAGACCGCGGAGCAAGTGTACGACGTCCTCAAAGACGCCTCGGTGGTCCAGAAGCTGTTTGTTCGGGTTGGGATAATCGCCATCCGTAGGATAGACGACTTTCGCGTCGAGGTGGGGAGGAAGGGACTTCATGATAAGGGCGTCGATTTCGACGATAGCGCCGAAGTATAGCGCTTTCCGCTCCTACTCACTGTCAGCGCGATGGTCGCGGTGCAGGCAGGCCAGATAGATACATCAAAAAAGGTCTGGAGAGGCTCACCTCGTCAATATTTGCCTTATTCATCTTCAACACACGATCACACTCCATAGACCGATACACCCTCCTCACACTTTCCACCAATCCCTCCTTCGACACCCTCATCAACACCACCCAATCCGCCCGATCCAGGAAATCCCATATCTGCTTTCGCGTGTCTGGGTTATCAAACACTGCAGTAGCCGCTGAGATGCTGCCGGCTGTAGCAGCCAAGTTTGACGATGTCTTTGTCATGGCGAGATGCAGGAGAATGCAGCTGTAACGAGCTGAGTGGCGAGCGAGAAAGCTTAAGGAGCGCTTGAGCGCCCCCGGAACCAGTCCCAGCACCGCATTCCTTGTCCTGTACGGCCGGCACGTGATCAAAGATCATTGAAAGGGCTATGTGGCCGTGTGCGCATTGAGATCTTGGGACAGAATCACGCGTTGTAGCTACTTACACTAGCCCACTGACTCAGTACGGCCCAGCTTCACGCCCGGATCGTCTGGTTACCCGTCCCCACGCACCGAAGCGATAGGTGAAAATCCTTGATCGCCTTCTCGATCTCCTCGCTCCCACCCGACAAGATCTCCCCTCTCCCTCTGGAAGTCAACCATCGAGACCTATCCAAACCAGACATCAAATTTTGGTCTATCTTCGGCGTCATACTCCAGCATGAGCAGGTCATGTGGTCTCAGCAGTCCCATTGCGGTAAAGTCAGCCGTTGCGAGGTGGTATCGACGAACAGCCGTTTGACTAGCGTGTCAGCTCTACCCCTCTCCGTACAGCTTCACGTCACATTCGACTCACTCTCGCAGATACCTGATCATAGAGCGCTGATCTTCCGGTGACCACCCAACAGTATAGCCTCTGTCATGAGACACCATGACGGGCGGATTAGGATCCTCCCTGCAGTATTGGGCGAGGTAGCGGAGAGCACTGAATAGTTTGGTTGGATGGTAGGCCGTATCGATGCAGATCGAGTGGAGCGTTCCGCGCTCGCTCAGTATGCCAGGCGTCAGGAACCCCCTGCAGACCGCTTCGGCGTCTGCAATTCCTCCAACCGCGAGGGTGAGGTCTCGAAGGAGGGGGAGGTCCGACTTGATGATGGCGAATATGGCGGAAAAAGGTCCGCGAAGGTGATTTGAACGCGCTCGAACGAGTCGGTACCAAGCTTGAGGGAGGTAAGCGAGGCAGACACCACGCTGGCGAACAGCCCAAAGTCGTAGACCTCGTACGGTGCGATATTGCCCGCCGTGATGGTCCGAAGCCGATCCGCCACTGGATGTCCCGACGAGGTTTGACGCTGAGCGATCTCGCCTATATCGCTCAGCGCGAGTGAGAGCATCCCAAAGTCCGCCACCCTGTACAGCCCCTCAAATCCCTCTGCCTCCTTCATGGCCGCCACCCAGAGCTCGGACTTGTCCGAGTGGGTTCGACCCGCCGAGCTCCCGTCCGAGTCGACATGCTCCTGTTCCCCAACCCAACTAGGCTCGGAGCTGGTAGTATCCCGCTCGTCGTATGCGTCGAAGCGGACGTCGAAACGGTACCGTGCAGTGTAGTAGTCCGGAGAGAGCGAGAGTGGGGAGGAGATAGGAGTGGGAGCGCGATCGATTTGGAATGCCCGCTCTTCCACGCAGTCGATGTGCCAGATATCGTCGAACTCCTCGCTCCGCTCCGGATCGACATGTACGGTGTATGTGTAGTGCCGGAGCCAGAAGGCCGCGAAGCGGACCCGCCGCAATGAGGGGAACCGGGCGCGCAGGATGAGGACAATGTCTGAAAAGACGCTCCGATAGTCCGGGTGGTTGTCTGGGAAAGGGGTGAAGCACTCGCTGGGGTATTGGACTTTTACTTTGAGATGATGGGGGGGCCTGGCCATGATGGTGGAGTCAACCTCGACGATGGCTGCAGAGTAGAGCGCCTGTCGTTCCTACTTCGGTCAGACATGGGCAGGTAATAAGGGAAGCACGCAGAGGCGAGGGAGCTCTGACTCACGACATTGTGGCTCATCGGATAAATAGCCCTGTCAAACTTCACTTTATGATACACCCGCCTCACGCCCTCCGCCAGCCCCAGCCTATTGACCCTCATGAGTAGCTGCCAGTCCCGCCATCCGAGAAAGTCCCATATCTGCCTTCTCGTTTCCGGATTTGAAAAGACCGCTGTCGCCGTCGACCGAGCGGGAGGTGTAAGGCCTCGTGTGGGAGCGTAGCCTTGAGATCTCGTCCTCATAGTGGTCGAATGTGGGCTAGACAAGGAAGAGCGAGTCAAGGGCGAAGTGCAAATGCTGACGCCTCCGACCAAGTGAACCAAACAATCGCCCCCGGAACCAACCCAAAAAGTTCAAGGTGACGATCTCAGCCGAGCATCTCTCTTCTCTCACCCTCTTTCATACACCTGTATCGCCGCCTAGACATTGAGCATGTTCCGTCCAGCAGCTCCTCGAGCGGCTGCTCCTGGATCTCAGGTATCCAGCGATATCCCTATCGACCATGTAGGAGCCGGCAACTCAGACGCCGGGCCGTCTTCTTTGCCCGGTACCGATTTGAGCCGCATACCTCCAGCTGCTGGAGGTAGTGGAGAGACGATGTGGCAGAAAATGGTGGTTGACAAGTGAGCTAGCTTTGTCGCATCGACTACATGCCAATCAAGCTGACCAGACAGCCCTTACTTCTCAGCCGGAGCTGGACTAATGGTACGTCCTTCCGCTCAACTTTCGACCGACAAGATACTCGTGCTGAGACTCAGGGCATCGGCGTAGTCCTCACCATCCTCCGGCGGTCCACGACTCTCGCCGCCACATTTGGCCAACGACGCCTACTCGTCACCCTCGAGATCCCCTCCAAAGACCGGTCCTATCCCTGGTTTCTCGAATGGATGGCCCATCAGACCCCTCCCCCGCCTACTGCCCCTCAGTCCGCTGCGGCCCGCCTGGGTAGTGCATGGAAAGGCAAGTCGCCGATGAGTCTGCGGAGCCACGAGCTGGCGGTGGAGACGACGTACAAGCAGCATGAAAATGGGAGCTCGGAGGCTGTCTTCAACCTTGTCCCGGGACCGGGGACGCATTATTTCCGATATGGCGGATCTTGGTTCCAGGTATGTTTGGCTGAGTGGCACATGGAGAGTGATACATGTGGCGCCCAAGCTGATCCCACAGGTCAAGCGGGAGCGAGACGCCAAACTCATGGACCTCCACTCTGGAACCCCCTGGGAAACACTTACCCTAACCACCCTCTCTTCCTCCCGACATCTCTTCGCCGGACTACTCGCTGAAGCCCGCCAGCTCGCCGAGGCCAGTACAGAAGGCAAGACCGTCGTCTATACCGCATGGGGCGTGGAATGGCGGCCTTTTGGAAAGCCTAGGCGAAGAAGGGAGATGGGGTCGGTCGTGCTAGGTGAGGGAGTGGCGGAGCGGATAGAGAGTGATGTTAAGGGGTTCCTGGGTCGGGCGAAGTGGTATGCTGAACGGGGTGAGTTTCAGACAGGAGGAGAAGAGAGGACAAGGCTGATGGGCAGGTATACCGTATAGAAGGGGTTATCTACTGCATGGACCCCCCGGATCAGGCAAGACGTCGTTCATCCAAGCGCTGGCCGGATCGCTCGGATATAATATCTGTCTCTTGAACCTCTCGGAAAGAGGGTTGACGGATGATAAGCTCAATCACCTACTGGGATTGGTTCCTGATCGGAGCTTTGTGTTGCTGGAGGATGTAGATTCTGCGTTCAATCGGAGAGAACAGACGACTGAGGAGGGGTAGGTCCCTTTTTTGTGTTGACTGATCAAGCTTATAATCAGGTTCAAATCCTCCGTCACCTTCTCGGGACTTCTCAACGCCCTCGACGGGGTCGCATCCTCGGAAGAGCGGATCATCTTTATGACGACGAATCACTACAATAAGCTCGATCCGGCGCTCATCCGGCCCGGAAGAGTAGACATCAAGGAGCATCTAGGGGACGCAGCGGGCGAGCAGGCCAGAAGGCTCTTCGTCAAGTTCTACGGGCGGTCCAGGGTGGTCTCACCGGTCAAGTCCGCCGCGAGTACGACAGCGACAGAGGCGGGGGCGGAAAGTAAAGAAGAGAAGGCTGGAGTTTGGCGAGAAGGGGAAGAGGTGTTAGCGCAGGAAGAGGTGGAGCGGCTAGGGGCCGAGTTGGAGGCGGTGTTGCAGCAGCTCGGGAGGGAGGGCAAGGGAGTCAGTATGGCGGCGCTACAGGGACATTTCATACGGTGTGGGGCGAGAGAAGCGGTAGCGAGTATACCGGATCTAGTGAGGGATGGCGGAAGATGACATCCACTTTGCATGATACTATATGTTGTCCACTCGTACCGCATTCCCATCACCGAATACTTTAGTCCCACTAGATACAATACCAATCACCGACGCTGCCACTCGACCAGAACCCAGCCTCAATCCTCAATCCTCAACCCTCAAGCATCCTGACGCGTCTCCCCCTTCTTTGCCCGGTCGACCGACGTCTCGAATGTCGCAAAGTGACGCGAAGACACCTTGAGCTGGAACATCTCGTCCAGCTCGATGAAGGACCTGTTTCGTGTCTCCCTGGAAATGTCAGCCGTCATTGCTGATAAGGGGACAGTGAGCAGACTCACGGGATGATAAAGTACAAGAAGACGACCGAGACGAGACCGGTACTGCCGTAGAAGAACATTGTGTTGGCAACTCCAAAGCTGGGACTCGCCAGCATGAGCGGTGTACTGTAGTTGGTGATAAGCGAGAACAGTGAGGTACCCAGAGCGGCCATATTGGTCGTTTTGGCGCGCAGTACGACGGTCGAGCATTCAGCGAGGAAGACGAAACCGAGGGGTCCGGCGGAAGAGGCGTATGCGGCGACCCAGATGCACCTACATGGTTCAGCCAAGGCCCAGGTCGGTGGAATGATCGTGTGGGTCACACAGCAGCTGCGGACTCACGCTAAAGCAATCATGCCGGAACCTGTCGCGGACGTCTGCGGTACTTTGAGAATCCCACCGATAGCGAATAGGAGCGGGACCATGAGCGCGCCCATCCACAGCAGGAGCGGCCGTCGACCGAATTTCTCGGTGGTGAACAGAGAAGTGGCGACAGAGATGACGAGTACAGTGCTGCGCCTTCAGTATGTATCGCTCGACACATGAGGCGGGGACTCACTTGACTGCGACAGTCGCTGCATCATCAGCTGTTGCTCTTTTTCAATCGTCCGCGGCGAGCAGCTGAAAGTAAAGGAAAAAAATAGCTGACCGATAAAGGGTTGGGCGAGTCCTGCTAAGCTAAAGAAGTAGCTAGTGTAGCTGAAGACGACCGGGGAACCGATCCATAGCTGGTAGGTAAAGGGAGTGACGGAGATGATGGTTCGGCGCTGGACATCAGCTCAAGGCTGACGCGGGGTAGAAGTCCGACTCACAAGATTGGTACCCCTGAAGCAATCAAGCAGAGTCATGTCCTTTTGCTTGTTGGTCAAGACCTTACCATCCTCAATCTCTTGCAGGATGATCCCGTACTCGTGCTCGATATCGTAGTCATGGACACCCCGGTAGACCCTCCGCATCGCCTGGCGCGCCTTGTCGTGTTGGCCCTTGACAGCGTAAAACCGAGGGCTTTCGGGAACGAACAGGAGGACGATAAAGGCGAGGCCGAGGAAGACCCACATCGAGTAGACCGCGTGACGCCATTGGCTCGTAGGCATCTGAGACACGATCTGTAGTCCGACGGCCGCGGCGAAGCTCCCAAGGGCCCACTATCAACTCAGTAGGCGGACGCATACAAGGGCAAGGGAGAGACTCACGGCAAGTTGGTATAGCCCCAAAGCCGCCCCGCGCACGCGAGTAGGAGCAATCTCCGAGATGTAGGTCGTAGCCGCCATCTGATTGCAGCCGACCGAGAGACCCTATGGTATCAGCCCAAGTACAAGGCGTTCGAGCAGTGTGGCTCACATTCATGATCTTAGCCGCGAGCCAATGGGTCCAGTTCGTCGCAAACATCTCGATCAAGCAGGCAACCAGCATAAAGACTTGGGTCATGATGAGCATGGGCTTGCGGCCAAAGTAGTCCAGCGGCCACGATCCGACCATGAGCACGCCGACTTGGGCCGCAGTGTAGACGCCTAGGGTCATCAGCAAGACACGGTGCCATGGATAAAGAAGACATACCACCCCAGATGGCCACGTGTTGCGGGTCGAGTACCTTTACACCGGCAGCGTTCGGGGAGCCCATTTGATCAATCTGTACGATTAGCTTGAGCTCTCAACCGATGAGGATCGAACGTCCGAATCCACGCAAAGCCACAATATTGCCCGGCATCTTGAACTGGTACCCGTCGCCCAAGGCGCAGATGGCGACACCGACGCAGTACATGATGGCGAAGCGGAATTGGCCGATCGTCTTGGTGAAGCCGAGCGCATGCTGCTTGGAGACCAGGTCGTCGCTGTACTCGACTGTCTTCGAGGTCTCGATGTGCTCGTCGTGGGCCTTGGTGTCGACAGCACCGATAGGGGAATCACGGAGGAGGTCGGTGGTCATGGTGAGTAAGTCTGTGAGGGAGGAGATGTGGGGAAGGGGGAATTGTGGAGTTCCATAGTTATAAGTACGCGGGGCTCCCGGGCAAGTCAGCTGTTTAGGGAGCAGATCATCGCCGCCGACTTGAGCGCTGACTTGATGACTTGAGTGATCAGCAGGTCGTTGTATGAGCGGTAAGAGCTCGGCGTGATGCAATACCGAGGAGACGACGGTCCCGCGGGGGAAGTAGGTTTCAAGGAATGTGACGTAAATTTGGTTATCCTCGGGCCGAAGACTACCACTTTGGGTAATGTTCTGCAACCTCTGAGGGAGAGTGGGGGGAGAAGTGGGGCCCGGCCCGAGGACCCTCTGACATCTTCTGCAGTAAGCTGAGGGAAGCTGCAGGAGACCTGTGCGTGATGGCTTATGATTAGACCGAAGAAAGCGGCGCAAAGCTATACCGTTACCCAACGCTACATCTTGGCTTACCTTGGCGTGCGTCGGGGCTCGCTCCATAGACGAGCCGAACGAACTCTCCCGTTGATCTTGTCTTCGGGCCCGGCTCTGTGCCGGACTTTGCGGCTTCGAGTGCGTGGTGCAGCCTCCTCTGCTGGGTTATTCGCAGCGGAGCAAGCAAGATGCTATCATACCCATTCCTCACAGCACCATCTCCCGCTGCCCGCCACGATGGCATGCGAAATCATCAAGGTCACGCTCGAGCGGTACGACGACCCGTCCACGCTCCAACACCCCACACCTCGGATCTCCTGGCGGTTCGGCGGAGATGTCAAAGACTGGTATCAGACGTCATACTACCTTCGGCTCGAGCGAGATGGCGCAGTCTTTGACCATCATGTCGAGTCGCAGCAGTCCATCTTTGTCGCCTGGCCGTTCGCGCCCCTGGTCTCGCGCCAGCGGTTCGAGCTGTCCGTTCGGGCTGCAGGTACTACCGGTGGCTGCACGCCATGGCACAAGATCAGCGGGGAGGCGGCATTGATGGACAAGGGGGACTGGGAGGCGGCCGTAACTCATGGGCCAGTCCAGGAGACGGGTCAGGCGAAGCGCCCCTTCCTATTACGCATCAACTTCACCGCACCTGCCAATCGAGACACTGCTCGGTTATACATCACCGCCTTGGGCGTCTACCGGGCATCCCTCAATGGCATACCGGTCGGCGATCACTGCCTCGCCCCAGGATGGCAGAGCTACAAGCACCGGCTTCACTACCAGAGCTTCGACATCGCTGCTCTGCTCGCGGACGAGAATGAGCTGGTGTGCTGGATGGGGGAAGGCTGGTACGCTGGGCGGCTCGGCTGGGAGGGGGGCTGGTGGGACTCGTACGGGGAAGGCGGCATCGGCTTGATTGCACAGCTGGAGGCTGGAGGGAAGACGGTCGTAGCGACGGGCAGGGGAGAGTGGGAGTGGGCGTACGGCCAGCTGATCAGCTCGGAGCTGTACGATGGGGAGGTATGCGATATGTCCCAGTCGCCAACGGTATGGGCCCCCGCACGGTCATCCCCTTTACCCCAAGCTCGGCTCATCTCCCCCGAATCCCCACCTGTTCGTCGGACGGAACGTCTCCCCGTGCTCGACATCATCACCACTCCCAGCGGCAAGACAATCCTCGACTTTGGCCAGAACCTCGTCGGCTGGGTCCGCTTCCTCGCCACTCCCTCCTCTCCGACCGTCGTCCTCCGGCACGCCGAGGTTCTCGAGCACGGGGAGCTCGGGACACGTCCTCTGCGCGAGTGCAAGGCAACCGATCGGGTCACCGGCGGTCAAGCAGGCTGGGAGCCGTCCTTCACCTTCCACGGCTTTCGGTATGTGGAGGTGGAAGGGTGGGACACAGTGACGAAGGATAGCGTGGAAGCGGTGGTGATCTGTACGGATATGGCGCGTCTCGGCGACTTTCGGTGCTCGCACGCTGGCATGACAAAGTATCACGAGAATACGGTGTGGGGACTGAAGGGAAACTTTGTGTCAGTCCCGACGGACTGTCCACAGCGGGACGAGCGGATGGGCTGGACTGGCGATCTATGCGTGAGCTTGATGGTCACACACCATAGAGATGTGGCTGATATAGGCAGGCATTTGCCCAGACCGCGAGCTTCCTCTACGATACACTTGGTATGTTGGGGAACTGGCTTGAAGACCTCTCCTGCGAGCAGCTACTCGACCATCATGGAACACCACCCCTCGTCGTCCCCAATATCCTCAAGGCCCCGCCGCCGACCTATGCACTCTGGGGCGACGTCACGTCCATGACGCCTTACGACCTTCATCGGGCTTTCGGGGACATCCGGGTCTTGGAGGAGCAGTGGGAGAGCGCCAAAGCGTGGCTGGATACGGCGGTCCAGCGGGCGCCGTCGGGGCTGTGGACACCAGATATCATTCAGCTGGGCGACTGGCTGGATCCCGCGGCTCCCGCGGATGCCCCGAACGATTCTCCGTCCGACAGTATCCTCGTCGCCAACGCCGTACTCATTCACACGACCCGGACCGCTGCCACTATCGCCGGTCTCCTCGGCAAGGAGGCGGAGGCGGAGCGGTATGGCAGGCAGGCGGAGACCCTCACCCAGTCATTCCGAGACGAGTACGTCACTCCCAGCGGTCGCGTCGTCTCGGATACACAAGCCACACTAGCCCTCGCGCTGCACTACGGCCTGATCCCCAAAGCTGGCATACCCGTCGCGGCGGAGCGTCTCGCCTATCTCGTCCGCAAACGGGCCTTCAAAATTTGCACTGGCTTCGCCGGAACCCCCATCATCCTCCCAAGCCTCGTAAACAGCGGCAACCTCTCCATCGCCTATCGGATGTTTCAGGAGAAACAATGCCCATCACTCCTCTATCCCATCTCGATGGGCGCCACGACGATATGGGAACGCTGGGACGCCATGCTTCCCGACGGCTCGATCAATCCCGGCAAGATGACCAGCTTCAACCATTACGCACTCGGAGCCGCGTCAAACTTCCTGTACGAGGTCGTCGGCGGGATATCGCCCTTGACGCCGGGGTGGAAGCGGATCTCGATCCACCCTCGGCCGGGTGGAACGGTCACGAGCGCTTCTGTCAGCCATATCTCGCCGTACGGCCGGGTCGCGTGCGAATGGCGGGTGGAAGGCGGTTTGATGAGGGTCAGAATCGAGGTACCTCCCAATTCATCCGCGTTGGTGAGGTTACCGGGATCGGGTGAAGTGGCCGTAGGCAGCGGGGTGAGGACATTCGAGGTGGACTGGATGCCTGACCCTGCGTGGCCCCCTCATCCTGTACCGAGGCGGTATAATCAGACACCAGCCATCGATGAGATCGTCGAGTGATGGGGGCGGTGTTTCGGATGCAGCGCGCAGAGAAAGAGGGGGTTCGGAGATACTCTGAGCCTATTTTAGCGAGAATTATCAGTATGCAGGCGTCTTGCAGTCAGCCACGCCATCAGTAAACACGTATCCGATGCAGAGCGGCAGCGAGGCTGGGACCATCACCTGAGCTCGCGTTTGATACCTCCGAAATACTACTTCCCATTCTTCCCTTGACCACCCCCTCCATTCACCCCAGCCGCCGCCGCCGCCGCCGCCGCCGCCGTCTGCTGAGCCGTCTGCGCCGCCCTCCTCAGCTCCTCAAACAACGTCGGGTATTTCTGCGTCATCAACGTCGGCGCATCATTCATCCCCGCATTCTTGCACTCCCACAGTAACTTCGCCGCCCTCGTCGCCAGTGTATCCTTGTCCGTGCGCATCCCTTTCCAATGCGCCTCCATCACGTGATTGTTAAGTTCGAACGCCGCCGCCCGCGTGGAGATGAGGGTTAGTGTCGAGGTAGGGGTTTTGACGTTGGGACGAGGCGCCAGAGAGGGATCGCGGAGGTATCGGTCGATCTGGCTCAGGAGGTCCGAGGTGAAGTAGAAGGTGAGGGAGTGGGGGAGGGTCATGGGTGATCCATAGTCGTAGCAGATACGTGGGATATCGGCGCTGGTGATTATACCGAGAGATGAGTAGTCCATGGTAGATATGGTTCGCCGGATATTGAGGGGTCGACTAGTCGTTAGCGTGATCAAGACAAGGACGTACCCTCTGATCCAGTTTATAGCGGCCGTAAGGTCCATGCCTGGTTTCTCCGGATTCTGATTGGGTAGATCCCGGCCTTGTATCACCAAACTTCCGCCTTCTATCAAACACGCCGCAAGCCGCCGGATAAAGTTGAAGGGGAAGGAGAGCTGCCGGCTGCCCGACTTGCTAGATCCCGGACGGGACTTGGACCATAACCTGACCGTCAAGCGGCGGAGGGGACCGGTAGGGAGATCAGGGAGGAGGGTGTCCGTGTATGCCGTTTCCGAGTCTTCGTCGACGACAAAGCTGAGCGTCAAGTCGTCGAGGTAGGGTAATTCCGAGAGGATGATGTCCCGTATAGGGTAGACGTCGGCTGGATGGAGGCACGCTCCCGACGTGGGCGCTGATACCGTATCCAGCCGAAGCGTCCTGATATCCCTCAGCCGGAGCGCCGGGCAGGTCGCCAATGCCCGAAACTCCTTGATCCCCATCCCGACAATCTGATCACAGTCTATACTGAGCCCCGGCTCGAACGGCCAGGTCTCGAGCATAGGGTATGTGAAGATCTTGCCGAGGGTGCGTATATGGACGTCGATACCGGTAGACCGGAACGATTTGACGGGGTACCGGATTTTGGAGACGGGGAGGATAGAGTCGAGGGGGATACTAGCCTCGCCGGGGTTGTATTTGCCGTGCGCGACGATAGTGTAGGATAGTTCGGTGACAAAGTCGGGGATGGAGGGTATTTGGAAGACCTCGGGGTCGACCTTGGGATCTTTGGTGGATATCCCGATGCACCGCTCGATGTATAGCGAATGAGGGTATTGGCCTGATTCCGACGTAAAGGAGAGGAAACTCCGGTCTCCGCCTTTCCGCATAGGTCCCTCTCCCCATGTCAGACCGGGCGGGAGGTCGCTCACCACGCTATGGACAGCGGGGAAGAGGAGAGGCGCTGCGTCCGCTGCTGCACCGATGGTGATGGTGTCGGTAGGGACGAAGGGAAAGTCCTCTTCCTTTCCCTCGAGCTGCTTCCCTGCGTCCGCCTGCGACACCTTCACCTTGGTAGGTTCCAGCACTGGTCCAGCTTCACCGCCCGTCCGAGACGTAATCGTCTGCGTGACTTGCCGAACGACACTATTGTACTCCATGAATCGTGGAGATTGCTATCATTAGCTCCCATCCGAACGGTAGACATACCAATTTCGACCCCATCCCAAGCGCAACCCTGACCTCCATCTGATTATATAACACCGCCACCGCATCGTCAAACCAGTCCCACGAGACCCTAACACACGCGCACAGGGTCTCCTTTGACGCAAAAGTCATCATACGCCTCAGCAGCCCGGGGACAGCCATCATCATCTCCATCGGGCTTTGCTGACAGATGATGACGCCTCGACGACGCTGGAAGGCCCGTGAGGGTGCTGGCGAGTAAGCCATCGGAGTACGGTTCCGAGCGGCCCCTGCCGCCGACTGCTGGAGCTTTTAGCCTGATAGATGTTTAGTGGAGAAAGTGAGAGGCCTTTGTGAAGGGATGGACAAGGCAAGATCCATCTTTTCGGGTGATAAGGAATGTGTTTCAGGTTTGTATAGCGGGAGCAGATTTTCAATAGGAAATCAGAGGGGAATTCAATTAGGATTCTTGGTAGGACCTTCAATACCTTTTGCGATCATACATCAACTGGCCTAAGGCTGTAGCGACATCCCAGACCGTCCAAGTCATAGCCGAGTGGCTTGAGCATCGCTCGCCATGCAGGGATTCAACAGGTAAGCTGCAAAGAGAGTTTCGTCCACCGCCCGTCCGCTCAGCTGACGCTCCCAGATATATCCCGCCCGACTATGATCCCAAGAAGAACTCCACGCTCAACAGCCATCAAGGCAAGAAACATGCTCTCGGCGCCAGAGCCAAAGATATCGACAAGGGCGTGCTCGTGGTCCGGTTCGAGCTCCCCTTCAATATCTGGTGCGAATCATGCGGGGTGAGCTGGCTCTTTCTGGCGCCTTGCCCGGAAGACAGCAGAGCTGACTGCGTAGAATCATCTAGGAGCTGGTGTTCGATACAATGCCCAGAAGAAGAAGGTTGGGAACTACTACTCGACGCCCATCTTTGCCTTTAGGTGTAAATGTCACCTCTGCCAGAATTGGTTTGAGCTGAGGACGGATCCACAGGTGAGCTGCCGCGACTGGAGGCGTTGTGCGACCTTCAAAAGCTGAGCTGACACCTCCAGAACGCGGCTTACATCGTTCATGAAGGGGCCAAAAAGAAGGACGAGGACTGGAATCCAGAAGAGAACGGCGGATTCGCCACCCACGGTGAGCTCCTCTGCCGACAAGCTTGTTAGTGCCCCAGCTGATCTTGCAGATACCGAAGCTCCATCCGCTGCCGACCCGCCTGCCGACCCCTTCTCCGCCACCGAGAAGACAATCGACCAGCAAACATGGGCCAAAACCAAGACCTCACGAATCACCGAGCTCGCGGACGAGTCCGACAAGCTCTCGTTTGACCCTTACGCGGTCTCCACCTCGCTCCGGCGGAAGTTCAGGGAAGAGAAGAAGGTCATGCTGGAGAAGCAGGGGCGGGATGAGGGGCTACGGGAGAAGTATGGGCTGCACGAGGAGGTGGATCTGGGGGAAGAGGACGTGGAGGATGGGCGGGCGAGATGGGAGGCTGGGCGAGAGAGACGGGGGCTGCCAGTGGAGGAAGAGGCGGAGGGGAGTTTGGCGGGCGCAGCAGGGACACCTGTCGTGTCTGCGCGTAGGCATGGGAAGGGGCGGGCCAGTGACGCTAGTACCGGCGCGTCCCCGAGTTTGGCGCAGGTACTTCGGAAATCGACCAAGCGGAAGTACGATCCCTTTGCAGATGCGGCGGACGCGTTTTTGGCTTCGGCTAGCGGTACGACCGGTGTGCGTAGAATCGCCGGAATGCCAAAGCGGGGAAGGACAGAGGATCCGGAGAGGACAGGAGCGACGCCGGCAAAAATGGTGTCGAAGGGGAAAGGGGTCGTACCGATACTGGGAGTTGTTGGCGGCTTACTGGCGGGATATGGGAGCGACTAGCGGTGTGTAGATGTCCTTGGAGAGAACTTGTAGCAGTAGTCATTCGTTTTGTACGCATCTTCTCCTCATCAGCTGGTATTTGGTTCCAACAGGTTCCAACCCCCAGGTCCCAGATCTAGGCACGGTTCCTTATCTTCCCCGCGCGTCATTTCCGCACCTCAATTTCCCTCACTTCACTTCTCTGTATAGAGTATGCCTTGCTTCTCCCTTCTCTTTTGACTTGCAGCTGTAGCCATAGTACCATCTTCACATCGAGGCTCGATCCAAGTCCACTCCCTTTCCGCTGGGAGAATCACGACCGGACGGGGCTTGGGACGCGCCTGCTGTACAACATGAAGACCTGGCTCAAGCGGGACACGGAGACGACCCCTCTGACTCGGCCGAGGCTCACGACTCGCTCGACCTCTTGCGGACCCGCGCGGGACGTATTAGAACGCTGTGATGTATTCAATACCATCCTGTTAATCCGTCATGATGTAATGGTGAGCTCTCTTTAGCTGCACCTATCTGCGGCGGTAAAAGCTGACAAGACAGACTCGGATAGGTGAGCTGAATCGCAATAATGACGACCGGTCGTGCTGATCAAAGACACGCCTATCACTTGGCAAGGCCTTACTGAACCCGCTGCAGCTTTCAACCTAGTCAGGTCAGCTAGCAGGATTATAGCATCCGTCCCAGTAGCTGACATTTAGACCCCTCACCGAGCGATACATCGCCCTAGACAACCTCTCCATCCTCTACTGCCTCCTCTCGAATCGCCTTCAATTCCTACACGACTCTGCGAACCTCCCGAACGCCCGTCTCAACACCTCCCGCGCGGCACTATGCGAGCTCCTCGCCATCCGCGTCATCACGCACTACGCCAAGTCCTCTACGCCCGATACCCAGCCTGGACCATCCGTCAACTCCGCCAGCCTGGCCGCGATCGCCCAAACGTACGGAGCGGACGGGGTGACTCGTCAGCGCCGCCTGAGCTCCTCGGCCCGCTCGGCGGCGGTGACGGGTGTAAGGCAGCGGCGGATGAGTATGGCGGAGCCCCCGTCGGCGAGACTGGCCAAAAAGCGGTCGGACGAGTTAACGTTGGCCAATGTGCTCATTGCTGGGTTCCGCCCGTTTGCGGGCGCGCCAGAAGAGGTGAAGGAGGAAGAGGAGATGGAGGGGAGGAGAGATATGGGGAGGGCGTGTAATGCGCTTGAGCTGGCGATTGTCACAGAGGCGAAGAGATTCATTGCTGTAAGTTGTCGCCTAAGCTCATTGGGGATCCATGCTGATGTGCAGTGTGCGGCTTGTCAGAAAGTGCTGGGTGCGTATAGGTCTTTGACTGAGCTACGAATAGAGCCCAAGCTGATGATACAGAGTCGGTCTGGCGTGGTAGGATCTACTACACCCCCTCTTCATTCTTCGATGTAATCCCAGATCGGGTGTACAAGCAGAAGGTGAGCTGCTTAGGACCCACTTTGTCCAGCAAAGCTGACACAAGTAGGCGATCACCATATACGACAGCCGCAAAGCTCCTCTGCTGGACCACTACCGACTTCGCGTCCCAGTGTATCGAGCCTTATTGGAATTTTCGGCGTTCATGGTCGTCTTTGCGCTCATGCTCGTGGTTCAGACGAGTGAGCAACAGCCCTTAGCATCCAGGGCTGACGGCTGATTCGGCAGTGAACCAAACGAACATAATGACGTGGTGGGAGGTCGCTCTGATGGTGTACGCGAGCGGCTGGGCGTTTGATAGACTACTCACAACGGTATGTCCAGCTGAGTCCAGCTCACCACAGTGGCCATAGCTGACGCTACAGCTCGAGCATGGCTGGCGCGTCTTTGCTGCTAGTATCTGGAACGGAGTCGACGTTGGGATCATAGCGTATGCCATCTTCCTCCCCACGTTGGGGTATGAGCTGATCAGTCCAGCTTGTTCGGCCTGTACCTCCCGATCCGGCTCTACGGCTTTTGGCTGAACGACCACGATGTCAAGGACTTTGCAATGAGTATATTGTCATGCGAGTCTGCGCTGCTGTTCCCGAGATTGGCTTTTACGCTGCTGAAGCGGAACGTCCTGGTCATGTGAGCTTTCACCTTCGATCTTTGGGTATTCGCAGGGCCGGGGAGAAGCTGACCGTGCAGGTCATTGCGTGCTATGATGGCTCAGTTCGGAGTTTTGATGCTCGCTGCGGTCTGGATATTGTGAGTCACTGCCTGCCTTTGGGAATCTCAAACGCTCCGCTGACATCCCAGTGTCGGATTCTGGCATGCCCTCTACACGCTAGACGAAGGCAACTACGGAGTCTGGGAGATTGCCAAGTACATGACCAACATCTGGTTCGGTCTTGATTCTACCGGCTTTGACATATCAAGTAAGCTCCTCATCCGACGATCCCGTGTGGCAGCAGAGCTGATCGATATAGCCGACTTCCATCCCCAGCTCGGCCCAATCATCTTCTTCATCTTCGCCTGCCTTGCCAATACTCTGTTCTTGACCATAGTGGTTGCAATCCTCTCGCATACATTCGCGGAGCTCAACCAGGATGCGAAGGCGGAGTATATGTTCAGGCACGCTGTGGGGATTGTGGAGGGGGTCAAGTGTGAGTTACTGGTGTGGGAGAGTCGGATCAGCTGACAATGCAGCGGACGCATTGTTCTCGTTCCAGCCGCCTTTGAATATCGTTGCCCTTTTCTTCTTGTACGTCTTATGGTGACAAGTAAGGAATAGAGCTGATTCCCATCAGGGCGCCTGCTAGCTGGACACTCTCCCCTCGAGCCTTCCACCGCCTGCACGTCTTCTTTACCCGCCTGGTAAGCCCATTCATGTCTTTAGCGAGGGACGAGTACTCGACGCAGAGAGCTAACAACCAGACCAACGCGCCTGTTCTCCTCCTTATCACCCTCTTTGAGCGCGCGCGCCACTTTCTCGAACTCCGTCCCCACCTCTTCGACACCCTCCAACGCGCCCTGCCCAAACAGATGCAAAACGTCTCGATATTCATGAGCGGGGCCCACGGTGACGTGTACGCCGTATTCGACTATGCACCCGATACCGTCCTGCTCACCAAGTCCCGGAACGAGGATGCGGAATATGACGATGACGATCAGCAAACGGAGGCGGATGCAGAGAGCGGGTTCTCGAGGTGGCCGACGTACGATATCGTCGAGTCTCCGGATGGGGATGGCGGGGATGAGGATGGGGATGAGGCGATAGAGGATTCGGATAATGAGGAAGGGTCGCAAGCGGGGAGTGGGGGACCCTCGTCGCCTACGGTGCCGGAGCCGAGAGGGAGAGGAGGGACGGATCGGCCATTCATCGGGATGCCGAAAACGAATACGATCGGCGCGGACAGTATTCTCTCTACTTCCCCTTCGACACATCTTCGCCGGCTCGCTTCGGGCAAGACACCGAAGTTGCACTTTGACGATACGCGGACAGGCCGCCGAGCCAGCCAAACCCGGGTGGATACCAGTCCGGCCGGATCGAACCAGAGCGGCGGGCAGGGGCAAGGGCAAGGAGAGGAGGACCTCCTCACGCTACAGCAGATGTACCCCGCGGAGCCGGCGATGCAGAATACGTCGGCGAGGGCGTCGGGACATGTAGGCGGAGGGAGGCGGCAGAGTCTGGGGCTGGAGATGGCAGGACATGGGAGAGAAGAGGGGGAGCCGCCGGCGTGGGCAAAAGGCCTGGGGGAGATGTTGAGGAAGATGGAGGAGAGGCAGGAGAGGATAGAGGGGATGCTCAAGATGGCACCAGGGGAGGGGGATTGATGTATAGATTCTGGGATTCAGTAAGTGGACATGCTGACTGGACTGCTGAATTGGCGCTGACCGCACTGTCACATTTAAATGGGCACGATCGGTCTCTTTGCATGATATTTTTCCGCCCTGATATAACCTGTGTTCGCCTCTATTTCACGGCGAAACTACTACCTCTAGCTGATGATATGACTGCCTATTATACTGCCACCCTAATCTACTGCTGATTCCTCTTGATGACCTCTGGCAATTGTCGAACTTCCCACTCTAATTGACTATCGATGACCCGTGCCGCCTCTGCCGCCTCCTGCCTGATGCGGTTCAAATCCCTTTTCGCCCGACCCTACGCCTCCTGCAACGCCGATGCGCCGTCGGCCATTTCGCTGGGAGTCGCCAAGCATGAGATGCTCTCATAATGGTCGGCGGAGCGGTCGAGGCAGTCTTGCATTGCGTCTGCGAGGGCGGCTCCGCTCGCCCTCATGCGCGGGACAAGCGCTTCGAGTGGCCGCAGGGTGGACGCCCACTCGGTCGCCTTGGTCTCGGCTCGATGCTTGGGTCGACCGTCCGCGTGGAACTGTAGATTGGTGACTGCATAGAAGATATCGGCGCCCAATGTGGTAAAGTCGACGACAGAGAGATGACGTTGGCGGGTGGGTGACTGACTGACATGGTCAGCTCTGTGCTATAGTAAGCTCGAAGGCGAGGTACTCACTTTCTCATGAAGCTGATGTATTGCGCTTGCCGCGGATCAGCGTAGTGGCGTATACCGTGTCCCCAGGGGTAGTACAGGGGCAGGACCCATAACACCGGACGATCCGTGCAGGCGGGAAGAACTGCACGAAGCAGGTTGAAACGCGGACCTTGCATTGGCGGAGTGTGGATGTGGAGCTCCGAGATGCTTCCCCGTTGGGAGAGGGTGTCGGGGGAGAGCATAGTGCGGCAGGTCGCCTCTGCACCCTCAGTCCCCTGGATAGCGATGTGAAGGACCGTGAGCCGAGGTAGGTGGTTTGCAATCGTCGAGAGGAAAACGGGGAGATCCGAGGAAGTGAGGAGTTGGTGAGCTGCAGCCGAGGATGAAGTTGCATTGTACAGGATGAGGGATTTGAGAGAGACCGATGCGACGGTAGCGAAGGGAATGAAATCGTCGATTTCCTATGGAGCAACATGAGGAGCGGAGATGCGAGAGAGCCGCTGAGTGTGCCCTGCTTTGCTCTGCAGCTGGTAGAGGCGAGTGACGTCGCCGAGCTCGACGGGTAGGTCGCCGAAATTGGCAGTGTCATAGATGTTGCCGAAGATGTTGTCGCCCCGCATAGCTTTCAGCCACGTCTGGCTACTGGCAGCAGGGGCGAGTGGATCGGGTAAGCTAGGTTGGAGATTGAATCGCGATTGGACGGAGTAACCGGCCGAAGGAGGTTTGCTCCAAGCAGAGGGAGATTGGGGACAGGATGTGTGATCCGGCCGATGGATACGGACGATCTCGACGGTACCCGTATTGGCGATACTGGTCGGGGCCATGGATATACCGTTGACGACTTCCGCGAGTGGAGGGGGATCGATGTGGGCCACCCACCACCCGTTCTGCTCCGGCTCTTCCTCCTCGTACACCACCCTCCTCACCCCCGGGCACTTCTTCCTGATGACGTCGATGAGGTACGCGCATAACTCAGGGCTGTAGCCCTTCAGACGTCTGGACGCTTCTGCGGGCTGGATTCCCATCGCCCGCAACATGCCGTCCGGGATGTCTCCCTCGCGCACGTATACTTTCGTCACGGCAGCGCAGTAGGTGAGGCGACGCTCCTGACACTGTCAGCTTAAGTCCTACACGAATGAGATGCACTCCGAATAGACACATGAGTGCTCACCGTCTTTGTGCTCATCTTGGTTCTCATCACCAAGAAGCTTACGCTCTTCCAGAACCTCTGCGCCACGTCAAAGACGAATCTCCGACACACGCGCATAAAGGTCTGCAGATCTTGGTGGGACAGGTAGCCGAGGATGTGCTGCCGGATCTCGGGATAGCCGAGGATCCCATACTTCTTGATGTCCGATTCATGGCTTTCGGCCGGGACGGCGATGGGGGCCGTTGCTTGAGCTGATGGAGGTATGGCAGCCGCTGGGAGAGGGGATTCCGGGGTGATTGCCTTCTTCGCGCGCTTGTTCGCCCGCCTGGACGGCACAGCTAGCTAGTGATCAATGTGCAGGGGGAGGCTGAGTTGATGATGCAGATGAAGGGGAGGATGAAGGTGGTCCCGCAAGTGCCACTTTTTGGGGAATCTGAAACACACGGGGTAAACCCAAATGAAACGCCGAGTACAGCCGACGATGTGGCGGGAGGCGTCTTCACCAGCCAGGGGCAGTGGACAGAGTCTACCTTGTTGGGGTATGTGACGAGCCCGTTCGGCTGATGACTCTAGACGGAGGGACAGGCGGAGACGGTGAGAGACGCGGCCCGGCTTATGATCAGTCATGAAGTGCTACCGTACTCAGTACTGCGACCCGGCGCAAGTGGAGAGATCTGATGATATCGTGGGTTAGAGCCGCACAGCAAGTGATGAGGTCCACTCGCTGACGGCCAAGATGCGCACTTATTGTTGAAAACAGTCGTGAGTGTGCATGAATGAGCTGTACTTGGATGTATACGAGACCTGGCTGAACGCTATATGTACAAATTACCATCCTACCTAATTCTCCCGCCCTCTCCCCTCCCCTTGGCATATGCACCGGACCTTACTTCCCTCCCCGTGCTCTACCGATGTCCCCGTATAGCCCGATTACAGCCGCCATCTCACCTTCCACTCCAGCCGCGCTAGCCCAAATAGATGGCTCCCCCATGTCCTCCCAAGCCTCCGCCGACTCTGCCCTGGTCCGCCTCCATTCCGCCAGGCACGATCTGGCCTTGTCGACGGTCTCCGCCTGCCAACCCGTCCCTTGGAACACTTCTACCACCTCCTTCCATCCCTGCAGAGCCTTCTGGAAGCTCGATAGGGCGATAGATGGAACAAGTGTCCCGATGGCGAGAAGGCGGTCGACGAGCGCGGACGCTCGTGTCCCCGCAAGACTGCGCGGTGTTCCGTCCGCATTGTATTCGAGTCTGCGGACGTCGGCCAGGATAGTGACGCCGATGCTACGGAAGTCGACGGTTGACAGGTGTCTTTGTCGATCAGAAGATTGCCTGAGCACAATCAGCTACCGACCTCCAGTCGTGAGCGCGTCCTCAAAGTAATACACTTACGATCGCAGATGGCTGATGAAGGGCATTTGCTCTGACCTTGGCCATATCCGATGCTCATACGTTTCAATCTCCAGTGACCCTAGTTTGGAAGTGCCGAGCACTGAAAGGACACGGAGTATGTTGAAGATTGAGGTGTCCGACGACCCCGCTAGGACGCGAATGTACGCGAGGGTGCCTCTCCGTGAGAGCGTGTCAGGGCGCAGCATGCCTCGGCACACGCTCTCCGCGCTCTCGATGCCCCTCAGCGGGATAGAGAGGACCTGCAGGCGCGTCAAATGCGATCCGATGATCTCGATGAGCGAGGGGATTTCGGCGAATGAGATCAGCAGATGATGCTCGTGTACCGGGGGATATGAAGCGCCGGCGAGGTGGAGTTCCGTCAACGACGATGAAGCGATGTGTGCGAATTCATCGAAGGAGGAGAGGGAGTAGGGAAGGGTATGAGGAGCGCGGATACACGCTAGCCTTTCTTTGCCCCCCTCTGAAATCTGGAGTTGGTATAGTCGAGTGATGTCCGAAAGTTTGACCGGTAGTTCGCCGAGGCCAATCTCTTGGTATAGATGGCTGTAGGACGACTCTTCGCGGAGGTGAGCGAGCCATAGATCCGAGTATTGACCTGACCGGTGGCGTAGCTCGAGATTGAAGACTTGCTGCACAGCATAATCAGTCGACGGGGGAGTGAGCTGTGCGACCGGGTTGGACGCAAAGTAATCGGACGGCCGATGGGAGCTGACGTCCACAATGCACGTGCGAAAGGCCACGATGGTCCCGCTGCCAAGTGTGGCCGTTGTTTTCTTGGCGGTGTCGTACGGCGTCCGCGCTGAGTCGATGAACGCCACCCATCGCTCGCGATTATCAGGCCATGAGCTGGAGGGAGTGTAGGTGATCTTTCGGAGATTGGGACATTTCCGCCTGAGATCCTCCAAGAGCATCCGACAGACTCTCGTCTGGTACCCTTGAAGCCTCTCCATCAACCTGTCACCTTTGAGGGACGCAATTCCCAGCTTGGCGCGCAGTGGTTTGGACTTGGCGATATCGGCCGGTGATATCTGGACTTCGGTTACAGCTGCGCAGTAGGTACGCTGCCGCAGCTGTGGTCTGAGCTTCATTCTGTTCACAGGCATGCTCTGTCTGGGTGTACTCACGGTGGTCATACTCATCTTGTTGCGAACCCTTCCAAGATCTACTACCCGATACAGCTCCTTCGCCGCATCAAATACCGCCTTCTTCTCCACCCGCATGAAACGCGTCACGTCCACCTTATCCAGATAGGCGAGGATGCTTTGGCGGATCTCCGGTACGAGATAGACCTCATTGGCGGCGGAGCGAGGTGGAGCGGAGGGCTGGTCCGATGTGGATTGGGAGGCTGAAGGGGTAGTAGAATCCGTTGCTGGGGGCGTCTGGGACGTGGTCGACCCGGCTGGTGCGGACGGAATCGGCGACGCCTCATGCTTCGACTGCTTACCAGGCGGCATGTTGTCTGGAGGGTGAGGTGTACTCGAGAGAAAGGAAAGATAAGAATGAAGCGGTCAGCAGGAAGGAGGTCAAGCACGTGATCAACATACCTCAAGATCTGAAACACGGGGTAAAATGCGTCCGGGTGGCGAATGTGGCGGAGGGCGAGAAGAGCCCATACCACTACTCTACCGATCACCTTGGCAAGTCGCGCCGCAGGCAAACCAGGAGGGATCTCTAGCGCCCTCATATGGGCGCCGGGAAAACATGCGCTGATACCTGTTGCATGAAAGTCGTCAGTCCCCATAGCTCTATTAGCTGCCTGCCCAAAGCTCGAAGTGACCCGCCAGGCACTAGCAGAAAGCGTCTCCCTCATCCTCCGACCCACTCAGAGATACAGTCGATCCTGCTCTGCTCTGCGCACCGAATGAGATCTCAGTCCAGCTCAGAGCACTGTCCGCGAGTCTGTCATCTTCACTGGCCACTTCGTCGTCATCCTGGGGTTCGGCATTGACCGCACGTCGATCCTGATCCCCAAAATCCTCAATGAGCGCTGTGTAGATCCGCCCCTGGGTCCCGGATCGCTTCGTCGCCAGGACAACTCCATATCCGGCATCGATGGGCTGAAGAACCCAGCCGGAATTGGGCTTCCCTACGTTGATCGTGGTGGACATCCCATCTGCGCTCGTGAAGGTCGCTGAGTGGAGAAACGCGGCACGGTCGCTTGCGAGAACATCTTGGAAATGGGAGCCGTCCCACTCAAAGGCCAGCGGCTGTACATCCAAGGGAATGCGCATGGTCCGGTGCACGGGAGCCGACAGATGCCACCCCACCTCAGTCGCAGCATTCGGGTCCTTGTTCCTGGAGACGAAGACGACCGATACCTTGTACCGCCCCACGGATTCGGGCTCTATCGAAGCAGTCTCATCCTTGTGGTGAGTGACCCGCGCGGCATGAGTCACGCACCTGCCCTCATCTCCGCTCAGCTCGTGGTCCCCGAGAAGCGTATCCGTGTCGACGGTTTTGAGGAGGATCAGCAAGGTCGCTTTGGTGTCCTTGCACTGTACTCCGAACGTCTCCTCCGGATCCGAGAGAGCAGAAGTGGAGGGCGAGGTTGACGGGCGAGCAGCTTTCATCTGCGTCGCGGCACTGCAGGACTCAGCGGGCATTCTGATCAGCCAATCGCTGACATGGGTTTGCCGGATAGGAACGCCCTTGGCAGTCTTGAGGGTGTACGACTTGGAAGGGCTGGTGTCGCGGTGACTCGGGGCGCCGCTCGTGGAAGGTGGAAGCAATATGGTGTCGCTCATGATGGATAGCTTGACTGAGGTGATGTATGGAAACTTAAAAGTGCGAGGTAAGGGGGCGACCAAGCCTGTCGAGACGACTCGGTCAGAATGGAACCGAAAGGAGGTCTCAACGAAACACCTCACGAGTGAGTGTGGCTATGACGTCGTCAAGGGATCGTCCTGCTCGGACTGCAGGCTAGCACGCCATCAGACATCATGGAATCCGACGGAATGTGGCAGAATCCAAATGCCGCTAGACGCGGGCACCAGCACGAAAGATTGATGTCAAAGTCAGAATTACGCCCATGAGCGACCCATTTCCATACTTGGGAATAGCGATAGCTCTGGAACAGGAGCAGCACCCAGGCGCGTGATCGAGTCTGAATGAGATTTCAGCGTATCAGCGATATTAGTACGTACATTCCCCTGATAAACGAACACCTCGGCTTGCATGCCTTTTTTACTTCCCTCCATCACATATACTCTTCCCTACCTGCCCGGAGGACTCAGCTGAAGGGCGGGAACCACTTCCACCTCCTCCCCGGGAACACCTTGGGGTCAAACTCGCGCTTATACCTGGCGTACTTGCCCGCCGCCCAGCGGTGCATGAACATCGTCGCAATGACGCTGTACACCACAGCTACACCCTATCAGCTCGAGGCCACCTCGAAGCGGAAGCCCACTCACTGCCAATATCAAAGCCAGTCATGATGCTCATCGCAAAGACACCGAGGGTTTCAAACCAGTAGTTGGCACACACGACGGTCCCGAAGCCAAGACCGGTAGGGTACTTGCGTGGCTGACCAGCGGGCTGGCGCAGCGAGGCGAGGTGGACGTGGGCGTTGAGGTTGAGGAGTTCAGCGCACTGTGCGGTCAGCATGGTTCTCAGCGGAAAGAGAAGGACTGACCAGGATAAAGAGGCTCCAAAAGCCGACCCAAGCGGGGTTGTTCAGGATGGAGCCCTTGAGCGCCTCAGCAGAGTAGGCGGGGCGGTACAGCGTCAAGCCACAGAGCACGCCAACGACTCCCCAGTAGTAAGCCGAGCTGGCGAAATCAGCGTAGTTCTCGATCAGTAGCAGACTTGGCTCGAACCTACTTTCGGTAGACGTAGGCTAGTGGCAATGTTGACCGCGAGAAGGAGTGGACGAATGCAGACTCCAGCCACCGCTTGATGAAGTGCAGTACGATGATATTGCGAATAGCTCTGTCTCATCAGCTGATGATCCTACGGGCGAGAATTGGAGCTGACATTTGCAGAGCGGACGGCGTGTATGCTCCCCAGATGTGGTGAGAGAGCTTGAGGAACAGCGGGTTGATGAAGATCGGTCCAGCCTGGTGTATCAGCCATAGGTCCATCTCCTTGTAATTCGAGTGACCAACATATTCCCACAAGTACAGGTACCGATACGGCACTTGCTTCCCGAGATCCTTCAGTCGAAGCTCCGCCTTGTCTCCCACGCCATACGAAGCGAGCGATTTAGACTCGTCCGTCAAGGGTGTGGGCTTTCCTTCGCCTTTCGAGATAGTCAGTCGCTGCCTGTTCGGCACGAGCTATCGAGTTAGCCTGGCTCCAGGCGGAGGTCCGTCCGAGCTCACCACGGGAAACTTGGCGTGGACAGCCTGGTGGAGCTGTTTGACGGTGACTTGCTCGGGATGCCGGTCTGGGAAATCGACCGACACCTTGGGCTTGCCCTTGGTGCTGATAGTGAGGGATACCATCTTGCTATCTATGGATGATAGATGTATAGAGTCAAGCTATACTATGGCTGCACCAGGACGTCGACATCCATCTGCACGTGATCAAATTCCTCAGGAACGGTACCAAAATCCGCTGCCCTTCTGGCCAGCAAGAAATTGGCCTGTCTTTGCTCTTTCATCTACATCTCCCACCATGATCGGCGTGTTCAACATGGCCTCTAGCTCGAGGGCAGCGGTGCGGACGGCGGCCTTCTCACTTAGGCAGCCAGTTATACCGGTATCGTCCGCCTTCGCTCGGCGGCTGTACGCTACCGAGAGCGAAAGTCGACCATCAGCTGCGCCGGTGCCCACGCCTGAGTTCTCGCTCTCTGGCTCGGCATCGCGGAGTACAGGTCAGACTACCATGAAGAAGTATACTGGACCAGGATTTCCCAAGATTCCAGTGAGCTATCGGCCGCAGTTTGGCTCGGGCAAAGCTGATAACATAGGGTCTGCGCCACCTCGTCCATCCCCATCACCCCCATCTTCACGCTGGCGCGCCCGTACGAGACCTCACAATACCTCTTCGGCGTAATGGCGGGCGGAACGGGACTGGACAAGTCGTCAACCGAGGCGTAGGCGGAGGGCATCGCAAGAGATTACGGATTGTCGATTTCCACCGGGTGGAAGCGGGGGAGCAGGACGTTGTTCGGATCGAGTATGATCCGGGACGGAGTGCGCATATCGCGCTGCTCAAGGCGAGGGTGGCGGGTGCGAAGGATGTGGAAGTGGAAGAAGGGGCGGCACTGGCGGAGATGGAGGGAGAGGAGAGTACGGATGCTGGCGCGACCATTCGATCGAGAAATGAGGTCCGGGGAGGATGGAGCTATATCCTCGCTCCGGAGGGATTGAGAGCGGGGGACGTCGTCACTTCTTATCGGAGTGGTATACCGTCTGGTCTTGTCGAGGGATGGAGCGAGAAGCCTTCCGACTCGGATCCCTCAGCACCTCAATCCGTCAACCCTCCAGAATCCGGAACGTCCCGCGCTCTTGGTCTCCTCCGTACCATGACCCTCAAACCTGGAAACGTCCTCCCTCTTTACCTCATCCCCGCTGGAACATCCATCCACAACATCTCCATGACGGCATCGGGACGGATGCAGCTGTGTCGGTCAGCAGGGAGCTACGGGCAGATTGTGGCGCACCACGGACCCAAGGGGGAGGCGTTGGGTGGAGCGCAGATCTTGAGCATGGGCGGGAGTGTAGGAGAGGATGGAAAGCTGCAGAAGAAGAATGGAAGCGTGCTGGTCAAATTGCAAAGTGGGGAGGTGCGGCGATTGGATCCGGGATGTTGCGCGACGGTGGGGACGGTTAGCAAGTGAGTGATTCGATCCGAAGAGGAGGCTTGGCTGACGCCTGCAGCAAAGAACATCACTCTGCTCAACTCGGTAAAGCCGGTCGAGCACGCTGGCTCGGTCAAAGACCTATCGTTCGAGGTCTCGCCATGAACGCTTGCGACCACCCGCACGGAGGTGGTCGAGGAAAGTCAAAGGGAAATGTTCACCCTCGGTCCGCCACAGGTGTGCTGAAGGGTGTGCGTACGAGGCGGTCCAAGGATAAGGACGGGAACAAGCAGGTGGTATCTGAGAGGCCGAGAGGGAAGGCGTCGAAGAAATAGATATCGCAGATGCATCCCGCTGCTCGTCTGGCTACACCATCGCTTTTAGCTGGAGTCATCCGACGACGTGTCCTCATCATTCTGACATGTCAGCTCGACTCCGCCGCAGCTCAAAGCACCGGACTCACCAACTGTGCGCCTGGGGGTGCTTCTTCCAGCCGTCCGCCGGCCCTCTTGATGCGCTGCTGGCTTGGACACCCGATGTTTTAACGTCCGTATGTTCGCCTTGAGATCACTCTCCACGCCTCCGCCCGCCTTCTTCAACAGATTCGCCGCTCTCTGATTCGCCTCTGCGACTGCACACAGCAGTGTTTCCGCCTCTCGTAACATCTCGGCTGGCTCGCCGGTGACCGCCTCGCTGTCTGTTCGCATAGCTGCGCTGCGAGACTCCGCCAGACTGCCGAGGAGCGCAGGCACGAGGGTGTCTCGGACGACTCGTTCGCTGGTCGTGGTGGACACCGAGAGGCTAATCGAAACCCACCCGATCGGCCGTGCACATATGTGGCGGCAGTGTTGCAGCGACCACTTCACAGGGACAATTGAGGCGGAAGTCGGATGGAATGTGTAATACACGGCCAGTCCAAAGTCGGAAACAAATGCTGCTCTGAACCTGTCACATCTAAAGCATGCGTCTAGCCGAGCTCAAGCTATATACAGCGTACCCATCCATACCTAAAGTCTGTCTGATCATACTAAGCCTATATACATATACAGCACAACGAGTCAGGCAGTCATATTTGATTATTTCGTGGTTACCGTTGCAGATACCGTACCAGAGCCAGAGGGAAAGACTCACCTGAGCTGGAGGAGAATACTCACGGAATTTGAACCTGTACTGGTCCATTCCCGGCAGCTGGCTGATGTTGTACATCTTCCGATGATTGACGAGGAAGGGATGAAGAGCAGCACGGGCATCCTCCCATTGACGTTCGAGAGTTTGATACTCAAGATAATGAGAGTCAGCGATGGCGACGGAAGTAAGAGGGGAGACTCACAGGAACAAAATCGGCGAGAATGAGCGGGCCAGAGGCTGGGTCAGAAGCCCTGCACAGCACTTGTTCCCATTGGGCGTCCGAAGCCTGAGATTGTCAGAACTGTCCAGGATGGGAAAAAAAGATATGACTCGCGTCTCGGGCAGCGCGCTCGGCCGTTCGTAGCTGATTTGTCAGCTAAGGTCGCGAAAATAGTAATGACAGACATACCGTGTTCCAGCGATCAATGACAGTCTGCGGAGGACTCAAGAGAGGCTGGGGAGCTGCCGCTTCTTGGACCTTACCGCCATCCTCCGCCACTGCATCGACAACGGCTTCTTCCACCTTGACCTTGACCTCCACATCGTCACCCTCTTTTTTTCCTGCTTGCTCCTGCCCATCATCCCCTTCATGCCCTTCATGCCCTTCATGCCCTTCATCTCCTGCATTCCCTTCCGACCCATCGACCCCAGCTTCCAACTTGGCCGCGGCTGACCCGCGCGGTGATGCGGTTATCGAGCCTGCCCTGTCCGCTGAAGCCGACATTTCCGCAATTATTGATCTGTATAAGACCCGAGTACGAGACTGTGGCTACTCAGAGCCGGGATGTAGGAGCCGGCGAGGTCTGAAGAGAGGTATACAGCGCGAGCGAGTGATGATGCAGAGTTGACGCGACGCGGATGAGTCAACGAGGAATGCGGAGTTTACGTACCGTATTGCTTCCGACGGAACACAGAGAATTAAGCTCGGTCGCCGAGCTTACTGCTGTCAGCCTGCCACCCACAGCCTTTTGAGTTGACTGATCTTCTGCTTGTTCCACTCTCAGCACTGATCTCAGCACCTACTCCGAAGACCATGTCCTTCCTCAACGTCTCACCGTGCTGTGTCACCATGCCCACAGAGCTGCCCGGCGAGCCGCGAGGCACCATGCAGCTGGCTGGGGAGGGCGGACGGACCGTCGCGCGGTATATCGTCAAGCCCAAGGAGGGCGTCAAGGACGACAAGGCTGCTCTGGTGATCCTGTACGACCTTATGGGCTTCAAGACTGTGAGTTAGCCCTCTCGACAACCCCACTGGCTTGGCTAATCAACAGACCAACCCCAAGATCATCGCTGATCAATATGCCGACCAACTCGGCATCACAGTCATCGTTCCGGACTATATCCGTGAGCTGCTGTGGTTATGATGCCCATGATGACTTCAGGAAGCTGACTCTTTAGCTGACGCGCCGGAGCCTATGCTACTCACCGGTATCATGGATACTTTCCCAGGGGAGAACGCGGAGAAATCTTGGTTTGCCACGATCAAAGACTACCTCTATGTCTTCTCCAAGTTGATTTGGAAGCTCCCAGGTTTCACACTGGCGAAGCTGGTCCCTATCTGCTCCAAGGTGCATCATACCCATCCTACACACTCGCTGTACTCCAGCTGATCATGCAGGCGATCCAAGAGCTCCGCAGCGAGGGGTACGAGCGGGTCGGCGGTATCGGGTATGTCCCCCTCGAAACTTCGGTCGCATCATGAGCTAACGGTACAGGTACTGCCGAGGCGGCTCCATGGTCATCTCCCTCCTCTCCGAAGGCGACGCCTCCCTCCTCGACTGCGGTATCCCCTGCCACGCCGCACCCGATCCCGCCGCCTACCCTAAGATCACCAAACCCTCCCAGTGGCACTTTGCGAGCCACGATCCCTTATTCAAGCCCAAGCAGATCGCAGAGGTGCGCCAAAAGATGGAGGGAAGGGGTGTGGTGTTTGAGCAGACCGTGCATGAGCGTGAGTCCACCAAGGTATGACCAAGGAATCAGGCTGATTAGCAGAGACGTCGCACGGGTTCGCGGCGAGGCCGAATCTGAACAATGAGGCGAGCAAGAAGGCGTTTGAGGAGGCAAATGCGGCGGCAGTCAAGTTTCTGAGGACTCACTTGAAGTTAGGAGAGTGATATGGGGCTTCTCTAAGTTCAGTTGTACATAGCGTCAGTATTGGTATGCCTTTAGCTTAGCGAGTTGGTTTCACTCCGGGTCAATGCATTGTCATCTACCCCTCCCGCAAGCTGACCCCTACTCTGTCCATAGGTCCACCGCATATACATTCTGCCGCTATGCCCACACCGCTCCTGCAACCGCCGGCGCCTGCATATCCTGTGCTATTGTCTGCGCATCGGACGGCCATCGGCGTCGTATGCGAGATCCGCCACCTGAATAGGGTCAAATAGACCCAGCGAGGGGAAGTTTACGGTTGCGAGATGGGCGCGTCTTTCGGGCGATTGTCTATGCCGTCAGCGTCTTGCTCCTCAACCCTTCTTTACAAGCTAGTGGACGACTTACGATTGTAAATACCGAAGATAGACCGCCTGCGCTTCGGCCGTCCAGCCACCATAGTCCCCCATAGCGATATGTACCGTCGCATCTGGTATACGCGACCACAGAGGGGCTAAGCAGCGCAAGACCGACCACAGCGCCGTGTATTGCTCTGAAGTGAGGATGACGAGTTCGGTGAGGGTGCCCCCTGGCTCAAGCTTCTCCGGAGATAGCATGGCTGCGCAGTCTCTGTCCGCCGAGCCGACCCCCTCCAGCGCCATACGGAGCAAGCGCAAAGAGGGGAGCTTTGTCTTGATGGTATCGACGAGCTGCGGGAGGTCCGAAAATGACATGTTGGTTCCGCCAGGTGGGTATCGATACGATCGCTCCCCGCATAGTACGAGCGAGACGAGCGAGGTCGAGGCGATGCTGGCAAAGTCTGCGAAGTCGCGCAGGGTTCCGATGGTAGTATAAGGGGAGATGATATGCTCGAGCCGCTCCGAGAAGTGCTGTTTGTCCTGGAGCAGGTACAGCCCGCTCAAGTAGGAGAGGTCCACCGGGAAGCGCCCGAGGCTGACGCTTTTGTACAGCTGGCCCATGATGGGGCTGTTGCGGAGGGCCTCCAGCCACTCGGTCGGCCGCAGAGGGTCTTCGCGCCATCGTGGAAAGTGCACAATGAGGTCGAAACGCTCCCAGATGGTGTAGGCGGGAGAAGGGGGAGGAAAGGGAAGGGTTGCCGTAGCAGGGTCCGCCGAGACGTCGAACCGCCGAGTATGGAAGAGGTCGACGTGTCCGGCGTGAGAGGATCCGCTGGTGTTGTTGTTGTTGAATTGCACCGTCCAGATGTCATCATTCCCGAATGGCTCGTATACGCCTCCAAATGTTGCGTCCTTGACATGGGGGAAGCGCCGGACGATGTCCGGGAGGACGAGATTGGCAGCGGATGGATCGTATTTGAACGGCCGGGAACGAGGGCATTGGCAAGTTTTAGACCAGAGTCTGCGTTCCGTTTCCGAGTCAGAGTCCGTCTCGTCGTCCGCCTCGTCCGATGACCCATGGCTATCCGACGACCAGTCCCCTTGATCATCGACCGAGGATTCCGCTTCCAGACGTCTGAGTAGGGGACGGTCATAAGCGTGACGCGCCATTCTGACTGCGGGAGCCATGATCGAACGAGCGTCAATGTGCCGGACACCTTCACGATAGAGCTGACTCCGACTCTACGGAGAAGTCAGCTTGTATTCCAGACGAAGGCCAACCAGAAGAAGACTTACCGACCGCGACGTCAGCCCATACTGAGCCCTCTTCCCGCTGATTGAGTGGTACAGCAGCTCCGAGACATCTCTCATGGTCCTCCTCTGCACTCGCATAAAGATTGCGAGAGACCCGCGATCGAGGTGCACGAGTATGAGCTCGCGGATGTCCGAAATATCGAAGCAGGCCCGAGAGGCGGGAACCTGCGGTTCCGCGCGATTGGCGGAGCTGTTTGAGCCGGGCGGGCCGAGACTCGCCTGCCTCGGGAACATGATCTTGGCCTTGTCCTATATGCCTCGCCCGGGCAGCCGCCAGGACTTCCAAGGAAGATCGTTGATGTCGAGATGAAGTACGATAGAGGCAGTTTGGGCTGAACATCAAGTCGACGGAGCGGACGAGTTGACGCACGGACATGTCCTGTCCGGCCCTCCAAGCTGAAGCCTCTGCAGACGCTTCGCAGAGGTACCGATGAGCCAGACCGCACTCGCAAGGTCGGCGAGAGAAGTCATGACATGTATGTACAATGAGCCTATGAGTCCATCAAAGTCCACCAACTACACCGACTCTCCCCGGGTCCTCCATGCCTCAGCCGCCTGCTTCAGCTTCCCCGTCCCTCCACCGACAACCCGCTCAGTCCAAGGCCCCAGTGACGACCCCCCTGAGACACCGCCGCATCTCCTCTGCTTCTCCTGTCATCTTCAATAGACTCCGCTTCGGGTGCAACGCCTGTCCCGCGGCCCAATCAGCTTTCCAGAGCGCCTCCACAAGCTTCGCCAGCTCCTCTAGCACCTCGGCCGTTGTACTCGCGCCCGCCATCGCCTTGAGCCGTGATGCGGCCCCATCAAGATCATGCAGTGCGCTGGAAAGACTAGCGGAAGGGTAAGGATTGGGGTGATCGAGGAGGGATTTCGCCTTGTCCGCCCAGGTGGTGGACTCTGACACGCGGAGGGGTATGGGCCGACCGTCTTCGTGATATTGGAGCTTGTCGACGCCGAAGGGGTCAGCCACGTCGAGTGTGGAGAATTCGACCTGCGAGAGATATCGGCGCCTCTGTGCGGGTTGACTATCATTTCAGCTCGCGATTTAGGCAGATGATTCAAGAGACAGGGGTGTCGTGCCTGACGTACTGCAGGAGATAACGCAATAACTTGCTCTGGAGTTCCTCCGAGCCCCACGGCCACATTTCATTCGGTCGGATGTAAATGGACGCCGTCGGGCGGCACATGAGGCCGCATAGACGAATGGCGTCAAAAAGCGGGATGGCGTGCCGCCTGCTTGTGATGTCGAGGGAGGACACCAATCCGCCTTGGTCAAGATAGTCGTCCGCGAGTGCGTCTCGACACGCTGTCTTACAATTGGGCGTGAAGCTGACTGTGAGACCGAAATGGGTAAGCGACCGGAGTTCCGACCGTACGATCCGGCTGATTCCGCCCAAGTCGGCGAAACTGACGCCCGCAATGCCCGATTTCGATTGACAGGTCGCCGCAGTCGCTCTCGGGGTTGGTGGCCATGCGGAGGGTAAGCCGAAGAGTAGAGAGGGACGGCATCTCGTATCTGACGAGTCGGCTGATAGACGCAAGATCGGCGAAGGAGATCTGTGCGAGGTTGGAGCAAGAGGTGTCTAGGAGGTCGAGAATGGTGAGAGACTTTAAGTCCGCCGTAGCGAAGCGCTCAAAGTCGCAGATGGAGTAAGATGTGATATATGGCGCATAAAACTGTCCGAGCCGCTTTGGGTGCCCGAGCGATTCTGGACGGGCGAATGATGAGATGATGTCGTCGAGACGGACAGGGAGGGGCCCGCAATCGACGATGGGTCCGGCGTTGGCGAGATGCGGGTCCGAGCAAATATGCTGCCAGATGTCTTCTAGGGACTGATCGGACCGCTGAGGGACCGCCTGGATCATGAGGCTGAACCGCTCGTGAATGGTATAGTCGGCCGAGGGGGGAGCCGGGGGCAGGAAGGGCTGCGCATAGCCGTCAGAGACATTCAGATAGCGGAATCTGGAGATGGCAATATGTCCGATGACCGCCGACGTGGAGCTCGAAGCCGAGTCCGCCGGGACGCCGTGTGACGGGGCAGGGGAAAGCGTAATGGTTACACCTCCTCCGAGGCGGATCTCCTTGAGCTCATGATGTTGCTCTGTGAGAGACCGTACGAGGATGTCGACGACGTCTGGGTGGTACTCTCCGAGATGGTAGGCGAGCGCCCTGTCGGTCGGTTCCGCGCCCCCTCGAGCCTTTCGAGCGATGAAGCTCGGTGTCGAGGTGAGCTGGGCGAGTATGGCCGGTCGGTGGTTCTGCATGTGATGCGCGGTGCCGTTGACGACGGACACGGCGTCACAGTACATCGCGCTTCTGGGCTGATTGATTAGCTTCTAGAGCTGCGGGCAGGGGCAGGGTTACGAGTGATGAGAAACGTGAAGGGCTGCACATTCGAATCTCAACTCACGGTACATCTGTCAAGCAGCGTCTGGGTCTGATCATACGTGACAGTATGATACAGCTCCTGCGCAACAGCGAGCATACCCGCTCGATTACAGCGCATTATGACGGCGAGGCCGGGGAGCTTGATGTAGGGGTTGTTGAAGACGATCCGTCCAGCGGGAACGGGGAGAGGGAGAGGAGGTTCCGCTGTGAAGGTGAACTCAGCGCCGCGGATCTCGTCTGAGCCGAACTCCATGGCGACTGTGAGCTTGCTGCGGTCTGATTGCCAGTGAGAAAGGACGAGGAGAGGTAAAGAGGCAACGCGAGGAATGAGGATTTCGACGGGGCTTGAGTTTCGTTCCTGGCCAGGCCAAGTGCGGCACCATTCAGAGACCAGTAGGCCGGCGTATCTTTAAGACAGGAGGCACTATGCACTGCCGGATCGTCTACAGAAGCGACAGACTGGAGCGAGGATAACAAGGGCCAGCTCAGTCGACGCCTTCAGTGACAAGCATGAGATCAGCTACACATACTTGGATACATGATTTACGGCCCCTCGAAACGAACGATAATATCACCACTGCCAGACCCAATTCCTCCGGCGTCCCCATGACCCTTCCATTGCTCAAGTATCCTGGTTCCCCGCCTACATCCCTTCGTCGTCCTCCCGACCCTCTTCTATCCGCCATCAACCCCCGAACTCCTCACCCGCCGCCAACGATCCGCTCGAGCGCCTTGACGTACTCGCCCGCCTCCGCCTCCGCCGCCTCGCTCTTCCTGATGATCTCCTGCAAGTCCTTGACCGCATCCATCGCCGCCTGCTTTGCCCCGCTAGCCGCCCGCTGTACCCACCAAGCCTGGTTGAGCATCTCTTTAGAGGTTGCCGACGATGAGATCACTCTGAGCTTTTCCGCCGTTTGGGCAAAGTCCGAAATGTAGTCCGGGACCTCGTGGAAGCCGCTGTCGGTAACGGCCGTTTCGAGCTCCGCGGCGCGTTCGAGCCAGGCCGTGGCTTTCGTGCGTCCCAGCCGTATGGGTTTTCCGTCCACCCGATACCGGAGCCCCTCGAGCTGCGACGGTAAAAGAACATCGAGATCTGCGAAATCGATCTGGCTGAGGTGTGCGCGCCGGTAAGCTGGCTGCCTGAGCAAGATTAGCGACACTCGGTCGGATAGTCTGAATTACTCACTTGCGCAAGTAGGCCAGTACTGCTCCATCGTCCCATCCCCGCAGTGTAGTGTACGAGATGTTTACGTCCGCTGCCGAGCCGAGGATTGGCGCCAGTGTCCGGATGATATTGAAATGACCGGAGGAGTGGGTCGTAGCGTGGATGTACAGGGTTTTCAAGCCTCCTTCCCTCTCTAAGCAGTCTCTAGTAAGACCAGACAAGCAGTCCGCCTCGGCCGTGTCGATACCCGTCAACGCGATGGAGAGATGGACCAACTTGGGCAAGTTACTCCGAATCATCTGGGTGAAGATGGGGATATCTGCAAAAGACAGTAGGGGGAGCGCTTGAGGATTGGAGTCCCTGTCGCAGAAAAGGGTCAAAGAAGTGAGGTGTTTCGACGCGATTCCGGCAAATTGCAGGAAGGCATAAGAGTCGAAAGGGGTAATGTTATTGGCGGTGATGGTAGAGAGCCGGGTTGTGTGACCTCGGGCGGACTGGTGGTTGTAGATCGCGCAGAGCTCTTCGAGTGAGACGCGTTGCGAATCGAAGTACACAACCTGGTAGAGGTCACACATACGATCGATCGCGGCGCCGGTGAAAATGTCGTGTAGAGTCGAAGGTGTGGGAGGACCACCATGGATCTGGAGATTGAAGCGTTCCTCTATTGTGTAGTCGGACGAGGGGGAACGGGCGACCGGTATGACGTATGGTGTGTGCTGATTCCACAGGTGAAGCCTTAGGAGTTTGATATGACGGGATGACGTGGTGGTCCGATTGGACGGGTTTGAAGGCCCGGAGGTTCCGCCCGTTCGATCTGCTGGGGAGAAGGTGACTTCCCAGCTGTCAGCACCATAGGCGGGACTGCGTGCCGCGCCGAAGGTGATTGCGCGAACGTGTGGAAAGACCCTCCGCAGTGGTTCGACGATGATGGGGAGCGCCTCCGGCCGATATTCCTCGAGAAACCCGGACAGGGACTGTCGACCGTATCTGCTCGAGGGATCTGCGTTCATCGCTGCATAGAGCTTGCGCGAGACCAATGGGGGATGATGGGTTATCCGCCGAGCGTCGATATGGGTGACTGCGTTGCAAATCATGCGCTTTGAAGCCTATCAGGTGTCAGCTCTAGCCGAAAAGTTGTTGTGATGTAGAGTTTGAGGAGGGGAATCCGGCGATGAGGAACATGGACGTGAGCTTACCGTATCTCTCGACATGTGCAGAGTCGCCTCATCATACGTGATCTCCCGAAAGAGTACCCTCGCCACCTCGCTCATGCCCTTCTTGGAGAGACGAAGGCAGCGCGCGAGGGTGGGCGAGTCGGTCCACCGGAGGATGATGCTTTTGATCTCGGCGATCTCCCAGACCGTTCGGCCGGCCGAGTAGGGTTGCGGAGCTTGCGCCGATGCGGTGGAAGGAGCCGGGGGAGCGCGTATCTTGCCCGAGCGCAGGGTCATGGCGGGTATGGTATTGCCTTCAGAGGGAAAGATATGTAGAACATGAAGACGTTTGGTGAAGGGAGCAACCGCACGAAGGGCAATTCGGGCACGCACGGACCAAGCTCCAAGGCCATTAAGGTCGTCCAGATGGCAAGCTACAGTACTATGTAGTCTAGCTAGCAGCTGGTCTGGGTCCAGTGCTCGGGATACAGAGCGCATATATGGCCTAATGACCAGACTAAAGATAGCATGGCCACGTAGAACTTGTAGAGCGTAAATCGCGAAAAAACTAATATGCTCCTCTGAAGCGCCCATCCCCCCGCCTTAGCCTATCCGTGCGGTTCCTCCACCCCCATCCCTCTCTCCCATCATCCTAGATGTCCGCTGCTCCCCTAAACCTCCTCAGCTCAGCCGATCCACCGTCCCATTCCCTCGCAAGGAGACTCCCTTCCATAAACGATCCTTCTGAGCGTTCGGACGTATTCCTCCACCTCCTGTTCAGCCACACTGCTCTTTTCAACAATGACCTCCAGCACGTCCCTGGCCTCCTCGGCAGCACCCTTCGCATCCTCGATGCTGTAAAGTATCTGCTGAGCATGATCAAGCATCTCCTGCGGGGTCGCCTTTGAAGACATGGCCGTGAGCCGAGCCGACGCAATTGCGAAAGCGTCAACTTCTTCCTGGATCGAGTCGAACGACGGTGGAGGATCGGCGAGGATCGTTTCGAGCTCGCCAGCTTGGGCAGACCAAGCTATGCCTCTGGTACGGCCCCGCCGGATCGGTTTCCCGTCTACTCTGTAGAGCAAATTCCGAAGTTGCCTCGGATAGGCAATGTCCACGGAGTTAAAGTCAACGATGGCTAGCTGAGCGCGGCGGTAGGGTGCTTGTCTGCGATGAATCAGCTCGGCCTACCGTCACCTCCCTGTATAAGACTTTTGACACGTCCGACATCCCCTTCTTGTGCGTCCGCAGTACCCGCAGAAGATCCCCGGTGCAGAGGAACTCGAGGATGCGGAGTTTGATTTCTGAAATAGACCAAAGACGCTGAGCGGCCGAGGGCTCTGCGTCGACCGCCGGAGCGAATGTAGCGGCTGGAGCCGTCCTGACTCTGCCTGACCGCAAAGACATGCTGGCGGCAATGACCCAGCGTCGACCGAAGGTAGATAGATAGAGGGAGAAGAATGCCAACGCGTAGATCGAAAGCTCCCAAATGTCAGGTCTGCAAGAGTCGAAATTCCTTTGGAGACTCCACGCCACCCAGCGCACAAGAAGCCTGCAGCTCATGCTTTTTCATCTTCCCACCATACATCTATATTCTCTGAACAACATGGGCAAGCGCGGCCCCTCCAGATCGCTCTTCGCATCCCTCCCGGTAGATTTGCGCAATACGATCCGGACAAATGGTCGCTATCTCTCCATGAACGGACCGGACCTCGACTCTTTCCAGATCAAGCAGGAGATGCTCGCGGAGTCGTCTGGGTCTGGATCCAGGCTGCTTCGGACGCAGCCAGAGTCGATGTCGCCAGAGAAGGATGAGGGAGAGGACCCGACACCGGTGATCCAGGCGGGGCCATCAGGAAGCGGGTCGAAGGGATTCCCGTCAGCCGCTGTGGAGGTCGAGGTCCAGGTCGAGGCCGAGGCTTCGCTTGCGGGTGACGTCGACTCTAGCCCACCTCGAGCGGTGAAGCGGAGGCGGACAGAAGGAGCCTGGGTGGTCGGTGCTGCCCCATCGCTGGTCCGACCGGTCCAGAAACGGCGGAAGGGCAAGGAGTTGCCGGTGCATAATGCGTACGAGGGGCATCCGTGGGACTGTACGGGGTTGGTGGAGCGGTATGTGAATCGGGATCACGTCCCTGACGATATCAAGAAATGTGAGCTAGGCCTTCCAGAATGAAGTTCGGCGGAGGCAATAGCTGACCTATAGACTTTGGGCAAAGACACCTGCTGTTTGAAGAATACGACGAGCTCCCTCTGCTCATGGACCACACCGGCTGGTTCTCGGTCACTGCCCAGCCTGTCGCTCGGCACATTGCCGAGAGGTGTCGGTGCGACGTCATTGTCGATGCGTTCTGCGGGGTCGGGGGGAACGCTATCGAGTTTGCAAAGACGTGCGAGCGGGGTGAGCTGGCGCTTCTGCGAATACACGCGGATCTGAGCTGACTTAAAGTCATCGCCATTGACAACGACCTGACTCGACTCAAGCTCGCACGGCATAATGCTCTACAATATGGCGTAGCGGACCGGATTGAGTTTATCCATGGGTCTTATATCGACTGGGCGAGGTCATACGCCGCTCAAGCGGACAAGGAGGCTATTGACGTGGTCTTTCTCAGTCCACCATGGGGTAAGCTAACGGCCCACGACACTCTCGCTGCCTTCAGCTGACCCAGTAGGCGGTGTCAACTACCTCACAGTATCGGCCGACCCCCTCCCCTTCCCTCCTACCCCATCCGCAGAATCACCTTCCGCCAAACAACCCACCACGCACACATTCCCCTTATCCGCCATCCTCCCTATTCCGGGGGACGAGCTCTTCCGGATTTCGGCGGCCATCACGCCCAATATCGCCTACTACCTCCCGCGGAATGTCAACATGAAGGAGGTTGCGCAGCTGGCGCGGAGGCTGGACCCGCCTGAGATGGATGACAAGGGCGGGATGCGGGAGAAAGAGTGGGTCGAGGTGGAGGAGGAAGTCGTCGGGGAGAAGGTGAAGGCTGTGACGGTTTATTATGGGAGCTTGATTGCGGATGGGAGCTAGGCGCGGACGTCTGGAATGCGCGGATCAGATGAGGTGTACATACGAACATTGATGCTGAATACGACATATGACCATGCTTAGTATTCTTGCTCGTCTTCGCTGAGTCCCGGTCCCAACCGCCCAAATCTCTTTCCGCTATGATACAGCCTATACCGCGCCCGTACTCTCGCATCCCCCGTGACAGCATTCACCCCACTCCCCTCTAGTATCTCCCTCCTCAACTCCATCTTCCCACCCAACACCCCTACCGGTCCAGACATCGCAGCGTTCCACCATACACCCCCGACTTCAGCCTCTATCTCTTCTTCCTTCCGTCTCGACTTATCATCGCCTGTGGGATGTAACGCCTGTCCGCCCGGAAGATGAACGAGCATCAAGGGCGTATGGGATTTGGACGCATGCAGCATCGCATTCTTTGAGAACCCAGATTGTGACAGGAGGATGGCAATGATGTCTTGTCCGAGCTCTTCATCTTCGGGTGAAAGGGGATGATCGAGCATATGACCGTCCGCGTTGATGGACTCGGGATGGTCGTCTGGAGTGATGCAGCGTTCTTTGCCTTTTCGCCTCGCACCTATCTCATCAGCTTCAGTCTCCACGATATAGGAGAAGCAGAAGCTCCCAAAGCTGACTCACCCTCAAGATGCGCCACGACCCCTTCAAGCTCTCTAACAGCCCTCGGCCCCAATCCCTTTTTTTCCGCCTTACACTGCCCCACAATTCTTAGCCTCCTCCATTCCTCCCTTCTTCCCATTGCACCCTCCTCACTCATCAACCTTGGCCGAGATGGACCAGCAGCCACAGCCTCACGAGGGACATACCAGCTCCCTCTGAGATCTACGCCCCCATCCCCTGCTCGCCCGACTCGACGGAGCGACATGTGCAGCTGCGTATTGAGGTAGCGCTGGCTGTGCTTTTCGAAAGCGAGACCGATCTCGGTGGTAGATCGGCGGATTGGAGTGGTCATCTTACAGGCTATAAGCTCGCTTCAACACGGTACTTGGTTGATGGTGAAGGGAGAGCGAAAGTGATTGATCGTGGCGAAGTCTTCAGCCTGGCTGCCGGCATGAGGAATGTGGAGTTCGACTTGCGTGGAGGAATGTGGCAGATCAGGCTAGCTGAGTAAAACGCTGGCGGCTGCAGGCTGATCGGAGGAGTGATCTCCACCCCAGCTTCGCGTCGTATAGATGGTGCTTATAGATAATTACAACAGCCATACTTGGACACTCCAACTCTCCCCCTCTAATCAGAACTCCATACTCTCCTCCTTGGCCGCTACGAGAAATCAGCCAAGTCCAGACAGCACGACAGTCGCAGACAGGTACTTACCCTTCCGGGACCCCTTCGTATCCCTCAACACCGCATCCACATGCTTCTGGAACATCTCGACGTAAGGCTTGAGCGATGTCATCTCATAATCTGGAACAGTCAGCTCTTAGTCTATCGACGCAATGATGAGCATTAAGGAGCTCACCGTCCCCCTTCCTCGTCTTGTCGTCTGTATCTGTCGGTATATTGTCTAGCTGTTTAAGGAGTTCGCCAACGGTAGGCACCGTCTCGGGGTCGAACTCGTCAATACGAGCCGGATTTATCGGTACGCATACTCGACCTGAGATGTCAGCAACAGAACCTTCATTAGATGCAGCAGAAGTCTACTCACCCGTACTGGGATGTACGCAGAAAGGCGATTTGAGCAAATGATTTCGGTGCTTGGACACTTCTGCGTCGATCCGGGGATAGGTATACTGCAGCACGATATCCTCGCGAGCTTTGATGAATTTGCGCTGGAGGAGGTCAACACAAATCAAGCTCAAGGACTCGTAAGATCACTTACCCCAATCGCGGTCTTGTCGTCCAATGCATCCACTTCCAGAGCGAGATCGTTCCATTTGTCCGAGCTCGACCGATCTGGTGACTGCTGCCACTTTTTCCGCAGACGGCCGATGATTTCTGTCGTGTCAGCTGCAGTCTGCCGGAATCTGGACCGTAGACATACGTTGATCTCCAGGTAGAAGAGCTAGGAGATTCTCATATCCGCGCTCAGACTGGAAACACTCTTGATCCCGAAGACAGAGCTTGGTAAAGCATGGTCCGAGTGGTTTGAGCGCATGTCTGGCTAGTCAGCTTGTCCCTCTCAGGCACGCGGTGGCTAACTCACTTGATGAACGGATGCAAGTCGCCCTCATCTTTGCTTCCCCGGACATTCACCTTCTTGGCCTGCTCCTTACTCCCCTTGATGACCTCCAAGAACGTCACCAGCGCCTTTCGCTGATCATCATTCAGATCCAGCGCCGCCGGGTCAGATATCCAACAATGGATACCTCGTCGACCAGAGTAGACCCAGAGAAGGTGCTTGAAGCCAAGTGTGTCTGACCATCAGCGACTTCTTGGCTTATCGCAGAAGGCAGACCTACCTCTCAGTCCATGATCCAAGACCTTGACAGCAGCGGCGATATACCCCCAACATCGCCGACAGATCTTCTTGTCGGTACAGCACGTCCGGATCTCGTCGTAGTCTGTCATATCGATATCAAAGACAAGTTCACGGCGGATGGGCTGTAATGCACCCGCAGCGAGAGTCTTTCTATCTCTTGGCTATTGAGTCAGCTCAGCACTGCAGAATCGCGTAGGAGATCATGAGCTTACCCTAGCAGTGTACTGAGGACCTATTTCGAATCGGCTCGGATTCAGCCTCAAGACTTCCCGCTTGAAATCGTCTGCGTTCGCAAAGGAGTTGTACCTGAGGTATACGTCGCCAGCGAGGGTGAAGGCGAACTCGCGGTGCGTAAAGAGCTTGGAGGGGACTGCGAGAGTGAGCTAGACCGAATGTATCAGCAGAGGACAGCTCACCGTGATCCTGGTTGAGCCAGAGGAAGAAGGGTCGGTATGGGAAGATACGCCTGTAGAATGCTTGCATGACCATCGGCGAGCTAGGGCTAGAAACATGAGCTTTTACAGGGCTTCCTGATATAGTGAAGCGGAGTAAAGCTGGCGTACTCATACTCTGCGGCACTGTCAACATCAGCTTTTGCCCGGTCAAGGAGAAGCGGTTGTCATCACTCACGCCATATCGATAGCCATCTTGGTGATATATCAGCGAATTTAGAGTCTTTGCGGGGCCTCTATGCGACGTATAGGCTGGAGCTCTGTCGTAGTATCTCTAGAGCCTGTACTATGGTACGGTGAAAAGCTAGAAAGAACCTGCTGGACCTTGGTCGCGTCCAGAAATCCCACCCAAGACGCGTCGCGCACGGACCAGCCAGAACCAATGACGTGGCATTTTCGCCACGCACCCATCGGTCATCGGCCCCAGCAGCTTGCTCTTGTCCACCCAAGTCTCCAGCTTTCGTATACCTCTCTCTCTGCCGTCTATATAGCAAAGATGGGAGCCTTGCTGTCTATACCGCTCCTCACCGGAGGGATTGCTTCCATGGGTAGTGCAATCTTCTCGGGCTGCATGATTTGTATGGGTGAGTAGGCGGTCCTTGGGCTCCTTTATCGGTCGTCCGCCCCCGCCGCGGAGAGCGCAATATCGGCCAGAGGGTCTATGCTGATATCGTAGGCGGGTCAGCAGCTAGCGCGATGTGCAAGAGCTGCAACTGCAATTCCTCGATCGCTACCCGGATAGGCTTTGGGGTAGGTTCAGCTAATTCATCCTGTCCTTCTTGAGGGGAACGAGCCGATCTCCTTAGCTCATATTCGCCCTGTCGTCTATGCTGGCCTATCTATCAAAGACAGACCTGGCTATCAAGCAGCTGGAGAAGCTCAGCTGGGACTGGATCAAGATGGACTGTACGGGTGGAAAATGCTATGGCCTCCTCGCTGTAAGCTTCCGGATACGCTCATTTATAGACGGCCAAGCTGACAGTACAGGTCCACCGATTCTGCTTTGCGCTTGCTCTATTCCACTTGACCTTATCCGCTCTTCTCGTCGGTGTGCAGTCTACCAAGACCAAGCGAGCCGCTATTCAGAACGGGTCAGTTGCGATACGAGCCTCTTGAGCGGCGAATACCAGCTGACATCACAGCTGGTGGGGCATCAAGATCATCTTCTACTTCCTCCTCGCCTTCCTCACCTTCCTCATCCCTAACGAATTCTTCATGGCCTACGGCTCCTACGTCGCCCCCATCGGCGCCTGCCTCTTCATCCTCATCGGTCTCGTCCTCCTCATCGACTTTGCCCATACCTGGTCCGAAACCTGCCTCGAGAACTGGGAACAGTCCAACTCGAACCTCTGGCAGTTCATCCTTGTCGGATCGACGTTCGGGCTCTTCATCGCGGCTATTGCGCTCACGATCGTCCTGTACGTCTTTTTCGCGGGCGGCGGATGCGGCCTCAACACGTTCTTCATCACCGCCAACTTGGTCCTTGCTGTTATCGTCACCGTCCTCGCTGTCAGCCCGCAAGTACAGGAAGCGAACCCCAAGTCTGGTCTTACCCAGGCCAGCCTGGTCGCCGCATACTGCACCTACTTGACTGCATCGGCAGTCGTCAACCACTCGGGAGGCGAGAGTCACTGCAACCCCCTGCACGCATCGGGCGGGACCAAGACCACTACCGTCGTCGCCGGTGCGCTCTTTACCTTCCTCGCTATCGCATACTCGACAACACGCGCCGCCACCCAATCGAAGGCACTGGTCGGGAAGGGTCGGCGTCCTGGAGCAGGCGCGATCTCCTTGCCGACTGAAGGAAGCGATGAAGATGGGGAAGTCAGGCTGGTGACGAATCAGCCGAAAGGACGGAGGGACGAGATGCGGTATCAGGCTATCTTGGCAGCGGTCAATGCGGGGTCATTGCCGGCTTCGGTGCTGGATGAGCAGGATGATGAGGATGATGAGATTGAGGCGACGATTGGTGAGGAGAGGGATGATGAGAGGGGCGGAACAAAGTACAATGTGAGCTAGCAGGTTCTCCGCTATTTCGGAGTCAAGCTGACGTATAGTACTCGTGGTTCCACATTATCTTCGTCATGGCCGCGATGTATGTGGCGGGTCTGCTGACAGATTGGTACGCTATTGTACTTGCTTGTAACGCCAAGTTCGAGCTTACCAATTAGGGCAATCATTTCGACATCACCCGTCGCGCATCCCGCAGACCCTTCAGAACCCCTCGGCCTCTTGGCGTTCCTCGCGGATGAGCCGGACGTATATATCGGACGATCAGAATCCACCATGTGGATGCGGACAGTCAGTAGCTGGCTGTGTTATGCGCTGTACTCGTGGAGCTTGTGAGTTCGCGATTCTATGACCAAGAAGGATAGGAACAAAGCTGATATTGTAGGATCGGGCCGGTCGTTATGCCTGATCGGTTCGGGGATGCTTGATGTCGCATCTTCGGATCGTGGAGATGAGGAGAACTGTATGCTGTAGATTATCTGTATGAATCAAGCTGTTGTGCAATCGTAGAACGGGGCGCATCTGCATGGTGCATGCCGGATAGGGAACAAGGGGATTTGGTCACGTGCCGGCAGCAAAGATTTTCCGGTCCGCGATTCAAAAAGTTCAACCCTCCACTTCTTCCCTATCCTCCATTTTCTCCTAACCATACAAGCCACACACCATGCCCTCCGACTTCATCACCACCATCGACTCGGACGACGAGGATGATCTCCTCGTCCAGAATGGCGAGTCCAGCAAGGGCCGTCCTACGCCCAACGGCAAGGCCCCAGCAACGGGCGGAAAGGGAAAGATTGATGAGGATCTCAACCCCGAGTTTGAGTTTGACTTTGATGGGCTGAGGAACGCGGAGATTGACTTGTGGGGAGGAGATGAGGTGAAGAAGAGTGGGAAGGGGGATAATGAGGTGAGCACGCTTGGGCAGATGTAGCGGGAATTGTGCTGATGAGTGCAGCCGATTAGTGTGGATGATATCATTGCGAGGCGGACGGGGAGGGAGTTGAGGTCGTTTGGCGAGAAGAAGCGGAAGCGGTCTGGTGAGGACGAAGAGGAGGAGGATATGGAGGGAAGTGAGAGTGAAGAGGGGAGCGATGACGAGGAAGAAGGGGATTCAGAGGAGGATGAGGGAGAGGAGGAGGGGGGTATGGAGTCTGATTTGGGGATGGAGGTGGATAGCGAAGACGATGAGGAGGGAGACGAGGATGAGACTGATGACGGGGAGGTGGAAGATCACGAAGGAGACGACGACGACGACGCGGAATCCACCGAAGACATCGCCGAGACGGCTCGTAAAGACGCCTTCTTCTCGTCTGAACCTACAGCGGACGACCCCACCCTCCCTTCCTCTTTCGCGAGTATGAACCTGTCCCGTCCCCTCCTCCGCTCCCTCGCCTCTCTCAACTTCTCCGCCCCCACGCCTATCCAAGCCCGCGCTATCCCCCTCGCGCTCCTCGGGCGAGATATCCTCGGATCGGCCGTCACCGGTTCCGGAAAGACCGCGGCGTTCATGGTCCCCATCCTCGAGCGTCTCACGTACCGCGATCGCGGGCGGGGCGGGCAGGCGTGCCGAGTGCTCGTGCTCTGCCCGACCCGAGAATTGGCGGTACAGTGCGAGTCGGTCGGGAAAGCCCTGGCGGAGCGAGGCGGGCTAGACGTCCGTTTCGCTCTCCTCGTCGGTGGTCTCTCCCTCAATGCCCAAGCCCACACTCTTCGTACACTCCCCGATATCCTCATCGCCACCCCCGGTCGACTCATTGACCACCTCACCAACACCCCTTCCTTTACCCTCTCGGCGCTCGATATCCTCGTCATGGATGAAGCGGACCGGATGCTCGAAGATGGATTCTCGGACGAATTGTCGGAAATCATCCGTGCATGTCCTAGATCACGCCAAACCATGCTCTTTTCGGCAACCATGACGGACTCGGTCGATGAGCTGGTCAAGCTTTCCCTGGACAAGCCGATTCGGGTGTTTGTCGATCCCAAGAAGAATACGGCAGACAGTTTGACGCAGGAGTTTGTCAGGATACGGACGGATGATAATCGCGGTCCGGCGCTGTTGGCGCTGTGTAAGCGCACAGTGAGGGAGAAGTGTATCGTCTTCTTTAGGAGCAAGGCGCTGGCGCATCAGATGAGGGTGGTGTTTGGGTTATTGGGAATGAAGGCGGCGGAGCTGCACGGGAATTTGACGCAGGAACAGGTGAGCTAGCAGGTCCATATAAGCCGGATCCAGCTGACACTCAGCGTCTCGCCGCGCTGAACGACTTTAAAGCTGGTAAAGTCGACTACCTGCTCGCTACCGATCTCGCATCTCGCGGTCTCGACATCAAAGGTGTCGAAACCGTCATCAACTACGATATGCCGGGGCAGCTCGCACAGTACACCCATAGGGTCGGACGAACAGCCCGTGCTGGGCGTAAAGGACGGTAAGCCCTTTCTCTGACCATCCTATCTTCCTGCTGAATGCCAGATCCATCTCACTAGTCGGCGAGCCCGACCGAAAGATGCTCAAACTCGCTATTCGTCAATCCGTATCCACCCAAATTCGACACCGTATCATCCCTACCGACGCCATCACGGGTATGTCTGCTAAAATGGACGGACTCAAAGAGGATATCGCCGATATTCTCAAAGAGGAGAAGGAGGAGAAGGCGATACGGCAGGCCGAGATGGAGGTGAAGAAGGGGCAGAATATGGTGGAGCATGAGGAGGAGATTATGGGGCGACCAAAGAGGGTGTGGTTCCAGTCTGAAAAGGAGAAGGCTGCAGCCAAGAGTGAGTCCTGCCTATATGATCAGATGTGAAGGATCAGGCTGATGGGTAGATACCGGCAAGGAAGGCTATGTCCAGAAATTCCCCGGGGCTGCACCTCCCGAGAAGGACGACAAGCCCAAAGTCAAGCGGGGGAAATATGACGGTCTTTCCCGCAGAGACAAGAGGCGGAAGATGGCCATGGAGGAGGACGCGGCCGAGCACCGCGCGTCGTCCCAGTCGGCTTCTATCCGAGCGGCCAAGAAGCAGGCCCGGCCCCAGAAGATTGGGATCCCGATTGCGCCGGCGCCCAAGGTCAAGTCGAAGGGAGGCAAGAAGCCAGCGAGACGGTCGGCGTTTGATGATAAGAAGGCAGGGGCGAGTGAGGGGATGCGGGCCAAGCCGGGCGTGGGGGCCGTCAAGGGCAAGGGCGCGAAGAAAGCGGGTGGAGCAAAGGGGAAGCCGAAGGGGAAGAGATAGTGATCAGATCGAATTGCGGATGTATAGGTATGATTTTGGGTTCGCTACAACTTAACCACTGAACAATGGATGGTGCGGTTGATGCCAAATACTGAAATATCCATGGGTGGTGTACAAGCATATGAAGATACCAAGATACAATCCCCCGCTTCTCACCTCACAACATCGCCTTGGTCGCCATAAACACCCTCAAAGTTTCCTCCATCTCGGCCTCCTCGGCCTTCTTCTTCTCCGCTTCTGCCCGCCGTCTCAGCCTTTCCTCCTCCACCTCATCCGGCAAGTCCGGAACGAGCGGTTCCAGCTTCTCTTCCGAATCGCTGGGTATCCGCATTCCCAGCCCCGTCATCTCTGGTCCATGTATCGCGGGAAGCGAGAAGTGCGCCTGGGGCGTTTTGGGGACCGTAAGAGGGGCGACCACGTCCATGTCGTCCGTCATCTCTAGTGGGAGGTGGCCTGTCTGTACGCCAGGGAACGACCGAGTAGGATGTTGAGCTGGCGGAGCAAAGGTGCTACGTATAGGCGATTCGGCCGCCAATGCAGTCAACGCCAGGCCCATATCGTAGCTGACGGCCGAATTGGACCGCGCGTCCAGACGGGGCAGATGTACATCGTCCGTACTCGACCCGGCGATGGAAGAGGAGGAGAGGTTCTTGGTGTCGGACTCGTAGGATGGAGGGACGGTGGCGCCGTATGCCAGTGTAGGGGTCTGGGAAGCGAGCATCTCGGCAAAAGATTGCTTGACGCCTTCGCGAGGTGAGGCACTTTGGAGCTGCTGGTGCGTGGGAGACTGGGAGACTGTCTTGCGGGTTCGCCAGGCCTCGCCGAGGGCGCGGCGGAAGCACGGGTCGATGAAGAATGCGAGCTGCCCATAAGCTATGTCTAGCGGAGAAGGCAAGGAATGACTTACAGCTGCAAAAGCGATTCCTCGACCGCCGTATAGGAAATAATAGATACAGTACAGCACAAAGACGGGACGCGAGTGGACCCCCTCGGCCTGAGTGACGCACAACTCCCCGACGGTGATGATCCCATTGACGACGATGAGGGAGATGGGGTACAGACTGATCTGGAACGCGATCCGGACAAAGGCGTCTTCCAGCTGACTTTTGAGCGAGCCATCCGCCTTGGCCTTGGACTTGGTAACGCGATTCCGACGCCACAGTTTCGCTCGGGCCCAGATGCCCTTTTTCGCTTGGCCCGATCCGCCCTCGAGATCGGCGGGGTCGGGACTGCCGTGTGCAAAGATGCTCTGGTTGAGCTGGTTGCTTGCGAATAGGGCTGCGGAGAGTTCCCGGCCTTGGCGGAAGAGGGTGGTGAGGACGATAATGACGGCGAGTGTGGCGATGAAACATGAGAGAATCTGCCAGAGGTACTGATTAGTCAGCTGCGATGTCCACAAAGGATAATGTGAACTGAGCGATGCGCACAAGGTCAAGAATGATCCGTCTCATGAGGACTTCCAGTGAGTCTCCCGAAACCCAGCTGCGGCTTCAGCAGGTTTCTCCACCTTTTCTAGATGATCACTTACCATACGCCCAGAACAGGATCATTCCTGAAATGCCCAGTGGCAGCGGGGACCAGCGGGACCATGAAGCCGATGAGGAGTGAGGTGCCGACGTACCACTTCTCCAACCCTTAAAAGTCAGCGAACCGTTCCATAGAGGTGCCCGCGGACTGCAGCTCACCAAGCTTGACGGGATTGAAACCGAACGTTATGGTCAGCATCAGATTGACCGCGATACATGTGCAAAGGTAGTTGACACTGTGGATCAGCCCGACTCCTGTATACTTAATGACCAGCTCACGTAGTCATCGCTGCGATCATGAAGTACAGACTGGAAGCGCAGAGCCCATTCCCAAAGAGGAAGACCGACTGTCACTGTCAGCTCCCCGTACTTCAAGCTGAAGTGAAAACAGCTCACGTCCAGTTCCACCATAATGTAGGCGATATCATAGACCATCTCGAAAGCCACCGACCACAGGAGTAGTCGGAAGGATACTCGATCAATCATCGGCCGAGTGTTCGGACGAGACCAGACAAGATAGGCGAGGCCTAGGACGATAGAGCAGAGAACGAGGGAGACGCTGGCTGCGCCGATGGAGATCCAGATGTTGACCTAAACGTTAGCGCTGCTTCCCTTGATACTCGGATCGAGCGAGAAGTTCTGGAAGCAAACCAAGCTGCTGGTCAACTCACTACGATGTCGTGCTCGGAGAGCACAAAGTCGGACATGTTGGCGAGCGCTTGATTCCGGGTAGATCTTGCTGCGCTAGCGCTTCAAGCAGAAACGATGGGATGAGAGCGAGAAATACAGAGCCGACTGGCCATGCTCTTTCACCAATTAGCGGTCGATCCCGATGGTACGTCGATGAGAAGCAGAGTTCTCTTTTCGCAGCTCGATGTTCGATGTCGAGGGAGTGGAGGTCCGGTCCAGACTGCTGCCTACAGGCGTCTCGGAAGATCCCGTGGAAATAGCAACGGCGATCAACGTGTGAGGCAGTGTATGAGAGGCGTTCCGCCGTTCGCAGGAGCTTCTGCGCCATGTTTGAACAGATCTCAACTTTTCAGAGAGGCGTTCGCTAGAGGAGATAGTAATGGGGAATGTCATTTTAAAGGAGCCGGTTGTGGAAAGTCCAGGAGGCGGCAAGGACGATCCGGTGAGACATGTGTGGGGTCTCCGAGTCGTGCCTGTGCCGATCTTGCGGAATGCCGCGGAATGCCGCCGCCGCTTTGGGCGAGAATGCCGTAAGCTACCCAAACTCTAAATCTTATAGTCGAGGAGTTCGTGGATCGTTAGGAAGCGTTTCGTCTCCTCTAACATAGTATCTACAAAAGTGACAATCGTTGATTCGCGTTTGACAGTAGGCTCAAGCGCTCAAGCTGTCAAGCTGTCAAGCTCTCAAGGGCAGGTCAGTTGCTTTCCTGTGACAACAGCGACGGGACACAAACCAATAATGAAGCCACATGAAACGCAGGCTCTACCCAAGCCCACTCCCTTCCCGCTTAGTGAGATCACGACCGGAATGCGCGACGTGTCTGATGAGACGGAGCGTCGCTTTGATCAGGTGGATATACAGAATTAAGTGATGTACATAACCCGCTACCTTACAGATACAGATCGTCATCGCTGTCGCTACTCTCATCACTAAAATCCTCCCAGGCCGCATCCGAGTCTTCTTCTCTTAGCACGCTGAACTCATGCGCCATTGAAGTCAGTACGCTCTTCACCTCCTCGACCGCCTCCATTGCCCTGTCTGCTTCCCCACGTGCTCGCTTGAGAGAATCTCGCATCTCGCCGGTCCACTCGCGGAGATTCGCCTTTGTAGTCTCGCCCGCCGACCATAGGCGAACCACATTCTGGCGAAGATCCGTCATGGCTGATACGAGGCAACCTTCACGGAAGCTGGTGGGCGATGCTCGACAGTGATTGTACTGTCTGTATTGACGAGGTCTATCCAACCAATGATTCCACTCGTGGCCGAGGGACCCCCACTGATGTTGCGGGCAGCCGTCCGAGCTGTAGGAAAGATTCTTGAGGCGAGATGGACGAGTATAGCCCAGTGATGGAAAATTCGCTGGGCCAAGATGGGCGCAGCGATCGGGGGTTTGTCTGCTGGTCAGTCGGATCCCCTACTGGGTGGGTCACAGAGCGCCCGGGCGCGTACCTCTTCAGGTATTTCTGATACTGCACTTGCCGCTTTTCAGACCAAGGATGCCTTGGACCCCATCGGTCTTCGTGATCGACAATGGCCTGGCAGCCGGCCGCGCAGAACACCCCAAGTACGCGGAGGATATTGAACATGGATGTGTCGCACTGTCCGCTTTGCAGTCGCAGATGCGTCAACGAGCCGACCAGCTCCAGAGTCTTCTCGCTGAGCATACCCTCGGTTTCGATCCACGACTCGGCGTTCTCCAGCGGTTTGATCGATATGCTGAGTTTCCGCAGATTCGGGAGGTGGCTTTGCGTCTTGATGCAGACGGAGAGGGCATCCTTGAACGAGATGTTGACCCTTTTGGCGCAGTACCGTGATAGTGTGAGGTCGAGTGAGACGAGTGAGGTACGAGCCGCTTGTGCGAGACGGTCGAAGTCGCCCAGAGTCCATGAATTGATAGCAGAAGCGGCTATCTTTGACAATGAGCCTACACCGCCGTGTCTGTGCTGCTCGATGTGGATGGACGTGAAATCGTCGAGGTCGACTGGAAGATCTTCTGTAGAGATGGTTCGAATGAAGGTACAGAAAGGTTGGGCTCTTACAGCTTTCTTCAAGTCTTCTTGTTCGGAGTCTGTGCAGTGCGCGGAGCGTCGGACCTTCAGGTCGACGAGCTGGCGAATGGTGTAGGAGGGCGACGGTAGGGCGAGATGCCGCAATTTCCTGATTGGCTCGCAACGGTTGTTGATGAACGTCTGAATAACGTCCAACTGTCCAGTATAGCTGTCCACTTGCGAGCTCGACCCTACTTGCAGACGAAGCGTGCAAATCGTCACCCGCCTACCGGGTTGCAGGTCCGACCTCTGGGCAGTATAATGGAGGGTCCGCAACCTGGGGCATTGCTTGAGAGGATCTTGACGAGCTCTGTGATGCGAGCTGGCTGGTACCGAGCTGCCCAGGCTTCGTTGCGCCTTAAGCTGAAATCGGCCCGACCGAGCGTTTCCCACACCACGGACGGCACTTGCGAGGAGTCCATGTTGATTACGGTGACTGCGTGGCAGTATGTGCGTTGCCGAGGCTAGGAATGTCAGATCTTCAAGTGCCCATGTATACTGGAGCATCCTCACGAGAGGTCTCACTCACGGCGGCAGTTGTCATCTTGAAGAGGACATGCGCGTAGTCCATCGTGTGGTACAGTTCTTTAGAGACATCGTGCATACACTTTCGTTCCACCCGCATGAACCGCTTCAGCTCTCTCCCCTTCAGAAGGCCTAGCATAATCTGTCGGAGCTCTGGAGTGTCGTAGAACTCTCTGGCTGCGGTACGGTGTAGAGGCGAGCCCGATCGGCCAGTATCGCTGGAGGTGGCGGCATCGTCGAGCCCTGATTCGATCTTGATGGACTTGGTGGCGTACATCTTGGTCGCTTCAAGGTTGACCGATGAGAGGTAGGTCACTCTCAAGATGTGATATGTGCAGACGCAAGAGCTGAGAAGCCTGCTAACTCTGCTTCTAAGAGCGTCTGAGCGTTCCGCCACATCGGCTGCCACATTTAAAACAATCAGGGTCTTTCAAGGGGTGCGTGCGTGTTTCAGATTTGGCGCGTCACTCGTTACATCCACTCAATGACCCTCTAGCTGCTATTCACTCTTGATATACTACATCTACATCTCATTCATCGCTTGTGGACGTGTCATACTACAAGAGAAACAGACTGGTACATCTGTCATCGGTCCGCATCCTGATCTCCGCTTTTGAAGTCCATCAACACACTCGGCGTCCGACATCAATATCGACCTGTGCAGAGATGGTATGTCCCCTTGGCGAGCAACGGCAACTGATCAGCAGACGACCTACGTCAACAATAGAGGTGGAAACAACCCTCACGCCGACCCAGAGCTGTACTATGTCAAACAGAACAGAATTGGTCAGTTGATCGGAGTGGGGCGGTCGTCCGAGCGTCAAAGCTGATATGAAAGGCAAGGGCAGCTTCGGAGAGGTGTACAAGGGGTGCGTCACTTACCGAGAGAACGACCATCGACTGTGCTGATGGCCCAGATATGACAAGCGGACATCCCAACCTGTCGCTATCAAGATCATCGACCTCGAAGCGGCGGAAGACGAGATTGACGATATCCAACAAGAGATCCAGATCTTGGGACAGCTTGATAGCGAACATGTCACACGGTGAGCTAGGTGACCGGACAGGACGGGCGGCAGCTGACTTCCCAGGTACATGGGCTCCTACCTCAAAGGCTCGCATCTATGGATCATCATGGAATACTGCTCCGGCGGGTCCTGCTCAGATCTGATGAAAGCGGGCGTGTTTGCGGAGGAGTACATTGCAATCTTGGCGAAAGAGCTCTTGAGGGGACTGGAGTACCTGCATAGCGAGGGGAAGCTGCACCGGGATATCAAAGGTGAGTTCGGCCTTCTTATTCATGAGTCAGGCTGACGTGCAGCCGCAAACATCCTCCTCACCTCGAATGGCGATGTCAAGCTCGCCGACTTTGGCGTCTCCGGCCAGCTCACCGCTACGATGACTAAGAAGAACACCTTTGTCGGGACGCCATACTGGATGAGCCCAGAGGTCATCAAGCAGTCTGGGTATGACCACAAGGCGGATATTTGGTCTCTAGGTGAGTTATACTCCGACGTGAAGGGTGTAGCTGATATATAGGAATCACGTGTATCGAGATGGCGATGGGAGAACCGCCATATGCCGATCTACACCCTATGAAGGTGCTCTTCCTCATCCCCAAGAACCCTCCGCCAACGCTGGACGATCGCAAATTCAGCAAGACCTTCCAAGATTTTGTGTCTCTATGCCTGCAGCGGGATCCCAGAGCGGTAAGTCAAGGCGATCAATATAAGGGATGAAGCTGATCATGTAGAGACCTACGGCTAAGGACCTCTTGCGGCACAAGTTCATCCGTACTGCTCGGAAAGCGAGTTATTTGACGGAAATCATCGAGAAGCATCAGAACTGGAAGTCGGAAGGAGGGGGATCGAAATCCCACGACGATGGGTCAAGCGGCGGTCCGTACGAGTGAGCCACAGTCCTTTTTCAGTGGCTTTGAAGCTGACATGTAGACCCGCTTACGGTCCCGCTTCCGACAACTTGTGGGACTGTGAGTCCCCCGCAGGACCAAAGCAAGCTCGAGCTGACCATTGCAGTCGGCACGGTCCGTAATGCTCTTCCGCAGCAAGGCACGGTCTCTCGAGCTCGACCACTTCCCCAGCCCTCAGTTTCGGGCCGCCAGCCCGGACCTGGCTCATCTACGTCAACGTCATCACCCGAGTTTGACCAGATTCAGACCCCTCAGCAGATGCAGCAGCCCCTTCCTCCCGCAAACACGCGCAAGGCCGATGATCAGGCTACACCCAAGCGGTTAGCCCAAAACCCGCCTCCACCCAGCAATACGTACAGCACAATCCGACAGGCGCCGAGCACGGAGAAGATGAGGGGATCGGGGCGGTTTGTGGGATCAGTGAGGGGTGCGAGGCAGATGCCGGCGAGTCAGACGTCATTAGCCTCGCAGGCGGGGCAAGGTCAAGGTCAGGGACCGGACGCGAGACAGGGCCAGGGGCAGCCGCAGCAAGGAATGGAGGGAGATCAGGGAGACGAGGATCTGATGTTGGAGGGTGTCATCTTGCCCGCGCTCAGCAGTGTGAGTTGTTCATGCGGAAGACCCGCCTCCCCAGCTGACATTGGCAGTTGATGGAGCGCATACCCAACGATCACGCACGCCACGCGTTGACTCGGCTGAGAGAGGCGTTCGAGGAGGCGGAAATGGCGATTCCGGGGGTGACGAGCGCATTAGTTCTGGAGATTGTGGAGAATGTGGAGCAGGTGGATGAGGTATGAGCGGAGTATCGAGGAGTGCTTGTCGGCGCAGTGAACCTGCCAGTCAGGGTGGGGAGGAGATGCTGCATAGTCAATACACGCCATATGTAACTCATGCGCATGTCTCGCGTTCACACAATGATGCAGATCGACAAGATCGGGCCATATCTAAGCCGGAATCCCCCCATCTGGACGCTGAGCTATCCGTGTCGAATCTGGCCCGAAGTAGCCATCGGCAGCGATAGCACCTCCCGCCGGAGGAGTCTCAGGGCGGGGGATCCGATGGAGGAGACCGTATCTGCGGTGGTCAATTACGGTTGCCATGGCAAGCTTCAGATCAAGACTTACCCAATACCGCACCCAACCAGTCCCTCCCCGCCCCATTGTCTTGTTGGGTACAACACCACTTCTCTCAGGTTGCTGTAATTGTCAGCTCGAGACCCTTCAGCCTATGGACGCAGCAAGCCGAGTAAGCTTACTCGAGGTCAGAATTGTACACAAACAACCGCAATGGCTTGTCGACATGCGCTTCGATGAGGTTGTAGAAGTCGCTCTCGGAGTGCAGGGGTCCGCCTGACCATGCGAGTACATAGTCTCCCCATGGTACCAATCCAGCCATCTGTATCATTAGCTCATGTCTTTACTATGGAGCTCAAGGTCGTCTTCTCCCCTCGTATGCAGCTCACCTCGGCTGGCGATCCCTCTAAGACATCCAGAACGTGATATACACTCTCAAGTGCGTTGACCGGATTGCAAGCTCTGAGTGAGAGCCCAAGGAGGGATGGCTTTGGCTGCTGATCCGATGAGGTAGGCTCTGGACCATTTTGCTGTTCCGCCAGAGCAGCTTCGGACCAGGTACGATTTGGCGTCAGATACACCTCTACACGAGTCAGCTTGTCCTTCTCGCTCCATAACGGGGCGTGGGTCCAGCTCACCTCTTATCCTCTGACTCTTGGCGTTATATACCCTCAGTCCCACCTTCTTTCCCTCATTATCCTCTAATATCCGACCCAGCGCTGCCGGGCTCAGTCCAACTAAACCCCTTCCATGCCCCTGCGGCGCTCCTGTCCCGGGCTCAGCATCGAAGGGATGATCTGGCGATTCGATCCCGATGAGATAGTCGAAAAATGGCTCGAGCTGGCCGGACGCAGGAGAGTGGTCTGCTACGCGTAGGCAGTGAAGGGCGAGCTCGGGGAGTGAGGAGGGAAGCGATGATCCTGTTTGGCCCATTCTGCTGGAATGCTTCTCCCTGCTGCGAACGAATGATAGCCAGGGGCGGCGGGCTGCTAGAGCTGAGCGTGATAGCTAAGAGTAAGGCAGTGGCTGGATAGATGGGAAGAAAGAGAAGGATGGTCAGATGAGGAATGTGGAGCAGAGTAAGATCAAGAACGCGTCTCATGTTGCCAGCACGGTTATCGTTTGGCATGTAACTCCTTTGCCTCTCTACATCATCTTCCACCACGACGAGCCGCGCTACGGGCGTCATGACCGATCTCACCGCCTCAGTCGCCCAGGCCAGCGTCCCTGAAGCTCTAGAGATCTTCTCGCTGATCTTCGGCGGGTGCTGCTCGAATGTCTGGGCACTCGAGGCGATACTTAAGACACATCCCGGCTCGGGAACCTTCTTGACCTTCAGCCAGTTCATCTTTGTCACTCTGCAGAACCTCAGCAAGTTCACCGAATGGCCACAGGACAAAACAGAAAGCGGAAAGGGGAAGGGAAAGAGCTGGTTGCCGAGGTTGAAGAAGAGGGAGGTGCCGATAAGGCGGTGGCTGGGGCAGGTAGCCCTGTACCTTGGCATTAGCTTATGTGAGCTGCTAAGTGGTCCTTCAGGTATAGGATCTAGCTTATACTATAGTGAACAATTACGCCTTTGGTCTGAAGGTGACTTGCTTGGACTAACACTTCTTGACCTGTGCTGACGCGCGTAGATACCAATGACAGTTCACATTATCTTCCGCAGCGGCGGGCTCTGCGTCAGCATGCTCACCTCGTACTTTGTAGCGGGAAAGCGATACTCCCGAGCGCAGATCGTAAGTGGCTGATCGTCGTTTTTGAAAAGAGCATGAGCTTACCGTATAGCTTGCCGGGTTGATGATCACCGTCGGCATCGTCCTCGCGACTCTGTCGGCGCCGTCCCGCCGCTCGGCTGCTGTGACCACATCAGCCACAGCACCGACCTCAGAAAGATCCTGGGCGCCCACAGAGTACGCTGCAGGGATCGCAGTGCTCATGCTCGCACTTCTGCTCTCGTCCCTGCTGGGCTTGTTCCAGGAGGAGACGTACAGGCGATATGGCAAAGCATGGCAAGAGGGACTATTCTACTCCGTCAGTCACCTCTTCACGTTTGTGTGCTCTAGTCTGACATACTCAGCATCTCCTGTCTATCCCATTCTTCCTCCCGTTCTATCCCACCTTAATCTCGACGTTCAAATCCTATGCCGTCTCTCCGCCAACTGCTCTCTTCACGCTCCCGACCAAGTCGCCCGCTGAGGTAGCGATGTACTACCGGACCTCACCGACATACAAGATACAGCCGAGCTCGCCAATGCCGGGATACAAGGTGCAGATCCCGTCGGCGTTGCTTGCCCTTGCTATCAACGTTACTACGCAAGGGCTGTGCATCCGCGGAGTCAACCGTCTCACAGCGGTACGTCAGCCTGTCTGCCGCCTGGAAGGGGTTTGATGGGAGGCTTGTAAATCAAGCTGATATGACAGAGAGTAAGCTCGACCACGGTAAATCTCGTCCTCACAGTCCGGAAGGCCGTCTCGTTGGGAATCAGCGTGTGGTACTACGGGAGCGGGCTCACTCCTGGTTTGGCAGCCGGAGGGACGATGGTGCTGCGTAAGTCAAGGTTTCGTCTCGGAGCCAGACTCCGCGCTCAGCGCTCATGTCTCAGTCGGAACGGTCCTTTATTCCTTTGCCTCGGCCCAATCGCAAACTTCCAGTCGCCTTGATAGTGGCGCTGCGGGCGGTTCTCATCGGAAGAAGCTAGAGGATCTCGCAATCGAGGAGTACACGGAGACGCCAACGGCAGAGTCGAGCGCGACAGCGGCGGGCGGCAGGTCGAGCGCGGTAGAAGGGGAGTATAGTCTGATTAAGCGGAAATAGCGCCGAATCAGGGTGCGGAGTAAAACTTGTACATATGGAGGCAGTGTACTCCGAGCTTCTCCTACCGCATCCCTGATCCATCTGATTCGAATGGCGAGGAGTGCGGACCCTCAAGCTATCATAGCCTTAATGAGACGGAAGAGATGCTCATGGTAGTCCCGACCGCCAAGTATCTCCCACCTTGTTGAGACCCCAAGCATGACTGCTGGAATCATGTACCGTTGTGCGCCTCATATCCCGCCTGTACTTGCCCTCGAAGGATCCGGATGTAGCGCGGTGCATGACGCAGGTGTTGTCCCAGATCACTTTAGAGTCAGCAACCGTCGTAATCTCTCCTTAGTGGGCGTTGCACTCACCTAGATCTCCCGGATCGTTCCAGGATATCGGACAAATGTACTGAGGCTGTGTAGCAAGCGAAATCAACTCTTTGATCTCCGCTTGCCCCTCAGCGACAGGTTTGCCCACGATGGAATGAGCATGGTTCGCGATGTACAGATTCTGCCCGTTAGCGTTTCCCGCATATTGGGAGCACGGACACGCACCATTCGTCCCGAGGGCTCATGAAGCTGGACGAGCTTATGCAACCCGAAAGGGTAACTCTCGGGTAGCCATTTCGGATCATCCAGCATCTTCTCGCCAGGGTTGGCTACTCGCCGCGAGTGGTGCTGCGAGTGCTTGAGGACATAGTCATTGATTCGGTCTTTACGCTCCTTGGGAAGATCATTATACGCCGTCCGGGAGTCCGCAAACTGTCAGTGTCAGCTCGTAGGAGCCCCGGGAAAGATTATAGGAACGTACCTCTGTCTGTCCACCGAGCCCTTTGGGCGGTAGGTGGTGCGACAGCAGTAAACTCTGGCAATAAGCTCACTCCATGGCGACTGGACGTACATAGCCTGCACGTCGCGGATTGAAGGAAGAGTCCACATGGAAGATCTGGTTGCCCTGTCCGTCAGTACACCGCGCCCAAACCTAAGTGTGCACTCACCCGTCCTAGAATGCCTCGCTGCGAGTCCGGGTGAATGATATTGCCATCTACATCCACGTTGCTCACGTCGAAAAGTCTGTCAAATGAGCTCAGACGGCCCACTCTTCCGACGAACAATCAGGGACCTACTCGTCGTACTTCAGCCGATTGACACGGCCGAGCTTGTTGTACGGTGTCACATCATCAAGCTCTCCAAACAAGCGCGAGAGAGCGACGTGCGAGTCGTCATCAAGACCCGTCTGGCGGAAGACTAGGACACCGTACTGTCCATCAGTACCCCCACGCTCAAGGGGAGTGATCGACGTACCTTGGCGAGACCGTCTTTGATAGCGGCTACGAGCTCAGGAGTTGGCTTCGTCAGATCCACACCTCCAGCTTCAGCTGCAAACGTGGGATGTAGAGGCTTGTATTGGATGTCACTGTTCTTCGGTTCAGTCATCTTGGAACAGGGGCAAGTATGCTCAGGAGCTGGGTGACTTGTGGGTGGCGAATAGGGAAGGAAATGGGTACAGCTCGGCGGCTCGATTTTGATGAGTAAAGTCGCGTCCAGACAGCTCATGGCGCATCGTTCCGAAGCGACAGGCCGGACAGGAACTCGACCGGCGGGCCGAGAGCCTAAGTATCAGGCTAAAGACAGAGTGGAGAGAGAGGAGCATGTGACTCCGGGTACCCGCGGGTTCGGCATCTCACGGCTGCTTTGCATTCCTCGACAAAAATAAATTTGACGTGAACCGCCAAAGGGACCAACTTGAATGCTGCCAACTTGTGCGTTGCCTTGTACATCTTCTTCTCCCACGTCGACTCAAGCCCACTCCCCTCCGTTGAACCCAACAGCACCACTATGAACTCCTCAATCTCTGCCAACGAGCACGCTGCGACATCATCAATCTCGGCCGGGCGTCGCCTTTTCGGCATATCGGAGATCCGGCAGGCGGTCCTGCGGTTGTTGGAGAAGCCAGATTTGGCGCGGATGATGAGGGTTCATAGAGGCGGCATGTGCGAAACGGCTCAGCTCCTATACGAGACGGTCAGCTATAACAGGGCTCTGTATGGCATGGACAGAAAAACTGTGAGTCGGAAGTTCTTATCCGTCTGAACCAGACTAATTTAAGGCAACTCGAAGTCTGTATTGCGATGCGGTGACGCACGTCAAAGACATGTCCCCGCCTCTGCCTACAGCCTTGCGCTGTATGTACAGGTGGGACGAGAGGCGCTCGGGATATGCCTTATCAGAAGTATGGTCGGAATCCGATCAGGAAGACGATTCGGACTCGGACTCGGACACCAGCACGCACAGCCGGGACATCGCACGCACGTATCATCGCCGGTACGATCCTGACGATTTCAACACCATCGTCCCTTTCCTCCAGTCCAAATTCCCCTCCCTACAGACCATCGCCTTCGGCTACGATTACCAAACCTACGGGGATGGCGGATGGATGGTCAAACTATGCCCAATCTCAACCGCTTCCACCCTGCCCCCGGCTTCGGATTCCAGCACCACAGCCCCACGCCTCTCATCCCTCTCGTCTTTCCCCACTTCCCAGAAGATCGGTGGTATCATCGATCTGATCCATACGCGTAAATACAACGTCACACGCGAACTACCCGGCATCGTGCCGTTCGTCCCACCCTCGGCCCGCTTTGTCCTCCGGGAGCGGTTCGACCTGTATCTCGAGCGGGCGGACTATGACTCGTGGGATCCGACGATGGGCGACGAATGGCTCAAAGCTATTCGGACGGACGCCGCTTTCGGCGACGTCTACAAAACTATCGATCTGGGCGAACTCGATGTTCATCTGGATGATATCGCTTGCCTTCTGAGGCACCAGCTCTCCCGCGGTCACACGGACCTGCTGGAGCATATCTTCACAAAGTACACGCTCCCCTTCGATATAGGGAGCTTTGAGGATTTTGCCTCACCAGGATGGAAATCTATCCGCACCCTCGTCCTCTGCGTCGGCGTCTGCTATCCAGACGGAGACAACCCGCTTTCGGAGTTGCGGTTGACCGACCTCCCAAGACTGGTCACCGTCGTCCAGTATGATCTGCCAAACCTGCGCGATCTGCGCATCTCCATGGAGGGCATCGAGGATGCGGAATCGGCCGCCAAGTCAATGCTACACCCACAGTGCCTCGAAGGCTACGGCAACCTCACTCGCCTCAGTATCTCCACTCAGGACTGCAACACACCGCTCTTCAATCTCCTGCGAGTCGCGGCTCCCATCTGCGCCGAGAATGCCACTTTGGACATCCAGACCGGTTCAAAAACCACCTGGAGCAAAATTGCACAGTCCGACTACATACACTACCTCCGCGCGTAAGTTCAGGTTTCCTGCGCGCTTCCTCTCCAGTCTGTTCGTAGGCTTTCTGCTGATGCACCTCAGGCAGACAGCAGATCGACGTCTCCATCTCGCCACGCTCGCTTTCGCGGATTATGGCGTAACAGATCCTGCGGACGTTCAGAAACTCCAGTACCTCCCCGACGGGCAGCCCATGCACAACTGGGATGCGATGACCACCATGTGGCATCCCAACCTTCGGAACCTGATCGGCAATGTCAGGTATAAAGCTGCGCCCGCCGTATCAGCCGGTCTCGCGTCAGTATCAACAGCCTCGGACTGGCTCCACGCGATCTCTCACTCGGCTACCCCGGCGGAAATGGCGGCCGCCTCAGACGCTCTGATCGCGGCGATCCAGTCCACGGCGGCCTCGCTGCAGGAGCTGCAAGGGTTCCTCACGGCTGCTCAACACCTCGTACCGGCAGTCTCAGGCTTTGCGGACAGGATGAGGGGGCTGGCGCCGCCGTAAGCGTGAGGGAAGAGCAGCAGACAGTGAGTGCCCTCGATCTTGCTTCTGACTGCGGCACTCCTGACAATCAGGCAGATATTAGAGGTCAGCGGGAAGTGACATCTGGGCGGCAATAACATGAATAGGCGGCAGTCGGGAGGCAGGGGATAGGTCTGAGCCATGCGGAGCGGTCAGGCCTAGGGGGTGACCAAGGAGTGGCAAGGGCCAAGTGAAGGTGTGCGATGCTCTCTGGGGATTAGTATACTAATTACTATATGACGATGTGGATACAACGGCGAAGCTCTTCTGCCTACTCTGCACTCTAACGCTGCAGAGTACTGCGGCGGCACGTAGTTACTATTGCTACTAGTTCCTTCCGGCCTTGGCCCTTCCCCGGCCACCTGATCCGTGCGTTGGACCAGCCAAAATTCGTAGAGTTTGCAATCAAGCTTTGAAGCTTGCGACCATCCCTTCACTCGTCTACATCACCGATACACTATAGGACTCGACACACCAGCGTCAACCCCTAGCCCGCTCAGCGGAGCTGATGGGGATCAGGCGGCAGTATCGGCCGCTCCGCAGAGTGGTCCGGCGGAGACGTGCTACAAGATCAGGGAATTGAGGGAGCGAATCTATTCCTACCTTGACCACGCGAGTCTAGCGAGGTTCGCTCGGACGGAAAGGGGATGCACACAGGTGGCGGTCAAGGAGCTGTACAGGAGCATACCATATTGGGCTGCGGAAGCGCTGATGGGAGACATCACGGTGAGTACCTGACTGTGCCTATCCCAGGCCCCAGCGGGGGAGTCCTTTCCTGCCTTCAAGGAACGATTGCTGATTGTGCTCCAGGATCGCCAATCATCGTACTGCGACCTCGTCCTGGACATCGACTGTCGCGGTGCACAGCTCTACAAGTCCAGCAAACTCCGTCAAGATCTCGGACGCGCCCCGCGCGGTGTGACACCGGTCAGGGACCAGCACGATGAGGATCTGGATGAGGCGGAGCAATACTACTACTACACGGAAAGGACCTACAAAAATCACATCTCCCAGTATGGCATCGATCTATTCGATGCTACCGTCCCAGCCCTGCGCCGGCGCTTTGAGCGTGTTCGGCAGCTCCGCTTTGGTGCCGAAGCTAGGGAGGCTTTTGGGGAGCAGGAACACTGGACCGTCATTTGCTCTCGGTCAGAGGCCTCCCCTACAATCGGTCGGATTGAACTCGTAACCACGCGCCTCGTATGGTTCGGAGAAGCATCACCCGAACAGAACGCTGCTCCCCGCGGATACGCCCTGAAGGAGAAGGTCGACTTCAAATTTGTGCCCTCCGGAGACGGACGGGGATCGGCCCCTTCGGAGACGAGATCGTGGCTCGCAGAGCTGTGCCAAGGACCTTCCTTCCTGCGCCTAGCCACAAGATTACAGCTGCGTAAGATGCCGATCACCTTACCGGACCTGGCAAGCCTGGTGGAGAGGCAAACGCAACTCCCGGTATCGGAACGCCTATCAGCCGTACACGCACAAGGCGTACAGCCGTGGGACGTGGAGGATCTGCGGGCTCTTTCTAGAGCATCGTCCGGCCATCTCACCATCCTACACCTCGCTCCATATAACCGAACATATCGGCCCGGTCTCGCCAAAGTCACATTTGCGGAACTCGGTGGCATCGTCGAGCTCATACGGAGCAGCCTTCCGGGCTTACAGGAGTTCAGCCTCGTCGTAGATGGGCTCCGGGAAGCGGAGGCACATACAAAGGGCCTGCTCGGCGAGCTGTGCCTCGAGAACGGAGGAAATATCTCCAGATTGCTCGTTATGACGGAGGAGTTATCGGTCCCGTACTTTAACGTCGTCCGCCTTCTTGCGCAGATCTGCACGCCGACAGCCTTCGTGGTCATCGGCAGGCCTTTCGATTTCATGTACTCCGGCTCCCCGACAAACGGAGCTACCAAGTATCTGGCGTATCTGAGAGCGTAAGCTGACAACGCATCTCGCCTGAAGCCGTTGGGGAATCATCAGCTGATTTCGGCAGACAATCCTCTAATCGGCGAAAGCATCTTGCTCAAATCGATTTCGCTTCTCTCGGTGCTACTTCTTACCAAGACGTCCGCGAGCTCGACTACCACGACGACGGCCGGCCGAAACATCGTAGCGAGCCCAGAGCCAGAGGGATCGAGTGGGCGCAAATCGCGGATGGCGCCGCTTGTACCGCTGCAACGTCCCTACCGTCTTTTTCGCAAGCACTGGATCGCTTTTCGCAGGTGGCACAGCGTCAGCGAGCCCCATCGGCTACTGCAGACCAGGCGGAGTTGCTCAGGGAGGCGGAGGATCTGCTGGGTTCGGCGGACGCGCTGGCGTTAGCGAGTCAGGAGATTCAGCGCGTACTGTACGATACCGGGAGCGTAGTCAGCGATATCCGGCGGTACGTTGGGGCGCTGAGGCGGTCAGGAGATGTTGAGCGTGACTAGGACGTGTATATAGCTATCATAGAAGGATTCGTCTGGCTACTATCTCGGTCGGATCCGGTCGCGCTGATTCGGCAACGACACTTGAGCTGTGGCCAGGGTTTACCCTGGTACTTTGCTGCTGATATTTCAAACTATGATCGCACCTTGCTTGCCCAATATCGCTCGAAATTTCGATGTCAAGGTGCCTATGGACTCGATAGATTCATAACCACCTTCCAGGTTTTTCAGGGATCTCTTGTGCATAGTACAGTGTCGAGATGTAGGGAATGCGTTTTGGCCAGGTGAGGTTGAAAACGCGATGACGCGGTTCGAGAAAGTCCGTGCTCGTGTTTCACATTTGCATGCATGCGTTTCAGCCGGCCTCCACCGGTCAACCCGGCCAATCTCACAAGTACAGCTAACTGCATACTCCCCTCAACGCGAGCTAGCATGCTCGGTAGGACCTCATGTAGAACTGTATGAAGATTCAGGGGCACGTTGATGATCTGACCGACACCACGTCAATCTAGTCTACCGCTCACTGCAGGCACATGACTGCGTCGCAATCCTACCTGGCTGTTCTCGGCTGGTCTTACGCGGACGGGAGTGTCTACGGCTACGGCGATGAGGCGAGAAACTAACACTTGCGCTTTTCACCTTATTCTGAGGAGTGGTAGATTGATAATCCTGCAGTAGGACCACTCCATGCATTCAGAACGCCTAGAATCACAAGATCTGAAAAACATGAGAACTAGATGCGTGAATGCTGTGCCTGACCGAATATCCCGGAGTATCAGAAATTGTCGTGCGGGAGATTGTGGCGAGGAGAAGAGACGTGCAGCATGTGAGATGGGGACGGGGACGGAGGTGTGTGGGGAAAGAAGGCGAAGCGAGGATGGCGTCTTACGACCCGTACCCAGAGATCTGGGACCGGAAACGGCGCGGAAAGTGGCTGGTCGTAGGGAGGCTAGCTTGAACTAGACGGAGGGGGTAGGAGTCTAGTCTCTGGACTTGTATTAGACGGGGAGGTATGCGAGTATCGGCGAATGGGGATGAGGAGGATTCTGAGGTATTTCGAGGCTTTGAAGGTGTGCAAGGCAAGACATATATTGAGCTAAGGTAAGAGCTAGGTAGATCTTGACTAGGTAGCTTATGAAAGATCAATTCTAAGAGAAGAAGCAATCCAAGGCGAAATATCCCGCCTTTTATACCCCTGGGCAACCTCACTCCCATAGTACCGCCTGGGAGCCGTATAGGACCGCATAGGACCGTATGGGATCGTCCGAGGCAGTATGAGATCGTACGAGGCAGTATGGGATCATACAAGGTTGACTGGATCGTACGAGAATGGAGTGGGTCCTGAATGGTCCTCGCTGGGATTGGCGTGCGAGGGATGACATCACCTAGCATGGGGAGGTGGTGATCTGGGTCCTGACATGGCGTCGAGGAACGAGGGACGAGAGTGCGAGCGATGTGCAAGAAGAGGAATAGCGAGTCAAAGGGCGAACGTATCAAGTGGCTATCTGTCTAGGGGCAATGTAGATCGCTAGGCTACTCGACCAGGCTAGTGGTTACAGAGACGAAAGACAAGAGAGAAAAGGCTGACGCGAGTAGACTATTCGCCAGCCACGCTTGGCATGTTCGCGCATACAAGCAAGGTCTTTGCAGCGGCATCCAGCCCTCGAAGACAGAAGATAAGAGGCAAACACACCATTCCGTCAACTATGAAACATGTTACACAGACCGCCTGTAGCGAGGTTGTCGCCACCCATCTCATCATGAGCTCTGCAACCGATTAGTAATAGTCGCTACATGTCCGTGACCCCCCTCAAGCGATCTCGTCATGACATACTCCTCGCACACAGCATGTGATCTGGGCTGGTCAGGCGTGAGGCGTGTCGAGGCGGACGACCAGAGGCCGGTCAATCCGTCAGCCGCCGCTTTAGACGCAAGTCACAGGCAAGGCAGAGGTGGGTCGATAGCGGCTTGATCAACGCTGATCAGTGGATGGGGCTCAAGGGACAATTTATCTCGGGCTTGGACAAGGCAGCCTCTTTTATAGCTAGAGTTCCTCCTTTCATGGACCTAAGAATCATGGCCTGCAGCCAAACGGACTCAGAGCGCCACTTTGACCTCTCAGCATCGGGCGCGGAAGACCTGCTTCCGCCGGAACCGATACATAGTCCCCTGACCCTGGCCATGACGGGAGTTCGCGACCGTCCGTTATTTTCGCTTTGGCTACCTATTTCTCCCCCTTCATCACCTCCTACTCGCCTCTAGCGAGACTCAAGGGCCTCAAGTGATAGAGAGGCTGTGCAGCTCGTTCGGAGCATTCAGGCAGGACTTGACCTCACGCAGCAGTCGGCTTCGACAGCTGTATCCTCTCTTGTCCCTCCTGCCCTCGACCTCGACGGAGTCGGCCCAATATCCCACCCACCTTCTCACCTCACGCCGACCATCTCCCACCGCATCATACGCTCTATAGACTGAGCACCGCTTCCCTCCCCACTACCTGTCCGTTCCTCGCCGTCCCCCGAGCCCTCACGGCCGTCACATTATGGCCTTCCACTCGTCGACATCACCCCGCGCGCCCGGCCCAGGCCCAGCTGGGGAGAACCACACGCTAAGCGATGACCCTCCGCAGAGGGGTACGGCGGAGGTAGTCTACCGTATAGCTGAGCTCCGGCAGCGCATCTACTCGTAGCTTGACTATTCGTCTCTGGCGCGAATCGCCAGGACGGAGAAGGCATGTACGGAGGTGGCAATGAAAGAGTTGTACAAGACTATACCGTATCGGGGTGCAGAGGCTCTCTGTGGGGATCTTAACGTGAGTACACCGCCTCTACCTCTCCGTTAGATTGAAAGGGAAATACACGTCGCCGCGGTCTTTGACTCCCGTTTCTACTGTTTGACTATCGCTGACCTCAAGCCAGGCCCGTCAGCTATCCTCCCTGGATCTCGTACTCAACATCGATTGTCACAGCGAAGACTTGTACGAATCGGTCGCCCTTCGTCGTACACTCGGTCACCCGCCGCGTGGAGTCACTCCAGTCATCTTGATCGACGATGAGGACGACGAATACTATGACGAGGCGGGAGAGGCATACCATCGTGCCGAAGCCAAATACAAAAGCGCCCTCGCTCGGTATAGCGTCAAGCTCTTCAAGGCGACAGTCCCTCCCTTAAGGAAACGCTTCGTCCATCTAGAGCAAATCTGGTTCGGGGACGGGGTCAGGGAGGTCTTTGGAGCACAGGAACACTGGATCGTTCACGTTTACCAGCCGGGAAAGGACAACCGGCCCGGGTCACTTCCCCAATCAGATCTCGGTCAGATAGACCTCTTCACAACCTGTCAGGTGCATCTCGAGGCAGATATCTATGGCAAGCGCTCGCTGATCGCTCCTCACGGGTACTCGCTCGAGGTGAAGACCGACCTAGTATGTGGCGGGACATATTATGGGTCGGTACCGGACCAGGCGGCGATGGACGAATGGCGACGGGTCATGCGGGAAGGACCTTCCTTCTCAAATCTGGCGAGGGGACTCAATCTCGGCCCTATCCCGATCACCTTGTCAGACATCGTGGACCTTTATATTCGGCAGACGGCCCGCCCAGCGTCGGAACGTCCACGCCGGGGCAGCGCTACCGTGGGACGTAGAGGATCTACGATCTCTGGCAAGCGTGTCATCTGCCTCCCTCACATCCCTTCATCTCGCCCCCGACGAAAAAGATCATCATCCCGGACTCACCAAACTCTCATTTGCGGACCTCAGAAGCCTCGTCGAGCTCGTGAGGAGCGAATTGCCACTCCTCCAGGACCTCAGCATCACCCTCAACGGCGTGGAAGATGCCGAGACGCATTGTCGAGACCTGCAGGGGTGCCTAGAGGACGGAGGGACCATCTCCAAGCTCCTCATTGTCTGCGCGCGACCACGGGTGCCGCTTTTCAACGTCCTGCGTTCTTTATCTACCATCCTCACGTCGACAGCCTATATCGGCTCTGCTAAAGGGTCGGACGGACGCAGAGACAACGTCAACGGCGAACGAATCGAATGTCTGGCTTATCTGAGGGGGTGAGCTACTTCTTGTCCATCAACTCTGCCTCATACATCAGCTGATCTGGGCAGACAGCCGCACCTGCGGCGGCAGTACCTAGCTCGGGCCGACTTCGCGGCGATGGGGGTCTCCTCGTATCGAGACGTTTGCGAGCTCGAATACCATGACGATGGCCGTCCGAAATGCCGAGGCGAGACCAGGGCCGGGGCTTGGCAGCGCGCCACAGCCGGGGTAGCGGACGCTGCCGGGTACACGGCACTGCCCGCCCTATCAGTCGCGGTCGCGCGGATCGCACAATCTGCCTCGCGGTTCCACGGGATCTCGGACACTACCAAGAGACGCGAACTGCTCGAGGAGGCAAAGAAATTACTCGGTGCGGCGGATGCGTTCTCGGCTGCCAACGCAGAGGTGAAGCGGATCATGGAGGAGGGAGAGCGGACTGTGGCGGATATCAGGCGGTATGTGGACGTACTGCAGACGCGTCAAGGGGAGGAACGATGATGCGTCAGTTGGGTGTCAACCTCTCAAGTAGGACAGAGGGATGTATATGGCTTGAGACGGGTGCATAACAGGTCACGAGAGAGCATTGGTATTAGTGCTGGGTATAGGCTATGGTCTCATTTAGTCCAACCTCGCTGCAGATACGAGCAACTTCCCATTCGATCCACACTCGACCCTCAATCTCTTCCCTTCCCGTACACCTCGACACATCTCTGCTCAAAAGCGTCCACCATCTTCCCCGCTACCTTGGGCAGCACAGCTTGAGACGCTATGCGATGCAAGGGATTCGTAAATTCGAACGCTAGGTCGATCGTGAGGAGCGTGGGACCGCGGGAGGAGTCGGGCGTCTCTAGTGATTGCGTGGAGCGCGGAGCGGTGTTGGCTGAAGAAGAGGAAGTAGTCGAAGGTATGGCTGTTGAAGGATGTGGGGATAGGCCTGAAGCCGGCGAGAAAGCCCCTGCAAATCAGCATGAAGAGCGCTCGGTCTCAAGCGGTTTACTCACAGGTTGTGCTCAATGATCGGAAGAGATTCGCCTCCCCAGCGCTTGCAGATACGCTCTCATAAGGCGTCCCCTTCACTCTGCTGACATACGCCTCGTCGAATCCGCCAAACCCCACTTTCAGCTCCGCATCCACCTCGAAAGACTTCCCCGATGCCGGTGGGGACCACTTGCTGTCAGCCGCCGTACGACCTGCTGAGCTCGTGCTAGCCACTGCTGATGATGAGGAGGGTGGCTGCAATACCGTCGAAGAAGTGCAGAAGGGGATGAAGGATGAGTAGGAGGGTATATCGGCGACGAGATTATATAGCTGCTCCGGCGAGTATCTGGCTGTCAGCGCCTATATCTATCTCCTATCTCGTTCCCCAGTATGATCAGGAGCTCACGGTAATATCTTCCTAGCATGGTAGGTCTGCCTTTCTCCGTCGGTCTGCACCTCTCCTGCGCCACCGCCGGATCCCGAACTCATTGCTTCCGCAGCTGACCCAGCGAGTTTCGCCAGCTTGGAGATGTCCGGTAAAGAGAAGAACGCCCGCCTTGCATCCGCCACAGTAGGTGGCTGCTGATGTCCTGTTGTACTTGATACAGGTCGGGCATGTCTGTTCCCAAAGTGAGCGGCGGTGGAGTAGGACGATGTGGAGGAGAAGGCCGGAGCAGAGATCGAGGTGTCGCCTGAAAGTAGAGCCCCAGGCTGAGAGGCTACGCAGCGCTTCGACCGTGATATGGAAGCATTGTATGCGCTTCTAGCCAGGGTGCGGGAGGTGGTCATGGTGCTCAAGCTATTACAAGATGGATGAGAAGACAGCGAGTGGGTTTCGATCGGCCCATGACCGAGGCGACGATCGATAACGTCATCGAAAATTTCGCCTCCTCATTCCTCGTTCCTCAGGGGTCGGGATCCCCCCTCTTCCACCAAAGAATCCGCGTGAGGGGTTGGGCAGACCGTCAGGGATGGTCGGGTCTCAGTACGTCTATCGATAAGCCGTCGACGGGGCTCCAGGTTGATCCTAATTGCAGCAGGAAGCTTTGTTCAGTGTGGGATGGACAACTCAAGCGGAAGGGAGCGGCACACAGGTGTGTGCCTCTGGGCAGCAACGCCCTTCTTTCGGCCGACGAGACCGGAAGGGCGGTTGACTCATTTTCGACTGATCACTTACCTCTGATAAGATCTTATTGAGGCAAAAAGATGGTAGCAGAACTATCGTCGCTCGGGAGGCTTCCAGAGCTGCCGAGCCCAGCTCAACGCTTGCAAGGCTTCAACAATCCCGCAGGCCACGACGAGAACACACCAGACACGGACGCGACAATGAAGCCTACCGGGCCTGATCTATCATTCGAGGCATCCCCCGTCAATGATGTCGCCCTCGCACCGAGGTTGTCGACGATCAGGACTGTGACGCTCGCCACCGGGATGCTGCTGACGTACTTTCTTGGGGTGAGCGTGTCAAGCTACGAGAACTTACTTCCAGGCAGCATCAACAGGATCAGTCACCATCCTGATACCGAGAATGGCCAGCGATCTCGGCAAGACGGAGCTTGAGACTCAATGGGTTGCTTCGGCATATACATTCGCTTTTGCTTGGTGCGTCCGGCCAGGCTCCATCCCGTGGATTAGTGGCTGATTGGCAGCGGCCTCATCTTCTCGGGCAGACTCGCAGATACTCTGGGACGAAGAAAGCTCTATCTGGCCGGCTTAACGATATATGCCGTCTTTGCTGTTGTCACTGGGGTGGTCAAGGTAAGACTGCGGTACGGTCTAGCTGAAGATCAGAATCGGGTCGCACTCAGCCTGTGTCGAGCCATGTCTGGGCTGGGAATGTCTATCGCCTCACCCGCCGGATTTGGCATCATCGGGGCTACGATTCGTCATGAACCCGCGCGGACTATAGCTTTTGCGGCTTCAGGTGAGTCGTCCCGATATGACGCTGATGCATGCAGGTCTCGGCAACCCTATAGGGGCGGTCTTTGGGAATCTCATCGGCGGACTAATGGCCAGCATCGGGCCGTAAGTGAGTCAGTAGCTCACCGGCTGATCGTACAGAAACGGCTGGTCATACCTGTTCTTCCTCCTGGCGGGTCTTGCGGCCCTTCTACTCGCTGGCGCATTCTTCATTGTCCCCTCTGACCCCGACGTCGGGAAGAAGTTTGACGAGCGCATTGACTGGACTGGCGGGCTTTGCGTCACCGCGGGCATCTGCTTGTTCACTTTCAGCCTCACCGAGTCTGGGATAGCGGTCGATGGCTGGAGAGCATCCTGTAAGCGCTCGCCGTATTATCCGCTGACCTGCAGATGTTCCCGCTTTGCTCGCGACATCACTCGTCCTCCTCGCCGTCTTTGTACTCTGGTCACTTCATCTCGAGCATCGGACGACATTTCCGCCGATCTTCAAGATATCGGTCTTCACCCGCCGGCACGGGCTGGTGGGTATCACCCTGGCGTGCGTCCTGTTGATCAGCATGTGCATCTTGGCCTGGATCTACACAACGTCCATCTTCTGCCAGAATTACAAAGGCTTGTCGCCGCTGGCCAACGCCCTGGCCGTTCTCCCTGCGCCTATCGTCGGTCTATTCGCGGCGGTGAGTCCGATTCCTCGCCACGATCTGACCAAGTCAGGCAGCCGTAGTCCTTCTCGCGCCTCGCGTGAGCACGCCACACATCCTATGCGTCGGCTCGGCAATGACAGCGTACGTCTCTTGCATAAACAGAGCTGAAATTAGGGCTTCATCCATCATGTACGCCGCCTGGCCAGAAGGGACCAGCTTTTGGGCTTTGGAGTTTCCAGCGCAGCTCATCCATCCTTGGGGGACCGACTTGTGAGCTCGAAACTCCCCCTTACAGCGGGACTACGCTAAAGCTCAGCGTCTTTGGCCTGGGCAATATTCTGATGTCCAACCTGGTCGACCAGTGAGTCCGTGCAGCTCCCCGCTGACGGTGACAGAAACGAGCTGTCTGTCGGCGGAGCGTTGTTTCAGACGTCCGGTCAAGTCGGCGGCGCCCTCGGGATCTGCCTCAGCTCGCTCATTTCGTCGGAAATCGCAGAACAGGCAGGTAGCGTCCTAGCGGGCGTGCGAGCTGCCTTCTACTTTAGTGCCGCCTGTGGCTTCGCCGGTGGGTGACTGCGCGTGATGTGAGCTGATCTCATTAGTTTCGGTCATCGCTCTGCTCGGATTCAGGAACGTCAAGCTGGCCAAGGACGTCGGACAGATACAGTAGGATTACCATCAGATATGTCAGCCATGCTCGCCTGAGCGACAGCAATAAGCCCCGCCCTTGAGCAGTCGTCAGCAGTTCATAAAGTCATTCATCGCACATTGTATACCGGGATCAAGAACATCCCCCGTTCCCCACCTCTATTCGCCCATCACCTCACCAAGATCCCCAAAGCCCAACTTCTACCACCCCCGTCTACACGCCCCGACTATGGCTTGAAAGCCTTTTGGCTCAGAGTGATCTTATCTCCCAGCGACAAGGCGATACCCTGTGTTCTGGACCGTATCCTCAAATGACCTGACAAGTCAACTAATATCCCAACTTATAGCTCAAAGATTGACTCACCTCGAATCTCCCCACTAGCATCCAATTCGAGACTGATATTCCCGAGCGCATCTTCTCCAAACAGACTCTTTGCAGCCATGTTGCAAGAGAGGTACGAGCAGTCCCCGCTGAGTGCGTTCTCGGGCGTGAGGATCTGGAGGTTGGTCTCTTTTGCGAGGTGGTCGACGAATTTGCGCAGATCGCCGCTGGGCGCGGAAAGTGCGACCTTGTTCTCCCATTCGAACTCGGTCTGGACGTCAGCTCAGGTCTAGTCGAGTCAGAGTTATACGTACCCAGCTAGATCGGAAGGTCGCCTCATTGACATATGCAGGCTGGATGAACGACAAGATATCAAGGTGAATGTCCTACACTGTCAGCTCTGCCTCGTTCGGATCGAGGATCTCGTAACTCACCGACAGCACAATGTTGGCATCCGCATCGCTCCCCTTGACACTATACGTGATACTCCCAAAGATGACGCCAGTCTCGGTGCTCGACACCTTGATCGTCGCCTTGATCTGGTGGAACCCGTGTGGGCCTAATGTATGGGGTGCGGGCCGCTCGACAAGCTTCAAGTCGCCGAGAGTCTGGAAGTCGACCGAGAGATTTTGAAGGGTGTTGGTGGTTTGGTTGACGAGTAGGACGTTGAGAATGACGTCGAATTGGTTGATGGTCGTTACGCATTCGCAGTAGACTGCGTCCGAGTAGCCTGGAGATTAGCGACGATCTGAACATGTTGTGGGCAGACTCACCTGTCAATTGTACGATCCGGCTCAGCTTGGAGACAAAGTCGTCGTTGACTTCTGCTGCGCCCGTTGCCCGACCCACATCAAGATCAAGCTAGCCTGTCAGCTGTCATCCCGTACGACGGTCAAAATCAACTCACATCATCAACATCCGCGACAGCCTTCTTGCTCAATTGTCTGAAGCTGATCAAGTCGTCCGCCTGAATCTCAACATCCTTTGCCTCCTTCGCCTTTTCTGCCGCCGCCTTCTTCTGCAATTCGATCAGCTTTGCCCTCATGCCAGCCATGGAAGGGATTCGTCTAGCTCACCTCAGCACTCGCAATCATCTTGGTATACGCCGCCTTGGTATCCTCCAAGAACACCTCCCTCATGACCCTCTCCCCGCCCAATTCCGCTAGTGTCTCGATACAGTTCATAATCCGCTCCTGACTGTCCTCATCAATCGCCACCGCGGCAAACTTGCTCTGTCCCACCCGTACAATACTCGTCATGATGAGGAGCGCCTCGGCTTTGAGCTCATTGACGGTAGCTGAGTCGGCGGTTTCCGAGGCAGAGAGGCGGAGGATAAGCTTGGTGAGGGTCGCAGCGAGGACGGAGCCGGTGAAGAAGTCGCCGCCGAGGATGAGGGAACGGAGGGGAGGCTTAGCAGCAGACCGGACGGCCTCGAGTCGCGCGGCGTCGGCGTTGGAGGTGTAGGTCGTTTCGGTGGCGTATGTCCCGTCGGCAAGTACCCGGGTCTTGGTGACCGCTTTTGGCGCATCGTCCTTCTTCTCAGTAGCAGCCTCGTCTGATGAAGCTGCTTCGTCGAATAGTCGCTGAACATCAGCGATGCTCCGTCAGCAGGAGGCAGAATACTCACCTGCTCCGAAGCCAGAATGGGGATCTCGCCGAGGACTTTCCGGATCTCTTGCATCGCCTGCTTGATATCTGGATGTCAGCTACGAAGCAAGTCACGCTTTGCGCGAGCTCACCTGAGACCTGCTCGCAGTACTCTCCCACAATCCACAGCGCGCCTCGGTATACCTTGCCCGACTTGATCTCGCTGAAGGTAGCAACGAGCTTCTCGGTGATTGCGGTCCGGAGCTTCGGGAACTTCTCCACGACTTCGCTACAAGCGTCAGCTGATGTCGTAGCCACTAGTGTGGGCCAAGCAGCTTACCGGACGAAGGCAATGACATCGACAGCCGAAGGGTTGTTCGAGTCGCCCAAGAACTCCATGAGGACGTAAACTACATTCGCAGCCACTTCCGAGAATTTGATGGCGCAAGAGTGGATGCTTTGAATGAGCAATTGGCGGTACTCCAAGTTCTGAGGTTGTAAGCTGCCTGCGCGCGAACGTCGCGGTATTCAAAGCTCACTTTATCAAACTCCGACTCCATCGTCCCCTGCAGCTGCTTCTTCAAGAACAACACCACATCCTCCACATTCCTGCTCGAGACCATCTCCAGCGCAATCCCGATCGCTTTGCGCTTCACCTCCATATCCTGGCTGCTCAACACCTTGAGAATGTCCATGACCATTCCATCAAGAACGTGCTCGTGCTTGGACCGAAGGGTGTTGAAACGGTCCAGGACGATGAGCTTGACGTTGTTGTCGGCCTCCTTGACGATGAGTTCGGCAAAGGCGGCAGCGGCGGCTGGAGAGTCAGCAGAATCAACAACATTACAAGGTGAGACTTACCCTTGACGGCAGCGGGGTTTTGGGTGAGGGTGGTAAGGGAGGTCGCAGCTTCATACTTGACGGCATGCGAGGGGGAGTTGAGCAGCTCAAAGATGCACCGGATCCATTTTGCCTGATAGTCAGTATCGCCTCCCATACCCCGGTGCGAGCGGATACCCACCCTGTGTCCACCTTCCGTCTTGGCCTCCTTCCTGACCAGCTCAATGACCGCCATTTGCATCAACTCGTCCATCCCGCCAATCGAGTCAAAGTTGCTCAGCAGGTACCGCACAGCAGTAGGCTGCGAGATGTTGCAGAGTGTGACGAATGCGTTCCGCTTGCAGGTCATGTCAGATTCCTATACCGTCAGCTCATGCTCTTCCCGAGCGGATCACAGCTGAAGACGCACCGCAGCGAGAAACGTGTCCAGCAGCTCTGGCGCGTCGGGAATGAGGTGCTCGTGGTCTTGGTAGATGGAGTAGACGGCGAATACGGCGTTCTTGCGGACGAAGGAATGACGGTGCTCCTGCGAGATGTCAGCTCAGAGTCGGCGATCCGGGTGTTCCAGCTCACCAGACATGACCGGACAGTGGGGATGAGGGGTTCGAGCAATTCCGGTTCCCGGATCTTCTGGAGGTATCGTAGAGTCGCGCCGCGGATGTACTCGTTAGGATGTTGCTATATTGTCAGCTAAAGACCCAGAGTGCGGACATCAATCAGCATACCAGGTCTCTTCTTGTTGCGTCGCTGTACAGATCAGCTGACTATCCCTGGCACTCATCAGCATCCCAGTACTCACCAAACAAGAATCATCTCGTGCTTGAGCTTCCCATTGTCGTCGAGCTTGGGGCAGATCCTTGATCGTTAGCGGATGCTCGTTAGGTGATGTTCAGAAAAGCTACTCACTCCCAGTAGAAGTGCAGCATCTTCTTGAGCTGCTTGTTCCGCGACGGCATGACATATTGGATGATTGGCATGAGGAGTTGCGGCTGGTGAGTCAGCGCTGAAGCTCCCACCCGAGTCCAAGCAGCATCCCCTTCTGGATACTCCCTCGCCCCCCTCTGCTGCCCCTACTCACATATGACTGCCCGTTCAAAGTCCCGACAATGATCCTCCGCATAGTCTCGAGCTTGACCTCATCCGAGCCCTTCTGGAGCGCGTTCCTGAGCTCGGAAGCGTTGGGTGACTCGATGAGATCATCGTGTACTATCGAGTAGCAGGTGGATGAGGGGTCCATGGCGAACCGAGTAGTAGCCCTGGTAGAGGCTTTAGGATAGTAGGTAGAGGTGATACAAGGCGAGGTATGTAGTCTATAGCCTCGTCGCGTTCGCGCTGGTAGAAGGAGGGGCGCGAGGAATGCCACGTCACTAGAGACCATAAATTGCCTATTTGGGGTTATTCCCGTATCAATTCCTATGGTCGTCCGCCTGTTTCCGACAAGAGCTTGCGGCTACTAAAAGTATCCATCAACCACCATAGACATCTAGAGAGTGCAGCTACACAGACAGCTACTGCTCCTTCCTGACAGAGCTCATACCGCCTCCTTCGCCGTCACTCTCCCCGAAAAGCATACCCAAAATGCCCGGCCCATCGCCAGCTACCACCGTTAGTTTGCGCTCTTTCGAATTAGATCTGCCTTGCACTCGCAGAGCGGATCGTGCTTTGTCTTTGACCAACGCTCGCTATCTCGCCTACGGAGGAAGGCTGCAGGGATAGCGAAGATCAAAACGCTGAGATGAACAGGTCGTCCGATACTCTGCCCTCATCGGAGGTGTCCTCTACGGTCTCGTCCACGCCGGAACTGTCCAGTCAAAATATGAGGATGACCAGGTGGGCTAGCTTGCAGCATGGTCGCCAGAGATCAAAGCTGACTGTCGAAGGCCAAGGCGCAAATAGCTCGCCGGTCACACTTGGTGGATGAGGCCAAGAAGGCGTACGCACAAAAGCTGGTGGCCGACAAGGCAGGGAACGCTACTCAATGTCAGTGGACTCCTCTAGCTACTCGCACACAGCTGATAATCAGTGATAACCAACATCGACGACCCCAAGTTCGACCTCGAGAAGATCATCGAGGCATATACCAAGACCCCATAGAGGAGATGTATTTTGGGTGCGCTTCCGCTCGACATGGCCGGGGGCCTTAGGGTTCGCACGATCGAACGCCTCGCTGGCTTATGTGCTGACTACACTGACTGCTCTGCTTCATCTATACAAAGATATAGCCCAAGATAATGTCCGTCATTGCTCTAAGACCCCCTTGATAAACCCAACATCTCCTCAAAGCTCATCCCTTCTTCCGCCTCATCCTCTACGCCGCCCAACGAGCTCGACGCGCCCGCTGCTGTCCCTCTTGATCTCAGTCGACCTAAACCCGCACCATACCCTAACCCCCCTGATCCCCTTCGTTCGATCCGCCTCAAGGTGCTCCGCAAACTCAGACCTGAACCAGTCCCCGGACCTGATGCCGTCCCACTTATTGATTCTGGCTCGGAAACTCTCCGAGGCGGCACCGCGAAGATATCGACGCCTTGACTCTGATCCGGTGATTTGGGAACCGACCGCGAGGGCGACGCCGGCGCTGGCAGGCTGACCGCGAGGGGGGCAAAGTACGTCCCGGTACTCGGACCCAGCATCTCGACTTCTGGCGAGTCGACGGTCTTCTCCGAGATGGGCGATAGTAGCTCCGTCCCTGGACTCGTGAGGGATAGCCTTGGCAGCATGAGCCCCTTGGCTGACGATGTCTGTACAGTCTCCTCGGGGCGGCTCGCGGTGCTGAATAGGCCAAAGCCTGATATCGATGGGCGGGTCGTGCCGTTGCCGTCCTCGAGAACTTCGTCAGACATGAAGTTTAGGGTGTTTTGGCGCTGACTGTCAGTACCTGAACGATAAGTCACGGGACGTATTGCTCACTCGTTCACGTTCCTGCTCCATAACGTGGCGTAGCTCTTTGCGGGAGTTGATGACGATCATGGCTGTGATGACCCAAACTTTGGGGACAAAGCTGCACGTCAGTGTGAGAAAGCTGTGATGGAAGATAGCTCACATGAACACGAGAACAATCAGCGACTTGGGCGCGACCAACGCCTTGATGATCAATCCAGCCGTCCTGCACAACGTCAGCCGAGCGCTTTCCCAAGTCTGTTGAGACTCACACGAGACTCGGTATCAGCTGGGCCTCTGCCGACAATATCACAATCCGCATGACCAGCCTGTCGGTGTGCCCCACCCCGCTCCGTTTTCGTATAAGCGCAATGATGATTAGTCCGCTGAGAAGCCAGTCGATCGTAAAGAGGGTGGCGACCCAGCTGATAAAGTAGCGCGATGTTGTTGAGCTCAGGGGATCTGGCTCGCCCAGTACAAGATTGGCGATCCCGACGGCGACAGAGCAGATACTGTTGGGTCAGTCCGAGACCAGCTGGCACTGCTAGAGAGGACGACAAGACGCACGAAACGAATGGGAGACCATATCTGATGACCTTGGGCCGGCCCCAGAGCTGATATGCTCTTACAGCGTATAGTACCTGTTCGTTAGTGAGCAGTCTACCGCAAGTTGCTCTTTGTCTGCTCGAAAGCTCACCTCTATTGGCATCGCTACCAGCAGCTCAAACAAACAGTCCCCCTTGACCCACCACCCGCGAAAGATGTTGATCGGATCGCCATACCCCGTTACAAACACAGACATGCCATATGCTTGTACACTGTACGCTCAGCCTAGCATTTGGAATGGCATGGCGGCAGAGCGACTTACAATGCAGTATGCGCTACACTACCCACCGTAATCCAGTACTACTCCGTCAGCCCCCTATCTTATCGCTATCACCCCCGCGTTTCACCCCAGGCCAAACTCTACTCTCATTAAAACCTCCGAGCCGCCGAAACACCCAAACTTAAACTCACAATCAGTGAACGCAGAGGCCACCGCTCCTCCCTTTCCAGCCGCACCTTCCAAAACACAAACTGGCACAAGATCACCCCCAGACAAAGCATATCGATCCCCGTCCCGAAATACATGGGACCCATCGCGAGGTTCCATATGGACGCGTTGTATTCGAGAAATTCTTTTTCGCTGGGCGTGAGCGGCAGAGACATCCTGCGCGCAGGGTGTACCTGGCGGGTTGCGTCTGGGTACCGGGCTAAGCGCTGAGAGCTTGAGCGGGAGCCCAGCTGGAGATTGACGATGTGTGATGTGCAGTTAGCTGTTGACCCGCGAGGAGTCGCACCCCTGAGACTCATTCATACCTCGGCGCCGCAACGCCGTACGTACTCTCGTTCGTCTTTCGCAATTCGCTGATCCTCTCTGCTGTTTGCGGATCGTGCTTCACTGCTTCATGCTTCAAGTGCGGGTACCAAAGATTTGCCGCGCCTTGCCGCCCCCACATGTCGGCAGATTGACGTGAGTTTTCAGGAGGTGGCAGGAGGTGGCGCGCCGCCCCTGCCGCCCCCTGTATTGATGATCGTCGATCGTGCAAGGGACGGCGACTTGCGTTCAGCGGCAGCCTGCCACAAACGGAAATCAGGCGCCACTTTTGGTAAGACCACCGTGGGAGAGGGGCGGCGCTGGCCGGAACACGTGGTCTTGCCGGTAGTCGGCGCGCGCGCTGGAAACGCGTCCAGCCAGCTGTTGGAAACGACAGCTCTATCACACCTCGCCCTACTATACCGCCTACATACACACAGAGCCAGCCGGCGGCGCTCCCACCGACCCACACATCACTACTCTCTACGTCGCATCGTCTACGATCGTACCGAAAATGGCTCCTCCCGAGATTATAGACGTGGACGACGAAGAGGTGGCCGCTATGGACGAGAACAAAGTGATCAATGAGGTGAGTTGCGCTACGTTCTTCGCAGGGACACGGCGAGCTGACTATTGGCAGGAGTTCAAGATCTGGAAGAAGAAGTGAGCTCGGCTGATAGGTCACATGTTGGCGAGAGCTCCAGCTGATCCAAAGTGTGCCGTTCTTGTACGATACGGTCATTACTCACGCCTTGACTTGGCCGAGTCTGACATGCCAATGGCTGCCTGATAAGGAGACGTGAGTCAGTCGTTGCCGTCTGCTTCTGCGTGGGCGAGCTGGCTGGGCGAGGACTTCCTGGGAGCTGGGCACGGAGGAACGGAAGGCTGGGACCAATGCCTGCGGGGCCTTGCTAACAGTCTAGACCAAAAGACGCAGACCACACCATCCACCGACTCATCCTCGGTACCCACACCTCCGGACAGAACACCGATCAGCTCATGATCGCTGAAGTGGTCTTGCCCAAAAGCGGAGTCGATGCAAGCGGGAAGGAGGTTTCCGAGCTGTATGACGATGAGAGGCAGGGTGAGCTTATGGGCTCCCAGGTTGTGTCAATGAAACCATCAGGACCATAGCTTATCTACCAGAACTCGGATCACACCAAAAGTCAGCAGCTCGAATCACAGTCAAGCAGACCATCAACCACGATGGCGAAATCAACCGGGCGAGGTATATGCCCCAAAAACCTGATCTGATTGCGACCAAGACGGTCCGGGGAGAAGTCTACGTCTTTGACCGGACAAAACACGAGAGCAAGGCGCCGGTCGGTGGAGGATGCAGGCCAGATATCAGGTTGACGGGGCAGGACAAAGAGGGGTGAGCTTGGGAAGGGTTTATCGTTTCCCGGAACTATAGCTCACTCGGCAGGTACGGCTTGAGCTGGAGTACGGTGGCGGAGGGACATATCCTGAGTGCCAGTGAAGATACGACTGTGGCTCATTGGTGAGCTGGACCAGAACTCGTGAAGCGGGAGCTTCAGCTGACTTGCAGGGATATCAAGCACTTTGATAAGACTAGTCCATCAATAAAGCCATTGCGCAAATATACTGGTCACTCTAGCAACGTCGGGGTAAGCTAAATACTTTACCTGCTGCCGCGGGATCGGGCGAACAAGCTGACGACTAGGACGTTGATTGGCACCCTGTCCACGGCCACATGTTCGCCTCGGTCGGTGATGACCGGAAACTCATGATGTGCGTCAGAGATTAGATTGCATGGATTGCCGAGCTAACTTTGTAGATGGGATACGAGAAGCGAAAACTCTGCCAAACCCAGCTCGCAGGTCGAGGGGCATTCAGCAGAAGTCAACGCTGTTGCCTTTGCCCCAAGCAGCGAATACCTCCTCATCACCGGTTCAAGCGATAAGGTGTGTTTCACCGCGCCAGCTGATCTTCCTCGCTGACCCTCCAGACAATAGGCCTGTGGGACATCCGCAAGCTCTCGCTCAAACTCCACTCTTTCGAGTCCCACGCAGACGACGTCCTTTCCGTCGCCTGGTCCCCGCACTCCCCCGTCCACTTTGCCTCGGCTGCCGCCGACCGCCGCGTCCATATTTGGAACCTCGACCAGATCGGCGCCGAGCAGACCCCCGACGACGCAGAGGACGGCCCGCCCGAGCTCATGTTTGTGCACGGCGGACACATGTCCAAGGTCTCGGATCTGAGCTGGTCGCCGATGGCCAAGTGGCATTTGGCGACTACGGCGGAGGACAATGTGCTGCAGGTATGGGAGCCGAGTCGGCACATCTGGCAGGGGGACGTGGATGTCAATGCGATGGATCTGGAGTAGGGCGTGGACGAGAAGAGAAACCAAAAGAATCGTTCTGGGTTATAGACGTGAGACATGTGATCATCAATTATAAGAGTAGAGTATAGGTCCAGCATTCGGGGATGCTAAGATATTCCGTCAACCAATCCCTCCGGATCTGGCTTATCTCCATCAACGACTGCCGCCCCTTTCGCCTGGGGCTTGACTGCGGGGAGTCTCTTCACTCCCTGCGCCCGGATACACGACTTTGGCACGCGCAGCATCGGCCAGTCGGGCAAGTTCTCGAGTCCCCCACCCTTTGGCGAGACCACCTCGTCCCAGACCAACGAGAGATCAAAGAGATCGATAAATTGCTGATCGACCGCGCGAGACTTGGGGTTGGAGAAGCGGCGATACCTAGTATGTCAGCGGGAGCTGCAGCGCGGCGAAGTTGATGGTATACGCACTCGTCGAAGATGGACGTGAGTGACCATGTTTGAACTCGTCTGATACACCCAACAAGGCAGCCTGTGCGGTGCTACCAGGTCAGCTTGAGCCGCAGGATCGCTGCAGCCGGCTATAGCTCACCTTGCCCTTGTTGCAGTGTATAAGAAGCGGATGATTCCGCTTATCGAGGATAGCACAGAGGGCCGAGGTGATCACATCTTCTGGGATATTGTCGAAAGGCTCCTGTACCTTGTCAGCTCCGGTCGGGTGCCCCTAGGAGCCGATCTCACCTTGTTTCCGGGGATACCGAATTGCTATGCTGTATCAGGACTCATCCTCGGGCAGACTGGGAAGTAGAGGTGTGTGGACCAACCATGAACTGCACATCCTGCGATTGACACCACTTTAGATTCGCATCGGGATAGTCTTCCAGCACCAGCGTCCTGGCCATTAGCCACCAGCCAAAGACCGCTCCTTCAAGCAATACGATACTCACAAGATAGTCCTTAACTTCAAAGTCTCCATAAACCGAAAGTTGCGCTTCTTTGGGAAGCCCGATCGGTACACACCCGTCGTGACCACCGCAAAGTTCTCTGGCGGGACGAGGTCCTCCTCCACTTCCGGCATGGCCGGTGGAGGGAGATACAGCGGCAACGGCTGCTTTGACGGGCCATCTGCCGCTTGCAAGGGCGAGGCGGCGGGAACGGGCAGCCGAGGATTGTGCGTCTTGAGGATGAGGGAGAGGAAGGCCGGTGTGGGCGCTGGACCGGAGCGGGAGCCGCTGGAGCTCGACCCAGCGGACTCCTGCGCTGGAGGACGGGCCATACTTGAGACCTGCGAAGGCGGAGGTGCTATATAGGTATCATCTGTGAGGGAGATGATTGCGCAATGCTGCAGAAAGCATGTTGTTGCTTTGGTGCCCTTGACGACTCGGCGGGAATCGCCGCATATGCTTCCCACCTGCAACACCATCTTTCAACTCTGTATCAACCAACTACCTCATCTACACCATCATGTCCTCCAGCAGAGCCATCATCCTCACCTACGCGCTCGCAGACCCACCGCTGAAATCCGAAAAGCCCGTGGTCCCAGCAGCGCAAACCCTCTCCTTCCCCATCACCCCCTCCTCGACCTCCACTTATGCCCCCATCTACAGCGCGACCTCGGCGGCGGTCCTTCAGGCGCAGAAGGAGCTAAACGAGTCCCTGACAGCATGGAAGGATGCAATAGGTGATGCGGAGAAGGTCAAGGAAGATACGGGCCAGGTGGAATATGGTAAGGGAAAGGCGGCGAGGATGATGCAGTATGCCGCCGGGCGGGATCGCGAGGCGGACGCTGAAGTGGAGGAGGACGAGGATGAAGATGGGCCAGGTGATGCAGAGTAGGGCACAAGCAGGACCGACTGAAGGGTGAGTCATCTGCCTCACGAGACGATTTGAGCTGACTTGTGCAGCCGGTTCTTTCTACTGAACCCGCTCGAGCGCTTCCACGACCGGGCCAAGAGAAGATCCTCGGTGTGACGCACCTTGCTGGAATGAGGATGGGCAGGATTAGCATACAGCTAGGCAGTATAGTCATCCCAATTCCGGTCTATCCCGCCAAATAGCACCTTGTTGATCCGCTCAATCGACAACTCCGCCTCGTCATGCACAACTAGATCCACCATGTCGCGTATGCCATACGTTCCTGCGAGACCGTCGTCCAGTTCTTGTAGCGCCGCGCGGGCCTGACTATCAGCTCCATCAAGCAGAGAGCTGGATTGACTCACATCAAGATCCTGCCCGATCTGCAGTAACTGGATTCCAATCTGCGATGCTGGATGTCCGGCACGATCAAGCTGGTAATCAGCTTACTTCTGGAGAGCAGAAGCCAGCCATCTGCTCACCTCCTTTGCACACTGCACAATGACGCCCTCGAGATCATCCTCGGTGACATTGTCGATCAGCTCGGCGCGTGATATGGAATGCAGCTCGGCATGCTGTTTCCGCTGGAGGGTTGACCGAGCGCAAACTACGCATCATCAGTTATTGTCCGCGTATCCTTCCGCCTGGACTCACCTCCATCGGTGATGATGATCAGATTCATTGGCTTGGTCTCTCGCCTGGGCTGCCGGCCGGGTGAGGTAACATCAGGAGGGGTCAGACGGTCCGTATGATCTCTTAGTATGGCTTTCAGGCGATGACCAGTACTGGAGATCAGCCGCAGTCAAATTTAGACTTACGATGCAGTCCCCCTTGCTTGCAGACCCGCCAGAAGCTCTTCCACGTCGTCCGCTGTCTGCCATCAGCCACGCTCAAGCCAAGTACTCACCCTCAGCTCCCGCCCGACCCGCTTGCTATTGGTAAAGTAGACGTCTATGCCCTCCGCGCTGTACTTCATCGCAGTATGAGCGACCTGCGAGAAGACCTGGGTAGCGACTTGCCACGCTTCTCCGGCGATGGACGGGGAGTCGTCTATTATGAAGACAGTTTGGTAGTATTCGAGGGCGTGGAGAGGATCATTGACATCCGCGGTTGTAGCTGCAGGATCGTCTGCGCTTGTAAGGGGCTGTTCAGCCGCGACTGACGCGTTATCTGACGCTTCCGGCAGAGTGGGAACGGCCCTGGGTATCCGAGGTAACGCCCGTCCGGTCGGTGCGGAGTAGCTGGTCAGCGTCCGGGATGATCCCGCCTGATCCCGGAAAGACGAATCCGACGATTGCCGCATTACCGGGGAAGGGTCGAGCTGCGTGGACGGCAGTGATGGACCGGGATCGTCACTCGGATGGAAGAAGGGGTTCCGACTTTGAATCACCGCGCCCGTCTTTTGCGGTACCATTGGCGGTTGGTCAAACGAGGGATTACCCTCGTCAAAGTCCATCAAGGATGGTCCGCCAGGTACGGAAAGTTGGCTCATTCCGGCCGTCATACTGGGGACGTCGGGCTCGGGCTGAGCTTGGTAGTCCGAAACGACGCGCCGGTTTGGAGGGGGGAGTTGCGGACTGGCGAGTGTGGTTGGAGCGTACGAGCTGACGCGCCGCTGCAGCCCCTCGTCCGTCTCGATATGCGGGGGCAGACCGCTGGGTCTGCTTGGCCCGGCATCCGCCATGCTCAGCCGCATTGCCTCCTCCACCTCCAGCCGTTCCCTCTCGGCGATCATGCTCGCCCTCTTTGCCTCCTCCAGCTGGTTCTCCTCGTACGCCCTCGCAATCTCATCGTCTTCTGGGGGATGCGGCGGGGAGATCGGTCTCTGAGCTTGGGACGGTCTGCGGGTCCCCAGTTCAGCTCTTTGGTTTTGAGTCTGAGGAGGTGGACCTGGTGGGGTAGGCCAGACCTGTATCGGCTCGGTGCGACGAGGTGCCGGCGATGACGGAGGGGCGGTATCAGGTGGAAGAGTCGCCTGCGCCTCGGCCGCCAGACGCTCCTGCAGCATCCTGGTCGAGTCCGGTTCCGGGTCCTGCCTGGCGTACGGGGGCGGAGGAAGCTCCTCATTCCCAGCATCCGGACGCACGCGGAACTCCGCCGGCAACGGCTGAGCGAGGGGAGTAGCGGCTGATGGTCTTGGCCTGTCCGTGGACCGTCTGGGAGAGTGAGGTGGGGTGCTTTGCGAGATGCGGGAGACCGAGGGATTACTGGAGAGCCGAGAGGTGGACGCCGTGAGGGTCGAGGCGGGCAGGACCCGGGAAGGGGGAAGGCGATACTCGGCTCTGACAGCGTGGAATGCCTCGGCATGCTGGGGTAGCTGTCATTAGCCCTCTCCCGGAAACAACTTACATCCTGCTCGATGTAATTAAGCTTCATAGATATGTCATTGGTCAAGCGACCTCGGGCCTTCTTGACTTCGATATAGGACCGTATGACCGCCTTGACATACTCGGGATCACGGGCGTAACGGTGTAGCAGGGCCTGAAGCGTCAGCTCAAGGACAGCTGTGTTGCTTACGACTTACCCAGTGCACGGAGGCGTTCGATACCATGGGCTCGACATTGTATCTCTGCGGCTGTCAGCTTGATCAAAGGGTAGGGCGCAAAAACATACCGGTCGGCTCTCGACGTGGCTGGCGGCGCGATACATAGCGACGGGCGTTGTTCTTGAGGTTGTGCCGGAGACGGCGGAGACGGCGGAGAGGCTGGGAGAAGCGTATGGTCCGAATGAAGCTGAAGATGACATGTACTATGAAGGACAACCCCTATCTTGACGGTTTGTCAACAACGTCATCGAGGAACGCCTCCGCCAGCCGGAAGGCCAAAGCGGAAGCGGTGCGTCTCTTGTCATCCTTCAGTATTCAATCTTGCAGTTCAGGCATTTATGCTCAGCGGTGCATAGCCCTCGGACGGAGCCCTTGTACGCTCACTGTCACTGATTCTACACTCGCCCGGACAGAGGCGAGAGTATGATAACGAGTGAGCATCATTGCCTTGTCGGGCTAGGTCGCCGACGCAGGTAGCCTTTGTTTGACCATCGCCCAAGGATGTGCATGCTGGCTGACTCTACTATAGATTGTGACCCTTCTTTCTGAAGCTTCTTCATTATATGTACGTTCTACTTCCCTTCCTTCTTGGGGCCATTTTGCTGACTGATCAGACCGAGATCCACCTAGCCATCCACTTGTTGACAATCTACCATCTCAGCTCAAAGCTTGGCGAGAATGGGGACGACTCACCTGCTGAGCCTCGTCCACGAGTCCATCGTCGAGAAGGAGCTGCACGACACCGCGGACAGAGGACTCGAGGGCCGAGAAGATCCAGGCGTGATTTATGGACGTGTGTTCACCGATGCTGATGTCAGCCGAAGTCCACCGAAGCACTTACAAGACGTGACCACTGTGCGTCATGTGATACTGAGGCATGTACCGCTGGTGCTGTCCAGGGTAAGGCGAAGCCCAAGATCCCGCCGCATTCTGGTCGATACCCCAGCACTGACGGTCGTAGATGCCAGTGTACTGCTCCTTGGCGATGGGGCCGTGAATCTCCTCCATGGCCTCGACGATTGAGCGGACATGGTCGGCCTCGGATCGAGCGGCTTGGAAGGGTCCGGTCCCGGTGTCGTACGAGGCGAGGAGGGCGCCAGGGCCGGTACCGTTGAGGTTGTAGGCGGGGTAGCAGAAGGAGCCAACGCCGGGCAAGTCGGTCGCGCCGCAACCGCCGTAAATGGGCGGGCTGAGCTTCTCCCAGAAGCGGGTCTTGTACAGCAGCTGCTATCAGCAGTGAACAACCTGTTACTCACAGCAACCTTGCAAGCTGACGCATAGCCAAGACTCGATACCGCCTCAGACATGATGGGGCTGAGGGCGGGCTTGCGCCAGAGGCGAGCGACCGAGAAGGGGACGGCGACGAGGGTCTTATCGTACGACTTGGACTCGAGTTTGCCGTCCTTGTACCAGGTGACGCCGGTCTTCTTGGTGGTCTCGTTGTAGCTGATACGCTCGATGCGGCGGCCGAGAGTCAGGCGGTTGTCGACGATGGGGTGGAAGGCCTCGGCGATGCGATTGAGACCCTTGTCGATGGTGAGCCACTTTGTGGCGGCAAAATAGACGCCATCATAGATGCTGCTCCAGAGGTAGCCTTTCGTTAGCTATGGAGGAACGCTGACTCACCAGAACTGAACGCAGCGGATGTCTCGTTCCATCCGAGACCCTGAGCCTTGAGGTAGGACACCTCGGAGAAGTCAAGAAGGCCGTCGGCTGGAGTTAGCGGGAACAAGCATGGACTCACCAATAGCCTGCTTGTGAGCCTTGAAGAGATTGGTAGCAGCCGCCTTGGCCTTGTTCTCATAGCCGATAAACTTGGTGAGTTCGACCCGAGCGGCAGCAAGGCGAGGGTTGGCGGCGACAGCGGGGAGACTGGCGTTGGCGAGCAGGGCGGGGTACTGACTGCGACGAGGGGCGGTACCGTCAGGGTTGCGGAGACCGTTCTGGTACTGGAAGGTGGCCGAGTTGGACTGGATCCAGGGGATGAAGTTGACTTGCCACGATGGGTCGAGCTGCTTGTTGAGACCGTTCAGAACGTCGGCGAGTTGGAAGACAAGCTTGTGGTCGTTGATCTCGATGGTCTCGTTGGTCTTGGGGTCGGTGAGGCTGACTGGGAACCGCATAGGTCTGGGTAAGCTGAGTATTGACACAAGACTTACCCCATCTCCTGGTACTGATATGCGTCCGGTGCAGTGCCATTCAGGTAAGCGGTTCGAAGGCGACTACCCATCAGCACACCTCTGCACTCCGACTCACCCTCCAATGCGGTTCGAGCTCTCGGAGATTTCCCAGTTGTGGATGCCGACCTGATCGAGGAGCAGAGCCGACATGAGGCCGGACATACCCCCACCAAGAATGGCGATCTTCTGGTCCTTCTTGCCGGCGATGAAGGCGGCGGTCTGATTCTGGGATTTGAGGTAGGTGACACCGTCGAACCAGGCACCGTAGGGGTCGTTGATGGAGGCGAGGGTGTTGCGCTTGCGGGGAGTGGCATGGCGGACCTCGAGGGAGATGGAGCGCCCCAGATGGGTAGTCTCGGTGAAGGCGTGGAGACATTGACCAGCGGGGAGATCGGAAGGGGTGAGCCAGACGAAGCGGGTGCTGGCGATCAGTGAGAGTCAAAGTGGGGACTTACGGCTTCTCGACATGATCACGAGCATCGAAACGGCCGACCTCGTGATGCGAGGCGGAGTGGTGTTTGATGTCGCAGTCACCGTATACCAGGATGACGGTCTCGGAGAGGGCGTCCGGGTCAGAGTAGGAGACGTGGATGTTGTGGGCGCCGTTGGACTGGACAGAGCCGGGGCTGAGGGATTAGCTTTGCGTGGGAATGGGGAGAGGGAGACGCTCACCCGACAAAGGTGAGGGCTTGGGAGGTGGGGACAGCCGAGGAGCTGGCCAACAGAGACAAGAGAGAGAAGAGGATTGCGGTCTTCATGATGGAAGCAGTATAGAGCGGCCTGTAAGGGTACGGCGGGAGTCATGACTAGGCTATATAAGATGCATGCTGCTGGTCGAAAATCATAGCTTCGGATAGCTTGCCGAAACCCTTTCTTATCTCGTCTTATCAATCAATCTGCCAAGAGATTGCGTTTCGTGCCTGGTTCTGGATCTTGGAGATGTCGGTTCCGCCCGCTGGCTGGCCGCGGCCTAGAGGAGAGTATCGGGCCACTCCCGCTGGCTGCTGGCCTCTCGCGCTAACCAGGAAGCGGACGATCCGATTCCGAGATGACGGCGCAAGAGCGGACAATCATCAATCACAGCGTGACACCTGGATCGAATTACGCTCATCTGCAACCCCGCTCCGCACCATGTCGAGCGCATACTCCAATACATGCACTTCCTCATCCGATAGGATCCGGGGTCCGGTCCGCCGGTCCAAGACTGCGACTCGCAAGGACTCGCACCTCTCCTTATCAGTGTCTGTACGCCTCCTCGGCCGATGAGAGGTTACACGAGGGACCGCTCGAAAGCGGCTTGGCGAACAGGCACTGCTGCAACTCGCCACGAAGCGAGGGTACCGAGCAATCCTTATCGAGGCCTTATCGCTCGGGTCTTATGCCAGATGAGAGCGCACGAGCAGAGAGGTATGCGGAGCTCGGCTCATCCGAGAGATCTCGCTTGGCACGAGTGCTGTCCGCTTCGACTCCGCTTCCCCACTCTGGAGTCCTCGACTTGCATTCCCTATTGGCTCATGGGCTTATCTGATGGGATACAGAGTGATACAGGCACGCCTTGGCAGGAGCACCACCTTCCCGTCCCCTTGCCAAGTGACGGATGAGTCTTCCGCTATCTCTGGTGCACCCCAGTGAACGGGGTCATGACGGCCGCTGACATACATATTACAACTACTCTGCTCAGCATGGCCACCCCACTCTTCTTCTGACCGTCTTACTTCCCACCTTCGACTCTACACCCATTTCCCACTTCCTCTCACCAGCAAAATGTGGTTCAACCTCGCGCTCATCCCCGCCCTGCTCGCCATAGCTGCCTCCGCCACCCCTCTCGCATCCTCCGATGTCTCGCTCGAGGCTAGGAACAACGACAAGATTACCTATCTCGGCTCCAAGGGCGCTACCCTGTCTGGCGGCACCAAATTCGGCAACCTCGTCTTCGTCAGCGGGCAGGTCCCCATCCTCAACGGTACCGTCGTCCCCGGAGGCATCAAGAACGAGACCGCCTTCGTGCTCGCTCGGATCGGCGATATTCTCAAGGAGGCGGGTACCGACTGGTCCAAGGTCTTGAAGACTACTGTTCTGCTTCAGGGTGAGTCCTCAATCCAGGCGGTGCTGATGTCAGACGTGCGAGACCTGCCCGCCATGAACGAGGTCTACGCCGCCACCGTCCCCAATCCCAAGCCCGCCCGGGCCGCTTTCGAGGTCGGAAACTTGCCAGTGTTGTGAGTCACTCTACCTGTAGATCTAGAGCTATCAGCTGACCGCCCCAGCGGTATCTCCGTTGAGATTGAAGGTCAGTACCCTCTACCTCATACAATTAGATCCTGACTGACCAACAGCTATCGCTGCAATTTACTAGGTCAATCATCTGGTCCGCACAGCGGCGCTTTAGGGAGAAGCCAACGGAGTGAATAGAGTTATAATAGACAGATCCTTGTAGAAGGATAGCATGCAAAAGGGGTGATAGTACATTGCCTGGTCGCTCCGTCATCTGTGTGTAGTTCAGATGAGTATGATTTAGAGGGACGCACAGTCTAGACGTGTCAGAAGGTCAACAAGGAAGGTGCATCCACTTGACGGAATCGAGGAAAAGGCAGGTGACAACGAGTGTGGATCCGATCGATGAGTGTCTAGTACCTGGCTAAGCTTTTCTGCCATGATGTTCTGCAAGCCGAATGCACAGGCCATGGCCCTCGTAAGCGTATCCCACGCCCCCCGTTAGATCAGCCCGGCGGGCGCGGGTGCCACGCTTAGGCCCTCGCGTCAGTGCACGCTGTGTCCTCATCGGCCAGCCCCGGACAATCAGCGGCTGCGCTGGAATAACCGGTCTGTCATAAGGACCTTGGGTCCCCGTACAGCGGCCGTACGGAAGCCAGTGACGGTATGACAATGACAAGCTGCAGGTAGTGAGACCCTTCCTTTCTTGAACCAAGACGGTCACCAGCTTGCCAACTTTTATCGAGGACTCTGAGCTCTTTGGAATTGGCGGCAGTGTTCTTACGAGGATATGTTTAAAAGACGAAGCCGGAAATGTTTTTGTCCGTAAAAGACGAAGAGAGTCCGAAACCTGTCTAAAAGACGAAGATCAGAGCCAAAAACAGGGTTTCTGAGGTCCCGGGGGACGCGAACAAGTCCCAAAAACCCCCTCCGCGCCGCAGACGCTCAGTCAGACGGTATCGCTCGTACGGACTTGGAATTTGGCATGGGCGTAGCCAAGACGTCGAGCTACCTGCTGATACTCTTTGCCGGCCCAATGGACAACTCACAGCGGACTTGTGAGGATATCTGCCCAAAGCGTTCGTCTTTTAAACATTATTCCGGGTCATCTTCGTCTTTTACGGACAAAAACATTTCCGGCTTCGTCTTTTAAACATATCCTCGTGTTCTTACGGATCGATGACGCGCGTTCGCGTCATCTTCGGAAGAATCGGTTGGGCCTCGTAATTTGAGGGTTCCGGTCTACCAGCTGGTCTAGCTCGAACGGGAAATAATCCAGCATTCCTGTGGCGGCACAGTGCCTGAGCCGTCGTCCCTGACACGCGCACACAAGCTCCCAGGGAAAAGCTTATCTGCGTGAAAGTGCGCGACCCACACTGAGTCGCTCTCCCTTGCAGCCTTCGTTGCTGTCATGCACTGCCTCTGCGATGGTGACGCTGGTCTGCGTCGATTTTCTGTGCACGCAGCTTCGCCGGGCGATGGGAAAAGATCAATCAGCGCGCTGCGGTGACAGTTGCGGTGACCAGACTAGAGCAAAGCCCTCAAAAGAGCCCGATGTCTCTTGCCGCATCCAGCCACATTCCGCGTTGTCGATTTTTTCGCCACCCTATCTTGTCGTCCGACTTGCCCAGAGCAGTATATCGCAGGCTTGTCAACGAGACTCTCATGCAAGCAGCACAGTGCAGCAAGAGCGCCCCAGCGGGGTAGTCTAGACCGTACGGGGAATAGAAGAATTACAGTAGGAGCCTAATGAATATGCGCCAGAAGGGCGTCTGATCGTTTGACCCGTCCAAAGAGATATATCACCGGTCCTGACCAAATTTGTTTACCTTTCGGGCAATTCAGTCACGTTCACCAATCGTACTTCTACCATCATACTACCATCTTCTACCCATAGACCATCATCTCAAGATAAGCTCCGTGCTGTACGCGCTCCCAAGTGTGTACACAAAGCGTACCTATCGTCAACACAACAGTCCAACAACAACTTCACTTATATATCTACTGTCGCCCGGTGCCGCAGCCCCAGCCAACTCGAGAAACTCGCTCGTCTTACACTCTTTATCACCATGTTCGCCTCCCTTCCCCACCCAGTCTCCAGCCTCATCCTCTTCTTCCTCGTCGCCTCCCCCATGCTCTCCATAGCATCCCCTGTTCCCGACCTCACAGTCGCCACGCCCCCTACCCCCGTCGCCCTCGTCCCCCGGCAAAATCAGCCATCCACACGTCTCGGTCGGCGCGCGCCCAAAAAGGTGGCACCCCTAGAGAAGAAGGACTATTCATCCTTCCTCTGCCCCGCATCAGCCGTCGCGTGCCCCGTCAGTGAACCAGATACACCTGTATCACCGGAATCTATCGCAGCGCTCAGCGAGGGATTAAATTCCCTCGCGGATTGGTTCACCACTGGATTTGAGTGTGTGGATCTGGCGACAGAGTTGAATCAGTGCGGCGGCTGTCTCGCGTTTGGAGAGGGGTGAGTAAACTTTGTCGCCGTCAGAGGGCACAGCTGATAAGTATAGGCAAGACTGCTCGACAATACCAAACGCGCGCGCGACCGGGTGCGAGGCGTCCAGCTGCGCGGTATACTCCTGCTATGACGGGTACACCGTTTCTCCTGACCGTCAAACCTGCGTCAAGAAGGACACCAATCCCGCCGCGCCCCAGGCTACCCCCGTCGCTATAGGCACACCAACTGAGCAAGTCGTGCTTTCGGATCGGTCATCATCGTTATGAGGTGGATGAGGGAGGATGGCAGTCATCACATTATGCGGTGGAGGCGGAGCGGAAGGGGAAAGGAGGGGGACACTGCGTGTGTGGACAATCAAACCATAGATATAATAGAGTTGGACGGACACTGCCTTGTATTACATTTAGTAGATCATATCATCTTAGTAGATCCATATATCATCTTGAGACCATCGCGCTTCGAGCGAAGATTGACGAGAAACGCTAACCTAAAACAACCTGTCAACAATCATGCACCCTATGACATTCAATTCGGCGCAAATTTCTCCGTCTCAACCCCTTACACTCCAACCCCAGATCGTGCTCTTGCTCGTAGGCCTGCCCGGGTCAGGCAAGACCACCCTCTGCGAGGCCCTCGTCCAGCACTCTGCGCATTCGCTCGCGCCTGTTCGAAGATGGGTCAGAGCATCTCAAGATGATGCCCCGGGACGACGGCGGCAAGAGTGCGAGGCGGTGGTCCGACAGGCTTTGGCAGAAGGGTGTAATGTCGTCGTAGACAGGGTCGGCTTTGACCCAATGTAAGTCACCACCCTGACGGAGCTTACCCAAAGTCAGCGAAGCCACTTTATTCGCCTCGCAAATTCCCATCACCCCCGCCCCTCCATCTACGCTCTCACGCTCTACGTCTCCCCTCCCACCCTCTCAGCCCGCCTGCGCATTCGCCCGTCCCATCCTACCCTCACAACCCCGGAACTAGCGCTGAGCGTCTTGAGGCAGATGCTGGCGGTATTCGACCCGCCCAGACCTGGCAGAATAGAGGGCTTTAATAGGGTCATGGAACTGCGCGAGGCTGGTCAGCCCAAGGGAGGCGTGTGGACCAGGGAGTCTGTAGAGAGATTGATCAGGGATATAGGAGTGTATGGGAATCAAGAAATTCCACTGCAGCGTCCGCTCGCCGAGTCCACTCTACATGCATGATCTAGCCGCCCTGATGATATAAATACACTAAGATAAGAACAGGCGACCAGAAACACACCGCCCAGGTCATCTGCCCTGATCTGGACAGAAGCGTCCCGTCCTCCAGGCGGCAGCGACGACCGAAGAGTACCGCGACGTATCCCAGGAGGTTGAAGAAGGACCTGACGACCAGCATGATCCCGCTACCTGCCTGGTCCCAACGCTTGTCAAATCGGCGGTTGACCCAGGAGGATTGTTGGGAAGAGTTTGGGAGGAGGCGATCTCGGGTATGCTTGAGTACTTTGATCTAAAGTCAGCTCATGCTAGATGCGGACTGACCTCTTCCTCGTTCCGCCGAGCCCAGTGCTCCATGACTTGCGTCTTGGATAGCAGCTGGTCTATACTGTATACCATGGCTCTGAGCTCGTCCGCAGCATGGACCCGGGTATGGTCTAGCCTGTCGACTTCGGCGTGGACCTTGGCTAGCCGCTGCAAAGCACCTTGTCGACCAATAGGTGTGATCAGAGGTTGCTGGAGGTCGATCCCAGTGGTGAGCTTTGCAGAGTGGCTGATTTGATCGAGCTGGATACTGTAGTGACGGATATTGTCACTCGCGACTTGTACAGCGGCATTGACACGGTGAAGTCCAGCACGAGCAGCTTTGAGCTTTCTGTAGGTCAGATGGGCACAGGCGGAACTTACCTTGAGCGTTCGATGTAGAGCACCGCTTCCGCCTCTCTCAGCTCCTTGACTCTCGCCTCCTCCGCAAGGGATTGTAGCCGGACTCGCTCCGCATTCCTTTCCTCCGCCTCCTGCGAATGGACCGACTCGACAGGAACCTCGACAGGTTGGTCAACTGTCCGCGGAGGAGGAGCTCTATCCGATCGGAGCCGAGTCCGAAAACGACCCTCCTTGGTCTCCTCGTCTGTCATTGACCCGCGGTTGTGGCTTTCAAACGGCCGACGGAAGCGGTCCGTACGGCTCCGCAGTACACCAGCGTCATGACCACCGTTTGTTCGTAGCGGGCGAACAACTGGCGAGTCGTCCATGGTCGAGTCCGACATGTCGCCGAGAGGCTGAGCCTTCGACCGACGATGCAAGCCAATCTTGTCCATGGTGTGCGCCGCGAGGGATAGCGGATTGCCGAGATGCCCTCCGAGGGAGTGAGACGTGCGGTGAGATATCTGATCAGCACTGCCCATGGCGTAACTCACTTTATGCTTGCGATGATCAATACTCGGACTCCTCGACAACGGCTCAAAGCTCCCCCGACTATCCGACCGCCTGAGCAGATCCGTCGACGAGGAATTACTGACCGCCCTGATCTGGGGAAGGACATCCTCTTGGACACTCCCCTTGGACGAAGCGGGATGCTCCAACGCGGTGAGCTCGTCCACGCTCGCCAGCGCCGGCTCAGGCGGCGGAATAAAGTATTCGACATGCCCCTCGACCTCCTTGTACCGCCTGATATCGTCCATCGAGTACGCCCACCGCGCAAAAGGGTCTTGGCTCTTTTTGGAGATGGACGAGGTGAACGATTCGACCGAGGCGCCGAGATGCTGCTTGCGCGACTCCCATGCTTTCCGAGCTGCGTCTTGCTCCTCCACCTTGTGTTTCCAGCGAAGGATAGCGACTGGGTTGAGGCGTGGAGGGTTCTCCAAGCCATCAAAGACGTGCTCGTACCGCGTCCAGAGCTGGACCTTGGCTTGGTCGGCCAAGCGAACGGAATGGGGATGCGCCGAGACTTGCTGCAAGGCACGAAAGTAGCGATCTGCATCAGCTCAGAATTGGCAGAACTCACCTTCTTCGATCTCATCCTGTCGTCGCTGACGTTCCTTTTCCCTCATATCCGTCTCGCGCTTCTGCTTCTCCTCACTTTGAATGGGCTCAATGGTAGGCGCCTCCGCCACGGACGACTCGGATGTCTTGTGCTTGAGTCCAAATAAGGCAGAGATCCGTTTCCGCTTTCCACCCTTGGGATCTGGTGGCTTGAGGCTTGGTGGATCGGTCGACGCCGCCACGGACGGCGCCTGCTCCGTTTCATCGCCCGACTCGACAGTGGGGGAGGGAGGAACGTAATGGGTGAAGGGTACGTGTCCTCCATCCTCCATCGCCTGCATCGCACGAGAACTTGCTCGACGCCGACGTGCCATCGTCCCGGCATCTGGGATATCCATGGAGCCTTGACGACCTGGACGCCGGGGCGAGGACGCGACGGTGGATACACTGATGGTGCGGTCCCGAGTATGACCGTTCTCGCCTGTCAGAGCGGGAGGGGCGGACACGAGGAAGGGTTGATGGTATTCGGGGGATGTAGGTCGAGAGGGGGCTTCACGCGGAGGTGGTACAGGCGAAGGTTGCGGAGTATTGCCCATGATCCGTATAGCGGTTCCGACATCGGAATCAGCGAGGAGAGCGTTGATTTGTTCTGAATCAGCAATGTCGAATGTCAGCTCACCTGCTGTCAAGGCTGCCCCAGTCCCAGCAGCTCCTAGACCCAAGCTGCTAGCCAGCAGATCCCGCCTCGGCTCCGCCCGTTCCTTTCCTTTCCTACTCCGCGAGGAGTCTGGACTGCTCACGACATTCTGTCTGGGATCTCGACGGGTAGGGGACGCCCTCCTAGCCGCAGGGGAAGGTTGTTCCGACTTGGGGGGTTTGATGCGTGACGAGTGCGACGACACCCGGGATGGCGGATTGGAAGTGACCGAGGGACGAAACGATGACGGCCGAAGGAGATCGCGAGAGCTATGGCGGGACGCAGCCAGTCGGGGCTGCTTGGCGACCAAGCTCTTGTCGGACGAGCTTCTGCTACTGGGCGGAGCGGAGATGGGGAAGTTCAGCGTTTCCGCTCGACGACGAGTCGGAGCGGGCTCATCGTCAGAGCTGCTCTCGTAGCCGCCCGTGACGATAGACGCCCGCTTGCCATGTGCAAGAGCGATTCCGTTGCCGTATCCACTCCCCTTGGGAGTCGGCGCAGGGGTGACTGGCGCGGGGGCCTTGCGCTCCAAACCTTCGATAGGATAAGTAGACGCTCTCGGTGGAGAGCCGTCGGTATTGCCGGATGCGGACCCCAGGCGACGAGGAAGAGGAGACGCAAAGTGGACCGAGGAGATGGAAGCCGAGTGTGCGCGAGAGGGGAAGTGAGGGGTCGATTTGGGAGATAGGGTGGGGGTGGTGGAGGTCGAGGTGGGCGCCGAGGCGTTGACGGCGGGATCCATCTTCATGCTGCTGTTTCTCAGCTGCCGACGGACCTCTTCCTTTACAGTACTCTACCCATCTAAATGTCTATGCGGTCCTTGTAATATACAGTAGAAGATAGCAAGAAGATAGCATGCTAGAGATCGATGGTGGGGGTCTCCAATACCTTAACCCTTCCGACGGAACGCCCTCGGCCTCGTGCTTCTGCCAAAATTCTCCCCTTTGTACTTCAACTATACATCTGTCTCCTACACCTATCTACCTCCAATATCATCGTAAGTACAGTCCCCCGGCCCTACCCTCTCGCCCAGTGATGCTGGTCAACCACATATGTTAGACTTCTGAACAGGGCCTTCAACCTTGACAGTAGATAAATTATAGACTTCTGAGGGCAAATCACACAACTCGTCACCTGATGCCGGGGACAAAGCTAATAGCGTAGGGCCTAATGACACCTGTGGCCATCCCAACACTGGAGAATCTGAGTCTCGAGGATGCACCTCCCGCCAAACATGTTGATGACGTAGAGGAAGACGGAGACGAGGATGACGAGGGAGATGAAGCGGGCGCTGAGGGTGCAGTAGGGGATGCCAAGAAGAAGAAAAAGAAGAAGAAGTGTATGTATACCTTGTCTACTACACTGGACGCTGTTGACTGTCTAGCCAAGAAGAAGAAGTCTGGCGCCGTCACTCAGTCTGAACCTCCTCGCGTTGGCTTGACCAAGCTGTTCAAGGATGGCATATTTCCCGTTGGCCAGGAGGTGGAATATCTCAACGAGTAGGTCGAGCTCTAGCTGGGCTGACAAAAGCAACGCGTACCGGACCACATCAGAAGAGTGCAGAGAACGTGAACGACTAGCCCAGGGTGACCCGACCGACACTTACCAAAACATCCGTCGAGCCGCAGAATGCCATCGCCAAGTCCGCTCGTATGCGCGTCAAAACATCAAGCCGGGAATGTCAATGACGGAGATCGCCAATATGATTGAGGACGGTACCCGGGCGCTGGTTGAGGAGAATGGATTTGAAAGTGGAATAGGGTTCCCAACGGGTCTGAGTGTGAACGAGGTCGCGGCGCACTATACGCCCAATGCTGGGGACACGAAGAGTAAGTCTACCTAAGGCTCGGCTGATGATAGTCTTACAAAAATCGGACGTGATGAAGGTCGACTTTGGGATACATGTCAACGGACGGATCGTGGATTCGGCATTTACGATGAACTTTGAGCCAACCTGGGATAGGTTACTGGAAGCTGTCAAGGAGGCGACGAATGCCGGGATCAGCGCGGCGGGGATCGATGTACGGATGTGCGATATCGGCGAGGCGGTACAGGAAGTCATGGAGAGTTACGAAGTCGAGGTTGGCGGCAAGACACATCCAGGTGGGTTCGGGGTTGGGTTTGGCTGACATTTAGTCAAATCGATTGCCAATCTTAGTGGACACACGATCGTGCCATACAGCATTCACGGCGGAAAGAGCGTGCCCATCGTCAAGCAGTTTGGCGCCGACAGGGACGAGACCAAGATGGAGGAGGGCGAGTACTTTGCGATCGAGACGTTTGGAAGTACAGGACGGGGCCGGGTGGTGGAGGAGGGTGCTTGCTCGCACTACGCCTTGGCCAAGGATATCCCTGCCAGACCATCATTACAGTGAGTCAACCTGTGTGTAAAGCTGACCAAAGACATCAATCCGCCAAATCGTTACTCAAATCTCTGCAGAAGAACTTTGGCACTTTGCCATTCTGCCGGAGATATCTGGACAAGGCGGGCGAGAAGAACTACCTCCTAGCTGTAAGTTTGCTCTCTGGGCTAGCTGACGTATAGCTCAATACATTGGTCCGGGAGAACCTCGTCATGGACTATCCGCCCCTGGTCGATACACAGCCGGGTGCCATGACCGCCCAATTCGTAAGTCTCGAAACGACCGCGCTTATGGCAGGAACACACGATTCTCCTCCGTCCGACATGCAAAGAGGTCGTCTCGCGCGGGGACGATTACTAGGACCATACATTTGTCTAGAACCCAAACATGTAGCCTAATATGAGCAGCACACAGGCCCCAACCACCACGCCCATGATAATGGAATCCCGCCGCCGCCGGGAGTGGATCATGGTGATGAGCGTATTGATACCCGGCATTTGGCTCAGGACACCGCCCATCCTCTGATCTATGCTCGAGAGCATGCTCCGTTGTTGGCTAAAGTCTTCTCGCGTAGCGTATGCTTGACTGAGCGTAAGCTTTCGTTGTAAAGGTGGACCTACTTTAGAGTATCATCCATCATCCGGTGACTCGAGTCTATCCTTCCTCGGTCGGCGAGCAGCGCGTCAGTCTGACTGGACTGGGCAGTCTTGTAGTCACTGCTGGTCAGCTCAGTCATACCCTCATAGGCGTGACCTACCTGATATCCTTTCGAACCGACCCAAGCAGATTCCGCCGCTGAAGCGCCTGCTCGACGTTTGCCTGAACTCAGCTCGACACGAGATCCGCACAGACTGTACCCACTCTAGTCCGGAAGAAGTCCCGCTTGTAGTCATCCAGATTGTCCCGATGCCGCTGAGCTGCATGCTGCATGCTAGACGAGGGCGGCTGAGATGGGGAGTTGATCAGGGTCGTCATGTCGTCTATCGCTTGTTCGAGCTGGAGTTAGTTCTCAGCCTTCAAATAGCTTACCTTGCCAACAAGCTCCTCTACTTCCTCCTCGACCAGTCTGTACCCCTCCTCGCCCTCCTCCTCGACGTTGATCTCGCCACGACTGCTCCCTGCGGCGGCCCCGGACGCACCGCCCCGCGATATCCCCGCGGCGATTTTGGAATAGGACGATAGCTTTGTTTCCAGCGCCTGTTCCAGTGCGCGAGCATGTCGCCTTGCGTTCTCCCATGATGTTGCCATTGTTGCTGATAGTAGATGGGTAACAGTGCGGAGGATGTACGTGAGGAATGAGGATCTTGGAGCAAGCGGGAGCATTTGGTCGTCGCGTCAGAGATGGTCCACAAAGGCAGAGTTCAGCTTCTCACATCTACCCACCCATACACCAACGATGATGCTCCGTTCAGCACTCACAGCTCTGCTCCTCGCAGCTCCATATGTCCACGCAACAGCCCTCACATCAATGCTGGGAGCGAACGAAAAGTCCTGCTACTATGCCGACGTGGATGGTGTCGGGGAGAAGGTCGGTAAGTACTGCCCCTCCGCTCGGAGGCCAAGCTGAAAGCCAGGCTTTTACTTTGCCGTACAATCCGGAGGGACATTCGACGTCGACTATACAGTCATGGACCCGGACGACCGGGTGTTGCTTACAGGCAAGAACGAGCGTCAGGGAGATTATATCTTCACCGCCAACAAGGTCAGTGCCACACCTCCGGGACAGAGCTACAGCTGACAAGCAGATCGGCGAATACTCGTTCTGCTTTGAGAACGAAGGGTCGTCGGCGGACAAGCTGCTAGACTTTGACATAATGGTGGAATCAGAACCACGGCGGCAGCTCTCGGCGCAACAACCGGCGTTAAAGGAGCATACCTCTACCCTCGAGGAGAGCACCTACAAGCTGAGCGGGTTGCTGAGTAGTGTGATTCGGACACAGAAATAGTACGTCCCCGCTTATCAAGGCTTACTTCAGCTTCCACACACGCCATCACCGCAACTACTCGACTGTACTTTCGACGCAAAGCCGGATATTCTGGTTCACGGTTCTGGAATCTGCCATGATTATCGCCATGTCACTGTAAGTTTCGCTGGCGACAAGGCTGATGGCAGAATCCAAATATGGGTGCTCAGAACATTTTTCTCCAAGGGTTCCAAACGATATAGCGCATAGCCAACAGATGATACATTTTACATTCTCCGTCTTTCCTGCTCCATCCGCGATGCCTCGTGCACCGTGATCGCCTCGTCTACCCAGGGCAGGGTGAACATATCGCTCCTCCTGAGATCTTCTTCCGTGACGCTTCCCCCATTGGGTCCAGCGCCAATTTGGTACCCCAGCATCTGATCCAGGTCGCGCGCTTGTACCGCCAGCCAGTTTTGTATAAAAGCTTGAGGATTGGTACTAAGGTCAGCTCGGCACCGGCGTGGACCTACGAGAATGATTCCAAGAAATCCCTCTTTTGCTTTAGATCCCTCGTGAAATAAAGCATCTCGGCGACCTTGTCTTCCAGCTTGACAATCTCCTTGCCTTCCTCCCCGTCAAAGCTCGTCAACAAACTTGACATTTTGCTCTTGACCGGATCTTCCAGCTCGATGGGGATGTCGAAGCACTTTTGGTGAAAGTGGAAGTCGCGGTCAACGCGGATGGTGTAGGGAATGATGACGGGCTCGGGATGGCTGAGGAAGCGCGTGACGTGCTCGGGGAGCTGGTGGAAGGGGATAGAATCGACATTGGCGGGGAGGATCTGATTAGCGAGAACTTCGGCGGGCTCACCTTTTCTAAATCGCCCACACGCTTCAGGATAGATCCGTCATCCTTGTCCTGCGCTCCAAGGACTTTGACCAGTTTCCATACTGCAGACATCGCCTCCGCGCGCGTGCCCTCCTTCATCGCGATGATTTCTGCCAGGGGCGGCAGGATGCGGAATTTCTCCGGGTAGTGATTGACATGGAGGACTATCCGGCAGTTGACGTCTTGGTCGCCTCGGCGCGAGACTTCGAATCCGTCCAGTGGAGCTTGCAGGCCTTGTGGGTGCCACTAAAGTCAGCGCGAACGAGAGCAGGGCTCACCTCGACGATATTGCCCTCTGGGAAGGTCGGTGCCTCGCGATTGTCCAGCTCGACAATGGCGGAACGGACAAAGGTGCTGAACTTTCTTCGTGTCTTGTCGAGGCGTGCATTACCGCTCTGCCAATCAGCTTGACCAACGGAACACTTACGTCGAGTAATCTCCCTTCTATCCGCAAGACCCATCCTGCAATTCCCTTCCCACTGTCCATATCCACCGCTTCCGGTCCTGAGCTTGGCCCAGCTTCGTTCGTCTCCTTCTGCCATTGTTGATCGTGCGCCGTATTGGAGACAAAGACCCGCAACGCCCGCTTGACCTTATCATCAGCTCAAGCGTGCACGCCGACTCACGCGTATTGGCTTCCCCATGGCATCGTTGATTTCCGCTTTCTTTCGGAGCAATGTCCAGTCAAGCTTCTGCTCCACCTTCAATAGATCCAGGAAAGCTGGCGAGTCGGGTACGAGGCTGGCGAGAATGTGCGGAGGGGGAAGGGGGGGTCTTTGTTGTTTTCTGTTGTCAACAATGACCTTCAACCATGACTCACGGTCTACGAGCCTCGAGCTCCGCGTCTGCACGACGCTTGAGGTCTGCTACATTGGGAACTGATGAGCCCTGTGGAGTGGCTGCTGACATGGTACTGATACTGTGGACAAGGATAAGAGAAGGATGTCAAGAGAAGGGGCTGGAATTCGAGGCTAGGTAAATACGCGCCTGCAAGATCATTACGTCAGCCAGGCACGCAACCCAAAAGTTAATTGATCTTCAGCATGTCCACCTCTTCGTTCGTTATCTATCCATCTACATCATGCCTAAGCCATCACGATCAACCAAGCTGGCTCCCAGGAAGGCAGTCGTGGAGGATGACTACCTCGACACCGACTCTGAGGTTGACGAATTCGCCGCTGAGCAAGGAGAGGCGGGACCTTCGGGCTCCTCCGATGAGGACGTAGATGAGGGGGATGAGGACGAAGACCAGGAAGGTGTGGGACAGTGGCAGCCAGATGATTGGCAGGGTGGAGACTCGGAAGGATCAGGGTCTGGAAGCGAGGATGAACAGGAGTCGGGAGATGAAGCGGTCAGTCACAGTTCAGATTAGACGCGAACCTTGGCTGACTGTCCAGCGTTTGCAAGACGGCAAGTTTACTGCATCCTGAACAAAGCGAAGCTGACCCCTAGACATCCGGCAGATCCCTCTGTCTACTCTAATGAAGGCGCAGAAGGCATTGAAGAAGGCAAAGAAGGGTCAAGGGAAGGATCCAGTCCAGACGGACATCGAGAGGCTGGCAGCTGCGAAGGCTCGCTTGGCAGACATGCAGCGGATGAAGGGCAAGGCCAGAGCGGTGGAAGTGGAGCGTGATGAATCAGGGGAAGAGTCGGACGGGGGCGAAGGCGGCACAGAAAGCAGGAGCAACAAGCATGCGTAGGTTACCAAAACGTTCGAGCTGACGGCGGTCCCGCTATGATGAGCACAAAGCGACAAGTCTCTCGCCATCGTCAGGCTATCTCTCTGCCCAAGCGCGAAGTCCGCGATCCTCGCTTCTCCTCCATCTCTGGCGAGCTCAACCCACATCTTCACGCTCAAGCCTACTCGTTCCTTCCCGACCTCCTCAAAAACGAATACCACGACCTGCGACGAGCGGTCGCGGCGGCTCAAAAGATAGAGCGGACATGCCCCTTGCGGGAAAAGGAACAACGGACGGCGGAACGTGAGCAGCTCGAGCTTGATCTGGGGAGATTGCGGACCAAGATGGACCGAGGGAAGGTTGAGACGCGGGAGAGAGAAGTGCTGGCGCAGGTCAAGAAGGAGGAGCGGGAGAAGCGAGGGGAGGGCAAGGGGGCGTGGTACATGAAGAAGGGAGAGAAGAAGGACTTGCTTCTCAAAGCGAGATTCGAAGCGTTGGAGCAGGCGGGCGGGAAGCGAGCGGTCAAGAAGGCGGTCGACAAGAAGCGAAAGAAGGTGGCTGGAAAGGAAAAGAAGAGTCGGCCGGACGGCGTCGGCGGGATGGATTCGAAGCGGCGGCGTGTAGCTTAGTCGATCATCGGCGGGCGTGGGGACTCGGAACAATGCAGGATTTGTCTACCAAGTGCTCATACTTCACTGATCATATGAAGCAGGCGGATGGGTCCGGGCGCTCAAACAGGCGGTAGATGAGAACGGGCCGGTGGACCTCGCCGCGCACTGACCCACAGTACTGAAAGCACCTCAGATCGCTGGCTTCTGGGGCCTTGACGTGCTGGCGAAGCCGATCACCACGGTGGTGTCGGCGGCGGACTGGGCCGCGGTCGAGCGAGGGGTAGCCGGGCCGGGGGACTACACGTATCCGCATGCGACGGGATGAGTAGACGGCTCCGCAACTATGAGTACCAGCTGATAAGTCAGGAAAAAGGGCGTCCACTGCCACCAGGCGAACGTCTCTATGGCGCCAGTCTTCGAGATGACCGTCATCTCGGGCCACCCGCTGATGATGGTGGCCAACGCGTGCGAGTTTTGCATTCGGGACGGGAGGCCGGGGACGTGCGGCTGTCGAGGGGTGATCTTTTCGCAAACGCAGATAAGACACCTGGCGACACTGTCTTCCGGCTGGCTGTCCACGACACAGTCAGAATCCGGCCCAACCTGCCTTTCGGGGCCGACTATGTAAGTTGGAGCGTTCTGGGTCGAGAACGATGCTGATGATCAGGTCGAGGGGGCGTCTCAGAGCGGCTATCGTCTACTAAGAGAGCGGGCAGTCCCCTGGCCGGCAGGAGACCAGGCAGTCCAAAGCCCTCGCCGCATCTCCCTGAACAACTTTCCGGATTGGCGGTCACTCGACTTTGCCCTCCTCGCTTCGCACGGGAAGATATCCCTTACCAGCCAGACCACGGAAAGAGGGCAAGCTCCCACCGACAATCTCCCCGCTCCCGGCAGCGCCCACCCTTCTCCCGCCCCGCGCGGCCGCGCCCAAGCCCCCGCCAACGCAGGCCAACATACCGCAAGTAGCTCCAGGAAGAGCAGCCCGCCAGACTTTGAGATCGACTTACCCGATCCCAAGTCTTCCCCTTCCCACCAGCCGTCGGCCACTCCATCGTCGGACAGTAGGCGTCGCCCTACGCCGAAGGGGAGTCTCGGTCACGGGCTCGGTCAGGATATCGAGGAGGAAGAGGAGAAGGTGGAGAACTGGGTCACGCTCCCCGTCCAGCGCCCAGGCAGCTCCGCCGTCCCTCCTTCTCTACGCCCGCTGATGCCAGACTCGGACGAGGGGGGGCAGCTCAACCCCGACGACGACTGGCAGGTCAGCGAGCGTTCCTATGACGGGGCAGAGGCTGTCCTCGACGCCCGCTCCGTCAAGTTCGCTGACGCGCCGACCTGCGACCTGCGCGCTGCGCCTGCGCAGCTCCCCACCGCATCGGCAGAGGAGGTAGAGCGCCTATCAGCGACCCAGATCTCGGGGGAGGTGGATACGGCGTCTCTGGTAGCCGTTATGGCTGGGATCCAAAACGTCCCGCGCCGGTACCGTGTCCCCTCTCGCCCGCCCCGCAGTCGAGCATCTGGGGGTACCTCCGGTAGCGGGTCCCAGCGACACCGCTCGAAGACGGGCAAGGGAGATGAGATCTCCGAGGACGACGAAGATCTGTACGAGGTTGCTATCGGCTTGATGAACCAAGACCTTGCAAGTCACATCTCCTTACACGCGGGCAACGCTGACCAATAGTCGCCTCGACCCCAAAAGCTGGTCTCGATCGATGACACCCGGCGGTGGCTTGAGATGAAGAGTGAGTTGTGAGCTGTAGAAAGAGCAGAGCTGACGGCAGGGACGGACTCGGACCGGACGATCGAAACGATGCGCCAAAGCCTCCAGAGCCGATATCACGTCGAGCAGCGACAGAGTAGGCGGTGATGTAACAGGAAGGCGGCTGGGAATGTGAGCAGTCGTCCGGATGGGGCCGCGGATATGGAGTTGAGGCGAAGGCGTGTACAGGGTAATCGATCTTGAAGTTTGACGTCGCAGGCATTGCTCGATGAATATATTCAGGACGTCCATCAGCAATTCTCAAATCGGCGAGCAATTCTCCGAATGGAAAGCAGGATCAGCATTTCCCCCTGCTCCCCGCTCCGCTCGTCGCCCAGCAATCGGTTCGATCTCGTGCATCCCTGTCCCCTAATACACTTATCGTCCACCCTTGCCAGCACCGGCACCACCCGCACCACCCTTGGCACCCTGCTTGGATACCTTTGGTGCACCGGCACCGACGGGCTTCGCAGTCGCCTTCTTCTCCTCCTTGTTCTTCTTCTCGGTCTTGGCCTTGGTGATGGCGGCCTGGCGGGCAGCGGCTCGGACCTCGGGCTTGGCGGTACGTTTGGCGAGGATGGAAGCAAGGTCGGCGCCGACAACACCACGCTATAGGTCAGCGCAATTCCCAGGAATGATGAGACAGATAGACCTACCTGAACCTTGACGTTCTTCCTGCTCCGCTTCTTGGCTACCTCCTCAGTGATACCCTTCTTGTGCATCCTACACATCAGCGAGATCCCAGGGACCAAGGAGCGTAACGTACCGCCTGTACACCTGGGTCCAGGCGATCTTGCGCGGGTTCTTGCGCTGGAGGAAGAGGGACTCGGATTTGGAGCTAGCGAAACGGAAGGACTAGACGTCAGCGGATGATCTTAGGTGTCTCCCTCTATTCCTCCCCCTCCATATGTTCCTCCCATATTCTCCCTTGGTGCACGTTCCTCCTTGCTGCTTCCTCCAACATCCATCATATCCATATTCCACGCCCACCCAGCCATCCCTCTGCATCCCTCAACCCTCTCTACCCGACCCGTGCCTCCCTTGTCCGTATCGAAACCCACCTTGGAGTCCCCCCGAACGTAGACCCTTCCCTTGGAAGGGTAGACACGGTAGCCTGAAAAGTCGCAACGGTCGACACGCATCCTGCACAGTCAGAGATGTCCTCGGTGTATGTCGATAGGTGTGTGAGGGTAGTCTCACTTGATGGCTATGGATCGAGTAGTGTATAGCAAGATCTATCCGTAATTCACAGCTATTAGAGCGAATCCCTGCAGTCAATCGACTAAAGTGGAGGGCACTTTTACCAACAATCTAGCTCAGCCCGCCAAATTTCGGCGTTCACACAAATCGCCGAAAATATCCGCTAGTGTGGCACTTTTATTTTGGCAGAGGAATGAGGATCTCGCTCCTTCACAGCTTCACACCTTCTCACCCCCAACTCCGACCTGATCATGGCGGATCATGTACAACAAATGATACAAAGCTTTATGCAGTCCCCTTGCCCTTCCCGATCTCTTCCTCGAGGGCATCCAGAAAGCTATCCGCAGCCGCCTCTCTCTGCTTTGCCCGTATCGCCTCCAGCGCCTCCACGCCGCCCGCCAGTTCCACCCGCTTTGCCTCCACCAGCTGCCGCCTCGCCTCGAGCTTTTGATTTCTCTGCTCTAGCACACTTTGTATCCTCTCTCTTGCGCGCTCCGTTTCCAGTCGTCCCGCCTTGAGCTCCTCCATCTGCCGAGCGCGCGTCTCCTCGTCCAGCGAAAATTGGTATTGCCCGGCGGCTTTCGTGCGGACTAGAATCAGTCTTGCCCATGTCGTGACCCACCTTCTTTGCTAGCATCATAGTGCTTCTGCCTGGATTCCTCCTCGGCCTCGAGATACTTCGCCCGTAAGACATTGGGGTCAGGCTCGTAGACGGGAAAGAAGTTTTGATCGCCATGTATCACTTTGGAACGCCTATATATCAGCAACGCCAAAGTGAGACTCACATGACGTCGGCGTAGGATGAGTTCTCAGGAGGGGCAGGATTTGCCGCCTCGGCTTCTGCCTTGGTACCCCACCGAGTTCGGCCGAGCTCGTCCACGTATTCCACCTTCTCATCGTCGTCGTCGGACTCCTCGTCCGAATCATCTGACTCCTCCTCTCGCTTCTTGTCAAACTTCCATCAGCCACAGCGCCATCAAGCACTCACATCGATGACAGCCTCAGCCCTTTCCCTCTCGGTCAATCCCGAATAATCCCCTCTCGATAGAGCGTCATATTTCCTCGCTTTCTCCTCCATGATGAGCCGCCGCTGCTCGTCGCTGGGTCCAGCATCATTGCCAAAGTTTCTCCGCTTGGCGTCATTCCGAGCCTCCGCTGCGAGTCGCTTGACGAGCCCAGGATTTGGTCGGTCAAAGGGGTCAGTCTAGATCAGCAATGTCAGTCTAGAGCCTACCTTGTGCGGCCGCTTGACGCCTTTGGTCGCTGTCTTGCCTTCTTTCGAGAACCGATCTGCGTGCTCTGCTGTGATGGCTCTGAGGTCGAGGATGCTGGATTGGGATGGGCCTTGCATATTGTATGGACGACTGACTGGAAGTTGCGGAGGTTGGTTGGTGGATACCGGAATAGGGCCCCGGAATTCGGATCCGTCGGAACTCGGGCCGGAAAGTGGGGTCAGGGTCACATCGCAAGGGAACGAACGCTCAGCGCCGTCCATCTACGCTTCATCTCCATCTGTACATACAACATGTCCCGCGTACGCTTCCCATTCAGATCGACGCCCTCCACACAGCAGGTCCCGACGACTGTGGTGGTACAGACGCCGGAACAGAAGAAGGAGTCCGTCACGACAAGCTACTGGGATGGCGTCTACAGCGAGGACGGGAGCAAGGACGGAGAACGGCTGTGGGGGATCGAGAACTTTGGCAATACGTGCTATTGCAACTCGGTCCTCCAGGCGCTATACGCTTGTCAGCCCTTCCGTGCCTTTGTCGAGGCATATCCCAGCACCCCACCGCCGGTGACCCCCCTCGGCCCGCCCCCGGGTGAAGCCAATCTCCCCATCGACGCGACGCCAAGCAGTCCTCTGGCGGTCAAGAAGGAGAATCCCTTTGACGCGCCGCCGACTTCGCCTACCGGTGAGAAGCGGGGATGGAAACTTGGGCGCAAACCCACCATCACCTCTGCCCCGCCCACTCTCGCTTCGATCCAGGCGCAAGTCAAAGAAAAGGTCGTCCCTCCCTCCAACTATCCCGCCCTCCCTGAACCCAACCCGGACCAGCCCCCTCCCAATGTCTTTGAAACCATCCAAACCCTCTTTCAGCACCTCTCCCTATCACCCCCGCACCAGCCGCTCCCCTCCCGAAAAGACCCCAAGAAGGAGGCCGAGACGATACAAACCGCTTCGCTTCTTGCTCCGGAGGCCGCGGGAGAGGCCGCCGTGACCAAGGTCAGCCCGAACGAGCCTCAAGGGCCGCCCCTTCTCGCTTCACTCCCTCCTCCATCCGCTCCACGCGGCGGCGGACCATTCTCGGCGGGATCGCTCGGACGCGGTGTCGTCCGTCCCGAGGACGTTCTGAAGACCATCAAGCGGGAGAATGAGATGTTTAGGGGGATGGCTCAGCAGGATGCACACGAATTCCTGGGATGGGTCCTCAACAAAGTGGCGGAGGAGGTGGAGCCGCTGGATCGGCACCTCAAATCCAAAGGGAGCTGGAATGGCAGTACTGGGGGCAAGACGTTTGTCCAGAACTTGTTTGAAGGGAGTTTGACCAACGAGACGCGGTGCTTGAGCTGCGAAACAGTAAGTCTATGTATGGACATTGCTGATTAGACTTCCTCCCGGGACGAGCTCTTCTTGGACTTGTCGATTGATATCGAACAGCACACCTCGGTCACGTCCTGTCTGCGAGGGTTCTCCGCATCAGAAATGCTCTGCCAAAAGAACAAGTTCTACTGCGACTCGTGCTGTGGACTGCAGGAAGCAGAGAAGAGGTATGTGCTTTGTCGTCTACGCTGACAATAGGATGAAAATCAAGCGCCTCCCACATATCCTTCCCCTCCATCTCAAGCGATTCAAATACCAGGAATCTCTAGGCCGCTACACCAAACTCTTCTACCGGGTCCCCTTCCCTACTCAACTCCGTCTACCTAACACCTCGGATGACGCCGAGAACCCGGACCGTCTATACGAGCTCTTTGCTGTCGTTGTGCACATTGGAAAGTGAGTCCTGCCCATGCCTCGCTGACAATTAGCGGCCCACATCACGGACACTACGTCTGCCTGGTCAAATCTGCTGGACGATGGGTGATGTGCGACGACGAAAACGTCGAACCCATCGACGAGGCGGACATCTTCAGATACTTTGGCGACTACCCCTCTGGCGCCGGCTACGTCATGTTTTACCAAGCGGCCGATCTGGACCTTGGTACGCTGGGCCTAAACGTGCCGCCACCGGCGCCCAAGCCGGCGCCGAAGGCAGCCGTCCCGGCACCAGTGCCGAAGAAGCCCGTTCCGGAAACCTTGGTCGAGGTAGACGAGCCCACGGCGCTTCCTCAACGGTCACCTCCCGCTACCCACACCCAGCGGCAAACATCCCCACCTCCATCGCCCCTCGCCTCGCCTGTCCAGCGTGCAGCACCAGCCGCCGCGACCCCTCTTCCCATCCAGCGGAGCCCCATGCCGACGCCAGAGGCCTCGGAGCCTATGCCATCACCGTCGGTTCAGCGCACCCCCAGTCAAATCGCAGCACAAGACTCGAAATGGTATCAGCGCAAGAAAAATGGCGTCCCTCCCACTCCTCCCGCTGCTACCAGTCCTTCCTCACCGTTGGAAAGTACACCTCCAGATCTTACGCGGCGCACCAGCACTCGCATTCCCTCGGGCGCATCCGCCACGTCTGGCGCTTATGCGGGTGGAGGTGGATTAGGACGCAAGTTGAGCGGGATCAGCGGCAAGGGATTGATGTCGCGGTCGGGAAGTTTGATGAAGCTGGGTTTGGGGAAGAAGAAGGAGGGGATAGACGAGTAATCTGTAGGCCTAAGTTGTATCTGCCGGTTCATATCTTACAACTGATCTCTAATTCTCGGCAACGGTAAATCTACAAGGTTTGATAAATGCGGTGGTACGGGCTGGAGGTGCGCTAGTGTGGGTATGCCATCGTCTCCTGTTGGGAGGAGTCTTAGCGAACCGAGGGAGGGGATGGAGGCGTCCGGACGGGCGGTACCGGGTCGGGTTGGCCGTTCCGACAGCGAGAATATGGAGAGATCGGCGGGGGGCCCGACGTTGGCGACTGGGCGAGTGAGGGCGGCGATTTGGGCGAGCTGGACCAGACCGTCGTCGCCGAGTTGACGTCGCGCAGGGGCCGCCTCGAGGCGCGGGTCCCACACTAGGGATGGAGGTGCTTCTGGAGTTGCTTGACGGCGACGAGACGTATTCCTGCCGTCAGCCCGTCCAAACGTAGACTCACGCTCTGCCCGCATTGGTATCTGTGCGCAGCTTGATTTTGATCCCCTGCGTAGCAAGATGGCGCGTGAAGAGTGTAGATTCGCGCATTCCGGTAAAGAGCTTGGGCGAAAACACCTCGAAAGGCTCCGATACGGTATGGCCCACTTCGCACAGTCCGAGCCTACGTTAACGGGGACTAGGTTGAACTCACTTGGACGTCTCGTATAGGGTAAACTTGAGCCTAAACATCCCCGGCATCCTTATGCTAAGCTTTGCAAAGACACATAGCGCTGCCTGTCGCTCATCCAACAGGCGCAGCTTTTCTGGCGTTTGGATCGTCTCGCCGGTGGTTGCAGAAATTCCAGTGGGTGTTTTGGCAACAGTATACGACGCCGACGCGTCAGGGTCGGGGTGGACGAGCGAGGCATGGATGAAGAGGGACGTCGATTCTAGGACAAGACTACATGAGCTACGTCGTGGAGAAACTTACGATGCGTCTTCAGAGTTGAACACCTCGATGACGGGAGGAGGATCGACTGGTCGGCGATCGACTAGAGTTAGCGGGCTCTGGACACGACCCACTTGTATCGTTCGCTTCTTTGAATGAACACAGGCGCGCTCTGCTGGGTTGCTGCTGGACTCTGAGCTGATATATGCTCGTAGCCATCCCGGCTCGAGGATGTACAGATGAGAAACGAAGATAACAATCAAGCTGTGACATATGGAGCCCCGCTATCTGACTTTGAAAAGTTGCACCCTCGTCTCGCCGCCAACCTCGTAGTGAATCTCCACGTCCAGCTCGCGCGAGTTGTTGCTGGATTTCCGGCAGTAGAATCTGCCTCGAAGCTCGTCGCCTGGGTCAGCTTGTTCGGCCGGAACTCACCTTTTGTAAGCTCAATGGGTGTTTTCAGCAGGAATGCTACCTGTCGCCAGTGCGTCTCCTTGCCGCGAGGACCGGTGGTGAAGCTGATTACCCCAGGAGCGACCGGCTCGACGTTGGCCAGACCTGTTGGGAGGACCGACAGGTCTACAGAGTCGAACGTCTGTCCGGGTACGGGGGAAAAGAAGGTGTCAAAGTAGGTTAGGAAGGCGCGAATTGATCCAGTACTTTCCGCCTTGAGTGTGAAGGACGAGTGAAAGTCGAGCGATTTCGGCGTGGCAGTGTGTGTGTCGATGTTCTGATCAGCAGGGAAAGACTTTAGACTTACTCGCACGACTGCCTCTGAGGTCAATACCTCGGCCGCATCGACCACCTCGACCAACCCTTCGTCATAGTACACCTTGTCCATGGCCGTCATATTGAAGCCTGATCAGCTTCATTCAAGCTTGACTCACCATAGACTGACTGCCAAAAGTCTATCCTCTCCTTCCACAGTCTCTCGCCGGTGATACCGACAAGCTTCATGGCAGTCTGGCTCGGCGCCATCAAGCCGCCCTCCTTCATGAAGTGGTCCCTAGCGTATAGGACGCTATCCAGCATGGATTCGTAGAGTAGGGCATAACCCTGATCAGCATGGCCTTTGGCAAACTCACCATCCATTCGCTGATCACCACGTCGACCTCTCGCTCCACCTTGATATCCTCGACTTTGCTCTGTATCACACTACATCAGCGCCGCTTTGGGTGGACGCACGTGATGATCTGCTCAAGTCCGTTGTTCTTGATGTTCTCCCTTGCCTTTGAAGCTAGGCCCGATGCCTCAATGGCGTAGACCTTCTTGGCGCCAGCCTTGGCCGCAAACACTGTCATCAGCACCGTCATATCAGCACTCACTCGACAGAATACCAGTTCCACAGCCAACATCCATGACCACGGCGTCCTTGAAGATGGCCGGGTTCGACAGGATGAAACGCGCATATGAGACCGTCCGTTGCGTGTCCTTGAGCATGATTTCGTGGATATCGTTCTCGGCGTAGGAGTCAAAGTAGTGCGAGTCGTCGTCGCGCTTCTTTTCTCCGGTTGAAGGGAGATCGTCCGCCATGGTCTGCTGCAGCAATGCCTGCGCCGCAGCGAGCTCTTTCTGAAGATGTTGAACTTGCGCCGAGGCAGGCTCTTCGTCTTCATCAGACCACGAGTCGAAGCCGAACTCTGATGTCAGCTCGGAATACGACTCACTTACGAAGGAGAGGGTCGTCTGCGATGACAGGTGGAAGCAAGGAGTCATCCGTCATCCACTCTTTGCCTAAAGTGGACACCTGATCCGGATTCAAGCCCTGGGATTAGCTCAGCCACGAACTCGCTTACATCTCGCCGTATCAGATTGACCAGCCGTATCCTGCCATACATATCCAGCTCCCTGTCCTTGCAAACCGCGTCCAGGTCAAATCTGTGCAGACTAGCATCGTGCTTCATCGCCAACTCTGGCGAGGCGTGGACGGTGTCGTCGAACAGGGACTTGGTCCGCCTGGCCTCGCCGAAGGACGATGCCCAGTCGGAGCAGCCATCGTCCAAGTCATCCGTGTCAGAGCCTGATGACGACGGGGCTGCGTTGGGTGGTAAGCGATAGGTACCAGCTGTGGACGTCATGATAGATGATGGAGAGGTCAAAGTGAAATTCTGAAACGTCGACCTTGTGATTACGGCAAACCCTTGATCAAACGGAGCATCTTGAGGTGTGATCACTGCTCAACAACATCATGTCTTCCACGACGGATTGGGTATGGGACCAGTCGCACGGAGCCTACTATCACGCCGAGTCGGGGATGCTGGCCGTTCCCAATGCCTCCGGGAGCTGGGACTATACTCCGCTCGCTGATCCTCGAGAGCGACTTCCGCCGGAGGACAAAGAAGAGGGCGAGGTGGACGATGATGTTGGCTGGGGAGGTCTAATGGAGCCGGAAGATCTGGCAAAGGCGCAGGCCTACTCGGATCCCTCGGTCTATGCGTATGGCGCATCCCCATCCCAGACGGCCAAACACATCCTCCGCCTTGTCGTTGAAAAGAGCTCGGTATTGCCTGTTGGCGGCATGGCGATGATCGATGCGCGGGAGGGAGGCGTGCATATAGGGAGAGACAGGCAGGAGGGGCAGGCTAGACTAAGAGTGAAGGAGATGGAAGTCAGCAAGACTCACGCGGTGGTGTATTGGGGGAAAGTTGAGGAGGAAGAGGGATGGTTAATCGTCGATCTCGGTGAGTGGTTGAGAGGCCAAGCTCACGCCAGGCTCTACGCATGGCACATTTCTCTCGCAGTCCCGCCTGTCCGACGCCAAATCATCTTCTCTACCACATCCCATTCGCCATCTATCCACCATCTCCCTCGGACATACCACATTCGCTGCCCACATCCATCCCTCCTGGCCTTGCGACCAATGCCAACTCAAAGCCGACACCGAAATCAGGCTCGACGAGGGACTTCCCCTAGAAACGCCTCCCTCAGAGCCCCTCTTTGAATCATCAGGCGGGAAACAGATGCGGGAGTTGAAGAGGAAGAGGGAGGTGGCGGCACTAAAGGAGGCGCTGCTGGCGGGTCCGACTGATCAGCCCACCGTCTACCAAGATCGGGCTGCTCAACGGCGACGTCTTCACCCAGAAACCCGCCCAGCCCGGTCAGCCTCACCACCGGTAGCGCCTCCAAAACCCAGCTTTGCTGCAAAGCTTTTGGCGGATCAAGGATGGACGCCTGGAACGGGATTGGGGAGGACGGCGGGTCGGGCTGAGCCGATCAAGGTGGAGATGCGGATGGAGAAGCGGGGTCTAGGTGCTGTCGGAGCTAAAGCTGAGAGCGGGGACTGGAGGGCGCAAGGAAAGGAGCGAAGGTATCAAGAGCTGCGGAAGTGATACTCATTCATTGTACCGTATACTGTATTGTCCTACGCCTCGTAGTCCTCGCCCAGGACGGACTCTTTCGCCTGATCAATTGCCAACTTGACCCGCTCATACACCTGACATCAGCTAGGCTTTCAGCTTACTCACAGTGAACACGATGGCCTGTCCAGGCGCGACCCTCAATACCCGCGGTGTAATCCCCTTGTAAAACGCCGCCATGCCCTCATTCTTGAACATGTCGCTCGACACCTTGACGAACCGGGACAGGGCTGTCTCGCCAGGTTCCTTTGCAGCTTTCTGGATCCTTGTCTTGATGGTGTCGATCGGTGCATTGGAGAAAGGGCCCATCGCACCGGAGATCAAGCCGAGGACCATGGTCTGGTAGGAGGGGAGGTCGGTCAAGGTGGGCTGCGCATCCAAAGCGAGCTTTTTGAATTGCTGGTAGGCGGTAAAGTTGACACCTTGATTTGTGGCTTGTCGAAGAGCGGTCAGTGTGACCCCTCTATACAGAGTTGCCAGACCTTCCTCGCGGACAATGGTGAATGCAGCTTGTGCAGCGTTGCGATACCGCGGGACGTCAAGTGGGTCCGCCAGGGAATCTACGATTAGCAAAGTATTAGCTTGCACTCACGTTGTTGCGCTTGTAATCTGATCTTGATCACCTCCATTGGCGTCACCACCGCAACCGCCTCTGTAGCACCTGCCCCTAGCCCAGCTGTCGTCAGCGGGGCCTTCTATGGGCTTACCAAGGAAAGTCCCTTTGCTGGAGACCTTGCCTTCCGCGTCCATGAGCAGACCTCGGTACTCTGACATCAGCTCTTGCTTCGGGATGACTTACTCTCAAATGAAGCGAATCGGATGGCCATCTTTGGCACTATTCCACTGACGACCGCTCCCAGCCCCTTGTATAAGCCCAGCGGTGTTTCTCTCGCCGCAATCTGCCTTCCCGTGGCAAAGAATCCAAGCGGTTTCAACTGCCGTCAGCCAGGTCTACGTACGACTTACGCCTCGTGCCTTTCGGGATTTTGACAGCTGCATCCGGACCTTGATGGTGTCGAGCGGATGGCACACCAAGGCCTCGGCGAGACCGGCTACACCACCAGCGATGAGATGGGTGCTCAAGGGGACCTTCTCCTTGCCTCCCTTGGCGTTGGGCTTGACCATGTCGCCTGTGCGGCCGCCGCCGTATGGTTTACTGGTGGATGTGGACATTGTGGTTGAGAGTGAAGAGATGGCTGCGCTGGCTGGTTGCTGACTACATCATTCATGAGTCGAAGATACAAGTTTCAGATGGAGCAGGCGGTAAACGTTTTGCCGGTCACCGCTTACGCGCTAGCCGGGTCTTCGGGTTTACTCGGCTGCAAGGTGTAGACAGTAGCTGTAGTTAGGGCTGTAGCATTATAAGGGGTATTATTATACGGGACTAGTACCAGTGTCCTAACATGTACACCGTCGCTGCCCGACCATATCTCCAAGATTGACGCTCCTACTCCTCTTCCGCCGTGCGCCAAACCCGCCCAACTTTGAGGTGCTCCCCACCGCTCGCAACTGCCTCTCCCCATATGATATCCCTGTCCCTGCTTGCTCCGGATCGATCTCCCCCTTGTCAATCTTTTCCAGGATGGTCCGGGAGGCGAGGAGAAATGGAGTGAGGATGTTTTCGCCGGTCATGGACGAAACCTCGACGAAAAGAAGGCCGTTTTCCGCCGCCCAGCGCGCTCCTTCCGCGTATTCCACCTCTCGGTCTTCCTCTCTGTCCACCTTGTTGCCGATCAGGACTGGGACGAGGTGGGGCGAGGCCAGCGCGCGACAGTCGGTGAGCCAACGATTGAGATTGGCGAAGGATTGTCGACTATGTTCAGCTGCGATAAACCGGGACTTACGAAGAGATGTCATAGACCAGCAGCACCCCTGCTGCACCACGGAAATAGGATCGAGTGACCGCTCTGAACCTCTCCTGTCCCGCTGTGTCCCATAGCTGCCATCAGCCGAGTTACAGAAAGACCGACCGACCTGTAGTTTGACATTGCGCGCTCCTATCCGCAGGACCCTACAGGTAAGCGCAGAAGCCTTCGGATCAGCCTACCTACTGGAAAACTCAACACCAATGGTATGAGAGGAGTTTTCTTTGACTGGAATCAGCCCTGTTGGCGGGTGGACCTACACGTATTATTGATTAGATATGAAAGCAAACACGATTTGCCCGTCCCTGCTTCGCCTACGCCATTAGTGACTTCGGGTCGTTTAGTGACGCACCGACGATGATGAACTTGAAGAGATAGTCTGCATGTTCAGCAGTGGTAGCTGAGGGCAAAGGGGCCCATGGGCTGAACGCACCGTAAACGTCGACCAGCTCCGTGCCCTCCTCGTCCGCCATTCTTGCGCCCAGGCGCGAGCGACGTCGATTGTCAAGCCTCTGCCTTCTATGCTTGCGCACTGCCCAATCTGAGAGCAGTGTCAGCAGTGTCAGAGGAGTTTGGCATTCGGTAGAGCAATGTCATGCAGGAAAAGGAGAAATGCGAGATGAGTTGAGCGGAAAGTGAGCTGTGCGCTCATGCGCGTGAGCAAACCTTAAATTGATCGTCAAGCTCTCAATCCTCTTTGCATACGCTGATTGACGCTTGATGCGGCTATCCACACGACTGCTGATCGACGGAACTCCCATCGCTGGCTGGTTCCAGCATGGTAGCATCCATAAGCAAAGCTGGATCTGAATGGCTCCTTTGTTCTCGACGAACCTTTGTTCGTCAAATGTCCGCCGTCAGCCTTTAAGAGTACTGCGACCCCCTGACTTCCTCTGGCTTCTCCTCTCACTACTCACACCTACTATGATTCCCTTTTACAACCCCCTGGTCGCTCCGGCCGGGATCGCACAAGGCCAAGCTCACCCTCATCACACCGCGAATCCTCTCTCAAAGCTCTTCTTCCACTGGGTCACGCCCGTTCTGAAAGCAGGCTATTCAAGGCCTTTGGAGCAGGAAGGTAAGTTCTCCTACGTAGTAAGCTGACCAAGACCTCTGGCAGATTCCAGACAAGTTCAAATGTGTGGACCTGGCAGACACCCTCGACAAGCTCTACACTGCGCGGCTACCTCCCTCAAAGCGAGGCTCAACTCCGCACGATGGCGATGTTCCTCCGTCCCCGGTCGATGCACAAGCTCACGCGGCGGATAGGATGGAAGTCCTTGCGGACCTCAATCCTGCCATGGACTCGCTCAATCTCACCGCACAGCTTACCCGAGAGAGCACGCGCAGACCGGACCTTCGGACTGACAACCATACCGAGCCTCCGACTGCCGGGAAGGGCTTGATCATCGTCGAAGACGGCAAGAAGTACTACCAAAGCCTCTTCAAAGCTCTCTACAAGGCGGTTGCTGGGGAGGTATGGGTCAGCATCGCTATGATCGGCACATCATGTAAGCAGACAACCGATCAATACTGATGTAGACGTCGGCCGGATCTGCTCCCCTTTGATCACCCAACAACTCATCAACCAGATTGGCCGGGCTCATGCTGGACAATCAGCCCCTGTAGGCCCAATGTTCGCCCTGGCAATCGGCAACTTTCTGCTCCTCCTTGTGGCCGCCTGGCTCGAATTCCACTCGGACGTCAGAACAACCCAGATGGGGATCCGACTTAGAACAGCAGTGAGTTTCGGTCAAGTGTCGCTAATATAGATTGTCGACCTCATCTCCCGCAAGTCAATGAAGCTCTCCAGCAAAGCGCGGGTCAAAATGACGAGCGGGCGTATCAACACGATGATCTCCGCAGATGCCTCCTACATCGTAAGTCCAAAGCATGCGCCGCTCATATCAGGATTGGCTAGTCTTGCAGCTCGTGGAGGTGGTGGTGCTGGTTCCGCAGATCGTTAGGTATGGGCCTGCTCATCTCGATTCTCGGCTATCCCGCTCTCGTTGGCCTAGGGGTAAGTCCACTGCAAGAAAATCCCTGATCTGCAGGTCCTCCTACTTTCCGCTCCTTTCCAGTGGTACATGTTCAAAAGGATGTACTTCTACCGCGATGCCCAGCAAAAGATCGTTGATCGACGAGTACGCATACTCTCCGAGGTGATCGGCAGCATCAGGACGATTAAGCTGTACTCGTACGAATCCTACTTCAGCGGCAAGATTTCCGACAAGCGTAATGAGGAACTGGCCCATCTCGCGCAGAACGGCATCAGTAGGGCCTTTACCACCGCGACCATGGCATTCATCCCCGTTCTTGCTGCCATGCGTAGGTCCAGTCACAGCCTGTGCTGACTTGTAGTCTCCTTTGTCTGTAGTCTCCTTTGTCGCCTACGCTCTGACTGGCAACTCCCTCCAGGCCGGGATCATCTTCTCCTCCCTACAGTTCTTCAACCTACTGAGAGGCCCAATTGCCTTCCTTCCAATGGCCGCGGCAGCCATTGCAGACGCCCAGTCTGCGCTTTGTGAGTCGATGAGCGACCCCGCTGACTGTAGTGCGGATCGGAGAAATGCTACGAGCCGAAGAGCAGGTCCTCCAGCTCGATATCGACGCAGATCAACCATTTGCCATCGATGTTGATGCCGACTTCCAGTACGAGGTCAGTACGACCGTGGTCGAGGAAGACAAGCCGCGCGGGATACGACAGCGCATTGCGGCTCTGCGCAAAGGGCCCGTCAGGGTCGACCAAGATGAAGATACCGAAAAGCCGGCGCCGCCATTCTCTCTGCGCGGAGTAAAGCTTCAAATACCCAGAGGTGAGTCGTGCTTGGATCAAGCTGATAACAGGATCCCTTGTGTGCGTGGTCGGACGTGTCGGTACCGGAAAGACTGCGCTACTCAACGGCCTGATCAATTCTCTGCGCAAAACGAGCGGATACGTCAAATTCAGCGGAGAGATCTGCTATGGTGAGTTGTGTCAAACGCAGAGCTGATATAGTCCCCCAGCAAGCCTGGATTCAGTCTGGTTCGATCCGGCAAAATATCGCATTCTCCCGAAGCAAAGGGGATCTACAGCACATCATTGATGCTTGTGCTCTGCAGGAAGACTTGGACCTCTTGTCTGACGGGGTGGAGTGAGTCCATGCAATGCAGCGCTGATGAGCAGCACCGAGGTAGGCGAGAAGGGCATAACTCTTTCAGGTGGCCAACGGCAGCGGATCTGCATCGCCAGGGCTGCCCACGATACTGCCGATATCGTGCTCCTGGATGACCCCCTGTCAGCCGTGGACCCAAAAGTCGGCCACCACCTCGTACATCGGTGCATCGTGAGCGGGCCCTTTGGCAAGCGAACCAGGATTCTGGTCACCCATCAGCTGGACCTTTTGCCTCACGCTGACCTCATTCTTGTCATGGATCGCGATGGCGAGCAGGGCAGGATAGCGCAGCAGGGGTCTTACACAGTGCGATGGACTTCTCTTTGCACGCATCACCTGCTGATATCAGGATCTGATGAATCAAGAGGGCATATTCCGCGACTTGATCGACGAATATGGATCGCATTCCGCCGATACGCCATCAGAGGTCATCGAATCCAAGACAACTGTCCAAGCAGCTGGAGTCAAGATCCACCTCGACGAAGAGCGAGAGACAGGCGAGATCGGCTGGGCAGTGTATTCAGCCTGGTTTACAGCTGTTCGCTCTCGGACGCTCCTCACCACCATCGCCTTGACCCTGTCCTTTGGCCAGGTCGCCACAGTGGGCAGTTCCCTCTGGCTGGCTTTCTGGAGTCAGGAGACATTCCGCCTCGCGCAAGGTCAATACATAGGCGTCTACGGCGGACTCGGCGCCTTGGTGGTCTGTTTTGGGTTGAGTGGCAACGCTGACGAAGGCTAATGGTCAGTTTGTGGCTGCTTACAGCTTGATGAAGGCCGGACTACGGGCATCGCGTACACTGTTCGAGAAAGCTTGGAACGGGGGCATGGCCTCTCCGGCTTCCTGGCACGATCGGACACCAAGCGGACGTGTGATCAGTCGATTCTCAAAGGATATCGCCCAACTGGACGACAAAGTTGACGGCTACTTGGGGGCAATTCTTGACGAACGCACTCGGCGTGGTTGGAATATTTGGTCTCATCGCTTATACGTACCCATGGCTTTGTTTGGTGTTCGCGCCGCTGCTGGCGTACATTGTAAGTTGACATCCATGGCGTTGCTGATCCAGTACCTCGCTACTGCATTCTACCGCAAGTCGTCTCGTGAGATCAAGCGGGTGGAATCGCTCGTGAGATCTCACGTGTACAGCTCTTTCGCTGAGCAAGTGAGTCTAGCATACTGTCAAGCTTACCCAGCTCGCCGGCCTGGACGTGATCAAAGCATTCAATTGTCAGCAGCGTTTCGCAACGGATCTGCAATACGCAGTGGACCGGCAGCTGGTGAGTGGCGTAAAGAGCGCGCTAATGACAGGACGCTCAGACTCTGGGAGGTGTTATGATGTTCTGGCTGTCTATGAGGCTGCAGACGTTGTCTTTGTTGTTGAGCTTTGTAAGTGAAGGAGATTCGGCGCTTATACCAGCTTGTCGTGGTGTTTGGTATGGTCTTCCGGTCAACCGTAGACCCGGCAAAATTCGGTGTAACGCTTGCATACGCACTGTCTACGGCTACAAGTGCGTGTGAAGATGGACAAGCTGACGACAGGCATGCAGCAGCTGGCCACCGTAAGTTATGGTCTGCATCGAGCTGACGTCAGATGTTTGCGCGATGCGAACAGGAGATGAATTACGTCGAGCGGGTGAAGCACTATGGGGAACTGCAGCCCGAAGCGGACGCGCATCGCTCTGACGATCCCGAGCACTGGCCGATCGCAGGCAGGATCGACTTTGTGGACGTCCAGCTGCGATACCGACCAGATCTTCCGGCTGTATTGAACGGTCTATCCTTCTCGATTGAAGCGGGCGAGAAGGTCGGAATTATCGGACGAACGGGAGCGGGAAAGAGCAGCGTTGTCAATGCTCTCTATCGCACTGTCGAGCTTTCTGGGGGTCGCATCGAGATTGACGGCGTTGACACAAAGAACCTCGGTCTCGAGACTGTAAGCACTTGTCTTTCACGACTGACGTCAGCTTCGCGGGCGCTTGAGCATTATCCCTCAGGAGTCTTTCCTATTCGAGGGGACTGTCCGTAGCAATGTCGATCCGGCCGGTCTTCGCTCGGATGCGGAGCTGAACGAGGCCTTGAACCTGATACACTCGAGCAATTCCGCCTCCACCAGTTTGAAGGAAAAGTTCCGACTTGACAGCGATGTCCACGCCGAGGGGGCCAACTTTAGCGCGGGCGAGAAACAGCTACGTAAGTACTTGGTCGATAGAGCTGATGACAGTCGCACTCATGCGCGCTTTGGCCCGACGGAGCAAAGTCCTCTTCCTGGACGAAGCGACATCGTCTGTGGACCCAGAGACAGATGCTCTCATTCAGAGAATCATTCAAGCCGAGTTTGGAGACGTCACAGTGAGTTGTAGTGTCGACTCGGCTAAAGTAGTTACTTTCCATCGCTCATCGCCTCCAAACTGTCGCCTACTACGACCGGATCTTGGTGCTTGACGCTGGGACTGTTGCAGAGGTGAGTTGTTGGGTGAATGCATCTGACGTTAGTTTGCAAGCCCACTCGACCTCTTTGATCGACCCGAGTCCGTAATCCGCAGCCTGTGTGACGTCAAGAACATCACGCGTGAGGATATCGTCAAGATCAGGGGCGGGTGATGTGAGAGCAGGTATGGCTGCGTATCTGTGTATACTGTATGTATAATTGACCATCATTGGCGATGATGCCCCGCTAAGAGTCTTGTCGCATCGCGTTGAGCTGTACCCGAAATCAGAACCCTTGATGCATTATAGCTCGTCGACAAAGCGATTCTTGATACCGAGCAGCTCGACTTCAAAGACCAGCGTGGAATCAGGGGGAATGACAGGGGGGTGGCCACGAGCTCCTGAATGTTAGCCTCGCTCCAACCCAGACTCACCATAGCCCAGCTCGGGCGGGATGGTCAACTTTCGCTTCTCCGAGACACACATCGAAAGCAGTCCCTGCTCCCACCCCTGAATGACCTGACCTGCGCCGACTACAGTCCGTCAGCACTTCAAGCTCAGGAAGGGCAAAGCACTCACTCGTGAACTCGAAAGGCTGGTTGCGGTCCAGAGAGGAGTCGAATTTCGAGCCATCTTTGGCAAGTGTGCCGGTGTAGCTATCATCAGCTACGTCCCTGGTCTGACCCACTGCATGCTGAGCTTATCGCCCTTCCTGGTTTTCAACGGGCAGTCATCTGGTTTGTACTTGACGCCAATTTGGAGTTGGGATGCCGATTTCTCGGTGGCTGCGAGAGCGACCAAGGCGAACAGTGCGACGATGAATAGCTTGAGCATGGCGAGGGGCAGTGATCGGTCTGGATGATAGTTAGGTCGCAAGATGGCTACTGTAAACTCAGCAGCGTGGACGCGACGTGACAGTGACACGTGGCATTTAGGGTTTGTCTGGTATCAATTCCTCACCTGCTCGCCACCTAAAAGCTCTCTCCAACCAACACAACTTTCATTCCTTATCCCACCCTACTCACGACTTTACGAGCAGACAAAACATTCACAAAGATGGAGAACCAAGCAACCTTCAAGATGGTCCTCTGCGGTGATGGTGGTACCGTGAGTCTCCAGACTGGGCAAATGCTCAAAGCTAATCCTATAGGGTGGGTTCTTATTCGAAGCAAGATATACAACTCATACTGACCCTGCCTTTCTCTGATATAGGCAAGGTGAGTTACCTTCTTAAATACTAGAGCTTCTGCTTACCATATAGACCACTTTCGTCAAGCGTCATTTGACCGGTAAGCCGCTGCTCAGCTATTCTATTATGTTTGCTGATCTCCAGGCGAATTCGAGAAGAAGTACATTGGTGAGCTCACTCATCGACCACTCTGACGCCAGCGACTCTCGGTGTCGAAGTCCACCCCCTCACCTTCCACACCAACTTTGGAACCATCTGCTTCAACGTCTGGGACACGGCAGGCCAGGAAAAGTTCGGTGGTCTCCGCGACGGATACTATATCCAGGGACAATGCGGTATCATCATGTTCGACGTTACCTCGCGTATCACCTACAAGAACGTCCCCAACTGGCACCGTGATCTCGAGCGGGTATGTGAGAACATCCCCATTGTCCTTTGTGGAAACAAGGTCGATGTCAAGGTGAGTTTGATCCTCAGAGACCAGTGTCGTGCTGATAGTAGGAACGCAAAGTCAAGACCGGCAACGTCACCTTCCACAGGAAGAGTAGGTCTCCGCCTGATCTCGCTAATGATAGAAAACCTCCAATACTTTGAAATCTCGGCCAAGTCCAACTACAACTTTGAAAAGCCCTTCCTTTGGCTCGCCAGGAAGCTCGTCGGGTGAGTAGGCTTACCGTGCCCGGCTAATGTCAGTAACCAATCCCTCGAGTTTGTTGCTGCGCCCGCCCTGGCCCCGCCAGAGGTCCAGCTCGACCAGGCCATGATTGCGCGATACGAGGAGGAACTCAAGCAGGCTGCGAACGCGCCTCTCCCGGACGAGGACGACGCCGACCTTTAAGCTACATGTCATGCATCATTCGTTACGTTTCAGCTTAGATATGTGTGGGAAGCGCTCCTGTATCCTTCTCATGTCTTCGAGCTGTTTCCGACGCGCTGCATTGCAAGTTTGCCTATAGTTAGATCGGTACGATGACGGACTCACCATTGGAATATCGAGACGATTACAAAACTTGCCACTGCCCAATTCGCTCCGGCTCTTGGTGCTATCGTCAGCTTGACCTATCTCTGACTCACATCTCGAGGCGAGATATCGAACAGCGCCAATCCCAGCACCCCCTGCGATGCCCGAGAGCAAGCTCTGCCTGATGCAGGGGATCTGCTCGATGTTTCGGAAATCGTTCTTCAGATCGATCGTCTAGAGTCAGCATGGCCTGCGAAGCGCTCACCTCGAGAGCCTTCTTTATATCCGTCACCCTATCGCCCGAGAGCTGCTCATCGCTGACAGGCTCGCTGATGGTGGAATTGCCAGTGGGGATATTCAGTGTAGGCATGGTATGGGTGAAACAGATACATGCTCTAAATAAAATGTCCAGAATTCAAGCGCTGCCAATCAGCCGAGCAAAATCAAGCACGTACCTTCATTTTTCCTCCGCCGTCTTGGAGTCAGATGTAGACTCCTCGTCCAGCTTCTCCAGATCCCTCCTAGCTGCTCGCCTTTGATATATCGCCCATGCACCAGCGGCTGTGACGATCATTCCGAGGAGGATTGTGCAAACAATAAAGGGGGTTTTGTCCACACGCAACGGAGAAGCGTCGTGCTCGGGTGATGCAGCAGGAGGGGAGAAGTCTTGTTGCGGGGGAAACAGCGTGGAGTTGGACATTGTGGGTGGGCAGAACAGAAGCGCTCAGACGAGCTCTATATGTAGACGTTGCGCTTTGGCGCTAAAGAGATACATTCATTGAAATGAAACCCCTACTAGTACTGCCCCTGGTAACCACCCTGGCCGCCTAAAGTGTCAGCCCCGTCCAAACTGTGAGATTTTGAGCCATAACGTACCGTAGCTCTGCTGTCCGCCACCGCCGTAGCCGCCCTGGCCACCACCGTAACCGCCACCACCGCCCTGCTGCTGGCCGCCACCGTAGCCGCCCTGACCACCACCACCGTAGCCGCCCTGGCCACCACCACCGTAGCCGCCTTGGCCGCCCTGCTGCTGCTGGCCACCGTAGCCGCTGTTGTAGCCACCACCGCCGTAGCCACCACCGCCACCACCGTAGCCACCCCCACCACCGGCACCGCCAGCAGGGCGAGCGTTGGCGAGGTTGACACGGACGCGACGACCGTCAAGCTCCTGCTCGTTCATCGAGGCGATCGCGGCCTCAGCCTCGGGCTGGGAACCGTAGGTCTAGATCTCAGAACTGTTCTCCAGTGAGGCGGGAAATGGTAGAAAAAAGATACACACGACGAAACCGAAACCACGCGAACGACCAGTCTCACGGTCCTTCATGACGATACACTGCAAACGAGTCAGAAACACAATCCACACAAGCAAGAGAACAAACAAACGTCGGTAACCTGGCCGTAGGCAGAGAAAGCCTTGACGAGATAAGCACATTCATACGTCTGCGTACTACAGACAAAGAGCCAACCTGGTGGAGGAGATCATCCGTGGTGTTCCACGAAAGGTTTCCTAAAGGATCAGCGAAAATTCCACGGGTCGAGACAAAGGAGGCTACGCACCGACGTAAACTTTGGCAGCCATTTTGAAGATATGTAGTGTATGTGTTGAGAAAGGAGAGAGAGACAATGTAGAAAGGGACAGGGGGAGAGGGGGGAAATCGAGAGGGAGAAGCTTCGAAAGACGGAATCTATTCTTTCAGGGGCGCGGTGTTATGTTTGGATAACGCCGAAAGGGAAGGAGAGTGGCGACGATGCAGATGACGTAATTGAGGGGCTCCCTACTCCGATCGACTGCGCGCCTGCTCTTGTCGACTCATTCCTTGACCTTACAACTTCTATTACTCCACGTCAACCTCGCCATAACTCTGAACATGGACCGAGACCAGCCAGACGGCCCCGCGCTCCACATCGTCCTAGCCAAGCAGCGGGAGCGAGAAGCAGTGCGTTTCTCACCGCCGCTGACAACTACGCTAACGCGTAAAGCCAACAGGCTGAACACCAAAGGCAACGTGATGCTATAATAAAGGTAACTCCTGGTCGCAAAAGAGCTAATAGTAGGACTCGCAAAAGGACCATACGGCAGACAGATTCGTCGGCGTGGTAGAAGCCATCGACGACAGGCTCAAACGATCCACAGTCGGTCTCGTTACCCTCTCCGACTTTCAGCGCGCCAAAGAGTCGCTGGAAGAAGAGGCCCGGCAAGTAGCCGCCAAAACCAAAGCCGAACAGTACGCCCCCCGCCGACATCGCTGATGGTAGAAAGTCACTGTCCCGCGCAAAGAAGGGAAAGAAGCGGGACGTAAAACTCTCCTTTGACGATGAAGAGGACGATGCTCCGTGAGTTCTCGACCAACATGGCTGACCTCAGACACAAGAAGCGCAATGCCAGTCCGTCGTCAAGCGATGCCCCCAAGGAACGCCTCAGCAAGAACCCCGACGTCGACACTTCATTTCTCCCGGACCGCTACCGCGAGGAAGAGGAACGCTTACACCGTGAGGACCTCCGCAAGAAGTGGCTGGCGGAGCAAGAGCGGATCAAAAACGAGACGATCGAGATTGTGTATTCTTTTTGGGACGGCAGTGGGCATCGCAAGACCGTGGAGTGTCTGAAGGGAGACGACATTGCAGCGTTCCTAGGCAAGTGTCGCGCCCAATTCCCCGAGCTACGCGCGACCAGCATCGACAACATGATGTACATCAAGGTGAGTCATGGTAGGAAGGCGCTGATGGCAGGAGGATCTCATTATACCCCACGTATGTCCGGCGGAAGACTACGCTGACAACAGCACTACACCTTTTACGACTTTATCGTGAACGGTGCAAGGGGCAAATCCGGTCCCTTGTTCAACTTTGACGTCCATGACGACGTACGAATGGTTTCCAACGCATCGCTGGAGAAAGACGAGGTGGGTCAAAATCTGGCAGCGCTAACGACAGTCTCATGCCGGAAAGGTTGTAGAAAGAACATGGTACAACAAGTTCAAACATGTGAGTCGTTGCAAAAACATTGCTGAGTTAGATCTTTCCAGCATCGCGGTGGGAAGTATACGATCCAGACAAAGACTATGGATCGTACAAAGTTAGGGGGTAGTCATGCATCGTCAAGATTACTACGCGCCGCCGGCCAATTTCTACTCATCAGCCCTGAAATGTCCAGCACTCACCCTAATATCTGCCGCAGAGATCGGACAGGGGAAGCTGGCATCGCTGTTGGTTGTTACTGGAATGACAAAGCTGAGTATCCTCAATTTGAGGTACAGCACATATTGCACCGTGACGTCCTGGCTCGTGGCGGAACCGCATTTGGCTACATCAGCGATGTTACACTATGACTCACAAATCAGATCCTGCAAGATGACCTGGTTGGGGTCGATACTGGACGAGTAACTTTTGTTAGCTATCGCTACTGTGATGACCTACTTCAAGGCCAGGGGGAAGCTAAAGCCTGACTCGGCATAGCCCGCAAAGTTGACATTGTACAATGTCCCCCCGCCAAACTTGGAGTCGACACCGGGATACTTGACATCTGCCGAGATCTCCTTAAAGTCGACGTTGAACCAATTGGGGTTGGATACACTGCCTCAGTAAAGTCCCCACGCGAACGCACCTAATGTCAAGATTGATGTTGACCGAAAACGAGTTGCTGTTGAGGTTTACGCCTGATGTGCCGAGGTTGATGCTGTTGAGCGAGAGATTAGGAGGCCGAACGTACTGGCGTGAGCAGAGCTCCCCGATCCACTCACAAGTGCGATCGCTAGCAGCATGCTGACGATGATGATGACCGACAAGGTCGTACAGCAGCAGCAGAATCGAAAAAAGGTACGAACGCCTCCACCCTACTGTCAGCACTGCCGAGCTTGTAACCCACTCTTGACCACTGCTTCCCCCGCTCATCCTTCCGCCACATCCGAAGGATCCCTGTGCTCCTCGGCGGTGGTCCAACCTCTGCCCATGATTTCGTTTGGTTCAGTCCCGCGCGCCCTTTGCGTTCACGTTCGGTGTTCTGCGGGTAACCATCTGTGATCTTCTCGGCACTGGGGTTTGCTTGGAATCCGGTGTCCGTGGAGGGATCGAGATGGTGGGTTTGGTAGGGAACGGTGTTGTTGTACGCGTTTTGGTAGTGAGGCGCGTCGACGTGTTGGTTTTGGTTGTAAGGATCGTCATACTGCGCGCTGGAAGACGGGACTCCGCCACCATGAGCACTTTGTGACCACATCGTGAGGGACAGAGGGCAAGAGCTGAGGTTGTACGATGAAGTATGGAAGAAAGCACAAAGCTGTGTCTGCTGTATCGAAAGCACGCGACTGGCAGTTTACGTAACGCGTTTCAGAATGCGGAACGCTGCAGCTGCAGCAGCTGCAGATCCAACCAGAACTCGTCTTGTCACCATATTCATCTCTGCCCGCCATGACGGACATCACCTCGGCCTTCAAGGCATCATGCCAAGGTCCGCTCTTGATGTTTTGCTCGATTCCAGCTGACAGACAGCCATTCCACCCGCAAAAATGATCAAAAGACCCAGCACATTACTCCTGGACGTCATGAATGCCATGCCCTTCTTCGACCCCGCGCTGGACACGGGCCAGGTCGACCGGGCCGCTACATTCGATCTCTCAGCTGCCCTTTCGGTGATAGAGATCTGCGGAGTAATGGACAAGATGTTGCAGCTCGAGGTAAGCCATTCCGCGGATGAGCTAATTAGATCTCGTGGCATCTCGGAGCAACCCTTTGCGATACAGTATTCACCGCGCGCTATTACCACCACCCAGCTGCGATCTCAGGTATATCCCTCCACTCCTACACTCTTGCCTATATCAAATCGGTCGAGCTCGTATACAACGAGTTTGCCAAAGGCAACGTAGTGGACGGCGAGGATGTCCTGCTGGACCACCATGGGATTTCGATAGGCATGTCCAACTCTGTCGAACAAGTCATGGTCATGCTGGACGATGCTATCCAAAAAGAGAGTGAGTCTTTCGTAAAGCATAGCTGATCCAGTCTCATCCGACATCTCACAGCGGCTAGCTCTACGCAGGTCCATGCTGTCTCTTTTCGCCAATTCCTCGCAGCCCCTTGATCTTCCCCGCTTTAGCATATCCCCAATCAGCAATTCTCCTGCCTTCACCCCGGTCACTCACCTCCTACGGCAAGCCATGCCGCTCATGCCGAGCGCACTCTGCGACCCGTGCCTCTACCTCAACCGGCTTGACGGGCAAATGCGGGCGGTCCACGGCATTGTCGGCCCAAAAGCCTGGCAGGCCTATCTGTCGACGGAAGAGCTCTTGCCGTACGTCCGCTCAGTTGCGGCTGGCAGAATCGCCGAGATGGACAACGCGTATCAACGCCTATCCGCCCACACGCAGTCGCCGGGAATCTGGCGAAGTATTGCCGACGGAGTGAGTGACAGACTTTCCGAGCTGACTTCAGTGCGCTATTGCCACACTACGCGTCCCTTTGCAAAACAGAGCTCGACAAAGACGGCTATACCTATCTGTCGCGCACTCTTGGCACGAACGGGCCACTTCGGCCTTTTCTGCGCGCGACCTGGAAGGATTCCGATGGACGCACGCTCTACGCTTGGACTGCTTACTCGAAGCTAGTCTGGCGGCGTACGATCTCAACCTCTGCCCCCCTGCCGAGTATGCACAATCCCTCTGGTGGATACAGCGTATGTCAGCAGTCCGGTGTAAGCTGGAACACAACTGGTGGTCAGAAGTCTGGATGCATATCGCATCCGGCTTGTTGAAGAAGCTGTCGTCGAGGCCGCTGGCGGGGGCGAGCTCAAGGGATCAGTTTCTTTTGCGACACAAATGGGCGAGAAAGACACCATATCCCAAAAAGGGCAGGGGACTGGTTCCGCGCTGGGACGATTGGAAGTCAGCGGAAGCGCTGTATCGACAGCAATCTGTGAGTAGACGCGAGACTGGGCTAATTTCAGCTATACGACGACGGAAACTCAGATCTGGCGATGGCCGAACGGCTCCTAGAGCAAACAACCAGCGCCCATCTAGTGAATCTGCGCGACGAACTGAGACAAAACCAGCCAGGGTCAGGGGAATGGACAAGGGGTACATGGATGTATATTATGCGGTAGCCTCTCGCTCACGCAGTCTTGCCCGCAATTCCTCCATAAACGCCTCTCCGCCGTCCAACTCCACCTCCAGCTGACTGGCCACCTCGGCAATCGTCTTGCTCCTGCTGACAATCTCCTGAATCTCCTTGCGCCGCTGTTTCGTCATGTTGGTCGGGGGCGTCGGCTTGAATTGGGTGAGGAGGAATTTGGTGTTGCCCCAAGGGTTGTCCAGGTAGTGAGCCAAGCGGAGCAGCATGGGGATGTTCTGGGTGACGTTGCAGACAAGACCGGTAGACGCAAATACCGAAGGGTTGCGCTCCGCAGCACGAGCCAGCATAATTGAAGAAGCACCTGGCATCAGCGCAGTCCTACACAGTGCTCACCAGTCATCTCTCTGATCCGATCCCGATTAGGCCAGCCGTCCCCGTCCCCGTTGCAGATGACCGGCAAGCCTCGCTGCTCCCCTAGCTTGACGATATCGCCGAGCCGCTCCCACATCGCCTTGTCACCTGGTCGCATATCCCGCGTACGGCAATGTACTGTGAGGTTGCGGATACCCGTCCGTAGAATCCTGGCGGCGAGATACAGCGTATCTGGCTGAGTTGGCAGCAGCCGGATCTTGCAGCTGATGGGCAAGGGTATCTCGTCCAAGAGAGCTCGGAGGATATTGAGGAGTACGTCAGGTGTTGATAGCAGGGCGGCGCCCATACCAGAGTGGGTGGAAAAGGGCTTTGGGCATCCGCAATTGAGATCACTGAATCAGCTTTGCCACCATAAATACCCACATTCCGGCCACATCCTGCTGAACCGTACGAGCAGCTTTCACTGCAAGCTCGGGATCGGAAGATCCTATTTGAAATATCACTAGATTCAGCTGGATCACAGCAGAACCTACAGTATGGCTTCTCGATGGGATGTGTCGAAAAGATCGGGCCCTGGCCTTTCGAATAGGTGATGACACCGGTAGTGGCTGGCGTCAGCTACGCCAAGAAGGGCACGTACGGTCTACCTTGCGCTCAGATCCGATGACAGCCTTGTCGACCACTTCGGGAGACCACACCAGATCCGCCCCGTAGTATAAGGAAAGCAACCGCTACTGATTAGAATTGCATCATTGACAACCTACCATAGGCACTGTCGTCAGCTATTTATATACGGTCAACTCACAGCTTCCAGTGCGCACCATCGGCGCCAGGACAAATTTATCCCTATAGTCAAGCTCGTGTTCATATGTCTTGACGTGCTCAATAGGGAGACGCATCTCGGCGATGGTTGGATCGTCCATGTCCATCTTGAGCCGCTTGGCTGATGGTGACTCTGCGGCTGGGGATTCATCCCGAGGTCGCGTGAGGCTGGCGGGCATCGTGCGCAGTATTCTTGGCGCCAGAGTGGACAGTACAGGAGCAAGGCTTCTTGCGGCCAACATAAAGTAGTATGTGAAGTGGACTCAGACTTGTTGCAAGATCAGCGACGGACAAACGTTTATCGTAACGTAATGAGGTATTCTGCCGTCGTTGCCAAATCTCGGATTGCTGCTGGCTTCGACCATACATCATGCCATGACTTATCAAGCGAGGCTCACCCGCCTCAGGAAGCTCATCGATCCGATCACTTCTGCCGAGGCTTCACCCTCGGCATTTGTCCCTCCTGGACACAAAGAATCTGAAAGAGACAGATGGTCCGCTGCACATGACCAGGCCCTCCTGGACGGTCGGCACAAGGGTGGGCTCACTAATCGGGACGGAACTGATCATAGATGTAAGACCAATAACCCTCAGCTCGGAAGACTTTCGGACCCTACGCATCATTGGTGAAGGACAGTTCGCGACGGTATGTGCCAATAGATGGCCTATCTGATGATCAGGTCCAACTTGTGCAATGCGCGCTGGATCAACAGCTGTACGCGATGAAGGCGATCCCCAAGTATAAAGCCGACAGATACAGTCAGGTAAGCGCCGCCATATACTCTGCTGATTCCAGGCGTTGCAACTGCCTGCGGAGCGGCACTTACACTTGCTCGCGAGCGAGATCGACTACAGCCCAGCGCCTGCCCTTTTTGCCGCGTTTCAATCTTCCAGCACACTCTACCTTGTGATGGACTTGGCCGCCTCGGGATCTCTTGCCGACCGGATCGAGAACCTTCCAGGCAGTTTGCCCGAAGGGGAAGTGCGCTGGTGGGCAGCTCAACTGCTGGAAGCTATTACCTGGGTGCACAAGCAAGGATACGTCCATCGGTAAGTCGACTCCTGGTCAAGCTGACGATAGCGATATCAAACCGGCAAATCTACTCGTCACGAGCGGGCACCGGCTGCTCATATCCGACTTTGGATCCGCAGCTCCCTGCGCGCTCGACGCAAGCCTACTCGATCCGCAATACTGTCGCGAGCCGACGGGAACGCCCGATTACATCGCGCCGGAGATTTTGCGGTGCGCGGAGCTCGCCCTTATCGAAGACGACGTACCCCTGACCCGGTATGGACGCGGTGTCGATTGGTGGAGCATGGGCGCCACTATATTCGAGTTGGCGGTCGGACAGCCACCATTCTACTCTTCTGCGATACGGTCAACATATGATGCTATCCTGGTGGCAACGCGCCTAATCCCTGCGTCACTGTCATTCGCTTTGGATGACCTTTTAGAGCGGTAGGTTTGCCTATCACGTAGTAGCTGACGGCCAGGTTGTTATGCCAATCTGCCCTCCGCATCGACGCTGAAGATATACATCGTCATGCTTTTTTCGCGGTACCGACCGGTATGTCATCTATCGGACTCAGCTAACAAAGAAGTCCACCCGCCAGATCTGACTGGTCTTTGCGATATCGCCGACGGGACGAGCTATCTCGAGCCCGATTCCGTCAGCGAGATGACCGACGAATGCGTGTCCATTACGCAGATCCAACCCGTCGGCGAACGTAACGCGAGATGGTACGGATGGACACACCTGCCGTCCGCGGTCAACCCGTCCGAAGCGCCGCTCAAAGTCTCTCCAGCCAGAACGGTCCCACAGACACCTCGGCCACGTCGAGATCGCGAGGACGCCACGATTATGACTTCTCGTCGGGAGGGCCTGCTCAATTGTGTCCAGCAGAGCGCCAGAAAACAGCGAAGAAACGCGCATTCCAAGTCACAAGGCCTAAAGGAGGAGCTCCAATCCATGACGCGAAGTCTAGATGTGAGTGATTGTTGGCGCCAAACTGATTGGCGCAGGAGCTCTCGTGTCGCCTACAGGAAATTCGCCGTGTCCTGTCCTGAAGCATATTACATGCCAGGACGACCAGGCGCCGCCAGGGGTGCTGGTCAATGCTGCTTATATCGACAAGGAGTAGATCCCGTCAAGGTGCGTGCCTCACCGGATCCATGATACTGGACATCGGCCAACGCAGTTGTATCGACGGTACCCGCGATGTGTGCACAGCTGAGAATACGCAGGCCCTACACGACTAGACGCCGTACTCAACGGTCCGTCCCGGGCTGTCCGTTGGTCGTTCCCACGCTGCTTCGATCAGCACCTGGGAGGCGGAAGCCACCAGCCTAGTCGCCCTCACGAATGAGCACCACATCGGTGCTCTGCACTTGTCTGCTGCGCCCGTGGTCCCGTGACTGTCGCTCCAGGCTCAACCATGTCTCAGTGCGCAAGCTCCTGACGCCCTTGATCTGAACCCTCCCCAACAATGTACCCGGTTGCTCCCGGTTCCCGTCCTCACGGTCACCCTCAAGCGGATCCTCTTCACCATCCAGGCAAGTCATCTCTGTGCCTTTTCAGCAAGCGCAGTCGCTGACTGCCCGGCAGTATTCAGCCAGCCCTCCTTCATTTGGAGCGACACCATGTCGGGGGCCTCACGGCGCTCACTACGGCTGGGAGTATAGGGGGTCTCGGTGCAGTCCCCTCATCCACGTAATATTCGATCCGTCGACTACACCAACGTCCGACCCCTTACCTCTCGTCACGTATGTCCAGGTCGGGAACCTGGCCACCATGCCGGCCACTCCTATCGGTACGCTACCGCTCCGTTGTCATCGTCGATGAGGAGTACGACTCGGGCGCCTCGGCATTCACTGCCACCTGCTCGCCCGCTGCCGGCCCTGACTCTCCCCACTCTGGCGGTGCTACAGGTCGTCGCGCTGGCGAATTTATGATCGACTCCGGCGCCACTCATCACATTGTTCGAGTAGATGGTCCAAGGTGTCTGCAGTGTCAGCACCATCAAACAACCACAACGGACAAACTCACATCATCATTCCCACCGCCACCACCACCGGAAACCTTATAGTTGAGCGAGCAGAACTTGCCCCACGCAGTGCACCGCGCGCACTTGGGGAAGTCGGGATGAACCATGCACGGGACACCTCGACCTCGCGGACCCGGAGCACAGGCATCGCAGCCGTTGGGGTGGCGGTGACCTTGCTGAGTGATGATCACGGACCCGTCGTGGCGTTGCTCCTATATCATCAGCATATACCCATATATCACATCCAACATATATCAGAGGGAAAGTACTCACCACCACGGTAGTATTCCCAGTGGACTCCACCTCATCCTCCGATGAATCAGCGACCGAGACCGGAACCGACCTAGAGGTACCGGGGACCTTGGCGACGATGACGGTCTGAAGGGAATCGTCCGACACAGAGAAGGGCGACGCGACCGGGACCGGCTGGAGGAGCCTTGGGTCAATGTACGACCACGAGTGGTCGTCGGCGGTAGGACGGATGGACCAGATGGGATCGGCAAAGTCGATGGATGGAGTAGGGGATGGAGGGACGACAGGAGTAAGGTCGTCGCTCTGGAAGACGGAGGGGTAAACGTGACCCGAGTAGGACGAGGGCGCGTTGTACCCGAACGAATCGGCTACCGGCACGTAAGCCGAGGGAGCAGGAGGAACATAGCCGTCCTGCCAGCCGGGGACGAAGGCGGTCGCAAAGGGAGCCGAGGAAAGGTCATCGTCTTGATAGTAGGATGGATAGACGGAGGGAGCCGTGTATGGGGTAACGGTACCAGGCGAGACCGGCGGACTGGCGGGCTCCGGCGTAACCGAAAGGGTGTTGATACCGTAATTGCCAAACATCTGCACGTCAGCCGATGACCGAGGCAACCGGAAAGCCACAATAACGTACAAAGTTCTGGAACTCGTTGTCACGGGAGGGGGGTGACTGGGCGAGGGAGGTACCAGGACTAGTCTAAGCGCATAGAGATACTAGCGACAATACTGAGAGAGCGAGATAAAGAAGAGAGAAAGCTACGCTACGCTGACTAACCTAACTACGAAAGTGAAAAGCGGAACTATAAACGGCTATATAAAAGTGGCTATTTGAGTGTGGCATTCCCTACGGTAACAGACGTCCGGGGCACCAGAGCCGTACGAGAAGTTGGAGGTGTTGTCGTTGTTGTTGTCAAACATGTTGTGCAAATTGGCGAAGATGGGGAGATGTGGATGAGCTTGAGGAAAAGCTGGATAAAACCGCCCACATATATACCTCAGCCAACGGTGCGGAAACGACAGTGCGGGAAGGATTGAGCATGTGACCATGCAGAGACTGAGGGAGCATGTGTCTCGATGAGGGAGTGTTAGGAATACGATGTCTCAGCGGGAGCGATGCCGGCAGCGAGGCTACTCGGAAGCGAGCTCGGTACCGCGTAGGAACTCCTACACGGGACCGAGTAGGCGCACCTACAGTATAGAGAGTGCGACGCCTGAGTGGCGAGATCCCATGCCGTACTGCAGGGCAGTATGGCAGGTCAATGCGGCGGACCAAGCGTGGCAGTGCCAATGGACCATGGAGGCTATGTAGGAACTGTAGGACTTAGGAGGTGCTGCATAGGAAGTCCTACAATAGGGATTGTAGGAACTCGTAGGAACTCGTAGGGACTCGCGGAGGAACTCGTAGGAACTCGTAGGGACTTGTAGGGACTTGTAGGGACTCGTAGGAACTCGTAGGAACTACAAAAGTTCAAGACTGGAATATATAAGGAGGTCATATCGAGTCAAATGCATCCCCAGTCTGCTCTTGAAAACTTAACAGATTAGAACTCTGATACCATCCCTCGATCCTCACCAATGTTCAACCCCTTCCTGTCGTCAAACACGTGCAGGTCGGTATCAGGCCACCATCCCGACCACCCTCATGGGTACGCTGCACCTCAGTCCTCTCCACTTGCCGAACTCACTCGTCGTCCCAGGTCTATCGCTCAACCTCATCTCGGTGCGAAACACTCTGGCACCCTTCACCTGGAGCTTTCCCAACAACGTCGCGATCTGTCACCGCGTAGGCAGCCCGGTCCCTGTCCTTACGGCCAGACTCAAGCGGAACCTCTTCACCATCCAGGCAAGTAATGCTCCACGTACTATCAGCCAGCCTAGTCGCTAACCTCCTGGCAGTATGGAAACGGGCACACCTTCGCTTGGGTCATCTTAATGGCGGGAGGATCATGACACTCGCTACGACGGGAGAATGCCACGGGGGACGGGAGTGGGACGGGCCAGAGCTAGTCTAATGCATGGGATAAGCGACTATAATGAGAGAGCGGGATGAAGAAGAGGGGAGAAACTAGCTACGACTAGTATACAAGCTGCGCGAGGCAGGCCGGAGCGCAAGCTGATCCACTTTACGTATGATGGCTATGACTACGGTGATAGAGAATAGGAGGTCTCGATGCAGTCAGTCCGTTTCTCATCAAGCATATCCGGTGCATAGCCTGCAACTCAGGCAACAGGGAAATGCCTAGCATGTATACCCACTTGTGCTATGCTTTTGCTCGACCTCGTCCATGTTGTAAGAGATGGCAGGATGGTTCGCTTTCAAGCTGTGTGATCTGGAGCTCAGCTTGCGTATGATGAAGATGCGACAAGCTAATCCTTCAGGTCTACAAGACAGACGATATAGCAGAAGACGAGTCTTTACTGGAGAGATAGGCCGAGCCATAACTGTGTAAAACTAATCTAAGTGAGTCAACTCTATAGCATCAAACGGCACAGCCCCGTACGGCAAAGCCCGACTTAATCCTCCGCCTGAGACAGCCTTCACTCTCCCGCCTAGACTGCCGGTACTCAGCAGATTCCAATCCCGACAGCCTTTTGCAAAGAAGATCAGGCCGTGAACGGTGGGAATGTTAGGGTGCTTTGGTGTGATGTAAATCGCCTATATAGGAAGTCCGCTGTATAGGTCAGAAAGCCTCGAACTATGCCCCAGGTCGTCCGGCCAGACATACTGCATGAATCGTTTCTGCTGCATCTCCCCCTGAGATTTCAAGACGATATAAGGCTATGCATGAGACACAGGTGAGTCGGTCAAAGACTTGGGATATCCGAAATTGATTGAACCCTCCGACTGATTATCCATGCATCGCCCCGAGACGAAGCTCGCGATTTCGACCTGGACTGACATCGGCACAAAGCAGATTCCGATAGACGCGATTCCAAATTAACAACCAGCATACAGACCATCATGATCCTGTCTATCATGTTGCATCACGCTGGACTATGTAATCTTGCTATATTTACGCGTTTCCTGTTCATTGGATATACTATGCCATAGGGTATGTCTTCTGAATATGGACCGGCAGTGATGATGCGTGACTGAGAGGCACGGATCTACTTTTCGCAAGGCTTAGTGCCGTCGATCCAAAAAGCTTATCGTGGCCCCATTACTCTGTTGGCATCAGCTGAGTGCCGGGGTCAGTCTGAGTGAGTAGAGCGAGGAAAACCTCAGGTTTTGAATGGGGTCAGGTGCAGTGACGTTGTCGCCACCCACCTAAACACCCTCACGCCTCCCGCTTTCTACTCGCTCGAACGACCTCGTCACTACACCGCACACTCGCACAGCACACGGATCAATGCGTATTAGGCGGGTCATGCGGATCAAGGCGGGTCAGGCCGATCAAGCGGGTCAGAGGCAGGCCAGACGGGTCGAAGGCGGTACAGAGGCGGGTCGAGCGGGTCACAGGCGGCGAGTCGGACGGAAAGGAGGTGTCGACGGACAAAATCAGACATATATAAGGCAGCCCATTTCATAGCTAGGGATCCTTCTTGTGAGGATCTAAAATTTCATAAGTCTTCAACCAAACAAACTCAGATCCCAGCTCGCTCGTACCTCACTCGCCACTCACCTTCCACACCCATCAGCCCGCCACTCCCCCCTCACACTCGACGATCACCTTGATTGCCACTTGATCCTTCCAAGCACATCTACAGCCATCACATCGACACTCTCAGCTCGTCCACAGTAGTTGTCCCTTTCTCTAGTCAGTAGGCTTCTAGGGACAGCCCCCTGACATCAAGGCTTACTGCATGAGCTTGTGTGTTTCCTTGTACGTTATAGGATTGACTCACATCTATATCAATTTGACTTATACCTCAGCCTGATCAAGCGTCTGCTGGAATCCGCTCTGCTGGAATCCGCTGAGTAGCGGTCTTAGTCTCTAGGCGGGAAGAGTGAAGCGGTGAATGCCGGAACGAGCCATCTGTTCCATGGCTGATACGCGTACGGTCATATTGACAGTTCATAGAGAAACAGGCAGATTGAATAGAAGTCCGCTTCAATTCTACTAGCTTTCTCGATTATACATCTTCGCATCTATTGCGACCGGACTACACTTCCAGATGTTGATTACTTCCCCAGCTAATTGCTATTGACGCTCAGCTAGATCCAAAGAGATGTGGGAAAGAAGTGATGGGAAAAGCTACAAGTCTAGCTGACACGGCCAAGCTATTGTACAGACGGTGGATCCCGGACTTCCCGCTCAATCCCGACTATTCCCTCTTGGTATCCAGCCATCACGCCGTATCCCGCCAACTCCGCCATGATACGCCCGGACAAAGCTAATCAACGAGTCCCGACACTCCGACAATTCCGACATACATGTCGACAGGCGGCGTGGCCAAGTTGGAATTCGATCACGGCATCAAGAGGAAATTGCCCTTCGATGTAGCGCAGACCCGTATATCAACATTGAATGGTTCGAGGCTTGCTGTACGGGACTGTACCCTGGTAAGGCTGTCCATCTAGGTCATTTCCACATTAGGTCTGCTATGTCTCAGCCTATTTAGTCCTCTCCAGTATCCACTCGTCTTCTGCTACACAGTCTATTTCATATACCTGTGTCGCTTCCTCGTCATACACGACTCGAACCTCGGCCAATGAGCTTGAAGCGAGCCACCCTGCCATTTGCTACAGAAAGCTGTACAGACAAGAAGACTAGGCTGGTCGCAATACTGATGAGCTAACTGCCTGATTTGTTCAAACGTGGTGACTATCGCAGGCGTATGGATTGTAAACCGGTTCCTACATTCCGTCACGAGTTGTTGCTGAATTGCTCTCAGTGATTCGCCCTGATCGCCTTGGACTTGACGCCGGTCCGAATATGGGCGGGATTTTTTCCGCGAACGCGGCAAACGCTTCTGTAATCAGGTCAGGAGGGACGAGGCCCAAAAGATTGTGCCGAAGCTGTTGTCGTAATATGTCGGACTTGATACAGTGTATGTCGATATCTGGTGTCTCTGGGTAGGTATGCGGGGTATTACATAGGTTGACAGTGGAACAGAGATAAAGACAAATATTTTCCTAACGACGAAAGCCTTACTGCGGTGATTCCCGGTTTATATACTGACAGTGTGCGGGCTTCATCGAAAATTTCGTCTTGGCGTAACTTGGCTTAGCCTGCCATGAGGGATCTGGCGAAGACGGCGTGGGAGCTGGATGTCAAGAGGGAAAATCGAGCGAGAGCGGATAGCAGCAGAACGTAGCGAGACGACGCTCGTGTATATGTATGTACTTGCAGTAAATGGTTCAACTATGTCAGCTAGCCTTGAAGCCTTGAAATTTTTCATATTGTCGGAATTGACCGAGTGTCGGGTTGTCAGTAGATAGACCGGCGATCACCGCAGTAAGGCTCTCGTCACTAGGTAGATCTCTGTCTATATCTCTTCACCATTATCAACCTATGTAATACCCCCTATACCTGTTGGAATCCGCTGAGTACCGGTGTCAGTCTAGGCGGGAGAGTGAGGAGTGTCTCAGGCGGTGAATGGAGTCGGGGCTTGCTGTACGAGGCTGTACCCTTGTAGGTTGTAGTCTTGACTCACTTCAATAAAGTTTTACTTATGTCTCGGTCTAGTTAGTTGCCTTCAGTAAACACTTGTCTTCTGCTATATAGTTCGTCTTGCAGGCCTGGGGGATCATCTCGTCGCTTCTTCATCATACACAAGCTGAGCCTCCAGGTAAGTCAATGCATCGCTTCTTCATCATACACAAGCTGAGCCTCCAGCTTGAAGCGAACCATCCTGCCACTTCTTACACGGGCCGTGCCTTTTATGCTGCAGACTTGACTCACTCATATCAGATTTAGTCAAGTCTCCGCATAGTTAGTTTTCTTGAGTAAACACTCGTCTTCTGCTATATAGACTGTCCGTAGACCTGAGCGAGCAGCTTGTCGCTTCATCATGACACACAACATGAATCTCTCTTATCAAGCGTGTAGCCGACGATTCTACCATTTTTCACAGGTCTACAGTAGACACCTGAGAATTATAATAGTCTGGCTCGAGAGCCAAGCACGCACTTTGTCGCATCTTCATCTGCACAGCTGCACGTAGCTCACACATCATTCAGCCTGAAGCAAAGCTTTCTGCAATCTCCCACATGTTCACGTTAGACAGGTTCGTAGATTCTGTGTGAACCTTTCCTGACATATCCAGAATTACTGGGAAGTTGAAACCCATCGGATCACTTTGTCACGGCGGATTATGAAGATGGATGAGGGGACTACCAGAAGACGGCGGGATGTGACATACGGTATACCTCCACGTCAGGCAGCAATCGTTTTTTGGCGTAGTGGTCTCATTCTGAACACGAAAAAGGCTATCTACCTTTGGATGTATTTTAGCCAGAGTGGTAGCTTCTTTGTCCATGCTTCTGCACACTCATTTAGTATAGCCAGAATCGCGTCGTCGACGGAACTTTCCCATACTCGTTTAGGAGCCAGCTGAGCGTAAATTGCATCCAGCAGGAAGTGACGATATCCGAACCCTCTCCCAAATTTCCCCAAACAGACACCAGCTACGCGTTTGACCTTATCTTGTAAGAAGTGGCAGGATGGTTCGCTTCAAGCTGGAGGCTCAGCTTGTGTATGATGAAGAAGCGATGCATTGACTTACCTGGAGGCTCAGCTTGTGTATGATGAAGAAGCGACAAGCTGATCCCCCAGGCCTACAAGACGAACTATATAGCAGAAGACAAGTGTTTACTGAAAGGCAACTGACTAGGCCGAGACATAAGTAAAACTACATTAAAGTGAGTCAAGACTACAACCTACAAGGGTACAGCCCCGTACAGCAAGCCCCAAATCCATTCACCGCCTGAGACACTCCTCTCTCTCCCGCCTAGACTGACACCGGTACTCAGCGGATTCCAACATATCTTTCATGTCTTCGGACCAGCAGAGCTCATGCCCGTCGAGCAGATCTTTTTGATACTAATTACTTCTCGTCGGGCCCCCTGTCCAGGCCGTTCGTCGTCCAAGGGATGGTCACGATGTTCGCATACAAGATGTCGAAAATCATGATGTGAACACCACTTGGGAGACGAGACGTTGGTCGCGGCGCCCACTACTTCTCCAGCGCTGCATGGTCGATTGACGCACACCAGCACAGTGTCTTCTGTTGGAAGTTAGTCAATACCACTGGAGTGAGACGGAAGGTCTCAGGAAATCACGAAGCCGAAGCAATGGCTCTCGATCTCCACATTGCACCACGCTGAGCTACGGTTCGGAATCATTACCCCTTGCGGCCTCGCTCAAGCTCTTACGCGGTGCTCAACAGTCTGTTATCTCGCACGCAAAGCCTCGGCTTGAAGTAGCTGGGGAGATGAGTTCAGTCAGTAGACGAGTAATGCGACTGCGCCCTGGCTGGGATCCGCTGAGCATTGGCGTCGAGCAGGCGTGGAGACCCAGGTCACCTCCGGGATAGAAATTGGCTAACGGAGGGACTTGAGCACGGGACCGAACTGTTGTAGGTCGTGTGCAGCTTGACCCATCCTGTAGCTTCACTCATTCATATTTCAAATATATATCGTGTGGATCTGGTCGTATATTTGCAGTGAACTCTAGACAAACTTGTGCACCCTGGATTACTTGAGAGCAGAGTTGATCTCACGCCTCACATGTAATCTCAAATACAGATAGCTAGAACTGCTATTTCCGCCTCTCCTTGACTCCGCATATCACCGCCTCAACGTCGGTATCACTGCAACGGGCCTCTTGTACTCCTGTAGCTGATGATATCAAACATCCCCATTCGAGCATGTACTCTAGTCAATTCTTGCAATCTCCGATCTGTAAATACGTTCTGTGGATGGGACTCCCACTGCCGTCTGCTCCCTCGTGCAATTCGACCGCAGTATATGCCATGCAAAGGCCCTCATTCAACTGCATACGGCCGCACGGAAGCGTGCAGCGCATATGAACATCGTTCCATTTCCCACCTGCTGAGCACATGTGCTTCATCCCTCCCCGGTCTATGAAGAAAGGGATGGCATTTGCTACATGTCCAGATCGTGCCCAGATATGTAGCACATCATCACAGGCTCACTCTTACCGCTATGTATTATTAATTGTTTACCCACAAGATATCAGCCGTAAGATTCTGCTCCACAAAGTGCACTATCGTACTTATGACCTCTGAATCCACACAGCGGATCTCAGCCTAGACAACCTCTGTATCTTCCGCAGAATTCTCCAATTATCTGTAGAGGGCATCTTGCACCTCGCGCGCCCAAGTATCCCGTGATTTACGTCAGCTACTCCATAATGCGATCTGTTTTATGTTGATGACCGTCGTGACGTGGACCGAGGTCTCAGCCGATGAGCCAGTGGAGGCCCATTGGTGGAAGTGGGAGCGATAGTAACTTCTATTGCAGGCGTGTACCAAGCACTCCGGTCAGATTGTACTTCTTCTCCGCCCATTGCATATCCCTCGTACTTTGTCGGTCGCGGCGCGCACACTCGATCCGTTCCGCAATCCCTTGTATGGTGGTGTCTGACCGCCGCTGCGGTCAGCCCAATGACGATTAAAGGCTCACTGGGTGTCCGTCCATCCAGCGTTGATGGTCGCGTTACAGCTGTGGACAATCCGCGATTCGGCAGTGTGTATCATGTGCGATTCTCCTTGATAACATTGGCTCTCGATCTCCCTCTGAATGAGGCGGTGATTGCGACAATTTGAGCAGGCTCCCTGGACAGCCTAGCTGCCGAGCAGATTCCCCCGTCAGTGATTGAAAGCAGATGCAGTCTTTCTCTTCCGTATACACGTCCGCTCCTTGCCCTGCAGCAGAGTCCCCTCTGTGTATCTGCTGATCTTGAACGGAATGGTGGGTGTCAATGCTGTACGAATCCCTTCCGTACAGTCTCCAGGTTGGAATGTCGGCTCGAGACTTGTTTCGTCTTGATCGTGATGTGCTCGTATCTGGTCGCGCTCCGGGTAGATGGAAGTCTCGTCGAAGCGAAGAATTTTCAGTACGAGTCAGTACTTGGTCCTGCACTCAGCTGTACATGAGACCCAATCGGGGTTGACGCCTATTTTATTTACAAAAAGTCTTCTGCGGCTTTTCGTTTCCGCCCATTCGCAACATCTCCCTGATCCAACCCCTCGGTGGGAGATTGATAACGATATCGAGGTTGCTGCGCACGCTTTTCCGCCTGAATGTCAGCTGGGCTTGCCGAGAGGGACTCACCGGACTGGCTTCCACGTCGGGCCAGATGGTGCCGTCCTTCGGTGGCAGAACCACAACCTCTGGCGCCATGGATTGCCGCTGTGGTGTAGGTGCTGGACTGGACAAGCCGACTGACCGAAGAGCTGTTCGATCCACCGAGGGACTGGCCAGCGCTGGAGGCATGGCTGGTGGGAAGGGAGGTAAGAATCTGCTGTCAACCATATGACTGTTCGGCGACTTACCCTGGCATTGGCGGCATTGTTGGCGGAGGCATGCCCATGGGGTACGCATTTGGGAAGCCTGGGGGCATTCTGAAATCAGCTGTGTCGCGGAAAGCACTCACCCCGGGGGATAGAAAGCAGGTGGGGGGTAATTTGGAAGCGGGAGCGGGTTGTTGCGCTTTGCCATTAATGCTCGGTGCTGCGCGAGAGCAGCTTGCAGGTCGGCCTCGGGTATAACGGTGTATGCGTGTCTTGGCCGATGAGCCGCCGCCGCAGCGGCCAAGGCCACTGATCCTGCCTCGGTCTCCTTCCTTGCCTTCCATTCGGCCAGTGCGTTGGTCGGCACGCCCTCCATACCAAAGATTTCGACATCGAAGCTATCTCTGCCCGGCAGTGTATTTGTCAACCTGTCATCAGCTGGGCTAGTAGGCGAACTCACGGTTCAGGCTCGGTTTTGTGCACCTGTTGACTGTGGACCATCAAACCGCCGGCGGTCTGTCATCAGCTCGGTGATGGTAGGACTTACATTGAGTTTACGTGGACAGAGCTGACACTTGAAGTGCTTTGACTTTTGATGTTGAAGCAGAACTGGATTATCAGTGACTGGCGGAGACTATTATGTACCCTTGTCATCTTCGAATTCTCTCTCGCAGTACCAGCACCATGGCTTGAGGACCTGTGGGATGAGCTTTGTCGCTTGAGGCTGAGACTGTACTGACAAAGACTTGAGTCTTCTTCTTTCTTCCCATCTTGCTTGATGTATGATAGGAAAGAGTGGTTGGTTGCGGTGGATGGTTGACTTCAAGTGGGAGCGGAATCAAAATTTCAGTATCTCTCAACTGTCATCTCCTCCAGCTTGTCTACTGTCATCCATTCATCATGTCCAGACTCACCACAAGACAGCTTCACACTACCTGCATACGCTCATCACATATCGGTTCAACATCCATACCCATCCCAAAACCCGTACAACTCCGCTTCCCCTTTGACCTCCCCGCAACCTCCACTTCCACAGGTCTCACCAGGACCCTCTCCGTTACCGGCCCACTCGGCCAACAATCCCTCTCTATACCCCATCCCGTCGTCCTCGACAATCAACAGGGCGAGCTCTCAGTCAGCGTCCTTGATGTCGAGGACCGGAAACAGCGCAGTCTTTGGGGATTGACGCGTACCCTCATCAATAACGCCGTCGTTGGCGTATCGACGGGTTACAAGCTGGAGCTGCGGCTCGTCGGCGTCGGGTACCGAGCAGCGGTGGAGCCCATACCCGAGGCGCTCATTGCGCTCCAAAAGCAAATACCTCGCGCGGTCAAACCCGGTCAAGCCATACTCCCCACTCCCTCCCAACGCATCAACCTCAAACTCGGATACGCTCATCCCGTCTATGTCGATATCCCTGAAGACATCCAGGTCTCCACCCCTGCTCCCACTTCGGTCATCCTCTCCGGCACCGACAAGCAGAGGCTAGGCTTGTTTGCTGCCAAGATTAGAAGATGGCGCAAGCCAGAACCATACAGAGGCAAGGTGAGTAATCATTTAGGCAGCGCTGACAAATAGGGAATCTTTGTAGGCGACGAGACAATCAAGCTGAAGGAGGTAAAGAAGAAGTAGACATGCATCTAGTCTTCGGTCTCCCCTGCGCAGCGCTTCTCCCATCCCTGCCAGAACGACGGGTGATCCCGGCGATTGCCCTTGCTGTCGCAGGCGAGAATGCCCTGCCAAAAGGGCACGATCCCGTCTTCATCGCCTATGATTTGACCGGTCTCTCGGAGGATGTACTCGGCATGACCGGCGTGGCGTTGGATGATGCCCACGGAGGCGTGAGGAGTGAGGTGTGCGGAAACGATCTGGTGAGACCTGTCATCAGCGGGGTTTGACGGTGACCTACTCGGGGACGAACAGCTCAACGCGAGAGCTCGATGCCTTGGTCTGGATGGGCTGTCCCAGCCATTCAGCCTCCATGGCGAGAAGGGACGCGGATTCGCCCGAGTAGCTGACATCAGCCGAGCACTACAGGTCACTCACCTTTGCAGGACACAGCTGGACAGCACTGCCCGTTCCGCCATGCTGCGTTCTTCTCGGCCGCCCAAGAAGCCGCGAAAAATCCCGTTAGGGTATTCGTGTGTGTCTTTTGATTTGATGCAGTCGAGTAAAGGGGTAGGAGAAGAGGTGTAGGCGGCCCAGTCGGATCGGAGGGGTGTCGGTAAGCGGTGGATGACCTCGCCGGTGGAGCCGATACAAAGGTAGGACGTGTTGTCGTCCGTACCAATCTTCCAGATATCGCCTGCAAAGACACTGCAGGTGCTGACCGTGGGCCAGCTGGCAATGTTGGGTCCGAGGAGGCCTTGTCCGAACCCCTCGACGCTCCAGGCTTCGCCGCCGCCCATCTGCATCGCCGTATGGAGTCGGTGGATCCAAAAGGTGAGTGCGACCGTGAACGCCTTCTCCGAGCCGTGAACAAGGGGTTTGTGGATAACGCGGTCGAGGGCGCTTGGGCTTAGGTGCTGGATGATGCGCGAGGCGAAATGTTGAGCGAGGAAGGTCGTGTTGGATATGTTGGGGAGGCGGTGAGGGACGTTCGCAGCTTTCGGAGGTGGAGCTCGAGGAGGGATTTGCTGTCGGGGAACGGGCGCTTTGAATTTGCTGACCGGCTTGGCGTAAGGTGTAGTCGATGTGCCCTTGCTGCCAGCCTTTTTCGGGTTGGACCTCCCTGCGAGCGGCGCTTTCTGGCTCGAAAGGGGAAATTTCGATTTGCTCTGGGTCTGCCCTGAAATGAGAGGAATAGGCGCAGGACAGGGTGTATTGTTTTGGGCTTGCTTCTGGGTGGTAGGATTCGGGCGAGGGGGAGACGCAACGCGGGATGGAGGTTGAGCGATGGCGGCAAGTGAAGGTGGCGCTAGCTTTGGGGCAACCGGTCTTGCGATGGGAGGAGTGAGGTTTGATTTGGGTGTCGACAGTGGGACAGGCGCCGGAAGACTCCGGGGCGTGGGAGCCGGGATCGTCGGTGCAGCAGCAGCAGGGTTACCGACCTCTTCGAGACGGGCGATGAGTTGCGCTTTATTGTACTTGGAGTAGCCAGTGAGGCCGAGCTACAGGGTCAGTGTAGCTTTCCAATAGACTCACTTGCTTGCAGCGAGCTCTGAGCTCAGGAAGCTTGAGCTGTGATAGCATGATGTATGATGGATGAAGGAAGGAAGGAGACGCGCCTAACGCTGCTCGTCCACATACCTCCTGCCTCCACCTCTACTCTCCGTTTGCTGGAATCCGATTCCGGGTACTCTGCAAGCCGGCCGGGCCGGTCTCGCCGAGGTGGAGGAGGTGGGAATACAGTGGAGACGGGCGAGCTCTGGTATATAAGCCACGGTCACCCCTTGACCGCCCCGTCAAGCTGTACATCATGTCCGAGATCCACTCCTTTACGCAGACTGAAGCTCTTTCTGAGCGCCGCCTGCTCAAAGATGGCTCTGAGATCCCCAAGCGACAGAAACGGGTGGTGGTGACTGGAGGCTCCGGGAATCTGGGACGTTGGGTGGTCCGCGAGATGGTGCAGCATGGCTGGGACACCATCAACTGTGAGCTTTCTACAGTGGAATTGCTGACGACTAGTCGATACTGTACCTCCCCTGGCTTCCGAGGCGGACGTCAAGGCTCGCTACATCAAGGTCGACCTCACGGACTATGGACAGGTCATCGGTGGCCTGTCTGACGTAGACTCGGGATGGAAGGGCGTGGAGTAAGCCAATGTGTCGCTTGTTCATCGTACACAAGCTGATCCCTTAGTGCGGTGATCCACTTGGCTGCTATCCCCAGTCCCAACAAAGTTGTACGTTACATGCAGACATGGCTGACTCTAGCCCAATGCCGTGCTTTTTCAAACCAACATGAACCAGACCTACAACATCCTCGAAGCCTGTCGGGTTCTGGGCATCATCAACATTGCAATCGCCTCGTCAGAGACCGTCCTTGGCCTCCCCTTCTATCCCCACCCGCCTGCGTCATTCCCAGTCACCGAGTCGGTCGAACGCCCCGAAAGCTCCTACTCTCTCGCCAAGCTCATGGGGGAGAAGATGTCGGAGCAGCATTGCCGCTGGAATCCCGACGCAAAGATCGTCAATATCCGGCTGAGCAACGTCATGTGGCCGGAGCGATACGCCAACTTCTTGACCTGGCAGGATGACCCATGGGAGCGGGCATGGAAGTGAGTGGACATCAAGCTGAGCTGATGATTAGTGGCTTTTGCTATATCGACGGGAGGGATTGCGCTCAGGCGTTTCGGCTCGCCCTCGAGAAGGACTTCAAAGGGGCAGAGGTGTTCAACATTGGTGAGTGGAGCTAATAAAGTGTGGCGTTTCATAGTGACGACTACAGCCAATGCCGATATCTGCTATTCCAAGCAGACCACGGCGGAATTGGCCAAGTTGTGCTTCCCGGATGTCCCGTATACGCCAGAGACGGACGACCCGCGTGAGGGGCTGATCAGCATCAAGAAGGCAAGGGAGATGCTGGGGTATGAGCCAAAGTATGATTGGCAGGGGGAGGTGGAAAAGTTGAGACAGGCGGGTAAATTGATGTAGAGCCGAGCTACAGAAGATGCATTACTCTGGCTTTGCTACAGATGCCCGCTTTCGCTCCGCCTCCATGGCCATCTCTTTCAGTTTCTTGAACTCGGTTCGACCTGTGGCTCGACAGAGCTGACGTTAGCGTGCACGACCGCAGAACGTACCGAATAGAACCGGGACTTGGTGTTCCGTAGCAGCTCGGCGGGGGTGGCGTATTCGGCAATGCACCCTTTGTCCATTACCAGCACCTTTTCGAAGTCGATCTGGGATTAGCGCGACCACAACAGGACCTACGATGGTATGAATCCGATGCGCGATGGTGACAATGGTGGAGTCTGAGAATTCTTCACGAATCGTTGTGGAGACTACATCAGCCAACTCCAACCTGAACGTACTTAGCTCGTCGGTCTCGTAGTCGATGCTCGCGGTCGCCTCGTCCATGAATAACACCTTGTTCCGCTTCAATATAGCCCTTGCCATGCACAAGAGCTGGCGTTCGCCCGCAGAGAAATTATCACCCCCCTCCGAGACCGAGTTGTTGAGATCGCGAAAGACATTTTTATTGCGACTTTCGAGATCCGAGACGTCGTTGTCAGAAATGAGGTGGACGCGACGCAGAGCAGCGTATATCTCGGCGTCGTCGTATTCGTCAAACACGTCGAGCGTGGCGCGGAGGGTACCAGACAGGATGGTAGGGTCTTGAGGAATGATGGTGACTCGAGACCGAAGATCGGTGAGGCCGATCGTGGCGATATCTAATTAGCGCAGTCTTGGGTAGGCTCACCAATTCCATCAATGATGATGCGGCCTTCGTGCGCTTCGACAAAGCGGAAGAAGCTTAGGGCGAGTGTGCTCTTTCCACATCCTGTAGCTCCGACGACTCCAACCTTTTCTCGCGATTTCACGTCAAAGGAGATGCCGTGGAGGACGTTGGGTAGGTCGGGCTTGGGTCAGTGGTGTTATTGTGGTACTCACAGCATAGCGGACGACAAGCTTCTCGACAGAGATAGCTCCTTCGGCGGGCCAGGCGGCAGCGGGTCTCGGGTCTACATATTCTGGAGCTTCAAGAGGTAATTCGGAGTACTCTTTGATACGCTCCAGTGCGACCATACTCTGCTCGAGCTGGACAAAGCGACGCACCTGCGGTCAGCAGAGCTTGCGTGGGACTTACGACAAAGAGCAGATCATGCGAGATGCCGCCGGCGAATGCTAGCGCAAAGCCAGCCATGGCGGCGGTGACGCCAGGCGTTCCGAGTACGATGACCGCAGTGAGGCCGATCATTGCAGAGGAGAGCATGTTGAACCTTGCCGAGAGCCAGCGATTGACTGTCCATGTCCAGAAGAAGCAAAGATTGTTGGTGTCGGCGAGCTGGATCATTCGCTTCAGAGTCAACGTACTGGCGCCAAAGGCGCGGTAAACGGCCACGCCCGAAACTGTCTCGCCAAAGAGCGAGTACAGGGGAGAGCGGGTGACTGAGTCCAGTCTTCGCATGTCCCTTGACGTTTGACCGTAGATCGACCCGGCTTGGTAGTAGATGACGAGCAAGAGACTAGATTTAGCGGGGAAGTAGGGCAACTCACCATCCAGCACCCAAAAACGGCAGGCCTCCGACGGACAAGATGGAGAAGAAGGTGACTGCTACGCTGAGACCGTACTCAAGACTGCGAGTGACTGTTGTCAGCTGATTCATGAGAGGGCTTACAATTGTCCGCCATGCTGCTATCTAGCCCTTCGATATCCTTTCCGGTTCGGTTGAGGACTCGCCCTCGGCTAGTCGTGTCATGGAAGCGAAGGTTGGCAAAGAGGAGCGAATGTAGCAGTTCTGAGGTTAGCGAGTACGGGTGAACACTCACTTGAATGGAGGACGCGGCTGGCTCTTAGGCTGCCGTTATACATCACGACGCTGAAACTCTCAGCGACCGACTTATCATTTCTTATAGCACGGCGCCATCAGGACAAGGCTCGGAGGATCAGGAGGACAGAGAGAAACCATACTAGACCAAGTTGGAAAGGAATGCGCCGCCGAGCGTGATCACAGCATAACCGACCACATAGAAGGTGGAGGAGTGGGCTTCTGGGACCGTCTTGTCGTGCCCGGTCCAGTATCTGATGTCAGCCCGATCGACAAGACACATACTGTAGCCACAACTTTTCAGCCACAGGAAGCAACATTGCGATGATCTGCCCGAGTGCAAAAAGAATCCCTGGCATCAGCTTGGCCACAACGCAACTTACACCACACCGGCCCGCCGAGAGCTTTGAAATAGGTCGCCCATATATCTCGAGAGATTCTGCCCTTGGCTCTCCTCTCATCCTCGACCAGCTTTCGGGGACCCTTCTTGACGACGGACTCGGTGATTTCGTCATCAGGCGCGATTGAGCTGGTCTCGGAGTCTGGCTCGAGGGCCGCTTGAGTGAGGACCGACTTGCGCAGAGGGAACGCATCTTCGACCGTCTTTTCGGCTATAGGGGACATGGCCTTGTTCTCGTCCGCATCGAGCTCGGTCATCAAGCCGCCCTCGACAAAGTCTGCTCGCGTGCCGGAGAACTTGACATCGCCCTGAAATCAGCAAGTGTTGAGATTGGACTTACATTGTCCAGAGCCACAATGTAGGATGCGACGGGCGAGACGAGTGCTGTGTGGTGGGAGACGAGAAGGACGGTGCGGCCTTTGAGGATGTCGCCCTGAAAGCAGTTCTCCATAATGGCGTGGGCAGTGTGCGCGTCGACAGCGCTTAGTACTAAAGTCAGCGAGGCCATTAGTAAAGCGCTTACCATCATCCATGAGCAGGACACCAGCTCGACTATATACGGCACCTGATTGGTAAGCACGTCCCTCGACATTGAGATGTTATTAGACTCACGGGCGAGCGAGACTCTAGCCTTCTGACCGCCCGAGAGATTCAAACCCTTCTCACCGATCTCACTATCGTCAGCTGAGTCGCAGCATGACCTACGTTTGATCCCCGTCCTCCATAATCTTCAAATCTGCTATCAGACTACAAGCTTCCAGTACTTGGTGGTACCGCTCCTCGTTCCAAGGGCTGGAGAAGATGATATTGTCTCGAATACTAGCATTCTGCAGCCAGGCTTGTTGGGGTACGTAGCCCAGCATGGAGGGTAGGATCCAGTCCGTGACGGTGTCTGGGAAGCCGTCCATCAGGTCTGGGGATGAACGGGGACAGATGACTGTACCAGAGACGAGATCGGCCTCGCCGAGTAGTCCAAGCAAGAGGAGGGATTTGCCAGACCCGAGGCGACCGCAAATAAGGGATAGCTCGCCCTGAGGGAAGCACAAGTTGAGGTTGGCGAGGGTGAAGGGGTTCTTGGCGTCGGAATCGTCGCGGGCAAAGGTGAAGGTTGCGTCTTTGGTGATGATGTCGCTGGGCTCGGTAGTTTGGACAAGCTCGACTTCGGCGAATGCGAGGTATTTTTCGATACGCCGGCAAGAGACGAAGCCTTGGAGGGCATTGATAAAGGTCTCGGGAAGGGCGTTCAAGGCGTATCGCAGCTCGTCAAAGACGGCCACTGAGGTGAACGCGATTGCGGGGGTCAAGGTGTGCCCTGCCACCAAGGTGAAGTGCTACATCAGCAGAGCCAAAGGAGACTTACCAAGAACGAGACGACCGTCTGACTGTCAGCTTGTCCCCGGCGAATAAGAGGTTGAGCTTACGACAATGACCGGTGTGATTGCCCACAGCACATTGAAGGCGACTTCGATAGTATAGTTGCGCGCCTGCCAATGAAGCTCGTCATTGCGAATTTCCTCGACCCGCTTTTCGAACGATCGCTCCCAAGCCATGAATCTAAGTTAGACGACTCAAGGATGGCCTTACTTGAGCATCCGTATTCCTTGAAGAATCTCATTCATGAGACCGGTACGCTTGTCCCTCGCCTTCATGAGGTTCTCTTGCGCCGTCACAACAAATTTGGACGCGAGATGATTCACAGGCATACACACTGATGAGCCGTGTCAAGGGGGAACTTACAGAGAGCGGCGAGAAGACCGTAGATGGCAGAGCGTCCGAGCAGCTGAATCAGGTAGATGGTTGCACTAGGGTCAGGCCGCTCAGTTCAAAACTCACACTGCGATTTCAATGGGCGAGTCTACCAGGGCAAAAGCGTGAAAGACAAAATCGGTGACCCGATCGACGTCAACAGTGAAGAGGGTCTACATCAGCGAGTCCGTAAGTAGACTCACCATAATTTGAGCCTTGGAAGCCACTCCCTCCTCGTCTTCTTCGCCTTTCTTGTCCTCACCGACAGAAGCAACGTCCTTTTTGCGTAAAGTCTTGGCGTAGAGCGTGGTGTTGAGCTGGAGCTTGATCCGAGCTTGCAGCGTGGTCGTACTAATGGACCAGATGATTCCCCCGACGATGTAAGTCAGAGCGTTGGAGGTGAACAGCCCAAAGGCGATGAGCCATCCCCATCTCGGATGTTGGCGAGTAGGGTCGTTTTGGAGGTACTCGAGGAGCTGTTGCAGTAGAAGATGGGGGAGATAGTAAAAGATCGCGGTGAGGACCGTGAGGATGATTTCTGAATCAGCAGGGACGGGTTGAGACTTACGAGCTGTCAATGGGCGGATGTTGGCGATGGCGATCTTTTTGAGCAGGTTGTATCCTTCTTTGGTGAGAGAGCGACGGGTGCGTCTACCGTATACGCTTTTGAAGGTGTGATAGCAGGCGAGCGCCCCTGACATTAGCGGGACCATGACTGCACTTACGCATGTTGTGCGTCAGAACGGGCAGGTCCCAGACATCCATCGTGTCGGCCTTGTAGCCTTTCTTGACTACGTTCGTGACATAGCCGAAGAGCAACCACTCGGGAATGGTTGCCTGTACCTCTTCGCAGACGTTTGACTGCTTGGGATCGAGGGACGGGTGATCGGAGGGGATTGCCTCGGCGATTTTCGGGGGGTAGATGTGGTCGAGCGGGACGTAGAGGGGAGGACCGCGCCGGATGAAAAGGACGATGATGAGGGGTAGGAGGTGGAGGATTGGGAGGGCGGATCTCAAGAGCGAGGTGTTGTCGATATTGACACTGGCGTGGCTCATTGGGAAAGGCTCATTGGGGAGTAGAGCGATGACGGCCAGGACCATGAACTGAACAAAGAGGGCAGCCCCGAGGTGGATCGTGGTCGCCCAGTGTGAAGCAGTGTCCGCGTGAGACAGGTACGCCAAAGCCATGATGATGGTGACGATATGTGATGATAGCAACATTGCGGGCGGGATCACCGCATTGGACGAGACGGTCAATACCAAGAGCGCGATATTGGCTACGAATGGCAAGATTAGCGACGCCAGGAGCCAGCGTTTCCGTTGCTTCATCGAACGCCAGAACTGGTCCGGATTGACCGGATGGCCATCGCCCAGGTCGCCGTCATCTCCGATCTCGAATGGATCCTTGCGTGCATCCAGAGGTTCGTCCTGATGGGTGGGGAGGGCGACTCGGCGAAGGCGACGAGCGGGCGATTTGGGATGGGTCGAGAGGTAGATGGAGAGACTGAGGAACGAGGTGAGGGGGATGAAGGCGGTCGCGACGGCGGGGATGTGGGCGGACATGATGGGTGGATGAAGCGTCTAGACGCTTAGCGTCTTGGGTATGAGGTCCAGAGCTGCCTTTATGAGTGTCCTTTGGGTGGACAAAGCAGAGATGCACATTTTCTACTGATTAGATCTCGGAGTCATCAACTCGGACCCGAACTGTCTCTGATTGAATAGCGGAATCAGAATATGAGGAATGCACAACGTCACTCAACTCTTGCTTCTATACATACACCTACCATCATGTCTACCAACGAGAATGTCCCAAAGGCAATGCTCTACTAGTAGGTGCGATCAATACAGCGCTGACGAGTAGCTGGCCCGACTCGGTCTGGTCAACAGTCCCCCGCCTCTGCCTCGAGGAGAAGGGGTACAGCAAGGACGAATATGTGCTCAAGCTTGTCGATATTTGTGAGTAATCGCAAGGCTAGGCTGATGGTAGCCAAGGGAGAGGTGAGCTAGGGCCTAGCAGTGCTAATGTAGAACTTTAACCCGTCGTATCTCAAGTAAGTCCATCGTCGACCGTGCTGACGTCAGAATCAACATGAACGGTATGCATTATACCGGCCAAGCTAAATCCAGGCACTATTCCCACACTGGTCGTCCCCACGCTCGAGACAACCGGCGCAGAAGTGGACACTCGCTTCCGCTCGCTCCGTGACACAATCGTGAGGCGTCTGCAGACCACGCTGATAGACCATTTGCGACTTTCTTGATCAAGCCCGGAATTCGCACTCGTCTCGGACCACTTCCGACAAGCCCGCGCCCGCCTTGGCCCCTGCCACTATTGAGGGTGAGTGCAGTGTTGACGTGGCTGACCCCAGGCAAGGCACTGTCGGATGAGCTGATTGCGCTGATCCACGAACCTACCGTCGACCCCAACTTCCTCGCGCTCGCCTGCAGGACATCTGCCGAGCTGCAAGCGAAGACCGCGGAGGGGAAAATGCTTGCCGACCGCAAAGAAGCCCTCGCTCGCTACGTCGAAGAGGCAAAGAAGCTCGCCAGCAACGCCGTCACCGCAGCGTTTGAGCAAAAGATGGTGGTGTTTTTGCAGGAAAAGGCGGATGCCAATGATGTCTTGTACAACATCTACCAGGGCAAGTCGGGGTCGGAAAGGGAGCAGGCGTTTTACGAGGCTAGCAAGAATGCCTGGGGGAAGGGTGTGCCGGGTGTGATTGCCAAGCTGGAGGAGAGTATACGCGGACCGTATGCGCTTGGTGACCAAGTGGTGAGTGTAGGTTGGGGCTCGCTGATGTAGTCTCTCGCCGACTTTCACGTCATATCCTGGCTCGCTCGAATTGTGATGATCGCCGGGGGTGATAGGAGTGCGGCGGGAATTGACAAGTTGGAGGCGCAGATGGGGATCAAGGCAGGCCCAAAGGTTCGCGCGTTCTGGTCGGCATGGACCGAGAGGGCTAGCTTCAAGGAAGTGTAAGTGGGGTGTCGGACGAGCTGATGATAGGTACCCGCAGGCCCTTCATTAAGCATGATATCAGTTGGCACGCCCGATCAATCAATCCATGCAATATCTCGATACAAAATGCCAACCTAACCTGCTGACGCTACTTCTTCCCATTCTTATACACGCGCGGGCCCTTGCCCCATTTGCCCGCCTTGTCTCCCCACTCATCTGCCACCCCCCAGACATGCTCTTCTTTGATGATGGGCGGGTCATGCCTAGGTCCCGCGCCTTGATTCTGATGAGTGATCCCTGGCGTGAGTCGCTGCGGCCTGGAATATCCCGCCTCGACAGCAAAGTCTCCGGATGACAATGTGGCCTCGTTGGGGAAGGCTTTGGTTGAGGACGAGGAGCTAGGAATGATTGATTCCCATGTGCGCCCTTCTGCACCCAGCGGCAGCCACGTCTCGTTGGGATAGGTCGGCGAGGTGGTCATTTCTATGAGTCGCGAAACGGCGCGTTTCTAATCAGCCCCATTTGGCGAGTACTCACATAGGCAAATCGCTCATCCTCTCCGGTGAAGATGGAGAGAACACTGAAGGCTCCGACTTTGGCTTTGTTGGCGTCGGCCACTTCGCCAGCCGTTTCAGCCGCTTGCGCGGGAGAATAGTTGTACACCGAGACGTTTGGCCGGGCGGGTGCGTGGAGTGTTTCTGATAATCCCTCGGCCAGGATTTGATCGCTGTCGGCGACAGAGGTGATGGCGTCGGGGAAGAAGAGGTCTTCGGGGAGGGCGTCGGCTCGGATGAAGACTTGGCACCGGCTCTCATCTGTCATTAGCGCGAACGGGATAGACTTACATAGCGCGTCCACAAGGTTAATCAGTCGCCTGGCCTCGTTCTTTGCTTTCAGAAGGAGGACCGGGACCTCGTCAATGTAAAAGGTGTCGAATGTGGAGGCGAGGGAGATGTAGTCGGCGGGACCAAGGGGTGCCTCGCATAGTTCGGCAAAGGTGAAGCGGCAGGTCCTGCCCGAGGCTTTGGGGATGGTGAGGGGACGCGAGTAGACGGACAGGGTGCGTGGTGAGGCTATCAGCGCGACTATGCTGGGACTTACCATCTCCGACCGTGGACCAAAGCTTTTCGAATGTGGCATCCTCGGCGCCAAACCAGGTTGGAGTGCGCTCCATAGGTTTGTCTGGGTCGAGACCCCTGCGCCAATCCCGACCTCCATCGAGCTCCACCACGTCGCACCGGCTCTTCAAGGCGTCCAAAAAGCTAGCCATGCGTTCCCGCTGCACTCCGTGGTAGTAGAGGTCGTCAGGGACGCGGTTCTGATCAGCTCCATAGGTCGTGGACTTACTGAGCAGGACACAATCACACCGCCGAGGCGCCAGTACCAGGAAAGAACGTCACGAAGAAGCGCTGCCGATGATGCGTCTACGAGCTGGAGCTCATCGAAACTGGGTCAGCGCCGCTACGGACGACTTACTATAAAACGTGGTAATCTAGGATCATGTCCCGCGCGACTACTGTTAGCGTGCCCGTACTGATACTCACTGACAAAGGGAATCGTGTCTTCCCGCTTCCACGCTCGACGTTCCTGGCCACCTTCTGTATCCCACCGGCCACCAGCAAAGACGGCACGCCAGCCTTTCGACGCGGCCACCTCGCGATTATCCTCTCGGCCCTCTTCACTGACTTGGTCTCGTCGCCGCTGCATTTCCTTGAAGACTTGACGGTATAGCGCAAGGGTAAAGGCGTGGTAGTGGACGCGACGTTTCTTGCTGGTGGGAAGGAGGTCAAAGAAGAGGGAGAGGAGGAGTGACTTGCCGGTACCTAGGGTCAGTGGGGTCAACGGCTGCCTTACCTGGCGGTCCGGTAATGAGGATTCCTTTTGGCGTCTTGAGGTTTGCCAGCTCTTCCTCTCCGCTCAAGACGCGGATCAGGTCCCTACCAGCCGCGCCTCCAAGCTCTTCGAGATCTTTGCCTTTGCCTTTCCACCACTTTAAGCCAGAGTCGGTCTTTTGACTGAGATAGAATGGCGCGGACGGTGTTAATTTGGACAAGAGGTCAACCGGGGGAGCGTACGCTTCGAGCGATTCCAGCAGGTCGCGAAGCTATATTAGCTTGATCGTTGTTGACTTACTTTTATGACACAGCGGATCTGCTCGTCATCCCAGCGGAGCTTGCCCGTAGCGACCATGCCGCGGTATACCTCGAGCAAGTCTGTGCTCCGCGGGACATTGGGCGTTTCACGGTCGGATTTGACGGGATGACGGATGGAGAATGGTCTACTGAGCGGCTGTCCCAGAGTGAGCTGCCGAATCAGTACTGCTCGAGGCTTGACGGCTGTTAGGTAGCGTGCTGTGCGCATGGCGAGTAGATGAGCAGTCTTACAGACAAGACGTTATCGATCTTGTGCGGTGGAGGGATGTACGGCATGCGGGGTCTCCTTTTGATCGACGATCCCAACCAGCTTTGACGTCATGACTATCTGTTGCTCTTGCCTTTGTACCTCACACAACCATCACCATGCTCAGCACTATCCGCCTTACCCGTCAGGCCCTCGTAGCCACCCCCCGTTACCTCTCCACCTCGGCCATCATCCGCACGTCCGCTGGCTACGGCGATCCCCAAGATGAAAAGATCAACAACAATACCCCCCAACCCAACGCAAACCCCAGAGACCAGTCCTTCCCCAACGGCGCGGACGCTGGCGTGGCCAAGAAGACGGGCAACACCAGTGACGGAGGCGACAAGGAGGTGACGGAGAAGGCAATCGAAGAGACCAAGAAGATTGGGGAAAGCCCAAAGAAGGAGGAAGTACGCAGATCCAAGCCAACTTAGTCGTCACTGGGGGTGCAGAGTCGGATTCGGACTGGGATAGCGTGAGGGACGCGTTTATACTCTGAGAGGTATGGCGGTGTAAGCACGGGGGTGGCATGGGGGTGGCATGGGGGTGTAGCAAGGGGTGCAGGTATGGGGAATGGACATTACAGATAAGGGTCCTTTTCTTTTCAGTAGTAGTACGAGAACTTCGAGCGTGGGGGTGAATCGGAATTAGCCATTAGGTAGTACCGTATCGCACTCTCGTCTATAGCTGATTAGCCCACTGTATCTTGTAGCTCTCTCTATCATCGATCTATGCACTACTCCGTACTCCCCTATCCCAGAGACTACGAAGCTCCCTTATTAGGTATTGGACCGGTACAATACGCCACTGTTCACCTGTTTCCAACTTCCCGTCGCTCACCTCCGTCGCCGCGTACGCAATATAGCGTGAGCTTGGCGTATCGCTCAGCCCATACTGCGCCGTCCAACCGCACATACCCAGACAAGCCCCCGAGAAAACGCAGGCGCAAACCGCAGCAGCCAAAGCGGCGGAGCGCGCCGAGAAGGCCCACCGAAAGGCCATCAAAGCCAGGGCGGCCAAGCTCCTCAAGATCGTCACCCCAACGGTATCGTGGAATCGGTACGGCTCGTCCCTCGGCCTGGAGCGTCGCACAGAAAGGTCGACTATGCTGGACGCGGTGTCGGAGCACCTGGAGCACCTGAAGATCCAAGCGCTACCACCCTCCTCAGCACTCCTGGCCGGCAGAACTTCCAGACTCTATCGACTACCACCTCATCCTCAGCGATATCTGGCTCCCTGCCCTCAGCCATCTCCGGCTCGGACCCTTCGCAATCCGGATCTTCGACCTCGTACCCTTCCTACTCGTACGGGCTCCCTTGCTCGAGCACCTCGACGCCAGCATCGACGTAGCGAGCTTTGCCCAAAAGCCAAGACTTGGACATCGCCGACTCCCAGATCTTAAGGAGGATCATGCGGTGGACACCGAGGAGGGCGAGGAGGAATTCTGTTTCGTCGAGTGCCTTACTCTGACGGTGCTGACCGAATCGCCCTACGACATATACTCGATGTACGATCCAGTCCCGGCGCTCGTCGACATCACATACCTCGTATCCTCCACACATCGGCTCTCTATGGTGATTCCCATGGCCAGCTACGTGGCCATCGAGGGCGGGGATCGGAAGTTCGATCTGGACGACTAGCTGGAACCGCTTCGGAACGCCGTCGGGCATCCGCCGGAGCTGGAGGATCTCGATTGGCGAGTCTCTCCACACTCCACACGACTTCACACGACTTCTGTCAATTCATGTGTATCAGGGGATGGGTTTCTGAGAGCGAGGATGAGGCTGTGGATGAAGAGGAGTCTGAGATGGGGCCTCTCGGTCCGGGCTTCAAGTGGATTCATCGACTGATTCTGGGATACACAGGCTGGAGCGAGATAGTATGTCGGGCACGCTATCTGTATGGAAGGGGGCTTAGCTGATAAATCAGATTACCAGTATATCGGAGCTTCCGCGTCTCGAGGCGATATACCTCTCTTCGCCTCCCCGACTCGGCGATAACCCGAACGGTGTACACCACGAAACGCGGAAACGACCGGGTCAAGTACTACCAGCATCTCGATCAGCCAAACTGGGTGGACTACACAGACTACAGGGGGAAGATGGTTCCGGTGGAGTTCATCGAGAGATGAGGCAAGCAGAGGGGCGGGGACAGGTGGAATGGGAGAAGAGGGGAGTGGCGGTCGGCGAGAAGGGATGCAAGATCTTGAGGGAGTGGTCAGATGGTGTCTCTGGTCGAAGACAGGGCAGCAAATGTGAGTGGGCCCTGGTCTACCAGATCAGCACTGTGGGGTTGCAAAGCTGATGTCGCAGGATGGATGATCCCACTAATTCCGAAGTTCGGCGGTTCTTCTCAGCGGAAACAGCTTCGTTCACCATGTCTGCGGACATCCCTACGTATTGCTGTCTGTCTATAGTAGCCACATGATCGCTCGAAGGTCACGGAGCAGACCTTTTCTTGTTCCCGGTTATGGGTAACACTGATCATCTTGACTGCTCCTCATTATCATGTTTGACGCGATCACGCAGACTGACAGACTGATCGAAGCCGTGATGCACTCGCATCACCTCAATGACTCATGACATCGACGCATATATCAGCAGCGAAATGCGAGAGGCAGAGGGGCTAGGAGGAAAGATTGAGAGAAGGGTGGCGGACGGGTCTGAGACCAATGGGGAGTCCTGCCAGAAATCAGCGAAAAGGTGAGCGCTGCCAAAGCTGGCCATGGAACAGAAGCTGAGGGGGCGTAGGGCAGAGGCAAGGATCCGACCATTTTTAGCTGTTCTCCTCGACCACAAGACCCGCCGAACTCGCCCGCCTTGATTCCGCCTCGGGGTTTGGTCGCTCATCATCAGCCCCTCGTTCCGCCCGGCATCATGCGACTCGCTCACTCCCCATACCTGGTCGCACATCATTGGGACCCTCCTTCCGCCAAGCCCAAGGCTCTCTCGGGGATGACGAAGCGGGAGTACGCATACCTCGCCAATCACCCAAATGCCGGCCTGAAGAAGATGTACACCAATTTCTCAGGACGAGGGGGCCCGGGAACCATCGGAGGAGGGATCCGGCAGCGCCTGCTCGTGTCAGCATCGTGAGTTGCATCCAGGTGACCCACGGCGATTCGAACAATCGAATTGGGGCAGAGGCTTATACGGTAGCCCTTCAACCTCCACACCGCCCGCTACCTCTACAAAGACGTCAATCGCGACGACTTTCTCGGCCTCACATGCCACCTCGACTTCCTCCCGTACACCCTCAGACCGAGAGTAATTCTTCAATCGGATTCGGACCCTTCGCCTCGAGTACGGCCAAAAAGAAGACGATACAAGCTATCTCGACATTATGGTGGAGCGACTCCACTATCGGAACATGCGCATCCTCAGTCTCGCGGTAGACACCATCTGCCCAGGCCTAGGCGAGGCTTCGCGCATCTCGAGGAGCCTCACCATGCTCCAAGGGAGCAAGACGCGCTTCCCCGCCCTGCCCCACCTGGCCGTCTGCTCGGTCTTCGGCGGTCACGAGTGGGTCGGGGACGGGGTCGCCTATCGGGACAACGGCTTCGTCCTCTGCGACAACGGACGGGGTGACGGGAGGTTGGGTGCCGTTCATGTGCCAATAGTCCGCCATGCTCAATCCCCCACCCCGCCCCGCCCCGCTCCTCCACTACTGCCAGGGCAGCGCTTCGAGGACATCAGCCAAAAGGTGAGCGCCTTTATCTGTATAATCACGTCCGAGCAGTAGCTAATGTAATCAAGGACACGAGACAGCATGAGCTCGACCACTACAGGCAGCTCCTCTTCTCCCCCTCCGAAACGGACCCGTCTGTCGCCTGCCTTGGGCTCGTTCGACTCGCTCACCCCCGAACTCTGGGCTCGCATCACCGGCTTCCTCGTCCCTCCTCTTCACAAGCCGGTCTCGGGGATGACGAAGCAAGAATACTACTACCTTGCCAGTCACCCGGATACTGGCCTGAAGATTATGTGTGACAGTTCTCCGGATGACAGTGAGGCGGGAACAACGAAGAGAAGTGACATCAGGTCACATGATCTGGCTTCACTCGTGCGGACTTCTCTGGTAGGTCACGCCGCATACATACTGGCGCGCAGCTAATTTCAGGCCTTCCACTTTCAAGCCGCCCGCCTCTTCTACCGCGATGTCATCACCGAAGATCTCCCGGCCCTCGTCTGCCACGTCGACCGCCTCCCTGCCCACTCCCAGATCGAGAGCAAGAACCAGCTGCTCCGTCGCATCCGCTCTCTCCGCATCGAGTACGGCGACAAGGACAACGCTACCAGCTATCAAGCCATCATGCAGGATGCCTACCAGTACACCTTCTTTGGTATGCTCATTCCGCCGCAAGAAACGATCCAGCAGGGCCTCGCCGAGACTCTGGGCATCTCGAGATGCCTGGAGGACCTCCAAGGACCCAAGACGCGCTTTCCCGCACTCAAACACCTTGCCGTCTGCTCCATCTTCGGCGGTCACGAATGACTTTGGGACGGGGTCATGTACCCTCACCAGGGCTTCGTCTTCCTGCAGGGCGGTCGGGTCAACCAACAACACCCATCCGTCGCCGAGCTCGTCGCTGTGAGCCAGCAGTCCGCCATGCTGGTCTTTCGCACTTCCCCTCTCATACACTACTGCTCGCGCAGCGCTTTCGGTCCCTTTGCTCTTCCTGCGGCTTTCGCTTGGGATGAACTCGTCTTCGCCACACACTCAGAGAAACACCCGGGAGCGCGAAATCTCAAAGGTGTACCCGACACTGCGTTCCCTCCTGCCGCCTCGATCCCCCTCTTCACATCACACGTCCGCTGTATCGTCAACGTCAGCATCCGGGCGTCTCCAAACCATCCGACCCCGTTGGCTGCCGGAGAATTCGGATCGGAAGGAGTACACGTCGAATTACCTAGTGCACAACTTTATGTGCAAAGTTGACGACTGGCAGCGAAATCGATGCGCCGATCGCAGGTAGGCCTAACGGAGGGGAGGAATACATCGATTCAAGCTCGGGCAGTTTCGGTATGTTGGTGATCTGAGGTTTCAGCAAGCTTCCCAATGATACCATGCATCGACTCACCATAGCGTTCCAGCCCGTTGGGCCAAAGGTCAACCGCCGAAGACATCTGAAACCCGGCCCCAGATGTTTATCGTCTGTTCCTCCTTCTTCATCCTCCCCTTCCGTTTCCGCATCACCCCAGCACCGGATGGTTTTGAAGCTGCAGAAGTCTTCCGGCCGGACGAGCCATTCTAGCTCTTCGAGGAACGGCAAGTATCCGACGGCGTTTCTGAGGGGTTCAAGGTCCTCGTCCCTCGTCCCGAACCATCGTGTCGTCGGGATCATTGCATGTCGCCTCATCGATAGCGTATGTGAAGGAGATCGAAAGGCGCCGTATGCCAGGGAGGCATTCGATCACATCGACGAAATACAGCTTGGGTCCGCAGAGCATCGTACCCTCCCGCGGGTCACGAGGTGGCGCCGAGATGCAGAGATGCTCTACAGACCAGAAACCCAGTGAATCTGGTAGATCCAGAGCATCATGATTATGCCACCTCGAGAACCCTTTCTCGTCAAGGCAGATATCGAGCTGCTCGAGATAAGGGGCGCGGTCTAGGAGCACGTGGATGATTTCGAGGAACCTGATGGCCGACCGACCGATCCGGAGTTGGGTGAGCGAGAAAAAGGCGACACCACTATAGACGAGATGGCAGTCGAGCGAATCCGACTCCCACCCGCGGAGATCTGGCTGGTGAACGAGCCGCTGCGGAGCCTCGATCTCCAGCCGCTCCAGACTGTTCGTCACCTCCGTCAGAAGGTAGACCATGCACGGCGATGCGCCCCCGGGGCGAGGAACGAGCCGCACCGACTTGACGACTCCGCTGGGGAGGGATTCGACCACCTTGATGAGCTTGGTCGCCCTGGCGTTGATAGCTTTCCGGTGGGCTTTTTCGGCGCGATCCGCCGCTTTGACAGCCGCGGGCGACGGTCCTGGATCGCGCATTCGAGGGCTACGCCGTCGACATCGACGCATATATCAGCAGACATCGCTATACACCGGGCGGCCTCGTCAATGGCCGGCGGGTCCCAAGTTCATCCATAAGGCAAAGAAGAGCGCAGAGGTCATAGTTCTCGACAACATCCGCAAGCGTATCGTCAAGAGGAACCGCGAGGCGGGTTTGCCTGATAATGAAGGCATCTCGTCTTAGCGGCCGTCGACGCAGAGTCCGGGGCGCGAGGCGTGTGGACGGGAGTTCGAGGGCGCTGCTTCGGCGGACGGAACGAGAGAGAGGTCGGATGTGCAGGAAGGAGCATAGGAGGCGGAACACAGTAGGGAGTCGGACGCAGGGATCGGGAACGTGCGGCAGGGAGACAAAAGTCGGGCATGGGATGGGCACTGTACATAGGCTTGTCAGGATCAGGATTGCACACAATATATATCTTCATGCTGCTCAGTCGTACGAGCATGGAGGCCTTCATGCCAGCTCGTATAACGAGCCTGAGTGATAGCAAAACTGCTGCAGCAAGCCTCTGGAGGTCTGGGACCCTGTCCGCTCATTCCAAGCCCCTCGCATTCGAAGGGACGGTCCTCGCCAGAGGGGCTTGCGTCAAAGGCCAGAGATTTACACCAGATCTACTTCCTTGTGTGTTCAGATTACAAGTCGACATCACTACATGCTCGACAAATCCAAGGACGCCATGAACGAGCTCCTTGTCCCCTACGTCTCCCCACTCTTGCCTGGGCGTACGAGGGGGGAAAGTGTCCCGCGGCTACCACGGAGACGTCATGGAAAACGGTCGCCCTGGCCAAAGACAGGCCTTTGAGCAGCGCCGTTTCAACGAGCAATTTCTCAAAAAGGGATACAGCTGGGTCGAGGAGGAAATCAGCCAGAAGCCAAGCTTTTCTCTCTTCTGATGGTGATGCCTGCACAATGGCTGATATGATTGAGCACAAGAGACAACTACCTTCGAGATGCCCTGCCTTGGACTCAAGCACAAAATAGGAGAGTGACCTTCCGCCGGAAGCTGAACTCCTCATTCCTCACGCCTTTCTGCCGACGCGTCAAGGTTGTATCATCAGTACTCTCACTCATCATTCAAAGCGATCACTAAAAGCATCATTCCCTACCTACACTCTCATCTTCTCCCTCCTATACAGCTCTACCCAGTGAGTATGCCTCATCGCAGACTGGAACATCACTGACAACAGCAGTAAACATGCCTTCAACCCGCAGCACTCGCCGAACCACACCTCCTCCCCCCGTCCCTCGCGTCTCCATCCCAACGCAGACCTCCCCCATCACTTCCCTTACCGAATACCAGCGCATATACCCCAACGACGATCCCCAGCTCTTCTTCCCTGGCCTCTCTGGTCCATCCCAACCCGTCTACGGCAAAGTCCACTCTGCTCCCCTAGACGACACCGACCAAACAGTGATGGACGATACCACTAGCGACCAGCACGTCCATCGCCGGCTCCTCCGACAGATGTCTCGCTGCCCCTCAATCGGCATCTTTCCCTACATGGTTGCACCGATCAAGCGGACGGCTCGAATGACCGAAAGGTCCCATCGAAACAAGCAAGGTGACGAACGGTACACGTTCACATTTGCCAGTATGATGGGTTGGAAGCTGGGGAAGCGGGGAGTGAGGATTGGTCTAGTGAGATCAGGGGTCGGGGTTGGCGGGCTCGCGGAGAGCGCCCATATCTGGGTGTGCGCTCTGGTCGACAGGGAGGGAGAGAAGAAGGACTTGATTGTCAACGACGAGTCTGGAGAGTCGACCGTGGCGGCTCGGAATCCGATCATGCGGAATGACATTGTCGGCGGCGTGCGGACGGTCATCGATCTGCTCGCCACGGAGTATAGAATCAAGTTGGGAAATGTATGGTGGGGAGGGCGCAAGAGCGATGTGGGGTTGAGGGGTCGGGACAATGTTTGCCTGGAATCTGCCATGCGATTTCTCGAGCGCTTCTGTGCGGAGGTGGAGGAGAAGGAGGGGGAGGTATCGGTGGAGATGCTGCAGAGGTATAAGCTGCAGCTGGTATAAAGTTGTCATGTATAATACATCTATCCACATCGCTCTACACAGTCCCGCTGATATCTCCCATTTCCTCAGCCCTTTTCGCCCTCCTCTTCCGCTCCGCTTCCTTCCTCGCCATCATTGACGCCGACATAGGCGCAAGCTCCGGTCGAGCTCCGCCCCGCTTCCCGCTCCGCTTGACCCGGGGACGAGGTGTGGACTTGGACAGGTCTTGTCGTTCCTTGCGCTTCTTCGCCGACGGGTCTGGCGTCCGTTCCGAGTCGGGCTTGGCGGGGATCCTGGGCACGGGGCGGTGTGAGCGTGTTCCTGTTGACGCCTAAGAGTCAGTGGGATTCGGTAAGCAGGATCGAACGTACTGGCTTGGACCACTCATGCTCCTGTCTTCGATCGGCTTCGCTAGGCGTGTCTGAGAGGGACGAGGATAGCTCATCTCGCTTCCTCCCCGCATCCTCCCGCTCTTCTTCCTCCTTCTTCCCCTTCGCTTCTTCCTCCTCTCTCGCCCGCCGCAGCTTATCCATGAGCCTCCGCGTCCACTCGGTAACCTGTGGCCGCTGACTCGTCGTGGCTGCAGGAGGCACCCGGGGCACGCGACGAGGGATGGTGGATGAGGGGCCAGCGCTAGATCGACCGCCTTGCTGGATATACTGATGGATCAACTTCTGCCGGACTTGAGCAGAGCATGGAGACGTACCTCCTGCTTCAGATTCGGCAGGCCGAGTCTTTTCCGCCTGGCAGACTCGTCGTGCTCGTCCCAAGGCCCCTCCTGATGATACGTATTGAGCATTTTGGATGTTGTGAGAGGGAGGGATGAAGAGGTGAGACCGGTGGAGCAAATGGAGTCGGTAGGAAAGCGAGTCTTGGACGGCTGGGAGGGAAGAGCGAGCTGCGTCTATTCTAGGAGCTGTACGGTGTAGCACTATTCTTTACCTTGAGGTAAAGGTTGACGGTTAATAGAAGGAAGGGAGGAAGGAAGAAGGGAGGAAGGAAGAGACTCAAGGATCGGAATCAATCTGAGACCGGCAGAGTGGAGGCGGCGGTCGGTGCACCTCGCTCCTCATTTGCAGCTTCATCCATCTGGCTGGCCGCTATATCATCCTCGTAATCCAAGGATTTTTGAAGAGTTTGTCTACTGTCAATATAGCAGCTACAACCACAATCGAAGTTAGTTATGATAGATGTGCTTCTCAGCTAACTTTTCAGCCTGTGCGCGGCGTACTCTCTTTACTCAATCAATAGTTATAGGCCACGACATGACCTGGCGCGTATTTGAGGTCGTAGAAGGATTATTCGGTAGTAGCCGCGCGATGCGGGATGCTACGGCCACGCTGAAAATCGGAGAGGATAGCGCAGGATCGCCTGTATCTGTCAGTATAGGTCAGTCCCCAGCCTCACGTGTACTGCTATACTTCACTCCGTCGAGAAGGTCGATGGTCGATAAGAAGAAGGAGCAACTCCGCATTCCTTGTAACTGGTGCAGCGGAATCAATTCTGAAACCCAGCCAAAAGTGGAGGTGGTCCGTTCACCTTGCTCCTCCCCGAACTCCTCCTTCGGGTCCCTGAGCTCCACTGACCACAGCTGGTCATCACCATAGTACACTGATACTGTAAGAGTCTGTCTGCAGCGAGTATCGCAGCTGTGTGCATGGTTGAAAAGAGGGTATGTAGAACTGCTTCCCAGCTATCTTTTGCACTTATAAACGCCATTACCTCCCTAGCAAGCTCGCGCACGAGAGCGACAAGAAGAGGTCGTCTCCAGCTACTTTGGCCGCTCTTGGCACGTTGCTGCTTATCATCTCCGCTCTGATCGGTCATCAAAGCCCTGAACCCTCCATCATCTGACCTCGGGCATCATCACTCAACATCTGCTTAGCCCTGAGTTGACCATTCAAGTAGTGCCAAAATGATGATGTAACTGTGTGCATGTAGACGTTTCAGCTTTCAGATCTTGCTCGGGTCATCAAAGATCCCTGAATTCTAGAAGTCTTGCGCCGAAAGACCGCTTACGACATGGGCCAAAGGAGGTGTACTTTTTGGCTATGGAACATGACTGCTGAAGGTCGGTGCGGAGTGCTGAGCTGGCGGGGAGGGGGGAGGGAGCTGATGGAGCATTTCTGATGTTCTCCATCTTCTCCTACTGACTCACTGATATCCAGAGCTCTACTGAGCATCAAGTAGCAAATGTGAGGAATGCGGAGCTTGCCGCTCAGCGTGGGGCCCCGCTGACGATTCGCAGGAACCTCTCTCCGTTGTCTCCAGGCTTTCCTCCTTCCTCTTTTGTTCCGTTCGGTGGATCCGGGGGTGTAGGCTTGGGTGGAGGGTCAGGAGGTCAGGGGAGGAACAAGGTGAGCTATCCCTCTACAACTCCTCAAAAACTCGAGCCGAAGGGGCCCGAATTGCGGGAGATATGGCTCCTTCCTCCTCCTTCCTCTCCCTCCTTCCTCTCCAGAACCTTTGAGCTTTTTGGTATGCATAGATCTTAGCTAATTGGTCAGCGGATCCGGGATTGGCTTGACCAGGTGTGGGAAGAGGAGGATGTGCTCCTTCTGGGACCAGAGGGGACCGAGGAGGTGAGTCAATCAAACGGCTTCTTTGCGGGATGGGATTGGAATTCCGAAGTTTGATGAGGGTCGAATATCGCGTTTGGTATCTCGAGACGCGGAAGATTGGGAGGCCAGCCGCTTAGGATGAGGACCGGGTGACGTTCAAGGCGGATATTGAGCTGGACGATGGTCCCGTCGTATGCTGAAGGAGACCGCATAGGCGGACTTTGAGCTTGAGCTTACATGTGGGGAACGGGAGAGATGTCACTGGTCTTTCGAGAAGGGTCTTCTATCACCTCCTGAGCTCCTATCCATTTTTTCAGTCTCTGAAGTGTTATCAAATGGAGTGTAGGAGGACCAAGCTGACATGACAGGATGATGACGAGCCGATCCGGAAGCGTCCAGCTGGGACTACCTTCACACCGTGGCCCATAAACCACCTGGACGCTCTTCCCGCCACCAAAAGGCCACGCCGGCCCGTGGTTGTGGTCGCTGCGCCTACGGAGGCGTCTAGGGTGAGCTGGGAAGTAGAGGAGAGCGGGCGTGGAGGCGAAGTTGGGGGTGATGAGGAAGGTGGATGCGAAGAGTATCTGGATGAGTCTGAGCGTCAGGATGTTTCGAGTGTTGGGCGTCCGGTGAGCTGGCTACGCTTTGTCTGGCGGCTTGACAATGTAATGAGGTCTTTGCAAGGAAAGTGAGCTGATGACTAGCCGTCTAGATATCTGTCGCCCGACCTCCAGTACTTCCGGCGGGCGTCCTCTCCGCACTCCTCCTCCCACCTGTCCTCGATAAGGACCAGCCGTCAATGTTCCGCTGTCAAGGCAGCCGCGACGACAGAGGCGTTCAGTGTCCGCGGGGAAGTGGAGAATGGCGAGGGATGTGGGGGCGATCTTGAGCTGGGTTTGGAGCAGGAGGATGAAACCAGCTGTGGGCAACCGGTAAGCTGGCTACGCTTCGTCTGGCGGCTTGACAATGTGATGGGAGGTCTCTGCAAGGAAAGTGAGCTGATAACCAGCCGTCTCGATATCTGTCGCCCGACCTCCAGTACTTCCGGCGGGCGTCCTCTCCGCACTCCTCCTCCCACCTATCGTCGATACTGACAGACCCTCCCCTCTCCCCTTCCCCGCCTTCACGTCGGCAAGCATCTCCTCCTCCCGCTCGTGAACGATCGACCCGACTCGCGGCGCAGCTCGCTACTGCCCGCAGCGTACAGCAGGCCAGGTACCTGCAGAGAACGGCCAGGGAGGGGGAGGTGGTTGCGGCGGTCGATGATGGCGGAGAGTACGAGATGGGCGCGGACGACCCCGGATTTGTGAGTCAGAAGAGCCACCCACGCTCTCTGGAGCTGCCAGGGCGAGTAGCAGATGAGAAGGGGATCATCAGAGGGGCTGCGCAGGTGGTGGTTGAGCAGGGGGAGGCGCTGAACAGTTGAGAATCTAATGCTGACTATCCAGCATGTCGAGGAGGAAGAGGAGGAGTCCCCGTCTGCTCAACCCCGCTCTTCCCGTCGCACGAACAAGCCTTCTCTTCGAAGCACCCGCCCTCCACGATCCACCAGAGCACGGCAAGCAGCCACTTCCCTTTCTCCACCTGCTCTAGAATCGTCCCGCTCCTCTCGAACTCGCCAAGCGGGAACATCGGGCTCGGCAAAGTTCGGCCCTCCCATATTTGAGGAGTGGATAGATGTACCAGCTCTCCCCGTCCATCCCCACCCCAAGGAGGCGATTCTTCGCGAGCGCTTCCGCGAGAGCCACCGGATACTTCTGAAGGAGCAAGGACATACATTATTTTGGGACTCGATGTTGAGTGGAAACGGGCGGGAAAATGCGGCGTGGAAGCGAGAAAGGGAGGAGAACTACTACAGGGTGACGAGGTACGGATTGACTCCGGAATCCATCGACTTACTCACGGCGGACGAACCGCCCACACCGGACGACTACCGGCGACTCACATGGTTGCCAGGTACTATGGGCGTATATGTCATATACGTGCGGCGCGCGGACGATCAAGGGGAAGATGCAGAGGAAGGTGCAGACGGCGAGTCCATGGGTAGTCAGTCCGAGGAGGGGAGTGAGGATCGACGTCAGAGTCAGGACGGGGAGGGGAGCGAGGATGAGGGAGAGGATGAGGCGGAGGGGGAGGAGGAGGAGGGGGAGGAGGAGGAGGAGATTGTTGAGGCGGTTGAAAATTATGAGCAGAGTGAGGATTGGGAGGGGAAGGAGGATGGGGATGATGGATTGGAAGCGGAAGCCAATGATGGGGCGGGAGGGGGGGATGTGGTTTGGAAAGAGGGGGATGAGAAGCCGCACCATTACGTCGGTCGGGGACAGGTGTAGGCGCGGGGGGGGTGGGCGTAGGGTTCAGACAGGGGACCCACAGGCAAAGGATAAAGGAAAATAAGTGAGTAGCTTCTCCACGTACACATGACAGCAGGCTGACCGCCAGGATCAAAAACGACCTATACAAACTTATCAGGCGCGGACGGAAACCTCATTGGCGGAGCCTGTGGGCAGTCCGAGTCGATCGGAATAGCGACAGCGCCGACCGACTTACCTCCTTTCGTACTCAATCAATCTATGTCGAGGGGCTTTTGCACATCTGGTGTAGATCGTATGCGGCGAAAGGGAAGGAGCTACCGTCATTCTGGATCGACCCGGAGATGGAAGGTACCAACGGTCGGTCGCCCCTGGCCAGCCACGTCGTTCGTGTTGGCGGCACGTCTCACCCCTGGGACCCGAAATCGATACGACTCCGCAGCAACACGATCACCCGCCGGTATCAACTTACGGAAAAAGGGATAGCGGCCAGGGCGAAACATTTAGGATCCGCACAGTATACAGCGACAAAGCGGACCTATCGAGCTTCTGATGTGGGAAGGGCAGTCACTCAAAGGGCGAGTGCAAAGTGGAATGCGAAGGTGAAGCAGGCGATCGAGACAGAGATGTTGGCGGAGCTGGCGAAGCGGGGGATCTGGGAAATACCAGCATCTTTCTACTGTAAGGACGGAGAAAAGTTGAACCCCCATTGGAGGAAGAAACTCGGGGGTCTCTAGTAGTGATAAGTAATGTTTATAGCAATATGTACAATGCTGCGTAGAGATGTTATGTTATGTACAACTTATGAATTGGCTAGCCTCTCAGTGCCTTGCAGAAGTCTGCAAACGTCTTTCTAAAATCTTTCGACGGCTCTGTCCGAATGCTTTGAATGAGTTGGTTGGTATAGTCGGCGGGACAGTTGAGACGGGGGAGCATGTCTGTGGCGAGAAAGTCGATGGCTTCCTGGCCTCGCGCCTGGACGGTGTTGCGAAGGAGCATTGAGATTTCGAAAACAACCTGAATCAGCTCGTTCACGTCCAAACTCACCGGCTGACCGCTGCGTAGATTGAATGAAGGCGAAGCGGGGACTGCAAAGCACGCCGGGACGAGACGTTGATAGACAAAATTCTCGTACCCCGGCAGTGCCTGGGCCGCCCGCTCCGACTTTGGTATGGCATGTTGGTTGGTCGCGGAAGCGATCCCCGTAGCGATCGCCTTGCTCTTCTCGCTCAGTGCCGTCTCGGCAAAGACCGACTCTGCCGCCGAGGTCCCCCACGCGACGACCGACTTGGCGAAAAAGGAGAACGCCAGGCGTTGGGAGGTAAAGTCGGTGCTGTCGGTAGCGAGGATGAGGAGGGCGTTGAGGAGGTTTTCAAATTCTGGCTTGTTGGTTTCCGAGATGAAGACGCCGTCGAGATTGGCATTCATGAGAGCGATGAAGAAGGAGAGGTAGGATTCTTTGAGTTTGCGGTGGATGGAGGCGTCGTCCGTGCCGGTGATGGGTTGTTGAAGGACGGCAAAGATGCGCGAGAGGAGGGGGAGGAGGAGCATGTTCATGGTTTCAAAGGTGTTTCGCTACATCAGCCACGTACGTTGCGAACTCACCTTTAAGCGGTGCATGAGGAGACCGAGAAAGGTCATGAAATCGATGAGCTCGGCGGGCTCGAATTCGGTGACCACCTTTTGGACAAAGAGAGGGACGAGTTCCGCGACGGACGTGCCGATGGCATTGACGAATTGTGAGAATGCGTAGCGCGCCTATCAGCTGGGTTCAGTTTAGACTTACTGAGTCTCTGACAATCCGCTGCGTCTTCATCCCTTCCAGCGCCTGCAACAACGCCTCGGTCATTTGCTTGAACGGCCCTTGGTACGGCAGCTCGGTCGTATCCATGACTTGCGGAAAGCCCTTGGCAAAGTTGCCGAGCGCGAGGAGGTGATGATGGACCGAGAGGACGGCGAGATTGTCATCGCCGGTGGGCATGGCCATGAGCGGTCCAGCGATCGCCTCGAGGAGGCTGATTTGCTTGGCGGCGTCGGCCTTGGTGAGGTAGACCAAGCTGCCGGCTGCTTCAAAGAGGTACAGCTGATCGGCAAAGTAGGATTTGCCGGTGGTGGCCTTGACGAGGGGGTCTTCGTCTGGGGCGACATGGGGAAGGTCGGCAGTGATGATCATTTGATCCTGAGATTAGCAGAGTTGACTTTTGACTTACGCGCATGCTATCGAGGATGATGGGAATAGCCTCCGGCTCGAGGTCAGACTTGCAGTCCTTGACGAAGCGGCTGAAAAAGTAGAAACACCGCCGCTTGACTAGCTCGTCGGGGTGATGGATTCCGTGGAGCATAGCCTCAAGCATGGGCTGGATGGACTTTGGCTTGGATCGCCAAAAGTCGACATAGCGGACGGCGATTTCAAAGTATTGGAGGGTGACGCTGGGGTGTGGGAAGGCCGCGACGTTGCTCTGGATGCAGAGATCCAGAAGTTTGCCGAGGAGGGTCATGGGGTATTGTTCATAGTCGATTTTGTCGGGCTTTCCGCCATAGTAGACGCCAGGGATGGGTTCGGCGAGATCGTCGATGGGGATGTCTTGCATTCTGTTGATGCTGATCCTGTGGAGGCGGTCCCGCCCGGTCTTGGTGGCGAGTTCAGCGGGGAGGTCGAAAAAGGCTGCGCGCGTGTTGTCTATCAGCAAAGAAACGCTTCAACTTACTTTTCGCCAATTCGCCAAAGGTATAGACCAGATGCAGGGCAAGCTCGGCCTGCTGCCAGGTGGCGCTTTGCACATTGTTGAGCGTTTCAATGACGATGCGCGCGACGATTTCTTGGTGCATTACCCGGTCGATCTGCGCGATGGATTCGATATACGTGCGACACATCTACATTAGCTTGTTCAGGAGTGACTTACCATTCGCTTGAGCTGGAGCATGGCAAGGTCGTCGTCGGGGTCGGGCTCTTCCCCGGTCGGCGCTTCCCACTCGGCGTCCTCGGGCCAGGCTAATTGTCGAACGCTGACGTCGAGGAGGGCGGCAAGGAAGTCGCGACGCTCAGCGGGGAGGTCTTGCAGGGGTGTGGTGGGGCCGGCAGGAGGGAGCATCTTTCCAGAGCGGATAGGAGGGAGCTTGACGGTGTGAAGGCGTTTGTACTGGGTAAGCTGGGCCAAGAGACGACTCACCACTTTTAGCAGATCGCTGACGAAGGGACCGACGGCGTATGGGATGTCGGTATGTGGATCCGACATCAAGCGCAATAGTAATGGGCGGCATTGATCGACCATCGCCTCGGCTTCTCGACGGTGCTCATCCGGGATATCCTCCTGATGTCAGCTCGATCGCGCTGGACGTACGTTTTCCCACATCTCCACTAGGGTCGTCCCGTACGCAGCGAATAATCCAGCGAGCGCAGCCCTGAAAGCGACATCCTCGGTGGTCATGTCGATGCTCAAAATGTCCAGCACTTTGAGGACTTGTAGTTTGGCTGCCGAATCCTTGACGCCCTTGTTGACCAGCGTTTTGAGTACGTTGCAGGAGGAGATTTGGACTGGTGTGGAGAGGAGGCGACGGTAGAAGGCGAGGGTGTCGGGGGTAAGGGAGACGGCGAGATCCACCCAGGCTGCCATCAGCTCTGCCGATACCCAACTTACGGGTCCAAGCTCCCAGAGTTTTCATGGCCAGCTCGGCGATTTCTGTCCATCCCCGAGTCAACGCCTTGTCTGCTATTCCCAACAACCCCTTGACTGCTAGAGCCTCGTCCCCGGAAGACCGGATGACATCTCGAATATTGCCATCCCGTTCTTGACGGTCTTTTGACCATGGCCGAGCTGATTTTATGGTCGAGTCGTGGATTTCGAGCGCTATTTCGTTGAGAATGTGGATGGAGAGGAGGATCGAGTCGGATTGTTCGCTTTGGAGGAGGGTGAAGAAGGGGTGAAGGAAGGAGGGGATGTGGGTGGGGTAAGAGGCGATAAAGAGGTGGGCAATGTCGAAGGAGAGTTTGTTGCGGAAGACTGATCAGCGGGGTCTGGGGAGACTTACATTTCTGGCCTCCTTCACGGTGCCCGTCGACCCATTCCGCATTGACAAAGTTGAGCAGGGCTTGGTAGGTGGACTGAAGTGACTCGGCCGAGAGTACACCCTTTAGCAGCGCTGTTTCGAATACCTGCTCGCAGTATAGGCGCAACTCCGTTCCCAGCTTGGGCTTGCCATCCTTGCCGACGCCTCCCGCTTCTGCACCGGCTCCTTGGAGGTAGAGGGAGAGGCAGTCCTGCCATCAGCCGAGTTGTGGGTGAGCTCACCTGCCAGGTTTCTTCGCAGAGCTCCTTGACCTTGTTGAGGTAGGCGAGGGCTTGCTCTTTGAGCTGGGGGTCGACACTGGGGCCTGTGGACGCTGCTATCTGGACCGCCTGGGGGATGTTGTCCAGGTGGGAAGACATGGTAAGGTGAAGGATGAAAGTAGGTCAACTTGAAATTCAAAGTTCATTTTGAGGTGCTTCATTTGGTCACGTGCCAAGTGGCGAGGCCAGGTGGCGACCGATCTGAGCTCGGACATCTATGGACGACGATGCAGGCAAGGGCAAGACTATCGCAATAGCGGCATAACAGGATCATCTGGCTATACATACATATAAGATCTACTTTCTGTACCAACGGACACCTGCTCGGTTCCTCCTCATCTTGCGCTGGAGCTGGAGCATACCATACTGCTGGTCAGCAAGGAACATCAGTAAGGTGGAGACATACCAGTAACGCTTCAGCCGTGGGAGGGCTAATGGTCAGCACGTACAAAGCTGTCCACAAGACAACTCACCATCCCGGCACGTAAATATCCACAGGAACGATGCGGTCGCATCCGCGCACCACCGAGTACGAGTAGTGGTAATAGCCACCACCGTTGGCGCAGGAGCCCATCGAGATGACCCATCGAGGTTCAGGCATTTGGTCGTACACTGTCGTCAGCGGGAACGCGCTAGGGCTCACCCTTTCTCAGCGCAGGTGCCATTTTGTTGGTCAATGTCCCGGCGACAATCATAATGTCACTCTGTCGAGGACTAGCTCGGAAGACGACACCGAGTCGATCCTGATCGTATCGCGCAGCAGCCATGTGCCTATTGTCAGCGGGGTCGGCTTAGGACTTACATCATCTCTACGGCGCAGCAAGCGAGACCGAATGTCATTGGCCACATGGAACCCTGACGAGCCCAATTGACCACCTTGTCGAGCGTGGACAGGACATATTCTGTCGTCAGCTGGGTTAAGCATGGACTTGCCTGCTCCGTTCCGAGGCGTCTCGAGGCTGAGCTGGTTTGATCCGCGTTGAGCAATAGCAGTGACGGGGTTGGTGGTGGAAGGGGAGGAAGAGGCCGAGTTGATGGAGGCGGAGGGAGTGTTGGGACGAAGAGCGATCGCGGTGGTTGCTAGGTTTCGTGCTGGACGTTAGTATGGAGATGTGATCAGATCGACGTACAGATCGCAGAGGCGGGCCGAAGCATCGGGGCTTGGAGACCGGCGCGGAGACCTGGAATTAGCGCGCAATTGAGACATGTGGGATGGCTCACCTGTGCGGAGACCTGTGAGTGAGGTGCTCATTGTAGCTGTGGTGAGGTTGATGTATGGTGCATAGATGGATCATAGGATTTGAGCGTGAAGCTGGAACGATCTGAAAGCGGACATCGCCGCTGGAGGACCTCCACTTCTCTCGATCCCTGATTGGCTGACTCTTTTATACATCTCCGATGCCTTGATTGTGTGCTTTTGCTTCGTTTATTGTCATCTGGGCCTTCGCATCACCAGCGAAAACGAGTGGAAAGTAGTCTCGAGAGCATGGGTGAGCGGCGGCCGCTGCTCTCAGTAAGGAAACCTCTGAAACGTGCCGCCGTACTGACAATTGACCCAATCGTGTAATGCGAAGGTACAGGTAGGGTGCTAATGCTCGCGAAGTGCGAGTCTGGAAATTGCTGGTGCCAGCGCGCAGATTGTGAAACTGACAGCCGCCGCAATTGGCCGGGATTGGGAATGCTGTAGCGAAGGACCTTGGGAGGGGTGAGCGCGGACTGGGAACTGCTGCACATGGCGGAGGTAGGGCTCAGAACGCCCTGGTAAGGATGGGGGATCCGGCCACGTTTAAGCATGAGAAGCTCCGTGCCATTGGTGCACGCGTAGGATCTATAGCCGGGCTATCATGGATCGCGAGAGAGGGTTCGGGACCATTGGGTCTTGTGGGGCGCGTTTCAAATTTCGGCTCCAAAGTAGACATAACGTTATCCGCGTTTCACGTCGTGCCTGGCCGTTCCTCATTCCCGCTCGGATACTCCGCCAGGCACCATCACTCCGATCGCTCCTTTGGTCCACCATCCCCTCCTCGAGCTGTATGCATGCGCCACATGCACACTCCACCGAGCGTCCGCAGGATCACTCAAGATCCAATCCCATCTATCAGTCAATCAAACGCAATAAAAGCCACTCCGGCAATTTCGCCCGCCGTGATTGATCCAAAGGATGTGTGTGCTTCTCGCTAGCCCCTAGTCACGCCGAAACAGTCACGCTCAACTTATATAACCCGATCTGGACCCTCATCTCTTCTTCACTTCACCCTATCATCATCATGCAGTCCTACACCACCCAATCCCTCTTCTCTGTCAAGGGCAAGGCAAGTCCCCCTCACATCCCAGCTAATGTCAGACCGTGATCGTCACCGGCGGAGGCTCAGGCGTTGGCAAAGGCATGGCTACCGCCTTTGCCGTCAACGGAGCAAAGGTAAGTCAACCTCAACTCCAGCTGACCCCCAGGTGATCATCTGCGGCCGCCGCATGGACACCCTTCAGACCACCGCCGATGAGCTCAACGCTGCCGCCAAGGAGAGCGGGAATGGAGGTGAGCTATACCTGATCGCCGCTAATTAGGCACCGTCGTCTTCATCCAGGCCGACGTCGCTACCAAGCAAGGCGTGATTGACTTTTACAACAAGGCCTCGGAGCACATGGACCAGGTGAGCCGTCCCATCTCTCCGCTAACCCCAGCTTGATGTCCTCATCAACAACGCTGGCTACTCTTCCGGCTGGAAAGACAACAGCTCGCTCGCCGACGCCGAGACGCTCGAGACGAAGCTTTGGTCCATCGATGAGTGAGTCTCACGTCAATCCCGCTAATTCCAGCTCCGACTGGGCCAACATGACTGCCATCCACGTCGCTGGCCCCTATTACCTCGCCATCCGCGCCATCCCCTTCTTCAAGAAGTCTCAGGATCCTGTCGTCATCAACATCACTTCTCTGGCTGCGATCTTCCTCAACAGGTGAGTTGAGTCAGACTAAGCTGACGGCAGGGCGGTGTGCGAGTACTCTTACGCCCAGTCCAAGGCTGCGGAAGCCCACCTGACCCGTCTCATGGCGGCCGCTCTGGGACCTCTTGGCATCAGAGTAAGTTCTTGTTTGACTTGACTAACATTAGGTCAACTCCATCTGCCCCGGCCTCTTCCCGTCCCAGCTGACAACCGACGCGAACGGAGAGTTCTGGGCCCCGATGCAGGATGCCATCAAGAACATTCCCAAGGGGTGAGTCATGCTTCGATCGAGCTGATGTAGACGCGCCGGCAAGTGGGAGGAGTTGGCAGGCCCTGCTCTCATGCTCGCCTCGCCCGCTGGCGCCTACCTCAACGGGTCAGAGATCGTCTGTGACGGAGGGTGGGTTTTGAACTCCTCCGCCAGGGACGTCTAGTAAGGGCGCCTGTCGTATGCATGTCTAAGTCTCCATCTTCTGCCTCTGCACTTTCCACCACGCCCCAAACTCATTCGCCTGTTCCACGACGTACCCTTCCCCATTAAACACGCGAGCATTCTCGAGCATAAGCTGAACTGCCTCATCCACCTGCCGAGCGGTAGTGTATGTATTGTCGTTGATGTGGCCCCGGATTAGAGTCAAGTCTCTGGCGTCCTCTCTTGGAATACTATCGTCAGCTTCCTTCCAAATCAGACTCACATGTCAAAGTAGCTTGGTATGTTGAGCTTGACAGGGTCGACAGGCTCCCGGAAGAGGATGCTGCTCTTCTCCTTGAATGCCCGGGCGATAATAGCTAGCATCGCCTTCTTTTCCTCGACAGTGAGCTTGGGCGAGATGACCTTGGGCCAGTCCCTTCGATAGACCGCCTCCAGACTGTCGGCCATGTCGTAGTATGGCCCGGCCTTGTTGAACGTTCGGCAACTACATCAGCTCGATCAACCACGGACTCACTTGTCGAATACCAGTTCAATGTCGCGTGCGAACTGCGCCATGTTCTTGTACCGTTTCGAGTCAATTTTCTGGCCCACAGTCCCGAAATCCATCGGCTCCTTGATCTCGTCCAGATACCTGTCTTTAGCTCAATCAACCCAGTACTCACGTTGGACAGCCATCTCCCACGGGATCGACAGGTTTGAGAAACTACATCAGCTCAATCTCAGCTTCACTCACGAGATAGGCGTTGGGATCTGCTTTCAAGGTCGCCAGCAGCGCCTTGGCTCGGCGAGGTCTGAACGGTAACTCTGCCGGCGCCGGCTTGAGGCTGATCTTTGGCCGCTTCTTCTCGATAGCGTCGACCTCCGCTCCAAGTAGATCGTCCAGCTCTGTCCTCTTCTTGACCGGGACAGGAGGCGGCGCCATCGCTTTGAGTTTGATGACTCTTGCCTGTGGCTTGGCCGGCTCAGCTTCTCGAGGCACAACCGATACCGTCGTTTCGGTCCTTGCCCATACTACCGTCAGAAGGACCAAATGTGCACTCACGATCTTCAAAGTACGCCTCAAACTCCTTGACGGCGGTGTAGATGGGCGAGTCTGCCCTGTTATACAGCGAGCAATTCGCAATGATCAATCTTATATCTTGAGCGAACTCGTGTCGAGATCGGTAGACCCCTCCGGCGAGCTTGGCGCTGATCGTGGATAGATCCATAGGCGACTTGACAATCGTAGGGTAGCTAAATCAGCACGGCCAGACCTAAACTTACTCTGGCACTCCGTCTCGTATAGGATCCACTGGATGCAAAAAGTAAAAAGCGCTCTTTTGAGATTTCTACATCAGCTACGCCTTTCACGACTCACCAATTTCTTCAACGCATTGCTAATGGCGAGCTGATCCACCGCCATTTGGGGCTTCTTGACCGTAATCTTGGGCACGGGATTCTCCGGAGCGGTGACGCTGAGGCGGATCTTGGGCGTATCCACGGCCTCTGCGTTCCCCTTGGAAACAATCTCGCCGACCTTGATGAGGGCCAGGCGACTGCTGATATCCGAGCATTGTCTACATTAGCTCGACCCAGCCCGAACTCACATCGCGTCAATCCCCTCTCTCAGCCCCGGCCGTCTCGACATTTCCCTCCGCACCGACTTGACAATCACCGCGTCGTCCGTCTCGCCCGACTCGGTAATCTCGCCCAGCGAAAGCGAAACGAGGATAGCTTCCGACAAGGCATAAGCGGCGTGTTGGCGCATACTCGGGAACGCATCCTGCTGAACCACCTGCAGAACATAGTCTGTAATGTGTCGGCTGCGACCCGGCGGGCGGCACATCAACAGGCAGTCGAGGGCGACCTCTCGTACCGCCAAAATCGACCCTTCCCGAGTGTACGATAAGAACGGCCTTGGATCGTTCAACCGCTGACCGCCGAGAATCGCCTTCATCAAGGTCTAATCAGCCTCATCCTTTTATAACTCACCAAAAGTCCCGCCTGCGTCACAACGTTGCGATAACTCGGCACCAGGCGGTCCATCGTCAAGAGCCGATCGACTATGTCGTTGGTTTCGCGACGTAGATGATCCCCCAGGCAATTACCGAGCGACGCGACGATCGTGGCGAGGCGATACGAGTCGTCGAAAGCGTTCCGGGAATTGTCGTTGGTCTGTAGCGCCTCGATCAACACCACCTTGGCTACAGACGAACGACAATTCCCCAGCGCGGAGAATACCGCATTGGCGACAAAGTACTCCGACATGTCCGTAAAGTCGTTCTGCGCTTGTCGAAAGTGCTCGTATAGCTTGAGCAGGAGGAACGACCCCATGTCGTCAAACTACGTCAGCCAGTCCGACCTTGACTCACCATGACCAATGCCCGGACCGCTTCCATCCGCACCCGATAATAGTAATTCCGCACTAGCGCCACCTTGGCCAGCTCGCTCGCCACCACCGGCGTGAGATGATTCGACAATGCTTGCACGGCCTGATTAGCAGCGCTCTTCTTTGACTCACTTGCACTTGCGCCGCCACATCGCGATCCCCCTGCAGCTGCGAGACCCAGTACCATGGCCGCTCCGGGAACTCAAACCACGCCAGCCACTCGCACTCTGGATCAATCCGGATCCACTCGTACCCGCCCCCCTCGCCAATCATGGTATCCGCCTGATCCGCCGACCAGTCCGCCACCCGCCACGCCTCCCGAACCTCTTCGTTCTCCCACGGAGGATACGCAAACACCTCTGCCACAGGTATGTCCTCTAGCTCGTCCTGCAGGTGCTCGAACCGAGCAGCGACCTTGCCCGACCGACGTGTCCGCTTGTATTTGGTATTGAATGGTAGATTGAAGGTTTTTGACGCATGTTTGATGTCGACGATGTGTTCGAACGGCGCCCCGTCCGCCTCGTGGATGCGGATCGTTAGGCTCCCATCAAAGACCGCCTTTGCCTGGACCACCGTCATCTCTACGAGGAACTTTTTCCGGATAAAATTGGCGTGGATCTTGAAATGGGGGCACCGGCTGCCAAAGACCCACTGATCCGCAAACGGGGTCAGGTCCAGCCCAGTGACCTTCCGGCTGATGCGAAGGAATTGCTGCGTCGAGAGCGAGTTGCCGTGGCCGAGATCGTCCGAAAGGGCAGAGAGGAAGATCCGCGGGATGATGCGCGACAGCCCGGGACCGGTCTTGGCGAGGTGACGATCGAGGGTATGCAGCACGAGGGGTGCTTTGAGGTTGACAAAGTCCGTGTCTAGGGTGAGGGAACCGGGGACACAGATGGGCGCCTTGGCTCCCTGGTCAAGGCGGACGCATCGGTCGATATCCTTCTTGAGCCGATACCGGTAGTCATTGTTGCCAAAGATGCTCCGGAGGCAGAGCGACCGAATGTAGAGCGCGAGACCGTTGACGATCCAGGTGTCCGATACGTCGCGCGGAATGACGTTGATACCGATCCACTGCTGCGCCAGCGCCAGTGTCAACGTCTCCCGGAGCTCTATTGACGCCTCAATGACTGAAGCGTCGCACGCCGCCTCGCTGGGCAGGAATACCGTGCAGGCGTAGACGGCCACCGCGGGGAGATTGTCGACGAAAGCGATTTTAAAGTCTTGGTATGGGTACGTCCCGAATTCGGTAGTGTAAAAGAGCAGGGCTCGTGATACAAAGCTGAGATCGGTACAAGCGCCAAAGGCAATGATCCGGTCGTCGACCGGGCGGGGCGTCGCCGTCGTTGCGAGGAAACCGACATGGCGGATGGTAGTGGGAATGGTTTGGAGGTGGGAAAAGATGGTCTTGGTGGATGTCGACGGGTGCACAACCTACATCAGCATTATAGCGTGCAAACTTACCTGTTCCAAGAGCTCTCCCGTCGAAACAACCGTCAGCCCCATGGGGAGGATGTAGATCAACTCCCAGGTACACCTCGCCCAGAGACTATCCACGCACGGCGCCCATGTCCGCCCCTGCCCCGCATACACCTGCCCATCTTCAAACGTCAACGACACAATCCTGTAGTCCACCCGGATCTCCAGCGGGGCCAGCCGCCCCTCGCCTTCGATCACCCTGATCCAACCACCCGAGACCGATATGGCCAGCTCGCCAGCGTCTGCTTCTTCGATAGCCGACCATGTCTTGCGTTTCTGGGCGGGGTGGTCTCTGGTCTCCCCGGCCAAGAACGACGCCGGGTCGGAGAGGGAATACGAGGCTGGCGTGTCGTGGTAGGGTTGGACGGCTGTCGGAGAGGAGAGAGAAACGCGATGTATGTCCAGTTCGGGAGAAGCATTGAGGTAGATAACGCGTAGGGAAGCGGAGATTGGCTGGATTGTGAGGTAGCACGAGGCCTAGAGTCAGCGCAATTGGATGGGATCTTACATTGACTGATTTGGACTCAAAGTCAAAGTCCAGGATGACCCGCTGGTGCTGACTGATCATCAGCTGAGAATGGCAATTACTCACAGCTCAAAGCCTCGGGAGGCGTTGAGGGCTTCTGCACCGCCGAGCATGATGTATAGTCGATAAAAGCTAGAGGAGGAAGTGTGACTCACGCGCACACCATGCATATGCATGCCGGGGACAACTTGCTCGTTACGTCAGCAAACAAACTACTCATTCCTCAGTACAAAATTAAAGGCCTGCAGCTACTGTAGTATGGCTGAAATTCATGCTATGGGAGAGATAGAGGAACTAGCTAATACATACACAGTCGACGAGTAGAGTAGATAGATGGGCGCTAACCATCTATTCTAGCTGTCCGCGGGTCTGGTGCTGCCTCCCGACCACCCACTCCCCCTCCGCGACCTTGCCCTCTTGCATTCCTGCTCAGGATACCCGTCACCATGTCCTTCGCGGTTCTGCCTCTACCGTCTGCTCCACCCCCTCTTCCCCTCCCCCTGCCGGGTTGGGCAGCAGAGGGATCGGTCCCCTGAGATGCCGCCGCGCCCATGTTTGGTGCTCCGCCCCGAGGCTCGCCTCCGCGACCACGACCACCAACTCCTCTCCCCCGACCCCTCCCTGCTTGTCCGCTCGGTTCACCCGTAGGTGGCTGGCTTGGTGTCGATGTGGCGGCTGGTGCGGGCGTTGTGGCTTTCGGAGGCGGGGCCGGTTGATTTGGCAGAACTGACGGACCTGAAGCCAGGGCTGGGAAGTTCTTGACAGTATTCGTCGGCGCCGGCGCAGCCTGCGCAAGTGCCTTTGCTGCTTTCGCCTTCTTGCTTCGTGATTTCCCTCCTGCCTTGCCTCCAGGACTCTCTCCACCGCCCTGCGCGACAACGGCCCTTCCTTTGCCTGCCACAAGAGGCGCCCCCTGATCTTTTGGGTTACGCCTCGCAGCTGAAGATGCAACCGCTGCAACGGCAGCGTTGCGGGCGATGTCGGTGGAAGAAGACTCCGTCTTGTTCTTCTTCTTGCTGGATTTGATCCCCTGCGAGCGAAGGTATTCCAAAAGCGGCGTCGATGTAGGGCGAGCAGCAGGTACTGCCGTCAGCTACGCTTGACGGACGCTTACATGAAGGCTCTACGACGACCTTGGACGGTCCAGCTTGGAGACTCTCGAGGTAAGATTTGTAGTCGAGATCTGCATCAGCTAGCGCAGAGCTTCAGCTCACCATCATCGATCGTGCCTTGCCTGGCATCGTTCTTTGCCTTGGTTGCCAGCGGGGTCTTCTGGACCGGTGCAAACTCCACGACAGCCTGATACTCAAGGCCTATATCAGTACAGCTCGCCTGGCAGCTTACCTGTCTTGGACCGGAAGAGATGCCCATCAAATCCACGATGTAAATTGACGAGCGAATCGACATCGGTCATTAAGCAATAAGCTCTCGAGTGGACCGCTTGATCATATGGTCTGCACACTCAGCACGCCAACTATTGTTGTACCTACCCAGCGCTCGGCCGCCCTTTGATGTAGCGTTTCCAGGTGCATGTCGAAGCAGTGATCCAAGGAGCAACAGACGTCCAGAATATTTCCTCTGGCAACATCGGCGGCAATCGGCGAATCACAAGCTTCAAGCGAGGCGCTGCTGCCTCTTTGGTCGCCATGTCGTTCAAGAGAAGGATGCATGCACGATCTTGTTGTTGTTGCTGACAATGGAGCAAGGAGGAGCCTTCGCTGAAAAAGCCACGTCATCATTCCGTACCACCCACCATCTTGTTGCTCTTCACCCACCTTACTACTCTACTATACATCATGTCCACTACAGCTATGCCACCTACCTCGGAGCCCGGCCCATCCACACTCACACCATTAGCGGAGCTCGTCAAAAAGAGTGCAAAGCGCACAAGAGCAGTTTACGGCTATGAGGGAGACGGAATCGACGATGGTTTGGCACAAGCGTGAGTATGCCATTTATCAAAGCTCACTCCAGCAATAAGATGAAGCTCGCCGCAAAGCTCGCTGTCGAGTACCGAGATGTTCAGGTGCTGCCACCGATCCTGGCTGGGCAACAGGCGGGACCTACCGGACCCAAACGCCCAACAGCGCAACCGACCGCTGGCGGGGCAGGAGCCGGCGTCAAGCTGATAGGAGGACCGGGAGAGCCATCAACGTGAGTCTATTCTACTATACGGCTGACGTGCAGGAGCACATCTGCTGCACCAGAACCACGCGAGCTCGTCAAGTTCAGGCACCAGCAAGGCTTCGCGGCGGGCGGGGGTCAAGCAGGATCCAAGCTATCCCAAGCATTGATGCGAAAGAAGGAGGCGAGAGAAATCAAGCCCGTCTATCACCCACAATGTAAGTTATCACTTGACTCTGCTAATTTCAGGGAAACTTACCAGGGTTATCTCCGGCCATATGGGCTGGGTTCGCGCAATGACGGTCGATCCCGGAAACCAATGGTTCGCAACCGGAGCAGGAGACCGTGTCGTGAAGATCTGGGACTTGGCGTCGGGCGAGCTCAAGCTATCTCTCACCGGACACATATCGACCATTCGCGGACTGGCGGTCTCCGAACGGCACCCGTACCTCTTCTCCTGCGCCGAGGACAAGATGGTCAAATGCTGGGACCTCGAAACCAACAAGGTCATCCGCCATTATCACGGCCACTTTTCAGGCGTCTATTCTTTAGCGGTACATCCTACCCTGGATGTGCTGTGTACGGCCGGACGAGACGCCAGTGTGCGTGTATGGGATATGCGGACGCGAGCCAACATCTTCACCTTGACGGGACACACCAGCACAGTAGCGGATGTCAAAATGCAGGCGGCGGATCCCCAAATCATCTCGGGAAGTATGGACAGTACCGTCAGGTGAGTCTCAGCAAGTCCTCGCTAATGTAGATTATGGGACCTGGCAGCCGGCAAATGCATGACCACCCTGACACATCACAAAAAGTCGGTCCGCGCCCTCGCCATCCACCCGACCGAATACAGCTTTGCCAGTGCCAGTGCCGGCGGTAACAAGTAAGTCGCACAACTTCTCAGCTGATATCAGTATCAAAAAGTGGAAATGCCCAGAAGGCACCTTTGTCAACAACTTTGTCGGCCACGAAGCCATCATCAACACCCTAAGCGTCAGCGACGAAGGCGTCATGTTTTCCGGAGCGGACAATGGATCCTTGACCATGTGGGACTACGCCACCGGACTGCCATTTCAGCACCTGAAGGACGTACCACAGCCGGGATCTTTGGACGCCGAGGCCGTAAGTCCAGGCAAGACTGAGCTGATTCCAGGGCGTCTTTTGCTCCGCATTCGACAAGACCGGAACGAGACTCATCACGGGAGGGGCAGACAAGACCATCAAAGTGTACTCTGAGCAAGCATGATGTATGTGTTGATCCAGAGCACGTCTCGGTGAGATACCGCCTGATCAAGAAAGTGCATTCTCAGGTCTTGATGGATCGTGTTACGGTGTCAGCTCGCTAGTCGCCCAACAGCTAACGCTGACTCCCTGCGCTCAGCTATTCTTACGCAACGATACTGGAAGTGCAAAGGCATGCCTTCATCGCCTATGATCTATACTTGCAAACGCGCGGAAAATCCTCGCGCCGGATTATGCCAAGCTCCTGGTGGAGTGCAGCTAAGCGCGGCCCACTTCGCGATAAAGAACGGCCGGCTGTTCGCCCAGTGCAAATGTCGTTATGACGCCGAGTCGACCAGGCACCGACAGCAGGCGAAGGAGCAGCGGCAACGCGCTGGAAGGGTACCGAATCGCAAGCCAGATGCGCACGATCGTACTCCCGGAGCCGCACGGTGTCAGGCGAGGCAGCGTCGGGAAATCGTCAGCGGACCGCCTGTAAGCAGGAACTTCCGCGCTAGGGACAGCAACGCTGGGATCCGGTCCTAGAGGTATGGCGGATAGGGTCGGATGAGTGGATCAGGGGGCAAACGGATGGTGCAGGATCAGAAGGCGCGGGGTTGGCGGGGAGGACGGGCGCAGATGCTGGAGCTCAAGGGAACGAGCCGGCTGGAGCGGGCCCAAAACCCATGAAGCGGAAACTCCTGTACCCATAGGCGAGTGAGCGTGAAGGTCAAGGCGACAATTTGTCCAGGCAAGCATACATCTATACAGACAACTCCGCAGCCTTGACATCCTTCAACGCCTCGGTGTACGGCTTCAACGCCGGCTCGACCCAATCCTTGACGAACCGGTCCACCTGTTCTGGCGCCCTACCCACAAACGTCTTGGGGTCCATCAACTCGTCCAGCTGTCCCCAAATCGGCTTAAAGTAGTCGTCCGCCTTGACCCTCTCAATCAGGTCATTCTCCCCGCCCTGCTCCTTGACGACCGCACCCGCCTGATGCGACAACACCCTGATCTTTTCGTGGCACTCTTGCCTGTCCCCGCCATCTTTGACCATCGCCATGATGATGTTCTCCGTCGCCATAAATGGCAGCTCCTGCTTGATCCGACGCCCAATGACTTGGGGGTAGACGACCATGCCTTCAGAGATGTTTTGGAGGGTAGTGAGGAGGATATCGGCGGTGAGGAATGCTTCGGGAAGGGTAACACGGCGGTTGGCCGAGTCGTCGAGGGTCCGCTCGAGCCACTGGACCGAGGCGGTCATGAGGGTGTTTTGGTAGATGGCCATAAGGTGGCGAGAGAGGGAGCAAGCGCGCTCGCATCGCATGGGGTTGCGCTTGTAGGCCATGGCCGACGAGCCGATCTGGTCTTTTTCGAAAGGCTCCTCAATCTCCTTGAGGTTGGCCAAAAGGCGGACTACATCAGCCTAGCTGACGTTGAACTCACTATCAGTGCATATTTTGTGAACAGTCGCGCCAAAGCTGGACATCGGACCGAGGACGTCAATGTCGATCTTTCGCGAGTATGTCTGACCGGTGACGGGGTAGGCATAGGGGAAACCAGAAAGCTCAGTCACTCGCGCATCCAAAGCTTCGACCTGCCATTAGCTCAGCCTTACTCCTGCTCACCTTGTCGTGGTCACCGTCAAAAAGCGCCAAGAAAGACCCCTGAGTCCCGGTCGTGCCCTTGACCCCGCGGAATCCCAAATCGTTCCTCGCCCGCTCCATGTTGCGCAAATCCCATAGCAGCTCCTGGATCCAGAGCGTGGCTCGCTTGCCGACCGTGGTGAGTTGAGCAGGCTGGAAGTGGGTAAAGCCGAGCGTGGGCAGGTCGCGGTATTGCTGTGCAAAGGAGGACAGACGGGAGATGACCACCGCGAGCTTGGGAAGGAGGAGGTCCAGACCTTGACGAAGGAAGATCAGGTCGGCGTTGCTGATGTCAGCTCATGTCGTCGCAAGACTCACTCGGTGACATAGCAAGAGGTGGCTCCGAGACTTTCATCAGCTCAGCCTTATTCGGAACCCACTGGATGATCCCGGCAGCGTCCGGAGCAACCGTTCCAAAGGTGTGCACATGCGCCATCACATCATCTGCCATCAGCTCCACCCAACTTCGAACCTACGCCTCCGCTTCTTCTCCTCTTCCGCAGCAACCTTCATCTGCGCCTCGTCCAGCTCGAGGTTCGCCTTCATCTGCTCAATAGCCGAGTCGGAAATGGGAAGGCCGAGCTCCTAAATGTCAGCTGGAGCTATCGTAGCTACACACCTTTTCAGCGATAGCCAAATTGAGCCACAGCTGTCGCCATGTCCCGAAGCGTGTCTAGCCATCAGCAATTGACAGAGGGATCAGTGAAGGGCGTACCCCGTTCGAGAACAGCTTGGACATTTCCTTGGACGCATAGCGCCTTGACAATCAGCCTGTGTCCTACAGCTCGTTTCCTAGTAGCTCACGAGGAGAGGGGTGTCTGGTAGGTGTCCATACTGCCTATAATGTTGACCGTTGCGAAAGCAAACGAGGCTGAAAGACAATTTTGGGTCGGGCCGGTGAGTTTCCGACGGAACTGTCGATCGGCTTTGCGAGCGCGCAAGTCCGAACGGAGAACAGCATCGCAATGCAGAGGGCTCTTCGAGGCTCTTCGAGTATACCCTCTCTATGCTTCGCAGTGTATCACGGGAACGGGGTACATGCGGACTCCCGCTCGAACAAGAATGCATCGCAGCTGTATACTTGCGGGAGTCAGAATGGCTCACTATCTGAGGGGAGCAGATACACATTCCTCACCTTCCCCACGTCCTCCCGACGGCCGGCGATCTGGGGCCAAGCTCTTATAGAGTCACCACCTCCTTCCATCTTTCTGCTTTGTACATCCCAAACCCCACCAGCCCTTCTCTATCACCACTCCCCCACACTCCAACAATGGTCAAAGCTACAGTCTGCGGTGCCGCCGGTAAGTCACCACCCGAATATCGCATGGACGCGCACGTCCCGCTCCAACTAGAGCTCATCTCCAGGTGGTATCGGCCAGCCCTTGTCCTTACTGCTCAAGCTCAACCCTCTCATCACTGAGCTCTCTCTCTACGATGTCGTCAACGCTGTCGGTGTAAGTACCCTTTTCCGCAGCCCCTCTCTTTCGACCCATACCTCCCCAACCTGGGCACTCCCGCTCTGCCCATCCTTTCAACCGCGATATGCGCTTATCTCTAGGTCGCTGCGGACCTCTCGCACATCGCCACCCCAGCCCAGGTCGCTGGCTTCCTCCCCGCCGACAACGGCGCGGAGAAGGCTCTCCAGGGATCCGACATTGTCGTCATCCCCGCTGGTGTCCCCCGCAAGCCCGGCATGACCCGTGATGACCTCTTCGTAAGTCCAACTGAAGCTCCGCTGATTACAGAACGTCAACGCTGGTATCTGCGCTACTCTCGCCGAGGCCATCGCCAAAGCCTGCCCCAAGGCCTTCATCCTGGTCATCTCCAACCCCGTCAACTCGACCGTCCCCGTCTTTGCCGAGGTCCTCAAGAAGGCCGGCGTCTTTGACCCCAAGAAGTGAGCACACACGTGATCCTGGCTGACGTCAGGCTCTTTGGTGTCACCCACCTCGACATCGTCCGCGCTTCCACCTTTGTCGCGACCGTCGTCGGCAAGGCAGAGGACGCGTCCAAGTACTCCATCCCCGTCATTGGCGGTCACGCCGGTGCCACCATTCTCCCTCTCCTCACCCAGAGCGAGCCCAAGATCGTGAGTGTCGCTTTAGCTCTGCTGATGTCAGCCCGCCGAGATCCTCTCGGACAAGTCCAAGCGGGACGCTCTCGTCAACCGAATCCAGTTCGGTGGTGACGAGGTCGTCAAGGCCAAGGACGGTGCCGGATCTGCCACCCTCTCCATGGCTCAGGGTGAGTCTACGCGTTTGATTCACGGCTGTCGCTGATGACGCAGCTGGTGCCGAGTTCGCCGAGTACGTCCTCCAGGCCGCGTTCGGCGGCAAGTCCAGCAAGACCGTCCAGGCCTACGTCCACCTCAGCGCCGATGCCGGTGGTGAGCAGATCAAGAAGGAGATCGGCGCCGACCTCGACTACTTCTCGGTCAACATCAAGCTCGGTGTAGGTCTTTCTTGAAGTGTGTATTACGCAGCTAATTTCTAGGCCGGCGGTATCGAGAAGATTCTCCCCATTGGCGAGATCGACGAGCAGGAGAAGACCCTCTTGGCCGCTGCCGTCAAGGAGCTCGGCCCGTCCATTGACAAGGTGAGATCTTTTCCAATTATGGTCTCGATTACTGACTGGCAGGGATCCAAGTTCCAGCCCCCTCCCCCCAAGCTCTAAGAGCTGTGAGAGCGGCGCGTAGAAAGTCAAAAGGTCGAAATGAGCGATGTATCTATTCCGAATTTTGCTTCCGGGTGGAGGTGTGACGTGCTCGACCATGACCGTCGCGCTGAATAAGAAGAAGCTCCATCTATATCTTGCTTTGTATTGATCAGCCACTACAGCTCCAGAATCGTTCAGTAGCACATCGTACGTTCTGGCGCATTCTCTACGGCCTGCGCATCTCTTGCGACCCGGCTATATAAGAAATGCGACGAGCGAAGAGCTGACGGCAAAGTTGTTTTCGCCTCCACCCCCTTCAACTATCTAATCTATCTACAATGGTCAAGTCTATCGAGTCCAAGCAGGAGTGGGATGAGTTGGTGAGTGTTGTTTACGACTGTGGCCTGCCAGGCATTTACGATTTCCCATATCCTTGTCAATTTCCCATACCCTTGTCAATTTCCCGCACCTATATCTACCTGAAACGCTCAACGCAACGTCAAACTGCTACTTCCTCTTTCCTCTTAATCCGCCATGCTTGCCTGCAGCTGATCAATAGAAAACATCTGGCCACCCCTTCGTCGTCGACTTCTGGGCGACATGGTGCGGTCCCTGCAAGCTCATCAGCCCTCACTTTGAGAAGCTCGAGCAAAAGTACCCCCAAATCAAGTTTGTCAAGGTGGATGTGGACGAGCAGGCTGTGAGTTTGGTATCTCTTTGGTCGCGATGCTGGCTGACGCGCTCAGGAGGTCGCACAGGAGGTCGGCGTGAGGGCTATGCCAACATTCGTTGCATACAACAAGGGAGAGAAGGTCAAGGACCTTACCGGTGCTCAGCCGGCCAAGCTTGCTGTGAGTGCCTTTGTTGGACCTGGAGCGTATGACGCGCTGACGAGCTAGGGTCTGCTTGAGGAGCTCGCTGCGGCGCTCTAATTTATACATAGATGCAATGTGTTACCGTACCGGGTGCAGGTGGTGACGGCTTGCGCTGCGATACTGATGAGACGCATGCGTTCGAGATCAGTGTACTAGGGAGGGCTTTACGGTTTCACTCCGTTGCGAGAGGCAGCCGCAAAGACGAGATCACCCGATCTTCCCCGATGTCCTACACCCCCGTGACTCAGCACGCATTGAAGCATATTACCCCGCTTGTTTCATCTCGCTGTTTGGCTTCAATCCCCCGAGCGGAGTGTTGAATTGAGTTATGATTTTGAGCTGATCATCTCAGCCTGTCACATCCATAACTACATCCGATATAGGTCCGGAGTGTCCCTCAACGTTTCACAGGTGAGCAACCGTATCATGAAACGCGGAGTGGCGCTATCTCCTGCCAGTGTATCGGGGGTCCGAGCGCCAGGAACGACAGTGGTCCGAGGACCGAGCGGAGAACGGAGATGGATACTGCATGACGCCGAGGACCGTGACAACCAGCCAGGAACGGGCGAGGGGTGAGTATCGCTGGCGCCCCTGTTTCATCTGTACTAACTGGGCTACTAATGATCGCCCTCGCTGCTCTTATGCGCAACTTGGGTACCCCTTTCTCGGTCTGTACCTGGTAGTTGTGTGTCGGTCAGGAACCGCAGATTGACTAGCACCAAGCAAATCAGGCACCAAGATTGTGTGCTGCTTCTCGCTTCTCCCGCTTGGATCTCATCGTCATCCCGTCCTGATCTAACTGTTATCATACAGATCTCACCTCGACTCTATATACATCATCGCTGGTCGACACCTTCCCTCTCAACTCCTCCTCAACGACGACACCTCCTACACATTCCGCTCCTTCCTCACCGCCGTCGACAGCTGGACTGCTCGACTTGTTCCCCAGCTACACCTTTACCATGTCGCATCTCCCAACGTCGCTAGACGACTATACTCTCCAATCAGACGGCCAAGTCTCGCCAAAGCTACAGTCTCCGGACGAGCCGATCCCTTCCCTCTCCCACTATGGCCTGGGGCCAAGTGTGATGGCGCCTGCAGCAGGGGACGAGGAGGATATGGGAGGAGCCCACTGGAGCATGCCTGATCTGTTTGGCGAAGGCGACGGGGAGCGCGGATTTGGCCCTCCATACGAGTATTCAGGTGAGCCAGTCACTCGTTTCATATATCCAAGCTGACGTTTCAGGATCGGCAGCCCCAAGCTACACCCCCTTCGCCTACCCCAAACCCCTGCACCACGCAACCTCCGCATCCTCGCTCAGCTCCCTCTCGTCCAGCTACTCGGGACTCTACGTCGACTGTCCGCCCGAACCTACCCATCCCAACTCGCACTCTCGCACATCGTCCATCTCGTCTGTCGCAGGTCTCCACAAGATCTCGCCGCCGCTCGACAGCTGGCCTGCCTTTTCAAAGAACGTCGGTCTGGGTGCTGGTCGAGACAGCCCTATCCCGCCCAAGCTGCACGTGCAGACCCAGAGCTTGGGCCGCCTGGGGAGGATGAGAAGTTCGAGTCGGGTAGGCCCGTACGATCGACGGGAGAGGAGCGAGAGTCTGAGCGAGAGGTGAGTCCTTATATCGCCCAAGCTGACCGAACAGGTCTGAAGGAGATGACGACTTGTCCGCTCTGGTCAACTCCAACTCCAGCTTGAACGGGTACTCGACGCCGCTTACATCGATCGGGCAACCCCTCAACCTCAACCGCCTTACTCTCCACCATAGACGGTAAGTTCACCGCTGTTCAAGCTGATGTCAGATCCGCCTCCAACGTCACCTCCTTCTCGCCGGTCCGCGCCAATCCCAACCCGGTGCTGTCGAGAAAGTACCGCAGCTCATCGCTCCTCGGTCATCCCAAGCGACTTTCCTTCGAGAATGACCGTCTCAAAGGCACCGCGGTCGAGCGCGAGGAGACGGTCCGGCATCTGCTCAACACTGCCGCAGAAGAGATGCGGGCGCTCCCCAGCGCATCTCAGCAGGACAAGGCCAAGTCTGCCTGGGTCAAGAAGTGGTGAGTAGATGTATAGACACAGCTAATGACAGGCTCCAACTCAGCTATACCCTCTCGTCGGGTCATACCGTCCCGCGTCAAGGTCTTTACGCTTCCTACACTGCCGCGAGTGATGACTATGGCGTCCGAGCCATCAATTCGGCGTCATTCGGCAAGGCCGTCAGAAACGCCTTTCCGGGCATCAAGACGAGACGGTTGGGAGTCCGTGGCAACAGGTGAGCTACTGCAAGAACCTAACTGACAATCAGCAAGTACCATTACATCTCTCTTCGCCCCGCCGTATCCATCGAAGCGGAGCGACTCAACCGGTTCGGCGACTCTAGCGGGTGAGTCTCTCCCTGAAGGTGGCTGATGTAGACAATGGCACGTTGCCTCAAGCGATGGTAGCATGACCTTTCAAGCCGACGTGACCGATGACGATGATGCAGAGATGGAGGAGCTGGAGGACAGCGAGGAAGAGGATGATGAGCACATCTTGTAAGCTTACCCAAGGTGGCGCTAACGAGCAGCACGTTTGATCGCAAGCCGACGACCCAATTCGTAACCTCGAGCAACCGTCCCGCCTTTGGCCGCCGTCATACCACCTCGGACATTGCGTCGCCGTTCTCCAACGCCCCGCTGATGCCCATGCCGGTTTACGACCTCCCAGGCTTCCCAGTCATCAACAATGCCTATGACTTTGGTCCGGTGATACGCCTCGACCAGGTCTACGACTTTTGGAACGCCTTTTGCAGACACCAAGAGCTGTTGGTCAGCAGTGTCCGGAACCAGCAGTTTGACCGGTTCGACGTCAACGTGAGTCTCGCTGGGGATAGAGCTGACGATAGTTGCACGAGTTCTGGGGACTTCTTACTCCCCTCTGGATGCGGGTCTGCCATCATCCCGTCGTCTCGCGGATGGTGTCTGACGGAATGGCTCTGACCTACAACGTGAGTATCGCTACTACTTTGCCTGATGCTCAGCACATCATCGCCGTCCTCACGTCCAACCTGCAGCGCCCGCCTTCCAAGCCAGTCCAGGAGAGCCTTCGCGGATTGGCGACACGCCTGGAAGCGTCTGTTGGCAATTGCCTCTCCATCTGCTCGACCGACTTTTCGCAGACCAAGACCGAGCTGGCTCTCCGCGCAGCCCACCTCATGCGTGAGTACTACCATAGCCGTGCTGATCCCAGACCGCTGCGTGGACCTCCAACAACTCTCGACTGCGCTACTCCCCATCATCACCAGCCCGTCCCAGGTGGACCAGATGGCAGCCGCATGGGATCAGCTCGACATGAAAAGTATCGCCGATCAATGCGCTCTATCGTGCAGCTGCGAGCAGGACACCATCGAGCAGGTATTGTTGGGGTTTAGGGACTGGCTGGAAGGCGCATGCGATGGAAGGGCGTTGGAGCGGTTGGGTGCCTGGGTTAGCAGTGTGCTGGATGGGCTGCAGACCACCAAGGCGGATGAGGGGGCTGCGAGATCGTAGGTCGGCTTTCGGACTTGGCTGACATCCAGGCTGGTCACTCGAGCGGGCTTTTTGACCTCGCAGATCATGCGCGACTTTGTAAGTTCATCTCATGACCGGGCTGATCCAGACACTCAAAAGCGCGTCCAGCTTTGGCCTCTTTCAGATCATCAAAACCTGGATTGACGACTGGGTCGCCATCTCGGTCCTGCGTCCCTCGGTCCTATCCAGCAGCAGCGCCGCTCCCTCTCCCACTCTCGGAATGTCGGTCAGCATCCCCACACATAATCAGCTCCAGCTCTCCGAAGAGGACCTCCCCACCGCCGTCCCTCCCTCATTACAAGACGTCTCCCGCCGCCACCACCGACCAAGCTCCTCCGTCTCGTCCATCTCCTCCGTCACCTCGTCCCACTTTGGCGACGGCTGCGGCTTCCCCCAGCTCACCGCGTCAATGCCGGATCTCACGCACATGGCGAATCTCAATGTTTCCAACAACTCTTCATCGTCGACTGGTTTCAACATGATGTAGTTTGGGGTTTTCGTCATCTTTTGGTCTTTGGGGTACTATCTGTGGACATTAGGGTAGCTGTATATAACGATCTGAAACGAGACATCTGTGTAGCAAAGTTAAACTAAATGCATTATACATAGGAATTGATTATACACAGTACTTGCTACAGTCTCCTTGACATCGACGCTCAGATATCGATCGCCTGCCATCGCGTGTCCTTGCGCGTGTGAAAGTAGATCTCGGCTTTGGATCCATCGGGTCGAGGTTGAGGTGTCCGCCAGTCCCCCGCACGGCCAGGCATGAGATTCGCGACCTGACATCAGCAGAGTTCTACCTTGCACTCACCATATATCTCTTGCCCTCTTCCAGTGCGCCCTCGCCCAGCGCCTTGACATCCCAAACATTCAACATTCCCACTCGGCATGGCGCCTTCTCTCCACGCCTGGCATCCCTGAACCGGATGATCCGAAAGTCCCTGACTTGTCGAGGTGGGCATAGGACCTGAAGGTCAGCTACAGCTCTCAAAGCTAGCTCACCTGAAGCTCCGCTTCCACCTCTAGATACCCATTCGACGCCTCCCGCTCAAAGTAGGTCCGCCCATAAGCGGCCACATGAAGCAGTGTCGAGGACGCCATAGTCCGCAATCTTGAATCGATAGATTTCGCTTCGAGCAGCGAATCAAAGATCTGGTCGACATTGTCGGAAGGATAGCCTATGGTCAGCTCTGCCCAGGAGTTTGACTCACCTCCGCCATGACCGCCCTCGACGCCCTCTGCGGCCGAACATAAAGCGCCCACCATATCCTCAATCAGTTCAAGCTGTTTGCGCATTTCGCCTTGAAGCCTGGTCGACTCTGCAGAGTATTTTTCCTATCTTATCAGCTTCGTCGCAGAAGAAAACGCACCGTCCAAGCGTCCTGACGCTGCCGCTCTTCCTCTTCGCCCCACGGCGCCTCCTTGTTTCCCTTATCCGCCGTGGTATACGCCACCGGAAACATCTTTTCAATCACCACATCCATTAGACTGATGACGCCTCCGTCGACACTGAGACTCGATAGACCCGATACGAATGGCTCGCTCTGCCGTCCAAGTTTGGCATCCCATCGGGCTAGCTGCGTCGAGTTACCCGTAATGGATAGCAGCGTCTTGTCGAGGCTTTCGAGCGGGTCGACGCCTTCTCCGCTGGATTCGAGCTGCACGTCAGCTTAGTTGGGGTAGTACTTACCTTCGCCCCAGTCACAGCTAGCTTCCTCCCAACCTTGATCTTCCCTTTGTTGATTGCTCGAGCGAGACAGTCATCCACCTGCGCCGAGATCTGATACCACCCATCCGTGAGCTCCAAGAACGGCCGAATCGGCGCCGGGTCGTCCTTGTCGCCCTCTTCCTTGTACTCTGGTGGCGGCCGAACGATGGCCGTAACGACAAGCACGAGGGGCAGACTAGGCGAAGAGTCGTGCTCGTGTATACGACGGATGATGGGCCGTTCCGCTCGTCCGTACTCTCGCTCATATCTAAATCAGCTACGCTCGAGGGTGGGCTCACCTGTATAGCAGCTGATTGATCACCTCCTCCCACCGCCAGAGTCGCTCAAAGAACTCATACTGGGCTTGAATGGTCCCGGCGAGCTTCCACAAGATCATCGACCAATGATTCGTGACCCAGGCTTGGGTGGCGTAAGTACAACCTGCAGCCTTGACTTTGGTGTATGCCTCGGCGGGACCGAGATCGCTGCCGTCGTCCGCGACGAAGCGATACGCCTTGGCAAAGCGCAGCTCCATAAGGTAGATCTCGTCGGGACTATCCAGTCAGCTGGGCTCCTTCCAAGAACACTCACATGCCGAGCTCCACTAGCTCAGGGATAGAGTGATACTGTGGCTTGAGCCAGGCATTGCTGTATGACTGGCGATCGGACGGGACTGAATCAGCTCTGACGTACGCGTGGACTCACTAGTCAGGTCAAAGACGGATTGAACCACCGGAGCTACAGGCGCAGGAGTAGGTGCAGGCTGCATGGACGTCCTCGGCAGAGCCGGTGAAGCGCTGACACCCGTTTTGAAAGGCGTAGAGAAGCCAGTCCTCGTCTTGCCCAGCTGACTCGGCGTGATGGCGAGACCGACCCGCCGACGAAGCAGTCCTGGAGTTCCGAGCTCGATAGGTTTGAACTTGCGGGGAGCGGGCGAGCCGGTAAGAGCTGCAGGCGTGGAAGGCGCTGCCATAGCCGAGGGAGTATTCGTCGTGGTTCGCAGAGGTGTCCGGAAAGCCTGCCCCGTCGCCGATTGCCGGGACTGAGTGGCGAGCCGAGGGGTGATGAAGGCTTGCGAAGAGTTCTGTGGTGTACCGGTCCGAGCAGGATCGTCCGTAAAGATCGATCCGACCTTTGCTCTCGCAGCCTGGCTTGGGCCTGCGACAGCCCGGCCTGCACCAGTAGCAAAGCCCGATGGAGCTTGCAAGGTTGACTTGGGCGGTGCGAACGGTAGTGGGGGTGCCTGTCGCACTGGCGTCTGGTGCGTATCGGCCTGATCGCCCGCGGGAGCAGGACTATCAAACATCGCCATCGCCTTGGCCCGAGCTGCATCGCTCGGCGCAGCGACGACTGCGCCCCGTCCAGTCTGGAAACCTAGCGAGTAGTTGCCCGTGCCGGGATCAGGAGCAGGCGCATTGAAGGCGTCGTCGTCAAAAGCAGAATGACCGGACTCTTGACTGAACGGTACCTCTGAGGCCAAGAGGTCCGGTATGTGAGGAGGGGTATGACCGCTGTGGGTGGGGAGGCCGGATGACCGTAAGGTGGGGATGACCGCCTCTGCCTGCTCAAAGAGCTTTCGGCTCGCAGAAGCAGCTGAGGCGGAGATAGGCGGAGGGGCTTGGCCAGTGGCAGTGGCAAAGCCCGATGGACGAGGAGAGGAAGCGGATATCGAAGCTCTCGGTCCAGAGGTGCGAGTGGGGGTTGAGCTGCCGGGGATGGCTGAGTCTGCTTGTCGAAGTAGCGCGTGACTGGCTGATGCAGCAGCAGCCGAGATGGGAGGGGGCGCCCGACCCGTCGCGCTCGCGAAACCGCTTCGAGCTGGACTGGGCGGCGGACGAGGGACCGCAGACACGGGATGAGGACTTTCCGCAGCCCTACTCAGGATGCCGGCGGCAGCAGCTTGAGCAGAAGGAGAAATCCCCGGTGGAGCTCTCCCTCCGCCCGTCGCAAAGCCCGAGACCCGAGGAGGCGGCATACGGGTACTGTCCGATTCCGCTGCACTGTCCAGCCTTGGCCGTTTATTGCCCGACTGACTGGCGGGTAGAGTAGACGCAACCTCTGCAAGGAACGAATCCTCGTCAAAGATCTTGCGGACCTTGGCGAAGGCCTCCGAGGAAGGAGGGGGGAGTTTTGCTTGTCGACCGGTGTAGAAGCCGACGAAGGGGGTTTCGGAAGGGCCGGCGGCGGGAAAGAAGGATGGAGCGCAGTCTATGAGTCAGGACTAGCCTTGCGGAATACAGGCGATTTGGCTCACCATCGAATCCCAGGTCAACATCCGCTCCTCCCTCGTCTCCCTTGACGTCCGCCTCATCCGGCTCATCCGGATTGTAGTCCATCTCGAGATCCTCCGCACTCAGCCCTTCTAGCAGAGCATCCATCTGCTCCGCGGTCGCCATGTTGAAGGGGAGGAAGAGCGCGGCGAGGTGGCGTCGAAGGAGATTTGTCGATCCGGATGATCTGGAAGCCGCCAACTCGCCCTCGTTACTGTCTCGTGCTATCGGCTTCAGGCGGCTATCTTGTTACAAGCGGATGGGTTGAGAGTCGTTCTGTGCTCTATGCTACAGTGATGGTGAACAGACTATAACAGGGTAGAAGGTAGAGGGGAGGAAGGAAGAAGGCAGCTGGCGGGCGGTTGAGCCAAATAACTCAGTCGCGTCACTGCCACGTGGTCTAGCAGCCAGCCAAAAATGTTGCGACAGCTGAAGCTCCTTCGTCCACCCATCTATCTAGCTCATAGTAGCATTATAGGCCAGCCGAGCTGAAGGATCATCAGTCAGGATGTCAGCAGCTTCAGATAGTGAGCTCAGTCTCGAATCTCACCGAAGAACCTGACAGCTGACGGTCGCAGTCCAAGAGCTAGAGACTCGTGAGTGAGAAGGACTCGCAAAGTTGCTGGATTTGGCTGATACCTTCAGGTCTGGTCAAAGCAAAGGCTACTATTTTCGTCACCATCCGCGCACTATCATCGATCGCTCTTGACCCCGTCATCGACTCCTCCGCCGCGTTCCCCCCGGACCTCCCTCTGGTCCTGTCCAACCTCCTCAAATCCTTTCGGCACAGCACCACCTCCCTCGCCCTCTCCTTTAAGCCGCCGCTTACCATCCCCGCCGCCCTCCAGCAGCTCGACAAGTTCACCAACGAGCTATGCCAAGCCTCAAGTTGCGTGCTCGTCGCTGCAAGCCAAGGCCGCGCCGGGGTCATGCTGGACGAATGGCGAGATGGGGTCATGGACATCTGCACCGAGGCTGTGCGCTTCCTGGATGTCTTGTTGGAGTCGGCGCAGAGCGGAGCAAGCGGGAGTGGGAATGAGGAGAATCCTTACCTCCACCACACCGCGTTGGTGTGGGACAGTATTGACAGCTTGGCGAATACGCTATCTGCGACGGAAGCGGAGGCGGTCATCAGGCGCTGGAAGATGGATACGGCGGTGGTCAAAGACGCCTGGAGCGAGTTCAAGGAGAGCATAGAGGGGATGGAGGTGGCGTCTGACCGTGGGGCGGACGAAGGCGGGAAGCAAGGTGAAGCGGAAGACGACGATGAGGACGAGGATGACCTTATGGATTTTGGGAGCGATACGATCACGAGAACAGAAATGGAGACTGTCGAATCTGTAGGTCATGACGATTTGCCTTGCATTTCTGTTCGAGCTGACCCCAAGATCAAACCTCTCCTCCAGCTCCTGCAGATTCTTCATGGCTTCCTACCGCGCTACATGCCCTCCCTCGATCTTACAAACGGCCGCGGTCGAGCCATAGTCAAATGCTCCAACAGCTTCATCACCGCCTTCGACGAACTCGTCTGCGCATTGTACCCCGAACACTCATCAGCAGTGATCGACGATGCGCTGAAAGAAGTGGATGGCGCTGTGAGAGAAACGTCAGAATTGCTGAGGGCCGGTGGGATCGGCAAGGATGGATTAGAAATCCTGGAGAAATGGGAAGGGAAGATGAAGGGGGAGAAGCAGAAGTGGGATGAGAGGAGACTGGGATTAGGAGGACTAGCAGATAGTCTTGGATGATGCAGCCTTGGAGGTCAGGGGCTTCCGTACATTCTCAGCGCGGAGTTGGCTGCATACAGTGCTGGTGCAACCCAGCCATTCACTCCCTTCCAAACCCCTCACTCTCCTCCAGTCAAAGTCAGACACCCCTGTCGCACCCCTCTGCTCCGTGTAACCCTCCTAGGCGCGTACCTGAGAACACCCCCTGCCCTTCCCGTCAGAAGTGGGATGAGAGAAGATTAGGATGAAAGAGGCTCAGGATGGGAGGAAGGGTAGATAGTCTCGCATGATGTGTCTTTCGGAAAGCAGACTGCGTCGATTTGGTTGGAGCGGAGATGGCAGCTGCATATAGTGTTCCCGTTACACCCGTGATCATAACCTCCGTCCTACCCTCTTCTAGTACAATTCCTGACACTCCCGCCATCCGCGGCCTTCACTCCCTATACACCCTCTAGGCGTAAACCTCCGAAACCAACCCCGTCCCGATCGTCTTCCCACCCTCTCTCAGCGTGAACCGCGATCCCTTCTCCAACGCAATATCGTGTACCAATTCACCCATCATCTCGACGTTGTCTCCGGGCATGACGAGCTTCTCGTGCGCGCCCTCGGTACCCTCAGGGAAGGTGAGTGCGACAGTGACGTCGGTCGTGCGGATGAAAAGCTGAGGGCGGTAGTTGGACATGAAGGGGGTGTATCGGCCGCCTTCGTCTTTGGTGAGGATCTAAATATCAGCCACAGCCTCGTTTGCGTGTACCGAGAACGTACATAGATCTGAGCCTTGAACTTCTTGGCGCTCTTGATGGTTCCAGGAGCGACCAGGACCTGACCACGTCGGATCTGCTCGCGCTTGATACCACGCAGCAGGGCGCCCATGTTATCTCCGGCCTCACCGCGATCGAGCTCCTTGTGGAACATTTCTGTATAATTAGCTCTGGTTTCAAACTTCGTACTTACCGATACCAGTCAGGGTGGTCTTGATGGACGGTCCCATACCGACGATCTCGACTTCCGCACCCTTCAAGATAGTGCCCCGCTCCACCTTTCCGGTACATACTGTTCCTCGGCCCGAGATCGAAAAGACGTCCTCAACGTACATCAAGAATGGTTTGTCGAGATCACCTACTAAGTCAGCTATGCCACCTCATCGGCAGTTCCTACTCACGCTGAGGAACATCCAACCACGAATCCGCAGAAGCCATCAACTCCTCGATCTTCTTGACACCCCGCTCGTCGTCCCTCCCCTCCAGCGCAGCCAGCGCCGAGCCCATCACAATCGGCGTTCCCTCCCCATCGTAACCGTATGTGCTCAACAGCTCGCGCATCTCCATCTCGACCAGCTCCAGCATTTCTGGGTCATCCACCTGGTCCACCTTGTTGATGAATACGACGAGCTTCTTGATGCCGACCTGGCGGGCAAGAAGGAGATGTTCTCGGGTCTGGGGCATTTGACCGTCGGTGGCGGAAACGACAATGATGGCGCCGTCGAGCTGGGCGGCACCTGTGATCATGTTCTTGATGTCTGCTCGTCAGCAGCAGCTCTGATGGTCAAGGCGGAGACGTACAATCAGCGTGACCGGGACAATCGATGTGCGCATAGTGCCTGTTCTTTGTCTCATATTCGACGTGCTGTGTTGTCAGTTACGCCTTGAAGATATGTTCCGTTACATAGTACTCACAGCGGTACTGATGGTGATACCTCGAGCCTTCTCTTCTGGCGCCTTGTCGATCTGACTGTAGTCCATGAACTTTCCGCCGCCCTGCTCAGACAAGTGCTTTGTGATGGCGGCGGTCAATGTAGTCTTTCCGTGATCGACGTGCTATATCTTCAGCTATGAGACCGAGTATTAATAGCTCCTGACTCACTCCGATGGTTCCGATGCTGAGGTATCAGCTCAAAGTCTTTAGAAACACAGACCCCTTCACTCACTTGAAATGAGGCTTCGATCGGCTGAACTTGCCGCCGGCTTCCGAAGCGTACGACCGAGCTGCAGCGACACGAGGAGCAAGAGCGGCGATCCGAGGTGCGCGGACGGAAAATGTAGCCTTCGCCGAGAAGGAGCGAACCACCGAAGAGGTGGAAGGTCCGGCAAGAGGTCGAGCGGAAACTAGAGATCAGCTCAGAACTGGCAGCATAGGAGAGCTCAAGCTCACCCCGTGATACCTCTGCGCTGCGGATAGCGGTTGAGACGCCCTGTGATAGTCTTGTCCTGATCATGATGGCTGATGATATAGCAGTCTATAGCTGTGATATAGTAGATCGGGAGAGCTCTTTCTGGAATTCGAAGTGACAGGCACCGGGCAAAGAACGCATGACGTGGCTTTTTGGTGGCGGCTCAAATCGCCCCCGGAACGAGATCGCCCATCGGCATAACCGGCCGATCCAGCTGGCAGATGGTCCACTCGCGCTACTTACTCCCACCTCTGTCTATACGTCGTTCGCTCATCAGTCAGTATCCAGTGACAGTACAGGGAAGCAGCCTGGAGAGAGGTCCCATCGATATGGCAGACCCAGATGTCAACCCCTCCTTGGCGAGGAATCCCCCGTCATCCCAACGAGCTCTACTGGTAGGCTCATCTCCGCATCCATAGGACCGTAAAGCTGACAATAGCCTAGTCAGGAGCCATCTCCGGCATCGCGGTGGACTTCATGTTCTTCCCGCTCGATACCATCAAGACGAGAGTACAGTCCACTCAGGGCTTCATCAAGAGCGGAGGGCTCAAAGGGGTGTATCGGGGGGTAGGGAGTGTGGGGATGGGCAGCGCGCCAGGCGGTACGCCCTCCTCGCCTTATCGGCTACTCAGCAACACTGACAAGCGCAGCATCGGCCTTCTTCCTGACATATGAGAATCTAAAAGAGGTCTTCCCTCGCTCAATACCGCTCCTTCGAGACTCGCCAAGTCTGAACCACATGATATCGGCCTCGGGCGCAGAGTTCGTCAGTCAGTCCGCTCTCTGGGTCTCGTCACCAGTATAAGCTGACCACCAGGTATCATGCCTCATCAGGGTCCCGACTGAGATTGTCAAATCGAGGACGCAGACTGGCGCGTATGGCCAAGGGAGCAGTAGTATCCACTCGGCGATGAGTACGTGGAAATTTGAGGGTATCAGGGGATTCTACCGAGGTTTTGGGATCACCATAGGACGTGAAGTGAGTGTACCAGGCTCGTCGCGGGATAAGGTGCTGATTCTTTAGATACCGTTCACGTCAATACAGTTCCCGTTATACGAGTTCCTCAAGACCCAGCTGTCTCGGCGATACCTTGACGGTCGGAGACCTTCACCCGCACAAGCTGCGGTGTGCGGTATGATCGCAGGTGGATTTGGCGGGGCGGTGACTACACCATTAGATGTCGTCAAGACACGAGTCATGCTGGAAGCAAAGGTCTGTCCGCTGTCGGCTTGAGCCTTTCACGACGAAGCTGACTCTTCAGACGAGTATGCCAGATCCCACATCCTCTACTCCACAGCCGCGCATACGATCCCCATCCGTCCTTTCATTCCCTCCTCGTCTGATGGCCATCCTCCGCGAAGAAGGCGCAAGCGCACTTTTCCGAGGGTGGATACCAAGAACAATCGCTATATCGCTGGGCGGTGCAGTGTTTTTGGGGATCTATGACTGGGCGGTCAACTTCCAGCGGAATGACACTGGTGTAGAAGTAGACAGATGAGACGTCCATGCATTCCCCCAGTAATCCTACAAGATGCATGCGCACAATAGCGTACAATAGGTTAATCAGAGATCATTGGAACGCCTGCTCGCCGGTGATGGCTTTACCGAGGATAAGAGCGTGGATATCGTGCGTCCCCTCGTAGGTGTTGGCGACCTGCAAGTTGGCGACGTGCCTCCCAATGTGGTATCTTGCAAGTTAGCACGTCCAATCTCAAAGCGAAAACCTATGAGACTCACTCGTCACTGCACGCGTTCCCGCCAAGAATATCAAGCAGTACTCGCGAGTGCTCCAGAGCGGCCCCGCAGTTGTTGCGCTTCATCATACTGACCATGTCGGGGCTCCACTTGCCCTGGTCCTTGAGCCGGCCGAGCTGGAGGGAGCCGAGAAGACCAAGCGTGGCCGCGGTAGAGGCATCGGCGAGCTTCTTCTGGGGAAGCTGGAAACCAGCGAGGGGCCTGCCGAATTGCTTCCTGACATGATCAGCGGATGCAGCATGTTCGAAAGAGTGGAGCTTACCGTTCCAAGGCGTACGTCCTCGCCCGGTCGATACAGTCCTCGAGGGCTCCCATAGTACCCCAGCTGATACCGTAACGCGCGCTGTTGAGGCACGAGAAGGGGGAGCCGAGACCGCCAGACTTGGGCAACAGAGCCTCGTTCGGAAGCTTGACGTCCGAGAGGAAGACGGAACCGGTGATGGAGGCGCGAAGCGCCAGCTTGTTCTTGATGGCGGTGGTGGTCAAGCCCTCGGTGTCCTGGATGTCAGATAGAGCTAAGAGACGACGGGCAATCAGGCTCACCCGCTCAATGACGAAACCCCTGATCTTGCCCTTCTGTCCCTCGATGACCTCCCTCGCCCAGATGATGAAGACATTTGCTACCGGGGCGTTCGAGATCCAGGTCTTTCCGCCGTTCAGGGTCCAGCCTGACGAGGTCTTGGTCGCTGTAGTCTCCATGGAGGAGGGGTCGGATCCGTGGTTGGGCTCAGTCAGACCCTGGGAAGTCAGCGATGTGGTCACCACAGACTTGACCAAAAGATGACATACGAAGCACCCGATGAGCTCTCCAGAGGCGAGGCCGGGGAGGAACTTCTCCTTTTGCGCCTCGGTACCAAATTCGTTGATGGGGTGCATGACCACTGAAGTGTCAGTTGAGGCCGATGAGAATAGTAATTGACGTACATGATGACTGCACACTCATGGCCGATCGGTATCCAGAATCGACTCTGCACAATCAGCTCTGAGTCCAGGCAAGAGCCAGTAGAAGCTAGACCCACCGCTCCACCTCCCTGGCAATCAGGCCGTACGCCACACTGCTGACTCCCGAGCATCCATAGCCCTCTATCGTAGGCCCAAGCAGACCCAACTCGCCCATCTCCTTCATCATCGTCACGTCAAAGTTCTCCTGCTCTGATCAGCTTCGGCACATCTCTCTGCAATGACGTGAGGACACACCGTCCGGTAGCCCTCAATCACCCGAGGTTGAAGTTTGGTCTGCGCATAGTTTTTGGCAGTCTCGCTTTATATGTCAGCTGAAAATTCTTTGTGAACGATCGGCAGACATACTGGATAGCTTGCTCTTCATCGGTCAACAAAGAGGCGAGGTTCAATGGGTCCTCCCAGTCGAATTTGGCAAAGTCTATCGTGTCAGTCTTGATGATACCTGCGTCGCGAGGCGGACGTACTGGAGGCGTATCGATATGCGGGCGCAGTGACCTGCGCGCCTACGACCGCGCGCCGAGCAAGACCAGTCGATACTTGAGTGAGGAAACGGGACATGGCTGATGTGTGCTGATTTTCGTGTGAATGTGTAGGAGCGTCACTAGTGTAGCGTGTGATGGGCTTGAGCAAGATGTGTACGATCTGTGAGCGCTGTCGATGCTCTTCACTTTATATAGGACAAAATACGCCGGCTTTCAGTTACCGGCCAACTCCACCGGTCAAACCCGATGCCGTAACGCAGCAGTTCCGACGGAAAGATGCAGCTCCGCATTCCTCGTTTCGACTTCGCTCGCGCCTTCCGCGCTTCTGGTCAGCTTACTGTACCTTTTCTCCGTCGCTCTTCTGAGCTACGCTGCATACGCACATCGATAGACTCTTCTATTGGGCAATTCTGCCCTATGGTGAGCGACCTGAGTCCACCTGTGGCGCGCTTGGCTAATGACGCCAGTAATATCTGACCCCTTTCCCGAAGCCGCCCCACGATCATCGTCAACCTGGGAAAGAGCTCAGACAAGATGTCGGAGGGGGATTCCGTGACCAGTCAGTGCCTACTGCGTCTGTAAAGGTCTTTCGTACGTGCTGACGCATTCCAGCTGCTGATCCGACCAATAAATACACATTCCACCCTCCATTTGCGGTGAAACCGTGAAAAACCCTGGCGACGTGATACTCGTCACCAGCGAACAACCGGTGGTCGCTTTTCTACTTCTCCCTCCCCCTATTATCAGCTCTCAGCAATTTCTTCGCCACCCTTCCTGCCCCATCGGCTAAGGATGTCGTCGGCGGTACCACGGTCATTCCCGTCCCCAGCATATCGGTGGCGGGCTTTACCTTCTACTCCGGGCAATTCGGGACATTAGCGAGGGTGACGACCTGCCGGAGGGGACAGCATACATCGTCCCAACATGATCGATGCTGTGACGGCGGCGAGACTCTACCAAGTCCCGAGCGTCTACCGGGTGCTCAGCGATACTACGCGAGCACCAGGCGCAGACAATGCCTACCTCACATACGCGATATGGGCGCTTGCCGGCATGCCCTTCCGGGTGGCCGAGGCGGCCAAGGCGACCCTGGCGTATCCAATCGCGTTCGCGGACAAGTACATCGTGGATACCCTCAAGGAGCTGGTACCTGCGGAATGGACGCGCCTCCTCGAGTTCCATCTACGGCGTATCGCGGGAATTCGTCGCGTTCACGCCGGAAAGTGGCTCAGGGATTCCACGGAGTATCACCTCGCACACGAGTATACGGAGTCCTCTCAGCCGCACCTCAAGCCCGAATGGACCGCATGCTCGGAGCCGTGTATGGAACTGGACGCGCTGATCGGAGGGATGTATGCCAAGGCCGACAGCATGGAGGAGATTGTGGCCGTGAAGAAGAGGGATTATGGCCTGGAGTGCTCGGCTTGTATCGATTGCGCCTCGCGTTGGTATGATAAGGCCGTGGATGAGCTGGTAGAGTTCGCTGGGGAGTATTAGTAGGTCGAGATGGGGGGCAGATGATCTTTACAAGTAGCACTGGTCGTATAGAGTAAAGTCATGATTGAGTTGTATATAGGCGGAAACAAAACCCAGACCACCTGCAGCTGCGCGTCTTCAGCATCGCTCCGACATGTTCCAACTCTCGCTTGTCCATCATCTTTCCATCTGAGAAGCGGACCCCTCAGCCCTACAGTCACAGCTAGTCACAGTCGCAGCATCACTTGTACAATCACAGAACGCGTCTGAGAGCTAAGACAGCTGCAAGCGATCTCGATACCTTCGACTCCCGAACCCCTTCGCATACCCTCTCCCACCAGCGCTCTTCATTTCTCCCTCCCTCTCCTCCCGCAATGTCTGACCCTACTGTTCAGAGTCGTGAGTCCGTCAACATATCACCAAGGAAGGTACGAGCTGATCGTCCAGCGGATGGACAGCCATCGTTGAGCTTTCATCCAGGCTATGAAGAGCGCCAAACGGGCGACATCATCCTCCTAGCCGATGCGAGGCAGAAACTGCATTCTAGGCCTACTGAAAGAGCTATCTTCCTTCTTTGGCACCTTGCCAGAACCCTCAGCTGCCGACCTCGTCGATGGTACCCCCCTCATCCCCCTCCATGGCACAACCACTGCCGGTCTCGTCACATTCCTCCATGCCATCAACTCCATCACCGAAATCCTACCCCTCACCCTTCACGGTTCATCTCGGGGGGCCGCCGGCATCATCGGCGCGGCGCACATCGGCAAGATGTACGATGTCCCCATCATATATCGCATCCTCATCGAGGCCCTGACTCCGGCTCGGGGCGCACACCTGGTCGAACTCGCCATCTGGGTAATCAGCAACGAGAGCTCCCAGATCTACGACACTATCAAGTCTACACTGGACATCGACATCACGGAAATCCCAGAGTACGTCGCGCTCGCTATCCAGCGACACGGCCCGCAGTATTGGATGCTGTTGCAGGACGTGCATCTTCGTCGAGCGCTTGCCCCTTCCCGCTTTCAGGCCAAGGTGGACCAGCTGGAACATTACGACCAGTGCGATAAGTGTGAGGAGGAAGATACGGAGGGCGACCCAGACGATCCAGTGCAGGTAGATAAACGCTTGGCGGGGATCAAGACCATGGATGAGTTCGAGGAGCTTGCCAACGACGACTTCGGGGTGAGTTGTAAGGCGTGTTTGAAAGCCGTCAAAAGTAATTATCAGCCGGCGATATCCTGGTTGACCACGTATACTGCGATACATCGTAAGTATGGTAGTTCGTGGTTGTATCATCAATGTATATAGGTTAGCAACAGTGAAGCGAGTACAGATGGATGTCGATCAGGCCTGGGTTTGTTGAGAATACCACGTCAGCTCTCAAAAGTCCACTCGAGATCTGCTTGCCTTGCTGCGTCTGACCATCTACCTCTATATCACCTTCGACCATGCTGAGAGCTCTGTCGGCCGCCCGATCAGCGACTGCAGCTGCTAGAGCGAGCTCGTCCCGCATAGCCGCACCCAGCGTTAGTGCTGAAGATTCCAGCGCCGGACGTCCGCTCATTTCGTAGATCTCCGGCATTGCTCTCGGGAAGAGACCGATATGTCCACCTCGCGCCGGTCCGCTATCCATGGGAGGTTTGGGTATGGGCTCCAGAGCGTTCTCATGGAATCCTTTCGGCTCAGTCGGCAGTACAAATCCAGTCGAGCCGGTAGCGAGCGTTCCCCAGCATGACCCTATACTGTCGCGCCCCCATCCCGATCTTCAGCCGGCGGTCTCTACTGCGCCCACCTCCTCCGCCTCATCCCTCCCATCCACAGCTCTACCCGCGGATGCGACTCCCGTCACATCCAGCACCTCATCATCCATCGCACCCCAGATCGACTCACTGCCAAGCGCGGTCACGACGGATCCCGGACTCTTGCCCCAGGCACCAGCGCTCCCATCTGTGCCAACGCTGGAGGAGCTGGTGACAAACTCGGGAATGTCGCTGTCGGAGGTGCTTCACTCTCCAGAGGCAGTGCACGCGGCAATGAAGGTGTCAGATCTGAGTCTGCTCGGATTGGAACATGGATATCTTAATATCGCTGGATGGGTACGGGATGCGTTGGTCGCTGGTCACACTCTGACCGGCTTGCCATGGTACGTAATGTCCTCACCTTCTGCGGAGTATCGCTTATGTTCAGGTGGAGCACCATCGCTGTTGTTGCCGTCTCCTTCCGTCTTTGCCTCCTCCCCCTCATCGTCCGCCTGACCGCTCACAACGTCCGTCTCGCCGCGGTCCAACCGCAGATGACGGCTCTCTTCACCCGCCTCAACGCCGCCAAGGCAGCGGCCGACCCTCAGGCGCAGCAGGTCGTCCTCGGCACACTCCAAAAGTTGATGAAGGAGAACAACGTCTCGCCATTCCGACCCCTCCTCATGCCGCTTATTCAGATGCCATTCTTCCTCGCCTTCTTCTACTCGCTGAGAAAGCTGGCGGACCTGCCGCTGCCGCAGCTGAAGGATGGTGGATTCGGCTGGGTATCGGACTTGACGGTACCGGATCCATACTTCATCCTGCCGATCACCAGTATGATCTTCACCAATCTCGTTCTTAGGGTGAGTCCTTTCCCCGTCCAATGTGACCAAGCTGATAGCTTCAGGTCGGCGCAGACGGTACGGCTTCCATGAACTCCAACCCCAACATGGGCCACTTCAAGAACGCTCTGACAGTCATGTCGGTCGTTGCCATCCCGTTCATTGGCAAGATGCCCGCTGTGAGTGACGCAAGACACATGGGTTGCACTAGCTGACAATCAGGCGGTACTCTTTTACTGGACCTTCACCAACCTGTACTCCCTCTTCCAAGCCGTTCTCCTTCGCCAACCCTTCGTCAAGTCCCTCCTCCGCATCCCCTCTCCCCCACCCGCACCGCCTCTCCCCGCCGGTACGGCAGAGCCAAAACAGCCGAGCTATGCCGAGACATGGAAGGCGCTCCGCGAGACCTTGTCTACCAAGGGCGCAGCATGGCAGGAGGCCAAGGCGAAACATCAGGCGTCACTGGATGTGAAGGAGCGGGAAAGTGGGATGAGGGAAGGGAGTGCGTTGATGGTGGAGCGAGTCAGGGAGAAGTCGGCGCCAGGTGTCAGCACACCGACGGTACCTGCGCCTTCGGTGAGCTGGCAGGAGACGGCGGGGTCGGAGAGGAGCGGGAAGGAGGAAGCGAAAGCGCGGAGAGTAGCGGCAGCGAGGGAGAAGAGAATGAGGCAGTGATAGGAGCTGGGAGGCAGGCTCTATCGATCTTGCTGGTATGTACCCCGGCGCGTGTTGCTGGCCAAACAACTCAGCCTCGTAACGATCGCAAGCTTTATGCGTGTACCTGCGGAAGCGAACAGACTCGCTTCATATACTATATGCTGATACATGGCTGTCTGCACATCAATTTACGAAAGGTCTCACTAATAATGGAGGGTATCGCTATGCTGAATGAGGGTCTCTTGACGATTTATGGAATTGCTAACAGAGCTACGTGTCAATTATGCGCCTCGTAAAGCAATTTCATCCCCGGCGGCCCGCCACCGCCCAACAGGACGTAATCGGGAAGCCGGGTGTAATCGTTGCCCGGCAGACGGTACTCGCGGATCGTCCGTTCGAACCAGTCCTCGTACGGGCGGAATATGCGTTTGATCCGACGCTGACAGCAAGCGTGTTCCACCTCGTATGGCTTTGGTTCGTCGAGATCCCAGTATACCGATCCCCAGCGAGGTCCGATGACAGCTTCGACTGCCTCGACAGTACTCTTTGCGGTCTGCAATAGGGCACGGATCCATTTCCCTTCGCCTTTGTTGAGGCATTTGTGGGTGAACATGCCAGCGTCGATCTTGCTGACGATCATATTCCGAAATCGCTCCGGTGCGGAAGCGCGCCTTTTGTGGAAGTCGACCAAGTCTGACCAATGCTGAGGAGCATGTTTCACCATGCATTCTCTGATTACGGCGCTATCGGTCTCGAAGCGCTCGAAGTCGTACTTGGGTATGGCCGTTCCGATCGCCGACGCTTCGATCTCTTCTTGATCGTCTCCGAGGGATGCGATGGCAAATGGCAGATACGACCATGCTGGGTGGTCGGTTTCGAAGTCCCCGTTGATAGCCCGTTCCTTCAGAACCTAGTGCACCTGTGGGGCGAACAGATCGCGGGCGAGTACTGCTGCGTCGAGTATCTCTCCGGCGTCCTCCTTGGGATCTTCATACTCGTGTGTGAAGCTGCATTCGGAGGTTCCGCACGTCATGAGGAAGAGCCGGAGCCCGGCGTCGGAGATATTCGGTACAGGGATGATCCGAGGCGAGTTCGCGTTGGCCTGGGGCGTGGGCGATGTGTTGTATCGGAAGAAGGGGGATATGTCCTTTAAGATCTCTTGACTGAAGTAGAAGAAGGTGTCCTGGTCGCTCCGCAGGATGACATCGCCCGGGTGCTGGACGTCAAAGTCTCGGTGGAAGCCGGCTTCGTTCTTCATCGGAGCGTCTGATTGCGCTGTAGAGTGTCAGCCGGGATGCATAAGGCTCAAGTATGTGTGATGCGGTGCTCACAAGACTCATCACATTTATCCGTCATGTGCTCGTCATCCATGGTCCCTTCACTCTCTGAACCTCCTATCGCTATCCTCAACGCGACACGATCATCTGAGAGATCGTAAGCCTGGAACAGGTATGTAATAAGGCTGTCCTACCTTGTTCGTGGTCGGATGGGCTGGACATGACAATTTAGGAGTGATATACATTGATGACGAGAACTTCGAGTCGGTTTGTTGAATTTATAGGGGCTGGAGGAAGCAAGGAAACATGATCAGTCTGTGCGCGATCACTGCGAATGGTTACCAGAGGGTCCGAGCGGGAGCGCTCGGGCCTCCCCCCTTCTCTATCTTGCTATGCTCGTTCACCGCTTTTGGCGCGCAGTCCCCCAGGTCATGCTGCCCTAGCACTTATTCTGGCGGTCAATACGATACCTCTGCATGTACAAGCACTTTCGCGATTGAAGATTGTGAGAATGTGGCAAAATGGCAATCATAGGTATCGTTCCTCCACTTCGTTATAAAGTGGGCTTGAGTGAAATCCGCTTGCAATTCGCCACCCGCGCGATCTGCGAACTAAGCGGCCGGGGCTGTCACTGACGCAGACTGGTCGGTCATTGCACAGTGGCTGTAGGGGCTATCAGATACGCTACATAAGTATACTTTAGTATATCAACGGCTACGACCTCTAAACCCGCGCCATACCCACCCATATCTCGCCTTAGAATTGCCATATCTTCTTTAACAATCCCGCAGCCATCCTTCCGCGGTGGCGCTCCACAGCCACCTAAGACTGAGATTGAATTGCCTGGTCGCCCCTGCGAGGCATGATCGGCACTGCAGTCCATACTGATTCTCCGCCACCGCCTGTATCTCCTCCACCGTCTTTGCTTCTCGCAGCCGCTCCATGACCCCGATGACAGGGTCTCCCTTTCGTGCCTCAAAGCACCTCTCGTCCGGGGTATGGGATCCGGCGTAGAAGCTGTCCGTGGTGGTTTTAGCGAGCATCGTGTGAAAGGTGGTCATAGCCGAGCGGCCTCTCGCATGTATTGTGTGCAGTAGAGCTAGGCAATCTGGGGCGTATTGACGTAGGAGGTCAAGGATCACCGGTGGCGCGGTGGAGATGTCGAGACCGGCGGTAGCTCTTGCGGCATGAGCGAGCGGGATGATATCGTCGCCCATCGCCCGAATAGTGTAAGCCAAAAAAGGGCTGTACAGCTTCTTTCGGGACTCCACATAGCTGCCCAGGACCTCGCAGACTTGCGGGACGTCGTATACGCGCGCGATGATGGCTGCGGTGCATATCGACTCGCAAGTGATTGCGCTCCGAGGTAGGCGGGCCTGGGATGTGGTGGGAGCGTGAATGGCACGGAGGAAGACCGCCAGCCCGGATGTGGACGCGTAGGGAAGGGTAATGATGGGTGTGTCGTCTGTCGTGTCTCCGGACGAGGGGGAAGGTAGGCCGTCAAAGAAGCCCGAGAGGGAGCATAGGAGGGGCATCGACGCGTAGAAGCAGAGGTTGTCGTCTTGTGGGTTATCGGTATCGGCTCGGAGGATAACGTCTTCTGGGTGCTTCTCGTTAAAGCAGGGGTGGAAGAGGGGGGAATGAGCATGAGGGATGGGGGTGACTACCATATCAGCTGGGTCGGCCTGATGCGAGCCAGCCGACTCACCGATGGTGGTATCGTGCGCGGTGACGATTATGCGCCTCTTGCTTGTACCGGTAATAGAGGATTGAACCATGTTGGAGATGAAGAGGTTGAGCAGTGGTATCAGTTGTGAGAAGTCAAAGGGTAGCCCGTATGATCCAAAAATCAAGGTACGAAAGAAGGAATGAGGAGTGGCGGGATACACGATATAACACGGTGAGTGGCAGTCTGGTGCCTTGTGCCTGATGTCCAGCGGTCACCGGTCATGGTCGACAGTGGCACTTCCGTCCTCCGCGGCAACTGCTGTGAATGCTCGGACGAGGGCATGTGGTGCTGAGATCTGCTGCTTCATTCGACGCCGTTGCAAAGGGAAGACTGAGTGAGAATGTCGTTGGAAGGTTCAGGAGTGGTCCTGTTTCGATATGAAGACAACCTAGTGAATCGCTCTGACCTCATCTGCAGCATGAGTACTAACTCTCCCGCAGACTGAGCTTACATTACTAGCAAGGTACTCCGATCAACGGTCAACGCCCACGACTCATCCGCTCAGTCGCCCACCCTTCTTTGGTATCCCATAATCGCCGATTCCCTCGTCTCATTTCTGCCTATCCTCTCCGCCATATCGGCTGCCTTCTCCTCCCCGCGAGCCGCATAGTCGTTCGCCCCAAATGATGCGCTTCTGTGCAACCGCGGACCGTGACTAGGCTCCGCAGTCCCTGTGTTCCTCAATGCCTCCGCCACCTCTGTCCTCTCCGCCTCTTCCTCTGCTCCTTCTCGGTCGGCTGGGCGTGGTGGAGGACTAGGCGCACGCTTGGAGGGGTCGGGGTGTCTGAGACTTGGCGAGTCCGTCCGTGTGATATCCGAGGGAGAAGCCGGCGGTGAGCGAGACCACTCGCGGTATCGATTTCCGCCTTGGGCCGGAGGAGTACTCGTCACGCCCTCCAGTTTGAGATGTAGGTTTTCCAGCCCCAGAGAGCTTCCGCCCCTCCCTGCAATGGGTGTAGCGGCCCCACTTCCCGACTCCTCCGTCACCGCCGTCAACCCCATTCCTCCCCGCGGCTTGGCGAACTCCTCTGAGGGCGCAGGGGGAGGGACCGAGTCTGGTATGGAGGGGTTGGGAGAGGCGGACCGGCGAGAGCTGGTGTCTGAGGAAGGAGCGGGGCTGAGGGATGTTGCTGGGGAGCGAGCAGGAGAGCCGCCTAGACTGCTGCTTGAGCGAGCGGGTGAGGTGTCGGACGCGCGGGAGCTCGACGATGGACTGCTGGATATGGACGAGCGGACGTTTCCCCAGAGTTTCTTCGCGCCGGATTTGACCACGACGCCGAGGTCGACGGGTTCTGGCTCACTGTGAAAATCAGCAGATGTTGGGGGACTATCCTCTTCCCGCAGAATTCTCACTCACGAGGAGACAACAGGTCGTGGAATTGGCGCCCTCCTTGGCGGTCCTCCTCCGCCTCCTCCGCCGTTCTGCTCCGCTAGCATATTCCCTCGACTCAACACTCCAATAGTGATACTCGACGCCCTCTTCAGCTCTGGTGGACGGTGCGGAAGCGCGCCGAAACGGAGCGAGCTCTCTCGCTGCTGCAAGGACGAGGGCGAGCCAGACCTCTCCCGCTCCGCCGCAGTGGGCGGCTTGATCTCTGCCGCACACGTCGGCACGTCGCTGAAGCTAAAGGGGTTCGAGTCGAATAGCTTCCCGCCTGCTAGTCCCTCCGAGAAGGACCTGCGGCCCTTGGAGGAGCTGCCAACTGATGATGCCCGGCTGCTCCGCCTCCCTCCAAGGATGCTGAACCGCCTCGGTCTCCCTGTACTGCTTTCCGCCTCCTCTTCCGGCTGGATGAGAATAGAGCTGCCCGGCGCGCAGTGGTTCGGGCCGACGTTCTCCGGCATAGGCCATGGTTCGTGGAGGATGACATTGTCTGGCTCCTCCACCACGGGCTTGTGGCTGAACATGCTCATGGCGGGTTTCGGTGGCGGCTTCGAGTCGTGGACAAGGGATGTGGGAGATAGGAAGTTGGCGTGTGAGATGGGGAAAGACAGGTTCATCTTGCCTGCTGCAGCTCTTGCTATAAGGGGTGGTCGTTGGACCGACCGACTGTGCCCCACATCCCTGATCCGGGGTCACTTAGGCAGTTGCCGGCACCGGTGGCGGCGATGACGGCAGCGGTCCAACGTGATTCTAAGCAGGAGGATGATATAAGGGTAGTGTCGTTTCGAAGGGGCATGATGGGCTATGTTGGGATCTTGTGTGCTACCACGGCTGGTTCAGCCGGTGATATGTGTACGTCAAACCGTATCGTCAGAACGCCCAGGGCGTGGCTGAGGCGGCGATATCGACGGCAAGCTAAGATGAAACGGATACAAAAGGCAGGAATGTGAATCTGAAACGTCACCCCCTAAATACGCACGGATGAGACGCTGTCGTCATCGGCGCCGAGCGGCTCTCGTCGTTGCAGATTTCAGCTTCATGAGCGAGCAGTCAACCATCTATCATCCCATATTGTCCGCCGACCATGATTACACGCAGCATCAGAGCTGCCAGTGTGGCTGGACCGAGTAGGCTGGCCCTCCAAAGAAGAGCAATAGCGACCACGCCCCTCCTTCTCCGACAGCAAGATCGTGGTTAGTTTGCCCTTCGCTCGGAGTCTTCGCTCGGTCTTGAGCTGATATAACAGTGCCCCAAGGTCATGTTCGCCCGGCACGAGCTCGGGCTGCCAGACCTACCCCTCATGTGGATATCCCAGACTTTCAGCCCCCACCAGCATTTGCCAATCCTCAAGCGACAACGTCCAGGTCGCTCGTCGTTGTACCGCCCGATCCCAACGGGGTCTTGACTGAGAGTCACGGCGCCAGGGAGTTGCTCGCGAATGATGCTCTCGTGATAGTCAGGTAAGATCTTCATAAGCTGAGCTGGATGTGGCTGATTGCGTCTAGGCAGATAGAGATGTTGAACGTATTCATGGGAGTGAGTCTGCCAAATCCCCAGCTACGCCCTGGGGATCAAGCTCACGTCGCAGTACGAGCAAGCAAATAGATACGCCATACATAACACCGCTGGAGAACTTGTCGGATTGTGAGTACTCTACACTATGGTAGACCCCACGCTGACCATTGAGCTTGGCCGAAGAGGAACAGTCAATACTAGGTGTGCTGGCGAGGCAGACACTCCGTACGCATCGGCCATTCAAGGCTACAATCATGGACAAGGCGGGAAATCCAGTTCTATGGGTGAGCTTCCGACCGTTTAATCTCTTGCAATAGGCATGCACGGCAATCAGCTCACACTATATAGGTCAGGCGGCCGTTCCAGTTCATCAACTCGAAAATGTTCGTCCATGCTGCGGAAGGTGCGGACAGCAGACTAGTGGGGGAGACGCAACAGTGAGTTGCTTTTTGGACTCTGTATTTCTGTATTTCGAGACCGCAGCTCAGAGCGCTCATTGATCAGGGAATGGCATCCGTGGCGGAGACGGTACAATGTGTTCCAGGCGTAAGCGACTCCTCCACTTATCTGGTCATTTCTCACGATGACAGGAAGGATGACGAGGCGTTCCGCCAGTTCGCAAGGATAGATTCGGGCTTCTTGGCGTGGGACTTCTGGTTGAAGGACAAAGACGACCGTGAGCTCCAACCTCCATAGCTACGTCTGCGGGTGAGTATAAGCTGACCTGCTGCAGGTCTAGTAGCATCAATCAACAGAAACTTTCGCGGAATAGGTCGAGAGCTCTTCACTGATACTGGTACGTAGGGTGACCTGATTGTCAGCACTGCATGAGTTGACTTTGCCAGGACAATACGTGATTCGCTTCGACTCGGCTGGAACCGAGCTCGACTTGCCGCCAGGCGCAGATGTTACTGTGCAGGGCCAAAGTCTCATAATGCCCGAAGCGACGGAAGGTGGATTGACCTTAGATCAACGGGCTATGGTAAGCTGGGAAGGGCGTGAACATCCCCGCATAGCATCAGCTGACCGACTCTTAGGCACTGGCAACGGCAGTATCGAGTGAGCTGCATTCCCTTGTCACAACTTGTGCGTAAAGCTGACTATGATCAGTTGACTTTGACTACTTCTCCCGGCACTCGGGAAGCGGGTGAGCTCGACGCACCTGCTAAATATGGCGGCGTGAGCTGACAGTGACAGCGGTTTCGGGTTCCCCTTCATGATGTGGGGCGGAGGCGACGGATCCACCGATATCAACAATGGCCGAGGGGACGGAACGCCTTCTGCGGGAGACATGCCTGGTGGGCCGGGGCTCGGTGGCGCGGCGGGCGCAGCAGGTGCTGCTGGTGCTTTCGGGGGACGAGGTGGGAGCGAGGATGAGCAGATCTACGGCGGGCGTCAAGACCCAAGTCCGGACGTCCCGCGGGGGGCCGAGGATGGATTGGGTATGAGAAGGCGAGATGATGGACAGGGCATGGAGGGATATACAGAGGATGAAGGATGGGTCGGCGATGCGGACGAGGAGGTCATGCAGGATCCATGGGGCCAGCAAGGGGGCGGAGACGATTCGGGGTGGTTTGGCGGTGGAGGCGGAGGAGGGGACGGCGGAGGATGGGGTGATTGGGGGAGCTAGACGGGAGAAGCAGTCAATCAAGTATAATCCGAATTGCATTTTGATTGCATGTCCATCATCGCTCTACTATATGTCCTGCTTGACTTCCTCTCAAGCTTTGACTTTTGGCTGCGACTATCAGCTTGCTGATCGACCGTGAATGGGCGAGAGCTCACCTTGCAATCGTCCATCACTGTTTCCTTGATCAACACCAGCACGCGCCCCTTCTCTTCCGGTCCCGACAGGGCATTGTCGTGCTCGTAGCTGCACCCAATCGCTAATTTCTTACCATCAGGCGAGAAAGCCAGCGCCGAGACCGAAGTAGGGTATTTCGGGTACGCCTTCATCCGCTTCTTGGCGGTATGGTCCCAGATCGAGATATGGCCGTCGGAGCCACCGGTCGCAAAGGTGTTATGGCTACTTGTCAGCTGTTTGCGGAAGAGACTCTGTATATGTATGAGCTAGCTCACATAGGGTGGTAGGCGATAGCATTGATGGGATACGCGTGATCCACTCCGTCAATAGGTTGACGGTGTGCCCGGAAAGCGTATTTTGAAGCTTGGGCTTCTGGGGAGGGATCCACATATTCGACCGCTATTCTGCCTTCGATCGAACCGGACGCCCAGCCTACATCGTCAGCTTTCTGCCGAGCTCTGTGCACTCATCAGCTCACCCTTCCCATCGGCCATACACGCCACACTGCGCGTCATGAACTTCAGCGCGCCCTCCCTCCTCTCCCCCAACGTCTCCTTCGCCTCGTTCCCGTCTCCAGACTTGGCCTGCGCTTGCGAAGCGGCCAAGTCGGCCAGCTTGAAGAGCATCATATTACGGTGCGCCATGGAGACGAGGAGGGTCTGGGTGGAGGGTGCGTAAGAGAGGGTGTAGGCTTTCGCGGGGAGGGCGTGGGAGGAGCGGAGAGCTGGAGCGCCTTCGGCGGCGTTGCTGAGGTGTAAGCTTGCAGACCGTGAAGGAAGAGCCTTTGCTAGCTTACATGTCCCATACTTTCAGTGTGGCGTCCCAGGAGGTAGTCACTAGTACGTCTGTCTGTCAGCTGTCGCGTTCGACTGGATCCATCCGCTTCCTTCAACTCACTGAATTCAGTGCACCACACAATAGACGAGATAGCGTCGTCGTGCTTCCCTAGAACCCTACATTGACCAGAATGGAAGTCCCACCTGTCTATCAGCTTCACTCCCTTCTTTGCAGTCCGGGGACTTACTGCCTAACCCTCTTATCCAGCCCGCCGGAGAATCCTGTCATCGGTGATGTCCCGAAACATATCGCCAAGACCGCAGCGGGATGAGCCATGCTGCCGGTGTCAGCTATAGTCCTGCTCCGAGAGAACGGGGGAGGAATGTACATCATGGGCGGTTGCGGCGCTCCCCCGAGATTATGTAGCTGTATCGTCTAGATAGTCAGCTGAGACTCATGTCACCAATCCAGATACAGAGCTCGAAGCTTACCCCGTCCCATGATGCTACGAGGAGCTTGGACGAATCGGACGAGAAGGCAAGGGCGGAGATACCGTCCGAAGGCGGTTGAAGCGAGAGGTCTCCTGTTAGGCGTCAGCTTGTGCTTTATGGAATGCAGTAGGGGGCGAGGGGACCATGTACGGACCTGCTGACATGATTTCCAAGCAGCTGTACTATGTACTTGAGCGATTAGGAGTATGCAGAAGTTGAGAGGTAAGAGAAGAGTGAGGACCGGTGGAAATTCGACGCGAATGATGTTTTTCCGGACAACCTCGCTGTCATCAGCTTCGCGCTTTGGCTTCTACCTTTTACCAGCGATACCTCTACTACAAGCGCTTCTGCCTCGCTGACAGTCTGCACGCGATACCTCCAAGACGAGAGCTGTCGAAACATACCATGTTTCGCTATCCTCGCCCAGACACGTCCGCTATGGACATCGATCAACCCGAGCCAAACCCGCACGGCCGCCTTGCCGACTATGCAATCCCTCACGACAACGATGGGCCCGCTCGGAAGCGCAAGTCTGCCAATCCTGGCTAAGAGCGCTCTAGCTGACCTCTCAGGCCTGCATAGCGACTTTGAGACCCCCTCACGACCTTTCAGACCCACCGCTACGGCTCCACCACTAAATTTCGGCCCCAACACACCCTTCATCTTTCACACGGCCAATCTCGGGCGTGTCCCGCCTGATCCGCCTGTACCCCAGCCGACTCAGTTCCCGGTGTACAATCCTGCCGATTGGACAACGACGAGCTTTGGGTTTGGGCATACGGTCCCGCCCGGATCGGGGATGCTGGATGATGTGGAGATGAAGGAGGGGGAGAGCCCCGCGAGGCCATTTGCGGCGAGGGTGGAGGTCGAGGCAGAGGGGAGTGAACAGAATGTGAAGGATGGATCAGAGAGGAGTGGGAAGGAGGAGGAGCAAGGTGGGACGCAGGATGGGAAGAGCGATGAGGGGTCCAAGGGGGGTTACAGGCCTATTGCGCAGGGGGCGGTGGCGAGGGTTCGGCGACGGAGGGAGAGGGAATGGAGGCGAAGGAGAGGAGACAGCGAGAGCGAGGGTGAAGGGGTAAGCTTGACCGCGCTTCATGTCGTCCGCTCAGCTGACCCATCAGAGCTATGATCAGACTGTACGGGCTCGCTCAGAAAAAGGTCCAGTCAAGACGGAACATACCTACAATCTCAACATGAACTCGCCGACTATGCGGCATTCCGAGATCCCAGCCTTACTACTGGGGTGAGCTGCATAATCCACTTACGTGGGAGTCTGTTGCTCCGCCTGACCGACAAGCTGACTCGGGCAGATACCTTCAGTTCTTCGTCAATGCGTCGGTGGTGGTCTTTGTGCTGTACCTGGCTGTCCAGTTTGTTCTAACTGTACGGCGAGACGTTAAGGACAAGATGGCCGAGGCTTCTGTCGGTACGTGTACTGCTGTGTTCTACTTGCGGAGGATCATATGCTGACTCGCTGAAGAGATCCTGCAGGAGATCGCCGAGTGCTCTCAGCTGTATCTGACAAATCGCTGCGATCCTTCGCTTCGCGTACCGGCAATGTAAGCTGGCTCATCTTCGAATCACTCTGGATAGGAATGATCAGAAGCTGACAGGATAGGGATGCCCCTTGTCGAGCCTGGGAAACTTGCATGCACCGCGACCCGACCATCGTTGGCCGGACCAACGTCATGGCCGAGACTTTCGCTGGAGTGATCAACTCCTTCGTCGACCCGATCAGCTGGAAGACTATGGTATGTTCTCTCGATATCCAGGTGTTCTCTCAGTTGCTGATTCGCAGGGCTTCACACTAGTCACCCTGTCCTTCTTGATCATCCTGACCAACTCGGCACTCTTCAACCTTCGCCATCGCGCCGGCCCTGATCAACCTCAGGCACCGCCACACCACATGTATCCTCCCATCCACCAAGCACCCTGGATGCCGGGTCAGCATCAGCAGGGGTATCAGGGCTATCCGCAGGCCCTCCAGTCTGGGCATGTGGGTCAGCAGGGGGAAGGGAGCGGTCTGGCGCAGATAGGATGGGATGGGGGCAAGAAGAAGAAGAAGGGGTGGTGGTGATATCGTCTATCTTGGCTCGTCATTCGATTCACCGAATACATGGACTCTCTTGCTTCTTCTGTATCACTCCGGCAAGCTGTTGTCTGGGCGCCGCGTCTCATAGGTGCCCCTGCTTGCGTTGGGTTGAGCGGCACAGCATCAGAGAAGGACGGAACCAAACAGGGTCACCCACTCGGACCACCTCCACTTCGCCTCCAACAGCTCCTCCAACGCACAGTGGGTTGCTCTTGTCATACACCTCCCTACTCAGCTTTCCTCAGATCCTAGCTGTATCTCACCTCATAAGCTCTACCCTTTAGCTCCGAGACCGCCTGCAATTGTCACTCCGAACGACCTATCATCGGGCAAGGAACAAGGGCCGGGCTCATTCCACCTCCCGCCAAGTCCTCCTTTAACGCATCCTTCGCCTTCTCACCTTCGCACACCATGTCTCGGATTGCGAAGCGTCATCCAGACCTGCTGGTGAGCTGCGCAGAAACGTTCATTCTGGCGGACGCAAGCTCACATGTACAGTGCTGCAGCTTCAATCAGGACTTCTCGTGTATAGCCGTCGGGCACAAGAAGGGGTATACCATTCTCAACTGCGACCCTTTCGGCAAGGTCCATTCGAAACGTGAGCTGAACCGCGCTTCGGAAGAGCAAGCAAGGCATGCAGAAGCTGACGGAGGTAGCGGACCATGGCGCGACAGCTATCGTCGAGATGCTGTTTTGCACCTCACTAGTTGCGCTCGTGGGAGGTGCTGAAAATCAGCCGGTGAACTCACCTAGGAAGCTGCAGATAGTCAATACCAAGGTGAGCTCGCCGTATGAGCTTATACAGGGACAACAGAGCTGATGTAACAGCGTCAATCAACGATATGCGAGCTCATCTTCCCCACTGCGGTGCTCAGCGTCAAGATGAATCGGAAGCGCCTCATTGTGGTGCTCGAGACGGAGATCTATATCTACGACATCTCCACCATGAAGCTTCTGCATACCATCGAGACTGGCCCAAATCCGAATGGTGAGCTGGATTTGGTCCCAAGAGGTCAAGCTGACTCAGCAGCTGTATGCGCCCTGTCATCATCATCCGAGCGAAGTTACCTCGCCTATCCCTCTCCGGCACCCTCCGCTTCTTCCTCTCCCCTCACTTCCGGCGTCCCTCCCGCTCCTCCTGCACCAACCACAGGCGACGTTCTCCTCTTCGACACCATCTCCCTCTCGGCCCTGAATGTCATTCAGGCGCACAAAACACCTATCGCAGCTTTATCGCTCAATTCTACCGGCACCATGCTCGCCACCGCATCAGACAAGGGCACCGTCATTCGCGTCTACTCGGTCCCGGAAGCAAAGAAGTTATGGCAGTTCAGGAGGGGAACGAGCAGCGCCAGGATATGGAGCATGAACTTCAACCTCACCTCGACGCTCTTGTCGGTCTCGTCCGACTCGTCGACCATACACATTTATCGACTGCAGAATCAGGCCGGTGGGAATGGCTCAGCATCAGCAGAATCGAGTCTAGCAGCTCAATTGCCCAGTCCGGTACCGGAGGACACGGCGTCGGAGACTGCGAGCGTCACCTCGCCACCACCGCACTCGGCGTCCGGGAGCGGCCCGACTAAGAGTCTGGGACGGAAGAGCTATTTCCTGGGAAAGAGCCTGATTGGCGGAGTGGGCGGATATATGCCGAGAAGTATGAGTGAGATGTGGGATCCAGAGCGGGATTTTGCACATATCAAGCTGAGAGGGAATCACGGGCGCACGGTCGTCGCGATGAGCAGGTGAGTTTTCGTTTTTGTCCTTGATGAAAAGACAAACTGACACACGCAGTACGGTACCCCAGGTCATGGTCATTTCCAGCGACGGTCTCTTCCAGGCGTATAGCATAGATTTAGAGCACGGAGGAGAATGCTCCTTGATGAAGGAGTTTGCGTGAGTCACTTCCAGTCAGCGGCAACCTACAGAATGGGCTGACGATCTTCGCAGACTGCTAGGAAGCGAAGATGCGAGTGGCGGTACCACCGGGGAGTAAAGCCGGGCATTGTCGTTCTCTGGGGTCAGAGGAGTTGTAGCAGTATAAGCATGGGCATCAATCAAGCATGTCCATCTTAATTTGACCATCTACAACAACTAAAATCAATCATAAACTCTGTCCAAACTAATGTAAGAACCCCCTGATGGCTCCGCCCACATTCTGCACGTCCAGCAAGAACGTGTCGTGCCCCCACACCCCGCCCAACTCATAGTACGTCACTCGCTCGTTTCCCGCCAGCTTCAGCGCATCCGCGAGCTCCCGCTGCTGCTCCACTGGGAAAAGTACATCGCTCTGCACGCCCAGCACGAGGGTAGGGATTTCCCGCAGGCGGCGCAGGCCCTGGGCGAGCTCCTTCAGGTGCGGGGACTTCGAAGTAGGGATGAAGCGCTCGTTTCGCTTCAGCTGGGCGGGATCTTCCGCTAGGCCCAGCGAGGATGACGCGGGATCAGAGGTGGTAGAAGAGGCGGATACGGTGATAGGGTCGGTAGGGAAGGGGAAGGCAGGTCCGGAGGGGTAGGCTTTGGCATATCGCTCCGCGAGCGCTTGGAGCGCGGGGGAGGTCATGTCGAATAGGTCCATGGCTTTGGATAGGTAGATCATCGAGTTGGCGTCATAGGTCAAGCAGAAGCGTTCTCCCTGAGAAGTTAGTGACGAGTTCCCATGGAAAGCACTAGGAGCTCACCTGATGATCGAGGTATGTCTCGATGAGGAAGTCAGGGCTGAGACTGGGCACACTGCCCTCCTTCTCGCTAAGCATCCTCCTGCCGAACCGCTGCTCCCATTCCGGCCCAGAACGGTACGTGATGGTCGCGATTTGACGGGCGAGCTTCATGCCGCTATGAGGGGGGACGCCATCGTAGTAGAACCCCCGGTTCCAGTTAGGGTCGGCCATCAAGACTGAAAGTCAGCTCAAAGTCGCCCAGAGCAGATGAGCAAGACTCACCGCTCCGCTGAGCATACCGCATGCCCACTCCACCAAGACCCGCCCGCCCACACGCGCTGATACTGGCCACCCTCCCCACACGCTCCGGCGCCATATACGCCAAACTCAGACTCTGCATCCCGCCCATACTCGATCCGACACTCGCATAGAGCTTGTCAATCCCGAGATGGTCCAACAGGCCGAGCTGACCACGGACCATATCGTGGATACTGAGCAAAGGGAACCGGGTTGCCCAGCGGACATCGCTCTCTCCGCCTGGAAGGGGACTGGAGGGTCCGGTAGACCCAAAGCACCCACCGAGGGTGTTGGTGCAGATGACAAAGAAGCGATTGGTATCGATAGCTTTGCCCGGACCGACAAAGTCTTCCCACCATCCTGGCTTGGACGAGGTGGATGCGGAGACGTCGTTCCCGTTTGAAGCGACGTGAGAGGAGGCAGAGAGGCCGGTGTGCAGAAGAATGGCGTTGGAGCGACTAGCGTCGAGCGTGCCCCAGGTCTCGTAGGCTATCGTGTAGGGAGGGAGCGGGTCGGGGGAGTAGAGCAGAGGTAGCGGATCGGGAGAATGGAATTTCTGGGTTGCTGGTGGTGGCTAAAGGTCAGCTCATTCTCAAGCCGGAGTGAATGAAGCTTGCACACACAATATAGCACGCCTCAGCCTCCTCCTGCCCGTCCCTCGTGACCGGTCGTCCCTCCTGGACCAGCTCCTCTTTCCTGATCTCCTCCGTCCGCCTCTCCACCTCTGTCAACACCTTTCCGTTCCCCTTTCTCAACCAATCTCCAAATCCAGGCGCTGGCTGAGGAGCGCTCTGCATCCCAAATCCACCTGGATTGAACGCTGGCTGACGCCGCTTTGGCAGCTGAGGCGCTTGTGGAGGAACGAAGGCCGGGCCCTGGCGAGAGCTTGATCCTTCGCCTTCGCCGAGCGCCGAGTACGGATATGGCGCCGAAGCTGATGCCAGAGTGTCTGGGCTGAAGGAGGCATACCGTGCGAGATGAGCCTTGGGTGGCTTCCATGATGGGTAAGGCGGCTTCGTAGGAAGATACGAGGAGGAAGAGGTAGGAGCGGGAGAGGCGGTTGGGAAAGCTTTCCCAGCCGGGAGATGGATGTTGCGGGGTTTTGGCGGCATGGCTAGCGTGAGTCGTCAGTGAGAGGGGAATACGAGGGACCTGTTAAGGCCTGCAGTCCAGCTTATATACATGCTCGCTGTTCGGAATACTTTGCTTGATGATGGATACTGTACTGCTGATCCATCGATGGCGTGCTCATCATCACCATAGCCGGTTACGTCATGCAGCGAAAGTGGCACCCCACTTTGCCCCACTCTGCACCACCTCCCCCGGTCGCTGACGAAGGCTGACGAGTATGTCATCTGCCCAAGCCTCACTATAACGCGACGATCTTTATCTGTCGGTCAGGCTACAGAGCTTCCGTGGGATCGAGAGAAACTCCGGCTAAGCGACCGGCAATGGTTCATCAGGCTTCTCGTGGAAGGTACTTTAGCTTCTCGTGGGAGGTGCTTTAAGGTGCACGTGCCTCTTGCTATGATGGGTCTGAGAGGCGACGTACCACACGTGGCAAGGTATATCACTGTATGAGCCTGTTGCGATCTGGGCTACGATAAGAAGGCCGCCTCATGATCAGCTTATCATCTTGAGCTTCGCACGACAAGTATGATACATGGCCAGTGCATAGCATTTCGACATGGGAACATCCCCTCACTGTACAGTCCAGTTCTTTTCCTCCTGAACCTCAAGCAGCCTTGAAAGGCGGCATCTTGTGCAGAAACACAGTCTCATTTTCGCCAAGCCCGCACTTGCTCACAACGACGCCGGACTCCGGATCCCTTCGCGAGGTGAAGCCACAACTTTTGTAGAAGTCGACAGTGAACGGAGCACATGAGAGGGCGTCGAGCGTGATAAATGGCTGTATCCCACCAGGCGCCAGTTCAAGCTCCACGTGACGCATCATCGCCCTTGCGACACCCCTTTTGCGGTAGGCCTCCCTAGTTATGAGGTGGGAGAGGTGGGACACCCAGAGGGGTGGTCCGCCTTCCTTGGGTGACTTCGGGACGTAGAATTGTAGTAAGACTGTTCCCACCGGCTTTCCGTCCACAGTTGCCACCGGCATCCTTGTCTCACTGGGATATGTGGCTGCGGAGGTTGAATCGTCCGGAAGAGGCTCGTCGATTGTCACTTGCATCCTTGTCTCATTGGGATAGGTCTCTGAAATGGTTGAGCTGTCCGGAAGAGGTTCATCCACATACCCCTTTGCAATCTTGAGCAATTCTTTCCGAAATTCGGCCCTGTCTTCATCGCTGAGACGGAGCGTCTCAGTGTAGGCTTTCTCTGACTCGGTCACGAACCAATCCATATCGGAAGCCTTGAAGTCTCGGTATTCGATGCTTGACGGGGGTATGGGGGTGAGTATGGTTGGTAAGGTGGTCTGGGCGGTCATTCTGGGGAGAGTGGTGATGAGAAGTACGAAAGAAAGAGTGGCGAATACAAGGAGCGGCACACCGGCTGGACGCAAGATCGATCACCAAGAGCTCAGTGCCTGCTGCATCAAAGGATTCTGGTCAGTACGGTCAGGGGCTGGGCAAAGGAAGTACCTGCGGCCCCGGCGGCGCAGTGCGTGACAAGCTCCAAGCTTGTGCGCGAAGTAGTAGTTACATGTACCGCTCAGATGTAGCATCGAACCCAGAAGATCGCACGTACATAATCAAGCCGCCTTATCCGCTATCTTATCCTCTTTCGTCTCGCCGTGCTTGTCCTTGATCTGACCATACGAGTCGACCGGCTTTCCGTCCGTATCCGAGAAGACTCGCTTTGGCCTGTTGGTGGCTGAAGGCGAGTCTCCCACGTTCATGCCCTCCTCTTTTTGTTTCTTCTTCTCCTCCTCGTCTGCTTTAACCAGCTCGCGATAGCCTGCTCGTCAGCACAGACTCGGACGGGCGGACATTTAAGCCTCACCTTTGATGCTCAAGAGTACCTCAGCATCCTTGCAAGAGTCAGCGGGGGCCCATATCTGACGCCAGATGTCAATCATATCCAGACGTACATATTTCGTTGGTAGGTCTCTCGTACGGTAGATAGAAAAGACACCCGTCGGCTCTGAAGATCAGCGGCTGCCCATAGCAGGACTACAGCGTAGCGTTCACTCACCCACGACCACGCACTCCACCTCGCAGATGTTGAAAATCCCTGCGGCACGTAAGGAGCCATACAGGTCCACCTGGGTGATCCGGTGTTTCCGCATCAGGCCCTCGAGGAGGTGACCACGGAAAGCAACCACCAGGGGCGATTTGGTGAATAAGATCCCAGCCTGTCATTTCAGTCATGCCGCAAGTACTGATATTGATATGGGTTACTCACACTCGGCCACTTGCAGCCAATCCATGATCTACCCGTCAGCATGTGCTGTTTTGATGGAATTGGGGAACTCGGCCGAGCAGAACTTGCGTGAGATACTGCCATATCAGTAGCACTGCTAAGGCTAGTAGGCCCCTCGTTAATGATTGCCCATTGATAATCCCCGCTAAAGTCTGTACTATCAGCGCCTAGTCCGCAGCACAAGCTTCGCCCCGACGGAAGAAGGAGAACCTACCGAACCCAGCGCAATGCTACAAATCTCGTCCCAAATCGTCAGTGGCGCTACCGTCCTGTTACTGCTCAATCGCAAGTAGATGAACAAGCACAGAATGGCTATAGAGCCAATGGCGACCGGGTGGAGGATGGATTGGAATGCGAAAAAGTCGCCAACATTCAGAAGGCCCTCGCCGAGGTACGGTGTGAGTGAGGTGGTGGTCATGGCTGTATATCTCGAACGGGCGCGACGGGCCAAGCTGAAGTGGGGCAAGATGAGAGTGAAGTGTGGAGACGAGTAGTAAATCTTAGCCAAGTACAGGTGACAAGAGGTCTCAAGGTGACTACCCGAGCGAACGCGGTCTGCTGCCGCGGCGCGGGCCAGGTTACGGCACAATGACGCGACGTTGACGCGTTGATGACGGCCGCGGAATTGCACCGCCGCGCCGAAGCTAGTACAAGTAGCTACGAGCAGCTGTGAAAGGACATCTCATACCACAATCACATGACCGGCTCTTCACGTCCCTGACATGCCACTCACCAAGCAGCTGTCTTGAGAGTGTCTTGAGCCGTCTCCCTTGGTTCAATAATCTTATCGATCACATGCCAACATCTATTAAACGCCATGAGTGGAGCTCAGCTAGAGGCACCAGCGAGGCGCCAAAAACGTGGCACGTGCAGAATTCAATGTGCAGTGCTCAGAGCTGGTGGTGCAGAGATGCTATTCCTGGTTGTCGGCGGTACAGATGGGTACCCGCGTAGATGTCTCGATCCCGCATCTAGTTCCAGCACCACATGATTCGGCGGACATCTTCCAGCCCAGAAAAGGAGGTTCACCAAATATCCGCTGATAGAATGATGCAGAGGCCGGACTTGCATCGAATGCGAGCCGTACAATTACAGTACATGTGATATTTCCATTGGGTATGATGATGCTACAGACAGGTACCTAAAAAGTAAGCATTCTTTCGTTAGTCAAGCTTCACAGACAACTCACCGACTTTGCACAAAGCGGCACGCGGCCACATGAAGCGTTACGGGCTAGGATTCTTGGTCCGCGATCTTGTCCTCTTTTGTCTCCTCCTTTTCCCCGTCACCGTCCTCTTTCTCCTTCTTCTCTGACTCATCTCCTTTCTGTCGGTCTGCTATGTCCTCTTCCTGGCTATCGGACTGGGCATCCTTGGCCGAGCTGCCACCTCCCCGCCCTGACTTTGACCCCTCGCTGTGAACGCCATCCGAGCCATCATCCGACTCGGCTGATTGTCGCTCCGCTTCCGAGCTGGACCGCTTGTGCTTGGGTTTTTCGCTCGACTCGCTCGAGTTCGATCCTTTCTTCATGCCTTCCTCTTTTTGCTTCTTCTTCTCCTTTTCGTCCGATTTGACAAGCTCGCGATAACCTATGCATCATCAGCCGAGATTTGGCATATTGCCAGAGCGGTTGGATGTTACCTTTGATGCTCAGAAGAACATCTGAATCCTGGAGCAGTCAGCCACAGGCATCCAGTCTGACCTGTATAATACGATGGTCAGCAGCACGGTGACCTACATAGTCTTTTGGCAAGTCCTTGGTTTTGTAGATGGAAAAGACGCCGGTCGGTTCTGTGCTTGTCAGCGCTGCCTTTGCCTGGTGCGTACAGAACACCCACCTACAACCGCACATTCCACTTCGCAGACGGCGAATATCCCAGCTGACCGGAATGCGCCATACAGATCCGTCTCGGTGATCCGGTGTTTGCGCATCAATCCCTCGAGGCAGCGTCCTCGGAACGCGACAACAAGAGGTGGTTTGGTGAACAGCACCCCCGCCTGACGAATCAGCCCAGCCCTTTCTTTGTAATTATGCTCAACCCACTTTGGGAAATCTGCATCCTATCCAGGACCTGCCTGTCAGCCCAGGTACATAGGAGTATTGCAGGGCAGATAGGCCGGGGAGGATGTTACATACGTTATAAATTGCCATGCCAGTAGCACAGCTAGCGCTTCTAGCCCTGTTAACAGGGAATTTCCGTTGATGATTCCCGCTAACGTCTGGCCCGTCAGCAGTGCCGTTGTATGCGTTGAAGATCAATGGGCACCTACCGAGCCCAATGCGATACTGCATATCTCGTCCCAAATGGTCAGGGGCGCTACAGTCCGGTTACTGCTGACGCGCAAGTAGGCGAAAAGGCTAAGGATAGCTATGGAGCCTATAGCGAATGGGTGTAGGATTGACTCAAATTTGAAAAAGTCGCCGACGTTCAAGAGGCCTTCGCCGAGATAGGGCGTGAGCGAAGTGGTGGTCATCGTAGACTGACGGGAGCGCAGGGCCTTGGGAGTGGATAAAGCGGGAGAGCGTGAAGTTGCCGGTGAGGACCGTGATGGGCTGGAGTGTGCGTGTGAGAATCAACTAGAGACCTATTGCAAGGGAGATGTAAGGCCTTATGCGCTATTCCATGTACGTATAACGCGAGGCTGGCCTCCAAACGATTGAGGCTCAGATGGGCTCAAATGGTAGCTGCTGATCGTCCTCACGTTGGGGTACCGGCATGATGATGCATGAGTCCCTGCGGGGCGGCAATGATCAAGGGGCCAGACTAGACTCTCGATCCAAATGATCTTCAGGGATAGCCAATGCCGTATGCCGTGACGTGTTTCAGGTGGTGTTTCGGGTTCTCAGAAAGGATGACACTTGCAAAGTTGTTTAAAGTATCTAATCGACTCGACTCATTCCGACCCGCCTCGACCCGCCTCCCGCTTCGCATACATAGACGTAGTGTATGTGATACGCAGCTCTGTTCGAACTGCACCTTGCGCTGTCAATCCCTCAAACTCAGCACCACTTAATATGGTACACTCCCGCATCATCCGCGTCAGCCGAGACCTCCATTTCGCCCCCTCCCTCCCTCCTCACCCCGATTCACTCGAATGGGTCGCTCATGGCAGCCTTTCGAGAGGCTTCGTCGATCCATCCCTCCCCGTAGCTCCAAGCATCGCCGCCGCCCTTGAGACGGCTCTACGGTTCGCCCACCAGCTCATCCTCCATCCTGTCGGCCTGCATCACGCAGCCATGCTTCTAGGGCACAACAACGCCCCCGATGCGCTGATCGCCAAGGCCATACGTCGAGTACTATCGACGCGTCGGTGGACGATCTGTCTGGACAAGGGCATAGGGGCTGGGAAGGCGCTGCATTGTAGTCCGACGCGCCTGACTTTGCCGGTCTCGGCCTCAGAAAGCACTCTGTTCTTTGGGCTCGAGGTGCGTGTATGTTTTGCATGTAGAAGCTCCCCATCGCTGATGGATACAGTCGGCGCAGAAGCTGAGTAGGGCATGCGAGTCCGGTCCACCCTTGGACCGCGCGCGCGAACTCCTCCTCGCAGCGGTTGATCTCTCCGGTGCTTTGGTACACGCCCTTCGCCTCCAGGTATGTCTGGGCTGCTCTATCGAATTGAAACGTCTGACCACCATAGGTCACATGGGAGCTAATCCGGTATCCCGAAGTACGCATCATGCACGTCGCACGACCACAGGGACGGCGACTACTGGGCAAGGGAAATCTCCCGGGACTTTGAGCGCGCCTTCTTTGGCGGGATACTTGCGCGGGCATGGGATCGCGAGCGAGTACCCAAGACACCCCCCGATCCAGATGACGCGGAGCGGATATGCGACCCAAGCCGGCGGCCGATATTTGACCTCGACAAGCTGTTCCTCGAGGACAAGAGACGGAGGGTACATGAGAAGAGAGGGATGGCAGCGGCGATGGTGAGTGTCAGAAACCCTTGCTATCGGACGCGATCTCATGCCATTTACTGATCAGTCTAGGAAAGGCCGATGGTCCTGCTCTCGATTCGAACCAGACACGACAGTGCCCATCATCGCGTCGATGATTTGTGGATCGAGCAAGTTGTTACAGGCAAGTCTCCCAGCTCGCTGGGTCACGTCGAACGACGAGACCCGAAGCTGACTTTGGTAGCATACGACAGCGGCAAATTCGATCAAGTATCCTTTCCAGTCGTACATGGTTCCGAGAGGCTTGAGTACGAGGAGTACTTGACGCAGGACGGCTTCGGGTGGTCCATATGCTGCCGGAAGGGGGCACCCGAACGCGGTCCTCCCAGGCCCCCTAGATATTCCTCTCTGGATGCTGTCCAGCCTCCCCCTCCAGCAGTATAGTCTAGACGGTCATGGGTGCTGTAGTTGCAATAAGATATCTCTAGAATCGCGCAAGTCGAAGCCCCGGTGAGAAGTAAGGCAAGGGCCTACCCGCTTCTGTTCTGGGGGCCAGGACGACGTCCAGCCGCCTACTGCCGTTGCTAACGAAAGCTTCACTCATCTCTCGCAGATCCATATGCCACATTAAGGCCGGAACGACACATTCTGGTCGTCTCGTGCGCATTGAAGATGAACTCATACAGAAACAGATAACGACTTTGATACTACAAGCTGATGACTGCGGCAGATCAGCTCCAAATATGTATGATACTATGATCCAGAGGTGTGGAGCAGAGGGATCTCCCAGCACGACTTAGGCGGCCTAGGACTCTTCATCTGCTATTCTATCCTCGTTCGTCTTCTTCTTCCTCTTATCCCGGCGAGCGTTCCCCGTGCCCTGGCCATCTGCCTGTCCCTCTGTACCCGACCCGTCCTCCTCGTCGCTCTGGACATGCTCCACCGCCTCCCCCACATGTCCTCCCTTCTTGGTCCCCTTGGAACCCTCGCTGCGGCCGTCATCCGAGGCATCGCCCATCTCTGTCGACTGTCTCTCCGCTTCCGATATGGATCGTTTCCGCTTGGACTTCTCGCTCGATTTGCCAGAGCTCGAGCTCTTCGACATGCCCTGCAGCCCTGCTCCGTCTGCTTCTTCTTTTCCTTCTCGTCCGCTCTGACGAGCTCGCGATAGCCTGTCACGTCAGACTAGATCACTGATAATGAGATTTCGATTCGGGCTTACCCTTGATGCTCAAGAGAACGTCAGCATCCTAAAGCAGTCAATGTATGACTTGGGGTTATATGAGCCTCATATCAGCACAGGAACGTACATAATCCGTTGGCATGTCCTTTGTCTTGTATATCGAAAAGACACCCGTCGCTTCTGCAGACTTTAGCTTCTGCTCCAAATGGGGAGCATGGGACACGCACCTACGACAGCACACTCCACTTCACAGACCGCAAAGATCCCGGCCGTGCGAAACGCTCCATAGAGGTCGGTGTGGGTAATCCGATGTTTCCGCATGAGTCCCTCCAGGCATCGACCTCGGAACGCGACGACCAAGGGCGATTTGGTGAACAGCACTCCAGCCTGACGTTTCAGCCAGTGCTTCTGCTCCTAGATTACGGCGCTAGACTCACCTTAGGAAATCTACACCCTATCCATGACCTTTCTGTCAGCTTGTCCTCCCTTGTCGGCCGGGGCGGAGTGGACGCTACGTTTTATATTGCCAAAGTAGCAGGACGGCCAGCGCTTCCAGGCCTGTCAAGAGTGAATTCCCATTGATGATGCCGGCCAATGTCTGTCCAATCAGCTCTGGCACTTGTAAGAATATGAGTGAAGAGGTCGCTGACCGAGCCCAGAGCGATACTGCATATCTCGTCCCAGATGGTCAAGGGCGCAACAGTCCGATTACTGCTGATCCGCAAGTAGGCAAACAGGCTCAAATTCGCGATAGAGCCAATAGCGACCGGGTGCAGTATGGACTTGATCTCGAGAAAGTCGTCCAGGTCCAAGAGGGCTTCATCGATGTAAGGAGTGAGGGAGATCTTGGCCATTGCCGAACAAAACGAGCTAGATCGGGGCACCGCTTGGCAGAGAGTTTTGCTAGGAAGTAAGCGAGGCGCAGTGATCCGTGGGCCTGTGGTCGGATGAGGGGGCCTACTATCTATCGTGTATGATCGTGAACGCTCAAGGCCAGATTGGCTCGTTCACAGCAGGCCCAGAAGCGCTACCTGGGATAATGGTATGATGGCCGCTGAATGACCGGAAGATTGCCGATGACATAACATGTTTCAGGTGGGACTGTTGGTATGTTTCAGGTTGTGCGGCGGTACTTTACGGTGTGGCAATGACGCTAGTAGCAGGACATTTTGACCCGCCGCACCGAGCGCGACCCGCCTCCCTTTTGATGTCATTCCATTCCGACTCGACAAACTTCGGGTATCTCATTCCGCCTCCCAGCGCCTTCTCTCACCTCATACTCATCCCCATCGTCCACGTTCGCCTCCAAGCCCCAACATACCCCAGGATGGTCTCCACCCGGATCGAGCGCGCGACCCGAGACCTACACTTCGCCCCTTCCCTCCCACCTCACCCCGACCCTCTCGAATGGGTCGCCTATGGCAGCCTTTCGAAGAGATTGCTCGTTGGCTCCGCGGAGAGCCTTTCACCAGACATCCCCGCCGCCCTCGAGACAGCGCTCCGCTTCGCCCAACACCTCATCCTCCACCCTTCCGGCCTGGCGCACGCTGCAACATTCATAGCGTGCACGACCATGCCCGACGCGCTCGTCAAGAAAGCCATCCGTAGGGTTCTGGCTACTCGGCAGTGGACTATCGCTTTGGACAGCGAGATCAAGGCAGGCAATGCGATGCATTTTGGGCCGTCCAAGATGTATACGGGCCCACTGCTCGAAGAGCTGCATCTCTGGTACGGACTCGAGGTGAGCCGGCGTCCTTGACTGTCCTGTCCGTACGAGCTTGACCTGACGCGTACAGTCCGCCGAGCGTCTCAGCCGTGCCCTCGAGACCGATACGTGGTACATGGTGCACCGGACTCCACCGGTGCTCCAACGTGCGCGAGAGCTCCTTCTGGCCGCAGTGGCTCTGGCTGGCGCCATGGTACATGCTCTCCGTTACCAAGTCAGCCAGCCTTCTTCACCCCATCGTCTCCTGAGCTGACACGTGCAGGTCAAGTGTGAGCTCATACGCTACCCCGAAATCTACATCCCCCTCGACTACAAACACGACTACTATGCGGCCGAGATCAGTAGCCACTCTGAGAACCGCCTTCTCGGCGGGATCTTCAGGAGGGGATGGGATCACAGGCCTCCTGCGCTCGCTGAGATTACGAAGCGTGGGCAGTGTATTGGGCTTCTGGGGACAATGTCCCTTGATTCCTCGGGGCGGCCGCATTTTGAGACCGCAATTGACGTTGCGAAGGTACAGGCGCTGAATCCGGTGGGTTGGTGGAAGCCGCATTTGATGATAAATTGAAGCTGATGATTGCAGACTGAGCCGATGGATTTCCTGACATTGGAGTTGAAACACCGTCCCAGGGAGAAATATCGGATCGACGATGCCTGGATCATGGAGATCGTGCAATGTGAGCGCTTACAAGACTCGGTTGGTAGAGGATCGGGCGGACTTTGGGCAGTGTACGAAAGCGGTCAGATCAATGAGGTCAACTTCCCCGTCGAATATGATCCCACGCCCCTCAAGGTAAGGTACACTCTTACGCAGCCTCGTTCGACCTGGCAGACCCCCACCTGTTCCAACTGTGCGCCTCAGTTCGGCCTTCGTCCACGCGTATACACCTCCCTGGACTCGGTTCAACCACCACCTCCTGAGACCTAAAATTTCACGGCAATATCCGAGCAGGAGAAGAGGAATTAATGAGGATGTCAGAAAGTGGTCAGGGCAAGAGGAGTGGTCAGAGCAAGAGGAGGAAGATCTACCATAGTCTAGGCAGTCATGCATACAGTAGTTGTCCAATCATAACGCTATCACAGCCCCATATCAACACCCTACTCCTGCAAGCGCCGGAACGTCTCCTGGATCTCCTGATACAACTGCTCAAACTTGCCCGTAATATCCTCCTCGCTCTGCGTGTTGGGCGACTCGAACTTCATTTGCGACAGCTTGAACGCGCAGTCGCCTGTTGCGTCACGGATCTGCTGCGTCAGCTTTTGCCCATACTTGACTGCGTCCTGGATAGCTCACCTTGGCAAATGTCATATCGCTCGACTCGACAGCGCGCTGCGAGCAGTCATAGTACGCCACAAAGTTCTTGAGCATCCCGGCCGTCTTGTAGAAGGGACAGTATCGGTCATACTCAGAGATACCGTTCTGCTGGAGGAAGTCATCCTGGAGTGTCAGCTACTTCGACCCAAACTCCATGGCCGGTGTAACTCACCTTGAGCATCCTGGCAATCTCGAGCGTAATCTTGTCGCTCTCACCCAGCGCACTCTTCCCTACCAGCTGCACAATCTCCGCCAGATCCTGCTCCTTTTGCAAAATCTCCTTTGCCCTCGTCCGGAGCTCAATGAACCCTGCACTCTCCTTCTCATAGTAGGGATCCAGGATCTTGAGGTATTTCGAGTACGAGATATTCCAATCGACCGACGGGAAATGTTTGCGCTGGGCGAGGGTCTTGGAGAGACCCCAGAAGACTTGGACGATACCGAGCGTGGCGGTCGTGACGGGGTCCGACATGTCTCCACCGGGGGGCGAGACGGCACCGACGATCGAGACGGTACCGTTACGGTTGGGCGATCCGAGGCAGCTGACACGACCCGCACGCTCGTAGAAGGAGGCGAGCTTGGCACCGAGGTATGCGGGGTATCCCGAATCGGCGGGCATTTCGGCGAGACGACCCGAGATCTCACGGAGAGCTTCAGCCCAACGCGAGGTGGAGTCGGCCATCATGGCGACGTTCTGGCCTTGGTCTCGGAAGTACTCGGACAGGGTGATACCGGTGTAGATGGAGGCTTCGCGCGCAGCGACGGGCATGTTGGACGTGTTGGCAACGAGGGCGGTACGCTTCATGATAGGTTCTTCCCGGCCATCGCGTTCGAGCGTAAGCTCGGGGAACTAATGGTCAGCTGAGTCCCCATATCGAGTATGGCAGCTCACATCCGCCAAGACTTCAGCCATCTCGTTTCCACGCTCTCCGCATCCGACGTAGATGATGATGTCCGAGTTGGAGAACTTGGACAGCGCCTGCGAAATGACAGTCTTTCCACTGTAAAGTCAGCCTTTGCTCGGACGCGTTTCCGGAGATGCCAGCTCACCATCCGAAAGCACCGGGAATAGCGGTCGTTCCACCCTGAACCGACGGGAACAAGGCATCCAGCACTCGCTGACCCGTAAAGAGCGGGTAGTTGGCCGTCTCCTTTTGCGCGACTGGTCGGGGCGCACGCACAGGCCACAGCTGCATCATCTTGTGCTCCGACTTTTTGCCCTGGAACTCGGTCTCGAGCACAATGTCCTGCTTCGTCAGCTTTGGCAGATATAATCTGTGCTACGCAGCTTACATCAACAGTATAAGACCCCTTCTCTGCGATCCTGGTGATCGTACCCATAGCCCTTGGCGGAAGCATGATCTTGTGATTATCGACGAGCGAGTTTTCGAACACGCTTCCGAAAATATCACCGCCAGAGATGTGGTCGCCGACCTTGAACTTGGACGGATTGAAGTCCCACTTGATCTCGCGGGAGAGAGCTTGGGTGTTGATACCACCTGGTACAGTCAGCTATTGGCCGTACTCGCCATTGGGCGCGATGTAGCTGGACTAACGGGGAATGTAAATGGATTGGGACTGTTCTCGGATACCCTTCAGAGGACGTTGGATACCACTGGAACGTCAGCTTAAGCCTTTCTGCACATACTCGAGGCAGAGCCAGCTCACTCGTAGATGTTGGTCATCAGACCTGCCTATCAGCTACATTCTCCATCGTGTACAAGGAAGATGATGACCCACCAGGACCAAGCTCAACCGACAATGGCTTCCCCGTCCTCAACACCGGATCACCGACCGTCACACCCGACGTCTCCTCATACACCTGGATAGTAGCCCGGTCGGCCTCGATCCTGATAACCTCTATTCTTATCAGCGTCCATCCTCTTCCCCTATGCCCGTTCCCTCATCGTCAGGGCGATTGCCAAGCCAAGCCAGAGATACCCACCTCCGACAAGCTCATCGTGTCCTACTCGGACCAACTCGTACATGGCCACACCGCGCATGTTCTCGCCTACGACAACTGGACCTGATACTCTGCATCACCGTCAGCACGGTCCGATCTGAGAAGAAGACGAAGAGGGAACGGACGAGAAGACGGAACCCATCATGCGCTCGCGCTCTTCATCGCGGATCTGACGGGGTCAGCTCATTGTCCACGTATGATCAGGGCCAGAAGGATCGACCGAGCTGACTACTGACCTTGGGAAGATCCCGCTTGGCGTTCTCCATAGCACCTGCCTGTAGGAAGTTAGCGAACGTTCCTTCTTTCTTCCATCGAGCGGAAGGCGAGCTCACCATCCTGGGCGAATCTTCTCAGCGATGCTGAATGAGTGGGGATGAGCTGCAGCTGCTGTGTTCGGTGCGCTGCCTCTGTCGCTAGATTGATGAGTATGCTAGCTCGGGAAGATGGAAGCAAGAGGCGAAGCTGGAGGTCATTGCATTGAGGCTGAGGAGGGAGAGCGGTGACGACAGGGTTCAATGAGTGGGTATCGTACCCAGAAATACCACGTCATGCAGCCCAGCGGAGCCTCCACTTCAAGACTTTCAAGTCGAGATTTTCAAGTCCACCTTTGACAACACGTATACTATCCCAGCTAAACAGCTAGCACAAAGAGCTGGAGACACAGCGCTTGATCGACCCGCTAGTACTAAAGCACTTCTGCCAAGATGGCGCCGAAAAAGTCCGTCTTCCGGCAGCCCGGGGCGCAGCATTTCCAGCTGGTCCACCGATCTCAACGGGATCCCCTTATCAACGACCCGGATGCTGGACAGAGGGTCCTGAAGCCGATCGGGAGGGGCAATGAGAGGGATAGGAAGGTGAACCACGCCGAGCTGATCAATAGAACGAGCTCATAGCTGACCTGTAGACCGGCACAACTCTGGCCGAGCTGGAATCCGCATTCGACAAGAGCAAGATCCGGGAGAATGAAGGCGAAGCGGCCGCGTACGGAATCGCATATGACGATTCCGCCTACGACTACATGCAGCATCTCAAGCCGGTCGGTCAGTCGGGCGGCGACTCATTCATGTTGGCCGCACCACGCGGGTCGGGCGTCGCTCCGGGGATGAAGGACAAGAGCGCCAAGGGAAAGGGGAAAGCACGGGCAGAAGAGCTGTTTGCGGACCTCCCTGAGGTGCTGGCGAGCGACAAGGAGATTACGCTGCAGCAGGCGTATGCGCGCGAAGAGGGGATTCCGACGGAATTGCAGGGACTGCAGCCGGATATGGATCCCCATTTGCGGCAGGTCCTCGAGGCGCTGGAGGATGAGGCGTTTGAGGATGCCGAGGGGGATGAAGGGTGGTTTGGGGAGTTGGTGGGCGGTGGGGAGGTGGAAGATGGGGAAGAGGTGGCCGAGTTTGAGTTTGAAGAGTGGGGGGCAGAGGAAGGAGATGGGGAGGAGGAAGGGGAAGGAGTAGGGGAGGAAGTGGCACCTCACGATCTGGCGGAGGATGCTTCGTGGGAAGACAGGTTCAAGGCGTTTAAGCAGCAACAGAAGGAGGGCGATGGAGCCGGGTCGGAAGTTGGGGTGGAGGATAGGTCCGAGATGGCGGATACAGTCGGGAGTATGGCGAGCATGGCGGATATGATTGTCAAGGGCGGCAAGAAGCGGCGGGGGAAGCGCGGGCCAAGCGATGCCACAGGGATGAGTATGAGCAGTTCCAGCATGTTCCGGAACAAGGGGTTGACAGAGCTGGATAATCGGTTCGACCAGGTACGTTCATTCTCTCTTTGCCTGGTTCGGGCTATGACTATAGCTAATCTCAGATTGAACGCGCATACGATATCCAAGAAGAAGACGAAGAGTACTATGAAGACGACGACGCCGCCTCGATCGCCCCCTCCCAAATGTCCGCCATGTCGGGTATGACCGGCATGTCGTCCATGTCGCGCATATCGGGCGTCTCCCTCTTCTCCTCCCAATCCGCCGCGCCCCCGCTCGTCTCGCGCGAAGACTTTGATGCGATCCTAGACGATTTCCTCGACAACTTTGAGGTCGTCGGGAATCGGTATAGGCCGGCACTGGGCACGACGCGCCTGTCGGGTCCAGAGAAGCTCGAGGTGCTGCGGAATGCGGTGGAGGATGGGGCGGAGGGGTTGGGGAAGGAGGAGAATAGGCGGAGGATACTGGAGATTGAGAAGATGGGGCGGGGGGTGGGGGTGGGCAAGATTGAGAAGATGATGAAGATCAGGAGGGAAGAGGATGAGGGGGAGAAGTGGGATGCGGAGACTATTCTGAGTGAGTTGTCCTCATGTCCGAGATTAGGAGAATCGGCTCTTCGACTCTTCTCAAGTTGACCATGACCGTCTTCCATCTAGACTATGGGAGAGCGCAGCTGATCCATAGCTACATACACCAATACCGAGAACCACCCCGGCATGATCCGCTCTCGGAACGCAGCAGCCGCCAAAGCACGCGCGGGTATGGTGAACGGAAACCCTACTGTCCCCGCGCCAATGCCCGCATCGGTATCGGGCAATGGCGGAAGCGATGAGGACGATTCGGACGATTCTGGATCAGAGACGGAGACGGAGACGCCGAGAGTCACAGTGGCGAGACCGAAGGGGGAGGGGAAGGAGGAGAGGAAGGCGAGAAAAGCGGCTGTCAAGGCTGAGCGATCTGTAAGTCTGTCCGCAAACGCCAGCGCTCCTACCCCGCGCGAGAACCTGTACCGCTCAGGCTGCCTATTCATGTCGGCGTCCGCGTCATGGTCCATCTTCATCGTCCGCACCGGTTCCACGCTGACATCATAGGCCCGTCGGGTCGAGAAGAAGACCCGGCAAGAAGCCTTCGGAACCGAGCGCCGGACCGCCCTCGCCAAGCACAAGAAACAGGTCGGTGGTGGCCGAGCGGCCGATCTGTTGGTTGGGGAAAGAGGCGTCGTCTCGCTGAGCTAAGCCTGAGCTGGGCTAGCGAGTCGAGTGGAGCTGGGCCGAGTGGGTCCGAGTTGAGCTCAGCTGAGCTGTGTCATGGGTCAGGCGTCACGGCGGGAGTTGACCATCGGATATGGATAGAGGTCATGTGCAGTGCCACCCTTATCATCATACTTGCTTGTTGTATCCATTCTAGTCTGTATATGCATGCTTGACTCCAACCTCCAAGCTGCATCTCGGACATGCATCGCCGGTGCCCCCACCCCGGAGTCCAGCCGGGCGCAAAGTGGACCGCTAACTCGTCATAGCCGTCACCATCGGCTTTAAGCCCTTCCTCCCACTCATGCATGCCGTCACCGGCTTATCGCCGAAGATCCCCCCCGCCAAAACAGAATGCCACAGCTCCACGCTTCGGCGACTCGTGGATAACGCCGGGCACGAGCTAGCTGGCTTTTTTTGATCCCGCTCTCGGATCCGCGGTTTGCCACACTCAGCACCCACCAGCCAGTAGTCAGCCGGGTACGAGTCCTCCCTTGCTCGAAGGTCCTAGTGCTACACGCTTTGCCGCTCATATAAACCCTTTCCTTTCTCTTTCCGCCTTCTCCTAAAAACAGCCTCTCGTTTCTCGGTCTTACCGCGAATACTACCACACACACCTACACCGAAACCTATAAAACACATACATCAGGCAATATGGTAAGCTTTTCGAATGGCTCGACAAAGGGGAGGGAGGCTGGGTCAGGCAATGTTCGGGATGCGCGGGTGGCGCGATCTTGGGTCGATGCGACTCGGGCAGGGGATCGAGGGTACTTCAGGCTGGCGGACGTGCGCACGAGCGCAAGGCTGCCTGCTGGGGGTGCGAGAGGGGAGGGGATGCGTGGGATCGGGGCGGGCGCGGAATGTAGTGGCCACGCGAGCGGCAGGGAGGTGTAGCGGCAGCTCTCCATCAGAGGGTCGCTACACACTCCCGGCTGGATCGACCAGCCCTCGGGCTGCCCTCCTGCATCGCACTGCCATCTGCGATTCCCCCGATCCTCTTTCCTATCCACCACCTACCCGCACATTTGCCACCCCTCCCTAATCTATGCCAAAATTCATTGTTCGAACTCTGCTGACCCCATAGGCGCTCGCTATCGACCTCCTTAACCCTCCCGCAGAGAAGCACGCCCGGACCCACAAGCTCAAGAAGATTGTGCCCGAGCCCAACTCGTTCTTCATGGACGTCAAGTGCCCCGGTTGCTTCCAGATCACGTGAGTTCGGTTTGGGTTGAGGTGCAAGTGTTGGGCGGGTCAGTGTAACAAGACGGATGGGAAGGGCCAGGGTGCGTCCATGCGCCACATCCCGAAGGGCGGCGGGGCGGGCAGGGCGGGGCGGGGCGGGGAGCGTTGATCGCTCGAGTGACAACTGGATCGTGATTGAGCAAGAAGTGATAGAAAGGAGACCATCCGCAAAGGATTCCAGCTAACATCCCAGCACTGTCTTTTCCCACGCCTCCACCGTCGTTCAGTGCGGCTCGTGCGCTACCGTCCTGTGCCAACCCACCGGCGGTAAGGCTCGTCTGACTGAGGGTGAGTTTGTCCACCTGTTTGCCGCTGCCTTGTATCACATGTGCCAAGCTGACCCCCCAGGCTGCTCCTTCCGCCGAAAGAACTAGAGTGTTCGCTTCCTAGTTCTCGAGGGTATATATCGGTAGCCATAGCAGTTTCTCCTTCTTTCGATTGTCATTTGCATAAACCATCAAACGTCCATCTCGGTCAAGCACAAGCAGTTGACGACACCCACCCGCTATGTTCGTTTAGCTGTCGATGATACGAGGTGGCTGCGTGCTGCGGAGTTTGGGTCCATGAAGCAGATGACTGAAGTCCAAGAACGAGTTCAAGGCCAGAAAGAAGAGGTCGCTCGGTCGGCGCGCGGGTCTGCTCATACCCAGACAGCCCTCCTATATGATAACGAGTACTGACTTTTCTTGAGTAACTCGCTTCGAAAGATCTTGGCCTATCTGGACCGCGATTTATAGTTACTCATTATACTAAAGTTACATGATGGCAACAGGCAATCTGAACCAGGAGACCCTCGACTCAAAGATAAAAGCTCTCTTCCTCCACTCTGCCAGCCGAGATCCGCACGAGCGCGAGGATGGAAGACTAGAGGCGATATAACATCGGAACAGCATGATATTGAACTGAATCGAGATTATAGTTGTTGGACTATCGGGTCAGCTTGTCAGTCCGCGTAGAACATTCGCGGTGGGAAATGTCCGGTAGATAGCTCACTTTGCGTAATGAGGAAAGCCTTCTCGTCCTATTGACATCAGCAACCCCTTCTCAAGATCCTGCGCCTCGCTTCGGAGGTACTCACCGTGAATTGTTCATCTGCAGACGATCAGCTGCGTTCTCATTGAAACAGAACAAGAACCTGCCAACTGACCTTCTTTGTCATTATGGAAGTCCTTGAGGAAGGTCAATAAGCGCTCCTTGTTTCTCCGGAGGATACTGGCGATCTGCGGTGGTTTGCTAGGGTTCGCGACGAACACCTATAAGCGTCAGCTGATTGACCTTGCTCGACGCGCGGAGCCCTCATGTCAGCTGGTTTGACCGCCTCCCTCTCTCTTCCTCCCCTTCTCGCCTTCTCTTCCTATTCTCCTCCACGATCCCGTCCCCTTCGCACCTGCCACACCACTCACCTTGAACACATGAAACGCCTCAAACTGGATATTCCGACTCTTGTCCCTCAAAAAGTTCATCATCGTCTTGAGGTTCGCCTCGTCCGCGATGAACCGAGTCATGATGGCGTAGTTGGCCCGGTCGAGGAGGATCTCGCCGAGGAGCTTGAGGGATTGACGCTTGGTCACATAGTTGGAGGAGAGGATGAGGGTTTGATACATTTTGAAGAACTGCCGGATTAGCTCCGAGAAACAAGCTCATGGGCGTGCGGCTGGGCTGAGGAGAAGGTGGAGAAGTGGCGTACTCGGTCATAGTGCTGGTCTAGGTATTGGGCTACCATGGGCTTGTGCTTCGTCAGGCATTCCTACATGATCAGCTATGAGATCTTGGGCTCCTCCAACCGGACTACACAGCTCACCTTCATATTCGCAAACGCATCGCATGATATCCCAAATGTCGTCGTCTCGATAAAGTGCGGGAAGGTGTAGAACCTCAGGAGTCAGCTAGGTCTCTGCCAGAGAGCTGGAAGCTGACTCTTCAGAGTATAGCAAGATCCGAGCAAGGGGCTCATAGCGCAGCATCTCCTTCAATACGCCACCTGTATTGAGCGCGATTTCGGCATTTGAGTATCTACGCAGTCAGCTCAGACGCGCTCAAGAGGAGAGGAGAAGAGTGCAGCTCACTGCTTCAGCGCGGCAAACATGGTATCTGGCCGATTGGTGAGGAACTCGACGGTAGGTAGCCGGGTCCCGATCTGTCTCCTGAGCAGCGCGTTGATGATGGTACATGCGTCCTTTCTTGCCTAGATTGTCAGCTCCACAATGTCTTGCGCGTATACCGCAGCTGGTCCAGCCGACCGGCTCAGGCCAAGCCAAGCCCGGAAGCCTGGACTCACCTCAAACTCGAAAGCCTCCATATGGACCACCATCAACCGCATCACGTCCTGCGCATACACCTCATTCGCAACCTGCGTTACTGTTTCTGTCGAGGGTTCCTGGTCCGCCTCGCCCACTACCGCCGACTTGATGGCGGTCATATGACGCGAAATGTCATCTGTCGCCTATGAGGGCAAACGTCAGCGAAGATCCCTAGCGAGGGGTATTTAGAGTTCCGGACGCTTCGGGGGGTACCGCGGAAGGGGATGAAACGCTGCGCCTCCATGCTCCCTGCCTAGTCGGACGCCGAGGAAGAGGTATCGTGATGACGTCGTCATACCCAGGACGTAGTGATGATAGCCCGCACTGCGTCCATCGACGGATACTGCTCTGCCGCCGCCGCCACTAGCAAGATGCAAGACTCACTTTCCGATGGCTGTCGCCCTGCGGTGGCGCCTCTAGTCTGCCAATGTTTTCCCGTAGTAGCCGGACCGTATCCGACGGAGACTGTATCCGCGACTTTTGTCGACTGAAGAAGTTCATCCTAGCTGATTTGACCTGTGCCGGGTGAGGGTCGAGCGAGCGGAGTGAGCTGGGGGAAAGCTGTCCCGAAGGAATGGTCTGAGCGGTCTGTTTGTTGATGCGCTGCGACCAGAAAGGAGCCCTCTGTACGATGCCTGGTGTGCGAGCGATGTAATGAGCTGAGCGCGGAAGGTGGGGTGAGAGATGCTAGAAAGATGTATGATGGAGCGATGTGTTGCAGACCAAAGGTGCCTGAGACACCCCGGACACCCGCACAGACGCGTTCAAAGTCAACTTGAACTTGAAACACACTTACGGCAACACCGGGTCGGATTGGGAAATACAATTGATGCCGCTATTGAAATCAAGGGTAATTAGTGTTAGAAACGCACGGGCATGCTGTTGTTGCCACCCAGCGGACCTCGAAGTCAAAGCTAGCGCTGCAAGTACTGTACATCACCTGTAGTCGCAGCTTCTATTTCATCCCCCAGTACCCCACCATGGACAACTCACCCACGTAAGCTCACTCTTCATACTCAGAAATGCTCGACAGCTGATCCAGCTTCTCCTCATCTTCCAACCTCCCGCACTGTCCCTTCCTTTGCTCTTGTCTATCCGTTCCGCAGTGCCCTGTTTGAGAGTTACGACGAGGACTTCAAGGCACTCTTGGCGAGCCTAAAGGGGAAGCTCGAGGGGGATGTCAAGCAGCTCAAGGGTGGTACGTAAACAGCTGGCGAGCTCCTCTCTCGTCACCAGGGGGCATAGCTGATAGCGCTAGAACAGCGGAAAGCCGCATTGAAGAAGGTCTCGGAGGAGCTGGATGAGGCCGAGGAAATCGTGAGCAGCTCTCTGGGACTTTGGTGTTTGCCTATGGTGGTCCGAAAGCTGACGCTGTAGATCGCTCAGATGGAGGTAGAGCTCCCCTCTATGCCAGTCTCCATCCGTCAGACTTTCCAACAACGCCTGACTACCTCCCGTTCCGCTCTCGAACGAGTGAAGAAGTCACTCGTAAGCTGACTGACCTGCACTCATGTCGTATGAGACCATTCCCCGAGAAAAGCTTACATATCAGCGCGATATCCGAGCCGAAACCTCCCGCGCCGAACTCCTCGGGTCCGGCGCCTCCCCAGCAGACGATCCATACTCTGACGAACCTTCCGGCTACTCTACCCGGACACGCCTTCTTGCCGGGTCGGAACAGCTGCAGGATGGGTCGCGCAGGCTGGATAATGCGCAGCGGATCGCGCTGGAGACGGAAGATCTGGGAGCGGGGATCTTGAGGGATCTAAGGGGACAAAGGGAGCAGATTGAGCATACGCGGGATACGGTGAGCAATATCCCTCTCGTGGCTGAACATGGGTTGAGAAGTGGGGTGATAGCTGACGGTGTAGCTGACACAAGCGGACAGTTCGATTGATCGAGCATCGGGAACACTAAAGAAGATGATCTTCAAGTGAGCTCAACTGTTCTCGTCGACTGAACAGCGAACTCCAGCTTATACTCGCAGGATGTACCAACAAAAGTTCATCTCAGGTGCCATCATCGCCGTACTCGTCATTCTGATCTGTATCGTCCTCTACTCGAAGATCATCGGATAAGGCGGCGGTCGGTCTCCTTTCATGCGCGGGTTCCGGATGGTATAGATGGCGAAGGAGGTAGTGGTTGTATCCCCGATACAGGGTGTTTCAGGTATGGATGGCTTCGGCTCAACGCTTCCTTTTTTACGCATACTGATTGCTTTGTTGCTGAGCGTTTGTTTAGCCTTTGATGTGAAGGCCGCGCGGTCGGACGTTCCCTTCTTCCCTTCTTCCTTCTTGCGGAGCTACTCCTTTGTCGTGATACGGCTCGGCGTCATCCGCCTTCCGCTCCTTTCTTGTGCGGTGATCGTTCAGCCATACATAAGGCTCGGAGTCCACTCGCGATCCTGATCATCAACTACCTTTTGACACTTCAGACTGAAGGCGACCCACTCACCCCCCTCTGATAGACAGATTACAGCTCCAACTCCACTCAACCAAAATGCCCTCATTCGCCAAGCTCGCAGCAGTGGACGCTTCCAACCCCCTTATCGGGCTATGGAAGGATCAGTCCGGCCCCTCTCCTCTCAAAGTACGTCCCCCTCCCTCCCCTCCCCCCACACTCCGCCTCTCCCCACTTGATCGCAGACCCAAGCTGACGCCCAGGACCTCCTCACCGATCGCCGCACCCGCGCCGCCCAGATCCTCAGCGCCGACATGCCCTCCAAGCTCACGCACATACGCGCCCTCATCGCGGCCGAGTCTGACCCCTCCTCGGCCCTCTGGGTCGGTCACCTCGAGAGCGGCGATTTCACGCTTCCGCGCATGATGCAGCCGGACCACCTGTACCGTCTCCTTGCGCCGGGTCCGCTCGGACCTGCAGATGGGGAGTCGGGACTGAAGGGGGAAGATTTGGAGCCTGGGGAGAAGGTGGTTCTGCCGAGTCAGATCACGAGGGCGGATGGGGGTTTGGAGCTGGAGCAGGGACTGGACGATGATGGTGATGAGCACCTAGCCGGCGTGGCTAGGTTGAGTATGGGGAAGGCGAACGGGAATGGGCACTTAAATGGTGCTGGCAATAGGAAGGTCACTGGGAACGGCGGCGTCGAAGGCACGATGCCGGTGGAGAAGGGAGTCCGGGTCGGACCGCACTGGTTTGAAGTCGTGCCGAGGAACAAGGTCCAGACGGATCTGGCCAAGCTGGTAGTCAAGTGAGTATCTCTCCTTCAAGATGGGCAGGACGATAGCTGATGATCGATCAGGGAACACGAGGATCTACATGCGATGGTGCAGGATCTGAGGGTATGGCTGGAGCTCGAGATCCCACTTATTGAAGATGGAAACTCGTTCGGTGAGTACTGTAAACAAGGAGAAGTCTGAGAGAGGAGCTGATGGGTCAGGCGCGGAAGTGCAGAATCACCTCATCAAGGAGCTGCTTACCGCATACCAAAAGTCCAACAGCTATATCAATGCGAGCAGGCAGCACCACACCGACCGGATCAAGTTGATCACCGATTGGGTCAAGTACCCGAACGTCATGGTGAGCCATCTCCCTGGGCCTTCATCGCTATCCATTTAGCTCTTGGCGCAAATTACGGGCCGACTATAGGATGACGGACGACTCGGACAGGACCGAGAGGACGCAGCTGATATAGCAGGACTACCCCGCAGCCATCACCTCTTCGGATCGGTTCGACAACTTCATCTCCCGCTCCTACCTCCGCAGCTTGCTCATGATCTACGGCGGCCTCTTGACGCGCTTCCAGCGCAACTGGGAGAAGGTCATCAACCCCAAGGGGACCGGAGGGGGTAGTTCCGGCGGGGTATACTAGATGCGGATGCTTGATGTCGTAGACAAGGTATGCAAACCCCATTGTACCTATCTGGTGTTTGTCTCTGCAAACCCAGTCATTGATCAGCCCGAACTCGGTCAGCTAGGTAATGATCGATTTCATAAAAGATGGTGTGTTGTATATACTTTTCTAATGGGATAATATACAGATGGCTCCTGTTCGTCTAGTCAAGTGTCCATTATCGTCTTTGCCTCCGAGCTCCATTACTCCTACTCTCCCACTACCATCCCTACTATAAAGCATGAGGACTAGCCTCGAGGCCAAACTGCGGACTCCTGATTCTATCCGTCACACTGTCTGATCAGCGCAAGCTCCTTTGCCCTCATTGAAGTACTCACTCTATAGTCACCCTCCCGACCTCTCGCTCTTGCGGCGGCACATACCCGTACGCCATCGGATTACTATTCCGCCCGTCCCTCGGCATCTTTTCCACGATCCGGATGGACGTCGTCTCCCCCACATGCTGCATCGCCGGCACACCCCACAGCTCCAGCTCGCGGTTGTCAAAGTGCAGCCACGCGGGGAGCTGGCCCCCGCCGATGACTTCGGCGCGGTACGTCGAGGGTGGAGTGGACGACCACGTCGCGGCCGAGAGGGAGACGGTAGGTGGGGGGTGGATCTGGGGATGGATCGAGAAGGTCTCGTTGGCCAGTGCCGTCGCGCGACCTTCCGGGATGATGCTGTCTGTCTTGGAGCGCGAGTAGGCGGGGCTCGCGCTGGCCACTTGGGGTGGGGTGCCGGAGAGTGGACGAGCGAGGGATGGGGGACGGCCGAGCGAGGTGATGCGTGGTCTGACGAATGAGCCGACTGAGGGAAGAGGGGGAGACATGGGATGTTGATGCGAGACCGCCTGGATAGTGGAGGGTGGTCGATCCGACTCGGCCTGGCTGATCCGGTTATTGGGGTTGGGCGAGGCAAAGAAGATGGCTGAAGCGGGATACCCCAACCCCTGCGTCTCCCTGCTCCCAACACCAGACCGCCGCCTCTGCTCGTCCGCATCGTCAAACGCCCCGCTCGCATCCCCGTCCAGCGCCTGGCTCGACCGAGGGTTGGCCGCCGCGACAGATGGGGAGGTAATGCGCTCCTTGCTTGGCCTGAGACGCGGTCCGGGCCGCTTCGTGCTCGGCCGACGGGTCTCAAACGACTGCCTCTCCGCCACACCCACAACCGCCGGGCCCTCGTGATCCGTTCCCTCATCCTCGTCGTCCGACCGGAAATCGGTCGACTCGCCAAACCGGTTCAAGCCCGACGGACCAGACGGGAAGAATGAGTCTGGGTAACTATCGTCCCCATCCCTCGCCAGCGACTCCCGGCTGAACCCCTCCCCATCATGCTCCTCTAACCCCGTCCCAAACTCTGAAAACTTGGGCGAGTCCTCGACAGGCACACCCGACGTCAGCCTGTTGAGTACGGTAGGCGAGTTAGCGCGTGGATACCGAGGTGTAAAGTTCTCGCGAGGACGAGGGATGCTGTTGGCCGCTGAGAGCCGGTTGGGTCCCTGGGGACTTCCGAGCGCACCGCCTTCCGCCGAGCTCCACTGGAATGAGCGCTGACTCTCCCAGCTCGCGCGACTGTCCCCGCTCGATCCGAAGCTCTGGGTGAAGGAGCTGGCCCGATCATGACTAGGCCGGCCGATAGGGTCGCTGATCCCAATCACGTCCCCGTTGGCCATGAAGCTGCTGGACCGCCGAGGGAGTTGAGGAGTAGCGACGGCATGGATATTGTATTCTGGCTTGTCTGCCTCCTTTTCACCCACCGCCGCTCCGCCCCATCCAAAGATCCCCTTGAGTCCGTCTACCCGCTGTGGCTTCTCGACGTACGTCTGGTTGGTCTCGAATGAGTGAGCTGTGGGCCGCGGAGACGTCATGTTGGCATCGGGCGATTTCCAGAGGCTAGCGAGGATGTTTCGTGGTCCGCCGTCCATGTTTTGAGAGCGGCGGAAGGGGTCGTTGGCCGGAGACCGGGGTCCAGCGACGAATGAGTCGCCATCATTGTCCTTCTTGCCATCATCGTCGTCCTTCCTCTTCCGGCGCCTGCAACAGCAGAAGAGGAGCAGGAGAAGGAGGAGCAGAGCGAGGAGACCGAGTCCGACGCCAAGACCGATCTTTGCGCCTTGCGAGAGACCACCGCTCGAGTTGCCGTTCCCGCTGGTCGAGCCGGTAGGAGTAGGTACCGCCGCCGATGTTCCGCTTGGCGCGCCCGTGGTCGCCACGCCAGCAAGAGCGAGGCGGAGACTGGTGGTTCCAGTCGCAGCGCCTCTAGCCCCGGTCAGATCGATATTGACGACGCCATAGCTGGGGCTGGACGGCGGTGTTCCCGTCAGTGAGAGGTCCTGCTGGTTGAAGACGAGCCATTGGGCAGCCTCGGCGGGGACGGTGCTGGCGTTGATGGTGGTATCGCGGCTCCGAAGGTACGGGAGGAGATTGAGCGAGTATGGCGCGCCAGGCGTGGCGGTCTGATTGGGGAGGGAAAAGGTCGTGAAGGGGTAAGGGAGGATCTCGATCTGGTATGTCGCCGGCAAAGCGGTCGCGCCGGTCGCGGAGAGGATGAGGGGGACCGATAGCGCCGAGGTGGTACCGTTGATATACCTGTCCGGCACGATGCCAGAGATGACATTTGAGCTGGACATCAGCTAGATCCTATGTGGCAAACGCAAAACTCACCTGTCAATCGACAACCATGACCAGCTCGTTCCGCCCACTGCCAAGCTGACCTGCCCCGGCTGCACCGCCGCGCCTCCCAACGTCACGTTCGCCAGATCCACTGTCGCGCGCACATTCCCCCTCGCGACGCTGCTCGTCCGCCCGATCGTATACCCCAGCAACTCCAACGCGCGCGAGTCGCCCACCTGAATGACAAAGCTCGACTGAGCGGCAGTGTATCCCCAAAAGTCCGTCCCGGTCACGACGATGGGATAGCTACCCGTAGCGGGCGCGACGCCGCTGAATGTCATGGTCTCATTGTTGAAGGTGAGCCAGGAGGGGAGGGAGGAGGTGTAACGGACACGGGCGGCGACAAAGAGCTGGCCGTTGGTCGATCCGTTACGCGACAGGCGGAAGGTATCCGCTGCCCATCCGAGCGAGAATGACCAGTAGGGCGGGACCTGGACGCCAGTGTTATTGGGGAGAGGGGTGACCGAGGCGAATGTGCGCTGGGAGGGATCGGCGATTTGAGAGGTGAAACCAGAGTGGACCTCGGGGGAGAGAAAGTTGGTAATGATGACACGCCAGACAGAGGTGGTGGAACCGGTCGTATCCGTTGCAGTGACCGTGATATCCCTCTGTCCTATATCCCCTGCCGCCGGCGTCCCCGAGAATGTCCTTGCGCCTGGGTTGAAGTTGAGCCATGCGGGAAGGCTGGAGGTAGAGAGGGTGATGGAGTCGGTAGAGTTGAAGGAAGTGGGGAGGAGGTCGAAAACGAATGGCCGACCGACTCGGGCGACGGGAGGGAGCTGGTCCTGTAGAGGATGGACCAGTGTCGGCGCAGCCGAAATGAGGGAGAGAGCCGCTAGGGCGAGGAGGATGAAGGGAAGCATGGCCGTAGCCAAGTCCCACTTGTATGAGGTCTATCGATGCTGTTGGGTGGGGTACGGTGAGATGATGGATACGCGTAGTATGGATATACCGGCGCCTCGCGGAGGTCGGTCGATATACGTGTGCAGCGTCAAGCTGAGTGGAGATGGTCGAGTCTATCAAAGAACGAGTGTGTAGAGTCAAGAAGAGTCCGTAAAGAGCGTAAGAGATACAGTGATTCAACCAGTCAGACAGGCAAAGGAGACGACTTCACCAAAAGTTGCTCGCTGCACCGAACGATTAGCGCCCGACTTCCAGGGAGGTCAGGTTAGTACGTTACAACTGTAAACAAAAGCAGTCACGCGTAAAAGTCAGTGGCTCAGTGGAGGGATAGTTGGCACGCGACCTGACAGGGGTGCGGCGGCGAACAAGAGGGTTCGGCGCTGGCAAGGTGGCTTGTCACCGAAGGTCAGTCGCGTTACTGAAATCAGGGATTCGAAATTGCCCTTTTGGGTAATTTCGACCACGTTTCAGAACGCGTGACAGGCACGGCCGGTAACGCCGAGCGGAGGTAACTGTACTGCACATTCGGCCAGCTTCAGCCACGATACGAACTTTGAACGTTGAAATGGGTCCGGCTGTGGCCCTCTGTGGCCTCTCGAATGAGAGATGGAGCATGGGGCAATGTGTATCGCCTAAGTCGGCTTGAGCGCCAGGCTGATTGAGATAGCCAATGTAATGCCCCGAAACGCGACGATACTAAGCGCGTGAGTCCGCCAGCCGGCTCTTGTCCGTAGGCCGTAACCTGATGTACTGACAGGTGTACCACTCGCTCATCGACGTTCATTACCGCAATCAGATCTGCCTAATTACAGCTTCAGACTACCATAATCCCCTCCGTGACGCCTCAGGCTCGACTATCCACCCGCCCTTCTCTGGCAGCTGCCAACGTGTGGAATTGGTGCCGAGGTACTGAACTGTTCACCTCACTTGTACTGATCGGCTACTGTTTGAGCCTTCTTGTATGCATCTGATTATCAGCTGTATCCGCCTCGATGACATACCTCCAGCTCACCCACCGCTTTGCGCGATGTGTCCGCGCCGAATCCGGTCATGGCGCCACCCGATAATGATACCGATACGCCTCCTCAAATCCCATCCGCTCATACATCCTGCGCCCCACCGCATTTCCCACCGTCACCTGCAGATATGCCGTCGTTGCGCCCTCCGCTCTGCCCCAGTCCAACAATGCCTGCGTAACGGCCCGTCCGTACCCCTTCCCCCGGTGCTCCGCGGACACGACAATGTTGTATAGACCGACGACATGGTCTGAGCGGACCGCCTGACCGTACGCCACAGCGTGAGAAGCCTGGTCCAAGAGGGTGATATAGGCAGGGATGAAGGGGGTTCGGATGAGGTTGAGGGTCGAGCGAAAGGTCTCCGTGTGGGAGGGAGAGAGATTTGAAGCAGTGGCAAAGCCGCGCACCCAGCTTGATGTCGGGGCCGAGCTGACCGACGTCTTCAGGGTGCTATCAGAAGCGGGTGGACGGCGGTCGAGCGTACGTGTCATGACGATAGACGGATCGAGGTGTTTCCAGCCGAGTTGTTCAAGGAGCTCGTCATCCTCCTCATGTGCCAGCGGCGTGATACGGATGATCGCTGGCGGTCGGAGCTTGGACTTGATACCTGCTAGCGAGGCTTCCGTCAAGGGGGTGGACGGATCGAGCGGGGACGCCGAGTTGCCGCGCTTGGTGTAGCCGGCTGAGGACCGGATGAGCCACCCCGAGGGATGACTCTCCGCCGAGAGGGACGGAGCCGAGGCGAAGAAGTGTTGCTCGAGGAGCTTGACACTTGTCATTGCTGTGCTTGTCCGCAGCGGATGTAGTAGTGCTGGCGGCATATAGCCAAGCGGAGTAGCGGACGCAGGAGCAAAACGGTGAGATGGTCTGCTGCATCTGGTCGAGTCAGAGCTGGTTCTCGGCATCTCTCGGCATCTCGGGTTCGGCGCCGCTTCGGCCGCCGGAGATCTCACTTGATCTGAGTGCGGCGCGCGACTGGCGCCCGGCGGCACCCTCTCGGGTCTACTCAACACCAATGCGACGCCAGACAGCAGCATGGGCTGCTGCCAAGAGGCAGACTATAAGAGGCGAGGTCGCTTCGTCTCGCATCCCCCACACTTCACCAGACCATGCGCTTCACCCCACTCGCTCTGCTGAACTCCATCCTCACCATGTCTACCACCACAACCACTTCCCAAGTCGACCTCCTTATCGTGGGAGGCGGTCCTGCAGGTCTTTCAGCCGCTCTCATGTTCTCCCGACTCCGCCGACCCACTATTGTCTATGACTCTGGTCTTTACCGCAACGTCCAGTCCCCTACCGCTCACACCATCCTCGGTCATGAGCCCATCTCCCCCGAAGCATACCGGCGCAAAGCCCGCTCTGAGATCGAGCAGGGATATGAGTGGACCCAATTCGTTGATGGGAAGATCACCAAGCTTGTCAAGTCGGACAAGGGGTTTGAGGCGGAGGATGCGGAGGGGAACAAGGTGTTGGCCAAGAAAGTCATCTTGGCTACCGGGGTGAGGGATGTACTTCCCGCCATTCCAGGTGAGCTCTTCGTCAGCCAAAGAGGTACATGGCTGATCATCAGGTCTTCAAGAGGCTTGGGGCCACCGTGCTATCCACTGCATCTTCTGCCACGGTACCGAGACCCGAGACCAGCCTTTCGGCTTCCTCCTCACTGGCGCCAACGCCAAGTTCAATCCCATGATCATGGCCAGCGGCTTCAAGCTGTGGAACACCCTCACCCACCCCAAGACCTTCTTCTTTACCCACGGTATGCATACCACCACTCCCGAAGGTCTGCGGGATAGCGGCTTGGAGAAGTTTATGGGCATCATCAAGGCTCACCCGTATGTCTTCTTCCTCTTGGTCCGAACTGACATGAGCTAACGATCAGGGACAAGTACGAGATCGTGAACGACGAGATCACCTCGGTCGAGCAGTCGGCATCGACTCTCACCCTCTCCTTCGCCAGCCGAGCACCCCTCAGTATCCCCTACATCCTCGTCTTCCCCGAGCGTATCCTTCCCTCCCCCCACGCCGAGTCTATCCTCACCAAGGACCTGCTCCTCGCCGACCTCACACCCTTTGGCGGCAGCATCGCTGCTCCCGATCCCGCTCTTCCTGCCGCTGGTATGCCTCGGATGGGGGACGATCCCCGGACCCAAGTTCCGGGGCTCTTCTGGGCGGGCAACAGCGGAAGTCCGATGGCGAATGTCAATTTGTCGGTAGCGCAGGGGCAGCAGGCAGCTGCGTTTGCGGGAGAGTCCTTGGGCGAAGAGGACCTGCAGGCCATGTTGGCGAGCGTCTAGGCGGCGGGCAGAGCTGGCGGCAGGCTGGATCGTGACTTGACTTTGCAGGGCTTTGTTATGCAGATGATCAATATAGTCACTGCCATGCGCTGATCGCCTGTCTCTCTACATATCAGGATCTATGTCGCCATCTCTTCACGGCGGCCCGACCGCATCAGCTACCATATTTTAGCTGCACATGAGCACAAGAGCTACAGGAGCCGCGAGCGTGCCACCAGCGCCACATTCCTCGTTTCCCCTTCCGCTTCCGGTAACATCCGCGAGGCACCGGACAATAAGCCTTGGACGGGCGACGGTCGACGTTCAACACTGAAAGCGTTCCCACGTTCACCCGACCTGCATCTACCTCACCGTATCATGAGTATGCCAGCATGTCGAGCCCTGCTACTGCACTTGTGTGCTCACTGTTCACCGGAAACGACGGACGTCGGCTGAAGGTCTGGGTCGATCCAAGACTCGACCATCAGGCAGAGCTTATCTCCTCGCTGAAGGAACGAGGGGCGGAGACGTGCTCCGAGCACAGCGAGCCCGGAGTCCGGATCCTCGTGCTCCACGACAGCTCCACGGACGTTTTTGATGAGTATTGTCATCCGAAATGGCTCACGCTGAGCCGGCGATTGCGGTATCAGCGGTTAGTGAGGGGAGGGGCGGTCGAGGAGTGGAAGCGGAAAACGATGGTCTCGGATGGATGGGTGGTGAAGTGCTTAGCAGCGAGAAGGGTGCTTGGGGAGGGGGACGGCTGGGGAGGTTGCAGGAAGGGCGGGTGAGTCGATGGTCCAGGCAAAGCTGAAGGCAGCCCTCCAAGCGAGTCTCTGACGACGGCCGAAGCCGCAAGTAACTCGAGCTCGATATGTGCCGCCTTATCATCCTCGACGGTCCCATACAGCGCGTCTCTCCCTTTCATCTCACCTCTACCAATCATACCTGTACCCTCTCACCCAGCTTCCCCCTCGTCTATCCACCATGACATTGGCCCTCCAAATGAGCCGGAACCTGTCTCGGACGAGGAGGATCGCGCAATCTTCAAACGGCGACGGATACGAGCGGGAAAGCGGTCACCTGATGGTCCTAATTGGGCCCCCACAGATGCTATTTCTACGCCCAGGCGATCCCAGGGAGCCCAGGCCTTGTCGTCAGCTAGAAAACCCCCTACCCCACCGCGCACACGTCGATCTCGCAGCAAGACCGTTGCCTTCACCTACCTGGTCAATGCGGACGACAGCGATTCTTCCGACGGGGAGTCCGAGTTTCAAGGGTCGGATGGCTCGCGCGGTCCCTCGCCTGCCTACGGTGGCGCGTCCAGGATCGTCAGATCTGCCTCGACCTCGCCGCAACCGCCCGCAAATGACTATGGACGTACTCGCTCCGAGAAAGCTCGCGAGAGCGGGAGCAGCTCTATCCAGGCCGGTGGCGGTCTTATCACCCAGCATCACGGCTCTCTCAGTGCTCCGTCCACACCTCCCGCCGAGTCAGATCCCGCTAACGACTCGGAGTCGATATCTGCATATCCCACCCGCGCTGTGTCAGGCTCTGCGCCTAGACGACTCCCTCGCAGCGCCAGCCAGGCGTCCTCGGCCGTACCGCAAACGGTCACGTCTCGGTCGCTTCACTCTGGCTCGGAAACGGGGCGCATACTTCCTCCTTGGCAGACGATGAGCGAGAAACCGCCTCATCTCTTGGGCGGGCTCCGCCTCTTTGTCGAAACTGGCGTTCCAGGTCGGCGTCGCCTGGTCCGCAACATCAGAGTGAGTATCTGGTAGATGAACGCTGATTAATAGTACAGCGGCGGCAAATACGTGCGGCAGATTTCCGACGCCACGCATGCTCTCTTTGGTGCCTGGCTTGCCTACGCCAAGAAGGATCGGAGCGACCTTATGGAGACCGCGTCGAAGCTTCCTGTCATCTGCGTCGGATTCGAATGGCTCGAGGACAGCTGGGAGGCCGGAGAGCTGCTCCTGGCGGAGGACTATGACTGCTCGGGCGAAACGACCTTCATCCGGCGGGTGCCCGACACGCGGAAGCAGCTGGAGCTGACGGTGGAGAAGCTCTCGCAGCTCTTTGCTCAAGCACAGGATGAGCATCTCACTACTGGTGCTAGTCACGTCGATCTCGCGCGCGCTCTCATGAAAAAGGTGAGCACATTGTATGCTTGGCTGACATTCAGCATGCCACATACTCCTTAGCGGCATGGATGAACCAATACCGGGACTGGCGTTCACGGAAAGGGCGATTCGATCCGGACGCAGTCACTCCGACTGCTACCGTACAGGAGCTGGACGAGATACTACGTCACGCTCATGTCATGGCGTGGACGGCCAAGAAGGGGATACGGGACGTCGTGGCATATCTCTTCAAGAAAGTGAGTTGACCCTTGCTACTGTAGCTGACCGATAGCTCCCTGAGCAGACTGAGGAAACTTGGGAGCGGACGTACAGGTGTTGGCGTGAGCACGAGGGATGGTCCCGCCTATTGGAGGACCAGGACGACCACGTCCAGTACAGCCACCTCTTTCCATCCTACATCAGGCAGGTGGAGCAGGGTGCTACCCTCGGAGATATCGCAGACGCATTAGCCATCAATGTGAGTCCTGTCCAGATCGCGGCTGATATCAGTATCCCGAATATGACTTCGATTCTTCTGAATGGAACCGCCAATTCGGCAACTGGCTCAGAAGACAACGGCCGGCACCGAAAACGGTCGAGATGCCTCAGGAGCCAAAGCTGGACTACGCGGTACGACGACGGGTATTGCATGGCGAGCTGGCGAAGGTATTCAAGGCGAACTTCGACTCGCTTACGTTCACGAATAAAGAGGTCGCCGATATTGTCGCACCAGAAGTGAGTCTAGCTGAGGACCCAACTGATATATAGGTGGGATACTCGAGCAACAGTGTTGGGCTCTTCTACGGCGAGTGGCGGACACGCCGTCTGCGATTTGCCGATATCGACATCGCCCACCAATTCACCGGTCAAGGGCAGAGTCGGGACGAATACTATGCATTGCCCGCAGACCGTCAGCTCAACATGGGGACAGGTGGAGAAGGGAATGGTGAGACTACTCTCAGGCGGGCTGTAGGGATAGTTGGGACGGTACCTCGGCCGGGACCGCGGATACTAGCGATGAGGGTAGAAGATGGGCCATTGCTGGCACAGGTACGCAAGATACCGGGACGCTAGCTGATCGCGCAGATTGCGGCAAACCATGAATACAAGAGCGGCACGAACAGTACGAGGGACGGTACACGAAGCCGTACGGCCACGGAGGATTGGGCGAGACTCTTCAGAAACAACTTTGACTCTCTCAGCTATGATGGCAAGGAGGTAGCGCACACACTGAATGCCAAGGTACGTCCGCGTCTCGGTCGAGCTGACCTCAGACCGGGTACTCAACCTGGACGTTGATGCAATTGTACTCGATGTGGAAGAACTCCACGGCTCGCTTTTCCAATAACCCCAGACAGCTGGCTTTCACCGGTCTAGGTTCCAAAGCCCCACAACCGCCGCCGGTCACAGCGCCCGCTCCCGCCGTGACAGATCATCCTCAACTACCTCCAGCCAAGCGTCCAAAGGTCAGCTATACCCTGGAGGAGGAGCAGAATATGGCGCTGTACGCGTACGGTCGATTGCCCCAGAAGAGCACGAAGATTTCAGACTGGCAGGCATTCGCGGCGGAGGTGAGCCCACGTCAGAACCATCTGACTTTCAGCACTCTCATCGGACTGTTCAACATTGGTCCGCTCGATACCGGGCACAACGAGGGCGAATCGACAAGCTCTTGCCTGACAATGCGGATGCAACATTAGCGGAACGCAAGGCCAGCCGAGCGCGCACGGATGCGACCCATGACGAGGACGACACAATACCAGTACGTAGGTGCAAGGTACGGAAGGCCAAAGCGAACGAGACGTCTCGGCAGCGCAAGCGGGCTGGAGTGGTGATGGGGGAGTCTAGCGATGAGATGGTAGGGGCTCAGGCAGGGGAGGGGCGGTCAGACAGAGGAGGGGTAAAGCGGAAGAGGCGGGCGGGGGTCCGAGGCGGTTCGGAGGACGACGGCTCAGTAGACGGCGAGGATATGGAGGTGAATGATCTTTTGTGAGCTGGAGGGATAGCTTAAGATTGTGTGGGTCGTAGTATTGCCGTATTGCGCATGCGGGTAGGGTCAGATGAGCGCTGCAGAGCGGCGGCTCCTCGGTTTTGATATTCAGCGGGCACCGTCATGGCATCTAAGTGGACTGTCTGGTCATGCTGGGCCTGCAATACTTCTCCCTCCTCCTGCTACTCTAAAATCTCTGAGGCCTTTCAGGATATACACGTGCGAGCTGAAACACGTAGCCGGCGAGATGAAACGTGCCGCACGGACCTACGTCGGCCTACGTCATACCCCCGTCACAGGTGTTTTGAGAACCAGATCCTGTAGGTCATCATATATGCACGCAAGCTCAGCCAGTTTACTCCGTAGCTCATCTTTTCATCCTTGAATCGCCTCACAGTCAACACATAGTAGCCATGTCAGACCTGGACAACGACTCTGTTCAGAATGTCGAGATTGGGATCGTCGGCAGCGGGTCCATGGGAGGGGTAGGTCACTGGGTCCGCCGTGGCTGACAGCAGGGCATGACGATGCTGTTTGCCGAGCACGGCTCAGTCGTCGGCTGCTTTGACAAGGACCCCGAGCCGGTCAAGAAGATCCTCAAAACCGCAGAGGAGACCGACTCGGTCGACAACGCCAAGGTCCACGGCTTCTCGTCCCTCGAAAAGCTGGTCAACGCGTTCCCGAAGGATAACAGCAAGCCCAGGATCTTTGTCCTGAGTCTACCGCACGGCAAGCCGGTCGATGGGATTGCGGACGAGCTGCTGCCGCTCCTCAGCAAGGGCGATATTGTCATTGATGGGGGGAATGAGTGGTGGGAAGCAACCGAAAGGCGGCAGAAGAAGGCAGAGGAGGTCGGTGTGGAGTGGGTCGGAATGGGCGTCAGCGGAGGATGTAAGCGACGAGGCGGATATGGCTGACAAATAGACCAAGCTGCCCGGAGAGGCCCATCCATGTCGCCCGGCTGCAACAACCCCAAGACGTACGAGACGATCAAGCCTCTGCTCGAGAAGTGGGCGGCCAAGACCAAGGACGGCGAGCCATGTGTCGAGTACATTGGTCCAGGCGGAGCGGGAAACTGTGAGTCAGCTCCAGAAGGTAGCTGATGTCAGATGTCAAGATGCTGCACAACGGTATCGGTGAGTCGATGTGGTGTCGCCAAGGGCTCAGCTGACCGGTAGAACATGCCCACCTCTCCATCCTCTGCGAGACCCGCGGCCTACTCTACCACCAGCTCGGCATGTCGAATGCCGAGATCGCTGATCTTTTCGAGTCGTGGTTCAAGGACGGCGGACTCAGGGGGAACTTCCTTGTTGGGATCGGCTACAAGGGGTTGCGTTTCACGCATGGGGACGGGATCGATGATGAGGGAGGAATTGTTGACCACATCGAGGACAAGGTGACCCAAGACGTCGATCTGTCAGAGGGTACCGGGACCTGGTCGACAATGGTGAGCGCTCGATTCAGAGTATAGCTGACGATGCAGGAGATCGCCACACGCCACGTCGCCGCACCTGCTATCGCTGCGTCACACCAGCTCCGCGTCATCTCGGCCGACAAGGGCGAGCGACTCAAGGTGGTCGAGAACTTGAAGATGCCTGAGCCGTCCAAGTCAGACAAGAAGGTGGACCCAGAGTTCCTCAAGGTGGTTGAGAAGGCGGTATACGGCTGCATTCTCGGCGCCTTCGTACAGGGATTGGATGTGAGTACCGGATCTGACATCGCTGATTCCAGATCATCACTCGTGCTTCGGAGGACCAGAAGTGGAACGTCAGCCTTGCGACTTGCATGCGGATCTGGCGAGCCGGCTGCATCATCCAGTCTGGTGAGTGATGATATGGATAGAGCTAATGGCAGACGCCATCTCTGAGTTCCTCCTCCCCCTGTTCGAGCCATTTGGACCCTCCAAGCCCCTCAACATCCTCCAGGCTGTCCCCGAAGTCGCGCAGGCACTTAGGGAGACCTACGAGCCGATCAAGCAGCTCTATCGGGTAGCCCTTGACACGGACGCCGTTGCACCGGCCATCGCGGCGACGCTGGAGTGGCTCAAGAGTGTCGGTGGGGCCCGATTGCCGACTGACTTTGAAGAGATGGAGCTTGACTGTGAGTACTGCTTCTTGTGTGAGCTCATAAGCTAGACTTTGGCCACCACAACTATGATATCGTCGGTCAGACAGAATTTGGCCACAAAAAGGGCAAGCACCACACCGAGTTTGCACCGGCGTGAGGCAGAGCAGCAGGACAGCGCCAATATGTATTGTTAGTAAATGATTGTGAGATGTGAATGACGTGCTTCATCGTATTCAAGCATAAGACTCGCTCCCGCCTGAGTCGTGCTTCCGAGGATCTCCAGCAGCCTCCCACTTGCCTTCCGACGTGAACCGCATCGCACAAGGTGTACTCCTATGCGCTGGATATCAGCTGGGCCCGCATCAAGCCAGATAGACTCACCGGTGACCCATTCCACGACATGGCCTTTCTCTCTCAGCCCATCGGCCAACTCCTCCGAGTGCCCGTCGACCGTGATGCCCTGCGTGGTCGATGTTCTTTCGAGATATGTCACATTCGGCTGGATTTGGTCGTGGAGCCTGTTTGCGCGCAAGGCCTCCGCAGCTGACATCCCAAAGTCCTGTGTGTCAGCACCAGCTCCAAGGCTTCGTCTGGATGACGTCGTCGTGCTTACCAGCACGTTCCTGGCTACCTGGATGTTACTGGAGATGATGGTACTGCCTCCCGCTGCGCCGCCGGAGAGCACGACGCATCCTGTGCTATCTTCGACGATATAGGGACAGCTCGAGCTGAGCGGCTTCTTCCCGCCTTGCACTGCTTCATTAGCACAGTGCCGACCCCGAGGGGAGCGGGGACATACCGTAGTTGGCCGGTGTGGGCTCGTACCCGAACCCATTCGGCCGCCCTTGAACCGAAAAGTCGTCCATAGAATTATTGAGAACGAAGCCATACCCGGGCACCATGATCTTGCTGCCCCAATTCCAGCCAACGGTGGTCGTGAGGGAGATGACGAGTCCGGAGGAGTCGGCAGTCGTGATGTTGGATGTACCGCTGTCGTACTTGATCTCCGTACTGATGGTCAGCTGACTGGCTTGCGAAGAGCATTGAGACGGACGGACCTTGGTGTCATGTAGTATTCTGGCGGGAATGTCCTCTCGTCCGAGATCATCTCTGATCTTCTCCTGCTGCCTTCCTCGGATATCCAGGATGCCTGCTTCTCTTGGAGACCGGGAACGAAGGCTGGATCGCCCAGCTCGGTTCTCTGTCCGAACGCTAGCTGGTAACGTCAGCTCCTGAGAGTGCGGCGACTGCTTGTCACTCACTCTCAAAGCCTCAGTAACGCGGTGCTGACCCAATACTGCGCCCTCCTCTGTCCGATCAAGCTGACTGAGCATCCCCATCGCCGAGAGCCAGATCGCTCCTGATGCAGGCGCAGGGAGGGTCCATAGTGTATAGTCTCGGTATCTGGCTTGGATAGGGTCGATCCACCGAGGTTGGAAGTCTACGAGGTCAGCCTTCTTCGTATGACGGCCAAAGATCAAGCTCACTCTTCAGGTCATCCAGCGACATCAGTCCCCCTCTTTCCCTGACCACCTTGATCAGAGCCTCCGCGACTTCTCCCTCGTAAAAGCCATCCGCTCCTCGGTCTGCCAGCAGTCGCAGGGTACGAGCGAACTCTGGCCGAGGGTATTTTGCGCCGGGAGGCAGAGCCTTGCCGTCTGGAAAGAGCGGGGCGTACATCTCGTCGGTCTGGTAGAAGGACCCTTCGATCTGATCTGATCCGCCGGGTACGCATTCTCTACACGTATACTGTTCCATCAGTCTCAGTCCCATCCAACATAGCGCAGTTCTTTGGCTTAGCTCTCTTAGATCCCCGCCGACTGGCACTCCCTCCTCGGCGAATTTGATACTGGGCTCAAACAGCTTGGACCATGGTAGTCGACCATATTGCTGGTGTAGTTGCTCGAGACCGCGCAGCTCTCCAGGTACAGCCACCGCCGCCCCGCCTTTCGAGGTCGATGCGCCATTCTGATAGAACTCCATCGTGACAGCAGCCTAAACGTATCAGCCCACGATTTCTACCTTGAGTCCACGAGGAAGAGCTGACTGGGGCATGCTGTCTAAAGTCCAGTCCCTGATACTCTCCAGCAGGACTCCGGACAATGGCGAAGCCCCCTCCGCCCAGATCCGAATGATAAGGGCAAAGCGTATTGATAGCAAGTACAGTCGCAATCATGGCGTCCGCAGCTGACCCTCCTGCAGCCAGCATCTCGGTGCCCACTTGAGAGGCGAGACGGTGCTCGCTGCATACTGCGCCGGACAGTATGGGTGTGGTCATGATCAGATGAGGTAGAAGTGCGGCTAAGTACGGTCAATGGAGATTGGCCCAGCGGGAAGCTACCTCCTCATTCCTTGCTGCTATCGGAGTTACGTATACCCGAGACAGCCCGGTGTAGATTGTTTCGGCGATGAGGCTGGCTATATAGCACGCGACGAGGAGACGCCCGTACCCGTAGCTATCTGCTAGTATAGCAAGCGTGCATGTAAGCAGGATCAAATGAATTCATTCGGACTAAGCCTCTCCGCTGCAAATTGCCTCTACCTCCTTCCTCTCCCTCGGTGCCGTTGTCAGATTCTTCATCCCATCCTTCTTGACCAGCACCGCATCCTCAATCCTTACGCCCCCGACCGGGATGTACCTCTTCAGTACCTCATGGTCCACGTACTCGCTCGTCCAGACTCCGTGCTCATCCATTAACTGCGGAGGGAAGTAGCAGCCCGGCTCAACTGTAAGCACCATCCCTTCCAGCAGGGGTTGACGTATCCGGAGATAAGTGTACAGCTTGGCCGGTGTCTCCTTTGACGAAGTTGGAAGATTGGTCTGGGTGGACCGAAGGTATTGACGGGAGTCGTGTACATCCAAACCGAGCGAATGGCCGAGACCGTGAGGGTAGAATGCGCACGTGATGCCTGACTGGAGAATCGCTTCGGGGTCGCCCTTGACTATGCCTAGCTTGATGAGGCCGTCAATGAGGACGCGGTGGCTGTGTAGGTGGATAGTGTCCCAGTGCACGCCCGGACGGAGCATCGTTTCGCATTCCTACCATCAGCTTGATTTGTCGAAGAGACATACCTTTTGCATCCGCAGGACCAGCTCGTATATCTCCCCGGCCTCCTTGGTGAAGCTTCCACCGTTCCCAACGGGGACTGTCCGAGTGATATCACTGGCGTAGTTCTGCCATTCTCCGCCGGCATCGATGAGGAGGACTTGCGGCTCAAAGCTGTCGGCGTGGTAGGCTCCAATAGGGGTGCTGGCGGTGTAGGCTTGATGGTTGTCGGAAGAGCAGCATCCGCGCTGGAGGTGCCGGTGGAAAGAGCGGTCACCGTTCTGGCGAGGTTCGGCGAGATGAGGGAAGATCTGGTCGTTGCAGCTGTCGCGTCAGCACAGACCGAAGCTGAGACGGGCGACTCACACATAATGAAGGGTGCTAGCTCTTGACCCAGAAGCGCAGATTGGTAGGTATGCTGGCGTAGATCTGGTGGTCAGCATGACTGACTCATTCTTACAGTAGTACTCACCCTTGTCTTCTGCACGCCGCGACAAAGACAGCCTCAGCGTCCGCCTCCCCCTCGACCTCCCATTCATTCAAACCCTCCTTGCCTGTCCGCTCCTTCCCCTTCCCCTGTCCCTCCTTGCGCTTCTTAGCAGACTTCCCCAGCTCCCTCATGACCACCTCGTGTGCTCCCGACGAAATCCAATTTGCCTCTCGCATGAGCTCGATCTCAAAGTCGGTCTTGGTCAGACGGGCGATATGAAGCGCTTCGAGCAAGCGGGCTGTGTCGTGCTGTGTGGTCGATTTCGGTCCGTTCCCACCGACAAGATCAAGTACCGACTGAGGTAGGGCTGGGTATTCTTTTGTTAGGGGAAGAGTGTGGAGATGGACCGGGCCCCCGGCAGAAAGATCTGCCAAGGCTTGACCGAGGTCGACGGTGCTGCGGACGTGGTCCGAGTCAAAGGCGGCTTTGGCTTCATCCAGGGTGGGAGGCCGGACAGACCACATGGTCACCTCTGGAAGTGCTGGAGGGACGAAGAGCGTGTGCTCGAGGGTTGGCTCGCCATTCGAGCTGGACTTGACCGTGATGAGTACCGAGGCGTCCGCGTGGGGATACCCGGTGAGATAAGTGAAGTTGGCTTCTTGGTCTGATAATCAGCTCTCAGCTTCTCCGAGTTATATTCAGCTGCTCACGAAATGCCAGCTCGCGATCCGTATCGTGCCGACACTCCACCGGAGGAGCTTGCAGGAAGATCGCATGGGTCTGATATCAGCTGAGGTAACATGAGGTCAAGCTCGATCTGCTCACGCCCTCGGCCTTCTCGCCCTTGTACAGAGCTTCTACCACCTTTCTGGCATGCTGGCGAGCGGGGTACTTCTGGAATGTCATGACTGGGGTAGTGCGAGATGAAGTATGAAGGATAGAAGAAAGCACGGCCACGCATAGGACAATGTGGCCGACGGCTATACCCGCGGCCGGATCTTGTCTTGTCGCTAATATCTTCGAGCATTCTGATCTCTCACACCGCATCTCATCTGTCCAGCAGCCCGTTCATGCTGGAGCACGGCGTAGACCTCTTTCCTGATGAGATATGGAGCAGATCCTACTTCACCTGCGCAGGCCGATACCTGCCCCTCTATCGAAGCCTACTCGACCAGATCTCCAATTTTCGGCGCCCTTACTATCCGCAGCGAGATCGTGCAGGGTGAGTCTGAGTGCTGAGCATAGCTGACTTCAGTACTTGAACAACATCTGCACTCCTCTGATCTACAAGAGAGTCGTCACCGACGACCTCTACCGGTTCCTCTACCTCCATCGCAACACCTCCTACCGCAGGTCCCTCGCTCATACCGAACATCTATTCGAAGGGGGCAGCGGTGGCGTACACACGCCTATTGCACCCCGGGAGCCTATGCTGGGCTCATGTTGGTGCCAAGGAGGACGAGGCGGGGAAAACAGCACTAGAGATGCAGGAGTGCGAGCTCGAAGTCTCGGGTATCGTCGTTTTGCTGGATGAGCTGTCCAAGTACTCATATATCCGCTCCGCCCTCCCCAAACTCGGCAGATTGGCCATCGGGTCCATCTACGGCCGCCAATCGGACGTCGGGCATCAGTATCTCGATCACCTGGACGCGGTCGGGAGAAACAGCGGGGTCTTTACCAAATGCTCGGAGGATCTCGAGGCGATCATATCCACCAGCGCGCTCACGCATGTCTGCCTGCGGGGGAATGCTGGCCCGCTCAGCCTTCGTCCTATGTCCAGTCCCGCTACGAGGCGAGCCAGCCATCCCTCCGGCGGCTCCACCGCGCCCAGTGTCGTTTGCCACTTCATGCCTGACATGGACCCGCTCTGCGTCCGGCTCGGTCAACCGGTGAGATGGGTAGCGGACGGTCCGGCGAGCCAAAACTGGTACTTCTTCTACCAAAAGATGTGCTCGACATTCGGGTCGGTACCTAGCCTGCTCGGGGTCTACTGTCCGCGTCAGCCGAAGAAGGACACGGTACAAGCGATGATCTACGGATCCACAAGCAGGCTAGGCCAAGCCGGACATTGGCTGGCCTGACAGGCAGCCGATGGGTATCATGGGCGTCGACGTCGCTGCATTGCGCAGGAGGCAGTTGACGGACCAAGAGCAGCGGATGGTGGCGGAAAAGCTGGGAGCGGGGTTCACAAAACAGCTGTCGGCGACAACCGGGTTTAAGGACAGGGTGGATTGGAGGGTCAGCGGGGAGACGCCGGTATGCGAGGCGTGCGGCTCCGGACCTCCCTTGTGAGGTCTGGAAATTGCCGGAGCGGGTCGGAGATGGCGGTGTCTTGGGCGCTCAAGGACTTTTTCGAGGGGCAGAGGGACTGGAGTTGCGCTCGATTTGGCGACGGAGGCGGTAGTGAGAAGGTTAGCGGCTGGAGCCACCCTACCATATGGACAGGGTGTGGCACAGCGGAACTCCGCGGCGGCAATAGGGAGGAGCATTGAAAGTATTAATGCTGATATCATCGTCCTGTTACCGAACGGCTGATTCGATCCTATAGATACTGACGTGCCCTGCTTGGTAGCCCGTCTTCGAACCTGGTACGCTGTCCAGTACGGTCTCGCCTGCCACCCATGGCCCCGTGTCCAGCAGCACGCATCGAAGGACCAGCATAGGATGAGGTCAGTCCAGGCGGACGGCGATCCCCGCGTCTTGCCGAAGTCAAACCCAAATTAGGTTCAACGAGCATCAAGAGCGCGACTTCACCAATCCAATCCATCATCCATACTTCATCTCGGTCTCAGCCAACATGCTCGGACAAGGGCTAGAGGCCTTCCCCACCGAGATATGGATCAGATGCATCGGCCACACGCGGAATCCGGTACCTCCTGCCCTCTCACAGGCTCCTCGGTCCGACCTTCGTCAGCCAACGTTGTGCGCGGTGACAAGAGCTTGTAAAGTGAGTGCATGCTTGGGCTGAGGCTGATATTAGCTCTTCAACGAGATCGCACAACCCTTCCTCTACAAGACCGTCGTGACGGATGACCTACCCCTCTTCCTACGCTTTCACTCTCATCCCACCTATCGCAAGTCTATCGCACACACCACACATCTCTACGTCGAGTACCGAGGCGAGCGAGCATCCGTTCCTTACGGCTGCCTCTTGCTTCACGGGAAGACGTATTGGAGGCACGTCGGATCCAGGGAGGAAAGGGCCGGACAGGAGGCGCTTTCGTTGAGGGATTGCGAACAGGAGATCGCCGACAACAGCGCCGCCCTCGCAAACTTGATCAAACATGGCGAAACCCGGATATTCTTCCCAAATCTCGGCAATGTGGCGATCGGCTCGATCTACGGTACCGTGTCCAGTGTCTGGGGGCGCTTTGACAAAGATTACTGGAGCGTACACGGCGATAGCGCGGAGGAACCTGCGTCTGGCTGCCACGAGCTCTTTGAGAAGTTCATCGCCCTCAGCCGGATTGCGCACGTATGCTTGCGGGACACCGTCGGCCCGCTCAATATCCGGACCGTCGTAGCCCCGGTCGCGGCACGCGCAAAGGCCTTCTCCATCCTCCCCCAAACTCCAATCGTTACCGCCCATATCCGCAATCATGGCGATCAATTTTGCGTCGGCCTGGGTCGACCTGTGCGGTGGGTGATCGACATTCAGCCTGAAGCTAGTTGGTTCGGCATGTATCAACAGATATATGGCATTGTGTCTGGATATCCCGACTGGCTCAAACAAGCCTATCCGGAGCGGGGAGAAGCGGAGACAGTCCAGATCCAGCTCTACGCCTCGACGCCCTATCTCGGGTTCGCAAATCCCGCTGGCGGGATGCCCGTTGACAGGCTCGGGCTGGACCTTCCCAACCCGCCGATGGGCACCATGCCGCTGGAGCAGCAACATGAGGTGGCGGCGCAGATGAGCAAAGGGATCAGCGGGATGTTGCAGGGACAGACTGGACTCAAGGACAGGGTGGATTGGCGGATAAGGGCGGATGCACCAATCTGCGAGTGTTGCGGCTCTGGACCTCCCATGTGGGATCTGGAGCAGGCGGATGTCGAGAATGAGGAATCACGGAGAGGCTGAGGTGATAAGGGAGAAGGGGGGGTACATGATACGGGGAGGGGATACGGAAATCGTTGGGAGGTGGAGAGGGCGCAAGCACAAGGGATTCACGCGGCCTGGGGATCCTTGAGTTGAGCAGGGAGGAGGGCGGAAGAGCTTAGGGGACGGATACAGCCATGGTAACGGGAGGGCGGAGCAGTCATACCATCGATCGATCATGTGTAGCTCACGAGCCTATGTATTGTACATAGGTCAGTGGTGGCCTGACCATTGATCGAACTGACCAGACTGAAACTGATGCGTCGCTCTGATTGACACATCATGTGGGTCACTAATGACTACAAACCCATATCTTTACTTCTATAACTTGCGCTGGCCTTTCTTCCCGGACCCCAACTTGTCCGCGTCAAGTAGCATCTTCGAGCTCAAGATTATTGAAACACACCAGCAAATCAAAAGCTCGCCCACCACGCGACGCGTAATGTCCAGCTCGTTGGCCTCCTTCCAGCTGTCGAGCTCGCGATCGAAAGTCTAGATCTCGACGACAAGGCGCCTTGACTTCACAAAGACATCCTTTCAGTACCGCGTCCTCGAGAGGTCACGCGATCTGAAGGCGGCGATGGTAGGAAGGCGTCTGACACCATCCCATGGCCTGTCGACGCGGGCGAGCGACAGTCTCTTGGGCTTCCTATGGCGACTGGGGAAGGCGCAAGACTCGGAAACGGCGCATATATCAGGGCGTGTCTCCTCTCGCTTCGTCTTGACCAGTCTCCCCTCTCAATCTCATCCATACCAGTCCACATCGTCACTTCGACCAAATTTCCGGCAGCATGACGCGCTCAGACCGTAGGGACAAGGACCCGACGAAATGCTCGCTGACCTAGAATCAAACAGAGTCTACCTTGTACATCCTCGTGGCGGACGGGGGCGAGGATGAAGAGGAGGACAAATATTCGAGCTTCTCGCTGCCTGTCGAGATTGATGACACCTGCGCTCAAAGCATCCACCGAGTCTTTGGCACCAGAATCGGGCGGCTGTCAACACTACTCACGACCGTTCAGATCCCGAAAGATACACGCAGGACCATCAGCGTTCAGATCCGAGCGAAGATGGAGCGGATGACTGGGGAGTCGATCAATGCCATTACAATGGTATTGAACACGTATCACAATCAGCTCAGTATCAACCCCGAGTAAGCCTAGGCCAGGCGCGCTGAACAGACGGACTTTCGCAATTGATTCCACTTGTAGATGTTGCATACGTGTCCTCTACCTCGATCCGCTGGAGTCGGCTTGCTCTTTTGCAGCCGCAACTGACTTGCAGCGGTACCCGAGACCCTGTGACCGCCAGTCATATCGACGTGTATCACACCGCCAAGGCGTACCGTGCCGTACTTTGCCGTATCGCCCCGAGGTGAGACGTTCCGGGGACGAGCGAGACCCGTTGCGGGCCGGCATGGCGGGTTCCGGGGCTTGATGATGAAACGATTGTCCGGAAGGCGCGGTATGGACGACCCGCTAGATCCGATCGACATGGACCTCCTCCTTCTCCACCCTCGCCCGCTTGCCTCGCCCGGTAGCGATATCCGCCACTCCCTTGTCCATCAACAGCTTCTCCAGCTTCTCTTCCGAGATCGTCACCACCGCCTCGTCCGTCATCAGCTCGTCGTCCGTTGAAGTGCTCATGTCTCGCATGGCGGGTGCGGGCTTGATGGGCGCGACAGCTGGGGGAGGGGGATTGTTGGGTGGTGCGTAGTAGATGGAGGTACCGACGCCAAAGAGAACGACGACGACGATGATAGCTGGATGTCAGCCTGTGATGGACTAGATGAGGTAGCATTAGACTTACAGATCGCGCGCCGCACAGAGTCCCACTTGGCAGACTCAATTTCCGTCCGCAGGTCTCCAAGCGAGATGGTAAACTTGTTGTTGATTTCCTGCTATCAGCATGACACCGCCTATGATCCAGACCTAGACCCAGAGACTCACCTCAATCTCCATGTCAAATCCCTTCATTTCTGTCCTCGTATCCGCCTTCCTATTGTTCATGTCCATCTCGATACTGCTCGTCAGCTGGCTGCGCTCGGCCCTTGTCGAATGTCAACTCACTCATGCTTCAAAGTCTGAACATCTTCCTTCAACTTCTGCTCCAGCTGGTCCACTTCTCTTCTGATCGCACTCGACATGGCCTTGAGCGCCGTTCCGTCATTCCGCGTTCGTACGCTCAACTCCGTCCGCAGTTCATTCAGTGCCGCCCGGAAGAGATACGCCGCGTTTTCCATATCCTCCTTGCCTAGCATGCAATCCCGCGCGACCTCGCCTCTGCGCACGATGAAGCGCCTGACCGCCTCCATGAGGACACGCGCGGTGCCAAGGGAGACATCGTGCTTTTCCAGATAGGCGACAAAGGCGTGCGTATCAAAGGGGTGTTGGAGGTAGAGAGGGCGAAAAGGCACCGAGGCAGGAGGTGCAGGGAGAGACGTAGCCGGGACCGTAGCGGTGGTGGGAGACGTTTCCTCGGTCTGATTTTGGGGAGTAGGAGGCTCGATGGCGGCGTAGGGGTGCTGATTGCGAAAGGGATCAGAGGTGGGGGAGGCATCAACAATCTCGAGGGGTTGTCGCTCGTCCGACGGCCCAGGAGCTTGTATGACAATGGTCCGAGCGGGTGTTCTGCTTGGTATAGCATACCGTAGAGGTGTCCGCAGAGCTGGGGCGCGTGTGAGCCATCTCCTGGCCAGTATCGAGGGGATCATGCTATAGATGAACGCAGAAGATACTGCAGGATCCGAGCGCATTTGAGTGGCGGCTTCGCGTCACGTGGCAACATTCCTCATCGATTCATCCCCAGCAGGGCCCATATACCTGCCCTGGCGAAGACCCCCACATCGACGACTCCAGCAGTGGAGGGGTAAGCTGTAACAGGAGGTAAGACCGACATATAGGCATGCACACGACAATGTCCTACTCAGAATCACTCCGTACGTCCAGCGCACAAAAATCGCTCGCATCTTCCTCATCCTCATCGGACTGCTGCCCGTCGGCGTCATCCCTCTCTTGCCATCTTCCTCCCTCCGAGACCGATCCTGACCTGCGCACCCCATCCGAGACTGACTCAACAGTCGGACGAGGTCCCCGCTTTTTGCGTGGAAGCGTCGATACCGGGCCGTTCCCTGTAAACCGCAGATCGGCGGGTATTGAGTCGTATTTCTGAACGCCGCCAGCCCGCCAATGACCATAGTGCGACGCGACGACAGGCTTCGTATCGTCGATCTGAACGTGTGAGCTCAGACATAGGACGGACCCACCTCTTCACATAGCAGAGCCGCGACCGATGCAGCCGTGAAGGTCCAGGAATCGTGATCTCGGTTGGACAGGGTTGCCATCTCAATTCTCCTCTGCCGGGCTCGCTCTTGCCGCTCAGGCATGAGCACCCGAATGGGTCGGTTCTCGAGATCCCTGTCGCGTAGATAGTTGCCAAAGAAGCGGTTCCATTCAGGCACCGAGTGACCGCGCACGGGGTGGTCTTCCGCTATCTGCATTGCGATCCGGTCGAGCGTGACGCCTTGCTTGGCGAGGTCGATATGCGGCTTGAATGGATCGGCGTCCTGAGTCGACTCGGGATCTCGGATTGCCCCCTCGAATGGACCAGAATACGAGCGCCAGTATCTCTTCCAACCATCTCGTCCGCCGATGAAGATTCCGACGGGATATACAACGCCGGGCTGGCGGTCCGCGAGATGGCACGAGATAGAACTGGAGACAAGCGCTCTGGCTGAGAGGGACTGACCGGGCTAGCCATCGAGTGGCCGGTTCAAGGGGACAGGTCCGAGGTTATCGAGGCGGTGGATTGGGACAGGCCGGTAGAGGGTCTGACATCAGTATCGCCCAAACCATGACTCACCCTCCCTTACGACATCCACCCCAGTCAAAGTCTTCCCCTAAGACTCTCCCTGCTTTGACACAACCGCCCGACCCATTCCTCTCCAACCATAACTTTCCGCCTCCACTCCTCCGCCATACCCCCCTTCAGTAGCCGCTTGTACCGCAATCGCGCACTCAGCCGGAGCCATTCTGGATGACAGAAGTCCTTAAAAGTCCCTTCCGAGGATGGCTCAAGGATGAGGATAGTTGTGTTGATATGGGCAGGGTCATCTGAGATGAACGCGCCCTGAGCGGAGAGGTCACGGTGGATTTCTAGAGCCGAGGTCAGATTAGGGTCGACCCAGATCTGTAGCGGCCGTCCGAAGCTTGCCGAGGTGAACAGATCGCTCTGGCCTTAGCATCTCTTGCTCCGGGGCGGCATGCTACTGGTGTAACTTGCGGCAAGATAAGGGGTGACATGTGACAGGAGATGCGGAGGAGAGTCGAGGAATGCGGTGCGGAGCGTTGTTGTTGTGCTGACCTGTCGGCACGTGACCAAATTTACTGCACCCGTCATGGATTTTCACCTCAAGCGATGTCGTTGCGGCCTCTCATCCTGCTCAGCTCAGATCTGAAGCTCATAGACCCGAGGAGCATGTGTGCTGAGCTCTGTAGGTCTGACGCCGTTCCGAGAGGATGCATGGCGCCCTATTTACAACTTCCGCAGACTCTCACCCCTCGTCTTCCCACGTGATCCTCTGACGGCTGGGCTTAGCGGAGTGGAGACCACGCCAAGGGCTTGAGGATCGAGGTCTTCATGTCGCGAGTGAGCTTGACAGTCTGAGAGTCAGCCCAGAAACATGGGAGTATGGAGGGAAAATCGGGCGTACCTCTTGCACGGTGTCGCTCCATGTTCCGACAGACCAGGCCTGCTCCCTTGTGGCTTTCCGTGTCTCCATATCGCTATCACAGTGTCAGCTTTCGATTGCCCAGTCTCTAGGGGTCTAGCTTACGGGTATTGCCAAATGTGGTGGACTTCGTGCAGCTGCCCAACTTGCGAGAAGAATGCGCCGACCGGGGACTAGATGGATCAGCTCTCCCCCCCTTTTACATCCTTTTTGATGAGGAAAGACTTACCACAAACCTCCGCCTAGCCTCTAGACCTCGCCTCCATGCATTCTCCCATTCGAGCAACTTTCCCGGATGCAGTCTGTACGTCCGCATCTCAAACACACCGCCATCCTTGAAGCCACTATCCCTCGGAGGGGACGAGGGCCAGAATGAGAATTCCGATACGAGCTGATGTTGCCTCGACTGGAGATGCGGCAGAAGCGCGGCTTGGAGAGATGCCATTTCCTGCGTGATCAGCACTGCGCCTCCATAGCTCCCCACACTCACCTCATCACCCCGGAACCTCGCCTGAGCCTCATCGAACCCCTTGTACCCCTCATACTCAAAGATATGGACAAACTCCCCTACACTCCCCACGACCACCTCCCACGCGCCCGTCACTTTGATCCCTCCAAATTCCGGCGCACGCGCCAGCAACGCACGGTAGTACTTGTCCGCTGCAGCGAGGTAGGCTTCCCGCGCCGCAGGGTGAATGTGGTGCGTCACCACCTCGTGCACGTATTTGCCACGTCCGATGAGTTTCGAGTGGGCCTGGGCAGCAGCTGCGGACTTGGGAGCGGTAAGACCTTCGGATTTGGCGGCTGCAGAGCCGTATAGAAGGGCCTGAGCGTCAGCGCGTGTTAGGGGTCAACGGGGCTAATTATCTGTTCCTCATCGAGGCCGGCATCTGGAGCGTCGGCCACGCTTCCGCCGCTAGCCTCCAAGGCGCGACCTCCATTACGCCGCGTTCACACCAGCCTCCCTCGTATCGACAACTCACAGACCAAAAAGTCTTGCCCCCCTTCTTCGGATCATCCTCTGGCGGCGTCTCCGCGCGGACCGCCTGAGACGTCGAGAATGCCCTAAAGGTAGCAGGAACAGATTTCTTTCCTGCTTGCGCCAAGCTGCGACTCATAGGCTGAGCAAGTGTTCTGATAGACATGGCGCTCTATAGTATACGATGAGATAGATGGTGAACGGACGAGACCTAGCCGGAGCTTCGTTGGGTGAAGGTGGCAGGTCCGTGCGTCATTCGGCCCGGAACAGCCGGCGGAGTACCTAGTCTTGGTCGCAGCGTGCGGCTGCTGCCTGGCTGGCCGTACGCGGTGCATGTCCGACAGATACTACATTCCAGTCCTAGTCTACACAGCTACCTACACGATCTTCTCTAAGCCCTCTTGGTCATCTTCAGATCCCACTTCCCCGGAGTCAAGTTCAAAACCTCCTTGCCCTCCAAATACCTCTTCTCCATCTCCATCCTGCCTTCCCCTTCCAGTGGGACCGGCTCAAACTTGTACTCCTTCACCATATGAGTGATGAAAGCGACCATCTCGACCTCGGCGAAGCGCTTCCCGATGCACGCTCGCTGGCCTGAAGAGAAGCCCGTGCTGAGCCCCTTTTGGCTGTCGTCCAGCATCCGTTCGGGCCGGAAAGCGGTTGGGTCGGACCAAGTGAAGGGGTTGCGCTGGCAAGCGGGAGAGTCGATGATGAGGTGAGAGCCGGCCTTGAGGAGGCGGGTGTGGGTCGTGGCTTGGCCAGAAGCGTCCCAGGTGGTATAAGGGAGGTGGCAGTCTTCAGCGAGGAGCTTGGGGAGGGTCATGACGATATCCCGGAGTCGAATAGACTCGTGGATGCAAGCGAGGGCGTACTTGAGTGCTGGCATATCGCGGTAGGCTGGAGGTCAGCAACCGTCCAGGGAGAGGAACGGGAGACGTACTGGGGAGGGAACCACCGGTGATACCGTCGACTTCCTGGAGGATCTTCTCCTGGTGCTCCGGGTAGAGAGCGAGATAGGCGAGTGTGAAGCCGATGACGTGCGCAGATGTCTCGTGGCCAGCCCTACTGATCAGCTCATACCTCTACCCCATCGTAGGACTTACACAATGAAGATCCCTGAACATCAGCGTAAAACCTGCTTGAGACAAGGAGGTTTGACATACAGACATTCCCCACAATCTCCTCCGGCGTCAGACCAGCCTGCACCTTCTCCCCCGCCTTCAATTTGGACTCGGCCACCACGTCCATCTGGCTAGCGACGATCGCGCCGAGGACATCCGAGGGCGGCTTGATCTTGTCCCCCTTGGTCAGGATGTTGGTCTCGGCCTGAAGTGTGGCGCCTCGGCTGGCGATCATGGACATGATGTGGTGGATGAGGGAGGTCTGGGCTTTGGCGAGACGGCGGACACTACGAGTCAGCAGGGTAACAAGGAAGGGAGTGCACGTGGAACCTAAAAGACGTACCTGGCGAAGGGGTTGTACTTGAGTAGCCAGAGGGGAGCGACCAGCTGAGCAAACATGCTGTGCGTGACCACGTAGAGAGACTCGTCGAGGGGCACTGTCGTCAGCTCAGACGTCTCAGCTGACTTACAGATCTTGCCGCCCGTCTCGGCGATCCTCCACGGCCACTCCTGCCCGAAGCCAATCTTGCCAATTACCAGCAACGTCAGCTGTTTGTCAGCCCTGGCCCCTGCCTCAATCGCAAGATGACAGACCTGGGTCGTACTCCCCTCAATATCCTTCCACACCCCTCCCTCCCGTACACCTACCTCACCCCACATCATCGCCTGCGTCTGCACCATCGCGTCCCACACCCCTCGCATAATGGTCTCATTGAAGCACCCCTTGACGACCGACTTGTGCCGCTTGTGCTCCGCCCCAGTCTGACAGCTGACAATCTGTCGCCCAAAGATGTCGATGGCGACGTACCGGAACATGCTGGTCGGCTTGAGGTACTGCGCCGGCTTGGCCGAAACGGAGAGCGCGACGTGTGGGTTGGATGTGAGGTAGACGGCGTAGGGAGTGGTGGCTTGGGTACAGGCGATAAGGTCGGACTGGGCATCGGCGTACTCTGCTTATCAGCCAATATATACGGGTAGAGGGAAGGGACGTACTTTTCCAGGGATCATCGAGGGTGTACTTGCGAGCGGGGACGATACCGGGGATGTGAGGAAGAGCAGAGCGGTGCCCGGCCTCCATCACTTCGATAGCGCTGTGAATTACGGGTAGACCGCGCACTTGCTGAACTATCAGCCAGAGCCCCCTCCATGCCTGAAAAAGAAGAGACACTCACGAGCCGGACGCTGATGTACCGCGCGAGCCATTTGAGAAAGTACGCAGCGAAGACGCCGCCGAGGAGGACGTAGATATGGTGCATGGTGACCAGCTCGAGGCGGTCTGCGAGCGAAGAGGGGACGGAGGGGAGATTGAGCTTGCTCAGAGCGTTGGTCATATCGAATAGATCTGGTCGTGATGGTCGTCAAGATGCGAATGGGCTGCCCGAAGCTCGTTACCAAGATGTCAAGATGAAGTGAGAAGTCAGAGGGGAGGGGTTCAGCAGAGTTATATATACCGAAGCTCATTGGCCAGGCCTCAGGGTAGGCTGGAAGAAGACATGGCCTAGAAGTGGAAGGACGTCCCATTCCAATAAAGACAATCAATCCAAACACTCCACTCAGACGACCTAGCCCTTTAGCGCCTCCGCTAGCCGACCTAGGAACGCGCCACTCCGCCTTGTCCTTCGCCGCCGGCAGCGGCAGGGGCGCTGTTGCGGATCCGCGGAGAAGGTGGTGTGCCGAAGCGGATGTATTGTCCTCATCAGATACAATGAGTGTGACGGATGGATTGAAAGCTTATTGTGCGGCTTCTCGCGGACAATCCAAAGGTCGTTTCAGACCCCATCAAAGGGGTATTGTCCACTGCCGCCCAAACGGACATACGAGAGACTACCGCCCTCCGGCCCTCGCCGTCGAGCTGCGCTGAGCGGGTTACGTCGTCATTAAGCTCTCGATGAGAGACTGGGTATTGACGACATGGTCGCTGTACCCAAAACAAGGAATGCGGAGCTACATAACATTTTTCGACGCGAGCTGAAGCTTGCGCGCGCGAAGACGGGAGCTATGTACCACTCCGCTTCGCCCTCTGACAACGACATCTCGCTTTCACGCTCAGCCCTAGCCCTCACATACAGAAGGCGTCATCCATACTCACTGCCATGACTGAGCACATTCCGCGCGACAACGACGACCATCACCTACTCTGGTCGCTCGTAATCCCCTATCTCTCATGCCCGGTTCCTCTCCCCCTATCCGAGCCCCCTCGATCAGCTCTCCGGCAACCACACCTAGCCTGCCTTTCCAGGGTTTCCAAGGTCAGTGCATGATATTGCGTCGACCGACAGAGAGCTGACTCGTGCAGACCTTCTTTGAACTCTGCACCCCTCTGCTTTGGACCACCATTGTCACCGACAACCTTCCCAATCTCATCACCAAGATCGACTACTATGCCCTCGACTCCCCCAGTCGGTACACCAAACGTATCCTTGTGGAATACATGGAGAAGGGCGGCGAGGGGACCTACAAGCAGCTTCTCAAAGACGGCCAGTTCTGGAATAGGTGCGGGATGACGCGGGAAGAGAAGGCGCAGTGGTCAATCGGGGACTGCTATCTTGAGGCGGGAAATATGAAGGGGGGAATGGAGGACCTCCTCTGGATGGGGCTGGACCGGACGTTCCCCAACCTCCAATCTATCGCTATTTCATCAATATACGGACATCGGGATACGCTCTGGTCGGCCTACAAGGATACCGCAGCAGCAAATGACAAGTGTGTCAAGGCGGAGCAGGCCATGAAGGCCTTTCATGATGTCTTGTTGGCCGGCAGCAAGATTGACGTGTGCGTGCGAGACTTCTTGGGCCCTCTGTCCTTTTTTGTCCCTCCCGGAACCACCTCCCCCAAAGGCGACTACACGCGGTCCTACCACTTTGGCTCGTCCAACCCGGATTACCATCCCCGTGGACCACCTCAGATCTATCCCCCTCCCAGCCGGCGTCCCCGTTCAATGGCGATCGGACTATGCCGACCTCATCAGCCTCCCCCAAGTCATCAACGTCGTCTCGGTCGCCATCAACCAGCACATTAACGCGCGTGATAGCTGGTCGGATCGGGGCAAATGGCGACCGGTCGACCTCGAGGTCTTTGCCAGCACCGCCCGCTGCGAGGTCGAAGTCATCACTCCGGATGCCAGCAAGATACTCCGCTCGCTCAATCTGGGCAAGCTCAAGCGTGCGGACGATCCGAGCTACTTCATCTTGACGCCGGCTCAGCAGAAGAGTCTGGTCGAGATGAACGCCGGGCGTATGCTGGATGCTATGAAAGAATCTAGCAGGGTCAGAGGGGAGTCGATCAAGTGGAATCTCCAGTCTGACGCGCCTGCTTGTCGGGCGTGTGGGGTATGAGGGAGCGAGGCTGGCGGAGGTGGCGGGATGGCGAGCGAGGGGGAGGATGTCGCAGTGTTGGCCAGGAGGGGGCCGTGAGAGAGGGTGAGGCTCCATGAGCATGGACGATGGAGTGCGTAAGGGGATATCGTGGTCATGAAGACGGATATATCGAGGAGGCGGTCTGACTGGAGGGGGTCTGGTGGACGGAAAGGGGGGTCATCATGGCGGATTGGGGGTCGGGATGGGGCAATGGGGAAGGTGAAGAACGCATGGACTGTCCGTCGGTACCTTAGCAGATCTGGTTAGTTACCCAAGGCAGTCGGTGTGAATATCTTCTACATCTAGGGCACAATGTGATGAACTGCTTTATCATGAGTGAGACGGTAGATCAGCTGAGAGAGATAGTCAGATCGTGAGGAGGGATTGGTACGATATTGTCAGATAATGACGTGGTGGACAGACTCGTCTGACACGACGAGTGTATATCATTCCCAGCTTATCAGCCCCTCTTCCATCACCATGACCGCCTCACCGCCCAAGCCTCACCAACATCGATTTGACCTCCGCCTGACTGACTCTTGACCTATACCCGTCCCCGAACCGCCACCTCAGTCAATCAATCTCTCAATCTCTCAATTCGCCCTCCGTCTCCGCCCCATCAACCCATCTCAAGCTGCCTTCCGCTCCGCCCGCAACACCATACAAAGTGCTCGTCTCACGCTCTTACCCCCGGTCCTTGTGCCACTCCTCAATTCTCCGCTTCCACCATGTCCTCCGATCCCTCCGCCTCCTCGCTGCGCCATGTTTCCCCGGCTTCCCCTGTGTGCTCCGTTTCCCCTGGTTCCGACCCTGAGACTGGGCGCTTGCCGCACGCCGCGCAGATTGGAGCGTCCTCCCCGATACGCCACGTGTACCTGTCCACCGGTTGCTCGCTGTCATCGAGGGCGAAAGCTCGGAGGAACTGTCCGAATCTTTTGGCGATGACCATTCGCACGTCGGGCGGCAAAATGTAGGTCGTGGGCTTTTCCGTCCGAGGCAGGCCGCAAAATTCTTTGACGGTCGGAGACAAGTCGTTGAATGTCATGGTGGACGACGAGCAGAAGATTTCGATGTCCATGGCCTCGCGGACTCTGCCTTCCGTGGCTTCCTTCTCCCTCATCTTGCCATTTGTCATGCACGCGCTTGCGACACCCATGAACGTCTTTGCCCATTCCCTTTTGTCCTCCGATGTCGCTGACCCAACGTACGCCTTTGCTGAAAGGGGGGAGAGGGAGGTGCAGCATTTCCGGCCCGAAATGTGAGGTGAGCAAGAAGGGGGTTTGCTCCAGGGAGGACAGGGGTTTGCCTTGACATCTGCCGTTGCTGGCCGGTAGCGAAAAGGGCGAGAGAGGATCCCGCGTACACACGTGTTTGACGGTGCTGTGGGCGAGAAGTCCAAAGAGTAATGTGTGGCTGGACGATGGGTAGACCTGTTCGGTTTGGTCGCGACGCGCCATGTAATAATCGTCCCATCGGGTATCCCACCCGTACAGAGAGGCCACCGCGATGAACTCTAGGCGGGGAAACACTCGCTTCATGCCCGCCTCCATCCCTCCGGCTCTATACACCGCTGTCAGGGCATGGAGCGTGTTCCGACAGTCCCCCTCTGTGTCTCTCATTCGCGTCTCGTGTAGGTCCTCCGCCGAAAGGCCGATAGATTGCCAGAGGTGATTGGGACCTGCGCAAAGGTCGCCGTACGCCGGTTCCGCCGAAGGTGTAGAGTACTCAATGTAGAGTTTGCGGGTGTACCGTAGGGGATCTGTATTTGACGCGATATCGCAACCGCGCAGGACCATGAGGAGATCATCGGTCACGATCGAGTCGAAAAGCAGGGGGCGACAGATATCGTTGAAACTCTGCGGGGATCAGCTTCAACGCCAGCTCTTATCAGGCCTTGAAACTCACTCTGCAGCACTTGCTTGCGCTGGATAGATCTTGCTGTCGTGGCTCGGTCCGGTCAGGGCGGGAGAGGGGAAGGGGGACGGGCTTGAGTAGGAGCCGGAGGATCAGCAACCATATTTCTCGCGGAATTCGAGAGGTGTCGTAGGCATTAGCAGCTGCCATGATGCCTCAGGGAGGGCCGAGGGTTCGGCTTCGAGCATGGAAGAAGCATCATGCATCAGCGTTCTCCAGCTCGAGAGTCGAGAGCTGTCGGTACCGCCGCGCAAGTTCAGCTGGTAAGTGTTTATCTGAGGATTGATAGGTCTAACCGATACCTCCAGTCGGCCAAACCCTCCACGGTCCTCCTTCGTCGTCCCGTTGCGGGAACCGATGGCATGACACTTTGATGTTTCTCTCAGGCTTGGGTTCGGGATAGCATTTGAACAGCAAGCACTTCTTTAGCTAAGGTTCCAAGCAAGGATATGGCGCCATAAAGCTCATCTAGAACAAACAATCTCATCCTATCGGTGATCTGCACCCCTCCCCGACTGGTCCGACCGATAACTCCTCATTCCTTGTCGCTCAACGCTCATCCTTCACTTCCCCCTCCCCCTCCCCTTTGGCCTCCCCCTCGGCTTACTCCCAGCCTTTCCTCCCCGCTTCGATCCACTCTCCTCCTTGACTTCGGTCTCTTCCACCCCCTCCTCTGCCTCTTCCGCTTCCTCCAGCTTGACCCCCTGCTCCTGCTTGACTTCCTCCTCCACCTTCCTCAACTCCTCATTATCGACCTTGACCAACCTCGGCTCCTTGACGCCTTCATCCCCTATCCCACCATCTCCTTCTTTCTCCACATCGTCCAATTCTATAGGGTTCCCATCCTCATCTACATCCCCAGTCTCCTTTACTTTCCTGCGGTGTCAGCTGATCCCACCAAGTCACCTGATCAGGCCTGCATCGGGGATACATAGCTCACTTTTTGAGACTGCTCTTACGGCCCTTGGTGTGCATGCTTGGAGCAGGGTCTGGCGGACGCAGATTGTCCCAAATGACATCTTCGATCCCACTGTTGAGTCAGCCCGGCCTTCACTTCCATCGTCATTCTCCTGTACAATCCCACTCACTATATCCTGTACAACTCGAACACCGCCTGCTCCTTATCTTTCGCCTCAATCATCAAGTCCACATCATCCGGCAAATCAGGCGGCAAGCGGGCACACCGATCCGAGTGCGCTCGGCGCTCCATGACGCTCACCGCTCCTGGGCGGGGCTCGGACAGATGCTGTTTCATGCGAATACCCCGCTTGGCCCAGGTTTCGGCGATGAGCGGGATGAGGACGGATGGGGGGCGAGAGGAGGGGTAGATCCAGTCGTGGTGCTGAGGGTCAGCTTGACTTGGGTCTGGCGGGAGCAAGGAGAAGGGGACTGTTACATACATAGTCAAAGATTCTGTATGTCAGCTATGCGGTTTACCGGATGCACAGGATAGTGTAGCTTACATAGGTATTTCAAGCTCATTACAGACAGGCATGATATCGTCAACATTATAGCAGATCTACTGTGTCAGCTGTATCCTGTCACCGGAGTGAGAAGAAGGTAGCTCACTTCATCGTTTTCCAACACGAGCCGCTTCTTGACAGCATCGCTCAACCTCGTAGTATAGTTCTCTTTGAACCGCGCGAGCGTCGATTCCTTATCGCCGTAAATCCCGCCCATGTGGATACTGCAAATCAGTACGTGCCACTCCGCCCGTTTCCTCTCCCCTCTTCCTTCCCCACCTATCACCGGCATCCAACAAAGGAAAGCTTTACTCACATCATCACACCATCCTGGTCGAGCCCCATCCGATCCATCATCTCACACTGATAGTCCAGCTCCCTTACGCTCGCCGTAACGACTCCTGGCTTGGGCGATCCAAGCTGAGTAAACTGAAAATCAGCCATGCCCCTCCTGCTCCAGGCAACGGCTAGCTCACCTGTCCCGGATGCGCCGTAAGTCGATGCCCATACTTCCGCGCCAACGCCCCCGCCTCCTTGAGCTCCTTATCCGCAAACTCGAGGTCGTACCCATACTCCGCGTGAGACGCGAATGGGAACATTTCGGAGGAGAGGCGCATGAACCGGATTTTGTTTTGCTCGTTCCACTGCTGGGTAAGCTCTGCCTACTAGGCTGGGTTTCCGGTGAACCAAAAGCTCACCTCGATCATCTTGACAAGGTCTCGGCAGTTCATCAATGCCAACGCCTTGGGCAATTCCATGCCTTCCTCCTTGATACTGGCGATCCGACACGTCCTCGAGCAAAAGACACTATCGGGCTTCTGGGAGCGGAGAACCGTATTGAGGCAGGCATATCCTATCCGGCCTACTCATCAGCCCCTTTTCCCAGTCGCTGCCCGAACCAAGACTTACCCTTGAAAGTAGTCTCCAACCGCTCCACAGCCGGGATATCATAAATCAACTTTGGCACCACCTTGACCTTCCTCTTCTTCTTGACAATCTCATTCCCGTCCTCATCAAACTCCGGCTCATCCTTCGCCGCCATCCTCGACTTCTTCGGCGTGGGCTTCTTGGGTGTGCGTGCTTTCTTGGCTGGTGTAGCCGCCCCATCGGCATCCCCGTCCTCAGCCTCCGCGTCCGGGTCCACCTTGACCTTCTTCCTCGGTGTCTTCTTCTTGGGCGTAGGTTTTGGCGCTGATGCAGGCTCGGCAGTCAGGTCGCTTCCGTCCGACTCGGGCGCACTGAGGTCTGCTTCGGGGGATACTGCCGCCCTCTTCCGCCCTCTGGTGGCTTTCGGCTTTGTCTCCCCTGCCTCAACCATGGGCTCATCTTCACCATCATCTCCTTCGGCCTCTTCGACGTACGTCGGCTTCTTCACTGCCCGCCTCCGACGCGCCAAGACGCTCTTGACCGCTGTGTCGACTACCGACTCCACCTCGCTCTGGACCGGCGGCGGAGTGAGGTCGTCAGCGTCATCCCCCTTGGCCGCCGCTGCTGCCGCTGTTGTTGAAGTACGCTTAGCGCCTCGTTTGGGTGCTGCAGCGCCCGGCTGTTTTCTTGCCATGATGGGCGGCAGGACGGGACGGCAAGCGAGGGGGAGGAAGGGAGTGTGGAACCTCCTTGTAGACTTCAAGGAAGTCGGGGCGAAAACGGGAGGACGGAGAATGGACAGGCGGAGTGTCGTTATCAGTCGGCTCCCATATGGTAAGAGCATCCAATAGTGTTTGTGGTGACAGGGTCGGAGGGGTGTGGTTGTTTGAAAGCGTCAGAGTCAAACAATTCTCGCAGAAAGATCAAAAGCGATCGGTGGGAATCGAGTGACGTCAGCTAAACTCCACATTCCTTGTCACGGACATCGCCGCTACTGGGCGGGTGGTGAGGAGGGTGAGTATACGGCTTGCAGTGCAGATCGGTCCGAGACACCCCCTGCTCTCAGCTTGAGGTACTTGCAGCGTTATACAGCGCATAGATCCAGGTTGTGATGCATGCACGCTCACACCATCCTCCTTATGCACCAAGCAGGATCCACCTTTGCCCCGCATTTCCCCACAGCCAGGCGGAAGCAGAATTTCAGCAGATTCTCTGCGCGTTCAAAGCTCCAGCTTATGGCTGTTTACTTGCACCTCTCCTATAGCAAACTAGTAGCAATCACAAGCCAGCATGACATCTACTGCCCGACGTAACAAAGGCAAAGGCCGCGCAATGGAGGATGAAAAGGTGGTAGCTGCGCTTCCGCTCGGAAAGCAGCTCGCACATACCGGTGCGTCGTTGCCTTCACGTCGAAATGAAAGAACGCTAGAGTCAGTGGCTGATCTCTCAGATAAGGCTGTGCGGGATCGCGCTATCCGTTCTCTCGTGGCTTTCGTCTCACGTGGAGGTGGTGCTGCGACCACTTTGGGCAGCGGCGAGGATATCGACCTTGAAGCCCCTGCGCAGGAGGCCGAATCGAGCAGCTACGTCAGGCTCGAAGACGCCGAGATGGCCAAGCTCTGGAAAGGGTTATTCTACTGTGAGCTTCGTGAAACAGACCCATGGTGCGTCAAGCTGACTTGTAGGTTTCTGGATGTCGGACAAACCCCTCATTCAACAAAGCCTAGCCACCTCCCTCTCCTCCCTCTTACTCTCCATCTCCCCCTCCCTCCCCTCCACCCTCTCCCCCGCCGAATGCTCCTCGGCTCGCCTCTCCGCCTCGCTCGACTACTACCGCGGCTTCTGGGAGGCGATGGTGCGCGAATGGGAAGGTCTCGACCGATTACGGATGGACAAATTCTACTTGCTCATCCGGCGGTTCGTCAGTGCTTCTTTTGGACTGCTGGCGCGGGAAGAATGGAGCCAGGAGGGGGTGGAGGGGATGTGCGAGATTCTGGTCGGGAAGAATGGGCAGGGTCCATTGAAGTGAGTCCTTGCGCATCTCTGCACCGAGAAGGAGCTGACGGTTAGCTACTCCAACCCCAAGATCCCAATCTCCCTATCAACCCATCTATCCGATATCTACCTCTCCGAGCTCGACTCTATCCTCTCCTCCTCTCCCACCCCTGCACCCCTCATTCCCCTCCTCCAACCCTTCATCGCCCTGCTGGCCAACTCGCCTACCCCCGTCGTATACAAACGCCTCATCGATACTCTGTTTGCCCCCCTCCTCGCGGCGCTCTCGACAGGCTCGGCCGATATCGACGCACCGGCCCTCCCAAAGAAGCGAAAGAGGGCGGATGAGGTGTACCCTCATATACTGATGAACTGCAGTACGGGCCACGGAGGGGGCAAGGCGAGCGTGGACGAGCTGAGGAGCGCGCTGTTGCAGGCACTGTTTATGGAGGCTGCGAAAGTGGGAAGCAGGGAGAGTAATCGGAGAAAAATATATCAGTTGTGGCGCGAAGAGGGCGGTGATGACGAGTAGCGAGTGTAGTTGGCAGGTTGATGATGAGATTGATATTGGTACAACATCTACTTGTTCCCTATTCTAGTGAAGATAAGAGGCGTCAACAGCGTTGCTCCGACCGCACACAGGCCCTGAGGCGTCAGCTGATATCCTCAAGCCAAGAGGGGTAACAACTCACGCCTGCAACCAGGAAAAGCATCTCCGGCCTGCCCATCTCTGCAAATACCGCATACACACTTCCCAGCAGGATGGGCGATAGGAGTCTCGCCGCATTGAAGACCATATCCAGCGCCGCGAGGGATTGGCCTGTCTATCAGCCGAGTCCGTCCGAGACCGACGGAAAGACTTACTAGCATGCTCCTCTGGCACCGACGCGACGAACACCGACTTGTACGTCGGATTATCCCCCGCCCCTAGCGCAAAGATCCCAAACGCGACCAAGGCGTGCTTGTAGTCTTGCGCGAGAGAAACACCGACGAGCGATACCGCGTCGATACACACCGAGAGGAAGAGGAGGATGACGTCGAATTGGTTGGCTTCTTCCTGCTTGGCCTCTTTGCTCTCCCCGCCATTGTTTTCCAATAACGGCTGCCTCTCCCCCTCTCCCCCTGAGACCTTCCCCTTGCCCTGCCCGTACTTGTGGAACACCCGCCTCCCCCATCTCTGAATAGAGGGAAAGACGAGCGTGAGGTACCCTCCCTTCGCGAATGCCAGGTACGCCAGCACCCACGCATTCGATTCCGGGTTGAAAGCGAACTTATCCGAAAGGAACAGCAGGCTCGCAGTGACGATAAAGACCGTTCCCGACGTTGTAAAGAGTAGCGAGACCGTGAGGATCGATAAGCGCCAATGCCACCCGTCCGCCTCTTTGCGTGGCAATAGCAGCCGTAGGGGCTTGATGGGTTTGATGACAGGCAAGACGATCGCCTCGATGATTCCCTCTTGCGAGTGGATACTGTCCACCTCGGCCCGTGTATCCGCGGGTAGCGTCTCGGGCACGGCGATCAGGGCGTAGAGGGTAGCGAGGAACTGAGAGCCGAGGGCAATGTAGTATGGGAAAAGGATGATGGGGATGTATCGCGATGAAAGGGCCGAGAGGATGTAGGCGGATCCGGGACCGAGGAGGGTCACGGCCTCGAGAAGGGAGTAGGCTTTTGTCATGCCGCTTTCGGACGAGACGTCGGCGATGGAGAGGGAAGGGACAAAGACGGATTTTGTGGACGCCGAGACGAAGATCCCGTTCAGGGCGAGGAGGAACCAGGAGAGCGTGGGGTTACGGATCATATCTGCTCTCAGCTCCGTCTGTCTTACCTACTGATAAGAAGCTTACAGGCGATGACCATAGAGCCTGAAGCGACCATGGCGAGTAGAGGAAGAATGATCATGAGTGGTCGTCTGCCTGAGCTGTCCGCCCATCGCTGGACGTAGGAGGTGGTCAAGAAGGCTGGGAGTCAGTTCCACCGTCTCGCGTTCTCAATCAGCACCTCGGTTGACTTACAGAATACCCCATCCAGAGTGGCCAGTCCAGCCATGACCGAAGCAGTCAACGCGCCGACATTATGACTGTCGCACCGTCCATCGCCAGGCGAAGGCTGGTGTTCCGCATGCCGGGAGGTATCGTAGATACACATCAAGTAGCGCTGGAGCTTTAGCCTCCTCACTACAAGCTCCTGATGGCAGACTCAAACGTACGACGACATAGAGAGACGTAGCGGCCGTAACGCTCGGTCCTATCGTGCACAAGAACGCATAGGGTAACAGGCGAGTCACCGCAGATTTGGCCTGGGGCGAGGCGGCAGTAGTGGACGAGCCAGCCTCGCTACCTGCGTCCGAGCTGAGTCGTCTGGATGCCATGTCTGTGGCTGTATGAGCGTGAGTGACCGCCGGGTGAGATGGAGAGATAAGATAGAGGGCAAAGTTTGGGTGGGACTAGAGCGATCATTTGCATCGTCATCGCTCGCTGGACATTTCGGCAGTCCGTGCGTCCATCTCATCCCTTCTGCCCTTTTTCGGAGCTTCCAACGTCTCTACCTTCCTTAACGTCGAGCCCAGAGCAATAGTCCATCGCTCAAGAAGGCAGCCATGCCCCCAACGGGCCCTAGAGGCGGTATATTCGCCCCACCTTTCGGCAAGATATACCTCGATCCCTCCTTACCGTCCCACACCGACCTTCTCGCCCTCCTCCGAAAGAACGGTGCCCAGCTGGTCGACACCCCCTCTGACACTTCCTGCCGAATCATTATTCTCCACCCGTCATCTACTGCCAGCTTTGACGCGTACTGTCATCCGGTATGGCTCACTATGGCCGCGAGGTTTCGGTATCTGCGGAAAATACGGGCGGGGGGCGTGGAGGAGTGGAAAGTACGGACGATCGTCTCAGAGGAGTGGGTTGGGAAGTGTGTGGATGCGAACAAGGTCCTGGGAGAGGAAGAGGGATGGGGAGGGTGTAGGAAAGGAGGGTGAGTCGGCTTCCGAGAGAGGGGGACGGAGGCTGATGGTAGACCGCCGATCAGACCTCAAGTCTCGCCGACGGTCCCCGTACCTCGGACCTTCGCTCCTGTCGCTTCCGAAGCTACACCAGCTACTCACCTTCTATCAGCATCAGCGAACACAATCTCATCCTCGACTCAGATGATGGGAGCGGACCCAGAGAACAATGCGTCAGGCTCGTCCCGCTCGACCTCGCTCGCGCCTTCGGGGCGAGGCGAGCCTACCCCTCCCCCGCCTCCTCCCCAGCCAAGGAGCATCGTCCTCGCACCTAAAGCCCCCGCTCTCAACACGTTCAGTAATGACTGGCAACATGAGCGATCCCCGCCGGTCATCCTCGAAGGGTTCAAGATCTTTCTCGATAAGGGACGGTATGGGCGGAAACAGACCATGGCTTCCATCGGGGTGAGTCCCGCTTATCTTCTTCGCTCCGGATAGTCCTGGTGGTCAGATAGAAGCTGACAATATAGAAAAGCAAAGGCTTGGTCGTGCCCACTATCGAAGAAGCGACCCACGCCCTCCTCTCGCCAGTCTTGCGCGCCGAAGCGCAGAACCGCGCCGACACAATCCGAAGAGCCGCAGCTCGGGGGACATGGTGTCTATGCTATGACTGGCTGGAGGAGAGCTGGACGGCGGGCAAGGTGCTGTCGGAGTGGAATTATGTGTATGAGGGCGGGGTGCCAAAGGGTGCAGCAGAAGCTAGAGCTTCCGAGGAGGAAAGCAAGGGCACACCAAAGCCAAAGGTGAGCGACACTGGTCCTTTTGCTGACGATAGGCTTTGGTAGCTGCGGCAAAGCACACAGTCCCGGCTGCAACTCCGGCGTCCCAAGGGTCCTCCGGTCCCGTCAAGGAGAATGCAAAGCGCAAGATGCCAAATGAGCAGCTTTGCCAGATCTTTCGAAACGCCCAAGCCTTCTCGTTGAAGGATGGCGAGAACAAGAAGACTATGATCCAGAAGCTCGTCGCCGATGTGAGTTCATCTTTTTCTACGAGTCGCCGTCAGGTCAGGTCAGGTCAGGTCAGGTCAGGTCAGCACTGAAGCTGCAGCATCCGGAGTACACCGAACACACCTTTCTCTACCTCTATTCAAGCTGGAAAAACAGCACGCATCGCTTCTCCCCTTACGCCAAGGACGTCGAGTACAAGAAGCATACCGCCCTATTCGCCCCATTACTTGCTCTTGTACGGACCGGCGTTTCCCTCGGCGATATCGCTACTCGACTCGCATCCGATCATCCGGCTTACGGATTCTCGGCCCAGGCGTGGGAAGTCCATCTCGGAAACTACCTGCGTGACCTCGAACCTCACCATTGGACCAACACGAGTCACAACCGGCGCATGGAACTGGTGACGATCTTCAAAAGAGATCATGATCGCTCGGAATTGAAGTACGTGGATGTCATTGCGGATGTAAGCAAAAAAGTGGGTCTTAGGTGCTGGTTTGGTAGGGCGGGGCTGATGGACAGACTGGGGAATCGCGCCCATATGTCGACAAGATTTATAGGCTGTGGCGTCTCGGTCAATTGAAGGATGTCCCGGATGACGCACAGCCGTCGGCGATGGTGAGGTCCGAAGGCGTTACGGAGGCCGGCGCTGAGGCTGGTGTGGATGGGGAAGGGGACGGGAACACACCGGGCTTGACGGCTGATCGGGCTTCATCGTCAAGTTCGGTCAAGCGGAAGGCAGTGGGCAGCTCGGGGAATGGGAGATCAAGGACAAAGCGGGCAAGAGAGGACGAGGAGGACGAGATGATGCTGGATATAGAGCTGGAGGTGGGGCCGGACGAACCTATTACGAGGGCGGCGGCGAGGAGGGAGAAGATGGCGGCGGAAGTCACGGATTTGTGCTTTAGCTCGGGGGAGGACGATTATGAGATATAGGATAGGAGAAGAGAGACCTGGCGATAGGTGATGTATGCAGAGGCGCTGTGCGTGGCTAATATGACAGGGCGCTGGCAGCCCATCATGCATAATACAAGTGCTCGCAGCCAGCTAGAAATCCTTGGGTCTCCCGCCAGCGCCAAGCGAAATGCGCTTTGCGACGCTCACCTGACCTGATTATCAGCATCGATCTCGACCCAAAATCGACCAACTTGCGTAGTCCGCGCCGAAAGGCAGGTTGGGGCGCACTCCCACAGTATCGTGAACAGACACTCGAAAGATGGTATCGCCGGGCGTCTGGTGACGACTCTGGTCTGCGTTCGCGGAAAAGATGACCCCTCGACCGTCGCACGCCCCCGGCTTCCCGTCCCGGTTGCAAAACTCGCAAGAGTTGACCAGCATCATCGGCGGGTCGAGCGAGATAGCGGTCATCTCGTAGATTGGCGCCATAGCGACGTTCGCCCGGTGACAGGGGACGCCCTTCTTACTGATACATCAGCTGGTACTCCTAGTCGCAGAGCTGTCTACTCGCCACAGCGCGTGCGGCGGAGAGGCGTAGTAGTCTCCCTTACCTGCTGCTCCCGGATCGACCGCAGCTCTATTCGCCGCCGACACCACCGAGCTACGGAGCCACCAGGACGTCCAGACCCCATAACCGGGCGTTCTGATGTGCTTTCAGCACCGTGGACCAGTCCGCGGCGAGGTCGCCCATGTCTCCTTGTCGACAGGCAGGTCAGCGGTGGACAGAGAGACATCGAGAATTCGCCCATACTTTTGGGCGAGGGATGGTTCGACTTGGGGGACACTACGAGTCAGCTTGGTCCAGAAATCCCAGTCGCAGTGGTGCAGTGTTGGCTCACGTAGTACGATCGACGTCGATGAGTGGAGGCGGGGCATTTCGTTGCGCAGGTCCTCGGCTGGACCACGGCGGCTCTTCTTCAAGTACGCGGGCTTGGGATGCAGTATCTTGGAAAATGGTAGGACCGGCGCACAGCCCTCTCTGGGCTTGATAGCTCCGCCCCATCCCCCCTCTCTGGTCCCACCCATGTCACCTTGGCGACAGCCGGGGCAGCGGAGATTGGCAGTGGTGGGGGAGGCATCGTTGCCACCAAGAGGATTTGAAGCCCTAGCATATCAGCTGATGATTAGGGGATGACGCTGAGTCGCGAACTCACTGTTGCACCAGAAAGGCTCGCAACAGAGCTCGTCTGGGGGAGCTGGGCGTCAGCATTGCCGCAGTGCTGCTTTTAACTGAGAATGAGCAACTTACAAGCTTTCTTTTTCCTCCCTCCAGGAGCCAGATACGCGTAGACCAAGGCCTCTCGAGTATATCAGTCCAGGATCCCGCGACTGGATTATGAAATGACTCACTTGCGATAACGAGCCAGTGGGCGGCGTCGACCACTAGTCCCCCTCCGAGCCCCGTCGTCGGCTTCGATGAGTGGAAGATGACATCTTCCGGATCGATACGGTACTCCGGGTGCTCGGGGTAGTGAGAGACCCAGTATCCACCCAGTGGTCCGGAGAGGGCGGGACCAGGAACCCCGGGATCGCCGACCATTCCAGCTCATACTCCGTCATTTGGGCTTTACGGGCGGCCTGTCTCTGCTCCCTCAACACCACATCAGCCAGGATCGCGTCCGCGATTTTAGCCCTCAGCTCTGGCGTCCAGTTTGCACCTGTATGTCAGTGTTATCCCTACCAAGCGATCACGGTGCGAAACGGAAACCCACGGGCATCAGCATTCAATATCTTGATGCGAGCTTTTTGCTCCGGCGAATATACAGAGCCTGATCCTCAGCCATATCCACAAACACGCTCGGAGGCCATGACAGTCGTGGGAATAGAATGGACTTGCGTGCCTTCTTCAGCTTTTTCAGCTGGGCCGCCCTCTTGTCGATGGATACACCGGCCATTCCCTTCCGAATCTGTAGAGGAGAAGGATGTATAGAGGTACGAGGAGGAGAGAGGGGAAGAAGCAAGGAGCAAGAAGGTTGAGGGAACCACAGAAGCAATATTCTGGTTCCGATGGAAGGGGCTTAGTAGCTCGGTCCCTGCGGCGGCCCGCCCATCTGAAGAGCTGCATCTGGAGTATAGTACCGACGCCCGCCCGGCTCAGAGGCAACACCCAGAGATGCTATCAGTCTGTCCGCAACAAAGGGAGTTAGGACAGTAAGCGGTCAGCAGTGTACACGGTCAAGGCAGCAGGTCAGTCGCCCGGGTTTGCGGACCGGGGCCAAGGTCGAAGGGCGGGTCTGACGGGACGGGCAGACGTTGCCCTTTGGCCGCAAAAAGGACGATCTGGCAGCTTCCGCAGCACAGGACAAGGGCTGTTCAGCTTACAGTACTGAACATGGTCGATACTTCGAGGAAGAGAGGTGAAGCTTGAAGCTTGAACGAGACTTGTTCCACATTCCTCAACCGGTTATCGCCTCACCCGACTCTACCTTTTTACCCGCTTTTCACCTTGCAATGACGCCCATCGCACGGCGATGCTCTGACGCCATGTTGCCTGTCCGCGCCCTTTCTGAAGCTGGCGCGGGGATATTCATCACCAAGACTGGCGAGCCTTTATCAATATATGTCGACCCCGCCCTAACATCCGCTTTGACCATTACGAACCTCATAAAGAAACACGGCGGCCTCGTCTGTCCTTCTCCCACCAATAGCCAGGTCCTCATCATCAGTCCTGTATCGACCGGTATCTTCGACGGGCACTGCCACCCGCTCTGGCTCCCTCTCTCCCAGCGGCTGAGACATCGGAGACGCGTACGCGCGGGCGGAAGGGAGAAGTGGAAGGAAGGGGTGATTGTTCAGGAAGAATGGGCTGGGGAGTGCGTGCGCAGGGGGAGGGTTCTAGGGGCGGAGGATGATTGGGGTGGGTACCAGAAGGGAGGGTGAGTCTAACATTGGGGATTGACCAGCTTTGATCGAGAAAGGCTATTCTGCTGCATGATGAGCGGTATAGATGGGACAGACAAGATGGGATATAGCTGAAATGGAGTGTGCTGATATCTCAGACCCCCGGTCACTTCCTCAGCTCCGACTACAACCTCAGCAATCCATCCAGCTGTCTTCGATCTCAGCCTGCTCCGAAAGCGTTCCGCCACTCTGCCGGGCGACCGTATTCTGGGATCCACATCATCTGCTGCCCCAACCGCAGAGATCGCCGAATCCCCTCCTGATCACAACACGTCCGTCTCATCATCGGGGACTCTAAGCGGTACTGCGTCCGACCCAAAGACAGCGCCGAAGCGTGCATTCTCGGTGATGACCAGCGGTACACCCGAAGCGGGACCAGTGAGTTTGCCGGGCAGGCAGCTCGGAGCCTACTAGCTGACCGGTTGCCAGTCTACTTCCCTCGCTGTTTCACCGCCCATGCCACAAGATGAAGTGTTCAAGAAGATACGGGTGCAAACTCCTCTGGTACTCGATGAGATGATGGGCCGCGCGCACCCACATGGCCTGAAGGACGGCCAGGACAGGATTACAGTGCATCGACTTTTGGGCGAGATGGTGAGTTCGCGATAGCCATATGAAATACCGGACAGGATGGTGCTGACATATAGTACCCGTATAGTAAGAAGACATGGGCAAAACTCTATAGGTCCTGGCGCATGCAGGACGGTCGGTTCGCCCAAGGTCGCCTACCAGATGGTGATTACATGAAGCATATCGACATCCTCGACCCTCTGCTGCCGTTCATTCGCCAAGGCGTCTCGGTAGACGATCTCGCCACTGGGTTGGCCATCGACTCGCCTTCGACGACGCAGTCAGGGTGGCAGGTTAGAATCCGCGCTTGGTTACGTACCTTACCGCCTAATGACCCGGTATTGCAGTCGGAAGTGCGGAAGCGCGCGGCGGACAAACGGAGATTGGAGGTGTCCAAGATCTTCAAGGTGTCGTATGACGTGCCGGGTATCAACGCAGAGGTTGTCGGCGCAGAATTGTCTGACACTGTACGTCATCATCCTCGGTCGAGAGTGTGGCTGATCGACAGTTTCCATACAGGCCTCAGGCTATCGCAGTATATTATCGCGAGTGGAGAATCCGAGCCCCTCGCTTCAGGTTCATACCCCACGAGTTCCAATCGACGATCCCCATTCGCCCTCCGCAAGACCCGACAGATTGGCTGGGCTCAGAGGATGCGGCAGACTCGACATCGCAGCGGAAGGCTAAGTCGTCAGCAGCTAGCAGCGGCAAAGCTCATCCCAGCCTAGTAAGGTCAATGAGCGCGGCGGGGTCGGAGATCGCGAGGGATGAGGGGACGGAGGTGGTGTATCTCGACTTTGGCTCTGAGGAGGATGAGAATGACTACTAGAGTCTCGAAGGAGTGTAGATTCCGGGTCTTAGGTAGCGGGCAGCGTCTGATATGAGTCTTGACTGCCGTCTTCTGTAAAAACTTTTGCCCAACTCCACATGCATTCCCCGTTGACGGTGAATTACGTCACCCTCAAAGCCCCTCCCTCTAGAGGCGGTGATGGTCAGCGTGGATTGGATTGCGAGATGTGCGGAGGCCGGAAGACTATTGGGAGAGGAAGATGGCTGGGCAGGGTGTAGAAAGGGAGGGTGAGCGAGATGAAGCCTCATGATTGCTTGGACCGGTCTGACATCCCAGTGCTCCTGTCACGTTAGCCCAGGTCGAGCGGACGACATCCACCCCTCAGCCCTCGAACATCAATCCAGCAAGCGAACAGACTGCTCCTACGGCTCCTCTCCAACCGGAACCTACTGCACGGACTCGTGCCATTTTCTCGCCCTCGTCCTCGGACGTGGCTCCTCTTTCACTTTCCCCGAGTGGGGATCTCGGCCTATCGGCGTCACTCCAATCTGCCAGAGAAGCGCGCCTGCGACGGTCAGAGGAGACCAGACTCTTGGTATTGAGGATATTCAAGCGGGATTTTGATCTGCCAGGGATCTCGGGTGGGACGGTCGGGGCAGCTGTGGCGAAAGAGGTATGTCCAGGTACCGCTTAAGCTGATAGATAGACGGGCCTCCTGCCGCAAAGCATCGGAGTCTGGTACTTGAAGTGGAAGAAGCGGGATGAGAGCTACAAGAATGTTCCAGAGGAGTTCCAGCCGAGCAGGAAGAAGAAGGGCGGAGGTGTGAAGGGGCACACTCCACCACGAGCATCGTATCAAAGCGTCACACGGGTAGCCGTCCCCGCTAAGCGCAAGGCCCCTATGCTGGAGAAGGACACCACTCGCCAGGTAAATTGTCGTGCTCATTTGTCGCAGCATTCGCTGACTCTCTCAGGTCCGGGAGGCTCCCACTCCTCCCACTGCAAATATACAGCCCCGCAAACCATCATATGAACCGGGAGAAGAAGACGCCCGAGGAGCTACATGAGCTCATGCGCCGAGCTCATCCCCTTGCTCTCAAGGATGACGCAGGCGCAGAGGATGCGCTCCGCTGGCTTCACAAGGAGGTGAGTCGAGACTCGTTCAGCGCTGACCGCAGTGTGCTGAATACAGCAAACAATCTTGGCCTAAGATGTATCGAGAGTGGCGTCGTGGAGAAGGTCGCTTTGCCCAGCTCGATTTTGATACCTACCATACCAAGCACTCGGCCATTTTCGACCCACTTTTACCTCGTATCCGACAGGGCGAATCCGTCGACCGGCTGGCCGCTGAACTCTCAAAAGGCATGTCGACTGCTGTCTGGACAACCCGACTGACCGACTGGCTACGTACCCTCCCGCCGAATGTCCCACTTCCCCAACAAGACCTGTCGAAGCAAGAGGCAAACAAGAGAAGGCTGGCAATGGCAAAGCTGTTCAAGCAGGGTTACGACGTACCTAATCTCAAGCTGGCGAATGTCGGAGAGGAGCTGGCGCAAACAGTAAGCCAGGGTGCGGGCTAGGCTGATACAATCACAGTGCGAGTACGGCGCTACGACCGTCTCTTCCTATTATAGTCTCTGGCGGGCTCGACATCCACGATTCGCCTTCCTTGATGAACAGTTCCAACCCACACTGGCCGTCTACCCCCCTCCAGCGCCGGCACGCCAACCGGCTGCACTCTCTTCCCGGGAGGCGCCCAGCGCCATGTCGACTGGTCAGGCTTCGAGGAAACGACGAAAGACAACGGGCGTCGCGCAGCTATCGGGCGGAGACAGGCATGAGGTCGTGCGATCTACGTTGTTGGGGATGGAAGAGGAGGAGGAGGATGTTTCGGAGAAGTGCCTCAGCTCGGACGGGAGCGCGTATGGGAGTGTTTACGAGTGCTAGGGATGGAGCTGGATATGTTAAGGTGGACCGGGATCTTGGCTGGATGTCATACATATCTACCAACTAGGTTGCTACCACGAAGCTAAGCGCTTGGGCTTGTCCATCTTGGACCGGATCGCCGACCTCGGGCATCGGGCCGCGACGAACCTGCTCCGCATTCCTCAAGTTTGCCTCTCGCCTTCTTCAGATTCCATCAACCAACGTTAACAGTCTTGATTCCCGGCGAGACTGTGGCGCCATGGCGTCCAGCCGTCAGGTGCCTCGTACTGCTGCAAAACTCTTTACCGGCCAGAACATATGGGTCGACCCAAGTCTGCCTTCCGCAACGACCATTACGAACCTGATCAGCCAACACGGCGGTCTCGTCTGCTCTTCCCTGGCTACCAGTCAAGTCCTCATTATCGATCCCACGTCGACAGTGGTGTTCGAAGAATACTGCCATCCGAAATGGCTCCCGCTGTCGAAGCGGCTGAGGCATAAGCGGCTCGTCCGGGGTGGGGCGGTCGAGCAATGGAAATTGAGAGTGATGGTGGGAGAAGAGTGGGTGGGGGAGTGTATTGCGGCAGGGAGGATGTTAGGTGATGATGATCAGTGGGGAGGCTATCGGAGGGGAGGGTGAGTGAACTCCTCTGAAGTCTGACCAGCATTACTGTGCTATAAGAGCGGGGAAAAGGAAGGAAGGGGTTGCTACAGCTTTGATCAAGGTCAGCGTGGACAAAGCTGACTGTGTAGGCCACCTACGGAAGAGGGTGATGATCCACCGGCCCAGATACATGTCATCAACCACATCACCCAAGTCGATCCTCCAGCCGAGCAACTTCCCCAGTCCCCCTACCAAGCCCCTACTTCACCTCGGCAAGTCATCAGACCGGCCAAACGGCGCCCTTCTGGATCGTCGCAAGCAGGTATGGCATCGCCGAGCCACTCTATCCCAGCAACGACCTTCTCGGGCCTTCCGAGACCGGCCAAAAGAAAGCAGCCCTCCACTCCGGACCGCGACGAATCGTCGACTCTTTCGTCGGCCACCCAAGCGCGCTATGGCCAATCATACGAGAATAAACTGGCTCTCGCCAAGATATTCAAGCGGGACTATGACACGCCATGGGAGTGGGCGTCATCGAGCATGGTAGCAAAGGAAGTCGCCAAGAAGGTGAGTTATAAAACAGCTAAGAGCTGATTCGAAAGACTGGCCAGCTTCCTAAGAGCGTGGAGAATAGGTTCGGCCAGTGGCGCTGTCGAAACGATCGCTTCAAGGACATCCCAGAAGAGTTCCAACCGAGCAGGATTGGCGACTCGGCATCCCGGCCCATCCCTCCGAGTCAAGGGCGATCCGGGTCTGTGGCGTCGGACTTCAGCTCTGCGCCATCTCTATGGAGCCCGGAGGAACGGGAAGCAAAGCGAGTTCGTGGCGATACCGACGTACGTCCTTTTATCCTGTCTCATATGGCGCTGATGTCCCAGCACGCTCCTCAATCGGCGACCGCGAAGAAGCGCCGTCCTCCCCAGCCCAACCCGGCGACAAAAACGGTGGAGGAGCTAGACGCGCTGTTCCGACAGGCGCACCCTCTCGCTCTTCGCGACGGATCCGATACGCTGTCTGCGTGTCGATGGCTCGAAAGTATGGTGAGTGGCCATTACAAACGGCGGAATTCGCAGCTGATCAAGAAGCATACGGGCTACTTACCCCACAGCCTTGCACCTTTATACAAGACATGGCGAGAGGGACAACGCCGCTTCACCTCCTTCAACTTCGATACCGAGTACAGACAGTATCTGTCTATACTTGAACGTTGTATCCCACTCGTCCGGAGAGGTGTTACGGTCGAAAGATTGTCGGCTCGGATGGCCGCGGCGCAAAATGATGGCCAAACGAGTGCGGCAGTTTGGGAGACGCGCCTAGGGAACTTTCTCCGCACGATCCCACCGAACGACGCCATGTCCTCACAAGAACGGGCCAGACAGGAGGCGGATATTGTCAGGACTGCGGTGGCGAAAGTGTTCAAGAGGGACTATGATGTCCAGGGATTGACCCCGGCGGAAGTGGGACGTGATATGGCAGCCAAGGTAAGTCCTGATATGAGCGCAATCTGACAATAGCTACCCGAATACTCGGCAGGCTCCATAGAAGGCTACTATCGAAAGTGGGCCCGCCGAGACTTCACATTCTCCCGCATACCCGATGAACTGCAGCCAGTTCGCGCGAATCAGTCGCCCTCTTCGGTCATCAGGGGCAATCTCACTCCCTCCAAGCGGGAAGAATTAGACGGCGGTCAGAGACCACACGAGACACAGCGGTCTATTCGATACCAAGCCGGAAAATTCGTTTCCAGAGGCGGGGTGGTTTCGCCGGCCGGGAAGGTGAAGGGGCGAGAGCCATCGGTGGACGAGGGGCTCGTCTTCAGCTCGGGAGAGGAAGATTTTTAGGCGATCATGTGTGTATCTGAGCATATAGAGAGACAGAAACTTGTCAATGATCTGAGCAGGTAGGGGCTTCATATACGAATGCTGCATCTTAGTTCCAGTATATACCGCTCGAAGACTTCGAAAGCCAACTCCGCATTCCTCAACGGGGCATCTCGCGCGTGTGCTCGTAAGATGTCTCCGCCTCATCTATGAGAACATCCTTATCGCTCGACGCTGGCTGCAGTCAGACAAGTGGCCTGACCGCACGCTCCAGCGGCGAATCTGATCTGCTTTACAAACTCAGGGGGCAGCCCGGTCTCGCTATGGGTCGACCCTGCCCTTCCCGCTCCCGACACCATCACCCGACTTATTCGCTCCAATGGCGGTATTGTCCCGCCCACCATCACCGATGACTCCGTCCTCGTGCTGAGCCCTACATCTACCGCTTTGTTTGACGAGTATTGCCACCCCATGTGGCTCCCTCTCTCTCGGCGACTTCGACACCAACGACTGGTCCGGGCCGGCGCGGTGGGGGAACGACAAAGCCGGGTGATGGTGTCTGAGGACTGGGTCATGAAGTGTGTGGTGGCTCAGAGAATGTTGGGGGAGGAGTATATGTGGGGTGGATGTAGAAAGGGAGGGTGAGTGCTGAGCGTGGAAAGGGCTGATCCGAGATCGCCTACGGACTTGTCCTCCATCAAGCCTCATCCTGGAAATCCTCCCGGTCAGGGGGCCATCTCGACGGATCATGAGGATACTCGTCGGATCGCTCACATCTCACTCCGCGCTCGTACTGCATCTACCTCTCCCATCACCCATCGGCAGTCGACTACAGCTCCAGAAGGGAACGCTCTGCCCAACTCTGCGTCGGCGTCGGTCCCATTCGTCTCATCCACCCGCTGCCCATGCATCGAGATTCCTCTGGGTAGTCCGTCCCCATCGTCTGCTCCTCACGGTCTCAAACCTTCCGCTGGAGAGTTGCCATCCAGCTCATCAACACGGCTGAAGCGGCACAGCGGATCCCCTTCACTCCCATCAATCCCATCCTCTCCGACACAGCGGTCAATGTCATATATGCCTCAAACGGGCGGCTCTCGCTCTCCGACGGCGACGTCAACAGAAGGGCGGAGTGCAGCTGGCGACTGTACCCCGTTATCCCCCGCTGTCTCCAGCCTTTCTCAACATGTGCTTGTACCGATGGGAGAAAAGGAGCAGAAGGCGTCAGGGATATGCAGACAGGAGAAGCGAAGGATCGTGGCGGAGATCTTTCGGAAAGATTACAACGCACACGGCTACAAGTGCATGTCAGTCGCGAGGGTCGTAGCGGAGATCGTGAGTGCGAGCCAGAGCGAGCTGAGAGAAGACCGGCTATCCCTGCAAAAGTACGTCGGCTTGGTACGGTATGTGGGTGAAGAATCATCCCAATTTCGAGTTCCTCCCAGATGAACTTCGATTCACTGGGAGCGATCGCCTCCGTATCGAAGCTCCTTCGAAGCGCCAGGTACTCAGGGACTTCAACGAGGCTGAGCGCCTACGTCATCCGCCTGTACCCAGGATGGCGTTCACCGATGGCGACGCGAGGGCCATGGCGGATTACATCAGTCGGGTACCGGCAGATTCTGCCCGTCGGCGCGCTTACTGGACAGACTTCGCACACGACGTGAGTGCAGGCCGATGTAGCGGCAAGGACTGATCGTAGCATCCATCACGGTCCGGACCCGCATGGGAGATCTTGTATAGGCGGCATGTAACGAGGATCGAGGAAGAGGTGGCGAGGGGCCGTGGGAGGATAACTGCCAAGAGTTTAAGCGGGTGATGGGCGAAAATGGCTAGCTGTATCGAGGAGCAGTGCAGTGATCGTGGATCAGGTGGCTGATACGATTATGGACGATGATTGGGAAAGACCGGGAGACAGGTATGTTCTGTATTGGCCCGGCTGAAAGGTCCGAAGTCGAGACGCAAGACGCCAACTATCGACCGAAGACATTGACGGCATCCTGCGTAGCGCGCATTTGCTTGGGCACGCGAGCGGGAAGGACGGATTCCAGGCTATCAGGGTGGTGCCCAAGTGGCTAGTTGCGAATGTGAGTTAGGGTTTGATCGGGCTGATGACAGTATCCCCAGTATTCACTCTCAACGTGGAAGCTGCAGTATGTGGAGTGGCGATCGTACTCGGGTCGATACAGGGTCAAGACCGAAGAGCCTGCTCTAGTCGTCCACACCGATCTGTTCCCACCCTACCTCCCCCTCGTCAAGCAAGGCGTCACGCTCGACCAGATCGCCTCGCAGCTCTTATCGGATCATGCTACACTCGGTCACTCCCAGTCCCTCTGGGGCTTTTGGTTTGGCAATTGGCTCAGAGCGAGCGACTATGAAGCCACCGCTGTAGCGCAAGCCAACGAAGCCGAGACGATGCGAGCGCAGAACAAGCCGCACCGCCCCAGACTCGAGCTCGCCCAGGCGTTCAAGAAGAACTTTGACGGACCGGGATTCATCGGTCCCGTAGTGGCCAAGGCGCTAGCAGAGAAGGTACGTCATTGAGTGATCTTGCTGATGCAGAGATGGGATATGGTCTCGAAAGTATGGCGGGGCTATATATTCAATGGCGGATTCGCCAAGGCAAATTCAGCTCTCTCCCGGAAGAGGTCCAATATTCTGGGCCGGTCATCGATGGAACGGTCAGGATCCGGAAGCAAGCTGCGAGAAAATCGGTGATCGATCCCCACGCGCCTGCGGAGAAAGGGAGGGTAGAGCGGTCTCGCATTGCCAGCGGGTCTGGACGTGGAGCGAAGCGGAGGAGGATGTCGACGTCTGAGGCGGCGGCTGGTTCCGCCTCTGATTCGTCGTCACCTGGGGCTGTATCGGGAAGGTATAGGGAGGACACGGAGGATTCGGTCGACGCGGTGGACGGTCTTGCGTTGGGGAATGATGATAGTGATGAAGATTGGAGGGCGTAGTAAATTGTTGGCTACTGTGTTAGTGTTATCGCATTCTGGGTGCTCGTCATGTTGGTGAATCAGTACTGTGTAATGTCAATGGGTAACTCGAATCGGGATCTCAACCGCGAACTGTTTTCAACATCATCCACATTCAGATCCTGAGCTGCTCCTGCTGACGAGCCCCTCCAACCCTATGTCCCTCCGTCACCGCCCCATTCATCATCTCTGGTCCGCCTTGCCGGCGTCGTCTGAGCTGGGGAGGGGTGAGGTGGCGCTCGCTCGGCGTGGGCGCGAGCAGGACGAGGTGTGATGGCCAGACCCGATGAGGAGCTGTCAAATGCGCAGCCATGTGATCGACTCTGGCTTCTCCAATGGAGTGTGGCTAATTAATCAGCTTCGTCGCCAGGAGCGCCTGGAGACTCACTATGCACAATCTGACGTCTCCTGTGACTACTCGCCTCCATCCTACTCAGATGGTGAAGAGAGCAGCGGATATTGCCATCTCGCCATATCTTGTCGATCAGCCAATTCCTCCACTTGGAAGCAGCGGTACTTACTATGGACTTTGATGCGGGTACATTCTCCTCGCTACATCTGGTCGATCAGCCGTATTCTTCAGCTACAAGCTGCATCGACTCACTATACACAATCTGACGTCTATCTCGACGCCTCCCTCCATTCCTACTATCTCCTTCCCCTCCTTCCCCGATCTGGCACCTCCTCATCCACCACCCCCAGCGCCGTCCCATCCCATGGCGTCCTGGACCTGCTCCGATCCCCGCCCAGATTGAGATTAAGCGAGTTACTCGGGCTATTCGGCGAGATGGCGAGGTGCGGTGTAGGCTGGTGTGGCCGAGAATTAGAGGATGAGCGGAAAGAGTTGGTAGGGGAAGGGGGATTAGGTCTCGCGGAAGGGGTTGGGAGTTGTCGGCCTTTCGACCTAGACCGGGACGTACGGTTGGCGGACGGTGTACGAGCGGCGAGTTCTCCCGCCTCGCGTGCTTCGCGGGTGAAGGGTAGACCGGCGACTTGGGGTGATCGTCCCCGGAGATGGAGATGGTCCAGCCCCATATCGTCCGGATCGAGATACGCCCTGGTAGTGCTCTTCGAGCGCGACCGGATCGTCGCTCTCGACTCGTCCCTTCCTCCTCTCGATGTGCTCGCGTCTCTTCCACCCCGACTCCCATCCCTCGGCCGACTAGTGAGCGGGTCCGCCCACTCATCCACCCTTCTCCTGCTCCGACTCCTGCTCTTGCTCCGCTGCTTGACCTCCTTCCATCCCTTGACCGCATCGCTGTTCCGCACCCTATCCACCGTCCACCTGGTGTGCCGATTCCCATCCAGACACCCCTGTAGGACCTCGACCCATTCCTTCCCGAGATGGTCTGGGACTTCCCACCGCCCGAGCAGAATCTTCTGTTGGAGCCGCGGATCGAACGCGTCGACAAAGGGGAGCTTGCCAGTAAGGAGGGCGTAAAGGACGACGCCGAGCGCCCAGATGTCTTGCGCGAGACATGGAGGTGTCGGGGGATGGGAGAGGAGCTCGGGCGGGGCGTAAGGGAGGGAAGCAGAAGGAAAGTGAGGGGGAAGACCGATGGGTTCGAGGTGGGTCGGGACGGACGCGCGGGGTCGGCGCACAGGAGGAGGGACCGTCGTATTGGTGATGATCTGCGCCATGTAAAAATCACACACCACCACCCTCCCGTCGTGATCCACCAAAAAGTTGTCCAGCTTCAAATCCCCATGGAGCATCCCCCCGCTAAACCCCTCATACCCCTCGTGCATCGCCGCCACGGCGTCCACTACGCCCGGAAACCATTTCCGCGCCGTCCGGTCCGACCCTCCTTCCCTTCGCAGAACATCCAGAAGGTTCCCGCCGAGCATCGCGGGCGTGATGAGAAAGGTAGCATAGTCCGAGCGCTCCATCTCGAGTAGGGGGAGGAGGGAGGGATGGCGAGGGAGAGATTGGAGGATACGGATTTCTTCCTCGAACTTTTCGAGTGAGCCGGAGCGGTCTGACAGGTCGTCCCGCTTGACAATTTTGCAGGCGTACTGCTCGCCTCGGGCGTTGGTGGCTAGGCGGACGGTGGAGAAACCACCGCGACCGAGGACCTTGCCGAGGGTGTAGCCGAGGACGACCGAGCCTGACCCGTCTGGTGACGCCGCTGGGAGAGGTTTGGAGGATGAGGTTGAGGAGAAGCGGGAGAGGAAGGCTGACGCTGGTGAGAAGGCCGAGGAGGTGGACGAGAGGGAGGGAGAGGGGGGTTCCGGACCGGTAATGGCGACAGGGGCCGAGGGGGAAGAGACGACCCGGTGATGGCTGAAGAGCGCATGGCGCGAAGCGAGAGGAGGATCAGGCGACAGTGTCGCACCCGCTGCTGTAAAAGACAACCCCTCTATCCCTCGGCTAGACGGCGGTGCCCTGCCTGGGATACGCATGGACGCTGCGCGCCGGACCCCTGCGTCGCTCCCCTCCGCCTCGGCGTCGGACGTCTCTGCCGAGCCGGACCCATCGTATGATTTCGAGCGTTCGTATGTGTGTAGTCTTGAGAAGAAGGATGGCTGTGCAGTGTTTGCGAGCATCTGATGGGTAGGTGCAATGTCAACAGCTGCAGAGGGAAGCTGGTCGAGTTTGGGTAACGGCCCCGGTGGGGTCTCCAACCGGCAGGAATATTACTTTATTTTATTTTCTCCCGTTGGTTTGGCAGATCTGCCCGGTAAACTCCGCCTCTCCCCTTGGCTGCGCCAACACGACCCTCTCTTTTGCTATTGTCGAGCATAACCCTATCCTCACCACCACCCACCGACATCAGCAACAATGTCGAAGTCAAAGAACCACACCAACCACAACCAGAACAAGAAGGGTGTGTTTTAGGAATTCCATCGAAGGGGATATGGCGGGGAAGAGATCAGGGGGAAATGCTGATCCTGCAGCGCACAGGAACGGGATCAAGAAGGTCGCCTCGGCCCGTCACCCGTCGATGAAGGGTGTTGACCCCAAGGTGAGCTATTGTCGGGTGGATGGAGGCGGATTGCAGGGACGAACTTTGAAAAGGACAAAGCAAATTTGGATGGAGGGGGAATTGCTGCTGGAATTTCCGCGGCGACCGGATGCGGGATGAACAGGATGGACTGTGGGAAGCAAAGGGCCAGTGGCGACTGAGCCTTTTTTAGGGCGACTGGATGCGGCAGGATGATCAGGATGGACTATCGGGAACGGAGGGGGAGTCGCATCTGGCGACTGGATGCCGGTGGATCTGCAGGATGGACTGAGGGGAACGGAGAGGAAAGAAGAACGGAGGGGGCGAGGTGACGGAGGTTGTTGGGGAACCAGTCGGGAATTGATATCGGCCATATCTGAATCAGGTCTAAGCTGACCCTAAGTTCCGCCGAAACGCCCGCTTCGCCGCCAACGGTACCCAAAAGGCAATCCGGGAAGCACGCGCATCAGAGAGCTCTTAGGGAGACGGAGAAGGGAGAGGGATCGGTAGACTTGCGCATGGATTTGGCGTAGCAGACTCCCGATGGGATTGATCAGGTCGTAGGACGGGGTCGTCGAGGGTCGTGTCAGGGAGAATCGGAGATGAAACTGATGCGTTCTGACTGAGTGTTGCAGGCGATCTGATGATTCCGGCCCAAATGCTACCCTCATAAACTAGGATGTCGGCGAGTCGCGTTACACACCTACTACTGCTACTACTCCTGATACTACTTGAGGCGCTGCCCAATCCTCTCCAAGCATTTCATCTCCTCCTCGTAGACACCTAGTGCCGCGTGAAAGACCCCTCTGTCGAGCGTGACGGCGAGCGTGAGGGCGCCGTGGCTGGGCACAGGGCAGGCCCATGTGCGTTTCGCAGCTTTCAACCCGTCCCAGAGGTCGAGAAGGAAGTCGTGGCCGAAGCTGCCGGTAGTGGACGCCTCGCCGAGGGGTTTTGCGAAGCGGTCTGCCCAGCGCTTTTGTGACTCCGGCATCTCGGCAAGGCCGGCAGACAGGCGCTGCCCAAACAGCGTCCTCCGCTCTGCCGACACGTCCTTGATGCGATCCGGGAGTGCCTCTTCCATGTCTGCTGACACTCTGGCTCCGTCCCTGACGAGTGCACTGATCGTCCAAGCGACCCAGGGGCGAGACAGCAATACCGCGTCCGCCGAAGCGATGAGGTGCTCGATGAGGACTGGGACCATGTACGCGTCCCCGATGGTGTACAAGTCAATGATGAGGTCGAGATCGCTGGTGGTGAAATCCGCGATCAAGGTGGCGCGTTCCTCCGAGCCTTTCAGCCTATAGTTCAGAGCTGGTGCGGATTTCTGGGCGAGTTCGAGAGACTGTAGGTAGTGGTAGGTGTATCGCATGCCGGACGATGTCGCCGATGGTAGCGATAAGCGCAAGATGTCCGTGCCATCAGAAGGAGGGGTAAGGCCCAGGTCCGGCAAGTCTGCGATGAATTGCGAGTATTCCGCCAGCAGAGAGTGAGGGAGTCGGAGGATGGGACCGTCAGAGGTCTCGATCTCGATAGGGTGTGGCTGAGAGAGGGTGGTAGGCTGGATGAGATCAGCTAAGAGTCCTTACTCTACAGTGCAATTGGGTAAGAACGAGGGCTGCTTAATGTTTGCGGTATGAAAGAGCTGCTCACTGATTCGACTTGACTCTGGTGCTCCTTGTTCCTCGTATCAATCCCCTTTGATCTCTTCCGTCTTGAACGCGGCGGTGCTGCCCCCGGTATCTGCCATACCGTCAGCGTCCGCTCAGGAGTGTCACTAGATCCGACCACTCACAAGCCGGTAAGGCTGGTGATTGCCACTCGAGCCGCTGGGCTTTGCCACCGGGTCCGGGATTGGGTCGTGAGTGATAGCTATCGGCATATCAGCGATGTGCTGCAGGGAAAGAGCTGAAAGGACCCACTTCGACTATTACTTTTATCACTGCCGAGCGAAAAATCCGGACCAAAGTGCTCATGTCCGCAGCCGACACGGAGAGTCTTGAGCAGGCGCGTGATGTCGGGGCCTGGGATGTCGTTCATTGTTTGATGATGAATTCAGCGAAGCTTTACGTGTGAAGGCCACAACGAAGTAGATGAGAGTTTTCGCTTCTAGTCGAGCAACACACACGATCTTGCGCTCGTCCCGCCCGCCCCTGTCGACCGTCGTCAAGCCACGCGTTTCAAGCCGTGTTTCAGAGCCACGTGTGATGCGGCTTGAGGAATGCGGAGCAAGAGGACGACGGCCATGGATCTGCGCGCAGTGACGGGGATACTCGCTACAGGGCTCACACAGGTCTACGGGCTAGCTACATCTACAGCCTCGCCTAGCAAGTTCTACGAAACTCCCCTATACTAAGCTATAACCCCCCTCTCCGCTTCTCTCCGCTTTTCCAGCTTCTCCCTCACCCTCGCAAACGCTCTCCAATACCTATCCCACTCAGGCCCCCTCTCTCCCGCATGTCCCATCGCCCGCTCAAAGCATTCTCCCGCCACTTCCAGCTCCGCCCCTTCCTTTGCCTTTTCCAGCAGTACACCCCGCGTGAAGTTTGCCTCGGCCGCCAATGACTGTGCGTCCCTCGCCAGCAGTTTCGCCGATGGATGAAGAGGACTCGAGATGGGGTACGAGGGTAGGCGGGGGATGATACTCTCGGATAGAGTGGCAGCTGTGGTGGCTGATTCTGTCGCCGCCGCGGGGAGTTTACGCGCGTGCGAGACCGACGCAGAGTGGAGAGTGAGGAGGGCGGTCCTGTGGGATGTCCAGAGGTCGTGGAGAGCCGCAGGGGATGAGAGGGAGGACGAGGCGGGGGGGATGAGGGAGAGCGCGAGTTGTTGGACGCGGGCTGACTCGGCGTATTGGGAAGAAGTGGCGAGATTGGCTTCGGTCGAGATGAGGACATTGATGACGGCTCGCAGAACCGGAGGGGATAGACTAGGCGGGGTTGCGATAGGCACAGTAGTGACTGCTGGTGTGGTCTTGCCGAACCATCCCTTCTTCTCCACCTTCTGCTGAATTCCTGCAGCCGGCAGCTCTACACCCGCCCTCTGCAAGCCCGCCAACCACCATCCCTTCCCATCCCCTCCTGTCCTCTGCGCAAGATCCCCAATCTTCCCTGACAGCCGTACCGCCCGCGCCACATCCGTCCCCCTCAGACTGTCCAGCACATCCTGGTAGATGCCCTTGGCCTGGACGAGGCTCTGCTCCGTCGCCAACCTCTCCAGCACGCCCGCCTTGAGCAGCAGCAGATCCAGTGCCGTCTGATCCGCCTTGCCCTGTCCTCCGGGGAAGACAATGCCCCGCTTCTCCGCCTCCCCGATCGCCAGATCGACATACTCCTCCGCCAGCTCAAATCCTCTGTCCACCCGGTTCACTTCTACGCCGCTGCCTGTCCCACTTCGAGGACCAGGATGGATTGTCCGTCCGATACTGCCTGCTGGCCCGCCTGCTCCCCACTCTTGGCAGATCCATGCCCCGCGCAGCGCATGCCGTCCTTTCCAGCCTAGACGAGGGTCGGTCCCGCCTTTCTCTCGCCCAGTCCACGATAAGACCTCGCCAGACCATCCGTACTCGTCCTCTGAGGCACCAGAGGGGGTCGCCATGAGCCGATGCTCAATGTAGAAGTGGAGGCCCTCGAAACCGACCAGACCGGCGGCAGATATTCCGAGCGCCGAGTAGAGGAGTAAGCGGATGATGCGGGAGAGGTAGGATAGGGTGTAAAGGGTAGGTTCGGCGTAGTTCTCCCTGGGCATGTCAGGGGGCATGGGTGGGCGGGCGGATTGAAGGGAGGAAGCGAGGCGGCGAGAGGTCGGGATTGAGAGAACACCATTTTGGGGAAAATGCCGAGGTCGAGGGATCGTTCGCGCTAGCGCACTTCCCGATGGCGCCGATAGGGCTCTCAGCGTTAGACGATATGGCTGTCTGCTCATACTGCTGTGAGGTTGCTGGCTAGACGATGGTGGGCAAAGGAGAGATGAAATCGCTGCAAGAATTGAGGAATGTGAAGACCTCCACCTCATCTGCTTCCGTCACACCCAAAAAGTCGGCCGAGCACCATCCACCACCATCATCTACATCCTATCCCGCTATATACCCACCAACTTTACAACACACCTTCGCTATGTCTTCATTCTTCGGTGGAGGAGCCGCTTCCAGCGCAGGCGCATCTTCAGGTGCGCGAGACTCCATCGGGCCCGAAGAGCAGAGAGCTGACGGGCAGATATGAACGCTCGGAAAGAGCAGATGAAGCAGCAGATCCAGCAGGAAGTGAGCTGCTTATACGCCATGTGGGGCAAATCCCAAGCTGATATGTGCAGCTTGCTGTCGCAAATGCTCAGCAACTGATCACCAAGATCAACGAAAATGTAGGTCTTGCCGTCCGATCTGCTTTGGGCGGAAACCGTATTAATGGTCGTATCGCGGCTGGGCGACACGAACATCAGCTCAGCGGGCTGAGGGCGAACAGGAGGCAATTGGAAGCGAACATAGTGCTGACCTCTGTAGTGCTTCGAAAAATGCGTAAAATCACCATCAGCATCCCTCACATCATCAGAAGAGGTACGCTTCGCCTCGACGCCATGGACAGGTCGAGCTAAAACTGCAGCAATGCCTCGGAAGGTGTATGAACCTCTACATGTCGGCGTTTGACCAGGTCTCGCGGTCGTATGTCGCTCGAGTGAGCAAGGAGCGCGCTGGCGGAATGGGCGGAGGTCTATGAGGCGTGTGAACATTCGAGAAGGGAAGGGAAGATCCGACGCATTGTAGCTATCACATCACTCATCCTCGCTATCTCCTCATATACTGACTCTTGAAAGAGATTGATCTCATTATCTGAGTGAAAACATGATGGATAACAGAGTGACATTATTGGGCGGTTCAGCTCACGCGCCGCTTCTTGTGATCCCTTTCGGTGCGAGAAGTGAATGCTGAGTAGGATATCGAGCGGTCAGGCATCTACTACCAGCTTATCGGGGCCGCTTGCATGAGGCCGCAGTCGGGGAGAGTAACGAAGAAGGACAACCTAGCGAGCCCCGAAGCTAGAGGCTTCAGTCTGGCCCTAAGCTGATCGTCCGTGCTCCCTGCTCCGCCGCCCGTGCGACCTCCTCAGTCCTCCGTGCTTGATAGTATCCGCCGCCTCCACCCCTCCATCCACCACTGTATCGGCCTGTCGATACATTGCGCTCCGCAGCGGAAAGTGTCATGATGTGATTCCGTTGCGAGATCGTATCTCGGTGACGATCTGGACATAAGCGGAGCCGGACAGCTGCGGAATCCCTCGACTTACTGTTTTGTGCCAAGCACAGCATTCACCGAGCGGAAAGGCGATAGAGTCACCGACTGAAAGGTCAAGGAGCGGACGGCTGGGTGAACTGGCCGACATCCTCGGGAACGACATTGGGCGGAATACCACGGAGGCATATCCCAATAGCCACTTGCCATGCCGCTGGATCGGGACAGAGCGCGTACAACTATCATGAGCCCAAGCCTACATGGCGAAACTCACATTGGCAGCCATATGTACCGAGATGACCTCTACCGAGACGCCTCTCCGTATCGCGTCGACATGCTGTAGTATAAAGCCACGTTGACTCAAGAGAGGGTGATTCTCCTCCGGCGTGTCGAAGGGTGGTGCGCAGTTCAGCCAGTTGCGATACATTGCCAGACAGATTTCCACGCTGTACCCATTCAACTATACGTCAGTCCAGTCGTCAAGACCTACTCACATTCAAGTGCAAATACCGAGCGACGTCCATTTCTCCTTTGCCGTTCACCAAGCCCAGCGGGTGAGCAGTCCGAATCATGATGGCTAGTTGGCCGGACGCCTTCTTGTTGATCCACTGATTGTAGAATGATTTATACTTTTCCAAAGTATAAATACCGTGCTTTGAGATTAGCTCTGCCTTGACTTTGGACTCACTCCCTTCCACGCCTCTCGAAGAGCAATATCGAGCGTCATCCCCGGTCGAGCCGCCTGTTGCTGTACCAGCTCAAACAAGGCCTCACGCTCCGCTACTGTCATGTACGTCCGAGGTCCTGCTGGGCCCAGGTGCTGTGGAGGTGTGCCACCCTCATAGACATATTCCCTCTCCGGTAAGAGCCTGCCGGCGTTCCAGCTGTGCTCGATCCAGTCAAAGCTGACACACCACGTCCCATTTGAAGCGGCAGTAGCGACGAGTTGCTTTAGCTCGTCCAGCCTCGCCCCGGCCCGTGGTTCCAATAGAGCATGCGAGGCATGTTGGACCTTGGATACTTGTTGACCTCCGCTTTTCTGTATGTCAGCTGGGTTGTATGGGGTGCTTACGACGATGTTGCTGACTGTGTGTTTCCGCCCAGCTCGATTTCCAGTAACGTAGATGCTGTACCCGTTAAGGATACGCGGGACGGTCTTCTGGGCGCTCTGCCATTTGCTCGAGGTCTTGCCTTGAGCGCCCCCTATGCTCAGACTGCGACCTTCGGACGGGGCCACTGGCGTCGGCGTGTACGAGGGGTCGAGGCTGGCGGAAGCGGAGGGCGGGTGGGGAGGAATGGCTGAGGATTGCGCTTCTTGCGGGACCTTCGGTGCGGACGGATCTGTCGAGGCGACAGTGGGCCCTGATGGTACGGATGGGGGGATATTGCGATGAGCTGACGGGCCCAAGGGCGCCGATGGGACAGTCGAAGGTATCAGGGGGGTAGGGGCACGACTTGTGTCGGGAAGGCGATGCGGACCTGCAGGCGATCCCGTGTGGCTGCGCCCAGCGGCGAGTGAAGGTCTAGCGGGGGCTGACTTGACGGTGGAAAGAGAGAGAACCTTGAGCGCTTGGGAGGAGGGCTGAGCGGTCTGCTCGACGATTCGGGGTTCCGCAGCCGTGTCCTCGACATCTCGTTTCCGCTTAACCCCGTTACCCAGGACGGCAGCAGGAGGCGTACCAAAGGCCCTGGGCTGAGTCGGGGCAGGAGCTCCTATACGACACGGAGTGGGAGGTGCCAGCTGAGCCTGACCATTCTCTGCAGGTCGTGGCATGAAGGTAGTGGCAGCGGGCTTGTCGGCCGTCGCGGCAGGAGGTCTGCATTAAGCTTCATCCTCTGCTATAGACTCACCCTCCCTTTCTACACCCTCCCCAATCATCCTCTTCCCCCAAGACCCGTCCTGCCTCGACGCTCATCTTGACCCATTCCTCTGAGACCATGACCTTGCGCCGCAATCCCCCATCTACCGCCCCGGTTCTGACCAGCCGCTGATACCGAAGCCGCTGGCTCATGGTGAGCCACACGGGATTGCAGTACTCGTCGAATGCCTCCTTCGAAGTGGGATGTATGACGAGGATATTGACATCTGCAGCGATGTGCGAGTCGGAGATGCTGGCTCCGTGAGAGATGAGGAGGGGACGCAGGTCCGGAGAGGAGGGGAGGGTAGGGTCGAGCCATACTCGCAGCGGCTGACCTGACAGGGTGGTGAAGATGGTCTCGACCGCATCGCGCTGCATCAGGACCGCCAGACGAGGCGTTGATGGGTGTTTGGTTATAGGTACTCGATGCGAAAAGTGAAACTGAATGGAAATCTCAACTTTTGCTTTGACGGAGCTGCCCGATGAGCCCTTGGCTGTGGTCGACCCAGCTACAGAGATCCTGTGCCTGTGCGTTCTCGACCGCCCATCTGCATAGACTAGGCATATCTACAAGCAGCCCCCAAGAGAGAAAAGCTCCGATCCGCCACCTCGATCCCACCTAATCACTATCCAAAATCTCCACAATCTCCACATCCTCCATCTGCCTATCCCGCTTATCCTGCGCCGCAACAAACACGATCGACCCGTCCGAGTCCGCCGAGCCCGCTCTTGTCCGCTTTGCACCTGATCGCCGACCCGGTACATGCCCTCCCAGCTTGATGACGAGGTTGTTGATTCGGGCGCGGTACCGGCCAAAGTGCTCCGCGTATTGCGTGGCAGGTCTCGCAGGATTCTACATCAGCCCCATCAAGCCCAGACTCACCTCTTTTGCAAACTCCTCCCAATCCTCTTCGAAAGCTTCCGTCAACTTTGGCGCCCTCCTCGTAATATACACCGCCATCGTCGCCTCCTCGACGCCTGAAAAGTCATTCTTGGACTTCTTTGACACTCTGACCCGGGGCGAAGCTGCCTTGGCCCCGCGCTTGACGGGAAGAGGCGACGCTTCCCGCTCCGACTCCTCCTCGGGCGAGTCAGGCTCGCCGCCGGTGTATCGTAGTTCCTCGGGGAGATTGGCGAATTGTTCCTTGCCGTTCCGCCAGTGGTTGTACCAATTCGACAATGAGCCGATCGCAAAGCGGGTCTAGCATTAGCAAGATCGCATGGGAGACGTACCTGTGCCGAGAGCGCTTCCCCAACCTGACGAGCCGTGTACGCTGGCGTATCGAAATCTTCCCGGAATATCCGCGCGAGATCCGTCTTTTTCATTCGTGCTCGTTCTGTCCGCTTAGGCGGTATCGACCCCGAAGAGGTCGCTGGCTGAGCTGCTGCCTCGTCCGGCTCGGCAGTTTCGTACAGACCCCGTCTGAGCCAATTGCCAAATAGAACGTTCCACTCGGACGCAGTGTGATGGAATGTTGAATGCTGAGATTAGCTTTATCAGGGCAAAAACTCACCTCTTGAGCTAGTCGGTCCGAGACGCTGTCGAGCGATACACCTTGCCTCACCAGGGCTACATAAGGCGCAAAGACCCTTGTGTATGGTGCATAGTCGACATGGTCGTCGGTAGCTCTGAACCGCCCGCTAAACTTGCGCCAATCGTAATAGTTCTTGGTCCAGCTGCCTTCGGAGAGATCCTTGTACTATCTATCAGCCAGGCTTGGGCTCCACTTACGATGGATGCGAGATGCCGAGCGACGTCCACATAAGCCCGATCGGGAATCAGACTCATCGGGTGCGCATTACGGAAGATCTTGTCCATTTCGATGGTACCGGTCGTAGGTGCCGACAGTGCGGTCGTGGGTAGCGGTACGATTCGTTCGGTGACTGGCTGTTGAGGTGCGAGATTGGCAAACCGGCCTGCCCGATTTCGCCACTGCGTAAAGAACTGAGACCAGGTGCTCCATGTGTAGGTCCCGTGCTTCGCCATCAGCTCGTCCAGCAAGAAACTTACCTGTTCGAGAAGCTCGACTGCGATCTGAGAAGCTGTTTTGGAGCCGCTAAGATAGTCCCCGTGCGCCTCGGTAAAGATCGTATCCAGCTCCTCGTCCGATAGGCGTACGACCGACGCGCCAGCCCGCGGGGCACCCCCCTGATAGACGTAATTTCCTTCTGGCAATAATTGACCTGCATCCCAGCTCGACTCGAGCCACTCGAAAGCGACGCACCAGACCTGCTGAGCGGCAGCCTGTTTGATGTATTCTAGGCGGGCCGTCTCTTCTTCTGCCAACACGGGCGAGAGCAGAGCATGGGTCGCCTGGCTGATCTCGTGGACCCAAGTACCGCCGCTTTTCTACCGTCAGCCATGTCCGTGACTTGAACATACATGAATACTGCTGATGGTGTTCCTTCGTCCATTACGCCCACTGTCCACAAAGATCCGCTTTCCTGCGAGAATGACAGGCGGGTCTGCCTCGTTTTGCCACTCGCTGACGAGGGAGCTAAGGGGGGGATGATCCTTGGGCATGACGACGCTCCGATATTTGTTTCGCGCTCGCCGGGTCTGCACTGCCGTATCGGGGGTTTCGGACGCTGGTGCGGTGCGTGACAGCTGGGAGGAGGCTCTGCCTGGCCGCTGTGGAGTATCGGTGCGGCCGGGCGTGATCGGACTGGCAGCTGTAGTGATTGGTTGTTGCTGGGCATGGAGAATTTTGCCAGAAGCGGAGAGCTGTGCCAGTCCTTTTGAGATGGCGTTGATGCTGGGGACGTTGAGGGAGACCGAGCCGAGGGGTTGTGGCATGTCAGCGGGCAGAGGTGGAGGACTGGATCAGCAATGTCTACAGCTAAACTCACCCTCCCTTCCTGCAGCCAGCCCAATTGTCCTCCTCGCCCAGCAGCTTTCCAGCTTGGATGCAGCTCCTCGGCCAATTCTCCGCCAAGACCAGCTTCTCCTTCCATTCTTCCACTCCCTTGGATTTGAGCAGCCGCTGGTAGCGGTACTTTCCGCTCTGAGGTAGCCATGATGGGTGGCAGTACCTGTCGAATACGTCCAGGGAGGACGGATGGAGGATGAGAAGATGGGTGTTGTGGTCGGCAGAGTCGGTGGAGAGCTCGGCGCCGTACGCTTGGACGAGCGGGGCGAGCTCTGCAAAAGAGGGCAACCTCGGGTCCAGCCATAGCTTGAGTGGCTCTCCGCCAGCTGCTACGAAGAGGCTCCGCTGCTGGCTTGGCCCAGCTTGCATGATGTGGTGTGGACAACAGCTTGACTTGTGCGACGACAATAGAGTTTAGCCGGAAAGAGGGGACCATTTAAACCCACGCGGGGCCCAATTCGCGACTTGTCATCGTTCAGCGTGTCGCATCAGTGCCTCATTCCTTACTATATCCACCATGGCACCTAAAGAGTAAGCCCTACAGACAGACAGAGCTGACATACAGAGACTGGGAGAAATGTGTGTATCGCCGCGCCCGCAATGCTGACATTAGACGAGAAGAAACTCGACGAGAAGGAAGAGAAGATCGTCGCGCTTGACGAGTCGGACATTCAGATTCTCAAGACCTACGTGAGTAAGCGTATGGCATAGCTGACTCCAGGGGCAAGGACCATACTCGATATCCCTCAAGAAGATCGAAAATGAGCTCAAGGAGATCCAAAAGCGGGTTAATGAGAAGATGGGCGTGAGGGAGTCGGATACAGGGTTGGCTTCTGCCAACTTGTGGGATACGGCGGCGGATAAGCAGAGGCAAGGAGAGCACCCCCTCCAGGTGGCTAGGTGTCAGACCATCATCAAAGCTAGTAGGTCTATGTTTGAGCAGAGCTGATGATAGCCGATCCTGCGCTTGTTGGCCAATCAGCCAACCCGCAAGACGGTGCTGGCGCTGGCAACCCCGACGGCGACAAGTACGTCATTAGTATCAAGCAGGTGGCCAAGTTTGTCGTGGGTCTGGGAGATAGGGTATCGCCTACAGACATAGAGGAGGGGATGCGTGTAGGGTGAGTAAGGCTTTGAGCTGGCTGACATCAGGGTCGACCGGACAAACTACAAAATCATGATCCCCTTACCGCCCAAGATCGACCCTTCAGTTACAATGATGCAAGTCGAGGAACGCCCATCAGTCACCTATGCCGACGTCGGAGGATGCAAGGAGCAGATCGAAAAACTGAGGGAGGTTGTCGAGCTTCCGCTTCTGGAGGTGAGTTGCTACTCGGCCAAGCTGATGTAGCCCGAACGATTCGCCAACCTCGGTATCGAACCGCCAAAAGGTGTCCTCCTCTACGGTCCGCCCGGTACCGGAAAGACCCTCTGCGCCCGAGCCGTCGCCAACCGGACAGACAGTACCTTTATCCGCGTCATCGGATCCGAGCTCGTACAAAAGTATATCGGAGAAGGCGCTCGCATGGTCCGAGAACTGTTCGAAATGGCTCGCTCCAAAAAAGCCTGCATCATCTTTTTCGACGAAGTCGACGCGATCGGTGGTGCGCGATTCGACGACGGCGCTGGGGGAGACAATGAGGTCCAGAGAACAATGTTGGAATTGATCAACCAGCTGGACGGGTTCGACTCGAGGGGGAATATCAAGGTCATTATGGCGACCAACAGGTGAGTCTAGGGTTGGCCGTGCTGATCTAGACCTGATACGCTGGATCCGGCGCTGCTTCGGCCTGGACGACTGGATAGGAAGATTGAGTTTGCGCTGCCGGACAATGAGGGCAGGACGCATATTCTCAAGATTCACGGCAAGAGGTGAGCACTAGCCGGTCTCTCGCCTTGAAAGGACAAGTACACTAGTTGGGAATAGGGCTGATCAAGCAGTATGTCGGTCGAGAGGGATATCCGGTACGACCTCATTGCGCGTTTATGCCCAAATGCGACCGGTGCGGAGCTGAAGAGTGTGGCGACAGAGGTGAGCTGGAATGTAATAATGCGGGTTCGCGATGAACAATCAGCTGACAGACCAGGCGGGTATGTTTGCCATTCGGGCCAGGAGGAAGGTGGCCACCGAGCGGGACTTCCTCGATGCGGTCGAGAAGGTTATCAGGCAGGGGACAAAGTTCAGTAGTACGGCTCTTTACGCCCAATACAATTAGAGGTTGGCCCGTTTGGGCGGCAGCGCATGTATTATATCGGCCAAGCAGGACACGTAAGGATTGGGGTTTGGGCGCTGTTTGGGCACTGTTTGGGCACATTTACGACTCCGTCTGGGGAAGAGAGTAGGTTGTTATGGGAGATACTCTTCAGGTTGAGTAGGCATGTTATACTTTGTGCTCGGTGGGGATATGCATCAAGGATAGAACGGGCTCCCGTGACATGCCATGCGCCGCGTCAAAGATAATGCAGAGAGGGAGGTCGTCCAAAGGTCAAAGGGAAGCAGGATTAGCTCTGGCAGAAGTTTAGCTCAGTGGTGACAGCGCGACACTATACCGCGACACGGAGTTTAGCGGCGTTATAGATCTCGTAATCGAACTCGGTACACATTCCTCACTTTGTGGCGCCGTGGTTGAAGGTGGCTGGTCGGCCTACTGTGCAGCGTCCCGCCCTACTACCGGCCGGGTATAGGTGATCATGCAAGGGTGCTGTGGCACTGTCAGGGGCGCGGGGATGCGCAGAGGGGGAACAAAAGGTAAGAGCGAAGTAACTCCAAGCCGGGCGGCAAGGGACGAGTCCCAGCAAAAGGTAAAAGTGAATGCCTCCTAGCTGATTCGAACAGCTGACCTCGACATGCGCATCTTTCGAAGCGAGAAATACTAGTGTCGCGCTGCTACCACTGAGCTAAGAAGGCGTTCTAGATGATTGGATGAAAGCCCAGAGACTGCAAACAATATAATCCGCAAAGTTTCGGGCTCCAGGATGGCCTGGTATGGACTTTTCCGGATACTCATTCCTCATCTCCTCTTGTCTCAGATTACGTTATAGACGACGCGCTAGTGGTGCTATCGCTCCTCAGTCACCTCACATACTGCAGCACCAGACCATGAAGGCTAAAAATCGTTCGAGATACCGAGGAAGGCAGCCCTTACCAAAGTATATCAACCTTTCGCAAAGGTTTGTCGCCCAGACCACCCGGGCGGCGGGGTATACCGGCCGGACTTCCCCTTCCCTGGTGGTGAGACTATACTGCTTGGTAAGCTACGCTAACACCTCTACCGCAAGGGCTGGAGACGATCCATGTCGCTGATCTCCAGACATACGACCAAGTACTGCACTTTCAATCCCGCCAAACTCCATTCCTCATACCCACAGCACCCCGTCCGCACCACGTGCACCTCGTAACACCCAATATGACCGTATGTCTTCCAATATTGTAGCTAATATGCTTTCCCTCTCGAGCGACGGCTGGAACCATCGCTGAAACACTATGGCGCCACCGGGTTGTTTCTGGAATCGCCCAGCAACATTATCCTTTGGTACGGCTCACCGCATTCTCCTTTCACTGACTTGCCTCACAGATGTTCTACATCACACTTGACTGGCTATAAGATGGTACGCTAAGGCTACTGAAGACTGTCCAGCCCAACTCGCACATCCTCAGCCACGCTCATTTATTACGCCTCCGAACCAACCAAGATGATCGGTACTACTTCCTATCTTACAGCGCACCCGCCAATAAGTTTTCGATCCCTACTCATACGCACTACATGCAGCAAGCCAACCACTCATCCAACATCAACCCCAAGCACACTCAGAGACCTCTCTGATGGGACACATACCAGCTCCATGACACCTACCGAGCCACTCGTCCTATCCTGCGATACTTTGTACAGCCTCGAGCTCGTCGAGTCCCATATCGGCCAGAACACTTTGATTGGGGACTGGCAGAGTGATGATTCTGCCACCTACGAACAGTCAGTCTCTGAGATTCAGGATCAGCTCAGCCACGTCGAAAGCCAGTACTCTGCCCTGTCCGGCGGCGCGATTCGTCGAGCTTCTCAGGCGCCTAACCATGACCCCGCAACTGCGCTCTCGACCTTCCACTCCGTGTGTAGCCAGCTCTTGCGAGAAGGGGAGGCGGATCTCACTGTCTATGTGGAACCTGTACTGAAACTGAGGGATGATCTCGCCGCGGCGGTTATGAAGGTGGAGCACAAGCGAGACGATGATGCTCAGAAGCAAGGAGGGAGAGGGGTCGGCGGACCGGAAGGCCACGTGAGAGGCGCGATGTATGGCGTCCAGGAGATCAGCAAGCTGTGATTGATATGCTAGCTGTCGCAGCGACTTCCGGTATTATAGACAGAAATACTCATTGATCTCTCGCGTTACCCTGTCATGACAGATCCGGACTGCGATCACACCTTCCTAAGTTCATAGTGACTCACACCTCTGACAGTGAGCGCTTATATATGACTTGCGGCAGCATTTGGAGATCCCTAGAGACTCATCAAGCCCATAGCTACACGAGACACTCCTTGCACTGTGATCGGCTGATTGGCTAGGACTATGATACGTTCTAGAATATGCGACGGCAGACCCCTTGCTTTTCAGCAAGAGAGGCTGTGCAGATTTTAAAGGACCGACAAGCTGGAACATTCGAGTCGAGCTGTGTCACGCTCTGGAACGCACCAGAGCTGCAATCCTTTCAGATTTGCTATCTTCGATTCCTTTCATTCCCTACACTGCTCTGTAGGGCGTTTGAGTAGCAACGGGGTATATAATCAGCTGTTCACCGCCTTATTATCGGTACACAACTCCCATCTAAACACCAGAGTAGACCCAATCACCCAGTCCCACTGTGCTGACTGATCACAGACTACCAATCGATTGAACCGCCTCATCACATACAGATCACCAACATACATCTTACGATGGCCAGTCACACAAGCGACGTCCCCTACATCCAGACAGATCCCTCATCTGACCACGACGTGTCTGGGTCCTTCACATCATGCCAATCTACTGCAGGAACGAAGAGGAAGACTTATGCAGACAGCTCCAGGCGCTGCAAGGCCAGGGATTCCTGGCTCGAGAACCCTGCACAAAAGCGAAGCCCGATCTCACAACTCGCTTCATCCTTCTCCATCCTCCAGGACCACCTCGACAACACTACAGGCATTGATCCCTCATCCCCCTCTCACCGATCCGACTACGGCAGCCTGTACAACGACACAAATCGCATTCTGACCAACTGGAAGCGCTCAGGTCTGTTCGATCCCCCAACCGCCACAGAGCCCACCGCCACCCCTGTCTCTATCTCGCAGGCGTATTCCAACCTGTCTTCTGCTATCGGGAGTAAGCCTTTCACCGATGAATCTTTCGCCACGGCTGCGGATCGGAGCTCTTACATGAATGCTGTGGAAGATTACAGGTCTGCTTATACTTCCTACAGAGCATCAAAGTCGGGGAAGAGCTCCAGGCGTGGGAGATCCCAGTCAAAGGCGTCGACGGGCAAGAGCACTGGGACGACCGTGAAGGGGAGGCGGGGTGATTTGAGACTAGGCCAGGGATCTGTTAGCTTCTGAATATATCCGAAAGCTCAGCCTCATGTAGAACAGGTGTGCCTTTCAGACCTGAAGAGCTTTGCTACCTGCTGCGAGCAGTGCCACCTTCCGCCACTCAACCGCCACCTTCACATTCCACGCACGGACCTGCTATGACGCTGTCAAGGTGTAAACGTGGAATTCGTCTCATCTCTAGCTTGTTGTTGTACATCTACCATGCTGCTCTCCCAGCTCATCATCCGCCTCGGTATAGCCGCTGCTGTAGCCCCAGCATTGGGCTTCCAGTCCCTAGACAGCAAGCGCGCGAAAAACGTCCTCGAACCGAAGCGCGAGGGCTACTGCTCGGTGAGTCAGCGACGCCCTTCAAGCTGATACCAGCCCTCTGGACCGATCGAGTCGACGCATTGCCTATATGAGACAGTAGAAACGCTCAATGCGGACCTCTACCCCGCTCTGAATCGTCTCGTCCACTACCCCTTCTTTCGACATTACAAGGTGGACCTGTTCAGGGAATGTCCATTCTGGCGGGAAAATGGATTCTGTATGAATCGGGATTGCGGAGTCATGGCTGCGGATGAGGCGGATATACCAGAGAAATGGAGAGCCAAGGCACTGGGAGAGATTCGATCAGGGGTGAGTCCAATCAAGGCGGAGCTGATAGCAGGACGAGTCGAGCTGTTATTTCCGGGATCAGGACTTTTGCTATATCGAGGATGATACCACGCAAGGTGGGTCAATGTCCAAACGGAGCTAATGTAGATGGGGAATATATTGATCTTTCGCTGAACCCGGAACGCTTCACGGGGTACGCTGGAGATTCCGCACACCAGGTCTGGCGGGCGATCTATGAGGAGAACTGTTTTGGGCTGTCCGAGGCGGGCGCGGCTGCTGCTCCTATCGGGTTCAGCAAGCTCAGCGAGGGGTGGGGAACAGAGATGGTCAAGCAGGACGAAGAGTGCGAGGAGAAGAGGGTGTACTATCGGATCATATCTGGTGAGTTTTCCCAAGGCATATCGCTAATCAGGCCTCCATGCGTCCATCTCACTGCATATATGTCAGGAATATCTCGATCAGGCGACGGGCGAGTGGTCGCCCAACCTGCAGTGCTTTGTGTCCCGACTCGGCGCGCATCCCGAGCGATTGTCTAATGTCTACTTCAACGCGCTGCTTCTTATGCGAGCCGTGGCGAGAGCGGCTCCGTATCTCGAGCAATACGACATTTCGGTAGCCCCTCCTTCAAGGATACAGGAGTCGGACCGCACAAAGGAACTACGCAAGGGCGATGAGGAGGCGAAGCGGTCCCTGGCGGACGTGATCAGGCTGGCAGGTGGGAAGGGCGTCGAGCGTGGCTTTGACGAAGCGGACTTTTTCAACGGTGCAGATGCTATGGTGAGTTTTGTCCTGGCCTAGCTGACAACAGATCCTCAAGGACCAGTTCAAGAACCACTTCCGGAATGTGTCCCGCATCATGGACTGTGTCGGCTGCGACAAGTGCAGGCTATGGGGGAAGCTGCAGGTGTCCGGGCTGGGGACGGCACTCAAGATTCTTTTTGAGCTGGACGAGAAGGCCCTAAAGTGAGTCAGCGAGTCAATGAGGTGGATGGGGAAGACTGGTGGCTGGGAAGGAGTGGAGGCGAGGGGAAAAGAGGAGGGTGAGCCTGAAACACATGTCGCTCCCGGATGGAAAAGAGATGACTGGGAAAGCGAGAAAGAGAGGGCGAGGCAAACCAGGAAAGGGATGAGACATCGCCCTGGATCCCAACTCGGTCCCCAATTTCGGGCTTGGGCTAAGCTGATTCCAGCCCCAAAATCAACCCCGACCTGCTCCAGCGGTCCGAGGTCGTCGCGCTCTTCAACACCCTACACCGAACGAGCGAATCCCTCGCGGCGGTGGAGCAATTCAGGCAGATGTACAAGGATACCCAGGACGCCGAGGCAGCAGCGGCAAAGGTGCGAGCAGAGCAAAAGCCCAAGCCAAAGAAGAAGCGCAAGGTGAGTACGCGTCTGACCCAGCTGACCCCAGTCTGCCAAAGCGCCAATTTCAGCGACCGGAATCTTGATCTCCGCTTTTGAAGCATTGCGGCGGAACTGTAAAGGCTGCTTGGAGCTATGCTGGCGGTCCATCTCACAGGGGCGGCTGCGCGTCTTGAAGGTTGTGCGGAGAATAGAGCTTTAGATTAAGGTTTTCCACGTGTTGCCACAGGGACGCGTTGTTGACGTGTTTGACTTTGACTTTAGCGCTTTTCATTTTACCCTGTGTTGTTGTCATCCCCATCTATACTATACATTGTTCATACGTTCATACGTCCAACCCACTCTCTTTACACCCACGCTACACGCACAAGATGATCTTCGCCTTCCTCTCCCTCCTCACCGTCGCCGCCGCGATCCGCGTCACGTCCCCCTCCTCGTCGACCGTTTGGGCCAGCGGCACGTCCGCTCAGACCATCACCTGGGAGGCGGTCAGCTCTGATCCTACCAGCTTCACCATCCAGCTCGTCAACCAAGTGAGTCTCTTGTGTCGCTCCGCTGACATCAGGCCGGCTTCCTCTCCAACTCCCCCGTCACCATCAAAGAGAGCCAGTCCAGCTCCACCGGCAGCTCCAACTCGGCCAGCATTACCTACCCGGGCGGAACCTGGCCCGTCGGGACCGCGTTCCAGATCAACCTCGTCACGTCAACCATGTCCAACCAGGCCATCCTCGCTCAGTCCAACCAGTTCAACATTACCAACTCTGGCGCGGCGGCGGTTGCGTCGAGCTCTACCGGAATGGCGCCCACCACCGTGTCGTATGCGAGCGCGTTCGCGACCGTGTCGGCCCCGTCATCAGTGGTGACTGTGACGAGCACCTCTGGCTCTGCTGGAGACGCGTCGGGAGGCATTCCCAACTCTGTGAGTTTGAAGTGTGAGCAGCACTGACGACAGGCCGCCAGCTCCCGCTCCGCCGGCGAGAAACCCGCTCCCTCCGCCTTCATCTCCCTCCTCCTGGCCGCCGCCGCGGCGTTCGGCATCCTCGCTTGATCCTTGACGGACAATGTATCTATTGGACTCGCAAAAGGCTATACATCGCGTGAGATCTACCTAACTACTGATCATTTGCAACTGAATAGGACCTCCCCGTTTTCGGGGTATTGAACGTGCCCGTCTTTGGGCGCTTGGATGATAAAGATCCGATCGGCGGCCTGGACCACGTTACCGTTTTTCAGGTACGCTGTGCACTGATACGTCAGCCCTGTGATCTTGCGTGTTACTTACTTTCTCTGTGATCTCGGCTCCCCCGGGCGGCTTGTATTTGACGGTCCACTCAATGGGTTTGGTGTTAGTAGCCAGACCAATCTGACCCTTGATGTTTGGGCCGGTCCACTCAACAGGCTTGGTCGCAGGCGCTTCTGTAAAGTCGGTGACGGTGACGTATGGCCCGATTGCCAGCCACACGCGTGGGGGGAAGGCAGACGCAGAAGCGACGGCAGCTGAGGACGACGATGACGGAGTAGCACTGGAGGAGCTCGGCGCACCCGCGTTAGCGGCTGGGCTGGAGGAAGAGCTCGGCGCAGCCCCGTTAGCGGCTGGGCTGGAGGAAGAGCTCGGCGCAGCCCCGTTGGCGGGCGGGCTGGAGGAGGAGCTCGGCGCAGCCCCGTTAGCGGCTGGGCTGGAGGAAGAGCTCGGCGCAGCCCCGTTGGGCGGGCTGGAGGAGGAGCTCGGCGCAGCCCCGTTAGCGGCTGGGCTGGAGGAAGAGCTCGGCGCACCAGCATTGGCGGGTAGGCTGGAAGAGGAGCTCGGCGCCCCACCGGGCGCCCCACCGTTGGCAGCGTTGGCGGGTAGGCTAGAGGAGGAGCTCGGTGCACCAGCGTTGGCGGGTGGGAGGGAGGAACTTGAGGTTGGGGCAGCGGCGTTCCCGGCTGGCGGCGAGGAGCTGGAGGATGTAGTCGAGCTAGAAGATATGACATTGGCGAGCGCAGGGAGCTGTACCGAGGTCGAGCTAGACGCAGTGCTGGCTGCTGGTCAGTGGATGCCGGTTGGGCTACTCACAAGCTGGGGCGCCATTGCACACCGTCTGTGTAATCGTCATCGTCACTGTGGACACTGTGGCCCCCGCTGGATCTTGCAAGTTTCGAGCGACAATCCGCGCGAGGCCCAAGATGAGAGCCGAGTATGCAGTTACGAGCATTTTTGCTGTCAAGGTACTTTCTGTAGATGGGGACCAGCCTGGGACCTGCCCTGATACCACCGACCACTGCCCAGCTCTGCTCGGACTACCACATCCTTCCATGCCCAACTTGTAACATGCACCATCTTGTCGATCCTTTCCGCCCCACCCGACGCGTTTCATCACCCCCTTTACGCGTCGCACCTCTCCTATGAAACTCCTCGCTTTCCGCCTCCCGGATGAGATACCACTGGAGGTATGTCCCTGCCAGGTCGAGCTGATACGATCAGGATTATGAAGCACTCCTGAACCTCCTGGAAGAGGGGGAACGACCTCGGGTTCAGCGGTTTCGGATCGTCGAGGATCGACTCCGTACGTTGCTTTGTGGACAGATCTGACGCGCAGGATCACTACTCGCACGACTGGCGGCACGGTACTACCTCCTCACGCAGGGCTTGATCAAGCGGGATGAACGTCCGACGTTCCGTTCGGGGCCCAAGGGCAAACCCTACCTGGTCACCCCCGCTCTCGACCTCGGGTTCAATATCTCGCATGAGGGCAAGTGGGTCTTGCTCGGTGTGGGCAAGGGAGAGGTAGGGGTGGACGTGATGGATCCCCCGCAAGATCCGGAAGAGATCAAAGAGGCGTTGATATCTCAGGTATGTCAGGTCAAAAGGCTGGCTGATGTAGATGACTGTGCCGGAACGACTCGCGCTGGCGGTGCCGCTCACCCCGCACGAGCTGCGATGGGCCTTGACCACCCTATGGACACTCAAGGAGGGATACACCAAGGCGATAGGCGAGGGCGTGGGCTTCGGGCTGGAGCGCATCAATGTCGTCTTTGATGGCCTTCAGGCGGTGAGGGTAGAAGTGGACGGGCGGGATATCGCGGATGATGGGTGGAACTTTCGCTTGGGCCGTATCGGAGAAGGCATGGAGTCGGGGTATGCGGTGTACTGGAAAGAAACAGACTGGGAGGGTGTAGACATTGTACAATGGTCACAGTTGATATCAGTCTTTGATGGCTAAAATATACACTAGTGCAGTCCCGCTACAGCTTCCAGCAACCTCGAGACGTCTCCCCGATCCGCTGCCTCATTGGACCCCTTGACCACCTTTTGCACCCGCTCATGCACATTCGAGCCAGCCAGTACCTTGTCTTGCTCCTCGCTATCCAAGAATATTTGTACGCTACATCAGCCAAGCCAAAAACGAACTCACAAGTCGCCATCGACAAAACCGGCCGTCTCCCTCTTGATGAGCTCCGATCCGCCTCGCCGCCAATCTTTCCACTCGATCCCTGGACCCTTCATCAGACGCGCCATGTTCCGCTGCAGATCATCCATCGTCTTGGCGGCCGAAGGTGTGAGCTCGCCAATCATCCCCAATCTACCATCGGCAGTCGCGTAGAGGAGATCCGGGTTGATGACGTCCAGTGCGGATGTAGGCGGTGCGAGCGAGCCATGACGGAATCGCACCACGTCCTCGTGCAGCCCGAACGAAGCAGCCGTTTCGATCTCCTGCTTGAAGCGGAAGGTAAGGAGATTCGAGTGGCCCTGGGATCAGCTCAGTCTTGGGTTCACTCACGTCAGACACGACAACTCCCGCTCCACCATCCCTGACCCCCTCCATCCCCAGCACACAGTGCGTGGCCATATCCCGCTGATCCCCAAAGATCTCCCCACTGCCCTCATCCACGTCCAGCACAAAGATACTGCGCATTCCATCCCCGACGACGAGGCGGTCCTCTGGGTGCTCGCTGGTCCGAGGAGCGACACTGAGGTGCTGCGCGATGAACGCGGAGGAGAAGGCCGAGAGCTCGACAAGAGTGGCCATGGGTCCAGGAGTGAGGCGATTGATAGAGATCTATATCAGCCGTGTCTAGCGCAGACTCACTCTGCTAGCTGCAGCGACCGCCAGGAAACCATGAATGACCTTGAGGTCGTGTACCGGCCCGTTCGTCTTGAGTAAAGTAATCATGTTGACCTCGGGCGTTGGCTCGATGATCATCACTCGCCCGTCCTTGGCGGTCACGCGATACTCGTTGTCCAAGACCGCATCTTCAAAGTCGGCCTCGGACGAGAAGATGGCAGTACCGACAGCGAGGTAGGATCGGCCGAGAAGCACAACCGGTTGAAGGGTGGTGATGACTTCGCGCTCGAATAGTTCCATGTTGCCGATGACTGTTATCAGCTCAGCTTTAGTATGACTTACCTCTCATCGTCACAGGATCCCTCAGCTCCAGAACTCCCGCCTGATATATCTCTCCCGTCCCGCTGCTCATGGACCGAGTGACGCAACCAGCAGCCAAGACCCCCTCGAGGTGCGCCAACTTGGTCACCGACTTTTCCTTCAAATCGAGCGTCTGCACCGAGAGCTTCTTGAGCGAGTTGACCTTGGTAATGACCAGACCGATGCTTGTAGCGAGCACAAGAGCCTGTCCCTGAGCAGTCTTGACGGATGTCGCGGCTGTCACATCCTAAAGTCAGCTCTGCCTCGAGATGGCTCACCTTTCTGCTGACCGCCGAAAAGTCCACCCTGTCCTTGGACCCAAAGAGAACACTCATCCGCTCCGTCAATCCCACCGCGAGAATCTGTTCCTCCCCTTCCCAGCCCTGCACGGGATGTAGCTCGAGCGGCCGGGTCCCAAGACTTGACACCTTTCGTGATTTGACAGTAAGGCCGTCGAGATCGTACACGACCAGCGAGCCATCGCTGAGTCCAGCGAGGAGCTTGGTATGGAATGTGAGGGAGTTGGCGTGATAGTCGTTGACGATAGTGGTGGGTGTGGAGAGGTCCGACAGAGAGTAGAGGAGGATCTCGTTTGTCCATGTTCCGATAGCTAGGGTCGTGGAGGTGATCGCAAGCGATGCGGCAGAGGCGTTGATCGTACTGATGTCAGCTACGCAGAAGCAGGACTCACCCTAACTCCTTGATCCCATTTGTTAACACTACCACTTGGGATGCCACAGCAACAGCGACGTGTCCCCCTCCAATCGCGGCGGTGACGACGCCCGACGCCGGCCAGGATGCCTGGCTCCCGCTCGCAAGGTCCGACCAGACGTCCACGCCGCCCTCCTTGACAGTAACGAGCTTGTCCCCGATCATTCCTGCGGCTATCGTCGACGTGGACGCAAGCGCAGCGCACAGCTCCACTTCGGCCGGTTCCAGCGTGATCATGGCCGTCGACGATGTCGTCGAGAGCAATATCCGCTCGCCCAGTGTCCACATCCGCTGAACATCGGTGACCCCCTCAATGACCATCGTATCCTCCATACCGACACCACTCCGAACGATCCGAAGCGAATTGCTCGTAGCTGCTCCTGAAGCGACAATGAGATGAGACTACATCAGCTCGGTCATACCCAAACTCACCACTGCCCCGCTCTCATCCGAGACGACCGTAAAGTCCTTGACTGGCGCCAGGTTCATCCACCTCTCAATAACCTCTAGTGATCCCTGTACCTGCTCCACCTCGGGCTCAGCGTCCCGTTTTGGTTGTATCTTGCTCGAGGATCCAGGTTGAAGACGGACGAGCTGATGATCGCCTGCGGTAGAGGTGATGAAGATGTGATTGGGCGAGAAGGGAGTAAGGGATGATGGTGGCGAGATAAGGCCGAGGTCCAAGATCTGTACCCGCGTCGACTCAAGGATACCCTCGCCGTGTTCCCATCCTATCGCCGTAGCTCGTCCATTGTCGTCCCCGATAAGAACGCTGGCGCCGCGCTCATCACTCCGTAAGACCGTCGCACTACATCAGCTCAGCCAGGCTCCAACTCACGCCAACACCGTCCCGAACCCCTGCCGTATCCTAAACACAGGCTTCATCTCCCACTTCTCGTCACTCTTGCTCGTGCTCGACTTGCGCCGCTTTCCTTGTCCACCACCAATCATCTCATTCTGCGGGGACCGCTTTGCCGAGGCGCGCGGGCTGATCGATGGACCCGAAGCGACTGACGAGCGCCGTCGAGCTGGAGGCGCAGCGACGAGGGTGATGGAGTAGAGGACAGAGTACTCGTCCCCCATGATCAACGCCATCCTGTTCTTTCCTGGCACAGGGAGTATGCGCCGCGCGGCTGGGCAGGAGAAGGGAATATCGGAAAAGTCGGTATTGGCGTCAACCGCCTCTCCGGAGGGCGAGGCGACATCGATAGGGCTCGACATATCGGTAAAGGAGTGCGAAGTTGGCGAGAGGAGACGAGTCTGCATCTGGAGAGACTGGCCGGGGGTGAGGTAGAGGAAGCTTGCGAGTGGACCGGAGGGTAGAGGTTGAGGGAGGAATGCGATGGAAAGGAGGTTATGTTCTCGGACACTAGGGTCAGCTTGCCCAGATGGACACTCACTTGATGTTATAGTTGTCCTTGAATACAAGCTTGCCGTCCGTCGCGACGCTCTTCCGGCGCCCCTTCTCCTTCTCCACCTCCATCTCGATACAGCTCAAGACGCCCACCCAAAGGCTGACCAAAGCGGTCGATTCGTGCGCAATCACCGAGGTGAAGAATTCTGCGCGGCGGAGTGACGGAGTGGGAGGAACCAGAGCCATCGTTGAGGTGACTGCGAGGGCCCCGCTAAAGGTGAGGAGGAGCAGCCGAGCGGAAGGCGGGGAGAGAAGGACGAGGATGTGAGGTCGAGCGCCCTGATTTCAGCTACGTCAGATCGCGGCTCACCTTGACGTCTACAATCTCTACGCTGATGATATTGCCCCAGACCTGGATCGATCCCTTCTGGACCAGCCCCGAAGCCTCCACATCCCAGACCTCGACCCGATCGGGCTTGGCTAGGAGGAGCGACTGCGATCCCGGCGAGGTGAACCCCGGGACGAGCTTCGAGTCGACGATGGACGTCGGTTGTAATGCCTATCATCAGATATGCCCTCATCAGCACCTACCGAGGCGATATAGAGCATCTTGGGGGATAGGCAGGGGTATGTATGGAGTCATCGACCAATGCATGCTCCCTATCGCTGACAGTGCCTCGGCTACCGGTCCTTACGATATCGGCGATCTCCGAGCCTACTTGACGGCTTGCCGGTTCAAGCCAAGCCTCCGCTCTGGGTAGCGATGCAGAGGTTCCGCTGCAGCACATGTGATGGTACCAGACGATAGACACGCCTCTGATCGAGTGTACCGTACAGAAATGGGGCGAATCTAACCAGAGGAAGGCCAGGTATCCTGTTTCAAAGTTAGGGGTCGAAGGTCCCCTGTTACTAGTCCGCTGCCTTGTCCTTCACTAGACTACCGCCTAATCGCCTGTCCTTATTGCTCACCGCTAGAAGAGCGACATATGAAGTCGCATGATAGTCTTCTGAGATCAAATCTCTACCCAGATCAAAGCGCCATCACCCAGTCGTAGTCTCGCGCTCGCCTACTTGCTGACCTCCACCACGACCTTGCCCCTTGCCCTCCCGCTCTCGATCCGCGTGAACGCAGCCGGTGCATCCTGCCATCAGCTCCAATCATCCCCGAACCTACCTTGTACGCGTGCACCGAGTCGATCTGGACCTCCTTTGCGGTCTTCATAAATTCGGCTATAGTCTCAAACATGGCCTTTGACGGGGACAGCATGATGCAGGCGTATCGCCTGCTAGCGAGCGCACTTCTCCCCGGGAGCCACGATGGAAGATAGTCATTAAGTCTTCCTCGTAGCTGCCTGATGGCTTGCGAAGGGTAGTAGTACTGCTGCTAGCGAGGTCAAGGGTGAGCTTACATTGGTGATTGCGCCCCCCATCGCATCTCTGCCGGTTTCTGTCGTCAGCCCAGTCGTCGCACTACTTACTATCTCCGACGATCGTCACGTAGATGCCCAATTGAGGGGCTACCGGATCGTTCAGGATCAAGTGGTCCAGATGTGGGATGAGATCCGTTCCGCCCACACAGTCCAATACGACGGCGTACGGGGCGTACTGCGAGTGCAGTGCTCTCTGCGCAACGTGCTCCTGGGTGTAGTCGATCACCTAAGATGAGCTTTGCTAAAAGCCAAACTCACCTCGTCCGCGCCGAGCTTCTTGACAAAGTCGGTATTCTTGCCGCTGCAAGTAGTGACCACCTTGAGCCCCATTTTCTTGGCGAGCTGGATACCCATGCTCCCGGTCCCGCTGCTCCCGCCGAGGATGAGGACACTCCTTCGTCCCACATCAGCAGGATGAGGATTGAACGCAAGGCGACCGTAGTTGATCAGAGCAGTGTAGACGGTCCCGTATGCCAATGGGAGGGCGGCAGCGTCCGTCCAGGACAGCCCTTCTGGCTTTTTGACGAAAGGAGCTGCTGCGGAGACCGCGACGTACTCTTGGAGAGAGCCGTTGCCTATCGTCAGCACCGCCAGATCATAAACTCACCGGTCATATTCGGAATCATGCCAAAGACCTCATCGCCGGCTGAGTGGTCCTTCACACCGGCCCCGACAGAGTGTATGATACCCGAAAAGTCCCAGCAGGGAACGAACGGCGTGCCCATGGGAGGTGCACCCATGAAGTTGAGAAGAACATCAGGAGATTGAGCACTAGATATCAGAAATGGCTCACGTAAACCATACTCGGCTCCTTCACGCTGTAGCCTTGCTTGTAGTAGCCGAAGTAGATAATATGCTCACATCTGATTCTCCACCGGATTGAGAGCGGCCGCCTTGACTTTCACGACTACCTCGTCCGCTTTTGGGTTTGGGATCGGCTTGGATACCTGCTTGATGGTCGTACTGAGCCGACCGCGGGTGGTATATTGCCATGCTGTGGACATTGTGCTTGACTGAGATGGACGCAGAGGGGAGATGCTTTTCGCTGACACAGGTCACCGCAAGTGGAGCGTGGAGCCCCGCCTCCACCTCCGGGTGGGGTATGTGAAGTGGGGCGAATCACGTGGCGCCCAAAGCGGCAACCCAAAAAGCTTCCGCTCGTCAACAGCGCATTCAGCAACCCTGTACTCGCTGTAGCTGTGTATGAGCATAGCATCTACACATCTCGTACCTACTATCGCCCATAGTCTTCCCATAACAGGTAGACGCGCAAAATGTCCAGCGCCAATAATGCCGCGCCGACTGCGCCCTTGAATCTCGCTCAGGCGTCTACATCCGCCTCAGCTTCCGCCTCCACCTCTGCCAAAAAGCGCAAGGCGTCCCCCCCGCTCGTTCGCCTCGCCTCGGTCGGCGCCGACCACACGGACGATGACAGTCAGTCCGTCACGTCTCGGATGAATCGGGACCGCGAGAGCAAGCGGACACGCGTTCACTTCTCCTGTGTTGAATGCCACAGGCGTAAGCAGAAGTGCGACCGGAAGGAGCCGTGTAGCCAGTGTGTGGCCCGGCGGGTACCGCAGCTGTGTCGGCCCTTCCTCAACGGTCAAGAAGATCCTAGCGCGTAAGTTTGGCTATTGGTGGAGCTGAGGATAGCGCGGATGTCCAGAGTCGCCTCAGCTCTATTGAGAGCTTACTATCCCGCCTGGTCTCGTCCCTCCCGGCCACTACCTCGGCGCAGCCCTCCTCCCCGGCGGACCTCTCGGCCCTGCTCCAAGGCTCCGGGGAGGACATGTTCCATCCCGCGTCCGAGATGAAGGACAAGGAGATGCCGCTCAAGCCTCCACCGTCCGGGCAGTTCCCCGCGGGTCAGGCGTATACGAATACCACCGGAAGATCAGGGTACGGTTGGGGATTGCGGGAAGGGCGCATGATCAATCTGTCTCTTGACGATAATACGGATCTTCAGGATGTTCTGACGACGCTCAAGGAGAGTGGGATTAGCAAAGGTCATCTAGAGTGGTTGATTGCGGGCGTGCCGGGGCGGCGGATGGCGGATGGACTCATCGACCTATACTTTAAGGATATAGAGTGAGTCTTGACCTAAACTCGGCTGATGACAGCTGGACGCGGTACAAGATCGACAAGCCATCCTTCCTCAAGCGATACGAGGTGTTCTTTGACTCTATCGGCCGGAACCCAACCAATCCCAAGGTGGACGGGGACACCCTCCGCTGGTTGCCTTTAATGTTCATAGTCGTGAGTCGAGACAAAGATAACGCTTACCCAGCTCGCGATCACCGCTCTGTCTGCACCACATGAGCTCGTACCGTCTGCCGATCAGGCGGCATGGTCTCGACGTTTCTATGGTTCCGCTCGGTCTTCTCTGGAATACGCCAAAGCTCTGCAAAGAGACAACCTCGACGTTCTGTTTGCGGGACTCCTAGCTTCGCGGTACATGTGAGTCTAGATATGGCGGTACTGATCCCAGGCTGCTCACTCGTCGCCCCGCAGAAGGATCTACACCCCTCACCACCGCCTTTCAACTCGGCCTGTACCGTGACGGCTCCATCCTGAACATCACCGATAAGCGGGATGTCGAGGTGCGGCGTCGGGCATGGGCCATGCTATATCATCTCGACCGCACGATCTCGCTTCTCGTCGGCCGGCCCGCTAGCATCTCGGACGCACATACGGATACCCGCATGCCCGCCAATCTCGAGGACGAAGAGCTGGAAGGAGACTTTGATCCCGCAGGTCATCCTCTCACTGTTCCTACCGTCTACACCTACGTCATCCTCAGGTGAGTCCTACGCTGGCTTTGCTGACTCCAGACACAAACTAGCGGAAATCATGGGCCGGATCGCCTACCATACCTTTGCCATCCAACTCCCCGACTACCAGACCGTGCTTGAACTCGACAAGGAGTTGCTCGCTTGGCGAGAAACCCTTCCTCCCTTCTTCCGAATGACGAAGCCCGACCTCCAATTCGACAAAGACCACTCGTACCTCTTCGTCCAGCGCCACTTGCTCGCATGCGAGTGGTTCTACACCCGTATCACCCTGAACCGGCCATACCTCCTTCGTCGAAAACCCCAAGACTCGCGCTACGCCTACTCAAAAGATGCCGCTATCGAGTCTGCGACAGCGGATCTGCTGAGTCGGCGATCCTTCATCATGGAGAAGGGGAATTTGATCGTCAATAGTGGAGGATACAGGGTGCTGAACTCGTACATGGTCTTGGGCGTGACGATCAAACGTGAGTCCTTTCTAGGCTGGGCTGATGATAGTCGACCCAGAGTCATCTCAGGCGGATAAGCTACGCCGATTACTCAACGTCGTCTCCGGTCGTGCGCCAGATGCGAACGGCCGAGTCTCGGAACCGCTCGTCAAGGAGGAACTGGCCATCGTCGAGTTCCTCACCGCCAAAACCAACATCGCGCCCAATTCCAACTCTCTGCCGAAAGAGACCCCCGTCGACCTCCTGCTCGGTCTCGCCAAGACCCGCTCGGGCCGTCGGGCGGCCGAGGAGGAACGGCGGCAGCTCCGGCAGCAAGCGGCTCGGGAGGTGCAGGAGCAGTCTGCGCAGGCAAAGGGAGGAATGTCGAGCAGTCCGTGGGGGTACAAGCCGCCCTCCATGCCCGGCTTGGATGTACAGCAGCCATTCAGCATGTCTGGGCAGCGGCGGGATGGGCCACGTCCCCTCCAACCTCCACCGACGAAACGGGGCAATCCCCAGACCAGCTGGTCCCCGGACTATAACAACAATACCGGCATGGCCATGCCCCAGCAACAACAAGCTACATCGCAACAGCAATCACAACAACAGCGCTTCGACCCCTCTCCCGAAAACCTCTTCCCCTCTCCCACTCAACACCCCAACTTCAACCTCGACTCCCTCACCGCTTCCACCTCAAGCAACAACTACCAGCTCTCCCCCTACCAAAACATGCTTCCACTCGCTTCGCCCCAAAATGGCTCCCTCACCCTATCCGGCTCGGATCCTTTCGCCGCTGGCAGTCTGGAGCAATTTTTCGCGGACAACATCTCTGGCGGAGGGGGAAACCAATCGGGCGGACCGCAGTTTGGGAATGCGATGTTGGATCAGTTTGATTTTACGAATCTGGGGCTGGATTTGGAGAATGGGCCGGTGGATGGAGGGTTCAATCCGTTTGCGCTGCCGCAGACTGAAGAGGGGTGAGTTATGCTCTCGTTCGAGATAGGGGGGTTAGGCTGATCGACAGGGCACCGAGCGAGCTCAGTGCGGATGACGAAACGCAGTTCTTGAACTACATCTTGACCAAGTTTGCGAATAGCCAACCGGAGGTGCAGTAGGCGAGAACGAAAAGAGGTTCGATCTAGCGAGGTGGATCAGAGTATGTATCTGGCTTCTCGTAGCCTAGCACAGAGGAACGCGGATGTACGCTTGGGGTCAGGATCAATCGGAAAAAGGTTTTTCGTCGAGGAATGAGGAGAGATTTTCCGCCAGCCAACAGGTTGCGATCTTGCCTTCACCTTCCCCGTCTACATCATGGCTTACTCTGACACGGAAGAGAAATACCCTGTCGATATGCCAGAAGATCCTGGACCTGGCCTGCGCGGATCTCGCGATTCATCAACACAGCACGGTGCAGCAATGGCATCGTCCCCGCCTCGGTCCGATAGCGAGTTATCCTCCGCACCGTCCTCTTCTCCTTCGCCCAAGCTCTCGGTTCAGTCTTTCTTCGAGGCTGAGGACGAGAAAGAGGGGGAGAATGAGGAGTGTGGCAGGATGGAGGTTGATGGGAAAAGGGTGGGCCCTGGAGAAGACCGGCGGATGAGAGGAGGGGCCGGTGCACTTCGGCTCGGATTGCCAGGGCCGGGACCGTCTCGCGAGAGGACCGTGAAGGTTGAGGTGGGAGTTGAGGATGTCAAAGGGGAGCAGAGTACGGAAATCGTTCAACCTCGACCTCGACCCATCCTTCGCGCGAGACCATTCCGCGAGCTCGTCGTCCTCATACCCCTCAGGTCCCGGCATCGCGCGCCTCCTGCTCAAATCCCTCCATCCAACGGCGAAACTTCCAAACGTGAACCGGCACAATCCCCTCCTGTCGACGTCAAGCCGGATGTACAAGCATTGTCCCTCGCGGCACGCGCCCAGCGGCGGCACGGAGGGGGAGAAATAGAAACGGTGGTCAAGGTCGAGGGGACGACGCATGTCAAGGTGGAGCCAAGGGAGACAAGAGAGCATAATGCTGGTATTGACCTGTCGGGTAATCGTCCAGCTCGCAGGCCTTATGTCCTCCTACCGCGCCGTGCAGCAAATGGCCGCTCAACCTTCCCCATCGACCTTACTGCACCATCCCGCCGAGCAAGAGGTCGGTCTGTCGCAGTCGCCGAGGTGTCATCGGATGACTCGGACTCTACAGGCGGGGAATCGGAGTATTTCGAGTCGGAGGACGAGCCGCCAGTACGGCGTAAACGGTCACGTCAGCTAGTCAGGTCGGTGGACCACTCGTCTGACTCGGAGTCATCGTTGTCAAGCCCCCCAAGCAGTCGGGCCGGGGACTCTCCCGCCGAGCCTAGAGCATCAAGCTGTAGGCGCCGAGCCGAGAGTCCAGCCCCGGCTTCGGACGACGGCGATCCGAGTCGCTGGGCATCCCGGCTGGGCTATCTCCAGCTCAAGTCGAACGCCGAGCTCGTTGCGATCTTTACCAAGGCGGAAGAGAGGCATCAGGAGACGGGGCTATCGTATGAGAAGCTAGGCAAGGAGCTGGCGGAGCAGGTATGTGCGACACAGGTAGACGCGCTAATGTCCAGGACAAGACTTACACGCTCGTCACGTGGAATCACCTCTTTCGATGGTGGCGTCAAAAGGCGGAGCGATTCTCGGACGACCGACAGATTGCGACCAACAGCATGCTCTCCACGCCAGAGATGGACGAGATCCTGCGCAATGCCCATCCGCTCAGCGTAAAATCTGGCGGAAGCTACGAGGACGTCGTTGAGCATGTCCACGCCAAAGTGAGTGTCTGTCAAGCTACGCTGACGGCCAGTACCCATACTACTCGCAGAAGCGGTGGAGTAACCGATATTGCCATTGGAGAAAACATCGAGAAGACTTCTACACGCTACCGCACGATCCACATGTCGACCAGTACTCCGCATTGTTCCCGCCGTACCTGCGCAACATCAAGCGGGGCGAGACGCTGGATACGGTAGCGGCCATTCTCGCTGAAGATGTAGGTCCCAAGTCGTGGTGAAGGCTGACAACAGAACGCTGAGCTCGGACACTCCACCAAAGAGTGGAACCTATACTTCGGTACTTGGCTGCGACTCCATACCGACAAACCAGACCCTAGGTATTTGACTGGAGGTGATGCCCGCGACGCCCGCTACGAGGCCGCCAGAGTCGAGATGGCCAAGCTGTTCAAGCGGGATTATGATTCTAGTGTATTCCTGCACAGATTAGTAGGTGATGAGGTTGCAAAAGCGATGGTACGTCTCTTTCAAGCACCTCTTCCTGAGCGATTGCTGAAATCCTAGCCGAGCCATATGGCATCTACGATCACTCTCATGTACGGCGAATGGCGGAAAGGCCGCAAGTACTTTGCGACGCTCGACAAGGAGCTGCATTTTACTGGGAAAGGGAACACGGATGCTTTGGCGGGGATGGCGACGGCAACGGCGGGAAAGAAGCGAGGGCGGCCTCGAAGGTCCGACAAGACGGGCGAGCGGTCCGGGCGACGGAAAAAGAGGGCTATCAGGTAAGCTCGTATGGAGGAGCTATGCTGATCGATCAGACACGATGATACGGCCGTACGATGAAAATACACTGATCAGACGGTGTCAACGCAGTGCGCGAGGGAGACGGGCTGTGCGGAACGACCAACTCACGCGCCGCAACGTCCAATCGCGAGTCTCGCTATGGGTCCACCCATAGCGAAGGCCATGCCTTCACCAGCGAGCCATCCCAGGACACCCGCGATTGGTCGTGTCCAACCGAGGAAGGTGACGGTTCCACCCTCAAGCCCAGCGATGCATTCGTCAGCAAGTCATCGCCCAGCGCATACGATCCATCCGCACTAGCTACCACGTCTACGCCTGGCCAGTCCTCCGTCATGCCCAGCTCCTACGCCCCGACGGCTGCTTCAGAGTGGTAGGAGATAGAGCAGCGGTATCGGAAAGACGGGGTGCGGACAGTAGGCTGGAGGACCACGAGACAGGAAAGGGCTTAAAACGTTCGAATCGGCTGCATACGACACAGCAACGTACTTGTAAATCAGCTGCATTAGAGTATTTGAGTTGGTATCTGAGCGCTGTCTACTCCCCATGCATTGAGGCTTGCGCTGTCGAGAGAGCAATGATATTCACGCACGCGCATGCCGATCGTGGTGAGCCTACTGGCGAGCACCATCTTGAGCACCATATAGCTCTGCAAATGCCATGGACGCGTACGCGAAGCGAGGCCAGAACGCAAGCTTGAAGACAGACGTCGACTCGTCACGATTGATAGGTATCATTGTATATTGTAGTGTACACTCTACATAGCCTTGTAGCCATTCGCGCTCATAGCATATTTGTCTGGTATACACATGATCTACAAGTTGCCCTTCGCCACCACGAGTTGGCATGCTCCATTCCCACTTGTGCTCTCCTACTGTTTGTCCGCCCTTCCCCTTATTCTCCGGTCTCCTTTACCGGTCCCGCTACCGGTTTTGGCTTCTGGTTTCTCCACCTCTTGATAGCCCATACGGCGAGGACGATCAACGCCGCGGCCCCAAGACCGTAGCCGAAGCCAATCAACTGGGCGAAATCTGGTGACTCAGCGAAGGCACAACTGGAAATGGACACTCGCTTTCCGTCGACCTGCTCCTCCCGACCGCATCATGACCAAGACTTACACACAACGCCTCACCGTCTCGTCCTCCATGCATTTCTCGGCTGCAGCGGTATCGGCGCGCTTGAGGAGTGACATGTCGATGATCATTTTGTAGACTTGAGCGGGAGATGCTTGTCTTTTCAGTGTACGAGTATGTATAGACTGGACTACTTGGCGCCTCACTTGAGCTCTTATATACACCTGCCCAGATCCTAGACATAGGCGTCCAGGGGCGGGTCAGGAGGCTATTAAGGGACCTCTCGCGGGTTGGCTCGGGGATACCCATGTAAGGTCGGCTCAGGCCTGCAGGGGTAAGGTCAATACAAGTCGTCCTCTTTATCTATCCTTTGACATGATGTCCCCTTCGACCCCTGGATTAAGAAAGGTCAGTCTAGGCCGGAGGAGCCGGGATAAGTGAACGACACTGTGCCAATGGCTGGAAACGTCAAGATTGACAGGGCTAATGACGCATATCGTTTTGCGCACTGAATTCAAAGGGAGGAAGCGAGACACCCACGCCGACGACTGGTCGGCATCCCTCACCCAGCAGAAAGCGTGTCAGCCGGAATCAGCAGTCTCTCGGCTCTAACACGCATCAGTAGAGCAGTATAACAGCTTCTCGTGGCCGACCGCTGAGCTATGAGGAAGCTCTGTGATGTCAGCTAAGGCTGCGGTGACTCTCGTGCGCACAGTTCAGCCTGAGTATCAGAGATCAATGCATGGGGATTCTCGCGATTGACACGTGGCGTTCATATGCTTCATGGCTTGTAGTCGGGGGGCCTCATCTGCTCGTCCCCCTTACTCCCCTCTGATGTTGCATCTGCATTCGGCATAACTCCCCGTTCTCCACCAACAACACCGATACTTCCTAGGCCTGAGGTGGTATCCCCCCGTGACCGCCGAGCCAGCCGTATCCGCCGAACAATGAACCAGGTGAGCGCAAGAAGTATGCAAATCACTACCACTACGCCCGCCATGATGATGCCTGTCAGCGCCCCTGAAGTACATTAGCCGATACAGGGAGATGAGTAGACTTTGACCTGCCCTTGCTAATTGAGCTAGTCCAAGACGAAGTTTCTGGACGCGTATCATGAATGACCGGCGGTGGCGAAGAGCCGGGCGGGAATGGGAGTGCTATGTGGTTGTTCATCATGCCATGACTGCTGATATGTGTGAAGAGGGGAGCTTGAGCGTGGATCGATGGAGCTTGAGGAGGATCAGGGGTCGCAGGCGCGCGCCACGGAGAGGTGGAGTCAAAGGATACCTTTCGCGAGTGATCAGTTTGTGAGTATGAGTATGGAACCCAGATGGGCGAGCGGTCTTGCGGCGCCATTCGATGAGAATGTGGAGACTTTTGCCGAGTCTAATGTCCACGAATCGTACATACCATGCTGTCCCGGCTATCCTCCATGCCGCCCCTACTACCCTCCATGCTCTCGACCGACGAGCATGACCCTAGCGCCCTTACTTCATCTTCTCCAGCGGCCTGTTGAATCCTCCCCGACGGTTCATATACTGCCTCCATGTCCTCTCCTTATACACCTGCGCCTTACCCTCGACCACTTGATCAGCTACCTTTTTGTCCTGTACGTCAGCTTTGTCCAGAGTCGCCTTTTCCGGATCGACCCGCAAGATGTAGCTTACTTTGGTGGTACCGAAACCGCCGAACCCCATCATGGCCGCCAAAGCTGGGTCCATGCCCTCTTCTTCATCGTCTGATCCGGCAGCTTTTGTTTCAGGCTCAGGCTCCATTGGCAAGTCGCCTTCTTCTGTCAATCATCAGCTCGGGTCATCAGGTACTGAACGTAGTCAGAGTCAGACATGGAGATAGACTCACCCTCCTGTCTCCTTGCCTCGGCGACTGCAGCTGCTCGCTCCGCCTCTCGCTTTCGTCGTCCCTCCTCGATAGCTCGGCGATCTAGTGGCCGGTCGTAGTCTCCCCCGCTGGGACCATTCGGGCCATTTGGTCCGCCTTGGTAACCTCCATAGCCTCCTCCTCCACCATATCCACCTGGCCCAGAGCCGCCACCATATCCGCCGCCACCTCCGCCGCTATAACCGCCCCGTCCACCGTATCCCCCTCTTCCACCTCCTTGGCCCTGATTGGGGTATCCTCCTCCAGATCCGCCCTGACCCTGATATCCTTCACGCCCGCCCTGAACCTGGTAGCCCCCTCCACCTCCTCCCCGCGGGCCGCTAGGATAACCTCCTTCCCCTCGGGGTCCCAGACCGGACGGGCCTGCTGGGGGTCCTGACCTGGCGGGAGGACCAGCATCGGCGGCTGTCGATCCGCTTCTGCTGGAAGACCGAGGAGCGTCCAGCTCTCGCTGTGTAGGCTTGACGTCTGGATCTAAGTCGGGAAGACCGCCTCGTGAGCTGGGCGGTGGGGCATCGAGGTCGCGTCTGGATGGCTTGACGTCGGACTCAGTGTCCCGCCGAGATGACCCGCCACGGTGTCGGTCCTCGCTCCTGTGGGAGCCGTCGCGGTCGTATCGTCTATCTCTCCGATCTGCCAGATCAGCTTCGCTATTCTGGTTCGCGAGGACTGTACAGAAGGCAACTGACCTCGCTCATCGTATCGGCTTCCTCCATGCCGTTTAGGGATCCTGCTCCTACTCCGCTCCCTCTCCCTTTCTCTATCCCTTCCACCATGCCTCTCTCCCCGTCGCTCATCCCGCTCGCCACCGCCATACCGCCTGTCCTTGCCTCCGTCACGCTCGTACCTCTCATCCCTGTCTCGGCGGTCGTACCTGTCCTCTCTGGACCTATCGCCTCTCTCTCCATCCCGGTCTCGATGATCGGAACCACGTGTATACTCTCGGTCCCCGCTTGAGACGGAGGGCGGTAAAGCTGCGCGACTGGACATGATGTTGTGATATGTATGATAGAGCAAAGGTTGGCTCTGTGCAGAGGTCCTTGTGAGTGGACGGGAGCAAATTTCCGCCCTATTGTTGGCTGCGCCAAAGAGTCATCTCTCCACCTTCTATACATTGTCTATATACACCCATCCGTCCAAATAGGATGGCCTCTACACTGCACCCGCAGCTCCAAGCGGGCCTCAATAGCCTCCTAGGTCCCGGCGCTTTGACCGACCCGGGAACGCTCGATCCCGGCTACGTTTCGAGCTTGACCTCTAAAGTGGAGGCAATCTGGCGGCCTGTATTCGAGGCGTACGGAGACGGCCTGGGATCGGCTTCTAGCTCGACAGCGTCAGCCAACGAGAAGAGGATAGATATGGTCCGGACCGTACTGGAGCTGGTCGGGAAGGACGTGGTCCTGGCGCCGCTTATGGATGGCGAGGTGAGCCCCTCTCATTCCCGCGGCTACCTGTCGCTCCAGACCATGGCTGACTAGCGAGCTGCCTGAGCCGGAGACGAACGATACAGGCGGTCAAGAGGCTTTCCTCGGCGCCTTGAGCTACAGGCTGGACCTCATTCTGACGCTGTATGAGGTTGTCTACGCCAGCATGCCAGGTAGAATCCCCCGCCTTTTGAGGGAGAATCTCGGCTGATCAGGCAGATTCGTTGTCCCTCGAGCCCGGAAAACTCTTCATTCCACTGTTGGAAGAACTTATCGAGCTCTTGTCCGTCGAGATCTGGCGAAATCTCTGGAAGTATATCGAGACCCGCTCGAAACGGTTCACAAAGGTACCTCTCCCTCTTTATCTTTCTCGGACTGGGCTAACCAGTAGGATATGCCAGCATCAAGAGGCAAAGCTCTCCCTCTCCTCCGTACCCTCAACTCCTTTCTCCGCTTCCTACCACGCACTCCTGAAGATCTCGTCTTCCGCGGCCGGATCCACCAATTCGCAAGTAGCGTCATCAGCGTCGCAGACAAGAGCGCCGTCAACCTTCGCGGGGACTATAGCGACATCCAAACAACATGGGGGGCCGAGGAGGAGAAAGACGTGGCAAAGGGGGAAGGCGATGGCGATGTGGAGATGAAGGAGGAGACCGGGAAGAAGGAGGATACCAAGGAGACAAAGACCAGCGAGGAGGAGCCGGACTTTTACTCGACACTCTGGTCGATCCAGCAATACTTTTCGAACCCGTCTACGCTGGACGGTCCGCCTACTGGTTCGCCCCCGGTTTCAGGCTTTGAGCAGTTCAAACAGAAGACGGACTTTCTCCTCCCAAAGCTATTCGAGCAGACGCAAAACGAAAAGGCGACTTCTAGTACCGAATCGTCTACCAGCCCCTCTCAATCGTCGCGGAAACGGAAACGCGAGGACGGCGGCGACCCGACAGACTCCGCTGTTACTGCCGACCCCCTTCCCGCTTCTACCTCCACGTCAGCAAATGCCTTCTTCCATCCTCGGTATCTCACCGGCCGGCGGCTATTCTCGCATGAGCTCGCGGACCCGTCTTTCCGCCGTCAAATCCTCGTCCAGTACACCATCCTCTTCCAGTTCCTCCTCAACCTCACTCCGTCCCTCGTCTCCAAGCAGGCATACACCGGCGGGATCTCCAAGACGTTCGTGCTTGGTCCAGAGGATCAGGAATGGGTGCGAAAGAAAGCAATGGGGATTCGAGAGGAGTTGAGGAAGATGGGGAGGGATGGAAAGACTTTTGAGAGTACGTTGATGAGTGTGATCCATAGGGAGCGGCATTATGTGAGTTTTATCATTTCAGAGTCGGGGTCCAGAGCTGATGAGCAGGCGCAATGGAAGAACGAGGCATGCCCGGAGAGCGTCTTTGACGTTCCACCTATGAAGGAGGACTTCGTCAAGGAGGCTGCGGAAGGCTGGAAACGGCATTGCGAACCGCCGGCGAGGTTCCCGTTCAAGCTGGGGTCAAGACCGTTGACTCTGCTCTGGCGCAATGGGTTTGAGGGGATTGATCAGCTAAAAGGGTGGAAGCGGTACGTTCTGCTGTTTATCCCATTTGGGAGACGCCAAGCTGATATATGTAGGTCAACCACGTTCTACGGGCTCGAAGAGGAGCTGAAGGCTATGGAGGAGGGAATCGAGGACGACAAAGCGATGGGGAGAGAGCAATCCGAGGACGACCAAGCTGCAAGTCAAGAGGTATGTCTTCGTCTCCGCTCTGAAAGAGAGCTAGACTGACTCCCAGCTACGTACCAAAAACACCTGGCGCGGACTACGTCTAGCCTCTCACGTCGGCCTTCGCTTCTTCCAAGCCTGCCGAGAAAAGCGTGACTTGCATACACTTGTCGACGCGATGAAGGCCGAAGAGGAGGGCAAGGGTCTGCGGTCCGCGCCCCGCCCCGGAGGACGGGAGGGCACGGAGGATCGGACGGAGGATGAGGCGACCAAGGAGATGGAGGAGAGTGTCAAGGCGGAGGCGGCTGTGGAGGAGGTTGAGGAGGCGAGGGCCCTGACGCCGCCATTAGAGGACAAGAAGGTGAAGGATGAGGTGAGTCTAGGCTATTGTTCGGGTCCTATGAGAGGGGCAAGTCTGACGGTGCAGAAAGTGGAGGTTGTGGGTGCGGATGTGGAGATGGCGAGCTAGGCGGCGGTTGGGACTGACCGTGTGGATGTATCGAGCTGTTGGACAGGACGTTGGCAGGCGCTGCGCAATAATTCAACACTCACGGCTTCTTGCAGATCCAGACTAGGTCCGAGACCGCTCCACATACTGACGTGACTCATACTCATACTCATACTCATGGGATCCGACCCGACACTCGCATACTCACCAGGCAGGTTCCTTCTTGAAGACGGGGCAAGCGGGATAAATACGATCAGGGCAAGAGCGAGGGGCTTGCGCGATACGAATAGTGATGTCGAGATGAAAGAGTGCCCGGTCCGACATGTGGGGATGGACAGATAGGACCATCGTAGCGAGGAAGCCGGTAAACAAGATACCTCTATTGATTCAGCATATATTGAGTGTCCCGGAGGTCCCAAAATCTGTAGCAACGGCCTCGCGCCGGCGCCGGGATTAATCGGCTTAAAGTCGGTCCGAAGAGTCGGTATGCAGAGTGAGCACGTGCAAAAGTGACATCATCAAGCCGCCGGCTCTCGGATCTGTTCGGATCTCGGTGCCCAGCGCTGAGCGCTCCGCCGAAGCCCATATGGACACCGCACTGTACACCGCTTCACTAGCTGGACTGTCAACGCGATGACTCCTCATAAATAGCGCAACCTACGTGTCCTCCCAGCTTCGGATACATATAAAGTACCAGCGGCCAGAAGACAGACCAAAACTCAATCACAACTCACAATGGGCAAACTCACTGATCTGCTGGGTCGATCCTCCGCGTCCGACACGCCCGGGCGCGGGTCGTCCGGCTCCCACCTACACGCGCCAAGTTCGGAACAAGGTTCTGAGAGCTCGACAGGGAAGGAGCACCTCCTCAAGGAGGATGCTTTCGATGGCGGCAAGGTGGAGAGCGGGGACGAATACGACGAGGTCGCCTACCTCAACACCGCCGATGAGCCGCAGAGCCTCGCGGGGCCGACTGGGGTCTTCCCTGCGTATTGTGCCCAGGGCGGTGCGGTCAGCATATCGATCAAAGCCGATTCGGCGATGAGTGCCGTACGTTTTTCACCCTATCCTTGATTTCCCCTGTTCGAGCGTACCCGATTCGATATGGGGGTTCCAAGCTGATATGGGGCAGAAGAATTGGACGATCAAGGACACAGGAACGGGCGACGTCGTATTCAGTGTGAAGGGGAAAGATATGTCCGTCAAGGTGGAGAAGGGTGAGTTTACTGGCAACGGGCAGCGAGGCTTGCAGCTTATTGGAGCAGTATTCACAGACGCGAAAGGCCAGGATGTGTTGAAGCTGCGACGTCATAATGCGTGGATGTATGGCAATTACTATGTCGAAGACATGGACAACCAGGAGGTTATGACCTTCGAAAGGCGTACGCTAGGTCCTATGAATGGCCTAGTATAGAACACAGCGCTGACTCTACAGATGGAAAAGTCGTCACGGCGACTTTTGTCGACCATATCACGCAGCAGCGCCGGGAGCTACGAGTCGACGCAAAATGGAGCAAGAGCCGAGGATGGGTGTTCGTGGATGGGATGTACCTCGGTGTGATAGCGAAAGCTGCGGATTCATCAAGGAGCGGGATGTGTCCTACTGTACGTACTTGCCCGACGGACACACTCCGTGCCCCTCTTCCACCCGGCCTTATCCCTGAAATCTCATAATACGTTCGATAGGTGCTGACAAAGCAGTATCAAATCCGCGTACCAGAGGGCATGGACGTCTCCTTGATGGCGGCCTTAGGCGTGGTTTTTGCCCGACTGGTGACGGAGTGGAATGAGGGACTCATGTCTGTGACAGCGGGAGTGGGTCGCGTTGTGGTGACGTGAAGCAGAAATGTCGCCTGGTAATATGTGATGCATCAGCAGACTGTACGGTCCACTCCCTCGCTATACGTCGGCTCGTTATTGACCTGACCCTCGACCATGTCCCGACCAAGCTCCATGCACTCGCTCCGTCTCACATCCCTTCCCAGCCCCACGTCCGCCTCCCAACCATATGACCACAGCCCTCGGCATGTATCCCGTCCATCCCTCCTCGCCCATCCACCTTGCCACCCTCATCTCCCCGCCTCGGTGGTCCCTCACAGTCCGGCACTGTACAAAGCACACACGGCGGGGGATTCGAGTTATCATTGGCGTACAGCTCCGCATCGGCTTGCCTATCCTTGTAGATCGCGAGATATGTGCTACCCTCCGGGTCGATCTGAACGAGTCCTGCGGTGGGATCCGACGGGGTTGGACCAGCAAGCGGAGTTGCAGATTCGCCGGGGAGGGGATAGCGGTAGAGACGGATATCCGTTGGCGGACGGGCAGTGGGTACCTTCAGCACCGCCTTCCCTTTACCCTTCCCCGCCGCATTCGCAGATTCTGTTGCGCGCAACTCCTGCACCGCCCATTCGTCCGCTTTCCGCCGAGCTCGCTCGTACCTCTCCCCAATATGTGCCGCCCATCCTGCCACTTTGGCCAGACCTTCCCTCCACCCCGCATGAAACTCGGCGTTCCACTCGCGCGCCTGAATCGCCGAGAGTCGTGCTTCTCCGCCCACGGAGATGGTCCGGAGAGCTGGCAGTGGAGGAAGAATGAGGTAGAGGCGGTCAGGAGGGCCGAGGATGACGCCCGCTGCGGCAGCTGATGACCCGGCTGCCGATACGGATGACCGCCGAAGGTTGCTATTGCGCAGCGAAAAAGTCGCCATACCCGCTGACCGGTGTCCGCGCCGAGCTCGAGCGAGATTCAGTTGCCGCTCCCTCTCCTCTGCAGCTTCCCGCGCTTGTCGGCTGGCTTCCTCGATGGGCGTCTCCTCTCTCCTCAGTCCGCCACCACCCCCTCCACCACCATGATTCGCCCGCGCAACTGCTTCAGCCTGAGCGATAGCTGCACGCGTCCTATCCGCAACGTCCCACATCGCAATCGCTCTCTCCCGGTCCTTTCCCCTCGCTAAACCCGCTGAGGGGATCAAGCCGCCCAGGTTCCGGCATAGCTCAGCCCCCTTGTCCTTCGCCTGGAACCCAAACAGATTGACCCGATCCATGACAAGGTGCTCAACCTGCTCGTACTGCCGGAGCATGGCGGAGAGGATACCGTCGAGCCGGACGTTGGTCGTGGAGATGTCGAGATAGGTGAGAGAGGGAAAGTAGGTAGATCCAGGTGGGGCGAGGAGGAGGGATACGACGTCTCGCGAGGGCACACGCAAACGGAGATGGGTGAGGTGACGAGCCGCAGGTGCAGCTCCGAATCGAGCGATGCACTTGATGTCGAAAAAGACGATGGGCTGGGCAAAGGTCTTGGGTCGCGCCCAAGCGAGCTTGTCCCCGAGGTACTCAAAGGGTCCGTGCCCGGTGTACCCGCGGGGCTCGACGACGGGTGCGACCGGCTCAGCCGGTACCTCCTCGTCCGATCCCAAGTCCAGGGCCGCGACGTCCGCATTGAGACTGTCTGGAAGGATGACGGGACTGCCCTGGGACGAAGGCACCGTGCTCGCAGCTGTGGAAGCGACGGTGCTCACAGCAGTGCTAGCGTCAGCGGTAGAGGCTGTGGTGCCGGCGGAGAATGTGGGAGCTGGGCGTTTCGTCCGAGGTGGTATCTCCTGGATGATGGCGAGGCGGGTGAAAGTAGGCGACTCGGGCCATCGTTGCGTGAGCATTTCGATGGCGGTGTCAAAGTACGAGCCTGATAATCAGCAATGCCCAACCTATAGCAAACTCACCCTTCAAAAACTGATAGTAGCTCGCCTGCTCGACATACGGCTTGAAGCGCAGCTCCAGCCTCTGCATCGTTGGCCGATGCGTCTGAAACATCTCCGCGAGGTGTTCAGGCGCAAAGTTGGTGCCCATATTGAGGCAGAGTACGGGTATGTCTGGTAGACATCGCAGAGTACTGATCATTAGCTAATCCTATAGCTCAAACACTCACTTGTTGAGGATATCAGCGTCCCCCCTCCAGGACTCCATGACGAATCCGCCCACCCTCGCTCGCATCCCTTCCCGTTCGACTCGCTCCCGCCGTCGCCTCGCCGCATGCCAAAGCGGTACCAGCTGCTCTCCCTTCCTCACTGTCACATATCGCCAGAGATACTCCTCCGTCACCCGAGCATCGGGGAAGACTTGGTGTAAGGCCAGGGCCGTCCGCTGAAGCTGAGACGCTGGGACGTGGTCGAGGAAATACGAAAAGATCTCGGGCGGGAGACGAAGGATTGGCGCTAGTGAAGTCGTGGACGCCTCGACGTTGGTATCGGAAGCCTCCGAGTGAGTGAGCGAGTGAGTGAGCAAGGGGGAAGCCTCCCTCTCAGCTGTGTTGCTGCTTGTCATACCAATGTACGGATGAGAAAGATGAAGGAGAGATCGTCGGAAAGACGTCATCGTTTTCAGCGGGTGGCAAATCCGGATCCGGATCCGGATATTCAGATTCTGGTCCAGCAGCGCATGCGCGATACGGTAGCTCTGAGTGCACAGTATTGGCGGTCGATTGCAGGAGCCGAGGTGATCTGATCAATGGATGACCTGGGAGACTGGCAGGATCCCACCATGCCAGCCAGCTCCTGCTCAACTCTGGACTCCCCCACTCAGAGGACGAGTAGGGTGGGGAAAATATTACGTAACTTGCCTGAATTTGTGCAAAGATGAGTCGCGATCATCACGACTTTCCCTCACATGCTCTTCGTGTAAGGACCAGCCCTTTGAGCGACCGCGACATCCTCATCAGCTCTGGACGAGCCGCGCGGCTGGCTCACATACCGACCCACTGAGCTGGCTGGGCGAGTCGCTGCCCCTCCCTTCCCTCCTCCGGCCCGACATGCTCTCCGGCCGTCTGGGCCGCATATCCCCCCGTCGACGCCTAGCACTTCGCGTCGCGTTCGTTTGCGCCGCACTTGCCCTCCTACAATGGGCTCCGGTCAACCTGTACATATTCGGCGGACCGCTCGCGCCACCTGGAATGCGCCAATTCGGATGGGCCGGTCCCCTTCCCGGCGCGCACCTAAAGCAAATCAACGTCATCCTCGTGCACGTCGGTCACTACCCTCCGCCTCCATACCTAGCATCAGCTATCGCTCAGGTTCGGGCTACCAACCCCTTATCTGACAATGTTCATATATGGGTCATCATGGACTACAATTCGACGATATTTTCGTCCCTCCCCCTCCCCCTCGCGACGTCCACCGGTATCGTCGACCCGTACATCCACTTTGTGGCTCCTTCGTCGCTTGTCGCAGATGTCGGGAAGGGCCACTATAAGGATCAGGGATTCTGGCGTATGACGACCGAACGGCTGTTCTATGTGGCTAGTCTGGCGACGCGGGAGGATCTGCGCAATATCATCCTGCTCGAGTCGGATAATCTGCTGTATGCGCACCTGAGGGAGCTGCTCCCGCAATTTCAGGCGTTGTATCCGGGGACGGGCGCTACTCGAGACTCTCCAGAGAGGGGCATAGCGGGTCTCATGTGGTGCGTATCTAATCTGCAATCGAGGCTGCAGCTGACTTGCAGGTTTGCGAATCCCTCTTCCCTGGCCCACTTTGGCAGCTTTGTCCGTAAAGAGGCAAGGGCGAGCGTTAACGAGACAAACGATATGATCCTCCTCAATCGGTACTTTGAGGTCTACGGCTCTGACCCCTCCATCCTCTCAAACCTCCCCGTCCTTCCAGAATACCACGCCCTATCGGCCGGATCACACATGCGCGCCCGGGAGGGAACGACAGCGGTCACCACCGTCGAAGGGGTGATGGCGTACGCTCGCAACAACCGCGCATTCGGCACGTCTCGAACTCACGGGGTCGTCGGCGGTATCTTTGACGCAGCGGCGGTCGGCCAGTACCTCTTCGGCACCGACAACCCGCGGGGCAAGTGGACTGCGGGCTTTATCAACGAGGCAGCAGTCTACCAACTCGGCAGGTGGACCTACGTCTGGCGGGTGGAGGTCTACGCCAATGTCTCTGGCTACTGCCCCTACCTCGTCGAGAATCCCGATGCGCCCGAGTCGGACTGGCGGCTGCACAAGATCAACAATCTGCATACGCACCACAAGAATCTCGCGTACCAGCGAGCGCAGCCAGATGGGCCAGTCATCCGTTCGGGCGCGCTCGTACATGAGAGGGAGCCGCGCTTGGAGACGGAAGCGGAGGCGGGAATGTGGGCGGATCGGTGGAATGTGCAGACGACGGAGTTTCGGTCGGCTATGGAACAGGGTAAGCTCTTTGAGATCTTGCTGAACACGGCTGAGTCTCAGCCGCCGCTCTGCCCGCCGACCCTCACTCTCGCCCCTCCTCTTACCCTCTGATCTCGAATGACGGGTTCCGCCTCATCGCAGACTTTGGATCGTTCGACGAGACGGCCGACTACTGGACTTCTTTCGATACCAGCCGCCTCTCACCCGGAAGTATCGTCATGATATCGTCCGACTTTCTCCCCATCTTCTTCGCCCTCCGCCCTCGACCTACCGTCCCCTACATCCTCATCTCTGGCAACTCTGACCGCGGTCCAGCACCTGATATGATCCGTCATCTAAAGGACAAACACCTGCACGCTTGGTACGCCCAGAACCCTTCATTCGTCCATCCTCGACACCACCCCATCCCGATCGGCTTCAGGAACGCCGAGCGGCTCTTCAAGCTCGCCCAGGCAGTACATGGCCCGCTATCCCCCTCTGACCAGTCGGACGGCGTTTCTCCCTCCACACGGGCAGACGAAGTGAAGCGTCGCGATATACTGCTGTACGTGAAGCTCGGCGAGACCTATCCCGACCGCGCGAGGTGGTTATCAGCCATCAAGAGCTGGGGCGTACCAGTCAAAGACGTCTTGATCATCACGTCCCGAATCTCATTCGGCGAGTACGCCTCTCATCTCGGTCGGAGCCGCTTCGTCCTCACTCCGCCAGAGACCGGGCTTGACTCACATGCGACATGGGAGGCGTTGTTGTTCGGTGCGATTCCTATCGTCCAGTCTGTCCCGGCGCTGAACAAGCTGTATAATCATCACCCGGTGCTGGTTGTGCGGGATCCGGAGGAGGTCACGAGGGAGATGTTGGAGGGATGGCAGCCGGAATCTTGGGGACGGAAGAGTGTGTGGTGTAATGAGTGGTATGCGAGGATAGCGGAGGATCGGCGAGTGTGTATGGACATGGTGAGGGATGGGAGGAAGGTCAAGGGAACAAGAGAGAGGGGGTAGTGTCGGTCTTGAAGTGACATCAGAAGCGTAAGCCGGATTTCATCCTCAGGATTTGTCTAGAGCATCGAGCTGACACTGCAGATCTCCGTCGCCACTGCTGCCGGTACTATATGCTCCCAGCAACGCACAGTCACCGAATACTCAGGTGTCGTCCCAGCGGCCTGGTCCCTCTCCACGGTCAGTGCGCATCTAGCCGAGGGAGCGGGGAAGAAGGGTATGGCCGGACTCGGGAACTGAACGATCTCGTGAGTACTCGCCGCCTGCGTCTTCACCTTCTTCCATTCGTCGCTTCCCTCCACCTGCCTGAGCTGGGGGTGGGTTGAGAGGCAACGCTAATATTTGAAGAACCAGATTCCATCATCTTGACATACGGCACGGCGCCGATCCGGCCTTGCTGCTCTTACTGAGTCGATCTTCCGGTCTCACGACGGAGTGCAATGAGGGTAACATCTTTTGGGATATATAGCTGTATATATGCACCGTATAGCTCGCCCGTACTGCTACTCCCCTGCAGTCTACAAGCCTTCCACCCTCACCCCTCCACCTCGGTTACTACCTCGCGCAAGAGTGGGGATCACAGATCTATGACGCCATTGTTACGCAACCCACCTGATTGGCTCGCGCTCGCCTTCCGCTCGCCGCTGCAGACTTCCTCCTCTGTTGTATCTGTTCACTTTGTTCCCTCGTCCCAGACTTATACTGCAAAGCTCCATCATCTACACCTGCACTGAGATCTAGGCACGATGGCTACATCCACCTACCCCTCCATGGCGTCCCAAAACCCTCTCACCCAACTCATCGCCCACTCAGCCCTCAAAGTCGCCCAAGCCGGCGCCACGGTCCTGCCCCCAGCCTACCTCGTCTCGTCTCTTATTCTCAGACGGGGTACCGGCTTCTCCGTGAGAGGTCTGATGAGAAGCGCCAATATGGCTGTACTGGGAGGCGGGGCGTTAGGGGCCGGCGCGGCGTGGGTGAGGTTGAGAGGGGCGAGTGCGGAGAGTCTGGAAGATAGGGTGTTTAGGCTGGTACGTGCCTCGCCGGGCCAGCAGACCGAGAAGTCATATGGACGAGGAGAGAACGCGGCTGATGAGGTAGTCACACAGCACGAGCCAGGTCCATGTGGACGACTACTCGTTTATCGGCTCGGCACTCTCAGCAGTCGTCATACCCGCCATCTTCCTAAAGCGGGCGCCGCTGCCTTCGTTAGTCACTGGGGGAGCGAGCGTGGGGCTGGGCGTAGGGAGCTGGACACATATAGCGGGGATGTTCAGCCAAGGGAAGGATGTGAGGCCAGAGGGAATGGTACGTCCCGCTTTCTCACACCCTTGAGCGCTCGGACGGAGCTGATGTATAGGTCGGGGAGTTACCTGTTGTAGGCGGTAATAACAAGCCATGAGATACCTTTACTGCTCTGCCCAGTTCAGCCGGTCTATGGGCTTTACTCATGCTGACTGTGCCTGACGTATCTGAGTCCTCAAGCCAACTCAGGGTAACTCCAGATCAGGCACACATCTCCGCACACACCTCATTCCTCTGCCTCACTTTTCGCATCAGATCAGATCTAATCAGGCACAGCCCTTCAATCTTCTTCTTTCCCTATTGTTCTTCCCCCTTCTACCTCCTCGCCACTGATATCTCCACCAGGCTGTGCCGAACCCCTCCCGCCTTGCCTCACATCGGCCTCACTTCTGCCTCACTTCACCTCGCCCACCTCTCTCTCCATCACGCAGCACACACAGCACAGCTGATCACACTCCCTCACGACCGGGAGCGAGACGCTCCCGAGCTTCCTACGGACGGTAGAGCCGACTCGAATCGACTCGACTCGAGGCTAGCCACACGTCACCCTGGCAGCGTGTGTACTGTGTACGTGGAACGCGGGTATCCGGCTCCGGCGGCAGTATATCCATATCATCGAGTAGACGCATTTTTGCCACCCGACTCAGATATAACGCTGTCCATCTCCTCTGCCTTCTTTCCACCACACTTCATCCTTCCCTCACGACACTCCAGTAATCGCATCGATAGTTCTCAGCCACATCCCCCACTGCCGCTACCCCATACCGCTCCCGCCTCCTCGCTCGCATCATTCAGCTCCACGCTATCCCCCTCACCACCTGCAGCTGCCCCACCTCGGCCCTGCTCCTTCTCGCCTATCCCCCTCGCCGGCCAAACAAGCTTCGGAAGATGTCGATCCCGTACAACCTCTGGGGTCATGCGCCTATGCATGGGCAGGGGTATGCTATACCCGCTATCCTGCCTTCTGTCACGTACGTCTTCCTTCTTCCTGAATATCAACGGTCATCCCTCTCTTCAGGCCCGCTCACTCGCTTGGCTTCCTTCCTCCTTAATCTTAGCGCTGCTCTAAGCTCTTGCTGACCCCCAGCCCCACGGTCGTCAACCCCGCCGAAGCCATCCGCGACTACACCGAGCACGTCATATCAGGGGACCGCCGCGCCATGTGCTCCGAGGGCGACAAGCGGAACCTCGAAGAATGGGGCAAGAACGACGAGTACCGCAAGGCCATCATGGCGGTCATCAAGGCCCGTCTCGACCTCCCGTGGCCGTACAACTACAAAGCCCTCGACGCCCTCTCCTGCATGCCCGTCAGCGAGATGGCTGCTGTCCTCGACAAGACCACCAAGCTCGCCGAGGTCGCCGCGAGCGTCGAGGGCGCGCAGCATCTCAAGCAGATGGCGAAGGGGGTGGTGGAGAAGGGCAAGAAGGAGAAGGATCGGGTAGAGGAGGAAGAGGCAAAGAAGAGGATGGCGGCTGTGGCGGAGATGTGGGGGGGGTTGTGGAGTAATCAGCCGACGGCTCAGTCGGCGGCGCAGGTCGGGATGATGCAGCAGGGATGGGGAGGGTGGCCGTATCCCTGGGCGGGACCGCCGGGGGTTGCGATGCCCCAGATGGCGAGCGGAGGAGGTATGGGGATGGGGATGGGGCCGGCGTGGAATAGCAAGGCGCCGGAAGGGTGGACTCCGTGGGTTGTTACTCCAGTTCCGATGAGTGGGGGCGGGGGATGGCAATTGTACCAGGGGTTCCCGCGGCAGGCGTAGGTGACGAGGGAGCAGTGAGCGAGAAGGACCCCAACTCTGGAAGAGGAACAAAAGCTGACCAAAGCGGACCCTACTCTTCCAACCCACATTCCACCTCTCCATTCGCATACTTCCCTTTCCGCCTCCCACCTGCTTTTGGACCGCCCTCGGACCCGGCTCCCCCACCTCCGCCTCCGCCCGCTCCGGAAATTCAATACGTCTACCCTCCTTATGCCTTCTCCCCATACTCCGGCTTAAACTCGGAACCTCCCCTCCCGCCCGGTCATCCATTCCCCTACTCTCGGTGGATGTCACACACCCTCTCATACCCTCTCGGCCACGCATGATTCCCCACGCCCAGCACTCATCCTCACGGTCACGGTCACTTCCCAATCACAACAATCGTCCAGCCACACTTATGCTTTCTCAACTATGCGGCGAAACCGGTACCCCAACAGATCGAAGATCACACCCCATAATCAAATCTACCCCTTTTCACGTACGGGCTACTATGCGCTCATGGCGCCGCCAGAGGTCAAGCCGGAGGTCCAGCCTGTTACGTGGGTCAGCGTGGGGACTACCCCTCGGTGAGTTTCGAGTATTCCACATCTGCTCTGGCGGAATGAGGCACGTCAAGCTGATGCAGCAGACGAGACGCAATTGCCGCACATCCCATTCCGATCAAGACGGGCAATGTATGGAAGGACGCTATTGCCAAGCAAGCAGCAAAGGAGCAGCAGCAAGGGTGGTTCAATATGTCTGGAGGGAATCTGTGAGGTGCAGCAGGGGAGGGGGGGGGGAGGGGGGGGGCGATGGGGTTGTACATGGTCTCGCGGATTGTAAAAGTAGCACGACGCGGCATGATAATGACCAGCAGTGTAGTCAGGTATATCATCAGTAGGAATGAAAAATGACTAGTCAGACGTACAGCCAAAAGTCTCGGCATTCAGAGTGGTGGCCCCCCAGAGTTCCTGAAAGGTGCATCTCGATCTGCATTGCAAGGTTCCGCTCATTCCGTAGATGCTCGTTTACTCCTGTGCGGTCTCCCCTGGCACCCCGTGCGCCGCTTTCCGCTTATACGTCGCTTGGTCCCGGAGCCATCGGCGATATGTGGGAAGCGAAGTGATCTATTTGTCAGCTCTACCTCACTTGCATCTCCGCAACATCGCATGTCCTCCTCCAGATTTCTTCCTCTCGATGGATCCTTCTTTGCCCCAATCCCTACGCCCCCTCTTCCGCTACCTTTACCCCCACTCGGGGTCTTCCTTCCACGTTCTGAACCCTCACATACCTTCTCGCCATAATAGTCCGGCGGCAGATTATTCACACTCTGGAACCTCGGATCCACGCGATTCCGCTTGATATGCTCAAACAGCTCCCTGTCCATTATTTCGAGCGGGGAGGGTGAGCCGCGCGAGTAGGCCGGGTGGGTCAGGGAGAAGAGGGAGGAGCCGAGGGTGGGGCCGATGAGGTAGCCGAATACTGCGAATCAGTCAGCCAGACCACTCGCTTCTCGCTTCTTTGTACAAAACATAGTCACTCACTCATACATCCTAGTCTGGGCATGGATTAGCATGGATCAGTCAGTCAGTCAGTCAGTATAGAGGAACATACGTAGCTCCACCGTATATCACCCTAGATGTCAGCTCCTGACTTCACTCGCCATGTTCGGAGCCAAGCTGAACTGACAATGGCTCCAACCCCATGATCAGCTCTGTCGGGTCCGCCTCCAACCCCGCAAAGTACCCTCCGCCCACAAAGAGCCCGGCGGCCGTCGTGGGGATACTAGTGAGGGTGGACCATAATCTCCGACGGCGGCGGAGGGCTAGGTACGAGGGCCAAGTGAGGGGGAGGGCGGCGCTCGTTGAGGCCGAAGGCGAAGGAGTGGCGGAAGAGAGGGGAGGAGTGGAGGTGGTGGTTGTGGACGCCGGGCGGGCGAAAGCGAGGGATGAGGTGGTCGGGAGAGCTCGCTGGGCTGTGGCTGAGCCCAGGAGTGTGCTTGTTAGACGCCGGGACATTTGGGCTGGCGGCTGTAGGGTCGTAGAGGTAGCTGTGAATGAAGAGGTTCAGGTGTGAGCTTGAAGCTTGAATCTGGCTGCAGGCGAGAGAGATCGCTGATCAGGACGAGGATGACGTGGCGTTTGATGATCCGGTTGATTAGGAATTCATTAGGAATTGATGAGGAATTGATCCTAATGAATTTCCTAATGGTAGTCTCGGCTGATACCTTAGCCGAAGGCCGAAGTGGAGGTCGTCATGGTCAGACGACAAACGATCGAGCTCTCAAGCTAGACTTCGACTGTACACCACGCTCTGACGATACTGACGCCTACTGCTCCTCTGCGGCCCATAGAAACACAGCAGTCTATCCAGACAGTATCCAGGATGATAGCTGTGGCCACCTCCACGAGCCGGGAAGGTGCGGCTCCGCCCTCGCCTCCGCCCGCCTTGCAATTTCTAGACCTCCCCTCTGAGATCCACAGTCAGATCGCCGCGTAAGTCCCCTTCGCCCCTCGTCAGTACATCCAGCTGATAGAGATAGCTACCTCCCCCTCACCCAGATCATCCCCTTCTTATCCCTCCACCCGACCCTCCTCGGCCTGTCACGCAGTAATCTCACCCCTCTCCCGCAACTCATCCGCGAGGCACTAGACGGAGGATGGCCATACCATCCCCTTCTCGCCAAGCTTCCGTCCCTATCGCTCTTCTTACCAGATGACGGAGGCGCGATCTTCCTGGAGGTCTTGGTCAGAGCGAGACCGAAGTGGGTGTTGGAACGGCTGGAACTGGGACGGTGGACGGAGGGGGTTTGGAAGGAGGCTTTTGAGCGGAGGTTTCTGCCGAGTTGGAAGAGGTACAAGGGGGAGGGAGATACCTGGCGGGCTGTATTCCTGAGGTGAGTCCGCACAGGCACAAGAGGGAAGTCCGAAAACGGCCGGAGCTGATCCGGTAGGATACTCGGGAGGCTGGAGCACCGGAATTTGGGCTGCACGCACGACGAGTCCTGGACGGTATGTCCTCGCTATGGGACTGCGGAAGTCGTCTTCCCTGACCCAGCGCTAACAATCCAGCGCTTCATCACGCTCCACCGAAACGGCTCCGCGTCCATCAACCGTATCTATTCCCGCCAATTCGACCCATACCAGATCTACGACGAGCTCAAACATCAAAACAACTTCGCCGCGGAACCCACCACCGTCCGCGTCGTTGTGCATCTGCAGGACGTGCGCGTCATCGTCCTGGGGGTACTGTACAAGTACCCCAGTCTGTTTGTGAATCAGAATGCGCACGATCTGCTACATCCGCCGCTGCTTACCGAGGTGGAGATGGAGCGGGGATCATCGAACTTCAGTGGCGTAGGGAGCTCGGGTCGGGCGGGCAGCGGCGAATCACCCAGTCAGAGACCGGCTGTCGATCGGATAGCATCAGGGACTGCATCCGCCAATCCCTCTTCGGCAACGAATGAGGTCTACTACCCCCTCGTGCGGTCGCTCTCCCCCTCCGGCCCACAAGATACCTCATACGGCCTGACAGACGGTACCTTCACGAGCTCTTCGTCTACCGCGGCGTCTCAACCCCCGCCTACTACTCGCCGAGCTACACTCTCTAGCCTTCTCTCGCCCTCCCTGAGATCGCGCCTCCCATCATCTCAAAACGTCAACGGGAGCGGTAGCGGCAGCGGGATGCCAGCCTACCCCGCTCCAGAGTCTCCCTCCTGGGCGCCTTCCAACGGGAAACGGGGTCTCGGCGCCCGACTCACATCCAGCCGGTCGCGGGATAGCGACGATACCACTCCCAAATCGACGGGAAAGAAATGGGGATTGGGTCGAAGGCACAGTGGGGAGGACAGGGGGACCGTGATTCCCGCGTCGGCGCTGTTCTCGGGCGGAGGGAGCGGTTCGGGCGGGTCTGGTGGATCAAGTGGAAATGCCGTGGGGACGAACGGTCACGAGGCGGAGGGCGCGAGAGTCATCCCTGCTTCGGCGCTGTTTGGGGAGCAGGGCAGACAGGGGTCTGTACCGGATTCGAGTCGCGCGCCGGGTCCGTCAATCCTCGCAAACTCGACGACGGCGACGCATACCGCCTCAGCGGTGTCAATAGCTGTATCCAGCTCGTCCAGCCCATATGCGGAGGTATCGCAACCTACAGGAGCTGGCCCGGATACGCGAGAGCCGCAAGCGCAGCCCCAGACCGGCAACGACCTGATCGCTCCCCGACCTCGCCTGCACCTCCCTTACCCACCCATGCGCAGACCCCAGCCTGCCCCATCTTACCGCTTCTACCCCAACTACACACCGCCCCCTTTCCCACATCCCTCCTCGGACTCCACGTACAAGGACGGCGTCAGCGCCGGAGCCTCGGCCGTCCTGTTTGACCGGAGGCAAGCGCACCAAGTGGTCGAAGACGATTATGCGGGCAATATCTGGGCGTACAGACGTACAGCGGGGGATGGGCTGGGTGGGGTAGGGGACGGGGACACGGCCGGGTCGGCGGAGGGAGGGGATGAGGTCTGGGGAGGCGGAGAGAGGTATGTTGAGTGGGACGAAGCGGAGGGAGGGCGGAGACGGTGGGTCGGGCCTATGCTGTGAGTTCTGGGTTTTGCTCCTTCCTCTTTACTTCTTTCCCTCCATTCCAGATCCTCACAGACGTCTAACCCTCCACACGTTGATTACCTATGCACGCCAAAATAGAGCTGACTCCTCAGCGTCATCGCCCAGCTCCACCCCACACACCACCCCCGCGCCCAACCGCCCGGCGTGGACCCGTCTCTCCCGACAGAAGGCTCAGACCCCGATCTGGGCCCGAAAGGGATGTACGCGAGTCTAGGGTTTGAGGACCTTGAGAAGATCATGGGGTGGGTCGAGCTGAAGGGTGGGGGCGCGTATGTGGCGGATCCGAGGAGGGGCGGGATGGGGTTTGAGTGAGTGAGCGCGAGGGGGTTTGGGGAAGTATTTCGCAGGAAGAGCAGTGTCGATACGTTATTGACTGGTGTATCACCGCTCCATAATACACGGGCTCATGATGAGCGGTGATCCTGGCCATGTGAGGCACATTTTGACGCTGGACAAAGTGTACAGCATATTTGTAATCGCCAGGACTACTAAGGTATCTTATCTGCAGACCACTCTATCCTCGCGCATCCTCGCTACACCCCCTGAGCCGTCACGCCCTGAGCCCCCTCGGTCATCCGATCCCACCGAGATCCCCACGACCTCGCCGATCCGGCTCCCGACCTCTTGCTCACAACCCTACCTGCCGCGTCTCCCCCTTCTGCACCCGTACCCGACCCGTCCCCGCCCTTGCCCGTGTGCGCCAAGTATGCCATCGCGTCCCCTACAATACTCCGTATATCCAGCGCCCACTTCTTCTCCCCATTCTCCACCTCCACCTCGGGGACGTCCAGGGGATCAGTCGTGCCTGTGGACTCCGTAGAGTCGTTTGTATTCCCCTGAAGGACGTTCAGGCTTGACCCGAGGTGCCCAATCGGCTCTGGCTTTGGCTTGACAGGCGCGCCCTGGCTCTCTGGGATCCCGTCCCATTCGCCCTCCTGGATCCCTTGCTCCGTTCCTTGACCTTCTGATTCGGGTCCTGGAGCAGCCGGTGGCCCCGCCGGTCCAGCTGGAGGATCCGGCCGCGGAGCAGGTCCCGGCCGCCCAACAGCGTCACCATCGCCTGCGATACCCTCACCACCACCAGCAGGCTCCGGCTCCGGCTCCGACTCTGGCACAACCATATTCGCCCTCTCCATCCCCAGCCCCATCCCCATCGCCCCACCCATATCCGCCGCCGCCGCCTTCTTGACCGTCTGAGGCGTAAACGGTAATGACAACTGCGACTGCATGGAGAATGGCGCAGGCGTCGGACTCGCGCTTGACCCGATACCCGCACCGAGGAGCTGGCCCGGGGGAGGAGAAGAGCTAGAGGGGGGCTGGAAGAGCGGGAATGTGATGCTGAAGATCGGGAACTTGGTTGGGTTTGGGGTCGCCGAGGATGAGCGGGGCGGCTGTGCGGATGACGAGGAAGAGGATGAGGATGAAACGGGGACCGGGACCGGGGCCATCGAGGGCCGAGCGAGGACGGTTGTGGATGATGAGGATGAGGATGAAGAGAAGACGGTGGGTGGTCGGGCTGGTGCTACAGGTTGAGAGGACGGTGTGGGGGATGGGGATGGTGAGGGAGAAGGGGAGGGTTTGGGTCGTACACGCCTAGTTGTGGACAACGACACTGAGGAGCTGGGGACGATCGATGCGGGGGGAGGGAAGCCGGCGGACGCGGTGATAACGATGTCCCCAGACGAAGAAGAAGACGAAGATGAAGATGGAGCTGGGGCTTCGACGAGTACGAGCGAGGACGCCGAGGACGGTGCGGGTCGGGACCGTGATCGGGTCCTGGTGGAGCTGGAGCTGGAGCTCGGCGTAGGCTCGACCAGGACCGGCGTCTTTGGGCTGGCACTGGCGCTGCTAGAAGAGACGGGGATGACGACAATAGTTTTGGGCGAGGTGGATGCCGAAGATGCCGAAACTGACGCAGAGGCAGACGAGCGTGAGAAGACAGCTGGGCTGGGGATGACCACGATGGTTTTAGCGGAGGATGAGGGAGAGGGGGTAGGTTCGACGAGGACGAGCGTTTTGCCGCTGCTGCTGGCGCTACTGCTAGCACTGCCAGGGACAAGAATGATGGTCTTGCCGGTAGTGGACACGGACGACGACGACGAAGAGGAGCTCGGCGCAGGTTCCACAAAGACGACGCCGGCGGAGGAGCTCGAGGACGCCGATACCGATGAGGCGGAGGCGGAGGATGAAGCCGGGACTTCGATCAAGACGAGGCTGGACGAGGGGGATGCCCGAGCGGAAGAGCTGGAGGACGGTGCGGCTGGCGATGGAGTCGGTGTTGGGGACTCTACAAAGACCGCCGGGGGCGACTTGGAGGCTGACGCGGACGGGGAAGACGAGGAGGAGGGGACCTCGACGAGGACTAGGGTTTTGCTTGCTGTGGCGCTCGAGCTGGAACTAGAACTTGTATTCACGGCGGGCGTCTCGACGGCGACGAGTGGCGGGGCACCGCCACTGCTACTGGAGCTACTGGCGCTGCTTATGACCGTCTGAATCACCGTCTTGATCTCCGTAGTGGTCTTTTCAACAGCGACGAGCGGGGGAGTGCTGCTCGTACTGACGCTGCTGGAGCTGGAGCTGATCTCGACAGCTACGGGTGGTGGGGGAGCGGGCGGAGATGGCGATGGTGCGGGTGCAGGCGCGGGTACAGGATCGGGCGCTGGTTCTGGGTTCGGCTTGGTCTCAGGCCTGGGTCCCGCATTCGCTTCGAGCTTGAAGGAGGCGGACCATGCGGCGTCGTCGGGTGCGGTCTTGGGATCCGGGAAGGTCAGACCGGATGGAAGGAATGCGTTTCCGCCACTGCAGCGAGTCAGTTCCGGTCCTCTCCGCCTTCTCCGACTATCGCTACCTGAAGGAAAGGACTTCTTCGCTGGCGGTCAAAGGAGAAATCGGATGAACTTACCAGCCCATCGGCGCCCACGTATCCGTATTCAACAACAACCCCGCTGACGTCGCATCCCACATCTGGTCTTCGGCGCCCTTCCACTCGAGCGTCCGCCCCTCGAGATACCCCGCCTGGGCGGGACTGATGCCCATCGCGCACCCGGGTGCCCCGCCGTTAAAGTTGGCGTAGATGGCCATGGACGATGCCTGCCCGGCGCCACTGCCGGAGAGGGGCCATTGGATGGCTGATGCACCGGCACCGGGACAGATGGGGCGGCCGGCGGTGTAGGTGTTGGAGGAAGGGTCGATCTGAGCGAGGACGATGCATTCGGAGGGGGAGGAGAGGGTGATGGTGCCTGCGGCAGAGATGAGGGTTGGGTGGAGGGAGAAGAGGAGGAAGAGGAGGGGGAGGTGGGTGTAGGTGTAGGTGGGCATATTGGGGGGTTTTGGGGATGGAAAGGGGGAAGGGAAGAAAGGATGGGAGAAGGACCGATAAGACGTGAAGGGCCTCAAGAAAGAGTGTGGACGATAGCCAGCTATCGGAGGTTGAAGAAAGATGAAGGCAGGTGCAGTGTTCGTGAAAGACCAGCGGAGCAAGACTCGTCGCTTGCTGTCAGAAGATGAATATAAGTGAGATACGAAAGCAAGTGTCCGATGTGCTTTGAGGGCCCTGATCGGTCTCTGCCCGCATGTCACACCCCAGAGACCCTCCTTCGCACCCAACAAGGGGTAATCACCACTTCATCGCTTTCAACACCCCCAATTCACCTCTAAAGGGCCTTCCCCTTGATTTCTGGACTGCCATCTGCCCACGATGAGCCGCGAATAGATCAGTTATACAGGAGCTGCTTTGATAGACCCGATCAGATAGAGTCAGAAAGGAGCGGGGCTGCGAAGTCGAAGACTCTAAGGTGTGGTCCTTTGCTGGAGCTGAGCTTTGCTTTGTCCTTGATCCCCCGCGCGCGGATTGCGGTAGGGATGGAACCACTCCTCTCCGCTTATCAGGATGGAGCGGGATTGCGTCAGGCCCCACTTCAAGCTAGGCGGTACATGTGATATGACAGATTGATCAATGGATGCATGAAGCTTGATGCTGGTGAGGACGATTAATTCAGAGCCGGGATAACACCGCTAAAGGCCGAGTTTGGGACTACCAACACGACCACGTGCTGGAGCAGACCAGATCAGATCTGGCCCAGCAGCTCCTTCTCCTGCAAGCTCCTGCACTAGTACTGCACTGCATACACCTTCTCATCCCTAACCAGCCAGTCCGGAAGACGCTGCACGACGCTCACCTCCACCCCACAATCGCTCGCTCGCAGTTCAGAAATGCCTCCCGCCCCGCCCCCCGCCTCGATCCACACCCTCCTCTCCTCCCTCCGCTCCCCCATCTTCCACACCGCCCACAACCCCACCTCTTTACGCACAGGCACCAAATATCTCCGGCGCCGGCTCGTCGGTCCCTCCGCTATCGCCTACTACCCGCGCATGCCCAAACTGGCGACGTTGAATAAGCTGGTACCGTGGAATGCGTACGGGGGGTGGAGGGGGGAAGGGACGCCTGCTTATCGGGCGGAGGTGGTGGAGAGGGGGTCGAGTGGGCAGGAGGGGAGGTGGAGCGCGACTCCTTCTTCCTCTTCTGCTTCCGGCGCGACCGAGAGCGAGAGTGTGGTGAAGTCGGGGGACGAGGGAGGGGAGATAGGAGTGAGGTGGGCGAACCAAGGGATAATGCTTCCCCAGAGGGAAGTGGTGGAAGCCGGTTGGGTAGAAGTAGGGAGAATAGCGGGCGCAGGGTGGTTGGACGATGCGAAAGAGAGGACGAGGAGGGAGGAGGTGGCGTTGAGTAAGGAGAGCGGGAGGGGCCCGCCCAAGAAGGGTGAGTTTCTGAGCTGAAACAAATACTGGACGGGGACGGGGAAGGGGGCGAGAGCTGATAGATTCAGGTCAAGGCAAGAGGTCACAAATGAAGAAGAGATAGAGTGGGAAAGAGGAGACTGCTACCCTGTGTCAGGTGTGTTGCGTACTCTACTGGGCCGGCACGGAATGAGCTTAAGCTGATACGGTAGATTATGCATCGTCTGAGATGTCCTCGATACTGCCCCGTGCTAACCTGGAGGATTTTCCAGCCTGGTCGCTTCCTCGTCCTCGTGAAAGCAGCTTACCCCTGACTGGACCTCACTCTGTCCTGCAGTCAATACTGACCCAAGACCGAGCACACCATCTACCTCGCCCTCTTTGCTTGGACCTTCAAGCTTGATATCGCTACATGCCCAAAATCCAAGCTGGACCAAAATTGCAAAGCCCTAGAGATCGAACCCGGGATAGGGTGGGCCCCACTCGACCGTCTCCCACACATTCCCATCCAATCCCGTCTTTTCGGGCCACGCATGACATTTCACCTGGCTCGGCGGTCTGTCACATCAGCACTGCCCTGTCTGCTCGTGCGCTCGGAGTCAGGGTCGGAGAAACGCCAGGCCAAAGGGGGCAGAGGGAGCGGGAGGCACAAATCGAGAGATAGCTGAACTCACTCTCTCTGCCAGTTGATCGTGTGGTCATGCTGTGGATTTGGGGTCTCTTCATACCACCCCAACTCGCCCATTTGGGTAGAGAGTGTCGAGACGATATCGGATGCGACGTCCCGCTCGTATGCCAACTAAAGTATCAGCACTCCTGCCTCCTTTGCTCGGTCCCCTTACGACTCGCGCCTCCATTTCCACTCCTCTCGCTTCCCTTCACCCCGACTCGTCTCATCTCGACCCCTAACTCACCTGCACGCTCGGTACAACCTGCACTCTTCCAAACCCCCTCTCCCACAGATCCCTACAAATCAACTCGCACTCCGACCCAGCACACTCATCCTTGCGCATCGGATCGCTCCGCCGGAATCTCAGCCCATTCGCTCCGAGAAAGGGCGTAGCGGCGAGCACGGCCATGCCCGCCCAGCTTGCGAACGCCTGAAAGGGCTGTAGATTGTCGTATGCCTCGCGCGAGACGGGTGAGGTGGTGAGGAAGGCGTCGGAGGGGGACCACGAGGGCGGGGAGATGGGGTAGAAGAGGTCGCCTTGCATCTGGGGGTCAGCCTGCCTGCTTTAAACCGACAGCGGGGGGAAAGGGAACGTACAGTTCTCGCTACCCATACATCGTAGAAATACTCTGGATGCCGCCTCCACCAATCTATCCCCGTCGTCATTCCCGTCTCTGCCCCCGCCTTCTCCCCCGCCCTCGTATGTTGATGCAACAACTCCAACACGTCCCTCGCTCTCAAATAAACATCATTAAAGTACACCACAGCAACCGTACTCTCCCCCCATCCCTCTTGCGTCCATAAGGGCGCCAAAGCCTCATTCCGCAACCCCGCCAGCGCCTCTATCCTATGCACCGCGCTGAAATCCACCGCTGGCCTGTCCGTCTTGATGATCACGTCCTCATCCGGCACGCCCAGCTTCCGCAGCATAGGACCGAGGGTGTCGGTCAGTATCGCCGGTGTCTCATCGGACGAGGGCCCTTCGTATATACTAAACCTGACCCGGGAGGCGCCGAGGAAGTTGACGAGTACAACAATGGTATTGAGTAGATCGGGGAGTTGGGACTCGATGTTCCGGGTCAAGGTGACAAAGAGGTATTTACCGTGGGTGGAGGGAGAGATCCGGTCCGAGTGGGGTATCCGGGGATGACGGAGGTGCGCGTACCGACGTTCTTGTTCCCGCTTTAAGCGGGGAGAGGGGAAGACGAGGTGTGTAGAGGGGAAGAGGTAGGAGGGGAGGAGGCCGGGGAGCTGAAATGTCGGTGAAGAGGGGGAAGGGCGGTGGAGGCCGGTGAGGAGGAGGAGGGAGGTGAGGCCGAGGGAGAGGAGGAGGTAGGGATACCGAAGGGGCATCGCGGCGGCCCAGCGGGATAGGAGCCCGGGCGAATGGGAAGCGATAGGTTGGGACAAGGAGAGGGGTATGTAGCTGTCTATTATAGGTGGTATTGCAAAGATATATGGGGGGTGGTCAGTGCTGGCGGGTGGAGGTCACAGAAGGAGGATGACGTGGTATTTATGGCCGAGTCCCGGGGGAGAATACACGATAACGGGGCGCCGCACACAGAGGGACCCCGCTGATGCTGACAGCCTATATACCTTGCAGCCTATCATACCTCAACCATCCTCTTCTGGGCCTGATCATATCATCACACCATACACTGTGCTGGGAGCTGCGCACCCTCTTCCAACCGAGCGAACCAAGGACAAAGCTCCGAAACCGCAGTATCAATCAAGCAGCAGCCCCCCCGCCAAGCCCTCTGACGTCTGTCTCGTAACACCATCGCCGGACCCTCTCGCCAGGCCATCAGTACTAGATGTCTTCCCAACCCCCTCTTCGTCCTCTTCTCCGTACCACGCTCTCCTCCCCCAATACCTCGTCTGGCCCAACCGATCTCCCTACCACCGCCTCATCGCTCGCTCCGTCCCCCTCCGCATCCTCTTCGCACATCTCCATCCAGACCCCTCCGGCCCCTGATCGTACCCACTCATCCTCCACCCTCAATTTTGGCGCCCTCGGTGCACTCAACATGAACATGAATTCCCATCCAGAGCGCGAACGCAACAAGCGGCACTCGCACGGCGCACTCTCGCCAGCCGAGATCCACTCGGCAATGCACCGCGAGGGATCGGGACATGGGAGTAGCCCCGGCGGCTCGGGTGTAGGATTTCCCCGGACGAATACCCAAGGATCGGCGGGCGAAGGTCGATACCGCCGTAAAGTCGGGTTTGAGGCGTTTGAGGCGGGCCCAGAGACGCTGTTTGCGTTTACGTGCCAGGCGAAATCGGACGGGTATAAGCGATCGAGAAATACACGGGTGTTTGCGGTCGCGGTGAGCCCGGATGAGTCGGGAGAGGACGCGCTCGAGTGGTTGATGAGCGAGTTGGTGGAGGATGGGGATGAGGTCGTGGCGATTCGAGTGTTGGAGCTGGACGAGGGCGGTAGGTCTTTTTATCTTTCTATCTTTCAGGGAGTGGGTATTGGGCTGACAGGTAGAACGTCATGATCCCACGGCACTGAGCGACTTTAGAGAGGAAGCGCATGGGATCCTGAGGACCATGCTGGAGAAGAATGACGAGGCTGAGAATCGCAAGGTCCGTCACGCCTAGATCTGAGACTAAGGGAACGAAAGGCTGATGGTAGATCTCGGTTATTGTCGAAATGGTAGCGGGTCCGGTGCCGGACATGCTCCTCAAGATGATCGCGTTGTACAGGCCAGACTGTAAGCCATCATCGATGCGTAACATGTCGAACCAAAGCTGACATTTAGCTTTGATTGTGGGCACTCGAGGCAGTCGATCAAGACTCCAATCTTTCGGCAGAGCCCTGGGAGGTGAGCTACATCACCCCTGAAGTCGGCTATGACAGCAGGCGAGACAAGCTGACTTCTACAGCACCCGGAATGGGTTCCGTATCCCGATACGCAGTCTCCCACTCCCCCGTGCCCGTCATTGTCGTCCGGTAAGCCATCTCCCGACCCGTGACTCCTCCAAGAGACGAAAGACCTGACACAGAGCAGGCCCGAACGTAAAGTCAAGAAACACCTCGCCAAGCGTCAAAACGATCCCAAACGGGGTCATTATGCCCAGATTGTCGGGCCGAACGGATTGGAACTGTCGAGGAGTCGATCCAGGGGAAGTATAGGCGGGATGAGCGATAAGGAATGATCCAGAGAGGGGGGGTCTGGGATTGCGGGAGCGGGACCGGGACCGGGACCGGGATCGGGACCGGGAGTCTGTGGGGGCAGATTGTACATATCAACAAGGGGTATCAAAGGCTTGTAAGTATTTTAAAGAAATGGATATAACCATCGCTCGTCTCTCTCCTTACAGTACTGATTCTTTTGCGATCTCGTCTTACAGCTCACTATGTACCGCGCGCCAGGTTCAGGGACAAGGGTCGGTCAACAAATGTCCCGTCATCCGTCCTCCCCTCTCAAGCTCAATCTTCAAGCTTCACACTCCCCTCCAGATCATCATCGACATCCGCGCCAATCCCCGGACTGATACTAACCATGGTGCTTCCGCCCCTCTCCATCTTTTGCGCCTGAGATTGTTGTTGCACCTTGATGGCCCGACGACGGTTTTGGAACTGATCGGATCAGCTGACTGGTCGCATCTAGGACGAGTACCGGCACGACCAGTACTACTACTACTACTCGGGCGACCCGATCGTTCGAGGGCTTGGCGGAGGGGACGGACTCCAAGTCTGCGAAAGGGGACGGAGAGGGGGGGGACATGGCATAACTCACCCAAATCTGAACACTCCTGGACGTCATCCCCAACTCCCGACCCAGCGCCTCCCGTTCCGCCGTCGGAGGGTACGCGGACCGCTCGAATGCTTGACTGAGAATAACGCGCTGGGACTCGTCCACTGATAGAAAAGCATCAGCTCTGCCCCACTCTGACTACCGTATAGCTGAGAGTGCACTTACCTCGTTTGCGAGATCCCTTGATACGTGGGGGAAGGGGAACTGGTATGGGTGGTCCTACAGGTCCAGGTCCAGGTCCAGGTCCAGGTCCAGGTCCAGGTCCAGGTCCAGGTCCAGGTCCAGGTCCGAGTGCAGGTCCAGGTGAGTCTTGCGTGCTGCGATGGTAGGGAATGCGGTGGCGCGGGAGATAGCTGGATGGATATCCGGCAGGTACCGATCTATCCCTTGAGTAGAGGTATGGATCCTGCTGGCCTAGCCTCATCGACGTCGACCGCTGACTTCCTCTGTGGGGACCGAGCCGCTGACCGGCGATTGTCCCATGACCAGGACGGTCTCCGAGATCCGTTGCCCAGTCACCTGCTTCGGCCCCGATTGCGGCGCTGTGGTCAGACCCCTCATCCCGCCGCATCCCACTCGAGAACCCCCTCTTCGTACTCAATCGCTCCATGACCGTCTTCCGCGACCGCTCAGAGTTCATCACGCCCTCAACTCTCGATCGGGGATTGAGCAGCCCTCGCGCTCCCGCTTCCATGAGGCTGTACGCCCCCGATCCGATCCCCGTCTGCGCCGCTTGATCTCCCATGCGCTCAGTGTGGTCGACAATGGAGGTCCCGTGCACGTGGAGATCGTCATCGATTGGGGAGTGATAGCGCGGGGTACGGTCATTAATCCTAGGGAAAGAGTAACCGGGTTTATCATAGCCTTCGCGGTCGCCAATGTGGGACCGGGGGATGTGAGGCGGAGCTTGAGGATGTGTGCACGGATCCCAAGGACCAGAGGGGCGAAGATCTGGATCAGGACGGCGGACAAGAGGGGACGGGCGGAAGCTGTACTCCTCCGCGTGCCCATGTCGACGTCGCTGATCTTCAACCGCGCGATCGTGGTCCGAATGGTACTGATACCCGCCGGCGCCGTACCGAGTCGATCTCTGCACTTGTCTCATCAGATCCCTGCCGTCCGCTTTGTCGTTGTCGTGATGATCGCCCTCTCCCCCGATAGAGTAAACAGAGCTGTCAGACCGCCCATCCGTCTCGTCGTACCCCCGCCGCTGAAAGCTTCGTCTGTGAGTCCCTCGAGCTCGCTCGTATTCCCGTTCGTCGCACCGGTTCAGGTCGGACGCCTCGTCCTTTGCTCGCTGGCCTTGTTGATATGGGTATACGTAGGACCAATGAGGGTCGTCCTTGACGTCGACATCCACGTCGTTGTTCTTGGCGTACCTGTCGTACTCGAGCTCGAGCTCGTCGTGTGGTAACTGGCCCCGCCGATCGATTTGCCGAGTGTACGAATCCGAGTACCGCCGAATACTGCCTGTCGCACTGACCAGTGGCCCATCGCCGTCCAAGTCGAAATGGCGACTGCCTCTCTCTCCAGGACCAAATATCTCGTACGCGTCCCCCGCTCCGAGTCGGTATTGGTGTCGACGAGAAATAACGCTGGGTGGCGAAATGGGTGAGCTCCAATATCGAGACTTGATGGCCTTCCGATCCCGCCTCTCTTTACCTTCGTCCCCTTCTTCCCCTTCCTCACCTCCTGTCACCTCCTGCCTCTTCCGCCGGCGTCGGCTCACGCTCAGCCTCATATTTCGATCCCCACCGTCCGCGTTATACAGTGCATCATACCCAATCCCGTCCTGTCCACGCCAACTGACCTCTGGCCCTGGTAGGCTACACCCTGCTGCCCGCTCGTCATTGCGATCGTCAAATCGGTTCATCAGACCAGCACCAGCACCAGCATCGTTTCCAACACCACTTCCCGTCCCCACAGGCACATCCCCTCCCGCTCCCGCCCCTGCCCCTTCTTCCCGGTAATGCGGCTTGGCCGGACTGTAGTACTGCATGGAACCCCGCCCCGCATCGTCCAAGACGATATCCACCGAGCGGGGTGCAGACGACGCGGAGGATGCGTGGGGGTAAGAAGGGCGCAGCGCGTCGAATGCGTGAGGGAGAAGAGGCGGGGAGCGAAGGTGGAGATGGGGAGTGGGGACTTGATATTTCGCGTGAGGGTGTGAGGTGAAGGTGCCGGAGGTGGAAGTGAAACCCATGGCGATCAAGGGGGCGGCCGCGGTAGCGAAGTGGGAGGTACGTCTGACGGCTTGGCGTTTCGGAGGGGATGATGTCGAACGATCATGGGAGGCAGCTGGGGATGCGAAGGCCGAAGGGGAGACAGAGGGGGAAGGGGAATGAGAAGGCGAAGGCGAAGGCGAAAGCGAGAGAGTCCGACATCGACTCGCACCTGCAGACGTGTGTTCGTGTCGATCCAGGCTAGTATGGCTGGGAACAGAATAGAATTGAAGAATCTCTCCATCTTCTCCTCTATCGTGGGAGTCAGAGTCGGACGTAATGGACGCAGCGTCCTTCTCAGACTTGGAGTCCAGTGTCGCGCGATGGTCAGAGGCAGGAGCAGGAACAGGATGTGACGCGTCGGCTTCATCGTCCGATACGTTGACCACCAGCGTCATCCGTGCGGAGACGGGAAATGTGGGCGTGTGTGCTTCAACGGGCGTCTGAGCCGCGCTGCCGGTAATGATCGTTCTGGAGCGTAGAACCCGGACCGGAGTGTCGGGGGGAATGGATGGAGAGTGCGAGTTCGGGGAATACGCATCGAGGCCCGCGCCCGCTTTGGCGTTGGCGTCGACGTCGGTCTGGACGGACGAGAGAGTGACGGGCATGCCGAGTATGGTCGATATATGTCAGTATAATGAGCGGTGTCTGTGTCTGAGCTGTGCTGCAAGATAACAGCAAAGAAATCGATCAGTAGAGTATCGAGCAGTCGGGCTGAATGGCAACGCTTGGCCCAGGGGATATAAAGGTTGCGCAAGTGTGTGAGCTATGTTAATGATGCCCGTATAGGGTCGGAAGGATTAATGGATGATATCCGTAACTAGGGATGCGCAAAAGGGGATGGAAAAGGGGGTAATGAAGAGATTGATATGATGATCAAGGAGAGGGGGTGTATGATGATTGGGGGTCAAGTCAAAGGTACGGGACAAGGGGAGGAGTAAGTGATTGAGCGGGGCCAGTACTAATGGGAGGTGAAGCGAAGCGAGAGGAGGTGGAGTCAAGGGAAGGATAGTGGTAGTCAAAGGATTCTGCTGGGTCGAACGCGTGTCATTGATACTTGTAGAGTGGGGACCGGGGGAGGGGGAAAGATCAAGACCCTCGAGGGAAAAGCGAGGATGACAATGCAAAGGAGCAGGTAGATGGAAAGATGGATGAAGGCGATAATGAGTGATCAGGTCGATGTCGGATCGAGGTGTACCGACGGGTCAGTATCGTCAAGACTGGGCTAGAGGATCTCGGCTGGAACGAGTGTATCTCGTCAGGGACCGGAAGATAGAATACATGATATACCTGTACTGTCAGCTCTGATATCCCGCAGCATGCGATGTGACAAAGCGTGCACTCACCCTCTTGATCCTCTTGATCAGCGAAGGAACTACAAGCAGGGATTCTGAATGGTATCAACAACAAAGAGATAGTGGGGAGCCGATGGATTGTCGAGGCCGTAAACCTGAAGAAGAGAAGAGAAGGCGAAGCGGATGATTGGTGTACTCGTACAAGAGGGCGAAAAGTACAAGGCAGGATAAGGAGATATTGGGAAATCGTACAGCTGATAGTGATGGCGATATCGATACAAGAGGATCTGGGCAGGACGGTGGGTAAGGTGGGGTGCGGTGGGGGATGGAGAAAGTGTTAGGCGGGTGACCGCCTCGAGAGCATAGCGACCTCTTCGATCCGGGGTTTGGCGTCCCTCCTCCCTTCCGGACGCTCAGTGATCATCTCCCGCTCGAGGATGTACTTGTTCTCCTTGTACTTTTGTTCAAACTCATATGCAAGGTCCTGCGTCTCAGCTTTGATATGACCAGACCAGACCAGACCAGACGGTACCAGGCGGAATAAGGGGGGCTAGAGAAGGCTGGATGATACTCACATACTTCCACCCGAGGACGGTATGGCAAACCTTGCACGATACGTCCCGAACGGTATGTTTCCCTGTGCGCATCTCGCGCTCGTCCGCTTTGCCACAGTAGACATTGACTGCGTGGTCGACGAGGAGGGCTCGGCCGTGTTGACCGTGGAATTGCTACGGGCGTTAGCGATATTGTCATAGGAACATGCCCTCCTCCCCTGCTAGAATATCCCCTCTGCTCTGGTGGTTCCATGACCCAGCGTCCGTCTGATCCCCCTGTCCCTTCCGCTCCGAGGTATGTAGACGACCCAAACTCACCTTGGATATGACACTCTCACCCACCGCCAGGTGATTCCCGCACTGCCGACAGACAAAGACCGACTCGCCAGCGAGGTACACCCTGTACTGCTTGCCCATGGTCAAGTCAAGCTCAGAGTCACTCTGGGTCCGACAGGGTTGTTGCCAGGTGGAGCTGGGTGGCAAGTGAAGGGGAGGGGACCGCGGTCGGCGCTGATAGGGTTTGCCGGAAGGAAGGGGCGGCGGAGGGAGCTGGAAGTTGGCGCTAGCTGCAGGTAGACGAGCGAATATAGGACTGCGAGTGTTTATAGCTATAGGCTCTCTTACTGAGGGAGATAGGGCGATATTGGATGCTTGTATGATGCTTGAGCGCTGAGCTTTCGCTTCTGTATGGGCCGCCGCCGCTGACGTTCAACACAGCAGCTATCGGAGTATCCTTCACCCGCTTCGGACCCGGCCGGCGAGCCAAGTTTTCCCACGATTGCTAGGAAGAGTAGAGCACTTGTGCTCTGATACCTCAGCGCTGCAGGCGGAGGCGATGTCCTACCAAGTAGCTCTGAGCGCGCGATATGTATAGGATGATAGCTACAGTGATGATGAAATGATGAGTGAAGTCCATAGTATTCCCCTTTCTGCCCCCCACCCTCCTATATTCCCCCACATTCAGCCTATCTCCTCCGCTTCACATCTCGATCCTCCCTCGGACCCTTCGGCGGCTCCTTCTCCACCTCTCTATGCTTCCCAGTCCCTATCCTCTCCGCCATGCTCAGACCCTGCGTTGGAGGCGCAGGTGCGGGTGCGGGGGGTGCCGAACCCGGTACGACTCTCCCACTCCCTCCCGATCCCATCTGTCCCGCACCGCCCCGACCGCCCGAGATTCCCGGCTCCATCTTGACTGACCCATGTGCCTGCCCATGCCCAGACCCGACCGACCCCGTGGATGCTGCTGAGGAAATGGGTGGTCGTTGTCGGTTGGTCGAGGCCGACGGTGCGCGGGGAGGGCCAAACATCCCGGACCCTACCCCTGAGCCGGACGCGGAGGATATGGAGGGTTGTTTCGAATGACCATGGCTGTGTCCGTGTGATGGACGGTGTTGCGCCTGGACGGGGACAGAAGGAGGTGCGGGCGTGGATTTGGCGGAGTGGAGTTCGGCGCGGAGGGTCTGGATTGTGCTCAGGTGATGGGTAAGGTCGGAGCTGCTGGTCAGTACGAGAGCTGTGTGAAGAAGTGGGGGATGGGACGTACTCGAGGGATTGTATGACAGCTTTTGATTCTGGCTGATCAGCTATGGTCTGATCCAATATCCCGACATCGTTGTCGACCCAGGAGCGAGGTGTTAAGTACCGTCTAGTGCCTTCTGCCATTCTGCTTCTTGCCCCTCAAGTTTCCCCCCCTCGACCACCATCGCCCCCAGCTCCTCGTTCTCCAGCATGATCGCCTTGACCCTCTGTACGACCTTGTCCAGGTCGACACCTTGTTCCCGTGCCTCTGCTCCCCGCATTGCGCCATCATCGATAGACGCCTGGTCCACTGATCCCAGTCCTGCACTCGGTACAGTCGATGACCCCGAACCCACTCCCGCCCGCATGACACTAGCAGGTGATGCTCTCGCCGCCGCTGCAGTAGCAGAGGCGCCGGGAGGACCGAGGAATGTATACCGCAACGCGGCATTCTCGCGCGCGAGCTCCTCGACGTGCCGCCGAAGCACACCAAGAACGGGCAGGAGTGCATGGGGAATCGTTATGGGCGGTATTGGTCCGGGCGTCTGGGCCGGGGAAGGGAGAAGGAGGGGCTCGGAGGTGGATTGGGACTGGGCGGAGCGGAGGCTGGATAGTTCGGCCTGAGTGTCAGCGCCCAGCCCAGCCTGAACAAAAAGCCAGGGCGTACAGCTAAAGCGTCGCGTTCTTTCTCCAGTTCCAAGACTCTCCGGCCTAAGCGGAGCTCATTGGCTGAGGGAGGTGAAGGTTGGTCGTTGATAGGTCGTTTTGTCGTCATCTGCAGGTAAGGCCTGTTTCCTCGTTTGGATACGTCGAGGTGAGACTCACACTCTCCACTAGCTCGTCAGCTACCCGCTCGGCTTCTTACATTCGTGTACTGGCTAGTAGCTCACCGACCCGCTCTTCTCCCAAGAGATCATCAAAGTCCACATCGTCGTCCATGTCGTTCTCCGCCTTTCGTGCCTTTCGTACCCGGTCTCTCCGAGTTGAAGTCGTGAACTCCTGAACCAGCCAGTCCCTTTTGATCGTCGCTGATCTGTGGTCTATGATCTACCTAGTGTCCTTGAGCACGTACCCCTATCTAGAATGCTGGATGATGGCTAGTTAGCTGACGGGCGCGCAAGGCGAAGCTGCAACTGCTCCGTCTTCCGCTTCCGACGGAACTGCAAAGTCATCATGACGCACATGACGCGGACGACCAAAGCAAAGATTTCAGCTTCACTTCACCTCACCTGTTACCCAGCTCTGTTAAGTCTCCAGACCAAGGGCGCCATGCCCACCCCTCCAGCCGCTCTCGCGTCAGCAGGGGCTACCTCCCCGACCCCTCCCTTCAGGCCGACCATCCTCACCCACCCCGACCCCAACTCCGCCTCGGCCTCCACCCCGAGCTCGGGCGATTGGATCCCCCTCCTCTCCTCTCCCGCCCACTTCCCGCTCCCCATATTCCTCTCCACACTGAAAGATCTCTGCCTGCATCCCGAACGCAACTCGTCTCTCATCTTACGTGCCGACTCCCTCCCCCCTCGTCCCATACCCGACTCGGACGTCCCTGATGACTTCACCCCGGTAGAAGAGGTCCGCGTGCGCCTGATGCCTCGTCAGCCCAAGAGGGATGGCAAGCTCCTCCAGCGATGTCTGTTCTTCCGGGCGGAGGAGGACCCGGCGGAGGGCAAGAAGGAGGAGGGACAGGTGTTGTATCTGCCGGAAGTGAAGGAGAGGGGGGAGGTCCCGTTTTATTATCCGCCAGTGAGGGGGTTGAGGTATAGGTGGGTCGCGGAGCCGCCAGCTCTTGACGAGAAGGAAGGGGAAGCGGACGAGGAGGAGACGAAGGAGGAGGAGCTCGGAGGGCAGGAACAAGGGGAGGTCAGATCGGAAGAAACGAAACCGCCGCCTATTCTCGGTACGATCTCAATCTCTTACCTACCCTGGCCAGATGCCGCCCCTCCCACATCTACGCCCCCACTCCTCTCTGCTCCTCCCAACTCCCTCTCCCCAGCCCGATCTCTCCCGCATCGTCGATCCCCACTCTCCGCGCCGCCCATCGGAGCGGACGGGGAGACGGAGCATGAACCCGGCGCGGCCGAAGCGGACGATAACGAGCCTGTTGCGCCTGCTGCTGTTGTGCTGGATGCGTCGCCTCCGCCGAGCGCGGTCGTGAGCGATGTGAAAAAGTCGACAGAGAGGATAACGCGGATAGCGGCTGTGCTGCTCCAGACGGTGTATAAGCATGGGTTCGGGCGGATGGTGGGGTACAAGAAGAGGGTGCATCACGATGTGAGCTAATACCATTGAGGGTAATGGAGAGTGATTAGGGAAGCTGATCGAGCAGGTCATCGTGCAGAGGGAACCGTTCCAGGATCTGTACCTTGTCTTGAAAGAACGGCATCGCCACCTTGATTCGAGAGCGCCCAAGCCGGGAAGTACAAGTACAAAAGTGGAAGATGTCAAGCGGCATGTATTCAAGGTATGTCCACATCTCAACTTTCCCTCATAGTGCTGTGCCAAGCCGACACTCAAGGATTTTGACGTGGGCTTACCAGACGATCCTCTCCTCCCCACCACATCCCACTCTCATCTACGCACTATCGATACCCAACTCTCTCCGGTCGACCTATCCGAATGGGGCCAACAGGACGTCGCGATCGCCGCCTTCCTCATGCTTCTCTGGAAAGACACGTATCCTGCGCGGGAAGCGCCCCTGAGTTTGAAGGAGAGGGTGGAGGAGGACTGGGACACGTGGGGCAGGCCGCCCGGCGGCTTTGTCGATCTAGGCTGTGTAAGTCCACCGAGCTCCAGTCGCCTTTCCTGTTGCTAGCTTGACATAGTGCGGTGTGAGTATGTGAGGGGTGAAGCTGACGATACAGGGAAACGGTCTCCTCGTGCATGTTCTCACGTCAGAGGGGTATCACGGGAAAGGCTACGAACTGCGCAAACGACGGACATGGCCCGCCTATCCGCCCGAGACACAGCAAAACCTCATCGAGCTGCCTATTGACTTTCCGAGCTGGTTTCCTTCTACTATGGCCGAATGGGAGGCGGGGAGTGGGAGGGAAGGGCGGAATGTCCGATCGGGGATGGGGTGTTTATGGTCGGGAATCATGCGGATGAGATTACTGTACGTTCCCTTTTTCTGCTACTTGTACTTCAACCCTCTCGCCTGGACTGAAATGGGCGCTTCTCCAGCCAATGATCGTAATCTGAGGTGAACGTAGCTAACGCCCTCAGCCCTGGATCCCACTCCTCTCCCTCCTCCCGCCCACCCCAGTCCCATTCCTCTCCCTCCCATGCTGCGCCCACACCCTCGACTCCGCCTTCACCCCCTCCGTCTTCAATCCGCCCCCGCACCCCCACTCGCCCTCGACGGGCTTTGACGCAGGCCTCGAGGCGGGCCAGAGCAGGTACAAGGCGTACCTGATGTTTTTGGGTTCGGTGGGGTTGAAGTGCGGGTGGGAGTGGGAGAAGGAGGGGCTGAGGGTGCCGAGTACGCGAGGGTGGGGGATTGTCGGTGAGTCTTTTTCTGTGCCAGTAGGGGAGATGACGAGGGTCAGGACCGTGCTGATATGGCAGGAAGAAATAGGTGGGCCAAGACGCCCGAAGAGCTACGGGAGTGTAGAGAGTACGCGCTGGGTGAGGTCAATCAAGTGAGGGCGCGGGGGGCGTTCAAGGTCCGGGTCAAAGAAGGGAAAGAGCATTGACGATATCGATGATCGCATATAATCTGACAGGTACGAGTACGATATCATTATGAAGTTATACGGACTCCCCGGACCTGATACTCCAGCACAGATGTCCCGCTACTTGCTTGCTTCCAGACTGGTTCGGGTTGCGAAAGTCATATCCCCAATAGTGGCCGCCAGGTCTGAGATCTGGCGGTGTACTTGGTCTAGATGCGCCTCGATAGCGCTGATTTTCGCGTCGTAGAACCTCTGTTACAATCAGCTCCCGCAATGATGATCGATGCGCAATGCGTCTCAGCGGATCGGGGACCGGAGGACTCACATTGACTGTCCGAACGATAAGGACCCCGCATCCCAAAGCCCCAAAGATGGACATCACTGGTATCACTGCTGCCCTTACGCTTGCGGAGCGGCCGTGGTGGCTGTCGCTGGACGCAGCTCGCCAGGGATAGGATGGGGTACAGGGCCTGGCAGTGGTCGCGAAGCGGCGGAGGAGGAATGACATTGCTTGCTGTGGTTCTGCTTTATAGCTGTATGAATGGAGGTGAGTTTGAAGTACTAAGTATGGTCATGGATAACGGTCCGCTTACTGATAGATAGCACGAAGACTACAAGGAGACTCACAAGAATATGATGGTAGGAGAAGGAGGAAAATTTGGGTTGTGTACCCCGAAAGAATGCCGCTGAGGGGACTCGTATGACTAGTCGGGGGTGCCTCGGTCCCTCGACGCGCGGCCTGACGAACTCGGCAGAGGTCGGCGGCCGGCCAAGTGAGACTTGTTTTGGAAGAGGATGCCAGATCCAATTTTTCCAAGCTCCTCATTCCTCATGCCGTAATGCAGCCAGCGCAGTACTGCCTATATGTCTTTGCAGATTCCCTCATACGCTGGGTATACTTCCGCCCTTCTCTGGACCGACGGATCTTCTTCTGTCGTATCAACGTACACTCTTCCGCACCGTGCACTCCTCCGCCGCACCGGCTTGAAGAAGCCCGAGAGGAGCCAAGAAAAGATGATAGCAAAATCTACATAGCAACTAACAACATCCGCAGATCCCCCCCATGCCCCCGCTACCTGCTACCTGCGCTACCTACTACCTATCAACCCTATCTACCCAATCTCCCTACCCTACATACATCTAGTAGACTTCCAACACATACCTCTCCTCCTCCTTGAGCTCCTCAATAAACTCTTCCGCCCGCTTCCTCTCCATTCCCTTCTCCTCCACCAAGCTCCCCACCAGCGCCTCATACACATCCGGTACCGGCCAAGTCGGTCCACACAGGTAAAAGTAGGCCGCCTCGTCCCCTTTGCCACTCATCAGATCCGCGAGGAGCTTCTTGTCTTGCATCATCTTGTGCTGGATGTACACCTTGTCCTTGCCGTCTCGCGAGAACGCGAGCCCCGCATGCGCAATGACGCCCGAAGCAATGTACGCCTCGATTTCCTCGCCGTACAGGTACTCTTGGGAGCGGTAGCGCGAGCCAAAGTAGTAGAGGAGGGGTCCGACGTCGATGCCCTGCGTGCGCTGCCAGGCACGGTGCTGCATAAAGGCGCGGAAGGGGGCGGCTCCGGTACCGAGACCGGCCATGATGATGGGTTGCTTGTCGGAGGGAGGGAGCTTCATGACGGAGGGCTTGATAGAAACGGTCACTTGGGCGCCGGGGGCGAGGGCGGCGAGGTACCGCGTGCACTGACCATACCGGGGTGAGCCTGCATGTCAGCTCAGTCTCATCTACTCTCAAGGACATAAACATACCGGTAGAGCTCAACCAGTCAACCGTAACAATCAACAACTCGACCTTGTCCCCAACCGCCTTTTGACTGCTCGCAATCGAGTAATGCCTCGGCTTGATCTCCGGAATCAACCCCACCAGCCCCTCGATCCCCGGCCTGGCCGTCCTGAACCTGTACAGCACATCCGCAAACGTCACCGTCTCCTTTTCTGCCATCTTCTTGAACAGTTCCGCGCCCTCTGGCGCCGAGATGAATTTGAGCGTCATCGCGTCCGATTTCTTGGTAGCGAGCTTGGCGAGGGCCGCGTAGTAGGCTTTACCGGGCCGACCAAAGAGGTCGACGTTTTGCTGGAGGAGTTGGAAGATGGTTCGCGTCTCCATAGTGCCCGCCTTGAGGGGGTTGGGGAAGGTGACGAGCGCGTCCGGGTCAAGACCGTACCACTCGCAGAACGAGAGGACTTCGGGCCCGTCATTCCACCCGTGGATCCCGATTGCCTCGCCAATCTCGTACTTGAGACCCGTGCCCGCCGAGTCCAGCTCCAGGTGGAAGACGTTCCGGTCGTACGTCTGGGGAGTGAGCCGCCGGTTCTCGGTGACGGTGACGAGGAAGGTCTCGTCGTGCGTAGAGGGCCGGAGAGTGGAGATGACGGGTGTGGGGCCGTTGACGTCCGCATCAAGGTCGAGCGACTTGGTTTCGGGCACGGCGAACGCCTCGCGGAAGAGAAGGTGACGCGCCGCGAGCTCCTTGCTGAGAAGCTGAGGAGCCTCGTCCGTGTGAAGATCGATAACGCCCTCTTGGCCCGGAAGGGCATCCCACTCCCACTCCGCCTTGACCTTCTCCTTCTTGCCCTCTTCCAGCTCAGGCACAGCCCACTCGGAAGCGACCAGCTCGCCGAGACCCGCTTGCGCCTCCTCGATATCCTCTCGCCCGACTTCGCCATTGTAGAATGCGTCAAGAACCTTGCGGACGCCCTGGGGAAGGACCTGCTTGCCCGTGTAGAGGAGCAGGAACGCGGCCGCCTCTTTGATGGGGAGGGTAGGCGATGCGGGGTCGAGGTCGAGCAGGAAGACACGGATGTTGTTCTTCTGGATCGTCTGGATCTCGGTGCGCGACAGCTTGACAGCCACCTCCTCTTCCTGCCAGGGCAGCTCGAGAATGAGGATGCCGCCGGGCACGAGCGTGGAGAGGACGTCGGTGGACTTGAGGACGTTGGCGTCCGAGACCCAAGCGACCTGGGCCTTGGTCGCCGGGGTGAGCGGCGCGGGCTTGGTGCCAGAGGGAGAGAGCGCCAAGATGGACTTGACGCCACGGGACGAGGCCGAGCCGAACGCCGCAAGACGAGCCTGGAGGGAAGGCGACGAGAGGAAGAGGTGAGACAGCAGCGCCGGGAGGGGAGAGGTCGGCGAGGTGAAGAACGAGATGGTCTTGCTGTCTGCGACGCCTTGGGTAGAGGGGACGGCAGCGTCAACGACGACCGACTTGACCGAGGGTAGGACCTGGGAAGAGGAGCTGGACGCCGAGTAGAGCGCAGAAAGGACGACCGCCTTGAGTGCATCCGCGTCGGCCTTGGTACCGCCAACGACAGAGACCGACTTGCCCGCGAGCGCAGCGGCGAGTGCGTCCGGAGCGGGCGAGAGCGAGTGGAGGGTGATGACCCCGCCCGATGCGGTCTGGGCGTAGAGTCCGGCCGGGGCGACCGTGACGTCCTTGCCCTCGACGTTACGCGAGGAGAAGCCGATCTCGGCGGACGAGGTGGAGGGGAAAGTGTAGCTGGTAACCTCCCGACCCGAGTAGGTGGACTCGACGACGTGGATGTACTTGCCGCCCGCCCCATAGATCTTGGCGGCGTTGGAGACCGCCTCTGCGCCGGACGAGAAGACCACCTCCCACCCCTCCGGAAGGTTGGTCAAGCTCTTGAGCACGCCCGCGGCAAAGAGGGTATCGGCAAGGACGAGTGAGTCGGCCGGTGCGGTCGTCGCGAGGTGGATAACGACGTTGTCGCCCTTGATGCTTCCGAGGGAGGAGACGAGGTTGGGGAGGGTGGTGGTGGACGCAAAGACGCTGAGCTTGCCTTGAGACTTGGCAGAGTATCCCGCCAACTCCATACCTGCGCCCGACCTGTTCTGAACGGGATACACCTTGTCCGATCCCCATCCGACCGCCTTGGCGCCAAAGCCAACCTGCACGGCGTCGTCATACACCCATACCGCCGCGCTCTCCTGCACCGCCAGCGCCTCAATCACCTCGATGGCCGAGCCGTAGACGGTGGATCCGGCCTTGCTCGCTGGGCCGGGCGCGGAGGAAGCGAGAAGGTTCACGTAGAATTGGCTGTCGGTGGGGGAAAGACGGGCCGAGGGTAGGTTGGCGTCGACAAGGGACTCGGCGGTGGCCGTGGGAGAAGCCTTGGAGTTGTCTCCGTAGTCAGAGACCGCGGTGCTGGTGGCGGAGTAAGGAGTGGATGAGCCATCGAGCGAGACGCCGTTGTTCTTGTTGACGGCGGCAATTTGAGATTTGCCAGCCGTCTGGAAGGAACCCGAGGTGATCTCGGTAGCAAGAACGGTAGGTGCCATGTTGGGTATGGCTTTTGCGGGTAGTGAGATGATGGAGGGAGATGATCAAGAGCTGTATCTACTTTTCATCTGCTTTGCTGCTTGTCCCCATCGATGATTGCTGATGGCGTGATAGCCGGTCGTTCGGAAAAAAAAGTTAGGCCCGGGAACTCGGCCCGTGCCTGACCGGGTGGCGATCTCCGCGATCATCCGATGCGCATGCAAAGCTCAAGCAAGTGGCTGAGTCAGGCATGCAGCGTAAAAGACCAGTGTAGCACAGGCGGGCGGGGCCAGCAGCAATGGATCCAGCTTGTCGCCGGTGCAGAATTGTATTCTCATCACGATAGCTCCAAGGCGTGGGAAACCCTTTTTTCCCGTCACATCATCATCGACAAGATCCATGCAAATGATCATTATCTAGGCCTTGACGAACTGCTCTCCCTTCTCGATGTTCTTCTTCAACCTATATATGTCAGCTTGACCCCCTTTTCCCGACCTTTCCCGGAAGCCTAGAAGCTGAAAACTCACTCGGGCAGGCAAGCCTTCATGAGCTCCTCCTCCTCGGCCGAGAGAGATCCAACGGGGTGGATCTTCTTGACACCCTCGGGACCGAGCTCGACGTTGGACGCAAAGTACGAAACGCCCTGGTCCTTGTACAAGGGGGAGAGGACAAAGGTGGGCTCAACGACGTTGGACTCGCCGTTCATGGCCCGGATAAGGGAATTGGTGAAGCGCGCGCCGGCTGGAATAGGTCAGCCGCGGGCTTATCGGGAAGTATGGGAGGGAGGGAGGGAGACAGGCGAGATAGAGGTGTACTCACCGAAACCCATCGAAAGGGTGGCGGACCCAGTCCCGGCCTTGGCCTGGACGACCTCATCACCGCCAAACTGGATCCTCTTGACGAGGTCCTTGTACTGCTGGCCTGACACGTCCTTGCCGGCCTCGACCTGGCTGAGGAGGGGGATGATCGTGACACCAGAGTGGCCTCCGACGACGGTGACCTTGACATCCTTGGGGTCCTTGGACTTGATCTCCCCGAGGAAGCGGGAGGCACGGACGACGTCGAGGGTGGTGACACCGAAGATGCTAACGGGATCAGTGCTACTCCTGGGAGGGAGGCAGGAGGAGGGAGGGATGGAGGGAGCGAGGGAGGGAGGGAGGGAGGGGAGAGATTGGGAGATGAGGACGCATGAGAGGACTTTTCAGAAAACAGGAGACACTAGGTGAACGGGGAACATGTCTCTTCCTAATGCACCCATTCTCCCATCATTCTCCATCCGCACATTTCACCAAGCTGCCTAAGCGGCCCCTTCTCCTACCTCCCTTATAGAGAGACCTGCTCCCATCCATGACCGTCCCACTCATACCCGTCCCTGTCAGAGATTGAAGTTGGACTTACCGCTTCTCGTCAAACACGCCCTTCTGCTTGTACACCTCGGCGAAAATGGGAACGGTCGAGTTGACGGGGTTGGAGATAATCAGGATGTGGGCCTTGGGGCAGTGCTCGGCGCAGGCCTCGGCAAGGGACTTGACGATGGATGCATTGGTGTTCTATTCAATCAGCTACGCTCTACCCTGTCGCCGGATCGGGTCGACGAAACTCACGAAAAGGTCGTCACGGCTGATCCAGTCAGCTTTGCTCTCACCCGCACAAGGTGGTTCCATGTAGAAGACACTCACGTCATTCCGGGCTTGCGGGGGACACCGGCAGGGATAACAACGATCTCGGCGCCCTTCAGGGCCGCTCCGATGCTTATGAGGTCAGCTCAGTTCACGACAAGCAAAGCGAGGAATGGGAGATGTATAAGTGGGGAAAGGTAAAGCAGTACGATGGAGGGTGTCCGGCCCCTTCTCTGTATCCATATCTGACCCTCTGTCTCTCGTCATTGCCCGCCCTACCCTTCTTCCCCTCTTCCCGCTGGACTGGTCCACCACCAGCACCAGATGCCCAGTTCGGTCCCTATCTCCATCCATCCGCTCTCCCAGCATTCCATGTCATCCAGCCGTCTACCCACCCGACAGATCGGCCGAAACGGGCCACTTTAGGCGTTTATATCGGTGACTTACTCATCCTTCTCGAAGCCCTTCACTTCCGAGTGAGTGTTAACGTGGCTAATGTCCGCGGCGACACCGGGGGCACCTCGGACATCGTACAGCGACAGCTTGGTGACGAGCGGGTCGGTCTTGAGCAGAAGAGACATCGGCTGACCGATACCGCCTTTTTGTATCAGTTCTATTTCTCGCTGCGAATCTCGACCAGAACTGCCTCTCCTCGTTGCGTCTCGGGTAATTTCCCCGTAGGCCACAGCTTTTCGCTTCGATTCGCTGTACTCCAGCCCCTCCATATCCAATTCCTCATCTCATGAGAGGATTTCTCGCAGACCCCCTCTCGAACGTATGATGCGCGATCGACAACGCCCTCCCTCCCGATCCTCGGCCACGCCTTGCGGAAACTCACCAGCTGCGCCGAGAACGGCCACATTGCGCTCAGCCCGAGCGGTCGAGGCGAAGCCACGAGCGAGGACGCGAGAGGAGCGGATGACTGACTTGGAGAACATCTTTTTGATCTATGTGGATAAGGTAGAGAAAGTAGAAGATACAGAGGGAGAGAGACGGTTAAGTTCGGCCGGAGACGGAGCTGCAGAGAGCTGGGTTTACGTTCCTTTCGCCGAACGTGGCACTCTGGGGGCCGTTGGTGGGGATGGAGAGGTCCACCCTATGATCTGTGACCTACGCTTTTCTACGCTATCTAGGTGTGAAGCTAATATTTCAGTGCACAGAACTGGGCTCCGTATTGATACTACTCGCCTACTACAATTTCCTGACCATATGTATACTCTCCCAATAATCCGTATCCCGCCCCAACAGCTTCCACCCCATCTTGGCCCACAACTGCTCCGCGCCTGTCAAGAACGGCTGGGTATGGAGATACAGCACCTCCACCCCGTCCTTCTCCGCCTCCTGTACCAAGCGCTCTATAAGCCTCTGCGCTAGGCGCTGGCCCCTACACTCTGGCGAAACGAAGAGACGGACCACCTCGGCCGTTCGTTTGCCCTCCCATACTAGCTCTGGACGGAGGTTTCCTGCGCTGTCCCTGTGACGGTGGAGATAGGGCCGGTAGGCGCAGATCCCAACTACCTTCCCTTTGGGGTGCCCGCTGGAGCCGCCGTCGCCAGAGCCAGAGGGGACGGAGTTGTCCCGCGCAGAGAGGAAGCAAGCCGGTCCGGAGGTGGAAGGGTCCGGAGAGCAGTAGACGGCCTCAAAGTTGATCAAGTCGGCAGGGAGGACAGAGGGGTCGGGGTTGCGCGGGGCAAAGAGGAGTTTGAAGGCGTCGATCCCGAATTGGAGGACGTCGGGCTCGAGGGAGGTGGAGCGGGAGATGGAGATTGTGGACTTGGGGTCTGACATGGCGCTTGTGGGTGTGCGGGGATGGGTGGATGGGCTTTGGAGCTTGGGGCGGGAGAGGAGGTGGTTACTGGGAGGGTGACTGATACTGGACACCTTCAGGTACACTTGTAACACCTTTATATCATAGGAGGTCGGCCGAAAGATAGTCAAGGTACGCGCCGCTTAGGCACGCCCGATATAAACCGCCTTATCTGCGACGCATGATGCGGCTCATAGCCTCCTTCCCGACATGTCCATCATCGCGACCTGATCAAACCGAGTGACCTACACCTCCGTGATCTTACTGATGCATGTTCGTACAAACAAACGATGACAAGGCTCTCAACACTCATATCTCCCCCTCTCCTCGCCTCCAGCAGTCGGCTACTCGGTAGCAAGCTCGTACTTCATCTTCTGAATAGCCAAAGCCGGGTTGAGGCCCTTAGGGCAGGTCTTGGAGCACTGCAAACATCAGCATATATCCCGCTTCCACAAACCGCCAGACTCACGTTGAAGATGGTGTGGCATCGGTAGAGCGACATGGTGTTCTGCATCTTCTCCTTTCTTTGCGCACCGTACGAGTCCTGGACCATCAGCACCACTCCTCCCATCAGGCACGTCAAGACATACCCTGGAGTCGGCCATCCATCTGTACGCTTGCATCAAGACCGCAGGGCCGAGGTAGGTGTCCTGGTTCCACCAGTACTGAAGCTGTCAGCTTCTCCCTTTACTATCCGCAACTGAGGGATGGTATACTCACTGAAGGGCACGATGTTGAGCAGCACGCGCACAGGATACACTCGTACATCCCATCCAGCTTCTTCCTGTCCTCGACCGACTGGATGAACTCTCCCTGCGCGGGTGGGTTGTCGTTCTTCAAGAAGGGCTCGACCGACTTGTACTGCTTGTAGAAGTTGGTCATGTCGGGTACGAGGTCCTTGACGATATACACTGGACGTCAGCTTGGATCTCGTCCAATTTGACTAGAAAGGCGATGATTAAGGCAAGGAAGCAGTAGAGGAGAATGCTGAACTTACTGTGGGGAAGGGGATAGATCTTGCTTGCAGTGTTGGTCTGCTTAGGGATCCGGCAGAGGCACGCCAAAGTGTTGACACCGTCAATGTTCATAGCGCACGATCCGCAGATACCTTCTCTGCATGATCGGCGGAAAGTGAGGGTAGGGTCGATCTCGTTCTTGATTTTGATCTGGTCGTGAGTTCCAGTTCGTACGCATCTCGCATCAAGTAGCTCACCAGGGCATCCAGCATCATCGGTCCGCACTGCGCCAGATCGACGTGGTAGCTCTGCAGCTTGGGCTTCTCGGCCGGCTGATCGGGGTTCTGCTACATCAGCCACTATCCTCTTCGCCCTGCGACTCCCGATCGCGCCAATTCTCGCTCGCGCCTGCAACAGGACCAAAAGACCGAAAGCTCACCCATCGGTATATCTTGATCTCCTTCATCGTCGACGCCTTGCCCGTGCTGGATGCAGGTGCGTCTCCAGTAGGCTGCGCAAAGCGCTCCGCTGCTGAGGTGTGGAAGGCAGCCGCACGAGCGGCAAGGGGGAGGGCGGTAGCTGTCGAGCTGGACGCGGACGCGACGGCGCGGAGTGCTGATGTTGCGGGGCGGAACATGATGAGTGGTGTGTATATATTGTGTGTATGGAGCTGTCGAGATAGATGTCGGATGTATAGACAGTAGAGATGCAAGCAATAGAGATGAATCTCGATCTCGCTGAGCCAGATCGCTCCACCGGCCAACTCCCAATTTCCTAACGGAACAAGTCGGAATCGCCACTTCGGGTAAACTCGCGAACCAATCAGGTACAAGCTATTCGCAGCACCCGGTTATGAGGACCACCAGCCGGGCAACGATGCATGTCTTTTGCGGTTTGACTCTACTTATTCTCCTTGCACTGGGATGTACTGATGCGCACGCTCGGCGCTGAGTTCGAGTTCGGGAAGTAGTACACAGTGTTCACGTTCTCTCTCAGCGTGAATGATCGGGACTCGGAACGCTGCTGAAGGTCGAGGCGGGCGGAAAGGAGCAGCGAGTGCAAGTTGGACCTAGGTGTACGGGTGGATCACTGAGATGCCTGACTGTACTCATCTGTCCTTCATGCTCTCGGCGATACTAACAGCTATAATACAAGGACGGATCGATCTACGGCTGGCGCATGCTTCTCACCTCGGGAGAGGCAACAGCGGAGAGCTGTCTAGAAGCTCCTCCGACCCCGCGTCAGCTGGGCCCTCCGGCCAGGCGCCGACCCAGCCATGTTTCCATCCGGCAGCATGAGATCCCACACCTACTCAATCAGTCCTGGCCTGGTGGCAAGGTAGGTGGACCGCAAAGACCCAAAACTCACCTGCTGCGGATTGTTCTCGTTCGCAGTGGCGTTGGCGCAAGCCCACGTCTGGACGTCTCTCTGCGAGATCCAGCCCTTCCCTTCGTATACCGGCGATTGGAGTCGAATATCAATGCACTGATTGCCTATTTGATCAGCCATAGCCTGACCCAAGCCCTAATCATCCCACGAAAGACATCGGCTTACAGTTATTCTTCATATTCTTGATACTGAGCCGAGTGACAGCCCACATCTGACCCTTATCCTTAGCCGCACCAGCGTCCACACACTTCTCCAACCTCGGTCGCGCGGCGTCGGACGTATCGTCCCCGATACTGAGACAGTATTGCGCGTTGGACGCCTTGATCTGTCCGCCACCGCCAGCCTGGGCGAGCTTCATGTCCCACTTTTGCCAGTCGGCGCGGGCGGACCCGTCGGGCTCTACGTACGCGCTGAGGGCGCGTCAGCGGATGTGCCATGACTCATGAAAGGGAGGGAAGGGGAGAGAGAGAGAGGAGCTTACATCCCCACTTCGGCACCGCCGATGATCTCGCCACCTTGGACAGTGATGCAAAGATCCGACCTTCCCTGCGCTGTCTCCTTTAGCGGCTGCTCTATCCATCCGGGTTCAGGAGGGGGACTCACGGTGGATCCGTCTCAAGTTGGTCCCTGCAGCAATAGGCTTCGCGGGATCCTTGGGCGGAATGGGGGTGAGATACTGGGTCTGCACAGCGTTGATCAACTTGGTTGCGCTCGGCTCTTGGACGCTCGCAAGGGCGAAGGGGAGCATTGAGGCCAGGATGGCGAAGGAGATTGCGACGCGCATACTGCTAGCTGTATGTGAGTGGGTTGATTTTAGAGTAAGCAGTCTGGGCAGGGCCTGCCTTGTCGCTTAGTTGTGTAAGATTGATGAAAGAGCGTTTAAGAGCGTGGGCTGGGGCGTCTGCTCCATTGGAGGGAGGTCGGGAGTTATATGGTCAGTCCCAGCGCCAGCCTGGAAAGCTGGGATAGCCACTCCATCCCTGACTCCTGAGACAATCCCTTCGTATTCTCCCCCGACAAGCACCCTAGACCGGTCTCGCCCTTGTTGTAGGGTACATGGGACTTGTCAGAGGTCAGACATCCTTTCACAGCCCTTCATCGACCTTTCTGATGTTCCCCCTATCTAGGGACGAGCAGAGTGTGGGGTAAGCCATCTTGCGGCTGGGCAGAAAAGTTCCCAAGGGGTCAAGGGGGGAGATTGGCACCAGAAGGGGATGAGACGCGTTCGGCACGATCCGTCTCGTGTGACACCATCATCTGGCGATTGGAGCTCCATCAAAACCCGCTTGATTCCCCAACTCCTCATTCCTCGATATCCTCGCTCACCGTTGCACCATGTCCCATCAGCCCACCTGATCTGGCGAGATGCCAGTCTGCACGACCTGCGCCCACCCCGCCGAATACTTGTACACCACATATCGTACCAAGTCCAACATCCGGCTCGGAGTCTGCGTGCGTACCCGCATGAACGGAGGAGACACCAGCGCTGACGCTTCAGCCGAGATGCTCCGCCTTCCTCGACCCGCTCATAGAGCATCCGCCCCTCCTGCTCATACTCGACCTTATCCTGCTCAAGCCTCGAGTGTTCCTCCATCTCCTGTATAACAGAGGGACTCGACCGCTCGACGCAACTGCTCCATCTATCAACCGAGTCGTGCAGACTGCTCCTGCTGGACCGGACGAGCGGGAAACGGTGCTACGGCAGGATCTGGTCCGCTTGGTATTTGTCACCATACTCGCCGAGGCGCTCGTCCGGATCGGAGCATCCCAGGGAGGTCTTGCGGGGAGGTCTGAAGGGAAAGGAGGGATAAGATGTGTATGGCCGGTCAGCGGGATATTGCTCGGCGTCATGGCGGAGATGGCAGTGCAGTACGGGGTGACGCTGATACTCGGCTTGAGTGTTCTATGGGCGAGGGGCTGGTGGACTCCGGCGCCTGGTACCCCGTCAGAGCGGGTGCAAGGAAGCGGGAAAGCCAAGGCAGAGGATGGGCGGAAGGCAAACTTCAGGTGAGCTCTTAATCTCTCGCCGGCCGTAGCTTCACTGAGCCCCTAGACCAATTCTCATCCCCCTCACCCTACTCTACACCTCCATCCTTCCTCTACTCCTCCATCTCCTCCTCTCTATCTGGTATAGCCCGCCGACCCACCCTTCCTCCTCCACACCACTCGACACGCTTCACCTACCCTCCATGCTCACCGATAATCTACCCCTCGAGCTCATCTCGGTGATGCATACGCTTCATCATCTCTGGAATACGACCGACCGGATCTGGGCGGGTACGCGCCTGCTGGGCGGCATGTCGGCTGGATTTGGACTGCGGGTAGTTTTGCCTACAAGGCCATGGGAAACAACGGGGATCGTATCGGCTGGGTGGGGTGCGGCAGCTGCCGTCGGCTGGGTTCTGCAGGGGCCTCATATCTCGGTCCTGGTATGAGAGAGTAGTACAAGGTGATACATCGTCTGGTCTATGTTGTAGTATTCTAGTATACAAGATCTAATGCCCAAAATGCCAAACTGTCCATGTTGCTCCCCTCAGTCACTCCTGACGACGTACTGCTCAATCTTTGGGTCCCTTACTATTCCCCACCAGAAAGCCCTCCAGTGCAATATGGAACCCTACGAATGCATGAGCTGCATTCCCCCTCGAGTAGGCTCGAACTTACTTTTGTTCGCTTCATGACGACCAATGTTCCCACGCCGTCCGTGACGGCCTCGTTGGAGGTGAAGATGAATGTGCCGTACACGGTGCGATTCCCTGCTGCTTTGCGTACGATGATTCCGATATCTTCATCTGCCCATTCCACATTGCTCGCGCCCAGCATGTCGATCAGGTAGGCGAATAGCAGTTCTGCGGCGTGCTGGACGTGCAGAGCCAGCCAGAATCGGGTAGTGATGCTGTTCTCTAAACCCCCTTGGGTCTGCATATGTCAGCGTGACACCTCGAGTGACAAGTACAAGGTGAGAGAAGAACCGCTGAATGTGGGTCCAAGCGCAACTTACGATGTTTCCGGTCCCACGCATGAACTGGCTTTCTGATTTGGTGTACCCATCTCCATCGTCCATGACTTGGCTAAATTGTCAGCTTTCGCTCGCTCGGCACGTCGTACGTGAGTCCAGCTCACGAGTGATTGTAGTTCTGACTAGCCCGAGTTATTGGATCGGCATAAGCCATCATTCCCGTTTGCCTCAGCCCTTGGGTGAGAGCCTCGGCCATCTGCTCTCTTCTTAGTTGAGATGGAGTCATCGACCAGGGGTGCTTGTTGATACCGTCGATCGTTATCCGGTGATTGGGGTCGATAGTGAGCATAGCCAGCAATATCGCTGAGACTGTCAGGCCCTGCTCGATCTTCCGGGCCTCGAGCGACTCACCTTTTGCCTGGCCCTTTATCCTTGTCCACGGGTCATACTGTAACAGTTCGCCAGTCATGTAAGCTCTGAACTCTGGACTGTCCTCCGATGGCTCATCCCAGGGCGTATCTGAGAGATCAGCGAAGCAAAGCAGGCTAGTGAGATGGAAGACTCACTCCCGACTAGCAGGGTGTACAGAACCACGCCCATTCCCCATATATCTACCGGCTCCGCAGCGTAGCCTGTGCCGACTGGCTGCCCGAGCTGTACTATCAGCTTCATGACCACACATCAGTAGGATAGGCGTGACTCACCTCCGGCGCTACGTATGGCAGGCTGCCACACCTCCCACTGAGCAGCCGCGTCTTTCCATTGTGCTTGAAGACCGCACAGAGCCCAAAGTCGGATATCTTGAGATCGCCATTGGCCTTCAGAAGCAGGTTCTCGGGCTTGATATCTCGGTGGGCAACTCCCTTGCTGTGGATGAAGGCCTAGGCCTCAGCTTCAGTGTCATGGGCGATTGGCTAGAAAGACTTACCATGCCGGAGACCATTTGAGCAAAGTAGAACTTGGCGAGATCTTCTGGAACCCCCACATCAGGAGCTAGTATGAGTCAGCTATGTCCGTCCATAATCCGAAGAAGCGATACTCACCGATCTTATCAAAGAGGTCGCCACCTTGAGCCAGCTCCAAAAGGATATACAATCCCGGATGGAGCCCCCTTTTTATTGCGGTCAGGTCAAAAGTTTCGCACGCCATGAATTTGAGGATATAGTCGTGCTGTAGCGCTCGGTGTACCTTGACCTCTTTTTGTAGTTCGGGCACGTTGGGTGGAGTGCCGTGTTTTTGGTCGGGGGCTTGGTAGATAGCCACGACTTTGCAAGCAGCCAGATGGTCTTTCCCCTTGATTTGCGCCGTTGCCAGAAAGACTCTACCTCGTCAGCTATCTGTATCTGGATAGCAGGACGAGGACACCAGAGTCTTACTTGGAGAAACCCCCTCCGCCAATTTGGGTACTGAGCGTATAGCCAGCGATTGATGGATAGACGAGCTCTGCTCGAAGCTTGGACCGAGTTCCGGGGAGCGTCGCATCGGAATACTGGGTCATCTGGGAGTCCATGGCGAAGGCGGCGTACTGGTAGAGAGCTTGAGGATGGGCAGTGTGTAGGGAGTGAAGGTAAGGAGGCAAAAAGTTCGGTGGACCTGTGGGTGGACCTGGTTGACGGTGCTGCCGTAATCGTCTCGACGCGTCGTGATAGTGGCGTCATAGCGCAACGCGTTGCAACCAAGAGGTATCCTTTGCATCTTTCCTCCTTCTCTCGCCCTCATCGCCCCGTGTCCCCTCTGTACCCCTGGGGTCTCCTTCACGTACGCAGACTGACAGGATAGACCGAGAGCAGGGAGAGTTGAGTCAGGGAGTGTGTCCGACATCATCATCGAAATCCCCCCAACGTCCATACATCATCCTCACTCAACTTCTACCACAGCCTTCCAGACCCACACCCACACTACCCAAATCTTCACGAGACTCACCATCCTCACTCATACCAAACAAGAGCTCTCACATCCCTCCTTATCTCCAACACCAGCAATCACCAACTTCACACTTCACACCGCCGTCATCCCTACTCACTGCCAACACACCCATTCCCGTATCCCGCCCTTGTACTAATTCGCACTCTATCGCAATGACTGAAGAATCAAGTGACGACTTCAGGACTGGAGCAGCGAGTTCAAGGACACAGTCAGGACATACCTCGACTTCGCGAACAGCGGAAAACCTTTCCCATCCTCTACAGACTCAACGAGGTCGTCCCCCGGGCCTACAAGTGCCGAGTATCCGCGTCTTGCCCGGAGCTGGACGTCGGCAACCTCACAAGACGCCTCTACACTTCGCGGTTCCGCTTCTGGATCGGTGGGAGATCCCTCGTGGGGAAAGATGAGGGATGACTCGGGAATGTCCGACCGGAAGACGACATCTAATACTATGGATGCGTCCCGAGGTTCGGACAGTCTGTCGAGCTACAAGTCAACTGGTCGAAGATCTCGAGGAGTATCAGCGCCGGACTCTGAGGCGTACGTCATGCTTATGCCTCTCTCACTAAATCATGGCCGCCGAATTCGCACTGACACTGACAGAAGCGAGCGTGACACAGAGACCGGATCTATCTCCTCGGTCAGCTCGCTGAGCGGGGCAGCCGCGAGCTCCTACCGTCGGTCCACCAGCAGGAGACCTTCGTCCCTCTCGGCCTTCATCGCGTCGCTGGACTGGGGCGCCGAGGGTAGCGCTGCCAGGCGGGCCCGTGCAGAGGGCTTGGCCCGGAGATTCCCTAATCTTGCCAGAGAGGAGACCGCCGCCGAGCGCACGGCTAGACGCTCCTGCATGGAAGGTCCGATACCCGATGTCTCTAGTGCAGGTGGGACCAGTATCTCTTCAACTGTCTCTCAACCCCCTTCAAGTCGAAGGTCTGTTACACGCGGACCGCCATCCTGGACTGAGGCGGGAACCATCAAGGGCGGCGATCGATCTATCTTCGGGCGCTGCTCGTCATTTATGAGCCGTCATCGTCCCTCAAGGTTCCTTACCACTGCCAAACATCTCGGTCCCAAAAGTACTGCGCCTTCCATAGGAGCTGATACATCGACCAGCAGCGCGGTTAGGAGCTCTGCCTCGCTGATGCCGTCCTCACACCGTGAAACGTCCGCCAGACCATCATCATCCCCCTCAAGCACCGACCGCGTGGACTCCATCGATGCCACGAGCCGCTCGCGATTCAACCGCTGTACGTCCGTCATCAGCAGATACTGCACAAAGATCACCACTGCCGCCAGAGAGCCCTTCAAAAAGCACCGCAAGCCGATATGCACAGCTCCAGACGGGCCCGAGAATCGTGATAGCAATTTGACACTTGCAACGGCGGATCCGACCTCGCTCATCCCGACTGCATCAGCCACGGCGACAGATGCAGCCAGCGCCTCTCAATACCGAAACCGATAATCCTACCGAAGCGCCGCCGCTCGATCAGGAAGGTCCTCCTCGCCTCCGACGACGTCAGGTACAAGACACCACATTGCGTCGCTTTACGATCACTGCTCAAAAGTCGCAAACAAATGCAAGCGCTCAGTCGCCACGGCCTTCGAAAGCAGAAGTGATGCCCCATTCAGAGGCTGCTTTGCGTCCAGCAGGAAACCGACTGCAGACGGCATCGCCGAATACTCAACTGGAATCTCCATACCGGTGAGTGACGCAGCCAGCATGACCGTCGAGCCATCATCCTCCATGGAAACTCAGTCACCCTCGTACGGAAACGGGACCAGCAGGAGAGGTTTCAGCCACATAGCTCGCTCATTCTTCGGTGGCGTATCTTCCGCGGTCGAAAAGTCAAATGTGACCTCTGGCTCGGTCCTGAGCCGGTTACCGGTGTACCGCTAATCGACATTCACCAACAAGTACAGCTACGCCAGAATCGCCACTGCATTTTGCGCAGGTGCATCGTGCCATTCGGCACCTACGTATACTATAGGTCGACGGAGACAGGTACCACTGGGGAAATTGGGAGCCACATGAAGGGGACGAGAGGTAGTAGTCGATGGTTTGGGCATCGAGACCAGGCTGCGACAGGCGGAACGCTCATCGTCATTTCGTTATGCGTAGGCTTGACTGTAGTGAGGTTCATTGCGCCTCTGATTCGCGGCATCCTGTCACCTAACAGTCTAATGCTAGGGCGTGACGCGTCAGAACTCGGCATCCCTTTGTCTGACCCCCTGATCACGCTACCCTCGTACATGTATGGACAATGGCTCTCAGACGCCAGGAACGTGCTTGTGAAACAGCACGCTGACAGATGTCAGACCCTACTATACATCTCCCTGCCAAATTGATCTCCCACAGTCCCCATACTAACATATATGCGAGCACGATACTAGTCCAAGCCCTCCCAGATAGCCGTTGCCACAGCCTGCCTGATACTACAGGCTACTGCCCGATCGACCCTGTTCTACGGTAATGACCGACTTTGCCACCACCACATCGCCGTCCTCCGTATTCCTCAAGCGACCTGATACACCCGCTCAGACGACCGAGGAGGATGGCTACTGGAGCCCTGGGTGGTCTCCCGAGGATAGGAGACGCCTCAATCTCATACAAAGCGGAGACTCTGTTCCATCCCTCTCAGATACAGATCCATATCGGCCTGCCACCTACCGATCCACAGATGTTGCTCCATCACAGGAAGAGACCGAATACGTGCACGACCACACGACCTCTGTACCCAGTTGGGTCAGAGAAGCGGTGGACTCCAGGTCATTGAAGGAGTACTTTGATCCATTGAAGGAGTATTCTTCTTCCGATGATAGCAGAGGGGAAGACTCATATTCTGTTCACCCAAGTACAAACACCCCTGATGACCAGCTGTATGTCAGATCTTACTATGCTTACAACTCCAGACCGGTACTGACACTCGCAGCGTCGAATACTGCGATACGAATAGTGGCTACACCTCTTCTTCGAGCTCTTTGAGCAAGTGTCCAGCTAGCTCGTACGCTTACTCGCAAAAAACCACCAACAGACCCTCAGGCTCCAACCTCCCCAAACTTAGCGAGATATCGGATGAGCTGTATTGCCATCCGAACTACACAGCTCGTAGTGCTGAGGGGGTCGCAATCGCAACGGCAATGTCATGGGGTCCCTCGTTTACTGAAGACTCTGACCTCGATCTCTCTCGCCCTGCTTCTAGCCCCCCTTCGGATTTACTGACTCCGCTTCCCCTCTTCAGTGGCGTCCCAAGTCGGCCGAGTAGCGCAGGCGACACCTACACTGTCCCCACGGATGTCGCATACTCTTTCTATGACCCTTCCGCCTGCACCTCGCAGTTTCCGTCGCGAAGCGACATAATATACCCGAAGTCAAGAAGGGCCGTCCGCTCGTCCGACCTGTGCAGCCAGACCAGGGCCAAGCGAGAGTCCAGGCGGAAACGAGCCTACTTAGCGGCCGTCAAGCTCTCCATGGCCAAAATCGGCTGGCGGCAGACCAGTGAGGAGGAGTCCTTCAGCTGGGCCCACTCACAGAGCCTAGACCGCTATCAAACCGGCGCGCCGGAGACCAGTGCCTATCCCACGACCTCTCGACGACAGTCCGGCCCAGGCGCTGATTCACTTCAACCGCGTCCTCTCTTCAGCTCCGCGCCGAGAGACGTTTCATACTCTTATGCCAGCGCCTCCGCAAGCTCCACACAGTCCATGTCGCGGACTGGCGAACCAGATCCTCAACTCAGAAGCGGCGTACAATCGGTATACGGCCGCTGTTCGTCCGCCGTGAGCAAGTGCTACTCGAAGATAGGCACCGCAGTCACTGGGCGATTCACAGCGGCATTCAGATCGAGACATGCGACGACCGACGCCATTGCCGCCCAGATCCCATACTCGTATTATGACGGTGCGAAAATGGCGTCACCTTTGTCTGAGTATACCGGCCGGACGGGCACGAAAGGCCTCTTCAGCTCGGCTTTCAGTCGCTGCTCCGCCTTGGCCAGCAAATACAGCTGCTCCAATATCGCCACCGCCATCTCCTACAAGAGCACGGCGCCTTTCAAGGGTTATTACAGAGCGACTGCTGTGGATGTGGATGCCGGAACTGGTCGTGAAGGCCTTGCCGCGCGAAGCGGGGGAGGTTCAGCGTATGATGAGAGCGGGACTTTTGAGGGCGGTCCAGCGCCAACGTATAATTACTATGCGTAGGCTTAGCCGGTATCTTCCCCTCTGGAGCCTTCGCATGCAAGTCACATTGTAGCCACAGCCAGCTGTAATGAAATAGCCAACTCAATACCAGCCAGCCAGCAAAAAGCCAGCCAATGATAAATCACCAAGAGGTGGGGTGGTGCCCCACTTTGCCCCACTTTGCTCTTGACTCGATCCATCTCGATGCCTGTGTTGCTCCGCGATCATCTCGTACATAACCCCTTCAATCTGTTGTCGCCATGACGACGATCTCTGATCTCAGCCGTCGTGACTTCAGCGAGGTCTTTCCGACTTTCTGCGAGATCTCTGCCAAAGAGACATCCCCAATCCGACACGCCGTTCTCTGGCCCTCTATCCCCCTCTCCTCCCAGCTCCTACCTTTCGACATCCTCCCCACCACGTCGCACCATGGCGCATTTCTCCCTCACTCGTCATCTTCCCCTCCCACTCTCATCGCCTGCCTCACAATCACTCTTGAGCGCTATGCCCACCCTCATCACCTCGATCCGGTCATTACCGCCCGCGCGCGGGAGCACTATCAACTGCACAAATTTGGCGTACTGCAGGAATATCAAGGGAGGGGGATAGGGAAGAAGTTACTGCTAGAAGCGATACGGCAGCTGCGTAGGCGGATAGGGGACGAGGGACCGGTGCTGCTCCATTTTGACGCGAGGGAGACGCAGATTGGGTTCTATGAGAAGCTGGGTTTTGTGGTTTTGGAGGATGAGCGGATAGTGAAGAGAGGTCCGACGGGGAATGGCCCGCCCGTGATGTACCAGCGGATGGGGATGCTGGTGCAGTCGAGCCACGGATATCTGTTCGGGTGAGGCGACGCAGTGTCAAAAGTCATATAGGCGCACGGACAGTGGATAGCATAGTCGTGCACAGATCGAGCAGTATTGTACAGCTAGCAACAATAGAAGGCCTAAAACTCCATCACCTCAATTCGCGACTTGGCATCTCCTGCGTGGCCATCTAGGTCCGGTGTCTGAGTGTCAGCACAACAGCGTCATCGGAATTAGACCTGACGACTCACATATACAGCAATCAACCTCTCATCGTCCAACAGCAATACCTCCGCCTGTCCCTCCATCTCGACAAAAGTATACGGGAACTCGCTACCGGTTCGCACCTCATACGCCAGCGGGAGTATGTTCCGGAGGACAGTCTCGCCAGTAATGAGCGTGACGCCCCTCTCTTCGCCGTCGATACCGGCGGATGCGTCTGCGGGGGCGATGGACGGTGTGGGAGGCGATGAGCTGCTCAGCAGGCTGAAGCGACGCTTGAGTGAAGGTGATGAGATTGGGACGGTGGCGGATGAGGATGCTGTTGAGGGAGGCAGAGCGTGTTTCCGACGCAGGGCTTCCCGCTTGACCCGAAGCGGATTAAAGTCGTACAGCCTGATCTTGGCGTTGTAGTCTAGCGGGTCGTGCGAGTTCCGCCTGGAGCTGGTAGACGCCACGTAGCGGTCTTGATACACGTAGCAGACCCAGTCTGGGCAATCAGCTAGTCCCTGTTGACAACATGGGTTGCAAACTCACTGGAAGACTTCATGTCCGGCCCAAACATCCTGACCTTTGGGGAGATCGTTTCCCACTTAACCACCGGCGCCTGCCTCGGCCATGCCTGCTTCAGAAGCGGACTCGTCGGCGCAGGCAGGTACTGTATGAAGGTCCGCTTCTGGCATGCCATCACGTAGTGCGGCATACGCCCAGCAGGCATCTGGCAGAAGAACTCGATGATGATGACGCCTGATTCCGGATGGGGCGAGAATGGCTGGACCAAGTCGACTGGATGAGTAGGGAAGGTATGTCGAGGGGGCGGGTCGGTCCGGATGGTCATCCTTGGCGGGGGCATTTCGTCCGTCAGGTCGACGACGAATTCGGGGAGATCAAAGGTAGTGATGTGCGTGACGGCGTGCGGGGGTGGGAAGGGTTCAGATGAGTCGTCGGGTAGTGAGATGGACGCCAGGGAGGGGAATGCGTAGAGGTGGAGGTGGTGGGTCCAGGAGAGGTCTGAGGGGTTGTTGAGATCTTCCTGTGTTGTAGATTCCGGATCGAGATGAGTGATGATCGTAGGGACAAGGAGAGAGGTGGGAGAAAGGAGGATGAAGCTTTCGAAGGTCATGGTGGGGAAGGCTTTGAGTGTCTGCGCATCAGCACATCTCACTGCACGATCTGGAGTTCACATACGACTGCTAAGCGCCCACTCGTCCACTGCCACCCGCAGATCTGATCATACTGGCCCGACCGGATATTGTGGTTGAGCACAAACATCCCGTCATCGCAGATCTGGAAGCCCAGGCTGACTTCCTTCCGACTATGCACGATAGGCCATTCGAGCACATGCTGACGAGCGAGCGGATGTGGTTCCAGCGTTTCGAGGGAGAGGAGGTGGAAGAGGATCACATATTGCCGGGCCGACCGTAACCTGCCTGTCAGCTTCCGTGCATCCAGGATGCAATCGTACTACTCACTTTACTTCGACTAGAACAAGAAGGTCCTGTCCTGGATCTACCGCAAATTCTGAGACGCCGAAGTCAAACTTCTTGGACCGGCGTATCTTCTCCGCGACTTCGTCTCCCTCTTCCATCTCTTCCCAGTCGTCCTCTCTATCGTCATTCTCAAACACCTGGTCATCGATAGTCATGGTTCCGCTGCTCTCTGCCGCTGCGGGAGGTGGAGGAGCAAGTGCCGCCTGGACCGCACCGACTCCCCGTACATCGTATATCCCGATCGTATTGGTGGGACGCCCTCGACTTCCGCCCACGCTCTTCAGCAGTACCCCCTCCAGGTACTCGTATAGCGACCCCTCTGTCTCCTGCATCCGCATAGAGGTGGTACGAGTGGGGTCCAAGCGGTCGAAGCGGTCGAGTCTGTCCCGTAGCCTAGCGAGCAGTTCGGCGGGGGATGGCGGTGAGAGGTGTAGATTCGTTTGGGATGGTATAAGCGCATTTGGATTGAGTCGGAGGGAGGAGAAGGAAAGGAGAGTCTGCAGAGCCAGGTGGGGATTAGTAGTGAGAAGATCGTGTATCGTCCCGCAGACCTGATAGATGAGCTCGATCCACGGGAGCTCCGGCGAGAAGCTTACCCTCATACATCTCGCCAGCGAGACCCTGTCAAGCGCTGAGAACACCTTGACCAGCAGCTCCTCCGGTAGCTCGATGAGCCAGCATCTCCCCGAAGGATCGGGCGTCTCGTATGCCGCAGGCAGGATGGGCCGAGGAGCGATCCGACCAAAGGCAGCATCGAGCGATTGACGACGGGCAGCGGGCAAGGGCTCCCCCTCGGGATTGGGTTCGTCGTCTCCTGCAGGAGGACCCCTGCGCCCCTGATTGCGCAGAAAGTTGAAGATCGTGCTAGGCGTGATGTTCATCCTTCTTCTGGTGAAGCGATGGCAAGGATGGTGATGAAGGCCTAACTTCACTAGAAATCCGTCAAGCCGAAGCCAAGCTTGCCGGAAATGGGTCAGGCAGGTTTCACGTGTGGGAAAGTGACGAGATGCCTGAGCGTGACTGACTTCGCAGGTTGAGCTTGCTACACTTTGATACTTCTATGTTCGTACAGTATGACTGGCATCCAGATGGCATACACAGCTCCTCATGGAAGGCAGCGAGGTAATATGGTCCCCGAAGGAGCAGGGGCTGGCTGGCGTATGACCCGCTCGACGCCGTCGGCCTTCGGCCTCCGTCGTCTCGCGCGGGCCATCTTGAGGCTAGAGACAGGGAATGTGAAAGAGTTCCGTATGCATGGTGACTGTACCTGTGGCGGATCCGTTCCTGGTCTCAGGGTGCATGGGAATCTGCAAGGTGAGTACAAGGTGGTCACAGTGCTCGTGCACATCACCAGCAGCTGCACATATGCATGCGAGATGAGGCGGGATCAATTATAGCCGCACGGACTTCAAATGCCGGCACAAAAGCCGCGTCAACTCGTTTTCGTCAGCTGACCCAGCTATATACAAAAGCAACGCATTCCATACATCTCCACTTATGCATGATAACAAGGTGCTATAAAGAGTACCAAAAGATGCGGCGCCAGCAAAATAGCCAATCTGGACTTTGAAATCGTAAATTGGGGACCTGTAGCGAAGTCAAAGCGAAAATCCAATATCTCTTAGAGGATTTGAAGTGGTCAGTCTAAAGCCTGACCCACCGCGATATCGTACACTGCAGCTTAAGCTTGCAGCTCGTGCAACGGAGGTATGACGTAACTCCCTTCTGACCTCCAGACCTCGCCGGCCATATTGCGCCAAGGATGACCGGCCTGTCTCGAAGCGTCTGCCCGAGAGGCGCGCTTGGTCGTCGTCATGCCAGCCATGAGATGAGGCTGCATATGTTCACTTTCCCCAGATATGGATTCTAGGATTCTATTCCCCCATTCTCATCTTACAATTTCGCCGAACCCACCTCGATAGGCTCCACCGGCATCTGCGCCTTACTCCCCCTCAGCCCCGCCTTGAAGCTCAACAGCTCCTCCTGATTCCTGATCCACACCGTCTTCTCATCCAACTTGTCCTCCCCTGCCCCATCCGCCCCAGTGCTCGCCGTAGCCTCCTTGCCCTTCAACCCCCCAATCATCTCCCTCAATTCCATACCGGCCGCCTCCGCCAACCCCGCCGCTTTATCCACAGCCGCCAGCGCAAAGTCCTTTACTTTTTGCAGGTCCGGCGCGGACGCCATGAGGGCACCCATGGCCGACTGATCGACGGCGACATTGTGCTTCATAAAGCCCGCCACGAGGGGTTGGGCCGATGCCATGTCGAATTTGACGCCAGAGTAGGTGGATTTGAGGTGTGTAGAGAGCTTGGACCGGGTGGGGGAGGTAGGAGCAATAAGGTCCGTAAGGAGGGAAATGACGTCTGCTTTGGTCGTTTTGCGCAATTCTTCAATTTCCGCTTGACCTAAACAGTCAGCTCAAATTGCCCAGCGTCTCTGGCATTCGAACCACTTACGCCGCCCAAATTCATACGTCTTATCCGCCACTCTAGCCCAGTATCGCTTCGACTCCTCACCCAGATTCTTCGGCCTCTCCTCCCGCTTCGCAATCAGACTCGACCTATGCCGATCAAACTCCTCCTCCGACAGACCCTCGAGCAACACCTTTGCCTGAGCAAGGAACGAGTCCACCCTCGTCTCGAGATACACCGGATCCCTTTCGCTCTGGATGAGGACTTTCCAGCCGAGCGAGCCGACCCGGGAACTGACTGACGTCTGGACGATATAGCCCAATTGCTCCTTGGTCCGAAGCTGGTCGAAGGCTGGTTCATGTACGATCTGGTCAAACATGTTGAGGCGGGTCCGGAGGGCTTGGTTGTCCGGGTCCCCGATATGGACGTGGTAGATGATCGCATTACTGACTTCGGCGGGGTTGGGGTGAGGGAGGGAGAGGACGTGGTTCCCGACGGGGACGATGAGCGAGCGGTGGCCGTTTTTCTCCGTCTCAGTGATCGGTCGAGGAGACAGGGTACTTTCAATCATGTCTTGCATGGACTTGGCGCCCTAATTGTCAGCTCTTCTCTTACATCCTGATGGCAATGCTCACCTCCGGTGTGGTGTTGCCGTGAACCAGAGTCTCGATGTACGTCCGCTGGAACACCTCCTTGGCGAAAGCCTGGACGTCCGCGGGTGAGATATCTACGAATCAGGTCATGCCACAATATAGCTAACCCAACTCACGATCCAGCTCCGCCAACCTCTCAGCCTGAGTCCACGCCACCTCGCTGGTAGCATAAGAATCCCAGAACCCAGCCTGGCGATACGGTTCCCCCAACTTAAAGTTCTCCCACATCAATTTCAGCTATCCCGTCAGCTCCGTCCCTTTTCCGCGCACCAGATTCCGCAACTGACCTGATCGATAATCTCCCTGAACCTCTCCGGGTCAATCTCAAGCTTGACCAATTTCCCCAGCATCCGCTCGCTCAGTACCGACAGCTTGTCGCTGAACCCCCTCGTCGTGATCCCGATATAATCCCCGCCCGCATAGACACGGAAGTACAACTCGGCGAGCTCAGCATCGTACACGTCCTCCGTACCTGCGTCGGTGAAGACCTCGCATAAGAGCGACGTGAGCACGGCGTTGCGCGGGGAAGTTGTAAAAAGGGGAGAGGTGAGTTTGGCATCGATGTTGGCTTTGGGAAGCCAGAAGGTGTCGTCACGCTTGTACCAGAGACGAGAGAGCGGGGTGTTGCGAAGGAGTTCGGGGCGGAGGGCGGGCTGCATGTCAGCTGAGCTTGAGCAAGGGAGAAAGGGAGGCAACGAACAGTTGCGACGTCAAACTTGGTCACATCCAGCTCTTTGGGGATGAATGGGTTAGGACCCGGCAGCTTGAGATCGCCCGGTACAGCACCTGTCATAGCCTAAGAGTCAGCGTCAGCCGTACTATGTCACCACACGCCCAAGCTCACCTCCTTCATAAACTCGTCGCTCACGCGCACGCGCTTATGTTCCGTTCCATAGATCGGCTCCTTGAGATCGAAAGTCCCCTCCACGCCCTTGGGCAGCTCTCTGGACGTGACGCCAATAGCAGCCTTCCGGGGGTCGAGGTACAGCAGCGTGCTTTCCAACTCTTCCTGGTTATACTCCTCGATGAGCCATTTGGCAGAGATGATCCGGTCGCGCGGGACGGGATCCTGCATCCCCGCCGTGAGCTCAACGCAGTACATGTCGGGCTTGTGCTTCTCGGCGAACCGGAAGGAGATTTCGGCCATTTGCTTGAGGTCTTCAAAGATGAGGGAAGAGGGTGGGGCGGAGCGAAGGAGGGAGATGTATTTGAAGATGACGAGGGCGACGTCGTTCCAGTGTTCTGGCGGTCAGCCTGGGATTAATACAGCGAGGATGTGAGAGACTCACGCAAACCCTCAGGGGTGAGGTCGACGGTGACTTTGAAAAAGTCAAACCCGGCCACACCGTGCGCCATCCCCGCTCGGAGGTAGTTGGTCCACCCCTTGCTCTTGAGGTAGCTCAATACCGAGCCCTTGCCCTCGTGCCCGAGGAAATGCGTGATGTAGTTGGTCGGCTTGGACTTGTATAAATGCGTAAGGTCGGGGAACGGGAATGTAATCTCCAATCCTCGATTGTCCTTGACGGGCCGAGCGAACGTGATGACCTATCCATCAGCTCCATCCACAACCTATCTCCTGGATCACTCACGCCCATCTGTTCAGGACCCATCGGAGACTCATCAAATGCAATCCTCACTCCCTCGACACCGACCGGCGGCGACCCCTCGCTCCTGACTTCCACCCGCTCAAACCGCTCCCGCACCCACTTTTCCAAAGTCTCTACGTCCTCTTTGCCATTGACTGCCAACTTCATCCGCCTCGCGCAGTAATACTTCTTCCACCATTCGATGAGCTGTTGCCGCGGGTCCCGGCCGTCCGCTTTGGGCCTAGACCAGAGGGTCTCGTAGTTGCCCGTCCCGAACTTGTGGTATGGGTGGTCCTCGCGGAAGACGTGCTTTTCCATCTGGAAGAATCGCCACATGTCATTTTGAAGATTCTTCTTGTGCTCCGAGTCGACGGCTTTGATTTCGCGCTCCGTACAGTCCTGGGAATCAGCGAGAGCCAATGGAGGGTAGGCTAGGCTAGACGTACCTCGTTGAAGAGGGGCTCGTAGAAAAAGCCCGAGAATCGGTCGAGAGCACCCTCGAGCGCGTCCGCGCCGACGTCGAAGAAATAGGTGGTGCTGGTCATAGCTGTCCACGCGTTTGAGTGACCATTGTTCTTGGACAGGTACGCCGAGTACTCATTCTCCGAAGGGAAGGTCTTGGTACCCATGAACAACAGATGTTCGCTACACTATCAGCTCTGGATACTCTCATTATCTTGATCGACTTACCAGAAATGAGCACAACCGGGCAGATCGGCCGGATCGCTCAGATGCCCCACACCTACATCCATCGCCGCGGCCGCCTTATCGGCTTTCGGATCCGATACGACAATCACCTCCATCCCGTTCGGAAGTGTAAAGTACTTGTGGACGCGATCATCCGTGGGTGGGAGATGGAGGTTGACGGGGCCGTCCGCCTTGGGGATGGCGGGCACGGGGGGAAAGGGGTTCGACATGAGGGGCGAAGCGGGTAGGTGGATAGGTGGGAAGAGGGGTGCGGAGGGGTTCGGGCTGAGGAAGTAAGCGATAAGTCCGGTGAGGAGGGAGGGGAGGAGCATCGCTGTTGCGTTGGCTGCTTCCCCTCTGGGTCGGTGAAAGGGGAGACGTACATTTCTACTGCGGTCGCGAGGTTCCGGTATAGAGATCGGATAGGAGCTGGCGCACCTGCGGTAGTGGAGCCTGGCAGAACGGATCTGGGCTGGGCAGGTCTGATGAGAGAAGAGGTTGATCGACTGGGTGGAAAGCGACTCGTGGGCGAGATCCTCGTTCGAGTGAGGTTCCGAATCGGCAGCGAGTGTCGAATTCTGGGTATCATACAGAGACAGATGGAAGCGGCGGCCGTCTTGGCCTTTATACAAGGGGAATAGATGAGATTATAGACGGTTGTGGACGAACAATAAGCGACTTTGGCCAGAGTGGCGAGCCCATCGGAGGGATTTAAGGTTTCCACCCGTTCCAGACGCAAATTACGTCACTAGACGCACGGATCACGTTTCAGGTTAAATTGCTCCCGAAATCTGATACACGCGTTATGCCTGTAGCAACTATCCGCCAGCTGCATGGGAGCAGGCCTGACAATGGCCGAGCAAATAGAGCAAGGGGTATCATCCAGCAAGAGTACAAACCATATCCTCAAAGAGAGACCACCCTAGAAATCCTTCCACTCATCATCCTCCTTGCCCCAACTATCCTTTCTCGGCCTCCCCGCTGCCTGTCCTTGCACCTTGGCCCCGCCCGCCGCACCTGCACCTGACGCCGACCCTGCCGCTCCGCCGCTGCCGCCCAGATGACTCCCTGACCCTGGCGCATCATCCCACTCGTCAAAGAAATCGTCCTTATAACCCCCCTGCTCTCCATGTTCCGCCCTATCGAGATTCCCATACCCCATTCCCGTCCCATTGCGTCCGCCATGCCCACCTCCACCCGCAATGCCCAGCTTGCCCAGCTGTTCATTGAGATCCACGCCCCCCTTTTCCTTTGCCAGCTCGTTCGCGGCGCTCCAACCTTCGTTGGCTCTCTGCCCGGCCCACGTTGTGGCTGCTTTGGCCCCTTGGAGCCCTGTGTTGAGATACGACTGCCAGTCAAGCTGCCCCTGTCCATGCTCCCCGCCCGCGGTAGAGCGGGTAGTGGCGGAGCTTCCGACGGTAGAAGCGAGATCCGCCGCTCGAGCCACACCGGGCTGGACGACCGTGTTGTTGATCTCGCGCGCGGAAGTGGCTACCGCCGATGAAAACAGTCCCCAGCCTTTACTGAGCGCACCGAGGGGGTTCGCCTGTAACTCTCCAAGAGTAGGAACGGCGTGGCTGCTCGTACCGTACGCAGCAGGGTGGAGGGGTTCGGGCTCGTACGTAGATCCGAAACCCGCATACTTGCCTCCTTGGGACGGAGGGAGGTCCGCGGGACGAGAAGAGTTGGCGTTGCCCATCCGCTCGAAAAAGGCTTCATTGCCGCTCCCCGCGGGAGGCTGGGGCGTGACGGAGCGAGACGCGGGATTGAGGGAAGATCCGACGCCTGCTCCAGCTCCAGCGCGGGACTTGCGCGTGGCCTGAGCCGAGGCGGGGCGGGAGGGCATCTGAAAGTCGGCAGGCCGGGGAGAGGGGGACCATTCTTGTGGCGGATCGGCACAGGCCGCGGTGAGCTAGGTTGTCAGCTCAATCACTGGAGAGGAAGAGTCATCTCACCTTGTCCCGATACTGAGCAGCTGCCCAAGAATGATACTTCTCCTTGATATCCATACCTTTGGTGTAGCCGCCATCGGCCCCGTAGTTCTCCATGAACGACTGGAATTTATCGTTCCCGCCAAGCTAGATCGTCAGCTTGGTTCTGACCAGATACTAGCTCAGAAGCAAGACTCACCTTCATCTTGAGCCTTTCGAGATCCTTCCACTTGTCCATAGTGATCGATCTAATGAATGAGATGTGGACTCCGAATCCTGCTATCAGCGTCTTCCTCACGGCTATCGCTTCTTGGGCCTCCAGTGATTCCACTCTCGAGGTCGCGGTAAGTGAGCTCACCTCGGTGGATGCCAGAGCACTCGAGGCACACAAAGGTACCATACGAGACAGACGCCCACTGTGGGCTGGGAGCACCGCAATCTACACAACCTACAGCGTCAGCCTGTACCTCTAGAATGCTAGGAGGGGGAAGAGGTTTGCAGGAGACAGCGCCCAAAACCCCTCGGAACGTTCCGCGCCCTGATTCTTTGGGAAGACTCACGTCTGTTCCCTCCAGTCGCCATGAGCTCCAGGAGCTCCTTCTTCTGGTATTGCTCGCTCATGGTGAGGTAGATGCAACGGTGGGCAAGGCAGAGATAGGGATAGATGGTGTTTGAGCTTGGAGTAGACGCGATTGGCGCCACGTCATGCTCGTATCAGTGCTATGACGTAACTAAATAACCTTATCGGAGCGGGCGAGTTGGGTCCGAGCTCGGGCGGACTAGACACCGCATTCCTCGCCTCGCCATCGTCCCTTTCACCTTACCCTTGACATAGGCGCTATGCCAAAAGATACAGCCGCAGACGAGTCCTATGCTACCGGCGGGGACTCATCCAAGACGCTCAAGCGGGGCGACGCGTGCCTTTACTGCCGCAAACGGCGGATCAGGTGTTCAGGCGGTCCGTCCACCTGCGAACACTGTAAGAAGCTCAGGAGGGAATGTGTGTATGATACGGGCAAGCCCGTGAGCAGGGTGAAGCAGCTGGAGGAGAAGGTGGCGGAATTAGAGGCGATGCTTGGGGGAGGAAAGGCAGGCCCCTCGAGGAATGGGTCGGGGTCGGGGATGGGAAGCAAAGGCGGGGTTGGAATGGGGAGCGGAGGGAGCAGCGACTTTGCTCTGCCAGGGAATGGCTTTCCACACCCACAAGGGCCTCCAATCGACTTCTCGAATATCTTCGCTGGTAACGATATGGCCGCGCCTGGCCCCAGCGGCGGCTTCCGCCCTTCGCAAGCCCCATCAACCTCCTTCTTCCCCCAATTCAACAACACCGATATATCCATCGAGGACACGTTCGACTTTTCCATGCTCGATCCAAACTTCATGAATCTGATCAGCACATTAGCGGATACCTCGACGGGTAGCGACCCATTCGCTGCGCCGTTCGGACAATCCAATGGTTCCGCTCCAGCTCCGCCCGTCCCGGCGCAAGCGTCAAATCCCTCGTCCATGCAGTACAAAACGACTGTCTCTGACGAGCTGGACGATTCCGCTCTCTTTGAGCTCTTCACAAACCCCACTCCTTCCAACTTCTTCGACCCTGCTCCCACCCATGGCGCCACCCACACCAGTCCACCCATCCTCCTCGACCCTGGTACCAGCAACGGCAACAGCAACAGCTTCCCCTCATCCAGCACCCACTCGTCATTCTCGGCCGGACCTTCCGTTCCCTCATCGCATGCACCTCCAGCTGGACCGGGATATCAACCCTTCCCATCATCCCAATCTACTCCCTCGTCGAACAACCACTCATCCTCCTCACCCTACTTTGGTATGGACTGCTCGGATCCGAACGCGATACAAGACAAGCCGCCTCGAGCCCAGACCAAGACGTTCGGGTTGGCGATGGCGTCTCGGTCAGGAGCGGACGATACGACGTATGACCCAGCGTTCGATAGTCTGCCGATGGTGGGTGGGTGGTTTGACGCGGCGGATCTGCCTACTGTTGCGAGGGATCATTTGTGAGCTATCTTCCCCGGATACTTTCGGATCTAGCTGACCTCCAGGCTGGACTTGTTCTTTGCGGGAATGAAGATTGTCGGACAGGAATTCCAAATTCCCCGTTTTCTAGCTAGGTGAGCTAAGAGCCCTTGTTCACGTTCTGCCATAGCTGACGATCCAGCCTGTCACTCCCTCCGCTGAAACGTCCCCACCCCTGTCTTCTATACACGATGTACCTCCTCGCCTCGCGCGCATCGACCCACCCGCCCATTCGAGCCCTCGAGCACCACTTCTACCAGATCGCGTTGACCAAACTCGAAGAGTCCGTCTCGATGGCGGACCGGCTCCTTGACGCTACGCGCGCAGCGACTATGCTAGCGGTTTACAAGTACGGGCTGGCAAAGTACCACGAAGGGTATATGATGACGGGTATGGCTGCTCGGTAAGCCTCTCTGCGAGCATTCTCGACTACCAGAGCAATCGCTGATACTGCAGACTTGCGCTGAGCTGCGGTCTGCACCAGATCCCATCGAGCGTCTTCAAAGTCCCGGAGCAGCCGTACGACCGGCGAGCGGATATGGGCGCGCTGATGCGTCAACGAGCGTATGTGCTTGGTCCGCCTTTGGATGCTATCGATCTCGGGGAGAGAATCTGGGCGTTGTGAGTTCAGTCCTGCTCAAATTGTCAGCGGCGGAGGTGGAGCAAGAGCTCATGGGATAGCTGGGCGGTATATACTGTTGACCGGTGTGGAGCCATCTCGGCCCAATGGCCCGTCGCTATCCCAGACGAGATTATCAGTACGCCCTTCCCGAAGCCGCTGCACGAGTACGAGCTGGTAAGTCCTATAAATCCCACTCAAACGATGAAAGGATTGAGCGAGAGAGCTAATGTGATAGGGCCTCGTCTCTGAACGAGACGACATCACCATGTCGGCCGTCTGGCGCCCCTCTCCCTACCCTGACCGCCCCCGACCCACACTCGACCCGTACGCCCCATCCTCATTCGGTATCCTCCACCTCCGCGCACTGAGCATCCTCGAGCGCGCCTCGAAATTGATGTACCTCCCTCCTGAGCCCGGATGGGACACTTCGTTCGCCTCATTCGCCTCGCGCTCCAGTCGCGGTGGCGGTGGCGATGGCCACTCCGCTGGGGTGGCTATTGACGACTTCCTGCGGGCTCAAAACCTCGCAGCGGTTGGCCAAAGCAGTACGGGGCATTCACCATCGGGCTCTGGTATTGGGACCGGATCTGCAAATTCAAATGGGTCGGGGCAGAGCGAGGACGAGGCGGCATTGGGATGGACCAAGACGGCCAAGGTCCGTACGCCGAGGGCGTACGAGCAGGTCCGGCAGGCGTTGTTGCAGATGGAGGCGGACCTGCCTAGTGAGCGGCAGACGAATTGGGAGGTCTGGGATGGCGGGTTGGGGCTGTGGCATACGGTCCCAGGGCGAAGAAAAGAGGCTGTCACTCTGGTGAGTCAGAGCTCAATTTTGTCTGGTCGTTTGCGCTTCTTGGTCGCGGTCGCTGATCAACTAGCACTTTGTAATCGGCTGCTCCTGGATGTTCCTCTTCGACGTCTTCTGCTTCACAGCCGACAACACCCTCGCCGTGAACGTCGCCCGCCGGCTCGTCGAGACCATCCAAGTCGTCATCAAGGACGACTCGTATGCGGAGATGGACGTCTTCATCACGATGATATGGTCCTTCCTTGTCAAGATCCTAATAAGGGAGGTTAAGCGCTTACATGTGGTCGGTGAACATGCAGGTACGTCCCTCTTGTCTAGTCCAACTCCGGTGGGGGCCGATGTTCAGTGGGAGTGGGAATGAGAAGAGGAGCTGCTGATGCCAGCAGCTGCGGGACCGATCGAGACGGAGGTTGAGATCGTCGTGCAGGCGCTCAAACAGGTCGGGCTGAGATATAATATCGCGTCGATGCAGGCGTTACGGGCGGATAGGTATAGGAAGAGCGCGCCGCAGTCTGAGGAGTATTGAGGTTGGACGCTGGAAGCTGGACGGTGGACGATGGAAGCTGCGCACCGACCGATAGCGCTGATCCAGGGGAGGGTGAGGGGGTTGGGTGCCTAGAAGAGCTTTGTAATCTTGGTTCATGGACACGCTATAGACTTAGATATAGAAAGTATTGCTGCGGTCGGCTGGTCACGGCGCGCGCTGGCTAGGATGTATGCAGTCTCGCCAACCGCGCATATCATGTCGTTACATCTGCTACTCGTCCTTCGTCCCTACAACGTATATATCACCCCTTCATCATCTTTCTCGACTTTGCACAAGATACAACTTCCCCCGGCCCCTCGTCTCGCAAGAATGCCGCCCCTCGATCTCTCCCTATCGCGCTGCGACTCGCCGGCCGGTCCCCATGCCAACCGCTCGTAATTCCATTATCCGTCGGGCTTCGCAGTTCGAGGGGACTAGTGATGTTGCTTTGCCTGATGCCGCTTGAGCGCGTCCATCCTGAAACGTCAGCGACTTGTCCCTTCATATACACTAAGGGGCGAAAAAGACCCACCTTGTAAAGCTCTCCCCACAGTGCTCACACGAAACCTTTGGCCTATCCTTGATAGTGGCCCATAAGAGCGCCTTGTCCGCTGCGAGTTTCCCCTCATATACCAGTTCGCCCTCCCGTCGGGCATGCCGAGCCATATGTCGCGGAAGATCGTATTTTCGGGTAAAGACGTCTTGGCATCTGTTGTATGGCTGCAGCGTCAGCTCAAAGTCTGACCCATACGCAAACAGGAGGGTAACTTACAGGTAGAGGATTGGTATAATCACATTGAACCCCATTCGCAACCATAATCCCCATTTGAGCCGCCGCACTCTCCCTCCTCGCCCCCTTGACCGCCGCACTGGGACTATCCGTCTTCTTCCCCCTCTTCCCGCCACTCGCCGCTGGCGTTCCGCCCTTTGACGACCCCGCCGTTGCATTATGCGAAGCACTGCCCCGGCCCCTGACTGCGCGCTTCGCTCCGCCTCTCCCCCTTGCAGCGCCCGCACCCCCCTTCTTCACTTTCCCATCCCCACCGTACTCCGAGTCCCCCTCGCTCGCGCCATCATCCGGCTCAGACGACTCTTCCTCCATTTCCTCCTCTAGTGGCGCGTACGTCTGCGCATGACTATGAGGTTTATGCTCCACCTGTCCTCCATCGTCCCTCAACGAGGGATCAATGTGTGTCTCTTCATCCACCGCACTGCTTCGCCGCCGCTTCTTGCTCGGTGGACCCGCGAGCGGGACTTCCGGCTCGGTAGACGTAGTATCCTCCCTTGGTACCCTGAGGCGCACTTTGGCTCCCTTGCCTTTTGCCCCGACACCCGTTGGGATCCCTGAATTCCGCCATTGATCCACAGCCTCGGATCCTGCTTTCCGCTTCCCCTTGCCTTCGTGTACGGGCGGAGACTGCGGCAGCGCCGGGGCCGGCGCGTGATCTTCGCCCATGTCCTTGCCGTTTGAGCTGTGCGTCACGGCCCGGAGCAACAAATCCAGACCAGACTGGGACGAATGGCTCGAATCGGACGTTGGGGATTTGTCACGCTGACCGATTGTTTGGTCATCGTCGTCCTCGTCCATCGCCTCCGGAGCAATTCCGGTGGGCAACGCCGAAGATTGGCCGAGACCGGATGGGGTGTGCGCCGAGGCGCCAACGGGAAGGGCGGGCTGAGACGGACCGGCAGTGGGTGATGCGAGATTCTTGTTCCGGGGCGACGAGACCCGGTTGGTCGATGCTGGAGGAGGCATCCTGGCTGGACTACTCCCCTTGCGCGAGCCTGTACCGCCAGCGACGCCGACGCCCGATCCAGGAGCACCCGGAGCGATCCGATGCGGTTGATATGGGGTGAAAAAGCCGTTGGCCCAGCTCTGCGGCGTCCCTGCTCCCACACCTACATCCTTATCCACCCACTCTATCCGAGGGATACAGAGATCGCTCTCCTCCGAGCTCGTACTCGCCTCGGTGGTGGAGGACGAGGTAGAGCTTTGCCGACTGACGCCCGCGGGATCGTCCTTGTTTTGGGGCTTGACAAAGTTGGCGTATCCCCGCGGGAGCTGATAGGGGTTCTCGAGGGGCATAGTACCTGGTGGTTGTAGTGGTTGGGGACCAGGGATGGAGGGGACGCCTTGGTAGCCCTGATAGACCGTAGATGTCCCATTCAGCTGCTTGATTGCCTCGTCAGCTGCAGCGATAGCGGCGGCCGCGGCTGGAGTCATGGAGAACTCGGGCGAATCCGTTTTGGGCATATTGTAATTGTACGGACTGACGTGGCTGGGGGCAGTCGCGAAGCCTTCCGCGCCGTAGACTGATCCAAATTGGGATGGGAGCTGGCCAAAGCTGCCGAAAGATGAGGACTCGGTAGAGCCAGAGTAAGACCGCTCGTGTCCGTGCCCGCTTCCATCCGCCATGCCCACGTCGCCCTCCTCCGCGTGGATTGGTGTGGGCTGCTGGATGGTGACGCCCATCCCGTCGTCCTCCCCACCTGCGGCTGCACCGCCGACAGGATCCATGCCGGCCATAGCCATCGGCGACCGGACTTGCAGCTCCTCCAGATCCTGCGCTAACCCGCCTTCCGCCGATAATCTCGCTTGGCGCGCTTTGGGCGTGCTCACCCCGGCAGATCCGCTAGCTGGGGATGAGGGCTGAAGGTTTGTGGAGATGGGAGCAATAAGATTGCTAGGTGCCGTGGCGGGCGGGGTGGCCGTATTTGCCGATCCGTTAGATTCCTGACTCATAACCCGCTGCATGGCGGGTAGGTGGGCTAGTTGGGGAGATCTGGGCGCCGAGTTGAGCGAGGAGGGTACACCGGGCGAGAGAGTGTGGTTAGGTGCGGATGAAGGCTGAGGTGGGGGTGGATGATCGATGGGAAAGGCGGTAGAGAGGATAGACATGATGTTTGTCGGGATAAGATAGAAAGGATCGGCGGGATCTGAGAGGCGACGCCACAGATCCGTGCTGGGGTGCGCGGAGTCTGAATAGGGGGGGAAAAGAGGAGAAGGCAGAGGTGTCTGAGGAGGAGAGGTTAGCCATGCTGCACAAGGATTCGGAGGGAGGTGGGTAGACATACTTGACTATGGGCTTGGCGAGATGGCTGCGCCGGTCGCCCGTGTAGTCTATCGTTTGCCTATCTGCTCAGGTCGCAACGTACTTCTATCGCCTGCAAGGCTGCCGAGACGAGAATGCGCGAGTGATAATGTGCGAGACGATGTACACAAGAGATGTAGATGGGGCGATGAATGAGTACTGACTGCTGGTTGGTTGGCCGGTAAGCGAGGCGAAGCGGGTGGCGAATATCCACGTGGCTCTGCTCGTTCCTCCTCCCCCCTTAAGTCTTCCTCCTTAGCCGCTCCCTGCTCCTCTTCCTTTTCGTGGGTATAGTGAGAGGGAAAGACGAGAGGGGGATAGATGAACCACTTCTATTCCTCATACCCGGAGTGACATTGTGCATCTATGAATCCTCCACTAAGATCCCCCTAATCCGGCATCTCCCTGACTACCAGCCGCTCATACCTCGACTCCCTCCACCCGTCCGTCGCCAACCAATCAAAAAGAGCATCCTCATTCAGCCCAAAAACGCTCAACTTCCCATCGAGCTCCTCGTCGAATGCTTCGCCCTTGAGCCGCGCTCGCTGTTTCTCGCGCTCGGTGATGGCGAGAGTCGCTTTGTTGCGACCTTCAAGGACCGAGAGGATCTCGTTCTTGTCCGGGTAATGTAGTCTGGTCATCAGCCCAGACTTATTCGAGACGTTTCGATCGACTCACCTAGGTTCTAAAAAGCCAAAGATGGCCAATGCCGAGCGGAAGATATATCCGTCACCATCAAGCACGATCTGGTATTAGCACTGACCTTCTACTGGATAGATGGGCTCACCTGATCCCATAATCGACAGCAAGCCTCGAACGGTACCTGCTCCACCAACATACTCCTGAAATACCCCTCTGGCAATCTCAATCCGAGACTACTGCAATTCGCAAAGATCTTTGGGAACGTGTCGGCTTGGAGATTCTCAAAGACCCGGTAGAATGCCTCGATCTCGTCCTTCGTTTCGGTGACAAAAGCGCGGAGGCATGGGCGGGAGAGAAGATTACAGAGTTGTAAAAAGGCCGATGCGGGTGGGGAGGGCAGAAGGAGCATGGCGGCTATCTGCGAGACGTATGGTGCCTGGGTTGTCAGCTCTGGCCTCAGCAGGCGAAAACACGGGACATACGTATCCAAGACCCTCGTCAGATCTGTATACCACCCAAGCAGCTAGAAACTCGTGGAGATCTGCGCGCATGGGCGAGGTCCGCCCAAACAGCTTGAGCTGGGGTAGTGTCCTGTCGAGATCGTATTCGATCTGCTCCAGGATAGCATCTGGGAATCGGCCCGAGTCAAGCGCTTTCCGGGCTCGAGCGACGTATGATTTGTAGGCATCTTACGGATCAGCACCCACCCTTGTCTGGAAATCCTTGAAGCTCACCCTTGGACAAGGCAAGAGGGTTGCCAATAGCCAGACCCCACGCCTTCCCTCTCAGATACCCCGGCACCCCGCCAAACCACATCTCTCTCAACCCCTTATCCGCTTTGACCTTCCCCACGGTGAATCCCGGATCATTCAGCAAGGCATCCCACACCGGCGTGGCAGCCGCCAGCTTCTTCTCCTTCTCCATCCTCCTCGCTTCTTGGACTTTCCGCCGCTCCTTCTCGTGATCACGTGCCTGCGCCATCATCGCTTCCCATTGATGATAATGCGTATCGTCTTCGTCTTTTGGTTTAGGCGGAAGATGGGAGGGTCGAGTATGATTGACGATCTTTTCAAACGCGGAAAGACCTTTCGCGCCTATTCCGCCGGATGGGCCTGCGATGGGTTCGGGAGCGGGGAGGGGCTTGTTGGCGCTAGAGAGGGGGGATGAGGAGGGGAGGGGGAAGGGATGTGGATGGGCGGGAGGAGCGTGTATTCTGGGCTTTTCGGAAGGCTCGGCGGGGTTCCCGGGAGCAGACGATCCAGCTTCCTCAGCGATGACCGCCTCTGAGCTGCCATTCTTTGCCACAGGCAGAGGCGGGCCAGTGGACTCGCCATTCACGCCGGAAGAGGACGACCCGTTGATCCAGCTAGACCGCTTGCTCGCTTTGTCCCCCTTGGCCGCACCGAACCCATTCCAGCTGCGCCGCTTGCCGTCCTTGCCGGAAGGTGGATTGAGCGCTCCCCGGGGAGAAGACGGCAATGGCGCCGAGGTAGTCGGTTGCGGGGGCGTACTGGACAGTGGGATAGACTCGAATGCCATTCCCTCCCCGCTTTCTGGTTGAGCAGCGGCATTGTCTTCGCTCGTGGCGGAGATGGGCACGGACACCGGAACATGCGGTTTGCGCGAGATGGACTCGTTCTCTGGGATAGTAGGGGAGGGCGCCAAGGAGGAGAAGTAGGACCGCCGGGAGTCCGAGCCGGGCGTACGTGGAGATGGGGGGAGAGCGAGCGTCGAGGATGATGCGAGGACGAGCGTCGAGGATGATGCGAGGACCCGGGTAGTCGGAGAGGGGAGATGAATAGGGGAGGCGAATGCAGATCTTGATTGTGATCCGGGGGATGGGGTGAGGCTATGTATACCAGGCGATGGTAGCGCTGGGCTCGAGAGAGGAGGGGACATCATGGAGCGATTTGGGTGCTGGCCTTCCTCGGTCCCGTGTGTCTCGACCGCAGAAGTCTTTCTCAAGGCCACGGGCGATCCCGCAGAGGTGATATCTCCTTCCTCGTCCCCGTCCAGGTATAAAGCTGCCGGCCTGACACCGCGCTTAGGCGAGGGGGATACAGGCGCGCTCGGTATCCCGCTGAGCCCGTTCGACGGAGGGGACTCGAGCCCGACATCCTGGAGCACCTCCTCTTTCTCCTGCCCACCCAGCGCTATATCCTGCATGCCGCTCTCCATTGAGATGTCTCCAGCGTCACCCTCGCTAGACGCGCCGGTATGGGAGCGGCTCAGGCTCGGCCTCGCATCTGGTGGAGGGGTTGCTCCCTGCGCGAATGAGCTCGAGCTCCTCGACGATTCAAGTCTTCTGAGCGGGGCTCACCTCATCCATTCTTCTTCTGCCTCTCATACCTCTGTACTACCGCATGAAGAGAGCGGCAGATTTATATCGCGCAGTAGCGAAGATGTATGGTGAACATCAATAACTTTGGCGCGTTCCTCGGCTCTTCGGTCGGTCGGGACCAAAGCACCTCCACCTTCCCCACCTTGCACATCTACCATCCATATCTGATTCTAGCCTGTCTGGCCGTCTCCTGCTGGTCGCTCAGATGATACCTGGAGTAGGACAGTAGCCTGACTCGGCTCTTCCGCCGAAATGAATCGTCTGACTACCGCCTTCTCTTCGTGAGTGTCGACCGCTCACCTCCGACTCATCTCTTCATACCCTCAGTGCCGTCGCTGATCTGCAGAGCTATTCCAAGCGCGTCTGGCGACTCGCAGGGCAGTGTATCGGTCTCTACCTCACCTGTTGATGGCTCGTTCGACCGGCCACGCTCCCCATACGGGTACAATGAGCGGAGCGCCTCTGCGCACCTTTCGCTCCCCCCGCAGATATACGATGACCCGCGTGCGACCCACTTTGGCGCCGCTCCGGACAGGCTATTCATTCCCTCTCGCTTTGGGGACAGACGAGACTCGAGCGGGAGCCGACCGCGCCGGCCCGAGCTCCTGCGGCACGTGAGCGATGGTGCTGGGGGAAGAAGTGGAGGTGCAACGCCCAGGCCCAGAGGGCAAAGTGGGAGCAGGGATAGGGAGCGGGATAGGGGAGTAAGAGCGAATCTAGGCCAAGGGAAGAGAAAGGAGAGGATAGGTGCGATGTGTAAAGGCCCAGAAGACCGGTATGCTGTTGGTGGACCGCAATGTACATTCAATCCTGTAGGTTACTCGGCGGCGCTGATCCGCAGACCTCAAGATACTGCACGTCGCCCGGCCGTCCAGCGGAGGGACTACAACTCCGAGCGTACAGCCACAGACGGGTCGAGCTGGCAGTCCTCGAGGTCGAAACCAGGCTCAACCTTTGGCTCGTGGGCCGGGCGGAGCAAGCATCACCGAGGTGGCTAATCTCTGGAAGGGATCTTGGGCGGTCAGTAAGGGCGTCAATGATATCGACTGGGGCTCTGGATGTAAGTCATTGTGGCTCAGGATCTGTATGATGCTGCTGATCATGTAGCGTACGATAGAAAGATCGCCACCGCTACGCCTAGTGGGAACTTTATGCTGTTTGACCTGGTCAAGAACAAGCTAGGTGAGGTTTAATCCCTTGAATTGTCGCTGATTTGGCAGAACGAGACGTCTCGGGTGGTCACCCACGACCTATGAACTGTATCCGACTGTGTCAGACCCCGTCATACGGCCATCTCCTCCTCACCGGCTCGACCGAGGGCGTCGCCAAACTCTGGGTAAGTATATGCAAGCGGATAGAGCTGATATCAGGACATGAGAGAAGGCGAGCCCACTTCCAAAAAGTACTACAAACACTCTGCGGCCGTCACCTCCCTCGCCTTCTCCTCGGTCGATCCACATCACTTTGCGGTTGGGACCGAGAATGGCGTCATCAAGCGGTATGATATGCGAATGGCGCCTCGTCCGACCGGGTCCGTGTGGGGCGCGCACGGAAACAAGCCAGTGATGGACCTGAAGTGGAGAGCTGGGTGGGAGGGAGAGTCGCTCGATGGTGGAGGGACAGGAGGCTGGATGGCTAGTGCAGGAGCAGATAGGACCGTGCAGGTGAGCCACTACCTAACAGCGCTGACGTGAGATCTGGGACATGTCGCAGACGTGGGACCGCCCTCCAATCCCTATCCACACCCTCCACACTTCACACGCCGTCCGTCGGATTTCATGGCGGCCCTCCCGGCCGACCGAACTCGCCGTCGTCCCGCTGTATCAGCCCGCCGGTGCTGGATCCGATACCGAAGGAGACTCATCAGGGGACGACGACGGCCACATCGAGATATGGGATGTCCGGCGGCACTACATCGCCAAGTATGCCCTGCCGAGCCTGGAAGGCGCAGCGGTCGATGTTGCTTGGGGCGACGATCCGCTCTCGCTCGTCACTGCCTTTCAGAATGGTGTGCTGTCGCAGTTGGACACGAGAGATCGGACGATCCCACTCGAGGGGGTGCCGCGGCAGGTGGTAGCGTGGAGTTCGCACGGCGAGGTCGCGTACGGGCTGGACAGGTTCAAAGCTGGCGAAATACCTTTCGACGATCTGTGAGTCTACAGCCAAGGGTTGGCTGACGCGTAGGAAACCAGAATACGCCAATCATTGGGACAAGGTCGGACAGCGTCCCAAAGCTGTCTCGGACCCGCGATATGACCCTCTCCAAGCTGTCGGTTTCACCCAAATCCCCCATTCCGACCCGGACGAATTCATCTACCTCGCGCAGCAATACCGGATCGAGGGGGATTCGCCGGAAGACCTATGTCGGTGGAATGCGGAAATCGCCGAGGTCTGCGGACGGAGGGATGATGCCAGAATATGGGGGTTCCTCCGTGCGCTCGTCGAGGAGTTTGCGCCTCCGCCACCCGTCACGCCCAAAACTGGCTCTCGGACTTTTGACGAGGAGATCTTCTCGCATCCACTGCCATCCGCGCCGGACAGGGCGCCGTCACCGGTCAGTACCTCGCCAAGAGGTGGGAGCTTTGAGCTGCCTAGCCCGGGTCAGCGGTCCCAGGCGCTCTCGTCCTCGTATAGCAGTCGGGGCGAGGCGATCCGTCTTAACCGGCTGGATGATGGAGAGGGGGAGGATGCGGAGCGTATAGAGGAGCTACTCGACTCACCTACACCGGCGGCATTTAGATCCAACAAGGTCATCTCGTTCGCGCCACCCGATAATGAGGTTCGGAGGCTAAGCGAAGCTCGCACATCCGTATCTACCGTCGTTCCTGGTCGGTCCTCCACCGCTACCGTCGTTCCATTGACCGTATCACGGCCTACGACATCCACCTCGACCCCTAACCGCGTCAAGTCGCCAGAACCCGCACCCCCCAGACACAAGAAACGGGCTGCTCATACCTCCGCTTCTTCCACCTACTCTGACTATCCAGATCCATACGGGATCTCCGCCCCTGCTCCGAGCAGTACCAGCCAATCCACCAGCTCCAAGATGACCACGCGGGAGCCGTCCCCAGCGCGCGATACTGGCGTGATCCAGCTGTCTACGAGTAGATCGAGACGTGATAGTCGGGACAAGTCTACTGGGGGAACGAGGCACGACAGCGGGGACAAGAGTGGGGCAGGGACGGAGGTCGAGTCGAGGCGGCGATCCAAGGATGAAGAAGCAAGGCGGAAATCTAGCGGGTCGATCAAGCCCGATACGACTTCGACGCCGATCAAGAGGGACTTTGCGGCCAAGCGGCCCGCCGTGGTGGCGGTCCGGACGAAAGCAAAGGCGGGAAAGGACGACAAGGCGGATAAGGAGATGGAAGTGTACAAGGCGGAAAGGTGTAGGCCGCTGATGACCTGGTGGGAGGCATCACTTGATGAGGTCAGTCCTTCCTTGTGATGCGCCATGAGATTCAGCTGATGTGCAGGGTGATGTCCAGCTCGCTGCTACCCTCCTCATCGTCGGTACATCCACCATGACATTTCCGCCCAAACGATCCGAGCGAGTCGTGCACTCCTACATCGGTATGTTCTCACTGCAAGTCCTCTGACAATTGCTGAGGAGCAGACATGCTCGACCGAGCCCACCTCCCCCTCCAATCCGCCTACATCCGAAAGTACGCTCAGATCCTCTCGCTCGAGGTCTATGCCCAAGATAGCGGGATCACCCATATTGCCCATTGTCAGCGGTGTCGCAAGTCCACTGGCAGCCTGGAAGATATTGGGGTCAAGGGCAAACGATTCTGGTGGTGTCGGCGATGTAGGCTCGCAGCAAGGATTTGTGTCATATGGTGCGCCGATCTCGATTCTGTTCTGAAATCGGGCAAATGGGCTGACAGTACAGTCGACAAGGTGTCAAAGGTCTTTGGATGAGCTGCGGTCGGTGCGGACATGGGGGCCATCACAAGTGTATGAGGATGTACTACCGTACGTCCCTATTCCGAGGTTCTGCGCGATGCGCTACGGAGCTGACGATGTAGTCTCATCGCCCCTTGAGGTGGCTCCAGTCCCTCTTGCGCAAGGAACATCCCAAGCGGGCTCCTCTGGCCTACAGCGCACGTCCTCTATGCCATTCGCCGGCACCGGTACCTCACACGATTCGTCCGGCTTCATCGCGGGCCGTTCGTCAGGCGAGACGAGCCGGGATCAGCCGCAGGCCGATACGGAATACGGACTCAGCCGAGCCGTCACGCGCGATACGGGCGAGAATGTTGCGAATGGCGGAACGGTCAAGGGATGGAATACGTGTCCTGGGGGATGTGGGTGTAAGTGCCGGGCGGTGGTGGCGATTAAGGACGAGGGAGGCTGAGAGATCTTGCGGGAGAGGCCAAGAATCGCGTGTTGATCTCGTCATGACACATATCTCCTCGTTGTTTCAATTGGAGATGCTCTCTGAACAGTGAGGCTAGCGCGCTGATCGCTTTGTCCGGTGTCTCGATAATGGGCTGGACCACCGCTTCCGATTGTCCGAGTGTGATTTCACAACAGGTATACGTCTGATCTACAACTGACTAGTGTTCTGCTTGGCCCATCGCCTGAGGTCCCTACCATGCTTCCACCTCCGCCTCCGACATCCGCGTTTTTGGCGCTACCAGACCCGGTTCCAGTGCACCTACTATTGTATCTACCAGCATGCCCACCAGATGGGCGTTACATCCCGGATTATCCAGAGGATCGAGAAGTAGCTTTATATCTTGATTTTCAGGCAGAAGGACCGCCCGTATGTGACCTGGCAGATCAGCTTGAACCGAGAGGATGCTACTCGGGGCAGTTGACTGACGTGGTATCTTCCCTTTCAACCGTTCCTCAAACTGCTTTCTGACCATGACCGCCTCCTCCGGCGTAAGATCCGGGGGCGTAGGTGCAGGGTACCCATCCAGCGGAAACAGGACCTTCTCGACGACCTCGATCAAGCGGAGAGAGAGCGCCGGTGTGAGTTGACTCTGGAGCAGATGGGGTAAGAGCCGGTCGATCATCGGACTGAGGAGCGTGATGATCCCTTCCGTGCAGCCCCAGATCAGCCGGACGCTCCACCGCTGCGGAGAGACTCCAGGCCGGCCGTCTACGCCGAGGACTTGCCGAGCTAGGACAGCCCACGGCTGGGCGCAGTGTGCGTAAGCGGGTGGAGAGGGAGGTGAGGCGGTGTACCGCGCAAAGAGGGAGACGGCAAAAGTCCAGATGAAGAAGAGGAGGGAGTATACGCGGATGATGAGGCGGTAGATCGATTCGATACCGCTCTCGGCTCTCTCTCGCCAGCTGGCGGTCTCGGGATCGCCAGTGCCCTTCTTCCCTAAGCCTGACTTCTCCGCCGGCGCCTCCCCACCCCCCATGAGCTTCAAGCCCAGACTCCACCAAAACCACCCTTCCCCCAACTTCCGTCCGATTGCCCCGAGTACCGCCCGGCCCACAATCTCCCGCGCCATCACCCGCTCGACAGTACAGCCATACTCGGCCGGCGGGAGGTGCAGGCGTATCAGCGCATCCGCGAGTGAGGTGAGGTAGAGTGGAGAGAGGATGTACTGGCCGCCAGGCGTGGGGAGGCGGTAAGGGCCTTCGGTATCGGCGTAGGTCGTACCAGGGGATGGAACGACCGATAAGAGGGGGAGGCGGGCGTGGTATACGTCTCCGAGGAGGTCGGGTCCTGTGCCTTGGGGGTCGACAATGTAGTCGCTTGAACGCGGAGTGAAGAGGTGTGGCGTGTCTCGGATAGCTTGGCGAGATTGCCAGTATGTTGACCAGTGTAGGGAAAAGATAGCCGGGAGATCCAGGAGGAGGAGCTGGAGGATACGGTTGGGGTCATGGTATACCCCGCTGAGAATGGGAGAGAGGATGGGGACGACGATTTGCGAGGAGAGGGTAGGGAGGAGGGACCGATCTTTCGAGAATCGCGGATACCATGATAGGACGTAGGCGCGGAGAATGAGCGCTATGAGGTGGTATAGGCTGGCAGTCAGCTCTATTTCTGTTACCCAAACTAAACTAGCCAGCTCACCGGTCATTGAGCTTCTCGAGCTCTGGATCCCGCTTGGACCCCGACGCTGTAGGAATGACAATAGGCGGCAGAGGCCTCTCTGCGTCCAACGTAGGAAAGAGCAAGCGGCGGTGCAGAGGTAGATGTGCTGGCTCTCTGGTACGCATGCCCGCTCGAGCGGTCTGTAGGGGATAGACGGGAGTCGCAGCAGCGGTCGAGCTACTGAGATTTCGGGCAGGCACGCCCATCCTGGACCTCGGATAGCTAGCCGGCTGATGACCCACTAGAGCCTAGCACGCTGCCCGGTGGGTTGTATGCCCTGCATAGATGATGGGACTTCACCAGGGGGCGCAGGTCGAACGGAGGCTATTGACCGTGGAGGCTCGAGCGCTCCGAGCTTGAAGCAAGATGTACCGCGTTTGACGCGATTTCAAGGAGGGGTACTTCGCTCAAGTCATCGCGGTGGTCGTCACTGCCAGACCCGCCCTTCTCTACAGGCCAATGAAGGTGCGATACATGCCTGCCCAGCGTATACATCGGGAGCATACCCCTGGCTGGACCTGATTCAGCTGAGATTGACCAAAGGCACGCACGGACTGACCCATGTCTCAGAATTTGATCACGTGCAAGATCGGATGTTTCAAATCGCCGCATCACTGCCGTAAACGTGACCGGCGTTATGGTTTGTTTACACCGCGGCTAGGCCATCGCCTGCCAACGCGTATATAAACCTCGGCCCCTCCCCTCTTCGCTTCTCTTCTTCATCAGTCTCTTATCACATCCACTCCACACTCCCACTCTCACCCACCCACCCCCACCAACCAAACTCATACACAATGTCCGGCAGAGGAAAGGGCGGCAAGGGTCTCGGCAAGGGTGGAGCTAAGCGCCACCGCAAGGTCCTTCGTGACAACATCCAGTACGTCTTTTCTTTTGTTATACTGAAATGGGCCCGAGCTGACCTTCCAGGGGTATTACCAAGCCCGCTATCCGTCGTCTGGCCCGTCGTGGAGGTGTCAAGCGTATCTCTGGTCTTATCTACGAGGGTGAGTTTCTCGAATTTCCTCTTTTTTCCCCTCCGCCTCCCTTCCCTCCTTCCACCTTGCCTTTGGAGCTTCGCTGATCGCCTGTAGAGACCAGGTCGGTCCTGAAGATCTTCCTTGAGAATGTGATCAGAGATTCGGTCACGTGCGTACTCTCCTGCTCTTTCTGGGCCCATTGGACGTCCCGCTGACTTCCCCAGCTACACCGAGCACGCCAAGCGCAAGACCGTCACCTCCCTCGATGTCGTCTACGCCCTCAAGAGGCAGGGCCGCACTCTCTACGGTTTCGGCGCTTAATTCCCTCGTCGCTTCCGGGCACCCGTCTAACCACTTGGGATGGCGGCAGGGGTAGTTCCTTTGGGGCTCTTTGTAGCTTTTTCATCGCTAGCTCTTCGTTTTTCGCTCTTTATAGTATTTAGGTAGTAGGCAGTCCGCCAGGAGGGCGTTGACGCATGTATCTGTGATAGTTACCAACATCTTTAGTTGGGGTCTTTCTTTCTGCAGACTCTGACTCTGCCTGGTGCTTGGATGATCGATGCGAATCGGGATACGTTCTGCGCATTGGTAGAAAGCGGCACAGGCGAATAGCAGGCGGTGGCTGGCTGGAAATCTGGATGCAGTGCCTGTATGTCTGTCGATCTGCGAATTCAATTTCAAGATATACATACAGCCGTTCGGGGCTGGTCGTGTCCATATGACGCGAACAGAACAAGATTTATTCGGATGAAAGACCAGGACTGATGATGAAAAACCACGAGCATGACAAATTTCTGAATATGATATATAGGCGGTATATACCGGTCGGTATTGCGTCGGCGGGACGCCACGGCCCTAGCGGATCGAGCAGGTCCATGCAGGCTCAGCGCTCAGCGAGACACTCGCGATTTTGACAGCTGGCTACAGCCTTAGCCATCCAGCGGCTCCCTGGGCTTCTCGGCGTCTCGACTTGTCGTCGGCTTTTGTAGATACGATGAGCTTGAGTCGGCTGTTATGGCAATGCATAAGTATCCTTCTAGTCGGGGTCAATGTGTGTTGTTAGAGAGGCGTCAGTGAAGGTTGCAAAGTGCGAGAGAAACGCCGCAGCCAGCAACCAGCAGCCAGCAGGCAGATGATCAACAACACCTCTCGCTCAGGGAGTATTAGTCATGCTTAGTGACCGCCTCCCGTCGACTATGCAGCTGATTTGAATGTGCATGTGGCGTAGGCTACACCTGGCGCAGCGCCCGTCTGTCGCTCGGACGCCCGGTGCAATGGCTCAGCAAGCGAGTCACTCAATGCTTCGCACTGGGCACAGCGGCCAGACGTCGACGACCCCCTTCGATGCTGACTTGCCGCCCGCTCCACTGCGCGCAATTGGCCCTGGCCTTGGCCGTCATGGGCAGTATGTCCCCCTTTCTAGGCTTGAGATCAGGTCAGGGGGTGTGAGCAGAATGTCACCTGACACTAGTATGGGCGCCAAAGGAACGAGAAGAATAATTAGCGGTTACAAGATACCTCATTAGCATTGAATAGATCGTCTCACCTCGGTCCTTCAGTCCGGCTACATCAGTACATCAGTACATCAGCATGTCAGCGCGGCAATCCTTACCCGTCACCGGAATCGAGTCTGACTTGAACATACATGCAGCGTCGGCCCCCTCGTCCCCTCCTCGCCAGCCCCAAACTTCTCACGCCTCGACTATCCCCGAACAACGCCCTAGCCCCACACAGCCCAACCGGCAGTCAAGCCTATAGTACGACGATCGTACTAGGCGTATATCTCTTGGTATTGTACGCGCTCTTGCCAACCTGTCATATCAGCCCCCGTCCGGCTCCCGGAACAGCACACCCGCCCGACCAGTCAAATGAGGGACCCACCTCCCATCCCGGCACATCCTTCATGATCTCCTTTTCTCGTGCCAAAGCGGCCTGATTTCTTCTGTACGCGTCCCGATCTTGCTCGGCGAGGATGAGAGGGACGAGGTAGATCCGTGACCAGGCTTGTTCGCGCTGGAGTTCTCTGATGGGTTTAGCGACTGACGGGTGCGGGCTTGAGGTAGAACTTGGGCTGTATCGGGAGGATACCAGGAGATGATGCAGTGAGGGAGGTTAGGGTAGAGCCGGACGACGGGTTCTCGGGGTCGACACTGGAGCACGGAGTGGACCTCCCCTACCGCCGTAGACGTTTCACACCGCCCACTCCTCCCGTCCCTGCCCCTTCTCCCGCATCTGGGAACAATACCCTCCCTCAATCCATGCCACCAACTCACCGCTTCTCCAGATTGCCCATGCCGACCCGCCAGAACCCAAACGCGCACACCGCCGCTACCGCCCCGAAAATGACCACACCCCCTGGTCCCCTGATTGGCAGGTTCCGCTTATACTTGATCGACTCGTACCCTCCCGGTGGGGGCATATCTCTGCATATCGTCAGCACGGGTCGCTTTTCCTCGACGACTCGAGCTGTAGAGACCCCCCGACTGCGATTTGAACGCCGGGGAGAAGGCAAGAAGCTCACTGTCTGAAGCCATGGGACATGATGGGCTATGATTCGGGTGGTTATGCAGTGAGAGGGTTGGGTATATTATGGACTGTACGAGATGCACCCCGCACCACCAGCAAGCAGGCCGGGCAAGGGGAAGGGACGGAATTAAATCTCCACGTGGGCCCGCCGGGAATTGCCGCCTTCGGCCAACGTACTCGGCCGCCAGCGCCAGCGAGAGCACAAGGGAGCGAGCGAGCTTGATCTTCCTCACTGTACTGTTCATACATCTCACTTATATCTAATACTACTAAAACCCATCTACAAATAGCACGATGGAAGACGACAGAGAAATGCGAGATGGTGAGCTTGGACTAGGGAATAGGGATGGGGGATGGGGGAAATGGGAATGGAGATGGAAGATGGAGGCGGTAGAATAAAGGGCTGACAAGGGGTTGTAGACGATCGACCTAGGAAGGATGATCGGGATAGGAGTCGGAGTCGGGAGAGGCGGAGGGATAGGGATGATGAGCGGGGCCATCGGGTGAGTTTGCGTTTACTGTGAGAGATGGATGGAAAAGGGGGAATGAGGACTTTTAGGTGATCGCTGCGGTCCTCATTTATGGGGACCATAAGTAGCGACTCCTCCACTGTTCCCATCTCCCGCTTCATCGCCTCTTTCTCACCCTCTCGCTCTACATCTCTTGCCTATTTCTTCGCTGACATTCAGCGCCACCACTCGCGCTCCCGATCCCCTCGGCCCGCTCGATCGACACACCGCTCCCGTTCTCGCTCTCGCGACAGGGACCACCGTTCATCTCGCCGCGAACGCTCTCCCGATCGTCGGGACAAGGACCGCGGGGACTCGCGCGACAGGGACAGGGACAGGGACAGGATGGACAGGGCGCCGCCGACCACGCTGCACGGGCGCGGCAAGTACGGTGCTCCGCGCCAGGAATGGGAAAAGTCGGTTGGTGGACCGATGAATGCCCCGGCTGAGGAAGCCGAGGCGCACGCCAAAGTCAGCAAGAGGGAGAATCGGCTGTATGTGGGGAATCTGGCGTACGACTGTAATTACAAGGATCTGGAGGCGTTCATCAAGCCGGGTGGGTTGGATTTTTTTTTTGGCGTGGTGGCTGGGTAGGGCTGGAATCGATTGGAGGCGGATCGGTACCGAAAGCGAGGGATAGAAAGTGAAAGAGAGAGATAAGGCGAGGGACGCCAATCTCGGAGAAGAGAAAGGATCTGGGAGACGGAGGAGACCATGGCGATCCCGATGACCCGACCACCTCGCACATCTTTCACCTTCGCATTCATTATCTCTTACGCCTCATCGCCGTCATCGCCACCTCGTCCTTTGTCTACGGGGGTAAGCTTGGAGGCGTGGCGTTTCTTCTGGTTTGGTTTGAAAAGGACAGGACTTGGCGCGGCTACGTTGTGTCGGGTCGGGGAAGAAGGACAATTGTTGACAGATGGTGCAGCTGGAGAAGTTGTCTTTGCGGAAATCCTCACGACACCCCAAGGCACTTCCAAGGGATGCGGGTGAGTCTCTGCTTTTCCTCAGGTCGAGGTCAAGCTGATGGGCAGTATCGTCGAGTTTGCGACGCAAGAGGACGCTCGTCGCGCCAAGGACGAGTTGGCCGATAAGCCATTCATGGGTCGCTCGGTGTTCATCCGCGAGGTTAGTCCAGTGCCCTTTTCTCTGCATGATCAGAATTGATGAATTAGGACCGAGAAGAGACTGCGCGATTCGGCACCGTCTCTCACGCCGGTACCCGTCCACCTTTCGTGGGCGGTGCTGGCGGGCACCACGGCGGCTTCCAGGCTGCTCCAAACCCCGCCAACCGGAATCTTTTCGTTGGTAATGTAAGCTGGACCCATACCTTTCGGGGAAAGAGAGGCAGTATCTGACCCCACAGCTCCCACTCCAGGCTTCCTGGCAGGACCTCAAGGACCTCATGCGTCAATCCGGAGAGGTCATCCGCGCGGATATCGGCATGTCTCACGACGGCCAGCCCAAGGGCAACGGGACGGTGGTGTTCGTGAACCCAGATGATGCTCGCGCTGCCATCGGTCAGTCCTCTTCCTCTCCTCCTCACCCGCTTCCTTTTTTCTGGCATCCGCTACCTCGTGCCAGCTCCAGCACGACTCCAGCTGACATGCCAGAAATGTTCAACGGTTTCGACTGGTTCGGCTCCATCCTCGAAGTCCGAGAAGACCGGCACGCCGGGCACGGGCACGGCGCGGGCGGCTTTGGTTTCCGCGGTGGATTCCGGGGCGGCTTCATGGGCGCGCGAGGCGGATTCGGCCCTGGTTTCCGGGGCGGCTTCGCCCCTGGTTTCCGCGGTGGCTTTGCGCCTGGCTTCCGGGGTGGATTCGCACCCGGTTTCCGAGGTGGATTCAGGGGAGGATTCCAGGGCGGTGCCGGTGCCGGTGCTGGATTCCAGGGCGGTGCCGCGGCCGGAGCGGGTGGACGGGCATTCACGAATGACTTGTATGCGGATTATAATGGGCCTGCGGGGGGCGCGGGGGCGAATGGGGCGGCGGGCGCGGGGGGCATGGAAGTTGAAGGTGCACCAAGTGGGCCGGCGGGTGGGGTGCCGGTCGTTCCGGCCGAGCCGAACCAGCAGATCTTGGTTAGGAATGTGAGTCTGCCCCAGGTGGTAAGTATAGGGTCAACAAGCTGATTACCCCCAGCTCCCATGGTCGACGTCCAACGAAGACCTCGTCGAGCTGTTCGAGACGGTCGGTGTCGTTGCCTTTGCCGAGATGCTGTATGAAGGTACTCGAAGCAAGGGGGAGGGAATTGTTCAGTTTGGACAGACCGAGGAGGCGCAAACTGCTTCAGAGAGGTTTACGGGGTATCTCTATGGTGGAAGGCCGCTCGGTGAGATTTTTCATCTGGATGGGTGGGTCCGAAGAAGGAGAACGCAGATGCGAGGGAAGGGAAGAGGCAAGGTCAGGGACTAAAGGGGGAGGCTGAGACGGATGTCATCACCAGTCACTTGCTGTGTGGGCAGAATAGGGAAGGGGACGAAAGGAAGAGGGGGAATAAGCCAACGATCAGGGATGAGAGCTGACCCAATAGGCGTCCAGTTTAACCCGAGGTGGCATGACTTTACGTCGGCCGCCGCGGCTGGGAACCAGTCGGCTGCTGCGTAAGCTGGAGGAGGGGAAGTAGATGGACCAGGAAAGACGTAGGCGAAAAAGAAGAGTGGTGGAAAGATATGGATTGAATCGTTTCGTGTGAACAGGGCCGAAAAGGGCAGCAGGGAGCGGAGGAGGCAGTAAGGAGGCCCAGATCTGAAGAAGACAAACGGGGGAGGTTGATCCACTGTCGCAGCTTATCTGATGGACAACTGTTGCTTTAGCTTTGGTATCCGAGTCACCTGCTTATCTATCGCCTCAATCTTTAGCGTGGTATTGCCGACCTTCCCCCAGCTCAGAAGGGCGCAGTGCGAGAAGCATGCGCACGGACATCGGACTTGGTCTGCCTCCACCTTTTCGAGCAACTTCGCCGCTGGGCCGGTAGCCGCTGTTGTGATTCTGTGCATCTGCCTGCTTGTCGTCCTGCTCTCCAAGCTCCAGTCCAGCCTATCGCCCTCGACACAAGAGTCGGACAGAACGCGCTCTTTTTTAACCATAATACTTCAGCCAAAATGCCGCCTCCTCCATCAACAGTACAGGGCGGCGGGACGCTCGACAAGAGTGAGCTTCTCCAGACGGCGTGCGCATATAGGAGCTGACATCGGACAGTGAAGATGGGAGCTGTCATGGGCAGTGAGCCGCATTCTCTCGGAGCTCTGATTAGTAGGAGAGAATGAGCTGACATTCATCAGCCGGTGTCGGATTGACAATCGGATTCATCTTTGGGTCTTTCTCAATTATGCGGTACGTCTTCCCCTTCAGCTATCGTTCTCATGAGACTGCGCTTCTCGCAAAGTGTACAAAGCTGATATGTCAGAGGTGGACCAGGTCCAAGAGGCGTTGTGGCTACACTGAGCCAGTACATGCTCTCCTCAGCGGCGACATTTGGTTTCTTTATGAGTATAGGATCGGTTAGTTACTTCCACCGGTGTATACGCAAGGCACAGAAGCTGACAGTATAGGTCATTCGGACGGAGTCTCCCTATGCGATGCACGCGGCACAGTCGTATCGCTCAGATCTGATGGAGAGGCGGTATGGCGATCTATGGAGGCGGGCGGAAAGCAGGAAGCTAGAAGTTGAGGTGAAGGGGCTCTGAGGAAGAGGGAAAGCATCTCGAAGCAGCAAAGCCCGCTAGCAGTGGTTTATCATCCATCTCCATTACTCGATCTACACTGTCTAGAACGCCCGACGCAGAACCGCCTTTTCTGCGGTGAATTATCTCCTACTCCTATCAAGCGGGGAACCATCCAATCGCCCAAACTCATCCGCCTCGAGATCACCGCGGACTCCCCTCCGCCTTCGAGCAGGCGACGACTGGTCATACTTGTCGTAAATCGGCTTGTTTCGGCGGACCGATGCGTGTCCGTGTACAGAATCACGGTAGCCTACTGATCAGCCCCTTCCTCAACAAGATCAGAGACGACTCACTTTCTGACTGTCCCGCTACATCAATCCCCGTAGCCTCCTTCAGTATCTGCTGCAATGAGCTGATCTTACTCTCCAGCGCAATTCGCTTATCCGTCTCTTCGTTCAGCATCCGCCCGAGCCGTGTGTTCCTGTCCCTCAGATCCTGATTCTCCGCCTTGGTCCCCTTGAGCGCCGCTATCATCGCATCCATCTCGATCATGTGTCGCTCCTTGGCAGACTTGAAGTCCTCCAGCAGTTGTAGGTGTGCAGCGGTCGGACGAGGGGCTATTGACGAGCCGGCTACGGGCCCGAAGAAGAGGTGGGCAAATGAGTCATTGGTGGAGTTCCGGCGGTGCCGGCTGGAAGTGGGTGTTCCAGCTCGAGCGAGATCTGTTGCGCCGTCCTTGAACGCCCGCCTGGAGGATGGTCGAGTAGGCGTGTCATCCCCGTCCTCATCCGCATCGGCGAATTGCAGCTTGCACGGGCGGAGGATGCTTCGCCGAGGTGAATTCAGAGCGGCTGTATTGGCCGATTCGAGTTTGGCGACTACGGATCCGACGATCGAGCGCCTCTCTGGGAGGACTGATGGCGAGGACTGGCGCCGCGGGTCACCGGACCTGCGGCGGTGGAGGATGTTCTCCTTGTCCTCGGATCTAGGTGCGATGAAGGACGACCGGGTCTGGACCGGCCGGTTCCGAGGGGCAGACCACCATCCCTCGCCCTGCTCTCGCTCCGTTTTCTCGATGAGGCTAGAGGAGGAAGAGGAGAGGTCCAACAGAGACTTGCTGAGCGACGCAGTGAGACCGCCCGTCTTTTGCATGTCGTCGGATGAGGGTGCGGATTTGGCAGTGTGGAAGGAGAAGCCCGACTCGTTGTGCGGGAGTCCGGCCGTAAGAGATGTGGTAGATGTGGACCCCTCGACCGTGTCCTCCTTGACGGCGGCGGCCTCCCTGACATCCCGAATGATCTCCTCTGCCTCGGTAGGCTGTGGGACGTCAGAAGCCGGTGCCTCCGTGAGTCCAGGCGTTGGGGAGTGGACTGGCTCAAGGAGTGTTTTGTCGTCATTAGCGGGCGACATGACATCGGGCGCGGGTGGTGACGGGGCGGAGACGGTGGGGACGTCCGGTGTGGTCAGCTCTGGGGCTAGGAGCGAGTCGAGGAGCTCTGTCGAGCGCCGAGCAGAGGGATCAAGGGGAGATGCGTCTGGAATAGCAGGCTCGGCGGGGAGGGGGATGTTAGGAGGGCTCATATGGTTCATTTCGATCCCAGCTGATGATCAGCCCTGAACACTCCAACATAGAAGCAGACTTACTAGGCTCAGACGCTTCAACAACACTAATAGCTGGACTCCCCTCCGCCTCCATCCGCTTCAACGCGCCAAACATCCCCCTCGTCGATCCCCGGACCGAACCCTGCTGCCCCTGCGTCCCGGCATACCCGCTCAGATTCGATCGTACCGACCCGACATCAACCCAAGAGTCCAACTTCTGACTGCGGACCGACTCGGTATAGCTTTGTCCGCCCGTACTAGGTTTCGGCCGAGGGGCCGGCGCAGCCTTGGTGGAGAACTTGTTCCGCCAGGTACGTATGTTTGGGAGGACGAGGCGCTCCTTTGCCTTGGCCGCTTCCGTCTTTGGCTTCTCCATCTCCTTCGCTATCTCCGGCTCAGCACCAGCCGGTATGATAGGGGGCGCCTCGCCAGCTTCACACCCAGACGCAGCGCCCTGTGCCCAGCGTTGAATGTCCAGCTTGCCCCCTTCCCGCCCGGTCTCGGGCTTCCGCTTGGTGGAAGCGCCTGCAAACATGGGCCGGAGCCCGTCGATACTCAGACGACGGCTGATGCGGCGTCCAAGACTCATCCCGCCCGCTCCAGCTGCTCCGTTCGACACCGACCGCTTGCCGCTGGGCTCTGGCTCATGGGGCTTGATGGACGACCGGGAGGTCATGCGGGCGAGCCGGGACGAGCCAAAGATGGAAGTACCGGATGTCGAGCGGGGGAGTGACGGCTGGGGCCCGGCAGTGATGGTCGTCTGAGCGGGAAGAGAGGGTGCAGGTACAGCTGTCTGGGAGGTAGGGATGTCCGACAGCGCGGGGACCGGTTTCCGAGTGATGATGCTCTCCGCCCCGATCTTCTCCGCCGGATCAGCACCTCCTTCCGGCCTAGCAGGGGATGGCAGCTTGATCGCCGACGCCAAAGTTGGGAGGGCCTTGGCGCTCTCCTGCAGCTCGAAGCCGAGCGAGAGGGAAGGTGGGAGGAAGGTCGACACCGAGCTGTTGAGGATTGGGTGACTGGCTGGTAGGACAGTGTTCCGGCTTGTGGACGCGCTGATCCCGCCGATGGAGTTGCTGGGTGTAGGACCGGTAGGTGCCGAGCCGGGACCAAGAGATGTGTTGCTCAGCGCCGAGGGGAGGAGGGAAACGATGAGCTGTTCCGTAGCGTCTGCTACGGCGGTAGGGAGGGAAGGATTGGCGATGATGAGGTTGGCCGGACCGGCGAGCTTGTTGAGATCGACCGATCCATTGGAGGGTAGAGCAGGCGCCTTGTCGTCCACCGCAGGAGGGTGACTGACGGTCGACTCAAGAGGGACGAGCGTGGTGGTTGAGCTGGCCGTGCTCGCCACGGACGGGCGAGAGAAGAATGCCGGCCTGCCCAGGAGGTTCCGGCGCTTCTTGGGCGAGGCAGCATCACCCGAGCTGGTGAGAGTGGTGAAGAGGGGAGGCATTATGGGAGGTATCGAGCGTTTTAGACTGGAGCGCAAAGTGAGAGTTGAGGTGATATCTATCGCTGTGAAGATAAGCTGTCCGAAGATGTGTGTGACGTTGACATCGATGTTGATCACGCAGTAGATGTCGTAGATCTGCGAGGCGTCTACCATCCGGGGGGGGCAACAGGGCGGGCTGGGTTAGCTTTTAGCACGATTGAGTTGCGGTGAAACATATGAGTCTGTAGCGCTTCGTATTGGTCGGGGCTGGTTGAGACGCAATTTGAATGCGAATGGGGTAATTGAGCCTCTCGGATCAAGCTCCTCTGCTGATAGAATGTCGATGTGCGTGAGTCACCCGTCCATGCGCTCCCATATCCGAAAGAAAGCCGTTGATGACCGTCCAGCAAAACCGGTCGCCTTGTTTACATGCGGTCAAAGAGAAGTCCCTGTACAATACGAAAGCTGAAGCGCGTCAGCAATTGCTCTATCAACACGATCCGCTCCTTCATAGGCCCATCGGAGGGAGACTTCACCTTATACACACAAACAGAATGAATACCCGAATAGCCCCAGCGATTGTTGTTGAGAAAAAGAAAAGGCCATGTTCTGTCTGAAGATCAGCTTCTCCCTCTCCTAGCTTTTCAAGGTCCAAGGGACTCACGCGCCGCTATATCCTCTCCTGTATGCCCCACCTCAGCCTCGCTACCCTCTCTGTAGCCCAATCCTCTGCCAGATACTCCGCTTCGGTCCGCGTCTTGCCTCCCTTTCCGCGGCCGGATTCTCCGCCAGTCGCTTTTGATATGCCTCTTCGAGGTATTTGGTGATGAGCCAGATGATCATGGTCCTCCCTGCTGCTCCTAGAGCTGTGTATTGAGGATACTTGTGTGATAGGTAAAGGCTATGGCCGCATAGCCTCGCCAGCAGGTCGACGACAAGACGATGTCAAACGTTAGCGTCAATTTGAAACGCGTGCCAGGATCACATCTCGCTGGGCTGACCGTCGATTATGGGGTAGCAACGAAGATCGCCAGTGTGACCTATGTATCCACAGATGGACCAGGCTATTATATACAATCAGAATCGATGTGTTATCCCCTGCACTGCCTGGCTTTGATCTCATGTTCTCGGTCCCCTTTATTTCCCTTCCTTGGCTCCAGCTGGCGCGTCTACCTCCTTCTTGGCCGTCCCCTTATTCTTCTTGGCTCTGATCTTGCTCACTGATACCGTCAGCTTCGCTCACGTCTGATGATGAGAAGTACTCACTTTCACGCGAAACAAGACTGCTCGTCTGATATCCATCCGGGAAAAGGTCTACAATCTGCCCTCATCAGCATGTGTTCTCCAGATGAAGACAAGACGGCGCATTCGTCGGTTCTGGATAGTATGGCGGGGATTTGTAGAGTCAAGCTGGGAGAGGGGCGTCTGGGAGAGAGGGTGTGTTCTTGGAGTCTGGGAGCGATAGATTGATAAGGAGGTTGCGAGACGTGTTGAGTCACGGCCAACACACCTTTTTGTACAGCGCAGCCCGCATGAGAGTCTCAGAGTACTCTTTCCCCGTCTTGAGGATATTATCCGCGACCCTCCAATCCCTAGCTATCAGCTCGGTCCCACTCCCGCGCCCCAGAAAGCAAGACTTACTTTCCCCTCGTATTGAGCTCGAGCATGTCCCCGAGATTATCCAGCAACTGCGCAAAGACGAACTGCATCTCTGGCGTCCACTTGAAGTTTTTCGTCGGCTCCTTGGGTGGACCATGAGGTACAGCAGCAGCAGGCGCATTCTCGGGCTCGTCGGCATGATCGTTCGAGGGCTCTGCGGCCATGGCTGTTCCATTCGCCTCTGGGGGCGCAGAGGAACCGTCCAGCGGGTGCTCTTCATCTACACAATCAGCTCAGTCCTGCTGGAGAGAACGAAAGCACTCACCCCACTTGCGCTTCGCCTCCTCGAATTCCAGCTTGTCGTCCTCGTACTTCTTCTCCCACTCGCCAATGACGCCCTTGATGAGCTGTCGCAGTTGACCCAGACCGGCCTTCTCGCAGGCCTCGAGAAACTCCCAGTAGTCTTCATAGCACATTTTACCGGTGAGCTTCTGCTTCTGATTAGATCGTGCCCCTCTATCGATACTGCGAGAGAAGATGTGGGTTGAAAACATGTACTCACTGTAAGCGTGAAGCCATTGTATGGCAATACCGATCGGAGGGCCATGAAGAAATTGGGGACGGTCGGATCTGACTCGGCAGCCACCTTGAACATTCCAGTTTGGAATGCGGCGCGCCCGCACTCCCGCAGAAAAGGACGAAGATGATCTGGGAATTTGCCCTTGTCTTTGAGGTCCCAAGCGTCTGGTCATCAGCTCGGTCCTACCTACCAGTCAGAGAATACGCACATTTCAGACTCTCGTTTCTCAGAATCAAAAGCTGTTGGCGGAGCGGGTTGGGGAAGCCTCGCCAGGGTGGTAATTCCTCCTCGATCAGCGTCTGTCGACTGACGATCTTGGGGTGAGCGTACCTCAGGCATATCCGAGGCATTAGTGAAGATCTTCCGGTCAACAGGCATGGGCTCCTCCTTCTCATCCTTGACATCCTCCTGCTCCGGACTTGGTGTGCCTGTACATCAGCCTCCACCCAGTCCTGCAAGAAGAAACGACTCACGGATATAGGGTGAACTGGGTCCGGCCTCCCCATCACTATCTCCATCCGAATCAATCTTGATCGGGCTCTCCATCGCTCCCTTCGCCTTCGCTCGCTCGGCCTCCTCGACCACAAGCTGGGCGAGTGGTTTCCGGATCTTAGGTTTTGGGCCAGCAGCAGCAGCGGCGGAAGGACGAGGTGCTTTTTTGGGCATGCTGTGTCTGGGTTTCCCTTTCGCTTTGGCCGGTGCGTCTTGCTCCCTGCTAATCAGCCTTGAAGTAAGATTCTGACCGGGGGACTTACTGCTGTACTTCGACTGCACCCTCGCAAACGAAGAATCCTTGCTTGACCGTCTTGGCCATATGCGTCGGTGCATCGATCTGGAGCTCCGAGTCGTCGATAAATTCGTCGGTATCATCATAGACCTCCACCTTTTTCTGCTCTGTCAGCTTCTCTCAAGGGTGTATACAAACCGAAAGTGACTGACCTTGGCCTTCTTCTTGGGCGGTCCTTTATCGTACTTCTCCTCGAATCGCCGAGCGATCTCCTCCGCCGACTCCTCTATCAATCCATTTTCAAGTATTGAGCCGCCTAGCCCCATCGGAGGCGCATTTTCCGGACCATCCAGTACTCCGCTCGGTCCCGGCCCTGGCGCGAGCGCCGGTTCGTCATACACGTTCCGCAACATGTTCAACCCCTTCTCTTCCGCAGATGCCCGTACGTCCCACATCATCGTCTGCCATGTGGCCGTCCCGTCCCGGTCGTGATTCATGGTCAGGGCCATCTCCAGGCGGATGGTATCGACCGGTCGAGGGGGTCCCCTATCAGGGTCGACAGAGAGTGACCGCTTCCGAGCCTGCTTCTTCTTCTTGGGAATGAGAGCATTGACGACTTCGCCATCTGGAGCGGGTGGCGCGCCGCCGGCTGGGTCGGATGGACCTGCTTCGGGATCGACAGGCTCGGATTTGACCTGGAGAGAGGCGAGTGGGGATTTGGAGGTCCGGTCGTGTCTGACAAAAACGATGTCCTCGTCCTGCTGATGAGCTCGACTCTTGAGACTGAATGGTCAAGCTCACCAGATCCAAGCTTCGCGCATCGTCCTCGTCGTCCTCATCCTCATCCTCATCATCGTCCTCGTCCTCCTCGTCGTCGTCCTGACTATCATCTCCCCTTTCGTCCACTTCCTCCCCTTCAACGCCGTAGCCCTCGGCATACATCAATTCCCCATTCTCATCCACCTCCATCCCCGACTCGTCCCCATCGTCATGGTCATATGGGTACGCCACCGACCCCGCACGCGAGTATGGTTGATGATGCGCATTCTCGTCGTTGACGTCCCCCACGCCGTCTTCCACAATCTCATTGTCTGAGCCCGCATCTGAGCTTGCCGTGAGATCTACCGGGTTGTTTGCTGTGGAAGGCGCAGCTGAGCTCGAGGGACGCTGTGTCGCGCTGGGATTGCTCGACCGGGGATAGGAGCTGGAGGCGAGTTGGTCGATTTGTGAAGTGTGCGGTGGACGGACTGGTGAGAGCGAGGAGGACGATGGGCGTATACCCAGCGCACTCGGGTCGTCGAGGAGCGCAAGAGCCTGGCGTCGCTTTGCAGAGCCAACATCATCTGCATGTCCCAGCTCGAGCTCTCCGAGGGGACGACGAGAAGGACCCGCTGGCGCTTTGGTTGGCGAGTTGGAGCGCTGCCGGGGCGTAGTGGATGTTCTGGATGCATGGTCCTGCTTAGATGTCAGCTTGTACTTGCATGCATAGTCAAGCGAGACAAGCTATGCACGAGGGAAGGAAGGATGATTCAAGAATGTACGAGAAGGTGGCTTGGTGGCAGGTGGATGGTCGAGTGGAGGCAAGTACCATCCCCCTTCGCAACGAGTTTAGAGAGACTTACAGATGATGCATGAGAGCCGCGGCTTGTTGCACTAGCATGACGAGCGTGTTGCGGCAGCGTGGACCCGCCGGGCAGCTCGTAGGGAACGCGCTGGGGCCCAGACATGACGGATATCAAAAGAAAGGTAGGAGAAGGATGAGGAGCGGACGGTACATCTCGGGTGCGTACGGGACGCGACAGCGTCGACGAGAGGGGAAGAAATGGGCATCTTTGAGCGCTGGAGTCCTGCGAATTCTGGGCAGTTTTGGTACCCCCCTCCACCGCGCGCGTGAGGCGGATGAGCGCGATGTGCCGGAGGGCCACCCTAAGAAACGGTCACTTTGTACCACATTTTCCTACCTTATTTCTAGCTTCAGCACGGTCCAAAAAGTCCTATGTAGTATCTGGGCACCATCGCGAGACCTGCACCGAATTACAGGCTGAATGATGCATGCATGCTGTCCATGTAGCTGCTACAAGATGAGGGTGAATCGCCTCCGGAAGTATATCCTGTCGCTCAGGCACGGTTGCTTTGGCGGTGCAAGGCAAGCATCGCCTCGTCTGATTCACATCCCTCATCTCCCCTTCAGCTCATATCTCCTCGACCTCGTCCATAGCTTCTTTCTCCTCGCACAACATTTGGAGATCGGGGTGACCGCACCGCTAGCCTATACCTGACAAGTCGTCTGGAGAAACGTCATCGAGGCACGATGCGGAGAAGCGGATTCTTCAGCGTTTCAATGGCCCTGTTGTGGTCGGCAAGTCTTGCCCTGGCGCAGAATTCACCGCTCAAGGATCACGGTGCTCTCTTTGGCAAAGCGTGTTCGTGAGTTGCTCTCGCGCCAGTGCCGACGCTGGACCGCCCAGCTGAGACTCTAGAACGCAGAACCAGCGATATGATCAAAACACCTTCAATCTGATAACAGACTGCGATGCGCAAACTTACTGCGCTGCGAACAATACCTGCGCATACAGGGGGTGCCGCAAAGACATTGTAAGCTGATCTCTTCCTCTCTTTCAGTGCAGATTGGCATGCAGCTGATTGTACCAGTTCCCATATGGGTACAACTACGTCCCCTTTGAGCAGCTGCCCCCGCTATGCCCGCAAGGGTCCTTGTGAGTCCCTCCACCCTGGCCGCATGGTCCGACTGATTTCTGCAGCTGCCCGGACGAAAGTGACCGCTGTCTCGACGCCATTGAAATAGGAAAGACTTGCCAGAAAGACCGAGATGGTGAGCTGCCTGTTGTCAGACCGCTGCAGTGCCGCGAAAAGCTCACTTCTTCAGACGAATGCCAACAAGCCCCAAACTATCGCGATCTCGCCAACTATCTGAACGTCAACGGCTCCATATGCCTCAAGAACACGTGCTAGTAGGTCTTGTCCTTGTCCTAGCCCTCGTTGGTGGAGTATGCTGATCTTCGCAGCTTGGCCAATGTTTCAGTTGGGCAGACTTGCATTAACGACAATACCAGGTATACGGCCTATAATGACCAGGGGTCTGAGTACGCCATCATCGTATCGAGAGATAAGTACGTCTGGTCCTCCTGCGTGTAGCTACCCATGAAGTGTCAAGGAGACATGCTGATATTGCAGCTGCGCGACCAGTCTCTACTGCGACGGCACCTCGCTCCAATGCATCCGGTCCAAAACACGCGGTACCGAATGCTCTGGAAACAAAGAGTGCCTGTCGTACAACTGCGAAAATGGGATATGCGGGAAAGCAGCAGACGAGCCCGTCAAGCCGCCTGTGTACTCTTACGTCCTCATTGGGATCGGTATCGTAGGGCGTGAGTTTACGAACACTCCCTGAGATGTGTAGATTGTGAACAAGGCCATCAGCTGATCTGCATAGTGATTGTCGGAGTTATCGTCACCCTCTGGTTCGTACACCGGAGAACAAGAAACGAGAATCAGCGCAAGCTCGAGCAATATTGGAATGAACAGGTGAGTCTTCCATTCCGCCGCGCAGGAATAAGCTGACACGCTAGATGGCATACCGACAAAGTATCATGTCGATGTATCAAGCAAAGTCAGCCCTGCTCGACCCAAATGTACGTCCTCTATCCCTCGTCTCCGTCCAATGTTCCTCGCTGACTTCACAGCACGACCCGAATGACCAACGACCGCGCAGCATGTACAACGGCCCACTAGGCGGCCGGCCAGAGGACGGGGGTCTTACCCCTCCCCCTGCGTTGCGGCGGGACAGCTCGGTGACGTGGTCGGAAGAAGGGAGTGAGGTATTGCTCGTTCCCGGTAGTGGTGGCACACCAGGTCCTGGCGAGAGGAGGTGGTGAGGTTTCTGTCTGTATGGACTCTTGAGCTTGATTATCTGTCTGTAGCGTAATATGGATGACATCACGAGCTACTCGTGGCTGGTCCAGGACTCACGCCCGACTCAGGCCATGCCCATAGCTCGAAGCAGTCCAAAATCTGAAACACGGTATGACGTCATGCTGCGGCATAGCGTCCACCTCGCCGTACCTAACGCGTATGCGCATGTCGCGGGGCGGCAACCTGCCTCAACCCTCAACGCCCCAGCATCTTCTCTTTCCTCACCCAGCAGCATACAGGGAATCGCCCACCCACAAGTACACGCTGACTTCACTGGCAACAAGGCCGTGGTGGACGCTCAGATCACTGCCTGCACCGCGAGCTAAGCTGACCTAATCAGATCTAGACCGTACCACTACCGCCACGGCGCAAAGACAAGTAACCCATAGCCCTACCTGCAACAAGAAATCGTACGCTCAGCTCGCCATGACATTCGCCGGGTGACCTGATTGTATCAGATCAATATCCCACCAACATGTCCCACTTCTTGCGCCGCTTCAGCAGCTCGCTCTCCTCCGCCACAAAGAGGTCGCTCTCGACCACATCAAAGGATCCCTCAAAAGACCCGCTTGTATTCTGGCGCACTACGGCGCAGATATTGTTCACCTTGAACACGGGATTGCTTTATGGGACGTACAAGGTCCACAAGATGGACGAAGTACGTATTGATCTTCGCGGCAACATGTATAAGTGCAGTACAGCTGGAAGACCCATAGGAAACAGAAGAGGTAAAAACTGCTCTGTTTCAGTCGATGCACCGCCGAATCTCCTTCCTCGAAGAACGCAGGTTTGAGGACTGAAGGCGCCCAGGGTGGAGGTGTAGAAGACGGAAGTGGCAATGGGCCGTCTTGTCAGAGGTCGTAGGCGTCTGGTCCAGAAGTGGCGCCATGAATGAGCAAGCATGATGTGTATGATATGGTTGAGTTGTGAGGGCCCCTTTCAGTGCCGGAGAGGGCTATAGCCCTTGTCAGAGCGATCTGTTCGAGTGGTGAATACCAGTACAGCATAACGCCATCAGCGGGCCGGCCAGCAAGCGCGTCTCCTTGCCGAGGCAGGCTGAAGCCAACTCAACTCCATATAAGATCGACCGACACGCGCACATTGCAACGTCGCGATGCCGCAATGATGATGACGATGGAGGCTTTACACCGCCGCTTAGATAACCTCGAGAAGGGCATGTAGAGCACACTGGGTCTCCTCAGAGAGCAGGCCCGTCTCACAAAAAGGTGAAGAGCAATATCCACGTATAGACTGCCTATCCTAGTACCGCCAGCATCTCCTCGACGCGCCGGAACTTCTCCCGCTCCTTTCCCCTCGCCATACCCCTTTCCCGCTCGGCCGCATCAATCCTTCCCCACTTCTCCAGATCCACCACTTTCCCTTCTCGCTGGCCCTGAGCGATCTCGGCCGGAAGCCCTGACTCCGGCTCACGAGGCAGGGGATTACCTGTAGATACGGACCCTGCAGGGGTTGAGTAGTGGTCTGCGAGAAGCTGATCGGCGACGGAGTAGGCGTCGTGCATGGTTGACGCGATGACGCCGATGGGACCTCGAGCTACCCAGCCTGCGGCATAGATCCCGGGTATCTACGATATCAGCTTGCCCAGCACTTGAAGAGATGATAGCAGGTGTCAACTCACAGCAACGCCATCCTCGGCCACTACCCTCCCTCCGACATTCTTCACCCTGCCCTTCGATCGGTCGAACGGCAATCCCCATCCGCCCTCCTCCACCGGCCCGAGCGGTTCTGACCGATACCCCACACTTTCAACCACAATATCCGCCTTGGTCGTGACCTTCTCCCCCGTCGGCCGAGCCACAATACCCCCGGATGATCCGGCCCGTAATCCCGTCCCTTCCCCGCTCGCGCCACCTGTAGCCGTCGCCGCTCCGGGTTGCGAGGGCGGCGGTGCCGGGTAGTCAGGCGCGGAGAGTAGGAGCTGATTGACCGTCCAATCCACCGCCCTCACTCTCTCGTCACCCCTAAACGCCGCCGGACTCCTCAAAAAGTCGAGCGAAAAGCTCTTCTCTCCCCCGACATGCTTATTGTCCTTCTCCATCAGACCCAATATCCTCGTACGCATCCTATCGCCCTTGACCAGCGCCTTGGCATCCTCCATCATGCCTCCCTCGAGCCCCTCGAACCCGACGCCCGGAATCGAGATAATCTCCCTAAACTCCTTCGTCGTAAACGCCACCTGGCCCGGTCCTCTCCGTCCTACTGCCCGGACATGCTTCACATCGCTCTGCGCCAGGACATGCAGGATATCATCCGGAATATCAGTGCCGGAGAGGTCTTCTGCCCGTTTGAGGAGAATGCGCGCGACGTCCATCGCGACGTTTCCTTGTCCGACGACAGAGACGTCCGTCATTCCGCGGAGATCGACGGGAAGGTCCGCGAAGGCTGGGTGGCCATTGTACCATCCCACGAGGGCTAGAGCCGGGTATACGCCAGCGAGAGGTGAGGGCGATGATGAGGAGCCGGGGACGGAAGTGAGCGGGTTGGAGAGGGACGCGCCATACGAGAGGAGAAGGGCGTTGTAGTGATGTACGAGGGATGTGAGGGGTATAGTGACGGCGTGGGGGTAAGTATATGATGATAGGGCTGTAGGTGGGGTGGGCGGATCGGTCGAGGGGGAGAAGGAATAGATCGAGGCTTGAGAGGTGATTAGGACGTTTCCGAAGTATTTGAATCGGGGGTCTTTCGCGAGCTCGTCGAACTTGTGTTGGCAATTCTACACTATCAGCTCTTCTATCGCGATCCTTCAAGCGCTGCCTGCTCGCTGCAGCCACCCTGGCAGCGCGGCAGAGCGAGAGACGACTCTTGAACCATAATTTCGATCAACTCACTTTCACTTCCGGATGATCTGGCGCGACGCCATACCGCACCAATCCATATGGCGTAGGGAGTCGTTCATACATGTGGACTTCCACATCTCTGCCGCTGGGCGAATCGGCCGGTAGAGAGCTGAGCACGCGAGAGGCGGTGTAGAAACCGGATGGACCTGCGCCTATGATGGCAAGTTTTAGGGGCGAGGTCGATGCGGAGCTGAACGTCGCTAAATTCCGGCGCGAAAGGGGGAGCGGTCGTGCGCATCTCGTACATAGCGTTGGTAGTTTGCTTAGTGTAGACAGCGACATTGCGACTTTGCGAATCAAGTGAGATTGAGTGATGCTCTCGGAGATTCCGCCCGGACTATGTGTGGCACTTGCGCGCGTGCGCAATGGCAACTCCTCATTCCTCAGGCCTCAAGCCGGAGCGAGCTTGACGAGCCGTCCCGCAATTCAGATCGCTCGAGGCCAGCTGCTCGCGCCTGCTTGCGGAGGCAGCTCAGCTGAGCAGCGCGTGATGCTGCAGCTAGATGAGCTTATACGGGAGGGCCTTTTACTGTTTGACATCTGTATCCTACAGTCGTCACGTGCTGCTCATGGTGCTTTCTAGCAGAGTCACCCTTTGTGTGGCGGCCTTGAGAAATCCTTTCGAGACGCCAAAGTGGATCGTACGTAGAGTATCCTCAGGGCTCAGGCGACAGACATAAAGCGGGAACCCTAGTACTCAGCATTCCAATTTTGCTTCATCCTTTTCGCCACTCGGATACTGCAGACCTCTCTGAACACCGCGGTACCACGCACAGCTGTCTCAATCCGATCCGAACACAATGTCCAGCAGCACAGCCCCCTCCGCGCACGACGCGAGCATGGAAGGCTCCGAGACTCTCATCGAGTTCGAAGAACCCCTCCAACATGAGGACTTTCCATACCCTGGGACCTACATACTCTGGTGTCCTCATGGAAGCGAGCTATCCTTCCTGGACTCCTTCGCTGATCCAAAGAAGCGGTTGTCTGTCCCATGTACCTACAAGAGTGCTTACAACGGTTCGGAGCTCGCTTTGATCCCCACACGACACTGCTTGGTACCGGAAACCGAGTTCAGGTGCCCAGCAAAGATCATGCATCTGGACGATTCAGGGAGAGGTCTCTATTGGGCAGGCTGGGCAGACTCCGGCATGTTCTTCAACGACCCGTTTCCCGAAGCTCCCGAGATCCTGAGTGCGTACAAGGGGGCCTCCAAGGTACAGAAAACTCTACTGAGTCTCGCATCCACACATGCAGGCGTCACGGGCCGATTCAGCATTCGTTTGATGCCCGGGATCGGTGACCCTACATCTTACGACGCTCATCTGACGAGAGCGACGGACATTGAGACACATGGAGCTGGCGGACTTACACACGGCACCTACCCCGCCGATTACATGGTCTCGGGGGAGGAGATCCCTCTTGAAGGGGTCCCGGTCAACGGCAATGTCAGTATCAAGGATGACAGGTGGCCAACACAGCTTCGCGCGACCAACGAGTTCAAGGAGGATCTCAACATACCGACGGTACTGTCGGACGATGGCGTATCAGCACTCTCCATCCCTCTCCAGATCAACAGCAGATGCCACACTTGCAATGGTGCTTGGCGGACAGGATCTGCGGCTGTGGCGGACTCGCAGGCGACATCGGAAGGAAATTACCGCAGGAAGATGACTCATCCAGCCGGGCGGTGCTTTGAGACACGCGTGGGCTTCCTCGTTCCCCCTCATGTCCGAGCTTTGGTTCAGAGATACTCCTCTGCCACTCTCCACGAATAGCATCTCTGTCAAATCATCAGCCCTGTCGTGTATGTATTCTTTTGATCTAGGCGCCAGCACTCGTCTGCAACAGGAGTATCCAACCAGGGCATGCTGGCGTATGGACTTGGCGATCAGCGGCGGTGCGCTGACGCCAGTCCCTAAGAGGGATACAATCCATCCAAGCCCCGAGCTTTGCTAGCACGTACAGCGTTCACTGTACCTCTCATATTGATCAAGGACTGATCTACATGGACTGACATGCACATGAGATAAAGCTAGCTTCTCAGAGTCCGCTTCTCAGAGTCCGCTTCTCAGAGTCCGACGGCCCCGCAGTGCATCGAGTATGGATTAGTATTGCTACACACGTGCAATGTAGCGCCGACCGATGCGAGTGTTGGCCTGGATGATGCGTCAGCTTCGGTAGGCCAAGGGACTGCCCCTTTCCCTTACGCCATCTCACTCTTCTGTCAGTGGCATCCAGCTCGGCAATCGACAGAGGCGCATTAGAAGCGCGGTGAGATGGTTCAGAGGAGTTGCAGGTTGACCGCAGAGGGTCTGTCAGAGGTGTCAAAGTATCTGTTACATGAACGCCGGCACGCGTCTACTCTTGCAATATAAGCTCCTCCACTTTCCAGTCCTCGAACGAGTTGTCTGAATCATCAGCTGCTACTCTGCATGACCTTTAATCGGTCGCCAGCAACATACCAGGCAGATATCGCCTTATCACGAGCGGGATCTTCTTCGCCGCCAACTCCTTCAGCGCAATCTCGAGCGGATCCGTCTCCCCCTCTACCGGTACCAGGACTGGTGCGTTCATACTGAGTCATCAGCATCGCCCAAAGCGATCTCGACTGCATTAGGCTCACCTGATCTGCAACGCCCTAGTCCCCAACACCCTCGCTCTCTCATATTTCGTCATATATGGGGTGGTGACTCGCACCTCATTCGCAACTGCCGCCTTGCCTATCCGCTGCTTCTCGCCTTCAGCAGGCGCATTTGATTCCTGATGAGTGTCAGCATTACCGGTCCTGTAGGAGAAGAGAATAACGCACGACAATCATAGTCTCATCAATCTCGCCATCAGGACCATCCCCGTTCTCCCCGTTTGCTGCTTCATCTGGCTCATAGCTGGGGATCAGCGCCTTTCTTACGAGGAGAGGAGAAGATCTCACTTGACCTCATCGGGATCATACTCCCCGTAGTCCCCATCGTCCCCGCCCATATCCATGCGTTCGTCGTCGGACATGCTGAAAATACGTTCGTAGGAATGTGATAGTTCGCTTTAGGTATTGCTGCTCTTCGTTCGCGGACGGTTTCTGCAGGTATGCGGTCCCTCTTTGGGGAGTCTTCAGCCCTCGGGGTAGATGATAGATATAGTAGTCGGGGTCGAAGGAATAGATGCAATAGAGGGAAAGGCGCGCGGTCATGATGTTGCTTGTATTTTTGCGCGGTTACAGGTCGGCACGTGATCAAATCTCCCTATGATACATACACCGCGATATCAACAACAGCTCTATCAGTTATACATTCATCTCTCATACATCGGCAGTAGCTCTTATGACTGAGAGCTGCCCGTTGATGGCCATCGACCGAACTGCGCACCTGGCGTAGGCGCAGACATGCAACTCGGGCGATATCAGGTCTCTACGCTCCGGCCGCCACCCATCCTTGCAGTGGACTTCTCGCTGGATGGGAGGCTGTTTGCTGTCGCCCTCAAGACGGGATACGAGGTGTGGAGAACATATCCGCTGGCGTTAATTAGAAGGCGAAGTGAGCCTTGTGCTAGTAGATAAGCGAGAATGGGGGCTGACGAGACAGCTCTCCCAGGTAGCCTAGGCCGAGCCTTGCCACTGCCCAATTCACCCTTGTTGGCTTTGCAAGGAGGAGGCAAGTCGCCCTTGTTTGCGCCAAACAAAGTCATACTGTATCACGACGGCCTCGGCGTAGCCGTTGCGGAGCTCGAATTTGGGTAAGTTGCCTCTATTGTCCTCGTTCCAATGCTCCCTGGGTAACACAAATCATGACGAGCTACATAGCCAGCGGAATAAGGTGGAAGTGTCTAGGAGGTTGAGCCGGGAAGGGACCTCATCAGGCCCTGTCTGAAACTATTGCTGGAACGATACGAGGCTTCACGCCTTTGCCTCTGAGGAATCGAGCTGATATCGCAGAGAGAAGGTCCGAGGGCTTACCTGCCGAGCATCTACCCTCTGTATAGCTCTGTCTCGTCGCGTCATTGCCTTCCAGTATGGCGTCTCCGCTCCGCCAGATCCTAGCGGGAAAGGCAAAGGAAAGGCTAAGGAAAGCGACGGGGGCTTCTTTGTCACAAAGATTGGCGAGTGGGAGACCGTGACCAACGAGCGAGGTAAGCCTCGACCCCTGACTATGCGTACCAGGAGCTGACTCCGCAGGCCTCATGGCAGTCGCATCTACGCTCGACTCCACCCTCCTCGCCATCCCGGGCCGTCAGACAGGACACGTCCAGCTCATCCACCTCCCCGCGTGCCGACCGCCCAACTCGACCGCTCCTAGCCGCACTACCCGTTCTGCCTCGCAAGCCTTCCGATCCCCCATCATCCTCGCACACGAACACGAGCTCTCTTCTCTCGCTTGCACTGCGACTGGCAGCCATATCATCACGACCTCGGAGCGCGGCACGCTGCTTCGCGTCTGGAGCACATCGCAGGGGCGACTGGAGAGGGAATTACGAAGGGGAGTGGATAGGGCAGAGATGTGGGGCGCGCAATTTGAGGATGCGGTCAGTGGGAAGATGGGACAGAAGGGAGCGATGACTGAAGAGCGAAGGAGAGACGAACTGAGGAGTAAAGGCGGGAGAGTGGTGGGATGGAGCGACAAGGGGACTGTACATGTCTGGGGAAATGCGGACGATGAGTCTCGGCAAGATGGAACAAAGTCGTGAGTCAAGTCTGCCATCGATAGGTTGCGTAGTTCGCCAGCGGGCTGCGGGTCTGCCACCTGGGAGTATAAACAATACCGCGGGAAAGACCGTGATGGGTTCTCCGCCTGTATTGCACTGGACCGCCGTACTAGCGCGGATTGGAGCTTGCACACGTCCTGAACAGGCAGCCCTCTGACGGACAGATCAACACCGGTACCCTCTCTTACAAACATCTTATCCCGCAACCTCCCACTACCGAAATACTTCTCCTCGTCCCCCTCTACTGCGCTTTACCGCCTCCCCCGCAAAAACCCCCACGCCTTCGCATCGACCGTCAGCGCAGCGGCCGAGGCGGCTTACCTGCCGAGCATGAAGATGCGGGAAGCGGGCGAGGAGGAAGGAGAATGGAATGAGCGCTTTGTGGTCTGCTGGGTGGGGGTGGAGGTGGATGTCGCGGAGATTAAGCGGGAGGAGAAGGCACGTCCGGCGGGAACGAGTCGGACTGCCTCGATGGATATGGGTATAGGAATGGGAACGAGGGAAGAACGCCGGTCTTTCGGATCAGACGCCACCACCTCCCGAACGGCTACGCCTACTCTCGGACTCGGACGAGACCCGCCGAGCGGAATTCCTACACTGCTTCGTAAGCAGTCCACGGCCAGTACGAGGGCGGAGCAGCGACCTCTGCCGTCCATGACCAGGCGCGATAGTCTGCTATCGCGAGATCCGAAAGTCCGGGCGAGCGGTCCCATCCCCAAAGGAGCAGGGGAACCAAGGCGGACCAAGATGGAGCGTCAGCTCATCGCCATCACGTTCGGAGGGGACTGGTACCGTCTCCGGATACCTGACGATACGGTCGAGGACGCGGAGGGAGAAATTCAGAAGAAGACGGGGAGGAAGTGCGAGCTGGTCGAGTACAGGCGGCTGAATGTGGGCGGCGGAGGGTGGTAGAACAGTAACTGGGGGTGCGATGGAGTTGATTGTATCAGTGTTCCCGACCTCTCCTGGCATATATCATGTTGTATCATACGGTGTATATCTATACCTGCGCATTGCTTCGTGTATCCTGTACACCCTTCTCGAGCTCTCGTAGCACTTCCGACGCCGTATTGACCTCTGCAGTCACTCCCTTCGCATATCTGTGCAACGATACATCTCCCGATCTAAAGATACTCCCGTCTACTCTTATTCTACTCCAGGTACTCCTTCAAGCTTCCAGTGACCCGCTCGATCCTCCCAAGGACACCCCTCGCCATCCCCTCCACATCCGCATTCTCATCCTCAATCAACTCGGCCAGATACTCTGACACCGTCTCTGGCACAAGCCCCACCATCTCATCCACCTGCCTCTCCCACATCGCGTCCATACATCTCAACGCGGCCATACGGACCCGGACATTCTCCTCCCTTGTGATTTTACACACGCCGGTATTGAGCGCCTTCAGGATCGGTTCCGAGGTGGTTGATCCGGCAAGAGCGGCGAGGGAGACGGACAGCGCCGCGTCGGGAAGGAGGGTTGCGTCGGGCAAGACGGCGATCTGGGCGGTGAGGAGGGGTATGAGCCGGAAATAGAGGGCTTCGGTCCAGTATGCGCCTTCGTCGACTTCGAACGACTTGCCGAGGACGCGTACGAGGAGTGTCCACAGGGAAGGATCGGTGATCGTACCCCGGGCGTACGCGGCAAGAAGCTCTTCCAGGTGCGGAAGAAGGATGCCGATGTAGGGAGAGAGGAGGTGCTGACAGTCAGCTTCAGTACGACTATCGTCTGATTGGACAGCTTACCCTGAACTTGTTCAAGAGTCCCATCATGACGTGGAGCAATACCGTTTTACGCTCGACCAGTCGTTGATCGTTGATGGCTGCATATATTAGCTATGTCCATGGGAAGCAAGCTTATGAAGTTAGCAATTCACCCTTGCCGTCAGACAGGTCGATGACAGCCCAGTCGTACAGTCTTGTGAAGAGCGGCTTGAAAGTCGCTTCGTTGAGCTTGGTGACAAGCTCCAAGAACGAGCCGATTGCAGACTCTTCCACCCGGTCGACCACCTAAGCTGTCAGCATCTCGCCTATACTGCAAACCAAATACCTCACCTCCAGGTCCATGGATTTCGAGTGCAGCTTGTGACGCAGATCAAACACGTCCAGGAAGAACGCAAAGATGGTCTTGATGAGCGTAGGCAGGACCGCCCGATCGGCATTCTTGAGCGTGAGCCGGAGAAGGTGGAAGAAGCCTTCCAAGACCTATAGAATCAGCTTTATCCTTATTGCATCATGCTCGTTACCCTTAAACTCACATTCTCATCGGCAGACTGCACCGTCTTCCACAAGTCCATGACGACGGGGAAGAGCACCTTGGTGGGGATCTTCCTCGCGCAAACACTGACGAGCGACGAGCTGGACGCTTCGTTCTTCTCCCGGCTATCGATAGCCGCGCGGAGAACGATGCCGAGCTGCTTGGCGCCGATAAAGGTGGGCACGGTCTCGATGATGGTGGAGAGGACGGCGAAGGCGGAATGGGCAGTGTCGGGGGAGACATTTGGTCGGGCAATGAGTGCGAGTGCGGCGGTAAGAGTCGGCTGGATGGAGGGGATGATCCGTGGACCGAGGTGTCGACTGGTGATCAGCCACACGTTCCTCCTGCTTGAGGTGTGAGAGACTCACGTCGACAGCTCCAACAACTTCAGTACCTCGTTCAAGACCCCCGAATCCTGCCCCTTGAGCGCATCGATCAATTTCGGCAGCACCGCCGCCAGCGACGTATCTTCGGCCGGGACCGCCGACACGACGACAGCCCTCAGGCCCACCAAACCAGCCACGACCTTCTCCTTGACACTGGCAGAAAGCAGCTCGGCCGACCGGCGCAGAATGGCAGCGATCGAAGAGGTAGATTTGAGCCGGACATCCCGCTTGATAAGTGGGAGGCGCTCCGAGAAGAGGTCAAGAGCATGCTGGATGTCCTGAGGGGTCAGCTCTGCCGATCCAGCATAGACGTAATCACTGACCTGTGTATTATCCGAGCCAGCGAGGTCGCGGACGACGCCCAAAAAGTTCTCCGCGGAGAGAAGCTTCATGTTCTCGCCGAGACACCTCGAACTGGTGGTGGGGACATCGGTAGTCTTCAGGGAGGAAGTCTGGACGAGACCAAATAGCCTGACCAGCTCGCGCACGATCTCCTGGACGAGCGGCTGGTCTGTTGGCTTGCCGACGAGCTGGGCGGAGATGGCGGTACAGAAGTTGAGGAGGGAGGTAAGGCGTCGGATAGGGCGTTCGGAATCGTCGTTGTCACCCGAGCTGGAATATCAGCTCGAAACGGTCTTCCATATCGTCCGGGGGAAGGCTTACAATTGGCTGAGGAAGGCGGTACCTTCCACGCTGGACATATCGGCCAATACTCGCCCAACTTCTTTGACGACGTCAAGCACGACCTGCAGAATCAGCTATCTGCGGGCTCTGCTGTCATCTGGGGATCAAGGGCTCACATTCAATTTTGTGATGACTGTCGAAGAAGACGCGACGCCGAGAGCAAGTTCGATCGCTTGCGAAGTGGCAGTAGAGCTGCCGCTCTTCCCCGCCTTGCTCGTGGTGCGATCAATGAGCAGCATAGAGATGGGCGCAAGGTAGTCGCTGCGACCTAAAGCGTCGACAAGGTGGGCGAAGAACCTATGTCATCAGCTCGGTCCCGACGCAGCCAAGGGAGAGGGACACACGGTAACGTCCGGTGCTTTGGCAGTCTGCCAGCCATATCCGTAAAGATTCGTACAAAGTTTGCGCTCGCTGCGAGTCAACTCTATCCCATTCATACGCCTCAACATGCCAGAACTCACCGTTCCACAAATCCAGTCCCGGCGCCGCAGTCTCCCTCAACTTGCCCACAAGAACAGGAACAATCCCCTTGACAGTCCTCTCGACCACGCCAAAGCTGTACGCATCGTCCCTCTGGAAGTCCGCCGCGCCCATGAACGTGAAAATGGGCATGACATTGTGCAAGACCGCATCGGGGATAAGGCGGGCCAGTTCCGCAGCGACAAGAAGGGCGCGTTGAGATGTTCGGGGATTGGAGGTGGATCGTATTGTTTTGATTACTGCCTCGATACCGATATGGGATTTGTTCACTTCTGCGGGGTCCTGTAATGTCAGTGGTTTCGCTCCTTACTGGTGTTATAGACTCGGTAACTGACCCTGATCTTCTCCAGAACAGCGAGGATTGCGCCGAGAAGCTCCTGCTCCAAGTAATCCACACCCTCCTTGACTGTCTGCCGCTTTGTCAACAACGCCGATAGAGCGCCCATGAGCCCCGCGGCCAGTGCCGCACTACCAGGCATGGCCGCCCAGTCCCGACTCTCCAGCAAGACAGTCAGATCCGCGATACCCATTTCGACCTTATCGCCCTCCGTGACCCCTTCGTCCTGCCGCTGTCGCTTCTTCCCGACTGTACTTTCGAGCGGGGCCGACAATCCGGTGAGAGCCACGGTAAGACCAGCCGAGTCCAGAGGGAGAAGCCGGAGTGCCGCGCGAGTGGTGAAGCGCTCCTCGGAGGATAGGGCGTGCAGAGAGCGCACGAGGGAGATGAAGTAGTTGATGCGCTGAGCTTGAGGTAGGGCCTCGAAGACGCCGGATGTCATCCGCGCGAGGACCAGCGAGCGGAGCTGGGGGCTGAACCCTGATAACACTGGAATATCAGCTTAGTACGGTCAAGAGGGGCGTTCTAGCTTACGAGTTTCCGCTTCGGCGGTAAGCAGCCCCTCGACAAACTTCCACGACTCGCTATCGGGCCCAGTGAGCAACATCACGCTCTGCTTATCCAGCGTTCCCACGAGAAGCTCGAGGTACGCCCCCTGCTCGCTCTCAGCCTGCTTAGCAAGCCAGAGGCTCTCCTCTGAATTCCCATCCACCAGCGGCAACAATAATGGCAGGACGCCGCGGAGCACAGCCTGGTCGTGCAGACCCGTAAACGAGCGCAGGAGGACCAGACGTGGACCGAGGGATCGCCAAGCGCCGACATGCGAAAAGAGGGAAGCGAGGATCGCGCGATTCACGCCCTTATCCTTCTTGCTATGTGCGCCGTGTGGACCGAGCACGGTGGCGTGGATGGTGGAGATATGGGCGGGGTCGAGGATGATATTGGACGCTGCTGACTTGAGGGCCTGGAGGTACTTTTCGAGGTACGCGGGCTTGAGGAGCTGGACCATTTCTGGCATCTCAGCACTTGATCTCTCTCGCATCTCAGGAAAGGACTCACTGCTCTGAGAACCGTAGAATGTGTCCACTGCGTATACCTCCCCTTCTTTCTTGCCCACATTCGCAGCAAACGCCTTGAGCACCGCCACTCCCGCCGTCCGAACCTCCCTCGACGCGTCCTGAAGCGCTATCACCAGAGCGGGGAACATCATCTGGAAGTCTGCGCCACTCCCTTGCACGCTGTACGCATTGAGGAATGCCAAGGCGTGACGAAGGGCGGCGGTGCGCAGTGCGGGAGTGGTTCCCGCAGAGGAAGACCAGACGGAGGCGAAGAAGATCAAGGCGTCTTCGGCGAGTTGAGTGAGAAGAAGGCGGAGAAGCTGTCCGGCGAAGGAGGGATGGAGGAGGCCCGAGTTGGAGAGGGCGTAAAGACGGGTAGAGAGCTGGCGGTAGTGGTCTTTCGCGTCAGACTCGGCCTGCAAAGTCAGTCCATTCTGCCTTACTCTGCAGCGGGAGCCGAACCCGACGGAACTCACGAGGGCGTCATCTGCGAGCCAGTCCATAGATCCCTTGGGCCGCTGCACCTGCGCAAGCGCACCAAGAAGACACATCAACCCCCTCGCCTCGGACTGCGAGCTCACGTTCTGGCCATGGAGCGCTTCAAGCAGGGTAGAAGATAAGGGCGACTCAATCTGGGCGACATCCTTTGCTTTGATTTTTGAGAGCAGAGGGGTAAGACGCTGGAGAACGTCATGAGCAAGTACGACGCGACGGTCATTTTTGTCCGTGTGCAGTAGCTGGGAGAGGAGGAGCTGCGACATGATGGCTTCAGACCGGACTGGAGATGCCAGCCGGCCGAGCAAGAACTTAGTCCAGTGCTTGTATTTCTTTGAGGAGGTGATAGCAGCTGCTCATGTCAGCCAAAACGCATAACGTAAACGCGTTGTTGTCACGTCCGACTTACCGCTAAGGCTTTGAATGTTCTGCTCGGGACCCTTGGCGGTGAAGGTCGCGGACGACACGAGCTCCAACTTGGCCAAGCCTCCCGTGAACACTGTGGCCGAGCCGGCCATGACCCTCGTTTGCAGGATTGGGAAGACGAGTGACTCGAAGATTTGGTCCGCGAGCTCCGGGTGGGCTGGGAGGAGGTGCTCGTCCACGAATCCGAGGTGCGCGTGCACAATCTTGGCGTTCGCCGAGCTGTCCACAAACATGGGGCGGACGGCAGCGATGTATTCGGAATGGAGGGCTTGTACCACCACATCCGGCTGCTCGTACAGCGCCTGGATGACGAGCAACTCGCTATCCGCCAGTCTCGCCAACAGTGCCTCCCTCGCCGACGCCTTATCTCCCTCATCCTCGGAAGCCAGCGTGCCCAGCATCTGCTTTACACCCTTGATCCGATCTGCCACGTCCGCGGCGTAGACATCGGCAAATCCGCTAGCCGTGTCCAGGTTGTCACGCAGCAGTTGCGGTACCGAGTCTTGCGCGTTGGCCGTGATTATCGCCTTATCGACGATAGAGGGGTGGCGTTGCCGGAGGGTGGTAAGGAAGGTCTGGGCAGATTTGCGGATGGGCGCAGAAGAGGTGGGAGACTGGTGGGCGACCAGGGCGTCCGCTAATAGTGTGACGAGCGGGGAGGAGAGGGCGGGAGAGTCGATAAGTACTCGAAGGTGTTTAACATTGAGGTCCGGCCTGGCGATCAGCTAAGGAATATGCGGTAGAGAAGAGCACGTACCGCTTGATCATCTCACTCAAAATAACGGAGAGAGCCGAGCCGAACCCGTACTTGGTCATCGCAGCCTCGAGCGTCTCGCCAAGTAGCTTGACTTTGCTGAGCCACTCTGCGCCGTTCTCGCCCAGACCAACGGTCCAGTTCTTGCGGTCCTCCAGGAGTACCAGGAGCGTTAAGGTACGTTGAGCGGGGTTGGCACCTGTATTGGGTGTAAGGAGGGCCGAGACGAGTGCGAGGAATGGGCCGTCGGCGAGTCGGATAGAGCGCGTGAGGAGGACGAGCGGAGGGTAGACAGCGGCCTAAAGTTTCAGTTAAGTCCTTAACAAGCCGGGTCTTGCACCTACATTGACATCTTGTCCCGCTTCAGGCGTGGAAAGGACAATCGCAAACGTTTCCACTAGAGCCTTGACCATTCCCTCTGCCCCCTTCCCTCCGGAAGGCTTCTCCAGCAGCTCCACAATCACGCCTGACCAGAAGTTGAGCATCGCACGATGGACGGCGCCCTCGCCCAAGACACGGGGAACCATCCCGACGACGTCGGTCAAGAGGCGGAGCGAGGATTCCTTGGCCGGCGAAATGGCGGTGGATATGTATGACCGCGGGAGTGGCTGAGCATCCTTGATGAGAGGGGCGAAGGGTGCGAAGTATGGAGATGTAGGGGGGATGGTGAGAATGGAAAGCATACGTGGAAAATTGGGGGATGCGTGGTAAGGAAGAAAGACCTGCAGGACTACTTCGGCGTTCATTTCATGGATCCTGATGGTCAGCACCGTTTAGACGATTGTCTACCTCCAGTGGATTCTGGAGGGGAAAGAAATAGGAGGTAGGGCCGTAAATATTCCGCCATTCTCACGCCACCTTTTGTTCTCCGCTCATATAGTCACGATATGCGGACTTGTACAACTCCCTTCTATCGTTTTGGAATATGCGACAACTCACCTGAATCGCCGGACAAGCCACTCCAGACACTTTCCGCAAGCCATCACCCCAACCCAAGCTCCCAATCTCATCAAGCACCGCCCAATCACTTCGTCCAGAACCGCATTATCCTCCGCATTCAGCATCATCCGATCGGTCCGCTTCGACACATCCGAAAAGAGCTCTTCCTCAAACTCTGCCATTTCGGGGTCGAGGCTGAGCATCTCAGAGAAGCCCTCTTGAGCTATCTCAAAGACGGCATCAAAGTCTTGTTGGGCGGCTTCGAGGGGAGTGAAGAGGTAAGATTTGGAAGAGGGGGCACCGGTCCGTGAGGTGAGTCGGGAAGCGTCGAGGGAGGCTATGCCTTGTAGCTGTTGTGCTAGGGAGGACATGGCGATGTGTCGGTAGAAATAGAGGCCGCCAGGCCGGGTATAAGATACAGGTAGATCGAGAAAGATGAAGAGCGAGGAAAGCTTTGCTGGGCTCATGGCTCTAAACATTTTTGCTCAGGGCTGGAGATGAGCCAATCTCCGCAACTCCACATTCCTCAAAAAGCTTAAATCAAGGCAAGGATCTCTCGAGTTCTCTGTTAGCCGGCCTCTACTTTCAGACTGCAAAGCTAAACAGCAGGAAGGCGCAACCCCCCAAACGACTATGAGCGCATCAAATGAGCAGACGCCTCTCGTGGCGCCGACCACAGAGGAAGCAGGCTTCGTCGGTTCGATCGTCAAGTCTGTCTTCGAGGTTAGCTCTCCTCTCTTGAACGCGCGGCCCAGGATGTAGCTAATCTGGCAGCCCGGAGCAAACTATGCAGTAGTCATGGGTGGGTCGCTCTCCCTGCTCTTAGTGGTGGTCTGAAACCCGTATCATAGCTCATGTACAGCTATGAACGTGTCCTTCTTCTTCCTCATCCTCGTCCTCTTCGCCCTCGCCTTCCTGACCTCGTGGAATAAGCACGTCCTCTTCCTCCTTGGCGTCACCACGCTCTTATGGGCCGCTATGCTTTGGTCAGTCCATCACCTGGCCTACTCATAGTCAGACCTAATGGGACAGGTTCGTAGTGGAAATATCCAAAGTCCAAACTCGGCCAGACAACCTTCCTCCTGCAGACCCCTCAGATCCTACATTCGCGATACCGGCTGAGCCCGAGCCGAAGAAAGATAGGTGATATGCCTGCTCCGAGCCGCCGGGTATATGCATTTACCGCAGCCCTTTCTCCTTTCCTTCTTTGCTTCGCCTTCGCGCTTGGCTACACCGGTGTGACTACACTCTCCCAAGATCCCCAACCACCCGCGCTCCCATCTGGCTTTACAACCCTCAGTTCCACATTCTCGCACGCTGGTCCGCCAAAGAAGCCCGTATTCCTCCACTGCCGCAGTTGTTCGGCTGCAAATGGGCCTGCACATCAGCGCTTGTCCTCCCTCGTACAATATCGGCCTGGACTCACCAAACACCTCCCTCTCGACAGGTCGTTGCGCCTCCGGCAACGCGCGCACATATGCCATACTGAATCGATACTGGAACGCCCTCGTATCTCTTGCTGGTGGCGGAGCTGACTGTTGGGCGGAAGCAGGATCGGCAGGGAGCATCCGCTGCATTGCTTCTTTCGACAGCGAGTAGACGTCCAGGTGGCCTATCGTCGTAAGGGCAGAGACGATCTCCGAGAACCGGGCGAAAGGTGTCGCTTGACTGGTAATCAGCTGTACTTCCCAGGAATAGATGCCTCGGGCATGAACGAACTCTTTAACTCCAGCAGCAGCAGCAGCCTTCCTCTCCTTTTGCTTCTCTGCCCAGCTCTTCTTTTTCCCTCCCTCCCCTACTTCCTCCTTTCTCCTCTTCTCCTCCGCCTCCCTCCCCAGCCTCTCCATACACTCCAACACCGTCTCCCCCCTTTCCATCCACCCCACTGCCTCCCTCATCAGCGCCCTCTCCTCCTCCTTCCGCCCTTCCCCATCCTCCTTGGCTTGTCTCTCTTCCTCCACCCTCTCCCGCTCCTTGTGTGCTCTCCTCGCCTTCTTGATCTCCTCATCATCCACCGCATCCAACCAAACATCATGCTTCTCCCCCTCATCTTTATCGTTGACGAGGTAAGACTCTCCATCCGCCGTAAACTTCCCTTCTTCCATCTCCGCCTTCATGTTGAAACCGGTAAGTTCGAACCCCATATCTCCGTCCAATCCCGCTTTTCTCCTTTGCGTATGTATCTCCTCCTCATCCTCGTCATCATCCCCCATCCCGTCCTCCCCAGTGACCTCGAATTCCTGCCCCTCAATTTCGTTGAGCTCCATAAACTCCTTCTCCTTCCCCTTCCCCTTCTTGTCCACTTCTTTGGGAGCATCCACATCCTCCCCAAACATATCCATGTCCTCATCCTCCGCCACCTCCGGCTTATTCCTGCTGGGTACGACCCCTTCTCCGTCCTCGTTGGAAGAGTCCGAGCCGTACCCGTCTTTATCTTTTAGTTGACGGCGCGAGCGTTGCTTTGCCCGCTGACCGCCTTCGGGAAGGTCGGCTTCGAGGAGCGAGGCAGACTCGTCTGCCGATAAGGAGGGAGAGGATATGGCGGGAGCGGCCGCGAAGCGGGTTCGTTTGGGTTGGGAGGGACCGGCGGATGGGGGGCGTTTGGGAGCCATTCTGGAGAAGGGTAGTGGGATCTTCTGGTGGCTAGAAGGATGCTGGTAGATTGGCGATTCGGCGATGAGAGAGAGTTGTTGGGCGGAGCAGATATCCGCAGGTGGATGGATACCTTGAAGTGCATGTGAACCTTGATGTGAACGGCAAAGGTCAGGCGGTCAGGCTTTGCGCGGTGGAGGGATATGGGAGGGCTCGATTACATTTGGGCTGAACGCTGAACTCTGAAACACGGTGATGTTTCGAGCCGAAGGCATCTGTTCCTCTGATGCCACTTCGCCTTCAGAGCCCTGATAACGTGGTCCGCAAGTCCAGCGCATATCCCACAAGCCCAAAGACTACAATACATAACGCGGAGCCCAAAGTCTCTCCATGGATACCTTCGAACAACAACCCCGGTTTGCACCCGCCTACTCCTTCCTCATGGCCGGCACGACGTCCACGTCCGCCCCGTCCTTCTTCCCATCCTCCATATCCATCTTGTGCTCTCCGACTGGCTCAATCTCATCCTCAAACACATACCTCTTGAAAGCGCGCGTCGGCGTGCGCTCAATGAAGAGGTGGTCGAGTTGCTCGAGCGAGAAGCCCTTCATCTCGGGAACGAAGAACCATGTCCAGATGACGGTAATGATGGAGAAACTTCCCCAGATGAAGCCGATCTTGGAGCCGAGGTTGCCGTAGCCCGGGTCCTGGAGGTATGGGGAGACGGACGAGATTAGGAGGGAGACGCCGAAGCCCATGAATGTCGCGACGGCGAGGACTTTTTCTCTGTTGACGGTAGGGCAGGATTCGGTTGTGATTGTCCATATGATGGGGGATTGGAGGCCGAATGAGGCGTACCTATAATATCAGCGACGTCTTTTATGATAGGATCAGGGGGAAGAAGGTATGTGAGGAGCTTGCAGACGTACCAGAGGAAGATGAGGGCGATAGAGGCATTCGAGACGGCCGAGGTAGGGGTGGCGTAGGCAGTGGTGAGGATAGCGACAATGAGGAGACACGCGCCGCAGAAGCCAGCAGTACAGATCATAAGAGACCGACGGCCAGAGATATCGGCGAGGAAGCCACCAGCAATGATAGCGACTGATGGTCAGGATAGCCCCTATCTCTCAAACTTGCACCTGAACTCACCATAGTAGAGACAGTACAGGCCCATGATGACCGGGAAGACATCCTTGACGCCAGTCCCGACCAAGAAGGAAACGATATACGAGTTCATATAGCTCGACCCCTGCGCCTGCTGCAGACTCTGGATACCGACGGCGATGAGAAGACGACGGAGGTCTGCCCCGCGCGTGAGGTCGGCCCAGGACGACGCCTTGGCGACTATCTGCTCTTGCTCGTATGCGGCGCGAATCTTCTCGCAGTATTCGGTAGCGTTGGCGGCTTCGGATCCGAGCAGCTTGGTAGCGGATACTTCGGCTTCTGCTTGGCGGCTGTAGGATTAGCCGATGTTGAAGGTCATGCTGATGGCAGCGGGGAAAAGCAAAAGGTGGGTTGGGAGAGAGGTGACCTACCCGTTGAGGACGAGCCATCGTGGACTTTCCGGAAGGAAGGGCGTAGCGAGCAGCATCAGACCCGGAGCGACCAGCTGAATACCCATAGGGATGAGATAGCTCGATTGGGTATTCATCGTCGACGTGGCGAAAACGACCCCGGACGCAATGAGGACACCGATGATCTAGCGGTATCAGCACCAATCCACAATTGGAGAATGCACAACTTGCCTGTATGTTCTGGTACAAGCTGATCCCGAGTCCTCTCGCCGACGCAGGCGATGTCTCCGAGAGATACACAGGAACAATGTTGACGCAGAGACCCATGGCGATAGAGGCGATCGTCTTGCCGACTACGAATTGGTTGAATCGGGCGGACGCGCCGACGGCGGAGGTGATTTCGATGACGACGCCGATGATGGAGATGAAGGCGGTGATCATGAGGGCGAGGCGACGGCCGAGGAGGTTATTGAGGTATGCAGCGATTGCGCAGCCGACCACTAAGAGAGTCAGCTGACGAGCTCTGCGTTGAAAGGAAGGACTCACTGATACCAGCCGACTGGACAGCACTGCCGGCGGACAGCTGCGACGTGGATAGATTGCAAGTCTCCACGCCTGCGACCATCGAACAAGACCCATAGTCCTTCAGGAAGCGAGGTGAACCGAGGATAGTGCCCCACCATCCGTTATCGAAGCCCTGTCATGTCAGCTTTGACACGAGATCAGATAATGAAGACTCACGAAGAGGAGAGCACCAAACGAGGCGAGGGTCATACAACCCAGCGCCATAGGCGTGAGACTAGAAAACGCGTTCTTCATCTTGCAGGAAGAGAGTCAGTCGTGTGAGAGAGACGTGAAGGGTGTGTGAGCTAGCGGTTGATCTCATATACTCTGCAACTGACTGGGTAGATATGGGCAAGGGATCTGCGGGATAGGCGAGAGGTTCCGATCGGCCCATGTCCTCCGCGACCAGCCGTGACTCCTCCGCGGCTCCTCCCTTGCCCGAACTGCTGACCTATTCCCGGATGCTCAGGTCCACTCATGTCGGGAAGCGGTACCGACGATTCAAAGAGCATATCCCAATCATCGCGAAGTAGGTCGATAAGATGCGGTCCTTAGTGGGCTTTTTCAGAACTCCGGGTGGACACGAATGGAGATTATCCGAAGTATCTCCGTCAAGTCTTCGGCTTTGCTCTTGCTTCGGATCGGACTTGGACCTCCCATTGCCTCTTTCAGGAGGGTATCAGCCGCTATTAGGCGTCGTACAGTCGGCAGCGCGTACCGACAGGGCGCTAACTGGGGCGCCAGGCGGTACAGCGGCCCGAGAATATGGCGGATCTAGCCAATATTCCGGCAGTACGCGGGCGGGCAGATGAACTTTTGGCCTCGGCGAGCCAACGGATCATCCCGAAGGTCTTGCTGCCATCGCGTGGGGAGTATACAGCGGAGGACGACTGGTGACTCGTACATGAACACATCCTCTCCTCAACTCGCACTCACAATCGAACATCTCACACAAATGTCTTCCTCTACCACTACGGCGACCCAGACTGCCCCATCGAGCGGGACGCTCCGTCTCAGACCCGATCAGCAATGGCAAGAAGACCTCCGGCGAGATGGTGAGCCTCCTAGCCTTACTTCCGCTGTAGCATACTAATGAAGCAGGTTGGGCAGTCGTCAAGGGGGTCATTCCGCGCGAGAGGGCGCTCGCCAACATTGACAAGTGTTACGAATACATTGAATCGTTCGGACTCGGTTTCGATCGGAACGACCGCTCGACGTGGAAGCCGGAGAACATGCCGCACTTTTACAAAGGGGGGTTGTTCGTCAACTACGGTAGTGGACATGAGCAGTTCATCTGGGACATCAAGTAAGTCTGCGCTACTTGTTCTGTGTTTGTGAGCTTGGCTGACCAGACAGGCAAGATCCGGCTGTTGTGGGTCCCTTCCAGGCGTTGTGGGGTACAGACGAGCTCCTGGCTTCATTCGGTGAGTTCACTCGACTATATGACGATGTGGAACCTATGCTGACGTGCATAGACGGCTTCAACCTGTCCCTCCCCTTCCCAGACCGCCCACAAGAAGACTTCACCCCATGGCCGCACGTGGACCAGAGCCCGCTCGTCAAGGGCCTCCACTGCGTGCAGGGTATCATGAACATCAGCGAGAACGGGCCTGATGATGGTGGATTGATGGTGAGTCTCGATCGGCCCCATGCTGCGTGCAGAGACTCATGAGCAGGTTCTGAAAGGGTCTTCCGCGCTCTACACCCAGCTATTCGAAGCGTTCGAGGACAAGAAGCCGGCAGAGGGGTGGAACAAGCATGATCGGCACGATCACACTCCCGAGCAGATCCAGTGGCTGATGGATCACGGATGCGAGTACCACAAGGTCACCGCGGAGCCGGGAGATCTGCTATTATGGGACAGCGTGAGTCTTCCTTCTCGCCTCGTCTGCTCGAGCTGACAAGATAGCGGACTGTACACTACGGTGCTGCTCCTTCTTCTGATAACCCTCGCTTTGCAAGCTGTGAGTACGAGTCCTTCATATGGCTAAGCCAGAGCTATGCTGATCCCGTAGACGTGTGCTACAAGCCCGCCATGTACGCCACGCCCGAAGTTCTCGCCAAGCGGAAAGAAGCGTGGGATACCAAGACCGAGACGACACACGACCCTATCACTTTCAACATGAATGCTCGCCGCCCGCCAGATGGACATCCTACAGTGGATCACCCCAAGGTGACGCAGCTGCAAGAGCCGCAGTTGACCGAGTTGGGCAAGAAGCTCGCGGGGGTTGTAGCTTGGTAGAGCGATCTCCATGTGATCAGTTCTCTGGACTCGGTATATGTCTCAAGCAACTGCCTGTACCTACACATTGACGACCCTGGTGCTATTCCGGGGTAATAAGGGCATGAAACAAGCCGAAACGCGGGACTTAAAAGTCACCATCGCAGACTTGGTCTCCACATTCTTTGCCTTTTGACTGTCGATCTTCATCCCAGCATGAGCGTCCCTCCAGCCAGCAAGCGAGCCCGCACTGACGACACCACCTCCCCAGCATTCCCTTCTGCAGGTCCAACTTTACAATCAATATCTACGATCCCTGCCTCTGCCGCTTATGCCCTCCTCCACCAGCTCTCCCAATCCTCACCCGACATCTCCGCTCTCATCAGCGCCACCATAGCCAAACACGCCCCGGTGCAAGCTTCCAAAACACCATCAACACCTCCTATCAACTTTGACAAGATCGCATAGGACATTGCGGGGACCGTCAATTCCACCCGGCGTTCCGGCGGGGGCGCCCAACAGCGCGCGGCGGAGCAAATCGAGCAGGACATTGAGCGGGGAGTCAAGGAGGTACTGGCCGGGTGCAAGGCGTCTGATGTCTACGCTACGCGTCTCTCTGCGTTCGAGACGTTGATTGGGATGGGGACGATCATCGCGCAGGCGGGGGGAGTGGGGCGGATATTGGCGATGCGAGGTGCGCCGGACACGATTGCGGACGCGATGAGCGCGTTGTATGACTTGATTGAGGAGAAGGGGGAGGCAGACCGGCTGGTCAGAGATGGGATGGCTCATCAGCTGGATGATCTGAGCTCGCTGTGCATGGGGAACGACGATACTTGGTATTTGTCCATAGCGGCAAGGGTGAATGGGGACGAGGACGCCGTCTACGAATGAGGGGACTTTGATCTAGGTATGTATACCTCTTCATCGTCATGCGGGACCCCTACAGAACCCATTGATAGGGCGCTGACCCAGTCTAGCATGCAGACCCCCCTCCTCGCTGGCCTCATCTGCTTCAGCACCTCCTTCGCAAAGTTGGTGATGACAGGGGCCCCGCAAACGCGTCGCGTTGGGCTGGGGCGGCAAACTGGCCTCCTCTTGACGTTGTACTCATCACTCCTCATCATCAGACATGAGCGGCGCACCTCCCCCCGCCAAGCGCGCGCGGTCCGACACCACAGCTGGAGTCACATCCGCCGACCTCCCCAAGATCACCTCCTCCGATTTGGCCAGGATCCCTCACGCCTCAGTCCCAAAACTCCTCGCGGCCCTACTCGAGTTCCACCCGGCCAACGCCACCCTCATATCCTCCTTTATCCCCCCTGCACCCATCATCAAGCCCTACGTCCCCCCTCCCCCTCCTCCCCCACCCGTCCGGAAGAACCGCCCGATTCTCAAATTCTCTCACTTCGTCGAGGAATTCACCGAGATCATCAACAAATACCACCCGCCCCGAAAGGAGGCCAAGGCGGCCCAGGCGGCGTTCGAGGAAGTTGGCGGGATGATCATCTCCATTCTGGAAGATTGTGACGAAAATGAGTCGGATCACTATGAGACGCGGAAGAATGCGTTCGAGACACTCATTGAGCTGGCGGAAGCGGCACTATACAATGCGGAGGATGAAGGGTTGATGGCCAAGATCTTGAATGATTTGTTCAATGATCCAATCAGCGAGGGTTTGGGTGATCTGATGGAGATCATTGAGGGAAAGGGGGAGGTGGAGCGTTTGAGCAAGGACGGGGGAAAGAGCAAGGTCAGGAGGTTGCAGGATTCATACGTGTTGGCGGGCTGTAGTGATGAGGCATTTGATTTCCTGTTAGAAGCTTTTGATATCGTGGAGGGTGAAGATAGTGAGGATGACGAGGCAGAGTAGATCGAGTATTAGAGTATGCTGATGTACTCGTCAGGAGAGCAAGTAACGGTCGAGACTCGACACTGACTACAAGACAGCCGACAGCTACGGTACCAAGCATAGCTATCAGCGGAACATCAGTAACCGCCGAGGATCGCACCACAAGATGCATTAGATCCCCATTATATCCAGTATAAACCCCCCCGCAGGCGTCCAGCACCCACTCTTTACCGCCTAGTACACAACGCCCAGACTCCAGTCCTTGTACCAAGCCCACTGGTCCTTTGGGCTCGCCCAGCTCTGGTCCGACCCGCCAAAGAACGTCTGGGCCATAATTCCGTAAATCTTGGTTTCGTCGCTCATGCGAATCTGGAGTCCAGAGACTTTGAGGACGGATTTCCCATCGACGTAGAGTTCCTGCTCGCCGTTGGATTCCGAGGACGGGTAGTTGAGGCGGAGACGTTGCGTGACGGTGGTCCATTTTCCGGTTGGGAAGTAGAAGGATCCTCGGCCGACTACAGAGTCAGCAACGATCGGACAGGCCAGAAAGATGAGGACATGTTGGAATGTCGCTCAGGACAAGGCCAGAAAGAGGGGGACAGGGAACAGGGGACAGGGGACAGAGGACAGTGGAACGTACTGGAATCTCCATAATTGGCATCGCAAACGCTCTTGGGCGCGATACTGCAATACCCATCCGGCTGTTTGCCCGAGACAGGAAGGTAGTTGTAAAACTCTCCCGCGCCGTCCGCCCGCCACATCATCCTTGCGGAGAAACACGAGTCCCGCTCGTCCTGCCTTCCTCCGGAACAGCTCTTGGCGCCCTCGAGCGTCTTTCCGCCATACAGACCGGGTAGCTTGCCGCCCTTGACAAAGTCAAAGCCGTCGGAAAAGTAGACGGAATACGAAAAGAGGACCTCGGTCGCGGTCGTGACGTCGACCCCGGCGTGTGCGCCTTGGGTGTAGAAGGAGTAGCCGTGGCCTGTGGAAGACGAGTATTTGACCGTGTTGGCGGGGTAGGAGGCTTGGAGGGCGTCGGAGCCGTCGGGCGCGGCGATGGCGGGTGGGAGTTTGCCGGCCGTGAGGGGTTTGAGGGCGTCGTTGACTGATTGTCAGCAGAAGTACGGGTGAAGATATAAGATGGAACGTACACGACATGCTCCCGCTTCGGCCCTGCACAGTCGTCCAGCTGTTCTTGACCGATACTGGGAACACCGCGTCCGTTCCCTGCTGTTGCGCCGTAGCAGGCTTATCCGAGACATCCCCCACGCTCGGCACCATCACTGATACATTCAGGTTCAGCCCATCTGTCACTGGCGCCGGAATAGGAAGAGACGCCTGGCACGCCCGCTTCGCCATGCCCGGTACCGGCCGGCGGACCTTGACCTGAACCGAACGCTTTACGCCCTCACCGTTGCCGCTGTGCCGACGCGACTGAGCGAGGAAGGCGAGAGGTTGACCGGAGGAGGAGGAGGAAGAGCCGATAGAGGAGTCGGAAGAGGGAGCGGGGGCGGAGAAGGCCAGAGGAAGGAGGAGGAGGAAAGGGGCAAAGTGCATGATGATGCGTGTTTATGTGTTTTGCGACCGGCGCTGAGGTTTTCGAGGGGAAGTGGGGCGGGTGGGTGGAGGAGAAGACGCGGGAGAGAGTCGGAGGGCAGCTACCGGAGCTGTATCGAGGATAGACGGATGAGAGATGGATGAAAGGAGGATGAGAGAAGGGAAAGGGATGGAACACAAGGGGGAACAACCAGGAACAAGGGATTAGGAAATACAAAGCTAAGCTAATGAAAATAGATATTCAGTTAGAAACAAAAAGCACACGCGTGAGGTTTACGTATAGAGAAAATTACCGCTTGCGGAAGAAATCAACGAAGTAAGAGTGGCACTTCCATCCCTCCTCCCATTGCTGCCAAAAGGCATTTGTCCTCGACCTCTACGCTATTATGGCCTTTACCAACTGCCCTGATACTCCCAGCCCACACCTGACCGCAAAAGTAGCAGATACATAAACACCCACCCACACCTTACCCAGAACTCTACTCCTCCCCTTCATTCCCATCATTCCCCCCCGCCTCAATAATCTTCTGCCACTCATCATAGCTCGCAAACATCGGCATCTCCTTTCTCTTCTTCCTCAGCTCCTTGCGCTCCTTATTATCCCTCTTCCTCTTGACTCCCGCCTCCGGCTCTTGCTCCGGCTCGGGACTGGGACTGGGCGACGCCGATAAGGCGATATCCGGCATTTCATCCAAGGGGATCAGATCCTCCTCTTCTGAATCCAGGCCGGGGAAGCCGTCGTCCTCGTCACCTTCTCCGTCGTCCGATTCGTCGTCGTCCTCCTCCTCCTCGGCGTCCGAATCGCCCTCGACTGCGGCAAGGGCGTCGTCCGAGTCGTCGTCGATATCGACTTCCTCGTCATCTTCTCCGTCGATCGACTCGTCCTCGTCCTCGTTCTCATCTTCGTCGGACGCCATCTCTGGCCCTCCTCTCCCGCCCACCGCTTCCGCTTCCTCCTCATCCGAAGAGTAATCGACATCCGCGTCCTCCTCATCATCTTCCGAATCGGTGATAGCCAGATCGTCCGCACCGGGCATACTCGCCTGCATCGCCTATTTCATCAACTCAATCCAGCGTGCGAATAATTCGGAACAGCTAAAGGCACGGAGAAAGACTCACCTTCCATACCTCATCCTCATCCATGTCGCTCCCGGCCTCATCGCCCGACTCTGCCATCGCCATCGCCATCTCCTCGGCATCCTCTGACCCCGCCTTGGGCTTCTTCCGCTTCTTGTCCGCATCCTTCTGCGCCAACTTGGCCGAAAAGAACTTATGGAAGAAGAGCTAAACGTCAGCTTCTCTCCCTACATTATGACTCGGGCAGGAGAGCTCACCTGGTCCACCGGAACATCCTCCACCTTCTTCCTCCAGAACGCCTCGGAATTGACCGTGCCCCCCGCCCCTTGCACCCCCTTCTGCATCTTGATACCCCCCCTCTCGGCCGCCGCGGGCTGCATGACGCTCGCTCCCTTTTGCGCGACATTCTTCTTGGGGTTGCGGTATACGAATTTGTCGAGGAACGAGATGAGCGTGTTTTGGCCGATATCGGGTGATCCGGAGATGGGGAGGGAGAGGAGGAGTTGGGTGGATAAAAGAGAGATGGAGGGGTGGTAGTGCGTCGTCAGGGGGAGCTGGACGTCAGCACGATTTCAGGCGGAGTGCTGTGCGCGGAGAGCGAGAGGCGGGAACTTACAATCTCCCATAGACAACTAGTCTCCGCCTTTGCATAAAGCGGTTCCCTCTTCTTGCCATCATACCCATCATCCACCTTGTCCTTCCCCGCGACCTCGACAGCAGGGACGGAGACGGGCCGGGGCGCTTCGCCCGCTTCTGGCGCATCGACGAATCGTTCTTCCCCATCATCTTCAGGCTCGATGAGCATCCGCTTGAGACCGGGGGTGGTACTGAACAACTGTCTCATCAGCTTCATCACCCCAAACCAGATTCCATAATGACTCACCTCTCCAAGCAGGTACAAAGCCCCACTGAGGAACGGCACGCCCGCCAGCCCAAACATCTGACATAACCGCTTCACAAACGCCATCACCCGCTTGGTCTCCCTATCCGCCTTGAGCGCGCGGAATAGGAGGTTCAGGTACATGGCCTGCTTGCTGGACGTCAAGAGCCGGGGGTCGAAGAGCGAGTCGTACAATGTGCGGTAGAATCGGTCCGTCACTGGGTTGGTGGCTGGGGTGGACGAGGACGGGTCAGAGGATGTGGGGGGCGCAGATTGCGAGACTTGGAAGATGAGCGAAAGGGATTGGATAGAGGTGTTGAAGGTTCCGAGGTGGGTGATTTTGAAGAGGGATGACATGTAGCCTGAGAACCTGTTCCGTCAGCTCTTTCCTCCACCTGATACCAGCCAGGGGAAGATGCCAACTCACACGGCATCGTCAAGCTTCGCATACGGGACGGCCCGATTGATACCCGTCAGAACCGCAGCCACCAGTCTCGCATCCGCAGCCTCCATCTCTTCGCCCTCCTTGTCATCTCCCTTCCCTTTCCCCTTCTTCCCTCCCGACTTCTTACGCCTCCCCTCCCACTTGCCCACTTTCCCCGTAACCTTCTCGATCCCCTCCTCGGCCTCATCCTTCCCGTTTTCCTCACCCAGGATCTCTCTAAAGATCTCAAAGTACAGATCGACAAGCTTCCCAGCGAGCTCTTGATCCCCCCGCGCAAGCGTGATTTGGTTCAGCGTAATCAACCCGTAATACCGCGCGTGGCTCTGCGTGTCCGACTTGTCGGCCTTGGTAGCGGCCGACTTGGGCGTGGGCTTGACGTCGTCAAAGCGGACGTGTGAGCCGGGCGCGCCGGCGGCGGCGGAAGTGGGAGCGACGGGCTTGAGAACCAAAGCGGAGACGTCACGCGCGATGATGGATTTCATGGCGGGGTGGACTTGCAGCAGGGACAGGAGGAGGTGAGATGTTTTGGAGGCGACGGACTTGTCGGTGTCGCCCTGGGAATTAGCGGGAGCGGAAAGACAAGGAAAGAAGGGACATACGAGCTTGTTGGCGCCTAGTCTGAGCAAGTTTTGTTCTTGCTCCGCATTACCCTGGAGGAGACGGAAGACCATTTGCAGAGCTTGTGTCCGGATGTAGACGAGTGGATCGTGGGCGAGGACCTATCAATCAGCTCTGTGCTCTTCGGCGAGAGTAGAACCCAAAAATCACCTCGAGGACCTGAAGCAGGTTGAAGAACCACCGCTTGAGGAAATCTTCAAACGCAAAAATGAGTAGGTGTCGGTCCGTCAGATCGGGATGGCCCAATTGAGGCTGGTCGGCAAAGTATCTGCCACGATCAGCTTTGCGTTCTTGCCTCACCGACAAGAAAGTTCAGATTGGACGACTCACCTGAGCTTGCCGGATGCCTTGCCCCCTCCAGATACCCACCAATCCACCAACGCCTTACACACCGCTACCCTCTGATCCTTATTCCCTCCGGCACCCGCGCCGACTCTGCCCTCCGCCGCCGCCGAGTCCTCCTTGTACCCCGTCATCCCCCGTAATCTCCCCAACTCCTTCACGGAATGCAGCGGGCTCTCGCGAATCAACAGCGTCAGAGCCGCGAGCTTATCCTGATGCGTACCGCTCGTCAGCACCTGCGAGATGAACGCGGCGTCAGCAGAGGAGGACTTCCGGTTGAGTGCGGGGAGGTTCGTGAGGAGCGCTTCGGCCTTGGAGCGGAGACCTTGGAGTTTGAATTGCGGGAGGGGCGGAGTAGGCTTCGAGGAGGACAGAGGGGGCAGGAGGGACGACCAGTCGGGCGTGGAGGGGACGATGGTCGCTGATGTAGGTGAAGGGTCGGAGGAGGGGGCGGTAGCGGTAGGGAGGACAGAGCCGGTGAGGACGGGTTTGCGAGGTTCGACCTTTGTTTTCGTCGGTGGTGCTGGGGCCGCTGCGGCCACAGGCTTCTCCTCATCCTCTGAATTCTCCTCTTCCTCCTCCTCTTCCTCATCCCCATCTTCCTCCTCCTCTTCATCGTCTTCACTACTCTCATCTTCATCCTCCTCCGCAGGCCTGTCCGCACCCGCAGCCTTAAAATCCAACCCCTTCATAAACTCCCCCAAGGCCCTCTTGATCTCCTTCTCACTAGCCGCGACCTTTGCGCCCGCTATCGACCCCGAAGCCGTATAGGCTCCCTCGGCATCATCATCCACACCCTGGATCAACGCTAGATCCTCCTCATCCCCTCCCAGATCCAGGACAGCTTGACGGAGCTCGTCGCTAACCCCGACGTTTTGGCCCGATGAGGGTGCCTTGCCCTTGTTGACTGGCGGGGCGGAATGAGTAGATTGTGCGGACTTTCCAGCGGCTGCGTAGGGCTTGGCGCGTGCCATTGTCGGTGAGCCTAGTAAGTGTATGGTATAGAGGTGTAGGAGGTGATGAAAGAGAGAGCTGAGTGGAGGTTCTGCTGTGGAAATCTGGAATGACGGCATTGGATAAAATAGGGGAAAGGACAGAAAATAAATGATACCCTTGGCTGGGCGCTGGAGGTGGTGCACGATTCATCGCATTCATCATGCTCACTTCTCTTTCTAGCCTATATTCACCTCCTTCAGAACCATCAATATCGCCGCCCCACCCACGGCGATAGCTTCAGCCGCGAAAATTAGCTCAGCCATCTGAAGCCTTAAACCCAGAAGACCAGTTATCGAGCTAGAATCGCTCAGAACCCTGCCTTTCTCGCCCGAGGAGTAGCAAGAGGATAAAATGGCGATCGCTATCAGACCCGTCGTCTCGCCAGCATTAGGTGAGCTCACCGCTCGTAGACTTCTGGTCAAGGGTGAAAGCTGAGTGCTCTAGCTGGGTGCTGCACCATCTTCAGCGTGTTCGGGGTGGTAATCTTAGTCGGTAAGTCGAAGGAACCTCTTTGCGACCTTCGGCGTCTGAAGCTGCGTCTGAGTTTCTCTGTAAGGGCTTTATGGGAATGCCTTCGGACAGGAAAGAGGCTCGGGACTCGCTGCGCATCATGAGCTTGGCGGTCAGAGGGAGCCTGAACAGGAAGCGCTATCCCGGCATCAGCCATCGCTAACAACCCAGCCTTCGGCCTCTTCTACGGTGCCCACGTCGAAGCTCTCACCGGGTCAGAAGAGGACCCTACCGATCCCGATGCCGTCTCGCGGGCGTGCTATGTCGCTGCGGCGATCTATGCGGGCTTTATCGGATTCTGCGGGTTACAGGTGAGCCGCTGATCCAGCTGATCCTGCTGCTCGACCCGACCTCCTCTCAGCAGCAAGTAGTGGGCCGAGCTGACTCGACAGATGGTTGTGCATCAGAGATATCCGAGAGGGGTGCAGCTGTCATGAGTCGAGCCCTAGCGAGAGGATAGATGTATGACCTTGTACGATTCTGACGCTGCTGATCCGGGTCGCGAGCGTGGGGGTTGAAACCTAATCACGCTCATCAGTGCGCTAGCTGAACGATGAACGATGGACTTAATGTACTGACAAGGTGCTGGATGATGACCGCTTCAGCCGTTACGAGACCCTCATTGTTCATATATCGCGAGCGAATAGGGTAGACTACTGCTTTGACCCCAACATGGATGCTACTGGCCGCCTGGCTTCTCCTCGGAGCCGGCTTATCGGTACACAGATTTCAGCCCGATCTCGTCTAGGCTGGATGTGGCGCCTCAATCCGTGCTTAAGGCCGCAGGGGTGTCCGAAGAGAAAGGATCAGACAATCTAATCTCGATCGCGTAGGTACCTGAAAGGATCCCGGCCTTGAAACAGTTCACGCATACTCACCGAGCGGCAAAATACTGGCTTGGTCCCTTCCACTTCTAAGCTCTTGGCATTATACATATCTTCACGCAACCTCGATCCGCAATGTCCTCCACTCCGAAGACTGACGCTCAACCGCCTGTCGACACGCAGCCGGATACCCCGAAGGCGAGTGCCGCGAGTGCCCGTCTTTTTCTCGGGTTTGCCCCCGAGATTTTTGCCTCGATCGTTGGACACCTGCGGTCCGATCTACCTGTGCGGCCCCGGCTCGACCGCTTCATCCACAGTGACCGAGAGACCTATACTGCGGCTGAGTCGAGCCTCGCTCTTGTGGATGCAGTGAGTACCTTGCGGTCAAATAAGGGATTGGGGCACAGGCGGCGCGCGGGATGACATATATCGACCTACTGAGCCTGGATCCCCTTTCATCGTGAACGGGCTGAGTGAATATTTGCTGACAGTGTTTCTGTAGCGTTTCGACCATCTCATCAAGGAAGAGCACGAAAGCATGACCAAGCAGTTGAAGGTGGGATGCCTCGACATGACTCACCAGGAGATTACCGCATTGCTCACCGAGTCGAATGGAAAAGACACCGGCGAGAACCAAAGTTCCGGCGATACGAGTGACGGCATCATGAAGAGCATGTTCGCAAAGGGCGTCAACGTCCTGAGGGTCACTGAACGCTGTGCGCCCGACGAGAAGGCCATAGGTGCCACGCTTCGAGACTTGATTGACTGGATGTCCGAGCAACCGACCGCCCCATTGCCCGACTTGGAAAACATCATCTGGCTGGATGATCCGGATCACGACCACGGATACTTGACGGCGTCCTTCGATGAGCAATATATTGAATGGCTAACCGAGCGGAAGATCGCCTATCACGTGGCTTATCGGGACATCACGAGCCTCACAGGTGCCCTTCCGCCCGAAGTCCACGTCCACATGCGTCACGACGGTCAATCCGTGGATTGGGTGCCCCGGCTCATACGGCCTACCTGGAAAAGCCCAGAGTCGACGGTGTGGATCCATCCAGCCGCACAATTCAACGACTTTGCAAGCTGGCCATCGGAGGCGACTGCCGAGTCACTGGACAAATTTATCCAGAACTTGGGCAGTGCGTCCACAGCGCCCGGTACGGTTATGCACCGAAAGATTGTCTTTGACTTTGACGCCAACGCACCGGTCGAGGATACGATCGTAAAGGCTTTTACGGAGCAGCGCGGAGATCGGTCGGATTTGCAGTCAGACTTGAGAAGAAAAGGCTATCATCTCGCCGTCAGCATCGGAGGCGAAACAGTGCTGCACGAAGCCGGGTGTGAGCGTTGCAAGCCTCCAGTCCCAGAGGGTGCCTTGAAGGTGTAGGGTAGCGGTTCGATCTTGTCAGATGACGCAGAGACGGCCGATTGAGTGTGATGCATGATACCTGCTAGTTGGTTCGCGAAGGTTCTGATGCTTGCTCTATGAACATCTGGGACCTACATGTATCAACGGTGAGAAGTCCTCGTTTACTACTGTATAGCTAGAGTATCACCCATATCGCTCACTTTCGCAATCTAATCTTCAGTCCCCAAGCATCGATCACACCCTTGGCTCCCACCCTGATGCTACCCGCCATGTCCTTCCCCTTCCCCGTCGGCACATCCACCACCACCTGCTGCCCCTCTTTCAGCTGATAAGACCTCGCCTCTAGTTCGACCTTCCCATACTCATAATCCGGCACCGTCACCCCTTCGGGACCCAGCAAGAGCACCGTCCCCTCCCGCACATACACCGGGAGCGCATCCAGCGGGTACTCGTCCTTGGTGACCCATCTTGGACCCGTAATAGTCTCCTCGGTAAAAAAATCCGTCCAGACGCCAGCGGGGAGGTAGAATTTGGCCGTCGTGGCGTGCAGGACGGGAGCGACGAGGATGTTGTCGCCAAACATGTATTGCTTATCGAGGTAGGCGCACGTCGGGTCGTCCGGGAATTCGAGGATCATGGAGCGCATGAACGGGATACCGGTGTTGGTCGCTTTGATAGCTTGGGCGTAGATGTAGGGCATGAGTCGGAGTTTGGCATTGATCATTTTCGAGGTGACCGAGACGGCGAGATCACCATAGTTCCAGGGCACACGATATGAGCTCGAGCCATGCAGACGGGACTGTCTTCAGCTCTGCTCGAGACGGTGACTCACGTGTGAAGAGAAGAGCCCAAAAGCGACCCAGCGACAATACACCTCTTCCGCGGGCAAGCCCTCAAATCCGCCAATGTCATGCGACCAGAATGCAAAGCCCGAGCTCGTCAGACTCAAGCCTCCCCTTATAGACTCGGCCATGGCGGTGAAAGTCGAGCCGCAGTCCCCTCCCCAGTGGATCGGGAAACGCTGGCCGCCCGCAGTGGCCGAACGAGCAAAGAGAGCGGCAGAGTCGGGCCCGGACTGGCTTTGAATCGCCTCGAAGACGACCTTGTTGTACAGATGGGCGTAGTAGTTGTGCATCTTGCTGACAAATCAGTACCGTCCATCATAAAGTGAAGGGGAATGCTCACATTGGATCAGAGCCATCGTGCCACTTGACATCAAGATGAGGAATCCGCTCCCCGAAGTCCGTCTTGATCGTATCGACGCCGGTGGCCATGAGTGTCGTGATGAGGCCAGCATACCACTTGCACGCTTCGGGGTTTGTGAAATCCACCACGGCCATTCCCGGCTGCCATTCGTCCCTGATATCAGCACTGACCCTAGCAAGGACATACCACTGCCACACGCTCCCGTCGGTCCGCTTCAAAAAGTACCCCTTCTCCTTGCCCTCCTTGAAGATGTTCGCACGCTGGGCGATGTATGGGTTGACCCAGGCGCAGACCTTGATATTGTACTCTTGCTTGATTTCGGCGAGGTACTTTTTTGGGTCAGGGAAGGCTTCGGGATCCCACGAAAAGGAACACCAGTCATAGCGTTTCATCCAGCTGCCAATCAGCGAGAACCTAGGGATGGTGATGTGTACTTACAAGCAGTCGAGGTGGAAGACTCGGACGGGGCAGCCTCGAGATCGCATGCCTTCGAGGAAGGAGGTGACTGTCGCTTGGTCGTAAGACGTGGTGAAAGACGTCGAAAGGTATAGACCGAATGACCAGGCAGGCGGTAGGGCTGGCATGCCTGTGAGCTTGACGTAGTTGGAGAGCGCCTACTTGTCAGCCTGGACCACTTGAGAAGACTAGGTACTCACAGCCTTCATCGACCCCCCTCCAAAGACGTAATACTCTAGCTTCTCCCCCTTGACGCTGAACCCCACTTTCGAGCACTTCTCCCTGCCCACCTCAAACTCCACCTCTTCAGTTTGATTGACAAACACCCCATACCCCCTCGAGCTCAGATAGAACGGAACATTCTTGTACGCCTGTTCCGAGCTCGTCCCTCCATCCGCATTCCACATCCCTACATTCTGCCCATTCTTGATGAATGGGCCGAAACGCTCGCCCAGCCCATATATCTTCTCATCTACCGCCAAGTCCATCTCATTCAGCATGAAGCGGACCCATCCTCCGCTTGTGCGCTGGCCGGGTGTTGTATTTTGGTGGAGAGGCTGAGCGGCGTGCAGTGTGGAGAGGCAGGAGGTATTCGACATGCTGGATAGGGTGTAGTGGTATGGGAGATCGACGACCGCCTGGCCTTTCGTCTCGACGGACGTAAGGTGAGGAGTGGGGTTGGCCGAGTCGGTAAAGGTCATCCCGTATGTGAAGGGCTTGGTGTTCACGCCGACGGAGAGGGTGCCAGAGGTAAAGGAGACCAGGTCGGGATTGGATACGTCCGATGTGGTCTCGAAAGAAGGAGGAGGACCATCCGGATGTAGCTCGAAATGCGGACCAGGGTCGAGCTGACCTTGATGGTGCTCCACCGTCACTTTGAGGACATCCGCTTGGGGCGAGCTGACGCGGACTGTCAAGAGAGCACCTGGGATTAGCAATGTCCTCTACTGGGCTTACTGTTGAGGGTATCACCCCGCCTGCCAACATGCCGCGGTGCTACGATGTACTCGAGCCCAGCATTGCTAGCTTCGAGAACTTCTACCACCTCGACACCACCTTGAAAATCCTCCCCAATAGGGCGGCGCCATCTGGACCATCAGCTGCGGCCTGCTTGTCGACCAAGCGCTCACGAATGACTCACAATCCGTCTGTGAACTTCATCTTGCTTTATGTCTATTTCTTGCCCTGGTTTATCGGTGGTGCAGTAGACGACTACTCAGGTATGATTTCAAGGCTCGCGATACAGCCAGGATTGAGAAGTCAGTTGATGATGGTGGTCAGAGTCGCCTCTCGGCGCATCGGCCCCGACGTGCTCTCGAGAGCGGCTCTCCAAAGCCAGCGAGCCGCTGTCAGCCCGTCAAATCTTCAGCTCACGCTCTATCGGTGGATCATCGGCGGAATGGGATCTCCGACAGAGTGGGGGAGGCATATGCATTGACAAGGAGATCATCTCAGCAAAGCCGACCACCAGCTGCGCGAGGTGGTGATCGGGTTTCGGATTCGGGGCTCCGGACCTCCGGGCTCCGTATGTCCGGATCCGGATATCGCAACAAAGATGCGCCGCGTATATCCTCTTTCATCTTTCCCGCCTTGTCCTCCTCTCTGTCGCATCGCACCACGCGGACCCATGCTAACGGTATACACGCGCTCACCATGCTCTTCAACCGGGCAAGACCAAAGCAGAAGTGGGGGACTGACCGTATACCGCCCGAGTATCGAGCGAGCGCGCAAATACCACACTGACCGTTCATCTTTGCCATTGGGTATATGGGGCACCAAGTCCCTCTCTCATGCCCCACATCTCTCGCTAATACGCCTTACACAATGGCGGCAGTATCACACAATCAAGACGCTCTCGCCGACAAGTTCGACGTCAAGGAGCTCAGCGGGGCTGCTCAGGCGGATGCCAATGAGCGAAACTCGACCGTTTGGGAGGCGTGGAGGACGCACAAGAAGGCTGTACTCTGGAGTATGGCTTTGAGCGGCGCGTGAGTCATCGACAGATCTACCCCGTGGGACCTGCTAATGCGTAGCTTGATCATGGAGGGATACGACGTGACGGTCGTCGGCTCATTCTACGGCCATCCTGCTTTCCTCAGGCGCTTCGGCGTCCCGACAACAGGGAACGACATCGGATATGCCATCCCGGCACCCTGGCAGTCGGGTCTTTCCAACGGAGCCTCAGCTGGTGGCATCATAGGATTGTTCGTAAGTCGTCTCTCAATAGGCTCGGTCCAGGCCCCTCACTTCATTTCACGAGGGGGGCCGACTTCAACGCCGAAGTCGATCGAGAGGCTTGGACCGCGCCTAGTCCGTCAAGGCTTTGCTGATGATAGATCAACGGTTGGGCGGCGGATCGGTACGGCCCTAAGATAGTTATGGGAGCGAGCACAATAATGCTCACCCTCACCATCTTCCTCCTCGTTTTTGGCGACTCGCTCGGGATGCTCGTTGCCGGCCAAGTCCTCTGCGGTATCCCTTGGGGCGTCTTCCAAACTTTGACTGTGGGGTACGCCGCAGAAGTCTGCCCTATCCAGCTTCGTGGTTACCTCACTGCTTATGTCAATATGTGCTGGGGCATAGGTACGTGTATCCCGCGTCATCTGGAGCCCGGCTGACCGACAGGTATCCTCCTTTCCAGCGGTATCGTCAAGGCCACCCTCGTCATCCCTACCGACCTCTCCTGGCGCCTCCCCTTCGTCCTCCAGTGGATCTGGGTCATCCCACTCTTCAGCATCGTCTACTTCTGTCCGCCCAGTCCGTGGTGGATGGTCCGTAAAGGCCGCCACGACGACGCCGCAGCCGCCGTTCGGCGACTCACCAACCCAAAGTACTTCTCTGAGGAGGACGTCCAGAACTCGGTGGCTATGATGATCCATACTACAGAAATGGAGGCCCAGAACCAGCACGGCACGAGCTACCTCCAATGTTTCCGCGGCTTTGATCTCAGGCGGTCCGGTAGGTCTTCTTCGCTCGTGCAGTAGCGCTCTGGCTGACGAGCAGAAATCGCGATGATGGCATTCACGATGCAGATCCTCTCTGGGCAGAGTCTATGCGGTCAGGGTATCCAATTCCTCCAACAAGCGGGCATATCGACCGACCTCTCCTTCTCGCTCAACATGGTCCTCAACTCGATGTTCATCATCGGTACCGCGACCTCTTGGGTCCTTATGGGCTTCTTTGGCCGCCGGACACTCTACACCTCGGGCATGGCCTGCATGTGCATCACTCTCATGACGATCGGTGGCCTGGCGTTCTACCCGTCCAATGAGGTCAAGATGGCCATGGGTAGTCTGTTGATCATCCTCAACTTCATCTATAACTGTACCATTGGTCCAGCAACCTATACCATCATCGGTAAGTACACACCACTCTGTAATCGAGACGAAGCTAACGAGACAGGTGAAATATCATCCACCCGCCTCCGCCAAAAAACAATCGTCCTCGCCCGAGCTTCCTACAAAGCCATCAACATCGTCGCTGGGATTCTCAACCCGCGGATGCTCTCCCCTCTCGCGTGGAACCTCGGACCCAAGACTGGTCTCGTATGGGGATCCACTGCCTTCCTCTCCCTCATCTACTGTCTCCTCCGCCTGCCCGAAGCAAAGGGCCGGTCCTACGGAGAACTCGACATTCTATTCGAGAACCGGATTCCGGCGTGGAAGTTCAAGACGACCAAGGCTGATCAGTTTGGGATGGTGCGCCGCGGCGAGGCGGTCGAGGAGGATGGCAAGTTGGCTCAGGAGGTTGCTCATGTGGAGGGGGACCGGAAATGAGCGGGTACAGGGAGGCAGAGTTAGCTTGGGAGATTGTTAGCTTGGGACTGTTGACTTGGGATGTATTGGTTCTCCCCGTCATTGATGTCCGTTACTACAAGTTCATGTGCAAGATAGCAATCTACGCTACCGCCGCGCCATGCTTGTTCTTTCTCCTCTTCTTCTTCGGCACCTCCCCACTCCCTGCTGCCACCGTCACCGCAGGAGCATTCGAAGGCGCAGCTCCCCCAACCGCACCCTCTCCTTCCCCAGCTACCGCCGCCTTCCTCTTCCTCTCATTCTTCCCCATCCTCTTCTTCTTGGGCGCCGCCTCTCCACCACCGCCAACTTTCGGCCACCCCTGATCTCTCTCCCTTCCACCGCCCACTTTCTCCTCTTTGGCAGGAGTATACTCCTCACCCCACCTCCGCTCCTTCAACTGACTCTGCAAATCCTTCACCCTCTTGCCCAGCCCCTTGCTCGCCGCGCCGAGGCCGGAGGACCGATATGGCGCGAGATGCTTGACCGACATGATTTGGTTCAACTCGGCGTCGGTCGCGAGGAGGATTTCGGCGGGTGAGAGGCCGTATGCGAGGGGTGCGGACGTGGTGTAGTGGAATCGAGTGGGGAGGTCGCCAATCTATATATGAGCTGTCTATTCACCTAGTAGGGAATCGTTAGCTCACCATATCCTCGTGGTCTAGAGCTTTGTACTCTTCCATCGCCCGCTTGAGCTTTTCCGCGCGTTGCTCGACTGTCAAGCCTTCTTCCTCATCCTGGACATCCTTGTCCTTCTTCCCCTTGCCCTTCTTGTCCTTCTTGGACCGCTTCTTGGTTTCGGGCTCGAGACCGATAAAGTCGGCATCCTGAACATCAGCTATGACCCTCAAAGTGGATAGAGTAGCTTACCATGTTGACCGGTCCATCGTCCTCCAACTCATCCTCCACCTCTTCTTCGTACCCCTCATCTTCATCCTGTTCATCTCCTCCATACTGCACATCCTCATCATCGTCATCCCACGTCGGCTTTTCATCCTGCTCATCAGCTCCATACCCTGCGTCAAAATTACACTCATACTCACATCATCGTCCCCCTCCCCGCCCAGATCCCCACTCAACAACCCGCCCACCACTCTCTCCCACGTATCCTCATCAAACTCCCCCTCTAGCACCTCTTCGACTTTCGCCCATTCCTTCTCCCCGACCTCCTTCCTCAGCGCCGCCAGCTGGGTGTCCATCTCCCTCCTCTTCTTCCCTTTGGTCTTGCGCGCCTCTTCTTCCCGCGCAGCCTCGGCGGCGGCTTTCCGTTCCGCTCGGGCTTGACGCTTGATCTTACGGGCGTCGTCCGGTCTGCGGACGAGCGAGTCGATCTGACGTGGATGGGACATGATCTCGGCTGCTCCACTGCGGGATCAGCCAGGACTTCCGACATGGGATAGACAGACGTACGGCTCTTCGAAGCGGAAATTATACTCTGTCTCAAACTCCTCAGCCTTCTCGTCAAACTCGTCCTCATCTAGCAGACCCCAGGGATGACTAGGTCCAGCCGCAGACTCCGCCTCCTCTGACTCTTCCGTCTTGGCCCGGACAGCTCGTGGCGGGTCCAGCGCCATATCCGCATAGTTGTGATCCCCTCCGTCGGCCTTGTCGACCCATCCTCGATTCAGAATGAAGCTAGCCGTCAGCTTGACCAGGATACAAAGGGAGAGCTCACTTCATCAAAAACTCATCATCCGCCTTGGCCTTCTTCTGCATTCGTTTCTGCCGCTTCTTCTCACTCTCCTTCTTGACCTTCTTCTCCCCCTCCACCTGCTCCTCTCCGGATGCCTCATCCTCGTCCGCCCTGACAAACGAAACCGCCTGATCCCCCATTCCCAGCAATCTCCTAACCTCCTCCTCTCCGCCTCCCATCTCCAAGAGGAACTGACTGTACCCATCATCCTCCTTCTCCACGTCCGCCTGATCCTTCTTTACAGGCACAAACTCCCCCTCATCCTCTTCATCGTCCGCGTGAAACGCCTCGATTGCCTCTTTGCGCAATCTCCGCTGTTCCTGCGCATACGGGATAGGCCGCCATCGATTCTCCTCTTCCTCCGCCTCTTCGTCTACTCGTCCTTCGAGGAGAGCCGCCCGGTGGTGATCTGACAGGAGGTACGGCTTGGCCTCCCACGGTCTAGACGTCGGCGCCTTGACGCCTCGACGAAGCGCCTCGGCCGTAGCCTGCTCCAGCTCTGTCTCGAGCACATTCTCGCCTTCATATACGCCCTCTCCCCGTCGGATCTTTCCTAGTGTCCGAAGGATAGCGGCGTCTAGCGCAGGCGTGAGGTCCGCGCCCTCTTCATCCTCCTCGACGTCGGTAGAGACGTCGGATTCGTCCGAGACTTCGTCGGGAACATTGGGCTTTCGGCACCAGTGCACCGTAGGGCGTTGATTACTAGGTCCAGCTGAGGTCAGCTATAACCTACCGTGAGCTTACCTTGCATAGTGATGATATGTACAGAGGGAAGGTGTATCTCGAACTTTTGTATGAGAAGAGTGGAGGGATGACGTGGTATTTTGTTCTAGTGCTCGATGACGGTGCCGGCGGTCGACCGTCTTGCTCCGATCTCTACTGAAATTTCAGTCTACACCTATAATTCATCTATACAGCCTATCTTGACTATACACACAGCTCCAACAGCCACGCAAGAGCTACTGCAGAGCCTGAAAAGCGGCAGCTGTGGCGAAAATGCTGTTTCGGTCAGGCGCACCTGCGCTGAGAGCCATCTCCCGAGCGTCCGGCTCATCCTCCACACTACCCCGATCCCTCCCTCGCTCACTCCACTTCTCTTCCCCACCTCAAGCTCCTAATCCGTCCTCCCGGTCAGAATCAGCCTGGGCGGCAGCAACGGAATCCGCCCACTCGGTCCTCACTCCCCCTCCCTCCTCAGCGGCACGGCATGACCCCCTCGCAGCCATCCACGCCGAAATAGGGTCGCTCAAAGACTCGCTCTTTCAGCTCCTGGGATCATCACATCCTGCCCTGGACACAATAGCGAAATACTACTTTCACGCCGAGGGGAAACATCTACGGCCACTCATTGTCCTGCTCATGAGTCAAGCGACAAATGGGCTGGCCGGGCCAGGATGGACGAGGGCAAGAGAAGAGGCATTGGCGCAGTCGGTGGATGATAGTCTGACGGTGGAAGGCGGGGTGCTGAACGACTGGAACCCCGAGGTGTCAGGAAGGGAAAGCGGAGCCGTGACTTTCGGAGAACCCTTCAGAATACCCAACCTCGCGCCCCTCCCCCCTCGCCTCAAACCTACCCTCCAATCCCTCCAAACATCCCTCGACGACGGCTCTCCCCAGATCCTCCCTACACAACGGCGCCTCGCAAGCATCACGGAGATGATCCACGTCGCTTCATTACTGCACGACGATGTGATCGATACATCACCATTACGGCGCGGTCAGCCGTCTGCGCCGAACGAGTTCGGCAACAAGCTCTCAATCCTCTCGGGAGACTTCCTGCTTGGCCGGGCATCGGTGGCGCTGGCGAGGCTGGGGTCGAGGGAAGTAGTGGAACTGCTGGCGACGGTGATTGCGAATCTGGTGGAGGGGGAGGTGATGCAGCTCAGGGCGACAAGCGAGCCCGAGCGGATACCCACCAAGAAGGGGTTCGAGGACTATATGCGCAAGACATACCTCAAGACGGCGAGTCTGATGGCGAAGAGCGCGAGGGCGGCGGTCATATTAGGTGGGAGTGGGCGGGGGGAGGCCGAGTGGGTCAAGGAGGTGGCATATGGGTATGGAAGGAATCTGGGGATTGCATTCCAAGTGAGCTGCTTTCTCTGGCTATATCGGTCCCGGCTGACGTCCAGCTCGTTGACGATGCGCTCGACTTCCTCCCCCCAGATCTTTCCCTCGGCAAGCCAGGAGAAGGCGCCGATCTCAAGCTAGGTCTCGCAACCGCGCCCGCCCTGTTCGCATGGGAAGAACACCCCGAGTTAGGTCCGCTCATCCTCCGGAAATTTTCAGAATCAGGCGATGTCAAGATGGCGCGAGATATAGTAGGGAGGAGTAAAGGACTGGAAAGAACGATGGATCTAGCGAGAAAGTTTGCCGGCGAGGCGAGGGGGATGGCGGAGCGTTTACCGGAGAGCGAGGCGAGGGGCGCATTGGTGGGATTGACGGAGAAGGTGGTAGATCGGGTAAAGTAGTAGATTTTCTAGATGGACAGGAGGGGTCGGTTGTCTGCTGGAGGTACTGATCGGGTATAGCTGATCCGATCGAGGGTGCGAGCGGCCGGCTAGGTCTATCCGAGTCCTTCCTTCCATCCCCTGTCTCCAGCTGACCAGCTGAAGCCAGGATCTGACATCAAAGGATAGACACCCCTTACGCGTTTCTGTCGCTGATCCCCTGCTCTCCTGACCACAAGCTGCCCATCGTGATCGTTCTGGCTTTGCCCACCCACCCACCTGCCTCGTTAGACCATATAATCACTCTTGGCATTAGCAATACCTAATAATACTTTCGACATGGCAGAGCCAGTCCCCAGTATCCCTATCCCCATCCCGCCCGTCGACCCCGTACCTACCTCCTCTATCGCCCCTCCCGCCCCGCAGCCCGAGCTCGGCAAGGAGATGACAACCATCATCGAGAATGGTCAGACGGTCGTCCTCCCCGTCCCGCGCACGAACTCCGACCACCCGGCTCAGTCTGACCATGCGGAAGGATGGGCCGGGCTCGGCAATATGGGGATGACATCGACGCCTCCAGGTGGGCCCGGGGTACCGACACCGACGAGTCTTGTTCCCGTTCCTGCGCCATCAGTGGCTGCTCCCGCGGCGCCTGCGGATCCAGGTCTGCCTCTTCCTCCTCCGGCTGCCGGGACGAGCAGCGCAGTTGTGCCAGTACCGGCCCCAGTACCGTCCTTGCCGCCAGGTCAGCTGGTGCCTGGAGCGCCCGCTGCGCCGACTTCCTCGACAGCCGACGCGGTATTGCCGCCCGTCCTGCTCAATAATGATAAGCCTAGCGTTCCCGTGACCACATCTAGCAGCAGCAGCAGTACCAAGTAAGCCGAGCCCGCTCAGTTGGTGGCTACGAGACCAGCGCTAATCGTATCAGGCCCAACATCTCACCCTTACCCCAAGCCCCAGTCTTCTCCGACCCCGTGGCGATCAAGCCTTCCTCCTCCCGTCTTCCTCCGCCCAGACCGAGCTCATCTACGCGGGACGTATCCCTTGTCCCCGGCGGACCGAGCGCTACCTCCTCCTCTGCCTCATCTACCTCAAAAGGCGCTTCGGCATCGGCATCGGCCACCTCCTCGGCAGTCGCAGATTTCCCGTTTGTTCCTGTCGCGCCCAGTTCGAGTAGCCGGACGCGGACAGTCTGGGATGCTATGGGCGGCTCATCATCTGGCGCAATCGAGAACGTAGCGGCCAAGCCGACGACGAGCAGCAGTGCCCGTGCCCCTGGCCCCGTCCCCATCCCATCTCTCTCGACCTCGGCTACGATGCTGGATGGAGTCAAGGCGGGGCAGATAGCTTCACAGAGCGCCGGGACCGGGCCGGTCACAGTTCTGGTGGATGCTCCACCTGACGTTTCTCAGGGGGACGCAGGTGCGTATCTCTACCTTTCCTTCTTTCTTTCTCTGACTCCCTTCTCCAACTGTGAGGAACTAGCTGACCCGCAGCCTCCTCATCTCAGCAACCCATCCCATCTCTCCCTCCCGCGGGCTCACCGGAAGAAGCCAAAGTCCTCGCCGTCGTATCCTCCACCATCACACTCTCCGGCTCCGCCGCCGTCGCAGCCATCAAAGCGGGCGCTACGCAATTGGGCAGCGGTGGCGGGACGACGAGCAACAGTACGACTGGAGACGACGGAGGACTAAGTGGGTTTGCGATCGCGGGCATTGTGGGTGGCGGGGTGTTGGGATTGATGATTGTCGTGGTTGTCTGGTATAGATGGGTGAGTCATTCTTCCTCTTTGGTCAGGGCGACGAAGGGACAAGGGCCGAGAGCTGATCTTACAGCGTAAGAAGAGCAAAGACAAGGACGATGAGCCCAGTCAGGACATGACGGAGGCACAACGACCCGATACGGCCTTCTCGTTCTCTGACGACCCCGTCACGGCGAGTACGGGCCGGATTCGCCGGGGTACGATGCAAGCTGCTCAGCAAGGCCAGGGACCGTTTGATGATCGGTATCAATCCCAGTATGGCGGCGGGTCGGGGTATCAGCCTCATCAAGATGGGGAGCACGACATCCACGCTCAGCGGGAATACACTCAAGGAACTGATCAGGATGGGTATCCTTTCCCTGCTCAAGGTACTCACGATTCCGCTCCTCACCCTCACGTACGTTTAGAAGGTCAAGATGACCTAAACGAGCTATACGGTTCCGCCATCGAAGAAGAACAAGCCCGTCGAGAACTGACCAACCCCTTCGCACCGCCCGTCCCGCCTCTTCCAGCGTCGGTACGCCAGTCAGGCCTTTCTCGACCAGGAACAAGCTATACCGACATCTACGGGGCATACGAGTCCCGTCCCGCCACTCAAGTATTGGAGGATCGATACTCCCACCGCGCCCACCCTCCGCGCAGGGAGGATGATGATGATGACGACGGGGATCTTCCAGCGCAAACACCAGCGACCTCGTCTCTCCTTCCTTGGCTCAAGAAGGATCCAGCACCACCGCCGCCCGTCCCGGCCTTACCTGCTCCGGCGAGACGACGGGGAAGGGAGGAGAGGGAAGAGAGGAACCTGGATGTGCCTCAAGATGTGGGTATAGGCGAAGGGGAAGGGGAAGGGGGAGGTAGGGAGTACACGAGGTATGAGTCGAATGTGGCGGGTTTGGGCGCGAGAGGGGGTCCACCCCCGAGACCGGCGAGACCTGTGATGGCGCAGACGCCGGCGTGGGCGGGGGCGAATGAGTTCAACGTGATGATACCTGGTTTCAGGTAGTGCTGTATACGTACCATATGATATCGTGCCAATGGAGTACTGATCGCTCTGCCATATATCTTGCGGGCGTTTGTGAGAATGTTCATGAGCCCAGCGCTTGTTCATGAGCCCAGCTCTACGCTGCCTCTGCCAACTTGCAGCATGCGACGCAACCGCGATGCACGGAGCCCAATCCAGGCGATTTCCCAGCTGAGATTACCATTGTGGCAATGTCGGCTCCCAGAACGAAGCCAGACACACTGAAGCGCGGTATTGAAGAAGGAGTGGCCTGCTCAGGTTCGTTGTCTTGCTTCAGGTGATGATCCGGAGATTCCCTACCCGGAGCCAGCGAGCAGACCAAAGGCGAGCCATGACTGGCCTCCTGAGGACCATCCCTGACTTCCATTACGGCGACTATCTACAAGGCGCAGGCCGCATATCTTTCCATACGACTCATCCCATGCATATTCTGCGACGAGGGCCGACACAGACATAGGCGGTGGATGGGCCATCGTTTGCGCGGGCGACAATCTGAAACATTTTGAAACCCGGAAGCAAATAACGCGCCGGGCTGGACGCGACTCTGAAATTTCACTCAACCTTGCCTTTCCTTTCGTCCATTCAGTCCACCTGACCACTACCTTGACCTTCAGCAGATCCTGCTGCTACTCACAGGCCCTTAGTCGCGCCAGCTGAGGGTACTCCCTCACCGCCCTCATAAACATTCCCGCTCTTACCGCCCCTTCCCATCATGAGCTACTCCTCCGAACGTGGCAAACGTCCCCGCCAAGACGACCTCCCCTCTCCGTCCAACCCCATCATCACAGCCCATACCATCTCCCCTCTCCCCCTCGCACAGTCTCACGCGCTCCTCCTGGAGCTCTCCACCTCCCATCCCTCCGCCGCACCCGTCATCGCCGCCTACATCAACCGCTTCACCCAAGACGAGGCAGCCCGCCGAGCCAACGCCCCCTCCGTCGACTTTGACCACTACTCCAAGTCCATCTGGAAGGCTCTCAACATCACACATGCCAGAAAGTCCGGCTCCAAGCAATACGAGGCGGCTCATGACATCGCGGGCGATATCGACGACGCTGTACGGGATATTCTCAGCCGGGTCGCCCAGTCGGATCGGTATGCTACCCGCCTCTCGGCCTTCTCCACCATGCGCAAGGTCTCCAAATCTATCATCACCTGCGGAGAGGGCGAGATCCGGAAGGTAGTGATGAACAGTCAGGCGCCTGGGAGTCTGGCAGAGGGGATGGAGCGGGTGCTGGATGCAATGGAAGCCAAGGGGGAGCTGCAGGGGTTGAAGGACGAGGGGATGGCGGAGAAGGTGGCAGAGCTGGATGTGGAGTATGGGCGGTATGGGATAGAGGAGTATAAGGTGTTGTTCGAAAAGCTGTCCGGGTAGTGTCCAAGAATTTGTTCTGATTGTAGTATAGCGGATCGGTTGTGTATGGGTGGAACACTAGTCCGGTGACATGTGGTGATCGGCAGCTCATGTCTTCCGACGATTCTGCTCACATCAGCAGGCACCCATGTGCAGTCCAGAGTGACAGACGGACGACCGGCTTCACTCTTCGCTACCCCGCCACCCGGCCAAACTCCACATTCCTCAAGCCAAAGGAGGAGTTCCGACGCGTATCTCAGCAGATCTCAGCTCAATACTCTGGCTTCTGGACACCTCCATCCACCCCCATACCCTGCTACTCCTCTGTCTGTACGAATCCGTCCTAAAGGTGAGTCACCTCATGAAAAAGGGTCAGGAAGCGGGTCAACAGTCTGGCTGACCTCCTGCAGCGTGTCTTCGGCCCGTAAAGTAAGAGATGGGCTTCTCGAGCATCACACGCCCCGTCAGTAACATCATCGGTAGTCTCGGCCAGTCCAAGAGCGCCGGATCGGTACCCGAAATCCTCGCGGCCGTCAAAAAAGCCATCAAAGAAATTCTGGAAGGATGTAAAGCCGACCCATGTTATGATACCCGGCGGTCTGCATTCCAGGCCCTCCTCGGCATGGCGGAGCAGATCCTTCTGATCAAGGACAAGGAGCGTCTTCAGGCGGTCATAGATAGCGGCCCTCCTAGGGAGATCGATGGTGCGCTGCATGAGGTGGGGGAACAGGTGGACGAGGAAGAGGGGGAAGATCAGCTGTTGCAGGGAGAGATGAGAAGCCCGGTGAAGGATTTGGCGAGGAGGTATGGGGATTTGAATGAGGATCTCTTTGAGAGCCTGGTGGCGCAGATGTCGTACGATCATAATGGGTGTATGGATGACGATGATGATTACTGGTAGGACAGCCGCTAAATATCTATGTAGATGGACGGCTCGTTGTACGTAGCCACATCAGCTACCATGAATAGACGGACCCGCTGCGCGAAGTATGTGGCGCCTGGGCGTCTCCCTGGAGCCATACTAAAGGGACCATTGACCACCAATTACACAGTACTTGGACAGAGAGATGTTGGAGGAGTAGGCGAATCATGAACACTGGGCCTCATTCGGCTAATTGTGGTAACATCCTCAAATCCTGACCCCATCGGCCATCCGTCCGGCTGATGAGTGCTGCTCCCCTTCACATGCTCGACGCACTGCCGCAGGCCTTGCAGGCTGCCGCTTGCCCTCCTCGATCAGCTCTTGATCAGCTTCTGACAGCTGAGTTACCTTTACGGCATCGTCTTGCGGAATGAGGATCAACAAATTTCCCTTGACTCGCGCTCTCCTCCTTGCCGTTGACTCTCTTGCACTCCCAGCATAGATTCACTCGCCACAGCGCAGCCTATGCGCCTTTCAGGTAGTCTGAGAGCCACTAAAAGCCTTTGCACTATCCTCAAGCTCGACACAAATCGGCCGGTCTTCGCATTTCACCGCAAGATGTCCGCCGTCGCCTCGTCCTCCAAGTCTCCGGCGCTGAAGTACCCGCCGGAATCGCCGTCGCTTCTCCCCAAAGCATGCCTCAGCGGAATCAAGGGTCTTCAGAGTCTGGATCCAGCGCGATTCGTCACGCGCATACCGATCTTGTGTGCTCGAGTCGATCCGGCAAAGGTTGCCGAGTTGAAGCGGCATCCTATGCTTCGAGGGTGAGCTCTTTCAGACCCCACTGCGACGGTTGTGTGGCTGATCATCTAGGCAGATCATCGACGTCAAGCGGATACCGTCCGTCATCCCCATACCTGGCAAGCAGGAGAAATTACTCCGGCTAAGAGTGGAATCGGAAGGTGGGCTCGTACGCTTCTCTCGTTGGGGATAGGACCTGATGTTCAGACGAGCTGCCAGCTACCGTCCGGGAATTCTTGCTTGCCAAGACGGAAGGGTTCGAGAAGGACGTGCTGGAGCTAGGATATGACTACTGGAGTGCATGTGCGCTATCTTAGGCTCGCATACGGCGGGACGCGAAGCTGACGAGGTAGCGGATGTCTTGAATGCTATTCTGCCGGACACGGCCACCGGAGACCCGCCTTCATCTTTCACCCAGACTGGACATATAGGTGAGCTCGTTTGTGGCTACGGGTGCGATGCGTGCGCTGAGCTGACTCTCAGGACATGTCAATCTCCGAGACGAATGGTTGCCCTATAAGCACCTCATTGGACAGGTCTTACTGGATGTAAGCTTCGATGCACGTGTCTTCGTGGCAGTCACAAGCTGATGTAGGATAGAAGAATCACCAGATGCGCACGATCGTCAATAAGCTGGACACGATCCACGCCGAGTATCGATATTTCGATATGGAGGTCTTAGCTGGCGAGCCAGATTTCGTAGCTACAGTGGTACGTCTACCATATTGCAACCTTCCTCCCCGCCTCTCCGAGGTCCCCTCTTCTCCTATCAGCATCAGACACGGTCTTTGAAGTAGCGCTGACTCTCAGAACGAAGGCAATTGCACCTTCACCCTCGACTTCCGCTCCGTCTACTGGAACTCTCGCCTCGGCAACGAACACGACCGCCTCGTCTCGCTCTTCGCCCCAGGGGAGGTCGTAGCGGACGTCATGGCTGGTGTCGGACCTTTCGCTATCCCAGCAGCCAAGAAGGGATGTCGGGTACTAGGGAATGATCTGAATCCGGAGGGCGTCAAGTGGATGGCTGTCAATCGGGAGAAGAACAAGGTGAGCTACTGACTTTCGATACCTGCACAAGATCGGCTGCAGAGGGGCTCAGCTGATACAGTAGGTCCAAGCGAATCTGCGCGTGTCCGAGACCGATGGCCGAGCTTTCATTCGGTCTGCGCCATTATCTATCTGGAACGACCCCTTCCCGCCTGTTCAGATCCCTACGTCCCGGAAGAAGAGGGAAAAGGCCGCTCGGCTCGCGCGTACCGGCGATTCTTCCACCTCCACGTCAGATCCAGCTTCAGCCGACGCTGTTTCCCCATCCTCATTACCACCACCACCGTCCGTAGCCGCGCCCTCCGCTTCAGTCCCCTCAGCGCCAGCGCCAGTCGAGCCGGAACGACAAGAAGTATCTCACTTCGTCATGAATCTCCCCGACTCGGCGTTGACCTTCCTCGACGCGTACCGAGGTGCCTACAACGCCCTCGCTTCGGAAGCTAAGGCGGACGGGTACGATCCCAGATCTGCCAAAATGCCTATGGTGCATGTTCACTGCTTTACGCGGGAGATGGAACGTCCCGGCGCCGAGAAGGACATCTGCCAGGTCAGTTCCCGTCGTCCTCTTGCACTCACTCTCGGAATCGGGGTCAGGATCAGAGCTGATCTCGCAGAGAGCCTCAAAGTATCTCAAGTACCCGCTCGACATGTCTGCTCCAGAGCTGAACCTCCACTTTGTCCGCTCCGTTGCGCCCAACAAGGACATGTACTGCCTATCGTTCAGATTGCCTCGGGAAGTGGCCTTTGCGCGAGATTAGCGTGCGATGCATCCTTTGGAGATAGCTCCGCTCTGCTACAAGATGGCAAGCCCGATGACCAGGTGTACAAGTCTTCCTGGTTCCACATGATCCCCAAAGAGATCCGCACACTTCCCCTCCGACACTTGGTACACGCTCCGCTTCTTTCGTTCCCTCCCTGCTTTACAGCGCGACGTTCCCTCTCAACTCGCCGGGGATGTCGCCCGACTCGCCTGCCTACTTCCCGCACGGGACTGCGAAGGCGTATGCTGTGCCGGCGTACTATACCATCAGCTCTTGTCCCTCTCCACTCCATGTCATTTTTGTCTGCCCGGGATCGACAGAGGGCAACTCACATGATCCCACTCCCAAACTGAGAATGCAACAACCCCCCACTGAGCGTGATCTGCCCCCTCCCGAACCCAGGCAACAGCATGCTTCCATCCCACCCATCAAACCCATCGCTCGACATGAATGTGGGCAGGTACTCTGCCCAGCCGGACGTATTGTTGGTCGGCGGGGGCGCGCCGGGTCCGCTGGGGCCGCCACCGCCGCCGAGCCCGTTTGCGTTCCCGTTCCCGGTAGAGTGGGGGGTGTAAGCTGACGAGGGGAGATTGTTTGTAAAGTGGGAGAGATATGCGGCCGAAGGGGAGTTGGCTATTGATTCAGAGGGTCCAGCTGCCGAAGGTAATATCCTACTTCATCAGTCAAAGCTCCGACCACATACAGAAGAAGAGGGATGCGCACATCATATCACCACCTTGAGGGATAAACGTAAAATGCCCAGGCTCATCCCCGTGCTGTCCCCAATTCGCCACATCCAAAAGCGCCGGATCGAGCCCTTCCATCCCCTCCACATCGTGATGCCCCACGCCCGGCCCAGAGCCTTTCGTGAGCGCCGGGTCAATCGTGCCGTTCATGCCCGGTGATCCGGGTCGGGACGGGTGCGCGGACGGCGGAGGCGGATTTCGGGCCTCTTTCGTCTTGCGCACAATCTCGCGGATGAAGGCCGAGTAGATGGCGGGTTGGTGTGAGGGGTCAGTGGCGCATGCTTCGAGGTTGTCTGCCATTTCCCTGGAATGTCAGCTTGGTCCTGCGAAGTAGTCGCATCGTCATCATGAGAACGAGAGCTTACGTGACGAGCTTGAAAATAGCTTCTTCGGAGTCATGATACGTCCTCAACTCGGGCTTTAGGAGCTTCAATAGCGATAGCAGCTACCTCGTCAGCTCCTTGTTCCTCCGTTCGCGGTGATAGGCGAGCTTACAGCGTAAGAACACATCACAAAGTTGGTGTCCGGGACATAACGCAAGTACCCCGAGGGGACAAACGCATCCTTAACGATCGTGCACACCCGCGTAGCCGCCTCGTACACGTTATTGAGGAAGAACGAGATGTCCATCCGGGAGCGCTGTTTGTCAGCTCGTTCACCTCCTAGAAGCTGGGGGAAGCAATAGCTCACCTCCAAGGCGTTCTCGAGACCGAACGAGTACAGCACGAGCGAGTGATACGAGTAGTAGAACTGGGCGCGGGAGTCCCATTCAAAGTGCGCCGGAAGGTCCATCTCACTGATATATCAGCTCGACTCTGGATACCCTCAAGCGCGGAAGATTTAGCTGAGGCAGGAAGACGTACCTCCGCGGAGTGTTCCACTCGACCATCCATCGCCTCAGCTCCTCATGCGCCGATCGAACAATCATCATATCTGCCCGTCAGCCTTGACCCTCTCCCGCTCTTTCCTCTATCTCCCTTCCGTGATAGAAAAAGACTCACAATCCGCATCTGTCCTCAGCCCATTAATAGTCGTCGTACTACTGTAAATACTATCGATCGCCCGACTCATAATACTCTGCAGGTACACATACCCCGCTACGGGTTTATCACTCGACAGCGAGAATCGTTGATTGTGCCACTGCCCTTCGCACGTTTTCCGGATGATATAGTCTTCTCGGACAGTGTAGGGTTTGCCCATTTGGGCAGAGATGGACCGGTCCAAGATGAAACAGTGGATCCAGGTACGTTCTCTATTGATGATCTGGGGGTCAGCATCTTCCCAATAAATGACCAAAAGGAAGGGCTGACCTCGAGATCCCTCGCTCGGCCTTCTTCTGTGTCAATATCGCACGGCACGCTCTTCCGGTGCAGGTTGAGATCGGTCGCCATCCGGATAGCCATACCCAGCATCATCCATGTCCGATCCTGCTCAAACCTGGATATCAGCCACAGTCCAGCTCCCAGCGAAAGAGCCAACTGACGTCTTCTCCGGCCCGAGCGTCCAGAGACTGAGCAGCAAATACGCCTGCACGACCTCCACAGACTTGTATCCTCTGCTAGGTACCTCGAACGCCAGGCGCTTGGCGTAGGACGAGAGCGAAGTGTGCAGCTCGGGCTTTTTGGTATAGTGCCGAGCGGCAATGGCGCAGATACTGCACATCAGCAAGAGCGGAAGGATAGGCGACAGAAGGCTTCGCTTACACGGTACAGAGGAACTGAGATCGCTGGATGACAAGTTCGGGTGTATGGAACTCTCGGTAGAGCATAGGAACGTGCACCGCCACTGTCTCGTCAGCTCGCTCCTCTACGCTTGGGAGGAGTTCTTGACTGACAATTATCGTAGTATAGCGTGAACAGATCGTTGATCTCTTCCCGCGTAACGATCGTCAGCAGCTCGGGTAACTGACCGTCAGCTACGCCCCAATGGTACCGTACGGATAGGATGGCTCACCCTGTTCCCCGGCGGTCCCACGTGCACTCCCACACCAACCGGCTTGAAGTAATTCTGACTCGCCAACCCACTCTCCTGACTGACCGCCCCCTCCCCTTCCTTCTTCCCTTCCTCCCCCTCCTTGCTCTCATCCCCCTTGACCTCCCCGCCCCTCACATCACTCAGCATCGCCCGGTTCACACTCCCCTCTCTCAGATGACTACTCCCATTCCGTCCCATACCCATCGGGGACCGTCCATACCGCCCCTGTTTCCCCTGCGTATTTTGCAGACTCGCCTCCGCGAGCAGACCGAGCGGGGACAGAACGTTATCGGGAAGCGAATGCAGCCTGGGGGAGAGTTGGGAGTGGGCCATATGTGACATAGCGCCGTTACCGGATGATTCGCCATTGTAGCCTTGGACAAAGGTGTCGGCGTGGATAAAGGCGCGGTTCATCGCGACAGCGAGGGTCGGGATGGTCGCGGGGGAGGTGTAGGAGGTGATGAGGTTGATGGTGTCGGGCTCGGTCACGGTGCCGTGGAGGGCGGTGGAGAAGGAGTTTAGGGAGGGTTGGTCGATTGCGCTAAGCGCCTGCAGTGTCAGCTGGAAGCTCAAGCACAGCTCAACAGTCAGGTGTGACATACGGATCCGATGCCCTTCAAGGCAGCTTCCATCTTGGCCATTCGAGCCGCTAGCGCTTCATTCTTCCGCGTGCTCCGCTTGCCGCGGTTGGATTCTTCAAAGATGCACTCGTGTCCGCCTGATTTGCACCGCTAGACAATCAGCAAGAAGCAACATCTCGAAAGACATCAGAACTTACCTTGCAAGGACCACCCGGACCAGACGTCGCATCCGGTATACATCTCATCTTGATCTTGCGACACCTATAAGTCAGCTTACGCTCGGACAGATCTACGGTTTGAAACTCACGCTATACACGCCCTACACAATCAGCTATGCCCATATCAATCATCAGGCGCGACTCACTTGGACCCCCTCGTCAACTTAGCCTTGACCTTCCCATCCTTCCCCTTCTTCTTCCCACCCGCCCCATCCTTCTTCCCTCCCGCCCCACCCTGCCCCTCTTCGTCCTCCTCATCCTCATCGTCCTCTTCCCCATCTTCCGCCTCGTCCCCATCCGAGCTCCCATCCAGCCCCGAGCCCGCTACTTTTGCCCGCTTGTCGCTCGATCCGGGCGCATAAGGGTCGAAGGCTGGTGGATGGACCGACTGGTGAAGCGGGGAGGGGTTCTGCGGGGTCGAGAGGTTTTGGTATGCGGATGCGTAGGGGTGAGAGGACCAGTCGTCCGGCGGTACGAAGGTTTGAGAGGTGTTGCCGGAGGAAGGCGGAGCGGGGTTGGAGGCTGACCAGGTGCGTTTGGACATGCTGGGTCTGAGGAGCGAAGGGGGCGAGGGGGCGAGTTGGTAGCCGCTATCTCGGGAGCGGCTTGTAACTCTTGGCTCAGTGAAGCGCGTAGCTTGTCACTGCCTGAGGCGGGCCTGCTGACGCTTACGGCTGGTCCAGGAGGATTCGCAGTGTTGCAGCGTCAATGAAGTATTACGACTCGCGGTATCCTTGGTAAGGTACGGTTGGTGAAGCGTGAAGGGGTGGACGCCTCGGTTAGCAATTGTGGCTATTCGTTTAGCTTTTACCGGCGTTCTAATTTCAATAGTCAGTATAATCCATTAGTAATAGGAAATCGCCGTTAATAGATCTGGAAGCGGGATTAGCAGGGGGTGTGGCACTGCCAACAGAACGGAGAGTGAGGAGAACTCCTGGCCGGGTTGCCGTAAGAGATAGCCGGTTCTTGCGACCGCGACCGCTCACGACATCGCGCATGATCGCTGCCAGTACTTGCGCAGTGTATACTGATTTTCACTGACCCATACCAGTACCCAGGCAGCTCTAGCAGCTCAGAGGCTGCTCCGAACCTCGGGCCTCGCGAACAATTAACGGTCCATCGGGCTCGCTGCGGCAATGAGCTTCCTCGCTGGCCCGAGCCGTCTTCGCCCGACGATCTCTCATCATCCTTGGTGTGAGGTATTGGCGAGCAGACCAGCTCGGTTTGCCTCTACCCACCATCATGACCGAGCCATCAAGATGTTCCACATACGACGCCAGTCGTCAGCCGTTGCCGGGCCAAGCGAGGCATACCGCTCCCTTCGACCCCGAGCGACTCCCCCACCCTCCCCCCACCTTCGATACCTACATACCTCCTCTGCCACGTCATACCGGCACCTCGCCCCTACCGACCCTCCTTCCTCCCCTCCCTCTCGCTCTCCCTCTTCTTCCTCTTCCTCGCCGTCCCTACCCTCCCGCCCCACCCCACCCCTAACAGTCTCCCCCGTCAACCCCGACGCCCCCTCCGCACCCACCTCGGACCGCTCCCAATCCGCCGCCGACTGGCGCATCATCCGCCGACTAGCCATCAATATCTGGCCCCGCGACTCCCTCGGCACAAGGGTGCGCGTCCTCGCGGCCCTGGGGCTGCTCGTTGGGGGTAAACTCCTCAATGTGCAGGTGCCGTTCTTTTTCAAGGATATTGTGGACAGTCTGAATGTGGAGATTACGGCGAATACGGGGGTGTGGGTGCTGGCGGGGGCGAGTGTGGCTGGATGTGAGTCAGGCTTGCGTTGTATAGAGCGACCTGGGTGAGGCGAGTGGAAGGAAGGAGCGAGTGCAGTTGGAACAAAAGGAGAGAGCCGGGAAGACTCGACGGGGCAAGCGAGGAAACACAAGGCGCAGACGGGGCAATGTGATCGCCGAGAGAATGGGAGCAGAAGCGAATGAGCGATCGAACGGATCCAAGCTGACATCATAGACGGAGCAGCTCGAATCCTGACGACCTTATTCGGTGAACTCCGTAATGCCCTCTTTGCATCCATAAGCCAATCGGCGATCCGTAAAGTCGCCAGGGAGACGTTCGAGCATCTCTTGAATATGGACATGAAGTTTCATCTGGAGCGGCAGACTGGTGGTCTGACGAGGGCAATCGATAGGGGAACAAAGTGAGCTCGTCGGGTACCGCGATCGGAGACTGCGTATTGGGGTGACAGGGGCTGATCGGAAAGGGGAATCTCGTTCATCCTGTCGAGTATCGTCTTTCATGTTATCCCGACTGCGCTGGAAATCACGATGGTGTGCGGTATCCTCGTGAGCTTCTCCCAGTGAGAATGGAGATGGACTTGAGCTGACAAGCCAGTCGTGGAAGTTTGGCTGGGACTTTGCGGGGATCACCGTCCTCACTATGGCGCTGTACACTTGGTATACCGTCCGGACGACCGCATGGAGGTCAGCTAAACAATCCCTTCTCCCTGATGACTTTGATGACCCAAAGAGAGGAAATGAAGCTGATGGTCAGGACGCAATTCCGTAAAGAAGCCAATGCGGCGGATAACAAAGGCGCAACAGTAGCTGTGGACTCGTTGATCAACTATGAGGCTGTCAAGGTCAGCTTTCCCTCCCGCCTAATGTATGATGCGGGGATGATAGCTGACTCTCAGGCATTCAATAACGAGCCGTTCGAGACGAAGCAATACGACAAGACGCTGGCGACGTACGAAAAAGCATCGGTCAAGATTGCTACCTCGCTCGCGACGCTCAATTCAGGGCAGAACTTTATCTTTAGTTCGGCGTTGACGTGTATGATGCTCCTCGCGGCGCAGGGTGTTGTCAAGGGTGAGTTGGATTGTTTCTGGCACTCGCAAGAGAGGGGATCGGGCTGATCGACAGGCACAATGACGGTCGGCGATCTCGTCATGGTCAATCAACTGGTCTTTCAGCTATCCCTCCCCCTGAACTTTCTCGGCACAGTCTACCGAGAACTCCGTCAGAGTTTGATCGACATGGAAGTCATGTTCAACCTCCAATCTGTTGATGCAGCTATCAAAGTGAGTTCTCCCCCATACTGCCCCCGGCTCAGCTGACAGCCAGGACACCCCCACCTCCCGTCCGCTCTCACTCAAAGGCGGACAGATCGAGTTCCGTAACGTCTCCTTCGGCTACCACCCCGACCGGCCCATCTTCCGCAACCTCAACATGACCATCCCGGCCGGCTCCAAAGTCGCCATCGTCGGTCCATCCGGGTGCGGCAAATCGACCGTCTTCCGTCTATTATTCCGATTCTACGATTCCCAATCCGGCCAGATCCTCATCGACAACCAAGACATCAAATCGCTCACCCTCTCGTCTTTACGCAAAGCGATCGGCGTCGTCCCGCAAGACACTCCCCTGTTTCACGCGGACATACTCCATAATATCCGGTATGGCCGGCTGGACGCGACCGACGAGGAGGTGTATGCGGCCGCGGCGAAAGCCAAAGTGGCGGATACGATCGAGAGGTTGCCGGATAAGTATGCGACGAAAGTGGGGGAGAGGGGATTGATGATTTCCGGCGGAGAGAAGCAGAGGTTGGCAGTTGCGAGATTATTGCTCAAAGATCCGCCGATCTTGTTTTTCGACGAGGCGACGAGCGCGCTCGATGTGTATACCGAGACGGAGTTGATGAGGAATATTAATGAGGCTTTGGTCGGTGGTGGAAAGACGAGTGTCTTCATTGCGCACAGGTGAGTTTTGCGGGGCAGTAGATGGTGTAAGGGGCGGAGGAGAGCTGATGGGCTAGATTACGAACCATCTCGGATGCGGATCTGATTATCGTGTTGCAGGAGGGACAAGTCGCGGAGCAGGGAAGCCACGAGGAGCTGTTGAAGATTGAAGGAGGGGTGTATCAGCGTTTATGGACGGCGCAGTTGAGCGAGAATACGAGTTCTTTGACGCCGGCGGGGGCTGGGACAGAGGCGGAGAAGGAAGAGATCTTGGTAGAGAGTCAGAAGAAGTAGATCATAGAGTCATGTCATCTGCTCATCACCTCTACTGTTCCCCTATTCTCACATCCTTCGCCTTCTCCTCCAACTCCTTCACTGCCTCTTCCTCCGCCCCCTTATCCCCTTCTTGCGCCTCCTCCACCTCCCCCGCTGTCATCTTGATCTCCCCTTCTCCGTCCGTCCCGTCCCCTTCCGCCTTGAAGAGGTAGCCTTCTATATAGCCCGCGATCTCTTCTTTGCCCTCCCCGTGGAAGAGCGCTTCGGTGAAGGCGTCCCGCTTGGCTCGGTTCTGCTGCTACGTGGGGTCAGCCTTATTCCTTCATCACGCTCGCCTCCCGTCTAAGCTGTCTCCGCGGCCCATGACCATCGAGCGAAGGGGGATTACTCCACTTCGCAGCTTGGGTTAAAGACTCACATGTAATAATGGTAATCCCCCGCCCTTCTCTTCTGGCAACTCCGACAACAGCTTGACAACAGCCACTTGGTTGTTCAAGATAGCCCAATGTAATGGTGGAGATCCGGCAGTATTTGTCTGCTGGAGGAACGAAGGTGGGAGATGGGGGAGGAGGGCTTGTAATATGTCTGTTGGGGTCAGCTTGGCGTCCACTCGCACCATTCAGGAAGGTGCGGAGGGCATAGCTGAGGGGGACCCACCGATATGTCCGTTGGCACAGCACATGTGCAAAGCCGTATTTCCCCTATTATCCCTAGCTTCCACGATGGCCTCCTCTCCAAACTGGCTGATATACGCCTGCACCTCCTCGAGCTCGCCATATCGGCACGAGAGGAGGAACTCGTCTGATTCTTCCGCGCTGGGCTTTGTCGAAGGCATTTTCGCTGTTATTCCGAATTCGGTTATAGTATATAGTGGGGCTTAGGACAGTGGAGGTGCTGATTGGAGGTCGGGTGCGAGGGAGAAGTAAGTCGGATGCTCAAACTTGTGCTCAAAGCGCTCAAAGTTGGCTTGCTGGCCTGAGTGAGCGGCAAAAATCTCGCTTCCGTCGGAACCCGATGAGGACCATTACGTCACTGGTTGACTGGACGCGCTCGACGATCTTCAGCGCTTCAGCCAGCGACACTTTCCGCCTTTCTGCCTGCGTACATCATCTAGCCATAGCCATGTAGACCAGCTACAATATGGTCAAAGCTACAGCACCCAAGAAGAAGCCTTCCGTAGGCTCCGGATCAGGATCCGGATCTGGCTCTTCCATCCTCAACTTCTTCGCCAAGGCTCCGGCTACACCAACTACTGCCGGTCGACAGGCCACCCCTGCGTTCGTCAAGGTCGAGGGCGGGGGTCCAGCCAAAGTACAAGGACAGGAACAGGGAGTTATGCGGACTAGCTCAGCTAGCAAGAAAGGAAAGGAGAAGGAGGTGTATGGCAATGAGGCAGATCCTGTCGTCATCAGCGATGATGAGATGACTGGTGATGCTTCTTCCGTCGTGACCCCTGCACCCAAGGCGCCGGTGGTGAGGAAAGAGAGCGGATTGAAGAGACGGAAGATGTCTCCTCCCCGCCCTTCACCACCGCTGCCCTCGGAAGTCATCGAGTTCGATGATGATGGTGGGATGTTCGAGGAGTTGGAGTCACAGCCTCAGGCTGGGCCTTCTCGTCCCCGGCCTCGGCCTCGGTCGATCTCATCACCGCCGCCACCGGTAAAGCCCCCTCCGTTCGCCAACGTACCGGACTTTCAGCCACCGCCGACCTGGCCAGAGATCATCAATACCGCCCCGGACCCTGCTGAGGAAGAGGGCGAGGACGGGGACGAGCACGATAGGGATGACGACTCTATAGCGGGACGGGATTACGATCACCTCCTCGACTCGGACGATCCTGACGAGGGGGACGAAGGAGACGGGGAGGAGGATGCTGATGGGAATCGATGCGAAACAACAATCCTGGACCTGGAAGAAGCAGAAGCGGAGGAGATCGTCCCTCTTGATCAGCCACCTGGACCGCCGGGTAGGCGTCAGCCATCCCCAACGGGCAGTATAGGTCTGAACATGGGCGGGTTGAATCTTGATATGGAGTGGGGAGAGGATATGGAGGAAGGTATGGGGATGGAGGATTTCGGAGCGGAGGAGGGGTTTGATGGCGAGGTCAGAGAGACCGAGGGGGTTATTGGGAAGAGGAAGACCAAGAGCGGCGCGGCTGTACCGGCTGGGAAGGGGAAGGGAAAGAAGGCGGAGGAGAAGGTGGATAAGTGTCCGATGTGCAGGATGAACATGAAGGGCAAGACGAACACCGTAAGTATCACCTTGCAAACTCTGCTTCCCGTATACTCTGAGCTGATTACTAGGTGGTCCAGAAACACATCAATTCGTGTCTCGACACCTCCTCCAAATCCAACTCAAAGTCTAAACCCACTTCCCGCCCCATATCATCCTTCAACGCCTTCACCCCTCGTCCCTCCGCCTCCCCCTCGCCCCCTCCCGACCCAAAAGCCGGCGCCGGTCCCAACGCCTTCTCGGTCCTCATGTCGGGCCACAAAGAGCGGGAGCAATGGAAAGACGCCGAGATTGACCTGAGTCGGAATGGGACCCGGATAGCCGGGAGGCGGAAAGCGCCGTTCTACAAGGTCATGACAGGGATGCCGGTCGCTGTGGATGCGTTCAGGTATGGGGCTGTTCCGAAAGTGACAGCTTATCTGTTATCGTAAGTCTCGACCGTTGGCACAGCAGACGAAGGGAGAGAACTTGGGGCTGATCAGGTAGACACGCGCACTCGGATCATTATACGAACCTGTCAAAGAGCTGGACGCACGGTCCGATCTATTGCTCCAAGACGACGGGGAATCTGATTATACATATGCTGGGTGTCGAGCCGCAGTGGGTGGTAAGTTGGTTGCTGCCATTGCTTGGTATGCGGAGACAGCTGACTCTCCAGCATGGTCTAGATGAAGATATCCCGTTCGAGATGCCCAATACAGGAGGAGTCAAGGTGACCGTCATCGAGGCAAATCATTGTGAGCTCCAGAGCGTGCAGCAAAGGGAACGCGTATGCTCATGTTACAGGCCCCGGCTCGTCCATCTTCCTCTTTGAAGGTCCCCAGACCGTCAACGCCGGTGATGGCGGCTTCCGCTCCCCCTACGTCGGCTCCAAGCGGATCTTCCGTTACCTTCACTGCGGTGATTTCCGAGCGTGAGCATCTTCGTTTTCACCTCGCAGCCCCAGCTCACGCTCTAGATGCCCCAAGATGGTCCTCCACCCCGATATCGCCCGCGCCAAAATCGACACGTGCTACCTCGACACCACCTACCTCAACCCCAAATACTGCTTCCCGCCCCAACCTCAAGTGATCGACGCGTGCGCTCAACTCGCCCGGAAAGTCGTCGTTGGTCTCCCTGACACTGCGCCCCCACTCGTCGACCTCAAGCCGCCCATCTTTGACCAAAAGCCCGATCTGGATGATAATGGGGATGTCAAGCCCGATCTAGGCGGCGGAGTGGGCAAATTTGAGCCGGTACTTGCTGAGCAACAGGCGGAGGAGAGGGGGAAGGCGATGATGAAGGATTGGTTGGTCAATGTCAAGGCTGAGGCGGGTGGCGGGGACACTAAGGATGGCGTGAAGACGGAAGGGGAAGAATTGGTGGAGATTGATAGGAAGCCGAAGGGGCGGACTCTGGTGGTCATGGGTACCTACTCAATCGGGAAAGAACGGATCGTCAAGGGTAAGCTATCTCTCGCCTCTTTCTCTTCAGGCATAGAGCTGATATCCCAGCCGTCGCCAAAGCCATCGGATCCAAGATCTACTGCGACCCCCGTAAAAAGGGTATCCTCCTCTGCGAGACGGATCCCGAGCTCCACTCGCTCCTCACGTCCGATCCACTCGACGCGCAAGTCCACCTCCTCCCGCTCGGCAATATCCAGCTGGACCGGATGCAGGAATACCTCGTCCGTCTCCACCCGCACTTTGATCGCATCCTCAGCTTTCGGCCGACAGGGTGGACATATTCCCCGCCGGCGGGCACGGATCTGATGCCGGATGTGAATATGGTGATTCGAAGGGATCAGAGTCGGTGGTTTACCGATGCGAGTCTGAGGCCTATGCGGGGGAGCTGCAGGCAGTTTATGATGTATGGTGAGTCGGCATATAGTGGGGATTGGGGAGGAGAGTGAGAGGATGGAGCTGATGAAGCAGGCGTACCGTACTCGGAACATTCGAGTTTCTTTGAATTGACTTGTTTTGCGTTAAGTCTGCCAGGACCGGATGTCAAGATGATCGCTACGGTCAATGTGGGGAATGAGAAGAGGTGAGCTACCCATACCACTTGCACTGAGGGCATGAGGTATAGACGCTAATTCTAAAGCCGGGCGAAAATGAAGAAATGGTTCGAAAAGTGGCAGGCGGAAAAAGCGAAGCGGAAAGAGAAGAAGTTGCCTGCGATTGTTGATTACAGGGATATCACATATGTGAGTGGGGCTCTTGCTGACTGGGAGTAAGGGAAGGCTGTGTGAGGTGGCTGACATCGCAGTGGTAATCGCTCAAGCTGGATGTTTACTCGGACAGGGCCGGAATATTGATACTGACCGTTCCTGCTACTGATACCGCTGATATCTCTGTGTATCCGGGATCCCCATTTGCTGGCTGCACGAAACGTGGCATGACCACAGCTCCATCTCCTCTGTCCTGGCCATGAGCGCGGGTCCATCTGCAAGGCCACCCTGGCTCCCTGCCTGCTTCATATGTCCGCTGTTCGCCATATATATGGCTTCACGACGTATGCGTGTCTGCGTCATGCATCGACAACGACTTGCTTTGAACGCTAGTCCTGCACCCAGTCTACCGCGTGCACTCCCCTCTGGTAGGTCATGGGCCTCATCAAACGTCGGGCGGCGGTAACGACAATGAGACGTCTCGATCTAGATTGGTGACACTAATGACGCGTATGACTGCTTCGTTGCTGCTAAATTCAAACGCGATCGGTCTGCCTCTCCTTTCTGCTGACAGATTCAAACGCGATCGACCAGCATATCCTTTGCGTCGATAAATTCAAACGCGATCGACCAGTAAATTCAGTAGTCCTTTCAAGCTACGCCCCTGCCTCCAGGCCAACCAGGTGCTCGAGGCAGGTACAAAAGGCCGCCCTCCAGCGATCGATATCTCGCCACCACTCTGTTCGATCACTCATCAAGAAGACTCCCCACAGATGAGTGCTCTACGAGGTAAGGCTGCCGGACATTGAGCACTGATGAGCACTGATGGCCAGATCAATCCGACGACAATGTCAGCACGGCGAGCGTTGAGAGCGTTGATGGCCCTCCAAAACTGACGCTGACGTACTCACAGCACGAGGGGTCAGCTGATGGTGGTGATGGTGTCTGCCAGGTCATACAATTACCATCCAACCAGGAGATCATCAACCGCATCATCTCGCGGTGCAGCATCAACGGCAGCGGGCACATGTCGATGCACCTCAGCCTCCTCACGCTCCCGGGGGAGACAATGGATTCCGCTATCAACCGGTACAATCAGAGCTCTTCCGACAATCCGGACTTCCTCAAGTTCACTACAGCTACCCATAGAGACTACTCATTATGGGAAGAGGTCGCCAAGGATCATCCACTGGTTCACAAAGACACGCAGAAACCAAACGGGGAGACGTGTGATGTGGGCATCATCGCTGTCGTACCTCTCCTGACCCTTTCAAGCTTCGGTGACGAGATCTGCGGGTCGATGATTGGCGATGTCACCGACCCGACCTCAATCCAGGTGGCAAGCAAATCCACAGCCACGGAGGAGTTTGTACGACTATGGAGGCTCAAGGGCGCTGCGCCAAACGTTGAGTTGCAACTTTACGATGTTCAACCTCTCCCTCCATTGAGTGACACCAATCTGGAGCAGCGCAGTCACGGCTTTGCCAGCCCAGGAAGCACGACGCAGGAGCAGGACGCGGACGAGCTGTCGAGGCCTCCTGCGTGCGACGCGGCATCTGGACTCTCGGATCATACACATGATACGCTCGAGAAGACTTCAACCCAAACGTGGATGTCCGAACACGCTTTCCAGGCTGGATATACTCCGCTCGCGGGGGTACGCTTCGGTGGCGAGGAATACTCCCTCCGTGGACCGATTCCTTACGACAAGGACACCTGGGTGTGCAGCCCGCCTCGAGTGTTTTTTCGACTGACCATTGGGGCCGAGGAGTGGCGGGAGGCGGTCCCTGTGCAACGCGATGATGGGCAACTTCTGATGTGGATGGTGGAGAGGGTCGCATGTAGCGGAGGGATGAGTTTATTTTGGCCGGCATTTGTTATTGTTGATGACACACTTTCAAGGATTGCTGACTTGATATCTGACCGCTGCTACTTCGTAGTTGCCCACAGCGCATTATCTGGTATCCACCTCGGTCGCAGGCGACGTGCAAAGGCACATACCCTCCCGTTCAGTCTTGAGCGGCACGTATCAGCCTTCCCAAGCACTCAAATATCGCCCAAGAAGCACCAGTGTAGGCATCTTCAGGTTTACTGATGAGGCAATATCACGCCATATGAGTGGTACCGTCACGCCGCCCTTCGAGAGGGCCAAAGCCACATGGAAACCGTCATTTAGGTCAAGGATCAAAGGAGCGCTCACTCTTGCTCACCTATTGTTCCGCCAGGTGTTGCGCATGCCGCGGTCATCGCGGTGCTAGCGTCTCTTCTACATCACTCTCCTCATTTCTGCCACCTCACACATCTGGTTCCCCTCATCTACCCCGATCATTAGCCCAGGACGCAAGAGCACCGTTACAACGCCAAGAACATGAGCCCATACGCAGCCGTCATTGAGCGAAGGGGCAGACTCCCGAGTCGGAGCGTCAGACCGCGATCGGATCGCCAACCCCTCGTCACCATCACCCAAGAGGATCATACCGCCGCAGATGTCATCGTCAGCTCATACTTCTCTGACCCTCTGCCGCCCAGCGATGATCCTTACATACAGGCGCTCTACGCAGAGCACTTCCCCGAGGAAGGACGCTTGTATGACTTCCATCCGGCACCCACTGGTCTCGACACGCACTTCGCCTTGCGAGACGTCAGTGCTCGAACCAGATCGCACATCTACCCCGTTTGCCCGACCAAGATGTTCCCGGCGAGCGATACCAGACGGACCGAAAATCTTCAAGGCTCAAATTTCCTGCTGGGAACGGTGAGAACTCTGGCAGAAGTGTCTGACGCGATGACTGCGCAGTCCTCCGATTCAGGCTCAGAAATGGCGCTCTTTGACCTGAAGATCCTCCCCGAATTCAGCAGCATCGGCTGGGATCAGTTCGGCGATGGTCTGGAACGCTTTGCCGAGTTTCCCGCGGTCAAGCGCGGTGACCCAGGGAGTCTGGCGATCGTTCTGGAACCATTCCAGTCCCACGACCAGCGTTCCATGACGCTCGCTGAAGCGTTCATGTCTGCCGATCCCACCACCGGAAAGAGGTACATGCAGACAGTCAGGGACAGCGGGAGTCTCAAGAGCGTCAAGACTGCCAGCCTGGGATCAGCGTTCGTCAATGTGGTGTACGGCCCAGGAGATGGTGAGCGAGTACGCAGCAAGCAGCCCTGCGAGATCCGGATGGGTCTTCACTTGTTTCCCAAGGAGGTGTGACAGGGTGACGAGAAGACAATCGATGGCCGTTCGAGCGGGTCGTCCACCCTTTTGGGGTCGCTGAAGAGGAAGCTCACGGGGAGATCTAGCTAGCTGCCAGATATCGCTTGAGATCGACGGCAGCTGTCAATGTATGTGTGCGACTGATCACGATGAGGTCGATATAGTGTCGCGATCACAGTACTTTCGATAATAGCGCTATCGTGGTAGATCAGATTCTATCATCTTCTAGTCTGAACGAATGCGGCAAGGCAGATCGTGAAATGCTTCATCGCGAGTAGCAGCGGAATTATACTTCAGAGTATACTCGTCGCTAGCCTAGCTGAGTGAATCGTGTATGCGTAGCGAGCCAGGCCGTGGCAATAAGGCCATAACGCCTGGAGCTGAAAAGCAGGAGAGGCAGAGGGAGATGCGTACAGACGCCAAAGTGGCAGGGTGGCCTGTCGCGTCAAATGGGACCATCCAGCTGCATTCTGATGACTCAGGGCGATGCTCCCCTCGAACGAGAGCACATATTACGGTGGCAAGCGAGTCTTTGAGTGATGCGCGGCAGCTCTCTCTGGGTCGCCAGGGTGGCGAGTCCCCCACCCTGTCCATCAACGACGATGTCTGTCTCGCTTACCAAAGACTCAAAGGAGAAACGGTCACGCCATATGGCTTCGACATGTGCAAGGTGTAGCATGAGAAGGCGCCCTCCCTCTCTTCCCCTTGTCTACGAACTCGAACTGCATCAAAGAGGGCGCGATCACGCCATATGACCTCTAGAGCTGCACATCGGCGCAGAAGAAGGCACGCTGCGCGATCTATTGGTCTTGCAGATATCCTCTATTACCTTACACACCGCTGCCATATAGGGCCACGCTTTGATCTGCTAATTTCCGCCTTCAAGAGACCCACTCATCGATCCGAATACAATCCAGCCCCCCTCGACCATCTGTTCAAACATCAACATCATGGCCGATCTTAGCAGGGAGCGAAGGGTCAGTTTTCCGGTATGTTCTCTCCCTCAATCCTCGCGGGCTCTACCCTGTATGTCCCCAGCTACATGGAGCGAGCCCATGTCCAGCCACATTCTCGGGGCGACCTGGAGCGGGCTGTTGACAAGATGCGAGACACCCTTTCCACCAGGGCTCAGGATGGTCGCGTCGGTGAGAGGACCTGGGCTCTACTGAAGACATACAACCATCGAAGCCAGAGTTTTATGCTCGAGCGTGATGACCTTGATCGCTATTTCAAGCGCTCGAGGATCGCCAAGCATTTTTCCGGCTCCTCGTTTCCCGTCATTGTCGTCGACATGTCGTCCCGCTCGGGCGGGTCCCGCGGCGTTGCCCTGGAGGTGGATCCTACGCGCGGGAGCACGCAGCTTTCCGCCGCCCTCACCGACTACCCCGTCAAGACGACAGTCTGGGAGGACGGTGCAAAGATCGAGATGGATGCTCATCTCGACTTGTACCCCGAGTTCCTACTCGACTGGGAAGACTTTGGACCTGACGCTTTTGACAAATTCGCAGCGTACGTCGCAGATCATGGCGATCCTGCTTCACTCTGCGTGAGACTCGAAGACATTGACGTCGAGGACGATCTGTCGCGATCGCATGACCTTCGGAACACCCAGACGATCTCACAAGCCTTCAGCCAGACTTCGAGGGACAGCGATGAACCGGTCATCAACGTCAACAAGAGGGGCAATGGTCTCACGAGTGACAGAACTCCGCATTTGGGGTCTGGGGTCGCCTTGCTTCACTTCGGTGACACCTTCATCCGCACGCGCTCGCTCAGGGTTCCAGTCAGCCTTACAGTACAGATCCATCCAGAGGGGCCTTCCGAGACAAGCACGAGTGAAAGCGTCAAGAGAGTGGTGAGAAGTGTGCTGGCCGAGTTGGGGAAGCTGGTGTCGTGATGGATCTGTGCTTTCGTAGGCTCTGAGGATTAATGAAATGTATATACATGTATACATATGGCGTGACGAGTACACAGCGCCAATCCGGGACAGAAGAAAGAACCTGAACCCGATGGCGTGAATCACATGACAACTAGTTGTTAGACGCGTAAAAGCTGGATCGAGTCCTGAGCATCTTACGCCACTTGAAGGCCTGGTCTTCTGCCTCGTTAAAAGCTGTCTCATACGACGCCACTCTGATCACATCATACTCCTGATAGTCCCATCTGGATATTCCAACGCCTTCAGGCCAGTCTAGTCGTCGAAGAAGACGGACGACAAGATCAAGGCTGGAGTGAGTCGTGTCTTGGGCGAATCGGCACTCTGATACATTGTGCTGCCCCGTGTGCCGTCTTCTGGCGCCTCATGCATGATGTGACATGATCGCGGTAGACGGAAGGCGCGATGTGTGACAGACGCTATCTCTGCACTAAGAAGCAAAGCAAGAGCACGTGCACTGCACAACACGACATCGATCGCGGTAGGGCTGCGAGCGCACCTTTCATCTTTCGATCTACGCCTATCGGGACGTGCGCACAATCGGCGTTCAGCCCGAGCAGCTCATGGTGTGATTTTTGATGACACATAGCCGTTCCTTTGAGTCACACCGCGACAAAGCACACCATATCGGCCAGCAGGCGAAGGGGCGAGCGGGCGTGGAATATATAAACCGCCTCTCAAATTGCAACCCTCACTCATCACTCATCCTCCGTACTTCCGTTGCAAGTCTATCAATTCCTTATGGCTCCTTCCAGCAACACCCAAGACCCTTCCGGTCGCAGCCAAGGACCAGATCGTCGAGGAGGGTTCGGGTCCACGCACCACGACCAATCCAGTCGCACCGCAGCCACACCTCTCGTGGACGGGCTATCCCCCTCTCAACTCGCGCAGCATCTCGGCGGTATGGAGCGCGAGCTGTCCTTCCCTATGCGCGACATCCCTCTCAACCGTCAGACGCCTTTACTGAGCAATTTTGGCTCGAGGGAGTCGTTCAATCTCCCTGATACTCTTCTCGACACCGAGATCGACCTGGTGAGACTGTGTCGAAGCCTGCAGCACTGGACTTACCCGGTGTGCGTGGACCGCTTGCTCATTGACGAGGGTGGGCACACGGTGTCCAGACTGGACTTGGGCCTGGATTTGTCCTGCAGCAAGGCCGAACAGAAGCAGGAAATGGGTCGGGTCAGGATCAGCGAGAAGAATTCCACAAGATCCAAGATCGAGTTCGTGCCGGAGCTTTGGCTCGATCTGTCACAGGGGCTCACCGGCTGTAGCTCGGTGGACTTTGATCCCGCCGCATACAAGGCTCTCACAGAGCATCGGCTCGCCAAAGGAGATGTCAAGTCGCTCCGAATGCGAGTGGGGGACATCGTCCCCGTGACCGAGTCGATCAAGTTCTCGGAAGCATTCAGCCAAAGTGACGCGCGCCAAGGTGGCGGGAGAACAGTCGACATGGTCAAGGACGGAAATGCTTTCACTGCTACGCGGAGAGTCCCATTGGGGTGGGTATACAAGGCTACCCTGGCGTTCGGACCGCCCCGCGAGGGTGCCACCATCTTCAAGTCCTCGAAGGATTGGACAGAGCTGGACCTTGTCCTGAAGCTGCGCCCAGTGTCGAGGGTGAGCCCCAGCAAGTACGGTGACTTGTTGAGGCAAACCAGGAGAGGCCTGCGGAGTCTGATCGAGAACATCTAGCACGATGTCAGCGGCGTGATATGCGCATCCCTTGTCCTGTGTCCATCGATATGCATGAATCTGCTCTTGCCATTATTGTACGTGTGCGCCTCGCCCTGCTTGGCCTCGTCTTTGCAGGTATGGCGCCACTCTCAGCGTGCCACAATCCTCGCTCCCTGTGTCGTAGATGACACGTGGCTTTCCGCCGAGAACTCGCCGGGCCGCACGATCGTCCGCTTCCGTGCCTCACTCGGCGATATCGGCTTTCCGGCTGATGATAACGTTCTCGTCCGGTCCGACAATCATCCGGTGTTCCCGACCCCATGATCGACGCTCGAAGCGTGGCGCTTAAACGGGTTGCCGATGCCGTTTACCGCTCCGAACGGTCCGGAGAGGCTTTGCATGTGCTTGCTGCGGCGCCGGGCCTGGTGAATGTGTGGAGCCATCGTCTGTGTGGGGTTCAGCATGCAGCTTCCTCTTGTCTTTGTCCATCCTTCATTCTGTCAACTAGCTGTATCCTCCTCTGTTGTCTCTACTCGTTGTACTACCCCATGCTTGGTTGTACTCGCCCCGAACGATAGCATTAGCCATAGCGATAACCGCCCCTACCCGCCTAATTACGCGATAAGGCTTTTTCAACCGCCTCGCGACTGCGCCTGCCTCTTGCTGCGATAGCAAAGCCCAGCAGAGGAGCGAAACTCCTGTGCATACAGGTCTCGTCTACACTGCATACACGGTTCACCGGTCCTCGCTTCACTTGGAAGGTCGTCCCATCCCCCACGTCCAGCGGCCTCGCGAGACGTGCACCGCTCGGAATATCCACGCGTCATCGCCGCACCGGTGACTTTGTATAAAGCACCTCCTTTGGTCCTTCCTACCTCGGCGGTCAATACTTGCTTTGTCGCGCTCGCCACTAATACTCATACCCACTTTCCCATTGTCGACTACATCTTCAACAGGAGGACGAAGTCAATAATCAACATTGACATCGTCATCGGTCACCACACCCAAACTGCGCATTCGCATTTTCGCCGCCTCGGTAATTTCAACCCCGTGATCGGTTTCATCCTCCCCCCTTCATCGACCAGCCCTCCAAATTTCGGTTCAGTCCCGCGCAGACTGTTCGCAACTCATCTTCCCCCTTCATTATCGCATGTCTACCATCCAGCGCTGGAGGTAGCAAGTGATACTGTGTACTGGCGTTACTAGGAGAAGGAGACGGGAATAGAACAGGGAGTTGTGTGTGTCGTCGTTGGTGTTGTGGTCTATTTGGTACGTCATAATTTCCCCCCAGCCTCGTTTTTTCGACCCGCCGCTTGCGCCCCACACACACCCAAAAGCCTCTCTTTTCTCTACTCCGCCTTCTGCCAGAAAGAGCAGCTGTCTGATACCCCAGCTCAAAGCACCTAGCCAAAATGGACAGCATGTTCTTCAATGACTACTGCATCGTGTGCGACCGGGCGATTGTCGCGCCAAAAGAGCCGGACGTGGTCGTGCCAGTCAAGAAGAAGGTCGCGGGTGGGATGATCAGGGTGAGCTTGCCCCTTCACATTCTCGTGTTGTGCTCGCAGGACTGACGCGCCAGGTCAAGAACCCAGATGGTACAGTCACCACACGTACCGCCAACGGGACAAAAACCACTCGTCCCCCACTCAAACGCGGTCCAAATTCAGCGAATCGTCTCGCCGCCGTCGCCGCTGCAAACAACACCAATGTCCCCAAGTTCCAACCTCTCACTCGGTCCAAGACCGCCGATCCTGCCCCTCCCAAACTCTCAGAGCGGGAGAGAGATCAGGCCGACTCTCCGGAATCGGCCACTCTCAAAACCCCTGCATGTCCCCCAGCCGACAAGGACACCTCCCCCTTCGTTTCCCCCATCTACTGCTCGCGCGCATGCGCCCAGCTCGAGGCGGACCGGTCGTCCGATCTTGCCCGCAAGATGTCATACGACTCGGGACTACACCTCGTAACTTCCGGTCTACCCATCTCTGGGTCCGGCTCGCGGAAATCACCATATGGTCCCCCCTCCCCTCTCTTCATCTCAGGCTCGGAGAGCTCGTCCTCGAATCTCGAAGCGGACGAGGCGAGACGCGCGGCCGAAGCTGCCAGCTCGGCGCCAAACGTGCAGTCCTTCTTCCACATGCACCGGAATGCGGATGAGGCATGGCGCGATGTCAACCGTCAACGGCGATCATCGGTCCATCCCTCTTTCCGGCCCAATACCGCCGCGGCGGTCGAGATGGCGCGGAACCGGACACGGTCCACGTCCAGTTTCTCCGCGGCCGGCCCGTCCTCGGACAGTCTGCAGATGATGTGGAACGGGGAAGAGCAGTTTGGGCGGTCAGTCAGCGGAGCGGGCAGGGCGAGGCGGACGCCCGCTACAGAAGTCGCGCAGCCCGGATGGCCGATCGCTAGCTCGCTGCACAACACTACGGCACCGGTCGCTATCCCCGCGGAATTCGGATCGGCCCCGCAACACACTCTCAACCTTTGGCATTCCTACCATAATGCTCTCGCGCGGGATAGTATCAATATCGGGACTGGTACCTCTGCGCGATCATCTATCTCCCACCCCCATCCCCACGCACTCGGCTCGACTCCCACTCCTCCCCCGCAGAACCCCGGTCTTCCCTCTCGGCGCCCTAGCCACACCACTTCTCGGCGGCCAAGCCACACCACCCCCGCAGGCTCCACGACCCTTCAGCGTCCGATGGGGGGAACGATTCGCGCCAAGTCCAAGACGGACGTCACGTGGGATTCGTTTGGCCTGGACGAGGTCAATGCGTCCAAGAGAAGGCAAGAGAGGATTTCGGGCGTGGAGCAGACGGGACGGACACCGAAGCAGACCATCCAGGTCGGGGAGAGGGGATTGACGATTCAGTACTCGTCCCCGCCCAAGATGGGTCGGAGGGAGTCTCACCAGCCTCGCACTCAGTCCACTGTCGCGGTCTCGGCGGCGGAGACCCTACACCCCGGCGCACTGGCTATTCCCCAATCGGCTCATGCGGGCTCGGCAACATCTCCCGGTCGGACACCTACCAACATGCACCCTCACCGGTCCAATACGGATATTCCGGACTTGGCGGCCCTTCGGCTCGGCGCGACCTCGTGTGCCATGTCCAGCTCTGCCAATGCCAATGGTACGGGGACTGGGACTGGGAGCACGCAAGGGACGTCGGGACCCAAGCCTACGTGGAACTGGAACAAGTGGGAACAGGCGGGCGGGAGAACGTATACTGTGCCAGAGGGGCTGGCGAGGGCTACCAAGGCGAGTGCGAGTCAGGGGAAGGCGGGGTTGTTCTTTTTCAAGTAGGGGCGAGAGTGGAGGGCAGAGAGAGGAGGCCGGGGAGAGGGGACTGAGGGATGATGAGGAGGAGGAGGATATGGCATGCGAGAGATACCACCGGTCTCGAAAATACCAGTACTACCAGCCAAACCGACAAACAACAACCTAAACGACCGACCACAACCATATCAATAGCCATCACACCCGCCACCACATCGTCATCGTCACTATGTCTATAAACACCCATAACATCATCGTATCGGTCCGGCGGGAGCCATATAGGAAGAGGGGGATGGGGAGAAGAAGCGGGAAGAGACTCAGCGAGGCAAAGCGAGAGAAAGAGAGTTGTAGTCTATAGTCATACATAGGCTCGTTGTAGTCTAAAAGCACACCATATAGCATTGTCTAGCATAGCATGTATCGTCATCATCAGATTGGGTCGTGCATGGTCTGACGTCTGCTACAGCGCTGGGTGAGAGCTGGACGAAAAGGCTCAAGATGATTGGCTGTCTTGGTGCCACATTCACGTGAGCCGGCGAAGGCCGCTGCCGCTGTCAACCTTGGTGGTCGTGGTGGTGAATCCGATCGACCATGGTTGGTCCACCCATACCTTCACCCTATATCCTCTAGCATATCCATTTAAGCCGAGCGACCTAGCGGAGACATATAGGCGTACAGCGTCTATACTCTTCTAGACTCTCCCGAGAATCCAGCTCGGATTGGACAACTCCCGCCTCTAATCCCCAGAAAACACGAGGCATCATGTCCCGCTCGATCCGCCACCTCCTCCCCCTCGCCCAGGCTCTCCGGGCACCTACCGCACCCCGCTCGCTCTCCCTCGCGACGCGTGTGTCCGTAGCCTCGCCCGCCTCATTCCGATCCCTCCACTCAACCCCCTTCCGCCTCCTCGCGACCCCGCAGACCGGACCCCAGACGGTCTCGTCCGGCCCTATAAAGACGCCCAACCCGTCCCAGACTGCTAACGCCACGGGCGCGTCGGCTGGGTCATTGGGGAACAAGGGCGGACCCGGATCGGCTACGGGTGCAGGACAGGGGAGTGCGCTGGGTACGACGGCGAAGGCCGAGTATCCGGATTACAGTAAGGGGGAGAGTGCGCTGGATAAGGCTGCGCAGTTGTTCTTCTTTACTGAGATCTTGAGGGGTGAGTTTTTTGCTTGCAGAACGAGAGAAGGAGTGGGGTCGAAGGGATTGATCGAAAGAGGGCGTCAGCTGATGGAGAGGAATGTGGATTGTGCTGGAGCAATTCTTCCGACCGCCTTATACCATCATGTACCCGTTCGAAAAGGGACCGCTGTCCCCTCGATTCCGTGGTGAACACGCACTGAGGAGGTATCCTAATGGCGAAGAGCGGTGCATTGGTGGGTTTTCCTTCTTCCGCTTCCTCTTCTTCTCCCTCCATTTACACACTCAACTCCACTGAGATGGGATGCTGCTCGCCTTTCAGCTTACTTAAACGTCCTTCCGTCATTTGGATCGTGGAGAATAGCTGATCAATCTAGCTTGCAAGCTCTGCGAAGCTATCTGCCCCGCACAGGCTATCACGATTGAGTCGGAGGCGAGGGAAGATGGGTCCAGGCGGACGACGCGATACGGTATGTTCTCCTCAATTCACCTTGACGCGCTCCGCATCTTTTCTTCCATCTCAGCTGTGGCATTCTGCGTGGAGCTCTGCCCGTAGCTGACGCTGTAGATCTGGATATGACCAAGTGTATCTACTGCGGCTTCTGCCAGGAGGCTTGCCCGGTTGACGCTATCGTCGAGAGTAAGTATCTTCTGGATAGATCATGGCAGGAAGAGGTCGTTGTGCTGATCATTCTTCAGCCCAGAACGCAGAGTACTCGACCGAGACCCGCGAGGAATTGCTGTACAACAAGGAGAGGCTGTTGAGCAATGGAGATCGGTCGGAGGCGGAGATTGCTGCAAACTTGCAGGCTGACCACGTGAGTTGATGTTTCCATCTTTCGTTCCCGAAGAAGAACCAGCAGCTGACTTTGGATAGTTCTACCGTTAAGTTCTCACTCGTGACATGAGGGAATTGGCGGATGTGCCAGAGGGAGCAGGGCGGAATGGGGTATGGGCCAGCCTTGGGGTCCTGCCGTTCATATTGTGTGAGAGCGCATGTATCCGGGGTTCCTATTTGAAGGATTGCTGGCGCCGTGACGTCGACGGCCGGTATGTGGCAGACGATAGGCAAGGACTGCTCGCAAGGCCCAAGCTGTCTGTGCCATAGCTCGCGGCTTGCGCAGCGGAGCGGTAGATCTCCAATTCGCTGGTTCCGCCGGAGGGTGGCGAAACCTTGGCACAAAATTTGCTCGGCATTCCTCGGCACGCATCACACGACCATCGGGCCCCGGCGCACGGTCAGCATCTGCCTATCTCCTGCTTACTTGCTGGACAATGTCTTTGGCAGCAGCAGGGTCAAGCGTGCACTGCAAGATAGAGCTGGAACAGCGCTCGAATGCCGTGGCGGTAGCATGCAAGAGCCGCAGAGTAAGCATGAAGAAGCCGAGAAGGAGAAGAAAGGCGGATTCAGTTGCGTCATCCCATCGACGTCGGCCGCCGGCATGGACAGTCGCGTGCACAGTAGTGTCACTTTGGGTGACATTCCATGCTGACCTTGAGGCTGAGTGCATGAAGATTTGCTAGCCCTTGCTTGACTTACCTCTTATCCCATTGCCAACCTCGCTCAGACCATCTCAGGTGACAAGTCTCGACTGGAAAAGTTGACGTCTGAAACCAGCGATCCATTTGTGCCGGAACTGTCTCGCCGCCGCTCGGGCGAAAGGGAGATTCCTTTATACTCTACGCATCTCACCTCGGTCAAACTTCGACAGCGTCATCCATCTCACAAGCGCTAGCGGTCAGCAACACTCAGCACTCCGTATCCCGAGGCGCGAGGCGACGGCCACGTAGCGCTTTCCTCACTCCGCTCCGTGCCAAGCACCTCCTGAGAGTGTCGCATCATCGCTTGGTAAAGGTACCAAGTACAGGCACCAAGGAGGATGAGCAGGAACAGCATGTCCGCGTCGCCGGAGCGGGCATCCGTCGGGAACGTCGCATCAGGTCTGGGGGAGGGCACGGAGGCCGAGGGTGCGGATGCGGTCGGGTGAGTCTGCTTACCAAGATGCTGTAGAGGAAATGTGCTGATCTATCTCTCTCGCTTCACCTCACCTGTCCCGCACGTCCACTTCCTTTGTATCCTCCGCCTCCGACCCAACCGCCTCCTTTCATCCTCATTCCCCTCGTCCGATCTCTCACTCGACAAACAACACCCCACTATTCTCTACATGGCCGTCCACCTAGCAGACCAAGCACCGTCAATACATCACCTCCATCCTCATCCTCAACTCGTCAACCCCGTCCCAATCGCCTTCGATCCCGCACCTCCACATTCTCATCCACTTTTGCCCCTCCTCTCCCCGCCCTCATGTCGCGCGAAAACTCGTCAGAGGACCTCACTATCCTCCTCTCCCCTCCCTCCGCCGACCCCTCGATGCTCTACGCCGAAACCGAGGCCGGCCCGTCCAGACCGCGGATGGCACGCCAGACGTCCAAGACGCTAGGAATGACCTCGCCCTCTCGGCCCACGGCCACACTGGCGCCTATACGGACGACCAGCTACTCTGCCACTCTGGCCCCCAGGAGCCCTGTCTCTCCCGTTGGGACGGGGCAGAACAAGCGGATAGGGCTCAAGCGGCGGATCTCCACGCCACTCGTGGCGAACCTTCAAGTCGCAGAGGAGGAAGCGGACGTTTACAATTCCATGCCAATGTCGGTCCCCGCACCCTCAAAGCCTGAAGTGCAAAGTCGGGCAAGGGCCACATCGACGAGTTTCGTCAACCCCTCCTCTATCCTGCAGAACGCGGCAGCTACTATCCCTGTTGCCACATCGCCCGTCCGCCCAAAATCGGTCCTACCCCTCCGACCACCCCATATCGCACTCCCCCAACCTGCATTCTCCATCACTCCCGCTTCGCCCGATGAGGAACCTCTCCCCCCTCCGTCTATCTCCATCCTGGAGCGCGCGTATAACACGACGGAATCCTCCCTCCGGCGCTTGACATCCATCTTCCGCCCGCATTCCGATCCGTCGTACACTCGAACTAGGCGCGGATCGGACGATGGGGACTCGGAGAAGGGGCTAGGGGACGATGAGTCTGCGGAAACCACAGCGAGCTCGTCTAGCACCCGAAGGAGCAGCGCGGAGAAGGGCGGATACTGGGGATTGTGGGCAAGCGAGGAGAAGCCTGATGGGGAGGGGTACTTTTCGCTCCCGCCTACACCGCCAGAAGACCTCTCGACGTCAGCGGCTCGGTCGACCGAGTTTGAGCTTGCCCTGCTCGAGGCGAATGGAAAGATCGCGTCGTTGCCGACACCGGCTGTGTCGGCGCATTCGCTCAGTCGGCGCCGGGGCAGTCCGGAGCGTGCGAGAATGAGGGGGAGGGCAAGCGAAGGGTGGCTGAGGGGTGTATTGACAGGATGGGTCGGTGGAGCCGGAAGGGGCAAGACGGGCGCTGTGATGCGGGAATTGGGATGGATACTGGGGGTGTTGATTCTGGGGTTTATGGCGAGCTTGGGAATGGCGTTATGGCTGTTGAAGGGGTTACCAATGTGAGTAACGTCTTGTTGCGATTAATCGTAGCTGACGGTCAGAACAACGCTCCGCCACCTCCCCAAATCCAGTACCGACCTCCAACTCCTCTCCGCCGAGATCAGGACATATATGAACTCGAGCGATGCAGGGTGGTGGCATACCGTTCTTGTCCTCACGTTCGTCGGGTGTTGGAAACACGCTTGGTCTGTACCAGGAGCTATCGTCTTGGTAAGTTCAGTCTCGTTTTGGCCGAGCGGAGCGATGACTGACGCCCAGAACATCCTTGTGGGGTCACTCCTCTCCCCTCTTCCCGCCGTCCTCCTCCTTACCATCATCACAGCCACCGGCTCGCTCGGGTCGTACCTCCTCTCCCGCCCCCTCGCGCCCCTCATCGCTGTCCTCTTCCCCAAACCCCTATCCCTCGTCCGCGCTGCCCTAGCGCCCGACTCGACACCTCCCTCATCCCTCAATCCCGCCGCTCCCACATCCACCGAGCATGTCACTCCCATCATCACAGACCCAACAAGCCCATCCAGCGGAGGGAGCGTATGGCGCCGCCTCCTCATCATGCGCGCGATGGGCTTCGTACCCTGGTCAGGCATGAATGTCGCCTGCGGCGTCGTCGGCGTCGACTGGCGGACATTCTGGTTGACTACAGCGGCAGGATCGGCCAGTTGGTCCTATACCACCGCGTCGATCGGGGACCTTCTCGCTCGGCTCGCGATCCCCTCGGCTGGCTCTACTGGGACGGAGACGGAAGGCGAGAGTCTGACGGGGATGTTGAGGGATCCGGTCCTGTTGGCGAAACTGGCGTTCTTGACGGGGTTGACGCTGGTTCCTGTGTTCCTCAAAAGGAAGAAGGGACAGGCGGATGCTGCTGCCGCGGGAGAGGGAGAGGAGAAGGTCCCGCTGGTTCTCAACTCGGAGACGCCGTTATCGCCCACCAGTCCGAGCTCAGCGCTCGCGCAGTCATTGGCGAGGTTCACGCCTACTCCCGCGGCGTTTGATATCCTGAGTTTTGGGCGGACGATTGTTAGGACCGGAGTGGGGGCGGCTGGCACGGGGATGAGGGCGGTGGGAGGTGTGTTGGGAAGAGTAGGGGGCAGATAGGACAAACATCGGGCGTATGTTGGGGATCAGGTTGTAGCTATAGTTATGCAGAGAAGGAGGATGGATCTGGATCGCAAGAATCATCTCATATGGTGCTGCGCTCGACCTGCCTTGGATGGAGGCTGGCGATCTGAAACCCGGAGGCTTTAACTTGAAACACGCTACCCCGCACTGCATGTCATCTTGTGCCTGGGGAATGCGCTCTAGTGAGACTTGTTGATAGCTTACTATGTCACGCTATAAAAACTCGACTCGAGGTTAAGGGGCGGGCGGTGCAAACAGTAGCCCCATACTGCTTATCTCCACCATTGCTCTACATTCTGACCTCTACTTCTGCTGTCTCTATAGCTTAAGCTGTCAAAAGCGTAGGTCCAGTCCAGTCTTCCGTCCTCCTCGTTGATGCTCGCGCGCGCGTATCCAGCTGATCGTGACAGCCACCCAAGTTGTCACCGCCCCATACCATCACATACCACAAACTGCCATGTCGCTCATCCTCGCATCCCTCGTCGTGGCCATAACAATCTCCCTCCTCCCTCTCTTCCCCGGAGAGGAGGACGAGGTCATCTACCTCCGAAGCTGCAAGCCCGGAGAAGGATGCCAGAAGAACAGGTCGCCCAAGGATTGTGGGTGTTGTCTGGGCAAGGCGGAGGAGGGGAAGACCAAGGAGGAGGTGAAGAAGTGAGCTCATTGACGCGCTCAGAAAATGTAAGTAGATCCAGGGAGACTGGGCGAACATACAGTACGAAGGACGAGAGCTCATGGAGCAGGTGAATACTAGATGAGATACGACCTTCATTTCGAACACCTATTGTAGCTTTACTTTCTCCAATTCTGTCGACATGCATACGCCTACGACATGTCACGACTGTGCCAAATGACAGTGACATATGCCTTTCGCCCTGTCTATACCGACTCCCCAGCTGACAACTCTTCGCCTCCCCAGTTCTCGGCCCAAGGTCTATCATCTCATTTGCCGCGGTTCCCGCAGACGGAGTCAGCCAGCTCACCATCACTGATCATCCTCGTCCGAGCTGGTTGACGTCCCACTGTCACTCTCTCCCTTCTCATCCTCCTCATCCAATTCGTCCTGTAGCCTCTCCCTCAGCTCCCCGAATTCCATCACCCCACAGTCCCTGCACCGATCGTCCAGAGCTTTCAGGTCTGCGATGACGTCCCCGATATCCTCCTTCCTGCTCCTCATATCGTCCAAGATACTCTGCATAGCCGCTTCCACCGTCTGCATCATCGCCGGTGAACCCCCTAGCGGCGGCGTACAGGTGAAAGGCGGTGGCGCCGGACACGCGCTTTCCGCTGGGGCTGCCTCGGGCGGGGCACCGGCGTCAAAGCGAAGCGATCTCAGGGTCGAGTGAGGCGGGGATGGACGAGGGAAGCAGTAGGGTAGTGGCAGCGGGACCAGCGGAGGGCATGAACGATGGTTTGACGAGTGGGCGGGTGAGGTATAGAGCGATAGATGGTGGTGTAGTGCGTGTTGAGTAGCGGGAAACGGCGTCAGCTGACCAGTTCTCTGTGCACTTTCATGCGCTCGGCGAGGAAGGGTTGAATGTCCGGATGAGCAGATGCGAGCTCGAGTAGAAGGACGTAGGCTGAAGTGGCAGATAGAGTTGAGACGGTTTCAGTATTAATTGGGAGGAGTAGTGATGTGGTTCACTCGGCGTAGATTGAGGTGTGGAGACGCTCATGGTGTGTATTGGTATGTACGCAAGCAAGATGTTTGGAGGACGACAGACAGCTTGTGTCCCAGGCTTTCAGATTGTCAGGCTTTCAGATTGTCAATTTTGATGTGAGGAATGAGGAGATTAAGCCAAAGAAGCGAAAAATTTGCACCTCCTCGTTCACCTCTGCCCATCATCTTCATTCATTACCGTATATGATGCAGTACGCCAAATGCCTCATTCGCAGGTAGCGTACACCCCACTCCAAAACTCCCGCACTCCACCTCGTTTCGGCCTGCAATTACCGCGCTTTCGACCGGCGTGTCTCGTATTTACGCTATTTTTCGGCTCAGTGCCGCTCATACTTCTCATCCTCGCCTTGGTCACCTTTATCACCCCCGGCAGTCAGCTCATGCGCCCTTGCCTCCCCTTCTCCCTCAATCGCCTATCTACCTCAGCGCGTACACGGCTCAGCTGTCCCGCTCGACTACAAGCCCCCGCCCTTCCTTTGTCCCTTACTTCAACGTTAAAGCCGATAACCCTATCTTCCACCGCTAGACCATACTCCACGATGCCGGCCCCAGATAAGGAGGTGAAGCCGCCTGTGTCTAGCGCAGACGTCAAGGCGGGCTCGAGTGGAGAGGCGGCCAAAACAGCAGGAAGGCTGCAAGCAGGGGCGGACGAGGGTACGATGGGTCGGCTGGCGGGGTTCCTCGAGAGCCAGAAGAGCGAGTTTCTGGCGGATCTGAAGGACGGCAAAGGCAAGGGATGGGTCATGGTTATGGGCAATGAAGCTGGCGGTATGTCTATATAGCATCTTAAGCTGATCGCATAGACCTCGACTCCCTCGCTTCCTCTATTGCCTTTGCTCAACTCGCGTCATCCCTGCTCGCGGTCCGCACCATCCCCCTCTCACTCACCCCTTCGTCCCTCATGTCCCTCCGCCCTGAGAACCTGCTCGCGTTCAAAAACGCCCACATTCCACTCTCGGTCCTACTCCACCCGGAGACCCTCCCTGTCCCTACAACGGACCTCGCGTCCCTCGGCGTCCGTTTCGCACTCGTGGACCATAACCGCCTCCTTCCCCAGTTCGTCCCATCGTCAGGTGATACCACGGGCCTCGTACATGCCGTCATCGACCACCACGACGATGAGGGTCTTTACGAGGACGCCGAGATCCGGATGATCAAAGTCCCAACCGGAAGCGCGTCCAGTCTGGTCACCAAGCACTTTATGCCGCAGTGGCAGGCTGCGTTGGCGGGCCCGGCGGGAGCAGCGGGCTCGCCCATCCCGAACGAACTGGCAACGCTGCTCATGTCTGCTCAACTTATCGATACGCACGGTCTTAAGATCAAGGAGGGGGGCAAGGCTACACCCGTCGACCTCGACGCGGCGGCGTTCCTCTATCCCCTCACCCCATGGGCGGCTGGCGACTCGGTCACTTCCTCATCACTCTCCACATCCACTCCCAAACCGCTCGCGGAACAGAACTCCCTGCTGTCCGAGGCCAAATTCAACGTCTCGTACCTCTCGACTCACGACCTCCTCTTACGTGACTACAAGGAGTACACCCTCCCCACCGCCTCCTCCTCTTTCCCCAACCTCCGCGTGGGTCTGTCTACCGTCCCTCTCGGCCTGAAAGATTGGCTGGAGCGGGACGGAGACTGGCCGACATACCTCGCTGCCGCAGACAAGTTTACGGTCGAGCGGAACCTTGATGTTGAGGGCGTCTTGACGACTTTCAAGAGCAAGAAGGGCAATTCGAAGCGGGAGTTGTTGCTGCTCGTGAGAGTGGGTGGGGCGCTGGATGATAAGGCAGCCAAGAGGGTCATGGCGGAGCTGGAGGAGGGACTGGCGGGTAACGAAGAGTTGGGGCTGGAGCCGTGGGAGAAGAAGGGGTGGAAGAGGTTTTTGAAGCGCGAGGAACGACACGGGCTGGATGGGGAGGGGCGATATGGTCGAGTCTGGACGCAGGGGAATGCTGGGGCCACGAGGAAGAAGGTTGCGCCTATCATGGTGAGTAGATTGTCTCCGGGAAGAAGTCCGGGATTTCGAGCTGATGGGTACAGAGAGATCTTGTTGCCAAGCTCCAGTGAGCAGTTGGAAGCGGAGCAGCCAACGGATCTGAATAATTACTGTCATATAGATGGGGATGTGTTTTACGTGCTGGGTATGCTCTAGATGTCTATATATTCTATATTAACTTAACGTCCGCCTTCTTTTCGCACTCCGCCTGATGCCCACCCTCGAACACCCAATCCGCCCTCTGACATTCCCGGGAACAATATATCCCCCAATCACACCCCGAACACCGGTACGCGGGAGAAGGCGCTTGCGGGTTCATGCACCTGATACATCAGCTGCTGGCCCTCTGCAAATCGGACACCACAGAGCTCACCATCGACATAGCACGGCACCGTCATATGTCCCCTTCATCAGCTGCTTCGCCCTGTTCAGATCCCACCAGTCCCGCCGGGTCAACTTGTGCCATACCTGCGGTTTCTGGTATGGGTTGTCTCGAGACGTGTGAGTGTACTTGAAGCCATTCCGCTCGCACAGCTTGACGGAGGCTTCGTTCCCCTGCAAAGGGTCGCACTGGGGATCAGCTGGGAACCATGGGCGTGACCATGCCTACCTGACATACCTTGACTTCCACGCAGCCGACATCCTCAATCGCAAACCTGACTACCTCTGCAAATGCCTCGCGCATGATCCCCTTGCCCCAGAGTTGCGGATGGATTTCGTAGAACATATCGGCGGTAAGCTCGGCTGAGGCAGTCTGGTCGAACGACGGGTGCGTCAAAATCTTGCGAGATTTCGGGAGGAGATTGGCTGTTTTTGAGCAAGTCAGATCAAAAGCTATATTGCCTATCCGTCAGCTACGTCTTGGTGACGACGTACCGATATAGCCCTCAGCATTGGTGATCCGATTCTCCCGTTTCAACTTGCTTCCATCTGCCACCGTCACATCCGCAGGATTTCTCAGAGTGATAGCGAAGAAGTACTGCGGCCGGCACTTTGACTGCTCGTCCGGCGCAGGTACACGAGGCATAGACGCGCGAACATAGTTCTGCAAGAACGCATCCCGGATGACCGACTCGTGTGGGGACCCGTACAGCTGCGTCCGTTGAACGATGGGCTCGGTCTTGATCCGCTTGATGGCTGCGAGGTCGGACTCGCTGACTTGGCGAAGGATGAGCCGAGGAGTGTGGAGTGTCAAGGAGGAGCATGACGGAGTCCGCAGGAGTTTGAGGCTGGACTTGAACTGCATCGTCAGCTCGGGGACCGCTTGGTAGGGATAGACGTACAGAGGCATTGAGAAGACCGTACGGTGGGATATGAGCTGTAGGCCGATTCGAACGCAGCTCCTTTGACCAGTAAGCTTGCTCCTCTGTCGTCTCGAGGGGTCGAGGTGGGAGATCAAGCTCGATAGGTCCAACCTGAAAGTGTCAGCTGCTGGTCCAGCTCTTACTGAGTAGCTTACCGCTTTTTTGGGCTTCTTCTTCTTCTTGGAACTGCTTTTTGGCTCGTCTGAATGATGGATGACAGCTGATGATATACCCGCGTGCGACACTCGCGGCTCAGCCTTAGCCTCGGCGATCAGTCCATTGGCGGGAGGGCTGTACGCGATGGCACTGAAATGACTTGCGGACCCAGCGACAACCGCCGACGTCTTTTGGCTCGTCATCTTCTATGAGATTTACAGATGATGATGCCACCCAAGAGGAAACCGCCCCCTCGTGAGTAGACATAGGTGTATCTGATGCGGTACTGTTGCAAAGGGAAAGGTAACAAAGGGAGAAGTTCGGTCGAACTTTTGATGAGGAATGTGCGCACGGACCAGGGCTTGTACGTAAATGCAATCAGCCACAGTACGTAATACACCGCTCGGGCCGAGAAAGGGCCGAGAGCCGTTTGTTGCCGCCCACGCTGACTTGGCTGCGAAGACCATCTCAGCCTATATCATTGGTCACCTGCCTCTGTACATCTCTCCCCCACCTGTGCAGCCACCTCTCGCCGCTGTCGATAGCCCCATTGGCCTCCCCTCGTACCAACACGACCGTCACCAATATGCCCTGCGAAGGCTGCACCTGCGGTCGAGCCGAAGCTGCCCCAACCGGTCGCGTCGAAGCTGGCGGTCTGGCCGGTGCCGAGCAACTCCTCAACCAGGAGCAGGCTGAGGCCGGACAAGACTTGTATGCCCTCCGTGGCTCGCGTTCATTCACTGCTCCGGCCGAATGGATCGAGCCCGTAGAGGGGATCGAGCCGGCCGTCCCGCTCAGGTCCAAGAAGTGGTTCAATGAGCCGGGAGACGATATGGTCGGATGCTATGTCGAGCGCTACCTGAACGGCGGTCTCACCTGTAAGTCTCTCATTCAAGCTCTATAGACGCATGCTGACCCGATAGCTGGTGAGATCATCGCAAGACGCAAGCCCATCATCGGTATCGCCCAGACCGGGTCAGACCTCGCTCCCTGCAACTCACACCACGTCGTTCTCGCCAAGCGGGTCCGAGATGGTATTCTCGCTGCTGGTGGGACACCTTTCGAGTTCCCTTGTCATCCCATCCAAGAGACCGGGAAGCGGCCGACAGCAAGTCTCGACCGGAACTTGGCATATCTCAGTCTGGTGGAGGTGCTTTATGGCTACCCGCTGGACGGCGTGGTCCTCTTGACTGGTTGCGACAAGACGTAAGTGCAAAGCGCGAAACTGGGAGGGCTTTGGCTTATTCAGTAGTACTCCCGCTCTCCTTATGGCGGCTGCTACTGTGAACATCCCAGCGATAGCTATGAACGTCGGGCCCATGCTGAACGGTAAGCGCCGCCTGATATCCGGATACAACCAATGAGCTGACTCTCAGGCTATGCTGGCAACAACCTCGTCGGTTCCGGCACTGTAGTATGGGACGCCCGCAAGGCGCTCTCTGAAGGGCGCATCACCGACGCCGAGATGCTCCGCTTCGTGTCTACCTCTGCCCCAAGGTACGACTCATTCTCCGTCTCATAGCACAGCTGACCATTAGTGTCGGCCACTGCAACACCATGGGTACCGCGTCCACCATGAATGCCCTCTCAGAAGCCCTCGGTATGGCTCTCCCGGGCTCCTCCTCCATTCCCGCCGTCTACCGCGAGCGTGGCGCATGCGCATACCAGACCGGAACCCGTATCGTCGACCTGGTCATGCAAGACGTCAAGCCATCCGACATCATGACTCGCGGCGCGTTCGAGAATGCTATCGCTGCGTGTACGGCTATTGGCGGATCGACCAATGCGCCCATCCACATCAATGCTATTGCCAAGCACATCGGTGTTGAGTTGGACTGCGATGATTGGCAAAAGGTCGGGCATGACTTGCCGCTGCTGGTCAACATCCAGCCGGCAGGCAAGTACCTGTGCGAGGAGTATCATCGCGCCGGAGGTCTACCAGGTCAGCTCATCCGAATCTTCGTATGGACAGAAGCTGACTATCCAGCGGTCATCGCGGAACTCCTCAAAGCGGGCAAACTTCCCGCTCCCGACGCAATGACGGTCTCTGGCAAATCCATCGGCGACAACTGCAGGGACGACTTTGCCAACGATCCGCGCGTCATCATGCCCTTCGACAAGCCCCTCATGGCCCAGGCCGGATTTGTTCACCTCAAGGGCAGTCTCTTCGACAGCGGTATCATGAAGACCTCGGTCATCTCTCCTGCCTTCCGCAAGCAGTTCCTTGAGAACCCCAATGACCCCATGGCGTTCGAGGGGCCCGTGGCGGTCTTTGAGGGGCCAGAGGACTATCATCACCGGATCGAAAACGATGAAAGTATCCACGAGGGTACGATTCTGATCATGCGGGGTGCGGGACCGATAGGATATCCGGGAGCGGCGGAGGTGGTCAACATGATCCCGCCTGGGCGGCTGATCAAGAAGGGTATCGAGGTGAGTCTTCTCGCTATTCTAATAGGACTTCATTGACGCCCAGCTCCCCTGTATCGGTGACGGCCGCCAATCTGGAACATCCGGCTCCCCCTCCATCCTCAACGCATCCCCTGAAGCAGCTACCGGCGGCATGCTCGGTTATCTCAAGGATGGCGATGTCGTCCGTATCGATCTCCTCAAGCATCGGGCGGATGTCAAGATCTCAACAGAGGAGATTGAGAAGCGAAAGAAGGAGATGGGGCCATTCAAGTTCCCGCCGAGTCAGACGCCGTGGCAGGAGATCTTTAGGAAGGAGGTGGGCGAGTTGAGTGAGGGGATGGTCTTGAATGGGGCGGTCAAGTATCAGCGGATTGCGCAGACATTTGGGGTACCGAGGAGGAACCACTAGGCGCGAGGGGGATCTTGTATCGAATATGGTATTGGCTGCTCTTGCTTCTGCCCACTACCCAGAAACTCATGTCCATGGTATAGACATACACGCGAAGCGGTGCTGCGTACCTGTACAGCTTGCTGATCTACCATACAAGATATAGAGCTCAAGCATACAGCTCAGTCAGAGGCCGTTCGCGGGAGCCTGTGACTGTACTTGTAACGTCCACATTCCTCAGACCCGATTCGGACCGAGACAATCGCCACCCAAAATAGGATTCGGAATCGCTATTCCGAACTCACTCTTCATCATCGTATTCCATCTCTCCGCTATTCGGACCTGTACTCTTTTCACCGAGGGCATCGGGAGGCATATAAGGGGAGCATCATGAGTTCCTTCATCTGCTTCCCTTATCGAAAATGTCTATATAAACAACTACCCTCCCTCCCAGCGATCAAGAGATGACCTCGCTTGACCACACTTCGACCAGTCATCTGGCCGCCATGCCTAGACCCCCACCTTGTCCCTCTAAGACTGCCCGATCCATCGGGCAGCGTCTCAATCATGCCTGCCTCCACCTCACACCCTCCTTCTTCTCCCTCAACATGGGCACCGGTATCGCCTCGATCCTGCTCTACAATTTCCCCTACCCCGCCGAATGGCTCCGCATCCTCGGCATCATCGTCTTTGTCCTCAACGTACTGGTGTTTGCCCTACTGGCGGGCGGGAACCTGGCGCGGTACCTGCGATTCAAGGGGCTGTTCAAGGCGACCGTGACTCACCCGGTTGCGGGTATGTTTTGGGGAACATTGCCGATGGGCTTTGCTACCATTGTTGTGAGTTTGCCTTGATGACTTGAGAGGACATAGCTGATCAGCAGAATATGGTCGCGTATGCGTGCGTGCCGGCCTGGGGATTCCGATGGGCCCAGCTCGCGCTTGGGCTTTGGTGGATCATGGCGCTGCTTTCTGTGCTGGTCAATCTGGGGATGCTGTTTGCCATGTACGCCTCCTCTCATCATCACCATAGCCCGGCTGACAAGACAGGTTCACTCGTCAAAAGCACACATTCGAAAGCGTCGCAGCAGTCTGGCTGCTCCCAATCGTCTCCTCGGTCGTCGCGGCCGCATCGGGCGGGGTCGTCTCCGCGGCCATTATGCCCTTTTCACCCTCCCTCGCATCGAGTACCCTCGTCGTCTCGTACATCATCTGGGGCACCGGCGTCCCCATCGCATGCTTCATCATCGCTCTCTGGCTATATCGTACCGTGATCGGCGGCGTACCAGCGACAGCCGCCCTACCCAGCATGTTCCTCCCTCTCGGACCATGCGGGCAGGGAAGTTTCGGAATCATCCTCCTCGGTCGTACAGTCCGCGAGCTTGCCTACCAGCATGATGTCGGGCTCGCCACCCCAACCTCCTCTCCTTACGCCTCCACATCGCTTCTCGGCGTCGCCGACGCCATCTATGCCGGTGGGCTCATCACCGGCCTTGTTCTCTGGGGCCTGGGCCTTTGCTGGTACCTCCTCGCGCATGCCGTCATTATCGACCATGTCCTCCAACGACCCAATCGGAACTTCTTCGCTCCTTCCCGCTTCTCGGTCGGTTTATGGGCGTTCACCTTCCCCATCGGTGTCTTTGCCACAGCTACCAATATCCTCGCGGTTGAGCTTGACTCGTCCGCCTTCAGGGTGATTGGGGCGTTCTTGTCGGTCCAGGTGGTGGTTCACTGGCTGTACGTGTCGGCATTGACGCTGTACAAGGTGGGGGATGGGAGCATCTTTGTGGCGCCCGAAGTGGCAGCGATGGAGGGGAAGGTGTCGAGGCGGTTTGGGCCGCAGCGGGAGGATCTTGAGAAGCAGTAGCGTTCCGTATCTCCGTTGTACCCCTAGTAGTGTATCACCATGAATCGACGGATCCTTCGTGTAATTGGGAACTAGGCCGTGTAGGAGTGTGTATCTATTCCTCGCTTATCGGCCATGGGAGGAGACGGCGATCTCCCAGGTAATGGCTCATGCATTGCGAATTAGCTTCCCTATTCCGCCCACCCTCCTCCACCCACTCCCATAAAACATCCCCACTAAGCCATCCAAGAACCCATACGCTTTGTCGGCATTGACAAGCGGATAGTCTACAAATGTCAGCTTGTATCTCATGCCTTGCCTGGCCAGCAAGTGTACGGCACGACCCAGCTCACCGACTGGCTTGGGGATTGGCGTGCGAATCCACGAAAAGAAGCGATCTTCCGTGATAGCTTTGACGGCGCACAAGGATCGCAGACCTTCTTCTCCGCCGAAGCGGCCGTGTCCGGACGCTTTGACGCCTCCGAATGGCATGGCTTGGTTCAGGTAGAACACGCCCTAAGTTGTCAGCTATCACGTCTAACAGCAATGGTCCGTCATCGGGGGCCGGGGAAGCTCACAAAGCTATACATATCAGCTTCAATTTCCGCATCATCTGACTGTAGCCCAGCATAGCTCACTCATTGATCGAAACCATCCCACACTCCAGCTGCTGCGCTACCCTCCTGCACTCCTCCCGATCATCCCCATACACCCCGCCCCCTAGCCCAAACCTGCTCTTCTTCATCCACCCAACAGCCTCATCCACATCATCATACGGCACCACCGTCATCACCGGCGCAAACAGCTCTTCCTTCGCCACGTCCATATCCATCGTCACGTCCGTAATCAGCGTCGGCTCAAAGTAGCTCGCATGCGGGAAATCGGGGTGAGAGTAGGGTTTCCCGCCAGTCAAGATGCGCGCGCCGCTAGATTCGGCCTGGGCGAGGATGGTCTGTAGGCGGGCGATGGGGGCGTGCGAGATGAGTGAGGAGAGATCGAGGCCTGGGCGGAGGGCGGAGATCCGGGGGAGCATGATTTCGAGGAAGGAGGGGACGAGGGAGCGGGGGACGAGGAAAAGCTCGATGCCGATGCAGTTCTGGCCGGCCTGTGTGTTAGCTCAGATGCTTAGACGTGAGGGAATGTGCTGTACAGCTTGGCTGGAAAAGTCAGCTTGCGTCGCGAAAATTGAGGTGATGCCAGCTTACAATGCACCGCGTAGCCAAGTACTGGCGAATTGCTTGAGATTGGCTGAGGGCAGCAAGAAAGCAGGATCTTTCCCGCCCAGCTCGATGCATGTTGGGACCATGATCTCCGCAGCGGCCAGGGCGACCTTTCGAAATCAGCTCGGTGGATGGGGCATAACTAACAGAAAGCTCACCTTCTTCCCGACGGGTTCACTGCCGATGACTATGGGTATCAGCTGTGCTTTCCTCCCGCGGGTCCAGGACTCTTCAACTGACAGGTGATGTGCTGGACAAGCGGGTTCCTCGTGATCGTCTCTGCGACATCCGGCAGACAGACAACCAGCTGGACGACCTCCGGGCTGATCCCGCATGCTCTGAGACACGCCTTGACCCCGCCCATATACCACAGGCTGGACCACGCGACCTGTTCGGAGCACTTGACAACGACGGCGTTTCCGGCAAAGAGGCCGGCGAGGATGGGGGAGAGCATGTTGTGGAAGGAGTAGTTCCATGAGACGAGGGCAAGAACTGTTCCGAGGGGTTGATAGTGTACCTGAGGCGTCAGCTATACTCTCATCGAACGCAATGTTGGATAGTGCGAGCGAGGCAGCTTACGTGCGAGATCTTATGGGCGAGCATGAGGTTGGTAGGGCGCTTGTTTGGCGAAAGGGTCGTTTCACCATAGCTGAGAAGCCTGAAGAGCATCAGTTTGGTCTTCCTCGAGGTGAAGGTAACGATAAACTGACCAGTCAATCTTGGACAGGACCGTCAGAATCTCCCCAAGAACCGCGTCGACGCCTGACCTGTCAGCTTCCATGTCCAATTGCACGGGACGAGCTACGCCAGCTGATGCTTGGCTACTCACGTATCTTCCCAGTGTCCCTGCAGGCTACATCGACAATTGCGTCCATATCCCGCAATATCCACGCCTTGATACTACGCAGGAAGCTTTGACGCTCCGCGAAAGTCGTTGCTGCCCATGTTGGCTGAGCGTTATCTGCGCGTTGGATCTGCTGTGCGACATCTTCGGCCGAGAGGAGCGGTAGAGTCGTCAGGTGATACTGAGCAGTCAGCGTTCGTAGACTCATCGGCCTGCACAGCGGCACCGAGAGTGGCAGACATACTGCAGTTGAGGGGTCATAGCAAGTGATATGGGACCGCTGAGCTCCGTCCTTCGAGAAAGAAGGAGGCAGCAAGGACTCATCTTCCAAGTGGGAAGATATCGACGGAGTCTCGATGACTCGGCCTGTCCACTTCCTGCTGGCTTCCTATAGCAATCAGCTATGCGTTTTGCGCCTGATGGATCCGGTCACCCGAGCCAGCTCACTTCAGGTACCGGCCAGTGATACGCTCGGATTTCCCTAGCTCGCCGATACGTATACAGCCTCCTACCCCATATCTTCCCCATATACAGCACGACCAAAGTAATCGCGAGCACATTGACCGAGCGGGGGAAGGGGTGATAGTTGACCGAAGACCAGATCTCGCCCAGTGTGATATTTGCGACGCGAGCGAGCGCGCTATCCCACGCGGAGGAAGCGCGTCCGAAGTGCTCTGTGAGCGCCAGCATGGCGGGCCAGGCAATGGTCTATGGTGTACAATATCGCAAGGATGATGTAAAGAGGTGAATGCAAAGGGAGGTTGCGAAGACAAGTTGACTTTTCGAGCTCGGACCACCTCCACTTTGGGGTTGACAGCGGTCCGGGCTACCCATTGAGTGGGGGCACTGCTGGGTCGGAAATCCAAGAGCAAAGCCCCAGGCGGTGCTCGGGCGAGGCTTGTTCTCATCTTACTAATAATATTTGTAGCTCAACACGTGAAGTACGTAGCTGATCTGGACATCACCCTCCCCTTCGGCCTTCTACCCGGCCAGGCCTGTACCGCGCTATTCCGTCTTGACAAACTCCGCTAACCTATCCTGGTCCAGTATCTCGCCCTCGACCAGCCGAGCTGTCTCCTTCCCCTGCAGAAGTCAGCGAATAGGTCCTAACCGTCAATGATAGGCTCACCTCCTCCAAGCGCAAGATGGTCGGCACGCTCTGGACGTTCCAGTGAGACCGGGCGTGATTTGTTGGCGTTCTCCATCTAGACCTAGGTCAGCCAGTAGCTCGCGATGTCGGCGTATCTGTAGCTTACTCAGCCTTCTCGCCGACCCACCAGATGACGGCTTCTGCGAGGAATCAGCTTGCTCGTTCGAGCCTTCTGGGCAGCCTGAGGTGCTGCTGTACCCACTTGGCTGCTTGGCACCCCCAAAAGTGGCCTTCACGATCCCCTCAACATCGCGGCAGTCCTATATGAGTCAGCTACAGCCGCCGGCACAGCAGAGCTGGCGCAATTGCCCGCTCATTACAGCGGGGTGTGGCTCACCGGACACCACATCTGTTTCGGCTGCCCATTTGGCCCATCTACTATGGACGAGTAGAAGATCAGGTATGTATACTTTGGTGCTGTCGGCCCGCCGAGCTGGTTCAGCACATGAGGATAGCTACCACGTCAGCACAGGCCTAGCCCGCTCCAAACAACCCAAGCCCCGAAAGTAGGGGAGGGGGTGCCGGGTCAGTGAATCAGCAAGCCCACGGAGTGTAGTCGATGGGCATCCTTGGATGTTTTCCGATGTAAGAAAGCTCTGATCAGTATCTCTGCCCAGCTACGACTGGGCGGACGCTAAGAGTCCCGTGTGAAGAAGAAAGGACGAGCGAGACAAGAGATGGTTGAAAGAGGTGGATGGAGTTCCGATCAAGCCGAATTTGCCTGAAAAGTTGTTGTTGACATCACTACCCTCACTGTTCGTCCTTTTCGCTCCCCTCTGTCAGCCTCGCGCAGTGCCTATCCTGGGCAATTGGCAAAGGCAGCGTACTGCTCTGCTTCCCTTTCCCCTCGCTTAGGCGGTCGCTAAGCACGATGTCGAACCTAGGTGAGACAGAGGCTGGGCCCTCCACCCGCTCCCTCCGTTCCCGCTCGCCCAACAAGTCCGCCCCCTCATCTCGTCCGACCCGAGCCCGGCCTGTCGAGTCCGATCCTAGCTCCTCTCGTACTAGGGACATGGACTCTCCAGTGCTCGGCAGAGGTCATAATCGTCGTCGGTCAGCCCAGAGCCCGGTGTCCGACCATACCACCTCTTCACGCACCGTCCAGTCAGGCCCGCAAGGTAATAGCCTGTCACCAGTCAAGCGACCTCGGCGGACAGACTCTCGTCGACCTGCGGCTGAAGGCTCGTCCTCCGCCTTCCCATCAGGACCGATGAGCGGACCCTCAGACTCCCCAGTCGCCAACGATGCCGTTCTGGCTGCACGCGGTTCAAGGTCCTCCAGCCCCTTGTCGAGCCCGACCAAGACGCCCATGGTACCTTCGCCTACGCCTGCTTCCTCCTCGGATCGGAAAGGCAAGGGTCGGGCTGTACCATCTGCTCCTAGACCTGGCCGAGGGAGAGGTGCTCCATCTGCAGCGGCCGCAACCACGGCCGAAAAACGGGTCCTTCCTGCCCGGATCAGACGGGCGGCAGGGGGCGGCGCAGAAGGCATAAGGGGCCTGGAGGAGATGATTGTAGACTGGCTAGAGCGCTGGGGTATGTCGTCTTCTCTTCAAGGCATCACTGCCCGCTGACTCATAGGTGAACCACTGGAAACACCCCCAGACGCGCTCGTTCTACACCTGACCACCCTCCCTTTCTCCCTCATCGAACCTCCCGTATCCACGTACACCGAGCCACAGCTAGCCATATCGGATGTCACGGTCGCCTCGGCCTCTGGTGGCCCGTCGACCGCTTCCAAGTCTGCCCAAGCGGTCGTTGACGCCCGCGAGCGAATCGAGGTGCCTTCGTGGGTATTTGTCAAGGCTGGAGAGGATGACAAGGAGGAGGCGAAGGATGAGCTGGAGACGATGCATTTTGGAGGAGTGGCTGGGAGGGGAAGTGCAAGTCCGGTGAAGCGGTTGAGACACGCTACGGCCGAAGCGGTGAGTCCAATGCATGTCCGGCCTACATCCACGACCTCTCCTAGATCTGCTGTATTGAACCGTGCGCTGATCATGCAGCCCCTCGAAGACACGTCCGATGCCTACTATATCGCCCTACACAAGAAGTACGAAGTCTTCGAGCGGCGCCAGCGCATCCGGGAAAAGGAGACGCTCCAGTTTGAGCGATATAGATTGCGTTCCCGGATAGACCTGTTGCGGGGAATGAGCAAGACGTCCTGGGCTGCCGTCGTCGGTGTCGTCTTATCGCGGTCTGCTCTGGCTCCGCGCCCCCCTCCGACCGTCGCCAAGCCTATGGGGTACGAAGAGGCAGTCGTCGCCGTCACCGCGCCGAGCGAGGCGTCGGGGTCCGAAGGAAAGCCGGCTGAGGCGCAGGTGGACCGATGGGCAAAAGGAAGGGCAAAGCTGCAAGAAGAAGGGCCGGACTGGTTGAGGGATACATTGGTGCAAGAGGGGGAGGAGTTGATGAAGCGGTATGATCAGCTATTACCCGCCGAGCATAGGAAGTAAGTTCGCATATCTTTATATTGTGGTCTGGGGCGAGAGCTGATGTGCAGAAATCGAATCACCGACAGCCCCGCCCCATCTATGACATGCTCTCCTTCCCTCTCACCTCCACCCGTCACGTCCAATCGTGTCGCAGCGCTCCGCGATCCCTCCGCTTCCCGCCGTCGAGGCCAATCACCCGCATCTACTACTTCCGTCACACCTCGGCGGCTCCGGCTCACACTCAAGGCCAAATCGGACCCTGAACGCACTGCCCAAGCGGATCTCGAGGGGGAAGGTCACGACAGCGGGCGGAAGAGGAAGCGAGCGAGTCGGGTCGTCTATGCAAATGACGGGGCGGAGGAGGAACGTCAAGAGGAAAAGGCTGTATCGACGGGGCGGAGAAGGCGGAAACCAAGTGGGTCCGGAGACTATATCCAATCGCTCGACGTTCCCGCTAGCGCCGAAAAGAAGGCGCGGCGCTCATCACTGCGCTCCTCGACGCCGCTTCAGCCGGCCATGAGCAACGAGGACGCCGGCTCTGTCCCCCCTCATCCGCCATCGTCATCTACAGTCCGGTCGAATGCCTCGCCCTCAATCAGCATCAGGATCAGCCGATCATCGCTCGCTCGTCCTGATGTCGCCCCAGCGCCAGCTAGAGCGGAGGAGACCAAGCCAGCACGGTCTCTCAGGTCATTCAGAACGGTGAGGCTGTGATTGATGCTCTCAGTTGCCGATCTCATAGCTGACGTGTACAGCTCGTTGACGATAGCCGCCAAGGGCATCCGTCCGCGGTGATCGAAAAGGAGGACATGGATATTGATATGAGCTCAGACGACCTCAAGGAGCTGAGGGAGGTAGAAGCGGCGGTGCTGTAAGACACGGTCTGGAGTCTAGAGTCATGGTCCTTGCTATGTATGTACAACGGTATTCTATGGTACTGTCTGTCCTGTCTCTATCGCTCTACTGATCCTTCCTTTCCCCTTCGCCCGCTGCCTCCGCCCCGCGATGTGTCCGTTCGAGGAGCCTGATCATGCTCGGTACACAACACGCTGCCCCGCCACCAAAGACCAAGATGAGGAGGACGGCGGGGATAGCGGTCCGGGGGAGCACGCCGAGGATGAGCGGCTCGAAGACGAGGTGGAGCGTTGTCTCCCATTCTTCTGTTCCGGTATCCGCTATCTTAGCGAGCTCGGGACGTAAATCTGGTACAGGATGAAGGAGAGACGCCAGGTGAGAGAGAACGGGATAACGGATAGGATAGATGGGTATAGGGGCGGACAGTGGACTGGCGAAGATGATGAGAAGGGCGGAGTGATCTCCGGGGATCGTGGAGTTGAGGGGCCGGAGTGAGAGGTCAAATCTGGTAGGAGACTGCCATGTCAGCTTGATGGCAAGAAGAGATATGGAGGCACTCACGGATCCGGGCCAGGAAAGGCGAATCGTCCAGTCTGTATAGTCCTCTTCGGGTCTGAGCAGCACCGACAGCTCTGGCTGACTTGATGATACGCTCAACGTGAGCTGCCGCGTCGAGCTGTCCAGCCTTGTGCATCAGTAAAGAGCACATTAGAGCAGACATCAGTCAGTGGCCAGACTCACTTATACCTTGTCCCAACATTGCCCGCAGTGAGTGAGGCGGGGGGGAGGGGGAGTCGGAAGTTACGGATCTCGGTATCGGCCAGGACCAGCTGAGTGAGGAGTGCTGCACAAAGACAGCATAGCGCCGAAGTCGAAGGTAGACGCATGGTCCTTCCACGTCTACGTGATGGGCACTAGTAAGTCTGACTGAGCTCGCGCACTAACACCGAGACTATAGGCTGAAAGTAAGAAGTGGACGAACAAGGTGGAGGAGCAAATCCACAACATTTCTTGACTTTGTACATCTTCTTCTATCTAGCCATCATCACCGTTCCCCCTCTCCCAACTACTCAAGCGATCGCGAGACGATAGAGATGGACGCACGCTCCCTCCTGCGCGCCAAGAAGGCCGAAGCGCGGATAGAGCACCCGTATGCTGCTTATTCTGCTCGGGGAGAGTTGAGGTGTTCCGTTTGCGCTGTCCCAGGTCAGTCTTTCCCTTCTAAAGCGGATGCTGTCGATCATTGTCCTCGCTGTCGCTGAGAGTCGAGGCTGGCATCCAGCCCAGTCATTTCGGGCGCGAACCATATAGCTGACACCTGCAGTGAAGCAGTGGGACGCCCATCTGTTGACAAAACAACATCGGACCTCGGCCGCGCGAGAAAAGGCCAATCAAGCAGCGGCAGCCAAGAAGGCCGCCTCATCTGCAGCACCTGCTAAGCGGGACATCTCGTCTTCTGGCGGAGACGAAGAGGGAGGGGCCGGCCCATCAGCCAAGCGTCCGAAAGCGGGTCCGGCGGGGCTGCCAGAGGGGTTCTTCTCCAAGGGGAATGCTCCCGTTGAGGAGGATGACGACGAGGAAGAGCAGGTGGAAGAGGAACACCAAGGACTGGGGTCCAGTGCCGGGGCTGGACCGTCTACTGCGACAGGGACAGGCGGAATACAGCTGTACGCGGAAACGAAAGCTACGGGTGACGGCGAGCTGGACGACTTCCTCGCTTCTCTCTCCGGACCGACCGACCCTATCTCCGAGCCTGCGGAATACGCCATAACCAAATCATCTCAGCAAACCCAGGCGCAGGCGCGTAAGAATGTACCACGGTATAAGGAGGTGGAGCCCGGTCAGGCGTCATATGAGGCTGCGCCGGTACGGAATTTGCCAGAGGGGCAGAAAGAAGCGGAGGCGGAACAAGCGGTGGAGCCGGAGGAGACGGAGAAGGAGAGGAGGGAGAGACTGGCTAGGGAGGAGAGGGAGGAGATTGTCAGGCGGCTGGAAGAGGAGGAAAGGGCCCAGTGAGTGTCTCTTGTGGCTAGATGGGACGGTGAGGCCGGCTGGGCGGGCAGATGTTGGGGGAGGGGCTGAGGGCTGACTTGTGCAGGGAAGATGCGGACTCTCGGGTGTCGTCTCTGAAGGAACGAATGGCGCTGCTGAAGAAACGGAGAGAAGCCAGAGGCGGAGCAGGGGCAGCGAAAGGGAAGGGGAAGACAGCAAATGGGGCAGATCATGCATAGTCGGGTCAAGTGGGGTCCCACTAGCTTCAGCGCATCAACTCGCGTGCTAGCTTAGATAAACCAGTCTCTGGCACCATAGCGAAGCTTTGACTGTCTGAGCTGGACAAAGGTCCAGGACATCGCAATCAAGCAGCCTGCACCAGCCTGCACCTCATTCCGCGAATTTGTTGACATCGTCATCTTGCCCTTGTCTATCATCTGTTGCCCCATCTATCTAGCTCTCTTTCCGCCTTGTACTTGCCGGATCATCTCATGTCGTCCATCTAGTCACAGCCGGACTTTCTCGCGACTCTTGGGAAGCTACCGAAGCGATGGGATCCGCCGCCTCGGCGTTCGATCAGAATACCGGCCCCGTTCGTCCATCCTGTCTAGCTGGAGCTTCCTGGCCGACCCAGCTGACTCTAGCAGACAGTGCTCGTTCCTGAAGGCTACGTAGCACCAGCATTCCCCTCGCTGTACATACCCACATTTATCCGAGGCAACGAGCAGGGCGGAATATTCCTGTACGATGCGGAAGGTTAGCCTCCACTCTTCACACATCTCCCGCATCATGACAGTCTGGGACATGACCGCTGAGCCAGTAGCTATCTGGCGCTTCACACTCTACTGGACCCTCACTACCATGTGTACGACTTTCCTCATTGCCTCCCTTATCGCCGTATTCAACCTCTCCCGCTCCATCCTGCATCGACCCCACTCTACCCCCTCAGCCGCTCAGAACGATATACCCCTCAAACCCCTTTCCTCTACTCCTCGAACTCCTTCCGCACTTGGTCCGTCCCGCTCTCCGCGTCCTGCCTCCCCTATTACGCCCTACACCCCGTCCGCCCCGCTCCTCAGTACCGGCACTACTGCCAGCACACACACCGCTCCAGCCCGCCGGACTCGCGCTCGTCGGAAACGACCACCGTTGTGGCCCCTTCTATTACTACCTATCGGCGCAGTGTGCGTGGCGGCCGTGATAGCTGTCATATCAGCGACGGTCATTGGATTTGCTTTGGCGGCTCTCTATTCTGCTGGAGGGTTTAGCATGTCTACGTGAGCTTCGACCTTCGGACCGTTTGGCGACATGGAGGGAGCTGATAGAGCAGGTGGGTACCGTTCTTGTGGGCTGTCATCCAGGTGCTTGTTCTTATCATATCGTACGTCGCCCGGATAAGACAAGCCAGAAGATCGCGAGGCTGACCCACCAGATCATACTCGACCTTGACGAAAATCTTGTAAACTCCCGGGCCTTTTGTCGCTGTACGACCGGTTGTACCTTATCTCGCTCGCCTCGGTAACTATATCGATCGATCGCCGGCTCATCAGACTCCTGGCTGACTACTGAATATTTTCGGTTCAGACACCGGCATTCTCAAAGTCGGAGTTCCTGTCATGGCTTAGCGACCGTCGTCAAGGTCTACTGAAGACCGAGCTACTCGAGTAGCTGGCTGGGATACCAATAACCAAGTCACTGATGTCATTGCGACGCTGAATTCAGCTCAGTGATAGCTACTTCTCTTAGCTGCGCGATATAGCCTACCAGATGCCGCTTGTCTCCCCCCCTCGACCTTCAATACTCGTCATCTATTTTCGATTTCGCTCATTTCGGATCTCACTCCTCGCCGCTGGTTCGGCCGCCTTGATGGCTCTTCGCTGTTCTTGATTGCTACTATTCTCTCTCAGTTCACCTATACGACCGCTATCCGCAGGTCGGACTTTGCCTCTCCACCTTCAGCTTCAGTATCTCCCAACCGCTCTCGGAGGCAAGGATGGGCAAACTGATCTGGCATCAGTGGGCCAGATTGCTGGCCATGACGGCAGCAGTCTGTACGTTCTCTTTCTCGCTTGAAACACTGTATGAACACACGCTGAGGTCCTGCAGATATGGTATGGGGTGAGCCTCACGAAACAACACCGTCCCAGACACTGCCAGAGGTCCAGCTGACGTTAAGCGTCCCTCTGGGCATTCTTCTATCGGAAGTTCTTCTGGGACTTCGTGTGAGTCATCTTAGTTTGATGGACACCTGAAGAGGCGATATTGATGATACAGAGGCGGTACCCTGGGCCCCACCGGTCTCATGTGAGTCCTGCATCTCCTTCCGTCCCATCGTCCATACTGATGTCTAGACCAAACTCGACCGCGAAGGTATTCAACAAAGTCATCATCGATGTCCCTCTATTACAGCTCATGACGCTCTTCTTATCGATGGGTACTCTGGCGCTCGAGTATCCTCTGCCTCAGGTAAGTCCTGCCTGCTCGCTCAATGTCAGGGCCGAGGGCTGAGGGCGATAGGTCAAGGGTACAGCCGCGTACCGGTCCCACCTCGTCCGTATTTCGGCGTATCTCACTGCTGCCTTTACAGGTTTCCTGGTATACCAAGTGAGTTCTGATCTTGCACGAAAACAACACTCGAAAGTTGTGTCTCTCAGCTGACGTGGCAGACGTTTGACTGCGCACTGTACTACTTGATCGCCGCGATGGCGTATACGCGCTCGATGTTGCTCAAGGAAACGATCGGCGGGGCGGACGGGGCGAAGCGAGGCGAGAGTGCAGCATAATGGTCCGGCCCACTGAGCAGATCATAATGATGTCAGGGCAGCGATATGTATACGGCAAGTCACCCTATCTCGGGTGTAGACTCGATGGGAATCTGGGGCTACTGTTACTAACGCTGACGCCGGCTACGCAACTCCAGCGTGGGTATAAAGACAAGGGGTATCTGATGTACTCATACGCGTTGGACAGCTATCAAGCTCCACATCGGAACCTACAACATCAGCATGGTCCCTCCTCACCTGAAGGTTGCACTGACCATTTCATCCACGCGTGCTTCTCGGCAGGCAGCGAGCTGCTGGAGAAGTCTCCAATCATCGGCTGATCTGTCTCTTCAGCTTGGTTCCGGGATTATCGGCTCAGACTCCGCAGCGTTCACTCACTCTTCCTCCCCATCTCCCGGCCCCAGCGATCAGTCCGCCTATCCCCGCCCACCGCAATCCCATCACCGGGTATCCCACCCTGGATCACCCCCTTCTTTACCCCAACGCCAAACCACCCCTTCTGCATCCCCAACAACCCCGCTCGGCCTTGATCCTCATCTTGCCTCCCTAGTCCTGGTGCCGTCTGGGCGCGGGCCCGATCAGACTGCATCTCCTCCCTGAGTTGCTTTTGGGTCAATGCGATGGCGGTAGGGTCTCGAGCTTTGTAGCTCGGCGGAGGGATTTCGGAGCTGGATCCAGCACTGGCAGAGCCCCAGGGGCCGAGAACGACGCCGGCGAGCCAAGAGCGATCATCTCCTCCTCCCTGGGAGACCACATTCTGGTTGCCGGGTCCCGAAGGGTTGGAGGTGGAGTGAATCGTCACCATGGGTATGGGCTTGCTCTTGACTTGTCCCTGGTCCTGCGCTAAGCCTGCAGTGGCCAAGTCGACCTGGCCTTTGCTGTTCGAGTCAGCAGCGGCCGGAGTGACAAAGCTCGAGTACGAAGGTAAGGCAGCCGTGAGTGATTCTGCGTGTTTCTGCAGTTCGGCAAGTGAGGGGACAGCCGGTAAGGTTGGAGGCGAGGGAGCCATGAGTTTGAGCATCGTGAACGACATCCTTGACTCCGGTGCACCGTAAGATCGGTCGATAATGCAGGCCCTGCCGAATGAAGTTAGAGGGGGAGCGACCACTTGAACAGCAGTTGGCAGTAGGGCTCCCTCTTTCGACTGTGGGCACTATACCGCGTCAGGAGAGAGCACAGAGGAAGTCGTATCCATCACGCACATCCTTTGATCGTTCCCCGCGCACGCAGCTTGACGCGCATTGAGCTTGAGGCACGGAGGTATAGGGACCAGGGGTGAAAGGAGTCAGTGTCAGTAAAGGCTGACTGAGGCGTGTAGGTGTGTAAGCGTGTCAACAGAAGCCACGCGGTACCTCGGCGTCAGTAGCGCGAGGTGTCACCTTCGAGCCGACTCACCAAACCTACAATGCCTACACATAACAAAGCAAAGTCCAAACCCACACCTTAGCTCCCGTGCAGCCCTCTACAATTTAGCCTTGGGTATATCCCCCTTCCCACCCGCCCCCACCCCCGCCCCCGCCCCCGCTGACGCCTCACACACCCTCCGCATATCCCTCAACGCCTGCGCAATCTGATGCTTGAACCTTGCGACCGATGTGGACGGTGCCGAGTATTTACCCTCAATCCCGAATTTTATCAAGCAGGGTCCTGCCAAGTCTGCTCGATCAGCCGAAAAGGATCCTGCCTGCATTGTCTCTCATCGATCATAGACTCATGCGCCCGTTTCCCTTTCCCGATGCACCACGTCCACCGACTCGTCCTCGACCACACCGTCAAGCACCCGAACTCCCAAAACTCACAATTTATCCCATACCCATCCGGCCACCCCGTCCCAAACCCCGTACCCATAAACTTTCCACCCGCGCTCAACCCCGACGTCGACAACTTCCACTCTTGACTCTTGGCATAACATTCATCCTCAAATAGTGCGTGCGTCTCGCCCGCGCGCAGGCGGGTCCGGAGACCCATGAGGTGCCGGTCGTACCCGTGTCCGTTGGACGAGGTTTTGGTCAGAGCGGCGTGGGTCTGGGTTGCGGTTTGGAGGAGGGCGTAGCGGGTTGCGTCCTGCTTATCAGTTTGTGTCCTACAGGGTGAACATCCGTCATATTCGTTTCAGTATCCGCAGATCACACTATGAGATGCGAACGTGGGACAGCACTGGAAGCCCAAGAGGTGACTCACATCCGCCTTATCATCCTGCATACTCTTGACCCAAGCCCGACTCTCCTCGCTCAGACTCCGAATGACGTCCGTCCGACCATGCTGCATCGCCCGTGTCGATGCCGTCTCGTACGTGGCCGTAGCGTACCCTTGGTCTCGGAACCAAGCGAGCTGCAGGGCTTGTTGTACGAACGCGTCGGGACTGAGCTTGGCTGTGATTTCAGCTGATGCACTCCGATCGCTTCCATAGTGTCTCCGTATAAGGGGATGAGAAGGAGTAAGAAGTGGAGCACACGCACACCCTCCTCGCGCCTACGCCCCCTTCGCACGCGGTCACTTGATACCTTGCACTCACCATTCTTCTTGATCCACTCCACTCCATACTCATTCCACCACAACTGACTCCCCTCGCTATCCGCCACAATAACCCTATTTCTCTCCCTACACGCCTCAATCTCCTGATCCATCGCTTCGTCAGTCACCCAATCACATCTCGCCCATCCCTTATGTCCCTTCTGTCCCTCTGCCCCCTCTCCTATCCCAAACTGAGCCGGATCGACCGGTTCCGCCAACACATACTCAATCACAATACTCGGAATCAGCGCATCGACCGGCGAATGCTCCCCCAATATCCCCGCGCGGCCATTCGTCTCTACAGGGATCGAGATGGGCTTGTCGAACCACCGGTTCCCACCGCCATTGAGGCCCGCCGAGACGTTCCGGACCTGCGCGTCGAGCGGGCCGTGTCGGAGCGGGTCGGAGGATGGGAGGGAGGGGAGGGTGTAGGTGTCGAGCGAGAGGGAGATGAGGGAGGTCGAGAGGGAGGAGAGGGTGGTTCGGTTCGAAGGGGAGAGGAGGAGGAGACGTTCTCGGTTCTACGGGTCAGCTGTCAGCTCGGGTTCTTCCGAAGAGAGATGGCTGCTCACCTTGGTCCATGTATCCCGCTCGTCAGCTGTAAGAATGCCTACAGCCTTGGCCTTCTCCCCCGCGTCGATCCGGGAACGCGCATCATCCACCGCCGCCTTGATGTTTTTCTCAATCACGCCGACGGGGAGAGGGGCGGGGATCTCCAGAGGCGAAGATACGGGCGCAAAGACGTCGATGGAGTAGATGAAGTCGTCGATCATGAGGGAGAGGTGGGTCGCGGTAGGGGCGGCGGTGGAGAAGGCGTCACATCCCGGGAGCGGGATACGAGAGAAGTTGAAGAGGCTGCGGATCAGCTACAGCTACAGCTCTCGCGGAAGCGAAGCAAAGGTAAAGATGAGAGACTTACTGTCGGTACTGTTCCATGCAGAATGGCCCGGCTTTGCTTGAATCTGGGGGGATATCCTCCCTATCGTATCAGCTGTGTATGTTGACAAAATGGGTGGAGGATACGCCAGCTGCACCCAGACTCACTTGGCCAACCTCTCCCTGAACTCTGCAAACCTTCTCGCCATCCAGCTCGCCTTTCGCACCTGCCACTCCGTCACCCACTCCCGCTTGACGACCTCCTCGTACCCCCCAATCCTCTCCGGCTTGGGATTGGCATCCAACCAGTCTTTCCCCCCCTTTTGCGCTCCCTCCGCTACCGCCGTCGTCGGGCTCGGATCTGGCGTCTCCATACCCCCGCCCCCTTCGTGGGTTGGAGGAGCGGGATCATTCGGATCCGGTGCGAAAAGCAACCACCAATTCGAATTGATCAGCAGCGGGGCTCGCCAGCTGTGGTACGCTGGCCCCAGCCATAGCGTGTCGTTCAGCCATGAATTGGGGGATATGTGGTCCAGGTCCAAAAGACGTTCTTGGAGGGTTCGACCGAGTCCGCCTGGGGCGGAGAAATCGCGCGCGAAGAGACGGCGCTTTTCGAGCTCTTTTTTGAGGCCAGAGGGGCCGTACTGCGGCTCAGCTATGGACAAATTCGACACATAGGGATACTTTGAAGTACGATCAGTACAAGACAGAACATACCTTTTGCTCAAGAACCGGCACTAAGCTCTTGAGATACCCCTCCAAGCTCTTTTCGAGCTCGGGGACGGGCAAGCGAGGGAGACTCGGCTGTAAAGAGTACGTTTTGGCCTGTCCAGGCTTGACGCGGGAGGTAGCGAACATCCTGGCTGTTGTTGGCTTTACATGAATTAGGTGTGGCGACTGTTGGAGAGCGAGTGACCGAAGAAGCGGTCGGGCAGTCGGGGTCGGGGTGGAAGCAGAGGCAGAAGCGAAAGCGTGTCTATACACAGAGGTAGCAGCTATTCTGGGGGAGGTGAAGGGGAGCATTATGACTGGGACGCCTCTACCGAGGAGCTGATGATGTATGATGAATAGATGAGCATTTGAGTAAGGTTAGATGTGTTATAGGTGTGGGGGTGTGAGACAGCTGTGGACGCGCTGAACTTTATGAAGTGGACCAAGCTCCGGTTAACTTTGTTATTGATTAGCCGGACCTTGGCTTCATTAGAAAACAGGTTTGGTTCCGCTAACTATATTAACTCGACGACAAAAACTACCAAAGGGAAAAGTTTTTGAGGGGGAGTCGGGACCCCACTCCGCTCCGCTAGAGTAGCTCCGAGCGGACGCGCCTGGACTCGCGGGGTAAAAGTTCCTTCTCCTTCTCACACCTTCTCTCACTCACCTGCTGCTGCTCACTGATACCAAGGCAACATAGCAGCCTCCGCCGCCAACATGCAGCAACTCCTAGAGATGGGGATCCCGGAAGGAAGAGCGAGAGCCGCGTTGATTAGAGCAAAGGACGACGTGATGGCGGCTGCTGTATGTCGGCAGCTAGCATACGGATGTCAGCATAGCTGATAGTATAGGAACGCGTCTTCGCTGGAGAGTTTGATGATATCCCGTCAGATGATGAAGGGGATGCCGGACCCTCTGCACCAGCACCAAAGGTATGTCTTATCCTCATCCAGGGGTGCAGAGCTGACATGCAGTCCCAAAGCCCCGTCTCGGCCTCTGCCAACCGCGTCGCCAAGAGCGTCGTCATCAACAGCGCCCACTCAGACCAGGACATGGACGAGGAGGATTCAGGAAGCGAGGCGATTCCGAGTGAAGATGAGGACGTCGACGGAGTGGAGATTTACGATGGCTTTGCGGATAGCGACGGTAAGCTTCCGTACCCCTGTCTTTGGAGGGACAATAGCTGATATCATAGATGAAGGAGGCGAGAAGCTCCGATCGGACCCGTACGCCGGCGTATTCTTCTCCAAAGACCGGTCCGAGAAGATTATCGAAAGCAAGGCCAAGCCTGTTTTTGTGAATGTGCCTAAACCGCTTGGCGTAGCCGCGGAGGGGGCGGTGACTAGACGGGCGGAGAAGGTGTCGGTCAGGATTCTGGGGAGTGGGGAGTGGATGTCTGGGTGTCCCGAGGCAGGTGAGCTCTGAGACCTCTTTTTTTGTGGGAGTGTAGGAGCTGATATCTCAGGGGAACAAAGCCATCTTTTCCAGCTGTACGATAAGCTCGCACATGACGCCGTCCCCTGCGCGCATCAATGCGGATACGAGTTCCACCGCAAGCCTCAGGACTTCTTTGCTGTCTTTGTGAGTTGCCCCCCCTCCGATGTACGACGAATCGAATGGTCGGTCCAAGCTGATCCCCAAGCCCGACTTCCCGATGTACCTCGCGCACGTCGCTTCGATCGTCAGCGCCATCTGCCCGTCCTGCGCCCAAATCACCTGTTTGGCGTGTGGCGGACGCTCGAACCACGTTGCGCCAGGTCAGGCGTTCTGGGCGGCGGCGCTCGCTTCTGGCGCGGAGACGGAGGAGGGGGAGAAGGGGAAAGGAAAGGGCAAAGGGAAAGCCAGGGGCGATGGCGAAGGAGCAGGGATCGAGGTGGAGTCTCTGCTTCATTGCTCGGATCTTCAAGTGGGCTTCCCTTTTACTCAAGAGGGTTGAAGCTGACATGAAGGGCGCAATCCTCGGTGTCGGCCTCCACATGATCGAAGAGTCCTTCTCCGAGAAGAAATCCCAGTCTTCCAACTCGACTACCGAGACCCCTCCGGCTAAACGCCGTCGAAAGTCCGGTATCCTCGCTGCAGCACAGGCGCAGGCGCAGGCCCAGTCGGACCAGGACGAAGACGACGATATCGAGGTGGATGATTATGCGGATGGAGTGGGGTTGGGAGTGGGAGGTAAAGGTGGGAGGAGGTTGGCGGCTGGGACGGGGTACTCGGGGGCTGCGTCTGAAGATGTGAGTTTGAGTTTGGACTGGGCTCGAGACTATCTTCGTGGGATCACGTGGACTACGTAGGGGGAGCTAGGAGAGCAGAGAGGAGAGGGAAAAGGGTAGAAGCTGACTCCTCTAGCGCACCGGCCAAATCAAAGCCCAAAAAGCCCAAATCGAAACTGACAAGCAAACATCCCTCCTCCTCTCCCAAGTCCAAGTCTACCTCCCGCACCCGAATCGCGCGTCGGGCCTCAAGAGCTCGGACCACCTGGTGCATCCGACGGCGCTGGCGCATCTGCGGAGACGGAGTGGGTTTGTGGGGGACCTGTTGAGAAATGATAGTTTGTTGGATATGAGTAATCGGGGGGAGTTGTATCGGTCTTTGTTTGACTGGTTGGAGGTGAGTTTGTTCTTCTGCAGAGACAAGGCGAGACAGAGGGGAAGGCCACAGAGAAGAGGCGGGGAAGGGAAGAGGGATGAAAGGAGGGTTGCAAATACTGTATGGGACACAAGCTGACGCTTACAGGTCGTATCCAGCCACGAAGCCCTCGCGTCCATGCTCGCCATGCCCCAAATGCGGCCCGTCGCTTCCGAACCCACCCCGCACCCCGAGACTGTGACTACGACCTACGAGGGCTCTCCGTCCCCGCGCGAACTGCTCGAGTATATTGTCATCCAGGCTAGAGCGGCACTCAAGGGGTTGTCGGCTACAAGCGGGGTGGAGGCCGAGGCCACCAAAGAAGTAGGGGAGGATGAGCTGAGGATGAGTGTGAGCGAGAGGAAGAAGCAGCAGGAGGAGAAGAGACGGGAAATGATGGGTGATGAGAATGAGATGTTGTTGGTCTTCTGGTGAGCTCTTGGCTCTTAGCTTTCCTGGGTCTTTACACGTGCAGGCTTCTGGCGCGGTCTTGAGAAGGGGATGAGGAACGGTGGACCAAGCTGATGACGCTAGTAATCGAATCATTGCATCCGCAGCGACAATCGACCGAAGTATTGTCGAGACCAAAGGGAAAGACTTTGTGACGCGGATGCAGGCGAGTTTGCCGAAGTTGCCAGGAAAGGAGGATGAGGCGGGGGATAGGGTGGTGGCGGAGTCAGGGGCGACGGGGGAGGCTATCATCAAGATTTGTGAGTCTTCCGGTCTTCCGGTCTCGCCAACTCCCCTTGTCCCGCTATCAGGTTGTTCGATGATTTCATGGCATCTCCCTTCCCAAGCCTCCTCCCCCGGTACAGAACCCTACTTCTGCTCCATTTTCTTGCGCATTCAGACCCAGAACTATGGCTGATCCCGCAGACGAAGAATGGGCCATGAAGACCCGATTCCAATACGCCGACCTGACCAACCCCGCCTCGACCTCGACTGACGGCGTGACGTATCGGCATGCGTATAATGCCCAGATTGTCGCTCTCGAGTCTCAGGTCAGTCGTCCACCGGTTCTTTCGGCCGTTATTGCGCGCCAAAGCTGACTTGGCAGAGCGCCCCAAAGCGATCTTTGGCCATTGCCAAAGAGCTCGCTATTCTCACTACGAGTCTTCCTGTCGCTTGGCACTCTACCATCTTTCTCCGGTAAGCTAACACCACGTGCCCTTTTTCGAGCGCTAGCAGTGAGACAGCAGCTGATACGTTCAGGGTGGACGAGTCCCGCGTCGACTGCATCAAGGCGATGATTGTCGGACCTGAAGGTACACCCTACGAGAATGGGTGTTTTATATTCGACATCTTCCTGCCTTTGCAGTACAACCAGTCGTGTCCTGTGGTGAAGAGCATGACGACGTATGGTGGGCGGTATCGATACAATCCGAATTTGTATGCGGATGGGGTGAGTCATTCTTCCCTTCTTCCTTCTTTCCCCGGCTAGCTTTAGGCTATGTGCGGGAGGAGCTGATTCCCTGGACTCGGCTGATCCCTCAGAAAGTCTGCCTGTCCCTCCTCGGAACCTGGCAGGGCCCCGGATGGATAGCCGGCCAATCAACCCTCCTCCAAGTCCTCATCTCGATCCAGAGTTTGATCATGTGTGAAGAACCCTACTGCAATGAACCGGCCTGGGCGAACGATGCGGGCACGCCCCAGGCGAAAGCGTACGATGCGAATGTGAGACGGATGGTGCTTGTGGATGCTATGGCCGGGAATATCAAGAACCCTCCTTACCCATGTAAGCTCTTCTCTTCCTTCTGTGCGTGAGAAAGGGGAGTGAGCTGATGAGCGCCAGTCGAGAATGAAATCCGGACCCACTTTCGCCTCAAAGCCCCATCGATCCGCCTCCAACTCGAGAAATGGGCGAAAATGGACGATGGGCGCAAGACCAAGGGAGACCCGGGAGAACCGGCGGAGGCAATTGCGATTGCGGAGGCTGTCAAGATGACGCCGTTCAATCACGCGGCGGAGGCGTTGAAGGTGTTGTTGGGGAAGTTGGAGAAGGGGGAGGAGATTTGAGGTGCGGGGTGAGGTGGGGTGGGGAGGCTGGGTGGGGAGAACGTGGAGGTGGGGTAAATGTGGATGACTTTTTTTGGGTGTGATTGGGACGGGGATTGAAGTAGACAAAGCATAGATTGGCTGTGTATATCTCGACCGCATCATGCAATACTATGGGTCCTTGTCTACCAACTGGCTGAGCCGTAGCTGTACTTGCAGCTGTCTGCATGAGTTCGACGCGTCCGCGTCAAAGACACGACAAAAGCGCCACATCCCTGCCGTAATATTTTTGATTTCCTTTCCTTGTCCCTGAATGCTCATCCAACGCGTCTTCGTCACTTCCTTTCCTTCGTTCTCCCGCCTTCTTCTCTTCTGCCTCTCATCCTCATATCTTGACGCTTCCCCTCAGCGCTCAACATCGGCTAAGGCTACGGCTCGTTCGGTCCCGACGTACGCGGCTTCTGGCAAGCTCGCCCCTTTTCTTTCAACCTCAACATCACCGCCGAAGACCAGCGGTCCCGGTCAGCGGCGGAATTATCACGATCGGCTGGTTGTCTCACCCACCCAGTCTCGGTTTCAATCTACCGTCACCAAACCGTGCTCCCGCCAGCATCTGCAACCATCTACACGCTCATCTTCTCTGTTTCTTGCGACGCCAACCTTTATTTCCGGGATAAACAAAGGACAGGATGTCGTCCCCTATCTCAGCGACTGGCGGCTGGTCCGCGCGTGTCAGTACTAGGGGCACCGGAGGGGCAGGAGGGATGGAGGCGCCGAGGACGGCAGAGAGGAAGAGACGCGGACGCGGGGTGGATGTTGTTGCGTGAGTATACGTCCTGCAAGGCGGACGCGTTTGATGGAAGGAAATGCTGACTAGCAGCCTTCCCACTCCCCCTCATTCTCGGTCAAACACCCAACTCCCCACGCCCGAGACGATCCGTCAACCCCGCAAGTCGCTTCCTTCCCAAAGTCAAGCGACATCCATATCGGTCTCTTTCCTCCCCACGCCGCAGACCCTTCCTCGGCATCGTAAATCCCCAACTTCGAACGTCTCGCGAGCCCTCTCCCCAAGCGGCCAAACAACCTTCATCCACTCTGCGGCGACCACAGACGTGCCCGTTGCGTCTGGACCTCGGCGCCGCCCGGGCTTGACATTCGCACAGCAGATGGGGTTGCTCAGTACGGCTGCGCCAGCGTCGAATGGGAATGGAGGCGTGTTTGGTGGAAGGCTAGGACAGGGGGTGGGGATGGGCGGGGGACACAAGTCCGGGGTGCATCGGACGGTGGATGTCATTCCTGTGCCTGTGCCTGTATCTGGAAAGGAGGGGAATCGACGGGAAGAAGGGAATCCATTCTACGTCCAACCTACCAGCCGGACCGCGGCGGGCTCGAGCTCAGTGGCGGCGGCGGCGCCGAGAAGATCCCCACGGACGGTCCTTCGTACGTCCCTCGGATCAGCGTCGGCCGGACACCTCCTCTCCCCCCCTGCCGACAGCGACGAAGAGGACGAGACCGCCGGTCCCTCTTCGCCACTCGCCAAGCGCGCCCGCCCCACTCTTTCCCCCTCCACACCTACCTCCCTTCCCCGCTCGACCCATACCCGTCTGCAAGCCCCTCCACCTCTCCTCCCCTCCCCAACCCCCCGCCGATCCCCACGCCAACTCGCCAAATCCTCGGCGCACGCCCAGATGCTCGACGAGGCACACAACCCCTTCCTCGCTCGGCCGTCGGACGTGCACCTCCCCCGCCCCAATCCATCCGGAACGGACGAGTGCGACCGGCCGTACGTCACCTACGTGTTCCGGGGGAGCAAAAAGGTTTTTGCGAACCCCTTTATGCGGCCCGATATGCCCTTCCCGCCTGCGCTCCTCCGGCCGGAAGATGAAGAGTATGAGGAACATCCGTGTCCCAAGCCTAGGCTTCTGTGGCCTACTTCGGCCAAGCCGGCGGTACGGGGTGGGGATGTAGAGATGGGAGAAGAGGAAGAAGTCGAGGTCACGCCCTCTCCGCCCAGCTCGCCCGTCATGCAAACGCCCAAAACGAACCGGAGGCGCGGGTTTGTGAATGCCGATCGGAGCCTCGAGGTGGGGACGTTCGATCCCCCCTCCGAGGTGTATAGCGACTCGGAGGATGAGCGGGAGAGGGTGCACGCCGGGAACGGGAAGAAGGGACGGGGCGGTGATGGGGACGAAGGAGGAGGGGTGAGGCGGGGGTTGCTCTTTGGGCCTGGAGCGATGAGCTCGGGTATGGGAAAGCGGGCGGGGGAGGAAGTGGTGGTGGATAGGGATGGCAAGAAGGCGAGGACGCTGAGGATGTAGATGGACCAGCAGTTCTTGGTCTTGGTGGATTAGGTGACCGCTGTCTGGGTGATAGATCCCGCTGGTGGAAGTAAAAGGTTGTGCAAAAGGAAGCCCGTCTTGTAGCTTGATGCATTATACAGATCCTAGTTCTAGTCTAACCTTCTCACAGATCGACTGACAATCCTCATGTATATTCCGGCTTAGGCTCAAGCGACCCTACTGAAGCCGCCCCGTCATCTCCGCTAGAACCTCCTCATTGACCAGATCCGCCAAATCCAAGTCATCGTCTCGACCGGGATGCAGCCGCGCATGCAGCGCTCGGAGGAGGTGTACGATGGGTTGTGCGTTCTGCGAGGTCAGCGCTCAGCTGAGCACGTATGGAAAGTGGCAAGATATCAAATATCGGACGTACCTCCACAACGAGTCGCTTGGCCAGGTCCAGATCGTCCCCTACGAGTGCTATGTCCACGCCACCACAGCCTACTCGTGCGACTCCCTCTCCATCACTTGACTCCCGCTCCTTCCCCATCGTCATCGCCGCAGTCGGCGCGCTCACGACCTGCCCCCTCAACCCATCCGCCAGACCCCCTACGACTCCTCTCAACCGCTCTATCTCCTCCCGCAGCTCCCCCAGCTCACTCCGGAACCCAGGGAGCGGGAGCGCATCGACGGCGAGCCGGCCAGCTTGCACGGGATCGGGGCGGGAGGGGTATGGGCAATAGGCAGCCTGGACGGGCGGGGTGTCCAGCTGCGGTCGGGCGCCAGGTCGTGGATACGGCTGGATCTGCTGATGCTGGGGCTGGAGCAAAGTCGGGGCGGGCTCAAACGCCTCCGACCTATCTTCATTGAAGAAGTCCGGAAACAGCGCATTAAGCTGCGTCCGGACATGGCTCATCCATTCCTCATCCGCCTCTCTCTCCGCCAGTACCTCCCCGATCCAGCCTTCCTCCTCCGATCCCTCCTCTGCTCCTTCAGCGTCGTCATCGCCCGACTGGACGTCATGCTCCGATACGCTCTGAAAGCTGCTTTCCGCATCCGGCTCGACGAGGTGATATACCAATGACTCGTCCACCTCATCCTCATCCTCCCTTCGGTCACCGGCATTCCCGCGGCTGATGTCGGTATGATATTGGGAAGAAGTGTCGCCTCGGGGAAGAGCCACGACATTGAGATCAGGGAGGGGTGTGTGAAGCTGGTCCGACCGAGGTGAGGCTGTCGAGGGGGGAGGATGATGATCTTCTGGGCCGCCGAGAGGAGGGGAGCGTACGTATACGTGACCGGCGGCGGGGTTAGTCGAGTGTGGAGGGGAGGAGGAAGGAGACGGAGGAGGCGAAGCAGGTAAGAGCGCGTACTGCATCGCTCCGCTGATGACTCGTTTCCCGGCTGGTTTGGGCGAACTGTATGTGTGGGGTTTGTATGACGAAACCGAGCGATATGGTGCGCCAAAGCTTGAAACGCGTCCAGCTGGGACGGCCCGCTCCATAGTCCTCCCTGCTGTCTCCACCTCGGTCTGGGGTCTCGCCGCATTCCCACTGCTCAGATTGTGCTGATCAACCCGCTCGCGATACTCCTCCACTTCGTCCGCCGTGCGCCCTCTGTCTCCTCCCGCAGGGCTATCCGGACCCCCAGAGACAAGTCTGCGCGATGCCATCGATGCGAACCTCGCGCTCGATAGCGTTGGCGTGACGGAGACCCATCCGGCAGGTTTCCGACTCGGGATACGCGTTTTGGGCGGAGGGGAGGGAGGAAGAGGAATGAGGAGTGGGGATGTGAATTTCTCGAGGGTCTCGAAGTGATTGAGCGACATGCTATCCGATGGGCGGTCTTTTGGGCGACAGTACTGCAGTATGGGTAGAGAGGTAGACGCAAGACTTACCTCTACGCGGTCGAGTGACGAGTTGAGTGAAAGGGGCTTACGGCATAATCTGAAACGCCAAAGGGAGGATGAAACATGCCTCGCCACCCGCTGTCGCACGCGCTCGTTGTATTGATAGATCAATCTCCTGTTAGCTTGTAAATTAGCAGCGGTACGTATTCGGATACAGCCGCGCAGAGTGACTGACGCCTGAGTCGGTCGTTGGTGGTGACAGGCAGGTCGATGGGCTTGGGTACTTACTCGCCAGTCCCCGAGAATTTAGGCCACACACGACTGCTCCAGCTACAAGATCTAGCAAGAGCGCAGATTGTCAGTGACTCTGCATGAGTTCGCATGGCTTATACGAACGCTCTTGAGTACCTGGCAGCACAAGATCTGACTTTCCGTGCATGCGATCCAGAAGCTTACATATCGCCCAAAATGTCCATATACCGGTACCAAAGACCCTGCGTCCGCTGGTCCAGCTGAACTGTCTCTACCAGCTGCCCTCATCGGCCCGCGCCTACTAACTCAATACAGAGAAGCGCCTCTTCCCCGAACGTACTGCATCCCCTACCTGTGAAGCTCGTTTGTTCCGTAAATTTGCGGGATCCAACTGACGCCGCTCCACGGCCCGTCGTCTCTGACCTTGGGTATACTGTGGAGATGCGCAGGCCGTGACCGGACAGAAGGATCTCAAGGGCGAGCTCGGATCTTCCAAGTTCCCCTGCTGCGAGACGAAATTGCCGGTCTGCAAATGTCAGATCGGGCTTTCACGCGTGAAGTATGAATGACGAGATGTATGTCTTGAAGAGGGGGCTTACCTGTACATCGTAATTACAAGTCAGCGAGGTCCCAACACTGCGCTTGATATACCTGTATATGTCAGTCTAATGTTCCTACAGGTCATAATGCATAGGACCAAACGGTACTCACTGGCACCTCTGCACGGGGTCCTGACCATTGTCATACTTACCTACAGTCTCATCAGAAAGCCGCGCGCCAGACTCGACTGTAGGGACCGGGCAATTGTATAGAAACACTGACGCCATCAGCGATTGCGCTCGATGGATGGCAGGATGTAATCACCGTAGGCTTGGACTTCCGCAGCAGACCTCCTCCTGAAACTACCACCCGCGGAAGGCTGAGGATTCCGTCCATTGTTGATAGTGGTTGCTGGACAGGATGCGGGATCACCGGTGCTCAGAGTCAATGCTGTCTGGACTGTCAGCGATGTCTGCTTTCGACGCACCCAAATGGCCGACATGTCACGCAAGGCCAATCAAGAGAAGAATACATTGGCTCACGGTACCGCTGCCCGAATAGGAACAATAACGCCCGTCGTATCTGGCAGCCGATCAGCAGCCAGCACACCCATCGAGGGCAAGAATCAAGCACATGAGATGGGAGAAGAGAGAGCATCAGTCCAACTCACTGGCAGTACATAGTCACACTGTTCTGGCCGGTCAATTTGTAAGATGTGTCCACGTAGCGCAATGTAATTTCTTTATATCCGAGTTGCGAACCCGTGTTCTGCTGGGTCACAGGACCTGAAGTCTCCGATTAGCACTAGGGATTGCAAGCTTCTTCTCAGCGAGCAAAAGAGCTTACAGAGGGCAGAGTAGGCTTGCAGAGGTTGTTCACCGGCCCGACAAGTCCACTCCGACTGGCCGAGGGCTAGTGTTGAGGTCAGTATGAAGAAGTTGATGATGTTGAGGAGCATGTTGAGCAGCTGCGACTTGCGATGTGAGTGAAGCGGGGTCGAGACATGGTGAACCGGCGATACAAGCCATACATAGAGAGGATTTGAAGAAGATTATGAACGGTACCTGTGTGTTAGCAATACTGCCCGAACCGGACTGGGCCCGCACTCCTCCGCACTCGTGCAGGAATTAGCCGATACGGCATGAAGCAAACAAGGAGAAACAGCTGGAGAACCTTGTCATGCTGCTCCCTGCTGCCCCGCACCTGCTCCGTCTCGCTCAATGGTTGCTCAATGCTCCGACGAGACGTCGACGCTCGGCGGTGCTTGGCGGCAAATCAGGGTTAGCCGGATGCGGTAATGATCATTTACGGCAACCCGAGGACCGAGGTGAGGAATGTGAACCTCTGGCCGAAGCTCCGAAGAGAGGGGAAGAGAAGTGGAGGACAAGCTCTGAGTCTCTCTGCGTCCGTCCTTCTCCTTGTCATTGTGATATGGAGATCGTTCATGTATTATTATCAGCAAGCTGTTCAGGAGGGACGTGTAGCGTGCGGCCGGAATGACTGCCGTAGCAGAGGCAGAGGCGCCAGACCTCGCCAGACCTCCTCGTCACGCGCTGGTGCACAGTGCGGTGTTGTGTCCCGCCCAGATTTCCGTCCGCCCTCCATTCAGGTCTCGATATGCCTACATCTTACAGCGGCTGACAATGAGGCCGTCGGCCGCCGAGAATCTAAAATGGTGTCAGACCCACCGCTTCACATGCCAGCGATATCGTTCGGCCTACTTAAGATCGCTGCATCCCTGCCATCGCTCCTCACCTCGAGTCTTACTATCAGCTTCCCCACCACGAGTGCCGTTAGCTACCCGTGTGTGAGGTTCACCGTCGCTGCTCGGCGGCGGACAAGACTGAGACTCTGCAGCAGGTCCTTGAGGTCCTAACGGTTGCCCCTTGCCTACATTGCCGGTCGCAAAAAGACTGTAATTGTAAGGATCATGTCTTTCATTTCTGCTGTTAAACATAGCCCCGAATACTCTGGCCGGCTTCTAGTCCGGTCGGTAGGGTTACGCTAATCTCCACTTCACCTCCTCCCCCTTGACGATCCTCCCCAATTCCTCCCTCAATCCCTCCCACATCGCCCCCAGTCCTGAGTCCCCTTCGTACGAGTAACCCGCATGCGGCGTCAAGACCACCTCGCTCCGTCCCTCCTGACCCCACTTGACCGTCCGCCATCTCGAATCCAGCGGGAGCGGCTCCTCGTCAAACACGTCGATGCCCGCTCCTCGGATCTTCCCCGCCTCCAGATGCTCCAGCAGATCCGCCTCCTTGATAATCGGTCCCCGCGCTGTGTTGACCAGCAGAGCCGTAGGCTTCATCCGCTCCAGATCCGCCTTGATGACCACCCCCCTCGTCCGCTCTGACAGCAACAGCAACACTGACAGGACGTCCGCCTGAGCAAAGACCTCTTCCTTGCTCACCGCCTCAAAGTCTCCCTTCTCCAGTCCCACCTCCACCGCTGCCGCGTCCGCCTTCTCTTGGTTGAGGTTCTCGGACCAAGCGATGACCCGCATCCCGAATGCAAGCTTGGCGATTCGGCCGGTACCTTTGCCTAGGCGGCCGAGACCGAGCAGACCGAGCGTCTTGCCAGCGAGGAAGGTGTTGAGTGGATTGGCATGGAGCCACTGCCCAGCAGGGAGGAGGGCGTTATCGCGAGGGATGTTGGAAGCGAGGGAGAGGATGAGGGACCAGGTGTGCTGGACGGTCTGGTTGAATGAGGCGGGTGTGCCAGCTCTGACAATCAGTGTTTTTCAGTGTCAGTGGTAACTACTCACGGTAAAGCTCTAGCCGGCGTTCCGGTGAGAATCACTCCTGTCTCTTTGCAGGCATCATTGTCAATCCCCAGGTTCCGCATGCCCGTCGTAAGGATAACCTTCAGATTTCCGCCCTTCCCGCTGCTCTCTGCTAGAGCCGTGATGACCTCTCGAGAAAGCCGCGTCCGTTCCCGCATGGTGATAAGGATGTCGAATGGCCGGAGTCGGGATACGAGCGGCTGTGAGCCGGCCGTTGATGCGAGCGTATCTGGGAAGGACGTGAGCTCCACGGTATCGAGGAGGTCCCCGAGGTAGCGCTTGTGAAGGCCATGATAGTCATCGAGAACCGCGACTTTCAGTTTTACGTCCACTTCGATAGACATTTTGGCTTGAGCAGGGCACTTGTCAGGGACCAATGGCTATATGTACCGTATCTGGGCCAAGATGTACACTGTAGCGAGAGGAGAACATGGTCTCATCGGTCGCAATCCCGGATATAGCCGGCGCGAGTATAGCCGAAAGATCCGATGAGGAATGAGGCGCGGCAGCTAGAGTTCTTGAACAATGACATCCTTGCATTCTATCCTGCTCTTTACAAAAGTCTACATTACCACTTCATCTTGCCCAAAAAGCTCTTCTTCTTTCCTCCCTCTTCCCCTCCCTTCCCCTCCTTCCCATCCTTCGTACTCCCCCTCAAACTGCCCAAACTCAACCTACTCTCTTTCCCCTCCTTCCCACCCAGACTCAAATTGCCCAGTTGGCTATTCAAACCCGCAGCCGAATTGAACGAGTTGGGTTGGGTGCCCATCGCTGGTCTGCCGGGCGCGAGGGATGAGCCTGACCCGGGTGCTGGGGGAGGAGGGGCGAGGGAAGGGGGTCCGACGGGTGGTTGCCAGTATTTTCTATCGATGATCCTGATCATGTCAGCTCTGCCTCTCCAGAAGAATGCCATAGAGGGAGGTTGTAAGCTCACTGTTGATATGTCACCGGTCTACCCGGTGTTCTACTCCCACGTCCTGGCGACTGGGGATGTTCCGCCACCCCATTAGGCGGATTGCATCCTATTCCCCCTCGTCCGAGACTCTTCAGATCCCGAACGTAACTTTCGGGCGTGACGACATGTGTTGATCCTGTCCCGTCAGCCCCACCTTGTCTCCGCTCATCATACCAACGGAGGACTTACCGATATAAATCTCCTTCCCCAAACTCTGCCCAACAGCGTACGCCAACCTCATCTCCGAATACGTCATCCCGCCCGCTACAAACATGATGATCCGCTGTTTTCCCTCGGTATTCATTGCTCGTGCTGAAGGTGCTTTGTGCCATGTCGGTCTGGCAGATCTGAGCGAGCCAGAAGAGCCGGGAGCCGGACCACGGGTGGCGGAAGAGGCGGGAGCCAGGCGGCCGCCCGAGCGCATAGAGGCAGGGTTGGAGGAAGAGGACGATTCGGGGGCGTCTTTGGTGTATGGGAACAGGGTCGGGTCTAGGCGATTATAGTGAGAGTCCTGGATATCAGCTGAGGCGCTCGCAAAGCCGAGGAGTGCGGAGCTCACCTCGAGAATCATCTGTACGACTGGTCTGAAGCGAGACAGTTCAAACTCCCCCTCCGAGGCGTGGTATTTCTGCTTCAGACGCGAGCCTTTCGACTTGTCTTTTGGGTCCTATCTGTCAGCTCTATCTCCTACCTGTACGCGTGGGAGACTCTTGACTCACCTTCACTACCTTCGCCCCGAGCCAGACCAGATTGTTCACCGAGTCCTGCTCCGATAGACTCAGCCTGGCGTGCTGGAACAGCCGCCGCCTATCCTCGTCCGCCACGCCTTCCCGGAAGAGGATGTACAGCGCGATGATTCGGACTTTATCTAGCGATCTACAACGTCAGCTCAAGCACACCTCTTGACTCAAGAGATGGAACAAAGAAGCTCACGCTAAGGCCCGGTCATCCAGTAATGGCACCATCTCCTCCACGAGATTCTTGGGTGTCTTGCCCTCGCTAGTGTAGCCTGTCGCACAGCACTACGTCCGTCAGCTACGCCGCGCACACAAGACGCCAGATTGTAGCTGACCTGTTCGACATTCGCAGCAATGTTGAGATGTTTCTTCTCAAACAGCCCCATACACTCTTGCGCCATCTCAAGATGCAGCGAGTACTGGTCTCGCTGAGTCTGGAACTGCGGGAGAGACGCCATCATATCTTTCAGATCGTTGATACCTACTTGACCACCACTATCAAGTCAGCTATCTGCACGACTGGTCACATGCCGATCTCTCAGAGTCAGTCAGCTGACACTCACTTGTCCGCAAACCCCGCATGTTCCTGCGCGAACCGGTTGAAATCCGTCATTAATCGATCAATCGCGTCCTTCATGTGTAGATGTCGGACCGAGACCCAAATCGGATCATCGTCCGTCAGTTCCGCTTCTCGATTTTCGGTTCCGCCGACTGTATTTGTGTACTTGTACCTGCTCGTCAGCTCTTGCACTGTGGTAACAACCGCGATCGCAATGTATGTAGCTCACTTGTACTTCACCCCTTCCTCGACCTTCAGCAGATCATTCACCATCGCCTGATACCAGAACTCATGCAGCAGCGGCGCGACGGGGTCCATAGATCGGTCCACAACGAAAAGCAGCGCTTTTGGCCGACCTGACGCGGCCTGTCCAGGTCAGCTCGTCGGCTCGTTGCTCCTTCACAGAAAAGCTTACCGGGAACTCTGGGTTATTGACCATATACTCGTCCAAATCCGCCTGCAACTTCTTTGCAATCTTCCCGCTGATATATTCCGGTTTTGACGGTCCCGCACTGCCTCCTGGAGCCTGACCGGGGCTCTGAACCCGCTGTTGACTCTGCTCGGCCATCGCAGAACGCCAGCGAAGACTTTGTGTCTGTTGTGGTGGAGGTGCGGCGAGCGAAGAGGAGCCGGCCTGCTGGTTCGCCAGTGGGCCGAGAGGGGAGTGGTGGGTTGGCTGATAGAATCGGATATGGGGGTTCTCGTTTAGGGTAGCGAGGAGGTTGAGGAGCTGATCGTCAGCTTAGTCTCAGGCAGGGAAGGGGGCAAGCTTACGGTGCGACTTGTAAACTCCACATCGTCCTCGAATGCCTCGAGCGCTAGGTCGGCGGCTGCTGCTCCGCCGATATTACCGAACATGGTGAAGAAGGACGATGGCTGTTTGAGGGAGAAAACCCTATCTTCGAGAGCTGGCTATTCAGCTATAGTCCGCGAAGAAGCTCCATTTAGCTCACCCCAGATGTTGCAGTACAGCTCTGTGAACGCGCGGAGCACATCCTGGGGTATCGAGCTCGTCAACTTCTGCGCGAGATAGTCAGATATACCTGCTTTATCAGCTAATCCATACGATCAGGTACGGGGACCAGCTTACCGTCGATGAAGAAAAGATGTGCCGCCTTGTATGTCCTCCGACCGAGGGAGAAGTCGGCGATGACTCGGTCGACATTCTGGCTCGTGGGCGTGAGGAGGTAGACCGCTTCGATACCTTGTGGATGTCGGGGAGAGTGGAGTGGTTCGACAGCTATCCGATGAGCTTCTGCCTTGTCTCTTGCATTATGCGCTGCCTTCAGGTTGCGTCCCGGTCAGGACGGCCGTTCCGCCCCGCTCAACTTCTTGCACACCGCATTCCTTGTCAGACGACCAACCGCGAGACCGGTAAGACTCACAAGTAACATTCTGCTGCAAGATCTCAATGTTCTTATACACCGTATCCAGCAGAGCTTGGGAGTGATCATCCGTAATAAGGATCTTCCACGTCCCCTTAGGTACACTGTTCAGTGCCGAGGTGAAGCCTACGCGGTGGTCAGCCGAGCTCCCTCACCGCGTCCGCCACTGGCCCATCCTCGTCTGGGCAATTATGCACTCACGAGCTTTCAATAGATCTTTGAGAGGCATCGCGATCGCGCAGCTGCTGCAGCTCGATGCTATGAGTGTAGATGTGGTATGTTGACAATGGAGAGCGGTAAGGTCGTCATCGCCTCCCCCCTCGGTCTCCCCACAATTACCCCCGGATCCGGACTCAGGTTAACAAATCCGGCAGGAACCGGATATTCCGGCTTATTTACCCCTTGTTTCAGAATTCTCACGCGAAGAGGGTTGTCAAAAGTTCAAAGTCTCGGATTCGCGTCTCCACCTCTTACCTCTTTACCTTCATCCCTCCACTCGGTCAGATATAAGCGAGCAAGATGGACCAGCAAGTCCTGCAGGTGTTAAGGGAGACTTTATCCCCTGAAGAGGCTGTCCGGCAGAACGCTGAGGTCCAGCTGAAACAGCTGTTCTTCCATCCTGGTCAGTTACCACGCAGGTTGAGCACCGGGCGAAGCTGACTTGATGTAGAAGCTGGGTTGAGCTTGTCAAGGATATTGCTCGCGCAGGATGTGAACATTGCGCAGAGGCAGGTACGTGCAGCTAGCAAGCCCATTGCATTTGCTGCGGGAAATGAGACTCATAGCTGATACCCTTCAGTCCGCTGGCGTACTCTTACAGCAGTATATCCTGAAGCACTGGTCTGGGATCTCGCACGTTTTTGAGGACCCTTCAACGCCAAATGAGGTGAGCTCGTCGACCCCCTCTGCCGTTGCGCCAGGTGGACCGAGCTCACCACTCCAGATCAAAGCTCAAATCCGACCCATCATCTTCTCTGGCCTCTCCGACCCGCAACGCAAAATCCGCATGGCCAGCGTGAGCTATCTACCCACCGTTGTCCTCAATACGTTTTAAGCTGACCTCTAGGCCTTCGCCCTATCTACCATAGCCCGCTTTGACTGGCCTGACGAATACCCCGACCTTCTCTCTTCCCTCGTTGGGCTCCTCCACACGGGTTCCCCTGTATCCGTGCATGGGTCCATGCGGGTCATTGCCGAATTCGTCAAGAATGATCTGAGCGAGGATCAGTTGCTTCCCGTCGTGAGGGACTTGCTTCCTGCTTTACTTCAGGTCTTGGGCGACTCGAACGTGAGCTTACACCTTGGATGTGTGCAGTGGAAGGGACAAGCTCATGGACAGACCCACTCATATACCACCCGCTCGGAATGCGTCGCCACGTTCCGCCAAGTCCTACGCATGCTCGAGACGGTCCGCGAAGAGCACCCCGCGGCGGTCAAGCAGGCTCTAGAGGAAATCGGGGATATCTGGTTGGGCGCTTTCCGGACTTTGTTGTCTTTGAACGCCCGAACCGAAGTAGAGGCGAGCTGGGACAGCCTTGGGCTCAGAATAGAGATATTCCGCGTGAGCTCCCTCCTTGAGTACCACTGCCAAGGCCTTCGCTGACTTTTCAGACCCTCACAACAGTCCAATCCTCCTTTCCCCGCCTCCTAACCCCCCATCTCCCCCTCTACCTCTCCACCACACTCTCAAACCTCACCTCCCTCCTCCCCACCTTCCAGACCTACTATCTCTCGTCCGCGCCCGACGCGCCTGAACCTCCCTCACCTACATCCGACGCAGGCTTTGTGGTTCCCAAGAATGACCTGGATGATATGGCTTGTGCGGCCTTCGACTTTGTAACGCCCTTGGTCAGGCTGCCAAAGATGAAGGGGGAGATGATCAGTGGGGAGAATGGAGAGCGGGCGGGAGGTTTGGCGGAGGGGCTTGTTAGGTGTATTCTGGCGTATACGCAGGTGACGCGGTCAAATGTGAGTCGCGGAACAGCAGATGAACCGAGTGCGGTGTAGATGATGAGCTGATACACGCAGGAGGAAGAATGGCTGGAAGATGCAAACGCGTTCGTCATGGACGACGATGAAGAGACGGAGCAGTATGGATTACGGACAGTCGGCATAAATCTCATCGGAGTGAGTTATTGTGAGCTTCCCTCCGAGCAATCGTACTGCAGCTGACCGCACAGGCCATGATGGACAAGTACCCGCGACCTATCGCCCTCCTCCTCCAATCCCAGACCCAGCAGATAGTCTCCGAGTCCGCTCAGCTGAGGCAGCAAGGCGTGCTGGAATGGTCAGTTGGATGCTCATGTGAAGCTGGATCAGCTGACGCCTAGGTGGAAACCCCTCGAAGCGGTCCTCGCTACCCTCGGCGGACTCTCGGACGATATCCGAGATCGCCTCGACAGCGAACGCGAATCCGGCGAGGCTGCGTCGATCGACCTCGGGTATTTGTTTGATCAGGTCATTCCTCGATTGCTGGATCAATCAGGTAAGCTATCGCCTTTTCCCCTTTTGAGATTGTGGCGGACACAGCTGATTTCCACAGACACCCCCTTCCTTCAGGGCCGAGCCTTTGTATTCGCCTCGCATTTCGCCTCTCTCCTCCCTGAACACCTGGCGACGCAGTACCTCGCCGCGGCAGTCTCGGCATTGCAGAGCGAAGCGGTCAGTATACCGGTCAAGATCTCCGCGGTGAAGACTATCAAGAAGTGAGCTCCAATCCACGGCCACGGACTAGCTTCCGCTGTTACCAGTTGACAAGCTGACACATCCAGTTTCTGCCGTTTCGTTCAGCCCTCTATCCTGCATCCCCAAACCCGGTCGATTCTGTCCCTCCTCCTCCCTTTACTCGGCCAAACCACCGGCGAGACGCTGTACCTCCTGCTTGAGACCGTCCGGGCCGTAGTCGGACTGGACCAGGAACTTCTTACGCCCGATAGTGTCCTGGAAGTGACGGATCGGATATATGAGACCTGGGAGGCCAATACTTCAGGTCAGCTACCGCCTCTCCTCCCTCCGCTCCCTCCGCAATCCCTTTGATATCAGGACAACAGCTGACACCCCACAGACCCAGTAATCACAGCAATAACCGAAGAGCTATTCGAAGCCCTCGCCTCCCGCCCCCTCCTCGTCGGAACCATCGTCACTCGTCTCTCCCCACGCCTTGCCGCTCTGATCGGGACTCGGCCGGACGAGGATTGTATTCACGTACCGGGCGAGGCGGTCCAGCTTGCGAATTCCCTGATCAGGTCCCGGGGCGGCCCGGTAGAGGTCGATTTGATAAATGGGGTGACGGGCGCGGTGGTGGGTGTTTTGGCGGGGACGGACGATATGGACGTGATCCAAGTGAGTTCCTCGTCACTCGTATACGGATGAGGGATCATCCGGACTCATGTGAGGAGGAAGAGAGCTGATGAGGTAGCATGGGATGGTACACTTGACGCTGATCATCCGGAAAGACTGTGAAAAGCTCATACAATGGTATGTCCTCCCTTGGGCGTGGGCGTCTCATCTCACCTCCCTCAGCCTTGAGGTTCATGGTAATCCACGATGGACGCAAGCTGACCCCTAGGCACGCCGCCGACGGCACACCTGGCCTCACCGCCCTATTCCACCTCCTCGCTCGCTTCCTCTCCCCCTCATTCTCCGAGTCCGGCGGGATATTCACAGGCGAGCTCATCATGCACCTGTTCCGAAAAGCGGGGGGCAGTATTGGGGATGTGTTGCCGGGGCTGTTGAGGGCTGTAGTGGGGAGGTTGGCTAGTGCGAAATTGCCTTCCTTCATCCAGGTGAGCTTGCTCGGTTTACATTGACCTGGATGTAAGGGAGGGAGTGGAGAGAGCTTACAGACCAGAGCCTTGTATTGCCGTTCGCATACCTCTTCGAGACGGAACATACCGTCTCGACCATCGACCTCTTATCGCAATTCTCGGTGCCCACGCCTGATGGGTCCGAGAGGGGCGCCTTGGACTTGGTCTTGAATGCGTGGTGTGAGACGTGCGAGACTATCAGCGGGAGCTGGAATATCCGGGTCTCGTGAGTTTCCTTCTCTTTACTACCGTCCACGCCCCGGCTCGATTCGGACCTGGAGGAACAAGGAAGAAGCTGATCCTCTAGCGATCTGGGGATGGCCAAGCTCTTCCTCCATCCTGATCCCCGCGTGAGCGCGGTGGCGGTAAGAGGGGAGATGATTGTCGATGCGAGTAATCGAGACGTGATCATGACGCGGTCTAAAGCGCGTGCTGGTGAGCTCTCACGTTTCCCGCCTTTCTATCAGGGGAAAGAGCAAGAGCTGGCGCTGATATATAGCGCCGCCAAAGTATACCCAGATCCCATTCCCCGTCAAGGCGCTCAAATTGCTTTTGAAGGACTTGCAAGCTCTGGGCGGGAAGAAGGGTAGCGCCGGTGGGAGGGACGATCCTGAGATTGAAGAGGATGATGGTGTATGTTTTACTCTCTCAGCTGTGCCGGCCCGGAAGATCGGAAGAGAATGAGAGTGAAAGCTGATAGTGCAGGATGAGGACTGGGATGACGATGATCCATTAGGCGATGCAGGGGAGGACGAGTTTCAGTATCTCTCTTGTAAGCTTTAGTACTCGCTTTGATGTGAAAGAGAGCTGACGGGAATAGCGTGGTTGGAGAATGGACAAGGGGATAGTGATACGCAGGATGATGATGAAGATCTCCGATCGGATCCTATTGCTCAAATCGACCTCAGTGTGCGTATCGTATCACCTTCTGTGTCTTGTTTGCCTTGAGCTGGCGAGGAGCGTACTATTTGAGCGCTGGCGGCTAGCGGCTAGCGGTGGACACCCCAGAGCTGATGGCTGATGGCTTAGGCGCACCTGACGGATATCCTCCGCGGATGTTATACGTCGAATGCGAATGGGATGCATGGGATGGTGGATGGGTTGACGGAGGGGGAGAAGGGGATCTTGAGGGGGGTTTTGACGCTATAGATGGATTCGATCTAGCGCAGGAAATCTTGGAGCCTCATTATAAGTAGATGCATACTATGTGATACTGCTTATACTGACCGGAAGCTCGAGCCACAGCAGGCTTCGCTACCTATCGTGATTGTATGTGCGATTTACAGTTCCGCTGTCGCGGGCGTAGAGAGCGAGCAGATCCGACGTGGTTGGCGGGTCCGAGACGCCTATCCGTCCAGCGCCGGTGAACGACGAAGGAGGGAGGAGGGGCTCCATCCCAACCTAATGGTCGCGCTCCGAGGGATGTGGCCGGCCTGTCCAGAATGTCCCCAATGCAGCTCCTTTCCTTGCCCCTGGCACTCCGCCCTGCTCTCTCTCCCCGCTCACTCATCCGGAATATCCGCCGGCTTCTTGATCCCCTTGCTCAACTTGTAGTACACGACGGTAGAGTCCGAAGTGACAATCGCGAGGTATATCGTCTCCCTGTCAATCGACTCGTTGACCTCCGCCGCCTCCTGCCCGTTGTCCTTCTCCTTCTCCGTTGAGCCCTCCCCCGTCTCCGCGTCCCCGCTTGTCACCCGCCGACTGGCCATTTCCCGCTGCACTTCCTCAATAGAAGGAACGAGGGGATCGTCCGGCACTGGTATAGCCGAAAAAGGGAGGGAAGCGAGCGTCGAGTAGATGAGTTTGAGGATGGAGGGCTTGAGGGCGGTGGTGTGCAGTGGGAGGGGGAGGACTACGCGAAGTGGGTCCTGCTTGGATCAGCTGTGGAGTTCAGGATATGCACGAAGTCAGGTCAGCTAAGTGAGAGCGAAGGTCAAGGTCAAGGTGGAACATGGACTGACCTGCCGTTTCTTGTGCCCTAGGATGACGGCCCATTCTGTGCCTGGGAGGACGAAGGCGCGGAGGTCATGCCATTCCACAGCTAACGGAGTCAGCTGAAAGGTCATGAAGCACGAGAGTGGACGGAGTTTGATCCAGCTGGAAAGCAGAATATAGGCGTACAAAGCGAGAGGTCCTTGTATGAGGTGTACAGAGAACCGGCTTGTAAAGGGCAAGCTTCAAGGACGGGGAGCAAAAGGGTTCGCTGCAAGTGTGAGCTACTGGTCAGGTCACGGAAAAAGTCGGTATAGCTCACCAGAGGGTCTGTAGGTACCATCTTGACTGTTGCGCCGCTTGTGACTGCGCTGTTATGCTCCTCGAGAGTACTGTAGCAGAGTGAATGTATATGATCAGGTCGTTGCTGCTGCGCCAAATATTGTTATTTCCCCCGGAACCATCGACAGCATTCCTCGATGATACAGTAGTCCGGATAAAATACGGAAACTCCCACTACCCGGAATAACCTGTCACCCGCCCCGTCTGATTCCGCTCCCCCACGCGACTGAGCCAGCCAGAGCCGTTCCGCAGAAAGAGATCCGCACTCAACTTTCTTGGTGTCCTATCTCTCTCCACCTACAGCCTACAGCAACCATGGCATCCCGATCCATCTCCAAGCTCATCACGCCTACAGCAGCGAGGGTACTCCGCCCAGCTTCAGCGTCCATCAGTACCTCGTCCACCGCCGCGGCGGCCAGCTCAGTCGCGAGGCTCACAGGGAGGAATGCGTTGATTTCGACCCCGATGGCGAGGGTTGGGAGGGCGGAGCCGAGGTTTTTGGTGGGTGAGGGAGGGAGGCGGGCGGCTAGTACGGAAGAGGGGGGTGGAAGTATGGTGAGTTCAGGACTGGGATTGGATAGGTATCAGGTAAAGGGGGAAGGGGGAAGGGGAAAAGGAGAGAGAGGGAGGGTGGGGAGGTAAGGTCAAAAGGGAGGGGAAGGGACCCGGAGGGACAGGGAACGGTTCGGGTTGATGAGGAAGAAGGTGTTGTCTAGTTTATGAAGGAGGGCGGCTATGGGACAGGAAATAAGCCTGTACTATCGGTTGACGAACCATCCGGCACCACCCATCTCTTCTCTCCTATGTCCCATCCCTGCCTTTACCGCACCTCGGCTAACTCTTCAGACCGTTCGTGAGGCCCTCAACCTCGCCATGGAGGAAGAAATGATCAGGGACGAGACTGTTTTCGTCATTGGAGAGGAAGTCGCACGGTACAATGGTGCTTACAAGGTGAGCTATGCCTCCTTCCTCCTTTTTCACTATGAACATCTTCTCCCCTCTCAGAAGAACAGTGGATGTTGTTTGCATACGGGGTAGGGCTAATGGGCAGATCACGAAGGGCTTGCTGGATAAATTCGGAGAGGACCGAGTGATCGACGTGAGTCTCGTCTAGATCTTGATACCACTCTCTATCATTGCCGTGCCATGCGCGCATGGAGAATGGAGGTCGGAGATTGGAGAGATATGGTGGTGGTACGGGCTTGAGCTATGCTGATCCACAAGACACCTATCACTGAGTCGGGTTTCGCAGGCATGGCTGTCGGTGCGGCCCTTGCTGGTCTTCGTCCAGTGTGCGAGTTCAGTAAGTGATATCCATTAGCCGAGTGGAAAGTTACGGTTTTCTGTTGGTCCGCCTCTTCCCTCATAGTTGGCTATCTCTTCTTCACCTTCTCTTCTCTCTTATCCTTCTTGTGCACCCCTTCTTCCGTATCGTCGGGTTTCCCTCCCCGTCCCTCTCTTCCGTTTCGTCGGACTCTCCTCGCCCCTTTCTTCCTGGCTCGCGTTCGCTCGTTCGCTCCCTTGCGCGCTCCACGCACTCCCGAACTCGCTCGCTCACGCCCAGTGACCTGGAACTTTGCCATGCAAGCCATCGACCAAATAGTCAACTCGGGCGGAAAAACCTACTACATGTCGGGCGGAAATGTTCCCTGCCCCGTCGTCTTTCGGGGCCCGAACGGCGCCGCCGCCGGTGTCGCCGCACAGCACTCGCAGGACTATTGCGCGTGGTACGGCTCCATCCCCGGTCTGAAGGTTATCAGTCCGTGGTCGGCTGCGGACTGCAAGGGGCTGTTGAAGGCGGCGATTCGGGATCCTAACCCTGTGAGTTTGGTTTGGAGTTGGAATTGGAGTTGGGTCGAAGGGCGGAGAAGGAGTTGGAGAAGGAGTTGGATCAGCATATGGACCTGATAGTTGGAAGTCGAGGAGAGGGGTGAGAAGGAGATACGTGGGGCGATCGTTATATGGAAGACAGGTGGGCGCCACGTTGGGACAGGTGGACTACTCCAGTATATCTGGCTGGCACCCCCATCCAGCTGTCTCATGCCTCCTGTCTTTCTTCTCCACCCTCTTCTCTCCTAGCTTTCAATATTTCCTATTTCCTTTTCTTCCACCGTTATCCATTCGTCAGCCCTCATCCCTCATTCGTCGCTTCGTCCCCCACCACCACAATCTGCGCCCGCTAACACGCCCACAGGTCTGTTTCCTCGAAAACGAACTCCTCTACGGTGTTTCCTTCCCGATGACCAAGGAAGAAATGTCGGCCGACTTCCTCTTGCCGATCGGGAAAGCAAAGGTCGAAAAGGAAGGGACGGACGTGACGGTCGTGGCGCACAGTAAGATGGTGACGCACAGTTTGGAGGCGGCCGAGATTTTGGAGAAGGAGCAGGGGATCAAGGTGGAGGTTATCAACTTGCGGTGAGTCTTGGGTCTTGGTGTTTTTGGGGGGTCTGGGGGAAGGAGGGGTCTGGGGGGAAGGATGGAGAAGGAGAAGGGCTAGGTGGTGGAGGAGGTGCGAGGACTAGTCTGCGGGATTGGGAGAGAAGAGTGGAAATGGAGAAGGCCGGCTGAGAGATGCGGCTGGACAGTGGACATATGGCGGGTTGTGCAACCTTCCCCTTCTCTCCTCCCCTCCTCCGTGGAAGATCTTGTCTCGACCAGACCGGACTGGACCGGGCTGGATCTGACCGCCGCGCTTATCTCACAAACATCAACACAAAGAAGCAATGCTGATTCCCACAGCTCTATCCGACCCCTCGACATCGACACCATCATCAGGTCCGTCAAGAAGACTGGCCACCTCGTGACCGTCGAGGGTGGATTCCCAGGTCAGTCATAATCTTCCTCGCTAGGCAGTATCGTATGAGATGGAATGGCCTGGGCACAGCTGACATCTCCGCAGCATTCGGTGTCGGATCGGAAATCATTGCCCAGATTTGCGAATCCCCCGCGTTTGATTTCCTCGATGCCCCGCCAGAGAGGATCACGGGTGCGGATGTGCCTACGCCTGTGAGTTTACACCCACTCTAGCAATTGTAAAAGGGGATCAAGCTGACATGGCCAGTACGCAGAGTCACTCGAGACGATGGCGTTCCCTGATACTTCCATCATCACCAAAGTCCTCAAGCGACACTTGTGTAAGTTACCTGTTCTGGTTCTGGTACTGAACGATGACGGAAAAGCTGATGTTACAGACCGTCAATAGGTGCGAGGACCGGAGACTGGAGGGTGGAGCGTGTGATTGGGATTGAGGCCGACGTTGGCGTAGGCGTCGGATTTGGGGATCAGGGCTGAGGTGAGGATGATAGACTGGGATAGATACGGATATGCATTGACTACGCACTACGCCCCGCCCCTCGTTCGTCTGCGACCGGTAATCAAGGTCGACGTGTTGAAGCTTGAAGCCAGAGTCTGGAGAGGAGAGATAGTAAGCCGGGTAACATCTGCATGCGCATATGCGATGCCGAGAGGGCGATCACCAAGCTTCCACAGCTTCCACGGCGGTCAGCGTTATCTCTTCCATATCTCGGCTTGTCTTTTATCTTCGACGACAGTATCGCCATCTCCGAAGGCCCTGCAGCGCTAAACTCAGCCCTAGCCGGCACAAGAGCCTCGCACATCGGCACATTGAACAAAATGAGGTCCACGCAATACCTCATCGAAGCGCTCTTTCTTATCCTCGCCACCGGGCCCTCCCTTTCGCTCGCGCTTCATCCGAGCATCGCTGGCGCTATCGCTGATAACACCGCGTCCACATCATCATGGAGCGTCGACGATATCTTGGGGTCATGGCTAGTGCTGGATGCTCGATCGCAAGATCCATCGCCATCGCCAGTGGAAACAGGGGCGACGGTGGAGATCCCGATTCCGGGAGTTCCTGCTGCTGCGGGAGGGAGCAGTAGGGGGTGGTTGGAGCGTTGGATGGCTTTGGGGGGAGAAGGGGAGGTGGTCGTCGAGGTAAGTGTAGGCTCTCTTTGCCTGTGTTTCTGCTCGAGAACAAGGGGACATGTACGGCTTGGATCACCAAGACCAAGACCAACGCCAGAATCCCCTATCCCCCGCCCATTATCACATTCAAACAGAGCATCTCGCACGATTCCAGACCACAGCTGATACATCTCCTAGCTATCATCCGGAAACTTGACCTACCCACACCGACCCGCCGCGTTCCCTACACACCTCCCCGCCATTTCTCGTCTGCCCAAATCAGGCCTCCTCGTCGCGTTCACCTCTCTTCCCAATTCCACTCTACCGACTTCTGCGTTCACTGCAGCCGCAGCCGCGGGCATTAGCAGCGGCTGGCTCTTCCCCGGATCGGGATCCGGATCGGGTAAGCCCCCTAAGACCCCTCCGGCAGCTATGCAGGGCTGTCTTCCTGCGGCTTGGCCACCTATCCGCTGGACCTCCCTTGCGCCGGTATATCGTCGGAGGGGAGCTGCCGGACAGGAAAGGGGAATCACGGAGAAGGGAGTCAAGGTGGTACTTGTCGAAAGGGGCGGATGTGACTTTGCGACTAAAGTCCAGGCGGCGCAAGAGAGGGGCGCGGGGGCTGTTATTGTGGGCGATAGGGCGGACGAGGGGGAGAGTGTGGAGGAAGGGAAGAAGAGGACGGGGGGTTTGATTACTATGTTTTCACCAGGTACGTCTTGCCCTCTGGTCCTGCAGTGCCCCTGGAAATGACACCCCAAGCTGACTTCGCGCAGAAGACACGGACAATATACATATCCCGTCGGTGTTCGTCTCAAGGGCGGCGTACCTCCAGCTCCTGGATGTATTGGATTCGGCGAGCGGTGATCAAGAAGGGGTCTGGATCGATATTGGCGATGGCGCGGACGAGAATGCGTAAGCTACCTCTATGCCTCATGGCGGGAATACCGTATAGAGCAGGCCAGCTGATCATACAGTACATTGGGCGGAATGCTCTCATTTGCTTTGCTCATGCCGAGCTTGTTCTTGCTCGCTACGATCGCAGTGCATCGCGTTCGAGTGGCCAGGTAAGCTATTCCTCCTATACGAAGCTTGGCCATCTGCAGGCCATTATCCGCTGTGCGACATAGCTGACACCTCAGGCAAAAGGAGCAAGACCGTGCTCCCGCCCAAGTCGTACTCTCCCTCCCAGAAAGGGTCTGGCAGCCGGATATTGTCTGGGAAAAAGAAGACGATACGCCGCTCGTCTCCCCCTCCCGCCCCGATCCTCCATCTCGCACACCTTCCCGAAAAGCCTCAACCGAAACATCTATCACATCCTCGTCCTCGCCCGCCCGCCCGTCTGCCTCCCGCACGCCATCGTCATCGTCTTCGGGCCTCGCACCCCCGCCCATCTCTTCTCGGGACATCATCACGCCTCCAGCTGTAGAAATCGCCGATCCATTCAATATCACACCTACCGCCACTCCCACTGCGTCTGGATCCGGCTCTGGCTCGACATCGAGTCGGCCGCCGGCGAAACGGACCAAAAGCAATTCGACGATCACCGCCGCGGTCAGTAAGAAACGGCGATACTTTAGTAAGGACGAGTGTGCGATCTGTATGGATGAGTTCCATGCGGGTGATATAGTCCGGATACTGCCGTGTGGGCATGTGTTCCATAAAGAGGAGTGCGATGAGTGGTTGATGAAGTGGAGGAAGCTGGTGAGTGCCGTTCCCCGACCAACCTGGACCGACTGTAGGGAAGGATTGGAGCTGACCAACAGTGTCCAACATGTCGAGCAGACGTGACTCTCCCGCCAGGCGCAACACCCCCCGCAGCCAGCCGAGGAGCCAGGCTGACCCTTGTGGACGGACTCGGACACGGAATGGCTGGTGCTGGTGCTGAAGTAGAGCAAGACGCAGATGATCGGGGAGAACGCCTGGAAGGGCCAATCTTTACGGCGGGACGATTCTTGGGCCGGTGGATTGGCCGCACGAGGGGTATGTTGTTTGGTCGAAGAGGCCAAGCGGGGGATGCGGCGATGTTGGGTGAGCGGACGGCGTTGATTCGGCGAGGGAGCGGCGTGGAGCGGCGGGGTGAGGGGAGTGTCTAGACTGAGGCCGGGCGTACTGCATGGGTGAAGGGTTGTATATACGATTAGGCAACGATATTTAGGACGTAGACTCGGATCATGTACCACCTCATCTCCTTGCACCATCGGTGGATGAGCGCGTATGTTGAATGTGCAAGACATGATTCTTAGCTCGACAATAGACAACTACTTGCATGCAGATATCCAGTCCCGCTTATTCGCAGTCGACAACGTCCCAGTCCGTCACCTGTCCAAGTCAGCGTGTCTTGGCACCTCACAGAAGAACGATGAGCTCACGAGGTACTCGTCCAGCCCATTCAGCTCATCCATCTCATCCTTGCTCAGCTCAAAGTCGAAGATCTGCGAGTTGGAGATGATACGCTTCTGCGAGACCGACTTGGGGATGATGATCGTGCCCTGGGAGTATCAGCTTACAGACCTCCCGGCTCTCAGATGAGAGGCCTAATTTGATGGAATAGAAACTGACGTGCTGCAAGCCCCATCGAAGCATGATTTGCGCCTGATCCTTTCCGTGTGCTTTGGCGATCTTCTGCACCGAGGCATGGTCGAATCGCATAGCGCGAGCCAGCGGTCCCCAGGCCTGTTGTATCAGATTTTGCTCCCAAGATCCCTTTATGCTGAGACACAGCGTCAAAGACGAAGCAGAGCTCACCTCAAGAAGAATGTTGTGCTTTTGGCAGATCTCGACGATGTCCGGGTGACGCATGAACGGGTGCAGATCCACCTGGTTGACGGTAGGAAGGGGGACACCCTGGTCGACGAACTCCTGGATGTGCTTGACGCCAAAGTTGGAGACCTACTTCGTGAATTCTTGTCCCTGTTCGTGAATAAGGACAAGCTCACCCCGATAGACTTGACGAGTCCTTCTTTCTGCGCATCCACACACGCCCGCCAGACGTTCTTGCGCATCTCCGGACCCCCAATAGCCGAGTGCATGAGGTACAAGTCAAAGTACTCCAGCCCGGCGACTTTGAGCGAGTTCCGCAGGTCACGGAGAGTCTCGTCGTAGCCGCGGTTGGTCTTGAGCTTGGAAGTGAAGAAGAGGGAGGAGCGGGGGGTGTCGCTCTCTTCTACGCAGACGTCAGCGGCAGCCGGAGGGTTTTACTGGGATAAGAAGAGCTTACCCATGTAGTCCAGCATGGCCCGAGCAGAGGGTCCTTCGTTCTCATACCTGCCTGTCAGCTATCGCTCCCTGACAGAGTCTCATGGAGAGTCCAGCTTACCATTCGGCAGTATCAACGTGCTTGTACCCCGCCTCGAAAGCCCACTTGCACGCCTGATACGTCTGCTCATCGTCCATCTCGTATACACCGAGACCGAACTGCGGGATGGTGTTCCCATCGAGCATCTAGAGTATGTTCAACACTGGACCTTATGTGAAGGGGTACAGAATGGCGATAGTAGGATCACGCCATCAGAATCTCAATATGGACTGACCTTGACTCGCCCGTCGAGCGAGGTGACAGTTTGAATCGACATGGTAAGATCGGAGCGCTCTTAGATCGTAATTTTTCGGGTAGACTGTCTACGCAGTATGCTAAACTGATACTCTGCGGGGTAGCGCCGGCTGCTGCTGCCTGCTGATGTAGATAGATGTAGAGCAAAGAGATCAGAGGACAGGGTTTGAGTTGCTCAGCTCAGCTTCCGGCGGAACGGAAAGTTTTCTCAACTCCACATTCCTCAAGCCAGCTCACCAAAGTCAAAACCAACCTCAGTCGCCCATCTACACAACCAATCTACCCCGTACACAATGGTAGAACCACCCGCCTCAGAGGGAGAGATCTCGCCCAACACGGTTCCTTTGACCGCCTTTGTCTCGTTCCCCTCGCCATATACCCAGAGCCTCATCGTGAAGGCCCTCATATCTTGCCTGTCCTCCATCTCCATCTCGCTCCTCCCGCCAGACGACGAGGATCCACCCCGGCTCCAGTGGTCGGTCTATCATTATTGTATCCGTCATATTTCTGATCATACAGGGCCGACTATGACCTCATCTCATTCGACAAGCCCCATGCCTCGCCCTCAACCCACCTCATCTCTTCCTACATCTACCGTAAAGCCCTTATCCGGAAACATCAACTTCACCTCACTATTACCGAGTATCTCGCGAAATGCGATCATCGCGGCGTAAAGAGTGTACTGAAGGATGGAGGGGTGCCAAAGGGATGGGTGGTAGACTTGCAGTTTGCGGATGAGCTGGACGAGCTTTTGATGGATGATTTGTATGAGTTGGCCGAGGGGATGCAGTCGAATGAGGAGAAGAGTGACGCGGAGAAGAGGTGGGCATCATCTCATTTTAAGCTTCTCACGGGAGCTGACCTGACAGCTGGTACATCCTGAAGCCGGGCTTTGCCGATCGTGCCCAGGGTATACGGATGTTCTCCTCGGAATATGAGCTGTAAGTGGTGAAGCCTAGCTTGAAATCTGTAGCTGAAGTATGACAGGAGAGCTATCTTTGAGTCTTTCGAGCCGCCATCATCAGACGAGGAAGATGAGGATGACGATGATGAGGAGGCGGGTGCGGAAAAAGGTGATGAGGAAGATGTCGAGGCGTTTGAGCGGAGGCTGGTTGAGAAGACCGCCAAGATGGGTGTTGAAGATGAAGAAGAAGGCGGGACGGGCGTGATGACTTCACAATTGCGACATTTCGTGATACAGGTGAGCTGACATAGTCCGTGACTGCAAATGAAGCTGACAAGCAGGAATACATGCCTCGACCAATGCTCTTTGACATACATCAAAGCGAAGCTACATCTGAAACACCCTCAAAGGGGCGTAAGGTAACTATCGTCCTGTCTGCCAGTGGATATGGATATGGCTAAAGAGCAGTTCCACCTCAGAGCCTACGTCCTCCTGACCGGCGACTACACCCTGCATCTCTCCCGCACCCTCCTAGCTCTCTTCTCTTCGGACGCCTACACCCACCCCACCTCTTCCACGGCATACGATGACGACGCTCTTCGGCCCCATCTGACCAATACCTGTCTGCAGACGGATGAGCTGGGCCAGACTATCCCGGATGAAGAGCTGGTCAAGCTCTTCTGGGAGCTGGAGGGGTTGGACGCGCTCGCTCTGGGTGCAGACGGGGAGTACGGCAGTGAAGGAAAAGTCGGGAAGGAGTGGTTGAAAAGTACGTTTGAGAAGGTGGGGGAGGTGGTGGCGGAAAGTGTGAGGGCCGGGGTGGAGTGTGGGAGCTTTGGGTTGCAATTGATGCCGAATGCGTTCGAGGTACGTGACGATAATCGCGGATGTGACAGTCATCGCGGACGTGACGATGACCGCGGACGTGACGATAATCGCAACACGACGTGGTATAGCTTGAGCTGATGAGCTAGATCTTCGGCGTCGACCTCCTCCTCTCTTTCCCACCAACATTATCTTCAGATCCTGCCGACAATCAGCTCCCAATACCGACCGTCACTTTGCTCGAGTTCAACGCTTCGCCCGACTTTGTCCAATCTGGAGACCGCCTGAAACCGTTGTTGGCGGATATGTTCAAGGGGGTCGTACACCTTGCCATCGCGCCATTCTTCGGTATACACACAAGGACTCCTGCCGATGATGAAGAAAGGGAGACCCGAAATGGTCAAGGAGATACGGGGGTTGCTGGCGTGGTGAGCGGCGGGGCTAGGCAGCAGGGTCCAGCCGGGGACGTGATGGGCTGGAGAAAGATTGGGGAGGGCCAAGTGCGTGGGCCATCAGGATGACAAGGGAGTCAAGTGAGATGCATTGCAAAGAAGAGCCGGGACCGGCTGATCCTCCTACGCTGACGGGGTCGGGATGCCAACAAGATGATCAAAATACTAATACTGATGTGCGTGATGTACAGCCGTCCTCATCAATCTCGGCTGCAAATGCCTGATGAGTGAGATGCCTCACTCATTAACAAATGCATGGCGTATAAACAATAAAAGCAAGACTCCTCGTTTCGTCATTGCGACGGGTCTGATCAAACACGATCACCATGACGCTGTGGTGAAAAAGGGTGGAAGCTAGATCGATGGCAAGCGAAAGAGAGGAGATCGAGGTGAACCAGGGAGGACTGGCGCACAGGAGAGGGGTATGAGAGGGATACGAAGAGTGTGCCGAGCCGTATAGATGTCGATGGGAGTAGCACCGAGTGTCGAATGGCCAAGCTGCAGGTGAGACAGAGCAAGAGCTACATGAACATGTATGTGGCTAGTGCTATGTACGGTGATTGACGATCTATCCAACGCTTAGCCATCCATGGCTCTCGTCAGCCTCGCCTGTGTGCTGTGCACGGACCTCCTCATTCCTCGTTGTGTGGCGGAATTGTATCAAGCCTGCGCTTTCCCCACACCGCTCTTCTCCTTGCATAAGGTCTTCAGTCCTCAAGTCCTCAATTGGTTCACAAGTGCATCACATGATACATGTCGTATAAACAAGCCGCTACCTTGGTAGTCTCATCCGTACCGGCCTATCCCCGACTCGGCCCCGAGGGCCCTGGTGAAACGGAGAACAGGATGAACTCGGTGGGTGAAGCGTTGCTCGTCAGCTGATCAACCCAGAGACCGTTGTTGATCAGTCCTGCAGTAATCAGCTCTTACCGGCCTGACTCGCGACAGATAAAAATGACACTACTCACCCTGCTGTCCTTCTTCAGTGAGTGCGTGTATCGTGCCCTTCAGGACTCCGTGAAGGACGTGAGCCTGCTTCTGGGTAATGGTTGCCTCTCGCCAGAGTTCAGGAGCCTCTGTCTCGAGCTGTTCGGCCACGAGCGTCGCGTACGCATGGAAAGCCCTGTGAAAGTCGCGGCCCGCGGTCGAACCATCAGCTGACAGGTCCCAATCGAAGTAGCGCATGGCCTGATCGTCGAGCACAGTGTCCTCTTCACCGGTGACCTGTGGGAGTTTTGACAGGAGAGTAGTTCCGAAGAAGTGGAGCTGCTTCAGCCGCTGTTTCTCCTCATCGTCTTCAGTGTTCGTCGCACGGTCCTTCGTGAGTCGTAGTGCTCGGAGAAGGGCGTTCTGAGCGGCTGTAGTGACCGACACAGGTGGCAACGTCGGCACAGGCTCGGAGATAGACATGTTGTATGTGATTATTCAGGGAGACTTGGACGATATCGGGGTAGCTAGAGGGACGAATATAGCATGTGAGGGAAATATGAGTTCTTATGTGCGCCGTCCACGCTGGGAGTGGGACAAGGACCCGAGAGGTTTGCAGGAAGGCTCATTGGCCGCCCGCCTCGCCAGTGATGCCCAAAGCGGTCGTATAGATCTCGCTTCAAAGGATACAGTCTCGTGGAGATTTCCAGCACTCCAGTATAGTCAGCTTTTTGCGTACCCTCAAGGTCAAAGTGAAAGGTAGTCCCGCGCAATTCACACGTTAGATTGAGCGGAGTCGACTGCGATTTTCAGATCTTCATTCGTGCTGAAACGCAGTCGAGCTGACCGTAGGCTGTCATCTGGTCGGCCAGACAAAGGACAGACTAAATTGCATTCAGCTTATCTGCGCGAAGTGCGCACGTGTGACGTGGGTCATAGCATCCGGCTCCAGGCTCATTCGATCCAGTAGTCATGCATTCTTGTCAACGAGCGCAATGCCCAGGCAGAGACAGCTGACGCACCAACGTCAGGTACCTAACTCATGCTTGTCCCGCTCAGTACTGGATTCAGTCACTCTGCTACTCCGACCCATCTCAAGCTTAACCAGGTTTATATCAGCTCATAACGCAGGCTTGGCGCAGTAGTCATAGGTTGCCATTTACAGCCGTAAGACATACACAAGAGAATCACATGAGTGGTATATATCAGACTTCCATGTCACGTTCAGTAGACAGCCAAAACGATCCGTCGCTCAGTGACATCAGTCCCATCGTCGGGGTGAGTAGTACGCGTGTCCCTGTCCAGGCACATTGCTTGAGACTGTCGAAATCAGCACCATACATGTCTGTCTAAGACAACTCACCCTCTTGCTGGTACGCCAGCATCTGAATCGTCTGGTCCACAATGGCAGTAAAGACCGTCGCGTCCTGTTGGTGGACAGAGGAATTGCCCCACGTGTCCCGTCCGCTGAATTTTTCAATGACCGTCCCGGCTTGTTCTCGGTAGGTTGCGCCGAATCCGCGGTCCCATTCCTCGGACTTTTCGTGATGCGCCATTATCGCGAATACTCTGTCCATCTTGCTTTTGTCGAGCCAAGTCATGTCTTCCCCAGTATCCGGGAAGACATTCAGCAACCCCTGTACCAAAGTCTCCGTGTTGTAGTCTTCCCGGCTTGCCGCTTGGCCCGTTTTCAAAGTCCGGTCGATTCTGGCTTTGACGTCTGCCAGGCCCTTGACAAGAGCCTGATACTGCTGCTTCGTGACGAAAGCATTGGGCAAGATGGGCGCGTAGGCCGCAGACATGATGATATGGATGTGAAGGTGGACCGTGCGTAGTGGAAGGAAGGGGTGGGTGTTTGAGACAAAGGACAGAGAGACAGCGGCGCCCTTTATATGTCCACCGAGCGAGGGAAAAGGGGATACCCGCGTGAGCATGTCAAAGGAGTTTCCGACCGATATGGCGAGCAGGGCTCGACACGCTGTTTGCGCAGGTGCAAAGGAAGGTCAGCAGTCAGATATGGCAATCGAGATCCAAGGTCAAGGGCGTGTTACGGGGTTGTTCACATAACGGATCAATGCGATGCTCAGCAAGGGATGATTGCGTGTCAGTACATAGGCAGATCAACGCCCACTTATTGCGAGGATGGAAAGGAAGACTTGCGATGAGGCGGTGCGGCCGAGATCTTCAGGTCAACACGCGTTTCGTCGACCCACAAGGGATGGGGTGAGGTGCTGACGAGCTCCGTGAGCATTAGTCAGCACCGCAACGATTAGCACTCCCATCACAGCATGAAGCATGAGCGGCGTCCGCAAGACACGTGAGTACCATACCCAAGCGTACACAATACATCATGGCAGCACAACGTACTTTTGCAAGTGCTCCGGGATGTGCTGGAGGAGCCCCTTGCTCTCGAGCCATACCCGCGAGAACAGACGAGCCTGGTATCTGCCTTATCAGCTCTTGGCCTCCTTTGACTCCATACTCCAACAAGCGTAGCGCATGACTCACCGATAAGCCCCATCACACAGAATCGTCACAATCGTCTTTCCCTTGCCCATCTTCCTCGCCAGCTCCGACGCCGCCCATACATTCAGCGCCGAAGACGCGCCGACATAGATCCCTTCCTCATGCAGCAGGCGGTAGACCATGTTGATAGAGGCGGAATCAGGAACGTGGATCGCTCCGGTGACGAGGGAGATGTCGCCCTTGAGGTTGTTGGTGACTCGGCCTTGTCCAATACCTGCTTCATCAGCTCCAATTCCCTAGTCGGGCCACAAAGGGCAGGTGAGACTTACCCTCAGTGATTGACCCATTCCCTTCCCTCGCAATCTTCCCATTCTCCACCAAGTGATATAGCACACTTCCTGGCGGGTCGGCCAACCACCCCTGAACCCGCCCGTTACTCTTCTCCGTGAGGTACCGCGTCACACCAGCCAGTGTCCCTCCGGTCCCGGTGGCGCAGATAAAGGCGTCCAGCTTCCCGCCGTCGGTCTGCTCCCAGATTTCCGGACCGGTAGTGAGGATGTGAGCTTCCCGGTTCGCGGTGTTGTCGAACTGGTTTGTCCAGACTGCGTTGTCCAGGGACTCGGCGTAGCGCTTGGCTTGGTGGTTGTAGTTCTGGGGGTTGTCGAATGCGACAGCTAGGGAGTCAGCGTGGTTCACCAACGATGAAGCCAGAAATGATGGACTGACCAGGAACAGGCCGTACGTCCGCACCCAGCATCCTCAAGAGATCAATCTTCTCCTGACTCTGCGTGTCCGGCATGTAGATGACACACTGATACCCTTTACTCCGACAGACATGCGCCAGCCCAATCCCCGTATTCCCCGCTGTCCCCTCAACGACCGTCCCGCCTGGCCGGATCAGCCCCTGCGCCTCTGCATCCTTAACAAGGTACAGCGCCGCCCGGTCCTTGACCGACCCCCCGGGGGACATGAATTCTGCCTTGGCAAGGATGTTGCATCCCGTCTCCTCGGACAGTCGGTTAAGCCGGATAAGCGGGGTGTTGCCGACAGCCCCGACGAATCCTTCGACTTCGCGCCCGTACCCTGTGACTGAGGTAGCGTAGGATCGGGCTGCGACTCGTGTGCGGAGCACGGCGCGGAGTGTGGAAGTGGCTCGGGCAGACATGATGGTGATGAGCAGGAGGATGAGTGAGAAGGTCAGCTGAATCAGTCAGTTTGTGTGTTTTCCGAATTCTGGAATCAATGGCCAGCGATGTCGCCATCACAAGTGGAGGTTTCCATCGGAGCCCCACACTGAGACCGGAGTTAGGGGCTATCTCCGTTGGCTCATACGAAATGTTGGCGCGAGACTGCTCGATGCTAATAAAGGGTACTTCACTTGACCATACCTATAGCAGCGCCACTAAACACCGCCTTGATCATGCTCAAGAGGAGCTGGAGAGCGGCCTCATGCTCTCGCTGCGTCGCCCAGAGTCGAATCGCAGTAGCACATTTGCCCTGTCCGCCAGCCGAGAGCTCGGCGCAGGCTGCCCGTCGGTATGCGAGTCTCGCCAGGCCGACCTCGGCATGTCCTCATCGGGTCTTCGTCCAGCCCAGCATCAGAAGCTTCTCTTCGTCTCCTACTATAAGAGCTGCGAAGATTCTGGAGGGGGACAACGGGAAGGGCAAAGCGCTCGATATGGAGGACTTTCCCCGGGACCGGATCAGGTGAGCTGTGTGCCGCTGATATCAGGACTGCAAGCGACAGCTGACCCACAGAAACATCTCCATCATCGCTCATATCGACCATGGAAAGTCGACCCTCGCCGATCGGCTACTACAGCTGACGGGCACTCTGCCCGCCTCGTCCAGCCCGCAATTCCTCGACAAGCTCAAAGTCGAAAAAGAGCGGGGTATCACCGTCAAGGCGCAGACGGTATCGCTCATACACACGCATACGGACGGGGAGCGGTATCTGATCAATTTGATTGATACCCCTGGACATGTTGATTTCAGCTATGAGGTCAGCCGGAGTCTAGGCGCGTGCGAAGGGGCGCTGTTGCTCGTGGATTGTACCCGTGAGCTTGCCAGTGCTCGTCGCGTGCATAGTCAGAGCTGAGCTGACACATTCAGAGGGTATCCAAGCTCAGACCTTATCGGTCTTCCATTATGCTGAAGAAGCAAACCTTACCTTACTACCGGTCATCAACAAGGTCGACCTACCACATGCGAGCCCAAAGGAAACGTCCGAGCAAATCGCCGCGACGCTCGGTCTGCCCATGGGCAACCACGTACATATCAGCGCGAAGAGCGGTCTGGGCGTACCGCAGGTCCTGACATCCATCATCGACGAGTTGCCGCCTCCACCTCCGTCGGAAGAGACGGACGGGCGATTGCGAGGACTGGTCTTTGATACATTGTCAGTTATTGGCAGCTCTCCGATTTTCAGAGTGAAGCAGATCCAGCTGACAAGCCAGCTACGACCATTTCCGCGGTGTCGTATCCCTCGTACGGCTTTTCTCTGGGTCCATACGGAAGGGTGACAAGGTCCGGTTCCTCCAAGCGGGCAAGAAATACGATGTGCTGGAGGTAGGGGTGCACAATCCGGAGGAGGTACCGGTTGACGTCCTCTTGGATGGTCAAGTAGGGTAAGTAGATGCCCCTACATGGATAGCAAGGCCACTAGGAGCTAACTTTCAGATACGTCGTCTGCAATATGAAGAACTCAGATGAGGGTGAGCGGGGCCGCTGAGATCGTAGAAACGCATAGCTCACTTTTCAGCACACATTGGAGATACGATCTGCCACGCAGACAAACTTGTCGATGCCTTGCCCGGTTTCAAACCGATGAAGGCTATGGTATGTCTCTCACTTCTGCTTTGCTCTACTCAGCTGATTGTCCAGGTCTACGCCGGCGTCTTCCCGGTCGACAGTGGCGATTTTTCCAAATTGGAAGAAGCAATCGAGAGGGTAAGCTTTGAATGTGTGACTCTCCTCTAGCGCCCAAGCTGACTCCAACTAGCTGACCTTGAATGATCGCAGTGGTGAGCTGACCACAGGCCTCTGGCATGGATATAGCTGACGCACAGTGTCGATACAACGTGAATCATCAGCAGCGTTGAGCCAGGGTTTCCGACTCGGCTTTTTGGGCACTCTGCACTTGGACGTCTTGTAAGTCTGGCTGACTAGCCTCTTCATGAAAAGTGGCAGAACGGGGCTGACCTCTCAGCCGACAACGCCTGGAAGACGAGTATGAGTCGAACGTCATCATCACCTCGCCGACCGTACCCTTCAAGGGTAAGCTGAGACTAGTCTATCGGTCTCCTGAGAATCATCTGACTTGTTTCAGTGGTGTATAAAGACGGCCGAGAGGAGTTCATCTCCAACCCCGCAGACTTTCCAGATATCACCGACCCCAAAGCTCGCGTGGCACACATCGAGGAACCAATGGGTTTGTCCAATCCACACCTTCTGTCTCCTCGTACCTCAGCTGAACTCGCAGTGGCCGCGACGATCTTTGTCCCCAACGAGTACATTGGCGAGATGATGACCCTCTGCGCCAAATACCGAGGTATTCAACAGGAATACCGGATCCTCGAAAACTCGTCCCGAGCTGTCTTGCGATACACCCTCCCGCTCTCAGAGATCGTCACCGACTTCTTCTCCGAGTTGAAGAGCGCAAGTTCGGGGTTTGCGAGCTTTGATTATGAGGAGGCAGGGTATCAACGGTCGGATCTCGTCAAGGTAAGCTGAACCGATCCCTGGGACTGTGTATGAAGCTTACCAGACCAGCTCAATATGATGCTCAATTCGAAACCGGTCGACGCGCTGGCTATGGTCGTACATCGGAATGCGGCGGTCGCTATCGGTCGAACGTGGACCAAGAAACTGCGTAAGCTTCCTGCCACCTATCACCTGCGTGGCAGTAGCTGACAATACAGGCGAAGTACTACCTCGGCAATTGTTCGAGCTCGCGATCCAGGCGGCTATTGGTACGAAGGTAGTCGCTCGAGAGAGTCTCTCGGCGATGCGCAAAGACGTCACTGCTGGTCTTTACGGAGGTGAGCTGACTTCCCTCTGTCCTTCGAGGGGTCCAAGCTGACTGGTGAGGGCACTACGAGCGGAAAATGAAGCACCTCGAAAAGCAAAAGAAGGGCAAACAGCGCCTCAAGCGGCTTGCGGGGAACATCGACGTTCCGCAGTCTGCCTTCTTTGATGTTCTGTCATCGCGCCCGCGAGGGTATTCGACGTGTGCCGTGCGGCGGTACAGCTCCTCCGCTATTCAGCTGGAATCAAACTCCACTGATAACGGCGATTACTTCCCTAGCCTGCACGACGAGCCCCAACATCGGTCGTACGACATTGCTACGGGATCTGTACGAACTCCCGCTGAGCCCGCTCCTCGCGTTCTCGGAAAGGCACCTACCGCTCCGGCAAGCGGCGATGCCCAGCACGTCCCTCCTTCCGCCCACCTCCCTGGTGATCTCGAGGAGTCCCATCCTACACCGCCCGTCATTAGGCCCGTCCTCCCCGCCGCTGACCTCGCCGCCTTCCTCCCGCCTCCTACGGACGAGTCAATTTCGCTCTCATCCACTCCCGCCCGCCAACTGGATCCTATTACACCGCACGAGCTCCCTCCCCAAATCCGTTCCCAACAACTCTCCAATCTCTTCGTTCTCGCTTCCAGCTCGACCGCCACCTCCACCGAGATCTACTCGGCATGGAGCAACCTCTACCTCTCCGCTCCCAATACCCGCCTCTTCACCCCTCCGGAGCTCATGACCATCCTCCGCGGGATGCACCGGGCGGACCACCGAGGCAAGCTCCGAGATCCGCACGCCGCGGCACAGCGGTCCGGGATAGTCAAGGATGTTCTGGGGGATATCTCGCCCGGTGTGGTTGGCCGGGCTGCCCGCCAGATCCTTGTGGCGGAGTTGCAAGCGGAGGCGTACAGGAAGACGGTCGGGGCAAAGACGTTGAAGGAGGCGGAACGCAAGGTGGCCGTGGCGTACCCGAAGGGCTTCCCGTCCGCTCCGTATTGGAGGGACAAACTCGTCATTATCCACTTGATCACCCAGATCTTGGCGTTGGCTGCCAAAGTACCGGATGGGGATGCCTTCGAGCGATGGATGGAGAAGCGGGAGGCGGCAGGTGGGGAGCCGGACGGACATATCTTCACCCTGCGGCTCTTGCTTCTTGCAAACCAGAAGAAGCTCGACGCGTTGATCGAGGCGTATAACGACGGGACGCGACCAGCCATGACCAATACCGGACTCATCTTTGGTGCCAACAATCACCAGATGGTCACTCTCAACCTCGTCCTCTGGCACCTCGCCATCTCCGAGAAACACTGGGACGTCATTGCCGGCGCATACCAGCAACTCCTTTCCCACACGCACGAGCCCGAGCTCGCTGATACCGACACCTCCTTCCTCTCCCCTTCCTCCCCTCCCTTGCTCGCTCTGCTCGTCCCCGCCCGCCTCCGTCCTTCGCGCGATACCTACTCCATCCTTATCCGCAGCACGGCGTACCAAGGCGACCTCGCCGCTAGCCTCGAGGTCATGCGGCATATGTTTGGGGACGGGTTCGCGCCGCACGTCCCGGAGTATATGGCGCTCTTTGAGGGGTTTGCGCGGTATGGCGTCATTTATGATGGTCCGCGCGGGAAATTATCGGCCATGTTCCCCAAGTTCGAGCATATCGCTCCTGCTGGTCTTGGCGGAAGCGGGGCTCGGGGTAAACGGGCAGATGCGGGAGGGATGGGAGGAAGGATCGGATCAATCTGGACCAAAGGTCTCTATGGCTCCGGGGATCAGATACCCCGATTCTCGCCTGACTCTGACGATGATGGGTACCCCGGGGATGGTGAATCGCTATGGACCTCGGAGGCGCTGTATCACCTATTCGAAACCTTCCTCACTCTCTCGCCGAGGGCGCAGCACAAGGCGGCGCCCTCGGCGAAGAATATGTGGAATATCGTGTTGGCGTTTGCGAGGGTGCAGGGGAGTGATGTGGATGTGATTGAGGAGGTATGGCGGAGTCTGGAGGGCAAGTTTGGGCCGCTGAAGGTTGTCGTGGGGGATAAGGGGGGATATGGGGTCGGGGATGAGGAGGGGGAGGGAGAGGATGTGGTGGATGCGGTAGTGGCGGAGTTGGCGGGCGGGTTGGAGGGTGAGGAGGTGCTGAATAGGGAAGGATGGACGGGGTGGAGGACGGACAGGAGGTTGAGGAGGCTGGAGGCTGCGCTGGAGAGGGGCTGAGACGGGTGCTGGCGATAGCCCGAGAGTGATCGAAGTCAGCTGCTCGCTCCCGCATTCGCTTCGATAGCCGAAGTCGTATCAAGACATGTATCACATTCAATATCAAATTGCACACGCAAAGTAGAGTAGAGCCAATCAGCATCTACATGGGCCGCATCACCAGGTCCAGTATAGAGCAGAAATCACACATCGAAAGCCAAAGCGCCAAAGTAACGCCCGAAGAGCCGCTACTGGAAACGCGCACCTTGCTTCTACCTCTTGTCATCAGTCAGCGGGACTCGTTCTTGGCAACTCATATTCGCTCATCCACCCGGTGATGTTTGAGCATGGCCGAAGGGGTGGACTCGAGCGCACTCACCACGAAATACTTCCCGCGCACCTCCACACGCACCATCTCACCGCCTTCTGCCTCCTCCCAGAGCTCGCCATTTCCAATCACCTCACTCATCCGCTCGATTGCCGCGTCCAAGGTCCTCAGGGTAGCTTGATGCGGGGCTCGACTGGCTTCTCGCTCTTCCTCCAGTCTCGCGATCTGGTTCTCCGTCCATTCGAGTTGGGCGCTCAACTTCGACTCCTCACTCTGGCCCGCAGTATCCGCACGAGAGTAGGTGGACATGGTTGGCGCCCGGAGGAGGGGTAGAGCTGCCGGGTAGTCCTTCAGGAGGCCACAGTAGGAGGCATTGCTCTCGGCCGGGACAAACTTACCCTCGCTGTTCTTGGTGGATGTGCTCGTCAGCTGCTGCACGAGTAGGTTGGCTGTCTCAGCGGTGGCGAGGACGTTTTGGGCCCGCTTTCGGAGCAGCCTAGAGTAGTCTGCTTTGTCTGCAGCGAGCGTCGAACAGGCAGTGTCCAGCGCGTTGTTGAGCTCTCCGACAAACCATGCAGCAGTGTCCTTCACTGTGTTGATCAGTATCTTAGTAAACCAAACATCGTGGGAAACACAGGTGAAAGTCATTCTTGGAACCCGAGTACTGTGAAGCTACGGTGGTAACTGAACATAAGTGAAGCTCACTGTTTCGCGAGTGTTGTCGGTGGATCAGGAATTGAATGGTAAGCCCGAGTATCGACGAGAGAAGGATGGGTGAATCAGAGATAATGTAGAAAAGAGAGGGGTAAGGCCTCGGCCCGTGGCTGCTCAAGCGCTCAAGTAGCGCCGCTGACCCCGAAAACCTGTAGCTCGGCAGTCGAAACACCTGTCGACGGCGAACCTTTGTCCCTACCCCCGCCTTGGGTCCTAGCCAATGCCTCGCTGGGCGGAGCCGAGTATGCCGGCGGTCCTTTGTACCGAATACTCTCGACCATAGCTACCGTCATTACGCACGTGGGTGGCAATGGCGCTGGCTGCACAAGGGAACGTCTTATCCGGCAGGCTAGGGGTCAGCAGGAAAGCAGAGCATAACTGATGTCAGGGTACGTCTCACGTAAGAGCGGTACAACGTCAGTGAGGCCGCGGCCGCGCTTCAGATCAATGACGCAGTCAACCTGAAACATATAAGCGGATGAGCCTCCCCAGTCAGTGTATGAACATTCATCAAATCCGACTCTCAGTGCACAACAGCTTCGCATGGTTCCCTGTCCTGATCAACTTCCCACTGCTCCGATCCGCCTGCGATTGACTGCTCATCAGCACCTAAAGTCTGACGGTTCGATGCAGGATCAGTAGGGAGGTCATGCGAGTATGCTTCAGATATTGGTGAACTCACAGAGTCTCGCTTGTCCACATCCTCATGTCCCAAGTCTGCGAGACCAAAGCGTCGAGGAGCGGGCCGATCGCTGACCGTCTCCAGGCCCCTGCACTGCAACAGCGCGTCGTTTAGCGCCGGACCGGATCCCCTCCAAGAGTCCCGCCGTAACTTGTACAGCGCTCGATTCGCCGCTCGTCTCTTGACCTCTTCATCAAGCTGGCGGTCAATCCACTTGAGCTTGTCCCGTCGCGCGGTAATCACATCAGCGGCCTCATCACCCAGGTAGACGGCATCCGAAGGGTCGGTAAAGCCAGTGGTGTCGGCAGTGTATTTGCGGATTAGGTCCCTGTACGAATCGGCTGAGGCGTGGGTCTCCAACTTAGTCGCCGCAGTATTGCAAGCCGCCGCCCAGCGGGTCAGGTTGTACTTTTGGCCCGCTACAGCCGCGGCCGTCTGACTCCGATCCTCCTCAAGTACTCCAGTGGAGAACGTGCATTCATCCGCCAACTGAATTCTGAGAAGCTCAGCGTCGACGTCATCCTCGGGGGTGCGATCGAGGTCTGGCTCCTCCAGCGTCAACGCGTCGAGACCTTGGACAGTTTGATCGGGTGTCTCCACTTGTACATCAGTCATACACCAGATACAGAACACCGAAGGGAACCATGACTTACTGATTTGAAAGACGAGCAGTGATGATTTGCTGGAAGTATAGGACAACGAGATACAAAGTGATCTTGGATAGAACCGTGAGGTATGAGCGGAAGTGCAGGATGATGTATGAAAGTAAGAGGTGAGGAGTCTTGTCGATCCCTTAAATAGTCTCGCAACCCGGGTGGCCACCGACTTCAGACGCTCATCCTCGCAAATCCTGTGAGTCTTAACTTCTACTAGCCTTAGACGCTACGCCGTGATAATGATACGTCAGAATGTGTGTGACACCTCGCGATCCCTTGTCATTTGCCCCTTGAGCCCCAATGGCGATACAGCCAGTCCGTGCGATGTGGCATAGGAGTTCAGTAATTGTCAGCACCATCAGCGTTGAGGATCAGCTGGAGACTCAATGGTGACATTATACTGATCGTCAGTTACCCCTGAGCCCGCCCGCCCAATACTAAGCTCCATAGTCACCCAGCAGCCGCTGGTTCGACATGCATTCTACCCTACCTACAGATCCATATCCTCCTCATCGTACGCCTCCTTGATGAGTTTATAGATATATGATGGCGCGTGATCGCCCCTGTTCCGTCAGCTCGTGCCTCTGCACTGTACAAGTACTATCTCCCGGCCGTTTCCCTCTTCCCTCGCCTCTTTCCCCTTATCCATCCCCTGCCCCTCCCTCCTTTCTTCTTCAAAAAAAAGAAAGAAACCCACTCATTCGTCACAAAGAGATCCACCAGCTCCGGCCTCACATACTCCCAATACGCACTCTCAACCTCCACCCCTTCCCTACACATCGAAACCAATTCCTGGCCCCCATCCCCTCCTCCCGCCCTCCTTCTCCTGCGCTGGCGGCGAACGCACTCCCACCCTGAAAATCCAAACTCCCATGCTCGAAATTCATATTCCAAACCGGCGCAAACTTGTACTGTCCCGTCACCACCACCACCGGCTTACTGTGCGCTCTCGCGGCAAGGACGGCGGACAGCGATCCGGAGAGACCGAATAGGCCGCCGTTGGCCAAAACCGAGTGGCAGCCAATGACGAGTTTGGTTATGCGGGGCATGAGTGCGTGGAGGGAGGAGTCGGGGATGAGGAGGGTGGGGATGCCGTTTTGGGAGAGGGAGTGGGAGAGGCGGTGGCCTAGGTGTCTGGGGGTCAGCGGGCGCGAGCGGTCACAGTCGATAAGATCCAGAGATGGAGATCAATGGTATGATAAAGGTGCGAGGGGATGAGGACTTACGAAGGTGCAGATTCCGCAACGATGACTGTAAACTTGCGATCCTTGAACGCGGTCTTCAAGAACGCCTCTACCGTCCTCGAGTATCCCAGCGTCAAGATAATCTCGCTATCGAGTCAGCTACACTATTCCTCATTTCCCCTATTCAGTCTCCTCTCGTTCCCGCCCGCTCCTTTCCTTCCACTCCAGCTCCTGACAACCCCCTCCGCCCCGCCCGCCCTCGACCCAAACTCACGAAGAATGCACATGCTCCCTCGCCCCCTTCGCCACGTCCTCATGCGTCGTCTCCAACTCCCCCATCACCTCCTCTATCGCCTGCAGGAAGACCGGCTTGAGCTTGGCCGACTGCCGCATAAACTCCTCTGGGTCCAATCGGGCCGTCATCTGGCCCGGCGTCGGCGTCTCATACCCCGTCTTCCTCAACTGCGCCGCAAAGCCCTTATTCGCACTAGCATTGGCATTCGCGCCATTGAGATCGTCGGCCGAGTTGACTCGCGAGGTCTCGGGGGAGAAGAGCGGCGTACGGCCCGAAGACGGCGATGCGGAGGTCGACATGGTCAGATTGGACATACCCAGTCCGAATCCGGCCAAGCTGCTGCTACTCTGTCCTTGGCCCTGACCCTGATTGCGAGCGGCGGCCACAGCGGCGACAGCGGTCGAATTGGCGATAGAACCGGTGCGTTCCAATTGACTCTGAGCGGCCGAATGCCGGTCGACCATGAATGTCGATAAGGACGTTTGGGTATGTGGGAGACCTGGACGAGCGCCTTGGCCCTGTCCCTGTCCCTGTCCGGCTCCGGCCGCTTGTCCAAGGATGGGCGAACGGGGATAGCCCGATCCCGAGCCGGACCGAGAAGGCGCAGGGGAGGACGAGGCGAATGCGAACCCGTCAGAAAGGAAGTGGCCTGCAGGGGCGAGGATCCCGGGCGTTTGGATACCGGTATAGGGTGTCTGAGGGGCGGAGGTGCTGGGTGTGGTAGGGATGTGGGAGGCGGCATGGGCGGCGGCGCGGTATTCTTCTCGGATGAGACGGAGGATACGGCGGATGATATTGCCGGATGCGAGTTCTGGGGGTCAGCACGGGGTTCCTTTGGGTATACTGTGTATTGAGGAGTAGGGAGAGCTTGCAGGTCGAGAGGAGCATGAGAGTTCCCGGAGCGTAGAAGATAGCCAAAGGAATGAACACGATCAGGCGAAGATATACACCAAGACATACCTTTCGGATTCGCCTCTGCCAACTGCCTCCCCACGAGCTTTATAAGCCCAATCAGATACTCGAAGTTGGCATATTTCGATGATCGGACGACCGTATGAATGAGCACCGCCGTAGCCAGTGCGACATTGAGGGAGCCGACAGTTTGCCTATTCTGGATTAGCAGGCGCCCTTGCTCAGGTCCCGTCATATCGGAAGGACAAACTCACCTTCTTCGGAGAGAAGTGACGAGCTGTTCGACGAGCTTGTAGGTTGGGTCGTTTGGAGCCTAGTGATCAGTTGACTTCGCAGTCGAGGGAGAGAGCGAGAGCAGGGACACACGAATTTGTACCCCCCTACTTCGGTACTCCTCATCCGAGAATGTTGAGCCATGATTCCAGCTGGTTCCCGACTGTCCAGGTCGTATTTTGAGTGTTGGAAAGCTGATTTGTGGAGCTTCGAGGACTGCCGCTGCTATAGATGCCTGGAACGGCAGATGTGAAGCTAGGGGAAGAGGTCAAGTTGGACATTTCACGACTCGGGCTCAGCCAAAGGCCACAGAAAGGTGCCGTAAGCAAGACGGTGATCGTTCCAATCTCCGTCCGCCATGGTGCAAGCAAGCTTCGAGCGCGATGATGGTAGCTGCGTATCGCTTCATCGTCCCAACAGCCTCCTATAGACTTGCCCGACAAGAATAGGCGGGATGGCCTCCAGCTCGAACATTGGTGAGTTGAGACTGGCTGAGAGGGAGCGGATGGCTATCAGGGAACGAGGCAGCTAACGACGCGCAGGACCTGTGTCGCAGCAGTACGCCGCGGCGGCTACTGTCCCGCTCATCAAGTCTCCGTCATTATGGCTGCCCAAGCCAGTACGTCTACCTCTAGCATCCACCTGTTTCTCGTTTTCGAAGCTATACTGTCGGCCTCGAGATAATCAGCTGATCCTCTAGATCGAGTTACCGAACGACATCCATCCCTTACCTGAGGATATCACCGCCTATGTACGCTTCACTTTGCCCCTCGCGACACCTTCGTGATTACGCCAAGCTGATCCAATAGTTCGTCTACCCCTTCGCTCTCGAATCGCACGTCCTATCCCTCCAACCTACCCCGCATGACGCGATAGCCGAAAGGAGGGCCAGGAACGCTGCGATCCTTCTGCAGCGGGAACAAGAGGAGGAGCAGAGAGAGTGAGTACACTTTTACTCTTTGACTATCACCGTCATTCTATTATTATGGAGCTTCTGGGCAGTGCGTAAGGAGGACTAAGCTGATCATCAGACGCGCCGCCCTGCACCGCATGGCCCCAGGCTATCACCCCTCGGGTCTGCTCGTACCCCTCTCAGCCTCTCCTGCAGCAGCACCCGCTCCTCCCCCCTCCTCCATCTCAGCTCAAGCCGCCACGCCGGCAGCTCAGCCGGTGAAGGTCTCTTCGCTCATGGACGACCTGGAGAGTCTGTCTTTTGCGGAGCCGGAGCCGGAGCCAGCGGCAGGGAACGACGCGACCCGGACCGGTCAGCCCTAGACCATCGTCCCTCGGTATCGGTCGCCGAGCTACCAGTCGTCCAGCTATACCAGGCAGCTATCCTCTTCATCACGATGCTCTGCGTCACCTCCCTCAAGGCGCATACGGAGATCGCCGCCCCGGTGAAAAGGCCCTACCAGGCGGCGTGCAGGGGAAAAGGGCGGAGATTGAGGTTAGCAGGAGGTGAAGCCTGAGTGTGCAGGGGACAGCAGGAGGGGAGTGTTGATCGGAGCGCAATGCATCTGTAGTCGTAGGCATGAACCTCGTTCTAGTCACTTCCCTTATAGTGCGGGTCTTAACTGGGGGGAGTGAAAACAAACCCTGTTGGCTGACGTCAGAGGAACCAAGTGAAACACGCGGAATGTTTCAGGCACCATCACCACCACCTACATCCCAAGCTCCGCCTGTGTATTCCGCCGCTCCGCATCAGGTCCTCCGATCCTCCGAAACCCTCAAAACTCCGTCTCAGTGTGTGTCGGAGCATCAGAGCATCGGAGCGTGGGATGATCGGAGCAATGCGCACAGACAGGTACTGATGCCTCCATACTCGGGTGCCTACATCAAACGACTAGCCTGTCTGAATGGCATCAAAAGCGAAAGGAGGGTTGGGCTGCTTTTGAGCCTCTTCATTCAACGCTGTAGCCTGTAGCTCGCGTGCCTGAACGACACACAATCTCGCGGAGATAGAGAATGAGGACGCGATACGGACGCGGACGCGGCGTACTCTAGGTGGAGATGACGTGATGCGATGCATGCGATACCCAGAAAGAGCGCTCTCGAATGTGTGACTGAAACACAGATCTGGCTCGGCATACCTCGGCCCCACCTATCCATGAGGATCATCGGATCCGACACGGGCGACACGGGGCCAGGTTCCCATAGCCATAGATCTGCGCGTCGGGAACGGAATTATGACCTCAGCGTTATGTGTGTGGCGAGATGCAGATGGTGAATTGGGGGGATCCCTTTGAGTTGTGTATCGTCTACTTCTTTCGGGTGTGTCGGACACGTTGACGAGAATATACCAGGTGACTTACTTTAGCTATCAGCTATCAAGCTCCAACCCCCCTCCTTTCCCTCGTTCAACGTTTAAGCCTCGCCTCTGTCTACACAAGCATCAATCACCTGATCCTCCCTCTCCTCTTCCTCCTCCGACACGTCTGTAAAGGACTCTGCCTGCTGAGGCGGGTCAGATCCCCGTCCCCCCGTCAATCTCTAATTCCAACCTTTAAACTTTTGCCTATATAGCCTATCCATCTTGCTCCTTCCCCGCCATCTCTTGCGCCACCCCACCTGTCTGCTGTATGGTAGTAGTACTACTCTGAGCCCATATCTCCTGCATCGTAAGTATTGTCCCCTTGTATATTCCTGCCACCGAAGCTTATTCTCCAGCCACCACCGTCGCCTACTCAACTAGGCTACACACCCACCCACCCAACCCATCAGCCTCGACTCGCCGGCATCCTTACATCCACCCGCCTCATCTCCCTCTTCGCCACACCAGTCATACCATGTCCCGCCAACTCCCCAACCCCGACTCCCACTGCCCCATCCTCATGCCCCAGCGTATCCGGTCCGGCGTCCACCTCCCAAATCCACTCCAATCTACCGGCTCATCCGGTATCCTCCAAGCACTCGAGAAGGACCAAGCGACGCGACAGCCCGCTCGTCAGCGCAAGACCACACCGCCCGTCATCAAGGGCTATGTCCCGCCGGATCAACGACCTCTACCGCCCGTCATGAACGCTACAGCCCCGCTAGGGCAAGCGGTATCGTCTATCGGCTCCGCAGCATCGGGCGGAATAGGTACAGGTACGAATGACAAGATGGACAAGAAGGGCTTTGAGGAGGTGTTTGGGGTATCAGTCGGGCTGGCGAAGCTGGAGGAAAATGGGTGGCTGGCAGCGCAAACTCAAGCAGGGGGCGGGATGGCGGTAGGATGGGATGGGTGGACAGGATCAGGACCAGGATCAGCACCAGGATCGGGAATGGGGTATGATCAGCCCATAATCTACGGGATCGCCCAGCCGACATATCAGCTCGACTATACCTACACCGGGTCGAGCTCAAGCGGGGTCGGGATCGCCCATACCTCTTACCCCTATCCCCCAAGTCGACCTCGGTCCTTCCCCGCCAGCGCCAGCGCACAGCCGGACGCGTACTACATTCCTCCCCCTCTCCAGCCTCCTCAGCTTCCCCAGTCTGGGGCTTACCTCTACTCGAACCATCAGTACAACCTCCAGCTCGGCATACCTCAGCCATTCTTCGTGCAATGGGACCAACTCTACCTTCCTCCTTCTCAAGCCCCCGTCCTCCCCGGTCCTGCTCCAGGTTCCTTCTCCTTCCCTGCTTCCACCCAAGCACCCACGGTCCTCCACGCCATCGTCCCCACCCAGACCGCCCCACCACTTCCTCAACACCCACCTCCGTCGACCCTCCGTCCCTCCCAGCGTACCTCATCGACGAAGCGCCATCGCGTCCCTACCCCCATCTACATACCCTCGCAATCCCAGCCATTTCCTCCGGCTCAGTACGTGCACCAGCCCCCTACGCCCGCTACAGGCCTCACAGACACTACCTTCTGCCTCACCGCGGCCCTTACCCACCCCGGTTCCGGATCGGCGAGCGGCTTCGGGATGCCCGCGCTGTCGTATGGAGGCTTTGCGCAGGTCCCAACACAGCGCCAGGAGCAGCAGCAGCAGCAGCAGCAGCTTCCGCCGCCGCCGCCGCATACCCCGTCACTCCTGACGCCGCCGGAACCGTCCTTCAACTTCCCAGCTGCGTATCCCACCGCCCCCTCGGAACAGTCCCGCCAGCACCCGCAGCCCCAGCATTCGCAGGCCCATACCGGAGGACAGCAAAGTCAGCCACTCACCTCTTCGTTCGACTTTGAAACGTTCTTCTCGCTCGACTCGACCTCGGCGCCGGCATTCGGCGATATCGGAGCCGGAATGGGAATGGGGAGCGTCAATACGGCCGAAGCGGTCCTTCAGGGCGTTCCATACCCCATCGCCATATCCATCCCCGACCGAGGGCAGGGGCAGGCCCAGGGTCAGGCTATATCGTACCCCTCCTATCCCATAACGCTCTGGGCGGACGTAGATGGGGGCGTACCCGACCTGATCCCCTCTCCGGGCGACGAGGGGTTCTTCGGGCCTGATGGGATCGCAGGCAGCGGCAGTGGTGGTGGTGACGGCGGAGGCCAGAGAGGTCTCAGCTCGGCCGTCAACGGCGGGATGGACGCGATCTTTGGTGCGGCCTACCCAGCGGGCACTGTCGTCAGCCAGGGAAACGGCATGACGGTCGACCCTGCGCATATCGCCCTCTCCTCCACCTCGGCTCCGGCTACCGCTGCCCCTGGACCCCACAAGACGACAGGGCAGGGACGTACCGCCAATCCCGGCCCCGGCCTCGCTCTGCGCGCATCTTACCTCCTCAGCCCTTCCGCATACCCCCGACTCGCAATGTCCGAGGGATGCGACCCATACTCCATCCCTCCTGGTCCCCTCTCGGATCCCGCCATCGGCCTTCCTCCTCATTCGGCCGGTCTTGCCTCGACTCTACCCCCTTCCTCTGCCTCAAATTCCAATCCGGGTCGGTACCACTCGGACCCACTTCCCAGCCCACCACCTATCCCCCGAGAACTCTTCTCCCCTCCGCCCACGGCCTCGTCCGTTACTTTGTCCAGCAAGAAGCCCAAGTCCAATCCCAAAGCGATATACACGTTCCCGAAGGAGTACGCATATGCGGACCTTATCGAACCGCTCGCGCCGCCTCTGAAGTCGAGGTATGGGCGGTCAAAGTCGAGGCGGGTCTCGACGGCGGCAGCGGCGGTAGTGGATGTTGCTGGCGGAGGTGGAGGAGGCGAGGCTGGTGGGCGAAGGTCGAGTGGGGCGGGCGTGTTGGTGAGTGTCTCTCTTTGTTTGATGTGGTTTGAAAGAGGTATATGACGGAGCTGACGAAACTAGGAAAGGTTCGGATGTGATGAGTGCGAAGATACATTCTCGAGGCCGAGCGATATGGAGGTGAGTCTTCCCGTTCCCGTCTGGATTATCGGGAGAAGGGGAGAGAGCTGATAGTGTAGCGTCATAAAGCTAGGAAACATGGTCAGTACTTGTCCTATCCATAGATCCAAGCTGATTCAGGTAGTCCCTTATGAGAAGTGGGTATACGTTTGCGAGCTCTGCAATGAGCGCTTCGTGAGTGTCCATCCCTCGATACCTACCTTCCCTCTTCCCTGTTTCTTCTCCGCTCCCTGCACCCTCACCATACTCGCATTCCTAGTTGCTTATCGCTGAGAGCTTTCCGCTGACCCCATAGTCCCGCAAAGACCACCTCATACTCCATGCCAAGCGGATCCGGTGTCCCGCCATGACCAAACCAGACGGAACGAGCGGCGGTACCCCGTTCAAGCGTCGTTCTAGCGGTATGTCCTTACCTCGCCCTGCACCCTGCTAAACGTCAAACGTCCAGTAGGAAACAAGCTGATCATTTTAGCGCCATACTCGGCTCGGTCCGATAGTTATCGGTCGCCTGGAGCTCCTTGAGCCTCGTTCACCCGCTATCCATCGATACCCTTCCCCTTCGCCATATCCCGTATTCCAGAAATCCATCAGCCGCCAGCTGCACCTCACCCAGGAGTTACCTCAGTCCCTTCCTCTCGCCGGCCACGCCTCATCTCGCCTCAGCTCTTGCTCTTCCCTCTCGCCATAGTATCGCCATCATCGCCAGACCGTGCCGACCGTACCATGTTATCATCATCACGGCTTGCCCGCGTCACACATCATCATCAACACCATCATCATGGGTCAGTAGTTCTATATTGTAGGTTTTCTTTCCGTATCATTAGCAAGTAGCCAGTAGGTCTTGGTGACAAAAAGTATTTTGGTGGCAAATCAGAGTCAGGGGATATCTATACCATCAGCTTCCTCCTCTTCTCCTAGCGATTATTGGCCCGTCATATGTAGTATGATCTTGCGAGACGTACCCATGCAGACCCCTATTATGACAGACTTCAGTACTTCCCCTAACCCTGCAGGCCTCCCTCATCACACCCTCGACGCCTACTTGATCCCCACGCCCGTCCATCCCTCACTTACATCCTTCCCCACACCCAACGTCCTCAACTCCCCCTCCACAAGCCCACCCAGCGTCACTCCCTTCTTCCTGAAATGGGTCCATGCGCCTCTAATTTCTCCTTCGTCCCCTCCGCCTAAACCTACGCCGCCGGACGAAGCCGCCCCTCGATCCGATTCTGAGCTCATCGGTCCTGTGGACGAAGGGTTGACGGGTGTGGGGGCGATATACCCGAACCGACTCGGACCGGAGATGGGGGAGGAGATCCAGATTTGTTGGTTGGGCGGTTGTTTGTTCAGGACGTAGGTGCCGTGTGGGGGGATGGAGAGGGTGAGGACGCCGGACTGGGGGTCAGCGTTAGCTCTTGCGATCATTCCCCTTCTAAGCAGTATCGGAGGAGAGAGGTGGGGAAGGCGGTCGCAGATGGATAAAGAGGCACATACACTATAATCCACCTCCCATTTCTCCCTACCCGTCTCCTCGCACAGGGCCCCCAGGTTCTCACTGAGAGTCTCCATATCCTCTTCCGAGATACGCTCGTACTCTGCCTGACTCAGTTGGCTAGGGGTCAGCTTGACCCAACCTACTTTCGGAGAAGGAGATGAGGCTACAGTGAGGGCAGAGAGGATAGCTTACCTCGGTACGGGTTCTGGCTCATTGCCTGATTGAGGCGTACTGCTACTGGACCATCTGACTGTCCCTGCCGTACTTGCTGAAGATGCGAAGGGGGAAGCAAGGGATGTCCGGCTGATCGAACGAGATGGGAGGGAGGCGATCCCGCGGGTCGATATAGCTCGAGGACGGACGGATCGAACAGTAGATTTCGAGCTGCCTTTGGAGATAGCGGATCCGAAAGCGCGTATAGAGGGTCTGGCGGACATTGTGTATACTTTTGTGTGTCTGGTAGAGAAGGCCAGAGGTAAGAGTGAGATCTCGGTGAGATCGCGAGGTATGAGGAGCTAGGTCATTACGTCACTTTGAGACATCACGTGATCAGACGAGCTGAGAATGGCCGGTGGCAAACGCAGATGTGGCACCTGCACTACTGTTAGCATGCCTAGTCTCCCGAGGTTGCTTCACGGGCAGAGGTACTGCCAGAGAGATGGATGTGTCCTAGAGTCCAACGTAAGACATATAGTCGAGCAAAGGGCTCTCAGTTTGAGGACAAGGTCGTCAGGCGCCGGCGCAAGAATCGAGTACTTGCAGCGCCTGGCGATGAATCGTGGCTGGGCAGGCGCTGAGCGGTCGCTATGGTCGGTTCAGATGCTCGCTGGCCGGCCGATAGACTCGCCGATTGGCTTGACCATATATCGGCACGTTGAGGCCTCATCTTCAACAGCCAAAGGACCAAGGTCCGGGAAACAAGCCAGTGGGACACTGGGATGGGGGATATTAGGGAAGAAACCGGGAGACCGTTTGACCCCCAAATCCTGATAGTGTCTCATACGCTGAGTCAGCGCACTGACGATCCATTGGTTGCGCTAGCTCACGGTATTCTGCGGCTAGAGATCTCCTTTCGCGTCTTACCTTTGAATCTGCGTCGATGCGTTTCGTGCTGGCAGATCCGTTTATGATATTCCTTTGTGCCTACCCCTCGTCGCGCCATAGTCCCACTCGAATCGCTCGCCTCGCGAGCTACATAAGGTGTACTTTTAGTGTACTATTCCTCTCTACTCCCTCCAACATACTTCGATCTCTCCCACTCCCGACTTCTCCGACATCCGACATCCCACATACCTTTGACCTTTGACAATCATACATACAAACCCCTTCCTATACCAGGATGTCTTCCCTTTCCGATGCCCGCTCCCGCGTTTGGCGTATGCCGCCTGTCAACATCCCCGGCCATGTCTGTCTGACTTCCCCGACTGGTCGTCGTTTGGGAAGTCATCCTGACTTTCCGGGGTCGACCGTTCAGTTGGACCACCTTTTCGTCTTCAAGAAACCGGGAAACACTGTGGATGAACTTGACATTGACACTACATTCATCGCCGGAACGGACAACAAGGGGCTGGACGAGATGACTGATGGCGAGCTGAGCAAGAGAGGATGGCCCAATACAGGCGGTCTGGATGACAAGACTGTCAGTACCAGGGCTACTGCCTTTCAGCAGATGGCTGATGTCCTACGGGACGGTTCCCCGGACCAGTACATTTCGGCGGAGCAAGCGATCATGAGTGCCCTCACTGAACTTGGCCTGACCGACGTACTCAGCCTGAAGCCGGAAGACCCCTATAGTGCAGTGCCAGCACCCAGCGGAGTCGCCATGTTCTTCCAGGGGGATGGAGGTTTCGAAGTCAAGGACGAGGAGCGCAGACTCATCGGTGTCAACGCCCGATCGTGTATCTCTTACAGTCCCGAGTCAAAGCAGTGGGAGAGCGGCGTCTGCATCCATGATTCAAGATTGGATCGTCTCGACACACAGGAACAGGACTGGCCGTGAACAAAAATTTTGTTCATGTTCATGTTCGACCGAACAATTGTTCATGTTCGAACATGAGCGTCCACTGCCCAGGTAAGACTGTTCGTGTTCATGTTCACTGTTCAATGAACAATTGTTACCACTGTTCAACAATTGTTCGACTTGTTCAAACATGCCGAACCTTTGTTCGAAAAGTTCACACTGAGCGAACAAATGTTCTATTGCGCAAACAATTGTTCTCACAGTTCGCCACCCGACTAAGGCTCTTCTGCTAAGGCGGGGCAAGGTGAGCGGGAGCTTGAGCGGGTGGGGAAGTGCGGATAATTTTGAGCTCCGGCTCCTTGACGGAGCCTGTCAGCGTCCCGAATCACACTCAGAGAGGCAGACAGCAGCACACAGCAAAGGGGTCAGGGGGGCTTAAAACTTTCTGAAACAGCCATAGCCGTGTGTTTCAGGAGCTGCTCAGACCTCCTGCTGGGCGAACATCGAACATACATGGACATTTGTTCGCTTTGGTGGACAATTGTTAGCGGGGATGAACATTCATGAACAGAGACGAACAGTGTGAACAACTGTTCAACATTTGTTCATGGGGGTCGAACAATAAGTTCATGTTCATGTTCACTCCGATGCCGCCTCTCTGGAGAAAGTTTTTGTTCATGTTTTGTTCGAACAATGAACATGTTCATTAACAATTGTTCACTTGTTCGGTTGTTCACGGCCAGTCCTGCACAGGAAGCCCGCTTTGGTCTTGCTACCGACATACTCGCGACATACCTGCAGACGAGTCCCACGCCTGGCTTTCCACCAAGTGCCGATGAGAGGTATGATGGCATTCACCCGTGGCTTCGAGATGAGTTGGTGCTACAGGATCTCAGACTTTCAAAGGAATTTGGCGACAGCACCGTAGCCGGATCCAGCTGAGGCGCCTACCGCCCTGAGACCCTTTGATCCAAATTTCTGATGGCTACGGGTGGGGCGATATTGTCTATAGATGATCTATCTTGCAGACCAACGATGTACCTGATATTCCTCATACGCCTCACGGCCGGCAAGGGCGTTGTACGAGGCACAGTAGAGGGCTCACACGTGTCACGGACAACCGCAAAGTACGAAGTCGGAAGTCAGACTGACATGCGGTGTACCCATGCCATCGCGGCGAGTGATTCATGATGTAACAGCGACTGGCCGAAACATCCTGTATATCAACTTTGGTCATCAGCCTCAGCCACACGCCCAGGAAGAACAGCTCCAAGATTGCGGCTGGAGGTCCGGCTCCTTCCTCTATCCTACTGGATCTTGCTTCGTTGATGCTACGATCATCGTACAATGCTGCTTCATCGTACAGTTATATCGGTCCACAGGATACGGGCGGCGTAGATATCAGTCAATCAATATATGGTCATCAAGGCGGGGGCATAAAGACTTCAACATAAGGCATTTATTTTGTACGATGAGTAAGCGGTCCTCAATGAGGGTGGACCATATTCAAGCTACATGAACCCTACTTCAGACGAACCGGTGACTCTCGGGCGGGCCGAGATAGCTGTACCCCCTCTGCTTGATCCCACCCATGTCCACCCAGATCCGCTCCACCACCAACCCGCTCGTCATCCCAAAGAGGCTGACCGTGTGCCTTCCCGGCCTGTCCCCATCCTTCAGATCAAAAGTCTGAGTGACATTCCTGACCTCGGTCCGGGTGACCTCCTCCCAATCCTCCGGTACCGATCCCGCATCCGGCTGAGTTCCGACGGGAGGAATGGGGTGGATCTCCCTGTTATCGCCGTCAAAGCCAAGGCCGAACGCGAGCTCCTTGCCGAGCTGGAAGTTGAAGGCCGGGCCGAGCTGGACGGTGATCTCGACGGTGTTCTGACCGGTCCCGGTGGTCCAGATGTCGTATTGCGCCGAGGGTCCGGTCCCGACCGTAAAGTTGACGTCCGACGAAGGGTACATCTCAATGCCGGAGAGAGAGCGGCCGTACCACTCGATCTCGTGGAACTTGTGGCCGTCGACCGAGGAGTCACGCGTCCAGTGAGCTGCCTCGATAGCGACGTAACCGTCTCCCTGGACGTGACCCTTGAAGTCGGACGGAGGGGGATTGGGCTTGGAGATGGGGGTGGAGACCGTGGCGTTTGACCCGTCCGACGCGGCAAAGTGGACGGTGGCATTGTCCCAGTGCGTATGGTTCCCCTCGCCGGCGCTGGGAACCTTGCTCCAGTCGATCGAGACATAGACGCGCTGGTCGGCCGAGCCGTCCTTCTTGATCTTGCCGTGGGCGGGGTGGACGACGAGCCAATCAGCCGAGGGAGTAGCGAGCCAAGTGGTATCTTTTGGTCCGGCTGCCGAGACGTCCACCCAGCGTCGAGACGCGCCGTACGGGTCCATGCGGTAGAGCTGTGGGTCGCGGCAGTCAAAGTGCTTGGGGCAATTGTAGAACCCGTGACCTGGCCAGGCGCCCATGCTGCTCTCGACCGAATAGCGGACGTATGCCGGTTGAGCAGGCTTGGTGCCGTCCCAACGAGGAAGGGATGGCTCGTTCTCCTGGATGAAGGAGAGAGGGGGGACGGTGTTGCGAGGTTTGTGGAGGATGTAGTGGGGGTCCATGTTGAGATGAGGCTGGCTCAAAATGCTGCAAGGTCAGCTCAGGCCTCGGCAACAAAAGGTGTACACGACGTCATTCTCCACCTCCTTTGAAAGTCGTGGACTCAGAGTAGGGTACGGGAGAGAATAAGGTGGAGTACAGGGCCATGTATGGGGGTCTGGGATGCAACAAGGTCACTACCCGCCAGGATCAAGAACAGAAAAAAAGGGTAATATTGCAGTGGATGACAGCAAAGAGAGCGGGGGCGATATAAAAGAAAAGAACTCACTGGTTCCACTTTCCGTGCAGCATGGTGTGGTAGACCTCAGTCAAGTTGTGGTCCTGCTGAAACTCCTTGATGGCGCGCTCGGCCATGCGGTTGGCGGAAGTCCGACCTTGGTACGCGTACAGGTTATTCCGACCGGCTACACCACTTAGCTGTGTTGGAAATGGGGAGATCTGCTCGACTTACCGGCAATGTACATCCGGTTGGCATGGGTGATAAGCGCAACGGGCGCATAGACGACCTCGAAGAAGGCGACCCGACGAGCCTTCTCGAGGCTGTGGTACACCTTCTCCGCTCGTGTAAACAGGTCGTCCCATGTACCCTGGACTCGCTCGGCCCTATTGAGTTAGCAGGTGCCAATTCCACGCCAAAGGGGTATACGTACTCTTCGTAATTGATAATGGACCAAGATGAGACATTGTACAGCTCCGGCTTGAGCGAGGCAGTGATTTGCTAGAATGTCAGCGAAAGTTCACACGAAATCGCAGGTGCGGTGTCTGAGCTTACCGAGTAGTGGCCCATGATGTCCGCAATCTCGTGGCTGTGCTCCCCTCCAAACTCCCTCGCAGCCCAAAGCCTCAAAAACTTGGTCACCGAGTTGATCGGCCAGGCGTCAAAGTCGTACGCGAGGTGCATAAAGTGCTCAGCGGGGAGCTCGTGATGCTTGACGTCGCCGACGTTGAGGATCCAGATATTGTTGGTACGGAAGGCGTTGGCAATTTGCATCTGTTCCCAGGCTGTAGGGTCAGCTTCGGATGTGTCAGTGCAGGTCGTAGAGCAGACTTACTCTTGGCCAGGTTGATGGTGTTGATCCACTTGTACTGGGTCGGCCGACCAACGTCTGCGACATCAGCTGATGATCTCCGGCCGGGAGTGGAGGGACGGCAACTCACAGTCGGCATGGTAGTAGATACCGCCACCAGCAGAGTGGGTGTGGTTGAAGGGCAGCACACCCATGATGTTTCCCCAGTTGTCGTCGGAGAAGAGGGTCGTCACTGATCCGTCAGCTCACGGTCTTCGCACGTCCATCCAGAAGCTAGAGCTGACCATCGTCGGGAATCTTCATCTGGAGGGGTCAGCTTGGATATCCACGACAACATGGGATCGGAGACTTACGCCTTGCAGATAATAGCCTTGGACCTCTTTGTAGAGCGCCCTGTACTGTCAACGTGTCACCCTGACATCAAGAGGAGCTACTCACCAAGCCTGAGGAACCGCCTCGCCATCGTACACCTTCTTCAAGATGCCCTGCTGTTTGCCAGTGACCTCTTCCAATAGCTACATCGTCAGCTCGAAGATTTGACCTTGAGACCATCCCGCCAGCTGACTCACCTCAATACTAGCTCCAGTCAAGGGCTCGTCACCATCACCCCTCAGCCCCATTGTAAACACTGTGTCCAGTCCCTTTGCCCGCTCCGCGCCATAAGTCCACCACTCGGTCAACTTCTTCTCGTTCTTCTGCCAGTCCCAGTCGCCTGTACCCTCAAGATCCCATTCGGGCTTGTTGCGAGACATGGGCTCGTGGTGCGATGTACCCATGACGACGCCCATACGGTGCGCAAGGGCCTGATTCGGACCAGCGAGGGGTTCTTTGGGAAGGCCGTTCTTCTGGGGGTTGAGGCCATCGACGGCGAACATGTTGACCCACACTATGGAGTCAGCTATCGTCCTGGAGGAAAACGATACGGGGATATAAGCTTACTAGCAGGCCACATAAAGTTCCCCTTCATCCTCAGAACCGTCTCGAACATCCGCTCGTACAGCCCAACCTGGAACGGGCTCTCGGGATAGTCGATCCCGAAGAAGTCCTTGGCCCAGTTCCACATGACCGGGAGTTCATCGTTGATGAAGAGACCGCGGAACTTGACGGTCGGCTCGCCGTGGGCGCAAACGGAGGACCGGTCAAAGGCGATAGCGGAGCGTTTGGGGATCGAGACGTCGTCCCACCAGTACCAAGGGGAAACGCCAAGTTGCTCCGAGAGATCGTAGAGACCGAAGACGACACCGCGCTAATATGTCAGCCCAGCAGCAATGGGGTAGTCATGGACAAGCCACTTACCCTGTCCGAACCGGAAATGACCAAAGCCTCCTCGAGGTTCCGCGCCTTGTCAACCACCCTGACGTCAAACGCCTCCCACTTCCCCTTCATCTCCTCGACATGCTCCAGTCCCATCCCGCCGACAAGACCGCTCCCGGCCGAGCCGACCATGATGCACCGCTTGGTACCCTTTGGCAAGGTATTGTTGTATAGGTGAGGTCGGACACCCGTGACCTTCTCGACGTCCCGCGCGAACGAGGCTGCTGCAAGATGAATCGCGTCATCATCCTTCGAGTCGAGAAGGAGGGGAAGCGCGAACTTTTGGCGTGTCGAAGCAATGAGGAGGTCATTCGAGTACGATGCAGGTTCGATGGGCGAAAAGACCGCTTGCTGCTCGGCCGTTTCGAGGTGGTGCGGGCGGGGATGACCGCCTTCTTGGGGGAAGGTGATACACTGCTTTTGGCCCAACGCGAGCGCTTGTTGCGCTCCGAGGAGGATAGAGACCCCCGCGAGGAGGTGGACAGCAACCATGGTGCTATCTATGTGCTGTAAGTGGGACAGATCGAGGGGGAAGAAGAGGGGAAAGGGAACTCCAGTTATAGCTGGGGTCGGCGAGCCGGCGCCGACGACCGACCGGGCCGGATGACGGCATGCCCGTTGCCTTGTGCTTCAGCTGACAGGATCATGATTCATCGTCCTCGCTTCCAGGCGATGGAGTCCGCGAGCCATGAACAGGTCAGTGCTCACGCGAGAAGCAAACAGAAGCAAGCGAGAGGGACAGACAGGGCATGAAAGTTGGTCCATCTAGCACAAAAAAGCGAATACAACGAAGAGGTCGGGCATGATTTAGTAGTTACACGATTGATACAATACACTGGGTGGGGTATGAAGCGAGTAGTGAGGGCGGCCGCGGGATGGAAGAGTCGGAGAGCCATCTCGAGAGCCTGACGAGTGGTGTTGTGTCGAACGTTGACCGAGAAAGCCGAAAATCCCGAAATGAGCGATGTATGATCCGCGCCGGATGAAGATGTCCGGGGAGCTAGGCGACCCGCGCGGTAGCTGGGATTGGAAGCTGGGGGATAATGTCTTGGTTGGAGTGCAGTGGAGGGGGTTGAGGATGACGGAGAGATGTGTGAAGCCCGAGTCGGCTGTACACCGCCGCGACCAGGGTGCAGTTGAGGGGGATGGTGGCAGTCAGATGGGGGGTATCGATATAGGGGGTATAGCCGATGATAGGTATATATGGGCGAGATCGTAATATGCTTCGGCCCCCGGCAGGTCACTGAGCAGCCGTTGACCAGGTGAGAGGAGGGTCTGTTATGTAGGCTTGGTGTCCGCCACCATCTTCTGACGAAGGGTGTTGAGCCTAGTACGGATAGGGTTGATAACTACTGATCAGCTCTCTATCATTCAAAAGGAGTCAAGATGCTCACCCTTCTCCACACTGATCCGATCTTCCTCCTTGATACCTCCCCCATCATACATCGCCTCATCCAGCAGCGCCATCAGCAGCCAAAGGGCATTCTCGTACCCCGCTTCAGCGACAGGCAGATCGCCCTGCAGCTCTGCAATAGCTCCCTGGCGAGACTGATGAATCAGCTGAGATCACATCGATACACCATCGAGGCACGTGCAGCTGTTCAAGGAGGCTGGAGGGGAATGGAGAAAAGTCTGGGGATGATTGCAGCAGGCAGAGCAAAAAGTGACCTACCATATCTCTCGCCTTATCATGAAGTAGGCGCTCGACAAATGGCAGCTCCTCGGCACACCTCAATTTCGCCCATTCGGCCTTTTCGTAGCACTCGTTGAATCTTGCCCGGAGCCACTGAACCACTACCGGGTCAGCTTCTTGGCCATCCCAACCATTCACGAGACTCACTCTCGTTCAGCTCCACTCCCGCCTCTCCCACAACCCCCGCCCTTTCCTCCCAATACCTCTGAATCATATTCGTCCCCTTAACAATAAACCCCAGCGCCTTGCAATACAGCACGCACGCCTCCCCAGCCGCCAGCTCCTGTTCCCTCAATCGCAACACTTCCGAGTTGGTCGATGACGAGCTGCTCTTCCTCCGAATCGGATTATCCGCGAAAGGCGAAGACGACCCTTGTACCTGTGCCTGAGCCTGCGCTTGAGCCTGCGCAGGATCCCGCGAGAGACCCGTGACGTCCCTACGGCCCTGCGCGAGGGTATTCCAATTCCCCAGCCTAACGTCACCCAGCTCGAACAGCGCAAATGCCTTCCGAGCGAGGTCCTCGACGGCCTTGAGCAGCTCTTCCTCTGCCGGGTCCACCTCGGCCGTCCCGCTCATTCTACGCCCGGACGATGTTCGAGGTCGGAAGTGGGGCCGGTTCGTAGCTCGCGCTAAAGCTATAGCGGCCGTATTTGCCCCGTGACCAATCATGCGGATAGCGGTGTTGGTGAGCGCACGAGCGAGCGCGCCAGTCTGGAGAGAGGACGGTGAAGCGCTCAGTCGAGAAACGAGGTTCTCGGGCGAGAAGCCAGGTGGGAAGACGGTCAGGCTAGGCTGGGGTGGGTGAGCGTGGGGAATTGAAGAAGGGCGAGTGAGCGCAGAGGAGGATGGGCGGCGGAGCGTGCTTGGCTGGACAGCGAAGGGAGGAGTGGACGATAGGCCGGCTGGAGGGGAGTACGAGTTCGGGATTGGGGGAGCCCGGTCCGAGCTTTGGCTAGAAGGGGCGGCGGAGGGTTTGAGAGCGGATACGGGTCGGGTGACGACGCTGATTCGGGAGCTGGGACGACGGACCAGAGCTTGATTCACTCGGGATGCTTGATCGAATTCTGTACAGTCAGCTTCTGATCCGACAAGTCGAGAAACCAGGAAGCTCACCATCCGCGAGCGCATTAACCTCGACCGTCTGCTTCTCCACCATCACATATTCCCTTCCTACCACCTCGCTCGAGTCCATGCTCTCATCCTCCACACCCCGCGTGATCGGAGGCGTAGACGCCAGCGGAGATCCCTCCGAGACCCTCGTGCGGCCAAAGGACGGCGGCTGATTTGTCGGGGGAGTGACGGGCGTGGGCTCATCCGGACTGACCCCAGCATTACTGATCCGCCGATTTGACGTTGGCTGCCGATAGTTGGTGAGCTCTGCAGCAGGAGCTTTGGGTGTTGTAGCTGTGCTTGAGCTGACGGTAGGCTGACGAGGGGGTGGATTGGGGCGAGGCGGAGCGGTGGGAGACCGAGAAGGAGGGGGAGGATCATCGCTGACGTAGTACTTGGGCTCGCTCCGCCTTACCGGTGTCTGCCGAGGTGCTTGCGCGGCCTGCCGAGGCGCGGGTGTAGGCGAGGTGATGATCGGGGTGGGAGGTGGAGATGGTCTGGCACGAGGCGTAGGTGAGGTGTGCTGGATGATTGGCGGGGATGCGGGCAGGGGCCGGGTGTAAGGTGTTGAGCTTGGCGCAGGAGGAGCAGGTCGCGTCGGGGTCAGAGCCGGCGAAGGGGCAGGTGCCGGAGCGGGGTTCAACGCCGGATCCGCCGTCGTCGGCTGCTTAACATGGTGTCCTGTCCACTCTTCAGTAGGCATCTCCTTCTCCTTCTCCTTCCTCCCGACGGCCGCATTGAACCTCGCTCTCTCCCGATCTACCGCCTCCTTCAGCCTCTGCTCGGCCTCCACCTCCCTCGACCGTCTCATATCCCTCGACCTCCGCATCCTGTCTCCCACCGAGACCGACACTTCCGAGCTGCCCTCCACGCTGAGCAAGTCCGGAGACATACTGCTCTCCCCCTCCGAGCTCATGCTCTCAGACATGAACCCGTCCCATACCCCACTCTCAAAGAAAGCAGGAAAATCCATCCTCTCCGCCGGCTTGCGCTTGAGGAGCTTGCGGATGAGCTCCTTGATGTCCTCGCACGGGGGGACGCCGACGGGTTCCTTCGGCTCTTCTCCTGGACGAGTGGACTCGTCCGGGAATTTAATGCGGTCTTCGCCTTTTTCGATCCGCCGGAGAAGCTCGACGTGGTTGTTGGCTCGGAAGGGGGGTTTGCCAACTGCCATTTCGTAGAGCACAGCACCGACCGACCAGAGATCGGCTTTGGCGTCGTAGCGCTCATATCGGAGAATCTCGGGAGCCATGTACAGACTGAATGGTAAGCTGTTATCCGCCTTACAGATTGCAGCGTTGTAACTTACGGAGAACCGCATAGTGTCTCAGCCATGGCTGCAGCAGGCAATATTCGGGCAAACCCAAAGTCGGCAACTTTGAGCACCGGTACACCCAGAGGGTGACCATCCAGGATCTCCGCGGGTGTAGGAGGCTGCATGAGCAGGTTCTGTAGGATCAGTAGCTGCACTCCAGGAAGTCGACCTTGAAGTGGCCTCACCTGAGGCTTGATATCCCGATGTATCAAGTTCTGCCGCCTCAGGAATCGCAGAGCTCCAGCTGCTTATCAGCTTGGCCCTTTGATGAAACAACGTAAAGAAGAGGAAAGCTCACCCAGCTGACCCAGGAAACACCGCGTGACGCGCTCCTCAATTCCCCCGGCAGCCGGATGAGGCCAGAACATCTTTCCGTTCTGATCGAGCGATAGCGGACCCTTTCCCGGGAACATGCCTGGACGAGGTACAAAGTCGAGGGTGTCGAGCTTGCCGCGTTGCTTGATGTAGAAGGAGAGGTCGGAGCCGGTGCAGTACTCCATGACTAGGTAGATGTGCGAGTCGGATTTCTGATGTTGTTAGCCAAGTATCTCCAGACAGGGATAGCGAGTGGACCCCGGCTGGAGATTAGGAGGACGGTAACTCACGAAACAGTCCTCCAGGCCGACGATATTGCGATGATTGATCGCCTTCAAGATGTTGATCTCGCTCTCGAGATTCTCGAGCAGCTTGGCGGTGAGTTTCTGTCGGCTGACCGCTTTGATAGCGACAAGCTGGTGCGTCTTCTGCTCGTGTACATGATGAGGAGCAATCCAGGAGTGTCAGGCGGAGTCAGTGTCGAGGAGGGTAGGGGCAAAGGAAAGAAGGCTTAGTCAGCGGATGAACCACTTTGGTATGAGGATGGGAGATGCTCACGGTTCGATACGCTCTGTGCACCGTAGCGAAGCTCCCCCGCCCAATCTCCTGGCCGATATGATAATTCCCTAGCCTTTGGGTAGGACCTGCCGATGGGTCCAAGGCGGATGCTGACGAGCTGCGGGCATGCGGTGCAGCTACCCCGCCGGGCGGTGGCTGTGATGGCAGCATAGGGGCAGGATTTGCCTAGTAGTGATAGGGACACTGAGGTAGTGTGGGGAGTTAGGGACGGGGGTGTAGGTGACTGAGTGAAAGGAGGCCGCGTCGAAGGGCCTAGAGCGAGATCGAAGCTGATGTAGGGATTGATGCGCGTTGGAATGTATGATGATCGCTCCGAGGTCTGCCGCTTGGCTACACTCGACGTGCTTATTCCCGGCCCCGATCGCGTCCACCCCGCTCAGTCGATGACCGCTTCGAAGGAGTATCGCGTTGATGGGGCCAGATAGCGCGGTGGCCGCTGAATGGAGGGAGTTGGCCGCTCCTCCTTGCTACTGTATTCGATTGTGTGGATTCGAGTCGACGGGGGAAGGGGAAGAGTAAGCTCGAAGCTCGAAGGGAATGAAGGTAAACGGAGCAGTCTGAGACAAGAGGAGAAGGAAAGGGAAGGGGAGGGAAGGATGAGGTGACGATAAGTGAGGTGCGAAGCGGAACTGCGGGGCCGCGCGGGGGGTGTCCCTATCGATGCGGGGTAAGCGATCCGATCTTTGGGCCTCTTGGGTGGTCAAGCTATATACAAGTACAAAAGAGGTACAGAGGAGAAGAGAGGATTGTGCATCGATGATACAGCAGGTCCAGCTGACTATCGAGCAGCGATTGCGCGATTGACCCGGCAGAGGGTGTACGACGTGTACGTGATGCGATCGAGCGACGCGATAAGCAGAGCTCCGCTCCGGGCGGGGGACGGGGATGAGGGTATGTTTCAGGCTGAGCTCATTGAGAGTAAAGAGGTTTGAGTGCGCTTTGTTGACCAGTCGATGGGGCGCATCTGAGATAGAGGTGATAAGGCAAGATCGCGCCATGGAAGGCGAAGGAAGGGTGGATGATCTGCCGATCACGTCAGTGTTGCGTTAGCTCGGTGGCGATAGCGTGCTGATAGCGCAGGGACTGCGCAGGGATGGTCATGGGCAGATTACCATACATTTAGTACATCTAGGCTCAACAGGGCGAGGCAAGTATATATGAGGCGACTCAAACGAAGGTCAGTAGCAACCATTGTAGCCTGGCAGTACCCATCGCCCTGGTCAAGCCTCAGCTTGCACATAAAGGAAAAGGTCTATACATCTCAAGCGACTCAAACCCAAGCGATGCTAGTAGCATATCCACAACATGACGTCAACGAAACTCGTCTCACTACGCACACCTCTGATTGCCTCATACTGTATAGCCTCATACGCGTCGCGCTGATAGCTCTGAACCACCTCGGACGTCCGTGTGATGCTCCTATTCGACGTCCATGACCCACTCATCATCATCTCCACCAGCTTCTCCATTCACGTTCACCACCGAAGGCTGCAGTCCGTTTCGATCTGGGAGCGCTGACTTCTGCCCTCCGACGTACTTGTCAGTACCTGCGTCGGATACCGCCTGTCTGCCGACGGCTCCGAGTGGCTTGACCTTGGAACTGAGTCTCCCTTTTCTCCGAGGCTGCTGTTGGTCACGGTCTTGGAGTCCCTTGCCCTTGCGATTCCCTGTTCCACGCCCTTGAGATAACAGCGAAGGTCCTCGGCACGTCTGGACAGCAACGGGCGAGCTGCCTCGAAGACATCGTTAGAGTGGCTCGCTCCGGTTCGGATGGGGTCAAGAATCGAGATGCCTTCCTTGCCACTCCATTCCTTCAAGGTATCCGCGACAGCCTTCTCTGACTCCTCATCGATAGTAGCACCAGGTGATAGCTTACCGATCACGCAGAAATGGGTCCATGTGCATGTGCAATCGTCATTCAAGAACATCGCGGGGGTCACGCGCCTACATTGGAACACGGAAGTATCGAGGGAGTACAGCACCGCATTATTCGGTAGCTGCGTGTTGTCCGTGAGCCGATCGTAGTCGGCATCGGTGTGCGAGGCGATGTTCGACTTGGTGAAGGAGACTTCCCAGGCTGGCCGGTCCAGAGCAGCGGTGGCGAGCCAGAACCGCGCGTCAGGCTCTTGGAACAGCTGATTCGACAGATCTGTTGCTTTCTTGATGGCTGCGCTGGTGTTCGGCTTGGTCTGTGCGAATCGCGAGATCCACTGCGACAGCAGCTCCCGACTGCCGAGATCAGACGCGGGACGAGATTCCAGGCCGACACGCGGCCATCAGCGTCGAAGGTGATGCGAAAACTTCGATCGAGAATCACTGGCGCTGAATTTCCCTCTCCATTCGCAGAGTCCTTAGGGGTGAAAGAGTCGACAGTGAGGGGCAGGATCTTGAGACCGATTGCATTCTTCCCCTGGTCCTCTGTGGCGGACAGGATCTCCACGTACGAGTACATGCTGTCAATGAGAAGCGATTAGGTATGTGAGGAGTAGATATGGAATGAGCTTGAAGTGCAAAATCGAGGATAAGAGACAACGCGAGGGGAATCTGGGGATTCCGCCAGGTTTGAGGCACACGAGACCAGAATGATCTCCATACTAGGCTGCACACCCAAAGGATCTACATTAAGGGAGCTGCGCAATCTACTGTATGGCGTGATTGTTATAGGCTCGCGCTATCCTTCAATGTGGCACTCGCATAGGCTTGACAGCCCTTCCTTTCAGCCCCCTACGAGGCGCGCTGGCAAGGTCCATCACCCTCTTCATATATCATCGCCGATGCTCAGATACCCAGTAAAACAGTCTCGCAGATAAAACGCAATTACCGCCCGCTCTCAGCGCCACTTTCGCATTTGCCACCGCGCGTTCCTGCCACCCTAGAGCACATCGTTCAATTTAGAAGTTGTGCCTGCCGTGGATCTACTATATGCTCAGAAACCGCTCGCTCGGAGACTCCATGAGATTCCAGCTGGGCCTGACTAGCGCAGCTCTCTTGTGCAACAGGTCTCGGCGGCTGAAATGAGTGGCCGAGCAAGCAGTCTGGCGGGTTTCATCTGCTGGTGGCGAGATAACCGAGATGAGGAATGAGGTGTTCATATCTGTCCGATATCAACCAGTCTCACATCACAAGACCCACCTGCAAACTCTCGGACTTCAGGCAGAGTGGCGCTTCTGGCTGGGAACAGCCTTGATTATAAGTTTGCGTTCACCATCGCACCTATATACATGTATCAGTACGGAATGTGATGTGAAATCGAGTAGCTATCAGTCATGAATACTCTCCCCGGTAAGCGCACATGTGTCGTCCTCTTCGGCCGCGTCGCCGAGCGAGTCGCTGCTCGACGCAACATTCTGGCCGCTCGCCACCTTCCTCTGTAAGCTCGCAAATAACGCCTCGAGTAGCTCCCCGCCCTCTTTGCCGGACACCGGGATGTATCTCCCTTCTGACATCCATTGGTGCAACGCCTCAGGGATCGGTGCGGTAGATTCCCAATCAATGGATCTGTCAGTATTGAGAGGGAGGGCGGAAGGATACCACAGCGTGTGTCGAGTATCGACAACAAGAAGCGGGGCCCACTCTCGGCCGTCGTACTTGATGGCATTGTCTGATGAGTGAGGCTTCCGGAACGCGGCAAGCACCCTCCCAGTGTTTCGTCCTGACTCTTGATCGGTCTCCTTGTGAGGTTCGGTCCAGATTCCAGCCTTGAACGTTTGTGAGAGGACATTTGCCCACAGAACCTGGTCTGCTCGGTCACTGGCTTGCCAGTCTCCCATGTCAGCCTCATCCTCAATCAGCCACCGGTCCGCGATCGTAGACGCGTGCTCAAACGGTTTGCCGGTGGTCATAAGTGGCCACCGTCTCGCAATGAACCCTGAATGCCTTTGTGCTCGTTGCCATCTTCACCTTTGAACGAGTGCTTGGCCGTCTTTCCCCCATGGATGAGGGTTCCGGTTTCTTGATCGAACTTGAACTCGAAATGGCGTTGGAGAAAGACACGTCCTCCGTCCTTCAAGTCGACGTAATCGACACCTTGGCGGCGGAACTCGAGAACACCGGTATCGTTGGATGTCGGCACTGTGCGCTTCAGGGAGTTCAGGTACTGAGCCATGGCGTAATTGGAGTTCGACTTGTGGATGATAAGAGGAGAATCGACACAATGTGGGATCCCGCTTTTGGCCTGTTTGGGCCTTGTCGGGCCTGAAGTCGAACCAGCTGTGGTGTCCAAAGGAACGCTATCAAGGGATCAGGTCACCAGCGGAAAGCATGGCGAAAATTAGGCGTGCGTTAATACTCGTGTGAGAGCCGTTAGGCTCGTCAGCACCTGTGGATGATTTGCACATGCGCCAAGGTACTTATTTAGCCAGGCAGTAAAGCAGAGTGAGGAACGTATTGAACCCAAGTCCGTAACTCGCAAGAGGTACGAGATTGAGGCCAGCATCGACTCGTCAGCTTGACCAAGATGGTGATCCACCATGAATTATACGATAGACTGATCCTGCACCAGCGTCATCAAGGCCGCGCAAGCCGCCACATCATCAATCACTCTCCCTACCATATCTCCCTGATACACCGGTCTGTGTGTAGCTGTGCGAAACCTCAGGTCTCAAGCTGATCGTACACGCTCTCGATTGATTTGTCGGCCACAGGACCTGCTTATATCGTTGTCCCTGAACGAGACATCTCCTGCCGTTCAGAGGATATGCGAGCCTGTCTTCGTTCGTAGCTTGCCTTTCCGATTGACCAATGAGTCAGCTCTGGCGAGAACGATGGTGATGCTGGCGGGTATATCGCACAGGCCGAAACTCAACAGACAGCGTCAGCTTGCAGCGAACATGGGTAGCTGGATCAGCAGTGTAGTCAGTCTCCCGACATGAAGTCATCAGCCGCCCGTTTCCATCATCCTTCCAAGCTCAGTTACCGACCGCTATCTCTTGCTTCCTCATACACCGCTTATCTTCCCCCCTTGCGCCTCCGCCCGTAATTCCACCCTCTCCCTCTCCGCCTCCTTCTTCAACTGCGCCTGCACCTTTCTTTGCTAGAAACATCAGCACCCATCCCACCGATCCCCTCCCACTCTTGGACAAAGACTCACCCTCTGCCGTCTCCCCGCTCCTCTCTTCCCCTTCACATCCCCAGTTGCCGCCCCCGCCCCAACGCCAGCCGTCGTCCCCAGCTTGACGTCCACATAAAGCTCCTTCCTCTTCCTGGTAAACAGTTCCGCCTTTGCCTTTTCCTTCTTCTTGTCCCGTTTGCGCATTTGAGGCGCCATGGATGCTTTCAGAAGGGAGCCGTATCGGGCGTGAAAAGTAGGGAGGGAGGATGAGGGGATCTGCGTGTCAGCTTGAAATCCCGCGTACAGGCTATGGCAGTGCTGTGGTCTGTGGTGGTGGCGGTAAGAGATGAGGAGGAGAGGCGATGACGTACTCGGGTGGAGTACTTGGGACCGTCTTTCTGGAAACACCGTAACAGGACTTCATATTCTGATCCGCTCGCTCCGTCCACTTCCATCTTCTCCTCCTGGCCCTGTACGTCTGATGCGTCAGCCTGATCTGGCAATGACATGCACGAGTACGACCTAGCTCACATCTCTTGTGCGTGAGCCATATACTGCCCTTTGTAGAGGGCTCAGCGAAGCATTGGGTCAGACGACCGAGGAACTGGATTGTCAGCTTGGTTTGACTCCTGGCGGGATGAGAAACGTACCTCGTCGGGCGAAAGTAATTCTGTGGGCATTGTGTGGCTTGTGCGGTGCTGCTGAGAGGTACTGAGAGGTGTTGCAGGTGATATACTAGGGAGCTAGGTGAAGTATGGTAGATAGAGCAATTGGTACATAGAGCCAATTGTAGGTGGAGGATATTTTGATTCCGCCCCCCACTTACCCACCCAACTCGACCATCTCTCCTGCCTGGGCCTCGTGCTTCAGTGCATAGCATATACTGATTCATACTCATCATCCACTTCTGGCTGTCACGACATGCCCAGCAAATTACTCTTCAAAGGCGACAAGCCAAAGAAGAAGAAGCGGACGCACAAGGAGACCGAGGATGATGGGGACGATCTGGCAATTATGGCCGCTGGGGATCCGCGGGGTGCGTCTTAGTCTCGAGATCTACAGTCTCTGGAGGAGAACTTTGGTCGAAAGCGATGCTGACTGTATAGGATGGGTTTTCCCGGAGGACATACTAGAGATCAACGGTCCGAGCTACATCATCCTTCCTACCGAACCGCTCAGCTGTCTTGCAGTACGTCTTCCACCTTGGCTTCCCCCAGCTCTGCATCTGTCCTATCTGTCCAGAAACATCGACTGATATTTCAGTGGCATCCTGCTGCTCAAAAAGTATACGCCGCACCAATAGACCTCCCTCAAGCCCCAGAAGGTCATGACGAGCTCTCCACCGCTGAGATCCTGTCAACTCTGGAACCGACCGATGTGAATACCGTATGGGTCGTCAGTCGCTTGAGCGGGAGCGAGGACGTCATCAGTTTGCGGAGTAGCTCGTGCGTACTCTTCCTAAACTCCCGCTTGATACACCGAAGAAAAGTAGGCGGGGCGGGCACCAAGCTGATATCTATAGCGGGACCTTCCTCTCTGCCCCGCCATCCGGCGTCTTATCAGCCACAACCCCCTCTCGCGGCCCACTCGAAGCTTTCGTCCCTCTCCTCACTCCCGCTTCTTCCTCCTCCGGCTCCTCATCCTCATCAAGCGCCTTCCCGACTCTCCACCTAAAAACAAATTCCCTCACGTTCCTCTCTTCCTCCTCGGCCGCCGGTCTCGGATCGAAGGTCGAATTGCGTGCCGACGCAGATACAGCCGGTGCTCAAGAAGGATTGAGGATCAAGTGTCAGCGCGAGTTTGTGCTGCGGGCGAGGTTGGAGAAGGAGGATGCGAAGGGCGGGGATGGCGGATCGGGGAAGGTTAGGCGGATGTTGGATGGGGGTGCGAAAGCTGGGAGTTTGGAAGATGAGATGAATAGGAAGTGAGTGTCCCCTTCGCTTTGATTGATGAACCTCATCCGGCGGGGAAGAGAGGGGATGGCGTGACAGCTCGACGAGGACAAAGCTAATGACATAGTCGCGATGCTCAGACATGGGGAGCTGGCCGAGTTGTGGTCTCCAAAGGGGACCGGAAAGAGGTCAAGAAGGCTCGAGCGGAGGGTAGATTGGCAGAAGCGATGCTGGACCGGAGAGCAGCGATGAAGAGGTACGTCCATCTCCCTCCCCTCAACTATAGTCGAGTAAAAGCTGACCGGACAGTGATCGATATGCCAAATAGAAGTAGGAAACGGCACATAGGTATAGATGTTGTACAACAAGATAACTGAAAAGTAATTCAAAGTCCCTCGTCTCCTCCTATCAACATAGTACAGCCCTGATACGCTTGACCGGGATGGGCCTTATCCAGCCAGACCGGCCCAATCCCTTTATCTTCTCTTGCTCGAATCCCATTCCCAACCCAAGGTCAGTAGATGGCCTACATCTCGCTCTGATCTGTACGCTATGCGGGAGATGAAATGGTATCTATGCAGATGTTGTACAACACGACAACTAATGGCCTAATGGCCCGTACAAACTACTTCCCAAGTCTTCCCCTCAGTCCACTAACCCGGACCTAGTACGTTCGACCGAGATTCGGTTTGCTCGTCCTCACCGGGCCAATGCCTCCATATCCCCCTCCCCCACTACCGTTCCCGCCTCGACCCCCCTTCCGCGCCTGATCCTCCCGCATCAACCTCTCCGCCTCACTCGTGTACTTTCTCGCACCACCTCCACTACCCATCTGCGTCCCAGCTACGGACCCATCCCGATCCCGATCCCGGTCACCATCTTCCGCTTCCGCCTTGACTTTGGCCACCTTGGCCGCCTTGAAGACGTTGACCGGTGCAGGGCGTTTGAGGGGGTTGGCTATCGACAGCGGCTTTATGTCTGCGCCGGTACCGAAGCCAGGCCGAGCGCCTCCGAATGATAGGGATGTCGATGTGGATGGTCCCGCAGCTGCTCCTGCCGAAGCTACCTCCTCCCTGGATTCCGCCTTGACCGATGGCCCAGCCCCAGCCCCCGCCTCGCTCTTTACGCCAATAGGAGCAAACGACAGGGTAATCTTCTCCCCTTCCTTCTTGACGAGGTCGGCATCCATCTTGGCGGCCTCTGCGAGCCTGACGGCTTCTTGCGCCTTGGCGCGCTCGATCTGTTCGGCTAGAGAGTGGCGTTCGCGCTCTTCGCCGTCCATTGTTGCTCGGTCGCGTTTTTGTAGGGCCGCCTGAAGGGTCAGCACTTGATCTTCACCGGTCAGAAGCCTTGGAAACACCCTGCCCTCCCTTCATTCCCCGAGCATCGGGCTATTTGCCCGCTCTGCTCGAAGCTCTCGCAACACCTGTCCCCTCCCCTCACCTTCCCTCTTATTCCCTCCTCTCAGCCCCAAAATCCCAGAAGAACAACTCACCTGCTTCGACAGTGTCTCCGGCCTATTATCCACCCAACTAATCCACAACCCCTTCTCGTCCTCTTCGACCCTAACCAGCCCCGCCTTCCCAATCGTCGCCACAAACCCCGCGAGCGTGACCCACCGCGTCGAGTTCATGTGCACATGGTGCTTATCCTGGATATACTCATTATAGACCTTGTTCGCCTGGACGCGGTTCGTAAGGTGGCGCGTGCGAAGGAGGGTCATGAATTCCGATTGGAATTGGGAGGAAAAGTCGGATATGGCTGATCCGGCTTTGGGGCCGAGGAGGAGGATTTTACGGAGGTGGGATTCGGCGCGGCAGTGGGCCTGGGTATCAGCCAAGCACAATAGGAGAGCTAGAAGGAATGGACTGACCTGGAATCCGTTCTCGTCTCGACATTGTTTCTCGCATACTTGACAATACCACCTCAATCTCCCGAGTCCTACCGAATTAGCTCTCACCTCAGCGCAGATAGGAAGATGCAGAGCTCACCTTTCGCCTTGATAGCGTTCGCTGCGGCCTTTGTGGACCCTGCTTCTGCCTTACCCATACTGACTTGGGATAGAGATATAGTATCGAGGAGACAGCTCGAGTTGGGTGGCGACAGCAGCCAAAGGGGGAGAATGGGGATTATCCAATCTCCGAGGTATATCCGTGCGTCCTTGTTGGTCGAGTACTCGAAAAGTCAGAGCCAACTTTAAAGGCAAGGCCAAGGGGGTATAGACCGCCCATCTCTCATCTATCCTATCTAGAACACAACAGTATGGCAGACCAATCGTCCAGCTCGAGCCCTGCGGAGGGTATCGCACTCGCCGCTCGCCGGGCATTCGAAGCGTCCCAGCTCGTAGACCCCTCCGAGCGGAATATCGCCCTCGAGGCGATCAGGCGGGTACTACAGGAGAAGAAGGCGGAGGTGCTCGAGGCGAACCAGAAGGACATGGAGGTGAGGCTTCCCTCATGTTCTACTGATACTACTGACCGAGTCTTTGGCTGACGACATAGGCCGCCCGGACCCAAGTCGAAGCTGGTAAACTCTCCCCGACCCTCTTATCCCGGCTAGACCTCTCCCGTCCGGGCAAGTTCGAAGCGATGTTACGGGGTATATCGGATGTCGCGGCCTTACCGCTCCCTACGGGTCAGGTGACATTTGCGAAGGAGCTGGGACCGGGATTGGAGCTGCATAGGGTGACGTGCCCTATTGGGGTGTTGTTGGTTATATTCGAGGCGAGGCCGGAGGTGGTGGTCAATATTGCCGCGTTGGCTATCAAGAGCGGTAAGCCCAATACTCGAATCGTACAACAGGGGTCCAGCTAATACCCCAGGAAACGCCGCCATCCTCAAAGGCGGCAAAGAATCCCTACACACCTCCGGCCTCCTCTCCGCCCTCATATCCTCCGCTCTCGCCCCCACCCCCATCCCCCAAACCTTCATCCAGTCCGTCTCGTCCCGCGCCGACATCCAGGGCCTGCTGTCCCAGGATCGGTATATCGATCTGGTGATGCCAAGAGGAGGGAACGAGCTGGTGACGAGTATCAAGAACTCGACAAGGATACCGGTGATGGGCCATGCGGATGGGATATGCGCGGTTTATGTGGATGAAAGCGCGAGGGAGGGGACGGCGGTGAGGGTGGTGGTGGAGAGTAAGGTGAGTAGAGATTTGATCTGCGAGGTGCGAGGTGCGCGAAGGGTGTCTCCCTTGCTCCATCCTTCTGATTTCAAGGACCGCGATACTGGCGGGATAGGAAGGAGATGGATCGGCACACAGGACAGGCGGGAGATGAGGATTTGCGGAGACTCGCAGACCGAATGGTGGTAGAGGAAGAAAGTCAGCTGATGTCCAGACCGATTACATGTCAGCTTGTAACGCCGCCGAGACGCTGCTACTACACCAATCCATCCTGCCCACTCTTTGGCCCAAAATCGCCGCGGCTCTCATCGCCGCATCCGTCACCCTCAAATGCGACCCCCCATCCCTCTCGGCCCTCTCATCCCTGTCTTCCGAGCTCATCACCCCCTCGTCGCCTGAGGACTACACGACCGAGTTCCTCGGCCCTACTCTTGCGGTCCTCACCGTCCCCTCCACCGCCGCCGCCATACAACACATCAACGCTCACTCTTCCCACCATACCGACTCGATCATTACCGAATCGGAAGCTTCGATGTCGGCCTGGGTCCGCGGGCTGGATAGCGCGAATGTGTACGTCAATGCGAGTACGCGGTTTGCGGATGGGACGAGGTATGGGCTGGGGACGGAGGTCGGAATTAGCACGGGCAAGACACATGCTCGAGGACCGGTGGGGCTGGAGGGACTGTGCATTTACAAGTACGTCCTCAGGAGTAAAGCCGAAACAGGGAGCACAATTGGCGATTATGAGGGCAAGGATGGCGCGGGATACAGCCATAAAGATCTACAATGGGGCGAAGCTCCGTTTTAGATGTATGAGGATGCTTGAGAAGCGGAGGAGGGAGGGGAAAGGATCGAGTGCTCTTGTTATTGCTTCATCTCGCGCTTCCTGTTCCGGGGACCAAAGAGCGGGAGAGGGAGAGGGAAAGGGAAAGAAAGGGGAAGGGGAACTGAAATATGTTTACCATTTTCATGTTTCGCCACTTGCTCGGCGTCTTGATGCGCCGCAAGTCGCGAGTATGGGGAACGCGATGTGACCTGCCAACCCAGAGAAGTATCCGGGACCTTGGGGGTCTGCCCACCTGCGTACGGGGACTGTTCGAAGGTCTGAACGGCACTGGCGGTTGTGTTTGCGGAATCCGGCTGGTGTGGTTTAAGCCCACCACCTGCTAGCTGACTGCAACGGAGCCGCAATATTGCATGTTGTCGTTCGTCTGGAGAGTAGGTGGGAGACTGGAGACTACCGGGTTTATCTTTTTGGGTGGCTCATCCGGATAATACGGAACCTGTCTGGATAAGCTGGACTTGCTGGAGGAGACCAAGTGGACGATGTACCATGCCTCGGCCTGTCATACTTTATTCTTTTCGGATCTGATGACCGCCGCTGGGATCGAGAGCGTCGCAGATACTACGTTACTGCCACGCGTCTCTCAGTAGTGCGGATAGGGGCGAGAACTGGGCGACCAGGATGCATGCGCATCGCAGATCACAACTCCGCATTCCTCGCTGATGACGTACGCGTGCTGCGATTGGCACGTCTCCTTTGAACCTTATGCCTCCTCTCATCTACCTGCTCATTCTCCACTATCTTCTGAGTCCCTTACATCCTACCTTTCATACTTCACACACTGCTGAGGACATAGTATGTCCTCCAAGCTCGCCATCTTCCCAGCCGCTGGCGGTCTCGGCGGCGCGACCCTGTCCCACCTGCTCGGCACTTGCAAATTCGACCCCTCCTTACTCGTCCTCGTCGCTCGATCCCCTTCCAAGCTCGAAGAAGACCGACAGCGCGGAGTCACTGTGCGCAAGGCGGACTTTGATGAGCCTGCGAGCTTTGAGGGCGTATTCGAGGGTGTACAGGTGCTAAACCTAATCTCATATCCCAGTTTCCAGCACAAGCACCGCTTCAAGGTGTGTTGTCTTTATCAAGAGTGGTTGTCGACGCCTCGATGTTGTGAGAGTCAAAGCTGATAGAGCAGGTAGCCAAAGCCGCCATTGACGCCGCAATATCGCAAGGCGTCACACACATCTTCTACTCCTCACTCGCTTTTTCCTCCTCTACATCCCCGGACAAATCGCCCGCCTTCTCCCCACACGTCATGCTCGCCCACCTGGACACTGAGGCCTGTCTCCACTCTCTCGCCAAAGCATCTACCCCAACATCCCCGTTCAGCTACACCGTCATCCGGCAAGGTCTATACAGCGAGTCCTTCCCCGTCTACACGGCCAACTTTGACCTCGGCGCCGCATCCTCCAGCTCGGAACAGGACATCCGGATCCGGATCCCGCATAACGGAGGCGGACCTGGTATACCTTGGGCGAAGAGGGATGAGCTTGGCGAAGCTACCTCTCGGCTGCTAGCGTCCTACATATCCAATCCGAAGGCATTCCCTCACATCAACGAGTCCATCACCCTCTCCGGTCCCAAGGCGTACACGCTCTCTGAGACGGCGGAGGTATTCTCGAGAGCCACGGGAAAGACGGTCAATATTGAGGAGGTGTCGGTGGACGAGTATGTGGGGAAGAAGGGAGTCGGGTATGGGAGTACGGATACGAATCAGTCGACCGAGATGGACAGGTTGTGGGCAACTGCGTTTGAGGGCGTGAAGAGGGGAGAGGCGGCGACTGTCACGGGGGATCTGCAGAAGTGGCTGGGAAGGGAGCCGGAGGCGTTCGAGGAGACAATACGGGGGATGCTATCTAGGTGATAATCAGTGGTGTCATCAACACCTGGACTAGAATGTCAACGCGGTTTAGCTCGCCCAAGCGTCTTGCAGCTGTCCTGTCCCAGCATCTCCAGTCGGTATCTGAGCAACCGAGATCCAGTATCAGGATGTAGATACGACTTGGTAAGGCATATGACGATACGATTCTGCTCATAAGATCATGAAGATCTCCCCTACAAGATTATCGCTTCTTCCCTTTCCCGCCCTTCCCCTTCTTCCCAGCCGCTGACGCAAGAGGTATCGGTACAGGTGGAGGTGGATCCGGCGCGGGCGATGTATCCGGTAGCCTAGACGGACCAGCTTCGTCTGACGTCGACGAGACCGATAAGTGCCGCATGTTGGAAGCGAGTGTCCCGAACTCCGCCTGGATATCTTCTAGAGGCTGCACCTTGGCCCGAGCCTTCCCATTGCCTATTTCTATATCATCAGCAATCTACTCCCTCCTCTCATCTATCCTGCTTGAAAGGAAGAAAGCGGCCGGACTCACCTGAGCAGTGCTCCACCTGATGCGCCGCCATAGACCCCACAGCAGCCATCATCCGCTCCATCTGCTGCATCACCATCCGATTCACCTGCCCTAGCTCCTTCACCACCTGCGACAGCTCCTGCACCATCCCGAACGTCTGCTGAGTGACGTGTGTGACGTCCACCAGGTTCTTCTCCAATAGCGATACGCGCGTGGTGAGGGCGTCGATACGGGTGTCGGTATCTGAGCGGAGCTCGGCGATGACATTGGCAGTGTACCGGTCGAGGCGGAGCGGAGCTGCGCCGGGACGCGGGGAAGGCGTGATTGGCTTGGAGGGGGCGATGTCGTCTGTATGGGCATCGGCCATTATACCTGGAGACGGAAGAGGGGGGAGAGGAGGAGGGGTAGCGCACAAGTCCTGCTCGTTCAGTCTATGCGCTTTGCTACAATACTTTCCAGCTCTCCTACAAAAGAACAGAGCGAGAAGGGCTGATACTCACAGTCTTGACCCGTATTCCTCCCCGTGAACAAGACCTGTAGATACCAGAATGATAACAGATGAGAAGGAGAAGATGAGATGAATGGGCGAGGATCTGCAGAGAGATTTCAGACTTGCTCGGACGACTTGTCGGCCCCGAAATCCACCAGTTTGTCTGTCTGACTGACTGTATCCTCAAGGCGACAGGCATAGCTGCGAGGTAGCCATGCCAGGCTGCAGGGATGTGATGATGCATCACAGTATGTAGCGAGTACAGCGTTTCACCGGCTGTATAAAAGCAATCTATCACTGTATACCCTCCCCGCGCACCTAAAATCCCTCCCCTCCCGAAGCCTCCCGCACACTGACAACCTGTTCCCTACTTCTTCTCCCCATCCATAATCGACTTCGCAATCTCCTTCTCCTTCTTGCTCGGCGGGTGATCGAATACCAGATCCCCCGCCGGCGGCCCAGGCTTCGTCGCAGCTTCCGGGATCTCCTCTCCGACCGCCAGCTTACTCGTCGCGCTCTCCAGTCCCGTCTCTCCGGCGCCACTCGCCGACCCGCCAGACAGGCCCGGAGTCTGGGGTGCCGACTTGAGCGTGTTAGCTCTCGACCGCAATTTGGACGGAAGGTTCTCCTCTCCGTGCGGAAGGGCGGCTTCTTCGGGATTTTGGGTAGTGTGTCCGGTAGTGACCGCGTCTTTGTGCGGGAGGAGTCCGTCCGAGGCGGCTTTGATACCGTTCCCGAGAGGTGGGATCCAGGCTTCGCCCTCGTCGTTGACCCGAGTTCCGTCTGAGGCCTATGGGGTCAGCTTCTGAACCACTCACGTGCTCAGCACAAGCGAGTGAGCTTACGAGGTTGCAGAATTTGGTGAGTTTTGGCCAGTACGTGGCGTAGTCGTATTCGAGGTTGTAGGTCCCGCCGAACTCAGTATCGAGATGTTCTGGGTCGACGAGCTCGAGCATGTTGGGGTTGAAGCGGATCTGCGGGATGAGCAATGTTCTCCAAGCACTTGCGTCACCATCTGCCGAAAAGAGAAGAGGGACACACCTTCTCGCGAGTAATGGGGTCCATAAGGGGTGTGATACCAGTGAAGAATGCGTTCATCCACCACCTGAAGATGTCAGCTCTTCCAAATGCAGAGAAACTCGCGAGCAGGAGAGGGCTCACGGCATGTTGGTGACAATACCCCTCCCAAGACCTGGAAGATCAGCTCAATTCCCAAGGGCGGCACTTGGGAAAGATCAGCTCACGCTCGACATAGTGGTTCTGCAGAATACCCAACACTTTCCGCCCAGTTCCGATCGAAGGTGTAGATGAAGAAGTAGCGGATTTGTACTATCCATATCAGCATTTGCCATCTTGCCCTCAATTAGCAGCCTGGAGCTGGACGTGTGACTTACATCGACGATGATGCAGACTTGTTCTTGGCCCGGAGGAGCGAGGTCAATGGCTCGTTCGCTGTCGCATCAGCTCTGGCCAGGTACCAAGCGAAACCTTCAGCGATCGGCTAGCTCACAGATTGTAGATAAGATGCCTGATCTGTCGGGGGCTCGTCTCAGTGTTCTCCCGTCCGGGACGCATGTAGATGATCGGTCGAGCGTCCTTGTCGAATCCGGAAAGAATACTGTGAGCTCAGCATGATCCTCATGATTTGCCGTGGTGATCTTGGCCTGCTCCACCATCGCCCGGCTCGTATCGATCGCCTTCCCCTTCACACTGTGCCCGAGCCTGAGGCCTGAGCAATAGAACTCACATCTTTCCCGTCTCCGCCTCCACGCCCACATCTTCCGGGCTAATCAATTCCGGCTGAAACTCCCTTCTCCACTCCATCGTCCCCTTGATCCTCCGCTTCGCTTCGTCCAACTTCCACTTCCCCGCGCGCATATACCGCGGGTGCGTCCCGGGGTCCGCGAGGAAGCGTAGCTCCCAAGGATAGTAGGCGTCCGATTCGGGAAGGATGATGGAGGTTGTGTACTGAACATCAGCTGAAGGTCTCGGATGAGGGAGCAAGCAGCGTCGTTCATCTGTACCGCAAATAGCAGAATAGGTAGAGAGGACTGGAAGAATGCCTTACTTGCTTGAGCTCCTCGATCTGCGATTATCAATCAACTACACTTTGTTTGTCATTAGACTGTACGTCGAGGTCGAATTTCCCAAATATTGAAATCAAATCTCACCTGCTTCATCTGACCCTCATCATACGCCCACTTCTTGGTCGGTTTATTCCCCTCGAGAGGAGTAAGGAATATCTCATGCGTTCCCGGTCGAGACTCGTCCCCGCGCGTAGGGCCGCCTTTCCCGTGTGCCCCTGATGTGGCTGATGAAGCAGCCGAGGACTTTTTGGAAGAGAAGAAGGAGGACATGGAGGCTGCTTGACTGGCTGTAGTAGGGGAACGTAGGTATATGTAGGAAAGCAGAAAGATAAGACGATTGAGTGGAGCGGTCCTCGGCCGAGCCTCAGCCAAGAATGCCCTTCGGATTTCGCCGAAATTCAGCCGAAAGAACCTGCAGCGAGGTCCGTGCGTCCAAAGTGGGGGAGGAGAAGGGTGTGGTGGGGAAGTGTCCGTGAATGCATAGGGGGAAGGGAGGAGCTAGGGTATGTAAGATAGATAGAGGTGAGAGAGAGTAGTCCAGTAGACACAGCGATTCACTTTCCCTTCACAAGCGGACCGGTGCGTCGCAGCAGGTCCTCGAACCGCCTGCTCATCAGCTCGAGTCAAGTAAGCGCAGGGAGTGGGAACTGACCCTTGACTGTATTGCCCGCACAGGTGACCTTGTTTGCCACTAGCTGTACACCTGGATCGCTGACGTATTGCGGTCCACCACTGCTCGCGAGATCGTAGGTGTTGCACTCTTTGGAGATGGGGTCGTAAGTGGCGGTGTCGCATGCTGAGGTAGGTAGGTCAGTGTGTGTGTGCCGAAGACATGAGCGGATCGACCTACTTTGGAGGTTACAGCAGCTCCGAATGCATGTCTCGAGGGACGACTGAGTGACCGGGCCGCTAAGGTGGACAACATTGGGCGGGACGCCGGTGTCCGCGTAGACGGCGTGGTTAGTCTGGCCCGACATGCTACAGAAACCGGAACAGCAGGTCGAGCAGGCGAGGCAAGAAGCTGTATTTTGGCGTCGGAGGGGGTTTTGCGCGCGAGAGACAATGGAGTCCCGGGTGGCTTGTTTTAGCGGGGTGGAGGTGGTAGGAGAGGCCAGAGCGGGGAGGGAGAGGGAGAGGAAGATGAGGATCGGGGTGATGATGGAGCGCATCCTGGCTGGTCGGTGTTGAAGCAGTGAGGGAGAGGCAAAGAAGGTGAGAGAGGGATGACAGGCATGGCTGCGGGTATCGAGCCACTTTATACTGTATCAGCGTCAAGGTTGTAAACAAGGAGGAAGATGGGAACCGAGGCTGAACCGAGATTGTGCCCCTGGATTACGAAATGGAGGTATGCGACTCCTGTGGCAGCGGCGTTTCGGCCCACGCGCAGCCTCGGGACTCGGGTGGACAGCCGGCATGTCTAGGACATGCCCGATGATGACTTTGCCGAACGGCAGACTGATCCATCGAGCAAGAGAGACCTTAGCACCACCGGCACCCGCGCACTTGGGCATTCGCTCCCCCAAAAAAGACATCCAGACCCTTCAGGCGAGCCCCCGGATAACGGCCGAATGACGGATTACTCGGGACCCGCAGATCCCACCCGCTGCCTAATTAGGATATAGGCCGGTTGAGAGCATGAGAAGCCCTACCGACCGACCCCAACAGCGTTCAAATTGGTTGACGCCATTCATGCTTTCGAGGGCCCCGACAGAGCCTGCAGAGCTGGCCTTCGAGATCCGGGTGGTAGTGGTGGGTGGAGGCAAAGTATGGAAGACTCGTCAGAGGCGTCTTTCGGCGTATCGCGATTGTGACGATGTGGCGAGACATGGTTGGTGTCAACATGTTTCACGGCGGCTGCTCGGCGCGGAAGCGCGCGTTAGAAGTGGGCTCCTTGCCGCCTTGGGCGATATCATATGACTTTCCGCGTCAGAACAGTACTGGACTGCCATCGCAGGCTGCGATGAGCTCGTGTGACAGCTGACTCGTGACATGGTCGCTGCATATGATGGATGAAGAAGCTGAAGAGGCCGAGAGGGCTGTTTGAGGAATGAGGTGTGATTTCTGCATGACGTGTAATTCTCCGTTGGTAACAATTTCCCTAAACTCGCCCCTGAACGTAACCACCTCGACCAGCTTCCTCCACCCACTTCACTCCCTTCACACCTACAGCCTATACCTTTCCTCACACACCCACCAGCCCACCATGTCCATCGAGAACCTCCACATCAACGACGCAGAGGACGACCTCCCCGCAGGCGCGACCGTCGAGCTGCACTCCAAGCCCGAGCGCAAAGCCCGCAAAGCCCTCGAGGGACTCGGCCTCAAGAAGGTGCCCGGAATCCAGCGCGTGACGCTCCGTCGGGCCAAGAACGTCCTCCTCGTCGTCTCGTCCCCCGAAGTCTACAAGGCCCCCGGATCGGACTGCTATATCGTGTTTGGCGAGGCCAAGCTGGAGGACCCGTCCTCGGCTGCCCAGATTAGCGCGCAGCAGCAGCTCGCGGCGAGCAGCAGTGCGGCGCAGGCCGCGACGCAGCAGGGAGGGTTCAAGGATGGCGTGCCGAAGAGTCTGGAGGAGTTGATGGAGGATGGGGATGAGTGAGTTGCGTTTCAGTCGGGAGCCTCAAGGGGGGATGTAGTCGGAGGTTGAAGGAGGATGGAGCGGACCTGCTGCGACGTCGAAGGGGAATGACTCAGGATTGCCGGAGAGACGGAAGGGGCATACTCTGACGCTTTTCCTCCCTTCATTCTCCTTCCCTTATCCCTCTCATCACCTCATCAACATCTTCCCCCACCTTCTCCTCGCCCTCACCTCTCCTCTCACTCCCACCAAGCAGCGCGCCCGACCTCGAGGCCACCGACAAGCCCTCAGCCAGCGGCAGCGGCGAAGTCAAAGTAGACGAAGAAGACGTCAAGCTCGTCGTCGCGCAGACGGGGTGCTCAGAGGCCAAGGCGAGGGAGGCGCTTCAGGCGGAGAATGGGGATTTGATCAATGCTAGTGAGTTTGGGGTTACCGGTAGGGAAATGAAGCGGGAAGAGAAGCGGGTATCGGAGACCGGACGGGATGTCAAGGGAGCTAAGGTGGATATGTGCTGATGAGCAGTCATGCGTATCGGATCGTAAACGAGCTTCGGATCTGACGGGGTCGGAGGAAAGAACAGGTGAGACCCAGCTCTCTTTACCGTCTGCTGCTTCTTTTGCGCTCGGATCCCGTGATCAGTAGCAACTCAGCTGACCCTTTAGATCAAGTGCTAGTCGCCGCACAGCATATGAAGGAAGGTGTAGAGTAGTATCAGCCATATGCAGATGCTTCCACTCAACCTCGACTGCACTTCGGGACATCTTTCCCGGAGCTCACCAGGGCTCACTGCTGTGTCCTGCCCTCATTTCACCACGTCTGCTGGTACAGATCGCGCCCTCGGCTCAGCGCCCTGGCACCGCTCAATATAGGGGCAAGCGATACTATTCATACAACAGGTAATTATAGCCTGGACCCGCCACACTCCTTTCACGACCTCCGCTCACTATCCTCTCGATCAATGATGATGATGTTTCCCCTTGCCCGACTTCTTGACTGGCTCCGCTATACTCTTCACCGCCTTGCTCTGCGCAACCCACTGCTTGAATTGCCATTGCATCGGGGCGATCTTTTCTGACTGGCCGGGGTCTCGCGCGAATGATCTAGGAGTGTCAGCACTGTGTCCAAGCCTCGATCGCCATCGCGAATGCAGGGGAAAGAAGGACTCACCCCTCATAACACGCCCTATACTGAGACCACATGGCCTCCCCAGTCGCTTCCCGATGTTCCGCCGAGTAAAAGTCTTCCTTGCTCAGGCCGAGCGTCTCCACTTGGACTTTGAAAACTTTGGCCATATCCGAAGCCATCTTAGCGACTGTTGGGCGCTCAGCGCAGATGTACATGTCCCGACCTGTACTATTAGCCCTTGTCCTGTGATGCGAAATCGGTCTTATGGCTGCGGGGCGAGATTCGATGTGGTGGAGCGGAGGCGAGGAGGACGAGCTCGCGAGGATCTGAAGCGCAAGGAGAGGTATACGTACCGATCCATTTCTTCGGCTTCTTCAGCGCAACCTTGACCCAATCTCCAATCTGCTCCACCGCATACCCTGGAATCTCACAGTCATCGGGCGCCGGGATCGAGAGGATGAGGCCATGGCCGCACGGAGCGGGCGCGAGGAGGTCCCATGCGAGGATATCGGTATAGGGATGTGAGGTGTAAAGGAGGGTGTAGGGGATGGTGGTGGCTTTGAGGTGCTCGACGACTGTGAGTCAGCAGAAAAATCAAGTTGTCCGAGACGTATTGCATGTAGAGGTGTTAGGTAGCGGCCGGATACCTTGTACCACAAAGGCAAACAGCAAGAGGGAGTTGGAAAGTTGGGAATGACGGAAGGGTGCACGAGAATGAAGACCCACCTTTCGCTTTACTGACATACGTCGGTACTACCACCTCTGGCGGCAGCTCGTCCAGAGCCGAATAGACGATATGAGGTATGCCTGCCTTATGACATGCTTCTATAGCCGCTATGGAGAGCCGTACCTCCAGCGCGATCGCAGCGGTCATATTTGGGCCGATATGGTGGAACGTATCCAAGACTGCGCATCAGTCGCCTTCCTCTCGGCCTGACTCGTTTCTCCACTATACCACAGCCTGAAACTCACAGTCCATGCTCACAAAAGCCGCACTCATCCCCTCTAGATGCCCCACATAACTCGCAGGATCTGCCATATCCCCTTCTACAATCGTCACTCCCTTATCCCGCAGACTGTGCGCCGCATCCGAGTTGGGAAACTTGGTGATGGCCGTCACTGTGAAGGCACCGTCTGTAGCCAAGGCATCAGCGACGGACCGGCCTTGGTCTCCTGAGGCGGTGAAGACGACGACGGGGATGGAGGAGGGGGAGGAACGGGCGGCGGAGGCGGCTGGGGCGAGGGGACCCAGGATGGCCCGGTCGATTCGGGACATGAGGGCTGCCATTTTTGCGCAGGAGACAAAGGGGGATGGGGGCAATAAGCTAAGGCAGGTCTAGGTCGGTTAGAGCGAGATGCAGCAGGAGAGACAAGTTGAATTGAAGATATTTTGAGCGGTCAGAGCAGACGAGGTTCAAAACAAGGATGACGTCACTCACGTGACTAACTTCAGCTGCCACTGCCTGGTCTGCTGCTGCTACCATGCGGTTCGCTGGGTGCAAGCGGGGATACCGCGATGTTGTGAGGTGAGCAGGTTCCGAGCAGCAGAGCGCTCATCAAGCGACGGACTCCATGAGCGTTGGTGCCGGTGCCCTCGCAGGTCAGCCAGAAACCGCACGACCGAAACACACCGCCACCGCTCGAATTTGCCACCCGACTTTGCCACCCGAGTGCTACACTAGCTCACCCTCTCCTCCTCACGCCTTATCGTCTGGCATGATCCGGCCCGATTATGGGCTTCCAAGCAGCCTGAATCTCGCCAGAAACGCCGTGTACGCCGAAGGGAAAGGATGGGGGACTGCTCAGATCTGCAATCTACCAGGCACTTTCGTGTTTGAATTTAGCTAAAGTACACTCTCGGCTCGCTCGCCGTGATAGGCTTATCTTTGAGCGATACAGTCAGGGGTATAATGAAGGGTTGTCGCGGGATCTTGGTGTGTCACTTCGCAAAGATAGGCTGTGAGATCGATCTCTAAGGATGGTTCGCTGTTGAGGTCCGGCCGGATTCGGAGTCCGCTGGACGACTGCATGATAACCTGGGCGAGTGGAGGGATATAAAAGCAGGTCTCGCCACCGCTGACTTCGTCTTTCGTACCTCTACCTGGATCACTAAACCGCGCTCATACTCCCTCCACACTATCGTTCACCATGTCTGAGCGATCCACATCTTCACCCGCGCCTCTTTCCCCTACGGGATCACTGCCTTCTGCTGCCCCTATCCGCAACGCGCTTCGGGTGCAGACGTCGTTCCCGTCCCTAGGACTCGAGGACCCCTCGTCAGGAGAGCATTCTCCTGCACATTCGTATCGGGAGTCGACAAGGCAATTCCCTGTTCCGGACTATGCGAGCAGGGACTTTTCCTTCGTTTCACCCCCTCGCAACCCTGACGCTACCAGGTGGCGGATGGAGCTCGTCGAGCGCGATGACGAAGAAGGAGGGGAGAGCGGAGGCATCCGCTGGACACTCACGGCGGAGCCGTCTGCCTTGTCAAAGACTCCCATCCCCCGCAGCGAGCACTTCCTCGGCACAGGGTTCGAGCTCGGCAGCGAAGAGCATCGGGCCTGCGCCGCCGCCGGGTTGGCCTGGGACTGGGCTTATCCCCACGACACCGTCTATTGGGAGATCGAGCCTGGAGTACCTGCAGTACTTGACCAAGACTCTGCAAAACAGGCACTCTGGCAGTTCTTCTTGACGGTTGGAGACACAGAGAGCGCAAAGTCGAACAAGCGTGTGCTGGTGAGGCCTTTGGCAAGGGACCACCATGAGGGGCAATACTTCCGGCATGGCCCGATTGTGATCGACTCCTTGAGGACACTCGGCTGCATCACGCAGTCTGTCGACGATGAGGGAGCAGCCACCGGCGAGCCGACAGAACACCGCGGGATCGTATTGGGTTCTTTCTATTCCTGCGCGACCACCTACTGTCCCGTACCCAGTGGTGTATTCAGTCATGAAGCGCAGATCACTGACCCGCCCACCGTTATCACTGTCCCGGGACCCATCAAGCCGCTCTTCGTCATGCTACCGCCCTCAAGATCATCTACTGGCTCGAGCGGGACCGGACCGGTTGGAGAGACCGCCACGTTCACCGGCAATGATGCTGAGGCGGAGGATTGAGCAGCATCGGCGGCGTGAGTGAGCCTGAGATTCGAGTGGTCGAGGAAACGTGTCATTCCGGACGAGATCTTGCCATGTGAATAGCGCTTATCCAATACATTTCCATGCAAACATGATATCTCCCTTGCTGTGATGTGGTATTGATGGCAGCATTATTAGTTCATGGCAGCACTGTGACCTGTACATCATCATCGCGTCATGTTGCATCTACTCGGTCGTGGCGGCCTCAAGCAGCCTCAGTCGTCGCGTAAACTTGGAAGCGAACGATCACGTAGTTGTAATCCAGGAGGGCCGTGTGCGTGGGCCAGCCAGCAGCTGAGTAGCAGCAGATCTTAGATTTGCCACCCGAGTTTGCCACCCATGTGCCACACTACTCGAGGTCACTCCTCTGCTTCACCTATTGTCGCCTGACATGATCCGACCCTGTCGGGCTCCTGAGCCTTCCTAGATCTCACTATTTGCGCCGTTCTCGCCGAACGCAAAGGATTCGAGACAGGTCGAATCTGCAATCTGAAGATCAGATCTGGCAACTTCGTGTTTGAATTTAGCTAAAGTGCAATCTCGGCTCGTTCGCCGTGATAGGCTTATCTTTGAGCGATAGAGTCAGGGTTATAGTGAAAGGACCAAGCGCCTCGCAAGTGTGTCAGCGCGCAAAGATAAGGAGTGAGATCGATTTCTAAGGATGATTTGCTGGTGAGGTCCGGCCGGATTGAGCGTCCGCTGGGTGACTTGATAACGACCTGGGCGAACTGGAGGATATAAGAGGCGCCACTTGTCTCCCAGTTCTCCTAGACATTACCTCAATTCTATCCACATACTCGTACTCAGACTACTCCCTTCGTGCACTACCCCTCACTTCACTTACTACCATGTCCACCCAACTTGGTTCTTCCGTGAACCCTGTTCCCTCTTCTCTTCCAACGTCCAGTCTGCCCGACGACTTCGCCTCTGAGCTACCTCCTCCCCCATCAGGCGGTACATGGGGGTCAGCATACTACTTCTTCGAAGGGGCATCCGATCCAGCTGTTCCGCCGCCCCCGCCCCCTGGCGCGTCGACGTCCGCGACTGAGACCTCTGTCACCATGATGGACATTGGCCCGCCGCCCCCGGATCCCATTACTCAGATCGCCGGGACCTGGTGGAGCAAGCCAGTACTTCCGACGGGCACCGAGGGCTTGCCTCCCAAAGCTGAGTACGTGGTCAGGCCGGTAGACGTCTACTGGAAGTCTCAAGAGGATATGGACCAAAACCAGCCACTGCGGAAATTCACTGCCCTCGACAAGGCCTTTCGTGATGAGTTGAGCGCCACCGTCACAGAATTCTGGAGGAGCTTCCTTCCCGACCTTCCCGAGGCATGCGAAGTCGAAGGAATCTCCGGGGCCGACTGGGCAGACCTGGCGGGGCAGATGATCTCCACGGCCGGGGCAGTGTCAACACAGGAGAGGCCCTGCTTGAGTATTCGGCCTGCAGCAAACGCGACGAACACATTGTCGAGTGACGGTACACAGCACATGGAGCTCGAGGCCGGATTCCATACCCAAAGGGTCACAGATTCTCCGGCAGAAGATACAAGATGCGTGGTCGGAACTCTGTATCTGGAGCGGGCTCCTCACACGAACGACGCGGGCGCGGAGGTTTCTGACCGCAACCGTTCCAATCCATGGGTCTTGAAGCGGATCGTGGCAGTTAACCCTTTGGCGCCCCCTGCATTCGACTCCGATGATGAGTTCACTGATATGACTGTTCAAATGACGGCGGCGTGACTGGGGGTTTTGGCACATAGGTACTTGTAGCTTACGCTTTGTGATGGACCCCGAAGATACAGTTCAGTGAGTATGAGCGCTGCTATGACTGCTTCACGACGTCCTTAGACATAAAAGGTGCCGCGGCCATCCCCACCGTCCACGCATGAAGAAGCGACTTGTGGTCTGGAATGTTCTGGAGCATTGCATCTCAGCCTGCTCACAAAACATCTCGAAGCGCCAGACCGGTGGAAATTGGCTAATCAGCCGGTAGACCTGCGATCTGCTCATCGCTTGATTGGGCTTGTCTTGGAGGAGTACGGCTGAATACGGGGCGCGGAGTCTCCCCGTTCCATGGGGATGATTGATGCCGCTTCACTTGGTCTACTGGACTGTGCGCCAAGTATCGAAGATATGAGAAGAGTATACTCCACTTATGATCGATCCGTAGCGCGCGTAGAGCCTCAGCGGGCTCGATCTCAAGCTCAATATCACAAAGGTCTTTTAGGCATGTGTTCAAAGTCTCACTTCGAACTCGCTACAGCAGGTACCACCTATCTTGCAACTTGCATCTCTACATTGGCCACCCGAGTTTTGCCATCCGCATCCCCTCGGGCCTCACTCAGATGCCGACAACCTTCCAGCTCAGGCATGTTCCGAGCCGAACCAAGACCCGACGAAGAGCAGAGACACGGAAATTCGGCGCTCTGGCCGAGCAAGGGACGCATGACTTTGACTCCTTTCAGTGGATCTATAGCGTTCGTGTTTGAATCTATAGCTTTCGTGTTTGAATTTAGCTAGAGTGCGATCTCGGTAGACGCGGCGGATCGTGATGAAAGGACAAAACGTCCGAAGGCGCCAGATCTGCTCAATCGAGATCGCGATAAGCAGGGATCCGCAATCTACTGTCTAGATGAGCGAGATCTCGCGTTTCAATCTAGCTGTTGATGATATTCGGCAGGCTCGGGGAGATCTAGGCGCTATCAGCTCGAGATCTAAGGGGGGCTTTAAAAGGATTACAGGCCATTTGGCGTTACGGCCCTACTGTGGCGCAGGAGCGGGGGGTCAGGATCCTTTGTGCTGGGGTATATAAGGGTGGATTTGCCACTGACATTCCCCCCTCGGTACTTCATTTTTCCCTTCCTCTCAGCTCCCCAGCATTCGCGCCACATTTATTCCACCTCTTACTCCACTACGCGATGGCTGAAACATCCGCAAGCAGCTCGGTCCCCCGGCCCATCCTCAGCATTGTCACAGTATCACCTGCGTCCACCCAGACTGCTCCCTCTGCCTCTGCTCCGGAATTGTACCCGAAGCTGGTGGATCTGTACCCAGTCTCCCCTCCCTTGCACACTGCCAAAGATCGTTCCACGGCCTACGTGTGGCGCAATCGACTTCTTCCGACCATTTACGCTGAACCGGTTCCCGTACTCACTGTGACTTCTGTCAACAGGGACGTAATTCGGGACGAGGCGCCTGACGAGGTCTACCTTGGTGCCGGATTCGCGGACTCAGGTCATGATGAGAACATTTTCGACGATTTCCGGGATTGGTGGGTCAGGAAGTATCCTGCGGAAAGAGTCTTCGGCGAGGACGAAGCGCAGTGCGACGCGGCATTCCAGGAGATGTGGCGCTCCAGCGCGACGGCAGCCCTCATTGCATTGGACGATGCGGAGCTCGGGCGGACCGTCGTCGTACAGCCCTGGGCCGTCACGCAAATGACGCTCTCCGAAGACGTGGACTCGTCACCGTTGATCAGAGTGAAATCGTTCGGCTGCTCCACCCAATTGCTGAACCCAGAGGAACAGACCAAGACCACCGATCCGGAGAAGCAATACCGTTTCAAAGTTCTACGCTGCCATGATCGCAATGAGTATTACTCAACAGAGGTTCCCACGGGCTGGGTCGAACCTGACGTCCCAGTCAAAGTCTTCGCAAAGATCCCTCCGATCTGGTTTGCTGTTGCTCCACTCAGGACCACGGAGGATGCTGCTCCCCAAGATACGGCTGAGGACGACGGCGAGGCGAACTCGCTGCAGATCGCGGAGATGTCGTTGGAAGAGGTGAGCGAGGGGGTTTAGCGGCTGTGCACGGCGGATCAAGTTTTGCAACCGAGGTGGATGTCATGATTCTGTACATAGCTATGCAAGGTCTCATCAGTGCAAAGCGGGCACCGTCGTGGATCATCGTGATGCTCTGAGATTCTCCTCTGCAAGCGGCTTATGACTGTACTCTCCTGGGTAGACGACCTTGATTGCCACCCAATCTGCCACCCGTTTCTTCAGGTCGAGAGCCCGTGGTCAGACGTATCCTGCGGCTGTTACAGTCTGAGGCTAAAGCTCAAAATCTATGCAATCCAACTTGCCGAGGAACACAGCGTCCTCCTTCCCTGCTACGAACGAAACGAAGGCCGAACCCGCCGCTCAAGAAGGACGCTTGCCACCCGTATCTGCAGCCTTGGTTCCGGGGAGGGACCGTCCCCGCTCGCCTACATGTTCCTGTATTACTAGATCTATCCGAGCTCGTGCGTCAACGCGAAGGCCTAGATCTCATGGTAGGCGCCGTTTAGGCCGAAGGCAAAGGATCTTATCAATGGGATCTCTCAGCTGATAAGACGGATCTGTGTATTTCGTCTTTGAATTTAGCTAGAGTACGACTTCAGCATCCTGGCGCTCGATGCTAACTTGGGTCAAGATCCCCCAGGAGGTATCTCGAAAGGAGTTCATATCGTCATGGTGTCTCAGCATACATGATAAGATTGTGAGCTCGATCGCTATCCATCCCTTGTCTGGCGAGGTCCGGCCGGGTTGAGATCCAGACATGATCGAGTAAGGTGGGGGGCGGAAATCGGGCTATATATCGTTGACCCCGCCACCACTTTCTCCTTGACCAGACTCCACCAACTTTGCTTCCTCTCCATTTCAGCCACCGGCCGACTCACGCACTATGAGTTCCACAACCGCTTCCGATGAGCAATATCCGTACGTTCTGCTTTCCGATCGCCGGGTGAGATACGAATACGCGACCTACGTCGGACAGCTTCGCCGCCCACCCCCTCCCCCACCTGAGCCCGTGCCTGAAGATCATCGCCTACCTGACGCGTCGTGCATTATGGGGCCGCCGCCAGATCCCCCCAATTACGTTGCAATCCCTGTCGATGGAGCCCGGTGGTGTCGAAGGGTGCTTTTGGACGAGAATGACCTCAGCGCCAAGCCCAAGATGGAGCTCACGGTCGAACCCTACCTCATGAGTTCGGAATGGACGCCTGTATTCCAGCGCGGGGATGCACCTCTGGTCAAGCCCAGCATCGAATTGTCTTGGGCGGAGGACCTCAAGAAGACCTGGTGGAACTCTCTGATGCCAGGAGAAGACATCGAGGGGCTGGATCGTGAGATGATTTGTGACGCACTGTGGAAGCGCATGGTCCCCTCGGCGGAAGAAAGGAGCATTTCTCTCAATCGCAACTTGAGGATTCGTGCTGTGGCTCGTCCTCCACTCACCACCACGACCCAAGATGGGAGAGTCACGACTGTGGAACTCGGATACAGCACTCAGCCCCTCGGAACCGAAGCGCCCAACACCCTGCCAGAGACGATCCTTCACCAGATCACCTTCAGATCGGGTCCGGCCAACTCTACCACGGCCAAAACGTGGAGTGTCAATCCGGCAGAGATCACCCAGGCACTCACTGAACTCATGGCTGACTTGACATCGAGAGAGGCGGGAGGTTTGGCTAAGGACGGGTCAGCGAGAAGTGATTGCGCAATTGGCACTTCTTCCGACGACGACGACAAGGGAGCTTTAGGAGGATCGACGAAGAAGGGATTCTCGGCTCCTAAACATATTAGAGCGCGACGTTGATAGTCAGTGAGAGGGGAACAGGGTCAATGTACTGATTCATGATCCGGATGAGCTTTGACGCAAGACCCTTGGTCCCGCCCCAAGTGAGCTCTTGAAGCCGCGGGTCCGACAGGATAGAATCAGCAAAAGGTGAGCGGACAGGCCATGTACGATGGATGTGAGTCAGCGTCTGGTCAGGTCGACGGGACTACTGCTTGGATCTTGCCTCAGCTGACATGAGCACATGCACGCAGACAGATATACACATACAACCTTGTTTGATTGATCATCCCTCCCCTCCCCTCCCCTCCCCTCCCCTCCCCGCTTTTCCCTCTCCCATCATTCGAAGCTGCACTCTGATAGACTATGACCCGCATCTGCTTTACAGATCTCCCCATTCCACAGCCCCTCGCCCTCCCTAACCACCCCAAAACACTTCGTTATCGCTGATATCCTTCAGTACTTCCCATCGCCGTCTTGCTGCTCGTACATATCGTTCGATTGGAAGGTACCGCCGCCACCGCCAGCGTACTGCGATCCTTGACTTGATGCGAAGCCGTCACCTATAGCATGAAGTCAGCCTCATCCCCTGCTTACCTGGCTGATAGACAATGAGGTGAACTGAGTGGAGGGCAAGATCGAGGAGAAAAGTAAGGTGAGATGAGGTGAGGTAAGGGGTATGGTAAGAAGAGTGTGGTGAGTATGAAGCCGCAACGGGAACGACGTACCGTTAGGGACAAAGCTATTCGCCCTCCCATTGACCGGTAATCCCGCCAAAGCGCTCCCCCCGGGCGCCCGAGCCAGACCGAACGGCCTCACACTCGCCGACCTGGAGCTCGAAGCCATGGCTGATGAAGGACGGGCATAGGGGTGAGAAGAGTAGGGCGTGCTTTGGCCGTGCGTGTCTGAGAGGCGGTATTTGCTGTAGGGATCAGCTATAGCCTGATAGTCCGACCCGATCTGGATTGGGTAGCTGATCTGAAGAGTGCGACTTACTCGAGATTGACCCGAGATGGCCCAGAGCGAGACAAACGACCTTCACGCCCCTCTCGACCCTCGCGTCCCGGCTCGGCCGTAGCTGGTCGGTCTGTCGGAAGGAGGGTGAGACGATTTGAGCTGGGCATGGCGCGAGGAGTGGTGAACTGGTCGTGCCCGTTCGTGCGTGTTTCGCGCCTGATATCGTCAGCTTTATATCCCTCCCCAGCCCATATCCACGAAGACGTCACGCGGTGTGATGGAGCTCACGATCGCTGGTTCGCCAACTCCATCTCCATCCTCTGGATACTCTGCGGTCCCGAATCCGAATAGCCCATATCCTCCCCTTCTTCCGCCACGGGCGTGAGCGGGTTAAAGGGCTGGTGTGAGAAGCTCGAGAGTGGAGGGGGAAAGCGAGGCTGATGTTGAGTAGAGCGGAGCTGTTCGAGATCCCTGGCGGATCAGCTAGAGCTCGACAGTACCACTCAAAAGGGCGGTAGCTGAACACTGACCTCGCCAATTCCTCATTCTTCGCTTGAGCCTCGGCCAGCTGCCCCTTGACATCCGCCAGTTCCTTCTTCATCTGCCCCATCTTCTGCAGTTCCACCTTGACGAGCTTGATGTTCTCCTATTTGATGTCAGCTATGCTATCACCTATGCTGGCGCAACCAACAGCTCACCTCTTTGCGCTCATCCGACAATCGGAGGAGCTTGACAAGCCGCATAAGCTCTTGCGTTTGGAACTGATACATGAGCTTTCATCACCAACGGAACAGGGTGAGGACATCCTAGCTCACCGAAGAAATAGCCAAACTCCCCACTTCCAGCTCCTGTACCGTCCGCTTCAGACTCGCAGCGACGACAGCGACGTTGTCGGTCGGATTGCCGAACCATGAGCGTAGGTCTGGATGGATCTGTAGTTTCAGCTCGATCTCTGTGATGTGAAATATAAAGACAAGGTAACTCACATTCTCGTCGATCAGATACACCTCTATCTCTTCCTTCTTGCACCTTGTACATCTCCCTTTTTGGTCTGAAAGGTCAGCTCGAGCCATGTCGCTGAAGTCGTCAAAGACCTTCACATGCCGTGGAAAGCTGAGGACGAGGGAGGATGTGAGGTGATGAAGAGACTCACGATTGTGTTCCCTAGCTCCACACAGCACATGCCCACAACTCGTCATCCAGAATTTCCTATCCGCCTCGCTCTTACTATAGAATGGGTGTCCGCTGTCATGTCAGCTGGCGACAGAGGATTCGCAGCAACTGACCATATACTACACGTCACATAATCCAGAAAGTGAAGCTCTTCCACCCCGCCTTCCTTCTCCTTCCCCTTGCCCCCTGCTCCACCAGCTATAGAGGGGGTCGTTGATGTGACCCCGAATTCGTCGTTTGGGTTCTCGACCTTCCTACTTGGACCTGACTTTGACATGATGAAGGCGATGAAGAAGAGTAGAGAGTAATGCTGAGGGGCCGAGGGGTCGAGGGGAGCAGAATGCGGCAGGAGGGAGGAAGCGATGGGCGATGAGCGGTTCGAAAGGGAGAAGGTGGTGCTCGAGCCCGCTTTGTCCCGCGGACGACCGAGCGAGGACCGGTGCCTGGATACTTGAGGCAGTACTGAGAGCTAGGTAGTGAGCTGTATAGAGTGAGGGGTAAGTGATATAGGTAGAAGGAAGGAAGAAGGAAGGTCAGAGTCGCGTCGAGTGAGGTGAGGGGTGGTTGACCGAGGTGGAGGTCAAAGCGGCCGCGGGTGGCAAAAATGGAGTTATCCCTCAATCTCCGCGTCCCCGCCATTCCTTGCTTGCGCCTCCTCCCTCTTCCCTCGCCGGGGTAACAGCATCATCGATGCATGCTATGTATCTGCTCATAATAAGATCAGAGCTAACTCGGGAAACGACACGATACCTCCTCCCTTTCCTCCCGCGTCCCGTCCATCGCACTCGGTGGATTCTGTGGGAAGGTCACGCCTAGCGCCTAGTCCTAGTACGCATCCCCTTCTCGGCCTTCTCGGTCGAACCCCATTGACTGGAGTATCTTATCTCGGATGAGATGGTCTCTTTCTCTCCGTTTCTGAGAGTCAGGACTGTCCTTCCATAAGCAGAAAGGGTGAATGTCGGCAGGCGGGCTGCGAAGAAAAAGTGGAGAAGAGGAGGACACGTACAGCTTCATCGGCTATTCTCCCTTCTATCTCCTCTAGCGCGACTTGCCGCAGAGGCAGCATATCCTCCGCTATCAAATCCTGGACTGTCAGCTACCTTCCCCAGCCCTGAGATCCGTGGTCCACGCGTGCCTCCCACAGTCGGCGTAGCACCTCTTCCCGCCTCTTACTCCGCCCCGCCTAAACATAGAGGAAGACTCACAACTTCTCCCAAAGCGACAACATTCTCTCCTCTTATCAATAACACCCCTGTCCAATGTCAACTTCCGCTTCTTTTTGGCTGTCCAAACCCGCAGTAGAGGCTAGACCAACCTAAATCTCGGTCCGCAAAGTCCTGTTTGTGATGTAATCTCTCCACTGTTGAGTCGATCAGGAAGTTGGCTATGGATGTCAGCTTCTCCTCCATATCCAGTCCTCAGAGTGAGGCAGGGGAAGTAAGGGATGAGCAGCTCACCGAATTGATCATAGCTCCGGAAGACGCCTATCAGTTTCCTCCCGTCTCGCAGGATGACCAGGACTTTTTCTGTCAGGTCAGCTCGAATCCCTCAGACACTGCGGCACATCTTGGTGATAGGTAGACTGACTATCGACCAAGTCCACTAATGAGCCCGAAGTCGTGAACGGGATCAAGGCATCCATGCTGGAGATGTCTCGTGAACCAGCTTCTCGATGGATACAGCTTGCTTTTTCGAGCTTTCTTTTCGCTCAGTATGATCACTGAGCACTGAAGACGCGCTGTGAGAGGTACAGAGAGGAGGTGTAAGTAAGGTAGTATGATATGCAGAGGTACAGACGACTTAGGGCATTGCGGAGAAGGGTCGGGCGGTGGGTGCATGCGTGACGTGGCATTCCTCAGCGGTATCGGCCTCCACTCCGTGTCCCTCGAGCGGCCAGCTGTCAGCGAGATCGACTCGACCCTTCCTATGTTTGATGTCCTCCATTCATAGATCATCTTCACACTCAGCACCATGCTCCTTACTATCTAAGAGCTGAGCTGTTTCTGATCGCCTAGCAATACTCATTTACCCCGCCAACCCGCTTGCTCGCGCTCCCGACCCCAAAATGATCACTCGGTTAGGAACCAAACATACCCTCGACACTATACGCCACTTATCTTTATCAAGCTACTGCGCTCCAATATCGGCTTGATTGTTCAGATCAGTCATCATTGCTCCTTCTTGAGCGGCCACCGTCTCGGTGCTTCGCAAAGCGGCGGACAAGATGAGCCCGGTCGCTCTGACTAGCCCTTCCTACTTCGGGGTATCGCCTAGCCTAGGCCAAGGGCTCAAATGCGACCCCTCCCGGCGTCCATCTCCATGGACGGACCTTGCGCACTCCTTGTCAGAGTCGATACTCCCTCCCACCCCACGCTCCACATCCACAACCACCACCACGCCCGCCGCTACCGGCCCCTCTCCCTCCCCTATCCCCTCGCGCGGATCGCCTACTCCAGACTCCACCCTCTCCTCCTCCGCCCTTCGCGAATGGGACCGGCTCCTCCTCGAGTCCTCCGGCAATGCTAAGCGACACCACCTCATCCATCCTCCCCCTCAAGCCCAGGTTCAGGCTCGGGCCTCGCCGGACTCCCGCGTCCAGCGCCCCGGAGCCCAACGGCGGGTCAGCTCGTCCCCTGCCGGCGGGAAACTGAGGCACGCCGAGAGTGACGGAAGTCTCTCGGCGTCAGCGCCGAAGCTGGCCGCGGAGAGGGATAAGGACGGGCATATCGAGTACAAGCTGAAGCTTATCGATCCGACGCCGGATCGGTTCGAGCGGCTGGTCACGCAGATGCTGTGGAGGTTGAAGCAGGGGCGGAATGAGGCTATCTATGAGATTGGGTTGGCAGGTGAGCTCGCCATTATCTTCTTGCTCTAGGCCATGAAACGAGTAGCTAGCTGACGAGACAGACGACGGAACAGTCATCGGCCTGACTAGGGCAGAGATGGACGCCTCCCTTCATACCCTCGAGCAAATGGCGGCAGAGGTGGGAGCTACCGTCCTCATTCTCAAAGAGATCGTCCTATGCTCTTCGTCCGTCCTTCCGCGCCACTCCTCAACGTTCGGCGAGACCGAGACGGGTACCTCGCCAGGTCTATCCTCTATCTCGCCCTCGGCGCTCAGCCTCTCGTCGGACGTAGACGCAGGAGGGTGGATGGTGCCCCGCCCCGACCTGGACGCGGCGGGTCAGCCGAGGAAAGGGACGAGGAGTATAAGTCATGGATCGGCGGGATGTCCGTGGAGAGATGGGAAGGTGGGAAAGAGAGGTATGGGAAAGGTGATGGTGTTTGATCAGGCGGAGTTGGGGAATGGGGGAAGTGAGGATGGATCGCCCTTCTCCCCGTTGGACTCGGACGGTGGGAAGGGGGATAATGGGGAAGGGGACGGGGACGATGATATCCCTCCTTTCCACCTCGACCTCGATATCGACCTGGAAGTCAACCTCGTCCCCGCCCCAAATCCCTCTCCTCACGCCCATCCGCGCGACCCCTCGGACCCAAACGTCAATACCCCCTCCCGACCTCCTCGGACCAAATGGAAACGATACCGCCCTCCACCCGGCTCCACTCCCAAACCTCCTCAGCCCCCACCGGACCTCTCTCCGCAGACACTCGCGGCGCGTCAAGCCAAAGCACGCACCAAGGCGCTCAAATCTGCAAAGAGGAGGGAGGCGAGGAGGTTGGAATTGTATAAAGGGGACGGGACGAATCCACTTTGGACGGAGCAGATCATCTCACACCCGCACCAGCCGGCTCGGCCCTCTACACTCCGACTGGCTACGCCTGCCTACCCGGCTTCGTCCTCTTCGTCCTCGTCGGCGCTGGCCAGTCCGGCCGATCCGGACCCGTTCCTCGTTGATCTATTACACGTCCCGCTCGATAATCTTTCGTTGTCGTTTGCGGACGTAAGGACGGTTACGGATGCTTCGTCACCTGCTTCTTCTGTCAGCGATGATGACGGGAACGACGGTAGAGACGGCGATGATGGGGATGATGGGGATGAGGGGGATGAGGGCGATGACAGTGCGGAGTCGCTCACCGAGTGCGCTACTTCCCCTCCTCTCCCCACCGGCGCACTCGGCAACACCATCCATCCAGCCACCGTGTCCGGCGTCATCGGACAACTAGGACCGACGATCATCATGCCCCGCCCGGGCTTCGAGCGCATATGTGTCGAGGCCCTTGTGGTGCGCAAGACCGCCGAGGGGGTCGCGGGCGTGACGGAGTGGTGCGAGGATGGGGATGATGCGTGGGGGTTTGGAGCAGATGGGGATGGGGAGGAGGGGGAGGTGGATCCGGATGATGGGTGGGGGTTGGAGGGGTGAGGGGCGAAATATGTTGGCTCAGCGCCGTGGGGGGAACCTCGGGGTGCGAGGGCAGGATACACAAGGGGAGGTCGAGCTGCTGGACAGGAGGAGAAGAGGGGATGGGGCAACCAGCAGGATGAGTGGGGACTGGGGAGCTGGGGCTCTGAGGAGCTGGGACGCCGGGGGAGAGGCCGGACAGATCTTGGAGGCATGATCCGGGGAGATGGGCTGTAACTTGGTTTGATACCATAGGGCATGGGTTGTACTTTGCATATTCCACATTCTGATGGTACCACTACTGACCCAAGATTAATCTGACCGCTATACTGATGGGGATGCTCCGCGAAATACATTCGGCTCAGGTGGAAGCTACTTTGACTCTCTCATGTCTCCTCGGCGATCGGGGGTTGCCACGTCCAAGTGGAGCCCCGTTCCACTAGTACTCTGAATCGCGAAAGCGACTCCTTTGTTCGGGCTCACCTTTGATGAAGCGTTTGGCGGAGTTCACAGAGGACTGGACCGCATACGACGTTGGGCTGAGGCGCAGGAAGGTCTGTCCGCCCTCTGTACTTATCACTCCTCACCTCTTCGGTACCGATTCGATCACCACCCCAACATTGAGCCAAGACTGCGCAACAAGCCGAGACTATGCCGGAGTGGAATGAAAGCGAGGACTACGATCCGACAATGCCGTTCAGTCCTACGGACTCGAATTGGGACAGAATGTTTCCAAATTCCCCTTCCGTCCCTGTCGATGCCGAAATGAAGATGCTTGATCAGTCCAAGGAACAGGCGGAGGGCATGGCAGAAAGTATGCCAGACGAGTCTGCGCTGAGCGGACAGAGCGTGGATGGCAGCGATGACGAAGGAGAAGACGACCGGGGGAACATACTTGATTGGTACAAGGAAGCGACTACGTTGCAGCTGCGACAGAAATATGATGCGCGATACATGAGACGAGCCTGTGTCACTTATCTGACGATAAACGAAGAGGCGATGGTGAGGCAGGTGGAGGGGACCATCCTGGAAGGAAGGAGGAGGGATGTGGAACCCCTCCTCACGGCCTGCGAAGAGATTTGGAAGTCCAGATCCGCGAATCCCACCGGGCGCGGGCGAGAGGAGATCACGAGGACCACCCGCGATGGATTGCAGAAGGTGTGGACGACCACCAGTACGGGAGCGTTCGTCTTCAGCAGGAATCAATTGGGCAAAATCGACTGGCCCGTTCTCACTTGGGACATCATTGATGACAAGAAGCTGCAGCTCATACCTCTCACACAGAATGCCCACCATGACCTGTTGACTCCCGACCAAATCGAGGCCCTGGTGACGCAGCAAGCAGACGGCGAGTTGAGACCCTGGATCGAGATGTACAGAACTCTACGGATACGGGCACTGCGGGCGGATCGCACTCCAGGCCAGACGGAATGGATCATGTCGCACCCGACTGCGAGTCACACCAACGACGAGAGTGAGCTTTCACGCCTATCTGGCAAAATCAGATCGGGAGCCGCCCTTTCCATCGATCACAGCCAGGTGGTCTGGAAGGACGTCCGTGACAGCAAGGTTTCGCGAGAGACACTGCGGAAGACACTCGCGCTGGCCGAAACGTACGTGGCCCAATGCTGCGCATCTGAGACCGACCACTGCCCTGACAAGCACGTACTGAAGACTTCCCGTCGGGGATTGCTGAGCCTCACGGTCAAGGACGAGCCCCAGACTGGGACGGCAGGTTAGGGTGAAAGGGGGGAAGTGGGATCTTGAGGTCGACAGGGCCGCGGTCTCACATGATAGAAAATGACGTGTCTGGTTGTGTGTATGAATTCGAGGCTGGTAGTTGATGGAATGTCATGGAGTTGGAATGCGCTACGAAGATTAATGTATCTGATAAGCTCATCGAGTATCAGCTGAAGACCCCCAGACCACTGACCGAAAGTGATGTGTATATCCGGCCCCAGATCCGCCGCTCAACCTGACCCCCACATATTCCACATTCCGCTTCCGGGCTTTACAGTTAGTGTCGCCACTCTCAGCTCCTCCACTAGTCAGCCATGAGGTGCCATACTGCTCGCTGATGTGGCGAAACACTGAAAAGCGATGTTCCTTTGGCATCCTGCGAGCACGCCATCGGCGGACTCCCAAAGCATCCCTGTTCAAGCACATTCGACAGGCCTTGCTGGTGTGGGGGATCCAGCGTCCCCTTTTCTCTACTCCAATCTCTTCTAGACTGACACATACGCCCAATCACACGAAGGATACAGCTCTGCAATATTTGGCTCAGCCTACGACTACGACCAGATGACCGAGAACAGTGCTCCAGGCCGAGAAGATCGAATCGAGTTCAATCCGGAACCGTTCACCTTCGAGGAATTCAAGAAGATCGCGAGCGGGTACCCGGATGATCCAAACTCGACTGAATTGCCCTAGCTGGCAGACACTGATGAAGACCAAGCGCTGTACGTGCCGGAGATCTACAATCTGACACAAGATGAGGAGACGATGGATGACAACGAGGTGCCTTCAGACCGAGTTCGTCCCCAGGGGAAGGCCCCTACGCTGCGCCCCGAGTCTGAGAACGCAGAATGGATGAGAAGAGCCTGTCTTCAATGTCTCGCGGCGTACGATCAATCGTGGGGCTTGTTGTCGATGGTCTTCCTGAAGGCGGGCACAAAAATCACAGCGGACGATCAGGACGTCGATTCCCTTGACAAGATGTGCAAGGAACTCTGGCGGGCAAAGGGCGAGAACCCAACCGGACTCCACCCAGGACGTGTGGTGGAGGTGACAATCGATGACGAAGGCATCGAGACTGCCACCCAGCCCCTGGACAGCACCCGGGCGTATGTCATCAAGAGGGATGAGGATGGAAAGCTGGAGTGGCCGCTCTTGGCTTGGGACGCGATCACTTTCCGGGCTGTCAAGCCCACCACGAGACCTGACTACACGCTCTTGACGCAGTCTCAGAGGGAGGACCTGGCAATGCATGGTGCAGATTCAACGATGAGGCCATGGAATCTGATGTACCAGACAATTGAGGCGGCCTCCAAGGCTCGCGCCTCCGTCAAGAAGAGCAAGGCATCTTCAGGCTCTGCCTCGACCTCGGTGGTAAAAAAATCAAGGGCAGGTGGCGAAAGGCTTCGGATCCTGACAGCGAAGTCGCGCAGCTGTGGAAAGAGATTGCAGAGGATTCAAGAGGCCTTCCAATCTTTCAGGGCTCAGTGGATTGGGACAAGGTCTGTTCAAGCAATCATTCTCTCGAGCTACTGGAGGGGTTCCTGGAGGAGACTCAGCAGCTCGCCGCGAAACAGTCTGCCGGTTCCGACCTGGACAAGGCGTACTTTCTGATGTCGCGCGCCGGGGGCACTGTATATACCATCAAAGCGCCGCGAGACTTCTTTGCGAAACAGACTGAGACGGGTGAGGCGGTGTGAGGGTGAGTTGTCTCCTTACTGCACGTAGCGAGACGGTCGCAATTGTGTAGCTCTTGGTCGGTATGGAAGTTGTCGATAGGTACGTATCCCAATGCATGGCGGAGTTGAATTGAGACCGAGGTCTGCATGTTGGGTGGCTAGACGCGGTGAATATGGTCGTCGAGGGAGCTGCAGGTATTCCTGCTGATCCTGCGTGCTGCTCTCCTTTCTTTGTCATCTCCGCGTGTCCCGCCAGAACGGTGTGCCAGATCTGTTCATCTTTTTTCATTTCGTCATCTTGGGTCTGTACATATCCTACCCAGTATCCTCGTACCTGAACAACAATACAAGCCATCATGGACAGCAACGAAGAGCGGACTACTGATCGTCCAATCCCCTCCCCTCACTCCTTCGCGTCAGATGGCCCAGGAAGCGACGTCGACTCGTTCCTACTTCCTGAAGGTGATGGTCAAGAGCTGATGCCATCTTGGGCCTTTGAGTCGGCCCCGCCTCAAAGCCCTTCAAAGAGCGCGGCCACGCTCGGCGCAATGGTGGAAGAGAGTCGGCCCTGGGAGCTTGCCGAACAAACCATTGCGGAGACAGGAGATGCCGAGTCGAGCGGAGACCCTGAGTCGGGCGTGAATGACGGACCCACGCTATGGGTGGGTCCTATGTCAAACCCGGATGTGGAGCCTGACCTGAGGGTCCAAGACACGGTGAATAGCGGGGATGGAGACACGACTTCCGGCACGATGGGCAGTGGTGAAAGGTCTGAGTCCCAGCATGAGGGCGAGACTCAAGCCACGATGCAGGCTCCCCAGCAGCTCCAGCCAGCTCTCGAGGGATTCCCGGAGAGGAAGATGACCCTGTGGGAAACCCGGGCTCACAAATCATCTTTCTTGATGTACCTTACCGAGATGGCGGTCGCCGCTACAACAGACTACAAGATCGGCGAGACGCCACAGGATCTGGACCGACTGAATGAATTGTGCAAGGATGTCGATGCGACCTATGGTAGCGACGAGACAGCTGCCTCGCGCAGAGACCATGCGAGGCTGATGTTCGTCCTGAACGCTCCACCTGGGGGCGAAATCACATGGGAGAAGCGCCAATACCGCGACGTGGACTGGACCAAAGCGAGTGTTCTGAATCACACGGGGCACCCCAAGGATGACCGACTCGAGGCGGACGAGCGTCAAGAGCTGGACACAATCCTTCAAGACACCTCTCTTCCGCGGTGGGAGCGGGTCTTCCGGGCGGCAGTATTCAGGAGAGGCGTATCGACGTCCCGAGAGAAACAGCGACGGGAGGATGCGAAGAGGAAGAGGGCAGCCAGTGACGCGCTACCTGCAACAGGGGCATCGAAGCGGACCTCAGCGAAGGGCCAGTGAGCTTGAGGGAGGCGGTGTGATATGTATCGTCAGGTTTAAGTCCTTTCTGCTCTCCTTTCCTCCATCGCCTAGGGACCATCCGAGCGAGGCCTCAAACCTGCGGGAGGAACTCGAGCGAGAAGAAGGGTGGTGCAAGTGTCCTGCCACTTCTCTCATTCTTAATATGGAGCTGTTCACATATGATCGTTCAGCCGTATCGGTTGTTTTGAAGCCCCGTCGACCTTCTGACACTAAGGCGAGGGATCGCTGCGCTCCTTTGTCAACTGTTCCCTGGAGCACGCCATCAGTACATAAAAGGAAGCAGTATCGAGCACGTTCGACGACCTTACTCGCTCAGTCGTCAGTGTTCGTGTTGGATGTTAACTTGAGAGTTCGCGAACGACCGATATCTGACGTACTCCATATCCATATCGAACGATTCGCGATCACAAGAGATGGACACCGATGCCGGCTCCTTTGAAGGGGACACCAGCTTCTTGCACGTCGCCGCAGGACGATCAACCACGCAACACGAGCCCACCGATGCTGAACTGGAGGAGCTGTTCATGGCCTACCCGGCCACTGACGTTCTGGATCGAGGTGGAGTGGGTGGTCTGGAAGAGACTGACGCCGGCGGCGATCCTGCTGAGCTGAGCGGCTGCGAGGGCATGCGCGGTGCTGAGTATGTGTCAGAGGCGGACACCGCGCTCTACGCAGGTCACGGCGAATCGTCCACGGCTATCTCCAGCAGCAATCTGTCCGAGCCGCTGAGGAGCAACACGCCGACGCATCCGCAGAAGACGGCGAGGACAAAGGCGCGGGCGTCGCGTCGCGCCATTCCGCGAGACTCAGCGGTCGTACCAAGGTCGAGGATCAACCGACCCATCCGCCTGTCCTCATATATGCGCTGGCTGACCGATATCAAGGTCTGCATTACCAAGAGCAGCAAGATCGGGCATACAGACGATGACTTTGTGAAGCTCGAGCGCCTGTGCAGAGAGGTCAAGGCGCACAGAGCAAAGGTCATCACCGACAGCGGCGGCAACAGCGACGACACCCCAAAGGATGTTATGGCTCGCGCGACAATGGAGTCATACGTTCTGGATGCTTCTCCGGAGACCACGTGGACTTGGACACGACTGGCCCGGAAGGAGATCGACTGGGACAGCATCCAAGAACTGAAGAATGTCGGCCGTCCCCAAAATGACCTTCTCACGTTGGATGAGCAGACCGAGATGGCCGGAATACAGCAGAGCGCTACATTCCAACCTTGGGAGAAGCTGTACGAAGCTACGATGCTGCGGAGGCGGTCTGCAGCGGCTCGGCGAAAGCGGAACGTACATGATGGGAACGACGAGCCAGCTCTTGGCACGGCGTGAAGGGATCGCGATGCCTGCGGATTGGGCCTACCCATTCCTCGATGGACACCGTGTCCATGATGATGTGCCTTTGCCTAATCTCGCATCTACTGTACCTTATCCAGCCTTGTCCAGCCTTGTCCCCTCTTTCCCACTCTGAAACGAGGCTCTGCCCACCCCCTTCCTTGTCCTCATGCATGAAACCTCCTCTTCTTACCGCAAGTAGGAATTCTTGGCCTACCGCCACTGACCCACCCCGCCACATTACCCTGAAAACCCAACTGACGCGTCTCGTCACGTCCAACAACAAGTGATCGACGCGTTGTGCCCGTTGCCCCTGAAAAACGGGGGTGGTGTGTCTCATCGCACAGACCTTGTTCTCGCCAAACATTACACTCTGATCAGCCCCTTGAAAAAGACGGGTCATTGCGGGACAACGACTCTCTTCCTTCTTCGTTCGTACATACTCTACACCCACCTACCCCACCTCGACTACTCGCACTCGACCACTCGACAATTCGACGGCCGACATCGACATCGACAAGGTGAGTGATTGTGATGGCTGCGATGGGAAAGGGGAGGGAATGAGGGGACCGAGCGGCGAAACTTGTTTGTGCATTGCGTGTGTGTGTGAAAGGGGGTTGGGTGGAACGGACCGCCTCGTTTAAGTTGGGGGTCGAAGAGTCTCGGGGTCTATGCTATGCTATGGAGCTGCCCCCTTTCTTCCTTTCCTTTGACATTCCTTCCCCCCTCTTGTCTCTCCTTCACAAACAAGGCCCATACACCTACCTCTCTATCACCATTCACTCACCCGTCTACGACCCCAGCGAAAAGTTGCTGATCGACTCCAGCACCCACACTCATTTATCCACGCTCTTTACCACCCCTCGACAAGACCCAACACCACCACCCACCAATCACCGCACGATGAAGACCTCGGCGCTCGTCCCCCTTCTCTGCCTCCTCGCGGGCGCAACCGCCTTCCCCGACCACTCGAACGCGGATGCTCTCGCCCGCCGCCTCAATCCCCGCAGGCACCACTCGTCCCAAGTCGAGCGCATGATTGAGAATATCAAGCGCCAGGAGGCCACCTCGTCCGACGAAAAGACACTCGCCGGGAAGCGTATCGTCAACAAGCGCGGTCAGACCTGTCGTGTCCGCCCCGCTGCGGCGTCCGCCTCGTCCTCTTCTTCCGCGGCTCCGTCGGCTACCTCGTCCGACGCCGCCGCGGCGTCCAGTGCTGGTGCGCAGGCGGATGTCAACATTGGCGGTGTCCACATTGGGGTGCAGGTCGGTGGCAATGCTGTAAGTTTGGCCTCCTTTACCATTTGGACGGTGTTGTCCTTCGTGATAGGGACTTGGCTGATTCTCAGCCCGCTTCTAGCGCCTGGTCCGCCCCGTCTGCCGCTGCCTCCCCCTCCCCGGCTCCTCAGCAGCACACCCCGTCCCCTCCCGCGTCTGGCGGTCTGACCCCCAACGGCAGGAAGGCGGGTATCTCGGCCGGTGATGCGCTCAAGGAGTTTGAGAACCAGATTGGATGGTACTACAGTGAGTTGAGCGGAACGTGAAGCGAGTGAAGCGAGTGCAGTGAGGTTGAGTTGTGCGGGTGAGGGAGAGGTGGACGAGTGAGGCCGAGCCGAGGTAGCGAAAAGGGAGCGAGTCAAGTCCAGCGCGGAGTACAGGGAGCAAGGCACAGTCGCCGAGCGAAAGGACGGGCGTTACCAGATCGACCAAGGGCAGAGCTGACTCACAGACTGGGCCCCTACCGACCCGTGGCAATCCTCCAACAAGGTCCAGTTCGTCCCTACACTCTGGGGCGGTGGATCCGCCGATTCGACGGACGCTGCGCGTTTGATCGACTTCAAGGCCATGTCGTCCACCCCGACGTGGTTGATTGGCCCCAACGAGCCGGATTGTGAGGCTGGGGGTCAGATGTCGGCCGGGATGACGATTGATGCGAGTGAGTTTGGATAGGCTGGACTTGTTGTCTCTCTACCTACTCTTCTCTTCCCCTCATCCACCCATCTCCAGAAAGCTATCAAATTCCCACTCTTCATCTCCTTTCTCTCGCTATCCTTCCCCTCTTTTACCCATCTTTCCAGGCTCAACCCCGCCCCTGCTCCCCGTTTATGCCGAGTGCTATATTCTTCATTCCGGTGGACAGGCTGACCCTCCAGCCGCCTCGCTCTGGAACGAGCTCATGGCTCCCAAGGGCAACGCTGGCGCCATGCTCCTCTCTCCGTCCATGTGCAAGCAGATGGCCGAGGACGGCTGGTTGGGTCAGTTCCAAACCAAAATCTCGCGCGATTGGGATATCACCAATGTGCACATCAACAAGAACAACATGGAGGGTGTCAAGGCGACGATTGATTATTACTACAACAAGTACAAGAAGCCGCTTTGGGTTACCGAGGTGAGTTAGCAAACGAAGCACGCGAAGCGTGCGGATTGAGCGGGGAGAAGGCCCGAGCGGAGAGAGTGCAGGTTGGGAGCAGGCGAGCGGAGCGAGCAGTCGGGGCCTTCTTGGACTATCCTCCACTATCCCTTCTTTTCTCGGCGAGCGTAGCGAGAATATCAAGAGTCGGGCGGTGTGGTTGGATGGAGCGCAGAGGGATACTCCAAGCAAAATCTCGAAAACTTAGCTGACGCCCCAGTTCGCTTGCGTCAACGACAACCCCAACTTTGTCCCCTGCACAGACCAAGGGCAGATCAACCAGTTTATCCACGATATTGTGGATGTGCTGCAGAATGATGGTCGGGTTTACGCTTATGCCTACTCGAACGGGAACGGGCTTGGTACGTTTCACGTCTTTTTCTCCGTCCCTTCTCCATCACTCTCCCTCGTTGTCCCCTCCACTTTCCTTGGCTCAGCTGGCACTTTCCCTGATGCTAGTGCATGGACGCAAGCTGACATCTGCAGGAAACGTCTGGCCCCTCTGGAACAACGGCCAGCTCTCGGAATCCGGAAAGGCGTACCGATCCGCCCTGAGCAAGTACTACTAGGCCAAACCGATCTTTGGGTTGGCCTGGTAGGAGAGGAGTGGTGGTGGGGTTGAGAGGAAGAGGAGGTGGAGGTGTTTATGCGGGAAACGAACGAGACGACCTATGGACATTCCGCCCCCTTTCCCTTTCCCTTTTCCCCTTTTCCTTTGGCTTTGTTCCGATTATATACCCCTGATATATCTCTAGTTTCGATTCGACGATTCGAATAGCCTTTGGTTGTGGATAGCTTTTGACTCTGACTTTGGCGGATAGGCGTAGCGGGCAGCGATGAGGGTGGATGGCACGCTGGTCGCGGTATGCATGCTCGTGCTGCCTTGCCTTGTCTCGCCTTACCTTGGCTCGCTTGAGTCTCTGGGCTTGAGCTTTTGGATGTGAATCCACTAGTTGGCTCGTGCGCAGACCCGAGTCTGGTCGGGCGGACAATAATTCTCAATCGTGAATTGCCGCTGGTCCAGACGCGTACTCGTACGCGCAGCCGGGAGACGATGGGTTTCAACGAGCAACGAGCAATGAGACGCAGGCAGGACAAGCGAGCGTTGGCGAGTAGAGCGTAGAGTCCTGGGCTGGTATGAGGAGGGAGACCGGGAGGAACAGCGGGAATTGCGGAGTGAGCGTGAGCAATGAGGGAGGAGGGCGAGTGAGGTCAGTATGTGCAAGCCAAGGTGGGTCAGGGGTGGAAGGGGTGAGTAGACCTGCGGCTGGGGATGCGGACGAGGACCGTGAGGAAGAGGTATGTGAGCGTTGTCTATAGCGCTTAGGGTCAGATCGAGGAGACAGGAGAGGATATTATGATGTTGATACATGCCCGATATTGTACAAGACTGTGAATCGCTGATTTAGCATGTAGCTCTAGTTTGTGAGGACGGCCGTTCAAGCCTCCGGTGGTGCATGGGCGGAGATGGGAGCTGGGTTAGGCTTGTTGTTCTCGTTGTTGGCTGTGGAACTGACCTGTCAGCTTAGGTCGAGGGGAGAGCAAAGACGTCCAGTGAGAGAAGGAGACGAGGAAGGGATGGTGAATCGGGTAGGTGGGGTATTGGGGGAGATGGTCGGTGACAGGGCGAGTATATTGGCCAGGAAGGAGGGAGAGGATCGGAGAGAGCTGACGCGAGAGGACGAAACAGAGAGGATGGCGGGAAGGAGGAAGAAGGCAGAGACGGAGACCAAGTAGAAGGGGACATACGATATCTTTCAGCTGGGTATTTGCCTCGTCGAATTGTCTCTCGAGATATTTGGCCTATTCCGTCAGCATCTCCATCCCGGCAACACTCCTTCGGATTCTGATCTTCCTCGACAATAGACTCACCTTCTTCGCCAACACCCCAATCTCCTCATTCAACTCCCTCTCCTGCTTCGCATGCCCCGCATCCACCTCCTTCCTCGGCACCACCACAAACATCTTACCTACGCCCTTGAACGTCTGTCCTTCTATCCCTGCCCCGTCCCCCTTATTCTCGCCCGACGGGGCGGGGACGGTTGATAATTGGCGGATGGTCAGTTGGAGGATTTTACGATCTTTTTCTTTGGCTTGGATTTGGGAGCGGACGAGGGCGAGGGCACGTTGGGAGGTGATGGCCTGGATGTCAGGTTTGGATCAGAAGCGCCGAGTGAAGCGATTGGCGGGTGAGAGAGTGGTTTAGTATACGCCAGCGAGGGAGGCGGAAAGGTGCAGCGAAGAGAAGAAGGAGGGGATGGACCGACCTGATTTTGGATCTGGGTGAGGATCTGGCTGATTAGCTGATACCCAATTTTTGCGAGGCTTTCAGCGGAAAGAGAAGGAGGACTCAGCTTACCTTTCTGAGTGTATCATCTGATAGATTGGACATGTTGGCTATAGCTGAAAGAGTATAGTAAATACAGTGGTGGACCAAAGCTATGGGCTGGGTCAAGTGAAACGCGTCGACCGTGGGAAAGTCTGCTTCAGCCCGGTCCAGCCAAAGACCTCCACCCGGCTCTTCTTCTCCTTTCCTCTCCTCCTTATCCACCCCCATCTTATCGTGAATATTGACTGTGTATATCGCCCTGCCCTACCCTCCCCTCCCCTCACTGCCTCATCGAGTATTCACCGACTCTTGCGCAGCTCAAGAAGATATGAACATGAACCTCCCCACCGTCTCTCTCACCGCCTTCCTCGCCGACCCAACGGGGGAAGAAGGCCTCCGCCAAGCCCGCCTAGCGGCCGAAAGTCTCATCCTGACAGGCGCGGTCATCGTAGCGGACGAACGAGCGAGTAAAGGGGCGAACGATAGGTTTTTGGACTTGTTTGAGGATTATTTTGCTTTAGGGGATGAGGAACTTAGAAGGGATGAGAGGCCAGAATATGGGTATCAGGTGGTGAGTCCGAGTCCAAGCAGCAAGGGTAGAGAGGCTATGAGCTGATAGTCTAGGGAGTGACGCTGGAGAATACCGAAAAGCCAAAATGTAGCAGTGACGATGAGTGTCAAGCGATCATTGCGCAGTTGGAAGCAGGGGAGAGACCGTTGGATCTACTGGGTCACAATGCGGACCCCAAGTGCCGGTGAGTCCGCGTAGGGGATCGCAGGAGAAGACAAGTATCGGGCTGTTGTGCTGATATCTGTAGCTTCTTCCACCGCATGTCCAAGCTCCCGCCCTATACTTCTAAATTCGACATTTCCGAAATCCCCAATGTCACGCCCAAAGCGTTCGAACAGGACTGGGCGGGCAGAGTGGACGAGTGGGGCTTGTGTATGAAGCAGGCGTGAGCGCACCGCTGTACAGCCGTGTAAAGTCGGGGCAAGAGCTGATCAGATAGGGTGGAAGGCGTAGCTCGGATGGTTGCTGCCGGTTTAGGGCTGGAGGAGGATACGTTTGTCCAAGCGGGTCAATATGGGTGAGCTGCTCTTCCATCAGAGACTCATCGGAGTGGCTGCGCTGCTGCTCGAGGGGGTATGTGGCTGATGATTAGATCTCACCTGCTCGCTCCGACGGCTACCAATCTGGATAAGTACGGCAAGCTCAACAGGTCAGTTGTCCTTCGTGCTACAGTCTGGCATGATGGGTCGCTGACGGAGATAGCATCTTTGCGGGCTTCCATACGGACCTGAACTTTCTAACAATCCACGGACAGTCCCGATATCCCGGATGTAAGCTTTTTCTCCTCACTTCCCCTCTCAATCAACCACGTTCCGCTGCCTTGGGAGCAGGGGATCGGGTGCGAGGACAAGTCGGAGTAAGCTGACGGCCTAGTGCACATTTGGGCTCGGAACAATGGGAAACGTATCCCCGTCAAGATCCCACCGGGGTGTTTACTCGTTCAGGCGGGAAAACAGATCGAGTGGATGACGGGTGGACTTATCAAGGGTGAGTCAAGATTTCCGTCTGAACCAAGCAACGAGGAAATGCAGGTCCAAGCGAGGCACGAGGAGACGAGATAGGAAAAGAAAACGATAGAACCAGAGCTGATGCGTACAGCCGGGTTCCATGAGGTCGTATGTACCCAGGCTACGCTAGATGTTATGAAGCGGAGGAAGGAGGAGAATCCAGATCGGCCTCAAATTAGGATATCGTCTACTTTTGTAAGTCACGTCCCCTTCTTTTCTCTCTCCTCTCTTTTCCGTTGGGTTCTTGATCCGTCATTTCCAGATGGCCTCGATGGCGCCGGGCGCCGAGTCAAAGGGGTCTGCCTTGCTGATCGGGCAGTTCTGGCACCTCTCGCCTGATCATCTCCTTGTGCCCGTGCCGGCGCTACAGGAGGAGGCGGAGAAGCGGTTTGGGCAACAGAAGGAGTACGGGGAGATGTTGGTGGGGGATCAAGTAAGGAAGTAGGTCTCTTCTCTCGATTGGCGGTCTCCCTCCTTACTGGTGGTCTCTGCACTTCCCTCCGATCTTGCTCTTCCCTCGAAAGACCTTCTCCTTTCGCAATACTGCCATCCAAACCACTCCCCACTCCCTCCTTCCGCCGAAATCGACAGTCCCGAGACCTTTATCAGGCAGAGTCAAGATTCACCCGCTGACGCTATGACAGAGAATTAGGTCTTATCGCATTGATGGCTCCCGAATAACCACGCGAAGCGGCATGCATTAGGATCCGCCTTCAGCCTGTCTACCCGAGACATGTCCGCTTATTCTCGCTGGAACTGACATTTAGGCGGAATGAAGCGAATGAGGTAAACGATGTTTCAGATTGCGTGTTTCAGAATCATCACCCATCATTCCGACCCCCCGGCTCTGTACTCTTGTTCGGAGGGCATGAGATCATGTCGGGATGAAACGCGAGTACTTGCTTACTGTACCGGCGGTTGCGAGGGGTTGGATTGCCGGGCCGGCAGACGGTACAGGAACAGAGATGAGGGGGGAACAAGCCGGGGGAAGAGATGATGACGCCAGGGGTAAAGCTGGATAACATTGAGACATGGACTCAGCCCCGTCTTACTAGTGTTTGGAAGGTGGGCTATGGGGGATGAGGGGGATAGATGGGTGGGATCGGCGTTGAGATCGGGTCTTACGCTTGGAGTTTGAGAGTTGGGTATAGTCCTTTCTTCCTTCTTGTCTTCGGCTCGGTACCTCTCAATCCCTTACCCTTACCCTTTCACCTGTACTTGCTCTGTCTTCGTAACACAGTACAGCAACAGCTCACCACTCAACGTAGAACCAGCATGTCTACCCAGCCGACTAGCACCCAACCCTCTCTCAACCTGGACCTGGACGACCTCCCCGCCCCGGTCCGTCCCCACTCTCGTCCCAGCTCGCGCCTCACACCCCCCAACTCCTCCTCCTCCCGCCTCGACGCCGATTCCGCCTCCTCCTCCCCTACGCCCCCGCACGGCACACCCCGGCGCCTTCCGCAGGCCTCGCCCCCGTGCGCCCGTCTTCGCCTCATCGCGCCCGCCCCCGTGAAAATACCCCCTACGCCGCCATTTAACCCGGCCGGTCGAGCGGGCACGTACAGCCGTCATACACATTCGACTAAACCCAACACCGCGGCGGGATCGCCGACCAAGCGGCAGAGGGTAGCTGGAGCTGGATCGGGAGCGGGCGCTGGAGCTGGAGCTAAAGCTGGGGAGACGGAGCTGTTCAGAGCGGTATCGGTGGGGTTGGGGATGATTGTGGCGGCGGATGCGGGACTGAATGATGGGGAGATGACGGCCGAGATGTCGGATACGGACCCTTTTGACCTAGAATACGCCTTCGCTTCGCCCCCCGTCGCCTCGCCCACTCCGTACACCCTCGGCTTCTCCTCGTGCCCTGCGCCCGCGCTCACACCCGTATCCATACCCATACCCATCGTGCTTGGCTCAAAGCAGCGCACGTCCTCTCCCCTCGACATCCCAACCTCCAATATCCGTCCGCTCGCCCACCGTCAAAGCTCCTGCGCTACCGACCGGACCGAGTCGACCCAACCCTCATTCTCCACCTCGCCAGTCTACCTCGCCGGCCCCAAACCTGCACCTGCACCAAAGCTCAAAGCCTCGGCATCGGCGTCGGCGTCGGACCGCGCCTCTCTTCCTCTCGGTAATGGACGCGGTCGGACCCGATCGAGCCGGACGGTCCCTGATGTCCCTGACGAGATTCTCGACGAGCTCTCGGACTCGCGGCACTCCGCGCAGTGGTCCGACGAGGACGCACGCGCGCCGACCCGGCGAACAGGGGATGAATTGCTTTCGCCCGGAGCGTTTCTGGCTGCTCATGTCCCCCGGCCGGTCTTGGTCCAATTCCGAGATGTCTTTGGCGCGAACGATACATTTGCGCCACACCTCCCGGCGTCCATCTACCCCTCGTCCCCTGCTCATAGCCATAGCCCCGCCAGAGCCGTCAACAACCCCAGTCCGGGCAGTACTCGTCGTCCCTCTCCACACGCACCTCGGTCCCCTGCCCCTGCTCCCGCACCGTCACTCCCCAACCCATCTCCGCGGTCCCCGCCCGTCCAGCAATGTCAAGGTCAAGGTCGACTCGGCCCGTCTCCCGGTGGAGTCAGTATCGCCGAGAGCTTCGCCACGTTCGGCGTACACCGGAGCGACAAGACCACCACGACCACGTCACGGCGGGAGAGGGAAGAATCGGGCGCGTCAGACGCAGACAGCTTTACATTCTCGGCGTACCACCTCGCCGATGATGATCCCGTCCGGGAGATCCAACAGCTGCAGCTGCCGCCCAGTCCGATCAAGATGGGGCGGACGCAGTCCGCTCGGCCCGTCTCGCGCTCGGTCGTTCCTCTCCACTCGGCGACTCCCCGGTCTGCGCGCCCCGTCCGGCCCCCGCGTCCCTCCCAGGCTGGTGTTGCTGCTCCCGCCGACGCACAAGCACTCCTTCGGCCATTCATGGGCCTAGAGGACGCAGCGGCAGACGCGCGCGCGGACTACCGGACCCGCGCTGAACAACCGGGCTGGGTCCACCCTTTTGCGCGATCGGCGACCCACAGTCCAGGATCCGGATCAAGCGATGAGGGGGGAGAAGACGAGCTTGTCACTCCGGAGCAGCAGCCGGGTGGGGCGCCTCTCAGCCTCGTAGGCCAAGGTCATAAGGAGGAGGACTTTGGCACACCCACCCCTACTCCGAGGGTACGAGACGTCATGGTGCCGAACGCCGGATTGGGGCTCGGACTCGGTCTCGGACTCAAGCTGCCCCTCGCGGAGAGCACGTATCGCCAGCATCAGCACCAGCCGCACTCGGCAGGATCGGACTTGCATCAGCCTATGCACAATTCCTCGGGTGCTCGGACAGCGGCCGATACCCGGCCCACTCCCGCGCGCGTCCCCAAGATGATGCAGGTAGACTATGAGCTCGCGCTCGCTGCTGCGCCCTCTACATCGACGGACTCGCTTCCTCCTCCCCTCCCCCTCAGCAAATCGGTCGGTCCGAAAAAGTTCAAATCGCTCGCTTCGCTCCGGAAACGTCTTCCTTCGAGCCGCGGTGCTGCCCCTCCCCCTCCCCCTCCGGTCCCGGTCGTGCCCTCCCTCACCGACTCACAATCTGCCACCTCACTCCACTCGCTCCCCTCTGCGGAGTTTGCCAGTCTTACGGGCAAGCCTACACCTTCGCGGCCGACTACAGCACAGCGGCAGCCGGCGAGCCAGGCCAGACCGGCTTTTGGGGAGATCCGAGGTGATACGCCGCCGCCAACGGGATCGAGCGCTGCGTTCTCGATCAATTCGGGCTCGGGGCTGCTGGGCTCGAGCGGACAGGCGCCGGTCGTAGCGGGCAAAGCTCTGCCGGACGTGGGCATCAAGCGGGCGGAGAATGGCTGGACTGGGGGATTGAAGAAGGATCTGGTAGTGGAAGGGATGACGGTGCGGAGGGACATGACGTTGAACCTCTGGGTGGATCAGGTGAGTTTCTTTCTGCTCGTTGATGTGGACGGTCGCTGATCATCCAGGAAAACTGCCGCGAAGTCATCTCCACACTCCATCCTATCCGGTATCATCAGCCCGACTCGACCCGTACCCGCGCCCTTGAACGGATCGCCGATATCCTCCGCGAAAAGGAGACGATGGATCACCTCGAGGAAGTCATGAATGATAGTAAGGATGAAGGGGACGTGTTTTGGGATGAGGGGTGTGTGGAGTTTGGGATGAATCCGAGGAAGAGGGATCAGTGGGCTTTTACCTATGGTGTGAGTGTAACTTTCAGCTCAGATGTCTAGCGGGTGAGAACTTTGGCTGAAGCTCTTAGGCGCTCGAGTCTTTTCCGTCCCTCCGACGGGTCACGATGGAGGGCAAGCAAAATTACGACTTCACATCCCGGATCGCTTCACTCAAGCATCGAGAACCGGGGATCTATGCGGTACACGGGGAAGAAAAGGGCGGGGCGAGGTGGAGGTTTAGGTATATGGTCTATATACCTCCTGCTGCGAAAGACCCGGGGGACAGAGTGAGTTGAAAAAGCCTCTTTCTGGGCGGTACATGGCCATCGCTGATGATCAGGTGATTGTCCCCATGTCCTTCTATGCCACCATCGCCTTCCTTCGCGGAGACCACGCCAGCAAGCTCGGTTTCGGCAACATGATCGGCAAAGCCCTTCGGTCGAATCTGCACTCTGAAAAGATGGCGACCCCCGAGCTCTCATCGTCCGCGCATGAGTCGGCCGACTACACCTTCCCTGCTCGCGCGCACGAACGGCTCCAGTCGGCCGCTTCTGCCAAAAGCAACATCTCAGACGTCAGTATCCAGCACAAGTTGATCGAGGTACAGGTCAAGGTGGAGACGTTTGTGGATGGCGGAGTGACGCCGCGTGCTGTGCCAAAAAGAGAGTATCGGCCGAATACGGCTGAAAGCGGCGGCGGCGGCGGTCGAGGAGAGATGCGGCCTTTACTGCCGAAGATGGCGACGGAGCCGGGGAGTGCGAGGTCGCCTCGGCCATCGACGGCGCAGGAGCCTAGACGGGTCATGCCTCTCACGTCGCTCGGTAGTCCGTCCAATATCGGTGCGGCTCGAGATGCCAACTCGGTCCAGACCCGCCCGCCCCTCCGCGTCCGACCAGGAACGGCAGCTCCAGCTTTCCCTGCTACGTCCCCGGGAAAAGGGGAGAAAGTCAGGGTCGCCCCTTTCCTCTCGAATGAGCCGCCCACACCGTCCACTCTCCTGCCTCCTCCGTCTGCACCGCCAGCGCACCCCGGCCGGCTATCCTCCGCCTTTGGCCGCGCTCGCGCACTCACCTCCGTTGGCTCTCGGCCCCACACACCCCTCTCTGCGCCCCTTCCCGCTGTACCGGAACTCCCACCTCAACCTCTGTCCGCGACAGCTACCGCCTTCGCCAGCGGTATCATGCGCGCCAAGAAGAGCCTGTCTTCCCTCCGCCCGCCCAGTCGACCGGGTACGGCCGGACTTCCCATCTCGCGCCCGCTCGAGCCGCCCTTACCTACTTCTGCATCGGCGGGAGCACTCGACATCCCCTCTTCGGGTCGATTAAGGACGAAGAGCAGTAACTATGCTTTACCGTCCCGAGGTGGTAGGCCTAGTACGGCTGCTGCTGCTGTACCCAACACGGCTGCCTCGAACGGTCCCGCCGTACCTCCCAAAGACGGATCCCACTCGGCGTCCCTCTTCTCTTCATTCCCCTTCTCACGCTCATCTCGACCATCCCGACCATCTACCGCCAACCCCACCTCCTCTTCGGCCAGTGTCGTCCCCCATACCCCCGTCCGACCCCCTACAGCCCCAAGCTCCGGCGTCCAAGCGCTCAAATACGGCTTTGGCTCGTACGTCGACACTCCGCCCAACAACGGGGTCACGTATTCCGCATTGGCGATGCAGCAGCTCGAGGCGAAACGGACGCCGGGAACGTTTATGCGCGAGGCGTTCGGAAAGGACTATGTGCCAGTTGGTAAAGGAACGGGGTTTGGGCTGGGGCCGAAGCACTTTGAGAGCCGGCAGATGGATCTGAGGATGGATAAGGGGAGGAAGGGGGAGATGAGGCGGCCGAGGACGGCGACGGCGGATGGGAGGGCAAAGGGGGCAGGGAGCATGATTTAAGCTGTGCGCATAGCTGGGTAGAGGTGAGGGTGGTGTGCGATATCTGAGGCTATAGTAAGGTCCGGGGTCAAAGGTCAGAGGTAGTATAGTTGGTCAGACTACTTGATATACATATGATGCTACTCGATACCATAGTTGTACAACTGATCTGCTCGCTGCTCCCTGTCCGCTAGCGCTACTTATCCTCTCCACATGCTCTCAAGAGCGACGCACGTCTCACTGTTGGAGGCGTATTCTCCTCTGATGGCTATCCTGGAACATTAGCAGATCTCTCTCGCACCAGCTGAGATACTCACGTTGTCTGGAGGCTTGGCGGAAGTCCCATGCTCCGTCCGCTCCAGCTACTGTAGGCTTCTCGCCGTACACACCAGATATGTCCCCCACCTCGTACTCGTCGTCTTCTGTTGTATCTCCATCACCTTCCGCCTCATCCCCATCTCCGGACATCTTATGATCCATCACCAGACCCGTCCTCGATCGCTTCACCCATCCTGCCGCCTCCGTCGAGGCTCCTACACTCATCGTGCGTTCTCTCTTCTTACCCCTCTCCATCTCGACCAGGGACTGTCCGCCGACCCGCTCCAGCTCGGTTCCAATCTGATACGCCGGATCTTCCGCGTACGGTATGGCCACAGTCGCTATACTGTTCAAAGAAGTTGGCGACTCGAGTCCGCCAAGTGTGGCGTCCGCCGCTTTGTCATAGGGGTCGGTAAGGGAAACGAGCGTGGATGTTGATGAACCGGATACTGATGCTTCCGCTGAGCCTTCCCCGGAGCCCAGGTCGGAGACGGACGCCGAGATGGAGGCGGTCGAGAGGATGGCGGCAAGGACTGGCGATCTGGGAGGTGGGAGCTCGAGGTCGAGTGCCAGATGAGGGGCATACTTGGCGATCAGTCCCGCTGAGAGAGGGGTCACGTGGGGGTTCTGGGGGATCAGCTCCTGGCCTACTAGTCAGGATGTCAGGGAGAGATGATCGTCGCTACGCAGGGAGGGTTTATAGGCAACGCATACAAGTAGACCTACCCTTCTGTCAAGCGCTTCAAGATCATACATCCCCGCCAGCCTGTCCCACATGTCCGGAATCTCCATTCGGACTCGGGTACGCTGATATATCTCATCCTGGAGTTTGAGGATGAGGATGTGTTTGTGCGCCCCGACTGAGGGATCAGCTCTGCATTCCAAGGGATAGCCCAGCGTATCATTATCCAAGGAGGTATGAGTGCCGCAATGGACACCCGCATTCGCACGTAGGTGGCATGATCCCCTTGATGATAGGCACATAGGGTGACGCTTAACGAGGGTGGTATCAGGGAACATACCGGGTCGGGTACGTATCAGGCAGCTCAGGAACGCTATATCGCTATCCTATCAGCTCCTGGTCTATCGCACCACACGCCAACCTCACAGGGTTGAAGAAAGGAAGGAAATCCAACTCACAGCTGCACCTCGCTCACTTCCTCTTCCTCCCATACGGGCGGACTGACGCTCATCTTGCTCTTTGCTCACAGTGCCGAGGTCACGCTCAGACACACAGGCTACTGTGCTATGGTATCTCAAAAGAAGGGAGATATGAAGTAGGAGTGAAGGAGGCCGAGTGAAGGGATGGCTATAGGCTGGACTTGTGGCTGGCGCCGAGGTGATCAACCTCCACTTTTGGGCAGGTTCCGTCGGAACAGAGTTGGGCTTGGCATATCCTTGCTGCTCTTGCTAAGACTTGCTCCGGCTCTAGTCATAGTCGAAGGCCGGGGAACACTGGCGGCTACCTGGCGTCGTAGCCAATGACACAGCAAGGGAGCAACAGAGACCGAGATGCGAAAATGATCTCATGCCATCTATATCCCCATCCAATCTCCGATTTCTACCAAGACCCAAATTCACAATCCCCATCCCCATCCCCCCAAGAACCGACACAACCGCAGCCGCAATCGCTAGCGAAACCGCAGCCGCCTAGACCCGGTCGCCAGTGCCGATAGTAACGACCGTGAACCCAATCTTCTGCAGCTTCTTGCGGTCGAGCATGAGCCGGCCGTCAAAGACGAACGCGGGACGGGGGCAGTTGGCGTAGACTGGGGGATGATTAGCTTGTGTCCTTGGCTCATAGCCCCGACCGACTTCATCAAACAATGCCAGTAGCATGCAGTCCCCTTGTCCGAGTCTTCCCTCTCGACGATCCTGTTCGGCCCTCCCCACCCATCACCTCATAACCCTCCTTCTCGATGGATGTGAAATAAAGACTCACTCTTCTCCCAATCAAGAGTCTTGAACTCGTCCCACTCGGTGCAGACCACAATAGCCTCGGCGCCCTTGCAAGCGTCCTCCGCGGATTTCTGGATCGACACGTTCGGCTTGACTAGGGTCGTCAGCTTAGTCTCACCTAGCTTTCCCTAGGAGGCACGACTTACTAGGCTCAGCCGGGATCGCTCCGTAACTATAGCGTCAGCGTTGTTCCTCTATATTAGCGAGCGAATGCAGCTCACTCGGTAAGATCCAGCCAGATCTGGTCTTCTCCCACTTGAGGATCATAGATCGTGATCCGTGCCTTCTCCGACAAGAAGTGGTTGGCGATCGAGATAGCCGGGGATTCACGGGCTGCATTGTTAGCATGCGTCCAAACGCCCCTGTACTTCTTTTCGGCTACCTGTGAGGCAGTCCGAAACTCACTATCACCCGTGTCCTTCTTGAACGCCCAACCGAGCATCGCAATCTTCTTGCCAGTGATGGTGTTGAACAGCGTCTCGACGACCTTGTGGGCGAATCGGTCCTTCTGGTACTCGTTCTATGCGGGTCAGCTGTATGTCACCGACGGAAGGAGTACAGCAAGCAACTGACCATCTCAACGACGGCACGCCAGTACTTGGCGACGTGCGGCAAGTGGAGGGATTCCGAGAGGTACACCAAGTTGAGGATATCCTTCTGGAAACAAGATCCACCAAAGCCCTATCTCGTCAGCTAATTTCTTGGCCGACCGGAGTCCAGCGGAGACAACTCACAACAGAGGCCTTGAGGAACTTGGGTCCCACCCGTGTGTCCTTGCCGACGGCATAAGCGACCTCGTCAATGTTGGCGCCGGTCGCCTCGCAGATCGCCGACAGGGCATTGACACTCGAGATACGTTGCGCGAGCATCGCGTTGGCCGCGAGCTTGGAGAGCTCCGAGGACCACAGACCGACAGTGAGAATCTGGTCCTTCTTGACCCAGTTCGAGTAGACGGCGGCGAGGGATCCGCAGGCCGAGAGACCCGATTCGGTCTGGAGGGAGCCGATGAGGACTCGGTCCGGGTTGAAGAGGTCGGCGATGGCGGTGCCCTCGGCGAGGAATTCTGAGGATCAGCGGTGAGCGGGCGATGGGTGATAGGAGGAGGGTAGAGGAGGGTAATTGGAGAGGGAAGAGGAGCATATCAAGACTTTGGGTTTGCATATTAAATGAGATGTTTAGCTTACCGGGGTTGGAGAGAATGTCGAATGTGCATCCGGGCTTCGAGTTGGCCTCGAGGATGGTGCGCATAGCACTGCTCATCAGCGCAGTCCCCGTCAGGCTGCCAGACTCCACTCACTCGGCAGTCCGGCACGGCACAGTCGACTTCTCTACGACGATCTTGCTGGAAGTGGACACCTCGGCAATCCGGCGAGTAGCCAACTGGAGGTAGCTAAATGAGTCAGCTTGCGCCCTTGTCGATGAAGGCCTGGAGGCTCACTTCAAGTCCGCGGCGAATCCCGCTCCGATACCGGACTTCTTGGTGGGGGTGTTGACTGAGACGAAAATGAGGCTAGCATATCAGCTTGATTCTCCGGGACTTCAGTCCAGTTTCGCTAGCTGGTAGACTCACTCAGCCTCCTCGATCGCCTTATCGACATCAGTCGAGAAGAACAAGTTGCGCCCCCTCGCCTCCTTGACGACCTCATCCAACCCGGGCTCATAAATGGGCAGGTTGTCCGAGTTCCACGCGTCTATACGCGCCTTGTTGAGGTCGACGATGGTGACCTGGATGTTGGGGCTGAGAGGTCAGTACGAGCTCGGAACCCGCGGTAAGGTTGGTTTGGTCAGGGGAGTGATGGGGAGGTTGAAAGTTGGATTTACCACTTGACAGCACTGTACGGTCAGCTTGATCCTGCGTCGCAAAGTCTCATCATCGACAGCTACACAGGGGAGAAAGCTGAAGGATCACTCACATGACAGCACAGGTAGGACCGCCTAAGTTGAATCAGCTCAGCGAAGGGTATTGGATGGGCTCTTTAGCAGCGCTCAGACCGCACTACGCGGCCTGAAGAGCTCTGAAAGTCAGAGTAACACGTACCGACATATCCAGCACCAACTGTGAGCCATCAGCATACGTCCCTCAAGCAGCATCACGTCCTGATCACGGAAAGTAGCAAGGGATATGTTGATGGGAGTTGTGGAAATATCCGACGCGACTGATCCGTCCTTGAGAGAAGATGTGGGTGATACGCACTGCAGCAGATCTTCTTGACGACAACAGGAGCCATTCTGACTGATTCTCGCTACGTAGGAAGGTCGGATAAGGTAGATAGAAGATGGATGAAAAGATGGAGAGAGAGAGAAGAGAGAATCTAGACGGGAGCGCGGTGTCGAGGAATGTAGCCTCCACTTATCAAAGTTACTCCTTTCGGACAATTTCTACTATTCGGATCAGCTTTTTCAGGGTCAAATCATAAGCGTTTCAGAGTTTGGCTCTAGGTGGAGATGGGGACGCGTCGAAGCGCATCAAAGCATATCTTCCCTCTGCATCGTACTCTCGTTCAAGCTTATACCTCCCAGTCTCCTCGCCGATACCGGGAGGGGTACGACTCCCCTCATCATGGGCGCGCTGCAAAGGTGGTACAGGAGTGAAAAGCGCTCACTTACTGATCACACATTTCCGCGCGCAAGATCAAGGGGCAAAGGACGGGGCGATCAGTGCCATCACCCCATCAAAGGGCGTCCGAGCGGGCATAGCTTTATCCTTGATGGGCTCAGCGATAGATCAAGTCGTTTCCTGGCCGAGTCCTTTGACAAGCATCACTACATCACTGTTGTGGTGGGCTGCTCTGTCCGGGATGAACGCAGCGTAGCACGGTGGTTTACAACTTACAGCTTGGAGCTGAGAACGCTGGCGCTGAACTTGCCACCTATGCCCGGCGTGGATCAGGCTAAGACCTTGACCCTATAGCGTGGGCGACTGGCTCTGAATATACTGGTTGTGATGGTCGGCTAGTAGCTACTGCTCGCGCCATCAACTTCTCAACTCCCCCATTCGACCGGTGACACGTCCTCCCTTCTGAAGACCTCTGCGCTCAAATTTCGACTCCATCATACGCTTGCCAACTTTGCCAACTTTGACTGACTTTTCTGTCGTCCTGCTTTATGATGGGCCATCGATGGACGCTGGCCAGGCTGATATCCGCTGCGCTGCTCTCCCCAGACTGAGGTAGAGGTCGCGAGTTAGAGGCCCCGTGACAGTCCGGCAAAGATTTCGTAGGGCAATTCACAGCCAGGGACTTTGTCCCACCCTGGCAAGAGCATAGTCCGCCTACTGCTATCGGTCATGTATGTTTGGCGACCCGCAAACACGTCGGAGACTATACACGCGCACACGCGTCGGAGATGAAGACAACAAGAGTCTCCGCCGATTGCTGCTCTACATTACCAGCATTGAAAGGAGTGCAATCTAGACCTGTAAGCCAGTGCATACTGGAGAGTCCGCTCGCATTCGCGGCTTTAGCGTCTCAGATTCTGACACCGATTCTGACAGTATATATATAGGCGCTACGTACCGCCCGATTTCGTTGACCATCCCTCTGCCATCTCCAATCCACGTGCCACACACAAAGACCCTTATCATCACGCGGCAATACAGACATCTCTGACCATGCCCGACATCGATACAGTGGACCTCTCCACTCCAGAATACCGTACGCAGGTACACAAGGATCTCACGGAGGGCGCCACCGATTGGGAGGCCGATCCCGAAAAGTCCGATGATGAAAGACAGGGAGCGAGCATGATGCTTGACTGGCTGTACACCAACAAACCGGCGAAAGTCGGGGAGTGGTCCGCGGTGCAATGGGCGACAGTCGAGGAATTTCACAGAATTCTCTTCGGGGAGCCTTCCAAGGCCAGCGGGGCCGCGGATGAGACGGAAGAGCCCCAGATTCCTGAGATCGCTGACGATGCCGCAGGCGAGACGGAATAGGCGCACTGTCGAGGAGGAGGAGTGGTCTCAGCCGTGTACACTTGGAGCCGATGCATGATCCATTACTGTCTGTTAGCGCGGACGGTACTGCACGCCCGGACTCGAAAAAGCTATCTGTCCCTTGACTCCCTGAAGTGCTACCTCGACGTCACTCCGGGCCAGATTGAGAGCGACAGTGGGGGCTTGAGATCTGGGACAATAGCGGGTCGATATGGCGGCAAATCTTGTATCGACTCTGCACAACACAATGCCTGACAGAGAATCAGCTACCATGCTAGGTATTTCGTTCCTTCTTATGCGCACAGTTCTCAACATCGTCCGCGCTAAGAGCCCATATGCGACCTGGCCAACCAGGCACCACCTCGTCGGGGAAACGCGAGCGATAGTAAGACGAAAGCAGAAGTCCGCCTTGACGGCCGGGAGAGGTGGGGGCGTCATCCTTTGACATACAATGAGTCTTATGGTCTGGACTCGAATGGGCAAGTATAGGCAAGCGAGGCGTTTCATCCCATCTGCACCGTGCGAAAAGCGAAAGGAAGTTGAACTGCAAGCCAAAGTCGTCAAGATGTCAAGCGATGAGAGGCGCAAGATTAGTCTGAATTGCGGTGTACCCTTGTGTTAAATGAGCCTTTGAAGTCTCATGTTCGGACACCGCGCGCTAATTCCGGTCTACTTGGTATACGAGTATATGTAATTACTTTTTTCCCCCGGCAGACCTACACTCTCCCTCTCTTTGCCACTTAGTTTTCATACACATCGAAATCCGACCTATACAAGGCAGACAACCCCTCAGACATCAATCCATCTTACATCATGCCCTGTGTCGATACCCTTGACCTCTCCACACTTGAATATCGAACCCTGATATATACGAAAATCACGGGAAGAGCCACTTGCATCGAGAATGACCCGACAAGTAACGCTGATCAGAAGGAAGTGGCGAGCACGATACTTGATTGGATGTTCAATATTGATCCGGCAAAACTAGCTGCATGGAGTGCCGAGCAGTGGTCAACCATCGAGGACTATCATGGGGTCCTTTTTGAGGAGCGCCTGCCCCCAGAGGTCAAGGATGAGAACGCTGAGGTCGCTGGGTCAACCTAGAGTACGAGGGCGCGGGCGGTTCTATCGGGATTACCAGGCCTGATTGAACAGAGTAGCGGATTGCTTTCGTGCAGGGGTTAATGTATACAAACGCTTGATTGAGTGATGATGAATACAGGACCACGAGGCCGTGTAGGCTGGCATGCACAGCACGAGCACTGCGCAACCGCCACCCTGTCCGCCACTTCTCCGCCCCATTCCTTGAGCCAGGCACGGTTCGAGCAGATCGGTGACGTAACTGAAACGTCTCAAGTCTTCGCATATCGATTGTGTTGGTGAAGGTGTATCATCTCGCGCATCACCTCTACCTTGATCTCTATCAGAGCGGATCTCATCCTTGTTCATATCTGATCACCTCTGCTATCTGAGCGCAGTGCGATGTCGAGGGTGCTACTTGGCCGCTTTGCGAAGTTTTATAATGGCGAATTTGACAGACGACCAACGCGGACGTTGATCGTGACGAACGGTATCCTCAACTCTGTTGCTGACTTATGTGTGAGTCTGACCATCTTGCTATGGAGCATGATTACTCGGAGGTGAAAGGAGGAAGGGTCCACCGATCTTTTCGAAGTACCAGATGGGGTGAAGGGATCAGCTGAGAAGACCGAAGCTGACAAGCCAGGCCCAAGCATCTGAACAAATAGTGAGCTGGCTGCTATGGCCTGGCTGCGTACTATAGCTGATAGCAGCTATACGACGCAACGTCAGGCGATCCAGTACCACGGTATGACCCGCTTCGTACCTTGCGCTTTGCAGCGTACGGAATGGCTCTCGGTCCTCTTATCGGTATGTCCTCTCCTTCCCTCTTCTTCCAGCGCTTGAAAGACCTTGCGGGGGTCATCTTCTTGTATCCTGTCGATAGGTAGCGTGCTGACGATATCAGGGAAATGGATGCACCTGCTCGAGACGAGAATACCAATGCGCATGGGCAAACCAGGAAATGGGCTACAGCTGTTTAAGCGAGTACTAGCAGATCAGGTCATCATGTGGGTTTTGATTTCGCTAGCTTGCTGAGGGAAATGGTGGGGCTGACTGTGTAGGGCTCCAGCAGGTGTAAGACCATATCACTCCACTGGACGCCTCCGACCGATGATAAGAGAGATAAGCTGATCCCGACAGATGGCGCTTTTCGTGGCGGCTATGGGGACGATGGAAGGCAAAAGTGTACAGCAAATCAAGGACAAGTTTTCCGGCGTGAGTTGTCGTCTTTCCCCTCTCTGCGTTGGCGGACGGGCAGTAGCTGATATCGTACAGATGTACTTCCGTAAGTCCTGAACCGCGTTGAAGCTATCACCCTTCCCCATCCCGCGCCCCCATTGTCGCTCTGGAGCTAGCTATCTCCTGAAGCAGAATTTCGCTGACATCACAGCTGGTCTGATCGCGAATTGGAAGGTCTGGCCAGCGATCCAAACAATCAACTTCAAGCTTATGCCGCTCGCCTACCGGGTCCCATTCCAGTCGACCTGCGGGATCGCATGGACGGTGTTCTTATCATTGCTGAATAAGAGGTGAGCCTTCTCCTACTTTCCTGCGGGCGGAGCAAAGGGCTGCGCGGCTTGAGGGGAGTATGAAGCAGAGGCTGATAGTGAGCAGTAAAGGCGGATGATCGCGAGAGGGACGATGACAACCATCTTGCGGAGGCAGATGCAGGCGGCAGATAGGGTGCCGAGCCTGACAGAGGAAGACCTAATGAGACCATCGGTATGCATGTAGCTATAATCATTTCCTCCTCAGAGTCCGTCAGTGATCATCTAGATCCTGCATCATCATATCTACTAATGTATGTACAAAACACAACGTCCATGTCCGTCCTAGGGATGTATGTACAAGGGAACGGCGTTGCAGTTGGGGAAGGTGAGGGGGAGTCGAGACATCAAGATCAAGACGCCGGAGCAGGGGTAGTGTTGATCACTGATCGATCAGCTTTGTCTACCGACCACCAGTCATAGATATTATAGCTCACCGGCTTCACGTCGGCTCCAGCAGGCGCAACCGAGACTCCCACGAGACCCTTGACGAGACTACCCAATCCCTTCGCCGCACCCAGCAAGACACTCCCGTCCTGACTCTCGCTCAGGTCCATGTCTTCCCCATCTGGCCCATCTTCCGAACCATTCCCCTCGCTATAGTCGTCCTCGGCATCCTCGCTAACCTCGCTAGCCCCTCGCCTCCCACCGAAGTGGACTGGCTCCTGCTCTACCATCGGCGAAGGCGGGATAGCGATCTTGGACGGAGTGAGGTCCCGCATATCCGCCAAGAGGCTCTTCTTAAGCGCCGGTTCCGGAGTAGCCGTAGCCCCAGTAGAGGCCGGGGACGCCGGGCTCGCCGGGTCGAGGGTGATGGCCGAGGGCTTCTTGGGCGAGGGGGTCTCGGGCGCAGTGTAGGTCGATCCGCGGGCATGGCTCTCGGTAGCGGAAACGAGGGTAGGATGGACCTCGGAGACAGCGGCGGCAGGGAGGACCTTGGGAAGGGTCGCGGAGGTCGGGGCGGGAGTGGTGGCGGCGGCTTTCTTGGCGGCAGCGAGCTGTGCTTGGAGCTGCTCTACCCAGCTATACATGTCAGCTATATCCCTTCTGGCCGGTTAGGATTTCGAAGAGAAGGTGATGAGGAGCTCACTGTTCCAACTGCTCGACTTCCTTCTCGTGCTCCTCCTCGGCCTTCTTCAGCTGCTCCTCCACCTCCGCTTTGGGCACCATACCGCCCATCTTACTTTCGGCGAGCTTCAATTCCACTTCCCGATCCTGTCTTGTCAGATCTGCCCATTGATAGTCATCATCGAGAAGAAATCAACTCACCTTCAACCCCTTTCTAAGTCCCTCCATATCTTCTGTCATCTTCACCTTCTCCGCCTGGGCCTTCTCCTCCCTCATCATATCCTCCTCCATCCTCGCCTCGGCCGCCCGGTTGAGCTCCGTCGTATGTTGTCCCTGAAGCTCCTCAAGCGACAGCTGGAAGTGCGACTTGTTCATCTCTAACACCTGCTTAATCAGCTCATGTCCGCTTGCAGTGCGAGCTGTTTTCCGCGATCGTGAACTGACCTCTTGCGTCCCCTCCAGCTCATCCCGGACCCCCGCCAACTCCTTCAAAGCATCCTTCAATTTCCCCTCCAGCTCCGCATCCCCTTTACTCACGCTCTCCGCCTTCTTTCGCGCGCCGTCCAGCTCCTTCTTCAAACCCTCAATCTCAGCCTGCATCTGCCCCATTTCCTCCTCCATCTTGGCTTCCGCCCCATTCTTCTGCTTGAGCTCCACCTCGGCTTCGTGCAAGAGCACCTTGAGCTCGCCGACTGCGTTCGAGTGCTCAGCTATGAGCTGCGACATGTGGGCCGCGTGGTTGGCCGCGGTGGACTTTAGCTCGGCTTCCTGTGCGGCCGTGAGCTGGGTGTGGGTATCTGCGAGCTGGGACCGGATGGCCGAGAGCTCGTTGGCGTGGTGTGCGTTCGCCTTGGCCTAGATGCGTCAGCTAAGAGACACATCCCGAGGTAACCATGGAGAGGCTAGCTGACCTTGGCGTCCTCCAGAAGCGCATCATACTTCTCCTTGAACTCCCCCTCCTTCGCTTTGATATCATTCTCGAGCTCCCTGACCGTCTACAGATATCAGCTCTACTCTCGTACCACACCCGTCAAATGGCCCGTCGACTGACCTGCTTCATCTTCTCACTCTCCTCCCGCGCGAACACCCGCTCAGCCTCCAGCCCATCCATTTTGGCAGCCATCGTCCTCTCCCTCTTCTCCACCTCCTTCAGCTCCTCCCCCGCAGTGGTAATCTTGCCCTCTGCGACCTCCAGAGCAGACTCCAACTCCTCGATCCGAGCCGTACTGTCCAAGACCGTCTGCGAGAGCTTCTGGTTCTCCGCTTCCGCCTCTTCCAGCTCGGACTTGAGGCGCTGGATATCGGATTCCTGGGCGGCGTGCGTGGTTGTGAGGGCTTCGATACGGTTAGAGAGGGTGTCGCGCTCGCCCGAGAGAATCTAGCCTGTCAGCTGATGTGACCTAGACATGAGGGGCATCTGACAGCTGACCTTGTACTTGTGTCGATACTCTTCTATTCCGGCGGTACTCTTCGCCAGCGTAGATTCCAACTCTCGAGCCTTGCTCTTCGACCCGGCAAGATCGCGCTCGTGAGCCTAACAAGTCAGCTCACCGATTCCCTGATCAGCGAGTCGAGTCGACACAGCGTACCTCGTCCTTGCCACTCAGCTCATTCATCAACCCCTCGACCTCCTTCTCCTTCTCCGCAACCTTCGCCTTCAGACCCTTCATCTCCGACTCTAGCTGCTCCACCTTCCCCTGAGTCTTCTCCGTATCAAGCATAGACCGCTCTGCCTCTTCTTCCCCCTCTTTGATCTCCCTCTCCAATGTTTCTCGCTCCTTCTCCACCTCGCCCAACTTCGCCTGTATGCCCGCGAGCGAGATAGCATGCGCCTCGCGCTCAGCTGTATACTCGGCGATCTGGCGCTGGAGAATTCCGACCTGTTCTTGCGCTTCAAGGTGGGCTGTGTTGGATGCGTGGAGCTGGTCTTGGGCGGCTTGGAGCTGTTGAAGCGCGTCGGCGTGCTGACGGGAAACGGACTGCACAGCAGCAGTGAGTCTGAGCTGCTTAGCTGATACACGGCCAGCAGTACAGCAGATGCCAAGGCTCACTCGGCGATTTGTTGCTCTACCTGCTTGGCCTGAGCTTCGCGCTTTTCGTCCGACGCCGCCAATTCCTTCGCGTGCAACTCTTTCAGCTCAGCGATCTGAACGTCAGCTTGACTGCTCAGCCGACATGGAAGGTGTTGACAAGCTCACCTTGGCTTCTTGCTCCGCGATATTCTGGTCCGTAGTTCTAGCATGCTGATCTTGCAGTTCGTGAAGCGCTTGAGCGTGACTGTGGTGATGAGCTCTGTTCCAATTCGGCTTGAAACAACCCAGCTCACCTCTTTTCAAGCTCAGCCCTTTGGCGCTCATGATGCCCATCCTGACCCTCCGCACTAGCCTTTGCCTCTGAAAGAGCAGTCTCCAACTCGCCAACCTTGATCTGTAATATCAGTTGATGCTCGCGCGGTGTGAGATCCGCTAATTGACCTTGAGAACCTCCACCTCTTTCTCCGCAGCCTCCTTCTCCTCTTTGGCCTTCCCTAGCGCCTCGGTCTGACCCGCGGTTGAAAGTTGCCGAGAAGCAGGCTTGGTGCTCGTGGAGGAAGCGAGGCTTGTCCGGCCGGGCGCTGCCGCCCGGGGAGCTACAGTAGTCCGAGCGGGAACGACCGACGCCTTTGCTCGTACTGGAGCAGTGGTAGTCGTTGCACCGCCTGCAGCTGTAGCAGTGGCCGTCGAGGCTGAGCTACCGGTCGGACTGGCAGTGTCCCGAGTAGCGGCCTTCGCCGACGTAGAGGCCGGAAGAGAAGGCTTGGCCGTACGAGCCGCAGCACCTCCAGCCGTCTTTGTCCCAGCCAATGTGGTCCGGACGTGGGCTGTCCCCGCCTTGGCGGACTCGGTAGGCTTGACAGTCTCGGCCGAAGCGGGCTTGGTGAGCGTCGAGACCCGCGCGCGGACCCCTGGAACGGCCGGCTTGGTTGCGGGAGTAGTTCCGTTTGACGTGGTACGAGCACTAGCCGGTGTAGTCGTGCTGGAAGAGGGAGCCTTGGAGGTGCTGGAGCCGAGAGGAGCAGAGGGAACCGGCTTCCTCGTGGGAGGTGCGTGCGAGACGCGAGGTTGGGTGGTACGTGCAGGGATAGGAGGTTTGGGTGAAGCCGCTTTGGGCGAGTGACCTATATTGTCAGCTGTGGTCTCACGATAAGTCTATACGGAAAGCGATTCGGACCGGAGCAGCTTACCAAACATCCCAGTCTTCAATACCCGCTTCACCTCCCCGACCTTGCCCTTGAACCCCCCGTGCTCCTTCTCTGCCTTGTCATCCTTCTTCGGCCCCGCCTTGGTCCCCTTGAGCTTCGGCGGAGACTGGAGAGGCACCTCCACCTTCTCCCAGTCCGAGTTACTCTCGCTGAGTGTCTCGTGTGGCTCTGCAGCGGGAGCGTCCGTAAGGGGTGCCGGAGGAGAGGAGGTAGGAGCGTCCTTTGGAGGTGGGATAGGCGAAGAGGGGCGAGAGAGCCTCATGTTGGCAGTCTTGACGGGGTCTATGGGCGGAGCAGGGAGGATAGGAGCAGATACTGGAGGAGGTAAAGAGGAAGAGGAAGCCTCCGCCATGTTGACACTGATAGAGGGGGTTGAATGGGCGAGTGAAGGGGTCCGTGCGAAGTGGTCGAGCTGGGATGGGACGATGTCCGGAGTCGCTGCAGTCTAGCGAGTAGTCGGCATGAAAGCTCTGTATGATCTCCAGCTTCCTTATGAGTGCAAGAAAGCGCTATAGAAGCTGTTGTTGGTGTGAGTGTGAATGGGAGAAGGGGCAATCCGCGTCTTGAGTGATTTTGACTTTGGGTGCCTGACTTCGGATTCTGAAACACGCTTACGTACAGATGTTTTGCTTCCGCCGAGTGTGGCGTTTCACCTTGCGATATGGGAATGCCGGAGAGGGCTGGCTATTGTTGGATACGTGGGGAGTGGACGTCGGGATGTACACCACCAGGCATCTGCGCTCTTGCGCTCACGATTCACCCCCCTCCACTAATATCTCCACCGACGTCGACACTGCCCTGTTGGCACAGGCTCTCGGCCGCTGCCTCGGCCGAACGGATCTTGCAATCCTGAGCAGCTCCGCCAACTACTCACCGCTTGCAGGGTCGAAAATGATGTGCAATCCTCGGACAATACTACTGTGGTCTCAACGGTATAGCGAGCCAGATGGATTAGTGACCTGGGTTTGTGCTCAGTGGCACCACGTGGACAGCGCCGCTCGAGGCTCCTTGGAGTTTCGCCACATTCGATCCTTTCTCACACCTTCCCTTCAACCTCCTCCCTGTGCCTGAACTGCTCCAGCTCAGTGATCTCCTGGAACAGAATTCCCTCCTGTTTTGTTCTTCCCACTCATCAGACCAATTTCAACCGACCTACCCTTACAACACAAATCTGTCAACTCATACCCGGTCCACTCTTTCCAAGATGCCCGCTCGCTACCTGATCGACAACGCCAACGCTCTTGCGCTGCAGCTCTTACCAAACCAGGTCCCCCTGGTCCGCCTGCAGAAAGAGGACGACCGCGAAGTTATCCTCCACCAGACTGTGCTCTGCGGGACGGGCAACTTCACTGGATGCATCAACACGAACAACCATCAATCCACTTTGGGCACTACCGATGTAGACTATCGACTGGCTAAACGCCTGAATGAACTGGCGGGAGACCACAGCAGGCTTGCGACCTACAACAGCCCCTCTACGGTCTCCATTGCCGGTGGTCAGCTCCTGAATGATCCGGACGCAACAGGATGGAGGGGTGCCTACCCGTGCACACTGAAGCGATACACCAATGCCTACACTTCTGGCAATGCGCGGCTGGTACAGGGACCGCAGGTTCATGGATCTGTGGACGGTCTGACCGATGAGGTGCTGGCGTACAGGGGCGACAAGAGGATTGCTGGGCAGGGGAGCACTGAGCTGCAGCGTCGGGGAGTCGATTTGAGGGCCGCACTCGTCCTTCAGAACGATGGGGTATGGCGTCAGAGCTTCGTGAGGGGCTTTTCAACGGCTTCGAATGAGGACTGCGAGACCGCCGATCGCTTGGCTGCGGAATGGCTGGAGTCGATCAAAGCCGAGGAAGACACGCATGACTTCACTCACAGTACCGTGGGAGCTGTCCACCAAGCCCTTTACGGTCGTCTGGGCAAGATGACCGAGTCGATGGAGTCTTATATCCAATCTGCCGAGACCGATGAGAGCAGGGGAAAGAGCTGGCGTAGCTGGATCAAGGTGTGAGGGGCGTCATGAGCCTACTGGGGTTTCGCGAGGGTAGGGCCATGCTTTGAACGTACCTAGTCTATCGAACCGGGCAGCAGTGTGAGTACGTGTTAATCAGAGTATGTATCCAGTTCCATACCCCTGCCCTTCGTAGCAGCTTTTCCATAGTTTCCATGTGGTTCATCAGTAAATGTGTCAGTGCCGCCGTTGTGCATACTAGCATATCACGCTGAATCTACAGGATTCCAACTACACGCCCCCCTGGCCCCCTCATCCAGCCCATCCAAAGCCTCCATATCCTCCTTATCCAGCTCAAAGTCATACACGTCCGCATTACTCTGTATTCTCGCCGGCGTAACGCTCTTCGGCAATGGCGCAAATCTACGCATCAGCCACATCCCCCCTTCCTCGCCTCTCAGCCTGTCTCCCGCCCGAGAAGGTGACTCACCCTTTCTGCAGACTCCACCGTATCAGTACCTGACCCGGCCCCTTCCCCGTCTTCTCGCATATCCTCTTCAAGACCGGATCATCAAACCGCTTCGCATCTGCCCGTACGAGCGGGCAATACGCCTGAACGGCGATCCCGTATTTGTCGCAATAGTCGACTATATCCCGCTGTTGACACCAAGGATGAAGCTCAATCTGGTTCACCGCCGGTCGAGGTTCTGGGAGCGCTTCGAGGTGCTTTACCCCACTATCTCATCAGCTGAATCCTACACTCCTGTGCGATGATAAGCTCACAAATTAGATACCCCAATATCCCTCGCCCAACCCTCCTTCTGCGCCTTTGCTAAAGCCGCCCAATTCTGTGCTCTGCCCTCCGGACCTCCAAATGGCGCATGTATGAGAAACAGATCCACATACTCCGCCTTCGGCTCATCGGGCCGGACGTATGGGTTGTTCCCGGTATAGCTGCTCCCTGCGACTTTGTGTAGTGGTTTGAGCGATTTGCGGAGGACCGAGTAGACTTCTTCGGTCGAGTGAGGAGTGTGAGAGGGCATGTACTTGGTAGTTATAAAGAGAGAGGAACGGGGGGTGGAGGTGGAGGAGATGGCTTTGCCGACGACTACTGCGTCAGCTGGGCGTCCGATCGAGCCACAGGTCTGGCTTACTATCTTCATTCCGGTATCCTTGGGCGGTATCGACTGATGTGTCAGCTTGAGAGGGGAGACCATGTATTCCTAGCTGACGCACTGTGCTTATACCCTGCTTCTACCGCACATCGGACCGCATCATAGCACTCATCCCCTCGGGACTGATACACCCCGAGACCGAGCCGCGGTAGGCTCCCATTCTTGAGCTTGATGGTGCTATTGATCGCGAGAGACATGATGGAACGCATGGAGCTTGTTAGTGCTGATCGTGAGTATGGCCGGACTGTCTTATTGGGGTACGGATGCTTCAGCTCACAGCGGCTGAAGCAGGTCCGGACCTCGGGCATCGGGCATTCCTCATGCCGGAGTTCGGGGCTGACTCCGTGAAGCACCGTCCGTGCGTCAGCGCTCGCTTGGGTGGTGGGTGGGTGAAAGGAACGAGGAGGTAAGACATCCACACCTGCAGCATACATCTATAGCACAAGTAAAGAGAGGATACGAGCAGCGGTCGCTGTCTATCAGATCAATGAACTAGCCTGGCTCGCTAGCGATCGAGCAGAAATGCCCTCGGCCGAATCATCCACCTCCGCCACCCAGACCCCCGCTGGGTCCACCCGGCGCCATCCCCTTCTGCCCGCCTCATTCTCCCTTCGCCGACCTCCTACTGTCCGTAAAGCCTCCAATCCTAAGCTTTCTGTCATCTTTGCCGATCCGTCCCTCTCGCATGGCGCAACTCCCTCTCGGCCAGGTACGCTCGCTAGCGAGGATGCCCTCGCCCGGCAAATGAATGCCGGTGGGCAGGACATGGGGTTGAGAAGCCGGAGAAGCAGCTCGGCGACGATACGGACGATGCGGAATGGGAGTGGAGTGACTAGTCCTGGAATCGAGGAGGAGGTGAATGAGGCGGGTCCGTCGACGCCGAGGGACAAGGTGGAGGAGGGGAATATGGTGATGATGGGATCATCAGCCCCGGATCCAATTGCCGGAGTCATGGAGCAGGGATCAGTAGGGGAAGGGATGGCGGCGAGACGGCTGAATCCTAAGCAGTCCAGCTCGTGGCTGAGGTGGAATGCTCCCAGTGGGTTTCCGAGGTCACGGGCACCTTCTGTCGCGGGGTCGATGGTGGACAAAGAGAAGGGGAAGGCGAGGGACGATGAGGCGAGAGATGCTGCGGTCGGAGTATCTTCAAGCTTTGATGAGGCATCGGCGCCAACAATGGATACATCGGGACCTTTTGGTCCTTCAGCGCCCATCGCACCGGTCGTCGAATCACCAACCGACCTTATCCCACCCGACCCGCCATCAGCCCAACCTCCGGAACCGTTCATCCCAGCAGCGACCATATCAAGGCGGACAAATCGGCGGAACTGGTGGAGTCGGACCGCCTCTCCTGCCCCTTCTATACGGAACGGTCAAGGGAGCGAGGCAAAGGCGGCATCGCTTGAAGTCACGGCGGAGAATGGCGGTGAGGCACCCTCGGACCCCGTACCGGCGCCAGCTCCGTCGCTCCCAACGGCTGATGACGTATCTACACCTCTTCTCTCGTCTGATCCGACATCGGTCTCGGTTCCTCCTCCTTCCGTACCCGTACCACCATCTCCCGCTCGGGCGGCCGACTCGCAAACAGCTTCCATACCGGCGTCACTGCCCGTCCCAGGCGGCTGGCGGTCATACATCTGGGGCAACCCCTCCGCCCCTCCACTCCCTCCGGGCGAATCGACCTCTGATGACAATACCGTCCCTCTCGTCCCAGACGCGCCTGGCGAGGTCGCCGCTGCGTCCGCTAGCGATGCTCATGATCTCCCTCATACCAGCGCTGGGGCAGACACGGATAGCGCAACCCGCGCCGAGGCTACGGCGGCATCAGCTCCACCTGCCGCAGTCGCAGTCAAACTCGCTGACTCAGCGCCGTCATCCACCGACAATCCATCACCACCAACAGCTCCAGGATCAGGCTGGGGAACAATCCTCTTCTCCCTCGTCGCTCCCCAAATCGCCGTCTCTCGGTCACTGGACTCCGCAACGCCGTCACATCCCGGTACATACCCCTCTGACCCTCCCGCGGTCCCATCTGCCACCGAGATAGCCGTCAGCCCAACAGAGGATCAACGGCCAGAACCAACCTCCTCGAGTCCCTCTGCTCCGCCCAACCCCTCCATCCCAGGTCTTCCCAATCCCTCGCCATTATCAACTCACTCCGACACCCTCTCCACACCGGACCTCGTCCCTTCATCGGAAGCTATGGCTCGGAAAGCCTCTTCTTCTTCAACAACGGGATGGCTTAGCTATCTCGCGTACCGCTCCACTCAGAAACGAGTGACGGATGGGTCGGTGCGGTCAGGCCAGACGGGGGCGGGGCGGAACAGCAGCGAGCTGGGGGAAGAGGAGGTGATGGATCTATCGGCGGATCCAGAGTTTCCAGCTGCGGATCTGTCTTCCGGTCAAGCAGGAGCAGGGATCGGGGCGACGAAGACGGGCGCAGGCGACAAGGACAAGGACAAGGACAAGATGCCACCTCCCAAGACTATCCCCAACAAAGCGTCTTCGGCCGCCCTTACCGTCCGCGGGAAACGCCTATCGAACTCATCCATCCGCCCCACTGGTACTCTTACTCCTCTCTCCTCATCGCCCAAAACGGCCGGACCAGGGATACCCGATCCGAAAGGCGCACCCACCTCCTCCCCTCGACCAGCTAGCGTCAAGTCTTCCGCTCTTCCCACTCCGTTATCTATTCCAGCGCAACAACCGAATCTCGTCATTCCTACATTTACAACGACGTTTGATAGGCCGCCGAGATCGTTCTTACCCCTACAGTCACCGGCACAGGAGGGCCCGGCGGCGGGTACGACGTCGGCGCTGGCTTGGCGGGCATTATCGGTTGCGGGGAGTTACGTGTATGCCGGGGATAAGAGCAAGGGGAAAGAAAAGGCGGTGGAAGTGGAGGATGAGAGCAAAAAGGAGACGAGAGGTTTGAAGGAGGGGAGAAGTGTCGGTGGGGATTTACCGAGACGGATTGGACTTGGAGGTGGGGATGCAGATGAGGGTTGGCGGAACGTCAGAAGAGTGGTTGTTGTCGGTGTACATGGCTGGTGAGTTGTTCCTGCCTGATCGATCCGGGTCCAGCTGATGAGATAGGTTTCCTGCTAAGATGCTCAATTCGTCAGTGTCCAATATCGGCGCGGTAGTGCTATGGCTGATGTACCAGTGTGATTGGCGAACCTACCGGAACATCACAGAAGTTCGCCAATATGATGGGCGCGGCGGTCAAGCAGTTCTTTACGGAGCAGGGGATCGAGGATGAGATCCGGTTGACGTTGATGCCGCTGGAAGGCGAGGGTACTATTGATTCGCGGGTTGATCGGTGAGCTTGCTCGAGCTTTCCTTTCTGTCTGATCTGGAATCCTAAGCTGACCTTCGAGCCTGTACAAAGCCTACCTCTCCAATCCCGCCTGGATCAACGACCTCCGCCGTGCCGACGCCATCTTCTTCGCAGCCCACTCCCAAGGCTGCATCGTCACCACCCACCTCCTCTCGCGCATGATCGCCCAAGGCCACATCCGGACACCCCTCAACGCCGACGCCGTAGGTCGGTGCGAATGGGCATTCGGACCCGTCGGTCTCGTACCCCCCGAATCGGCCCGGCGTCGATCTCCCCTCTCCCCCCTCTCTTCTTCCGCCTCCAAGACGAGTCCACCCGGCAGCGAAGGCGGATTCCAGAAGGTCTGCATGTTGGCGATGTGCGGCGTCCATCTCGGCCCGCTGTATAGCATCTCGACGAGCAATGTGATTCAGCCATACCTCCAGTGGTTTGAGAATGCGGCGGCGAGGGAGCTGTTTGAGTTCCAGGAGAGCACGAGTGGCGTGAGCGTGGCGTATCAGAAGGCATTGGGGATGGTTTTGGAGAATGGGGTGAAGGTGGTGTTGCTGGCTAGTCTGAACGACCAAGTTGTGAGTTGCGCTTGCCTTGGTGATGAGGGGTCAAGGGGGAAATCTTGTAAAGGCAGCAGCTGATGAGCAGGTACCCATATATGGCGCCTCATTCTCCACCGCCACACACCCACTCCTCCTCCGCGCCCTCTTTGTCGACGGGGCAAGCTACTCCCAGACCGACTTTATGACCAACCTCCTTGCTTTTGCTTTCATGCTCCGGAATGCAGGGCTGGACGACCAGCGCCTCATCGAACATCTCAGCGAAGCTACTGCTGGGAGTCTGACGGGTAAGTCCAGCTGACCCATCATCCCCGCTTACGTATGCGGGAATCAGCGATACAGCTGACGATCAGGTGTGGGCCATTCATCGCCATACGAAGAACCTCAATGTTACGCCCTCGCAGTCAAATACCTCTTCCTATCCGGTCCGTCACAACCTGTCCACCATATATCACCTGCAACCTCGCCCTCCTCGCCCACCTCCCCGACGTCATCCCCCTTACAAGCCCTACGTATCGAGCCCTTCTCCGCCCGAGATACTCGGAACGAATACGAACTCCCCTGGATTATGCGCGCGCTGGTGGACAGTCCGGAAGTGAAGGATCTGTTCCCGGGGGAGTTGAAGGAGTTGAAGGAGGGAGTGGGGGCTTGGAGGCCGGTCACAAAGGTATTGAAGGAGGTCAAAAAGCGGGTGAGTCTAGTTTCTGCTTTCTAGGATCGGAGGGTTCGGGAGACGCAATAGGGGTGGGATACAGCCGGAATGGTCTAGGCGGATCTGGAAGCTTCAGGCTGGAGAGCTGGGCAAAGGGAAGGGAACAACGCTGATAGTATAGCTCGAACCAATGGCGGGACGACAGTCGAAGTTGAGACCAATCCCGAACTCGCCGTCGTCGGCGTCGCTGAGTACGCTCGCAAGTGTTGGAAGTACGGGGAAAGAAGGTCAGTGTCGTGAAGAACATCGACTGCAGTGGGTCGAGCTGACTCTCTCAGCTGTATCGGGGATTGGCTTAAAGCGTGACTGGTAGACATACGGATTTTGGTCCATGGTAGAGTTGTATATTTGCTGTACCACGGCCGCTGTCGAATTCGGACGTTAGCGTTACTAATACCTGCTGATGCCAGACTATACTGATGTTGAACCTAGAACGCACATCGTCGGCCGTTACAGACTACAGCTATTGCCCGACCGACACTTGTGGCGTCATTGATGGGTGCTGCTTCATGAGGAATCAGTGACGGGCTTCCAATCATCGGCTGATTCAGGGTCCTCTCTCACCAGTCCGGCAAAATGCAAGCTTAGGTTCACAGCAAAACAGATGCATATTCACAATATCAGATCCAGGCATACGAAGAAGCAGCAAGTCCAATCAGCTATGCACAGAACAAGAACGATAATCTATTGAGCCAGACACAGAGACACACACCCAAGTTCGAAGCCGAGACCCCATCAAGACCTTGCCCTCTCGGCCATCCGATCCTGCAGAAGCAGAAGCTTTCCCGTCATGCTGGCGACACGCCATGAATACGAGTCGTAGTCTTCCTTGATGAGGTACAGGATGGACTCGCCGTCCCCTTTGCCTCCCGAGGGGTCGGCAATGTTGGCGCCGTCCACGGTAGCCGTTGCGAGACTTGGGGTCTGATGAGCGTCGAGATCAGTGACGCCCCTCGCTTTGACCATTGCCACGTAACTGCGCAGCCCAGCCATGGTGCTGTGTACGTCAGCTCACACCGAAGCTGCGTACTCAACAGTCCGGAATAACATCACCTTCGCAGGTGCAACATGACCTGTTGGTCTTGCACGGCGCTGGCGATCACTGCGAGAGCTGCCTTGCCCCCTTGGAATTGCCTGCAGCAGTTGTCATCGCGTTGCCCAGTGCCAAATCTGGCGTGAACGCCCCGCCTGATCTCCCCTGAAGAGCCTTGAGAGCTTCACAGGCGGTCTCCAATGCTCTCGCGCTCACAGTGTCAGTCGAGGCCACCTCGCTCAAGTACAGGGAATACAAGCTCATAGAGTCTCGGCCTCATTGATGCTCATGCCGATCACATTTGCCGTGGTCAGCGCCCGAAGCTCTGTGTTCTCTTTGAATCGTCTATCGCGTCAGCACGACGTCCAGCCAGGAAGCCCACCTGAAAGTCATGTCCGACTCGCCACTGGCCGCACTCAACGAGAGAGACACTTTGTCGTCGCCGAATTGCACGTGGCCGAAGTCTTCCTTGTCATCATCACGCTCAATCTTCTCGTCGCTGAGCCTCCAGAACGACTGGCCGATCTGAGCCTGGATTGTCTGGAACAAGTCAAAAGCTGGCCCGGCGTTCATGTGGTCTGCCAAGTAAGCGCGACTCGACGCTTTCCTCACGGATCTAACAACCAACTAACAGGCTTTTAGGTCTCCCCAGATCTCCTTTGCCCGCTTCGAAGACGCATCCTGAGTGTCTGCCCAAATTCTCTTCGCCCGCTGCTCTGCTGCCATCTGAAGAGGGCTCTTTGAAGGCGTACTTGCGTGCCGCTGCTGTTGACGGGAGCCGGTGGGAGACCTTGGGACGGTACCTGAACTGGATCGCCTGTTAGACTCTCGAACAGCTGTTCGTAGCCTGTGGCGTCAGTCTAGCTTTGGGGCCTGCAGTACTCGCCGGCAATCTCGACTAGACAGAGTCCGATGATTCCAGAATGGGCATACGACTGACCTGTCTCCTCTCTGGTGTCACTGTTGTTGCTGCTGGTACCAATACCATTCCAACCATGGGCATTGCTGTTGCTTTGGCTGTTCCGCAGGGCACCTGACTGTGTCGGATAGAACCGGCTGAGGTCGGCGTCGGGGGGGATTGTAACCCCCGCAAGGACCTTGTCGTCCAGCCAGACTTTCCCAGCTTTGATCTCCACCTTGTGACTCGGACCTCGTGCCCAGCATTTGCCGCCGATGTATGTTCCCATCCCGTCCATTCGGAGAGAGCCACAAGGGGCCGTGGGCGACTCAATCCTCGGCGACATCCACGTGTTGCGGCAATTGTCAATGTAGGTCTCTGCAAGCCCTCTTTCAGCTTGTAAGCCAAGAAGAGGGGGAGTGAAAGACTCACTGTGACCCACTCCTGTCGTGGTCTCGTTGATGAAGAAATTGCCTGACATACTCGAGTAGTGTGAGTTCTGCGTGAAGTTCTGCGCGAATTCTGCTTGTCAAGTGGTGGGTGGCAAAAGTGTAACAACGCTGTGACTGTGACGGGCGTTGCGAGCCTTTTATGGCCCTGCGACGTGCAATGCCACCCTTGTAGATCCTTGTAGGTCGTATGGGTGTAAGGATCGCCGGAGAGCACGTGAAGCAGCAACGATCACGCCATCACGCCTTCTCGTGGGCTCACAATGAAAGGGAGTCACTGACTCACTCCTGAGTGAGCACCGTATTTCAATCGTGGGCTGTACAAATCACCAACGGCCAGATCGTCGAAGGGCTTATAAAAGGATACCCAGCGGGCTTTTGGCGATGGTGAAGCGTCTATCAGAAGCAGATATCCCCCTGATACTCGTGAGTCTCATTGCCCCTCTGCCATGAAGGGTCGTGCGTGCGCTGCGCAGGGGAAGTAGGAAATGCTCGATTGGGACCCCTTGGAGCATGACTTGAAAGGATCTCAACCAAGTGATCGTGCAAGAGGTCTGTTAGTCGGGCTTGGTGGGTTACGGATCAAGGGAACGGCGAGATCTGTAGTTTTGCGATGGCGTGATCCAGCGTGCACGCCGATGCCCGAACGCAAGTTCACGTCAAAGGGCAGCTTGCAGATGGACCATGGGAGCGCCGATCGAGTATTTTTTGGGGGTCTACAGCCCCTTGTCTACTGTCCCCGCTCCCCATAAACAAAAAAAAGCGGACGAGCCTTTCCCCGATACCGGTAGGGGAAAGTAAGTACGGGTCATGGATTATGAGTGTGAGTATCCAATACTCTGTGCATACTTCACCTATGACTGCTGACCCAAGTCACTGCCTCGCCAAACGATGAGCAGACCTGTTATGTCCCGAGCGAGTATACGATATACAACTGGCATATCAGCCCTGCCCACGACCTTGCAGCATCAGCTGAGAATTTGGAACTCACCACCCAAGCCACCACAATCATACAACCCAGCTGCACGCCCACAATCCCCAAAACCCTCTTGGACACCTTCCACCCCTCCAGCTCCGGCGTCTCTCGCCTCATCCGCAGCCTGACCTGCTCGGGCTTGCGTAGAGAGTGGTTGAGCCATCGACCGTCGAGGATGTCATATACGGGTCCCCAAAGGACTTCGACAGATTTGATGGCAATGAGGAGGTAGAAGACGCGGTCGTATGTCTGGCCAGGGGTGCGGTCTTGCTGTAGGAGTCAACTGGGTCCCAAGCACGGAGAGCTTGATGAGAGGTAGAGAGAGGATGTGAGGTAAGAGCGCAGATGTATGGGAGCAGCGATGAGCGGAGAAGGGGAAAGAAACGCACGATAGCTCCAGCGGCAACTTCGAGAATAGTAGTATTGCAGTTTTGCTGTACAGTCAGCTCTGGCCTGAGTTGAGCACCCATAAGGACTCACGAAAGCCTTCCAGATCCCGAACGCCGTCCCAAGATATCGGTCATCCCCCACCAGCACCGGTATAGCCGCGATGAACGTCAAAGCATTACTCGTGAGGGCAAACGAGCTGACCATGATCGGCGCGAGAGGGTGGACCTTGGTGAAAGCAATGAGGACGAAGACGACGATATACAGCGCAGCGGTGCCCGACACAAAAGCCATTCGCCAGCCGTACCTGTCGAAGAAGGCGCCGACGAGCGGTGTGAGCAGGATGGGGATGACGCCCTGGATGGACGAGTTGTAGCCTGCAGCGAGGGTGGAGGTGCCGCGGGTGACGGTCTGGACGTCGGCAAGGTTGGAGGAGTAGACCGAGACAGCGGCGTTCTGAAAGAGCTCTGCCATATCAGCTATACCCCGCTTAAAAGATCAGAACCTAGACTCACGTGTACCGCACAAGATCCAGAAGAATTTGGGCAACTTGGTCAAGTATCCCGCGACGAACCGCCTCCTGTCCCAACCTTCCTTCTTGCGGGCCTCCCGCCCCAGCCTCGGTCGGTACTCGGCCGGTACCCTCCGCTCGAACGCCCAGTACGCGATGCACAGCGCCAGATTGGCTGCGCATGCCATGGTCGGGATCCAGAGTGCCCAACCCCAGAATCCGTTGATCTGGGACATGGGCACCGCGGCGGCGCGGGAGAAGATAGTGGTGACTCGGTTCCAGGCGATATCGAGAGCGAAAATAAAGGCGATGTAGGAGCCGGAGAACCAATGCGCAAAGAGCTTGTTCTGGGTTCCTTCGATGACTAAAGGTCAGCCAAGGCATAGAATAGAAGGGGATGAGGACATACCGGTAGATCCGAGTCCGGCGATAACGCGTCCAGCGATGAGTAGCTGATAGTGCCCGGTATGCGCGGACTGTTTTGGTCAGCTACAGTCTCGAGAGGCAATGTCGAGTATGCGGTAGACGTACCGAGGATGCAATGACGTTGCCGATCAGGATGAACACGCTCGAAAGCATGGCAGCACTGAGTCGTCAGCGCACTCTCCGCAATCATGGCAACCGGGATGACCCACTAAGTAGCACCCCAATAATCGATACCAATCCCGCCGATGATGGGTAGGATCGTATTGATGAGGTTATCCGCAGACGCTATAGCGCCATACTGCGCATCTGTAATGTCAGCGCGGGGAATCCCTATGCCTGAACTACTGACACGATACATACTGTTGATCTTGAGCTGCTTGACTAGCGTGCTCTTGAGCGGCCCCAGGGTACCCTCGGCGAATCCGCTTCCAGTCGCAAAGAAGATGATCATGCTGAATGCTATCCAGCGGTATTTTTGCGGGATGTATGCCGAAGTTTCGGAAGACGTGTCGTCGTCATGTTCCGCCTTGGTATCATGGTCGACGTTCTGGGCGGGGGAGGCGAGCGCGCCTGTAAGAGTGAGAGCGGGTAGAGTAGATAGGTGGGCCTCGACCGGCGAGGAGTTCTTGTCGGAGACGTCGGACAGGCCTTCGAGGGCTTTGAAGTGGGTCGTCATCTTGGGCGGTTAGTTTCAAGTCCCAGATATAGATGCGGATGAGGTAGAGCAGTGAAGTGAGCTTACCTCTTTATCTGATAGCAAGCGAAAACTTGCTCGTCCGAAACCCGACCGAGCTGTACTTGGCTCCGGATGCCTCGAGCTGTTGATTCCGCGTTATGACCGCCCTCGCATGAAGTTCCGAGCCATTGCGTGTTCCAAGCGAGAGATGCGAAGAGGAGTTGAGTGTGAAAATTGCCTCAAGGGGGAGTTTCGCTTATCTGATAGAGTTCGGAGGCAAATAAGTTTCGGCCGAGCGGGCGACATGGTTTATCCGAGAATCAGCCTCTGAGGAATGCGGAGTGTGGCGGAGCGAGTATGGCAGCTCTCGTAGCGCGTACACCACAAGGCAAGGGAAGGGCCTGTACGGAGGATGGACACTCATGACTTCATGCTACTTCTACAAATGACGGACATAGATGATGATAATCATCACCGTATGGGTGCGTCAAAACAGCACTGTGAAACCCCGAAAGATGAGGGAAGAAACGCTGCTGCGGCCTGATCAGTTCACTTCGAACCTCTCAACCATTCCATCCAAGATGTCGACTTCTAGCTCTTGAACTTCTGTGTCGGTACTGGCGGTCTCTGAGAGGGCGCATCTTCTTCGTCAGTGTCCAGCACGTCGTCATCGTCGTCGAAGTCCTCGTAGGACCATCCGTCATCGTCGTCATCATCGCCATCATCCGCGTCGTGGACGTTCGTGCCAAAGTAATTGGTTTGGACCGATCTAAGCTCGTCAGATTTGACGCGCTCAGAGCTGCCATAGATGGTGGCTCTCATGGACAGATGACTTACCCGAAGGTGTGGGTAGGACCGCCCCTGGAGCCCTGTCCCCTCCGTCTGCCTGTTTGCCCGTTGTGGCCGTTGACACTTGCAGCTAGACTTGCCGCCCCTCTTGTCACCTTCCGCACACCATCCATGAGTTTTCGGAAATCTGCTCGCTGATCGGCAGTCATGGGCTGAGAAGCAGATCCTCCAGTCGTGGTATGTATGTTCCCGATCATGATCCCATTGTTGCCCGAAATGTTGGAAAAGTCGCTCCCTTCTTGGTAGACATGGCCGTGTTGAGCAGAGGTACTAAGCTCGTCAGCGAAGAACATACATGTAACAGCCCAGAGTTACCGAAATCGTGACTGACCCAGACGTGAAGGTGCGAGACTTCGTCGTCTTCCGATTCATACCTCCCCGGCGCCCGGCGCCCCATCCTCCAGTATTCATCCCTGGCCACGCCCCAGTCCCAAACCCGAAGCCCCCGCCCATCCGGCCTAAGCCGTCCCACAGATTCTGCATCCCTTCGTCGAACCTTGTCTGCTGCTCCGGATCTAGCGGGCTGCCTGGTGAATGATAATAGGAAGTACTGGTATCCCCAGAGCCCCCATCGCGGCGAGCGGAATGGTTTTCGGTAATGATCTTGACACCGTCCTGGACATTGTTGAGCCTTGACAATTTGAGGTCCTTGCCGTCGACGCTCACGCCGGTCTGGGTGACGGCGATGGAGAGAGAGTCTCCGGAGATCGCTTTCTTGTCGACTCCAGACCTGTAGGTGAGTCCCTCAGAATCGGTCTCGAACGTCGCAAACGGGGTCTCGATGGTGGCATCCACGAAGTCATCGTGGTGGTACCGGCCGTTGTAAAGTTTGATGTTGTGGACCATGGCTGTGAGGGCAGATCTGAGCGACTTTGCAGGTGTGTGATGAACTGGATAATCAGTGAGACTTTGGGGTACCCGGTGGGAAGTGTAAGTGGCAATGCCAGAGCGCAACACCAAGGAAGGCGTCCAGTGTGCTGGTATACACCACACCCAGAGGCTCAGCACGCCATTGAGAAAGGATCAGTCTGGGGCACATTCTAGAGCCGATCGTGAGTTCTAGCACTTACAGCGTGAAAGGACTGCATGTCAGACACGTATCAGCTTTACTCCTGGAAACGGGGTAGATCCAGGGAGGGCGGTACATCAGGGGATATGCTGTGCTTAACCTATGCAGGTAGCAGCGCAGAGAACGAGATTGCGTGCTCCAAGCAGCCTTTCCGCTCTGGTAAGCATGATCCAGGTGGTCGCTGGGGCGTCAGTATCCCCTTCCCGCCTGATGATAGAGCGGGCAAGCGAGGTAGTTCCAACAGCCGGAAGCGCATGAGTGATGAGCAGGATCAGCACAAGACCGTACTCCAGCGTCAGCCTCGTCCCCCCCGTTCACCCAAGTCCGGACGTGAGTACTCGCTGCCGCCAAATCTAAGAAGCCAGTAGCATCTGCCGAATGACTATTGCTATTCTTGCTTCGCACTCCTCGAAAGCTCTATCCCATCAGCTCCGTACCCAGCGAGCGAACATGGAACCTGACTTACTTCACGGCATACTCCAATTTCCGGCTGACCTCCTCGTCGCTGCGTATAGCTTCATCCAGCGCAGCACCGTCGTCCGCTAACCAGTCTGTATCGGGGATGGTGGCCACCGGCACTGATAACGGGTCAGCCATAAGGCCCTGAGCTAGCAGCATAGACAGTCGGAAGAGCTTACCTTTCTCTTTCCCCTTCCCCTTTGCCTTCTTACTCCCCATCTCATCATCCAGCTCCATTGGCTGCAGAATCGCTTCATGCTCGTCCAGAACCTCCGGCATAAAAGTCGCCTCGTTCTTCCCTCCCGCTAGCTCCTCCATCACCTTCCCTGACAGGCTGATATGGTCCACCCCCAGCGTGCTGACCGCCAGCGCCTCCCCAGGCGTCACTAGGTTCATGACCATCACTTCTGGCCGGTGTCCCTTGATCCCCTTGCCCGCTTTCTGCACCATACCCTCATACGCATCCACGATATCCCTTATCACGCCGGACATAGGATGTTCCATCCCCGGATCGTTGTACGCCCTCCATGTGCCAGGTTGGAAGAGCACCGCCATGTCGTTGAAGTAAGGCGCGACGTAAAGACATCCCGCTTGTTCCGCTGCAAGGGCTTGAGGGAGGGAGAAGACTGTGGTGGCGCAAGTCCGTATGCCTGACTTTTCGAGCTGAGCGGCAGCTACCATTCCAGCGCCAGTCGCTGGGATTTGAAGACATATGCGGCCGGGAGAGATACCGTCCCAGGCAAAGAGGCGTATGAGGCGATGGGCGTGGAGGATGGTAGATTCGACCGAGAGGGCGTGTCGAGGGGATACTTGAGCATGTACCCGCCCAGTCAGGTGGTCAAGTGTGAGTTTCGATATCGTCACAACCTGATGTCAGCACGGACCAGAGGGGTGCCGAGGCGTATGGCTCTAGACTCACCAGCATATCTATAGCCAGCTCTATGGTCTCATCCATGTCTCCCTCCGCCTCGGTTCTAGCTCTTGCAACAGCTCTTCGCACATCTTCTATATGCGTATCGCTCGCGATAAGAGCAGCTAGTACCGCCGGGTTGCTCGCTAGGCTTGTCAGCATTGGCACACATACGAGTCAGCGCGTACTCACTCATATCGCAGAACGGGCCATACTTTTCCGCTAGCTCTGGACTGAGCTGGTCAAGATTTGCCGAGAGCCTCGAGCGGAGGAGGGAGAGAGCGGACATAGCAGCTGTCGATGGGGACATGATGTACGTGTGATAGATGGCGAGCAGTAACCACCGCATCGAGGCGGGCGGGGGCTGGACAAGGTGGAGGGACGCAAGTTCCGTTGGAAGCCGGAAAGTAATTACGTAACCAGTTTCAAACTTTTTCTTTCGTCAAGAGCGGTGGTGGCCAGTGGTGGTGTGAACAGCCAGCCCTGCTCCTCATATGCGCATGCTTTGACTATCAGCTCTGTATAGAGTACAGCCGTCATGATACCTCGGGAGATGCAATGATGACTGCTTGGACACCAGCTCGGGTGGCCGAGGGAAAAGGAATGCGGAGCAGATCGTGCCTTGAACAGGGGTGGCCGAAGATCTGGTTTCATCTTTGCACGTCATCCTCCTTTCGTCTTGTCCCGTCTACTTTGGCCTGTATCATATCCGCACGTACAATTCTGCTCGGGACGCCGCTCAGTATCCAGCTGACGCCCTCCTCGTCCGTGCCAGGAATAGCTCCAACCCCGCTTTGTCCTGCGCAACCGACCCCTCAGCAGCTCGCCCGTCTCCGCGGTCCTTTGCCTATAAAGAAGCTATCCACTGGGGTCACCCTTGTCTTTGTCGATATCACTTGTCCAATTAATATTCACCATGTCGCCGCACCCGTCTACCACCAAGACGTACGCCTCGCGCGCCGAGCTCCACTCCAACCCCACAGCCAAGCGGCTCTTAGGGATCATGGAGCGAAAGCAGTCCAACCTTTGCGTGTCGGTGGATGTGACGACGGCGGAGGAGGTATTGGAGGTGGTCAGGAGGGTCGGAAAGAGCGTCTGCATGGTCAAGGTGAGTTGAGGCTCTCAGGAAAGGATAGCAGGCGGGATGGCGAGAGCGAGGGGAGGCCAGGACCTGGAACTCGAGCTGATCTTCCAGACCCATTGCGACATCATCTCGGACTTTTCAAAGGCGTTCGTGGACGAGATCACGAGGCTGTCGGATGAGATGGACTTTATTATCTTTGAGGACCGCAAGTTTGCGGATATCGGTGAGTACAGAGTGTCTCGCGCAGGTGGAGAAGCTCTGTTCACCACCCCCCTTTCACGGACCTCCCAATACACTCTAGCTTTCTCCTCGTTCACTCCTTCCCTCCCATCCTAGTCTAGCTGCCTCACCCTCCAGTGCTTAATATCTGTCTCGGACTTAGCTGACTCTCAGGCAATACCGTCACCCTCCAATACGCCTCCGGCAGCCACACCATCGCCTCCTGGTCCCACCTCACCAACGCCCACCCCCTCCCCGGACCAGGCATTATCTCCGGCCTCGCCTCCGTCGGTGTACCCCTCGGTCGCGCCCTCCTCCTCCTCGCCGAAATGTCAAGCAAGGACAACCTCGCGACCGGCCACTACACCCGCGAGGCCGTCCGTATGGCCCGCGAGGCCGGACCCGAGTTCGTCGTTGGCTTCATCGCCATGTCGCGCGTGGACCAAGAGGGAGCGAAGGAAGGGGAAGACTTCCTGGTCATGACACCTGGAGTGGGGCTGCACTCGGCGGGCGACAAGATGGGGCAGCAGTACAGGACCCCGAGGGAGGTGGTTTATGACTCGGGGTGCGATGTGATTATTGTTGGAAGGGGAATTTATGGGATTAAGGGCGGGGAGGAGAAGGTCAAGGAGGAGGCGGAGAGGTACAGGAAGGAGGGATGGGCGGCTTACGAGGAGCGATTGGGGAGGAAGTAGGCGGAGAGGGGAAGGAAGAGGAGGTGGAAAAGGGTCAAGAAGTGTCGCAAAATACCTATTTAGCTTACCGTCCGTGTCGTCTCAAAGCTGTCGTCCCCAGTATATACATGTGCTGCTCATAAAGCGTTCTCATCGATGTGCATAACAGTGGAACACGAGCATGTAGCGGACCACTAGCCTAGCCTAACGTCTTGGTGTCCAGACAATTGCACAACACCACTCAAGGTGATGCTTCTCTGCCCCTCAGTAGCCTTCGGCGCGTCATGTTGCTCAGTCTCCGCGCCCTCAGCCTTTCTTCTTCAGCTTCGTCCGTGAGTATCGGGGCCGTCCCGAAGCGAGGTCCTTTGCTGGGGCACAGAGAGATTGCCTGTGCGCGAGACATCTCACTACATTTCAGAGTGTCCAGCACCGACGCCGACCTCCTCTTCCCGTATAGATGACTGTATCCGACAATATGTATCACGAGAGCAGTATCCCCTTCTTCCGCGGTATCGCAGGATTCTGCACTTTGGTCACTTGACGGACCATGATTGGTGGCGTCAGACCGGCCGAGGTCCGGCTGCTGTCTTCGTCGCAAACTAAATTCTGCTTCCTGTCGCTCTACGCTCTCCAGAAATTGCAGTGTACTGGGGGATCGAGAGTCCATCAGGTCCCCTATTCCAGCGGCAAATACGACACCTGACTGCTGCAGCCTCCGCTGGAGTGATTCGGCCCGTTTCTTTCTTTCGGAGCGCGATGAGCGGGTCGTAGTGAACGGTAGAGGCCCTTTTGCGGCCCCGAGTTCTTTTCGCTGTTGATAGAGTCAGCGGCAGCTTTGATGAGGATCGCGAGGAAGACGGTGGCGGATCGAAACGGAAAGCTTGCTCATCCTCATCCTTGTCGTCTCCACGCTCCACGCCTTGTTCGGTGCCAGGCGTCATATGAGGTGAGGTGGCAAAGTCAGGTATATGGCTCATCAGCGCAGGCTCTCCGTAAGCGGACGCCGAGTCGCTGCGGCAGTCTTCAGGTTCGAGACTTCAGGCTGCACAGTTGGATTGCCGTTGCTTCCCGTTTCTGTCGGGGCGGACGGCGGATCTGCGAATGCTGACCTTCCGCCTGCAGTACGATCACCATGGTAGGAGGCGTACTCTTCGTTTGGGTCCGGGTGGCAAAAGAGCGGTCTCATCGGCTCATTGTTCATGGCTGGACTCGGAGTAGGGCGGGATGGAGGCCAGGGATCCTGCGACAAGCTACCGCTCAGTGGAGTGAACGAGGGAACGTACGTGGTGAGGATCATCAGGCGGTCGGGTGGCAAATTCCTGCCTCCCCCTCCGAGAAGCACCGTAGGTATAGTAGCTGATTGTATTGGGAAGTGCGAGGCTCTCAGGCCAGGGCGCCAAACCCGCCGTGTTCCATCCCGCCAGGGTATCATCTCGGGTGGCGGGGCGGGAGGAGTCTTTCGTGCTGTACTGGTCGCTGCATGCTCCGGTAACAGCTTCGACCTGGTTCTCTGCAGAATTTGGGACGGTCAGCATATCGGGCGAGTGCGAGAGAAATGTATACAGCTAATCGAGTATGCAGCACATCAGAAGATGAGACAGTCATGCCAGTGACAACAGCCTCTAGGAAGAAGGTCAGAAATCGAGCCCAGTGACCCTTCCCTTGCCCGCAATCGAGCCATCGAGCTCGCTAACTTCCTTGCGCCACAAAGGAGTTGGTGGCGCAAAGATTATGTGCGAGACTCACAAGTGCATCGTCCGACATGGAGCTATGAAAGTCGCCGCTTGGCTGCTAGATACCGGCCTGCCTCTGCCATGGGGGAATGAGAATTGGACACAGGCCCCCACGACAGCGCACGCCTGTGACGGTCACGCTCTCTCGCCCAGGGCGCCGGCCGCTTGCGAAGAGTGAGTGCAGAGTGATTAGGCAGCATCGAGATCATGAAATGGGCACAATGCACAGAGGTTTCCAAGGGAAGAGGGCTGACGGGTGCGACTCATAAACTGCTATCTAGCTAGCACTTACTTGGTACCTTGGTTGCAACTGCACATCTTCTACTGTCCGTATATACGAGCCATATCATTGCATGTAGTGTACCTCAAAGTTGCTTCACAGGCTGCACATCTACACGCAAACTCAACGCCACCCATGTGATCTAAATCGTCCATCACCAGTCTCGTCCTGATCTGCCCGCAGAGGCCCCAAGTCTCCGCTGCTCAGACCTCAGTCGCTTGTTGTACACTCTCTTCTGCTCAACCTTCTTCACCTCCTCCGCGATCGTAGGAGCAGTGACGCGCCCAAGTGTTCGTTTCTTGGCACACACCGAGATCGCCATCGTACGAGGGACTTCACTGCACTTGAGCTTGCTTCCTTCCGACGCTGACCCTCGAGCTATACTCGTATCGACATGAACAACAAGGACAGTGTCTGCTTCCCCCACTGTGCCATTGGATACCATACTTGGGCCGTTGGACGGTCTGGAACGCATGGTGATGGACTGATCAGTGTCCAGCCTGTTGAAAGGGCGGTGGCAGGTGGTTCCATGTCTCGCTTGTGTTGTAGACTAGTCTTGATAGGGTAATGACTCATTCTAGGTAGTTCACTGTCTCACCATAGATCTAAACATTGTAGCGCAGTATATAGGCCAGCCTGTTTGTAGTTCCTAGAGTCTTTGTCGCTTTTACATACGACTGAAGAGCTCTAGGTAAGTCTGCTCTTATGAATCGCTTTTACATACGACTGAAGAGCTCTAGTTCGAAAGTCAGCGACCTTGGGTGGTTTTCATCAGATTATGAGACCCTGCTTTTAACGGCATACTACGAAATCAAGCACACCGTGGCAACCCGACCGACACACCGTCCCGTCCGGCCCACACACCACTCACACACACACGTCCTTCACACACACTCTCTCCCCTCCTTTCACTCCTCATTCCTCGGCAGCCATGACCGACCAAGTCAGCCTGGCCCGCAACTTCGAGCGGGTCCCGAAATTAATCGGTATGGAAAACTTCACGGTATGGCGTCAACGGATCGTCTTGGCGCTCTCCATGTCCGGTGCTACCGGCTTCGTCGACCCCAAGGCGCAACTTCCGGAAGAGGAGGAGGATATGGAGGAGTGGGATGTCACGGACAAGAAACTGGCGGCTGCCATTTTGACCACCCTGGATGAGGAGATCCTCACGGCACACATCGACTTGCTGGATTCCACAGGGCCGTTCCGGGCGCGGTCCATTTACCTCGACCTGGCCAGCATCTACGGAACGTCGGGGCCACAGTACTCATTTGCCAAGGGGAGGCAGTTCATCGACAACAAATGCGGCGAGGCGGACAACGTCGAAAACTGGGTCAATCAAGTCCAGTCGCAGTATCGGGAGCTGAAAGTACTCGATTTCAACCTCGATACGCTCCTCATCAACGTCCTCCTCAACGGGCTACCCTCGCGCTTCGCGGCCTTCGTCGATTCGGTATGGACCACCGACAGCCACCTCACCGCCGAGGCCCTGAAGATCAAAATTCTTCAGGTCAACTCCGGTCAGCTCAATCGGGTCGGTAACGCGGCCAAAGCCCTCGCGGCTGCTGCATCGGTGACTCCCAGCGGGGACGGCGATCTATTCGCTTTCTATACGGCGCTGGCAAAGGCGGGCAAGGCGCCGAGCGCGGAAAGCCCGTGCCTCCGGTGCGGATCTCCGGACCATTGGGTCCTCAAATGCCCTCAGCCTGCCCCGATTCCCCAAGAGGCCAAATCGGGCGGAAAGGGGAAGCGGGGAAAGGATCGCGGCAAAGGAGGCAAGCGTCAAGACGGTTCCGCTCACGTGGCCGTCCAAGCACCTCCTACCGAGACGGCCGCCATCGCTACGGTCTCGGTGCCCACCACGGACGCGTCGCCGGAAGAAGTCCTCCTCATCGCTTCGGCTCAGGTCGACGCTTCCGGAACTGTCGCAACCTCGGTCGCTCTCTTGACTCACTCGTCTTGCTGGGTGATTGATTCAGGCGCTAGCGAGCACATGAGCGGTAGCGATACCGACATGTTCAATATCCGGCCGCTCCCTCAGCCAGTCCGAATTTCAACGGCCGGCGGCGCGGTTCTCACCTCTACGTCCTTTGGGTCAATTGCTCTCTTCAATCGGCTCGGCGTGAAGGTCACCCTCCAGCGCGTGCTGTACATCCCCAATCTTGGCTTCAATCTTATCTCGGTGTCCCAGACGGACGCAAACGGGGCGGCGGTAATATTCTCGGGCGGAGAATGCCGGATCGAGAAGGCCGGGAAGTATGTCCTTGGCGCCAGGAAGGTCAATAAGGTGTACCTGGCGGACCTCGGAACGGAGAGGAAGTTACCGGAGCTTAACGGTATTACGCTCGCCCTTCCCGCTTCGGTCGACTCCACCTCGCCAAACGCGCTCAAGTCGGTCGGTATCAAGCCCACCGGATCCAAGGCCAGCTGGCCCGTGTGGCACCGTCGCATGGCCCACCTCGCCGAGCCATCAATGAAACTCCTTTTCGGCCAACTCAGCACCGGCTGCTCTATCGCTCGGTCACACATTACCGACCCCTCTTGCGTATGCGAGGGGTGTATCATGGGCAAGCTCGTACGCCCTCCCTTCCCCACCAGCGAAACTCGAGCTGAAGCCGTCTTAGATCTAGTCCACTCGGATCTCTGCGGACCGATGGGTGTAACATCGGTGGGAGGGGCGCAGTACATGATGGTGTTGGTGGATGACAGGACGCGATATACCTGGTCTTTCTTCCTCAAACGGAAGTCGGATGCATTTGAGTGCTTCAAAACATGGCTGGTGCAGCAGGAGCGGGCGACAGGGAGAAAGTTGAAGGTGTTCCGAACCGACAACGGCGGTGAATTCGTCTCTCGCGAGTTCAACGGGTACCTCGAGTCGCTCGGCATCACGCATCAGACGACAGTGCCTTACTCGTCCCAACAGAACGGCGTGGCGGAGCGGGCAAACCGCACCATCGTCGAGCGTACCGTCGGTCTCCTCTTTTCGGAACATCTACCTTTATCGCTCTGGGCAGAGGTGATGGATACGGTGGTTTACCTCAAGAACCGCTCTCCATCTCGCTCGCTCGGCAAGTCTACCCCCTTCGAGGCACTCCTCGGTTCTCGCCCAGACTTATCACACTTACGTGTCGTCGGGTGCGCGGCATGGGCGTTGATCAGGAAGGAGGCGCGGGAGAGCAAAGTGCACCCGCGGGCGGTACTTTGCGTACTGCTTGGTTACTCGGCCACGCAGAAGGGATACAAGCTGTGGAATGTCGCGGAGCAGAAGGTGCAGGTGTCACGCGATGTCACCTTCGACGAGTCGGTCTCGGCGCAGCGCCTACTTCGTGCTCAACCCTCATTGGCCGAACTCAACACTGCCTTCCTCCAGCTCGTCCGACCGTCCTCGCAAACTCGTGATGTCAATGTTCCGCCAGCATCAGGTCCTCCCACCGATGCAGACGAAACAGGGGAAGATTCGACCATCCCTCGTCTCGGGCGTCCAGCCCGACCGGCACAAGTGGCGCAGCATCAGCAGGAGGTCCCGGGAGAAGCAGATGAGCTCGAGTCAGTGGGAGCAGATGGAGATGTGGGAGCAGACGATGGTCCTGAAGCAGTGGGAGGTAGGGGATGGGCGTACGAGCCGGATCCTCGTTTCAATCGGGATGGAGCACCCTCACCAGACCTCGTCGACGACCATCCTGGCCCCCGCACCCGCTCCGGTCGGCACTTCGGGCTAGCTGCCTCGGCAGCAGACGAGTACGAGGCCGAACTCGCAGACTTCCTCGGCCGGCCGGACGATCCAACTTGTCTTCCCTCGGATCAGCACCTCCCAAACTGGCCGAGTCCGTATTCCCCCTATGAGCTGGTCGCACTCGCGACCAAAACCTCTTCCACCGCAGAGCCGACGTCGTGGCGTCAGGCCATGAACTCCCCGGATCACCAGCTCTGGCATGGTGCGGGATCGGCCGAAATGGGCTCGCTCGACAAGGCGGACGTCTATGACCTCGTCCCCCGCTCGCAAGCTCGGGGCAAGATCCTCAAGAGCAAGTGGGTCTTCAAGGAGAAACTCAAGATGGACGGACTGCTTGAGCGTCACAAAGCTCGAGTGGTGGCTCGGGGAGACATGCAGAAGGAGTCGGACTGCCTCGAAACGTTCGCCCCGGTCGCCAAGTTTCAGACGCTGCGGACCATCTTCGCTCTGGCGGCTCAGCACGACCTCGAGGTACACCAGATGGACGTCGAGACTGCCTTCCTTTACGGTCCTTTGAAGGAGGAGGTGTACATGGAGCAGCCCGAGGGGTTCGAGCAGGGGACCAACATGGTCTGGAAGCTCAAGAAGGCGCTGTATGGTTTAAAGCAGTCACCTCGAGCTTGGTGGCGGGAGCTGGACCGTACTCTCAGAGAGCTGGGCTTCACTCGGACGGCCTCGGACCACTCGCTGTACGTGCGTCGTGACGAGGGCGGACTAGTACTCGTCGGGGTATATGTCGACGACCTCACGATCGCCGCAACCCGAGGGGACACTCTGGATCACTTCAAGCTGGAGATGTCGAAGCGGTACAAGATGAAGGACTTAGGGGAGATTCACTACATCCTCGGTCTTCAGGTCAGGCGTGATAGACCTAAGCGGTCACTCCATCTCTGCCAAACCCAGTACATCGATACCATCCTCCGCCGGTTCGACATGGACAACTGCAAATCTGCAAAGTCCCCTCTCCCTGCCAAAACCATCCTCTCTCCTCGTACTCCGAACGAACCAGCGGCGGATGGTAGACAGTATCTTCGCGCCATTGGATCCCTCATGTACGCCATGCTCGGTACTCGTCCCGATCTCGCCTTTGCGGTTGGCCTCCTCGCTCGCTTCTCAAACGACCCGTCCCTGGCTCATTGGGAAGCCGCAATGCATGTCTTCCGATATCTCAAGGAGACACGTACCGTCGGTATCGATTACTCCGGATCCAACGGGGAGCTCGTCGGGTATAGCGATGCCGACTTTGCCACCAGCGACCCCTCTCGCCGACGGGTCACCAGCGGTTACGTCTACTGTCTCTGGGGCGGGCCTATCAGCTGGCAGTCAAAGCGTCAGCCCTCGGTGTCACTCGCTACTGGTGACGCGGAATACGTCGCCCTGTCTCAAGCGGGTCGGGAAGCCCTCTGGTTCAGGTCACTTCTTACCGAGATCGGATTCGCTCCCACCCGGCCTATCGTACTCTACGGGGACAATCAGGCATCTATCTCCATCGCGTACAACCCTATCGGTCACACTCGGTCCAAGCAAATCGACGTGCGGTATCACTTCCTCCGCGAGATCGTCGAACGCGAATGGATCGTCATTCACTACGTCCGCACGACCGCAATGGCAGCAGATGGTCTGACCAAGCCTTTACCTCCGGTTGTATTCGCCAGATACACTCAGCTCCTCAACCTCAAGGTGGCGCCACAGATCGAGGAGGTATAGGGCAGTGGTCTGGACGCTCGCATGGAACAGTGGGAGTGTTGAAAGGGCGGTGGCAGGTGGTTCCATGTCTCGCTTGTGTTGTAGACTAGTCTTGATAGGGTAATGACTCATTCTAGGTAGTTCGTGCTTCAAAACATGGCTGGTGCAGCAGGAGCGGGCGACAGGGAGAAAGTTGAAGGTGTTCCGAACCGACAACGGCGGTTTTCATCACAGCCGCTGTCGGGATTGAAACTCGCTCGCCTTCTTCTTGAAATCCTAGAGGTCTTCATCGTGCGGGAGAGTCGCGAGTCCAGAAACGCCCAGGTCCCAGTGCCAACCCACACATCGGACGCTTGTAGCTGCCGCTTCAACTTGTCGGCTCGCTGCTTCCTGGCTGCAATAACCTGAGCGGACTGAATCGGAGACCTGGACTGTCTCCCTGGGCGGTCGGTCTTGCTCGTTCCTGAGGACTTTGCCTGCTGTGGCAACGAGGACGGAAGAGAGCTGGCACAAGGCGGTGTATCGACACTCATCTCGTCTTCGTCATCATCATCAGTGGTGGGGGAGAAGCTCGACTCTAATTTGGGAAGAGGCACATCCTGATCAATTGAAGCGGTACGGTCCCGTGAGGCGCTCCTAATGGCCTCATCGTAAATAGAGCGAACATCCTCGTCGTCAGCGGCGTGGGTTTGCGAAAGGGTCGATCCTACGCTGGTCTGCGGGGAGAGGACTGGCTCCGATATTCCCCGGTCTGGATTCGGTACCGGTAAGGGCTCGGAGGATGGCCAATGCCGATGTGTTGTGAGATAGTAGTGTGACGGGACCCAGAGTCGCCCATCTTCAGTACTTTCAGCCGGTGGGTATACAAAATGGGAGTTGGATATGGGTGAGCCAGCACTGAGGTTGTTCGTACCGGATGATGTCCCGTCGCCTGTCCAGGGCGGCAGTCCTGCAGTATTCCAGTCCCATAGGATATCGTGTCTGGTGGCGGGATTGTTTTTGTATGTTCCAGTGGCGGCTTCCTCCTGCGATCTTGCAGGATTTGGAACGGTCGACATACTGCTGGGTTTCGAGATATGAGTATACGACTGACCAAGTATGTAGATCTCCAGATGATGAGACTCAACAGAGAGAAAGTCAGCAGAAGGAAGTTCAGAACCCAGGCTAGTGAACATTCCCTTGTCCTTGAAATCGAGCTAGCTTGCTTCTTTTCGCCATAAAGGAGATGAAAGCACAAAGGCGTGCTGTGCGTTTCGGCTTGAATATGCGCTGAGTGCGAGAGGTCGACCTCGTGGTCTGTGGCTGTGCGCGGGCCCTGATGATGGTATTGTGTAGATCAAATCCCAGGACGAGCTTAGAGGTGCGACATTAGAGATGTCAGGCTGGATTACAGACAGCAGGGGAGAAGCAATAAGCAGAAGGAGCCGAGGGTGGAAAGGTGTATGGAGGGGTCAAGAGGAGATGGCTGAGGGGTCTATCTAGCTCAGCTGTCTGTGTGCCTCGATTCTAGCTGCTCGACTCGTGCTGCCCGTGTATGGAAGTATCATCAGTGCATGTAACGTTAATATTCTGCGAACTCTACACATGTACAGTCATACTACGCGTATCGACCCCAATATCAGTCCCATGTTCCGACGGCGTCGTCAGAATCAACCCTCAAGTCTAAGCTGCCGGGTTTTCCACAGCTTCATGTACCCCCTGTCACGATCCCTCTTCTGCTTCACCCTAGCCGCCTCCTGAGCGACCGTGAGTACTTTGGCGGCTCCCAGTCGGCGTCCACTTCCCCTATGACACATAGAGATCGCCGTCGTGCGAGAGACTTCACTGAACCTGAGCTCGCCTTTTTCAGATACTGAGCCTCCACCTTTGTCGATATGAACCAGAAGAACGATGTCTGCTTCGCCCTGGACAGTACTGGATGCCATACCGTCTCCATCGGACGGTCTGGTAGGGGAGATGGCAAAACCACCTGAGTCCAGCTTCTGTCCCGCTCGAAAATCACGCTCCTGTCGTTCAAAGTCCTCGAGATACTCCAAAGCACTGGGACAACGAGAGTCTAAAAAGGCCCACGTCCCAGTGGCAAACATCACACCAGACTCCTGTAACTGTCGCTTCAGTTGATCCGCCCGTTGCTTTCTGAGGGCGCGTTCCTGGGCGGACAATTTGGGACCACGTTTTGTCCCGCGAAGGTCGACCCTCGCCCCCGAGGACTTTGACGCTGGCTTCGATGATGAAAGAGAGCTGGCATGAGGCGGTGAATCGACACTCATCTCGTCTTCGCCCACATCAGTGGCCATGGACACCCTCGTCTCAGAAGTGGAACGGGGCACATACTGTGGTGAATTGGTCTGGTCCCGCAAGGCGCTCCCGGCGCTCGGCTCATAGTATGTCGATGGGCCATCCTCGAGCTCCGCCTCGTCGTCAGTGACAAAGAGACCCGGACTGCTGGTTCCTACGACTGACTGCGGGGAGAGGACCGGCACCGATATTCCACAGTCGTCACTCGGTAGCGAGAACGGTTGGGATGATGGCCAATGTCGATCTGTTGTAGGACAGTGCGGCGACAACCAGAGTTGCTCATCTTGAGTATTGCCGGCCGGCGGGTAGGCAAGATGGGAGGTAAGTAGGTCATCGCTGAGATCGTTGGTACCGAGCGATGGCCCATTCGTCGTCCAGGGCGGCAGTCCCGCAGTGTTCCAGCCAGTCAGTAGCTTAGGGAGTGAGGCGGTGACGGTGGCGGTATCTGCTGATTTGTGGGTCACATGGGTATCTTCGACGAGCAGACTCTTCCTCTTACCACGCGAGTCTGAGAGACTGGTCAAGCTGGTCGGATGGGCAGTGACTGTATCGAGTGGAAGCAGCAAGAAACTGGGTACCTTGTGGTGAAGTTGAAGGGTCAAAGGTCAAAGGGGGGGAGTAAGGAGCACGCGCATCCTCAGCTCATGATCTCGATCAAGCTGTGAGCAGCCAAAACGATACTTCCCTTGTTGCCCATCGAGTCTACCTGCTTCTGGTCGGGCACAAAGGAGGCTCGCTTTGGCGCGTATAAGCTAGACCACGTCATAGGATACCATCACCCTATACGATGAGTTGCGGGCTAAAGACTTATAAGTAAGATCAGCGAGTCAGCCCATCATGAGATATACTATACACGCCCCCAAGACCCACTCCCATCGACTACTCGCTGACCCCTACCCTCCACACCATCATCTACGACCACAATCACCTCAGTCCGAATCCACTTCGATATACACCTCATCATCATCACTCTCCATCTCCCCATTCTCATCCCACTCCTCCTCATCATCATCGTCCATCATCGTCGCGTCGATAATGTCATCGGGTTCCGGCTTGGACTGCTTGGGCTTCTCCTCCTCCTTCTTGGCCCCTGCACTCGCTGCTGTACTTCCCGCCGCTTTTCGGAGAGTATTCCCCGACCCCGATCCGAACTTGGCCCACGGATCCACCTTCTCCTCTTTCTCCTCCTTGACGCCTGTTCCCGAACCCGAGCCCGAAGCAGAGGCCGAAGCAGGCTCAGCGGCCTTCCGCTTCCCCTTGAGCGTAACCCCCTCGCCTCCGAAAGAAGGTTTGGACTCTTCGGCGGCAGCGATCTCTTCGGCGGTAGGTTTGGGCTTGGGCGCTTTGGAGTGGTCGAAGGGGACATAGGTGTACCCGAAGAAGAATTTACCGGGTGGGAGGGAGAGGACGGCGGGGACGGCGCGGTTGGGGTCGGAGGAAAGGGAGTCGGGGGTGATGATGCGGGGTTTGCTGAGGGTCAGCCTGGTCATTGAAAGCAAGAGAGGTGAGAGAGAAGGCGCGTGGAGGAGGACGATGTGGGTGTGAGAGGTGTAGAGATTGTGGGAGGTGTTGAAGAGGGGTATGTTGTGGATCTAACAGTGATGACCGTCAAGGAGGAAGAGTCCGCATTGAGTCGAGACAACAAGCGCACCAACGCCGAAAACAGCCCGACTCACGCATTCCGAATGATTGTCGACGACGGATCCACCTCCTCAATCTTCTTCGCCAGCCCCTTGCCCCTCACTTTCCGCCCACTCAAACTCTGCCCCACCCCCATAAATACCTCCGACCCCCCTGCCTCCAGACTCCCTCCTTCACCGCCCAAAGAACTCCCGGGCCGACTCGACCCCGCCGACGCGGGCGTCGTTCCTCCCAGATCAATCTTCAGCTTCTCCGCCATGGTCGGTATCGCCTTGGGCTCGGGGCGTGGGGGCTCGACATATCCCTTCGGAACGTCAAAGTCGACTTCGAGGTCCGTATCGAGGACGGAGATACCCCCGTTGGCATCGGTAGGCGGTTGGACGTCGACGATGAGGAATTCGAAGGTGAGTGAGTTGTAGGAGATTTCGATTATGGAGCCTTTGGTTATGACCGAGTAGGATCGGAAGGCGGACTCGAGGCTGAAAGTCAGCTATGTCCGGCAGGTGGAGCATCATGACATAGCTCACACTGCTCGTGGATCTGAGACCTGCTCGAAATCCCTTGACTGGGCTTGAACTTTGACGAGCTTGCCCTTGACCGGCATGACGGTACCCGTGAGCCGGATCGGGTCGCCCTCGTTCAAGTTGAGCGATTTCATCATCTGCATGATCAGCTCGAGGTGTCCCTTAGAAGAGTAGGAGTCTGATAGATAACTTACCCATGCTGGAAGATGTACAACGCCCTCGGAAGCGACGAACTCCAGCACACCGGCGTAGGTATTGTACGCAGCGGGGTTGCGGGGATTCCGGAGGTGGAACGTCCATGGACCGTCAATGTCAAGACCAGCTATTTTGTCAGCTACATCATCACTTATCTGCGTATCTGTAAACTCACTTAGTTTGGCGAGTGCCGAAGGAGGCATGATGACTGTCCCATCAGCCACATATCCCTCTGATCTGCCCCCAATCAGACCTACTCTTTCCACCGTACAACACCTCAGCTCGCTCAGTCCCAGTCATCACAGCAGCAGAGTACGCCTTAAAATAGTCATCGTACGCGCTAGACAGTAAGCTCTGCTCAGGTAGCCCAAAATGTAGACTCTGATAGCTTACCTGGGCGGCGCGGCCATCCCGAACCCCCCAAACATGTTATGTCCACCTCCATATCCACCACCCATCCCGCCTCCCATTCCGCCCATCAGCTGCGCGAGGATCCCAGATGGTCCAGCATGAGCCTGCTGAGGTGGCTGATAGTCGTTGTCTACCATGATCAGCCAGAGTCACAGCCGAAGGAGGGCGTCGAAGGGGATGACGAACCGTCATCGTCGTCATCATATCCGTGGTTCATCTTGACTGATTCTTTTCCTGTTACTGATGCAGTTGTGAATGAGGCTCAGGCGACCTCTGCGGTGTATAATATTGGTGAGGGTTAGTACGAAGTAGATGAGCTGGATGGGTGTATAGAAGGTGAACTTGGACTGAGCTGCGCTGCGCCATCGTCATCAGCTCTGCAGATCCTCATTCCTCAAACCGGTCATCACCGCCACCCACTCACTAGACCCACCTTGACCTTGACTTGCCCTATATCCATAGCTACCTTGTACCCTATAGCTATACATCAGATGTATCAGTACGCAGCCTACGCACCTCGCACACCTCCATCATCATCGTACACGCCCTCTCCCGCTCCGACTTACCCGTCCAATCCAGCCGGACCGTCCAACGCCCCTCAAGCGCAACCCATCACCCGCTCCCGAACACTCTTCTACCTCTCCGTCCGGGATAGCTCTGCCACAGCATCGGGATCAGGATCGAGGAGGAATGGTCCAAGAAGTAGGAAGAAGATTGGTGAAGGGAGAGAGTATGGGAATAAGGTGGATGTAGGGGATGATGAGGAGGAGAGGCTGATTGGAAGTGATGAAGGGGGGAGGGGTGGGCTGCCACCCAGGTGGTGAGAGTATCTATCTGGAGAAGGTGGATCAAAGCTGATGACATAGGGTGGATATTAGTGATGAAGTTGAGGAGATACTAGGGCGAATATCACCCAAAAGTGCGCTCTTACCGCTCAAGACCCCTCGGTCTAGCTGATCCGGTAGTCACGGCTCTGGACAAGCTACACTCCAAGCACGTCTTGCCGGGCTTTACAGATCGTACAGCCGAGGAGCGAGAGATAGAAAGGCAGACTATCGATATCACACGGGTAAGCTTCATCCCGTTCTGGCTTACCTACTGTGCGACCTTGGCTGACCCGCAGGACTTTCGGAAATGTACCTCCCTCATAGGCTCTATCGCTCCAACAAGAGGTGCCACTCGCGCCGAGGTCACTACCGCGAAGAATGTCCAGCGGGGACTGGCAGGAAAGGTACAGGAGATGAGCGGGATGTTTAGGAAGAAGCAGAGGGTGTATATGCAGAGTGAGTTTGACGGCGGAGCTTTGATCCCACCTTTAACCTCAACCTAGACGACGTCAGGATGACAGTAAGAACTGAGGCGTAGCTAACACTGTAGAGCTACAAGGACACGCCATCAAATCCAAAGACCTCCTCGTTGCCTCAGGCGCTATCCAGCTCAAAGGTCCCGACTCATTCGACGAACTAGCAGAGGACGAGCGTCTCTCCTCTCTCCCTCCCGGCTCCTCTTCTTCGGGAGGCGGATACCAAGCCCAGTCCCTCGCTCAAGCACCCATGGCGGTCGACCTGGACGTATCCACTCGGACGGCCGAAATTACCCAAATCGCCCAATCGATCGGGGAGCTCGCGGAGCTGTTTAGGGATCTGGGGAATATGGTGGTGGAGCAAGGAACGGTGTTGGATTCGGTGGAGTATAATGTGGGCGTGACGGCGAGGGAGATGAAGGGGGCGGTGGAGGAGTTGAGGGTTGCGCAGCGGTGAGTTGGTGTTCTTTGAGGGGCATGAGGGGGTGGGTGGGCTTGATGGTGCGGAAGGGCGGAGAGGATTGGATGATGGTATGAGGGCGGGTGAGGACGATCAGTGTGAGACTGCGGCAGTGGAATCGAGGAGATGCTGGGTTGGAAAGGAGTGCGGAGAGTGGACTACTGGGCATACCAAGCGGAAACGAGCTGAGCAACAGGTATCAAGCCAATACCGGCCGACGGAAATGTATGCTCCTCCTTGTCCTCCTCATTGCAGGGATGATCATCGTCCTCATCTACAAACCTCGCTCTTCCTCCTCGATACCAGGCCCATCTTCTCCGACATTATCATCGCCCATTTCGGCAGTAGCAGCGGCGGCTTCAGCTGTATCGACGGAAGAAGGGGGAAAAGGGACAGATTTAGGAAGCGTGGCGGATGCGGTTGCTGGGGCGAGGCCGTGGATAAGACCTCCGAGTGTGCCGGGGTATGGAGGGGCTTTTGTGGCGGATAGTGAGGAGAGGCGATCTGGTATACTGGGGCGCTATACTCGACATCCCTGAGAGCAGATGAGCTCAAATAGTGATACATGTTGTTCATTAATGCGCGATAGACTCCTCCACATCTGGCTTGCTCTTGTTCGCGCTGCTACTCTCCCCCGTGTCCGCCTCCCTACGCAAGTCACGAATTATCTTTCCTGCATACTCCTCCTCCCGTCCTTCCTCTTGTCCTTCTCCACCATCACTCCCATCCCCTGCACCCTCAAAGTACTCCATGCGGCGCCTTTTTCGGCGTGAACGAGCAGTGTCCGCCCCTGAATCCGCTTTCTTGGGTCGAATCCGTCTCTTTTTGCGTGAAGGCTCGCTTCCGGGGATATGAGTCGTGTAGACTAGATCTTGTAGACAGTCTGGCGCCAGTTCAGTAGACGCGCTCACAAGGAGACTGTAAATCAGCACTATCCACTGGGATCAAGACACGGTCATATGACTCACGGGTCGCCTTTTACCAACCACTCGTACTGCCCTTCCGCAGAGTCCGCTCCACCGCCAACGCTGCACAAGTACCTCCTTGCCTCCGTCATCTCCTTTGTCTCCGGACGGTGCAGCTCCATTGTTGCCGAGATGCATCGATGCGGTAAGGGGAGGAAGTAGTTGTAGGGTAAGGCGATCCGTAAGGTGCGAAGGACATAGGCTTGCACGTCTGCGAGGTTGCAGTAGGCAGTAATGTTGTTCGCCCGCAAGACGGTCCAGGTCGGCGGAAGGAGAGGCCAGGGGCCTATCGCCGGGATGATATACAGACGGCAGTGGATGGACGATGGTAGCTTGGTGTCGAGGCTGGTCAGGCGCACACCTCGTGTCTGCTGGTCAGCTGGAAGCATCACCTCATTAAGAATGCCAGCTTCCGGTACGTACCACCAGTTGCTGTCGCAAGTCGTGTCCACTCCACTCGACACTTTCAATGTGGGGGATATCGGCGTCGGCGATGACAGCTGCGTGCTTGCTAAGCGGTGCCAGGCGGCTTACTGCGCGAGAAGGGAGGGGCATGATACGAGATGGAGATGAAGCTGTTGTTGAGATTCGACAAGTAAGGAATAGGTATTAACAAAACATGTACTCAAGGATGATGGAGAGAAGGATGAGAAAGCCAGAAGACGATTTGCCGCCGAATGGCTGGTTGTTTACATTTTGCCGCGCACTCGCCTAGCACGTCATGCAGTGGCGGGATCGACTTGCGAGGACTTGTTCTTTGAGCACTGCGCATGCAGGTCCATCTCCAGTACCCCGTTGCATGGGCCAACATGGTGGACAAAAGATTTGGTATCCCGATCCGTAGATGTCGTGTCGATTTTGCCTTGATTCGCCCCTATCTGCTGCCCGTCGTATAGTTTCTCTAACCGCTCTTCTGTAGTACTCTGAGGATCGCCTTCTCATTGCATAGTTCTCGCATCTCTGCCGCCTACACGTGGGTAGTGCACCGTCCGTCATCTGTCGGGCCCCATGACGAGTGTAAAACTCGCTTGAACCATCTCTAGAAGATCGGTAGTGGTACATCCCGGAAGACTTTTTTGCGCCTGCATGCGTGGCTGATCCAGTTGAATGGACATTCGCGCAGACCACCGACAGCACTGGGCGCTCGTGCTCATCTTGGCGACTTTCGGCGTTCCATGATCCCGCGTAAATGGCGGAACATGCTCGACGCAGATGAACACAACAACGCGGAGTGTCTCCGCCTCTCACGCGCCCTGCCTCCCTGGTTCCTCGCTGGATAGTCCCGCTGAAAGGGTCCGCGCCTTCGGGAAAGACGTATACCTGATACCCGAGACCGGAGCTTGGCGATATGGTCGAGGAAGAGGTTCCAGGCGCCTAGTTCAGCGGAGAGCACTGCTTCATGATGAGACGGATCTCAGTGGGCGATGCGAGCCGAATAAGAGTGAATGACCTGAAACATGAGGTAATTTGATTCCTCCCGTGTTGATCTGGAGGAATGTTTCAGGATGACGAGGCAAGCAGGTATCGAGTCGGCCAGAGTTGATAAGCCCGTTGGCTGCATGAGAGCGAACAAAGTCTTCCTGTACAGAGGAGATATCAGCTTCGACCAGGTCAAGTCATAGGTATACCAAGCGTTCCGGGCGACAGAGCGAGAGCGGACTATTTGCATGCGCAACAAGCATGCACATTGGGGTGGAAACTGGAAGCAGTACCAGGCACGATGTCTCATCGGTCAGCTGAACAGTGCAGCACCAGCATCGGATCCGCTGTCTCTAGTGCGCTATCGACTAGACGTGGAAGATGCATCAGCTGTGCAAACACGGCTATGAGGGATTTATACCCGCCTCCAGCTCGCCACCTGGTTTGGCGGTCAACAAGTGCTCAGATCGACTCCGCTCTACAGATGCCCGCCTCTATGCAAAGCTCACTTCCTGCCTCTTCTATCTTCCTACCTCTTCTCTACCTCCTCTTACACATCATCTGGCAGAAGCTCCATCCAGCTCACCCCGTACCTTCGCGCCTAGCCACCACCTTGACCTCGATACACCGCAAATCAGTACATCCCACCCCCATCCCCGCACATCTACTCTCGTCCGGTCGTCAGTGCATCGTCTCGCACACTCAACATGTCCGACTATGCCAATCTCCCAATCTTCCAGATTCTTGCTGCGGAGGCCATGCATGCGGCCAATATACTTCCACTATCCGCGGCGGAGGGCCAGCTCGTCAGGGAGAGAACGGGTATCAAGTATGTGTTTACATTGATGGACGACGAGAGGCTGGACAGGTTGCTGGTAATAAGGATCGGACGACTAGAAGTACGTGCTTCCAGCCTCATCAAATGGGTATAGCTTAGCTGAATAATCAGGCTCACGGGCTACGCGTCCTGGGCACCGACGATGAGGTCGCCAACTCCCTCGCGGAGACGGTCCGCGTTCGCCCGGACGGCGTTGACTGGCCGGCCCCTATGAGGGATTGGTCCGAAACCACTCACGGGGAGCTCATCAAGGCCATCGCCGTCCAGGACTACTCTTGGCGGCTCTACAACCTCGCCAAAGCTCGACTGCCGTCCGACTACCCCTCCTCTATAGCTGAATTTGGCGAACTCGCCCTCAGCTCGCCCTCGTTCGCTGCAGCCTTTCTCAACATGACGTACCCCGGATCCATCCGCGCCGACCCAGCCTTCATCGCAGCCGTGAAAGGACTGGTCGCTCCCGCGCGAGCTCTCGTGAGCCTCGCCACCAAGGGCCGGGTCCCCCGTATGCCACTCACCGACGTCCCTACGCCCGTCAAGCCTAGGGCCAGCAATCGACATCGGCGCGCCCCTCATCCTCCCCCTCCCGCTCCACTCGCACCCCCTCCTCCTAACCGAAAAGGCAAAAACAAGCGAGATCGGTCCCCTACTCCTCCGGCTCCAGCCTGTCGTCAAGCCGCTGGCAAGAAAATGAAGGAGGACGACACCTACACCGCATTCCGGGAACCCTCTGTACCTCTTTCCGACACTACGGAGGTATCCATTCACTCTGCTCCCTCGCCCCCGCACGTAATCGACGAGCCCCTGGAGGATGTAGAGATGGAGCAGGTGGAGATTGCACGCGTGCGAGAGTGCTTTGGTGGGCTGAGCAAGCTGGGCGATGACGATCAGCGGGAAGAGGCTGGACGTGAGATACAGGTGGAGGATATGGACTGGGAAGCTGTGAGTCAGAGCTATTTCGAGGTTGCTTTTTGGTTCAGAGCTGACTTTCCAGGCTGCTGAGTATGTCGACGAGGAGGGTCTGCAGCATGGCGAGGTGATTGAGCCGGAGGATGATGAGATTGGGCCGTTGGCGATGGTGATTTGGGAAGACCCCGTGAGTGCTACTATAGCTGGGTGCTGCGTGCTTTGAGCTCGTGCTGACCTCACAGCTTCGTGTCTACCCGGTGCTGCCCATCGTTGAGGTCGGGGATCCCTGGGAGCACGTCGAGGGGGGTGCAGCTGAGGAGGAGGATGTGCTGGAGATCCCTCGCCCGCCCGCCGAAGATGGACTCCCGCGCATGGCATACCACGGTGACCGACTCCATGCGGGCGACATTCGAGATGGGCCTATTATTTACCGCGTCTGGATCGAAATCGTCGTCGGCGAGGTCGAGGAAGAAGAGTGAAGCCAAGGGATCGTCTGGGGGAGATAGGGGTCTGCTCTGTCTTGCATGTTTGTCTGTTGCCAGTTGGATCCATGATGCGTAGTTTGTAGTCTGGTCCGCCATGACCTCGTGTGCCTCGTTAGTCAGTCACGTATGTAATGCATTTGAAGTCACATCATCGCCCATGCTACTCGCGACCACTCCCACCATCCGCCAGGCCAAAGAGAGCCGTCCACTTCCGCCTCCTCAAGCTCTCCTCCTCGCCAGCGAGTCAGAATTCGCTTGAAGAAGCCAATCTTGACTTGCCTTCGCTCATCCGAGCTCTCCACCACATCCATGGGCCCTGCTTGGATTTGATCTGCAAATGCCACGATCTCTTCTAGCCACGAGATGATCTCCTCCTCGGGGCAGGCGGGGCAAGCATCAGTCAGGTTTGGGACGGTAGGGGAAGCCAGGACGCAAAGCGGCTCGAGGGTGAAGAGGGTGTTGTGCCTCGGTCGGGTACCCAGTCGATGGGGCGGGAAGAGGGTATTTGCGGGGTCAGGATGAGTGCTGATGATCTCCTTCATGATCTTCCGAGCATGCCCCACTGACTCGGAAGGATTGCTGATCAGGAGATATGTAGCAAGCTGAATGGAGAAGAGTGGTCAGTGACGTTCATATGGCTATCAGATGTGGCGAGGGTGATGCACTTACTGCAGCGTGATACCATCTGCTCATCTTTCGGTGCAGCTCACTTGCTTCTCGTCCTTGAGCACCTGCGCGCAACCATGTGATATGTGCGTCGAACCATGAGAGTACGCCTGGGTAGCTGGACATAGTGGCGGGTAGAAGTGGAAGAGCTTGAGCAACGAGAATGAGGTATCGGGTCTGCAGAACGAGTCAGTGGCGGGCTACGGAACGAGTAGGGTAGCTCTCACGGCGATGATGAAGCCCGCATTTCCCTCCAGCGGCTTCTTGTCAGGCATGCACTGCGAGTACTCCACCTCGGGTAGCATACTAAGCGGTCAGCGAACCATCTCTGGGGAGTTCAGGGAAAGGTCGATAGAACTCACCGTGTAGCATCGTCAACGAAGAACACCCTCAGCAGCTCATTGATCCGCTTCAGACAGTCCCCTTGAAGGTCTCCATCGCTACTCAGAAGATGCTTGTAGCCAAGAGCCAGGGTGTGGACTGTCATTGCCATCGTCTCGAGCTGCTTCTGACACTGCGGTAGGTCGGCAGCTTGGGATATCAGCTCCTGATGAGTAATTTCATGTTTTACCACATACCAGGATTCCGCTGACCATCGCGACGCTCTGTAGGCTGATTAGTAAGCTGCACACTAGGCTGAGCATACGTAGCACTGACCGCACTTTCCGTCCTCAGTCAACCACCAATATGGGGAGAGCGAGAAGAAGTGATTCTTGTTCTCAAGCGGACTGCAGGAGAGCGTGACTGAGTAGACATCGCGACTCTGACTCAGACGCTGACATTGCTCCTTGAGCAGCTTGCTGGCCAGTGGAGACGGATTGCATGTAGGGGCAGGTGTGAGGATGACCAAGGGGTGGCGAGGTACTGCCTGATCCGCAGGCGCCGCGTGAGGGAGACCCGATGCTGGGTAGGGCTCGCTTGATGTACTCATGTTGGCCAGAAATAGTAATAGAGAAATGCGAAGCGATAGGTCGGGACAGGCAAGCTACCAGGTCATTGCACCTCGTCGTCGCTGGCAAGCTCTAGGACAAGAAGGGGCATGGTCTGAAAGGAAGGTCGACAAGGGATCATGTCCCCTTGGACAAGCGCAGAAGGTGCTGGAAGCTCAGTGAGACACGTATTATCGTTGTGTACATACAGCGCCGTCCATGTGACTACTACCCCAGCGCATGTCGCCTCATGCACCGTCCACGACGGCCAATCCCCACACCGCCACACTCAACCGCCACACTCGCCAAACCGCCACACTCCTCATTCCTCATCCACGTGGACCTTTCGGCGATGGCCGCCAGCCACTCAGCCAAGCTCTGACCTCCACTCAGGAAGTCCACTCATCTTCTTCTCCTGCTTTGACTTTGTTCTTCATCCTCCTCTCTCCCTCATTTGTACTTCATCCTCCCCTTCTCCTCTTCTGTATACATAGCCATTCCCTTATATCCCTAGACTTCAGCTTTCCCCCTTCTCCCCCTTCTCTGCTTCTTCCCTCAAAGTAGTAGCGGCCACCTTCCTCCGTCTCACAGGATGGGCGCTCATACCTTCCCCTCCTCTCCTTCTCCCCTCGGTACCGCCTACACTCAGCATACAGCTGCTGGACATGAAGGGAAGCAGCAGATCAGGCTCTATGGTCTGAGCGAGAGTCGTGAGTAACAACCAATCTCAGACCGATCAGCTCTCGCTGATATTTCTAGCTACTACTCCTGCTCTTATTGCCTTCTTTTCCCAGATGGGTAAGCTTAATCCTGCATGGCAACTGCCAAGTATGAGCGCGAGCTGACCCTTGTAGCTACGGTCTGCGGAATACTCCTTCACCCCGATGGTCCAGGGAAGCAATGGGCGCAAGTATGGGTCCGTGGGGAAGAAGAAGCAGAGCGGTGTATGAGGGCTCAAGCTCAGCTGGGAGTATCAGGAGTGTGAGCTTCTCTGACTCGCGCAACCTCTGATTACAGAAGGGAGAACAGCTGACGAGATAGCTCAATGTCTCGCGCTCCTTCTCAAGCTCCCCCGTCTCACCCTCAAAATCCCCTTCCTCCTCTCTTCGCCCAAACGCCGGCCCCTTCCGCCTTCCCTCCTCTCTACGGTCCTCTCACTATCCCTCAGAAGACTCCAACGAGGTCCCAAGCGCCTTTCATGAGCGAGCTGGCCCTTCATCGCCTTCCTCCAACTCCCGCGAGCTTCGACAGGCCGATGACGGTCCCTCTCCGTCATGACCTCTCTGGGATGGGGTACCGACACCTCGACCCGAGCGGGCCTCTGCCGAGGAACCTGTACATAGTGGATCTCCCGCTAGATATGACAGAGTGAGCTATACCCGTGTTTATCCTCGCACACAGCTGACATCTTACAGAACTCAGTTCCGATCCCTTTTCGAGCAACACGGCGTGGTCGAGCACTGCAAGTTGCTCTCTCAGCTGGACGGCATGGGTCGAAGACGGTGAGTCGCTTACTCCACGAATGTCAGCTCTTGTCAGCTCCGGCTTGTACGACTCGAGCAAAACAGTGCCCAAGCTGACATAAAAGGGGCTTCATCCTGATGGCCTCGCACCGAGAAGCGCTGGAAGCTATGCGTGGTATGAATGGTCGTATTATCGAGTCAGTCAAGCGGGTGGCCGCTTTGGGTGCGACTCAAGCTGATTCCTCAGGGGATCCAGGATGGACGTGTCATGGGCGCTGGTGCAGCGAGAAGCAAGGCATTTTGGTGCAGTTGAGCTTACCACAGCCGATAGGCGGTCTTTGTGTATGGCAACCAGCTGACATACCCAGGTATCGGAGCGATGCCTAACCGGGTCATCCATCCGCCGGTTCATCCCATCCGGCGCGAGGTCCTACCTGCGGTCGACGCAGCCGTTATCGCTGAAGGACTGGTGAGCTTACACGATTGGACCATCTCGCTCCCCACTAGTCCAGCTGACACTCCAGGACCCCGAGTTCTTCCCTTCCGCCAACCTCATCCGAGAGCTCTTCTCCACTTTTGGCCCCATCATGCAAGCCTCCATACTCACCTCTTCACCCGATCTCGGCCTCACCGCGCTCATCCAGTTCGAGCACGCCACGTCGGCCGACCTCCTCATTCAGGCGAGCGGGATGGTCGTTGGGTCGAAGCGCATCCATGTTCGGCCCTTCCAGCGCCAACACCACCAACCGGCTCAGCTCCAGTATCAGCCGTATCAGCTCCCTCAAGAAGCCTACCCGGGCGCTCCTCAAGCTCGATACTTCTCCGACCCGCCAACTTCAGCTGGTCGACCTTTCCAGCCGGTGTCGCTTCATCAAGCAACCTCGTTCGACCCCTTTGGCGCCGCCGGCCTCGCAGCGGATCTTCAGGCAGCTACGGAACGACTCGCCAAGTCTCGCTTGAACGCAGCTTCGTCCCCTTTCGTCCCTACTTTCGGGCAAGACCAGCCCCGAACCCTCGACCAGCAAGACCCGTACCCACTCCACCGGCTCGAGCAGAAGACACCTAGCCCTCGTACCGTCCCCGCTGGCGCCGATATCAAGTCCCCCCATTCTGCTTCTCACAGTTCATCCACCAAAATCTCGTCCTCCACCTCGTCCGGTAGCGGTACGCAGCACGGCTCTCGGTCCAGCAAGACCCGCGATACCTCCGATACTACCGCCAAGGACGAATCAACCTCAGCGGAGGATGCAGCCTTGGCCAAGGCTGGCAGGTTCTCGATGGGGGAGATCCCGGTGATGAGTAGAATGCACGAGAGGTGGTTGAAGGCGAGTATCGGGAAGGATGATCATTGGGTCAAGAGCGCTGCATGGTGTGAGCTGACCATTACCATCGACCGTCCGATGTGCGGTAGTGAGCACAGCTGATCACTCAGAGAGCATGAAGACAACTTCCCTCCCTCCCTCCGATATCCTCCCTGTTCATATCGCGATTACTCCATATCCCAACCTCACGACCTATGCGGAACGAAACGTACGACTCGAAACGACCCACCCTCTTATGCCCTGCCATGTCTTGCGCTTGATACCGGCGCTATAACGACCTTTCCGCACTCGCCCGCGATCCTCACTCTGTACATTGGCGGTCCCGCTCCCGCTCTTCTAGATACCCAGCCTCACCGCATGTGCCTTACTGTGCCATACCACTCTACCCGCTCTCCCCCTACTCTACCCTCTTCTGCGATACCTCACTTCGATTTCGAGTTCCCCGGGACCACTCCACTACTCCTCCACCTTATCATCCGGTTGCCCCATCCCCATCCACCCGCCCCACTCTCGCTCTTCCTCCATACGGTGCACCCGCTCGCCCTCCTCGCTACCCCGCTTCTGCGCTTGCTATCGCCATTCCCATCAGTCTCGACTACCCCATGCGCTCCTCGCCTGTACATCCCCGCATCACTCGCCAACGCCCGCCCGCCCGACCTGGAGGGCAAGATTGGTAGATACACATATACTACACTTATGCATCATGTCTCGGTCGTTGTCTACCTATAGTGCTAGCTATCGTCTCTCGCTCGATGTCATGGTATGCGGAGTTGAGGAGGCCGGATAATTATCGCCCGAACTACACTGATCAGCTGCTGTTTTGATATCTGATGCCCTTAATCGCTCCCAGCCCGCCTTCTTGCCGCCTTGAATCCCTTCCGTCGCGTCCTCATCGTTGCCGATCACCAGACAGATCACCACACTTCCTCGCTCTTCAAGTCCGGCCCCGAGATCAGACCAGTCTAGACTTCCCGTTGCTTTCCTTTCCGTCTTGCCATTCCTATCCAGAGCTCTTTGATCCTGATCTCTTGATCTCCTGATCCCCCCAATCCGTTACGGCCCCAAACTCCAATCAACGCAGCTTATCCCCATCCTCCCCATCGTCACCATACAGAAGAGACATCCAAGGACTCACCAGCCAATCTGCCAATCTCCCACTGACGCCCCCGCCTGCCCCACCAGCGCCCGCCGCCCCTTCATCCTCCCACTCTCCCTGCCTCTTCTCCCCCTTCTCCCTGATCACATTCCGCTTCTCAACAGTCATCGGTCTCCCTTCTCCTCTATATCCACCCACCTCCATTCCCCCACCTCCCCCTTGTCCTTGTCCCCCATGTCCAACCCCTTCCCCACCCCCATTGGCACCACCCCATCCCGATCCAGCCGTCGTAGAAACCCCCTCCGCGACCCTCACGCCAATCATATACTTTCCACCTAAAACCTCACCGTGCCGACGCAAGGCGTACGCGGCGGAAACGGGCGAATTGTACGTGACGACCCACCAGTTCGTGCCGTCCGGTCCGGGGACGTAGGAGGAGACGGCGCCGATGGAGGAGAGGTAGGGCTCGAGTGTGGGCAGAAGGTGGGAAGGGGGACCAAAGATCAGGAGTTGGGTAGTTGTGGGGGATGCAGTGAGTGAGGGGGGTGTAGGGAGTCTGCGGGTCAGCGGGGACAACGGGGCGATGCGGCGGCCAGAGAAAGAGACGACGAGGAGGGAAGGAGATAGGTGATGATGGGGCATCGGAGGGATGGGTTGGGCTGATGGGAATTGTGGGGTAGCTGAAGTGGAGACGATATGAAATGGGATGTAGTTTAGACAGAGGCAGTGGAAAGTCCGGCAAGAAATTCCGGCACCACTCCGCTCCTCCCGCTCCTGCAGCTTCCCTCGCTCTCGCTACGCCTCGCCTCGCTTCCTCGCTGCATTGCGATCAAGTACGACCTGGACTTACTGGTTACTAGCTGCCATGGTAGCTGCGAAGCCTCGGACTGGCGAGTCGCTCGTATCTCGTAGTGAAGCTGTAGGGGGCATGTCCTCGTCGATGACTTGCTGGGTCATTTGTTTCCGGCGAGAATCGCGGGGACTAGCGGCGCTAGATGTCAGCTATACACAGAGTCTATGACAAGAGCGGAGAAGAGGGATAATAGGGCGAAGACTCATGGGATAGAGTAAGGGGTGATGAATAGGAAGATGGGCGGGAGGGAACAAGAGATATCCGCCCATCCTGATTTACACCGTACCTCCCATACAACCCCTTTCCTTCTCTATCTTGTTCCACTGTGACTCACCTTTCACCTCCAAACCTCCCCGTCGGACTCCTTCCCGCCCTCGCGCCCGCCGGGGGACTAGCCACCGCCTCCCCACCCCTCCCACCCGTCCCCTGCCCACTCCCACCTGGACTCATCCCCCCTCCTCCTCCTCCTCCTCCCATCCCGCCCGTTTCCCTCCCGCCCGTATGCCCGCTACTCCCCATGACCAGCTTGCCTGCTGGACTGGCCGCAAAGCTGGGCGCGAACCTGATATTCTCTGCCATCCTCGCGTCTTCCGGATCGAGCTCATCGGCGATGTTGAACCGGGTCGAGCGGTGTTGCGAATACTGGAGTGGTCTGGTAGGAGTGAAGGGCCCGCCTGCGCCCATGGGCGTTGAGCCTGAGGGTGTGGCTGCTGCTTGCCACCAGTCTGACATTGTGTATGCAGCGATGGGAGGAAGTGATTGTCAAGTTGTTGCTGTCTTTGGCTTTGTCTTTGCAGAGTTGACGCGCCTAAAAATGCCACGTCATGCAAATACAGCCGGTCCACTCGAGTAGCCGCAATGTCCACCCAAGTCACAGCGACAACTTTACATCGCTCTGGCCTGCATCAGGATACACATGGAAGCAGGTAAGGCTGTAATCTACTGATCCTACTGATAGTGTACTGATAACGGATCAGGATGAGCCAAGTGGAGCCGCTGTACCCCGCGGACGGCCTGCTAGCGGAGGATCATACCAGGCCATCCCTCTTTGAGCTGCTTGCGGAGGAGCAGCTTAGGGATGTTCTGCATCCTGTAGTCCGATATGTCTTATCGGTGAGCTTACAGCCTCCATACCATCTATAGACTGAAGGTGTGCAAGTAGCTGACCCGCTTAGTACCTCGCCCAAAACTACCCTCGGTACTTCCTAAGAGTGCTCAACCATCACGAAGAGGTCTTTGCGGGCCTGCTGCTCTTGGTCGAGCGATATCACCTGAAGAGGCACAGTGAGCTTTCCTTACTGCCTCGATGGTGATGCGAGAAACAGCTGACACATCAGACGCATCCCTCTCTGAGCACTTCTACGGTCTCCGCCTTGCCCCAGTGAATGGTATCCCCACCCCAAGGCTGGACGCGCTGGATGGGTCAAGACCACCTCGCGGACTGAGCAAGAAGCAGCGGTGGGGTATGCTACTCATCCTAGTATGTGATCTCCTCTCTCTGCTTACGTCCACGAAGCTACACCTCTAGTACAGCCAGCTGACGTTGCAGGTTGGAATGCCGTACCTCCGCGCGCGAGCTCAAGACTACTACGAGCGCCTAGGCGGGGCACGGAACGCCGAGGATGGAGCCGAGCCAGAGATCGTGGCCGTCAGCAGGGTGAGCTTCCTTTCTTCGCCCATACCCTCTCCATCTACCTTGCCGTCCCGCCCGCTAGTCGGAACCCCTCCCTGCTCGTGCGGAGTCGTCCACTCTGGCGGAATCGTCGTCGTCGTCCTCAGCGGTATGCGTAATTGAGCTGAGACCGCAGAAGCAACGCCTCTTCAAGTTCCTGTATCCATATGTCAACCTCGCTTTCGATATATCGCTACTTGGGTACGATATCGCCTACCTCTTCGACCTTTCCAGCGACTATCGGCCTTGGCACCGCGCGCTGGGTCTGCGCATCCGACGTAGAGGTGAGGAGGACGAGTCTGTGAGTCTCGCACTACCCGGCATCTCCCTATCACACATTCCGCTCTCTTGCGCCTCAGCGGATCTTTCCTACCTCTTAGCTTGAGCTGACCCCTTAGCCACCCTCCTCATCCCCCAGCCTCCTCTCCCGGCTCCCACCCCTCCTCCCACCCCTCCTCCTCCTCCTCAAGCTCTCACAGTGGTGGTACTCACCCACCTCCCCTCGACTCCTCCGCCAATCCACCTCGTCCTCCTTCTCCGGCGGTCTCTCGGCGTCTTCCGCCCAGATCCACGCGGGCATCCTCCCGCCTGCAAAACTGCCCATCCTGCCCGGGGCACATAAGAGCCATCTCGGGAGTCTGTCTCCTGGGCCCGAGGACTCCGGACCGGACTCGGAACCGGACGATGAAACGACGACACCCCGAGACGACAAAGCAGGCGGAGGAGGGTGGGCCGTACAGATCCCGACAGAGTCGTATGGTCTTTGCCCGATCTGCGGCCAGAAATGGCAGAACCCGGCTGTACTCCCGAGTGGATGGGTCTTTTGTTGGCGGTGTGGATGGGAGGCGGTAGAGGGAGAGACGGATGGGAGTGACAGCGAGGGCGAGGATGAGGTTGGGCTTGGTGGGCTTGATGCGAAAGGCGAGGTGAAGAAGGTTGAGGGTGAAGGTGGGGACGAAAGGGATGAGGGGTCAGAGACCGGCTCAGCGAGGTCGACAGAGCTGGAGATGGGAGATATCGGGGATGAGGGGGTGAGCTATCAGTCGACAAATGGGCAAGGCGGCAGAAAGGGGCGGAAAGAGAAGAGGGGACTGAGAAGAAGGGGAAAGTGCCCGATCACGGGGGTTCATGTGGGAGAGGGGCAGCTCAGGCGGGTGCTGGTATAGCGAAGATAAGGCCAGGGGGTCGTGTCATTCTGCAACGTGGTGCTGGTGAGTGATCCGCAGCTACATCGCTTCTGCTTGACGTTTCTCGGCAGCGGAGCTGGAAGCTGATCCCTACAGCCAATCAAACACTTCATTCATGGTCATCTACCGACCCGGCGGCCAACCATCCTCGGTTCAGCTCCGATGCTGGTCTTGACACAACGACGCCCCTTCGCTCCCTTCACGCTCGGTCTACTTGGCGTTCTCGGTATAGCATCAGACCATGCATCAGTCGTCATCCCGGTCTGAGGTCAGCCAAGCTCGTTTAAAGCGGCATCGGCCCTCGATGTCCTCGTCGACCATCTCGCCTCGCATCACCATGCCGATTAGACCACGTACGACAGCTGGGCAGGCGGAATCTTGCACGTCGGGTATCAGCGTCGGGTCTATCAGCGTCGCCGAGCGAACGTCAGTGGTACAGCTCGACCAGTACCAGCTCCCAGATCAGCGGGGACAGGCGGAGTATTCTATACAGATGCATCAACCGTATCACTGAGCGAACTAATCTCAAGTACAAGCTGACCACCCTCTCGTACATGTGCTGATCGTTACTGATGACGTCCCTCGGATAGCTGGTACATCGCTCCATCTCTCGTCTTCCCGCCGGCACGCTCGACTGAGATGGAAAGGCGATCACTCCGAGTCGGAGAGAGAAGGGGAGGAGGGGGCATAGATGATGGTCGTACGGCGGAAGGAGATCTGAGGGGTCAGCTTGGGGTCTTGACGAGCAGGAGGAGGAGGAGCAGGGGAAGAAGAGCGGGAATGCCGCTTGGGCATGGTAGGTGAGAACAGTGGAGGTTTGGGTGAGGAGAGAGAGGGGGACAGTGGATATGGAGAGCAACAGGGAAGGGGCGATAATAACGGAGACAAGAGGATAGCTCACCTTCCAGTCGTCCTCGTCGTGGCCATAGTGGTGTACGCCGACGAGCTCAAACTGGATTATCAGCGCAGCACTCTTACGCTACACGCTATTGAACGAGGGGGAGTTCGAGATGACGGACAGGGCTCGGGGACAGGTATGGATGGAGAGCAGAAGACATACTCACCCTGGCGTCCCGCTGCATGGCTTTGATAAGCTCCGTGGACTCCTGGATGGGTACGGTCAAGTCTCGGCCGGACGAGAGACGGATGTTGCCAGCGGACCAGAGGTGGAGGGTCGAGTGGGGCTGGGGGTCAGCTCTGGCATTTGACAGTAGGACGGGCGATTGAGGCAGAGGATGATGAGGAAGAAGACGCAGGATGAGGTGTATGGGAGGTAGCGCAGAGAGAGAGAAGGATGGGGAAGAGGGGAGCATAGGGACCATTAAACACTCACATCCTGGGCAGCCAACCGATCGATGAGATCATCCGCGGTCCGGGAGTAGACGCTGGAGGTGGACGAGACGGACGAGGCAGAGGACATGCTCATGGACCGAGGGAGAGTGGCGAGGAGGGCAGGGGTGGGGCCGCTGAAGGTGGTGTTGGAGGTGGACATCTTGCTGCGTGCTGTTGTGGAGTAGGGGGCTGATTGGTGGAGTGGAGTGGTTGGTGGTGGGCTTGAAGGGATAGCTGGCGGTGAGCGAGATGAGTGAGACGAGTGAGATGGAACAGGGGGAAGAGATAGACCCACCTTATATATCCCAGCTCTATTCACCGCCTCACGACCCCTCCACCCCATCCTGTACAGGCCGGACATCCGGTCTCCCCGTCCGAGCTCCAGCGTAGGGGCAGGCAGTCATCCGCCTAGTCCCCTGAAACACATCCACATCCTTATCGCCCTCTCTCCCTCTCTCCCTCACTACCCCGCCCTGAGGTCCCCGATCGGTGCAGCGAGGCCGGCCAGTGCCTCCCATCCTTCCTCCCGTCCTAGCCCGTCCACACACGTAGATCGAACGTGCTAGTGCAGAGCTGTGTGGTGAGGAGGCATGTGATAGCCCTGTCGTAGGGATAAGCTTAGCTGGATTGACTGGAATGACGTGGGGCGAGGGCAAAGGTACACCTGCAGGGCGAGAGATATGCGGAGAGGCGGGGCCTGCTGATGTGTCTGAGGGAGTGACAGCGTGTGCGGGGCGGACTAGAAGCGACATGTGACCGATCGGTCGGAGGCATGAGCTGGCGAGAGAGGATATGGTTGACCCTCCGAGGGCGGGTCAGAGCGATGGGATCGGACTTGCAGGAGTACTGGATCTACCCCGGCCGGAGCAAGGCGGGCAGGGCGGGGAGAGCAAAGGGCAAGGAGGTCATGTGGTCGAGCTAGTTAGAGTCTAATTCCAGTAAAGGCAGATGAGAGGCATAGCATGCAGATGATAGCTTTGCACCCCGTTTGAGAGGATTGCGCCGGTACTATCGGGGCTCGCGACCGGAGATAGATGGATAAGGATGCGAGGGAGGGAGGGGACAAGGTTTCATCCACACCGAGAGTGTTTCAGCGTTGTCCGAGGTTGTTCCGTCGCCACCCAACTGAAGTGCGTCTACTGGCTGAGCAGGTCGAGAGCATGGTGCAGCTAGGCATAGCTGTTGCTGACTGGAAGCGCGCCTTCCCGGTAGGGAAACGAGATAGACCAGATGCGAAGCTCAGAACGGATCGAGTCGGGCACACCGTCCGCAGCGCCGCAGCGCAGTCAGTCACCTTACTCACCAGGCCGCGGTCTATGGTACACGTTACTTGATTTAGCTTACTGTACATACAGGTCTACGCTCGTCTTTCATGATCCCCTCGGACACCCGACCTTGCCTCACCCGTCCCGCCCCAGGTGATCCCCTCCAGTCCCGATCTGCCGTCCACGGCCGCCTCGGTTCCCCTCCACTTCGGTTCCCATCCACTTCTATTCCGCCCGATGTCCATGACTCCCGTCCCAACACATATCCCTACCCGTCTCCGTCTCCCTATCGATCCCACGCGCCCAGCCGCCAGACGATGCGCACTATGGGTCCTCCCTGATACCCAAGCGCTGCTTCTCCGCTGCGAGCGCAATCTCCCTGGCGCGGATCTCGGACTTGGCCATTGCGGATGCCTGTTGTTTGGATGGGTGGTGGAAGAGGACTGCAGAGTTAGCTAGAATATCAAGCAGGATGTGAGGAGGTGGGGCAGACGAGGAAACAGGACGGGAAAGATCAAAGTGGAGGGACGAATGAGGATAGGGTGACTTAGTATAGTGTGTGAGTGGATCAGAGGGGGAAGAAGGCAGATAGGCAGGAGAATGAAGAGTACGGGAAGCGGAGGGAGTAGAGTAGAAGACGATTCCAGTGTGATTGATGATACCCCCTTCCTCCTCTGCCTCGGTACCCATAGGCAGATCCCATCTTAGACTGATAGCTCGTACCAACTCGAGTCGGATAGTCGTCCACCCCTCCGCCTCCTCCTCAGACGGCACAGCCCTGTCTCTCCACCCAATACACCCAGTTCACTGACACGAAGTTCTCCACCGCGCCCATCCGACAGCTCGATACCGGAATCAACGGTTCCAGCACGCGTTCTTTCCTCCAGAACCTGGCCCTTTCCAGCCCCAGCTCACGGCCTGCCTGCCTCCCCGCCAGCCCGCCTTCCTTCGCCAGTCCACATTCGGCCACTTGTATGCGCTCGCGCCTAGAACCCGACATACCCCACCGAGCCACACCGCCAGTACTCACCGACGATATACCGCTCCATTAAGTGAAATCCATTCAAATGCGTCATTGCCTCCCGCGCATCGTCCGGACTCTCATACACCACATACGCCGTCCCCTTTGTCTTGAGGGTGGAGTCTGTACCGAGGCGGACTTGACGAATAGGACCGTACTTGCCGAAGAGGTCGTATATGTCTGCGCCGGTGATGTTGAAGTTGCTGCAAGTCAGCGAGAGTCAGTGAAGTGAGGGCTGGAATCAGAGGAGACGTACAGGTTCTTGATACTGCAAAGTCAGCATATGCCCGCTCTAAATTGGTACAGGACACCTCAGAAGATACTGGAGAAGACGGGATACTCACAACAAGGCTCGTTGAGCGGCAGCATCGGTCGGCCGCTGCATGATGGCTAGCTCGGACCCGGGCGGGTACCTCTAGACTGGGCGATGCTAGAGCTGCGATTCTTTCGAGCAGACCGATATGACGAGCTTAATTGCTCGTTCTGTCGTGTTGTACAGATATGCAGTACAGGTATAGCTGTTATGAAGCGAGGAAGATGAAGGTATAGACGAAAGGAGTAGACGGTGGAGTTGGGTGGCAAATCGATAGGAGGGCTAGGCTTGCGGCTATCGCCGGATAGGCATCCCACATCACGAGCCTATCGGGCTCGGTTGACCTGATGCCGCGCGCCTACACGCCCTGCTGGACGAAAATCTCTCACCTGAACTTTGCTTTGACTCTTTCCTCAGCCATAGCTACTGCTATACACTCACGCACTATGGCAACACTGACTACCCTCCCACTCACCCTGCCTGCTCTCCCATCGGGCTACTCTGCGCCCTCGTCGTCAGGTCTCTCCAAGCCCAGCTCGGCCCACACTTACCCGGCCGGTCCTTCCTTCCTCTCGTCCGCTCGGCGTCAACTCCTCCAGCGCTCCTTTGCAGAGGATGACAAGCTCGTCCTAGCTCAGAGGAAGAAGGAGGCGGAAGAGGCGTCCAAAGTAGGGGGAGAAGAGCAGTACCCCGGACTTGGTGAAGAAGAGGAGGATAAAGCGACATTGGCGCAGGATCCCAAAGAGTGGAAGAAGCAGGACCACTATGCGGTCCTCGGATTGGGGAATTTGAGGTACAAGGCGACGGATGATCACATCAAGGTGGCTCGTGAGTTGATTCCTTAGATTGAAGGGCTCAGGATGAGGAGGAGGGAGAGAAGGGAGGGAAGAGCGGACCGGTCATCCTGCACAGAGGGCCTTCAGTCTGACCACCGCTGTGATCGTATCCCTATCTTCCTTCTCCTCTATACCTTCCCGGCCGCTGCTATCTCTATCATCGTCTCTGGCCTCCTATCCTGCATATCTCTACCAGCCTTTTGCTCAGCTGACTCCCAGACCGCCGCAAGGTTCTCCGTCACCACCCGGACAAGAAGGCCGCCTCGGGCTCCAACGACGACGGCTTCTTCAAGTGCATCCAGAAGGGTGAGTCCAGTTCTGCTACATTCTTTCCGTGCTGTGTCGGATATGGGAGAAGGATCAGGTTGTATCGGAGAGCTCTTTGGCGGATGCCTTGGCTGGTACCGTACGCTCGTACTCCGTCTGCTGCGCTGGGATATCACTCAACCTTCATCCCGCTACCTACCTCCGACCCCACTCTCACCCCTCATTGCAGCTTCTCCTCTCTATCATAAAGATCCCCCGCTGACCCGCAGCCCACGAGACCCTCACCAACCCCGAGCGCCGACGCCAATTCGACTCGGTCGACGAAGCCATCGAGGACTCGGTCCCCAACCCCGCGTCCATCCCCGCTGGCAAGTACTGCGCCACCCTCGCGCCCGTCTTTGCGCGCGAGGCCCGCTTCTCCAAGGTCCAGCCCGTCCCCGGCTTTGGCGGCGAGGATGCGAGCAAGAAGGAGGTCGAGGGGTTCTACGACTTTTGGTACAACTTTGATTCGTGGAGGAGCTTTGAGTGGCACGATAAGGAGGTGGATGAGGATAGCACCAAGTGAGTTTGTGTTCTTCTCGGTGGCTATTGGCCTGCTACACTGCGTCTCCCTTCTCCTCTCGTCCTCCCGTTTCCTATCTTGCTCTGTCTCACCTAAGCATCATCCTCTCTGTCCCGACCGGAGACCACCCGTACCTTACTCTCAGCTCTATGTTGTCCTCTCTCCTCCCCGTTCTGCCTTGTTCTTTTGCTCTATCCCTTGTATATCAACCTCTCTGCGTGTCAACTGTACCTCCGCACTGCGTCTTCTCATTGCACCTCATCGTCATCTGATCCCTCCCTTCGGCTCAGACTCTGCCGCATCACCTGCTCCTCATCCCCTCCGTTTCCGAACATTAAACACCCGCACCATCCCCTCGGCTCTATGTCGGCCTCTCACCTCCCCCTTTTACCTCGATCTTTTGCTCAGTCTCTGGCATCTCACCTCATCCTACGTCTCCTCATACGCTTTTGCTGCTGTTCTGACCGAGACCCAAGCTGACACCACAGCCGCGACAACAAGCGCTTCACCGAAAAGAAGAACAAGTCGGAGCGTACCCGCCGGAAGAAGGAGGACAACACCCGTCTCCGCGAGCTGGTCGACAGCGTCCTCGCCAACGACCCCCGTATCAAGCGTATCAAGGCGGAAGAGAAGGCCGCTCGGGATGCCAAGAAGAAGGGCGGGGCAGCTGCGGCCAAGGGGCCCAGCGCGGCGGATAAGAAGGCTGAGGAGGACAAGAAGGCCAAGGAGGAGGCGGCAAAGAAGGCTGCTGCGACGCCAGAGTTGAGCAAGGCCGAGAAGGAGGCTCAGAAGAAGGCCAAGGAGGCGGCCAGGAAGAATTTGAAGAAGTGGAAGAAGGTGAGTTGGTCCTTCTTGATTGACTCCCATACATCTGCCCCGTACCATCCCACATACTCCACCCCGTGCTTGTCACTCCATCTCTCCGAACCAGCTCGAGCTATAGCTGACCCTCCAGTCCATCCAGGCCGTCATCGCCGCTTCCAACTACTTCCTCCCTGCCATCACCGCCCCCTCCGCCGCTCAGATCGACGCCCACCTCACCGAGCTCGACACCCTCTGCGACCTCCTCGAGCCGGAGGAAGTCAAGGACTTGAAGGAGAAGGTGGAGGCTGCGGGACCCGGAGAGGGAGCCAAGACGGAGTTGAAGGCGAGGGTGGTCGGATTGGGGCAGAAGGCCGACGGGAAGTTTGTCGAGTTCACCAAGGACCCGTTGGGTGCTTGAGCGAGAGTAGATGTAGATCTAGATTAGATATGATGGGTGCTTCTCTGACTATAGCCTGTACTGCAGGATCCGAGAGACCTTGGTCAGTGAGGATGCCTGTAAGAGGGACACAAGGACAGGGTGGACAAGTCGGAATCACCCCTTCCGGCAGCCGGAGAGTTTCAAGTTTCCACCCCTACTTTTCACTCGATTCGCAAGGTATCCGTTCTACTTGGACATCTCTGTCCCGCTTCCCTGCTTGACTAGCAGGCGATAGGCTTCTGAAAAGACCTCGTCAGTCATGCTCGACACCCACTCACCCACCCACACCCTTAGCTTCAGTGCGATGGCAGTAAGCAACTACCTTCGGACCTCGGCTCGCTTCCTCGAGCAGCTGGCTGTGATTATTCACCTGTCATGCGGCTTAGGGGTGATTGATGTGCATACTTATTGCTATGAGATACAAGTGTTTCTATCAAGTTAGCTACTCACCACCCCTTCTACCCTCCAACCTCCCACATCTTCGCCCTGCTCCTCAACAGTCCCAGCGCCATCCTCCTGAGCATGTACTCCCAAGCTCCGTCCGATACCGCCTCCTTCCATGGGTTAGGGGGCCTGGGGTGATTGATGTGCATACTTATTGCTATGAGATACAAGTGTTTCTATCAAGTTAGCTACTCACCACCCCTTCTACCCTCCAACCTCCCACATCTTCGCCCTGCTCCTCAACAGTCCCAGCGCCATCCTCCTGAGCATGTACTCCCAAGCTCCGTCCGATACCGCCTCCTTCCATTCCATCATCCTTCCCATCGTCCCCTTCTCCACCAAACCGCCCGCCGAGAACACCAACGGTGAGAATCTCCCCATCCCTCCAGCTGCCGCCTTCGCCGTCTCTGCGTCCACCGTGAACAGGTACCGCTGCATCTGCCACATGGTCTTGTCCCATGGATTAGCATCTGCGGGCGGCGCCTCCGTCAACCTGCCCGCCCTCATCTGCCCGACCGACTTGTAGACCTTGTCGCCGAGGATAGAGTACACCTTGACGTCATGCTCCGTCGTGGCGTTCCCTAGCCCGTCCGATCCCCAAACGAGCAGGTCGTTGCGCCGCTGGGACCCGTGGTCGGTCTTAGGGGTGATTGATGTGCATACTTATTGCTATGAGATACAAGTGTTTCTATCAAGTTAGCTACTCACCACCCCTTCTACCCTCCAACCTCCCACATCTTCGCCCTGCTCCTCAACAGTCCCAGCGCCATCCTCCTGAGCATGTACTCCCAAGCTCCGTCCGATACCGCCTCCTTCCATTCCATCATCCTTCCCATCGTCCCCTTCTCCACCAAACCGCCCGCCGAGAACACCAACGGTGAGAATCTCCCCATCCCTCCAGCTGCCGCCTTCGCCGTCTTAGGGGTTAGGGGGTTAGGGGTTAGGGGTTAGGGGGTTAGGGGGTTAGGGGTTAGGGGGTTAGGGGGTTAGGGGGTTAGGGGTTAGGGGGTTCGGGGGTTAGGGGTTAGGGGGTTACCTCTCTCTCTCTCTCTCCGGGCTCATAGTAGGGACGAAAAAGAGGTACGCCTATCAGGCAGCCCTTCTCACAGCTCGTTTCCCCCAAAAGAACAATCCGACGAGTGTGTCGCCCGCTCGCCCGGGGTGCTCGAAAAAAAAGACTGCATACCTCCGAAGCGACCTACTTCGATAGAGTCAGCAACCTGATTACTCCAGGGATTCACGATGTCCGCCACCCGTGCTTATCAGGCAGAAAAAGCCCAAGGATGCCAAGGCATTCTTGACCTGACTTCTTGATGGGTGGTGTGTCGCCGCTGTCGCCAAGACTCGCCCGCTGCCCCCATGGAGCCGCATCAAGCTCTTGGTCCAGAACCAGGATGAGATATGTGAGCTCTTTCGTCCTTGCCCTAGCTTTCCTGCCTGGCGCTGACAATGCAGGATTCAAGCAGGGCCGTCTTCGACTACCCCTTACAAGGGTTATCGGTGACTGCTTCGGCCGAACCTACCGTGAGGAGGGTATGGCTGCGCTCTGGCGTGGTAACACCGCCAACGTCATCCGTTTACTTCCCCACCCAGGTCCCCTTGAACTTCGCCTTCAAGGACTACTTCAAGTCCCTCTTCGGCTTCAGGAAGCAGGATGGTTACTGGAAGTGGTTCGGTGGTAACATCGCCTCCGTGAGTCTTGTTTTTCGCGGGGTTTTTAGGAATGTGGCCTGACTTTCAGGGTGGTGCCGCCGGTGCGACTTCGCCTCCTCTTCGTCTACTCTCTCGACTACGCCCGTACCCCGTCTTGCCACGACAACAAGTCCGCCACCAAGGGCGGTTCCCGCCAATTCAACGGTTTGGTCGATGTTCCTACCGCAAGACCCTCGCTTCCGACGGTATTGCCGGTCTTTACCGTGGTTTCGTCCCGTCCCGTTTGTTGGTATCATTGTCTACCGTGGTCTCTAC